TGCGACCGCTTAGGCGAGTCCCTTGTGTGCAAGTCTAACCCTACCAGGCCTGCATTATTGTCTGGTGTGGTCACGTTCTGTTCCACAATATCGACTGCATGGGCCGCGTTACAGGTGCAGCTCATCGTTATCAAGAATCGGACACATTGGCCAATGCCAGCCATCTAGCTTACCCGGCCGAGGTGCGTCTTTACGGCATGGGTATAGCTGTTGCAGCTATTTGCTTCATTCCGGTTAACCTGAGGTTAAGACAGCCGCGCTACTGAATGCTCTACGCCGCTTATGCTCGCCTTAAGGTAGACTTATTTCCTTATTCTTGCAATACCGATCGCTAGCGAGGTCAGACCGCACGATGGGTTCTAGGGCACTTGTTGAACGAAGATCACTCAGGCGAGTAATCGATCCCGCGATGCCACGTCTACAGCAACTACCACGCCTTTCGTCCGCTCGCCAATCATCACAGCTCATCACCACACCTCTTGCAGGCTCACGAGAAGTTCTCTCGAATGCCGCAACATCCGCTCCACATATACACATACCCACCTCTTATCTAATTTCAAGCCGCAGATGAGTCGGTAGGGGCGGGACAACAACAAGAAGCATGCCTAGTGACCTCTATATGTTCGTAGCGGCTAGCCCGCCCCATCGCGCATCGATGTCCGATCGGGCCCTGCGCGAGCAATGTTCCGTGCTAACATCAGTTCATACAGTAATCTGTATCAACATGATTCGCTGGTGGCTAGCTCCAGCCTCACGCCCTCAATGTTCAATTAATAGACTCTCAGGTCATGACGATCTCCTGAATCCGTCCCGCTGCTGCAGGCTGTCACACTGCATGCTGCGAGGCAATGACAATGACATTTCTCTTCCTGCGTAACAAGCCAGGTCTGGCCACAGCTGAGCTACACCATCTTTGCGAGCGTCAGCTCACTTTAAGGCGAGCACTTGTAATCAAGGAAAGATATGCATTATCGAAGGGAGCATGCATGTTCTCCCTGGCCACTCGCTTCCCCTTGGATCACCTGTTGAACCACGAAAGGCTGCACGCAAACAAAGTTCAGAAAGCCAAGACATGCTCACCGGACGTTTTTGTACCACCTAGACCAGCCGTCAATGAACACGGCAGGAGTCAATTCAGGCGTTGTGCGTTACCAATCAATCAACGTCTGTGTCACAGAGTCAAAATCAACGTCAGAGCAGGCCCATGTTCCGTTCCTCTACAGCACGCAGCGGTTATTTCCGACTCTTACTTCCAATCACGACCCTACACAGAAATCCGAAGCGCTCGCGCCAATAACCGCAAGAGAATACTATGATTACGCCAGTCCACGTACGTCGCTATCTCACTACCTATGCATGACAACACCAACCACGCTCTTCTCCGCTAGAATGCTCCTAAGTGCGGAGTACGACGGAAGGTGGAGCACATTCTTACTCACGTATTTCTGCACGCAAGCAGCGTAATCACATTGACGCACGGTTGCAACATAATCCTTTGAACCTCGCTCTGCCCTGCAGCCTCACCCACCACTGCAGACTCAACTCACACAAACACAGCATTTTCATTATCATGCTGATTCACGCATTCAGCCACGCATTCAGCCCCTGCAGCGCGTCTACAGACTCACCGCCTCACTCCAGGGGCCCTCGCACGCGCAGCGCGTCTCACTCACCGATCAATGCCGTGTGATACGATCTGATCTCGACCCCTCGCCAACGCCTTTTCGCCCCGCAGCTTGACATCCACCATCACTGAATGACACACATCAGCACGTCTCTACTTCGCGTTAAACGCCCGGGACCATAGGAGACCCTTGCCGTCCGTCTGTTGTGCAACCTTGAGTACCCCAGATTGAGCTCACTGCACGAGGCTTAAGGTGGCCTGCCAGGGCGTGCACTGCACGTCGCCCCTTTGCGACGTCTTCGGCATGCACTGCAAATGAATTGGAAGCTTCTTCACCGGCGGCCTCGCGTCGAGGTCTGCCACTCGCGTGCGTGCGTGCATGCTGCGCTGTGCGACATTCGCAACGGTCGCACTCGCTGCATGCCGACCTTGTCGATACGTATCCTCGCCGCAACGACGCAGACGCAGCCTCAGGACGCGGCTCGCGCAATATGTACGTGCGGGGTAAGTATTGCATATCTTACAATGAAGATGATGATAGGGATTGGGGGCCTGTGCAACGTTAGTATCACGATTAATAGACGTATCGATTCTGGAGCCGTCCTGCAGCCAGTCAGTCCTCCGCTTTCCCTGCGCCGCACACGCAATGACTAACGGTATTGCACGGCTTCAACCCCCATCCTCCGCTCACTGTACCCAGTCCAATCTTCATCCCAAATCCTATTTCCCCTCTCCGCCAAGTCTCAACCCCAACATGCACGCTCAGCTCCCGCCCCTCTACGACCCAGGACCTTGTAGCACACACGAGCACACCTGCCTTCCGCACGTTCCCGTATCCCAGCCTTGCTCCTACAGTAGTCTACCCCGAGCGTAAGTTCACGCCTAGAAATCGCTCTACTAAGCTACAGTAGCCAACACGTCTGCATCAACGATAATCCCCGACCGCAGGCCTACGCCCAGAGATCACTCCACCTGCTCCACCTGTTCGCACCCTAGCCATGGGTTTCAAACTTACTTGCATACTTACCTGCACACCAATCAACCGTCCACCATTTCAAATCCCATCCATGTCCTCCCTCAAACTCAGACTCAGACTCACCGTTTGCCTTGGAAACCCCTCAAACTGAGACTTAACGCCTTCCCCATGTCCTCCCTCAAACTCAAACTCAGCTTCACGCAATGAATGTACAAGGCTACCTTAGCTCAGCTCAGCTCGCCCAGGGGAGTGCACCCAGGTACACTTCCCCTCCCCTAACCCCTGACCTCCGCGGTTCCGCGGGAATCCTCCCACAAAAAGCAAAAGTAATCGATCGCTCGCTCGCTCCCTCGCGCCAGAACGCAACCACCCGCTCTTGGCAAAAAGGCGAAACGAAGGAAGGAAAAAGAAAGCACACCCCAGCAACGCCACTCGCGCTGGTTCCCCAGCAGCGGGCTCGCATCGCTCGTTCACAAGCGGGCGGGGCGGCCCCGCGACTGCGGCTGCGGATGCGGATGCGATGCCTGGGTGGTGGATCTGCCGGTCCGGTGTTGTGTTGGTGTAGGCGTGCGTGTCCAATGGGTGGGTTGGTTGGCCGCTCGACGTATTTTATTTCCGTTGGGGCGGGTGCGTGCTCGCTGGTGGGTATGCGTACGTAGTGTACTAGGTATGGTAGTCTAGATAGTCTAGTCAGTAGTGTGGACATTTGTTGGGAAGGTGAGTGAGTTCAGATCAGGTGACAATAGATAGGTAGCGAAGCGATCAAGGTGATAATGAGTGAGTTATATGCGAGAGGCAGCTTAGGCGGCGCGCGCTGTTGAGATAGACTTCCAGTGTGCAGGGAGCCGGGCCAGCCTAAGGATGGGTAAACCAAAGGTGTGGCCGTACAATAATGCAACACGTCTATTAAATCAAATCATGACAATAGCTCACACATAGCATGGCAAGAGGTAGCCAGACATCTCAAGCATCGACGTATTCTCAGATCAGACCAGAGAGTAATAGATAGATAGATAGCAGAGGGAGGGATGAAGGTGATAGTGAGTGAGTTATATGCGCGTAGAGGCAGGGCAGGCCAAGACGAAGGGCGCTGTTGAGATAGAATGGACTTGTAGTGTGCAGGGTGCCGAGCCAGCCTTGCGCATGGTAAACCCTAGTGTAGCAGGCAATACAACACGTCCCCTAGATCAAACCATCACATCATCACGCGAGCTCATAGCAACAAGAAGTAGACATGCAGATCGACGTATCCCACGCCTAAGTGGCCCCTCCCGGCCATGGTATCATTCATTCCACTCATCTACACTACCCCCTCTTCCGCCATCCATCCATGCCATCCATCAGGTCCGACCACTCCCAGCCGTGACCCAACAAAGGAAAAGAAAAAAGCCCTCTCAAAAGGTAAAAACCGGGTCTTCCCCCATCAAGGCGGCCGCAGGATCCCAGTCCACAAGAAGCGAAGTGAAGAAAGCAAATGCCGCTCGCAAAAGATAATGCCCGCTACATCGCACAAATGAGAACACAAGAGAAGAGACGATGCGAACCCGCAGAGCGCCCAACAAAAGCTCAAATCAAACCAAACCAAACCAACAAATAGCCACCCAGAGTAGACTCCTCATTCCAGATGATCCGCCTCCTCTTCAGGTCATGCATTCGTAATGGTAATGGTAATTTTCGCCGCGCTCGCTCCTCCGCCAACAGCAAGACAACGCAGAAAGAAAAAAAAGGAAACGCTAAGAAAGGTGGTCCAGTTGGTATCAAGCGAGCGAGCAACGAAGCTCTGAATATCAAATATCCCCAAGTCTATGCATGTTTTCCCAATCACGTTCCATCCCGAAATAACGCCGAAGACCCGATTTGTGAAAGAAAATGGTGAAGCGTGGGGGTATAAAGTGCGGAGATACCAAATACTGTTAGAGGCAAAAACGAACCTCTTCCGCACTTGGCAGGAGAGCTGGGTCGTGCTTGGATTGAGGACAGGGTTGGCTTGGGCGGTTGGCTGGATCGTACGACCGACAGGTTTTTCTCGACTGTGGAAGTGCCGAGGAACCGGTTGTGACGTGTCTGCAATGCGGCAGATGCAAGAAGGCTGGTAGAATGGCTGCTCGCACGTGTCTTGTCCGAAAGTAGTATACGGGTCGAAGCCGCCCGCCCGTCCCGCATCGCGCGCATATTACCCCAACAGCGGGAAGCCAATCCGCGAGGACGATGCGCCCCAACCGACTGATCCTGAATCCGTGCAGTACCAACTCTCCTGGGAAGGTGGTGAGAGAGATCGTAGGTATAATATAGTACACAAGAAAGGGAATCCTTGCCTCTGAGACGCAGACCACGATAATGAGTGTGCGAGCCGGCCGTCAATCAGAGGGTCGGATGATAGAGTAACATCCACAGGTTTGGCTATCGTTCGACCGTGCTACTGCGACTGATAACGTCCCAGTCCTGGTCTTTCCAATCGCCATTGGATTTCTCTTCTTTGCGCTTCCTGCGCTCGCTGGGAGCTCGAATCAAGCGTTTGAAGATGTTGCTGCTGTTGGACCTGGTATTGGTCTGTTCCGACGGCGGGCTCATAGGTTCCACAGATGCCCGACGCGAATTGTGCCCAGCCATAGCAGACAAGGTCGAAGCTGGAACGATGTCTTGCTTCTTGATCTTGCAGAATAATCTGGAGAACAGGTACTGCTCTCCGTTGCTGTCAAACAGGGGGATGTGCCGGTAGCCCTGCTGAACGGCATTCAGTTTAGCCGTGAACTGCGCCAACGGGGCGCTCTCCGGCTTTCCTTCAACGGTATTCCAGACCGTCCAGCGGACAAAGACCAGGTCCGGACAGCGCGTGGTTACTGTCATCTCAATCTCGTCTTTGAATTCAGGGTTGTACCCGTTTCCTGGGACAATGCGTGTCCTCTTTTTGAGCGGCTGACCGATGCCTGAGTATCCGTCCTTGTGGGTCGAGACATCCTGACCTCCGATCCCAGTCGCATTAGGGCCAGCGTCCTCGGCACAGTACATTTCGAATTGAACGAACGGACTAATAGGGGCGTCGGTCTTCGGTCGTGGAAGTTGCTGCGCAGAGATGATCTGCACAGTGAACTTGACTTCCATCTTCGGTGCTCGACGTGGACCAACCACAGGCGTCTGATCGTGGTGGCGGAGCTCGGCAGGCTTCAGGACGTAGCCGCTTCGGTCGTTGCCGCCAGCAAACATGGCTTCGTTCAGTTGCTGCCCAAGATCGTACGTTTGCCAGTTGGTGGCAGCCATTTGAACGCCGCGACGCCAAAATCGGAGGGGATCGAAGTTGCTTGACATGATGCGATGCCCGCTGGGGTACACGCGCATCAAGCACGACATGTTGTGCGCCTCAAGACGCTGCTTGTCGCGTCCACCAGCTTTGGTGAGCCTGTCAAAGGTACGTTCGTTGAAAGAAATGACGTGGTTGGGAGTATCAGCCTCCACCGCATCAAAGTCGGTGAACTTGATGCCCCGAGTGTAGACGCCTAGGCGTCCCAGCACATCGGTAATGTTGCTTGTCTTCGTCTTCTTCGGCTTCCTCTTCTCTTGGTCCTCGGCGGCAGTTGCATGAGGGCTATCGCTGTCGTCTGCAGAGCTGATAAGAGATGGTGTGGCAATGTATGTTGTCGACGTGGCCGAGGTACGAGGAGATGCCCAAAAAGCATTCGCACGCTCAGGGGGGCTCAAGGAATGAGGGCTCGAGACAAGCGGAGAATTGGGGATGACGCTGTTATCCATTTGCACTGGACGGGACCACGGCGAACTAAAGCTACGCTCACGTTTGCGAGTGGTCAATTCTTGGGCGAGGGCTCTCGTGTCAAGTTCCTCGGGAGGACCTTTGACCTTGATAAGGATCCTGCCTCTGAGCTCCTCGGGCGACGGCAAGTGGTAGCTGTCCGTTATTGGCTGAAGCACAAGCTTATCGCCGAACTCCTCAAGCATGGTCTTGACCATGATAGCCTGCTGATCAGGCGAGCAGTGAACTTCAAGCGACAGAATCAGGGGATATTGAGATTCCACGAAGGCGTACTTGTCGATGACCTTGATCGCATCAAGGAAAGTGATGCTCTTAGTAAGCGTTCGCCCATGCGTGACGATTGGCTTCCCATCATTGCCATCCCAGCAGTCAATCTCCAGACAACGACAGCCTTTCTGGAGCGCGGTGATGTAGGCTTCGGTGCTGGATGTTCCTTTGACTTGAGGGCCTAGGAGGTAGGTGTTGTGGGAGCTGGAGATGAAGTATTCGCTGAGGGGACGGTCGAGCTTCGAGGTTGAGTTGTTTGGCTTGAAGATGGGGTTGTGCACATCGGAGGTGAGGAAAGTTTGGAACGCTGGGAAGTTCATGGTTGGAGGAAGCGGGATCTCGTCAACATCCGGCGGCGTCGCTTTGGGCTTGGCGGCACCGGCCAACTTCTCAAAGACCGAGATCCAATGTTCGACATTGGCATTGACGTCAATGCCCTGTTCTCGCTGGAGGAACTCGAAGAAGGTGTGTTGATCCATGCCCGAGTTGGGCGCAGGCGTGAACTGCTTGTAGATCTGCTTCAGGTCTTTTCTCTTCCTCAGCCGTCGCACAAAGTGCAGGAACTCTTCTTGGTTGAGGCTATTAGTGTGGTCTTGATCAGCTTCGACGAAATACGACCGAAGCATCTCTTCGGAACAGTTGATGTGCAGACTGCGACAGAGTTCGATGGTGCCCGGAAGATCCATGGTTTCCTCCTCTGATGCGTGAACTTTCCCGTTGAAACGCCTCTTCATCTGGCGATCCCAAACAAGTCGAGCACTCTTCTCTCCAAACCCCATAAGACTGGCCATCATGTCGATCCGGTCGCGTGACACGGCGTTGAGAGTGTCGGTCCACATGTTGAAAACGAACACGTCTGGTGCGATGAGGTGCATGGTCTTGACTTTGCCCTTGGAGCGGCTTGTGTCCGAGTATACGATGGTAAGCCAGTACGGCTCGTATCTTTCGTCGTATCCCAACTCTTCGCGGTAGTGCTTGGCATCAGCTCCAGTGCGGAAGTCCTTAACATCGTCAATGTAGAAAAACTTCCATGGCCGGGAAGAGTCCCAGAAAACCTTTGCAGAGTCCAGGTCGAGCCGCAGGATGATGTTCTTCTTGGCCTTTTTGGTGACCTTGAACAGCAGTGTGCCTTGCTCTACGCGGGAGTTCCGCTTCGGCGCCGACACAGTGGTAGAGGGGATTGAGCTGACCATGGGTCGGCTGGAGGCGATGCCGAGGGCATCAATTATGGGGTCACCATCCTCGTCCACGGCCAATTCTGCGTCTTCGTCGTCGAGGTAGTTGATGTCAAGATCGGACAGTTCCATGGCGCCCTCGACAGCTGTCCTGCTGTTGCTCCTCCGACGCATGATGACGGGCCCGGAGCTCTTTTCCCGTTGGGCGGCCGAGCCACCGCGCCGGAACTTGTTAGGCAAACCCTGGGCACCGCGACTGACTCTTCGTATCAATCCAGGACCCCTGCTAAGAGCCTCGGCCATAGCATTGGGGGAGGATGTGGGCGGCGTGCTCATGGGCGGCTGGATGAGGGATTCGGGCAGCATGTAGGAGGGCACGGCGGGCAAAGAGCAGCTTGTCAGAGGCACGATGCCCTCGGGGGTTGAGGAGAGGCTGCCATTGCGGCCAAAGTGAGAGGATATGCTCGCGGGACTGTCGCGGGCAGAGGGTATGGTGATTGCGCGCGCAAAGGAAGGCTGCGGCGAGGGTAACCGTGGGCGGTGGGCCTTGAGGTCCCCGTTGCGGAGAGACATTTTTTGTTTTGTAGGTATGTATGACGGAGCTCGGCGTGGTCTAGTGTGTCGGCATGCTGGTGGTCAGGCAGCGGAAGAGACGTTCTGGGGTTTGCGGCCTCGGCGGAGTCAATGGTATTATACACAGGCGGCTGTTCAGGTCGCGCTACCAAAACAGCATGGCGCGAGCGGGAGGGATCGTGGAGCTCTAGCTGCTACGGGGCGCTGAAGCGCGATGCGCGAGGACGCTGTGCGATGCTGGTCAGCTGCAGAATGCTTTCGTGCAGGCGCGCTGCATGCAGTGCAGGAAGTCGCAGGGGTGGCGGCGGGGCGTTCGCAGCTGTGGGCGTGGTCGTGGGGGCGAGTCTGTGGGCGGACAGATGGGGCTGGTGCAGCTGCAGGCGGCCGTGTGGAGGAGGATTGATGTGCAGGTTTGACGCGCGAGGATATTGAGTGCGTGGATATGCGGAATTGGGACGGAGGAGGTGTGCGGAGTGCGGTTGCTTGGAAAATAGCTCTGACTGCTGCCGGAGCTACCAGGAAATGGCAGCGGGTACGTTGGGACGTGCAACGACTTTTCAACGGCGAGCGCTATGCCCGTGGCGGTGTAGTGAATTGCGTCCACAGGCGCCGCGTCGCAGCGTTCCCCTGGCCAGCACGGCGCTCTGTGGCCTGATGGCGCTACCGGATCGTGCGGCTGCTGAAGACGCCCTCATTCCACGCCTGCTCGTGCCGCTCCTCCCACTCTCCCGCCCCGCTTTGTGGTGAAATCGACACTCGTTGGTCGCGAGGCCATGACGTTGGGCAGCGCCCCGGCTCCGCTTTCACTTTGGGGACGAGGGGCGCCTGAAAATCTCCGCCTCCTCTCCTGGTCCTGGTCGTCCTGTCTTGCACACGAGCAGGGCGCTGGCGCTGCCTGTACGCAGGCCCTCGTCAGCAGCGCGCCCGAGCAGGCCACTCAAGCCATGCGACGCGACAGGCACGGCCAAATCACGGCTCGCCGCCTGCGCTGGACAAGGCTGAGCGATCGTTTGCATCCTTCCTGCCGGGCAGCGTGGGTAATAATAGCCACTCACCGCACCCGACACGGCCAACGGCAGCGTCACGAAGCGGGTCTTGCATGCCACGAGTACCACGCTGACTGCAACCTCGGCGGAACGTGGCCTGCCAGCAAACAGCTTCACCTCTGCCCAGGGGCTGCCGTTTACCCATTCCGAGCTCCATGCTCACCGACACAGGCCGTCCCTGCCAACGGACGCGGCAAAATTTGGGCCAGCGCGCTGACGGGGAATGCTCCAGTGGCGCGGACAGGGCACGTCAAACACACCAGCGGTCCCCAGCGGCGCGACGAGGTCACGGCCATGGTGGCTCCGTCTCTCTGCCACACACACGTGGCGCGGGCCCGTCACAATGAAACAAGTTTGTGCCGACGGGCTGGTTCCCCCTGGCGCCGATCGCGCCCAGCAGGTAGAGGCCCCGCCGCGTCACTCACCGAGCCAGCCTGCTGCGATAGGCGCTGCCATGCTTTCCGACGACCACAGCGAGCCCGTGTGCGGTGACAGGTCGCGATGCTGCTCCGTATCCGTCGCGCATTACGCCGCCCATGCACAGCAGTCGCGTGACGCCTGCTTATTCCAAGGATCTTCTGGAAGTTGACCCCAGCACCCACAAATCATCATGCAGCTTCCCCACAACCAAGCCACTCTTGGGATCCCCCAGCACGGTCACATGGCCAGCGGCGGTGTGATGATATCCTTTGCTCTTCTCCAATCGCTTCTTCGTACCTCAATCTTGCATCAGTGATTTCATGCTTTGTTCCCCTTTGGGCTTCTTTCTGTCTCCCTTGCACGCCATGTTCGAGGTCAATGCAGCAGCTGAATGCATCCCAATCCCCGTCTGCCCAATCTCGTTGCCGACGGTCCACGCGGCCTAAGGAATGCAGTATAAAATCCTTACTCGGCTGAGCACGGGTTGCCCAGTAATCTGTCGCCGTGAGACGTCCCGATATAGGGCTCGCACGTATCGCATCCTGCTCCGACGGCAAGCGAGCACCCGAATGACATGCATGCCCACGCATCAACTCTATGTAAAGGAAACAACAAAATTGCTCGCGACCATGGAAAAGGGTCCAAGTGGTGCGCGCACAAGCTCACCTGCATTAAACTGCGGCGGTGAGTGTAGCATCGTGTCTGGAAATCCTGCAAACTCTTCGGACGTACGAGGATTCTCTTGCGAAAAGTGCGGGCCAATGAAAAGAACAGACGCACGGAAGAATGTTCGCTTGCATACAGCCTCAGCTGATGCTGTTTGAGCTGGTGAACGCTGCCGCCAATCAAAATTCGAAATTGCTGGTACAGATCAATCGAATCAGGATTGTCGTGGACAGTTTGAATTTTGCTGAGTAGACTGTTGCAGATGCGTCGCCTACATCATTGGGCCGGTCCGGACCAGCACCGCAACACCACCCTTCGCCGTAATAGAGAGCACAAGTCTTGGCCGTCACCGACGTGATACAATCCGCTCCGCTCATCACTGACTGCTCACCGTAACCTATTCGATTGGTGTTGCATCTCTCTTCTGGTCGCCCGAGCAGGCCCGACATGGTCGTCCTTCTTGCATCCTTCCTGGCGGTCCAGTTCGATCGCGTTGCTCGTGCAGAGTCACCGGAAACTATTGAAGAGCTTGCATCACTGGCGTAGGACACGTTTGTTTGCATTGAGGTGTGCGTCGCCGACTGCAGTCCGAAACCGTTGCCCTCGGTCAACGCTGCGTCTCCACTCTCCCTACTCCTTCCTTCGGCCTGACCGCAAAGACTGAGTGGAGCTACCGATGAGTTTGTCATAGGAAACATGGACCCTGAAGACGTTACGAGTGGCGCACGGGTTGTTGCAGCTTGTGTTCTTTCGCTTACGCATGAGCCAGGACCATAAAGCGGATCGAAAGGTGTGGAGCTACGTAACACGGCCACAGATGAAGGAAATCTTCTTTCGGCCACCCTGGCTGCACTTGTTGTGGTCTCAGGAACACCATCTGCCGAGTCGATTTGGTCACTTCCGAACACGAGTCTTTGCCAGAATTTGTCGTTCTCGTCCCTTTGCTTCTTTGGACGTCCCGACCATCCGGCTCCCAAATGCGGCCGTTTTCGTAGCTCGTCCTTGTCGCTTCCTTGTGTGATAGAAGGCAAAGACGGAGAGACGCACAAGGACGCGTTACCTAGCGTTCGAGCACCTCTAGTAGCTCGCTGCGACCACGGCGCAGTATCAGCACTTCCAGATAGGGGAAGCAGTGACGGCCGATCATGTGCCCGATGGGGTGCAGGTGGACCGTCTGCGATTGAAAGATTTGAGCTATTTGCCTGAGTTGGGAGGACAGCCAACCAAGGACCATCGTCAATACTGCGAGGTGCTCTAGGTTCAGCTCTGCCGACTTCTCCTTCCATATCAACATTGCCTGATTCCATCACAGTTGCATGAGTGATATAGTGGTCATGATTCGATTCACCGATCAGGTTGCACGGGGACGCGTCGTCCATTGGGGCGACTGCTGAGAGTTTGGTAGCCGTGTCAAAAGTGAGGCGCAATGGGTGGGTAACGCTTTCAAATTGCTGCATAACGCAACCGTTCGAGACTTCCCCCTTTTCGTTTGCGCTGACATTATCTTCAAGGTACGGACTGTCGATGCTGCGATCATTGGATGAGGCCCTAGAGCCTCCATTTCGACCAGCGCGTACACTGGCCATTGAACCGCCCCCGTAGTTGAGCTGCTGGCTCCGTGGCGTTGCCCCCCGCGCTGAATACCAAGGGTTATGGGCGTGCGTCGGCGCCCCCACGAACCTACGAGTGTTTGGATCCGCATGCTGCCCCGGCTTTGGGGCGACGATATGCAAAGCATCATTGTCCAACAACATGTTCTCCGACGAGCCGTCGTACGACGGGACAGCCGCTTGAGCTTGCGGGGAAGTCTGCACAGACGTTTGGTTCGTCAATGCCTCGATACCGATACGAATGCTGATATCGCGGGTTTGATGGGCGCCACCTGTATCCTGTCCGAGCTGATGGCTGGCTCCTGCTGGGACATGGCGTGGCACAAGCCTGGGCCGGCCTTCGCAGATGGTCAATGCGTTATGATGGCTGGTCTTCCTGCGTTTGCCAATCCTGTCCCGTCCTTCTTGAGCTCTAAATTTCGTGACCGGAGGCTTCGGTCGCGCCAGACCAGCCCAGTTCACCTGCTGCAACAGTGTCCTTCTTTTCGCTTCCATGAGGTCCTCCTTGGAGTCATTAGCGGCTGTGCTTCTGTCCTGGTGGTATTTGCCTGTGATAGATATCAGCAGGCCGCATTACGAAGCGCGTCTGATCGGTGAGGAAGAGCGGCGCACGCTCACTGTTCGTATACCCGAAGGCTGCAGAGTCGAAATGGTCATGGCCATGCTGAGGTATTTTTGCGGCAACATCGCGCGTCGCGGGCCGCTCGTGGCGAACCGGTGAAGTTACTATGCTCGTGTCATTGCCCTGCAGCGTTCTACTGTTGCCTGTGAGGCGAGCGGTGCGAGCGCTGCACGATGGAAGCTGGGAATGCCGGCTTACTGCCTCGTCACGGAAGAAGTCAGAGGCAAAGACAGGCATGCCTGCCGCGGTGTTGTTCTGCAGTTGTGTGCGCGCTCGCGCGAAGTGGGCTTTCTGTTTCTGAATGATCCCTCTGTTGGCATTCTTGGATCGCTGCAGTCTACCGCCGGTCCAGTTCATCCTCAAAGACGGTGTGACGGTGAGGCTAATATGGAGAAGAGAGAAGACCGGGCGTCGGCGTGATGGTGAGCTGCTGGCTCCTGCCGTCTCTGCCATCGGCCGTTCCTTCCTCCAAAGCTGATCCCTTTTTGTGCAGTTGACTTATCAGCGGCCACTCAACTATCACAAGCTGTTTGATTATTGCTACCAAACCCAGGTTAACATTGCCTTTGAGGTGGCATTGCTCAGACTCCCGGCTACATGGATGGTCTCAGTGTAAAACATCTCAAATAGATGCGTCGTCCACGGCTTTCGGGATGACCACACTTCTTCATAAAGCTAACAGTACCCAGGTGAAGAAGCAACTGCAGAGCCACTACACTTGTACATCGACCCGTGTACCATAGTATTGTACGTCCTAGAGGGACAAGACGTTTGATGCGCCTGCACTGTCTTGGTCGGATGCAGTTGCCCGAAAAGTACAGCGTTGTCTCAGCGACTCTGAGCGACTCGCAATTTGTGGGGAGATGCGGAGATAAAGTGGGTAATTCTCAATCCCCACGCCGAACAGCCGACTGATCACCTTGGAGATGTCAATCCGGGGAAATGAAGAGTCCACATGAAGCAGCAACAACTGCGCCATATCGCCTCCTTCCTCGCTCGTCCTGTCGCACTCGCCGCGGATATCCTCTTCCTACTACGCCGAAGTCAAGTCCCGTAGACGCATCGCATAGCTACTTCACCCTCCCGGCTGGTGGCTCGCCATCACTTCGAGACCGACGCCGACGCGATGTGACGGCCGTCGCGAGTTACTCGAGCTTCCCTGACCGCTGTGCGCCCCGCTGCCAAGCGGACGTGCAAGTGCCGGTTAATGTTGTTGGTGACTTGCTCGGTAGACTTGCGGTACTTGGGAAGGTCGAAGTGAGTCTGTCGAGCAAGAATAGGCGATATTAGTGCCCACTGCAGTTCAATATTGTTCTGCGGCTGCGCCAATTGTTAGAGGCAGGAGGGACAGCGTGAGAGCTACCGTATCACACATTCGATAACTCTAAGCGCATCAACCGCCGCCTCAACTTCCGGTCACCGTTGCATGCCGAGAAGACTACGTAAAGACAACCATGTGAAGAGGGGGCCTGAAACCTCTCCTGGTCACCTTGCTCCACTACACCGGCCGGCGTCCTGCGAAGTGCAGCGTAGACAAGAGCGCCGGCGCAGAAGACTCGTTTCGGCGGGGTCAATGTGATTGGTCGTCAGCCAGTTGGTAAGTTGGTAGGTCGATTTGCGTGTACTGTGTCGATGTACCGAGAATCTTTGCGGAGAGAAATGAAATGAGGGCCTTTCGTATCTGGCCCTGATCTGCGCAATCGTTTACCGTGCATACATGTGCCGCAGGTCGAGCGAGATTCCTCTCCGCGACTGGTTGGAGTTGCATTGCGCAAGGCACCCATTTTGAGATAGCGTCCGCAAAGAACGGCCTGATAATAAGTACCGCCGAATGCACAGTGATGTCAGCTGTGGGCATTCACGCATAGCGACGCAGCATGCAAACCCTCTGTCGCAATGTCGTTGACAGATGGCAGCGCGCAAGTACCGGTATCACGTGCAACACGCAGAAGTGGCCATGTGTCGATGTTGTGCAGCATCGCCGTCGCTTCCGAGCCCAGATCTTCAAAGGGTCTTTAGACGAGCGGCGGATCGCGTCTTGCGGCTCATCGGCGGACGGCAAACAAGCAATTCTCAGCCTCAACCGACGAGTCGTCTTGGAGCGTCGGAAGGAGGCTGCCGCGACAGGCTTGGCGGGCACACCTGTTCCGGATCATTCTCGAGCAGCGTCATGGAACAGGCAAAAGACGGCGTTGATCTCACCGCAGATCGAGCTTCGCCATACAGATCACCGCTTCCGTTGGTCCCTGGCGGTGTTCATTTGAAGGGAGCGGTGGCCGATAAGAAGTCTCGCTAATGGCTAGGCCCAATACCGGTCTAATGGCGTCATCATACACCAGACTTTTCGCTCAGGGCCCATAGAACTCTCACGCGCGGCCGTCAACACATGGAGATGCAAGGGCCGCCGAGGCATCGGCCGGTACGTACCTCGCATCCACTGCGTTCTGGCTGAGCTCAGACGCGCTTAGCCTGTGAAGACGCCGGGATGGTACCCACTGTGCTCACAACACCATTGCAGGAGGCCAAATCAGAGGCGCGGAGACGCCCACAGCGTCGCTGGAGACGCCCGTGTGAGCCGTTCCTTCCCCAAACGCCCCGGTTATCTCGTCGCCTTTGATAGGTATTCGGGCAATAAATGCTAAGCACTCGTTTGGGCTATGACGCAGGAAGCCCACATAATCAGACGCGGTCGATAAGGCAACCCCAGCGTTACCGTGGTGTAGCATCGATGCCGATGAGCCCTCCTATGATCGAACCTCCCCTGTATTGGAAAGAGTCGGGTATAAATCCCCTACCTCTGGCCGCAAGGAACGGAAACCCAAACCACCAACTTCTCCACATCACCCACTTCTTCTGACGACCGTCCGGAGTCCCCGCACCATCTCCGCAAATTCCAGATATATATACCCTCGTACCCACAGATCGACGTTGAAGCTGCATGCCATAGCTTTGTCTTCAATCCAACGTCCTCTCACTCAACACCTCACAAATTCTCGCCCATCATGACTACTCAATTTGCTCGACCAGCTGGTGGTAGTGACCGCCCTCGCCGCCTCTCTGCAGCGGAAGCCACTCGGGACAGCATCAACATGGGACCCACCGTCGTGGTGCCTCCGAAGCATCTGATGGCACCAAGCGATGCTTCTGAAATTGCAACAGCCCTCGAGGCAGCAAGAAACCAACTTGACGCACCTGCCCCTCCTGGCACGCCTCCAACGCCTCCGGAAACCACTGTCACCGACAAGTATGCGTTTGCCTTCGATATCGATGGTGTCCTCATCCGAGGTGGACGACCAATCCCCGAAGCCGTCGAAGCCATGAAGATGCTGAATGGACAAAACGAGCATGGAATCAAGGTTCCTTATATCTTTCTAACAAACGGCGGTGGGAAGTCCGAGGCTGAGCGCTGTGTTCAGCTCAGCAAGCAGATGGAGATGGAAATCTCGCCAGGCCAGTTCATCTGCGGCCACACCCCCATGAGGGAGATGGCTGAAAAATATGGCACTGTTCTTGTCGTCGGCGGCGAGGGTGAGAAGTGCCGTCACGTCGCCGAGGGCTACGGATTCAGAGACGTCGTCACACCTGGCGATATCATCAAGGACAACCAGGATACCACACCCTTCAGGAAGTTGACAGCTGATGAATACAAGAACTCGCGCGCAAGGAATTTTGCCGAGGTTAAGATCGAAGCCATCTTTGTCTTCGCAGACTCTCGCGACTGGGCCTCCGATCAACAGATTATCCTCGATCTGCTCATGTCCAAGGGAGGATACCTCGGCACCAGGTCTGAGAACTTCGATGAGGGTCCACCAGTCTACTTCAGCCACAACGATGTCGTCTGGTCTGCCGGTCACGACCTGACCCGCATCGGCATGGGCGCCCTTCGTGTGAGCTTGGAAGCTATGTTCAAGGCCGTCACTGGCAAGGACCTCAAGACTACGGCTTTCGGAAAGCCCCAGATTGGCACCTTCCAGTTTGCTACACGTCTACTCCAGCAGTGGAGGAAAGAGTCCCACGGTATCGACGCTCCTCCGGAGACCGTTTACTTCGTTGGTGATACCCCCGAATCCGACATCCGCGGTACCAATGAGTACAACGAACATGCCGACAACAGCTGGTACTCCATCCTCGTTCAGACTGGAGTCTACCAGAAGGGTACCAAGCCGCGCTTCGAGCCCAAAGCCACAGTCGACACTGTTCTCGACGCCGTCAAGCACGGAATCGAGCGCGAGTACAAGAAGCAACTGCGAGCCAGCATGGTACAGACTGGTATCCTCACCGAGTGCTTCGACCTCTAAGCATTTCATTTCATTCCCCTTACACGATTGGTAGCGGTTTTCTGTTTCGGCATAGCACACGGCGCTGGGTTTCTTTCCTTCCATTCGCACACACAACGGCGCATCCGCCTGTTACACTATACATCCTTTTGAGCTGCAAGAGGAATATCTAGGGGTTTATGATACCAGTCAGCATAAAGCTGCACAATTCAATTCACGAGATGGTTCTGTAGTGTCAACGAACGAATACGATTTCATAACAAACAAACAAACATGTCCTTTGCTCTTCCTAAGAAATGTATGTGAACTACTGCCCGGCGTCAAGGTTACCAATCCACGACAGCACTGCTTCCCTTCTACTCCTGCGCAGCATACTTTTCGCAATACAAAATCCGTCTGTCTTCAACACTCATTCATCGCAACTCATCAGCATCAATCAGCGCATCACTTTCCTCCGCTCCGCTCCACCTCTCTCCTTCCTCGCACACTACCCGCACATCACCAGCCAGCCTACCTCCTGAGGTACACAACGCAACAGCCCCAACGGCCTCGGCTCGGCGAGTCTACCTTCGCCACCCATCGGCCCGACTCCACCCACGGATCCCACCCAAACAGTAACAAATCCCAAACGCGCCGCCTCCGCCTCCGCGAAACCTCCCCTCTCTGCGTCTCGCCGTCTTGGACACGCATCGCGATCACACCTCCTGGATGGGGACAGCCCCTCGATCATCTGTCCAAGTGCTCAGGGTAACCCCGCGTGCTACAGCCCAACATGCGGCTAGGGTAGGCCTGGGCAGTGGCTAGAGTACGCACGTTTGCTCTCCCCCTTTCATTTCATCAACGTTGTTTGCGGTGCACTGAGCCGCACGCGACAGACAAGGAAGCCATCCGCGCGGGTAGCTGCGTTGCAAGGCCGCTTAGATGGGAGGGGAGCGGAGCGGGGGTGGAGCCTGAAGGCGAGGACCGTGGGTCTGTCGTTTCGTGGCGTTCATTCTAGATCAGGGGCACGCGCGGAAACGTGGGTGGGTAGGGCTGAACTGGACTGAGGTGGACATGGCCTGATTGACAAGGCCTGACGAGCACGATGCCATGCCATGCCATGCCATGCGCTGCGCTGCGTTGCAAGGACTGCCATGCATATCTGCATACCTGCCTGCTGCATGCATGCGTGGTGTGCCCGCGGTGGTAAGTGGTGGTGTGGGCTCCGAGTTGTTTCGTCGCAGATCAGGGGCGCGCAACGGGGGGTAGGGCTGAGGCTCCGCTGCGCCGCTGGAGCGGGACACTGGGCGTGGCCTGACGAGCAGGATGTGGTGCAAGGACATACATACGTGCATGCGTGTGCGTGGCCCGCGGTGTCGAGGTGGTGTGATGGTGTGGGTCTGGAATGATTTCGAAGGTCCACCGAAGGACGCAATGCGGTAGATGAGAGGATGGATGTTTGTTTGTCTTGCCGCGCGGCGCTATCTCTGACTCTACCACAGTATCTCATCGTAGATCCTAGATCCGCGAGGGTGAGCGAAGATTGCGAGTTGCAGAGTCGCGTGGGTCCCCGGCCCCCTTCAATCGAGCGATCCCATCTCATCTCCTTACCCCCCCGGTGCGATCCCATCTCCTTTTCACCCCGGTGCGTGGTCACATCCGAGGTGTACTCCCTATCCCTGACCATGCTATCCCTGCGGAGAAATTTTCCATGGGCTAGTCGAAGCTTCTGGTCGCCGACTATGCTGCGGAGCGTGGAGATTGAGCATGTCGATAGGGAAGGTGAACAATGGGGCAACTGCGGAATTTGAGATGGTATAAGCGTGCACTTTGTGGACAGCTTCGTCTTTCGGCAACGTCGAAGCGTCTGTGTAGGCATGGTTGTGCATGTTCCGAATGCCAGTGCCCATGTTGTGTGTCGACCCACTGGAACATTGTAATAATCTTGGTTTGAAACGTGAGGGCTGACGGGAGGGTAGCGGCGCATGATGCATAGGCACCCAGTCATCTTGCATGCGAGACATTTATAGCAGATTAGACCTGGGAGAACTTGGCGAGCCTTTGTCGCGATGTCCTCGGATGTCCTGAAGTCGGCAGTGGTAGTTCGGCGTGTGTTACACAAGCATGACGAAGTGCATGTGCGTGCGCTGGCGTTCTTCTATCTCCCTCCTAAAAAGTACTTCTCGTTACTAGAAGTTCCTAAAAGGGGATAGCCTGCTCGTATATGCGTTTACTCACTGTGCAGGTCAAGGAGAGGCTTTTGAGGTTGAGTGACCGTAATTTCTACACCCATTGGGCACGACTTGAAGAGAAGTTTCTGCAGATGTAGAAAGCGAGTGCAAAAGTACTGAAAAGGTCATACTCGAAGCCCTAAATGTAGCAAACATCTCGTTCTATGTTAATACTAAACACAAAGCTTGAAGAAACTGTCTATGAGGAGTTGATATCTGGGAGACGTAGAAGCCGGTACGCCTTAACTGTAGTTCGAACCCCTTTGACTCAAGTCTCTATCTTCTTCTGAAAGTAATGTGCATCTCGATTGCGTCTGGGATGTCGTTATCAAGAAGCGCAGCAGCAGCTTCTTCTGTAATACTGGAGAGACTACGTGCAGCGACCTCTGCAGCCTTGCCATTGAACATGTCTATCACCGTGCGTTCGAATGTCTTAACGCTCACTCTTCATGTAACGATCTGCCAATTTTGTACCTGTGGTAGGCTTGTGTTCAGTCGCAAAGTCTTCAACGTCGACCTTTTTGCCGTTCGGTGTGCCGCGATCACTGACATTTTCATCTTTCAGGGCTGCCTGCTCAAGCGCTGCAACATCCTCGGCGTGTGTATCGTCTTCAAAATCCAGTGCTCCGTTGCTTTGCCTCCCATGTACAGCTGTATCGACAATTCGCTCGGTTTGCTCGTAGCCAGTTATGCCGGCCTTGTTGGTTGCCGTTACAAGAACTGAAGTGCTGTTTCGAATGATATGTCTAAATTGCTCCGTACAGGTACCTTTTGGCTCGTCTTCGGGGTCCAGATCAGTGAAAGCAGGAGCTTCTTCGACCGAACAGAAACCCGCTTCTTGAATAGTGTCGAACAAAATCGTGAGGTTATTATCACCAGTCGTCATCATTACTTAAATTGTTTCCGGTACTCGAACCTGTCCCCTCATCTGCCGTTATGGTTTTACAGCTGGAACCCTCGACAACTTTCTCAGAGCTTCGCTCGTCTTGGAAAACACTGTTTTCTCCCTTAAACCAACAAGCTCAGAGACAAGCTTTTGGTATCTTCGTCGTTTAGCATAGAATTCGAGATGAAAGCGACGAATGAGTCAATATCCCTTGCATGCTCATCCAGTAATCGTAGATGTTTTAGGGAAGTCTCTGGAATCTCTTCCACCCTCGGCCTCTTTGTGGGCAGCATGCCGGAACACTGCAGTTGGATCGCAGGCGATACATCACAAAGATATATAGACATGCCTAATAGGCCAAGAACTTGATTATAGGTCGAAAAGAATGCCTCGTAGAACGACTTCGCAATCGCCACACTACCACACCATCTGGTTGGTTGGAAGGGGTTATTTGTGGCTGTGTCAAGGTCGCCGGTGAGCGACTCTGGTATACGTCCGTAGGTGTTCTAGCCGCGCTTCCGCTCTGGTGTCACAACGTCTCGTGTTCGTTGTGTTGGCGCGTACTAAATCATCTAACTGTCACCATTTATTATTAAAACCCCTGCTGAGAAACAATTAACCTTGTAAATGCTAAGCATGAATCTATCCCACGGCGTCCACAGAAGTATTTCGCAATCGGGCTGGCAGGCAAGGCAGGATCAATCGGGACTCTGGATATTCTGGACGGTAAGAGCGACAATGGATCGTCCAGATGCCGCATCGGCAGCAATATCCTTGCGAGGGTTCCAACCTGAGTCCTGTCTAGCTGTTTTGCATCCGTAAGCTCATGGAATCATCCTGCATCCAATTGGATCTTGAAGTGAAACAAAATAAGCAAACACTAAGGTAACACTGACAACGAAGGGATCGTTCAACTCCGATTGCGGAGAGACCATATCAGCTCAATTGGCTGATCTAGTACATTACGTTTCCCCAAGTCACGTTATCGTAAGAAGAGATGCATATATAAAGACGATGCCGCAACTAAGAAGCCCTGGAAACTATCCATCGAAACGAAAAAAAGAAGCCCGACGTGGGGGTCGAACCCACAACCTTGAGATACCGCGTAATCGAGTTGATTAGACCGTGAATACTTAAGAGTCTCACGCTCTACCGATTGAGCTAGCCGGGCTAGTCGGTGATTTGATGAACACAGTTCCCACTAAGACATTGTTATACCAGGTATTCCACGTTTATCCTCGATTGCGTATATGTGAAGAACGATACTCGCTGCATGCAATAGTTTGCTGTTGTCTTTGTGGGTCGAAATCATTACAGATGAATTTTTCTTCCTACGAAATTTTCTGGTGAGGTCCTTGCGTGAGGCTAGTAGGCCGCGGCACGCGACACCAAAGAGAGCATCGAATCGCACGGAGGGCAAAAACAGGGCTTGGTCATTGCTTCTCATTGTCTGTGTTTATTTCATTGAAAACGGTAGACATACTTGCAGTACAAGTATATTGAGTTCCATAATTCCAGTAAGACAGCCTCGCCGCAAATCCATGCATGTGGTAGTATTACGGCCTATTTACACGTCTTCACAGTAGCCATTCATTCGAATGAGCCCTTGTCTTATATTCTCTGCCATGTTCGTGATGTTCGCCCATAGAATGGGGTTCTAGTTGCCGAAAAGTCGCCAACACCACGCCCAGCCGCATCCTCCAAAAAGCAGCACAACCACACATCCACGCAATCAAAAAGAACAGCAGAATGCAAAAAGAAACTCTCCCTCGGGGAATCGAACCCCGGTCTCCCGCGCTCGTTATCTTGCGATGACAAGCGGAAATCATGACCACTAGACCAAGGAAGATGGAAGCTGAGGCTTAGTAATTTGATGAAAGTAGAAAAATCGGGAGAGTATATATACACACTGGAACAAGAGCTGCGAGAAAAGCGAAGAACACATGACATATTTGCGAGGCTCTGACTGCACTGTGCGTTGCACAAGTGGGAAGCGAAGCGGGGTCGTGCCGCCCGAGTGGAGAGCTAGTCATGCACGCCCAACCCTTCCAGATTCCCTCTAACCCTCATTCTTTAACGCTTTCGGAGCATTCTTTGCGAGGTTAGGACGTCTGGAGAATACTCCATAACTATGATTGCAGCTGAATCTAACAAATCTCACTGTTCGGCAAACCTGTGATGGAGAAGACCGTAGTTTGAACGCACGGCTTGACAGCACAGTCGACACTCTATAAGACCATATACACGTTCAATCTCTTCGTAGTTTCTTACAAGCGCTTTTTAATAATACCAGTGCCCTCGCTTTCTGCGCCCACCGCAGCATAACTTTTCTCAACAGAAATAAACATGGTATAGTACCGCTCTCCGCCCCACGCAATCTTCAAAAGAACAAAAGCACATGCCCAAACTCCCAGATATGCTCGCTAATGTCAATGCCGACGAACCACTTCCTACGCGTCTTCGATGTATCCCCTCCCACCAGCTTTCCGGTCAAACTCCATCAACTCATCCAACCCGCACACATTGAACAACTCCCTCGGACCCCACCTCTTTCCATCCTTCTCCACGCTCTTCACATTTCCATCACTCAGGAGCGCCCTACAAGCGTTCCGCACAGCTGGATACACCACCTCGAGTGCCAACAGCGGGAAGATAGCAATCTTGTAACCTATCTCTCTCGCCTCCTTGACACTAAAATCCGGCGACACGCCTGCAGGCACGTTGTTGAACAGACACGGCGTAGGCGCCAGGTCGCGCGTCAGGCTCTCCGCTTCCGCCCGCGTCGTCACGCCCTCGAGGAAGGCGACTTCTGCGCCCGCAGCAACGGCGGCGCGTAGTCTCTGAAGCGCTGAGGCATAGCCCTCGCCTGCGAGCGCGTCCGTTCGGGCAATGATCACTATGTCCCCGCCGCTTTGCTCCCGCGCCATGACGGTTGCGCGGATGCGGCTCACGAACTCTTCTACATCGACGAGCTGCTTGCCGCGGAGGTGTCCGCAGCGCTTGGTAACGACTTGGTCTTCGAGATGGAGGCCCGCGACGCCAGCACGAATGTAAGATGTTACTGTGCGGGCGACCATCAGTGCGGAGCCGTACCCTGTGTCTGCGTCCGCGATGAGCGGCGTGGACGGAGAGATGGAGGCTAACATCGACGCATTGGCGAGCATGTCCGGCATGGTTGCGAGGCCCATGTCGGGCATGCCCAGGCGGGACATTGTGGTTCCTGCGCCGGTCTATGTGGATCGTCGTTAGCATGTTGCCCAGTCTGAGAATCGGACGTTTCAATGTTGGATGTCAATTGGGAAGTACATACCATGTATAAGCACTCCGCCCCTTCAGCCAAAGCGATACGGGCAGTGTAGCCATCGTATACACCAGGGCATACGACGAACTTCTCAGGATCCGAGAGCATCACCCTCAACTTCTGCACTGCGCTCAGCGGCCTCTCTGTGGTGGTTTGTGCCATTTTGATCCTTCTCTTCCAACTATGTAAGACTCTCAATTCAATCAAGACCTATGACCTGCGGTACTCTTGACTCTTCCAATTAAAGTTGCGAGCCTGTATCACTGAAATCTTCTCTTCCCTCTTGCGGATCTCACAGCCCGACCGTACCCGGCCCTCCTATCCTTTATACTCTCACATGTCGGAACATGCAGCCGACATCTTTGCAGTCTCGTTACCCCAATCGAGAAAATTGCCGCTATGGGCTGTTTTCCTTCGTCGTCGAGGGGTTGCTTTTCGCCGGAGACAGGCATCGTGAACCCCGCATGACGTACCGGCACGACGCCGAAGTCTGCCGGTCGGCGTGGGATTGCCCGAATTGTGGTTGGACTCCACCTGGTGCAACCCGAATGTCAGCAAACGGTGTGTGTACTGTAGCCTGTTCTCGGACGAGAATGTGTTGTGGAGGATGAGCGTGCAGAAGATAGTGGCTGTGGGTTGGACATTGGCATTGGCAAAACTATCGTTTGCCAGATGGAGCAGGAACACTGGAGGTATACCTCGGAAATACTTCAGCGAAGTATAAGACGAGCGGTGCACTAATCCGCCGTGCTGCGTGCATCTCGCGTGGAGTATCGGGCTGGGACATTCGCCGATGTTCAGCGTAGGTGCTAAGGCGCTTTGCAAAGATGGGGAAGGAAGCTTGAGACGGCCAAGCATGCCAAATTCCTTCAGGAACTTTAATTCGTTCTTCTTCCGGAATATTGAAGAAAGCTCCTATATTGGAAAGTTTAGGGAGATTTCGCTGGCAGCTGCAAGGGTTCATATCTGTGGTATCCAAGATGACTTCTTGCCCTCCTCACACAACCTCAAAGAGAAGAAATAGACTCTCCATCACAGTTATCTCTTCGAAATGGATCAAAGGTACTCTACCGCTAGTGCTCGGAGAGGCCGAAAACATGCTGTGATATTGGAGTGAGGAAAAGGTGGGTTCGACGTGGTCCACTTGACGCACGATATCATGAGGCTACACCGCGCTACTCAGGGCCGACATTGCTCTAAGCTAAGAAATAGATCGTCTATGTCACCCTCGTCTCGAGAACACAACAATGATAAACCCAGATATGCAATTGCTAGATGTCCAATACCGTTTATGCTACTCCCGCGACGTCGCGCAAGATGCAAACGAAAGAGTAGATCATAATATCTTCCACTACCCATCTCTCCAAAAGACCAGTATAACCAGCCCCAGAAGCAGTAGCCGTAATATAATAGCAGAACCCAGATAATACCAGAGTTCAAAAATCACACCCCATCCACGTACCAGACCCTTGACCCTTGATCCGCCACGCCCATAACATCTCAAGCTCCTTCAACGCTATCCTTACCGTCAGCCACCGCCGCAACTCGCACCACAAAATCAACTCACCTCTTCACATAACCGCACAGTTATACCCCCCAGTCGGCACCTGCACAATAGCCGGCATCCGCACCTGCCTCTTTGTCCCACAGCGTTGAGACTTCATGGCGGTAGCCTGACCGTGAACAGTAGCGCGCTCCTTGTGTGAGGCCGTGTCGATGCTAGTGTCGTCGAGGATGTGAGCGGGCTCGTCGGATGAAGAGATGTCGATGTCGGAGGCGAAGTCCAGCATGAGCTGGGAGACGGAGGCGCGGAGGCGGGTGGAAGTGCTCAGCAGAGTCGTATGGGCCATTGTGTCGACTAGAGTGCAGATGGTGTAGATGGCGAGGGAGATAGCGGCAATGACCTTGGAGAGGATGGTGCGGAGGCGGGTGGAAGTGCTGAGCAGGGTTGTATGGACCACTGTCTCGACTATCATGCAGACAGTGTAGATGTAGATCGCGAAGTAGATAGCAGCAATGGCGAGCACAGCGAGGAAAAGTGAAGCTGACATGTTGGCCAGCTGGTGTTGGACAAAGATATGTCAAAAGATATAAGAAAGTCGTTGTCTTAACAGTACGTCGAAGTCGTGCAGTGTATGTAGATGAAGCGTTTTTGTTTACCAGCGCTAATGCTGCGGGGGGAGGTAGATATATGCCGTCTGCTCAGTCCGCTCAGTCCGCTTAGCATTGTTCCTGGCCTCGTATTGTCTGTCTACATGCTGCTGCTGTGTTGCTTGAAGTTCTGGGACGCGTAGTATTGTTCTCGAGCGCAGTGAAAGTTGGATCTCGCGGGCGAGACATCGCGATCATGTCCCTAAGTATTGTCTATGTGGGATGAGGAGGTGCCAGACAATACTAAGCTAGATTTCGCGACGTTGCGTAAGTATTGTTCGTTGGAGGGAGGTGATGAAGGGAGGTGCTGCAGGTGGGTTGGTGAGAGGTGAATCTGGGGAACAATACTAAGGGGGGTACGAGTGAAGTAACGTCGGAGCGCCAACAGCGAGGAAAAGAAAGGGTATCGTCCAACCATTATTCGCAATTGGTGTGACCTCTCACGCATATTATGGTTGGTCGTAATATCTGGTGGTTTCAACCAGCCTGCGGCCATGCTCTTCTCCATTTAGCCCAGCATACTCCTCTTCCTCCCTCTTAACCTGACATCCTCCAACCTCCTCAACACTGCTCTCCCGCCCTTGAAGCTCTCCCCATACGCCTTTAACACCTCCGTGAACAGCGGCTCAGCTGCCGGATGCGTCGCCGCAAAAGCCCTCTCCAAAACATATAGATCGACCGCGCGATCTTCATCCTGCAGATTCTGCGTAGAATGCGACGCAAGCCCAAAATCAATAAGCACAATCTCACCCTCCAGCTCATCACCTCGTCCCTGCGCCTGCGCATCCACCGACGGAAACGCAGGAACCCCTCCATCCTCCGCAATCATCCTCATCTCGCTCGTCGTCAGCCGCCCTCTCGACCTTTGTGCCCGTTGCGCCTCCTTCCTCTCCTCCTGTCTCACCATCAAATTACTCGTCGTCAAATCCCCATGACACACCCCAATCTCATGCAACTTCCCCACCGCCCTGCCCACCCTCCCCATCAACTCCAGGATGCCCTTATCCCCTCCCCTTTCCCTCCCTCTGTCGAACCCCTCCGCCCACCCATCCAACACAGCCCTCACCGTCCTCCCCTCAACCCACTCCAAAACTAACCACCCCCTCCCAATCCGCCCCAGCACCCCGGCACGCCTACTCCATCTCTTGCACCGAACTAGCACTCTCGCTTCGGCTAGTAATCGCGCTTTTGTAAGCCGCTTGTCGAGCACCGGGTGCCGGTAGGGTTTCGGCGGGCGGTATTTTACGACGCACGGCGTGGAGGGAGTGAGGAAGACGGATTTGTAGACGAGGGCTTCGGCGCCTTGGGTGAGGACTTCGAGATTGGAGGAGGTGAGGGAGGGGGAGGGTGTGGGGGGCGGTCGGTGGGTGCGGGGAGGGCGCGCGGAGGGGTGGTGCGGTGGGCTCGATGGTTTCGGCTGGCGCCATCGCGGAGGGTGTGAAGGTGTCTCAGGACGATCTTCAGGGCGGGGCTGGTTTGCTGGAGGATTGGAATCTGCTCGAAAATTGTGTGCGGCGTGGATCGTGGTTTGGAGTGCCGAGTAAAGATGCTGGAAATTTTGTGTTTACAGCGGTTGCGCCTACCCGCTAGAGCTCCCAGCGCGCCGGGTCTATCGATAAGTACCCGTGGTGCAGCATCCTGGCTTCAAAGTGTACGCGCTATCTAATCCTTGATTTCTTTTGACCTCCCATGTATACCTGGTATCTAATATCAGCCTCATTATCCTGCAATGTGCCTCCAACACCTGTGACCCATAGCTACCCCGCCCTCAACCCCCAACCCCCATTCATACCACACGCCCCACAATCAACATCCCTCGACCTATCCTTTCCCTGCCTATCAGTAACCACCTCCCTAAACCACCCATGCCCATTGCACCTCCCACACTCTCTCCTCCTCCCAGCGTCAGAACTGCGCCTACCCTGTCCCTGGTCATACAGCGCCTCATCTTGACGCGGTCCCCGAGACCTCCGGTCAGAGTGCCACCGACGTATTCCTGTAGCGGTTTGCGTGGGAGATAGGTAGCCAGTGTCTCGGGGTGCACGTCTGGTCGGAGAGTACGAAAGGCCCGAAGAAGGCGGAGGCGAAACATGAGGAGGACTCCGGATATGTGGTTGAGATGGGGGCGGTGGTAGATGAGGCTTTTGGTGCACAATTGTGGGGGCGTAAGGGTCGTCGAGAGAGCGAGCACGTGGACGACGTGTGGGTGGGGGAGCCTGTCGTGATGGTTAGTATGGTCCACTCGGGAAATGTGGGATACAAACCAAGTATTGGGGACTCCGTGTGCTTCTAGCTGAAATAGATGGTGATGTAGGGACTTGGCGTTCGGAAGAAGATGGGATGATTAGAGGCGGAGCTCTATGTGCGGGTGCGCTACTTAGAGAGCCGGGTGGAGGACGCAACGGCAGACCTCGAGACGTGACGCCTACGGAGGGTCGCATATTGCCTTCGTTAGGTTGGTCGTGCGTGTTAGCGTGTCCTTCTTCCTGCATCTGGAGGGAGGTTTGTTCGTGGTTCTCATCCCTCGGAGACTGTGAAGGCCGAGGTTGAAACTCCGGGGAATGTTGCCTACTGTATCTCCTGGGACTCGGGGCTTGGTGACCATGTTTATCGTACGACCGTGACGACCCCATAGAGCTAGTAGATGAACGACGACTTCCGCTGGACCCACTACCTCTTCTGGATCGATGCTCATCTTCTCGTAGCTCAGAGGCCTTCCTGTCTGCCGCGGGGCTACTCCCTTGAAGGTCATCTGCTCTTGTCACATTAATGGTAGGGCTTCTCGTCTTGTCAATGTCATCATCCTCGTCTGATCCCAACTCCTCGATCTTTCCTCCCCCATCTACACCACTCCGCATGGCTTCTTGTTGTTGTTGCTGGTCTGCCGCTTTGAGAGTATCGATAAGTTTCATGACTGGATCAATGGCATTTCGGATATGATCCAGTATCATCAGGGGCGCGCCAGCGGCGAGCGCTGCGCGCGTGATTGCCACGCCTTTTCGACCTCGGAAGCTACCAGGCTGGGAGCTGAGAACTAGAAATTTCTTGAGAGTAGCGCTGAAGACACGCCCAGATGTCTTCATTAGTCCTCGCTGTTCGCCCTTCTCCTGAGGCTTCCTTCGCGCCCTATCTTCCAGGCGAGGATACATAGAGTAATCGCGGACGTCGTAGTCGAGCAGAAGAGCTTGCATTTCTCGATCACCTTGCTCGACTGCAAGATCCTTGATCTCTCCATAATCCTTACTGAGCCAAGCGCCCGCCTCTAGGAGCATGCTTGCGATGGCCCAGTCTCCGTGACCTACTGCTTGATAGAGAGCATTGACGTGTTTGGTATGCCGAGCGAACACATCAGCCCTGGCGTCTAGAAGAAGACGCGTGATGTGTTTCCTACTGCCAATCGTCGCAGTTATAAGGGGGGTGCCATATTTCCCACCTCTTGCACTTGAGTCCGCGCCGTATTCTAGGAGGAGATGAACCATGTCTTGGTTCCCATTCGCGACGGCAGCTTGCAGTGAAGTCCCATACTTCCTGCAACGCGAGTCGACACCCATGTAATGGTTCTCCAAGAGATCCTTCAGTTTTGGAACATCGTTAGAAAGAATCGCACTGAGGAGATCGTCGCCAGCTAACGCGTAGTTGATCTTCATCGTTTCTGCAAGCGACGTTTCTTCTGCTCTCCAATTTTGCCCTTCGGTATCACAAAAAGGTTCGAAACTACGTCCTCGTACGAATTCCTCTGGACGCCATGGGTGATAGAGTTGCTTTTCTCCTTGAGACCATACATAAGTGTAAGCTGGTACAGAGCGATGGTCGCCTGTGGTGAGCTGTACGTCCACCATAACCAGCTTCCTAAGAAGGAGGGCATCGACATTGGATTTGATCTTATCCTTCTCATTTGATCTGACATTTCCAGTCGATGAGCATTGCGTGAAGACCAGGTCGCAATATCTGAGGGCTTCTTCGGTAACACCTTTGATCACAAAACCGGTCACTTCCCCTGGAGGACCAGGTTTCAGACTTGACAACCTTCGTCTATCTCTGTTCTTGATTATGTTCCTTGTCATGGATGACTCCTGAATTGCAGCGCAATTCAAACCTGCCGGACGCCATACATCAAATTCTTCGAGACTTGCAGGCGTCATAATCTCAGCTGCCTGCTTGACCGAAAGATTCGCGCCAGCCCAATCAGAGGTAGATGGGACCAGGCGCCTCTGGTGTATCGGGGAGTACACTCCTCCGATTGAGCGGGCCGCTAATGCTCGCAGAGCGCTGGGAAACATCAAACGCCCATACACAAACAGGTTGAAGCTGCCGAGAGTAGGGTCAGATGCCCTGACCTCTTGCATGGTGAATCGATTGGATCCGGCTAGGACATAGGAAGGCACCAGTGTAGATTTTGGAGGAGTATAGCCATCTCGCAGGTCAAGTGGTGGGGGAACAAGCGGCTCCGAAGGTACAATTGGCATGTCATCCAAGCCAACAGACTCACTGAATGATCGGGATGGCTCAGGTCTTTGATCTTTTGGAAGAGCGGAGAACCGGGCGGAAGGCATTGAAGGCCTTTCATGGGTGTTGGCTTCAAATGCTACTCTTTTGCTCCCGCTTTGTGGGGAGTATTTTAATTTTGCGTCAGAACTGGGTTTGTAAGCAGTTGGAATAGAAGCAGAAGTAGTTGTTGGTTCATCCACTTTTGCTTCGAATGGCTGCAAAAGTTCAACTCCTTGAGCAGCCTTGGGTCCGTCATTTCCCAATGGACTTTGTGAAGGGTTTCCGACGTGGGCTTGACCGGCCGACGAAGGTTCTTGGGCGTCACGAGATGATACATCGCTTTGATATTCTTCCTGGTCGACTACCGTGTCAGAAGCCTGGTCAACGGGGTCCGCCACTGCAGTAGCATCCTCAAGCATCTTTGCTGTGATGGTATCGTCATCAGACCCATCTAAAGAGCCGTGGATATCATTTTGGTGGAAACCGAAAGTCTTCTGGATGTATGATTTTAGAAGTGCCCCAGTGACCACATCTGATGAGGCCATCCGATCATCTGCAAAGGTTTGTGCAGCAATATCTTGATGGTTCTCCAAACAATGGAAGCAAAAGAATCGTTGATCGCTTGGTGCATCCGCAATTTTGGCAACTAATTGAGAGGCTGTAGGGCGATCGGACTGATCGTCGCGCAGCATCGACTGTACCCACTGCAACGGTACCTTGGTGTCTTGCGAAGAGCCCCTGTTTGTGAGACTCTCAATCCAGCCGGCAGTGGCTTCTTCATTTCTCCAGTATCCCAACGAGGTGGTCCCAGTCGATGCGTAGAAGGACTCCATCTCTTCGAGTGTACGGTTGTTATGTACTGTGGCCATCTCCAAGAAGACACATCCCATGGACCATATGTCGCTTTGTTTTCCTCGGGGCTACAAATTGTCAGGCAATGCGACAGAAGAAGATCCAGAAAGTTGACTCACCGCTTGGTCCGCAACCTCAGGCGCACAATACCGCAGAGTTGCCTAGAAGTAGCAGGATACAATTAGCCAAGTAATTGAAACGTTGCGAGATCAAGAGCAAGACTTAGAAAGCAATCGAAGTCGTGGGCTTTACTTCCCGCGTTGGGCAGATTTCAGAATCAGAGATTGCTTACCTCTTCCACGCGGCCCGTCGAAAGGCTTCGACTGAGCTCCCCTAGAGTCCGCGCGGTTCCAAAGTCCGTAAGATAGACTTCGGTATTCTTGACGAGAACATTCTGTGGCTTTATGTCCTTGTGGTGGATTCGATTCCGATGTAGGTATTCTAATGCCTTCGAAAGACAGCCAAAAAAGGTCTGGATGCATTGCTTCCTGGCCTTTACATCTATCTCGCTTGCGAATTGTCTCTTCAAGTACGATTTAAGGTCTTCGTCTGCCACTGGCCGCATTATGATCCCGACGTAGGTAGGATCAGTATATGAAGAGACTAGTTTCACAAGGTGTCGGTGTGAAGCGGCCTTCAACGCTGTCAGCTCGTTTTCAAACCTTCCCAAGGCCTGTTCATCCTGCAAAGCCGAGATACCGCGGTGCAATCGCTTTCGTGCGAAGTTCTTCAAGCTGAAAGTCCCATACACATGATCGACTGTGCCGGATCCGCCTTGTCCTAGGAGCTTCACGAAGGAGAAGTATTCGTCTGCGTTGCGGGTGAAGTTTTGATGTGCACTACCTTCCTTTTCAAGATCGTTGAGATGTTTGTTCGAGAGGACCAAACGCTGACACTTGAGAAATTTAGCCCTGATTTCGGAGCCTTTGATGAAATCTGGCAGGTTTCGATCATCGTAGGGAAGGAAGGCGTCGGTCCTCTTCATGGCGACGAAGTCTTCCATCGTCTTCACACAGCCGAGCCGCCTTAGGATAAGAAAGGTCCGGGGTCGTAGAGCCCATTCTCCTTGGCCATATTGTCTAAGTAGCTCACTGATATACGGGAAGACGCCATCGCGGACTACCGGTAGCATATCCGCAGGATCCTCTGGGCCCGGTATGCCAAGTCGATCCAGCTGTGCATCCAATTCTGCTTCGCTGAGCTGTCGAGCTACCTGTAGGATCTTTTGGCCAAAGCTAGGCTTTCTTGTCTTTCTTCTCCAAGCACATGGCTTACGCTTCGCCTTGATCGTGCCGGACGTGGCTCCTGATTGTCGTACATGTTCACGCTCTATGCGGCCCCGCGTGTTGTCAGAGAAGTAGTCCTCCGCAGATGGCGTTTCGTATCGTTCATCATGACCGGCCATGATCGGAAGATTCCAGGATCAACGAGTTGGACTCGGTGGAAAGTAGACAATAGTTCTTGTTGGGAGCCATGCTGCCTTGGGTGGGAGACAACATTTGAGGTGACAAGGCTGAGGCTGAGCGACATCAGGCTGCACCACGTCAACGAGGCTGAAAATCTCGTTGCATGCTCGTGTCCGCAGGTGATGCCCTCAGCCGTCGGATGTATGCACCAAAAACATCGCTGTTGCTGCGCATCGTATGACGTCCTCGCTCAGCCGTAAGGTCTCATTCGCTGGCCTTGTTGGGCCGTCTGGTGGTTAGGCTACAGCCGGGGCTGCAACAATATTCAAATCGCTGCGTCGAACTCGTCGCACACAGTACGAGCACGTTCTTAACAGTGAAATGGCCGTGTCTGAAGCAATATCCAGCCAGACTTCAGCAGTCGGAGGTGGCCCCAGCATGGCAGTCGCCTTTGGCTAACAGCGATCGCACCTCCCACGCTAGAGCTCCCACCGCCATGGGTCTATCGATAAGTTCACCTAACGTTCGACGATCGTTATAGATCAACGAAACGTGCGGATAGGGCTGCCGACCCAAGATCGAGATGTGATCGCGGGCAGACCCATCGCGTACCAGATTTGCCGGGACCAGCGTGTCGGCGTCGACCGGTGTCCCTGTCAGCAGGATAGAGTTTGAACGGTATACATCTATGGGTATTCAAGCATCACGAGCGTCACGTCACAATTGCAGAGGAACCGATTTGTTTCAATGAGTGTAATGCCATTCAGATAGTCATCCTACACGACCCACTCATACCTTCGTCCTAACGAATGCCATGCCATCGTCCCGTTACAGGCATGGCCATGGAGCTATCATATTCTTCTCCCTCTCCTCTCTCAAAACAAATGCAAGCGAATGCAAAGAGCACCAGCCACAGGCTACGGTGCTCGTTGGATGTGAAGTAAACTGAACTCCCGAACCGAACATGTGTTTGTTGTCCTTCCAATCTTTCGCGCAGACTGGAGAGGAAAAAAGCCATCCACATGCTCATTAAAAAAGTTCGCATATTGTGGAACAGATTGTCCGATAAGAGGAACCTCGAAGCAATGGCATACAAGTATGCTGCACGGCTAGAGAGGCGACGAATGGTAATGGTGTGAAAAAGGAAACGCAAAGAACTCAGACAAGCAACCGAACCCACCCGAAATGCACCAACAGAACAATGACAAAGGAGCAAAGAAACAAGTCGTGAGTGGCCGTAACGTGGGAGCGTCAAACATGACGCGGTAGAAGTATGAACAAGAGAGACCCGGTGGCTTCTCATGAGAATGGTGCGAGCGGGCAGCCCAGAATGACCTAGAACATCGAGCTCTTGCGCTTCTCAGCGGAAGTGAGAACAAGCTTGGGCATGCGCTGCCTTTGCTCTTCAGCTCGAATCTCAACCAAGCCACCGCCGATGCCAGCGCCCTCATCACTGCTGATGCTGTTGGCAGTGTATGATCGGTCACCAGTGCGGTCCCGGGAACGCTCCTTGGACGCCTTCCTCTCGGAGCCAATAGCACCGTTAGCAGCTGCACGCAGACTGCCGATGCTCTGCTTGCCAGAAAGGCTGCCGCTGCCGGCACTTCGGACGCTGTCGGTGTCGTTGTCGGACGATTGGAAAGACATCTCCGTCTCGCTCACTGGGCTGGCGCTACCGGCGCTATCGGGACGCTGGGTGCGGCGTCCCACTCCGGCGCGGACGAGGTTGCTCACAGCCTGTCGGCGTTGACGAGCAGCAAAGTTCTTGCTACCCTCGTGCTTGGTGGTAGGCTTCTCCTTCAATTCGTCAATGGAAGGCGGTCCACGGGGCTGACGGATTGGGTGCTCTCCAGCACGCGCTTGGCCGGGACCGAAAGTACCGGTGTTCGGGGTAGCAGGGAACCCGACGGGGCGAGTAAAAGCAGACTTGGGACCCTCAATATCAGTCTTCCCATCCAAAGCAAGCGAAGAAAGAGTCTTCTTGTGGCCACGGCGGAAAGCGTTAGCAGATGGCGGCGGAAGCGGGTCGAAGTTCTGGGGCGGCGTGTTCGATTTCTTCGGCGGAGAAGAGCTGCGCGAGGCCCAAGGGCTTGGGTTGGACTCGTGGGGAGGCGACACCTGGACGGTCGGTGTGTTCGACTTTGGCGGAGATGGCGCATAACCAGGAGTAGGTGGAGGCGGAGAGTTGGAAAGACCGGCAGCTTGGAGCTCTGCCATCTCCTGCAGAGCAGGATCCACCACGTACTGGTACTGGCCGGTCAACTGGTTGTAGACCAGGTAAACACCGGGCTGGCCAGTCTCCTGAATCAAGGCATTCTGGGACTGTTGGCCGTACGGAGTGTAGGGCGTGTTGGGGAACGACTGTTGACGCATACCACCGCCCAGGTTCAAGTTGCCAAACTGCTGAGCAGTGAGGTTGAGAAGCTGCTGCTGGAGCTGCTGCTGGCGCTGGGCCAGGTAGATCTCAGTAGCGAGAAGCTGGGCAGCGATGTTGGGGTCGATTTCACCGTCTTCGAACTGGAGCGAGGGAGGTGCCAGGACCTGGTCATACATCATATGCTGCTGCTGCTGCTGGTTGTACTGGGGCGCACTGGTGAAACCAGCGCCCACGGCAGTCTGCGGCATGCCCTGGGCTCCGTTATAGCCCTGGCGAGCACCCATATTGTGCTGACGCTGACCGTATGGGGCCGACGCAGGAGGCTGGGCAGATGTAGGCGTCTTCGGGGCAGTACGCAGACCAGCAAGGAGATGAGAGCGGCTGGTGCGGGGAGTTGCCACCTCCGCAGAGTTTTCGGCGATGGACGCGACCTTTGGGGGAGAGGCAACGCTCAGGCGCTTGAGCGAAGCACCCTTACCGCGGGATCCAAACCCACCGGTAGGCATACCGAGGCCTCCGGACTGGAAGTTGTTGTAGGTCATTTGAGCAAGACCGCCTGCGTCCATGCTCATTTTGTTCTTTTCGGGATGCGAAACGCGCGAACAAAGAGTAAGGCTGAACAAAGTGGTGCTTTAGGACCACTTGGAAAGATAAAGAAGTGAAGAGGTGACCGGACGCGAGTTCACGTGCGGTGAGAGGGAGCGTAAGCGCGTAGAGATGGCGGACGCACTCGATCAAGTAGATATGGTACAGGACGTTTGCTTAGGCAGCAGACGTGGAGATATCGCGCGATTAGCTGATTAAGGATCGTAAAGATCTGGTAGTGAGGTGCTGTGATCGAAGACCGGCCGACGGGCAATGCTGAGTTGGGCTATTAACAAATGGCGAAGTCGCCGTCGCTGCGGGATCCTGTCGTGGGAGGCACAGGAGCGTCGAGGTGAGCGGGTGAGGCGGTTGATGGGCCGCGACGGGAGCTTGGCGGGCGTACAAAGTATGTCGAATGGAAGAAGTGGTGAAGCTGAATACAGGAAGGGTGTCAAGGACAGTGTCTGTCAAGTGTCGGCTTGAGGCGTCGGCTTGCGTGCTCTTTCTTTCACTGGCTGGGGGCTGAGCGGCGGTACTGGCGCGCTCGAAAGGATCGAGATTAGGAGTTGTAATGCTGGTCCAAGGGACAAGTAGAAGATGCAAGCAGGAGCCGCACAAGGCAGAGAAGAGAGCGAGGGCGAGGGCGAGAGGGAAGGGCCAGGAGGGACGAAGGAAGGAGACAGAAGTAGTGCGAGTGCGGGAAGCGGGCTGGATGGCGAGTGTTAAGTGGGCGGCCCATGCCTGGATGGGCGGCGTCCGTGCGCGGATTCAGGGGCGGGCCACTTGACGATCCAGCCCTGCGAGCTACTGCAGCGGGTGCAAATTGAAACCACGGCCGCCATGCGCAGCGCCGCCATGCCCGTTCTGCGCTGTCAGAAATGCGCTCTGCTCGCTGCTGATTCCTGTATCGGCGGCTGTTGCTATGCGTTGCGCGGTGGTGGTGTGCGCGTGCTGCCCTCCTCATCAGCGGAAGGAGCCACCGCAGCATTGTGAGGCAGGAGCCCCCCCGCCCCAAGGAAGGAGCCATCGCGGCATTCGAGGCAGGCGCACCCCGCCCGCCCTCGAAGAAACATGGCGAGAAACAACAGTGGACGCTCTCATTGCTCGACAGGCGCCCGCCTAGCACACCGCAAGAGCACGCAGCTCGCTGCAGCGGTTGCGCGGTTGACCAGTGGCCGGCCGCTACGACAAGCCAACGGCGGCTACAGAGCACGCGTCCGGCTGCTGCTAGCCACTCAGCGCGCGTTGGCGGGCCCAAGCCACGCAGACGTCTAATAATACCACCGAGTAGTTTTCCCAGGCTCCACGGTGCTGCGTTGGTGCACACGAACTGTCGACGATCCAAAGCCAATGCCGCCAGTCACCGCGCAGCTCTCCAGGTCCGACGCCGTGCAAACGGCCCCAGACCGTCTTGGAAGAAGAGAGGCGTCGGACAAAGCATCTCGCTCGACCCGGCCGGCGATTAACAGACAACCGTCGCCGTCTGGCCTCCTAGCGGCGCAGAAACTATCGAACAGCTCCATCGAACGAACTCCGACCATGCGCCAATTTCGCTTTGGCTGTGGCTCCAGTCCCTGAATACGGGATGCCTGGTCCTGACAGGGGACTCCCCGTCTCACCTTGTCTGAAACGTCTCACCAGCACACATTCCCATCTCGCCAAAGACGCACGCAGGAACACAAGCCCTTGCCAAGAGAATCCGCTCATCGACCGTCGAAACATCTGTCCTTTGGCTCGGTCGCGTTTTCATCAAGGGCTTGCGACACTCGCGTGCGTTGCAGGGCTTTTGCCCTGGTGCCTGGGCGTGCACGTGATTAATCAGGACCATGGGTGGCTGCTTACACGCTTTGCTTTGCCGCGCAACCACGGGCGGCTATAGCGCCAGCCAACAAACCAACATCCTCATCAGCCACCGCTCAGCAACTCCCGAACTACACGGGTGCTGCACACACCGATGCGTGCGTCGCGGATAGAAGATCGTTCTATGCGTCGTTTCACGAACACGTCTGCCATTCGTGGCGTGACCGTGCGTCCCCCGCGTCCGCGTGTACCCCGAAGCCTTGGGAAATTTACGGTCGCCGGTGCCGTTGCCGTTGCCGATTCATCCTTTGAACGTGCAACTGGTCGAAGTCACACGAGGCCACCGTGCGCAGCAGCAGCGGAACTGCCGACATTGTGAACGTGCACGTGTTGGAGAGACAGCTGGAGATGCATGCAACCTTCGCCTCAAACATGAAGTCGTTCGAGATGCTGTCGATCACGGACCTTGCGATGCGAACGTATAACATCAAGCTCTGGTCAAGGCACATCCAAAGTTCACAACCGAGACAATCTGCCGATGCGTGGACTATCCTCCCAGCTGGTATCTAGACACGTCGTTCGCATGAATCTCGCTCCGCTCGTGCCTGTCAATCTTCCGATATCTAATCAATACAACGCAAATGCAGATCGCTATAGGAACGCCCTGACCGTCCCGTTCTCCTCGCCGAAACATCCGATCGCCTTGCCACCCCGTACCTGTTTCAACTGCAACCAGCCCTGTCATCAATGACATCAGCCGCTCGAACCTCCTTGCTTCCATCATGTAAGCACTCAGTTACAATACCTCAAATGCGCTGCCGAATAGAGTCCAGGAATAGCACCAATGTCACGACATGTAGTATTCGTCGCTGTAATATAACGTTGCGAACATCATCAGCTCAAGCCCCCAACGCGACCAAGAGCAACAAAGAAACCAAGCGCGGAGCCTGAGGCATAAGCCAAGACTCAACGGTCTCGGAGGGTAAGTGTTGCTCGAAGCCACAACCTAGGGTTCCTGCCTCCAGAAGCCGTGTTTCAACCCTGAGGCCACTAGAGCGCCTGGAAATGCGCCTCCCACTTGAAACCTTCCGTCTGTCTTCCAGAACGTACGGACGCGCGGGAGATCACCCGTCGCGCTTCTCTAGTCGCCTTTTGTATAGTTGCTAGAACAATGTGCTCAGTCCTTTTGAAAGACAGACGGTCCTACACTGACCAATCGAAGCCCAGTCGCTCCCGCTAGAATGCTAGATCGCTAGAACGGGCAACTCTCTCCAACAAGACGAAGAGCATACTTTCACCTAATGTAAACTCGTCTGTCTCGCAGCGCTGTTGTCTGCATGCCATATCTAGCCTTCCACATGCTGACGATATCGCATCTACACAACCTAGTATACCGCATTCACTCCCCAACCCGTACACCAGCCTCGCCTCTCCCTCACTTCATCCACACACCTAGCGCCTCACCCCGCCGGCCCTCCCGAAGCATCCATCCGAAAACACTTCACGCTCTTAACCCTCCCGTTCCACCCCGGCGGCACGCGCCCAAAGTCGCGCATGAACCACCGCGCATCCGGGTTCGACGCAGGCACGTGGAGCACGTTGCCTTGGCAGTTGGGAAGACTAGATAGCATGTTAGAAAAAGTATAAAAGGTGGAAAGGGAGGGGTAAGGAGGAGATAGGGCGAGGAATAAAGTTAGTAAAAGGAAGGGGAGAGGAGGGGAAATGAAAGGATAAACGCACTCCCATAGCTTACATCCCAATTCTTTGACGCTGTCGTTCGGATACCAGGCTGATTTCACGTCGATGCTGTGACTATTAGCTTCTTTTCCTTCCTCCTCCTCCCCCACTTCTATAAAACCCAGAAACGCACCTCGTCCCATAACACGTAGCCCCCTCTTCACTCGGATGCGCGCTTAATTCCCCCACGGGAAGCAGTTTCTGCACCGTCCACCCTGTGCAGTGCGTTTGCGCGAAGAGGTATACCTACACTTCTTTAGTAGTTAAAGGACAAGGGATGAGGGGGGGAGGTACGAGGATGTCCTTTTTAAAGCTGTGGGTGTTTGTTTCGCAGGTTGCGAGGGGGTGGCGAGGAGGGTGGGATGAACGAGAGGATGAACGAGAGGGGAGGAGGAGGTGCATGGTGGTTGGGGTTTTGAGTCTAAGTCACTGAGTTTCTAGGGGAAGAGGGGTTTTCTAAGTAAGGGGTGGGGGTAGGTATGGGGTATTTATCTCGTGGTGATGTGATTGTTTTTTGTTATTGCAGGCTGCGCGACGGTTTCGAGGTTTTCATAGGAAGATGGATGTGTGTACGCCGCTGAGTGTTTGACTTTGGAGGTTCGTTCGTTGAGGCGTTTGGTGGCGTTGTACATTGTTGTATCGAGCCTCGATGGCGGGGAAGCTTGGTGTGATGGTGCGTTCGACTAGATGGCTATATCACGCCGCTAAAATGTATTGTTGCTGGTGATTGAACTGTTTTTGCGATGCGTGAACGATGATTGGGCGTATCCTCACATCATCGTAACGTGTAGTTGACGAAGAGTGTTGTGCGTATGTAGCAGAGATTATGGATGTGTATCGGGATTCTGGTATTTCAGCCAAGGAGCGCTAGATGATGTGTCTTACGTAGAAATTAAGAATATGGGTGTTATGGCTTCCTGGCGTGAGGACCGGAAAGTAGTGTTTAAGTAATGAAGCAAAGTTATCAGTGTGAGTGGGTTCGTTGCCCTACAATACTCAGATCGTTGGCAAGTGCATGAGTGCTCGCAAAACACGTAGTGACTCAGCATCTAAGGAGCGTTGGGAGCCTTTCTTGTAGAGCGTTGATTCCTCGTTTATAAAGTAGCCGAGAATGAGGGATGCGCTTGCTCAAGAATACCGTGATGAGGTTCGTATATGATGCAGACTCGGATTGGTTGGCCAGGGCAAGGTACTTTTCTACCCACAAGCCTATCACAAGAGCCCAAATCTTCAGCCTGATAGGTTGTCACCTCGCAGCTTACTAAGTGTTGCAGCCTACAATACCCCGCTACCGCGCCCTCTCTTGATCGCCACAACTACACTTCACGCTGCTCGAAAGTTGAGAAATGATGCACGCCTACTGCGCCTTCCTGAGAGCACTCCTAGTTTAGCTGGGTCGTCCTGCGTCCTTCCCGCTTCGTTGCCGGGCGTCAGCCTTACCTAGCGCTCGTCAACCCACCGAAAGAACTTCAGTCAGCTTTCAATCGCGATGGGCTCGAATCTAGTGATGGACCATCTATGCTCACGGTGTTGTTTGCTCTTTGCAGAACCGCTGATCATAGGCGAACATCTTCGTTCACACAACCAGGAGCATCGGCAATCTTATATAGAATTGAAAGAGGCTGTGGAGTCCAATTGCTGGATCTGTCGGAAGGTATTGGGCTTTCTGGTATGGCCGGTTGACGAGATTGACATGCAGGACGATGTGACCACTAGGTGGGGTGCTGAACTTCCAAACGTTGAAACACATGCCGGTCTCTCGGCTGACCTTCTCTCCATAACTACAGATTGTCTGGATCCACCTATTACCTTTATAAAGATCGAGATCATATCGGGTGGCTAGATCTGTCATGCCATGTTAGAAAGCATCGTTACGGCGGCTTTAGGTGGCACTTGAAAGATGCAGGCAAGTGTTGAATGTATTATCTCATGCACACGCATAATTCCTAAACGCGTCGTCCTTGCAAAACTGACCGAGCCGTACAAGAGCCCGCAGACGAACCAGTGCGGACCAGTCATGATAGTGTAGAACTAGAAGAAACAACTTCCTCAAATCGCAGCCTGACTCGATCCCAAAAATGGGTAGAAGAGTGCGCCTCTGAACACCTAAATTGTGGAAGAGGTTACATCAACCCGCAGTATATACCGACAAGACTCATTCATATTGGAACAGATGGCGATGAGTGGAAGCTTCGTAATTTTCCCCAACCTCTAAATGGCACACCCCCGCGTGCACGATATATTGCTCTCAGCTACATGTGGGGACAGCAGCAACAACAATTGATGCTTCAGAAATCAAACATGGCTCAGCTTCAGGACGGTCTTCCGATATCCACGACACTGCCAAAAACATTTCGCGATCTTGTGCAGGTGGCTCGTCGTCTATCGGTCGAATATCTGTGGATAGATGCGCTATGTATTATCCAAGACTGTGCCCAAGATTGGAAAGCCGAAAGCGTGTGTATGCAATCTGTGTATTCAAACGCATATTGTACGGTTGCTGCGTCATGGGGAACTGATCCTACGAAGGGTCTTTTCCACGAGAGAAACGTTGATAACATCCGCTGCCGTAGAGCGCAGACTGCATGGCAACTGGAAGGGAGAACAAGTCCACTGGCGATTCTGCTTTTCGAACCACAGGGTTGGAGCAAAGCTATCAAGCGGTCACCTCTGCATGGACGTGGCTGGGCCCTGCAGGAACGCATCCTATCCCCACGAATACTCTACTTCACTAAAGATCAGATTCTTTTCGAATGCGACACTCATAAGCGATGCGAAATTTTCCAAGCCGAAATCAGTGCAGGCTATTTGGGGTCTCAATGGAATTACCGAGTGCACTCATGGCATACTAGCAATACCAGCGTAGAGTCAGGAAAAGGCATCGAACATGCGAACAGTGACAAATTCTTCAAAGGTTGGGCTGAAATTGTAGTGCAGTACAGCCGATGCAGTCTCACCAAGAGAAGCGACAAGCTGGTGGCGATAAGAGGACTAGCAATGCTCTGTCAAGAACTCAGTGGGGACGAATACCTGTCCGGGCTTTGGCGCTCCCAAATCTGGTCATGGTTGGTCTGGCGCGTGATCACACCTTCGCCAACCGCGAATTATGACAATGCCCCATCTTACTCATGGGCATCTGTCAATGGTGTAGTCGGATGGTCATTTTTCGAGTTGCGATACCCATGTCACCCTTTCTCATTCGTACACGGAAACTATGAGCGTCTCATTTTGCGTGGATATGCACCGAAGTGTGTTCCAAACAGCTCCACAACACTCAAGCAGTTCCTAAGAGATACGCTCGGCATTTGGGCCTTCTGGCAAGATCTTCTGCCTTCTTGTTCGGAGCATTATCTGTCTGCCATACCTGGGACTTCTTTGTATGTTCTACTCTTGTTTATTTCGCATAGAGGACCAACGTACGGACAGTTCGGTAGAAGCTTCGAGTGCGGAGGAATTATTGTAAGATCTACCAGCAGTGTGGATACGGAAGGCCGATTACAATGTAGGCGAGTGGGGGCTTTTACAACTCGAACGAACCCATCTCTCGCAGCTTTCGGACTATACATGGATATGGAAAGAAACATTCAAGAGCAAGGCTTGGAGAAGATCGACTTTGAGCTCAGATAACAAGTTCAACTGCTAATTGCGAGGTCATACTTAGCAGATTGCATGGACAGTGCAATTTCATAACGTCCGAAGTGGAATGAGCATAATTCTAAGATCAGTGAGATAATTTTTTCATGTCATGCTTCGCTAAAAAAAACTTCTCGGCCTTCTATGCACGTTTTGAATCTGATTAGCAGTGCCTGATATCTAATTTATGGTGCAAAGTAGTTTCTTTATTATCGGATAGTCTCAAAGTGGCAGTGCTTAGGCCCGTTGCAAAGCCAGGTTGATTCCTAGTCACTCTTTTCCAGATCCCTAACATCATGCTCCCACCCCCCACTCAGCTCCTCATCCAACACATACCTCACCGCATCCCCATCCCCAACACCGTCACCGTCTTAACCCCCACCCCGCCTCATACCCAAACGACCCCTCCATCTTCAACATCCCCCCATCATACGTAAACTCAATCTCGCTAACCGCCTCCTGCTCCAAACTAACCCCATCATCCAAATACAGGGTCCCCCACGCCTTACCCTCCCCGTTCGGCGCAACAATAAGCTCAAAGTCCTGCTTGCGCAACGCGGTCGTGGTATTCGCGCTAGCGACCCGCAGAGGAATGATATTAGCGCACTTAATATGCACGGGTATATCGCTAGTGCTAAGGTTCGAATAGGTCGTTTGCGCAGCGGTAGGCGTGACGCGTTTGAGCGTGTGGAAGTCCCAGAAGATGTCGTCGGGGAGGTAGAAAGTTACAGCGTCGGAGTCTTGCTCTGTGACGGGAGAGACGAGTAAGGCGGGGCCGAAGAAGAATTGGGCGTCTAGGGAGAGGGTTGCTGGGTCGGTGGGGTAGTGCATCCTGGAGATTGTGTTAGCAAGGCGAGGGACGAAAGGGTGGGAGTTAGACTTACCAGACTGGGGCGAGCATGGGTGTGCCGTCTTGGGATTGGAGGTGCATGGCAGTGTACATGTAATCAAGGAGACGATAACGGAGGTCAATCGCTTTTCTAGCTGCGGCCGCGACGCTCTCCCAGCGGTACGCTTCTTGAGAAATCGCCCCGTCCACATTGTGATTGCGGTAAAAAGGATAGAATGCGCCTAGAGTGGTCCAGCGTGCGCATAAGCTTTCGGTCGTGTCACTGAGGAAGCCGCAGACATCTGCACCGGCCTATATATTCGTTAGCCGAGATTGTATAAGGGGATAGGTGGATTACCATGGGTATCTGGAAGATGGAAACGAATTGCAGCAGATGACGGATTGAGATTATGTACTGGTCCCATGCTGAGATGTTGTCGCCTAGCCAGTGACCGACGTATGTGCCGGCGCCTGGGTAGGTAGAACGCGTGATCACCATGGGTCGAAGTCCGGGGCGACGCTCAAGCATGGCTTTCTGGCTGGTTTTGCTCATCATTGTGCCGTAAAGATTGTGGGTATCTTGCAAACGCTAAGTGTCAGTCTATAGGCAGTGAATTGAAGGTATTTAAGTACTCACCATACTCTGCCCAACCACCTTGATGAATGATATCAGTTCGCGCAGTCTTGTTGCTAAGCACACCGTACTCGTTGTGGATCTGATACTTCGGATCCAAAAGGTTTCTGTTAGGGAGTCCCTTCTTCGACCCGCTGTCCTGCCGCACTCCAATACTCCTCTTCGCGGAAGCTCCAGGGTTGTCGCATGGCCATTCGCAGAAGTTGCTTGGCTCGTTCATATCGATCCACAGCGCGTCAATATCCACGCCTGTTTCAGCGTCGAAGAACGTCGCAAATTCGTTGTTCCAATAGTCCTGTGTCTTCTCGTGGAACCAATCCGGGAATGCTGTAACGCCTGGCCAGACCACTCCCTGGTAGATGGATCCGCTGCTGTTCTTCAGGAAGATGTCAGCTTCCTTGCCGTTGTTGAAAGCATCGTAATCTTGATATGCAACGGCCGGGTCTACCATGACAATGTAGTGCTGGTCGTTCGCATGCAGCTTTGATACTAGACTACGCATCTTATCGATGGGGAAGTTTTCGCCAAGGGTGAACACCTTATGACTGTCCATGTAGTCGATATCGGTCCACATTGTCTCTGTAGCATCAAAGTTAGCATTGATCGTGGCACAACCACGGACATTGTCATACCAAGCGGGATGTTTGCAGCACTGTAATTTGCGACCACAGCCGCAACCTCGTCTGCGCTCTTGTATCCGAATCTACACTGGTGGAATCCAAATCCCCAATACGGCATCATTTGTGCTCTACCAGTAATCTCGCTGTACTCACGGGCGACATCCATCGCTGAAGGCCCGGCCAAGAAGTAAAGGTCGATGACTCCACCCACGGTGTTATACTCCAGATACTGCCCATCATCATTGTTGATAAGAATATCCATCCCGTTCGAATTGAGTAAGGACACCCCATGAGAGTAATCGTCTCGACGTTCGAAGTACACCGGGTGCTGACCGTATAGATTCGACCTCTGCGGTACACCGCCAGCATCGCGGTTCCACATCGTGCGGACATAGTCGGATGTTGGTAGTCTAAGAGGATCAGTGTGTTCTCCCAGGCCGTACAGGTATGGGTCTTCCGGAAGTGAAGTGCGTAGGCGAATGTACTGGTCTTCGAAGACAATCTGAGACCCTTTCGTTGTGAAAATCACCTCCTTGTTGGCTTTCCTTGTCACTGTGAACGAAAACGGTGACTCCTCGATGGTAACCTCTACCTGCGATTCGTCCGACGTGGCTGAGCCCGTGGGCCGTGGTAGGACGAAATCGGGTACTTGGTATACCTGCTCATCTTTGTCGTAGATGATCACATGCAGGCGAGAATCTACACCGCGTGTCAGCATGACCATGATGCTATCCCCACCACGATATAGCTTTCATGATATATATATGGGCTTACCTGTCTGGTAAGATGCCTCAAACTTCAAATCATGCAGATCCGTCCCGTACACATTACATTCCGCGCCAGCAAGTGTCAAATCCGCAGTGACGCCCCCGTCCGTCTTCTGCACATTACTCGCCGTGTACCCAGGGCAATCATCAGCTCTTCTCAGCGGCGCCGATTGCGTCCACTGCACCAGCGAGGACCCTAAAAGGAGCCAACTCCGTAACATCGTGAAGGGCGCGGGCATGACGTTGAAGACAACCGCGGCAGAGCCGTTGCCGGAGAACCACGCCTGACCTATATACCCGACTAAAACGCATCATGGCTTAGCCCCTGCTCACCCAATGCGGAAACGAAATTTAGATCTTAGTGGATGGAACTTGGCTGTGCTGCGAACACTGCGGTTGGACATGTCATGGGGCGGATGTGGGGTTCAAGGGCCTTACAGGTTGTCGCGAGCACATCCATGATTTGCTGGACGAGCTCTAAGTGTGGGTCTCTCAAAGCTCTTGCTGCATTCGGAGAAAGTCTAATGGACGAGTGTAAGCACGTCGAGTGCTCTCTTTTCGCCCCAATGGATGTCGATCTGCCTTGCGGTTGTGGTCTCTCGCGCGAAGCAGAACGGGTTAGCGCCTGTGAATGAAGGGGATGCCGAATGATCTCGCGCGTGAGCTCAGAGCCGACATTGAAGGCCTGAGCCAATTGTTTGAGGCTATAATAAGGTCAGGCTGTGTATTGCAGAGTACAACGAGATGATGCTGATGGAGGTGTCTGGAGTCACTATTCTGGACACTCCACATCGCTCAACCAGGTTAGCGTTAGAGAGAAGATCAACCTTTCCCCGCATGCGCGAGAACACCACGATGCAACCATGTGTGCATTCTTTGATGAACCTGCCAACACTGAAGCAACATGCACACCGTCGACGTCACCTGGACTCTGTGTGCTTTCCGAAAGTCGGGGCAAACGCCTGCGATTCGTGGTGTATCATTCGAAGCACCTTTGAAGAATGAAAGCAGTGTTCCCAATGTGCTATTCCAAGACATTACCACCATTTCGCAAAATGATTAACCACAATGCCGAGAGATGTGAGTGGGAATGACAACATGTATGACTATTGATGATACAAGATTGTACCACTTATTCCCATCGAGCCGACCATCCATCTCGGTCGTCCATTACTGCTCCAGAAAATGCTAACAATAGCAACCATGAACGCCGACCAGGGTATATAGCAACACAAACTCCGACCAGGGTATATCGCTAACTTTCCAAAGTACTAATTAACCAAAACACCACCAAGCTGTAATGAACGACTACTCCGACAGCTTTGCGAAAGTAGACGAAGAGGAATCCGCGTTGCCAATCGATAAGCCCATCTCGGCGAGACGAGAAGCATTCCACGACGACATGGCTGAGAAGGAGCCTGAGTCTGCATTCTCTGGTGCAGGCTTGCATCGCCGTTCTTCCATGCGAGAGGGACGCTTGAACCCAGGCCCTCGTTCCATGACTGGGCCGCTAATCGAAGGGCGTGAAGAAGGCCCCGCCTCTGTTGCTCGACTAGCTGCTATGCTTGAGGTGGAAGAGGCACCTGCTTGGATACTGCCATCGGTGGCACTCATCGACGTGGACTCCGAGACGCGTGGATCAAGTGTGCCCAGCGTCGTCCTTGATGCGACAGGTCGAAGACGCTGGACTCGTCTGAGCATTGGTCCTTGCTGAACCACTCTGGTATCAACAACTTCCATTTCCTCTTCAATCCTCGCTAGCTCTTCCCGCTCTTCCTCTTCCCGCATTTGTTTCTCCTCCTCTTCCCTCTTGAACTCGTGGAACTCCTCAGCGCCAGTCTCAAGCAACTGCTTCGTCTCAGGGCTAAGCTCTGCGTCCGCCATCTTTCCTATACTCAGAGCGGACGACTTATGTTTGGGATCCCATTCTTGTGCCCGAATCACACGCCCGGTTGTCTGTATAGTGACACTCAATTCCTTGAGATCATCTATTGGTTGCCGCTTCCAGAAAAGAGCTACCCGAAGGCCAACAAACTGCCGGCCTGGTTTTGACTTCGATGCCTTAGCATCTACGGCTTTGGCTTGTATTGTGGCAGCAGGTGGACTCCGTCCGGCTACCTCCTGAGACTCTGAGATCGTTGCATACTCTGGGCCTGCGCGGAATGACCGCTGGCGGCCTGTCGGCGATGACGCACGCGACTTCCCTTTGGTTACCCCCGAACCACCCTCGGGTGTGGGTGTTTGCTCTTCTGAAAGTCCAGAAGCCTCCGGCGTCTACTATGATGTCAGATTCGAGGCACCAGGTAGAAGTGGACTTGTCAAGCACTCACCAGATGTTTTCGACGCGAGAATGGATTGCGCAGTGTTGCTCCGCTACGCTTCGGGCTCAAGCCTTCCGAGGCGTCTGCCACGGCATGGGGCCTCTTGGAATTGGCCTTTCGCCTCAGCAGCTGCCAGCCCGCACGTTGTTTCGTGTTCTCTGTTGGAGCCATGTGTATTAATATCTATGTAAAAGAATTGAACGAGTGTGGTGTGGTGTACTCAAGAAAACTGAGTGCAGAAGGAAGATGAAGCAAAGCTCTTCGAAAAGATAAGATGGGTGAGAGAAACTGGCAAGAGCTGCGCAGATAGGGCAGGGGCTGCCTTTATAGCCAATAACGCGCTCACGATGACGATGAAACTGTTGACAATCGATATTGCCAACACATGAGAGTTGGCAATTTAGAAGGTGGCTATCGTCAATTGCAGGTGCAGCATTGGTGTTGCTGGAAGCCATTGGAAAGTAAGACTGGTCAACAGTTTCAATCGATACATCATACACCGAAGATGTGCCCAATAAGCCTGCTTCTAATTTCAAGCTAAATTGAGGACCCTCGTTGAACATGGGGTTTCTCAAAATCTGAGCATACATCGACGGAGCAGGCGCAAATACATACACCCGCTTCTCCGTATCGGTATTAAGACAAGCGAAACCCTACACGAGACGTGCAAGAAAAAAACCAAGAGCCTTTAAAAAAAACCTTGTATCCCACTGAAGATCAGGATCGAGAGAGAGGGAAAGTTGATATAGCGGCGAACGAAAACATTTTGTTGAGCTGGGCTATGGAACCGAAGTGCAGACGATGCGTCAACGAAACACTCAGTGAATACATCGGCAAATGCACACATCGTTCATTCACGGCTTCTCGATCAATTTGAATTAGACATCGATATACTCGACGATGAATCCTGAGTTCGACGTCACTACTACTTCTGTTGAAGGTAATCAATATCACGGATGACCCATTGTAATTGAGTGCACGCTGATGATGGTTAGTATCGACCACACCAGTTCGTGCATCGAAATGCTTAACCATTGCATTTCCGGGACTTTCTGACAATCCTAAAGGAAGGTTCTGAGGTAGCTGCGACATCTAACAAACGGGCGCGTTCGCTGTCTGCGAAACCTATTGCAATTTCTAACACTTTCAATTATCGTCTCCGGTTGTTTCGTGATCTCGGTGAAGCACAGTCATTGCAATTGATACGCAAGAAGCTTAATTGGCCCTCATCCGCCCCATCCATGGTAGCGACGGCTACCAAACCCCCCATCACCGTCTGTCCGCTCATTGTTGAGCACCAAATCATTCCTACCGTACCACACTGCAGCATACGATGCTCGGTTGAGCACATTCCCAGTATGCACTCATCATCGTTGTACGAGCGCCTCAAAGCATGCAGTAAATCTCTCTCCATCTTTACAACAGAAACCAACCCTGCGCAACATCCTGCGGTTCAACAGACACAGCAACACCAAAGCAATACCATTCACCAGACAATCCTACCAGTACCATATCCAATTCCTATCTACAAAGGCGCAAACCTCGCCCTGGGTATCATTCCAACACATCCCACCTCTTCTTATACCAACCGCTACATAACAACACAACACCCCTTCAGCGCCCTAAACAGCTTCGGCAACCCCTTCTTAACCATCTCCTCCATCTCATCATTCTGATTATTCTGCTGCTGATGCTGTCCCCCATGCTGCTGCCCATGTCCACCCCATGCTGCCCCCATGTTGCTGCGAATGCCCACCATACGTCTGCCCCCCATGAGTATTCCCCCCAGGATACCCGCCGTAGCTGGGAGCCTGCGGCGCAGGCGGCATCCCGTGCACAGCTCCACCCTGGAGGTTAACGTAAATCCTCCCCTCATTTTCCTCCGTCGCATACTGCAGGCCCAACTCATTACACACCTGCTCCACCCGCGGCTTAATCTTCTGCACATGCCCTCGGGAGTGATTCCCCTTCCCCACAATAACATGCAGATGCGTCTGCCCCGTCCTCTTCGCCTCCTTGATGCGCTCCTCAAGCACGTCCTCCGCCTCCTCGACGAACAGCCCGTGCAAATCGATGGTGTCGGACGCGACGCGCCCTTCGGAGTTGTTCGCGCGGAAGATGTAGTCGCGCGCTTGGCGATTATATTTGTCCATCTGCGCGGCGTGGCGCTTTCCTTCTTCGCTGAGGTCGTGGGCGCGCGCGCCGTCGCCGGATTCGTAGGCTTGGTGCGCGCGGTCGAAGCAGGAGGAGCGTTGGGCGGCTTCTTGGCGGGCGAGGTCGCGGAGGCGGTCGTATTCTGCTTCGGTGTCGCTGGAGGAGTGGTTGAGGGCTGGGGATTGTTAGTAGATGTATGCTTGTGTTGTGATGTGGTGCGCAGTGCGCTGAGGGCACACAGGAGGGACAATTGCTTACCGCGAGCGCCCATTTGCATCATTTCGATAGCCATGATGGGTTAAGTATGTAGGAAGCGAGTGTAGGAGCAGGAAGGCTGTGTGTTGATGTTGTTCTTTGGGTGCGTGCCGAAAACAAGGACGGAAGATCGACGGTGCCAAGAGATGGGGATGCAAGATCGCGCTGGGTCTAGATCGGGCTACGAATGTATAGGTTGCTCACCCCGTACTGGTCGCTGAGTCCTACCAGCGCGTATGATACTTACGCAGACTGTAAAGGGTCAGATTTTGAAAAGCTGCGTTGATGTTCGATCAATAGGTCCATGCATTAGGTACCCGGGTATAACTCAGAGACGGATACCGTCGCAAGAAAGGGTATAATGCTGCTAAAACCTGATTTTCGGCAGAGCGAAGATGAGGAAGATCACCACCCACAGGGTAAAAATCAGCGCATAGAGCTTCATGCGATCCCACCAACCCTTGCCCTCCGTCATCCGCCGCAATGTGCCCATCTTCTGCCCGGCTGCCTCCATGCCCAGCGAGTTCTTGTCCAGCCCTGAGAGTGCACGATCGACCACACTCTTGTCTCCCTCCAGTGTCTGATGGAAGTGTAGGGACTGCTGCTTCAACTGCTTCGCCATATCCAGTAGGCTTGTCTCCAGTGAATCCTGCTCGCTTCGATGATCTGATAATATAGCATCGGTTTGTGCTTCGCCCGTCGTCGTTTTGGCCCTCGTAGGGAACAGTGAGTTACCCGTCGCTATCGTATCCGCATTTTGCGCGCCACCTCGCCGCCGTAGCTCATCTGTGAGACCTTTTGCCGCGTTCTGGAGCGCTTCATTGCCTTCCCCTCCGCTTGTGTTGACTTCAAGCCCGGCGTCTGCTGCCTTGTGCGGCGCATACGAGGGAAAGTTATCCTCTTCATCTGAGTCCTCCGAGTCTGCCGAGACGTCTGTTTCTGAATCATAGAGCTTGTCTAGCTCTTGCAGGCGCTGAAACAGTTGCTTTATGAGCTCGCGCTTCTTCTGCAGGTCGGTTTGCAGAGCGGATTTCTTTGATTTGGATGGTACTGAGGATGTGGAGTGCTCAATATTGAGGAGGAGTGTGCGTGCGTGGTCGACATTCTATACCATATTAACACAGTCCATTCGAGCGAGAAGATAGCTTCATACCGCTCTGGCTCGTGCGCGAATGTAATGAGACCCTGAAAGCTCAGGCTCGGGTTGCAGGAGGACATTCTGTTCGAGACGGGACAGCATCCGGTTCAGGTCCATTAGAGTAGAATCAGGTATGTCTGCAGCAGTTTGCGACCGTGAAAGCGTCGGTGTCGCCATTTTTCGTGCGGTGGGCGAAAGTAAGAATGCTGCAGTGGTTGAGCGAACTCCCGCTGCCTTTTATGAGCCTTACGTGGCCCGAATTTTCCTAACGATGGTGCGAACTATTGTAGTCGCAATTTAGGATACGTAAATGACATTGGGACGCGTTGAAGACAGGTGGTCTTCAATGACATGCTGCTGGAACTTCGTGACAAGTGGAAAGTACGTCAGACGCTAAGCACTGTGGATTCCCCGCGTGTGGCCCAAGCTTCACTCACAGCACAATGCGGGGCATCAATCTCACGCGTAGAGCTTGAAGGGATGTTCAGTTCACTATCCAACTGAAATAGCCTATAAACACAGTCTCATAATGTACAGTGAAGGGCTCGTGTTGAGCAGCGACGAAAGCGGCCGTAAATCCCGCGCATGGTCATTCATTCCCTCCACAAGAAATCACTCCTCTTTACGTCGTTTCTTTGCAGGCATCAGATCGTTCTCAACTCCAAGCACGAAGAGCTTACTCCGACCGAAGTGTAGAGATGTCGCGCGGCTCCTTTAGCTGTTGCGGGGGTGATTTGGGGCCGGATGGTCCGCGAGTGAAGCTGGCATGAGTCAGTCTGCTTTCCACCATTATAATGTTATGTTGTAGAACTTGCTTGTTCCACAGGTTGCCAAACATGCCGACCTTGCCATATGAGTCTTGCAGACTGGCTCTCCTGTTTACACTCGACTCATCCTGGGGCCTCTTCAATGCCTCGAGATTCGCGAATCTGCTAGCGGATGACTAGCGAAGTTAGTTGGTTCGGAGGCGGCGGATCACCTTACTGCCATACCCTTCTGCGGTCGGATGTTGGAGAGCCCGAGTTCGAGTTCATGGAGGAATCCGACGACCTGCGGTCGGCATCCTGCTTTGGTCCAGTGGGCATGACGGGCGTTGTGTTATCTCCGAAGACCTTGTGTGTCTGGCTCGAGTACTTCTGGTGGAACGGAGAAGGCATTGTGGGTAGTTCTTATAGGTGAAATGATTTGAGACGGTATGAGTTCAGATTGTGGTTGTGGATGATAAGGCACAGTGATCGTGATGCAAAGACACGACACTGAGAGCTTAATAAGAACCGCCCATGGGCGAGCTCAGCTCGCTACCCCTCAGTGATTCCCAAAGATATCGTATGAGCATTACGCTGTGAAGGAGGATCGTGCCAATGGCTGTCAGGCTCAGCTTCCCCGCACTCCGCGACCTTAGCTTGGACCCTGCATTACTGTAACAGTCATGACATGGAGGAAACGGACAAAGGAGGTGCTAGATCTGTTTTTGAACAGCGAATGGCAGTGGTGAGAAAAGAACCGCTTGCGTTCCAATCTTACCAGCTGCATACGTTACTCGTGCTACATTCTCCTCCGGGAGGCCAAATTCATCTCGGTCACGTTATTGAGCAACCACCAGGGCACCTGGGCAATCAGAGGGCTAGTCCGAGCTCGACGGGTGTCTCTGGTTGGTATATTCAACATGTGACTGAAAAGCATTAGGCCGCCCTAAAGGTAGTAGAAGTCGGCTGTTCCCGATCTCTCCTTGAAATCTATCAGCCCAGATATCTTGGACAGACGTCTGAGCACACATGGTCCGGGCTTCTAAACCGGTCCGAATGGCGCTGTTCGAAGGCCGTGCTGGTAATGCATCAAGACTGGAAGGTGTCGCGTAGACGATCGGGATATGATTTCCCGCTCTCCTTGAGATCAACGATAAGATCAACAATCAGGATGATGCGAGTCAGGGTCGAGTCATCCTTGTGATCGCTCGGAAGAAAATCGCAGAGTATCTGCTGCAGATGGAGTTTGTGATAGAGCGGCAGTGCAACCCACTGCGGCTTGTACTATAGTTCTAGTGAAGCGACGACCGAAGTTTGTCTGCCGTTGATGTCATTACGCGTTGCTCATTCGTGGTTGAACTGGTGTTGATGGGAGCCCTGACGATCATCAAGCCTGCGTGTTACGGCCAACGAGGCTAGTGGCTGTTGGTGGTGAGTCATCTGACGTCACGGACACGTGCAACAGATCGAGTCATGTGATCCTACTTGAGTGAGCCTTAGTCAGCAAGCTCGGAAACACTTTCTTCCGGAAAATCTTGACCGCAGCCTCGTAGATCTCCCAGTCTCCTGCGCTCTGCATTGCAACAACACTCTTTCCTCTTTTCTGTTGAACCTGGTCAAACTCTGTCGCAACATTCGGTTTGGCGCATCTCACAATCTGTCAGCGGACATCAGTTGCATAGGGGCAACCGCCGCATTATGAGGCTCTTCGCATGCTTGGGCAGCAATCGGCTTCGGGCTTCGAGTGTCAAAGATTGACAGGGACCAACCCGTATCTGCCAAAATCTTTCAAAAGCCGTGTTTCGGCGCCATCCCGAACGTTCAACGATCGGCACGGCGGCCACGCGGTGCTCGAGTCGCTTCGCCAGTCGGGACTTTGTTCCTGACCCTGTGCCGAAGTTCATCTTCGCAGCGCTCAACCTCCGTCCTTGCTCATACGATGTGAGCCCTCGAAAACTAAAACGACAGCTGAACTCTGTTCACGAACCGACAATGGCATCATTTCCAGTGCCTCTCAGTGGCTCACAGCTGCGGCATTTAAATCCCACAGGTACGCAACCCTGCTTTTTCGCTCACCCACGCTTCCCTGATGAATACACAAAAATAAGCATAGTTCAACCGAGACCAAAGGTCGCTGCGGATGAAACTTGATTGTCTTTCGCTCCTATCTGATTACACACACACATGCCATTTTCCGCATACTTCACGGAAGCTTCCGCTGACCCTCGAAGCAGGCTGCATGGTGCGTCGAACCTGACAGGCGCTTCTGTGCCACAAAGTAATCGTGGCTCGCTTCAGTGGGCCGAGCCTTGTTACCAGATCGCATGCCCCGCCACGCTCCATGACAGCATGTGGTACGTGTGAGCGAGACCCTTTGTGCTATGTGTCACTTCTAGCCTGGAACTTGATTGCTACGACTGCTCGTGTAACTGTGATATGCATCTCCACTCGTCACTTCCGCCGTCCTCTGTGTTAATATGCAGCCCTTTACCGCGCCGTTGACGCAGTTCCTTGATTGCGTCCACCGTCCGCGGCCTGGAAGGAGAGGCGCCCATGGAGACGGCGGAAGGGAGAGGTGCGCGCGTGTGCCTGGCCGAATAGCCGTCTCAATCAATCCGCACATGCTGTTTATGAATTCCTTGTGATGCGTGCTCCGCCTGCTCCAAGTCTCGGTGCGTCTCCGGTGCTTGACGGAAAAAGCAGGCGCGCAAATTTGAGCATCCTGGTCGCCGCAGCAGCTCCGCGACGTTGGCGGCGTTATCGAGCCGGCATGCCTTTGCGCGTATTTGGAGTCGCAGCGAGGATCCCTCCCACGATTGGCACGGTGTAACTGAGCACGGATGCGCGCGCACTTCCAAATTGCCAATCCCGGGCCTGTGCCTCTGGCGGTGCGCCTGCATATCGCCGTCCAGGACCTGAGGGCGCCTCCGAGCTGTGCTCACGGACGGGACGGGGCATGCGACTTCGCACCACTCGCGGCCGCGCTCACCGCTGAAGAATAAGAGAGTGGCTGTCCCCCCCTCCAAGCGCCGGCCAATCTGCCTTGGAAGAACGGAGGACTCGCAGCGACATGGCCCCACCTTTGGATGCGTTGTCACCGTAGCGCTATCCCGCATTCGTGTCCTCAGACGCACGGCTGACCGGCCGCTCCTCGTGTTTTGGTTTTCTACTCCCGCCGCCCCCCTCGTCGCTCTGCTGCCTCGCTCACTCTTACACGACAAACGCTCGACAAACACTCAGCTCGCACTATTCGCCTCTGCTCCCGCAACTCAGCGAGACCTCGACAAACACAACCAGACTTTGTAGACACACAAGAGCCCTTGCTCAGGATGTCAATTCGGAGCCCAGACGGAAGCCCTACCAGGTACTTACTGCCCAACGGTTTATCCCTATTGTTTTGATTTCGCACACTTCAAAATCATGTATTCGACAGTACTGTACTCTCCTATGTTTGTTTTTGTCTTTGAGCCATACAGCACCAGGCCACAGCAACCCGCTATGGAAGCCACAGGACACTTCGACCCAGGATTGAACTTCCGTTCCATGGACCCTTCAAGGCCACTTGCTTCCTGCTCTGTTTTTCCGCGGCTTCCTGTTCTTGTTCCACACCGACTGCGCCGTCAGTCCGGAGCCCGCGCCCATGCAGCGGTGGTAAGTTCAACCCCATTAGGATGTAAAACTAAGCTCTAAGCGCCGACCTCGGACCTCTGATCGTCAACCGCTCGAAAGTCGGTGAGCACGAGGAGCCATCCAGGTACTGGTCACTTGCCGAGCATCGCGACTAGTGTATTTCCGACCACGTACCAGTGGGTCTAGCAACACGTCACCTGACAGCGAAGTCGTCTATAATGTCTGTCGACGGAGCTTGACGGTGTTCGAACGTATCAACATCCCGTATGAACTAGGACCACTACCTGTACTGCACATGCCAATGATCTCCCTGAGGAATGCCTATGGAAAGCCAGGACTTCAACCCATGGACATGCCCAATCAGGATGGAGGAGCTCACGGGAAGACGCTGCACCCGCTGCTGTTCGACCCTGGGTACGTATAGAAGGCACAAATTTGCCTATCCCATCTACCCCATTTGATCTTACACTAACATTCAGCTTGCTCACGGAGGCTACCAAGGTGGCGTGTCTTCCCGTGCTTCTCCCCTGTTCTTGCCAGCTGGATTCCTGACGTTTTACTGTTCCTAATGCCATGGAGTCGGATCTGCCACCGGAGTTATGAGGACTTATCCATGGAATGACCGCCAGGCCGTTACCTTTCTTGCTGACAGGTCGTGAATACCGGTTGAACCTTCCGACTGGCTCCGGCGTGTGCACACGACAATGCTCTTCCAGGTATGTAATGGTGGAAAGCGATGCGGTTGATGAAGCGTGGCTAATACATGGCATTTAGGGTCTCCAAGACATGGGCTACTGGAGCGGCTCTACTAACAGATGGCGTTTTCTTTACCTGTTCAGAACTTTTTCTCTTCCATTTGTTTTGTTTCTCGTTCGCGACACTAACCAACTGTTTCTAGCGAGTCTGCTTTCGACATCAACCTGGACTTTTCATTTTGCAATCCCAGCCCGGCCGTTGACATTGCCAAGTGGAGGGAGGACATTTCCGGACCAGCCCTTCTCGGACAGGATCTATTCTCCATGATCGACTTTAAGGATTTCAAGGGAGTCGACGCGACTTCAGAATACAGCATGGACAGCGCATACCAGAGCCAGTCCGGCTCAAGCCGACGAGGTGGAGCTTACCAGAGCTCTCCCATCCAGAATCAGCCCAGCCACTCTTTCATGAACCAAGGCATTTCGCCATCACTAGCCTCCGACACCTTCGTGCCATTCTCGGAGTCTCACGACATAAACCAGGTCTCCAATGCCGGAAACCTGGACTTCGGGAACGGATCCCAGTGGTTTGCTAATGCATCGTCCGCACAGGACTTCACCACATACTCGCCATCAATGGCGCAAGCGATGCAGCCTAGCGCCTTCACTTGGGACTCGACCGAGGTTTCAAACTACGACTACACATCGTACAACCTTCAGCACGAGAACGAGTTCTTCCGATCTCAACCCTCGCCTCAGAGGGAAGTATCTCGACCTCGCATCGAGACTTCGGCAAGGCCGTCTTACTTTGCTTCCGAGCGCACTTTCAGCCACGGTTCGACTCACTCTTCTACCGGCCGTGCTTCGGTTGTATCTCCAGTGCAGCCACTCCAGTCACAGTCCTTTGTCGATGCCTCCTATGAATCTCAACGACTAGCTGGCCTAGGGTATGTTTCGTCCGGCGCTATTAAGGGTCTCTTGATTAACAAAACCAGATTCGAGTCTGCTCAGACCAACTCGCCTTCTGAGGAGTTTGTCATGGAAGACACTGAGGAGCTAAAGACCTTGGAGGAGGAACACCACAAGGTGGCAAGGAGCCACCCTCTTTACTCCAAGGAGCCGGACGCAGACGGTCTATACCACTGCCCAAACGAGGGCGAGAGCGGGTGCAACCACAAGCCGACCACCCTGAAGTGCAACTACGAGTAAGACCCTCTTTGTATGTCTTAAAGTATCCTACCATACTAACGCACCACCAGCAAATACGTTGACTCCCACTTGAAGCCCTTCCGCTGCAAGATCGCAAAGTGCGAGGCCATTCCCTTCTCCTCGACTGCATGCCTGCTCCGCCACGAAAGGGAAGCACACGGCATGCACGGCCATGGCGCCCGCCCCAATCTCTGCCGTTTCGCTGACTGCGAGCGGTCTACGCCCGGCCAGGGATTTCCCCGCCGCTACAACCTCTTCGACCACATGCGGCGCGTGCACGGCTGGCCGGGTGACAAGGATGTCGCCTCTGCCACCATGGACGGACAGCCGGGCGCCCGTAAGGCCCGCACGCAGAAGCGCAAAGCCACTGCCGCCCCTTCTTCTTCCCTTAAGATTGAGAAGAAGGCTAGGATCAGCAAGGCCATGCAGCAGCAACAGCTTCGCGAGCGTCAGCGCACCCGGCTAAACGCTGAGTGGGCGACCAAGAAGCAGTCCATTGCTTCTTTGCTTGCCGGCCTGCACGACCTCGGCGACATGAGTGAGGCACAAGATGCCCAGCTTCGCCAGGAGATCAACGCGTTCTTCGAGCTTCGCGAGAAGTACCACACTGGCATCAAGGAGGAGTTTGTTGATTGAATGACCCTTCCACACAAGGTGTTCTACTGAACACCAGGTTTGTTCACTGGTGCTATGCCACTTTATTATTATGTCAGGACCACACTGGATGGCCGACACCTTGGATCCATTTCTGGACTTTGGACCCTCGTATCAGCTTGGATGTTCTCCACGGACCGGATTGGACCCGCCTGGATTGATTACCCAAAGCGACAAAGCTCAGCTCCGCTTGAGGAGAGGGAAGTTGCCGCCCCGCCCAGCCTCGGGAGGCTGCGGGCCACGGCTTGCGTACTGTTGCGTATTGTTATGTGGTTAGCATTGTTAGTAGCGTTTGACAGCGAAGTTATAGACGGAGAGTAGAACGAGGAAGAGGGGGAGGAAGAAGTTCGTCACGGCCTTAAATTGTTTGAGTCTCCTAGATTAATGTTGCTGCGTACATATTTATCGAAGACATATTTTGCTACACATTCTGATCTGGTGAAATGATAGGAGTGCAGATGTTTTGACAACGATGCAAATTCTTCTCATCCCAATTTCGGACACTACTTGATAGTTTCCTGAACTACAACTCGCGATGGCCCACTGTCACGCTCAGACGGATCTCCGGAAATTGTCCCTTCTTCTGACGCGTCTTCATGGTGCTTTTGTGAACTATCGTTAACCCTTTAGGTAACTTGGTTTTTGAAATCGACCTCGGCCGACCAACGGGACGAAGGACAGAAGCGGCTACGTCACCGGCTAGACCATCTTCGCTGACAAGGTCACCAGATACAGCCCGCTGAACCTCGGCGAAGGACGACAAAAGCACATATTTTCTCCAGTTTGTAATACTGCAACGGTCTGGGCAGCTATTTGTTTCGTCCGCCGCCTTGCACATGCTCCGAAGTAGCTGCACAGCCCCGCTTCGCGCTGCCCCTCGTTCTGTCGCGCAAGCCAAACGCCTATCGCATCACCGTATTAAAGCCTTCACCACCACACCTCACATATCCTGCACACCTACACGTATCCACAGCGCGCAACGCACCTTACCAGTACACACTGCGCAACACATCAGAACCTTTGCAACCATGTCTTCCGCAACCACATTCTTCGACTTCAAGCCCAAAGACAGTACGTCCCTTCCTTGCACCCCCCACTACATCCCTCACGTGCTAACAATTCGCGCAGAGAAGGGCAAAGAGTACTCTCTTTCTCAACTCAAGGGCAAAGTCGTCCTCGTCGTCAACACCGCCTCGAAATGCGGCTTCACCCCACAATTTGAGGGCCTCGAAAAACTCTACAAGGAGGTCTCCGCCTCGCACCCCGACTTCGTCATCCTGGGCTTCCCGTGCAACCAGTTCGGCAGCCAGGACCCCGGCTCCAACGACGAGATCCAGAACTTCTGCCAGGTCAACTATGGCGTTACGTTCCCCGTGCTGGGCAAGATCGATGTGAATGGCGATAAGGCGGACCCGGTGTTTGAGTGGTTGAAGACTGAGAAGCCCGGCCTAATGGGGTTGAAGAGGATCAAGTGGAACTTCGAGAAATTCCTTGTTGGCAGAGATGGAAAGGTTGTCAACCGATGGGCAAGCACGACCAAGCCCGAGTCGTTGAAGGCGGATATTGAGAAGGCGCTTGCGGCGAAATAAGTTGCAGGCCGCCGCGTGAGAAGGGACAAGATTGCACGAACGATACCACGACTATGTACTTTGCGTAGACAATCGAACTAGTGATTTGACCAACGTAGACCCTGCATTAATTTCCTTCCACAGCGTTACTCATTCTGTCAATCCTGATGTTCCGGATGTTTCGAAAACTGGGGTATTAAGCGGACCGACGCCCAAGCTCCAAGCTCCAAGCTCTCATAAGCAGCTGCACACAACTTCAACCACTGTAACTCACACAACTCAACACACGATGCCCGCCGCAGAGACCGCCTCACCTCCGCACGATCTCTCCGAAAAGATACCCAAACTCATCCCCCGAAAACGAGCTTCCGTGCGACGCGAACCTCCCTCTGCCCCTCCCCACCAACGCCCGCACTCCCGCCGCCACCAGACCTCTCAAATCACACATACACGACGCCCTCGCGGCGCATTCTCAGCCCTGCAGACCACGAGCTCTTTCTCAAGAGCCCAACATGCACACTCGTCACCGGCTTTATATTCGGCGTCTCGGACAGCGTGTGCGATAGACCCATCAGCAGCCTCAAAGCCTCAGACACCTCCCCAACGGTCAAGACGATAATACACATACTGGGCGAAATAGAAGGCATATTAGACCGCTGCCCACCCGAAGACACAGGCTCGCGCTTCGGAAACCCCATCTTCCGCACATTCCTCGACGAAGTCGAGAAAGCCCTGCCAGCGTGGCACGCAGAACTAGGCCTGCACGACGCAGCCCAAGTCGCCGAAATATCCACCTATCTCCACAACGCCTTTGGCAACAAACGCAGAATCGACTACGGCTCCGGCCACGAGCTCAACTTCTTCCTCTGGCTGCTATGCCTTAATCGTCTTTCCCTGCTCCCGCCTTCAACCTTCCCGTCGCTCGCCCTCGCCGTGCTCCCCGCGTATCTGCGCCTCATGCGTAGGATCCAGGGCGCGTACTACCTCGAGCCCGCCGGCTCCCACGGCGTCTGGGGCCTCGACGACTACCAGTTCCTGCCCTTCCTCTTCGGCGCAAGCCAGCTGCTGCACCACGCGTACATCACGCCCAAAGCCATCCACAACGCGCTCGTGCTGGAAGAAGAAGCCCATGACTTTATGTACCTCGATCAGGTAGCCTACGTCAACTCCGTCAAGAACGTAGACGGCTTGCGCTGGCATTCCCCTATGCTGGACGACATTTCGGCATCAAAGTCGTGGGCGAAAATCGAAGCGGGCATGCGCAAGATGTTCATCGCTGAGATTCTGAACAAGTTGCCTGTTATGCAGCACTTTCTCTTCGGCTCGCTCATCCCTGCAGAATCGGACATGTCCCATGAAGAGGAATTCGGACTTTCCACTGAGGAAGAGGAAGAAGAAGGCGGGGAGGTCAAAGTGTTCAACGATGAGGCGGGAAAGAGGCATGTGCATGCCAGTAAGGGGTGGGGCGACTGCTGTGGGATAAGGGTGCCGGCTGCGGTGGGGGCGGAGGGCGAGGAGAGGAAAGGCGGGATGCAGAGACTTCGGCGCGTCCCCTTCGACTAGATGCGCTGAGGCCGTGGTCGTGGTCGGGAAAAGGCGTTTTGCGAGGAAAAGGGATGGGTATAGAGCACTACATGTTTCAAGCCTTGAATGAAGTTCTTACGACTGACAAACCTTTCTCTGTGCACTTGGGTTAAACGCCACTCACGCACCCCTTACACACTACCATCAATCAAAAGGGACTCACAAGCCTTGGTCTAGCGTAGGAGAGTACTTAGTATGACGTCCCCCCTCCCTCCCCTCGATGCAGGAATACATCCGCTATTCATCAATACAGTCCTCCGTTTAGGCAGAATTCACGTACACACGCACCCGTCCAACCGGGGCAGCACAGCCAGCCTTACACATAGTATACATGCGTACATATACTCGCGCAGCACGTACCATCGCGCTCGCCGAAGCGTACACAGTATGTAATCTAGACACGATGAGGGGGAGGCATTCTACGCAGGACCGGACCGCGCTTCGTATATCAAAGGAAGCTCAAGCTTGGGATAAGAGATCGGCCCTCGGTCTAGCCTATGCTACGCTACCCTGGTCCCCGGCAGGCAATCTATCGAACATTCTACCATACCGCAATCAATCCGCTCCGAGATGTCGTGCATGGACTGTGGTAAGATTGGCGATCCGGTTCATGAGCCGGTGGGAGCCGGTGGGAGCCGGTGGGAGGGAGATATATGGAGTGCGGTATTTTATTTTAGGGAAGACAGGGCATGTGGGATGGGATGGGGTGCAATACATGACGTTCGGTGCCGAGCTTACCCTGCTCAGTGTAATTTATCGAAGCGAAGCTTCCATATGTCGTGCATGTACTATGCTAAGACCGGCGATCCGGCTCAGAAGCCAGTGCGAGCCGGTGGTGAAGGTGGCTATCGGGGGGCGTGGGATGCCTAGCGTACCTGGGTATAGTATGCTAGGGAAACCCGTGCATACCATATGTACGACTGCCGATCCGTCTCATGGGCCGGTGGGGGAAGGTGTCTGTTTGGGGTTGTGCGGCACTAGGGGTGGGTAGATGTCGTGCGTGGACTGAGACTGTCGATCTGGGGAGTGGGCTGGGGAGGGAGGATTCATCTCGCTGGGGATAGGGAATGTATTGGACAACTTACCGGGGCGGTATCGATGCGGAGCCGTGCGATGGAAAGTTCGACGCAGCGGCGAGCGGGATGGGTGTCCTGCGTGTATATATGGCAGGGCTGATGAATCTTGAGTTTTGATTGAGGAAGGCAGGAAGGCATGTCTGGGGCGCGGAGATGTTGTTGTAGAAAGTGGCTGTGTATGGCTGTGATTTTCTCTTTTGGCACTTTGTTACGTGCTGTTAGGCACCGTTCGTGGGAGTAGATGTGTTTTGACCTGTCGTTGAGTCGTCTGTGGTGATGCATAGGTTGGAACCGTGGATCGCGAAGGGGCTGTTTGCTAGTGCTTAGAGCTGCGTAGTCAATGCGGTACGTGTGGTGCAATAGAACATTCGACGCATTGGCGAACGGGATGGCTAGCCTGCGTATATAGCAGGGTTGATGTTACTCGACGCTTGACTAGGAGGAAGGGAGGGTACGGGGTGCGCGGAGATGTTTGCGGGAGGATGGGGTCGTGTATGTTGGGGAAATACTGATTATGATGTCAGACCGGTCAGCTGAAGACAGAGAGTGTGGGAGATGGTGTAACAATGGTATGATGCCGGGCGTGGGGGCGAGGAAACGGGAGGGTAAACTGATTAGATAGTCCACCAGTGCGAGGGAGCCGTGGGTTTGGGGATGGTAGAGAGTACGAGATGGAGAAGCATTTCTTGGAACGACAAAATTTGACGTGTTTCAAAGTGGAAGTGCTTCTAATACTGATCATTGCTTATTGTGTTTGCAAAAGTTCGTCCCCTAGTTTGTCATGGCTTGAGGTATGCATGCTGTTACTATCATACTCGATGTGAGTTAGATCCGAAGTATGAAGTTACAGAAAAGTCTGAGTTCCTACTTGAATGCAATGTATTATTTGAACCAAAAGCGCGCCGTTTTGTAGAACCACCAGACATCACCCCGCGGTACTCAGTCAGCCAGCACAGCACAATGCAGGAAGATCCCTCATATTTGTAAGGCTTTGATTATGCTTAAATTGAGGCTGAAGATGTCTACGCATGTTGAGATTCAGCTGCTGATGTACTGCTGGCGCGGGCTTGGCTGCTGTTCATTGATAGGGCCATGCTGCATTAGTCAGTTGCTGTATCGACTTCGACCTTTGGCCAGCCTGATCAATCGCAATTCACACCAACTTGCCCTCGATCTAAATTCGCGAGCCGGACCCTTTGGTGCTCGATACCCAACAGCAGCAGGTCATGGCAGATCCGCTTTCCATAGCCTCTGGCATCGCCGGACTCATCACGCTCAGCAGTGCTGTGGTTGCAGCAGGCTACAAGTACATTGAGAGTGTACGATCACCGCCAAATGATGTCAAGAACCTTATAAGCGATATTTCTTCTCTAAGTGTGCTTTTCGCCCAGCTTGTCTCATATGCCGCTTCACCCACTGGTTTGTCACGCACTGCTTTCGAAGAGTTCGCCCAACAGCATGTACTTAGCGACTGCGAGACTGCTTTACAAACAGCTTTGTCACTGGTTCAGGGATACGATGCTTCGAAAGGAAGCCACAGCCACAGTGTAGTGAAGGCATTGTCGTGGCCAATGAAACAGAAGGAAGTCAATAAGATTCGGGACCGCATTAACAAAGTGTGCATTGAGCTCAAGCTCGCTTTATCCATCGACAGTGCACGCAGCCTAGAGCTGATGGAGCGCAAGCAACATCAACACGGCGTGTGGCTCCAGCAGTTGGTCCATGCTAACGTGGATGACGAGGAGCAAAGAATGCTTGCATGGTTATCCGCACTGGACCCTTCTTCCAAACACTCTTCTATTGCTACGCTGAGACAACCCGGAACTTTCGAATGGCTACAGAGGGAAAGAGCTCTCATTGATTGGATGGGGTCAGGAGGTCAGCTCTGGCTCCATGGGTCGAGTGGAGCTGGTAAGACAGTACTCGTGTAAGTTGTGGACACCGCGGTGAACCTATGATTAACATGCTGATGGATCAGGTCTGGCCTTGTGGACTACTTGCAAAAGATTGCGCTCACGAGTCCTACTATTCAAGCAGTTGCTTTCCATTATTGCGATTTTGCCCATCAGCCATCCCTGGTCGTTAGTCAAATCCTCGGAAGTCTGGTGCGTCAATTGATCCAACAGTTGCAGCACTTCCCTCTGGCTCTGCGTGAGCTGTATCACCGTCGATCGGACAAAGAACCACCTCAGCTTGACGACATTACTAGCCTTCTGAGAGATGTTTTCAAGGAGGAGTCGAAAGTAACGTACATTATTATCGATGGGATCGACGAATGCTCGGATAGAACAGTACTTCTGAAGGTACTGCGAGGATTATGGGAACAGACTTCCAATACCAGTTCGATCAGGGTGCTGCTCTCAAGTCGACCTGAAGTCGACATCATGCGGGCTTTCATGAATCGTCCACGCTTTGAGATTCTACCTGAGCACGTTCAGCAGCCGCTACAGGTTCACGTGCGCATCGAAATTGCGCGCATACCAAAATTGGGTCATCTCTCTGACAGGGATCGACAGTCGCTTGAGAAAAGTCTTGTGGCGCGCGCTGACGGTATGTTTCGTTGGGTGCAATGTCAGCTTGATGCTCTGCAAAGAGCTAGGACGATTAAGGCACTTCACGAAGCATTACAAGTGCTCCCCCATGACCTTTCAGAGACATATGATCGAATCCTGAGAAACATCGAGGATTGCGATCTTGAATACGTCGACCGAGCATTGAAATGGCTTGTGGGAACAGAACGCCCGTTGAGTCTGGCAGAGCTTGCCGAAGCCATTGCGATAGACCCAACTAAGAACCAGCTGGATGATGAAGAAAAGCTGCTTGACCCTCACGAGATACTCGAACTTTGCGGTAGCCTAGTACGGGTCCACGGAGGAAAAGTCGTCCTAGCCCATTTTTCGGTCAAAGAATACCTGCTCTCAAGCCGTCTGACCGAGCAGGAGCCTAGAATCGCGAAATTTGCTCAACACGAAGAATCAAGTCGATATCACGTTACAGCAGGCTTGTTATCCTACGCTTTCACTATGGGCATTCACATACAGGCGCTACAAAATACGCTCGAAGAGTCACGATTTCCCCTCATTACCTTTGCAAGGGGACGCCTCTGTTGAGCGCTATCGCGACTTTCTTGCAGTACGCTCATGGGTCGACCGACAGTTTGCGACCTTGGAGGCTGATCATGCTCAGCTTTTCGCTCTTGTTGATTACGCCAGACCTCATCCTCCTTATCTCGAGAATCAACCGGACTTTTGGCTAGTTCAACAGGTGCTCCAGTGTTGCCTAATCTGTTACTGGAACGGAACATTGAGCGAAGCGTACATATACTCTCACGGACCCGACACAGCAAAATGCCGGGAAAAGATCGCCAAAAGATTCATTCTCTTCCAAAATGACTGGTACGTGCAAGAATGTTGGCCCCGAAACTGCGCCCACTGCATCTAGTTCGGGAATGCGGCATCGCTACCACAAGGGGACTATTAACGTATAAATCATGTAGGGAAAATCCTCCAGAATTCGATCGGAACGTAACGCACAGCGATGGTCGCATTGCTCCAAATCCGTTATGCACTGCAGCCGCCCGCGGCTTCGAGCTTGTCATACGTGAATTGTTACGGAACGGAGCCAAGGTGGATGGTATTGCATCACCACACTGTGTGGGGGAACCCTCTCCTGCGGGCGCTCAAGTACGGTCACGTAGGGGTTGTACATGTCCTTACAAAGCATGGTGCAAACTTTAACGTTGTCAGTCCCGGCATGCGTTGCGGCACAGCACTCGAAATCGCTGTAACAGATCGCTTAGGGCCTGAACTCCTTCAGACGCTCCTTCGGGCCGGGCATTTCGACATTGATCTAATAGATGCGAAGGGTCGCACAATTGTCAGTAAACCACGGAATCTATATTACAGCATACGCAGGAGTCTAACGTTAAGTCTAGCACTATGGGATGAAATATGACACCCGCATTGGTCGTCAGCTTCGACCATATGTCGCGCTGCTTCAAAGCAAACAAGCCCGGGACGCCGATTTCTTAGACGTCAAGACGCTATATTCGACAATCGTCGGCATTATTACCACAATGGAGGGACGCTCAACCGTTCGTTACCACTACTGTCGAACGGTACTGTCACAATGCCTCTTCATGTGCGGCCCAGACTATCACGACTACGCTGCCGTTTTCGAAGAGCAAGGAATGGCCTCCACTGACCCAGTCATTCATCCTTACCACTGCAGTCTCTGCACGAGTGTTTGGAACGGGTTTCTAAGGGGCAGCCGCTTCAGCTGCCTACAATGTCTTGACGCCGACTTGTGCAGTGATCATCACACCATTTGGGAGCAGAGTAATGGCGGCATGGAGTTCTGTCGGGGACACACGTTCTTTAAATTGCCTAGAGCTTGTTGGTATAGCCTTCGTGAGGGTACGGTTACGGAGGACGGAAAGACGCTGCCTGAGGTTATTGATTTGCTGACGAAGAAGTTCTCGCAGCTGTTGGGCTCTGTATCGTGAAAGGTCAGTCATTTTCGAAGAGTGCATTGTTTTGGGAAGATCCATAATTGAGACATTCAAGACTTGATGAGTGCTCACCGAAGCTGTCTTGGAGAATGCGCGCAGAGTTATCGGTGTCCTCCAAAAGATCCTCCGCCACTGTATTACGGCTCTACGTCAAAGTTCTACTGATTTTATGACATACTCACCTTACTGTTAATTGATTCTTGTTCAATAGCTTACTCTGATCGTCGTAGATAGTACAAACAGAGTACTAAGCTGTCAAAATAAACGTTCCAAAGGTAAAGACGAAAGATAGGGTGAGTACATTATAGAAATTGATAAAGATCCGATAGTTCAGAAGTCAACCAATCAAGTTTCATGAGCTACATAGTACTGCGGCAATGCAGCAAATCGCATTTTTTTTTTTTACAGTTGTAGTACCATTTGGTAGTTGATTCCCACTACGCTTCATTTGAGTTTAGCGCGCCAGCTCGCTCTCAAATCCATGGATGATAATCATTCACGTGCCACTTTAGGTAAAGATCCCGGAAAATCTCACTGGCGGCTCTCGTTTAACAATGTAAGCACAGAACAACTTTGGGGACCGCACTCATAATCAAAAAAAGCAACGGTAAAGCGTAAATGTAAATCATTCTGATGATTGAACACATCCCGGATTCTTGTACAGCATGATTCCGTTGCGCAGGTATGTGCGGTGAGCGTCGACAGCAAAACGTAGTGCAGACATCCGACAAGACACCACAACACAGGCAACTGGTATGGTAGGAGAAGGACGATCTGTTCCACGACTCCAAGTCTATTGCAGAAAATATCTAGACCGCCGGAAGCGCTTTGGCCGTACCATAAGAATAAGCGAGGTGTGAGCCTTCGGCAGTTCTAAAGAGTGCCTAAGGCACCTTGCCGTTGGAGGCTGAATCCACCGAGACCAGTATTCCGCGGATTTAGCAGTTGGACGAAGGCTTGCCTCTTCCGATGTGGTGCACTTACAAGCCCTTTTTGGATAGCTGACTTCGAAATTTGTTCAGAGTCTACCGTGGGGTCGGGAAAGGGAAGTAACTCTCTTAGCCATATGGAAGGCCTTATGTGGCTTTTATTTCCAGTACGCTTGGATCCTACAGGAGTGAACGAGCAAGTGCTTGCGATGTTTCACTCCCACGCCGCAGTACAGGCCTGGCTCTGCCCTATGCACATGCCACGTTGTTACCGGCCCACAACCCTTGATCAACCCAACTATATGGACTACAATATTTAGGTCTGAGGATTGTTGCTTTTAAGGTCTGAAATAACAGTTATCAGTCCTCACTCGCCATTCTAATGCCATTGTTGACATTGGCCTGGGTCTGGCGGTGCTGCTAATTTCTTCACTAGGACCGAGAAGCGGATGGATAAGCTCCATGCCAAAGATTACTGAAGCGTTCCCCAATGAATCCACATCGAATACATGCTGAAGTCCATCATTTAGCACACATTCTTTAGTTCTGCTTGGGCTTACTAGGTATTGATCTTTACCGATCATTTAGCGGACAAATCGTATTGCACGAACGCTTGCAATATGAGGCGTGACTTGATACTACCACGAAGTTGGGCAATTTCGCCGCGTCTCGTGTCCGATATTTCAGTGGCTTCGGTTGTACTGCTTCGGGTAAGGCTTGCTTCCTAGACGATGGTTATGTTGCAGTGGGCTGCCTAGGTGGGTGCTTGTCAAGCCCACGTTATAAGTAGACAGCGGACTCTCTTCGACTACGAAGAGGCTGAAATCTCAGGTCGTCTTTTCATCATACATTGACAGCCAAACGGCAGCCTCCAATGGTTCCTTCAACACGCCCCTTATATGGGCACAGCTTCTTCTTTCTGATAGTTTTAACCATAAGCTTTTTAATTGATGCAGCACCCACCGAGACGTCGACCACTAATGACAGTGTCACGTTGATACCAGTTCCATCTGGTAATGGATCGATCGACTTCCTTTCCGCAGTACAACATGAACTCTCTGTCTCATTGGAGCAAGAGCGTCTTTCGACAATCCCCGCAATTCCAGTGCCAACAAATACTACGGAACACCCGGAGTACAAGGCTGTCAATAAGATAGCATCAGTCATGCCGCCCAAGCAGCAAGGAATCAGGTACAACGAACCCTCAGCCATGGTCGCAAACTTGGTCGCTCCAACAATTTCAACGACTGAGCCTTCTCTTCATCAACGCCAATCAGGCATGCGTATACTGATTGTAGGAGACTCGATCACTCAGGGCAGGGAAGGTGACTGTACTTGGCGGTACAGAATCTGGCAATGGCTGCGAAACACTGGAACAGGGTTCAGCTTGGTAGGGCCCTATAGAGGGACCAAAGCGCCTCCACTACCTACTTCTCTACCGCCACTAGCTCTATATGGCTCTCCAGCCGACGAATTGTTCTCGACTAAAGGAGGTTATTGTGAGGAAGCTGACTTAGCGTTTCTAGCTAAGAGTAACCACTTCTCTGTATAGGGCCGCGCAGTAGCTGTAGACAAAGGTCTAATTGCGGGTGTGCTACAAAGCACACCCGCAGATTTTATGTTCTTGTTTCTAGGGTTCAATGACCTAGGGTGGTTCTACAGCGATGTTAGCGGCACACTGGCGAGCATTCAAACACTGGTATGTGGTTGTGCCTTTCGACATTACATGCTCGAAGTATAGCTGACGAAGGTTTCACTATTAGATTACCAATGCCCGATCAGTTAACCCCAACATAAAGTTCGCCGTCGCTAATATACCACATCGCACCCATATAAATGGGCGTGATGACCTAGTAACTGGAACTAATGAATACAATAGGCGTCTTCCTAATCTGCTGGTAGTAATGTCCACGTTACAATCTCCTATGCATGTAGTGGATATCGCAGGTGCCTATAAATGTTTGGACTCTGGTAGTTCTGCTGGTGAGTTATCTATCTATCAATGTATCAGTACGCACACAGGGTGCGCTAATGTGGAGGCTGGTTTTATTGCTTGAGTCGATGCTGATGAGGTACTTTCAAGGATACGATGGGCTTCATCCTAATGGCTACAGAGAATTTCAACTAGCCAGAGCTTTCTCTAAGACCCTGATCGACAACTTCGGGATTGGCTCCTCTCCTCTTACAGATTCTTCATGTTAGGTAGGAAGCTGCTATTATGACTACGCAGGGAACTTCGCTAAACATATTACTAGTTAGGATAGGGCCTCTAAGTACCCTTAAATATACGAGCGTTCTCCTTACTGTAAGGTGTTACAGTTACGTGGGATAAAGGTAGGTGCTTAAGCTATTGTAATGACATAGTTAAGGAGCTAATACCAAAAGTGTATAGTGTATATGGCTACGACGTTAAAGCTTCTGTAAATGGTGTATTAGCTACATTCTCTCCTGGCAGTGTTATGACTAATTATTGGGATTCCCAATGGCTAGGCAAAGGCTGGAAATATATAGTGCGGGTCCGAGCTGTATATGGAGATAATGAGTCGAGCGGTTGGACGTCTTCCGTTTTGGCGACTGCTACGCCAGAGCTTCCTCTGCCGCCACGAAATATCCAGATAGAACCCAGCGGCAGTGGAATGTCTATCACCTGGGATCTATATATAGGAGGAGCCACGGGCTCTGTTGTCCTGTATAATGTTATATATTAGGACTGGGAATAGGATTACTACTAGTATATTGGCGGTGCGGCCTTTAAGAGCTCACCCGCCATTATTAATGAGCTAACACCTAGTTGAAATTACGTTGTCTGGCTTATTACGTAGAATGAGAATGGATAGGGCCTGCCTTTAGACGGTTTGGCTATTATGCCTAGTAGTAGTGCTCCCTTGGTACCTTCTAGACTAAAAGTTAACTTATACGATCCTACTACTATTGGGTAAGTTAGCCACACAATAATATAATAAGATAACTGATAACACCTTTTCATTAGCTTATCTTGGTTAAGTGCCAATTCTGCTGTAGGCTATAGAGTCTGGTCTCGCAATGTTAATATAGCGGGGAGTAAGTTAGAACTTATTAGCAACGTGACTATGAATTTGGATTATTGTAATAATTAATACTTCTTATTCCTAGGGGTCTGGAATTATGCTTTTGTAGTATCTTTGTTTAATAGGCATCTAGACTCTAGGAAAAGTCCTAAAGTTATCGCTCCCTCTCTGGCCAAAGGTGATAGCGTTAAACCGACGTGTGGACCCGAACCTGCCTGGTGTCCGGATGGCGGTTCAATCTCGATTCCTCCAGTCGGCGGCGGAACCACCACGAGCGTAGGTGGAGGTGGAGGGGTAACTCCTACAACCACTGTTATTGGAGGTACTACTACTATTATCGGAGGTACTACTACTGTTATCGGAGGTACTACCACAACGGTAGGCACTCAACCTACCGTGACTGGTTTTCCCATTGTGACCAACGGTCACTGCACGGGACGCGATTGCGTAGGAGGAAAATGTGATGGTACATAATCCTCAAGGATCTGTGGATGCCACCACTGGCTCGTAGCAGGCCCACTTTGCGCAAGTTTTGGTTGTTCTGGCAACGACTGCTCTCCCAATGGTTTCTGCACTGGGCCAGAATGCACCTCGCGTGGTTGTATTGGACCCAATTGCGTGGATGGCGACTGTCAGGGTGGTGGCCTCGGCTGCTTAGACCATGGCTGTATAGGTCCTGACTGTGATGGTGGAAGCGACGGTGATGGTGGAAGTGGACACTGCACTGGCATCAATTGCATAAGCCTCGGTTGCTCAGGGCTGGACTGTGTGGGAGGCATATGCATTGGCCCCAGTTGCACGTCCCGCTCATGCTCAGGCCCGAGTTGTTACAGTGGCTCTTGCGCATCTGCAGCTTCCTGCGAACCGTACGGCGGTGGCAAGGGCGGGGATAGTGATGCCGTAAGTATACGTGGTTCCATTTGCAACTCAGTGTGGCTAACAGAACACTCTAGCCAGATGATAATCCAGACGAATCCTGCTCCACTAGCAAAGCATATCCTACTTGTACGACCAAATTTGTCGTCGTCACAACCGAATATCCGGACCTCACATCCAAGACAACCACCACAGACACCATCAGCACCTGCTATACTATCACCGCATGTACGGGCTCGGCTACCACTGTATCGACAACGACTCAAAGCGCTACTACGGTTCAAGATTTCTGTCAGCCAAAAAATTGTGGTACAGCTTGCGGTGCGCGCCGTCGAGCAATCGAAGCTGTACCCACTGATATACCTACCACAATCGGACCAACGCTGGCGAATGGACCGCCTCAAGGGAACCGCTCCATGGCATTGGTTATTGACTTGATCGAGCGGGACATACCCTCTCCGGGCAGTGGCGACTGGGGTCAGTGGTACGACAACCTTTTGGGTAAGAAGGATAACTTGGTTCTGGTAGAGAACGAGGTAGGTGTTTTGGGCACTAATACAGCCGTCGCTCAAGTTATATGGGGAGACGAAGCACGCAACATTGTCGTGCAAGGCCTACATGGCTGTTTCGCTCTCTTCTGCATCTCTCCTATAGGTGAGTCGCAGACCCCTTCCTAGTTATAGCCCAGGCTCTAGCGTCGCCATCATTCTCTCATACACCTCGTGCAGAGCATCCGCTGGAGAGCCTTTGGGTAGGCGTAGGAGCGAGTGGAGCAGGCTCAATGGCCAAGACAGGATGCGAGCTGACTTTGAATTCTCACAGGCGCTTTCGTTGCCCATTTCTGGGAAAGACCGAGCGTCGTTGACGTGGACGGTAGATTCGAGCCAGATATAATCAACATCCTGAGACACTACCTTGCCTCGAAGGATAACGTATATCAGCTTGGGCCCAATCCATTTTGCTACATTATGGGTGGCACATACGGTGCCATTGCCGAGAACGGCGCAGATGAACAAGACACTCTGACTCAAAGCGACTCGATGGGGATGAGATATCGACCACAGTACAATAGGATTCGAGACACAATTTTGGACATCCTGCCAAGGGCATCGGTGGAAGGCTTCGCCTATAGGAGACAAGTCAATGATGAATTCCAAACGCTGGGCTATGGTAAAGGAGCAGTACGTATACCCATTTCTGGCGCCTGTACGCAACAACCTAACGCATGATGCAGGTGCTTTATGATCCAATCCAGAAAGAACGTCCTGCTGATGTGCCGGAGGAAAACTGGTCTAGTGAATTCGGCACCGTGGCCGTGTATCTCCAAGGCTACAAAGCCACTCAAATATTCCTCTCCAAGCAGGAGATCCAGATCTGGCGTCTGCATTCCGACCCAACCTCGTGGACCAACGCGGCGATACAAGCAAATCGCGACACCTTGATCGACCCTTGCGACACCGGTCGCGACAATGGGATCATACGCCGGCAGGACATAGTCGAACGCGGTTCAGAGGTCACTGATGTTACTAAGTCCTTTGATATTCTTCTTGGCGACGGCCATTTTGAGCAATTCAGCTGCACTTACAAGGGCGGCCCATATGCTCCAACTGCCCAGTCAGGTGCAGTTGCAGGCGAGTTGACATGCGCCGTTGGTGAAATATTTACGTGCGTGAGGCCCGACGACAACCTCGCGACAACTTGTGGTAGGAAGCCAGTGAGCGATTGTGGAAAACTGGGTGTGAGTTGTGATAGTGTGCCGTACTACCAGCTGCTGGCGACGTGTAAGATATAGAAAGCAGAGAGCACCGTCGTCGCGCTAGATCCATAGTACTACATCAACTACCACTCAAAAGATTAAGGTCGGCGAAATTTTGAGCAATTTATAGAAGGTACAGACAGAGCAGAGGCTCCATGGAGTTTGATGACTGTCCACTGCATAAGACGGAGGACCAGGAAGAAGTGGAGAGGAAAGACAAGAGGCGTAGTGATAGACCTAGCCTAAGTTAGACTAGTTGATAACATCGAATGCACATAAAGTCGATGCCTGCCCTTCCAACTCTTCTTTACCTTAAGCCAAATCAAGAGAGCACAGCTCGGTTGGCATGCTCCAGCCAAATTGCGATCTTCCTCTAATGTCCGCCCGTGGTGCCAATGTTTTACCTTCGGCGCTTCCTCGCGCTTCTCCATACACTCTAGAATCGGCTCTCACCAACTGCGACCAGGCCTGCAGGAACGATTCCACGATTTTGCTTGATCAAGCCATATCTCAGCTATCTGCAAAAGATCTACCGACGCTATACGATCGCCTTCTTTACCGCGCTATAAGACATAATGCCGTCGATATTCTAAAGGACCTAATCACAAGAGGCGTAGATATCAGGCCTCGTCTACCAAGCAACGTCCGTGATGCAAATACAGAAACTCTCCAGCTACTACTGGAAAACGGATGGGACATCAGCTCTACCGCCGCAGACGACAAGAGAGGAGCGGAGGAACAGCTGCCGTTTCTCTGGCATGTACTGGATCGTAAGGAGCTAGTGGAATGGGGTCTCGAACATGGCGCGCATACTTCCGTGCAGTTCCCGGAGTCTACGTCGCAGCGTCATCGCCTGCTACATGAAACTTTGCTGGAGAAGTGCGTCTCTCGTTGTATCATCCCTACGTACGAGCTTCTTCGATCCCACGGTGCACCCCATGGCCGACGAGAGCTTCACATAGCGGTCGAGAGGGCGACATACGGTCCTATTGGGAATGGCGAACGAGATGAGCAGTGGTATAGAGAACACATGGACATGGTCCAGCATCTGCTCGATGTGGTCAAACTAGATGTCAACGCGCCAGACCAACCCCCCGACATCGCTATTCTGCCCATGCATCGTGGTGGAAATGGTAGAAGTGCGGGCCCAATATGTTACATACCTACCAGTAGCATGCTGGAAAAAGACACGCGCGAATTGACGTGGATGTTATTAGATCGAGGCGCGGATCCGGAACAAGCCCTGGGATTTGCCAAGAAGGATTACCCGCGGTTTATCGAGGATGTTGAGGCCTGGAGGAGGGAGAGGAAAAAGAGCAGCAGAGGATGTTGTGTACAGTGAAAGTTTGACAAGACGTTTGGACTCTGAGGCGATTCGGCCGGCTGGAGGGAAACTCATCTTGTTTCGATAGCCCTTCTCTTTAAATGTTACGTGTATAAACGCTAACCTCTCCCTCTAATAGCCTCTCCCTCTAATAGCCTCTCCCTCTAATAGCCTTTCCCTCTAATAGCCTCTCCCTCTAATAGCCTCTCCCTCTAATAGCCTCTCTCTCTAATAGCCTCTCGCTCCATGAACGCCTCTCATCTCACCCCAAGAGCGTCTCCCACTAAATTAGTTCAACTTAATCTCTTAGCCTCTAGTCCTTTAGACACTTTCACTCTACATAACTTACGATTCTAGAAATAAATTACACACCTGTCCTTTCTACTAGCAGCTTACACTTACCTCCTCTTATTACTATTCACTCCTTATTACTGTTCACTCCTCATCACTGTTCACTCAATTAGGAAGGAGCTATGAACTTTATGACAACAACATTTAATATGAGAAGTCCTGGGATAAGATTACATAAACTTATCCTATTTGCATGAGCAGTTGTAATTACAGCTGTTTTATTATCATCTTTACCTGTACTTGCCGGTAAACTAACTCTGCCGGCTTTAAACTTGGCTATTTTCTGGGAACCGTTATGTATTAATATATCGCAATCAGCAGGTAATCTAGAGAGGGAGAATCCCCTTGAGTATGTAGATCCATGCCTTGTTTCTTGCTTCTACGTGATATATATCACTCGGGCCTTGCTTCACGCATTTCCCTCCCTCCCTATGCCAGCCTACCGTCCAGCGCCCCGTAACGCCCCCGTCTCTAAATATGCAACCCATCCTAACCCAACCCAGTCCCTATGCAAAGCAACGCAAAGCAACGCAAAACAAGACAAGACAAGACGCCAAAGCGTACCTAATGCGCGCAATAAAAAAACGACCAACTCGCAGCAAGTCTAGTCTAGACGCAAAAAGCAGCGAGGCGCGATAAGAAAACACATCTTGAGACAGCCACCCAATCCCACTTCCCCCATCGCACCGTGGACAGCTCCAATCCAATCCAATCCAATCCAATCCAATCCAATCAAACCTAATCATCAACATCACTCTCCACCTCAAGCTTCATCCTCCTCTCCTCGTCCATCTCCCAATACGTCGCCCAACTCAACAAGCAAAACGCCCCTATAATAAGCAGCCCGCCCACCAACGCCGCAGGCGTAAGCGGAGAATTAAGCGGCGGAGGCAACAACTGATCCACAATAGCCACAATAAAAATAGTAAGAAGGGCCGCAACAGAGGACAGCACGGGAGAAGTCAGAGAAATAAGGATGAGGAAGGAGCCGCTGAAGGTCGCGTTAGCGAACACGCTGATGGCCATCATCCACGCTTGCTTTCCGTGCGGGAGCTCGAATTCTTCCCACCCCATGTAGTGGAGGATGGGGAGGGGGACCCATAGGACGGCGAGGGTGAAGGCCCCGATTAGGCTGCCGAAGGTGTTGGCGAAGACCATGCCGCGGTTTGGACTGCAGCCGTCCGGGGGACATGCTAGTCGCTTGTAGAGCACCTCGTAGAAGCCGTAGAGGACAGACCCAATGCCAATGATCATGTTGCCGATGGCGCGGTTCTCCGCCTCGTGCGAGGGGGGCGCTTTTTCTCCGCCGGCGCCGCCCCCGGATTTGTTGCCGTGTTTCGCGGGGGTTGTGTCGCCGTAGGCGACGATGAAGACGCCGAAGATGGCGATGGCGACGGCGAGGACCTTGTTCATGCGGACTTTTTCGTGGAGCAGCGGGATGCTGAAGGCGTAGGCGAAGAAGGCGCTGCAGTTGTAGATGGCGGTGAGGTCGCTTGCGGTGGTCATGTTGACGGCGAGATACCAGCTTCCGCCGGCGACTGTGAGAGCGCAGGTGATGAAGGCGGTCATGCGGAGCATGTAGCGTACGGGGGAGGTTTGGGATTGGCGGACGGAGGGGTGCAGCGTTTGGTGTTGGACCATGAGGGCGGTTTGGCGGAGGAGCTGGACGTGGCGGCGCCAGAAGACGGGGAAGGGGGTGGAGAGGTCTTGGAGGCGCATTATGGCGAATTGTATGGGCCAGAGGATTATCCAGGAGCCGTGGGTCATGTATCTGCGTTGGGGTTAATACCTTCTCTCTTTTCACGTGTCCAGCCATTGGTGGTAGGGCGTGGTAGGAAGGCCAGGGAAGTCTTACAGCATACAAAATGGCTTCTCCCACTTCAGTTCATGCTGAATATACACGGCCGTCTCCGTCTGCACCGTGAAGCTTACTAGACTTAACGCCAAAAAGATCGCCGCGTACGTGTACCTCCTCCTCGTCTCCAGATGTGCCTGGCTCGCGGGGTCCCGCTCATGAAACGTATGCGTGCTCCTGCTCAGCCCGCCATTCTCGGTTCCCTCATCATCATGCTTGTGCGATCCCAACAGCGGCGAGAGCGATCGTCCGTCCCGCTCGCGGTCCAGGTCAGGCCGTAAGTCTGAAGGCATGGTATGGGTGTGGCTCGGCGCGCTTTCATCCCAGTCGTCGAAGCTGAGGTCGGAATCGGGGGAGTCTGGCTCCGCAAAGTGTACGTTGGAGCCTTTATGGTTAGGGTGCGGGATCTCGGTGAAGGGCGAGTTATCTCTGGTGCTTCCACGCGAGTGTCCGGTGCTGCCGTGTCTGTCGTCGGAGTCAAAGAGGAGACCAGGTCGCCGGGTACTCGGGGCCTTGCGAAGGGGGATGCTCTCAGGCATATAAGCGAAGCTGTCCTCCTGGGCAGCGCGGCTGTGGCAGGTGTGGAGCACTGCAGCTAACTATCGCGAGCGTGGAGGGTCCCGGGCACGAATAGCCAGGGGTGGTCAGCGCCCAGCGCCGCCCACGCACGCCCTGCCGCCTTTACCGGGACTAACGCCGGTCCGCTGGAGTGGGATTCCTCCACCTTATCAGTTCAACGTCTTGGACCCTCATAACCTAGGATACATAACGTAGAATACTCGGAGTACGCAACCGAGAGTTGAAATCCTAACTTTCTCTCAGACTTGAGAACGAGGCAGCTGGGCTTCGTCGCTGCGCCTGTCTTACTCGTGACCCAAGACACACATCACTTGGCTTGACAGCGGGAACCAGATGATAGGACTGCTGATCCCCACCAGCTCATCCAAGACACGCGTCACCCCGGAAAATATCATCTGCTACTGCGCAGCGCTTGCTCGTATTCGTAACTAACTCTCACGTGGCCTTCCGGGGGAATCAAAACACCATAGCTCATACAGCGCCCAAAGGAACAGAACACAACGCCTTAACCGCGCTGAGCATAACGTCGTAACCAGACTCCCGGCAACAGCCTACACAGGACTCTGCTCCAGCCCCTCCGCCCGCTCCTGCGTCTCCGCCTCCTCCAGCTCCTTCAAGATATCCGGCAGCATACTCTCGATATTCTCCTCCCTCTCCCCAATCGCCTTCGCAATCAGACTCTTGTACACGCCCTGCTTCTCGCCCATGCCCGCCACAGAAAGATTCTCCACAACCTCTCGCACAAGCTCCTGCCGCTCCAGCTGCGCGCGATGAAGCAGCAGCGCCAACCGCATCTTCTCCGCAAGATCGACGGGTGAATTCGAGTTGATCTGTGGTTGTGCGGCGCATATCCGCTTGAGCTCTGTCATCTGCTCGATTTCGAGGAGCGACTCCGCCTCCTCGACCATCATCCGCAGTTCGTCTTCTTGATGGCGGTCTGCTTCCTCGTCGCCCAGGTCGATGTGCAGCCCGTTGTTCATGCTTGCGAGCTCGGATACTTGCTTTCGCGTTGCTTCTAGCTCGGCTTGCCGCTTTTTGACCACGCGTTCTGCGTCGAGTGACTCGGCCTCTTTCTCTTGCAGTTCCGCTTCGTAGGCTGCAGCGAGCTCTTCGCATTTTTCTAGCAGCGTAGGCGCCACCTTGGTCATGAGGTGCGAAGCTGTTTGCGAGCGGTACTCGCTGCGCTGCGATTCGCGGGCTGAGAGGCTCGGGAAAGGTAATGATAGCGAGGGGCCCATCTCGTCCAAATGGCCTCCATGTCCATTCATCCTATGCTCTAGCGGTGGTGCAAACGGTGATGATGATGCTTGCCGTGGCCGGCCGTGCATCCGCCGTCGCTGGTTCAGCTCACGGATAAGATCATCTGCTGTTTCGCCCTTCTTGTTCGGTATGTCGACAGCAACGTTGCGTCCTAACAAACTCCGTACACACTTTCGCGCGCCATGTCGTGCAGCAATCATAATTGCTGTGTCTCCGTTCTGATCCTGCGCGTTCAACAACCGCGTGACCTCGTCTGGAATCCATGTTTCTGACAGCTTGTTGATGATACAATCTAGATAGTAGCGCGCGCATGAGTATTTGTTCGAGCTGCTCGTGGTAGCTGCGATGTGGTGAAATACAGTGCTCCCGAACCAGTCAGACCGGACCACCGTCTGCTGGAAGATCTTGATCATGCTCTGCATTGTGCCCTTGTCGTGGTTGTTAGTAAACATGACGGCGCGCATCAGGGGGGTTTCCAGGTTGTTGGAGACGCAGTCTATGCGTGCGCCACGCCGGATGAGCTCCTTCACTACTTCGAGATCGCCCATGGCTGCTGCCCAGTGCATCGCCGAGTGTCCCTTGTCGTCGATGGCGCGGTCTAGATTGACGCTGGGTGGCGGTTCAGGTGGTGCGACGAAGCCTTCGTCAGAATCGAGAAGCATGAAATAGTCGAGCAGTGCGTCGGCCCACATCTGGTGCTGCGTGTCTTCCACAGACATCTGGTCGGCGCCTCTCTTGCGTTTCCGGCTGCTGGCAGAGTACTGCGAGGCCGTGAGCATGTCCTGGTCCCCCAACATGCTCTCCGACACGACAGTCACATTGTCCGGCGTCTCGTCGCGGTATATATGCGGTGGCTGTGGCTGCTCGACGTACGGGTCCTCGGGAATTTGAGGCGGCGGATTTGACACAAAAGCTGCACACGCAAGTCAGCCTCGTCCTTGCAAGCTTCACATAGGAGATGCAGCCTCCTACAGTTCATAGCTTCTAGTGAATACACATTATTACCGTTGGCTCTGGCGGCTGCAGCGGCGCTCGCGCGCTGTGCTTTGGGACGGCTTGAAGCTGCGGTCGCATGTTTCGGGGCAGGCGGAGGGCTTCTGTCGCCGGGGATGAAGTCGAACATGGGCAGCATCTTCTCGAGGACGCCGTTGCGCTCTGCGAGCATGCGCCCGTCGTGCAGAGGGATCCATGTGCCCTGGTACTTTCCGTAGCCGCCCTGCACCTTCTCGTGGACGCCCTTCTGCACCTCGCGCTCCAGGATGCGGGTGCGCGCGGGCTTGTCATAGTCGGCTACTTTGAGGATGTGCGTTGCGTTGATCCAGTCGTCAGCGCGGCGGCGCATGACATGGTTGCCGGCTACGTTGAATTCGTAAACGGGAACCTGGACATTCCATTAGCACGATGACCATACCATATCATTGCCATTGCTGCTATGCTTTCTATTTCGCCATCTATCGGCGTGGCACTGCTCCCAGGCTCTTACCACGTGCGACTCAGCCGCGAACAACTTACATTGCTATACGTAGCGGAGTAGATCTTGCCATCGGGGGCGGGCGGCATCCTGACCGTTCAGCTTCAACTCAACTCACGTTGCGGGGCTGTTCAACTTCGCGTCGTGATATCGCGTCGCTGTCTCGTCGAACGCGTTGGCCTGCCCCAATCCACTCGCTCGCGCCAAGCCCCAACCCGCCGAGCTCCAGCACTGCACTTCACACCTCACCAGCGCCCGCACCCACGTCCACACCCGCAATTGAGACCGCACGCCCCGCCCACCCACCATGACCGTCACCGACACGATAAAGAGCGCTGTCGGCCTCACCGGCGGCGAGCCCCAGAGTCAGTTCTTCGCGCAATGCCTCTAAACAAGCTGTACACCGCAATCGAACAGCTACTGACAAGCACCCTGCAGAGGCTACCCGCGAGGAAATGAGCGCCGCCCGCCTACCGCTCGCCTACAGAGATTCCTGCGCACATCTGCTTATCCCGCTGAACCGGTGTCGCGTCGACGAATACTATCTGCCCTGGAAGTGCGAGGTATGACGGCTGTGCTGCGCTTGCAAGCCTTGAGTTTGCAAAGGGAGTGAGACAACGGTGCTGATTCAATCTCAGGACGAGCGACATTCATACGAGAAGTGCCAGTACGAGGAGTTTAAGCTGAGGGTGAAGAAGATGGATGAATTGAGGGCGGCTAAGAATGGAGAGAGGAGCAACTAGGAACACGAGGGGAGGAATTGATATGAAAGATTGGCCTGACGCTGCATGTATATATCCGCAGCAACATGAAGACATTTCCACCATCGCAATGAATCGGGCAGCATATCACGATCAGTGACCAATCAGCCTACAATGGATTGTAAGCCGTGTGTGGCACTGAGTCCAGTCAGACAACGACCTGCGGAAGGTAGAAAAAGTAACGTTTTAGCTTTCCGGAGACACAACGCACATTGCGCTGCCGGGGAATGTGCTGGCACGCGAGCTCTACTTCACACACGTTCTATGCGCGAAGCTCTATCACCTTCCAGCGGCAACCATCAGTGGCACATCTCAATCCCAGCCACCAGCCCTCTAAAGCTTCGCCCTCGTCGTATCACCCTTCGCCTTCTCCCTCAGCTCCTTCCTCAGTATCTTCCCAGACTGCCATCTATTAGCCACTTCACACCACCATACCACTTCACTTACAGGATTCTTAGGTATCGCGTCCAGAAAAATTACGCCTCCGTCCAGCCGCTTCGCTCTGGAAACCCGCTCAGCGAGCCACGTCTTGATGCCCTCTGCGACCTGCGGCGTGGCTTTCTCGGCTGTTTGAGGCACGATGTATGCGCGGGGGAGTTCTTCGCCGTTGCTGATGCATGTTAGGACTGATGAGTTAGATAGGAGAGGGTGGGCGTACAGCGTTACGCCGATGACGGCAGCGTCTTGGACGTCGGGGTGGTCTAGGAGCAGGGCTTCGAGCTCCGCGGGAGCGACTTGGAAGCCTTTGACTTTGATTAGCTCCTGCGGCGCGTCAGCTGATGTTCGATCGAAAGTGCAAGAGAAGAAGTTGCGCACCTTCTTCCGATCGACGATGTGTATTTCGCCGTCGTCGTCGATATACGCAACATCCCCCGTCCTAAGCCATCCATCCGGCGTAATCGTCTCTATAGTCGCGTCAGGCTTCCCCCAGTAACCCTTCATCACGCTTGGCGCCTTGATCCAGACTTCCCCCCGCTCACCACGCGGCGCCTCTACCTTCCCTTCCTCATCCAGCACGATCTTCGCCTCGCAGTTTGGCAGCAGCTCTCCCACAGACCCGCTGACGCTCGTCTTATTAGGGTCGGTTGTGGTGGCCGCGCACGTAAGCTCCGTCATGCCCCACCCCTGCTTAACATTCACCCTCCTATCGTCCCACAGCTTCTCGAACTCTTCAGCTATTTCGCGCCCTAAAGGTGCAGCGCCAGACCCTACGTCCCTCACAGAGCTGAGGTCGAAGTTCTTCACCGCGGGGTGTTTCGCCATTGCGACGATGACGGGCGGGACAAGCACTAGGTTGGTAATCCGGTACTTCTGTATATTCTGCAGCATCTCTAGGAAGTCGAACTTCGGCATGACGTAGACTGGATACCGTAGCTTCATCGCGTTGACGCAGAAGAGGGCTTGCGCCATAGCATGATACATAGGTAAGAAGCACAAGTGGCGCGTGCGCTTTTTCCGCTCTGCGAAGTCGTGTGCGAGCTGGGACATCCACAGCTGCTGGCTGGCGTTCGAAACGTAGTTTCTGTGCGTGATCATGACGCCTTTCGCTAGGCCTGTTGTGCCGGAGCTGTAGTTCAGCGCGATGACTTGGTCGAGTTCAGCTGGGGTGCGTAGGTTGGGCCAGTGGTATGCTCGGCCTTCTTCCTCGGTGGCCAGCAGCTCGGTCCAGTGGCGGATTGTGCCGCCGAGAGGGGGTGCGTCTATCTCGACTTTGCGGCCTTCGAAGGTGGCTACGCCGTCGTCGAAGACGAAGACGCTGTCTGCGTTCAGGCCTGCTTCTTTGGCTGCGGCGATGCCGGTGTCTATGCTGCCTTCTGCGCAGAGGAGGTACTTTGCGCCCGAGTCCTTCAGTTGGTATGCTAGTTCTCGTGCAACGTAAGTTGGGTTTGCGCCGGTGTATATTCCGCCTGCCATGATGATGCCGATCATCACAGTTGGGAAGAACAGTGTGTTTCCGGAGAAAAGGAGTACCCGCTCGCCGGGTTTGAGCCCAGCGCGTAGCAGTCCTGACGCGAGACGTTGTCCATAAAGGCGATAGGTGTCTACTGAAAGATAGTATTTTTCTGGATCTTTCGCTGAGATAAGTGCAGGTGTCTTTGGTAAGTCCGCGGTGGGCGAATCGAAGAGGTACGTCGGTAGTGATACCTGGGGAATGTCGAAAGACCAGCGCGATTTCAACACCATTGTGCTGTTGCAATGCAGTATGGATACGTAATTAATGTCCTCTTACAGTCGCGTCGGTGTTTAGAGTTTCAATTGAAATCCTGTAGTGACGGTATGTTGAGACGAGACTGAGCAACGGTCCAGCTGACTTGACGAAGACAATCCTTTCAGGACGATCATATAAGCCGCAATTGATATTGGATAGAGTACGCCGCGGAAGCTTTATGTTGCGCAGTCCAAGTCTGGGGCTAAGGTCAGCATCGCTCTGTCTTACGCTAATCCTGGCGCTATCTATACCGAGTAAAAGGTGTAGAGGTGTACCTCAGCCGCACGTCCTGCCCGCCGACGTGATTGTAGATGAGAGGTAGGTAAAGGCAAGGAACCTCGGCCGACAAGCGCGTTGGTATATCTCACACGCCGAGGCACATTATACCTGGCACAACGCGTTAAGCGACCCCACGTATGCAAGTCTCGAGTCGTCCATCTAGAAACGAACTCCACAACGGAGTCTACGGGCTTGTTGCCGTGCGGGGCGGGGGTCTGGGGTGCTTGGATGCGAACCGAGGCACGATCAAACTGGGGTTAGCGATTCACTATGGCGAGCTACTATAGGACGAGGGCGTCCATCTCCATTCCGAATCAAGCACATTTTGCGAGACAGCGAGACAGCGACTTCAACTTGGTCTCCGCGGTCGAGCGCCTCGGAATCTGCTGCTGTTGTCGCGTCTTTCGTCCGTACAGATTGCGGCAGCAATCGAACCTCGATCACCTTGTCATGCAGCGTGACAACGAGCGCTTGTATCCTTGATTGGCCTAATGCTCTGGCACAGGCTGATAAAGTGCGGTGAAAGCGTTGTGCTAATGATCGATGGCTACAAAAGGTGATGCGAAGTGTGTCGAAGCAAGGGATGTTGTTAGCATGCGAGGTCGGAACATTTGGTCCCACGGCCGCGGGTCGTGCGACACGTGTTGCGGGTATCACTTGCATGCGGAGGTTATCAAACACCGACCTGTAAGCTCATCATACCATGACATCCATACTAATATCCCTTTCGGTATAACATTCGGTATAACATTCGGTATATAACTCCCTCCGATCCCTGTCTGTATCATTGATGAAGCGAAAAGCTGCCCCTATCTTTCATCAATCTACGTCCTGCGGGTATCACCTTACTACCTCTGTAATAACCTACCCGACTCCTTTCACAAGGCCTTAACGTAAAATTCACGATTCAATCCAAACTCAATTGACCTAATCAACCCCTACTAAACATTACCCAAATATCTCCCCCCTGCCACGGCATCCTAATCGTCGCCCTCCCACTCTCCTCCACCCTCAGCTTCTTCTGCTCCCCATACCTATCCAACGCGCCATACTTCACACTCATGCCTCCCCTCTCTACACTAACCATATCCGGCGTCGTATTCCCATCCAAGCCCTCCATGACTGGTGCTCCGAACGCCCGCGCAACTTCTAAAGGATTCAAGCTCACTTTTCGACCTAGCTCCCAGAAGCCGTAGTATAGCGGGATTACTGCCGCGACGCCGATTAGTGAGACTACGACCCCGAGTGCGACGAGTAGGGGGGAGGTGTGGTATGTTGGGAGCGTGCGGTGTCCTGTTATGGGGATGCTTTGAGTCCACGTTGAGCGTAGTTCGGGTGTAAATTGGGAGTCGGGTGCGGTAGCCATGGCGATGGTCGTGCGGAAGGCGAGATTCTGCATCGTGCTAATTATGTCTGGCATCGGATCGTTCCAGACAGTCCCGCATAGGGGGGTCTTCGCTGGGGCTTGCTTTGTAAGCCGCGGCATACATGGTGCTGGGGTTGTTGAGGAGCAGCGATGGACTTAACGTGGAGTTCGAACACGTCGCTGGAGTGGAGGTGTTGACCAAGTGTCCTGCAGAGTCTTCGATATTTGCTTGCTGAACGCATTCGGTGTAGACGAGATTACTGAAATCTGATGATGCGGATACATTCGATGATACCGGAGGAAAGAGCATGTTAAGTGCAAGAGGCCAGTAAGTTTCCCAAATATTGTCATCATTTGGCAATGCCTCATCGTAAAATTGTGACACGGGAACGTCGAGTCGTCGATCGATAGTACCGTTTGCGATGACGAATGGAACATCACCCTTTGCTTGCATAAGAGTGCATGTCTGAACTTGGATCTCGCCGCTACACGAAGTTGTGTCCTTGTGGACACTGGTCAGAATCAGACTGTCATTCGTGTGTTCGTAGCTGGTTGAGAAAAAGGTCGCTTGGAGGCTTGTCAGCCTACGGAGCTCGCAGTCGCTCCTGCACTGCTCGGTCGTACAGGACTTGCACTCATGTAGAACGGTATTGAGGTCGATGTTCCGCACTGATGAGTCACAATGGGCTTTGAAGGTATATGCCTTAGCAGTCCCGGTGCAGTAGTCGCCACAATAGGCCGGTTGTTCGTACGGGAGTGGGTTCCCAGCACCTAAGCCCTGGATCAGGTCCGCGAAAACCGATGTTACACCGCCTTGCTTCCGAGGGTCCGTTTCATTACTTTGGAAGAACTCCGCCAGCGGGTGTGGTGCTATATTGAGGTCCACCGTGCTTCCCACGCTTTTGTGATCGTTGGTAACCGACAGAGCGCGGTGGAACAAAGGCCCTCTGACGAACGACAACGATGCGAGTATGCACGCCACTGCGACGATGTTGAACCTCAGACGTGCAGCCCTCTTGACAGCAGGCCATAGGTACATCGACTCGTAGGTATCGTGAACGGAGTCAAGTGTGGTCCCTTGTAGTAATTGTCGCCATAACCGGATGACAACACCATCCACCAGCGCGAACAAGATTAAGAAATTCATTATCATCTCGAAAACCGAAATGTAGACGTGCGGTTGGGCATTGTCACGTCCGATCTTCCAGTCTTCAGTACTTGTATTATGGCTGGCCAGCAGAATTCCAGCGGACGCACCAGTCAATAGCACGACGAGAAACAGGGCTCCGGCACCCCACCAGGGAAACCGTATCCAGACACCGGTGGTCCAAGGTTCGAGCATGTGGCGAGGATGGCGGAAGTATGTTCGTGACGGTGGAGGTGCCTCATCGTCTTTGGTCAAGAAGGTAGTTTGTACCATTTGCGGCTTCGTCTCAGCGGGCACCGATCTGAATTGAGTGGAATTTGCCCACGCGACTTGTTCTTGGTATGGACTTTGCGACCTTGCGCTGTTACCAAATACTGAAAATCCCATGTTCAGGGTAGGAGAGGAGACTCGACGTTGTTCGTGATGGCTCGACTCTTGCGGTTCGGGCGGCGATACTAGCCATGACGACGTGTATCGTGACATATCATCGTCAGAAGATGATTTCCGGCAGTCAGATGCTTGGGTCGGGGGAAGTTGGGTCTGTTGGGGGCTCGTTGCCTCCACGGGTGATAACATAGATTCTGAATCTTCGTGACCTTGTTGTGATGCTCGAGCATACGGGGAACCATACAGTAGACCCGTCATTGTAGCCGTCGGCTATTGTTGAATTATGGCAACTGCTTTCGTGTCGCCTGTCGATCCATGTGTCGTAACAGGTAGGTCGGCGAGCTCCAGTGGAACGAGTCAGGCTTTGATCGCAACCTTTCAGCACTGTGGTAATATGGAAGCAGTCTACCTTTCGCATGCGAGTGTCGTGACTTCGTGGTTACCCTTTCAGAAAGACTCGCAAAGACAGCCCAGCTGTCGTCGAAGAGGTCTGCATGTCTTGCAGGTGGGCCTCTATCAACATTGAAAAAATCCTACAGGAGCTCGAGTTCCTTCAGGAGCCTTGACCATTTGCAAGCGTGAAGCGCTAGATCCTTTGGCCATGCTTGTTTTTGCTCCACATCTTTGGGATGAGTTGCCTTGCCCTTGGTTCGTTCGTGCGCAGCCCAAGCCTTCCCTAATGTGGATGGTCACGTTATTTGTGAAACTCAGGCTCGCTCCTACTGATGGTGATAAGGCCGCCTTACGCCCTGGTTCGTTCGTCCCTCACATCGCCGATAGCCAATTTTGGTATTGCAAAACCAGCGAGCGAGCATATGATATCCTCCATGGCCTTCATTGCTTGGAGAAATTCGTAGATGGCGGGGAAGCAGAAGTAGAGGTCTTCCTAATCACATTCCGTCTCAACCTTGGAAGGCCTACTACGCCCAATGTTTGGGATTGTTATGTCAGCAATTCCTGCCCATACCTGACTCGGTTTTGTGACACAAAGGCGCTTGCATGTGGGACCGTGACGCGTTGTTGGAACGATAGGCGGCCAGGTGGCCTTAAGTATCCGTACGATACCTGGTCTCGTGCCTATCGTAACGTCGCGCGGAGGGGCGAGGACAAGTGCTGAGCATTATTCAAACGATGTTGGTGGTAACATGCTCTTGGTTAAATAAGACTAGAGAATAATACGCAAATAATGCATCATGATCCTCTTTAGACAGTTGGATTCAGCGTGAAGGAAGTGTTGGTGTTGGTCCACTAAGGTAGCTTCTGCGGCTGAGCGGTGAAATTAAGACACTTCCAAGTTCGAGAGACGATGTATGCGGCTCTGATGCGATTGATGATGGAATACCATTTGGACAGATGAGTTTTGACTGCATGCGTTGCGAGAGTTGTCAGGTGTTGTGGCTGTGGCCGGAATCCGGAACGCGGGGAGCCGGGAGCCCAGTGTGGTGGGTCTGCAGGGGTCCAACATGCGCAATCGTGTGCTTCAACATCTCAAGACATAACTTATGATCTTGCTCTGAGAAGGCAAAATTCATAATGCTGCACAGCGACTTGCGCCTCGTAGCAATTCCATGAGGGCGAAGCTTTACCTCGAGTAGTTTGACCGCGTATCACAAGCTCGCTGATGCTGGAGGGATACTCTAGACTTCACTAACACATTACTAGTACAATTACATACCGCAGTATACTTTTCCTTCGTTCTGTTCAGCTTTCGTTGCCGAGCCGCTTTCGATCTCAGATGGTCATGCCCTGTACTCTACGAGTTTCCTGCCCTCGCCGAAATGAACCATCGCTGCCGCGACCGCAAGGCGCTTGTCGAAGATTTTATTTCCATCTTGAACGCTACCGTTGGTCCGTTAAATTACAGGCACGGTTTGCAATGTCGTGAACGCACAAGGGTTACCTTGGTCAATTTCGAACTTCCCGAATAGATAGACGAGGCGACCCACGAAAAACAAGGTCTACGAGAAATCCAATACCTACAACACAAAGGTCGAAAACTCGTAAAGAACTCCAACTTGAACCAGAATCGTAGCACAAGAGTAGCACGATTCAATGAGAGGACTATTTTCACCTTCGTGTCGCTCGAAGTATACGAAGGGCGCTGGGGACTCCATGAAACGGTACTGAAAGTCTACACAAGACGGCCTACTACATTCCGATACGGTGGTAGGACGTCGGCCGTCAGAGAGATCGCTGCTGATGATTCCCAACAAAGTGACTGCTCGAATAGTTCTAGACGCCTGCCTCACACGTTTCTGTGAATGGTACCCTTGGTTGAGGCGATCCCATAGTGTGGTTGACGTTGACGATCGGCACGAGGGTATCTCTAGCCTAGTAAGACTCGCCGACTTCCGGTTTCAGGAACTGTACGCAGACGCACTGCGCGCGACACAATCCAGTCGAACTGTATCCATCTATCTCTGGGGCATATTCACCGCGGAAGGAAGTTCCACTATGGTTGCTCTGGCCCTAAACCCCTTGGCTCCCGACCAAGTTTTATGGTCCAACATCGATAATTAAAAGACACTTCGTAAAACCTTGACTGCCTTAAGGATCATTTTGGCGTTTCCCCAAGTCAAACCTAGATGGCTTTTAACAGATAAGGAACTAGCGGAGCTTCTCCACAGTGCGTTTGCTCGGGTTCCAGTACGCTCGGTTCATCACCACAGGATCTAGCCAATAGCTTCAGAACCAGCGCATCTGGTCTTCTAACTTGTTATTTCTGATGGTCATGTGATCACTGAAGCGTCGCGTGGACCAGCATTGGGCTAGGAAGGCTTGGGAATGCCATAAGTATCAGTGGGAGCAACTCCGCATCCGAGTCTGCCCACCGAGCGAGACCATCGCCTTCTAGCTCCTTGTTCGTGTATATGCTTCACACTCGGATATGATTTCTTGAACAAGTTTTGTTCACGCAGGTAACGCCAGCCGCCTTCAGAGAAGCACTGGAGCCAGACTCGATATCACAAGCGGCTTCGATTTAGGGCCTCAGAAGAGATCTGCATGACTTGAACTATCTAGTCCGATCCAGGACTTTGCATGATTCCTGAGCATCGTATAAAATACATGTACCCAGCACTGGGGCCTCTTACTCCTGCGGATGATAGACTTGCTTCGGCTTGGGGATGCGCCTACTAGGGACCACACGCTTGTACCCCATCTTCTCCATCTCATCCTGGTGCAACCTTCCACAATTCAGCCTCACACAAGCGCCGGGCTCGAAGTGGTCGCATTTCATACGCTCACAGACGAGCCTGCGGTCTGCGCAAGGTCGGCAAGGTTCACCCTTGTCGCACTTCCGTCTACGCTCGAAGCACTGAACGCAAGTGACAATGCGCGGTGCTGGAGGTTCGGTATCGGCGGCTGATGGCGAGCATGGCGCAATACTGAAGTGTCAGCTCATATTCTGAAGCATCATACGAAGGCTGCGGAGTAGAAGTTGCCGAGGTGAAATGGATCGGCTGTGTAAACAACGGAGAGGTACTTACGAATCATGGACAGACTCGGGCTTTGCAGCCTCGGCCTTGATGAGTTCCAGCTGCTCCTTCAACGCGCTGGTCGCTTTCTGGAGGCGCTTGATGTCCCTCTTCTGGCTGCGTTCGACCTTCTTCGTCTGCTTCTGAACTGCTGCGATCTTCTTCTGAGATCGGCGAAGATTGAGATCTTTGTTGCGCAGCTTTCCACTAAGCTGCATGATCTTGTTGTTTTTGTCCATGACTTTCATAGTAAGGTCCATCGTGGTCTTGGTGAGCTCGAATTGGGACTGCTCGAGCTGAGCAATACGGGCTTCGATTGCAGGCTGGTCGGCGATCGATGAAGTCGGCGTCATCGTGGGAGGTTTGACGATAACGAGAGATGAGGTGGGCAAATTGAAAGAGTTGTATGAGGTGGATGAGGTTGGCAAGGTCGTGTTTGTGGGCGACGCTCGCTTGACTTCAGAGATTTGAATCAATCGAAGTGAAGGCGACTGTCCGTTAGGACGTGTCTCTCACCGCCTTCACTTGAGAGCGCGCCCGTTTTTCGCCTTCTCTCATCTGCCCCGCGCTTTCTACGCGAATAGCTTCATTACTCCCTCAAACACCTCGATCTCGCGCTCTCTCTCAAGTCGCGCCCGCACACGGTCTACCGCTTCACTCGCGAATCCACCGCACAGATACGACTTCGGCTTTGAACATAGAGTAGGTTTGAACCGCCACTGGCGATTTCAATACGTTCACTGCTTCAGGCAGTTTGTAGCTACGCGTTCACTGACTCAACCCGAAGAACATCTAACACGCTCTTGTACTCTCGCGCGACTGCCTCGTAGCCAACAACAAGATGTCAGCATTCAAGGACGCCACTACCGTGCCGTATACCGAAGCGCAAGTCCTTGCACTCGTCGCTGAATTACGCGCCCAGAACGCGGCTCTCCTGGAGGAACCAGCTGCCAAGGACAGCGAGCACGCGAAGCTGCAAGAGCAGAACACGAAGCTTAAAGAGGAGAATGTGAAGCTTCAAGAGAAGAATGTGAAGTTGAAGGAAGAGAAAGTCAAGCTGCAAGAGGACATCGAGATCCTCGAAGACTCCTGCGCCGTCTTCGAGAACGACATCAATGTTGCCGACAGCGAGCAGCAACACGCAGTGAACGACGTTGAAATCAAGATGGAGTATGATCAGAAGATATACGTCGCGCGCCTTAGAGACAGCTACGAGCGCAAGATCGCCCACCTGAAGGCAGAAAAGTCTCAGCTCGGCAAAGAAGTAGCCAAGTTGAAGGTGCAGTGCAAGCAGCAGATGGACGCTCTCGAGAATGGCATGGCCGCCATGCACATCAGACAAGATTCAGAGGTTGCTTCCCAGGAGGAGACAAAGAAAGATGGTGAAGAGGAAGGTGGATTGTGAGGACGGCAAGATAGAGGTCGAGGATAGTGATGGCGAGAAGCAGAAGGTCTAATTGATACTGAATTGGGCATGACATGGCATAGCATACATAGAGACACGCGCAGTAACCGACCCACTGTCCGCAACACGGTTTCCTGGCCTTTACCATAATGTAAACATTGGGCTCAAGCTAGCAATACCGTAATGGTCCTTGTATATGGGTGATTAATGGATCACGCGTTTTCAGCCATGCACCTGCCCAGGTTGCGTCGTCGTCATCTCACTCTTACCACAACAGATTCAAGATGGCCACTCAATTAGAGATGTGCGTTCACCCGGGAAGAAGCGCAGTCAGATAGTACTAATGGCGTTCAACGATCGCCATGAACTCTTCACCTCAAGATCAGAAAGCGCAGATGTCATGAAGATTTACTTAAACGTGTCGCATTTACAGCGGTGAAATCCTTCACTTAGGTACAATTCTCTCTTTCACCTTGAAGATTCACCATTCACTCCGAAGAAAGAGAGCGCAGTCCAGGCAGCAGCCCGTCACGTGCTCTGCTGGTGCTGAGTCAGGCCAAGCCTCCAGTCGTCTATATAAACCTGTTCTCCCCCGCTCCCCTCTCCTTCTCCTCATTAAGTTCAGCTCGCGTTTACCAGCGCAGCTATTGCTATAAAAAGAGCCACTTTTTCCGAGATAACGCTTAGCAATTCGTGCCACCATATCATCGCCGACGGGGTTAACACATATGATGGAACGCCTTACGAGTATGGTTGAGCGTCGTCTTAGGGACCACTGCTACACGTTCTGGCTTTGCCAGAGGCGGCTTGCGGTAGTCCCACCGGTGTCATCGATAACGGACCTCGAGCCCACGCTTTTGACCGAATCTCTTTCGGGATCTGTGACAGACACTACTCTGCCAGCCCGCTGGATGCCTTGTTTACAGGAGCATGCGAGCTTGCGCTTCTGCATGAGGTCGGTATCCCTCACAGTTGTCGTGGACTTCTAACCGGTCGCCAGCTCGCCGACCCCTCTTTTTCATTGACTTTATCCCGCTGGGTGAGAGTTGAGGAAGAAGTAATACGCCCGCTCTTCCTGAAGTTGCGCATCAACATGGCCGCTCAGGTCCGCGACGACGAAGCCTCTCGACTGCTGGCCTCGCACCCAACGACGAAGCCAATTCATAAGGGAGTCGAGATCGCATGGTTGCCAGTCCGAGGATCCCCAATGCGAGGCTGCACGCATACCTCTTAGCAAAACACAACACATGCAACGCCGCTACGCTCATCACCTTGTCAATAGCGAAGCCGCGCGCATTTCGATCAAACTCGAGGCCCTGAACAGCGGGCTTGCGGCTCGGTCAATGCGCGACACGTTCGCACAAGACCACGCATGATCCTTCATATGAATCTCGTCACGAGCCTCTTCTTCCCGCAGTGCTTGTCCTGCCAACCATCTACAAAAGCTAGATTACGATCCACGCAATCAGACTACATCGTAGCCGCACTTTAGCCCCTCACACTCGAGATACGTTCTATATCAACGGCCATCTAGCAACACAACAACACTGCCCGAAAAATCGTCTCGAATCAACTTTACATAGCCAACTCACGTCAACGGCTGGTGCGACACAGCATCAACCCCTCGTCTTCGTTTGTGCGACGCAACCGTCGATACCAGTTCCAAAGCCCAAACCACCGAACGCATACCCACAGCCACAGAACCACACCCAGCGGCAATAGTTGGGCGACGACACACACAGCGACCCAGTCAACGCCTTCACGCCCTCTCCCATCCCACGCACCAGAAATGCAACCACGCAGGACCTCGCCATGCGCGCTGCCGAAGCAATCTCCCGTCTCTGCTCAGCGAAGCGCCTCTCATTTCACCACTGACAGCCGCCGCGTCCTCACGACAGACGCGTGTCCCACTCTTACGCGCTGGCATGAATACCTCGCCCGCACCGTTTCCCCGTCACAAACTTGGTGGTCATGCACGTCTGCGACTTGACGAGGACACCGCGTACAATTCATCTCACTTCGTCGACGGAGCTTAGTGTGGAAATCGAAAACGACACAACAAGCACGCTTGCTACCCCGAAGCCTATGCTCCCGTGTAAGCTCTCTAAACATGGCGAAGGTGCCGTATGTGCCGGTGACGCGGGCGAGTGTACACTAGCTACCGCCTACTTATAGCCTGTCTGACGCTGGCCGGGGTGTCTATGGAGAGTGGATGCAGCTTGAGATTAGACTCAGGCATGATGGGCATTGAACATCGTGAATTTCGCAATGGTGGAGAACGCCGCCGCTCACCAGGTCCTCTATTCATCGCTTCAGTATATGGTTTAGCATAAGTTCTCTGTATGGAGGAGTGTGGCTCTACTCCCCCCTCCCCTCCAAAACGTGATTCAACTGCCCAGCGCCACCCATCGCGCTGTGCTGTATGTACATCCTCACACCATGATATCTCCACCTCAATCTGACTGTACTATATTCGAACCGCCGAGATGGGCCATCCCACCGACACTCCCACTGCTACAGGTGCTCGAACTGACAGTACTCAGCCCATCTCATCACCGCCAATGCACACCATCCAAAGGCGTATGCAACTGATGGTACACAGTACACAGTACCAAGACTATTAAACGGGGCGGGACTAAGTCATACATGTAATTCAACCAACCGAAGATACAACTCGAATCGTACATCTATCTCCTTCAACACTCCACCGCCATACGATATCATGCATGCGTGAACGATCTAAAAGATAAGATCCAAATCCCCCGCCGCGAACAAGTCAATGGCCCTTCTGCGCCCTGTACCCTGCACCCCAGGCCACACGCTTATTCCCCATCTATAGTTCCCAGCATACGTACCTCCGTCGCGCCTTACTAGTGGATTGAAAAGTTCAGTCCCTCGTGTCAAGGTAGGTAAAGAGATAAAGGCCGAGTGGGATAGCACAGTAGGTATGCTCGAGACACATTCAGCGCTTAGAGCCACACCAAGGGGTACAGACAGCGACAGGCCTCTCAGTACAGCGAGGTACCCAAGTGGACCCGCCAGGGGGTGCCCATCACACGTGCACTCCTGTCCGCTCCGCTAGGTACCCTCCTAGGTACACCCGACACGTGGTACACACGTGGTACACTCCGCCCCTACGCTTGCTCGTGGCGTGCTCCGCTACGCTATGCTAAGGTACATGTACACTCCGCGCCGACATCGGCCTCACCTCCACGCGTCCAGCCCGCCGCAGAGCCTCACGCGCTACACTGCCAACTGCCTAACCCGCGCACCTCGACCGTTTGTCTATCGGGCCTACAGTCCCTCCTTTCCTTCGCAAGCACGCAAGCACGCAAGCTTCTGGGCGCGCACGCCACGCCACGCATGCGTTATCTCTTGTCGTATCTTGTCCAGCCTTAGCTCTCTTATCCCTCTTATCCAGCCAAGAAGCCACGCCACGCCCCTCGCAAGACGCCAGACACAGCTTGGCCTTGGCCGTGGAGCTTGCTCCGACGTATGTTCACTTCACGCGAACGCCTGAGGAGAGACATGCGAACGTGTGGGCCGTGCCTGCGTGAGCCCAGATCTGAGGCCGATGGCAGCGCCGATGGCAGACCGATGGCGGCGCCTAGCGCGTGCGCCGCCCGCGATGAGCGTCGTATTTGAGCGACGGCGTGGACGCTTAATTGTACGACGTGATGCGCCGCGACGAAGGGGCACGCACGAGCTTTACATCGACGCACCACGAAGAAATTTGAATTGCGTGCTTGAAGTTTCTTGACTAACATGTGCAAGGCCCGAGCACGGCGCACGTTGAACAGTGTGGTTAATCACGGCGGACACAAAAGAGGAGATAGCAGCATAGTATAGTCAACGATAAGTTCAACTTCAACTTCAACTTCAAGTGAGAGTAATTAAATTAACGAGCCAAGCTAAGCTAGCTATCAAGGTAAGATATACAGCCAAAAAGCCAAAGCCAACGGACGGGATGGGGCGCACGCCTCAGCGCGCACTGTACATCGCGCGACGCGCCGCCGTAGTGCGCAACGCCACGACACCACATCATCCATGCATCAGGGTATCAATCAGATCTTCTCCGCGACAGGCACAGGCTCAGACGAGATCTTCTTCTCGTCGTTGACGCTCGCGCGCCTCTCCGCCGCGACGCTGAGGTGCCGCTCGACGTCCTCGGCCTGCTTGGCGGTGCCGAAGTGGCCCGTGGGCAGCTGGTTGAGCTCGCTCTCGCGCTGGTCCGTCTTGTAGTAAGCGATGTAGAAGAGGATTCCGACGACGAAGGAGATGATGGTGACGGCGCCGTAGTTCCAGACGAGGTGCGGGTCGTTGGTCAGCGGGGTGAAGGCCTGGGCGAGCGCGGCGGAGAAGGCGGTTGTGAAGCACTGGACGCTCATGACGAGGGACCGCATGTTCTTGGGGGCCTTGGTGTAGGCGTACTCCAGCGTGGTGACGGAGGCGAAGATCTCCGAGATGGCGACGAGCACGTAGATTCCGGTGACGGCCCAGACGTTGATGGGCGACTTGTAGTCGGGGTCTTGGGTCTCGTAGTAGCCCGACGTCTTGTACACGTAGTGCTGGAGGACGGTCGCCCACAACATGGCGAGGCCACCGAAGAGGAAGCCGGCGGTGATCTTCTTGATGGGAGAGAAGTTGATCTTGTGCTTGCGCAGGAAGGGGTAGATGAACAAGTCGAAGACTGCAAGCACGTTAGCGACTGGTCTGTTCTGTGAAAGTGCAGATGAACTTACTCGGGACGAGAACGATGAGCGTGATGGGGTCCATATTCTGGAGCAGATCGTTGGGCGTTCCGTGCAGAGCCATTGTAGCGCACATGGCCGTCAAGTTGTTGTCCATCTGGCGGTAGGCAAGCCAGTAGATGGGGACCCACATGAAAACACCACAGGCGCCGAAACCACGGCGGACTTCGTCAACCCAGGCGTCATCGAATGTGTACCAGCTGGGCTTGTTCGCGCCGAGAGCGGAGGGCTTGACCTTCTCCCATCCGTCGCCTTTCTTCCAGTTCTTAATTGTCTGGATAGGGTTGGCGGTAACTCCGTGTCCGAGAGCCGCCACGAAAAGCTTCACAGCGGGACCAAGCACGCTGCCACTAGGAGGCGTGAGGCGGTAGAACTTCTTGCAGAAGATCAAGACGGGGACGCTGATGAGGAAGAAGAGGAGGGGGATCAAGAAAGCACAGTAGAAACCGACGTAACGTTCAGCGAAGACCATGCCGAGCTGACCAGCCAAGGCACCCCAGTTGATGAACCAGTAGAACCAGTTGTAGATGCGGGTGGCGGTGACGGCGGGGTCAACAATGACAAGCTCGCCCTTCTGCTCCTCGACGCGGAGTGGGTCATCGGGCATCTGCTCCATGATGAGCGGGGAAATGTTGGGCTTGAAGGTACCCGTTCCGAAGCCAGTGATGAGCAGACCGAGAATGAAGACGCCGAGCGAAGCGTGGGGCTTGTCGAGAACAGAGGGGGCAGCAGAGACGACGAGGATGGTGTGGCCGATTTCAGCAACGAGGACCGAGTAGAAGATGGTCTTGTAACGACCGAGGTACTTGTCGGCAATCCATGCACCGAAGAGAGGAACGACGTAGACCCAGAACGAGTTGAAGGTGGTCAGAGAGAAGGCGATTTGCTTGCCCAAGCCAAGGGCACCAGGCTGAGCGTCATCGCTGCTGGGGTTGATGGCGGCACCAGTGGAGGTAGCGGTGGGGTTGCCGTCGGCGTCCACGCGGCCCTTGTTGATGAAGTTGGAGTAGACGACAATGGTACCGTAGTAGGACATGCGCTCACAGAGCTCGACGAAGGCAATGGTGAAGATCTTCAAGGGGATCTTCTGGGGAACACGGCGCAGCGTGCGCATCTGCTCCTCGGTGGGGAAGTCATCTCTGTCGCTGCCAAGGTAGCTCGACTGGAGGGTTGCCTTGCCCTCGGAGAGGAGGTAGGCTGGCGGCTGGGTTACATGGGCCTCTGGATGCTTGCGCTCCGGGTCTCCAGAGCCATCCAGGAAGGCGCGGTCCAGGGTGGTGGCCTGCTGTTACAGAGTGAGCACGTGCTGTGGGTGTTCTGTGTGGGAAGGGACATACGATGACTGAGTCTTCGCCGACAGGCATGGTGGGCGCAACTTGTCACAGCAGGTGGTAAACTGCAAGGGACGCTCAAAGCGAGTGAGGTTGACGAGGAGGAAGATGTCGTGGGCGTGTGGCAGCATTTGAGGGGAAGCAATATGCAGTATCTGGGCGAGACGCACGAGCCCCGGTCGACAACTGCCCGAAGAGGAAGGGACGGCCTGAGCACAACATGTTCCATGGCCCAATGGCGGCGGTGCGCTAGCGAGGATGGGGAAGGAGCGAGGAAGGCCACAAACGCCACCTAGAACGTCGATACGATGTGGTATTGGCCATTATCTATCGCATCCTTCTTGACCATGATATGGGCGTCAGCACCGAGGCTGCTCACCACGGTAATAGGCGGGATTCCACTGGCCTGGTGGGCGTTCGAGGAGCCCGGCCGCCTTTGTCTTGCCACGCGCGAGGCCAGAGATGTGCAACTGATACGGGCGCCCGCGATGGGAGCAGGGTGTTGCCACCAATTGAGCATCTCCCATTGGCCAGGGGCCGATATCTGCCTGCTTCCTCCCAAGAGTCGTGCGATAGCGCAATTCGCGCGGTGCCGTTAGGTCTGGCCTTGGCGGAGCGCTTCTTCGGTCGTTCCGCCCGCCTGGTGGAGGAGACTCGGAGAGTGGAGGAGAGCCAGAAGCACTGTTACATCGGGGCACGCCGCGGGGGCTAGCACAGGCTTTTTCTGTTTGCTCCAGCACGCAATTGCATCTCCCGCTCTTTGTGTTCAGCAGTCTCGCCATGGTGCTCGACGACGGTCGCGGACGGCCAGCCTGTACGAGGCAGGTGCGGCTGGATCGCCCTCTCCCCATCGCTTACTCTGGCGCTGATATCGGTTACAGTGCAGGATGAGCATATGGCAACGTCGCCAGTGGCCCAGAAGCGCGCCCAGCCGCTACCAGAGAAGCCTTATTGCTTGGCCCGGTATCACGCTTGACGCTTCTTGCACTGGCCGCCTCAGGAACGCCCGCCCGCACACCACAACCATCCACCATCCCGCCCTCGGGTGTCGGCCAGTGTCGGCACCACAGCCTTGGGACGGGTCCACGGCGGCATCAACTGGGCATTGCAGGATGCAGCGAAGCCCTGGCACCGCATCCAGAAGTTTGTCCAACGAGTCGCGCGGCACAGTCGCGAGAGAAACGACGGATCGCCGGCAAGGACAATGGCCAATACGCTTCTTTTCGGAAGGTGCCAGGAATAGGCTTCTATCGCGCCAATTGCGACATGGCGACGACCTTCGCGGCGGCACGGTCCTTTTCGTCGGTGTACGCTGGCTAGCTATCACCTATCTCCCAGCGCCCATGGTGTATCCAGCCTGGCCACTTACACGCGCTTCCTCGTGACAGGGGTGGGTACCGTATCCTCCACCGACTGCGTAGCATACAGACCACAGTGGGAGACACTTCTCGCGCCTCACATGCGCTCACGCACGACGACAATGGTTCAACGACGTCTGCACGCGACACTGTCAGTGCAGGCCCGCAGTCTGGAGAAGCTGGGGAGCCGAGCTACCCCAGAATGCACAACATAGCCAAACAAGGAAACTGTGACTAACACTTTGCTCATGGCCCCAGATGGAGAAAACCGCCCGGCTGAGGCTTCTAAACCGACGACATGCGCCCGACGAGTTGCTTCACGCCGCCCAGAAATTATAATTGATACTGATGCAGCGCGGCATTGGCGTTGCTGCGACAGCTCGTGCCGACAAGATGCTAGACTGCATCGTGGAGCGACTCGGAAGGGTTTGCAGCGGTCTTATCCTCCTCTACAGGCCAGTCTGCATGTGAATGTACTCGGCAGGAAACAAACGGACATGAAGAGATATTTTCTCATTACCGGTAAATCAAGACTCCAAGACGACGATACATGCACGCCGTTCAAATGTTATCCTTGACACCAGTCTAGGGCTACTTGGGCTCATACTCCTTCACCTTCTCCGCCAGCTCCTCCGCGGAAAGGTCATCTCGCAGCCACCCTCTGCTCAGCGCATCCATGTTGGTGACCTTCTTTAGACTTCCAAAGGGCAGCGGCGTGCCGACAGGACGGCTCAGCAACTCGTTCCACCTCCGCTCCTCCCCGCACGTCGCATGCTTGATCAGTTCCTCGCCATGCGGCAAGGTCAACATCTTTTTGCGCGCCCACTCGATATCGTCCGTATTGAAGAGTCCTTCGTGCAGGAGCATATATCTGAAGTCGATCTTCGAGTTGCGGCGCGCGAGTGTGGAGAGGGTACCACATACCCAATCTTCATAAACTGCACATCGACCGACAGATACCGCAGACTTTCGAACCGATGCGCTCTTCCAAACGCCTCGCCCTTGCCCGCGCTCACAATCGGGCTGATGGCTATCGAGTCCTTGTCTGCTGACCACTTCTTCCAGTAGTCATCGAGGTCTGAGCCAAACAGGACTTCCTCCACATTACGACAGAGACACAGCACAGCCGCGCGCTCGTAGTTGCTCTGCGCCGTGTCCAGCCTCTCTACCCCTTTCTCGATGAGTTCTTCCTTCTACTTCTCCTGCTCCAGCGGACTCACGCTGTACTCCTCATCTTCGTCGTCAACCTCATCCCCCGAATCCTTTTCCCACACGTCAGCCAACCCCAACTGCGCATCCACATCCCTCAGCCTCAAGTACCCATGAAACGTCTCCTTCCCATGCCCATACTCGTCCGAGTCACACAGCGCGCCATCCATAATCACGCTCTTGATCTCTCCCCAGTTCTCCATCTTCTTACCGTTGAGCCGCACGTGGTAGAAATCCCCATCGCAGTAGTGCGCTGTGATAAGCGGCGTGACCAGCGCCGCGAAGTTCTTACACACGGCTTTCACATTCCGCAGCGAGATATTAATCCTGTAGTTCTCGTGTTTGTTGGACAAGTATCCCATCGGTGGCGTCCGGGCACTAGCTTTCGGGGCTGAATGGGAGAAGATTTCGAGGAGGAGTTCGGCGGGGAGGGAGGCGAGGCGCGCTTCGCTGGACATGATGGGGGCGAGTTCCCTTGGATGGGAATGGAATGAATTGGCGGGTTTATATACATCACATGCGCTTGGCGGGGCGGGGCGTACACAAGACAGGGCAGGACGGCGCTGGCGAGGCTGGCGAGGCGAGTCGCGGTGTGTGCGGCGTGGGGGCCAATCTCTACGAAAGACTACGACGGAAGTATACTGCGAGCTCGTGAGTACGACCATCGCATTCGCATGCACCACACAAGCAATTCCCTATAGCAACTTCAAACTTTTCGCAAGTCGTATCTGCCTGCCTGCCTGCCGACATTGGGACTGAATCCCCGCAGTATTCTACCTTACCCACAGCTCGCAAGTACGCACATGGCATAACTTGTCTCCAGTGGCAGTAGACTTTAGGTGTGACGCACGCTCATGCCGTCCTGTCCTGTCCTGTCCTGTCCCGTCCCGTCCCTACCATACCATTCATTCCATCGCTTTGAAGATATACCTTAAACGATGCGACGCGATTCCCTTCCCTTCCCTTACCTTACCTAGGTATTCACCTTACTCACCATACTACCCCTCACCCAACCATCTCTCGTACTCTCGCACCGCACACGCCCGTGTACGCCAGCACGCCCCTTCCACTGCCCTTCTTCTCCTCCGCCCCATCTATCCAGGCCATAGCAGACCGCTCATCCCCCATTCTAAGCACATACTCGTCGAGGAAGTAGTGGGGGAAGGGGAGGAACGCTAGTACCGTACCTGCTAAACGCTAGAGATGGGGGATTAGTGGAGTGGTGGTATGGGTGGTGTGGTGTGGTGGTTAGGAAGGTTTAAGGGACGCGGGGTAGAGGGAAAGATGGTGTGAGATTTAGAAGGGGAAGGGCGAGGGATGTGTGTAGGTGGGGATGGGGAAAGGGGAGGGGGATAAGGGGGTAGGTCTGGGGTGGAAGGTAGAGCTGGAGGGAGGGGTATAAGGTGGATAGAGTGGGCGCGATAGATGGATTATACTGGGGGGGTTGCGAGGAGGTTAGGAATAAGTGGATGCTAGAAGTGAGGGGGAATGAGGATGCGGGCTTGGTGTTTGGCTTGATGTTATCTTGATCATGTGTATGGAGAAGCGGGGATTTACGAGGGATTCTGAGCAGAGGTTTGATTTGTAATGGTGCTATGCTGCCCCTGTGAAGATGATTTCACCAATTACACCGCTACTGATAGGTATCATCTTTTGTGAAATACCACTTTTCTCAGAAAGACTTCGTGGGCGGTGGCTGAAACCGCGAGAAAAACTAGTAGGGCGATGTCGCAATGGAAATGCATGTCGGTGGATCATGTAGATTGATATCATGCTTTCTGTTGAGTTGCATAAAATGTGCTTACAACAATGGAGACTACCGTCATATGCGCTGATAGGCGGCTCCCGTACGCTCAAAGGCACCTTACTGAACACCGTCCAGGATAACGACGTAGGCAGACCATAGCTTCCATAATTTGCTTCTGCACTCAAGCACCTCGCGTCGTGTAGAAAATATGATTCAATCTGAGAAAGACGCCGCAATAACTAACCATAACCAAAATTTCTCTAGCACACATTGTGATGCTCACCACGGACCCAATGCCATGTGCCGTCCCTTGCCATCGAAACTCGCACCCTGCGAAAGCTGGATCCGATCCATAGTCGCCCTATCCACCTTAATACGCCAAAGCGGAGTCAACTTCGCATCATAACGCTGCCAAAGACGTGGAAGGAACTTGACATCCTGCATACAGTACTCCTTGATATTCTCCGGCACAGGACGAACGTTAAACACCTCGTAGCTTCCTCCTCGCTTCGGGTCGAAGAGCTTCCTCCCTGCCTCCTTGTTCTCAGCCCACTTCGCTTTCTCCGCGTAAGACATGGCAGCGTCGCCCCTTTCCATGCATCTCGCTAGCCCATTGATGCACCTCTTCGAACCAGTGCGTGTAGCGAGCTCCATAAGCTGGATGTCCGCGATGCCGGCGACGTGGATGCCGAAATGGCTGTACAGTGCGTCGGAGTCGTTTCGGATGTCGAAGAAGGCTTTTGGGATGGCATTAGATTCGAAGATGTCTTTTAACGACTGCCCACGACTCCCGTCGGTGGTGAAGGCTAAGCCTTTGAGCGTGTGGATGTCGACGAGGTATGTTCGATCTATAGGGAGAACATAGATCTGGAGGATGGAGACCGTTCCGTGTCGGGAAAGGTTGACGCCTTCAATGTCGATGTAGAGTGATGGTGGGTTGGTCGGCAGATCGAGTAGTGAGTCGGCGAGAGAACCGACATCTGTATGTGTATCGATGATGTCAGGGAGTTGAGACATGACGAAGTATACTTCAGTGTAATTCGCTCGTAATAATGTGCAAGTGTAGAAGTGAGAGAGATCGGGGATTATGTAGGGACGTACTGTATTTATAGTCGAGCTTACGTGCCAGCCTATTCACCGCAAATGACGTTTAGACAGGCTCATTGGCTTATGATCGTATGCCAACAATGCAATGTGGTATTTCGGAATGCATTAGATATCGATGGTAACATGTAATCGAGCAATTACCCCTAACTTGTATTGTCTGATTATTGCCTTGGCTTTCCAAGATCCTCATGCATGAGGAGGGGCCCACGCTGTCGGATGACGGGCACGTCGCCTCAAGGAGCAACACATCGTGAATTTGGTCGGCGAGTAGAGTTTCGCACCAACGGTTCAGCAAAGCGTGCTCATGTAGCACTGAAGCATGGCCTAGATGTCAAGCATCGGCCTGTACATCCTCAAAACTGTATCATTTGTGGGTTTGAACATTGGTATTACATGCTAGGAACGAAAATTGATGTTGCAGACTGATCATACATAGCGACTTCGGAGCCAATCGGACTGAGACACATGCGAACATGCTGCAGTCCTATCTCGAGATCATTCATGCTTGTTGACAAGAGATTTGCGGAACATTTACCGCTACCCGGTGGTTGGCTTACTTTGAGGCCTACCAACTAGCCATGATAGGCCGTCAAGCTAGCATGTGTAACGGTCAGCCATTAGACAAGTGGGTCATCCCGGATACATCATGCAGCTAGCGAAGCGCAGGTATTGGAACCAGACAATCGGAGCATTTTGAGGCCTACCATGCCGCTAAGACCTGAATTGGATTGGGCCTTCGGTAATTCCTACATTGAGGCCTACCATAAATATCGCTCAACTCGCAGTCATTGTTTTCTTTCCTTACGGTCGCCTCTGGAGGTGGAACCGGTCCACTCATTTACATCTCCATTCGGCGACTTTACACTCTTCTTTCTCGCAACTTCTCGTTGGGACAGACTTGGTCCTCTCCTTGATAGCGCTTGCACTTTCCCCAGCAGGACTGAACCACTTCCTGCCTGTTCTAGTAGCCGGCGTCTATTTCTAGTCAGAACCACACAGGCCCGCTCGATCCCGGAAATCATCATCTACATCCTCACAACAGTTCTGAAACAAATCTTCATCTAAACCACCACGAAACTTCTCGGACTGTCGAGCCCGGAAATGTTAATCTACATCACCACGAAACTTACGGGACTGTCGAGCCGAGGTGGCTTCAACTGGGCAGTGGAGGCCCTCTGCCAGAATATGGCTGGAACCAAGCACCACGTTCTTACTACCCTGCTGGTGAGGAAAGTGAAGGGCAAGGAGAATTTCTACTACCTGAACCCCAACCCCCCGAGGAAGATGAGAGTATCGTTGGCCACTCCTTACCACCCAATGAAAACGAAGATGGGATTCAACGTCCCATACAAGAGCTTCCTACCGATGTCGCAACCACCCGCAGTACCTTGCGTTGCGGTATTTGCGGCGAAGTGTTTCCGAAGCGGCACCTGTTCAAGTAAGTTGCCCTGCTATCCAACTAATTATGCGCTATCTCAGTACTGTAGTAAACACCGCAAAAAGCACAGCCGACCGTCCAAATGCACAGCAAACCAATGCAAGCAAGCATTTCAGTTTCGAAAAGACCTTGATCGTCATCGAAGATCAAAGCACCCGGATGCTGTGCCTGATTCAATGTCACTGTATTGCTCCTACTCGGACTGTAAGTTCTCGGCCGAACACGGTAAGGGGTTCTCGAGACGGGACAACTATAACAGGCATATGCGCACTCAACATGGCGGCTGAAGTGGATAATGTTCGGTCATGTGGTAGACAATAATGCAAGCTTTCCATCCAACATGAACACTGCAATGATGCATGCCCGTAGACCTTTCGTATTCCCACAAACACAATTAATTATAGCCTAATGTGATGCGGTCTGATCCGGCCATCACAACTGGGATAGAAGCGCCACAAAGATCCTAGACTAGTGACTCTTTCCGCCCTGACTTATTCAGTGTGACAGTCCTCGCAAGATGGCTGAGCCAGAATTAACATGAAATGATGTCACAAGACCAATCTTCGTATCGTGAGCGTTTTGTATAGAATGTTGCTTTGTATTAGTCACTAATTCTTGTTTTAATCTTATCTGTACTGCGATATCATGCAGGATTGTATCCCTTACTCCACTCCGTGCAGTTCAGACCACCCAAAGCTTGCGTATCTAGGTTCCGGCACGTCACCAAATTAGACCCATTAATCGTTCTAATATCCACATTCTCCGCCAAAATCCCGGAGCAGGTATGCGGACTAGAGCACACGAGATGGCCCACGATGGGTGAGAAAACACGATTCGTGCGGCCGCGGATGTTGCGGAATGTAACGTCGGTGATGTTGAGCTTGCTAGGATGCTTGAAGCATTCTTCCTCGTCGTCCTGGCCGTAGCATTGCGTGATCGTGAGCCCGTAGTCGACGTTGGTCAATCGCATTCCATCGTACGTAACGTTTCGGACTAGGCCTCGGCCGCCGCCACCGGTCAAGCTTTCGGACTTCTCTGAGTAGGCGTCTGGCCAGACTTTGATGCGGGCGCCTTCGGAGGAGTTCTCCATAGTAATGTTGCGCACGAGAATGTTTTCTACGTAATCGACACGCTCGGGATATTGGCCGAGACTGCCGACAGAGATACCATGGGTGCCGTTGCAGCGGAGATTCTGCACCAACACATTCGTGCTGTTAGGCTTGAAAGAGACACAGTCTATACGATAGGTTAACATTTCGGAACTCTCCCTTTCGTGAATGAATTCAGTAAAGGTTACGCACCATCGCCGTTCGTGATCGTCGAATTCTCGATCACTATGTTGTCGCTCCTGTAGATATCCCAGCCATCCGTATTCTTCTCAAAATTGCCATTGTTGCTGGTTGAAAACAGATCTAAGCCTGAGTACGCAATGTTCTTAGACTCCATGACGATATTGTGCCAGAACGGAGAATTTCGCAACTTGATTTGCGACACACTCCCACCTTCCAAGCCAACTACTGCAAACAAAACTGGTCGCTTTAGGTTTTTGTTTCCGGGATATGCATCCCACCACGCTTGTCCGTTGCCCTGGATGTCTCCGGCGCCGTATATGTGTACATCTTTCCCGCCCAAAGCAAAGAACGATGTGGCATTCTGATATTCCAGATCGAAGGAGTTCTGTTCCCAGAATGTGATATTGTCGGTAAAGGATAATGTACCCTGTATGTCAAGGTCGATTGAGTTCAAAGCAGTCAGGTTGAGGGGCGAAGCGATCGTGTAGGTAAGCTTCTCCGCGAAGATAACGTGGCCGCCATTGTTGCAGTCTTGAATCGCTGAGAGAATGCCTGATGCATCATCGACTGACGAATCGCTGTGAGAAGGGGCGAGGCATGTTCTGTTGCGATTTGGGGAAGCAAGAGCGTGGAATGGGCGAGGGCTACGGAGTGTTGATAGGAAATTCTCGTCTACCGAAGCACCCTGTACATATTGTGCCAGGAGCCATGAAGCTGCTAGGAGACATTGCTTGAGGATCGTCATGTTGAAAGAAGAGTAACAAATTTGTAGGAAATCCTCGCGGTATGCGAACGCACTCTGTACATTTTATACCGTTCTCAGCCAAATTAGTGAAGCAGGAGTACCTACATTTCTTGTCTTTCGGTCTAGCTACACCCGCAAGCTCTATATCTTTAAGCTCTTTTGGGAGGAAGCGGAGGCTTTACTGGCTGAACAGCTCTTCAATCCCCACAAAGCTCCAAAAGGCGGGGAATGAATGTGGAGGAGAGGATACTAGCGGTGAATAGGAGCCTGGGCATCTTTGATAATTGGTACATTGGGCACTTGGCAGTCTGCCGTGAACACAACTGTTCGAGGTTGCAGGTGATGACTTGCGTGCGAGTCAGGTAGCAAAGATTTAGAACCAATCGCGAGCATGATGGATGGCGTAGCTAGTGTCATTTTTTCCACCAATGAACTCTCATCCAGCTAGTCTTGCCCTCTACGATCTCACGATTCTACTATGTATCTACGCAAAAACATTCGACCCTTACACACTATCCTCTGGGTTGCTCTTGTTGCTCTTTGGCCTTTTAGGTGTCTTCGAATCCTTGAATTTAGCATCATTCTTGGGTCTTTGTGTGCGTCCGCCCGCCTTCCATGGCGCCGAAAATTTCATCGACATGGCGTTTTTCCTGGCTACGGTGAACTTCTGGAGTTTTCGAAACAGATCTGTCGTCACCTGCTTCCGATGCTGCTCTTTTTCTGAGTCTTTTCTTCCAACCTTGGTGTCTTTGCGATACTTCGCCAAGCAGTATTTCTTGCGAAGTTCACCCTCCCATTTGGTGACGAACTGCTCGTGACGACCAGCCATCTCCCACTTCTCGTTCATGTACTCATCCCACAAAGCGCCCAAGTTTAGTATCTTCCAAGGATGAAGAGTGCGTGCTGTCTGCTGCGCGCCCGTACGTGAAGAACCGCCGGACGCAATGCTTCGTGCATTCTTTGGATCAGCCAATGCTCTTTCGATTTCGTCAAATCGGTCTTGTAAGCGGATATTGACGTCCCTCATAGCTTTGCGAACTTTCTTGTCGTTGAGGTACATTCGAACTCCTACAACGTTACGCAATCGGAGGAGTGCAGCTCCAGGGTCATTCAGAACATAGTGCCCTAAACTGCCCTTCTCGGGAATTCCGGCTGCGAGCATCTTCTCGTTATATAATTGACTTGGGACAGGCACCCAGTCATCTTTAAAATCGTCAGGCTTACCATTCCACTTGAAGAACTAAGTATGTGTAAGCCGCAAGAAGCCCATTTGCCTTGATGACCTACCCTCAGCTTAAGTTGATTAAGGGACTTTTGCGGTCCAGTAAACTCTTCGCGTTTGAATTTTGGATCAGCAGATGGGTATACATCCGCAATGTGCTCGAGTGGGTTTCGGGAAGGTCCATCCTTCTCAAGTTTAAAGCTCTGGTCTGTGGGCCAATTTCCCCAGGTGGTTTCCCAGGCGGTGCAGAACTTTTCTTTTCCTCGACTTTTGACCCCATGGGCGCCTACAATGTCTTTTTTGGGATCGGCGTTTGGGACCTTGTCCTTCGCAAACTTCGCATCAAGGAATATGTCGAAAAATTGAGCTATTGTGTTCCACTCGAGAACATGCTCAGTATCATACTTGTACTGGCCTTTTTCATCTTTCGTCCCATGTTTCAAACCTGGAACCCCTTTTGAACCATTCATAGCTCGCACAGTCTTCTTCTTCCTTGTATCCGAAGACAGGTAGCATTTTCTGTCCGCGTGTCAGGCCCTATTGGCGGTTGATCTGACTGGACTACTCACATTTTGTTCGATCTCAAGACTAAAAGGTTGGTATTTGTTGCTCTTAAAGCCCATAATAACGTTGCATGGTCTTGAACTCTTTACACCCGAGGTCGTCTTGCTTTTGGCTTTACCCTTCCTCTTTTTAGATCGTGTGACGATTTCCGAATGAGGAAGATGACCGGATTGGAGTCTTCTTTCAAGGCCTCCACTTCGCGCCAAGCCTTGTTCATCTGCGGCCAATTCTACATGTAGCTGCTTGCAGGTTTTCAATGGTTTGAGCTTGACAGGCTTGGACGATGTGGGGGTATGCTTGTTGATAGTTGTCTTAGTGGGTCTTGCTCGCGATCGACTTTTCGTGGGACGCTTTCCGGGCCGCTTCTTAGATGTTGGATGCTTGGAGGCCGGATGTTTGGTACTCTTCTGCTTCGATGTCGGGCGCTTCGCCTTGGGATGTTTGTATGCTGGCCGCTTATTGCTAGCCCTGCCACCTCTGGCTCGCGCTCTGATACGTTTGTCTTGATGAGATGAAACGTTGCTAGTGATAGCGATATTGTATGCAATCTCATCAGCAATCAGCTCACCACCCCGGACGCATGAACGATCGCTACACGTGGATATGATCGTATTGAAGCTAGCACTGCAATCGTCCTGCGTGGCATGTGTAGCTTCAGAGAATCCAGTAATGGTAAGTATAAGGCTGCCGAATTCTTCGCGCACGCCTTCGAAGAGATTCGATATGCCCGAGGCATTGGCACATAGAGAGATAATCTCACCCCTTAGCTGAGGGACGATCGTCGGCATTTCCAAGTATTCATACTGATGATCATCACAAATCGCCCCGATTTTGGTTGCAGATGCAGCTTGTATGCAGGTTAGAGCCTCTAGAAAAATGAGGGCGGCTGTTCTCATCGTGACTGATGATTCCCAAGGATGAATGGTTGTGGATTGCAAACGGAGATCCCGTGGATTGGAGATGGGACTCAAAGAGGAGATGAAAATACTGGAATGAGCGGCAGAAATGAAAGAAGAGGGACGGGCGAAGCAAAAAGAGGATGTGATACGATTGCGACTTTTTACGAACAATTGTAGCTATATGTATGCGTACACTGATAGGAGAACACCTAAGTGTAGTCGAAAAAGTACATGAATGAAGTCCGGATCACCCTCGGACAATTGATACGATACAATCATCTTGCGTTGCTGACAGGCCAAGAACACAGTGTCCGGTGGCACAGAAGACGACTCCCATGTTACGGACACAGATCTGCCAACACATAGTTAGGCATGGTGTAGTGGGGTCTGCTCGATACACTCAAGTCTCTAGAGCTATGCTCTGTACGAGGACTTATATGTCTCGCAGATCGTACGATTGGGGAAACATGTACTAATTTTCCACAATTATCGGTGCTTCATTTTTAGCCTACTTATGAAGTGATCTATCGGGAATGTAGACCGGGGGCGCCTTCACGGAGAGCTTGCTCGCGGGCGGCGTAGTTACGAACGGCACAGTCATCGGGTGTACAATCGGGCACCTGTAAGCAAGCAACACAATGCGCCAAAACAATGTAGCTACGCAACATGGAGATCCTTATGGCTATGCTCATGGGGGGCTGTTCTACAGGTTCTGAACAGTATCACATTTATCTACTCTAGTTAAGATTTTCTACTCGCATAGATATGTCACTGTCTCTCCTTCAGAAATATTTCGGATAGAAATCTTCACCATGATAGCCTGGGCATATAGTACCTACCATTCGGAAGGTTCAAGTCAGCTTATGCTTGGAATGTCACAATAATATGCACTCACCGTATTCGAACCAGTCTCTTCTTGGAAGTGTCACCGCTTGCCCGGTATCATGCCATGTCTCTTCCAGGTGGGGTCCGTAATAATTCTCCCCAATACTTCGGAAGGATTGATGCAGATTGGCATCTGGCCTCCACGATCCAACTCTCCACTTGATCCGACGTGCCGTTGTCAAAGTCATGCCTTCGGTGCTACAAGCACCTGGGACATCAGCACCTGGGGCATCGTACTTCAGACCCCAACCGCAAATGTTCTCACTATATTGATCCATAGTATCCCCATCGTATTCTTCCCAGTCGCTCGGGTGGAAACGCATAGGAGCCCAGAGCCATGCTTCAAGAAGTCGTGGCATGCTAGCTGCGGCCTGCGCAAATGCCTCCAGAAATGGGACCAGCTGTTCCTCCCTTGGTACTACCCGAAATGTGTCTTCGGGTTCTGGTGTGTCGACCCCGTCTCGGTAGCACCATTCTTCCTTTTCTTCGATGTCATCTTCGAAAGGCGGGTACGGGTCGTCTTCAGCAATCTGGTCGCTTACATCGTCATCGTCATCGTCATCGTCCTCGTCCTCTGGACCTTGAAAGTACCACTCTCCTGATGGCGAGCAGATGTGAAACAGCACCGTCAAGAACTCTAGGTTTGGCCAAGAGGGAGGGAAATCATCTCCACTGGGCCAGAACAGACTCTTGTCAGCGACAACATGCAGATCCATTCTACTCAGGGAGTAGGAGAGCAGGCGTAGACTCGAGCTGAAGGGATCAGAGGCCATTGATCCTACCAGATTGGGCAACTGCTTGTTCTGCTCTTGTAATGATGCATCAATATCGTTAATGAAATCCAGTTGCACCTGCTTCAGACTAGCTGGCAAAGAAGTTGACCGAGCAGCTGTAGCGAAATCGATCCTGGTGTCACGCCGGCATCCGAGATAGTCGAGCATGAAGTGCTCTCTCACCGGGTCCTGACTGTCAGCCCATTCATAGACCCCTATTTTGCATCCCAAATATTCAAGATTCGGTAATCTGTTGGCTAGATCTATAATAACGCGGAGGTCGAGCTTGCGGGTATGGTGTGAAAATTTACCCTCACCAGGGGCCGTGTTACAGATGCTGAGAGCTCGTACAGAGCGTAATTCTGGAAGCTCTGTAGGTGAAAGGAGATGGACGCGCCAGCTGGAGTACAGTCTATGGTTGCAAAAACCTGTACTGATGAATTGTGTTGGAGTGAATATCCTCATCTGTATTCGTCCAGCACCGTCTGTTTGTGTCCGTTCCGCCTGTTAGAGAGTGTTCCAAACTTCCCTGATCTGTTCAGAGAACATCGCATCTCTCTGAAAGAGCTCCTCAGATGATTCTCGACAAGGACCCGCTTCTTCTTGAGGTGCGGAGTTGTCGATAACAGGCGGTACTGAAGTGCGCACATGAACATTGCGCAGGTAACGAAATCGACGGCCGCTACCGCCGAACTTGGAAAGAAAATCCTGCCGTTCCTCTGGAGTGTTTTCTTTGAAGGCGAAGAAGGCAAACTCGCCAGATGCGGGCTCTGCTGCATGTTGAAATTTGCGGGAAACCAGAAGAGTATTTTTTAGGTCATTGTAAGCGAGGAACGAGGTAATTTGGTCTATCAGTTCTTGGGGGAAGGTATCCATTTCAAACTGGTGATAGGAAAGGGATCGAAGAGAAATAGTGGGCTATGAGGAGATAGGGCAGGAATCTCGGTGTTGCGAGCTCGGGGTTGACTTTTGGGGCGCTGAAAGCTTTGCGGCGCAGCAACCTTGGGCGGTTCCACAACCAATATGATGTCGCTTATGTAATACGATCTTTTGTTTCATACCTTCTTGCTCAATACAAGCAATACAATAGATGGGGACATGTTTGGGTTCGGTATGAACATCCAGGTACTATCCCAACTATTCAATGATCTAAACGGACTGAGATTTATGACCGGTAAAGGATGCTCATCATGCAGATACCGAAGACCCCAGGCTAACTCGAGTCGTCCCTATCTCACTGTTAGTCGATCCTATGTGTACGTGGAGTGCGATTGCACCGCGGCTTACTTACTACACTAGCACAATTGTCTTGCGATACTAAACATTCAAGATTTGTTCTTAGCTTTGGCCACAACCTCCACCCTCTCAAAAGGCCGCTCTTTCTCCTCATAGATATCTTCCGCCTTCTTCGTCTCTACTTCCCCTAATCTTCGTATACTAACGCCACTCTCAAATAGTTGATCCACCTCTTCTAGGCTCTTACCTTTCAGCTCTGGCACAACGAACCATGTCACAACCATCACCATGACGTTGATAACTCCATACACAAATCCGAGTTTAGCGCCAATCGCAGAAATAATGTATGGGGTAGAGAAGGAAGTAACAAAAGTAGTCAGCACGGAGACGACCATCGCAATGAGATTGGTTTTCTCTTTGACACGCGACGCTGCTGTTTCTGATACAACGACATAGGAGCTTCGGGTGTAAGTCAGTATTGCTGCTGCGACGAATTTAGGTTGGTGGATCACTCACATAGGTGCCCAGCTCAAAGCATAGAAGAATCCGAACAACATGATGCTCGAAACCATCATATTTTTGCCCGCAGAAGTCAGCTCATGCGTGGGTACAGCACCCATACCACCAAGTATGAACATCATGGCCGCCATCAAGGTGCCTCCCGTTAGCAGCGATGGGCGGCGACCCAGAGCATCGACCGTGAACCATGTCATGGTGACTGCAAAAAGGGAGATGATGTTGCTGAGTACATTGAAGAGGAAGGCTTGCGAGGCAAAGCCCTGCGATTGGTAGAAGATAACGCCGTATTGCGAGGGAAAGGCTTGGCCGGTGATTTGTTGGCCGAACATCACGAAGATGGCAATGCCAGTACGGACCTGTGATAGAAGGTGTTACGATAGCGCGTTGCAGTAAAGTGTATGTGCGGACTGACCCTATTTTTCTTGTTGAAAAGTTCCATCCATCCGCCCTTGTGTTGGCTCGCATTTGCATATCGTAGGCTCTCAATTTCAAACTTTACTTCTTCCTCACCAGCATGCTTCCTCAGTTTCTTTAGATTCATCACCGCATCCTCAACCCGATCTTTACTTAAGAGCCATCTCGGACTTTCGGGTACAAGCGGAAGGAGTACTAGGATGATGGCAGGCATCACTAACTGCAACCCGATAGGGATTTGCCAGCCCGCGTTCGACTTCATACCTCTAGTGCCAAAAGTGACGAGTGACGAGATGACCTGGCCAAGGATGATCATAAACTGGATCGTGCAGCCGAACATGCCGCGTAGCTCAGCAGGAGCCGTCTCGCCCTGATAAATTGGCACGACTACCACAGCCATGCCAGTCATGGCATACGCGATGATACGACCAAGCGTAAATTGGGCGGACGTTGTAGCTGAGGTTTGCAGGGCAGCACCTCTACATTCCATTCAGTACTTTTGCTCAACACACAGAATGGATTTGGCTCACATAAAAGACAGGATGCAAAGCCAAAATATAGCACTTCGTCTTCCCCACCGTTCAGCAATGAGACCACATCCGATAGCACCAAGTGCCTTTCCAATGAAGGGGGTGGCTGTCATGACAGATCGCAACCAGCTAGGCAGCGTCCAAAGCTTCGTCTTTGGGTTATAGACGCCGAAGTCGTCCTGGAAGCTCTGCATTCCCTGAACACCGCCGAAAGTGCCTACATCGAAGCCGAAATTGAAGGCAGTACATGACATGTGCCTGCTCTTATTAGTTGATCATAATAGACGCGCGATGTAGGAGGAGGACGTACAGCATGATGAATACCAGCATTGGGTTGAAGTACTTCATCCTCTCCATGAAGGAGAGGTTCTTGGGCGGTGTGGGCGCCATCTCTTACTGCCGTTGATGTGCAAATATGGACTTAGAAACGACCCTTAGGTCAATGATGGTCTATCAGAGTACTGGGTAGTCAAGGCATATATACGCCTGCGCGTGGACAAGGGATGGGCTAGCCGACTTTCCCCCGGCTTCGAGGTGATGACAAGCTCGCAAGGCCGCCAGACCCCACAGTGAGTCGGTGCGGAGGTGGCGGAGCGCTACTCGGATCTTAGACGCGTGGTCGGTGACATTATTGGAAAGGGAAGGATATTCGATGATGCCTGACAATAGTGCTTGCGGTTCTCGGTGCCATTAGTAGCGGCTCTCGCGCGGCTCTCGCATGGCGAGATCGGACACCCCCGCGACATAGCTCGAATTATGGAACTATACTCCCCAGGCCTCCGTGCCGATTTTGTTATTCGGTCAAGTAAGCCTCGGACATTCCGTCGTTTTTAGGGTTTTTAGGTCTCTCCCAGCTTCGACCAAATACGTACGCGTGGAAGCTCAGTCTGCGCACTGCTGAACAACAGCCTCCTGAAACATGGCGGCCAAACGCCCCAACTTTCTAATCATCGTTGCGGACGACCTTGGCTTCAGCGACTGCGGTTGCTTCGGTTCTGAGATCTCGACCCCCAACATCGATGCCCTCGCAACAGAAGCGAGCGCCCTCCGCTTCACAAACTACCATGTCGCTGCAGCATGTTCGCCAACAAGGTCTATGCTCATGACCGGAACAGATCATCATATCGCAGGTCTTGGCCAGCTGCACGAATTTACGCGTGCTTCTCCGGCCCACAGTGGCAAGCCTGGGCACGAAGGGTTTTTGAATGAGCGTGTGGTTGCGCTACCAGAGCTTTTATCCGATGGGGGTTACTTCACGCTGATGTCCGGCAAATGGCATTTGGGTCTGCGCCCGGAGCACCATCCTATCAATCGAGGTTTCAAGAAGTCTTTCGCCCTTCTCCCTGGCTGCGCGAACCACTACGGTAAGTTGACACCTAGAAAACATGTATAGATAGACGCTGATGATAAGCTTGGTAAGCTTACGAGCCCGAATACAAAGACCCAGAAAGCGAGCCTGGAAAGTTCTTCGAAACCGCGACGCGCGCACTGCACGCTGAAGACGACCATTTTATGGACCAGCTACCGCCTGGTTTCTACAGTAGTGATGCATATGCGGATAAGCTAATGACATATCTGGATGACCGAACGGAAGAAGAGAAAGCGCAGCCCTTCTTCGCGTATTTGCCATTCAGCGCTCCTCATTGGCCACTTCAAGCGCCAAAGGAAGTATGCGACAAGTATCGCGGAATGTACGACGAAGGACCTGAGGTCCTGCGACAGAAACGACTGACCCGATTGCAACAGCTGGGCATGGTCGAGCAGGACGTTAAGCCACATCCAGTCGTGTTCACCGACGGAAGGACCGAGGATTGGGAAGAACTACCGAAAGAAGTCCGCGAAAGCTCGAGTCGCGCGATGGAAGTCTACGCGGGCATGGTTGATCGCATGGATTGGAACATCGGCCGTGTAATCGAGCATTTGAAAGCCATGGGCGAGTACGAAGATACATTCGTGCTGTTCATGAGCGACAATGGGGCTGAAGGTGCAAGCTACGAGGCGATGCCGATAGTAGGGGATAGCATCATGGCACACATCGACAAGTACTACGACAATAGCTTGGAAAACATAGGGCGGGGCAATAGCTTCGTATGGTGAGACGATTCCGGATCCACCTGCATAAGGGACGTACGCTGATCATTATGGACCCGTTAGGTATGGCTGTCGTTGGGCACAAGCCGCTACTGCCCCATCCCGGTTGTACAAGATGCATTCTACAGAAGGTGGATGCAAAGTACCGCTCATTGTGAAATCGCCAACCTTCGCTAATAAAACCGCTGCTGATAATAGGACTGGTGCTATCAACAATGCTTTTTGTACCGTTATGGACATCGTCCCAACTGTTTTAGAACTGGCGCAGCTCAAGCATCCGGGAACATCGTACAAAGGACGCCAGATCGCTCCACTGAGAGGACGAAGCTGGGTCGACTTTTTATCAACAAAAAGGGAAGACATACACGACCCGGATTACGCTACCGGCTATGAGATTGCTGGCTCCGGTGCACTGCGACGCGGTGATTGGAAAATAACATTTGTACCGGCACCGAAGGGACCCCAGAAATGGGAGCTCTTTAACATCAAAGAGGATCCCGGCGAAACTAACGATCTAGCGGAGGAGCAACCAGCACTGTTCGAAGAGCTTCTGAAGCTTTGGAACGAGTACAAAGAAGAGGTCGGCGTGATAGGTGTTGCCGGCGAATATCCTACAGCAGTACAAGGTGACCCGAAGACGACTTTGATTGATGAATTCGAAGATCCGTATTGCTGGATTAAATACATAGGACGACCTGAAATAACACCACACAGACTGAGAGGTATTGTGCCTCTAGTCAAGTAGGTCTACAATTCACGTGTGTCGAATTCAGACGTTGCCTAAGGTGATTCATTGCGCTTGCGCGTTGTAGTTCCACCAGTCGGAAGCATCCCATGTGAGGAAATGTGCCACTAGCAAGACGTTAGCTTTCAATGGCTCCTCTGTTCATGGTTTATTTAGTGTATAGACTCACTCTCATCTGCTGTGCGAAGGTAGTCTTCCGTGGACATTTGCCCCGCCTCGTCGAGAGAATCGCCTAGGCGCTGAGATAATGGCATCGATAAATCGTCGACAGGGTACTGCTGCATTGCTCGTTGCTGGAGCTCTTCTGGCCCAGGCTGCGTATGCGTAGTTGCAGTGGGCGATATAGGCGGTGGTCGGAGACGGCTCTGGTCCTGTTCACCCTCTATAGATCTTACAGTTCGCGGACTTGACTGCTCCTGCTGTGCTCTTGCTTCGGATCTGGCCCTGCGAAAGAGTGCTGTATTGATGAGGTGATGTTCACCAGCGGAACCAGTAACCTCGGCTTGAAAGCCGATCTCCGATGTATCTATATCGCTGCACTGCTTTGCGAGCTCATGGAAACCGAAACCGACACAGAGGGACAAAAGAGCGCGTACATGAGGACTGGGGCCCGGTTTTCCCAAGGCCAACATTTTGAGCACGTCGAAGTTGTTGCAGATGACTCTTGTTGCAGCAGGCATAGACTCGATGCCTCCCAAGTTGAGCGCTGCGCAGACGATATGGATTTTCGTCGATTCGGAGGTTGCATCAGCAGCAAAGCTATCGTCAAAAGCTAGGCGACCGTGAGACTTACTTGCCCAAACAATATTTGCTACCTCTTTCGCGTGAAAAAGACATCGGTCCTGGCATTGCGCAGTGAATTCGTCTGTGGCGTTCCGAAAACCGGCGGCAAGAGGAAAGTTGAAGCCTGGAAGAGAGATGCGTGTCAAATCACACATGGCTGCGTGGTAGAACAGATGCAAAGAGACTAGAGCGCCAAGTGTATGCTGATCTTTGTGCATATACATGTTGAGCTCTGTGAGAAGGTATCTAGGCGGAAGATTGGCGTAGAAAGCCTCCAGTCTCTGCAAAATCGACATGAATGGAGAGATGGGTTCCCATATATTTGATGTTGAGATTGATTCTCTGATACAGCTACACACGATCAGCTTGAGGTTTCGACACGAGGTCGAGAAGAATACCGTAGCACAGCCGAGCCTGAGACAATTAGCGGATGTAGTATAGGCCACATGCGTAAGTGAACTCACGAAGATGGATGAGAATAGCACTAAGTGCCGGCAGTTCTAGAGACCGAACAACGATGGGGTTTTCGAGTGCGTCGAGTAAGAAGGATGCATTGGACGGAATTTGGGAGAGAAATTCGGCGTCAGAGCACGGAAGTGGTATATCTGGGGAATCGCCACGCCAGGCAGAGTTCTTGTCAACACCAGAAGCAACGATGACGTCGATAGTGTAGCATGCCCACACCACTCTATTCTCGAGTTCTCGTTTCGGATCCACAGTCTCGTCTGCTGCTGTATGCGTGGGTTTGTCGAGGCCCAGTAATCGCATATGCCGAAAGAGGTAACCACCTAATAAGAAGACCATGGCGTACTGATCAGTCTGAGCTGCATACTCGCAGAGCAGAATTATTGCCTGTCATCAGTCAGTGTGCGATCAGTGTCTTGAAATTACATGTTAAGATGGAAAGGCATTGTCCATTCTTCCAGTGTAGTTCATGTGGCAACATAGCTTTTACCCAGGGATAGATGTACTTGCACTTGCTGACGACATCAAAGGGAATCCTGCGGTCCTACCATTAACTGCTGTAGGGTAGGCCTGTGTAAATGCGCTAGAATGTTGGTCCGGGCTTGACCCGCCAGATGCTGCGCATGAGATGCGAAATCATTCACGTGTTCTTGGACTGAATCGAGGTATAGAAGCCTTGGATATGGGTGTCAACGATATCCTTAACGAGACAAGGGCACACAGACATACCTCGCACCCAAGGCACACATGATGTCGACTAAAGGAGATGCATAGTCTACTAGCAGCGTCCCATGGTCTATCGATTGCATGAAGGAGGGCTTATGAATAAACCCGAGACATCTGAGAGGATGAATCCGTTTGAAATAAGCATGTAAAAATCGAGACCTCAGTGTCGAATCATCGAGCATACTAATGTGATGAGCAGCAGGGTGGTGCGTTGTATGGTGCATCTCTTCCATTTCACCAGATCTGGGTTCATGGGAAACATCGAGCGGGGTGTTGCAGGAGCTATGTGCGTAAACACAGCCGATGTTCTTGGTGAGACATCGCCGGCAAAGAGGACGAGTTTTTGTACAGCGATGCTTGGCTACGCGGCAAGCTTCACAAGCGCCAACTCGTCGTTTCTCAATGCCTGAGGCCTTATAGATGGCTTCAGCGGATAGTGTTGCTTCTTGTCTCGTAGTCACGTCTCGTTGGCCGTAGCCGGGGCACTGCAACCCCAGACGCTCGCAATTTTGGCAATGTGGGAGATGTCCATCGCATTTCACCTGACTTCGTCAACACGAACCAACGAGATCCGATAGAATGGCGTCAATTGGTACCTTGCGCGATCGACAGACGATGCATACCGCCATGCTGCGGCTGTCGCTTCCGGTTGTCGCGTTTTTAAAGCGTTCGCAGGAGTGCGAGAGCCGGCCTGCCAGACGCGCGCAACTCACATGGAGCTAAGCGAAGATGAAGATCCAATTCTCCAGACCAATGTGTGTTGACGTGCTATTGTGTTCGAATTGCGAGACTGCAACGCAAAGCCTCCGGACCAGCACTTCGCGTGATTTCCCAGGCCGAGAGCCGGGCAGTTCGCAGCCGAGAGCCGCATCCTTCCGCGAAAGCCGCGCGCAACATTAACAGCGCACGCTGATGGACATTCACCATTTCAATCGGGACTCGTATAATGCGATACGCTCTAACCTTGTTCACATACATGCAATTGGCTCTATGTGACCTCCAGTGGCGCATTCGCGGGAACGTGATATGCACCACTAAACGATGCGGAGAAGGTCTTTCCCCGCGTTTGTAGGACGACAGGGTGATCCCTCTCGGGATCTAAGAGTATGGATAATGAGACATAAAGGTAGCAACTGCACACGCATATTGCTCAAACATTGCTTCACCTCTCGAACAAGCTACCATGAGCTCCTCCTTGTTCACTGTCATTGGCTTCCTATTCACGTTTACAGTGGCAACTCAACACTCTCTGCTCAGATTTGGAGCTCCATTCAAAGCGCCTAAAGCTGCGTCGAATGTCATACCACATGATTTCTCTTCTTTCTCGTTCCCGGCACACTGGTTCGCGGACTTCACGGGCAATCATTCCCATCCCAATCTATTCTCGAAAGACATCCTAGATCTTCTGGCGAACAAGACAGGTGCTCAGCCTTTCATACGTGTTGGCGGAACTTCAACGTAGGTGACTAGATCTTCCATATACTCCCGTCGTGTTTGGCTTGATGAGCTCACAAAATCTTGCAGTGACCGCGTCTGGTACAATGCTTCGCAAAGGCAATCGCTTGTCAACGAATTTGCGGCCGGCACGGTCACAGGCAACATCGGCATCCCTGAGCGTGTGAATATTGGCCCTGTGTTCTTCGAAGGCTTCGATACCTTTCCAAATACGCACTGGTCATGGCAGGTCAACATGGGCCAGACGTACGGTGTCGAAGGTGGCAAAGAAAATGCCGTGGAGGCCGCAAAACTGGTGATGAATCGTGTAAAGAACCGGCTGGAGAGCTTTGAAATTGGAAACGAGCCAGATATCTTCTACCTGGTAGGGCATCGCCCTGAGAACTACTCGATGGCAGAGTATGTGAGCCAATGGAATGAGTACGCCGATGCTGTGAGTGAGGAGGTACTCAAGGGAAACCAATATGGGCTTGAGGAGAGGAGGTTTTTCCAGACTGGGACGTTTGCTGGAGGAAAAGGGTGGACGGTGTATGTTCCATCTTTCCCAATTCGCGTCTTTACTAACGACATACGTAGGCAGAAGCTTCTAGATGCTGGAATAGACCGGCACAAACACACAAAGTCTGTCTCAGTTCATCACTACGATGGCGTCGGCGAGCCCTGGATTCGCCTCGGGTCCTCCCTCATGAACCACACTAACATAGCTTCGAACGTCTCAAGCCTCGTTCCCAACATCAAAGCCTCCCGCAACTGGACACCCTCTCTGCCTTTCATCCTGGGCGAAACCAACTCCGATGCGTCTAATCTCAATTTCACCCAAGTTATCGGCGTATTTGGGTCTGCACTGTGGCTCATCGATCGCACCTTTCTTTCCATGGCCGCAAACATGCGTCGTCAGAACCTCATCCAAGGCACCACCTTCGGGTACACAGCTTGGGTTCCTGTGTCGAGAGATGGACGTGAACCGTATGTGCGGCCGCCCCTGTACGGCCAGATCTTCACCGCTGATGCCGTTGGTACACATTCTGAAGTACAGGTGTATCCAATGCCGGCTTCAAAGCCTAAGTTCGTGTCGCATGCTATCTACGAAGCTGGGAAGCTTGCTAGATACGCTCTAATCAATTTCGACGAGTGGAACAGTACGACGCCATATGAGCGTCCGTCGCAGAGTGTGGAGCTAGCTGTGCCAAGATACATACACAAGGTTCAGATTGAGAGACTTACCGCGAGCGGCGCAAGTGCAGACGAGGGCATCGAATGGGCAGGCCAGAGCTGGAATTATACGGATGGAAGATTGGTTCGGCATGGGAAGCATATAGTCGAACATGTGAAGGCCAGGAAAGGAGCTGTTATGCTGAGCGTATCGTCTACGGAAGCTGTCCTAGTGACGCTCAAACAGCGCGCATGGTCGTAGTGGCGTGTTCGATGGCAGTCAATGCTAGTAATAAAGGACCGGCTTTGCGAACAAGCCAACAACCATATGTTACCATACCTAGCGTTATGAAGAACAATGGCGGCTTCTGCTACCGTTGAATTGCTGTGCTCGTCGAAAACCTCGTAATTGTCGTACTAAGCTACAGCAAGCCATTCAGCGATAGTCAAGGTCTTGCATTCGTATCCTAGTAGGCTTCTATTCTACATTTCGTATATTCTATACATGTCTTAAGGGGTTACTGACGTATGACTGACATCATTGCTCACATACTGTGTATCATACTGTGTAGACCGCGTGGCTAGAACGTCCGGAAATTGTCCGATGAGGATTGGTCAGCCTTTTTCGAGGAATTGCCCAAGTTTGAGTCGCAGAGTGTTGCCCAAAGTATTAAGTTATTTAAGCCAAGGTTTCCCAAGAGTCCGTCTCCCGGAACGATTCATGCATCAGCCGCAGTCTTTTTAGACTAGGGCGATCGGGGCGGTGATCATCGTTATGGCTTGGCGGAATCCTCGTAGATTCCTTACTTCGGAAAACAGAATGAAGAAGTATTCGCGATCTGATGCCCCGCGAGATGTTTCCAAGGCTTGCCAATCACAGAGGAGGATCGCCAAGTGAATCAAGTACTGCGATCAACACCAACGCCAACAAGCTCATGGATGCTTTAGGGAGGCAGTGCGAAGCTAATCGCCAGCGATGGTAGCAACGAAGATGCGAACGCGAACATTGGCGAAATGATTGGAAGGAACGCTGGAATGCGAGTTCGAGGTATAAGTAGGGACGCTCTTGCGCCCTTTGGTAACCATTACCATCCAGTATCAAGTCTTCATACTGAAATACTTTCCTCAGAATTACACTCTCGTATCAAAACCACTCCAAAGGATATAGACCACCACAGTCAGCCAATATGAGGTTTATCGAATTCATCGTTATGGCTACAATGGCCGCTGCCACTGTGAGTTTGATACCTTAGCATAGCCAGTGATGGCCATCTTCAGTGCCCCCCGCTGACCACAAAGTAGCCCGCGAGCATGTCCACCAAAGACTTCGAGGCCAAGTTCGGAAAGCGCGCAATCGACAGGGTTGACTGCGAACTGGACTGGACTCCCGCTTACGCAGCGGACGCATCCAATGCAATCAACAACCTTGAGGATATGACTCAACTCTGTGAAGCGCCAGCCGGAGAGTGTAAGCGTATGACTTGCGGTATTGCATGCGCGTCGACCTGGATTTGTGGTGGCGCCGAGGCCGTCTCGGTGGTCTGTAATACCCTACCGGATTATGGCTGGGCTACCGTCAACGAATGCGGCGATGGGACTCTCGAGAGCACCGTTGTCGGTGAGGCTTTTGATACTGCGGGATGGAGTGTTCGCATCTCCAATGATCAGGGCTGCTGCTAAGTTCGGTTTGGTGGAAGTTTGGGGCCAAGGTGGCGGTTATGGTGGGACCTGGGGGTGAAAAGGGTATAAAGCTGCTTTCTGATGTATCGTAGGCTTAGCATCAGAGAAATACAAAACTCTCATAGCAGAAGACACATGAAAAAAACTCCTAGTGAGATTTCGTGAGGAATGTGTTTTATGGACTGGTTTTTAGAGTTCTTAACTTTTTCTTAGATTGAATCTGCTACAGGTCACAGTTTGAAATCCCTCTTCACAAGCTTCTCGCTCAATGCCCAAAGCCTCTTCGCATTCTCCTCGTCTGTCGCAAATGGAGCGGCATCGAACAACTGGCAGTCATGTAATAGAATCCCTTTCGGCTCTATATCCACATTTTAGCTGCTGCAAGATTCACTTAATCCGGGGGCCTCACCTTTGAGCGCAGGATCCAGAGCAGCTACGAGCGTAGTAGAAGCGCCCTGATCATGATTCTTCCAGAAAGAGCTCGTAGCACGTATTGCCGCTTCACCATCTGCATCAAGGTTTCTACTCATGCCCGTCCAGATAGCTGTGCAGTGTCAGAAATAAGCTACCTCGGGGAGCCGTGAACTTACATCCTGGATGTACAGCATAGCTAACAATGCCCTTTTCCTTCAGTAACTTACTCAGCTCCACGGAAAACAAAATATTTGCTGTCTTAGCCTGTCCATAGGAGATATAGCCATTGTAAGCACCCTCTTGGCCTTTGGTGAACATTGGCGGCAGAGGCGCGGGTTGCTCTTCTGGTGGGATGTCGTTTCCTTCGAAGTTATAGTCGTGGAAGCGGATTGGGCTGAGGCGATGTCCCAAGCTCGTTAGGTTTACCACACGCGTGAGACCTGGAGCGTTCGTCTTGGCTGCAGCGAGTAATCGGGGCATCAATAGGTTGGTTAAGAGAAAATGACCGATGTGGTTCGCGCCAAATTGCGCTTCAATACCTTCCATGGTGAAGTGGTGCTTCGGCGTCATGAAGCCTGCGTTGTTGATGATAATGTCGATGCGAGGAGTCAGTCCGGCAATCTCGACAGCGGCTTTGCGGACTGAGTCTTGAGACATGAGGTCCAGAGCAACGGTTTGTATATTGATATTGGAATAGGCATCTTTGATGGATTTGGTCACTGCGTCGAGCTTAGAATGGGTCCGGGAGGCGAGGATTAAGAGGGCCGGCGATTGGGAGGCGATGCTGAGGGCTGTCGAGGAACCGATGCTTTCTGGTGAAACACCTGTGACGAGAACTTGGATCAATCAGCACTAACCAGCTACAGGTGAAATGTAGAAGTACTAGTCTTCCCCTTAATCTGCTCTGAAAAGGCTTTCGCAACAGCGAGACCTCCTGTCTCCTGGTTCCACTCAGGATGTGTTAGTACAGACATCTTATGTCGGCTGCGATTTGCTGCGATCCGCAAGCAATCACGAAGATATGAACTGTTGTAAATGGGCTTAAGGTAGCCCCACGTGCCAGTATACCCTGCGTTGCAATCCTTCTACTTATCCCTCACACATGGCTCTGGCTCGAAAAGCATAGGCCACCTCATGCACGTCAAACCGGATAGGGCTTCGAGGGCAGATGTTTGTACACGTTCTAGGGTCCTAGACCAGTCGACCTGATATCCTACCGAGGTTGATCCAAAATAGGATCTTGTCCAGATGCAGTCAAGTGCAATTCATGCCACTATGCGGGGTCGTGTTGCGGGGAAAGCACAACGATGTGGGGCATTGTCCCTCCAACACCATCCTGAAGGTCACGCGTCTTGTACTCTCATGCACTTTTGGACAAGGTTTCTCCACTAACAAGCCACTAAGGCGTTTGCCTTGCGCTGGATGCGATAAGAATGACAGCCTAACGGTATGCCAAACGCCATCGCATACGGCACCCGTGTAGATTTGCGTCGGCTGTTCCAATCCTCGGAGGCATGGTACCTAGGTTGAAGGAACCCGGATCAGACGATTATCAGACACCTCTATTCGACGATGAATGCACCTATAGGAGCACAGCGGTGGAGATAACCCGGATCTCGGTGCCCCACTGACCCGGGCATATTGCTTGCAGCAGAAGCATGCTTCACGCGCTCGTTGCATAGATTCCTACATTCACTGACCTCTTCCACTTCATTGTCAATCTTCTAGCGATTCTCTGAAGATAGACTGAAGATAGACGCATGCCCCTCCGCGCGAAGATTGACTCATCCAAGCTCCCAACGATGGCAGTTCCCCAAACCAACGGCGCAAAACCAAAGACCGGAATCAAAGTCATAATCGTCGGCGCGGGTTTCGGCGGGCTCACCGCAGCCATTGAATGCGTTCGGCAAGGCCACTCTCCAGTCATCTACGAGGCTTTCCCTTCTCTAAAGATATTGGGCGATATCATCTCCTTCGGACCTAACGCAGGACGCATTTTCGCTCGCTGGAAAGATGGCGAAATTGCGCGCGCTATGCGCAAGGTCTCTATTGATTTGACTGCCTATGGCTTCAACATTCACAAGTGGGACACGGGCGAAGTCGTCATTAATCAGAAGACACCGCCGAAGAACGATGAAACACCGGTTTTCAACGGACATCGAGGCGAGCTGCACGAAATCGTATTCAAATACGCCAAAGAACTAGGCGTCGAGATCGTGCTCAACCAACGAGTTGGGAACTACTGGGAAACAGAGAATGCGGCCGGAATTACGCTCGAAGATGGCACGCGTGTAGAGGGTGACGTAGTCGTGGGCAGTGACGGTGTAAGAAGCAAAGCCAGGACACTTGTATTAGGTTACGAAGATAAGCCCAAGTCATCTGGATATGCAGTGTGGAGGTCGTGGTTCAGCAACAAAGACATGATAGCCGATCCTGAGACAAAACAATTCTGTGAGAATGGCGATACATTCAATGGTTGGATTGGTACAGGCTCCCCACACGGGCCCTTTAAAATATCAGCTGATGTATCCTAGGACCCGATGTGCACTTCCTCTTTAGCACGCTCAAAGGCGGCAGCGACTGCTGCTGGGTTCTAACTCACAAGGACGAACACGACATCGACGAATCGTGGTCCTTCCCCGGCAAGCTGTCCGAAGTGAAGGACGTTCTCAAGGACTGGGATCCCATGTGCACGAAGATCATCTCGAAGACTCCCGAAGAGAAGCTCGTAGATTGGAAGCTGGTATACCGCGATCCGCTGCCCACCTGGGTATCAGGGTATGGCTCGGCCCCCGGGCACGGCCGCATCTGCCTGCTCGGTGACTCTGCACATCCGTTCTTGCCCACCAGTGCGCAGGGTGCGACACAAGCGCTGGAAGATGGCGTCACGCTAGCAGTGCTGCTACGGAAGGCCGGCAAAGATAACATTAGAGGTGGTCTGAGAGCCTATCAAGATGTTCGCTATGAGCGCGTAAGCAAGGTGCAGAAGACAGGCGAGACGACGCGCGATATGTGGCATAACACCGATTGGGAGAAGGTTAAGAAGAACCCGGAGAGTATCCAGTTCCCACGCGAAGACTGGATATTTGCGCACGACGCGGAGAAGCATGCTGAAGAGGTTGGGGACGAGATCATCGCGAAGGCGTCGACCTCGGTTGACCAGCAAGCATGATTGATCGTATAGACTGCCATGGGTCGTCAATGGCATAGAAGCGCCTAGAATCTTGTACCTCGTTTTGTATGCGTTGGTACGAAAAGATATATATATACAGGAAAGAGTTGAGCGCGTATCCTACTTCATGTGATCATGTTTTGCAGCTACCAACTCACAACGATACACAGTCGTTCGCACTATCCTCAAGGAAGATCCCTCCATAAATCTGTCCCTCATTCAAGTTGCTCTCCTGATAGCCTCCATTAACCACGTCCGAAGTTCCAGTTGGCTTCTTCAAGATACCAATCTGGAACTGGCCACCGCCAGAAAGCGAAGCGGCAGTGGGACCCGCGACCGACTTGAGCGCAGCATCGCCAGCAGAGTAGTAGATGGTAACTTGGTTTTTAGTGTAGTCGAGCTTGATGGCGAAATTCTGCCACTGAGACTTGTCCGTCGCAGTAGCATACAGCTGCTTGTTGCTCTGGTCCAGAATCTGGAACTTGTTCTTGTCGGCGCCGCTCTTGCCGATGAGAGTGCCGGTTTGGAATTGGATTTGGTCGGCGGAGTAGTCTGCTTTTTCGTGCCAGACGTTCTGTTGCGTGGGTTAGCCTCCCTTGCGTATCCTCTTGGAAGTACATGATGAAGGATTGAGCAAAAGAAATGACCTACGAGGTACTCGTGTGTCAAGTTCAGCGGTCTAGACGCATCCTGCATCACGCTGAAATGCAGCGTTTTCACACCAGTCTGTCCCGGTCCATCCGCAGCGTCCTTCAAGAACTGCAGACCCGCGCGCCTGAATCCCTTCTGTTGCTGGAAAATGCTCTGGTCGCTAATGGTCACCTCGAGAGGAGTGTGCTCAGTGGTATCAAAGCGCGACTTTGTGACGTTGGGAAACTTGAGGATCCCGCTCCATTTGAGATCGTTGCCCTTGACGTAGTCGGGGTTGTAGATGGTGTTGGTAGCGTATGTATCAAATTGCGTCGGGTCGGCTGCCCAGGCGGTAGGCACACGTCCGTCGAAGACGATGGGGCATTTGATGTCTGCGCGCTTTGAAAGGGCAGGAGCGGCGAGAGCGCCAGATGCGCTGAGGAGAGCGAGGAAGGCGTGCATGGCTGCGGTGGTCCAAATTCTTCGAGTCTGGCTACAGATCTCCCAAGTCGGCCCATACCACGATTTATACGACCGACGAGCACATCAATCCGGGTAGCCATTGCAAATCTTCGCCCTCTGCCATATTGCGCATGCATCCAATCGTGTTTCCCGGAGCGTTTACGCAGTCGTAAATAACGTTCATTTCGACCGCCCAGTCGGTGCGCGGAAGAATACTCGAGGAAGCTTCTATAATGTACGTATACTAGATATACTAGGCCTATAGTAGGGCTGGTGACCTCAATTATGCAGGCCAAATAATATACATCCGGCAATCTGGCTCGAGGCTCGGGCTAATTGTGGAGGGCAGCTGGGGTCGTGAGATTGCGATTCGGACCGTTGAGCCGGTGTTTGAGGTTTAGACGGAACATAAGAAAACTTGGGGGAAAAGAGTTAGGACGGAGGCGGATATGTCTTTCTGCCGGATGTAGGACCAAATATACCATTGCCTTTGTCAAGTAGTCGTTCGACTTCACGAAAGGGAAATTCCAGTGTGCATAGGGGACTACTATGGGGGCAGGAAAATGCGCTCGAAGAGTGACTGATGCCCAATCGCAGTCTTACGCACCGCATTGATGCGTTGACAGATTCTTGTGAATATTCATGTACTCTCGATCAGTCTATTGGGTTGCTGTAAAACGTGCTCATCCTATACTTCGTCTCTCCCTCGTACTGCGCAAGATTTGCAAGCGCATCTTCACCTTCGCGAACAATAGCCTGCCGAATACGTTCGCTGCGCGGGTTGATCTTGACCTTGAAAGGTTGCGGTCGCATGTTTAAACCGTTGCTATGCTAGTCAGTGGCAATGTCTTAGCAAGCCCGAAGCACTCACGTGTAGTCAAAGATGTCAACAGCAATTGGCTTCCCACTCTCATCCAGCGCAGGCTCAATCTTGAAGCCCCAAACCAGACGCGCTACTGTCAACCACGTTCCTTGCTCCGCAAGCGCCTGGCCCGAGCATACTCTTCTACCCCACCCAAAGGTCATATATCCCTTGTCGCCCGGAAATGGTCGATAAGCTGGGTCGTCTTTCAAGTAGCGCCTTGGGTTGAAGCGATCCGGTTCCGGGAATTCTCGCTCATTGTGATGAATTGCCCATACATTGCCTTGTACCCACGTCAACTTTGGGATCAGATACCCATTGTAGTAGTCGTCCTGTACTGGTGCGTGAGGCTGGCCACCAATGATGGCTACGGATCGCCACCTGAAAACTTCTTTGACAAAGGCGCGCATATACGGTAGATTAGCATCGTCATCAAACGAAGGACTTCGGTCGGGGCCGACTACGCGATCGAGTTCTTCCCAGGCTGGGATTAGCGTCTCGGGAAACGCACGCATGGCGAGGACGGCGGTGATGAGTGTGCTGCTGGATGTATCGGAACCAGCACCGAATAGGTTGCCAGCTAATGCGGAAATCTCCTGAGGTTTCAAGTCGTACTTTGGCGCTTCCTTGAAGAGGAACTTGGAGTAACAGTCATCATGGCCGGGATTTTCGTTCGCTTCATGAGCCAGTGAATAGAAGAAGTCGTGGCCGCGGTGCGATTTGCCTTTACCTCTCTTTCCCAGACCGTGTTTCCAGGGCGCGTTGGGAACTTTGGCGAGCACTAGGATGGAATCAGAAAATACGAAAGTACAACGGAATGATGAGAACACCTACGAGGAAAGGTCTCAAGAAGCATTGGAAAGGTCTTTCCAGGGACATTGAGATCCGCCGCTCGGTGCATAACCGCAATGACCTCGCTAATGATCGGGTCTGTATGGTCGGATACACGTCTTCCAAATCCAATGATTGATACCACACTTGTCGCATAACGTTCGAAATGCGCAACATATTCTTCAGGTGTTTCGAGCATGTCATAGGCAACGACCTTACTCTCGTCATTCTGGAAGTTGCGATAGTCTCTGACTTTCTGGACTCCGACCCCTTGATGCGTAACCTTTCGCTGCACTCGCCAGCGATCTCGCTGCTCGGGAGTGGTGGTAATCATGTTGACGAGGTTGTTCTGGCCGGAACCCAGCTCTGCAAAGACAAGCATTCGCGGCCGAGAGCAGTAGATACCTGCTCTCTTGTCAAGGAGTTCACTGGCGGCCCAGGCATCGTTGATCCAGACTGTTGGATTTCTTCCGATCCAGTACGTGATGAGAGGTGTATTGTATCTTTTGGAAAGTTCTTCAAAATATATCCAGGGCTTATTGTCCGGAAGTTGAAAGGTGTTGCCGATGATAGGCCAGGGTAATGGCCCAGGTGGCTATGTACTTTCAGTGTCGGAGCCGAGGATATGTATAGTCAAGTCTCACCATTTTCGACCTCAAATATAGCATCCACGCATAATCTGCAAGCACACCAAGAGTAGCTGTCACGAGCACCGCAAGGGCGATGTTAGCAGCGCCGAACTTCGAGATGCCATGCTGCAAATGATGCAGAGGCAGCTCCCCGAACAGCTGCTCGATAGCCATAGCTGCGGTCTATGGCAGGTCTTCTCAGACGAAGTGGGTGTGGCTTCGATCCGGTGGTGAACAGCCCAGCGCAACGTCGTTTGTTGCTTCAGTCGACTGATGAATAGTAAGGGCACGACATACGATGACTAATTCGCACTGAGCAAGTGTGTGCCTGTGATTGTTTGAAGATGGAGTGTAAGCCAACCCCACATTCTCGTGGTGGGGCAGGATTGGCCGGCAAATTGATTGCATGGCACACGGGGCGAATAGCCTCTCATCTTCCGGATTGCGCCCCAATACTCGGTTAGACGGTGTGTATGGTTGTTCGCTGTGGAGTCCAATGCGCCCTTGTGCACAAGCGACACGGTCGGTACAGACCAGCTCTTTACATACCAGGAGGTGTTCAATGCTACACCTCGAGTTGAAGGACGTTTACGTGATGCACTTAGAACCTGGGAGCTCGGGGTCTCATGTAACAACTCTCAAAGTGGTAGAAGGAGGGATGGGCGCGCTTGCGTGAGGGGGCTGGAATGACACGTGCGATACGCGCTAGGGGCGGCCGCTTCCCACCAGACAAACACCATTCTGTCCTATCTATCAACACGCTTCACACCCTCCTGCATCGCCTGCAACTACCTGGCCGACTGCTTTGGAGCTCTTATAGCCTGTGTCGTAGCTTCTTCGTCGCCATTGCCCGCAAGCCTTCAGCTACGCGTCGACAGAATCCCAACCCGACTGAATGCCGTCCTCAATTACTACAGTGATTCAGTACCTCTTGCATCCATATGAGGGAGCTGATCATCACTTACCTGTCACATGGTAGCTATTTCTAGCTGCAGCACGCTTCTCCCAAGGTCACAGGGACCAGGTACTGCAACTGCCGACATGTCATTCAATCGGCTACGCAACTTGCTAGTACATTCGGACGCCATAGGACTAGCAGAAGCAGATTTCAGGATCAGTCGATAAACATCCTGTTCATTTTCTTAAGGCTTCATATCTCCTCTCTAAGCTTCGCACAATAAGTCTTGAACTGAGCCGTCTATCCCCTTATTACAAAGTCATCAACATGCAAGATGCATACAGATGCACGTCAATCAAAGGCTTTAAATCTGGTTACTATGCTTTATCCTAGTGCATGGGGTCTTAGACCTAAGTCGGCTCGTGGGAGGTACTGAGTGCCCAGATCTCACGAAAGCTTAAATGCACGCCTGTGCTAGAACGTGAGGCGTATTCTGGACCGCGCAGCTCGTCAAAAGCATCGGCAAGAGCAGACGAGATGAAAAGAACGGCTGCAATTGTCGCCTAAGCCACGAACCCACGCGCTGCGGAATCAAGCCCTGCCGTTGGACGCCACGTTACACGGCGTTATCATCCCGAAAAAGTGGTAGAGCCGGTGGAGTGACCGTGCAGTCCTGGCCTCATTTGAGTGGCGCTTGCAGCTCAATTCGACATTAGACTCGATTGAAGTTCTACTTCGAGCTACTGCGCCGTAGACATCGACAGACTTCTCCGCGTTTTGGCCAGCCATGAAACAGTGCGGAGCGACATTTGGAGAACAACATGACAACTATTGGTCTTTATGGCCCCTCCCCCGCATCCGCACTCGCTAGCTTGGAGTAAAGTCCGGGGTAGGGCCCGCTATCGTGCATGGGGATCGTCGGCAGATATTGGACGTGACTTGGCTGCAAGGCGATCTGCAGGTGTGATATGAAAGTGAATTGACCTGCAACATGGGTGCAGATTGTGCGTGTCCTCTCTATTGCCACGAGAGAGCATACATACTTCCGGCTTGACTTCGCTCCTCCAAGCATCGCTGCTGGCAACATTAGCAGTTGTTGCTTTTTGACTCACTCATCGAACCATCTGGAGAGAGTCGTTGAAATTCTATCACAATGCCCGAAGCGTCCACCGGGGCAGGTCTCTTGGAGAACTGGAAATGTCTCCTCGCGTGCACTCTCGTCTCGATGAGTCCATTCCAGTATGGTATTGACTTTGGTGCCATTGGTGGTCTGCAAGCCATGCCTGGTTTTCTCGAGGTAGACAATCGAGCTCAATCGTACGTTTAGCACAACTGACAAAATGCCCAGGTGTTTGGTCACAAAGACCCTTCGACACCGCTCGGGTACAACATCTCCCCAGGACGCCAGCAGCTCATCTCCTCCCTCATGACCCTCGGAGCCTTCATCAGCTCCTCCGGGGCAGGTTTCTTCGCGAACTGGCTCGGACGTCGCCAGTGCCTCTGGATCGCATCAGTTCTCTGCTGCGTCTCGAACGTGATCATGATGGCTACAACGAGTCTCTCCGGCATCTACGCGGGGCGCTTCTTAATCGGTCTCGCCAACGGGTGGTACATGACCTTCGCCCAACTATACATCCAAGTGCGAACTCCATTCCTCGCAATTCACCCCAAGCATCTGCTAACAAGCACCAGGAGAGCGCACCGGCCCGCTACCGCGGCCTCATGATCTCCGTCTTCCAGTCCTGGACTTCCATCGGAACGCTCATCGGCACAGTCGTGGACAACTCCACGCACTCCCTCGCTGGGAAAACATCCTACCTGATCCCCCTCGGCATTATCTACATCATCCCAGTGTTCATGTCCGTCGGCCTGTTCTTCATCCCAGAGTCGCCGCGCTGGCTCGTCCTCGTAGAGCGCCACGACCAAGCGAAGAAGAGTCTGATGTGGATGCGCCCAAACAAGGACGCTGTACAGGAAGAACTCGACGACATCCACGCTGCTATACTCGCAGAGAAGGAAGTCGCCAGCAGCGCGTCGTTCATCGATATCATCAAGAACCCAGTCGATCGCCGGAGGACGCTGTTGGCGATCGCAGCCGTGTCTATCCAAGCTGCGTCTGGGGCCATGTTCATGATCGCATATGGTACGTAACGCCCCCTTGCGAAGTCGATACTTCTTAGACATAGATACCTCGTATCTAACGCCATTTCTAAATCACAGGTACCTACTTCTTCGAAATGGCCCACGTAGGCAACGCTTTCCAAAACTCATGCATCCTAACCGCCGTCGGCGTCTTCGTCATCATCGTAAACAGCTGCGTAATCTCCAAGATCGGCCGTCGGCGAGTCTTCCTCATGATTGGCATGACCATATGCGGAATATCTCAGTTCATTGTCGCCGCTGTGTATCACGTCTCGCCTGGGACGGTCAGCACGGGAAAGGTACGTTTCTCTCCTTTTCCCCTCCTTGCTCGTTCTTCCTCTATCCTCTCGTCCACTCTCCTTTTGTGGAAATGCAATTGATTAACGGGGAAAAGGTCATCGTCGCCATGTCCGTCATCTACATCTGCGGCTACAACGGCATGGTCGCAACCTACGCCTGGCTCGCCGGCGGCGAAATTCCCTCCCAGCGCCTGCGCTCCTACACATTCGGTCTTGCCGCTGCGGTCGGGTTCGCAGGCGCGTGGCTCGCGACGTTTACAGCGCCGTACTTTATTAATCCTGATGCGTTGAATTGGGGGCCGGAGTATGGTACGTCGTGTTTTCCCATTTCCCATTTCCCAATTCCATTTTCCTTACAATTACAACTTCATTGTCCGCACGCCTGTCATCCATTTCTAGAGCGCCGCGTTCTATCATTCATCTAGGATATAGCTAATGTGTGTCCAAAGGCTGGATCTGGGGCCCCTCATGCCTCATCACCGTCGTATGGATCTTCTTCTTCCTCCCCGAGATCAAGAACCGGACGCTCGAAGAAGTCGACGAGATGTTCGAGGCGAGACTCCCTGCGCGCAAGTTCCGACAGTATGTCTGCGTCGGGCGGCATGTCAGCGAGGAGAAGATTCTGGCTGAGAGGGATGGCGACGAGAGGAAGAGTGTCGAGGAGAAGGTGTGGACTGATCATAAGGCTGTTGCGGAGGCGACGGTGCATATTGAGTAGTTTGTGTAGATGGAGGTGTAGGCGAGGGGTGGGGGATGAGGGTGGATTTGAATATTCTGATTTGCTGGTGCGAAGGAATGGATTAAAGAAATGGAATGATGTAAATAGTACAAACGGTATATCACAACGCCTCGCCTGGTTCATGTTAAATGCCGCCATCGATTGCCGCGTGTCTAAGCAACCTAACCTATACAACACACGATCCACCATCGCAGTATGTACCCCAGATCTCCCGCTATGCACACGCCAATAGCCAAAGCCAAAGCCATGATAGCAAGTAAAATAGCGTACATATCCCATTCGCAACCCTGCATATACGCTCATGTAGCAATTCCAATACGCCAGAACACCTCCGCTAAGCCCATCCCAAGAATACCATATCGTACCCTACGCCAGTAATATGAACAAAACGCCAAAAACAACTTGTGTGTGCACGACGTCCGCGTCCATCTAGGAGGCGAACTTCTTCAGCACCATGAACAGCAGCGCAGCTACGATGCCGTATATACACGTGTCGATCCATTGTAGCGAGCGGTCGGGGGTTTGTTGCTGGACGACGGTGCCTTGTCGGACGGGGAGGGCGGGGGCGCGAATCGTGCGTGTAGGCCGTGGCGTTGACCCTGGCGCTGGTGCCGGCCTGGGAACCTGTGCTGAAGAAGATGAAGACGATGCAGGTACGGGTGCAGCCACAGGGGCACCCTTCGTTACCCCCTCCGTACCCGCCGCCAGCTTCGAACTGCCCCCTCCTCGAGAGTCTTCTTCCCGCCCAACTCCTCCCGATACGCCAGCCTCAGCTCCTCAGGCACATCTTCCTCTTTGCTATCACCTTCTAGTTCTTTATAAGCTTGTTCGCTCTCCCTCAGTATCTCAGCATTCGTCTTCGCACACGCCGGACACCGCCACCCCGCACTCTCCGCTGCCATACGCTCCCGTACGCTGCGCTCACATTCCAACCCTCCAACCTGGCCCTTCGCCTCGCTATCCATAAAGCTCCGTATCGCCACCAGCGCAGTGCGTACCCCCACGCCGGCTGCCACGTCTCCTCATGATGCCCGCTTATACTCAGACAGATCTCGCGGTTGACCTCGAACCTGCCGGTAGGCGTTAAGAAGCGAAAGTTCGGCGGTTTAAGAGGGTAGCTAGCGGGCAGGACGATGCGCCCGTGGTAGATGCCCGCTGCGTAGGGCGAGGGCGCGGGTGACCGCGCAGCGTGAAGTGCCATTCGAACAGATTATCTTCGAGGGGGAGGCGGAGAAGTCGGGGGAGGGTGGGTGGAGAGTTCGGTTGCTTCTTTGACTGTTCTTTATCAGCATATGTACTGCAGGTGTGTTGGCGCACGGGCTTACGGATGCGCTTGATGGTGGGCGTCTTTGTGTTGAAGCCGCGGGATGACATGGTAGCGGTAGGTAGATCTCAGCGAGGGTTGCAGGAGCGAATGTGCGCCTGGGAAGGCTTGGGTTTGGCGCGAGGGAAGAATACAATGTAAGGCTGCGACGCCTGGAGCTGAAACGTTGACATGCGTTGTGGTTGACGTTGCGCATGCGGAAGTGGTACTTACGGCTCGCCGTAGCGCGCCCGTTATCGATTACGTAGCCCTGCAGTCCGCGGGGCCACGTGAAAGCACGTGCTGGACCACGCGAGAACAGGCAGGAAGAGTAAGGAGGCCCTCGAAGGTCCCATCCGATGGGTGACTATAGCCACAGAACAGAGAAGTGGGCTCTTGTTGTTTTCCATGCTGCCTGTCCGGGTCAAAACAGTGCACACAAACATTGTCACATTTGCGGTAGTGAAGGACAAAGTTCTCAAAGTGTTCATGGTTCAATAGAGAAAGGGAACAAATGTATGCCTATGCTATTGGGGTATCGTCGAAGTATACATGCATCTTATCCCAACATGTTCATCCACATGGAAACCCAGATCGAACATTATCCCAACCCTTTGCCAGCGCCGAACTGAACACCGAGGAAACACGCCAATTATGCACGCTATGCCAAAACCACACGCCGAGGAATCAAAGAGACAACCGCAGCACGACCGCACACGCCAGACATCCTAGCGCAACAGCCGCACCCGTGACCTCCGGCCGCTGAAGCCACGTGCGCGCCGCCTGAGACCCCTTGCCCGTGACCACCTCGCTCTTGTCATTCTTCCTCTGCGGCTGATGCCCATGTGGCGGTGCGACCTTCACGCGCTTCATCTGCTCAAAGTCGGTGCCTAGTTTCTCGTCGAGCTCGTGGACCAGCGCCGCGCAGAGCTTGAAAATGGTTTTCGCCTCCTCGATGACATCCACGCGCTCGTCGTCCGAGAACAGCGTCTCCGCAGCCAGAAGGCGCTCCTTAAACGCTTCCTTAATGTCTTCTCCGTCGCGCCTACCAGGAAAAGACCAGAGTGAGAGACCTTTCTCCGTGAGTGGGGCGGCTGCTTCTGAAGACCCCGTCTCTGCCCCAGATGTCCAGAAATCGGGCCCGGCCTTGACGAGCTCCCCGCGGATCCAACGTCCGCCGGAGAACACGGCCATGTAGAAACACCACGCGTATGCCACCAGGACATGCGGCTTGTGTCCGACGCTCCTCCGTGTGTGCGCGCAGAACGCGGCCACCTTCTCGCCTGGGTATTGCGCCAGCATGACGTCGAAGTCTGTAGGGTGCAACCCAGTCAGGTATTGTAGGTCCTTCTTGACTCTGCTGGACCGAGCCATGCCCTTGGGCCGAAGATTCTGTAGGAATTCGAGGGTCTGTGGCGAGGGCGGGGAGGTGAAGAGCTCTGGCTCAGAGTATGGATTGACGAGGAGAAACGATAGTAGCGGCGACGTCGGTGGCGATGCGGTGCCTGGCACATCTGTGGGGACTAGGTCGTTCCATAGCGACTCGAAAGTCAGGAAGATGTGGGCAAAGTGGAGCAGGCCGGCCGTGTAGAGTGTGGGATCGCTTGCGAAGGGCGGAAGCGCTAAAGGTAGACGTGCTGTGATGAGCTTGTTGAGTTCGGTATGTAGACTCCTGGATTCGCTATTAGTATACCTATCGTAGTAGGGAAAGTGGCGAAGGAGTGGTACCTGGTGGCGATGTTGATTTCGCTCGATAGCGAGGCCTGTGGCATTATGTCCCTTGCCATCTTCCCTTCAATATCTTGTACTTGAGTGAAGGGAGTACCTGGTTCGAAGTGGCGGCGCCGTGGACCCTAAGTTTCGATATACAAGACAACAAGGGTAAACGGCGCGGGCGCCTCTTAAGTCAAACCGGGCGCAAAGTGCCAGGCAGCACGCTGCTCAGATGGAGGCTGTAGCAGCACGCGCCCTTGTGACTGTCGATGGAGGCAGCAATTTGCGCGCGCGCGCTCGCTGTGCGCCTGCTCTGTTCGAGGAACTGAAAAATGACTTTGAGAATGCGCCATATCGGGGCTACGACGGCCGAGTGGGAAACGGTCTGGACGTGACGGAGGCGGATGATGCAATCGCCCGAGGCCAGCCGTTAGACCAAGGTCAAGCGAGAGACATCCATGGTGTTCCTTGCGCGTGCGGCCGAGCCGCGGTGTGCAAGGCATCGCATGAGCATGGGATGGAGAAAATAGGTAGGGTCATGCTAGGTGTTTGGAGGTCTGCAAGTCGTGGGAATTATGCTGCGGTCAGATCGAGCCGAAGCATGTGCTGATGCGCTAAACCATGACCACGGGTGACTGCAACCGTTCTTCGAAACCTTAAATGCCAGACATCTTTGGAGCACACAGCTATATAAACAGCGCTGCTTGTTGATGAAGCCTGCGGTTGCATGGTGGAAATGGTAACAACTGCATCTCTCGTGGTCTTCGGGATGTATGACGACATGCATTCTTCAGCGACATGCCACTATCCGTTGATTCGCTTTGAATTCCTATCGGGCCGCCCCTAAAGTCTAGCTGCAGCCCTCCAGTTCTCACTTTGAGCATCTCCTGAGTTGCCCCCAAATCTATCTTCGGAAAGAGATATCGTATTGTGTTGTAGTTGCTAGCAGAGGGAGGATAATCACGATGTCGACCTTGGAGTACATGAAATACGCCCTTATTCGCACCATCGTAAACACCAGGCTCTACATATTGCGCTCCTCCTATCTATCTCCCGCGACCCAGCCCGACTTCACCAAAACCTACCCATGTCGTCCAGATCTGTTCCCTTGCCGTGTCTTCGTACCTCGCGACCACAACGGTAACCTCCCGCTCGTCATCCGCGCCCATGGCGGCGGCTTCGTTGTCAATAACCCAGCAGCCGATGACCCATTAGCTCGCCATCTAGCCGATACTGCGCAGTGTGTGGTCGTCAGCATAGACTACAGCAAATCCCCGCAGAACAAGTTCCCCACCGCTTTCGAGGACGTTATTGCGCAGTCGCTTGCGGTGATCGAGGATCCTGAATTACCCATTGACAGAAACAGAGTTGTGCTATGTGGCCACTCTGCTGGGGGAAACCTTGTGCTCGCTGCAGCCCAGGACTCACGGCTTCGCTCCAAGGTGATGGGTATAGCAACCATCTACCCAGCCACCGATTGGGTGCCGGACGGCAAGACCAAGATGGCGAAGCGGCCTGACCCATCGATTCCTGATTTCATCGGTGATGGTCATGACGGTATAATGCAGTTGTATTTTGACCCGGAAAACAAGCCTTCTCTTACCGATCCGCGAGTGAGCCCAACGTATTTCGAGAGCCGGGAAAGTCTGCCACCGCATGTGTTGCTTGTTGGAGCCGAGCACGACATGTTCTGCCACGAAGATCAAGCGATGGCTGAAAAGCTTGCGGGCGATCAGGTCAAGAATAAGACTGAAGACGGTTGGCGAGCCGAGGGTGTGGAATGGTTGAAGGTGTACGGCCAACCACATGCCTTTGAAATGTTTCCGGTCGAAGATGTCGAGAAAGAGAAGGCAAGGGTGGAAGCGGTGGACAAGCTGAACGGACACATTTCAAGATGGCTTGTCGAAGTTTTCTCTAATTCATGAGTGCACACATCCAGCGTATGCTTGAGATAGTCGACGGCTACGGGCTTGTTGGTGAAAAGGCAGCAAGTGAAGGTTCCATGCTCTTTACGAAGAATTCGGTTTCCAGACCAGGCAGTCGCGCTAGTCTTCCACGAATGTCATTCACAACAGCTCCCGTGGCGTTTGTCGACCCTGCAGACCGACGAAATTTCGATCTCCCGCGCAAACGATGAACCCGCTCACCGACACAACCTTTCGCGCTGTATCTTCGCTCTTAAACAATCTACACCATGGCCCCGTACAACCGGAATCTTGGTTTCCCCAACCCGTTCCCGCGTCGCGCAGAAGCTGCTCCATATGCAGGCGCACAAGGTCCACCACCGGACTCCAACCTTGACCCTAAGAGCTTTAGGACGGCATACTACCCGTCCCACATTCCCTACCCGCAACCTCAGCCCACAGGCCCGCCCCGTACAGCTCCCAGTGGACGCCTCGCGAATCGCTACAATGGCATCACCACGCATCAAGACGCGTTCACACAAGCCCCCGCTCAGAGCTCATCTGGTGCTGTACCTGGCGGAGCGACCCCATATCCATTCCCGCCTAGTGCTCAGAACATGCATCCACAAGCAAATCCATACAGCCAACATCCAGGCCCACACATTCCGCCAGCTCAGAACTTCACCCACACTCCACCACCAACGACAAGCACCCAGCGCATGGGCGGCGCACCACAAAGCATCCCCGGACCAGCTCCACAGTTCCCCTCACTGTCCTCCCTCCAAGACGCTCTCCCACCGCACACACCGCCACCCTCCACTGCACCCAGCGGCCCCTCTTCCCGCCCCTCGTACCTAATAATCGGCCTCTTCGCCCTCCGCCTCACCCGCCAACTCATCCTCCGTCTAGACCCCTACCCAAGCCGCGACCTCGACCTCCACTGGCTCGACGCCTTCCTCACGCCCTACCCCTCCATCTACGCGCTCGCCAAGCTCACCGACCCGCGCACCATCGAAGCCTACGTGCAGGCGTACCCGCGCATCGTGCGCACGATGATAAAGCAGCCGCGCTATCGGAGGGTTTTTATGGATATGAATCCGGATAAGGGGACGGATAGGAAGGGCATGGGAACGGCAACGGCAGGGGAGATGACTGAGGGTGAGTACATACAATACAAGTCTAGAAAAGGAAGTGGGGTAAGGAGAGGAGAGACTAACGCGAGGTAGAAGAACTACTGGCTACTATCGACTTTGCGGATGCGGCGGGGAGTGGGGTCTGTTGTGCCGGTTCCGGGGCGGTATGCGCAGCGGATGGAGGCGTTGGCGGGAGGGAGGAGGATGGTTGGGTAGGGGGCTGAGTGGGTTGAGTTGGAGAAGGTTCTGCATTGACTGGGTTGGTTGTTGATCTAGGTCCTTGCTTCCGTGGGCATCGAAAGTAGAGATGTTCTCTCTGGATGTTTCGGCCTTCCTGTCAAGCTCGCCGAGGAATTGTCTCTATGGTTGTGGCAGGCTCGCCCAGAGTTCCTGCCGGCGAAATGTCGATACACTCTTTGCTTGAACATTCACCGGAACGTGCGAGCTGTGCGGCAAAACGTTTCCATGTGCGAGAAACGAATCACAATGTTGGCCCCCTGTTGTTCAATTGTCCAGACACAGTAATCTGGCAGACGCGTCTATGTCCATTTCGTGGGGAGGGACGATAGCTACACAATGCTCTGTACGCTCCGCCTATGGAGATGTGGATTAGTGTGTTAATGTACTGATTGAAGTGTACGGCTGGGATTGTGGTTGGTGATCTGAGGAAAGATTGGAAGTTTGGGACCTCGGATGGTGATACGAGAGTAGAGATGAGGGACCTTCACCGTACATTCATAGTGTATGGTCGCCGCGGTGAATGGTAGGAATTCAGTAGTCGTCTGTGGAAGTCGTGAAGGTTGTACTGGGAATCCAGGGATTCTGTCTGTAGAAGCTTGTCTTTGGCTGACACTTATTTCAGTCGTAGCCTGGAAGACGACGGAAGAGAAGGAATGATGCACTAATGCGTTTATGATGCGAGCCTCGGGGTCAGAAGCAGAAGAAACGGAAATCATGTCAATAATTACCATACAACCGTAACTTTAATATATTTCTGCTGTTTGGATTATCAAGATATGGGTAGTCACGTGTGAACGCGCCCGACCGGGCGTGACGGAACGCGACCCCTGGAGGCGTCGCGTCACGTCGCCATTTCGACCAGCCCTTTCAAGTGTGAAACCAATCTGTTCTGTGTCGCACCGGGCTCTGCATCAAAAGTGAACTCCTGCGCATTCCTGCGTAATCCTGTTATACCGTGGAACAGTCAGTACCAGCGCGTCTACGGTTCGCAACGCAATTCAACCCCGGCTTTTCTCGCTCATTATTTCTCATCCTTCCTAGGTATACTCGACCACCCACAAGATGCCCAGCTACTTCGAAGGGTTTTCGGATTTCGTACCAGATGCGACGCAGGGGTTCAACGACGAATTCGTCCGCTTAGCGGCGTCTCAAAATCTAGTGAAGGGGACGCCGCAGTTCAACAAAGCGCGCACTGCTGCGGCCAGTCAGTGTATACGTGACGAGTACTTCACGCCTCAAGGACGCGCCAGAAGAGAGCGGATACGTAGGCAGCATGAGTACGAGCGTTTGGAACAAGAGGAGAGAGACAAGGACGCAGTGGAGGAAGAAGAAGTCCATCGCGACTCCGAGGATGATTTGCCTGAGCTGAATGAAGACGACAACGAGAGTGTGGTGTCACTCGATGTGGGATTCTCACAAGTCTTCACCTCCGATATACATGTCAACGACGAGAACAGTGACCATGACGAGGATCTGGAGGACGTTGCCGAATCCGTCAAGGAAGAGGTTGCTCCGGGAAAAGGCATCAAAGAAGAACCAATCATTGATGATGTCGCCATCGATCTCCTACCTGTGGACGAGAGCGACAATGAGAGCGTTGTTTCCATGGACCAAGGGTTGACACAGGTGTTTACATCCTCCAGTACCACATGCGCCCATGAAGAATGCCCGAATGACAGCGAGGACGATCGAGACAAGCAGCGCGGAGTCACATCTTTGCGCGAGCTGACTAAGGAAGAGCAACTTCTCGGTTGGCAGGCTTTGTGCCGGGAGACAGGAAGGACGATCGGCAAGACTATATGGGAGTGTCGCACTGTCCTTAAGAAGAAACCCTATGTCAACATCATCGACTACATCGACGCAGCCCGCGTCGGTGCAAAGATCGAGTTGTTCCATGACTTTGCTGAGTTCAGTCACTATACAATGACAACCCCAGGGAAATGTATCCCCCTGAAGGACGCCAAGGAAGATGAACTGTTATCAGCCTTGTTACAGAAAGTGAACAGAAGTGTGGAGGGTCCCAAGGACTATAAGCATGGAAAGAGCTTTAGGCAACACCATCCGAGCATACGGAAGGAATGGAGACGAACTGAAACATATGGAGCGAATGGGAGAGGATCTGAGCATTCGCGGACGCATGAAAGATCACGGAACGCGAGAGTGAGGCCGTACTGAAGACGATGCCAATGACCCTCAGAGATCGCAACCGTCACGTGGGTGGGAAATGACCCATAGGTAGTTCATGATCTGCAGGCGACATCAGGGCAGCGCTGGGTTATGTACGGCGCGGTAGTAGTCCCGCAATCTTCAACCTCCAACATACGATTTCCCCCCGGCGAGGCTACACACGATCGGTCCGGTGGTACGAACGTCTGTTGGCAATTGTCAATAACGCACACGTCAAGATAAGAAGCAGCGTTTTGCTGCATGCTCCAGTGCGCAATACAGGACCAGCAGCGCAGGAAAATGTATCGTTCAAGCATTGCATCTCAACACGCTTCCCGATCTACGCCGCCTTGAGCTATGGATGTATTTGTTGACCTTGCAAGGCACTCTCGCACGACACGATCATGCTATTGTCATAACGCGTGTCGCTGTCTGCGGCCCCGCGTACGATGTAAACATGGCTCAGCCCCCTCCTTCGGCCACTAACATCACTCGAAACGCATTGGTGTAGGATCGTCTCAGAAAGGCGACCAACACCGCCCACCCAAACGATCCATAACATAGCTATGAATTTGCGACAGATGCGGGGCAATGGCGATATACCCGCGCAAATGATAGCGGAGCCAAGACACAAGGCTTACTGCGGCATACATTCGGGTGCCACCAGCACCTAATGCGGCAAAGCTTGCGAATGTCGTTGCCTAAGAGACTGCTGCTACCATATGACTACATGCCATCGTATACTTGAAGTCCGTCTTCATCTCATGCTTCATCACAATTATTGTCCACAATCCAAAGCCCATCACGAACCGAACCGAAATCCAACCAACCTCACCATGGCTTCCACCATCCCAAACGAGCGCAGGCTACGTCAAATCACCCTCGCGACTCTATTCCCCGCCTTCCCTCTTATCGTAGCCTCGGGCGTCATGTCCGAAAAGTCTAACAACAGATACGGCTACTGGACACATCCTGTAGACGGGACGACCGCCATCTACTGCAGCTTGATTCCGACCTTCTTCTCCGCTTTCACTTCGATAATTTCTCTCGCGATCAAGCACGACCCACTCGAGAAACGCCCTCGGGTGCGCACAGCTCTGTGGGGCATGCTTGACCTGATCCTCGCCGCGTCGAACTTGGTCATTCTGATATTTGTGTGGGCCTTTGAGCCGGCTGCAATGTATCAACATTCGGATTGGATGATGTTGGAGACATATGCAACGGTGTTTCTGATGTCGAACATGTAAGCTGCTCTCACTACCGTGCAAGCTATGGCTAACGTCGCCCAGGTTCATCCACGGGTACCTTGCTCTGTACCACCCAATCAAGTCGCTGTGCTCCGGCACATTCCTAACCAAGTGCCCTCATTGCCAGGGTAAGCTAAGGTCTGTGGAGACTGTAGGGCCGAAGAGTGGATACAGTCTTCTTCGCGCGGAGGACTATCTCGATGAGCCCGAGGCCGAGGCCAGCGCCGAACCTATTAGACTGTCTACCGACTCGGAAGCCTAGATGATATGTTAAAGGTCCGAGGGTCTACAGTGCCTCGTTGGAAGCCAAACCTTGGACTGTTACTGTAGTTCGAGGTGTGGATGAGAATCTTACGCTACAGATATTGATGGTACGACAAGTTTCGGGGCTGGACCGCGAAAGACAGATTTTTGGGCGAATACCAATACGGTTGGCTGTCTGATTGGGGTAGGAGGAATGCGCCCTGGTACGGATATGAGGCTTAATTGAACATATGGGAATGGGATATGAGCCACGAATAAGAGCATGAATGACCCGCTTGGGCGGTTGGACGATCTTTTGTTTGAATATGGAAAGCTCTTGGTTGAAATAGTTATCGAACGTATTGTACATTCGTCTTCGTAGAACGTCACTTGGTTCAAGCTCGGTAGAGGAATCAAATTGGGAACAGAAAGAGTCAATGTGTTTTGCAACTCCAATGAACAGAACAAGAGAAATCCACATTGTGTCTTGAGGTCTCACAGAGTAACAAAGAATCTTGGGAGAAAGTCATGTCTATACTACACTCACTCCGCACAGATGATGCAAAGAAAAGAGTCGGAATGGAAGAAGTAATCTATTTGAATTTGGATGGGACAACTTGAAAGGGACCTGCCCCCGCATAATGACCTATAGAAGTGCGTGAAGACTTAACAGTATGTTTCGTGATCATGCTACAGTACTAAGCCAGAGGTTTGATATCCTGAATGGTCCCAGGACGGGCCATGCAGTGCTCGACCTCTGTACCATGCACTGTACATAGAGATATAATCTAAAAGGGAGTCAAGGGACCGGCGCCTGGCCCACGTGTCCGTCGCCTGAGTTCGACAACCCAGTGAATCCGTGAATGATTGGATTGGTGATAATGGTGTGGATCCTGCATATTGTGAGGACCAGCATCACCGCCATCTGTCCAATCCAGCACCCGGTAATGCTCACGCAGATGAGCTTCGTTCAGTTCACCGCTCGCCACGCGCTGTTGCGTCTCCAGCAATAGACGCTCACCATGCGCCAGGAGCTGTGCAAAGCCTGCGGTATCGGTATCGTCGTCAACGGCGATCCTAAAAACGAGCAATGCACAGATGACGAGACGGTGCAGAGATGGCAGCGTGATATAGTTGCAGCGTGGGTAGTTATTTGCCTGCCAGCTCTGGAACACAGAATCGATGGCTGCAGCCCAACTGAACGGCCCATGCGGGTGCAACCAGTCAGGCAGGTTAACCATTGCAGTGATGTTCAGGGATTCAATGTCACCGCGGATGGTAGAGTTGACGAATGAGGAATCCGCAGTGGCAACATCGACCTCATACTGCTGCAGAGCTACGCGAACCAGCAAGCTGGTACGAGGAGGCTCCAGCACACCAAGGCTGATGGCAACCTGCTCGTACTCGGGGCATATTTGTACCATCTCGGGCACAATGACATCCACTAACTCTACAGTTAGTGCACTGTCGCCTTCGAAATCAATGTGCCGACGGGCTAGCTGGCCAACAGCTTCGAACTCGGTGCCTTTCAGAGCATACAAAGTTTGAGCCCATGTAACCGCGTTAATGTAGGGCTCATCTCCACCGGGCTCACGAACGAGATTTGACCGGCAGCACGGACATGTGCCATAAATCACCTCGTTGCCTTCGTCGTTCTGGTCTTGCAACTGGCTTTTGAACCAAGTGTTGATGCATTGGCGGTGGAACTCGTGTTTGCAGGGATTGACTGACACAGCATCATCGTCGTCCGTGTAGTCACAGAGACAGATGACGCAGTGCGATTGAGGCGCTGAGATCGATAGTAGGTCGACCTCGTAGAAGAGGGCAAGATCGGGGATAACACGTTCCGTTGAATCAGACATGTTGGTTGCTGATTGGTTGCTGTTCGAAAGTGTCGTTGGGGTTGTTTGAATAGAGTTGTTCTCGGAAGGGGAAGAATTTATATAGCGAAGGCGTTGATGCGTGAGGTGAATGCGCACAATGTGTGACGTAGGTGAAAGGTAGGCGAGGTGGCCACAGTAACATAGTGAATATACGATGTTAGATGAGATGGAAAAATATCATCGCACTCATTACAGTGCTAGGTACTGCTTTTCCTTTTGCCCATTGAATAGGCGCAACGACCGAATTAGTGATGAGGTTGGATGAATTCCTAGGGACAGACGTGAATCCTCTGAGACGAGTATTCATGATTTCTTCGAGCTGGAATCACCTCGGTCACAGGAACAACGTGCATGGCGTCCTCAAGAAGGGCTTGTCGTCCATTTGGCAACCCTCAGTCCAGCCTCGCTTTCCGAGGCGACCATGCATCCTGACTCTTGACCGCAGCCCAACCCCTGCGCTCCTCGTCAACCCTCTTGATGCGTCGCCGCTGCATGAAACGAGTTGTAAGGCATGTTCACACCAGTGATAGTATAGTCGGCCCCTTTCCTAACTCGGCGCATGCTTCACGTAGCTTTTGAAGCACCCGTAGACTATGTGCTATGGCTACGAGGCCACCTACAATGTCATTGGTGACGTCCTGCAAAGCAAATGTGCTGGTGTGTTATGGGATATAAGACGAAGGGCGTTAAGTAGCCTATGTTGGCCGCTGGGGAATCAGCTAGGGCCTTCAAGACTAACGACTCAATAATTATAGGAGCATTTGCGACGCTATATAAGCCATGATTTTGTCTGTACAGATGTTTTACCATGGCTTGACGGTGGTAGCTTTGCCTCGATCTATGTATTTGCGCCCCCGCTGTACAAAAGTACAAACAACTTCAATCTTTTGATGTTTCCACGCATTCCAGCTCGATCTGGGTCGGATTGTTCATCTGTAATAAGACGTTTGAGTTGTTGTCATCACAGCAGTACTCAACTCTCTTTCTGATTCCATCTTCTGTCTCACCTGGCTTGTTCTTAATATGCATGCGGTTAGTGGCAAGTAAAGCGGCTAGCACAGCAACACTTTCAACCTGCGACACCTTCTTACCCACGCAGCCTTGTGGGCCCTCGGCCCACGGAAAGAACGTTCCTTTCCTTGGAACCAGCAATGCTTCACTGTCAACTTCTGCGGAACCCTCAGCGCATACTATCCAGCGTTTTGGCTTCCAGACGAAAGGGTCATCCCAATGCTGAGGGTCTGTCTGAACGCCTAGTAACATAGGGAATACGTCGGTACCCGGAGGAATTGTGACTAATTGTTCGCCAATTTGAATGGCTTGCATACCACGACCCGTCATTTTCGGCAAGCCAGTCACAGGCGCATACAATCTTAGTGTCTCTAGAAACACGGCGTAGCAGCGCTTGAACTTTGGAAATAATTCATACTCCCAATCTTGCACAGGTCGGCCTTCGGTGAGTGTGGTGATTTCTTCATAGAGCCAGTCCTGTATGTCGGGTTCTCCAGCTATGCGTATGATCATAAATGCTAATACATTCGCCGTCGTATCAAGGCCCGCAAAATTGATAAGGAAGATGTTTCCGAGCATTTCCTTCAGCGTCAGAGCTCCTCGCTTAGATATGTGATCAATGGTACGAACGAGGGATGTTATTAGGCCACCAGATCCTGGCTTGCCGTCTTCGATAGCAGCCTTCTCTTCTGCGACAACTTTGGTCATGATTTGCTCCAAGTTGAAAGCTGCGAATCCGATCTTGGAGAGCTTTCCGGGCACCCATGGCCCAAGGAGATATCGATAGGGGATCACCATGAGATGAATGATGTAGTGGTGCACAAGTAGCAGTGCATCACGAAAGCTTTCTGCGGTCGACAGATTGCTCACCTTGAGGTTTGCGGAGCCTACAAAGTCATACGTCTCCCGGAACACAGTTGATGCGAGGACATTCATCGTAACAGTGCGAGCATCTCGCTGCACATTCGGTATGCCGGCTGCAGATTGGTCACACCAATAGCTTATCATTGCGCTTGAGACAACAATTAGCTGGTATAGATCTCCAAGTCACCGCAGTGTCTTACCAAGTCTGACGTAGTGTCTCTTGCCATACAAACTTCATGATAGATTCATTGAACGGTGCTGCGACGGCTTTTCGATGACGAGCCCACTGTTCAATTGGGACGCTAGCCATACATGGGCCATAGATGTTGAGTACTTCTACAAGGTGTCAGATTTTGGATCGCATTGATCGCAGGACATATACTTGCCGTACTTGTGCACCGGGCGAACGAAGTCCTTCCATCGAGAAAAGATGTCCTCTATCGCATCTGGATCCGCAACATAAACATGGACCCCTCCGGGACATACAAGGGCCCACACCGGTCCAAAGCGCGTAATTGGGTCGCTCTTCTCGAGGTAATTCCAGTTTCGGTGGGAGAAGCGCACAATATCGGGATATGAGCTCCATGGTATCGGAATAAATTTTAGGAGCTTCCATATAAATGGTTGGAAAACTACCCAGAGGATGCCGTTGACATCAAAAGGTGTGCGCACGACAGGAAAACTGAGAGCACGCGCTTTACGCACGTTCACCTCAAGACAAAACCATGCCCAACCGCCGTAAGTCAAAATGCCGCCCAGGAAAAGTGAAAGAATCATATTGATGAGTAATAAGGAAATCGAAAATTTCTTCGAAGCCCAATATTACGGGGTCGATACCAATATTTTGCTCGTATCCAGTCTATGATACTGGTGATAAGTCGATTTGCTGTTAAAGAGATGGCCCTTTCGGATCATACCTCGCTCCTCAAATCAGACTTTTCAAGTCGTAAATCACTATCTTCAGAATTAGGCGGCGTAGCTCAACACCGGCGACACCGATGCATGGGACGACTAACTTGAATGTTCAGGTGGGAAAAAGGCTGAGATCTCCCTTACAAGGGCCAATGCATAACATCTTTCGGAGTCCGTAGAAAGACAAGGTTACAGCGTTGCCTAGGCTATGCAGAAATCGTCTCTCTGTGCGACCTCTTGATAGCACCTAATCTTATAGTCTAATCCAGGCGATCTCCAAAGCCAAGGAATGCAAGTCAGCCCATGAATCAGCCTTGTATCGTTGCGAATCTTATGAAAATCTCTCGAAGAATGCTGTGTGGGATTGCCCCAGCACATCAAAGGGATAGCTTTAGGCCGTTACATCCAGTGTCCTACCGAAGTCGCCCATATGCATAATTGAGATCGAGATCATGTTCCGCTTGGAATGTAGGAGTAAGAACTTAGGACTAAACTAGATCGGCACGGGGAGAGGTTGTATATGTCAGCATGCAGTAATAGCACGAGAAGAAGCGGGGCGGACACCGGATAATTAGCCTCTGATACTGCATGATCAAGTCAGGGGCGTAGTTCAATCTATATCCTAGTGACACAAAAGTGTTCACCAGACAGACGCTTGATTGTGGGGGCGAAAAACCTAAAATAGGCCAAGGTAATCTATACCCTAGACGGGACATACATGATGAACACAAACCTGCATCTTGCGACGCGCGTGCTTCCCATGTACAACACAATAAAAGACCCAATGATCGAGAAACCTCGGAACGTAATTATTCCCGGCGTCAGCATGGAGCCAATATCGATGCCGGCCTGTCGGTAACCAATCCAAGTCGAAAACACTACACCTCAAATTTCAATTTTGGCTGACTCGTCATGAGTGAGCTGATAGTTGGTAGCAAAAAGCCTTGTGTTATCTGTGATCCATTGAATCCGGGCTCTACATACTCGCGGAGCAAATGAGCTAGCTCTCCGCTGGCCCTCCCAGGCTCGACCAGTACAATATCACGTGATATAATTCCTTGCTGTGAGACGAACATTGTAATCGTGCCCCTCTTTGATGGAAATGATACCCAAGACTGGCCTTCCCTCGTCGGCTTGGGGAAACTGAGGATTTCCGACCATTTCGAGATCGAAGCGCCGGAGCACAGTAGCCACAAATGCTGTGACGGAGTACCTAGCTAAGAAGCGGCCGCTGCACAGCGTCTTCCCAGCACCAAAGGGGTGCCAAGATGGGCTTCGTGACAGCCCTTTGCCATTCAGCCATCGTTCCGGACGGAATACGTGCGTTTCTTCACCGAAGACGGTCTCGTCAAAGTGCTGTAGGCGGTGTGGGACCATGACGCGATTGCCTTCACGCATGAGCTTACCACCTATAACAGTGTCTTTGGTAATGAGGCGGATTGATGCAGACCACCCTACCATTCGTAGTGTTTCGTGCCAGATCGCATCGACCTGGGGGCATTTTGCAGGGTCCTGGAAGTAAAAGGGATCGACCAGGACATCGCCATCGAACGCTGGTTCTGTTTCCTTTCGAAAGATGGCTAGAAGAGTTGGATTGTGGAGAAGATACGTGATAACCCAGAAGATCGTTTTGCGGGTGTTGGTGTTGATACTGAAGTTGGAAGTTAATAAAAGTGTGGTATCATGCTGGGTAGGACTACCTACGCAATATAGAGGTGAAATATGATGATAGCCATATCTTCTACCCCAACGCCAAGCGATACCATCTCATCCTCCATTGCGCTGATTATCCAAGCGGCGTCGCTTCGTTCAGCCTTAGGCGTGCGTAGATATTTTCCCAGTGCAGCCACGACCTCACCTCTACCGGCAGCCATATCGCCAGAGAGAAAGCTTGGGTATTGGTACAGTATCTTCCATATTAACTCATCGAATACCAAGAATGATTGATGAACCTTTGGATCGATTTTAGCAAGAGTCTCTCCAAAATACACCTGCTGACCGAGTTGGACGAAAAGTTCGGAAGTCCACTGGTAGAGCGGCACTTCAATCTGTGTTGCATCTTTCATGACAGCGTAGTTGCAAGTCTCGGCAAGGACCTCTATGGCAAGGTTGCTGTTGATCCACGCTTGGACTCTTCGTTGCAAATGTATCAAGTTATTGTTCCCAGGGTGAAGCTGGTGGATATGCATCTTTTGGGCCAGGACCCCCTAATGACTCCGCGTGAGGGTTGGGGAAACCCTGCTTATCACTTGGTAGTGCGTTGTACATGACTCTGATAGCATGCTCATTGTTACCGTTGATCCTCATAAGGCCTTGAACGAAGCCTTCGAATGATAGTGTCTCCGTGTTCTTGTATACTTCAGCAGAATGCTTAGCCTGTGTGACCACATAGAAGGTCATGCCGAAAGCTGTTAACGCAAACGGCTCTTCGGTGTTGTTGAAGTGGCTCCTGAATTGGTTCAGTACCACATTAACATTTTGATCAAAGGGGGGGGGGCAAAACGTCAGTTCCGGTATTCTACTCACCTGGCTCTAGATATGAGGTCGTTTGAGTTTTGGAAAAAGGCTAGTCCGTGGCCTTACATATTGCTATCAGAAAGTGATATTCAAGCATAGGGCTGTCACAGACTGACCGAAAACTGATATGTCCCAAGTCAGTATTTCGAAGGTTTTATTCACGTGGTAGCAGACGTACAAGGCACCCAATATGGAAATTCCTTTGGCCGTTCAGGGTATAGAAACGGACGAAGAGCGAATTTCCATCCTCGCCATAACATTAACAGTGCTACAAAGCCTATCGCTGCCCATCTGAAAATGTAATTATCATTCTCGGGGAGGAGGTGGATCACAGAAAGATCACTGGTAGTTGTAATAGTGGTGTTGGCAGCTGAAGACATGGCGATAATTCTTCAGCTAAACACTACGTCGAGGGAAATATGGCGAAGATTAGATAAAAAAGGATTTCCCGGCAAGCCCTTCTATTCCAGATATTAACGAGAGCAAAGGCAAAGTCTCCAAACGCGGAGTGTGGGAGACGCTCCTTCTACTCTCGTCTTTGGTACAACAAGGCGTATGACCTTTGCGTAACCACAATGCTGAACAAGATTTGCCTTTCGGACATCTCCTACATCCGCATGCAATCCGAATATCTCACCAAGGCTGCGCAACTGCAGGGGCGATTGTAGGCTAATATTCCGCGGGATACAATAGGCAATAAGACTAACTGTGCCTCAGATGCTGGGGGTTGTCGTGCCGCCAGCTACGTGTTGTTCCAAGCATCGATTTGGGGGCAAGAATGTCCAAGTACCGGCTCAATCAGTAAGACACTTACGTGCGCTTACGTGCGACAGTCCCAGCTTTGCAGGGTATAACGCAGATCATGCCCCACGGAAGAAAAAAGGGGGCCATAAAATGCAGCGATAATGGTGATTCTGGTATCAGAATGCGAGCAGCTAAAACCTGCTTTATTAACTGCAACCAAACATTCAAGAACAAACGAAGTGGATCGCGGGTAGTTTCGCAAGCTTCCCGGGTCGACAGCCGAGTTCTCGACACCGGAAACCCCCTCGTGGAACATGCGTCCGCCTCGTTCTGTTTGCACGTCTGGGCTGCCTGCAGATTGATATTGGGGAAGACGCGACTTGATTTAAAGCTAGAATGATGAAATCTTGAATCTGGCTGCGGGGTGGCAAATCTATCGTGTCTTTGACAGCTTTGTCTGGACAGCGGTGTATTCCTCATCAACATTTGTCATAGTCTATGAACGCTCAAGGACTATACGTAGGAGACCAACCGATGGAGATCTTATCGCCAGCCTTCGAGAACAGTTTCTCCGTCTTCTAAGTGTGCAAGTTTCACACTCTCTTTCCATACTAGATCTCGCTTGCGAGGATCTCTAGACTCACTACTTGTCTCTGCAGACTTTCCGCCTTCGAAGAATAAGCCTTTTGGGAGCTCACCCAGCCCAGGACCTCTCTCAACAGCTGCTCGTAGCACATACGATGCTGACATTTCCGGATAGCGTATCGACCCATTCGGCATCAGCCATGCGACAACTGGGAAGAAGACCTGGAAAATGATGTAGCGGGCTAACCATGGTAAAGAGCGCTGTAGGCCGGTGCTCATGTAGCCTGGATCCACAGCTAACACACATATTCTGCTCAATGCAGCATCCTGATTCAATCGGTGCTGGAGTTCGTGCATCATCATCATAGCGCAAAGCTTTGCCGCGCCATATCGACAATAGCCACCCATCCAAGACTGGTTCCCAACGAAGGGCTTCCAGGTACCCTTTCCAATTGCTTCGAAGGTTGCTTCATCACGCATCAAGTTATCTTCTGAAGAAAGTTTAGGAAAGAAGATCTTGTGTACCATGCTTTTTGTACTGTGATAGACAACGCATTTCATTAGCTCATGATCGTAGGCTCAATTTTTTATGGAGACAAGAGAGAATGGAACACCTTACTCGTATGCCTGTGAACTAATCACCACAACACGCCCGAATTCCCTGTCCATGCTCTTGAGCAAGAGTAAGACCAGCAGCCAATGGCCCAGGTAGTTCACAGTGAAGGTAGGATCCAAACCATCAACCCCGAGAGTCTGTCCGCTAAGATTCTGGTAGGCGGCATTTAGTATGAGTGTTCGTATTGGCGGGATGTGGCCGGAAGAGACGCGCTCATTAATTTCTCCCGCTACCTGCCGGATAGTATGGAGATCTGTCAAGTCTATTGCGAGGATTTCGTGTGCGTGGGAAGGGTGAGTCGACAGAAGGGGCCGAAGTGTAGGCGCTGTCAAGTCCTTGACCATGTACAGCCCATAGTACATTGAGAGTTCCGGCCCAGAGGCTATCTGCTTTGCAATAGCTGTACCAAGACCTCCATTTGCGCCTGTGACCAGAATCGAACTTTTCAGTGCAGCCATCGGAAATCCAAGGTATGGTGTTGCAACAATTTTGTAGCTGAGCACAGAGCATGTCAGGCATGATGTTTGAACATATGCAAATTAATCCAGGTATGGCCTACCATGCCCAGTACAGCGCGACGGAGTCCCGAGTGCAATCTTCAGCCTTGTGTATGATATGACCGCAGAACTGAGTTGGTGCGGCGCTTCTACTGGATAGGGACTGGGAAAGCCCGGCCAATCATTGAATTCCCATGTGGCTGGAAAACAATAATTCACGTTAGAATGCGACCCCTCCTGTCTCGTTCTTCTTCAATGTGGGTTGTACAGACCAACGGACCGTGTCAGATAAGGAATGATCATCGTTCATTCTTCCATAAACGCAAGGTAACACAGCTCTGGGCGGGCGTTGTGCATGCAGCTGATTACGTCCGTGTTCCTTTACCGCGGTGTGCGGCGCGGTTCGCAAACTAAACCCTGCACGTCAGCGTGCGAATCGGGATCCAAATATCATGTTGGCGCCTCTCGCGCAGGGTCTTGAGTTGGAGGGTGAGAAGGTGCACAAAGCATGCAAGGCTGACATGCGCATGCAGGGATGGACCAGCGTGGCGAAAAAGCGGCGTAAGTATTGGGGGCCATCGACAGGCACTGTGATGAGTCAGTCACAGCGTAGGTTACACGACTGCAGTCTCGATCTGTGTTGTAATCCGTGGTGTCCCGTTTTTCTGGTTTTTTGTTTTGCAGCTCATCTTCTGGACACTTCGTCTTTCCCCAATCGAGTTGCTAGACAGCGTTTGAGACGCTTGGTCGGCGCCTCGCATTCGCAATATTCTGTCCTACTATTAAGAATTGAGCTCTCTTATCCTGAGCATATCTTTTTTCCCGAATCCGGCCTAGTCTAACGGTACAGATGGCTCCAAGTGTGGACCTCTGTACTATTCCGGTTGGAACACGACCAGATAATACTTGGGATTTTGTCCATTACCAGTCGTTGGAAGCAGCCAGCATTTCTGTATGCGTGGTGCTGACATTGTTGGCGTTGCTCGTTGCGGTGCCGAGAATCTACGTTAATCGTCGGCATCTCCTAATGGCAGACCGTTAGTATTCTCCTGTGGCTGAATTGACCGTGCGTTGACCTCCAACCTAGACTTCACCATTTGGGCAATTCTGTTCAGTATCGCATACGCAGTGTTGATTTGTCTCAGTAAGTCCTTTGGTAAGAAATCAGAACGGGAGCCTCTGGTTGACGACTCGTAGTGGGTCACCTGTACCGCCATGATTGGAACACGCCTGTCTGCTTGTATGATGCCGGTTTTTTCAAGGTATATTTCCGAATCGTGGACTTCCAAATTGCACAGATAACAAATTGTTAGCTGAGGTTTGCCCTTGTTCTGTTCTCCGGTTTCGTGCAATTCTTCCCTAGGGCTGCCATTCTGCTATTGTATCGACAGCTATTTGAGATTCACAGCCGCGGAGTGCATATTGCGATATGGGTCGGATTAGTCGGCACGTTCCTGGCAAATATTCCCAACATCCCCATCGCCTTCGCTATCCTAGTACCACGCCCCGGAGAAAGTTGGGTAAGTATGACGCAAAGAGTGAGCAAAGCGGGCCCTGTTGGAGACGCCCGCTACTGGGGTCCCATCCAAGGAGGTTTCTCTGTGGTGCTCGATGTTTTTGCTTTCGTCCTTCCATTGCCAATCATCTTCCGGCTGAATCTTACGCCTGGGAGAAGGAAGCAGCTGCTTGCTGTGTTCTCCATTGCTGTCTTGTGAGTAACCCTCCATATACTCTGGTAACGGTAGCAATATCCTTACCTCATCAACAGAGGTGTCGCAGCAAGCATAATCGCCTTCTATTTCAAGATCGAGCTGCTACTGCGTCAGAACGCGGGTAAAGGTGACTTGATGTGGCTACTTGGTCCCGTGAACATTTGCATGTAAGCCCGATTCGATCCTGGATGGAAACAGAAGTCCGCACTGACATTGGCTTCGTAGTGAGGTCGAATCTACTGTCGCTATTATCGTCGGATCAATGCCCGCCTGTTCCACGTTTATGAGAGTCCATGTGGTTGAGTCTGGCGTCTTTCAGAAATTGCGGACCAAGCTCGTTGGCAGTATCTCAACTGAGCAGCATTCGTCGAAAAACGAACTACAGCTTCCTACGCACGGCACGATCGGCTCTCCGTTCCCACGGAGGAAACCGAAGCCTTCGTACTACGAGCTCTCGGATACAAATCTTTTGCGTACGAAGGATACGGCTAATAGCGGAATGGAGGTAAGGAACCATAGCAATTAAATCTGGCCCACTGCGCTCTTCTGAGACGTGATCAACACGATGACGAAGTCGCTATTTGAGGGTAATTAGTCTAGACGTACATTACATTCATCGTTGTGACTGTCAGCTAGTATCGGAAAGCTGGTTTAGATCCAAAGCGCAGTGGGTTCCGTTGTCAATAATTTGTCCTCCGGCGCTTCTCAAAGCGCCGGCATAAGTGGGTACAAACCCGCGTGCATGTCATTATGCGTCCGGGTAAGAAGAGCCAAATGGCTTGCGGACGTGCAAGTATAAGCTTACATATCAAGTATGTAATATAACGTGTGATTGGTGGCTGTCATATGCAACTTTTCATGGGTTCAATACCCTAATATCCGCTGTGCCGTGTGCCACCCGAGCACACAACACAACCCCGCTTCATTCCGCTGATCCCGGGTCCCTGACATGTGTACAAAGACTTGTAATTTTACAACTTCACATATAAGCTTTGGCCCATAAAACGGTGTTATCACCTCATTGATTCAGAAGATCTCATGGGAATACTTGTCCTACGCAAATCACTGTTCAGCACATTGTAATCGCTTCGCGTTATTTTAAGCGAGCAGCCTCAGACTTCTGGCCTTTACTTTGAGGCTTCACTAGTGTCAAAGCATCCTACAAGAGGCGCTCCTTCACGAGGTAATCCCGCACATTCCTTCCCGCTCAGATCCCAACAATAGCCCAAACCTAGCTTATCAGGCACGACTCCTCCGTTCAACAATGGACATTCGCGACAATCCCAGTCTGGAACAGATCGAAATGCGCGACCCCGTGCATCTCTGCGTAAGTGTCCTGATTATTTTCAAAGTCTTTGCAGTCGACATGTGCCAAGTGAGCTCCTAAGACATGTTATAGTGCCTTGCCCTTGCATCTAAGCTTGGGAGCGATAAGCTAGCCTACCCGGACAGCTCAGCATATAACGGATCGCTAGCGTCATACTATTCGCTACAGCAAGAAACAATTCGTCCGGCATGCATTCTCTTTCCTCGGACGGTCCACGAAGTCTCAAATGCGGTGCAAATCTTATCGAAAAATACAGCATACGGCTGCTGTGACTTTGCTATCAGATCCGGGGGGCACACTAGTTGGGCAGGTGCCTCCAACATTGCTGGCGGCGTGACGCTGGATCTACGAGGGCTCGATAGCGTGGACGTAAAAGAAAATGGTGCTATGGTCCAAGTCGGCACTGGAGCTACCTGGGATGCTGTCTATACAAAGCTTGATCCTCTTGGACGCAGCGTGGCGGGCGGCCGTGTAGCTGGTGTTGGCGTAGGTGGATTGACCCTTGGCGGCGGCATCTCGCACTTGTCAACCCTACACGGTTGGACCTGCGATACTGTGCGTAACTTCCAGGTTGTTTTGAGCAATGGGGCAATAGTTGATGCTAATGCTGATGAAAATGCGGATCTATTCTTCGCGCTGCGCGGTGGCGGAAACAACTTTGGCGTCGTCACACGCATCGACCTGAACACCTATGAACAGGGTCCGATTTGGAGTGGGTTCTCACTATCAGAAACGACTGTACTTGATGCCAACATCAAGGAGTTTGTAAGAATTAGCACAGCAAAAGACTACGATCAACACGCCTCGTTCATGTTGTCGTTTGCGTATGTTGGACCCTTGGGTGGATCATTACTTGCCAACACTCTCACATATACTAAGGGAGTGGAGAACCCACCCATCTACGAAAGAATCCTGGCATTACCGACATTGATGTCCTCTTCGGGCATAAAGAATATCACAGCCGCCTCCGACGACCTCGCCGCCTTGGTGCCACACGGGGCAAGTACCCAATACCGAACCCGTACAATCATCTCCACCGAGCCTGTGCTTCACGCCATACATGCCATTTGGGAAGAATCTCTGTTGACTTCCGGTAAGATATCGGGAATCTCAGGGAGCATCTCATTTGAACCTATACCTCCGGTTATGTACGAACGCCACGCAGCCGACAATGCGCTCGGCCTGGCCGACCGGGATGGTGCCGCGCTACTCGTGGTGTTACTAGATATCAGATGGGATAACGCTTCTGATGATGAACTCGTTCTTTCCACTTGCAAGTCCGTCATGGATGATGTGAGTGGCCCACGTTTCATTGCTCCACGCTTCATCCCCATCCTCACGTCGTAAAACGCTGACTCCGTGGTTCCGTATAGGTCGAGAAGGAAGCACGAGCTTTGGGGGCATACGATCCGTTTATTTACTACAACTATGCCGCTGCGGACCAGAATCCCATAGCGAGCTACGGCGAAGCGAACGTGCGACGACTGAGGGCGATCAGGGACCGAGTTGACCCCACTGGATTATTCACCAACCAAGTTCCTGGTGGGCACAAACTTCCTCGTACATGATAAGATCGACCTCTTGTCGGTGCGTCAAAGTTCGTTACTAGAATAGCAGAATTGATTTTGCATTAGCCGGCTCGCTCGCCTGAGCAGCTTGACACCCAGCTTGACCGTGGCGCAACAGATTATATCATTCGGGCGGGCATGTCAAAGCTTCAAGCACTAATATTTGCGGCGTTGGCTCAATGAGCAAGCTCATATCCTTGACCTGTATATATTTGGCGGACTACATGTTCAAAAATCATTAACGGAAACCAAGTGGTTCAATCACCCCTACGAGTCTAAAAGCGAACACGGCAGCTTAAAGGGGTTTCACAATAACGTGAACGTTATGATGGGCTCCTGCTTATTCCAAATTTGGATTCTATACGTATCATTGGCTACATCGCATACCTCTTTTGAACGTACTAAGTGAGACTATAGTACGCGGAATCTTGGCGGGGCCCTTGCCCTCAGCTGAATAACAAAACGAACAGAAGGTCGATCATCGAATAGCCCTGTGCATATAGGAATTCAGAGTACGAGCCAACAATAGCTTCCGCTGTTCATCCGATTTTGATCCTATGTCATCGACCAATGCTCACTGTGAGCCTCATCTGGCGGTTTATCTTTGCATCCATCGCAGTCCGGTGTAAAAATTGCGTTTCACTAGCATTGCAATTCCCATTAGCGTGTTGACACTGTCCAAAAGTGCGCTTGACTACACATCGTTGCATGTCAGCACTGCCTCAGAGGGATCAACAAATCCGCCGAGGGCAATTTCAAATCGACGGCACGTACTCCAACACCGCTGACATACATAGCATCTATGGGGTAATCAGTATAGAGATCATTGTCATTGGTTTGATCGGGTGCAACGTAAGATAATAAGGATGCACACTATGATAATCTAGCGCTCTCCTTCAAGCTTGAAAAAACATATATAAAGCCCTGACAGAATTTGAAAATTTTGAGAAAACCATCACAAGTCAATTTCGAATCACAAGCATGAAAAACGTCATCTTTCTAGGGCTTGTACAGTCCATAGCCGCTCTGGCTACCTCGAAGATTCCGGACTGGCACCCACAAGGATATGGAGAAGGTACGGCTGCTTCGTACCGTTGAGCCTATCCACATACATTCTTACTGACGCCTGCAGTGCGCAGTCCCTGTCCGGGTATCAACGTCCTTGCCAACCACGGCATTCTCCCTCGGAGCGGGCGAAACATGGACAGGGAAATGATAGTGAATGCTCTGTCAACATGGTATAACATCTCTGAGGACATTTCCGGCCCTCTCTTCGCCGCAGCACTCGTAACGACTCGACGGCCCAATGCCACTACTTTCGACATGACCGACATACGACTGCATCACAACGAATCAGTTCCGGCTATAGAACAAGATGCCAGCTTTAGGTATGTGGGGAACTTTAGACCAGCCAGCTTCCTGACTCAATTTATCGTAGCCGTGCGGACTATTTCTGGGGTGACGACTACTCCCTCAACCACACGGTGTGGAAGCAGACGCGCTCTTTCTGGCGTGGCAATACAATCGACGTTCAGGAGTTCGGGAACGCAGCCCGCGCCCGCTATCTCACCTCGAAAGCGACGAATCCAACGTTTTATTTCCCCGAAGTGGAAAACATCGGTGCAGCAATGTCATTCATGACAAATGTTCTTGGTGATCCTGAGGCGGGCAATGTTCCCACTGCCTTCGTGGATGAGTGGATTGGTGAGTCCCGATTGTTTGCAACTGCAAGTGTTTGCAAGAAGTAATCGTACTGACATATAGCTTGACAGTCAAAGAACGCTTGCCTGCGGAACTAGGATGGCGCACAAGTGGAAAAGCTACTACAATGCTCACTGTCAAGACTCTTTCAGACCGGATATTCGCTGCTTCCGGCTTGGGTGGGGAAGGAGGCGAGAAGTCAAAGCCTGGCCACTTCATGCATGCTGGAGCTGAAATCTGAGATCCGTATCGGACAGTGGGTCGGCAGCGTTGCTTGTTGGATGGGTAGCGTAAATCAGGAACGGTTGACTCGTGTAGAACCATTTGACTTCTTTCGCTAGTCGGTGGTAGGCTCGTAGGTATATGCTCTGGCTTCTCGTGAGGACAGAAAGACAGAGCAGTGACCAATGAAAATCGTTTGTAACGTGGAATGCCATCTGACATTACCGTACTCGCGTAAGATCAGTCGCTGTTCGAATCTGCCACCACCTGTTCTTATCTTCGCTTTCCAGTTGCTGATGTCAGATGCACAGCCCCATCGAATTTGTGGCGCATGCATCTCGTTGCTTCTTCGGTCACATACAGTCCTCACGTTTGACGAAGGTTCAAAGAGAGGGATGTAGGAATGATGTGGTGCCTATACATGCTTTTTGCACCACTAACACACCTTGAAGCTTGATCACAACGGCGAATGGCGACAGTTGTCGACCGCGATTGTGTTTTGTTCGCTTGCTCTGGAGATGGGCAGGCTCGTGGCAGGGGTACGCGGTATCAGCCTCGTTGCCTTGCAGGGTTCCTTTTCAGCTTCAGCTTCATAACCATCCCCTTTCTCTACAGGTCTTTAAATCCAATTTTCGCAGATACATCCGTGCATATGGAGGTTGCTGGTCTCGCTGTGGGCGTTGCCGGTCTGGCAGGATTGTTCAGCTGCTGTACTAGTGCCTTTCGCCTCGTGCAACAGGGTCGCTCCTTCGACAAAGACTACAAAATCATTGAGACGAAATTTGGAAATCAGGAATTACGTCTGCGGGCATGGGGAAAGGCGTGCGGGCTCAACACCAACGCAAGATACGATCAGCGGCTCGACGACCCGGATCTAATCCAGCAGGTGGAGGCAACTCTTGAATGTATCAAGCTATTGCTCGGAGATGCGAAAGATTTACAGGAAAGATATGGATTGAGGTCTTGTTCCGAATACAGAAGTGAGAATTCACGCCCCCACCTCGCCATCCACTCCTCGTCGGAGGGGACTGCGAAAATTGAACCTGGCCGAAGGGCGAGCTTGAATCGCTTATTGTCGCGTCGCTCACTACTCCAACGAATTGGGTCCTCACCAGTGCTACGGACTGAGCAGTCATCCATTCTTTCGACAGCACATTGGATCATCGAGGATCGCGAGAAATTTTCGGAGCTTGTGCAACATTTGAGAGACTTCATTGATGATTTGGAGAACTTCACGAAAGCAACTGAGATTCCTCGAAGGCAACGCGTCTTCGTGGAGTATGAAGTGGAGTCAATTGAAGATCTGGAGACATTGGAAGATATGGAGTCAGCGAGAGAGGGTGATGACGATGCCGTTTCAGATGCAGCGAGCGCGCGCCTTGAGAGAATATCTGAGGGTACCGCCAGCGTACGCAGCTCCTTTGGAGGTGGCCGCAGTAGTGTGCACACTTTACAGTCTATCATAACTCTAGAATCTCTAGACTCGTACTTCACAGCTCGGACACATTTTTCACGACCCGAAAGTATTGCGGATCCCGAGTATCTCGTCCCAACGCCTGAATTGTCTCGCGGGGCCGGTCTTAAACGCTACGGCGACGCAGCCGTATCGAACAGACTACTACGATTACAAGCACGCCCAAGGAACGAAAGAGAGATATTTCGGAGGAGACATTCGAGGAAGAGCGGTAACGCGAGGCCTCGGTTAAAGTGAGTAATATGAGGGCAAACTAAACATGGCACCTACCGACTTCTATCAGGTGCATTGTTGTGGGCGAAGCGTCCGCTCGCAAGACTGAATTACTTTCTTGTTTCACGCTCAACGGTTTCCCCACCACGCACATGCCCCTTGTGTTCAAAGAGTATGTCACTGAATGCAGGTACAGACCTCACCCAAGTATTCCCCCGATGAATATTGTCAAGGCTAAAGCTGACGTTACCCAGGGTTGATGGCCAATCAATAGATGTAGCGCTTTGGGACACGACCGGACAGGAAGACTACGATCAGCTGCGCGGAAACTCGTACAGCGGCACTCACGTCGTCATAATATGCTTTCTCATTGATGCACAAGAGCCTAATCATGACAAAGTGCGCAACAGGTGGATTTCAGAAGTGAACCAGCGATGTCCCAGAGCTGGCCGTATTATCGTCGGCGTGGAGCCGGATGGCTCATATCAAACGTCGCGTATTGACATAACACGTGGCAAAAGACTCGCTGTGGAAGTCAATGCTTTGCATTACATCCAATGCAATCTGGAGTCAGGCGCTGGGGTGGACGATGTTTTCGAAGCAGTGTGTTCATCCCATTGGTAATGTGATAATATATTGACTGTCGTAGGCTAGTCGAGCGTCGATAGCATCAGCTGAGGCGGACGACTCTCGAATCTGGAGACTGCCCTGGCGAGATGCGAGGCAGAGACTGTCCATCATCAACGAGAATGGCGTCACTAGTCCATCGGGCCCTGAGGACGACTCAAGTAGCCCGAGCTTCAAACAGAAGAGGCACCGTAAACGACTAGGTCTGAATTCTTCAAGCCCACCAGCACTTACGCATCCCTCAACAAACCTACGTGATATCGAGGATTCCGAAGAAATGTTAGGTCGCGTCAAGGGTAACCGTCCTGTAAGACTTTCTATTACTAATGGAGACGACGGATATATTACCTAGTGTCGATCGAATCGACTTCTTCTGGAGGAGGTATTTTGATGGATCGCCGGCTTTGCTTGATCACTTGAAGAGTTTAGCTTCAGATAATCGTGAGCTTCTTGTTTAGTTCACTGATTTTCATGACGCGAAATTATGCTGCACTCTTCCACTTCACTGCATCAACGATTTATTAGCAAAAGATGCCATGCCTCTCAAGCGCGTCCGATACTCACATAGAGTTACGTCAACTTACGGCCGCCAATTTCCCTTCTCGGAGACTAGTCTTCTGTTTCTGGTGATTACTCGCATAATGCTATCCCGTCTTGGCCCCTCGGCCGGACGTCAAGGTGGAGACACGGCAAGCTTAATAAGTTCCGCTGTCCTGAACACGAAGATCATGCTACACAGATCAGCGCACTATGGGAGTCCCGAAATAGTACGAAACAGAAGTCGCAGAAGAGATTGTGCTGTTTGACTCTTGCGTGGAGGAAAGAGTCTTTCTGGGGCCGAATCGCAAACAATTTTGTAGGTGCGTGTTGCGTCCATAACTGCGATTGCTTGTCCTACCTACCCCAGATTTTGCTCTTCCACCATCGTCATCGCGACAAACCTACGTGCATCTTGTACTGCTATTATTGGACCTGCAATTTCGCAGTTTACTTCCCCCCTGCGGTCCGGGACCTGATTGGCTCATGAACGACGCTGATCCCCCCTTCTGGAAGTCCGCAAGAACGTGGCCCCAACGCGGCATCGGCGTTTCACAACAACGCGGAGTTTCGCGTGACTAAACTTGCGATTACGAGCGAAAATCATTTACGATTGGCTGGAATGGCCTTGCAAAGCGAAAGAACGTGGAATGCCGTTTTGTTTTGCCATGTCCTACCGCCGATCAGATGGAAGTGCCAGAATAGGTCAGAAATGATTGTGCGCCTGAAAACGATCGAATACGAGGCTAGGAGGTTCAATATAAAGGCTGAGGTAGGGCTTCGGAGGCTGAACAAACAGACATCCGATTCAAGACTTCACTTCTTCAGCCTTTTACCTCTCTTTCACTCTTTCGCTCTGTTCATCAGCTTCGTTCCTTTTACTGCAACACGTTCTTGAACATCTTCCTTCATCTTTCTCAACTTTCCCAATTCAACTACCAAAATGCGCTCCACAACCTCGCTCGCCATCCTCTTCGCCGGCGTCGCAGCATGCCGCGACGTCCCCTCCAACCTCAAATCCTTCTATGAGTCCCACAAGGACGTCGACTGCGCCAACCCTATCTCCATCGAGTACTCCTCCGGCCAAGGCGACGCTGACACCGTCTACTGCAAAGACGACGCTTCAAGCGCCGTGTTCCTCAAGGACACCTCCAACGGCTACGCGGACGCTGACATCGACTGCGACGGCTCTGGCATGGGCACCGGCGACTGCGGTGATGACCCCAGCGGCCAGTCTATGACCGCTTTCAAGGACCTTGTGCAGGAGTACTCGGGTGGCGCGGTGGACGATTTGAACACGCATATCCACAACTTCGTGGTTCTGGGTAACGATAACAGCGCTGACGAGGGCGACGGTGGCGAAAAGTTCGATCCCACTGGCGACGCGGATATCCAGCCATTGAGTGTCGTTGCCGTCGTATGCGGCGACAAGCTCGTGTACGGCGTGTGGGGCGATGTCAACGGTGGAAAGGTTACCGGCGAGACGTCCCTGAGCCTGGCGAAGCAGTGCTTCCCTGATGAGGGCTTGAGCGGAAACGCCGGGCACGGAGATCATGATGTACTGTACTTGGCGTTCCCAGGTGAGGATGCGGTCGCGAAGGATGTGAACTGGAGTGCAGGCACGGCGGAGGAGTTCGAAGCCAGTTTGGCGACGATTGGTGACGAGCTTGTGAAGAAGGTTGCCGCTGGGCAGGCGAAGAGCAGAGTAATGCGTGCTATTTTGTAGGCATTGCATGGCGGTTTGCGGAAGTTCGAGAATGGTGTAATTTTATCTCTGTGTTGATATCGTGAAGCAAGCATTGATACAGCGTCTCTGAACGATCAGCAAGTTGCATGAAGATAGTCTCGACATGATAAAACAGACTTTCGCACACTACAATGAACTGCACTAGCCTGCAGTGAAATCGTTATCAGACAATAAGCTCGACCGAATCTGCCCATTGTGTCAAGTTCCTAAAATTTGACCAGCCTAGGTGCCCGCCTTCTCCAAAACCGCCTCTCCAGCATCGAAACCTTGACCAATCATCCGTCGTTCCATGTCAATCTATCTCTACTCCTCTCCATCATCCTCTTGGATAATGTCCTCCTCAATCTTCTTCGCCCTCGTGGCCCTTGTGGCCCTCGTGCTCCGAGTTGTCTTACCCTGCTCATCTCCCTCGCTCTTCAAACTTATGACACTGTTGCTTCTCATGTGGCGGCTTGGGGTGTCAAGCACCTTAGCTTTGAGCTTCGGCTTGAGTTTCTTCCTGTTATTATCGTCCTCGGCAACATCGTCCTCCTGGCCTCCACCATCGACACGCTTCCTCTTCTCTCCGATTTCCTGCTTCTCCTCATTCGCCCTAGCCATCTGATTTCTCTCGTACATATCCGCCTGCACATTAACTGAATACATGTCCAACTCAACCCTACCCAAAAGGCGACACAACGCCTCCATTCTCGTGACACCAATGAAACGACCGTATAGAGTGCGATGAACGCCATCTTGCTTTGTCACAATGCCAGCGCTGTACGGGCTATTGGTGTGTACGGCATTGAAACCCGTCGACACGCAGATTTTGATATTGTCATCAAGGTAAAGCTCAGCGGCGAGATGACCGATGTATTTGAGACTGCGCTCTTCCTCTGCGGTAAAGGGGGTAGGATATGGGGCTGACATTGCAGAGTGTGTGTGAAAGCGTAGAGAGGTCTGGAAGATAGAATGCAACTCAGTGTGTGGAGGTGCAGATCCAAATGTGGTGTGATGGAGAGATAGTTTTAAAGCCGAATGCTTCGCGCCTTATATAACGCAGCGGTTTGCTAGTGGTCAGCTTGTCGAAAGGTATGTACAAGGCGCGTGAACGTCCGATTGCGGTTTGAACATGCGCACGAGGTATCTTCAAGCTGCTTGCTAAATCACATCGTCGGTCCCACATGCCGAATTATGGGCAATTGTGTCTTCTTTAGCTCACGAGTCATACTTAATGATACTCGATTCATGCTAACTTTCTGATGGTCTGCTCTGGCTAGTTACGGATACGTCCACACTGACTTACAGTGCTTATCTAAGCCATACATGTCCACAGATACCCTCATGTTTATTCCTAATTCCAAAGTTACACGAACGCAGACATCACATCTCTTCAGTCCGCATCCACAAAGTTTGCTTCAAAAGCGTTCTTGAGACTAAGTCGACCATCGACTTCTGGGACTTCCTCAAGTCATGTAAGTAATATTGCCTAGCAATGGCAGCAAACACTATCATGGATGCTCCAATTCTGGAGGATCGATTTATATAGCCACAGTCAGATCTAGCTCCTAAATAGCTATAGAGAAATTAACGCCTAACGTATCTCAATTCTCGACCACTTAACGGTACCTGCCTGGACTGGGAGAAAGACGTCAATTCGATCATAGGCGGCTATGCTGCAGAATTGTACAAACGTATAATGCTGGTCAACTTTTCTTAAAACCACTGACTTCGAAAGTCCATCAATTTTGGCGATTAGATCGCCCTCCCGTATCAAGGGCGGAAACATCCCAAACCGACCCCGAGAAGTATACGCTAAACGCGATGATTTCCACCGGGGGTAGAACATTGCCAGATCTTTATGACCAGCTTCGTATATAGCTCTAGAGCGACCAGGCTGATCTCTGCGTAAATTTTCGTAAAAACGGTAGTTTACGCGGTCTTTCCAACTAGGCAGCAAGCTGTCAAGGAAATCCTCCCTGCTTTTGCCTCCCTTTTTTGTTTTTTACTTGATATTTGCAAGAGCTCATATATTACAATGTCTAGATAGCGCCACCAGCGTTCCGCGGGAGTCGAAGTCGTATTGCGGGTCGTGGTACTGTTCTGCGGAACAAGTGCAAATATAGACGCGTGAAGCTTGAGCGCGATGGTCCGTCCACTTGCCAATGCATGGAATAAGATTGTGAACAACCATTTCATGTCCCGGTCGAAAGAGCTGGGCTTTGGCTTTGGTCTCCAATTAATTGACCTGTAGACATACCAGCGCCTGAAACGATAGCCTAGGCTCACTCGTAGCCACGACGATGAGTTCAAGAGCGATCGTAAGCGGCAGCGGTTATTGCGCGGTAGCAATGTACCTTGCCTCCCGTGACGAGGCGCAAAGCGCGCAGCTGCGGGATTCTCGGCGTCACAAACACAACGCACACCTGAACAGAACATGCAAATAGATTAGAGTAATCGGGCCAACGCCTACACCCCAGATAGAATACATGCAAAAAGGGGGCCTTAGCCGTATGCTCCCCTCTATGTCCAGAAAATACGGACGGTCGCCAATCCCTAGCTATGAACCAGAACATGCTATTTCCATCTCTCCTCCAACCAACAACCGTACAACGCAGCACGGATGGCTGCGTCTGTCTACCCCATGGTCATGAATCCGAGAAAGTGCGAAGCCGCGATGAAGCATAATGCCAAAGGGTGATGTGATGTGACGTGATGTGATGATACCAGAACGCCATGCGTAAAACAAGAGCAGACAGCCCGCGAACGCCTCCATATCATTCGTTGTTGCCCGCGTTTGGGAATCATCGTACCGTTGCCTTGACCCAGGTCGCTTCCTCGCACGTGTCGTTAATGTCGCTTTCCTCGTCGACTTTGAATCCAAGTTCTGCCATCTTGTTGAGAGCCCAACCGCTGGACATCATGCCTTGTCCGCCGTTCTCGCTGTCCACGGCGTTTCCGAGCTTGATGTAGTTCGCCCAGCGGCACACGGTTTGGGAATGCGACCATTGGAGACAGTTGCGGTCTTTCTCACACTCGGAGCCGCAGGAGCCGGGGTTCTTGTGGGCGGGACGGTCGTTCGGGACGGGGGCGACGGAGAGGTTGTCCCACCAGTCGCGGCTGGCTCCTTCGCGGAGGAAGGAATGCGTGTATGCGAGGAGGGAGGAGTAGACGAATGGTTTCTGTGAAGGTTAGACTCGGACATGGAGAAAGAATACAGAGTATAGTTTACCTGATTGTAAGTCCGTGTGCGCTCCCACTTCCACAGCGACTCCATCTGTTCGGGCGAGACTCTGTGTAGCGAAAGCAGCGGCACACACCACCTATCCTTGTCAATTGTGACTTTGCTCAGCTCCTCGCCAGCAAATGTCGGGTACAGCGACTCCATCTTCACGCCGGTGGTGTTCTGGATGGCATAGGCAAGTACCGCGTCGCCGCAGCAGTCTTCCTTCACCATCTTTTCGTATTTGACAGCTAGCTTCGTCTCCGGTGTCGCAGTTGTTCCTGTCTCAGTCTTTGGCACGTACAGATTCTTCATCAGGCCCTGCGACATCACAAAGCCCGCGCCGCCATAGGCAAACCAGCGGTCATCGGAACCGGGGCTCGGTGCGCCGAGATAGTGCGGTTCGGTGGGGTCGAATTGATCGAGGAGACGGAAGAGCGTGTCCCAGAAGAAGTACACGTCCGATTCGAGGAAGACATACCACTTGGCCTTGGGGTTGACCGCGTAAGCCTTATCGACCATGGGCAGGAATTTGAAGCGGTCTAGCCTCCATCCTGCCTGCGAGTAGTTGACCGTGTCCCCCTCGGCCTGCGCCTTCTTGTTGTTGGTATATGTCTTGAAGTCGTGGTTGCCTTCGGCATAAGAGAGGGGAAGCTCAGCCAGGACGTCGATAACGTTGTAATCGCCGAGCTTCTGCTCGTGGTCCGATACTATGAGCAGATTCGGTATGCACGAGGTTATGGTGGCCAGGTGCGCCTTCAGCTTGGGGCCGTCGGCGGCGCCCGTCTTAAGGACAACCTGGATGTCATCGAGCTGTTTCGTGGGGAAGTTCTCGCAGAAGTCAGGGTCCACGCCCGCCTTGTGCTTCAGCGGCGGGAAGAAGCTCTTGGTGTTGGCCTTGTAGTGCACCGACGGCGGGGCAGGGCCTGGCGCGGTCCGCCGGCGGGTAAGGGTCAGGATGAAGAAGACGAAAAGGAGACCGCCGATTAGCACTCGAGCTGGCCGTCGCGAGAGGCGCAGGGGAAGCGCTGTGAGGATGGCCATGGCGGCGACGCGTAGCTGCGTCTGGTCCGGAGGAAGGCGCGCAACGAGTGAGTGGGTTCTATGCGAATTGGGAGATGGTACGGCGTCAACGAGGGCGCATCGCCGCTGTCAGGCTTCAAGCTGTCAAATTGGGGTCCATGATGAGCCCCAAGAAATTGATCCAGGGAGACTCCGGTCTGAGGCGCGAAGACAGCCACAAAACTGGCCCGTGCCCGTCAAGCCACCGCGAACGAAGAGAACGAACGACGCCTCATACCAGCCCAACATTCCCGCCGGCCCTCAACCAAAGCCTCCAGTTTTCTTCTTCGCGACGCGTCGCAGCAATGTGGGATCCAGATGGCAAGGTTGTCACACGTGTGTACCGTTTAGCCGGTTGATGCGCACGCGATAGACACGTCATCTCGAAACCGCCTCGAGGATGTACTCAGACTGCAACATTGTGGCCGTCACTACCAGTGCTCAAGGCCCCAACAGTCTCTGCAGCAGGCACGTAAGTGAGAAGTGGTGCGAAACGATCACGCGTCTTGGAAGGCTTCTCATGTGAAGTATCCGAATGTCATCACTTCCAGCATAAGTATCGAATTGTGACCACCAGATGTGAATTGTTGTATTAACATGCATCTGGAAAGCAAGCAGTCGAGAAGGGTTAAATACCTTGGACCGGATAAAACTCTTGGACGACCCACCGGCGCCGTTTCCACTCGCCAGTCTACGTACATTTCAAAGCACCAGCCACCAATAAACAATCGATTTCACCACGGGACGCTCGCAGGAACTTCCCCCTGCCGCACATTGTGAGCCGATTTGTACGATTGCTCAAGGCATCTTGTGACTTTCTACACGACGTTATCTCGCCCTTTGATAGTACACCGGATGATGCTTACTAACAGCTCTACGTCCCAAGGCACTAACCGTCGCCGCCTTACCCGAAATGGTTGTAGGTCCCCTGTCTCTTACTCCACGATGAACCTCCATTGAGCACCACCTCGCGTTATTGCACCCATTTGATTTTTGATGTCTCCCCAAGAAGCGGATTCAGTCCCGCCGTGGGACAGTATACGTCACGTACCTCTCCACTCCAGCTTAGAAATGCATCGATCATTTGAAGGTACAAATAGAGCTCCGAATTGAAACAACAATGTTGCACGCTCGCTGGAATTCAGCAAGCTCCTACCCACCATGGCCACATCAAAGAAAGTCTTCATCATTGGCCCTGGCTTTATTGGGTGGAACGTGCTAGAGCTGCTCCTTGGAGAGGGCTACACAGTCACTGGACTTGTACGCCGGGATGAGCATGCCGAACAGATCAAGAAGTCGGGCGCACAGGCTGTGAAGGGGGACCTCAACGACCATGATCTGATCGTCAAGCATGTGCTCGAACACGAAGTATGTTATGGAAGGTGCTTCCTTCCCAATCCAAAACCCAGGGACGTCACGTGACGCTTTCAACCATCCAAGATCCTCTCAACAAGCACAACTGACAGCCCCAGATCATCATCCACACCGCCACAGCCGACCACCTCCCCTCCGTACAAGCCGTCCTCGATGGCGTAAAGCAACGCGCCGCCTCCTCCAAACCCACCATCTTCATCCACACCTCTGGCACCAGCGTCCTCGACGACTCCTCCTTCGGCGCCTTCAAAAGCGACAAGATCTACTACGATAACGACCCCGCCGGTATCAACGCCCTGCCCGACACCGCGCCCCATCGCCAAATCGACCTCGCTATTGTCCGCGCCGCGAAGGAGCTCGGCGACAAGGCGAAGCTGGCGATCATAATTCCACCCGAGATCTATGGCTTCAATGACAAGCATAAACGGCTGACGATCCAGATCCCTACCATCGCGAGGTTTGCGCTCAAGTATGGGTTTGTGGGGCACGTGGGCAAGGGATTAAGTGTTGAAAGCCAGATTCATGTGTTAGATCTTGCGCGGGCGTATGTTGTGCTCCTTCACTATATGGAGAAGGCGCCTCCATCAGCGTTCCTCGGGAACCCGTATTTCTTCTGTGAGAATGGGAAGGAGTTCTCGTGGAGGGAGGTCGCTGAGCAGGTTGGCAAGTCGCTTAAGGAGAAGGGCTTGTTGGAGGATGCGCAGCCGAAGGAGTTCAGTGAAAAGGACTGGGATGAGCTGTTTGGGGAGTTCACCGGCGCGGTGATCGGGTTGAACAGTAGGAGTCGTGCGGTGAGGCTGAGGGAGCTGGGATGGGAGGCTAAAGAGAAGGGCATCTGGGAGAGTTGGGTGGAGGATGAGTTACCGGAGTTGTTGAGGGAGGAGGGGATTGGGAAGACGAGTCGGTATGCGGGTGCGGTGGCATCTTAAGCTGTGAAATTCGATAGCCACATCACCATCCAAATCCACTCTACCTGACCAGCTGACAATTGCTTCGTGTTTGAGTTGCGTCTGTAGCGAGAATGGAAAGAGCGAAGGATAAGAGGAAAGAATGTTGAGGTGCAACTTCCTTCAAGATCATGCCATGACGCAGTGGACACGGATGGCCCTCGACGGTGAGGAAGGCACGACTGTCATGCTGTCTAGAATAAAAACAAGACGAGGACCTCCGTCCGTTTCTTCCTCAGGTAGGGTGCAACAGCGGCACCCGCATCCTGAAGGCACATCATGGGTCCCCCACCGCTCCCCACCATGTCGCCCTCGTCCTCTTCCTCGCCCGCCTCTTCGGCATATCTTGCAATATCGTGTTTGACTGCGGCCGGCACTTTCCTCTTGGTTTGCTTCCGTGTGATCAACTACCTGGATCGCCCAGTAAGTTTTGTCACTCTTTCAATGTATTTGCAGTTTGTTCTTCCTCCTTGTTAGTTGGAGAGCATGTTATCAGTTTGAAGTCATTTCTGCTTCAGTGATAAGAGCTAACATGTCGAAGGAGAACCGCCGCCTTACCCACGAAGAGTTCGCCGAAGCCGTGGCTGAAGCCGTCGCTCCCAGCGTGACTGAAGCCGTGGCCAAAGGCGTGGCCAAAGGCTTAGCTGAGGCCTTAAGCCAGCATCCGTCTCCGCCTCCACCTTCACCTTCACCTCCGCCTCCATCTCCGCCACCACCAGGCCGGGTCCTGGACCCAGCAACACCAGCACCAGCTGGAAGCGCTGCAGAAGCAGCCCGCACCGCCGCCCGCGCCCGCGCAGCAGCAGCAGCAGCAGCAGCAGCAACAGCAACAGCAACAGCAACCGCAACCGCCGCGCCACCACCACCACCACCATCATCACGGGTGGCTTCGGGCTCCACCATTCGGAGACGCCAGGGGCGGCCCAGCGAGGCCGAGTAGAATCGACATCGGGGATTTATGATATACAGTTTAACTTAGATGAATATAATTTTTAGTTTGAAACCCCATCAATAAAGCCGGGAAGGCGCAACCTCGTGAACACCACACCCTAAGGATGACCCTGACCTTGACGTGATCTAGATGTAATACCGGTAGCCTCATCAAATATCAGCCTCATGCAGCGCGCTTCAGGGTATCGCAGGAAGTTAATTGCGGGAGAAATATTGCGATTGGGGCCGACACACGAAACATACCGTCGATAGCTAATGGATATCGCTCAGCTGGGAGCTGCCGCCAAACCTCGGTTCCATCCCAACATTTTCCAGAGACCCATGGATAAAGCAGGTTAGCCTTTATTGGTAGGACACTCTACAAAACGAACTATAATAAGAGGTCCCGCATAGAGATAGAGATCAACTAAACATTTTGCAGTAGGACTCGCAGGTAAGGACAACGTGACCACCGCCGGCGACGCCACCCACTTTGCTAACTGTGAACAAAGACCAGTTGAATCCTAACCACCATTGGAAACACTCCCGCCACACCTACGTCTACCATGTTGAAGAGCTTCAGGGACCTACGAAAGGCCGGGGGAAAAAAGTCGAGATCCCGCGCTGATGATGTTGGGCAAGCAATGAAGGAACCCCAGTGGGAGACACTGCCGCCTCCGCCTCCGCCTCCATACACCGAAAATGCTTCTCCAAATCATAACAGAAAGGCACAACCCGAGAACTCTTCTCGCCCGACAACCCCTTCCCGGACCAGCGCAGAGCCGTATCCGGTTCTGACCGCTTTTGTTGAGGAACAAAGAACGAAGGGGAAAGGGCACTGTAACAGCCTGTTTTACTGGAGTATCGTGCAAATCATGGCGGCCACCTTCTCCGCGGACTTCCCGAGACTCCAGGTGGCCATAGCTAACAGCAACACGAGATCGAGCATATGCGCGAGTACCTTTGCAGCGAATGGGACCTCCATTTCCATATTGACCGAACAAGCCAAGGCCGGACTCGAACAGCTATGTGTTCTGGTTAGAAACCTTACAGTAAACCTAACGCGTAATCGCTGGCCCAGTGTCCGCCAGTGGGATAAAATTCTTCTTATATACCTTGTGTTGCAGCCCGCGCAGAGGCTAAAAATGCCAGCAGATTACGCCTTAGAGTTACTCGGCCGATACAAGTACGTCGAAGCCGGCGGTGTTGTAAAGACAGAAACCGCCATCGACTACTGGACACCATCTTTCCGCGCGGTTCGACCAAAATTTACGTCGCCGATGCTGGACCTGGGCGATACTTTGGCCTCACATGCCTCCCTTATAGAATTTTTGGATCTGGAGAAAGAGACAGCTGCAGTCCTGAAAGACGCCTTGGTCTCGTTTCGGGATGTCAAAGGAATGGATAAACTCCAGAATTCGAGAGAGCTGCAGGAAGAAATAATCTCCTCGACGACATCATGTCTGAACGAATCGGGAAACACGACGACGTGCTTGTGGCCAGTGAGCGAGAAGTATGAAAACTTGGCCGAGGTCTTGAGAAAGAGCGAGGGCTTGTGTAATATACTCGCGCAGGACAAAAGAAGTGGACTAAGAAAGAAGCGAAAATATCGTTCTTACTTTCAAACTACCCGAGGACAAGATACCGTTTTCGCAGAGCAACGATTATCGTCGAGGATTTATCCGGCGCTCTTTTAATCCTCAAATGGTGGGCTGGGAGCGGCGAGACTAGAGACGTCAGCGGGATCATGTACGTTGTGTAAACATTCGGAATGAACTGCTTCTGTGCTTCTGTACAACGCGATGACACAGCCTGGGTAGACTTGAAGGGAATTATTAAAGCTCTGAAGTCTCGTCTGATCTCCACTTCCGGAGTACTTATTGCTAAATTGCTACGGTATCAAGAGGATTTGAAACGGAACATTCACGTGTGCATCGAAGCAATCGGGCAATGGAAACATACACTCCATTTCATATGATCTAGGAGGACCGAGATTCTCACAATCCTCGTAGCGACGCGTCTCCAGTACTGCGCCGCACGGACATAATTTTGCATACATCCTAGTCCATCAGACCAGCCTCACGAAACGCCTGTCGGAGATCATCTTCCTTCTTCGCGATCACAGCCTTGACTGGATCCAAGATGGAACGCATCTTGTCCGGTGTCATACTCGCCATTGCTTCTGTCAACATGTCTTGCAGAGTGTCGCGCAGAGATCGGAGAGATACCGGGCCTGTACCATCAAACCAAGCGTGATTTATATCATGCCAGCCATCGACCTCCTTTCCGTAGGGTTTTTTCAACAAATAACTCACCATCACGCAGGAATCTACTCGCCACTCGCTCCAAGCATTCACGATATTCACAGGCTCGCTCTGATCGAAGTCGATCACGACCAGTCCTGGGAATCCACACTCCGTTTGGTAGCTTGCATCAATGAGCATGTTACCAAGGTGTAGATCCCTGTGAACGAAGCGAGGCTCGCAGACTTCGTGCATGAAGATACATGCTTTAGTCATCTCGAGTAGGAAATGTAGGACCAGTTCTTTGGCAACGGGGTGTTCGAGGTCTGTCAGACTTATCAGGCTTACCGATGGAACTATAGCCTTGGTTGCGATCCATGGATGTCCGGAGGCTACCAACGATGCGAACATCTTCTCGGTGTCCTCATCAACATTTTCCTTTAGCGTCTGGAGTGTTTTCAACTCCACAGAGTCCAGATGCATATCTGGGCAGACCTTTACGGTTACCAATTTGGACCTCAAGTCTTCGAATGTGTTGGTAGCCTTGGTCTTCACAGCAGCGTCATGATCCTGCCTACTAAGCGAGAAGTAGACGATGCCAATGCTACCGCTGCCAGCCAGCAGGATCGGTTCATACGCGTCGTTCGTTACAATGGCGACGTCTTCCTTACTCGAATGTTTCGGTTGAATTTCCTTGGGCTCTGAAGACATGGTCTTGGAATCCTTCAATGAGTAGACGGTTGAGAAGGTTGAGTTATTCTTGTTCTCGGGCGAGTGTATATAAGGATAATAATGTTAAGGAAGTGTATGCTTATATAGGGCGTGAAGGTCCATTGAGAATTCACATTGTAAAAAGAAGTGGTAGTACTTTCACAAAGCCCCATACAGGCGTTGAAAGAATGCTAGTATAGGGCTTTGTCCGCTTTGTCGCGAGAATTTCAAGGGCACACTCCTGTCTTGGTGAATTTTGGCCATGAAAGATGTACAGAGTAGATGGCACCTGAGAATTGGGGATCAGAATTATGAGCCGCATATTAAAAGTATTTGAGCAATATAAGAAGTTTTATGTTTGCTATCGTTTTGTTTCTACAGTCCGATCAATCACTACTGTCGATCCTAATTAGCAACATCGAGCAAACACTATAGATGTCTCACACTCATCGCGTACTGTGCACAATCCGACTCATACGCAGAGAGGAGCTACTCGTTGTGACTCAAATCGTTTGATGCTGATTGACATGTTGACGCACCTTCCTGTTCCGCCCGTGAAGTCCTCCTAGAGCAGCACAATGTTTCCTGCCTCCTCGTGGACGATTCGGAACAAGGCCTTATCGTCTAAATTCTCCTCGTACTGCGCCCCCTAAGAATAATCACAGCTGAGGAAGTGTTGACAAATGGAATATGAGATTATGTATACTAAGAGAAATTGAATCATTGAAGTGGCTAAAACTGCACCCTCGTACTGTATGGCCAACATCAAAACCGTAGCAAGAGACAACCTTAAATAAGCGGATGATAATTTCAGAAGCGTACGAGGTGGAAGAATGATCAATCGTTGGGAATGGTACCGACGGGAAAGATGATGTATGTAAAGTAGTTCATTATAAAGCGGGAGGCAATCCGACTGCGCATACAGGTGCTTAGCCCAAAGTATTGAAAGTGACTCATTTTACTGAAGAAGACATGAGCGACATTCAATGCGAAGAATTTCTCGCGCAAGAGCTCAGCTTCCTAGAGCACGGAAACGGTCAAACAACGTAGAGATCGCGCTCGCGATCGATGCACTAGTATATCTTCCATGGCAAATATTGATTGGACGCAAGATCGCCTAGAGTTGCATACTGACTAGGCAATGCAGCTTTGTGAAAAGGGTGGCATAGTAATAGACTAGTTCTTCTCAAAGTGGCAATTTATGTAATGCATAAGAGCCACTCGCACGTGTCAGGTGGAAAACGATAACTCGGATGGGGACGAGAGAGCTCATGGGTAGATTCCACGAGCCTGGTTCACCACTGATGATTGGGCACGGGAAAATATCAAGATTGCAACAGAAGCGCATCAATCGATCGTGTTGACCTTGAATTGAAAGGACACTCAGTACTTCCCAGCACTGATCCTTCTTCATTCGACCATTCGCTTTCGTAAAATCAACGCTTACTATTCACAATGTACTTCGCCACTGTCTTTAGTCTTGCTGTTGTGGCAAGCACCACGACCGCTGCAGCAGTCTCCACCACACTACTCATCACTCGCGAGTTGATTTGCGATAAATGACGGCAAGACGACAGCCTTCTTCCACGGCCAGCGCATAGGCGAAGTTTTGGGCTCCAACACATGCCAGGGCATCAAGAAGTTTCAATCGAATTTGCATTGCCCGAGTCGAACTTCAATTTTGAGATTAAGGGTGCTTGCATTCACTTCGATTTATTCAGGTAAGGTGAGACATCTTCTGACAGATCGTGACAGAGGGCAAAGAGCTGACACATTTGTAGCGACCAGAATGACGATGATATTCATGCTAGTGTGTATCACACTGAAGGCGGTGATTGGATGATGAACTGGGGTTTCAGGACGTAAAGAGTTTCAGGTGCTAGGGTGATTAAACACTGCCTGTAGGTCTCTTACCATCTTTCTTATCTTCAATTGGTACGGAGGGATCATTGGGTCGGATTAGCCATCTATTGAGTGTTATTGAGACATTCGAGGAGTTCAAGGCAGCTACCTAGGTAGTTCTGGTCTTGGTCTTCTACCTTTTTGTGTATAAAAGCTTCGTGCCCGTGTACTTTGCAATGTGAGCGCGCTGTGAAGAACATCCGAATCCTGTATTGTCTGATTCATGAAGAGATGAAAAGTACCTTTTGCATATTCAGATAAGACTGTACTGGTACGGATCAAATCATGATGCTCATGTTAATTGTAGCTATAGTTATCAGCATGAGATAAGATATTCCCACAGACAACGTTGAATAACAGTAAAGTCTTCCAACGGCACGCCATCGACAATCAAGCTTGATGATTCCTCTTCCGCAGTGCTCCTGCTCCTTAGTGCTTTCCAAACCAGGGATTGCTCACACCCACTAACCCTTCCACCCAGCACTGAACCCTCCCACAAATACTCCCAGCCTTCCTCACGGCACGTTCCTTTCGGCACAACCCACCACGCCGTCTCACAGCCCAACCCACCGATTCGTCTCACCGCGCCTCACACACCGAGGTCCGCCCCACAGCTCCGGGTCTGCTGATGGAAGGGAAACTAGCGCACCCTGACGGAGCACCGTCCGATGGGCCCGGACTGGATACCACCGCGCTGGTTGAGGCTATTACTCCTGATGAGTTCTTTATTGAGATTGTGAGCGTCAATTATGTGTGCGCGACTTTTGCGCGAAGATCAGGGCGGGTAATTGGTAAATGTGAGAGCGATGCTCGTACGAGGATGATGACAGCGATCGATGTGAAGGTATGTCCTTGATATATTGGAAGATCGCAAACCACCAATGGACAGAAACAAAAGCCATGCCAAAGATCATCCTCAAATTCTTTTCTTAGGAGAAGGCCCGGCTGCTCGTTTCAACCGTAGTCCAACCTTTCGTATGGAATCTCGATGCAACCGCATGGCGTTTAGCGGCTAAGATCCTGTGCGTGCTGCGCACACGATTCGGCGACTACGACCCAAGGGACTGTGTGCAGCCGTCTAGAGCGTGATTGGCTGGCGGAGCGTGAGCCGCATGTTCCGCAGAGAAAGGGTGGGTCATGTGTGTAGAGTGTGGTAGCGTTCCTTTGTAGCATCGGGGCCCTTGGGGCTGGACTATGCGTGGCTGAGATACTAGCGTAGGCCTGCGCGTTGCAGCACATGCTATGCGTTTCGACAGGTTGTGTATACGCGTGAGTCGTATCGTGGAGGTTCGTACTGCGAGACTTGCCGGTGTTGTGCTGTGCATGTTAATGTGAATGACCACTGGCAATGCACGTTACGGCGGAAAGGCATACTCCATGTAAGCGGTGTGTAATTGACGACCCACTACATAGTTCCAGAAACTTTTTCCAATCTGTTTCTCCAACCTATCCAAGATCACATCCTTGCCATTCCCAAAGAATTATGAAGAATGAAGCGCTCATAACATCGTCATTCCAAGGCCGAGGCCTACGCATACTCTTCGCCGTCCGCCAATTAGGTGTGCGGCAGTTGCATATTCTTGGTAACGCCAGAAGAAAGCCTAATGAGAAATATGGAATACCGAATCAGAAGTTCATGAAAATGTCGAAGAGTCGAAAGTTTTCAGCGTAACACCAAGACCATGGCCATGAAAAGAAATTGTGGTCTTAACAGGTGCCCAATGAGTGTGGTGCCCATCCACCAACAAAGAATGATATCGCGGGATCTCCGCCAGAATATGGAAGTCGAGTCTCTGCGACCGCGAGAGACACACTGTTCCCTTGGGTTAATGACACCCAATGCTGAAGGTATAGTACAAATACAAAGACATCGCGAGTCTGCGTAGTTTCCGTCCAAGATCAACTCAGATTGGGAAGCCGGATATGAAAGCCTCGATAAATCATCGAGCGTGGTCGTTCGCTTCGTGAACCTCGTTGTCTCGGACCGAAGATCGTAAGCATTAAAGGTCGTTAAATGTGTATCAACCGTCGCGAAAGAGAATGTCTGGCCATGAACTTTTGTACACTGTTCAGCTAGAAATAATATTTACTATGCCAGCACGGAGGCTTCGGCGCGCTGGTTGAGGTGTTTTGCATGTGCTTCCAAAGCACGAGCCATTACATGAGTCACTGCTTCCGTGTTAGCATTGACTCTGGTTAACATACAAAGGAAACTCACCTGGCCAAACAGCCGATTTCTCAAGCATGTATGCCGTGACCATGAGGAGTTTAGTACCGTAGCCACAATGACCAAGATTCGAAAGTCCACCGAGCATGGGTATGGCATTTGAAGTGATGTCGTAAGCGAGCTTCATGTCTGCGGTTTGCAGAATATCAGCAATCTTTTGAATCAGTTTGACGTCCTCTTCTTCTAATAGCATGATCGCAGGGACAGCCGTATAGTCAATCTCGTCCTTCCCGAGAACTCCCAGAAAGCGACCTACACGATCCTGAACGGATGCAAGCCACTCAGCGAGAATTTGTGCGCAATCAAAGCTGCACATTGCTGAGGAATTGGGCAGCTCTCTCGCGGTGAACTCAGCATATGTCGCACCAAGCTTGTCGGCCATTGAGAGTGAGTCGGCGGCATAGAAGGCTGCTCTGCGAAGATGCCGCTCCCGCTTCGAAGACTGGCTCGATTGCAGACCATTGCTTGATTGTCCCGGGCTCATACCGTCGATAGCTCCCGGTGAAACACCTGCGCCAGCGTTGTTTGGATCAGAAAGCTTTGCGTCCACAGGTTCTGATCGTTCAGGAGTACCGTCGGCGTGTGCGACCACGTCCACGCCCCTCGCGAGTTCTGTCGACATGCCGTCGAAGTCTCGCTGCCAAAGCAGTTCTTTCGCACGACCTAGATTAACGAATAGTCTCACGTACGCCAGATCCAACAGAGGTATGCAATCCGCAGACAAGGGACCAAACGGACTAGGTCGTTCGATGCTGTGGTTTGGATTCGCCCTCCAAGCTGACTGCCATGCCTTCAATGCTGGTTCGACCTGCGCATGCATGGCCTCGGTCTCATGGGTCTTCCACAAGCGACCTGTGTGTCTTTGTCTGGTTTCCCAGATGTAGACATGAAGAGCATTGATAAGCACATAACACCCAAAGGTGCTGGGGCGTATTTCGCTTTCAGTCATCTCACCCATGGCCAGGTCCCCGCCAAACGTCTGCTGATACGAGCCATTCGCACGCCCTGATTGCTGGCGCGTGCTTGCCTCTAGTAGATACGTCATTGCCGCGTTGAAAGAAAGTCCTTTGGATTGAGCAATCATTGGTCCTCCCATAGCAGCCCAAGCTTGTGGGTTGTCGACCGACCAAAGATCTTCCTCGCAAGGTAAATCAAGCCTTATCTCAGAATTCAATATCCGCGGTGCATGGGCATATGCAGAGACTAAAAGGCTAGACATGGAGAAGACGGCGAAGTAGGTTCTTTTGCGTTCCTCAACTTGCTTCCATCGTATCCATTGAGTATGCTCGTCTATTGGCTCGCCAGATGGGCTTCTCTGTGAATAATCTGGAGGTAGTGATCCATCGCCCATTTCAACATCGCCATTGACATCATTCGGCGGGCTTGATGCGGTGAAGGTATCACCAGTTGGTCGATCAAGGCCAGCGGCTTTCGCCAAACTGACGAGCGCGGCGCAGTGTGTGCTGGCAACATCTGCAGCCTGTTTATCGCCGCAGTTATGGCCAAAGATAAGGTTCAATGTCATGGCCTGTACGAGCCACAGCGGAGGCTTGTTTACAGAATCGTTGTTGGCGCCTGGTCCGTTAACAGCAGCGGAGAGACCGGCTCGACGGCGTTCATCCAGATAGTAGAGTATCATTTTCTTTGCAGACTCGAAAAGGTCCTTGGCCACCACATGCTCGAACTCGTAAAGGGCGCCTATTGCTGCCATGGCAAGAATCAGGCAGCCGCCGCCGCCCACCATGCCATCGTGGTTGAAGTTGCTAGCTGAACGCAACTGATGTGTGTATGCTGGGGTATCGAAGGAGAGGGTAGGAATGTGTAGGAATGGTAGGTGAGGATGGAAGTATTGTATGTAAGCATTGACGTAACGCTGGAGGTCCATGGTGCTCGGAAGGGGAGCAACCTGACTTGTTGCCTTATTGGAGTTGGCTGAAAGCGGCGAGCTGATCTGTGGTTGCGAAAACTTGCGCTGAGGATTTCCATATCCGAGTGCCTGAGAGAGGTTGAAGACTAGAGCTTGTCTCGTGGCGTCCGTCAAGGTGTCACTGGAGACCGAGGTAACAGAGCTGTGCCTAGCACTGCCGTTCATTGAAGAGGATGATATGCTGCCGGAATCAGAATTGAATGTGATCGGAGGTTGGAAATACTGATTCGGCATACCCGGAATACCTGCAGTAGGGCTCATGGCTGAGAAAGCTGGGGGTGTTGACATGTAGAAATCAGCCGGCGCACCTTGATCTCCTAGCTCCTTTGGAGAGACAGTGTTGTTGTTCATCATGAGCTCAGGAAACACGGGTGCCATGGCATCTAGAGAGTAGCCTGCGGGATTGATGCTGGTATGTGTGACCAAAGGCTGGTGCCACATGGGTGTACTTGTCGGCTGCCCTGAACCGTCCACCATGACCTCGCTGAAACCGCTCTGGCTGGTGGTACTTATCGCCGATGGAGAGGATCCGTCGCCAACAGGGTCATTAGGGCCGGGGAAAATCATCGAGCCATCCAGGCCGGCACTCCAAGCAAGGTCATCTTCGTCGATGGCGGTCGTTGCAAACGGATTCCCAAAAACATTGAATGAAGGCTGCCCGCCCATACCTGCATTGAAATGGTGCAACTGATTTGGATTTATTGTCGAACCAGAAGGACCAAAGAATTTGTCCAACTCATATTCGTCCTGGCCAAACCCGGGTATGGGTGCTGTCCGCAGTCCGCCACCCATGCCGAAGCCGAGGTGGGTGTCGAGCTTCGGTAGGCCGTGATGCTGCCCAGGACCACCCACAACGCTCGACATACCACGGAAGTCGTACGCGCTGGGGCCGCCTAAGCCGGTCAGACTTGCATGATGTGAATGGCCAGGGTGACCTCCCCGGCCCAGCGAGGCGTTGTGGGAAGCGAGAAGGCTGTTGAGTGCAGCGGGATCAACATGACTAATGGTATTCGCGCGCGGCCTCATGGAGGGGTTGACGCCAGACGGGCCGCCAACGCTGCTTGCGACGGAGTTCTTACGCACTCGTCCGGCGCTGTTGGGAGGAAGGCCGGTCGTGCTTTCCCTGCGACCGGTGCGAGGCCGTGAGGAAGTGGCGCCCTGCTGGTGTAGCTTTTGCTGGTGTCGCAGGAGCAAATCGCGCCGCGCGAAGCATCGTGTGCACTGCGGGCATTCGAAGGGCTTCTCCTTGGTATGTGAGCGCTCGTGTCGCTTAAGGTGTTCGAGGCGGGCAAACGAGCGCTGGCACGTCCCGCAGACGTGCGGCCGTGGCTTATCGGTCTTTGGCGGGGGGAAGGAAGTGCTGTTGGTGTTTTGGGAGGGGTCGGGTTTGGCGGTCTGGACGGAAGCTGCTCGGACGCTGTTGTCAGTTACGGGGTTTGAGCGATTGGCATGGAGGGCGTACAATTCCCGCTGCTCGAGCCATTACCAGAGACAGCGGAAGGGCCCATGTTGGTTGTGTCAGCCTCGATGGGCATGCTCAACAATTATGGGCCTGGTGTCACCTCAGCGCGGAATACGCACGCTGCAGCCGGCCGCGAGCGTCCAGAGGGTGTGAATCGGCAGCTGAGCTGAGAGAGACGCCCGTAAGAAGCTCTGCGTGTGGGCGGGGTTGCGGTGCGACGTGAGCAGGGGCTTGGTGGGCTGAGGAAGCTACGATCTGGCAGCGGGCAAGCTGCTGCTGCGTAAACAAAGGACTGGCCGACACAAGGACGCTGCCATGACACACCTACGTCAGTGGATGTTTCTCGAGTACGGCGAGAGACGAGATAACACATACCTTTCGATCGCGTCTCGTTATCTGTGTCTGTGCCGGACGGCGTTACAGTGCAGTGGGCCTCGGAGCACGGGTGGGTCGACCACGGTCTTCAGTCCGGGAGACGGAGTCAATGGATCCAGGGTCAACGGCTGCGACACAACGACAGCCCCACGATGTGAAGGCAAGAGGGATTGACAGGCGTCGGGTGACGAATGGCTGGCGCTGATCAAGAGAAGAGGTGGAAAGGTACGAGACGCCAGGCTGGGAAGACGACGCGGCTACCAACGAAACAGAGTGGGTAGGACGCCTGCAGGCCGGTGCGAAAGCAAGCGACTCAAGGCTCAGCTCGGAGAAGGTATGGACGGACGGTTCCGAGCCCTAGACCAATGCTTCGGGCGCAATGCAAGCTTTCGTGGAGCCGCGGATGGAAGGCGCGGGCGGTGGGTTCACAGAGCGTTGGACAGCGCCGTTGCTGCGTGCCAGCCTCGCCTGTGTCTGCTTTTGTAACCGGCGATGCAGCAGTTGGCCGCATGCACCTGGGGATGGGGCCCGTCCGAAGCCGCGAGGCCAGACTTGTGCAGCTCGCGGCGGGCGCGCAAGCTCTCGATAGCAGCGGGTATGATTGGCCGCTGCCGTGGCTGTGAAATCTGGGGCAGCGAACGGCGCACAAACCAGTCCCCGCCAACGCTGACTTGGTGGAATACGGGGAAACGAGGGCGTGAGCAAAGGTACAAAGGCCACAGAGCACGAGCTGTGACGATCGAAGGTCTTGGGCGGAACGCCTGGAGTAAGAGGCGCTGGCTCGCCCGTTGTAAGTAGCTCCCCCAGCGCCGGTACTCGTACTGCGTCCAGCCAGGTCGCTTTCGCGCTGTGGCATGACAGAAGCCGCAGCGAGACCCCCGTTGACGAGCCAGCACGGGCGGCAGGGCTCCAGCGCCGCTGGCGGCCTCTTCGGCCTGCAGGACGCCGTTTGGCGCAGCGTTCAGGACGGGTCCATGTTCTATTTCGTACGGCGGCACGTACTTTACGTCGTCGAACAACGTTTACAGCATGCGCGCCGGGCAGGCATGTCCATCCTGGCCATCAAAAGGGTCTGGTGCCCAGCCCGCCGATATGATCCCGCACTGCAGCGTCGCGCTGGCGAGCCGTGAAGGGCAGCGATGGGCGCTGCGACATGAAGGCGCCGTCGATGACCGCGCCCTCGCTGATCGCGACTATCACTGGCCCGTTGTCACGGTTGTTCAGAACCCGGAAGCCGGCAGGGCAGTGGCTAGAGCCCTCGCAAGCTCCAGGCTAGAAAGCTCGATGATTGCTGCGTGCAGCTCGACCTCGCAGGCTTACATGCCTCGGCCCAGTGACAGCTTCGCGAACAGTACGCGCTGCTTCTGACTACTCCGTACGCCCAGTATTCAATACATATCCCGACCGTACCTATGGCTGCACTATCGACCCGCACAACTCTGTGCCTCCCGGACGAACAGCCAGCCCTTCATCTGGCCGCCCTGGAAGTAGAGTGGCCTGGCCTCAGTTGGCGAGCAGCAATTAATATGGCCCGCCAGCACAACTGTCGCCCGCCCTCAAGCTCGCCGACCCCAGCAACGGCTGCTCGTCGGGTAATGGGCACGGTTCGACCGCTGCTCTGCCTTCCGAGATCGATTTACATGCCTCTTGGCCCCTGCCGCGGAATTGATGGAGCTGCTGTGAGAGGGCGAGGCAGCTACTGCATGCACCAGCTTCCTTGTCCTCCAGACGGGCCTCGACTGTCGGGAGCAGCCACGACACGGTAGCTTCGGTGAATGGTGTCACAGCGAGAAGCACGGGAATGCTGGACGTGTACACCGAGGGCTCTCCACGGGCTTCACCTGCAGTCACGGCTGGCTCAGCTCTCACGGAGCTCGGAATCTGGGGAAGCAGCGAAAGCTCATGGGAGCTTGGATCGGAACTGCTGCAAAGCGGCAGGCCAAGAAAGCATGCGGTGCCCTGTCCATCTTGCGACCCGTGGACGCATGGACGCATGACCAGCACTCGGCTAGCCTCTTCAGTCCGCAGTCTGGGGAAGCTGGTCTGTGCGCGTGCTGTGTGATTCGCTCGCTTGCACTCGTCCAGCGCCCGGACCGCCTGCTGTCAATTGCTGATCGGCACGCTTCGTCCCTGGTCTCCTGGGCCGTCTGCACGCCCGACGCTGCCTCTGTCTCGATGTGTACTGCTACAGATATGCTGCACGCGCTATAGGACCTACGGAAGTCTCAAGAGCTCTAGAGCTGTCTCTTCCGACATGTAGCGCAGAAGAAGGGTTCTCGAGAGCTTGTGAGAGGCTCCCAGCAGCTGGTACCGACAAGGAGCGTTCCTATTCGCGCTGCCGTCATAGCTCCAGATGTCATTGTGGGTTCTTCCACAGCACATGACATTTTAGGCCTTGCAAGTGTCAGTATGGTTATCCAGCCATACACAGTACAGCGCTGGCAATGGTCTCCCACGCCGCAAGCTTCAGGCCTCCATTACGCATCGAGCCATGGCTCCTGTCGGATTATGGCGGCAGCCAGACCCTCCTCGCTTCGACCAAGCGTCCGCCATGCAGCTCGTGGCATCGTGGCTGCCACCTTGCGCCACCGAACCGTCAAGTGTTAAACCGCGCAACGTCACCACCGTTCGGACTTTTGAGCATGGCGTTGGGCCCTTTTGTTGATGTTGTTGATCTTTTCCCAAAGACCCGTCTCATCGGCCAGGATTTCCGAAAATAGTAGAAGATGTGTATGCTTGTCAGCGGACATTTTTCGAGATCATCCTCTGCGGGTCCCTGGTTAGCGATCTTGCAAATCAATGCCAGCGCGTGGCAACGACAAACCATCGGTCCCTTTTGCACGACATGCCCACCGATCAGACAGTCACCTTGTATAACGTAACCATCAACGAAAATGCGACTCTGCGAACCTCGAACATTTTGATTCAACTTGAAAGTATGCTGTTTCGATGCTGGTCATGTTACGACGCTACAGCACTCCCAATACTTTGAATTGTCTCCTACTTCGAATTGCCTCCGAAAGCATACCCTGATTGACGTAGCTAGGCTGCAGAATGCATCTTCCTGATCACGGGCTGGAGGGATCTGCCTTACGGTTGTCTTGCCCTTGCAGTCCTGCAGAACGGCAGTAGGTTGTCGCCACTCAAGACGTCATTTCTCAAGGCCTCACTCGTAGAATCGCGTGAGCATGATGCGCAGGCGCAAGGGTACGCAGCCTTGTGGCAATGTAACGACTGAACCTACGCTTACCTGCGACTGTTGATGGATCCCTGCGATAACTGTCTGAAGCTAGCAAGCTTAGGGTCGTTGCAACCACGGCATTGGAGCTTGCACACTCAGCGAGAACCGCGACATCTAGAATCTTTGTGCTCGACTTGAATGTACGCACAATGCAGACGAGAACGCATCTGCAGGCGCGACAACGATGACGGGCATCGGCTCAGCGCGCAGGCTTCGAACGCCTCGCGAACAGCTGCGACACTTGGCCAAGACAGGCATCCCGCCCTCCACCCCACCAAACACGAGATCAGCCCCTCCAAGCTCAATCTGATAGAACATATTGATGCAGCCTGCGAGCTTCGCGCCAGCCTATCACGCCACCATGTGCTAGCTGAACATGCGAACGCTGCCTGTTCAATGCGATCCATTTATTGCCGTTGATCGTCGTTGGCGGAAGATTGACAAGCCTGAGAAGTTCTACGGCGGTCGATGGAACCTCTGCGGAAAGACGCGCCCAACGCCGCGTCTTAGCGCAGTTCCTATCACTGACGAAACACTGGTATCTCTTGGTCGCGCCATTAGCGCTGCCGTCTGACTGCTGCAGTATTGTAGCCTCATTGCCGCCGGCGTTCCCCAGAGCCCAGTTGTGCCTGAATCGCTACCTGGTGTTAAGCAGGCCCTTTCATTTCGTCATTACATAGGCTGGAGGACATCGGGACAGCTTCCGGCGTATCAACGGGTATAGTGCAATCCATTCGAACCTGTGATTGACCCGTCCTCCCCAGGGTTAAGCAGTGCCAAGGCCCTAATTGTGTCTAGCCTAGTATAGCTAGATGCAGAAGCTACATTCGACGACTAGCCATGCTTGCCCACCTGCCTGCCTCCCTCTAGACCTACCCATCCACTCAGGAACCCACTCGAGCGCCTACTTGTTCCTCCAATATCTTCGAAACGCAGACTCACGGGAATTTGTCAGGTTATCTCGCGATCCATCTCGTTCGATGTGTAGACCATCGAAAGCGAGCGCATGTCAAGCTATCACGCAGGCACAACACACTACATCCTCGGAGCTCCCTCATGTTTATCCCCTAGTTGGTACGATCGCTGTTCTTCGGCAATAAAATCACCGCGGGCTCTTTTCCGCGTCCATACAGGCAAGTGTATGCAGCGCCACGATCCGACGCTTCGTTCGGACCTACGTCGGTCGCTTTCGGTCGTAGCCAGTTTCCGGTGCCCCATTGCGCTTCCCCCACAGCACCACACTAGCTCTTTTGCTGTCCGTCCGATGCAGACAACGTTTCGATACATCGGTGCGGATAGTTGACTAATTGAGGCCCCTTGGATGTTCGGAGCTCGCGGCAAAACACATTCCAACAGCTGCGCAGTCGCCTGTCAGAATTAAGGGCAAGGCGCTCTCCCGGTACGGAGCTGTGCTAAATAAGGTTTGATACGTCCGAAGACAATAGTACAGAGTACATGATCCGTCAACGAACATTGGCTGATAATTCGGAATTCTTCTGGACCTTTCTCCGTTGATTGGCAGACACGATGGAATTATATGGGGTCAATCTTCCAGCTGACCACGTTGGGATTCTCGAACCCTACTAATACCGGATCCAGTCTATCCGCCATAGACAGGTTAGTCCCGCAAGACGTATTCGCAGGCTACAGGTATTGTACGACAAGTTCACAACTTTTGTACACAGTACAGCTTTCTGCCATTCTACCGATCTCTTTCGGCTCGACATCGCACCGAAGCCAGACCCTCAGGCCTCAACAACGCGGCCAATGTTTGTGGAGATCGGCGCAGCCCGCAAAACCACTTGCCGAGAGCAACTCCATTGCCGAAAAATATCTCTCATCATCGGCGTCTTCGTTTCCCTTTCCGTCGGGCCCACACCGCACTCGCATGACGCGAGTCATTTCTCGTGGCGCGCCTGCTCACCGTTCGGTCAGGCGCACATGACCTCCCCGGAGCCTGCCTTGCGCCCTGTGGGTATCGCTGTAGGTTGACGTAGCAGCCGTTCGTTGGGCGCAGAAATTTTACAGGCACATGCGAGCGTGGGCTGTCTTGGGCGTGGCGACTGACTGCGCAGGTTGAGATGGGCTCGAGTAATGGGTGTGGGGCCCCGGATTTTGCTTGCCGCTCTGGTAGGCGGACCGGCTCGGGGACTTACATGCGACGAACGGTCCCTGCAGGAGGAGGCGTGGGATACCTGCTCTGAGAGAAGGTCATCGCGCCGGGCGGGTTGGGAAGGGGATGTCATGCTTCTGCATATCATCTTTGGGCTTGTCAGTAAGAGAAGCTGGGCCAGTGTTAGTGAAGAGGAGCGTCCAGGTCTTACTTTTGTCGTGCTTGTGCTGTTTACATCGGTGTGCTGAAGTCCGGTTCCTGTGAGCGACTTGGTGAGTGGTCGAGTTCTCCGATGTACATGCATATGTCGGTGTCCGTATGGTTAATTGCAAAAGTGTGCAATACGTTCCAATTCGGGATTGATACTATTAATTCGACCATCTCCGTATGCGGCTATTGTTCACGAGCCATAGAGGCGTCTTTGTGGATGACTGGGCTTCTACGTCTGCTAATTTTTGAACGACATCGCCTCCTTTGCTCTATCTACGCATCTGTCAGAACCATCTGTGGCACGATGCCATTGGTCTGGATGCTTGATCACGATACCATGGGCAAGACTGACTCCATGGGTGGTGCGTTGCGGATCAGATACTGCGGGTCAAAGCTATTATAGTGTGATTTTTTACGAAGCAAAAATCGTGAAGGCGGGGTTCATGCTACGAGTCTATCCTCCACGGTGCCTTGCTGTTGCGAAAGGTGAAAGATTAATCAGTTTCAATGGGAACGGATGGATGTGCAGTGGTAGCATTGTGAATTGTGGCAGTGTCGTGCGTGTACTTGTGAGATATAGTAAGTTTTTCCTTGACCGATTCGAAAGATGGAGTGATTAGACGTTGGGACGCGCAGTCACAATGATGGGTTGGAAGAGCATCAAGCGTGAACATGGTATTATCGATTCCATAAGTTTTGCGGTCGCGTTAGGATGAAAGGGGTTGTAGAAAAGAAGGGTATGGTTGTGAATGTCATACAGAAACACACATTCCCTTGTCATTCGAAGCGACAGTGTTCTTCCAGAAGCTTTTTCCTCAATGCCGGTTGTATTGACGGTGTACCACATGCTACTGCTCACAAGCATTGCTGCACTTGTGTTTGTTGGTCCCGCCACAAGTTTGTCTGCATTTTTCGGCACGATTGCCGCAAATACAGGAAGGGGAGATATTTGCCTAGTTTCTGGCACGCAACTACCATTTATACAGGCAAGAATGTGTGCTGCTTGCGGCATTGCTTACCGAAAACAGAGCGTGGGATAATGTATAACCAATTCTTTGTTCTTTGCAACAGCGTTTGAAGCCGTCGCCACTGCGACATATGAACTACGTTTACAGCTCGTAATGTCTAGCATCAGTATCTCCTCAAATAGGACATCTCAAGATGCCTATCTCACGCAACGGGCAACGTGAGATTCACGATGCTGTCTTTGAGAGTGGTCCCCGTCGTCGCTGGTGTGTACGATGCGGAAACCAAAGTCATCAAAGCCGTGATTGCGATGCTCCTCGCAGGGCATGCTGGGGAGTATTTTCGGATCCAGACGATGCCGAGCGTTGTTACCAAGCTGAACTCCATGTCTGGCATAATCCGGTTTCACAACTTGCGAACTCTTTCCCATATGGCCCACCAGGACCGCGCAGACCATCAGCACAGGACTCCCGCCGCCGGCCTTCGGATCCAGACATATCGATCAGGAGGAACTCTTCGAACAGAAATCAAAACAACTTACCACGATCAAGGTTACCTAGAAGTCGAGTTGGCCCTGACCGTCGAAATTCCAGCTACCTCTACGACGAGGACCGCCGATCATTCACTGAAGATAGACTCTCTCGTGGTCGGCCTTCCAATCGTGGCTACGGCTCTACGCAAGAGCATGTGTCGTTATCAGTAATCACCAACTACGTGAAGGTTCAAGGGCTACCGGCCCAGATTCATGCATACCCTTTGGAATACTACTATACAGAAAATAATGTACGAAAGGAACTCAAGAGACGGGATCATGTGCAGCGCGCATTTGAAACTGCTCGTTCATACATCGAGCGGTATTTGGAAATTGAGAAGAAGCATTGGGCAACGAACTCCAGGACCTTGTGGAGTTTCCATCGTTCTGCAAATCTTTCACTGCCACACAAATTCCAAGTGCCGTCCATGACTCTTGATGGCGGTAGGCTCGTTCAGCCGTTGCAGGTCTGCATAGGGGAATGCACGGATCTTAATGTTTCAGAACAAGATCTACACACCAGGAGCATAGTCAGGCTCACAGATTACATCGCTGCTGCCAACGCGCTCGTGAGACGACCGATCTACGATGAGACGGACTCTAATCGTGGTGAGGGTCAGGGTAGCCTCACACAACTTGGTGAAAACCGTTTCTTCCTCAATGAAAGCCTCAATCAGATGACTGGACTGCATGCTAAACAAGGATACACAACTTCCATTAGGCCAACTAAAGAGGCATTCCTTCTCAATATCAATACCTCTTCCACCGCATTCTTCCCTGACAAGGCAGTTTCCAACATACTTTCCATCATGAAATCAGAGTCAATACTAAGTACTGAATTAAACAACAAAGACATCGAGCGTATGATGACAGGCCTCAAACTCCGCATCAACTACTATCGCCCAAAAAGAACAAACGAAAAAGGTCCACCTACGGATGATATTAACTCAGAGCACAGTTGTAGGAAAGTATTCAAAAATCTTGGCTTATCCATCACAGAACAAACTTTCTTCGACGAAAATAATCAAGCTCGATCCGTCCTTGACTATTTTAAAGAACGTATGTACTTGGACTCCATTTCCAACTTGAAATGTCTAACACAAGACAGGTCTGCCCCAAACCAGACTGGACGAACAAGGACTTTGCGTCAATGTAGGAAAGAAATTGAACGACAATACTGACAGGACCGGACGAGCTCAAAGCGATGCGGGCGCAGTATGGATTCCAGCTGAGCTCCTCGATATGCTTCCTCATCAACCAGTGAAAGGCTGTTTATGTGCGCAACATACCTCGGAGATGCTCCGACACGCGAATCGTAGGCCGTACGATAATAGAAAGCTCATAGAATCGGAAGGCCTACCCAAGCTAAAGCCAGCCGAGCCGACTCCTAATGAGAGATTTTGGATACGTGCTCATTCAGACATACATAGCTAATTATACCAGTATCCTCCCAAGGTCACCGTCGAACAAGCATTGCTTGAGATTCCAGCAAAGATCTTAGTTACTCCTACAGTAGTATATGCAGATGTACCGGCCTCGATTCAAGATGCTTCCTGGAATTTAGCAATAGGCGTCTTCAGAATCCCCGCTCGAATTGATAGATTGAACCTTTTCGTCATGGACGGCGCCCATTTCAAGAAAAAAGACCACTCAGGAGCCTGGAGACAAACGTCGCTTCTGAGCGATGGTCGCCATGGTTATTGTACACAACTTCGAGATAACATGGTCCTACGTCTCAAATATCATGGTATTCAGACAGCCAGGGCAGGTGATATTGAAACTGGCAGTATCACGCAATTCGAGCAATTTCTGCGTACGCATTCCGGCCAGCATGATGCGATCCTAGTTGCTCTGGCTAAGCCTGACTACGACACCCATGCCACAACCAAGCGCCTAGCAGATCTTTACTATGGCGCAAACGTAGTCTGTGCTGTCACTGGAAAGCTTGAGCTGCATGATAGAGGTTTTAGGGACCAACTCCTCACAAATTACGCGCTGAAGTTCAATCTCAAGTGTGGGGGAAGAAACCATATTACACCAAGTGCTGCGTGGGAGGAGCTTCTTGGCATAGATGATCGAAAGCACCATTGTTATGGGAGCTGACGTTGCTCATCCTGCTGTCGGTGACCCGGCTGGGAGCCCTAGCGTTGCATCAGTCGTCGGAACTGTTGATCGAGAGTTTCAAAACTACCCTGGGTCGATGAGACTTCAAGCTGGAAGACAGGAGGTAAGGTTTACAAGATATCATATACTACATATGAAAGCATAGCTGATTCTATACAGTGGATGGAAGATATGCGAGACATGGTCCTGGAAAGGCTTCGAGCTTACCGATCCACGTCAAGCAAGTTTCCGTCTGCTGTTCTCTTCTACCGCGATGGGATCAGTGAGTCAATGTTCGAAGAATGCGAGAATAGGGAGATCCAAGCCATTCGCGATGCGTTTAACGCCTTTGGGAAGGAGCATAATCATCCTAATCTCAAGATCAAATTGACCTTTGTCGTCGTGGGAAAGCGACATTCGACGCGCTTTTATCCTAGGGATAGGCAATTTACCACTCGTAACGGTAATCTGAAACCGGGACTTCTGGTCGACGAGGTCATCACATGTTCAAACCCTTTCAACTTCTTCCCCCCAATCTCACGCCGCCGTTCAGGGCACTGCTCGATCCGCGCATTACCATGTGCTACTCGACGAAATTGGCTTTGGAAATGACAATGACAAGCTTGCCAACCTGAGTCACCAGCTTTGCTACTGCTACCCCCCGTGCCACAAAAGGGGTTTCGTACGTAGCTCCAGCGTACATTGCTGACCGACTTTGCGACCGTGGACGCCACTACCTCCGCTTGTGGGAGCACAGCAAAAACTTCGACCTGCCGCGCAATGATCCTAAAACCGGTCAGTCCTGGAATGAGGACGGGATCAAGAGATGGAGACGGGAGATGGCGCTGCGACTTGCTAGAGGAGAGCCGTTATCGCCTACGAATAATGAACCAGTCTAGGGCCGCCATTATAAGGACAGCCCCGCCAATGTCCAAATGAGATACAATCCATGGCATCCAAATCTGGACAACTGTATGTTCTGGATGTAGTAGACAGTTTCGTCTACAGCTATCGTTGAGACGTCTTCATCACCGGAACTCAGGTTGCTTCCGATGCTTCATAAGGACAGGCCCATTCGATCACTTTCAAATTGAGAAGGAAGCCATGCTTGCTGCAAGGGTGCCGTCACCATCCCTCTGGCTTCGTTGCTGTCGAAATATACGATCCCTCGCTACTCATTTCCTTTCTCTTCATCATCGCCTGCCTATGTCCCACTCTCAACTTTCGACTCTATTTTCTCATCGGATCAGTTCTCTCACTAGGAAACAGAGTACTATCTGTATTCTACTTTTTGTCGGCTTGTTTCCGCCCAGCTGAACGGTGTTTTTCCTGATTTCCTTCACTATTTCTAATGTAGCCATAGAACGAAATATTTTGCTTGCAAACACTTGTAGATCGCCTCTTTTATCGAGTTATGCTGATATGAAAAGAAAGCATATGTGTTTCCCTGAAATATATGAGACAATGCTACGAGTATGCAGCTCGTGGTCCAGCTGCCCCGTTTAAGTTCGCATCGTAACTGAATCTAGCGCGACGTGCCGGTACTAATTGACACTGAGAACCATCACCTATCACCATATCTACTTCTATATCAAAAATTGATTGGCGCTGGGTGTCCTATGCCTCCTGCTAGAATTTCGATGAAGCTCGCGACCTAGTCATGCTGGCGCATGCCTGGCTCAGAGAAAAATTGCGAACTGCGAAGACTTTGATTCAAGGGTCTAGATTCCCAAAGAAGCTGAAAATCAAAAGCCAGCGTAGTCTACCACGCAAAAGGGCCGACTTGATGCCGCTACTATGGCTACTGGGTGCAGAGACCGCGAAATGCGAAGGGCTAAAAGCTATGGCTTCACCTCGTCTCGCTGATTGGGCGCCCATGCACTCCAATGAAGTCTAAGCTGAACAAGGTTCGTATTCGAAATGTATAAGATGTCACTTGCCCTCCTCCATTGAACAATATCCCAACATTCGACGACACATCATCTACTCCCTCAAGGTGTCACCTTACGTCCACTAGTTTGACCACCAGTACCACTGCCACCAGGCACGCTTCGAAATCCTCTTCACCTACAGGTGATGTCCCAGTCGCCATATTTGCATGGCAGGCATTTGACTCCCTCCAAATCTCTCGTTGATAGGTCGACTGTAATACATGGCAATCCGTCGTCATACACAATACCGGGTCAAAAGTTCGGGGTTCGCAATTCTCAGCCCAGGGTAGCACGCTGGGGCCGCTCCGTGTCTGTGCCTTTACAAGTGCGCCCATTTGTCATATCTCCACCTCTGTCTACACAGAGCAGAAAGATCACGACCGACTTCAAGCTCATGAATAGTGCCATCACTGTCAGGTGGCAGCTACGCTCGCTTCAGCATTGAGAAGGAAGTCATTATATCGATGACACTTACGCGCAGCACGACTCCCCAGCCTCCCTTTGGTTTTGTGGGTACCACCAGTGCAAAAGGGAACGCCCCACTAGTCTTTTCAAGCTCCATGAACCACATGTAGATCTGGAAGAGAATCATTGGCTGGTCGGTACAGACCTGGTACGAAAGATGGTGGGTCAGCCGAAGAACACTCAACTGATGGTACAATGGGAGCTTACCACAGCCACACCAAGCAGGTAACATGTGTATAGAAGGGGCTTTGCGGGTAGACTGCTGCTTGAAGCAGGATCATTGTACTTCTGCATGCTTACTTCCAGCAAATGGTACGTGCTGCGGTAGTACTTTTCGAACGCTTGTAGGTCCTGTTTACGAAAGTACGCCTCTCCAGGGGTCAAAGTGCGCCCTAGCTGTTTACGTTTCCTCTCCAGCTTTCGGTATGTTATCAGAGAATCTGCCGCCATACATGCAAAGAGTGCATGCTTGACCATAATGTAACCCTGTAGAAGTGAGTCAACAGCCGTTGTTACAAGGCTGAGCGGCGGGATAGTCTACACGTACGCAATGGGCTAGCTGTCTCACGTCCTCTCTGTACCACTCTGCTAGTGTGTAACCCAACTTCTGACTGCACACTTTTTCATACGTGCGAGGATTTCCGTATAGACTGCCCATTCGTTGATCCAGTTTGTATTCGGTAGCGTTCATCATGTATGGATCTGACGGCGTCATCTTTAGGGAGAATATCGGTACGCCAGGTTCAGGGCAGTAGCTTGCGAATGGCGAAGCCTCTTGCGAGTTTGAACGCTCAGACTGTGCATACGTCATATCTGTAAACGAACCTACTGGGAAGTGTAAGCTTGTTACGTTCAAAGGGTCTCCTTGTACAGTAAGCGACGCCGCATCGAAGTCGGACTCAAGTATGCTTGTCCAACGGTTTGATCCTGCCAACCGAGCAACATCTCCATGGTCTGAGTCTAATGCCTCGAGACTGTCGTTGGTTGACGAGTATAGTGGGTCGGTGCTGGTACTCTTCGATGTGGACGTTGCGGACAGTGTTCGCTGCGTCGCATATGGCAATTTCGAATTCGAAGTCCCTATGTTAGTTGTATCGTCCGCCTGGCCCTCGCGTATCTTCTGGTGTTGGCGGAACTGCTTGTCTTCAATCGCGGTGAGTCCGACGCCACACGGATCACCATAATGTTCGCATCGATCGCAGTGTTGTCCCGGCCAGGTTCGATGCGGCGGAAAGCACTGGAAAAACATCAGCGGTGAAACAGGATTTACCCATGTCGGCTGTTACCTGTTCTTTGTTCTCCCTGCATGAGGAACATTTTGGCTCTTCTTTCGCATTGTAGTTCGCACTGCAAGCGTAGTTGTACTTGATGCACCTATCGCACTTTTGACCAGGCCACTTCCGTTTCATAGATGTGTGCTCGCCTACTGTGACCTCGCACTGTAAGACATTAACTCCGTTATATATCTTTGTTGTACATACGACCACTTACCCTCTGTTTGTCCCTCCGGCAGAACATGCACTTCCGTAGGTCTGCCCGATTGCCTTTCTTGCGGTACGCAGTGGTCTGTGGGCCTACATGCTTCATGCTAATCGCTGAAGGCGTCATGTCTTTCATGGTCTGTCGTGTCGTGGACATGGTAAGTTGCGTCTTCTTTGATACTGTTAGTAGTAGGATGCACTTCAGACAGCAGTTATCAACACCGTATATGGAAAGCAATGCGAGGACTTCAAGATGGATGACATGGTCCGATGTTGCTATCATCCTCCAATCGCTAAGCACGCCACAGAGCTTAGTCCCGTGGTACGGTCCGCACTATTCCCGTGTGGCCCATGAGGTGTAAGGCTCAACGTCGGGTTCGCTTTCAGCCTCATGGAGACGGTCTTCCCGCTGCCGCGCAGGAGCGGTCTCGCCAACTCTTCAGTGCAAGGTGACAGGTAACGAATACAGGGGATGTCGTTGCGTTAGTTGCTCACGGGGATGAGCGGAATACCTGACCAAGCGAGATGTAACATGGGGAGCCGAAGGAAGCGATCGAAGTGCGACGGCCTCGCCCGTATTCGTTCTCGGCCCGCGCCACGGCATCCATACGAATGCTTGTCAAAGAAGCGACCACTAAGAACTTCCTGAGACACAAGATCCTCCTACCGAGAAAGGTCAAGGTTACGCAGTATCGAACGACGGAGACCTCAACACTTTGTCATAGCCTTTGTGACATTCTACCATGGGCTTCGTAGAACGATGTCGTGAGGGTTCCTATCTTTCGGGTCGGCTATGTGTGAACCTCTTTTGAAGCTAGGGTTAGCGGAACTAGGCCCAAGACAGCTAGAACATGAATCATCTATCGATATCGGGCCGTGCCGAGTTCCAACCGACAACTTCTTTAGGATGCACGGGTGTTCGCACCTTCGCCTGTCCCTGCGCTGCTCATGCAGATGGCCTCAAACTGGCTGGCAAAGTACCTTGCTAAATCCTCATGATTAGTTCAAGACACCACACCACCCAGTACAACGAGTTGACGGCGGTCGTCACAACAGGCAGCCTGGCATGCATTAAATAAGGTTGGGTCTCGACGACAAGTTGCGTACGAATGGCAGCAAAGCTTTAAAGTGCGCATAACTCTTGTAGTATTGAAAGGCCTGGCTCGACCACTCCAGTTAAGCCCAATCACTTCACTGCCTATTGCCAATTCGAGAAGGAGTCGGCCGAGATCCCCATCCCCAATTGCCATTGTTGCAGGACAAGCCAACGCCACAGAGCTGGCTTGGCTCTGTGATGGTCAGCTTTTCGATGGGAATGGCAAGGAATACTCCGACTTCTTGAGCAAAGGCTGCAAAGTCCCGCAAACGGCCTTTTTCCTCAAGGATTGCTACAACAAGGAGACCAAAAAGGTGACTTTCTCTAGAGAGATTGACGGCAATTGCCCGAGTGCCATGGTTATGATGCCGCAAGTGCGCTTCCTCATCTGCTGCAATGTCTCTCGCGTAGCGTCTGATGGCTGGGATGACGAGTCTCCCTTGGAATTGACCTGCGGTCCTAACCACTGCATTCACGGCGACTTCTTGGACGGCTGGGACGCTGAAGCCAACCAGAAGAAGGTGGACACTCTTAGTCAAGGCGCGCTTGTTCCAGTCTCTCTCCGGGTCTTTTGACAAGAGCAAAGACGGCACTGTCTGCACGGACTAAGCTGCTGACGCTGATCCTGACAACGGTACCGATGACTCCGATCACAGTATCCCAAATGATGAGTGGCGACTCTTCCGCTCTACACCGACGACTACTGCCCCTGCTGAGACTGCGACCCCAACTGCCGTCTCATCCGAAGTTCCTACTGGTACCACGAGCGCTACTCCAGTTCCTACCGGAGACGTTGAAGAGAGCTGCACCCACTCGAAGCGCAGCATCGGCAGTATATTGAAGAAGGCCGCTTTGAGGAAGAAGGTGAGGATGCGCTCGCTGCACTTGATGAATTGACATGCAGAACCCCTATCGAATGTTGTACTGCAGGACGGATGCCCCGTTAGCTTCTATAGACTTTATAGACTTTTGATCCTGTCTGCACAGATCTAGCAGATGTATGCTCTGGTGCGGAGATACACTTCTCTTCCCGAATCAAGCGTCAATCAATATCCGCCTCTTAGCAAGAACAAATTGTGAATTGAACTGATGATACCAATTCCTTCATGAATGGCAGAAACAGATTGGGATTCAAAATTGTATGCTTCACAATGACTTGAACCCGAGTAGTATTTACTAACAATGACGTCACCATGCGCACACCAATCACACACTACACTTCTTCAAGAACGGTATACCCCTCCCACACAGACTACAGTTCATCACGGTACTCAAGCCAACATGTCTCACCCCACACAAATAACCGGCGGCTGCCTCTGCGGCTCAGTCCGTTACACAATCTCCTTCAACGACTCACAATGGCCCCCATCGACCTCAAACTGCCAATGCACCCAATGCCGCAAATGGACGACAACACTGGTATCTCACGCACTCCTCCTTGAATCTGCTCAAGTACATTCTCTCACCGACTCTCCTACCTATACCGAGTATCAATCTAGCGACATCGCCGCGCGCTCCTTTTGCAGCAAGTGTGGCGGAGGTCTGGCTTGGAAAAGCGAGAAGATGATGCCTGGTAAGATTATTCTTTTTACGGGCACCATTGATGAAGAGTGGATTATGGGGAAGAAGAAAGAAGGAAAAGAGACGGAAATGGGGAAGGAGGTAGAATGGGAGGGTGGTTACGGGGAGACGTTGTGTAAGCCACAGGTCAGTTTGTTTTGGGAGAAGGCTATAAAAGGCATTACGGATTTTGACATGGGGCAAAAGAAATTCTTGCAGGAAGAATGAGGGGGTCCAGGACGCACTCAAGTCTCAGCGGGTCAGACCACTAATTCAAGCGACCCGAGAATCCGGGGTAGAGTTCTATTGGAAGGCAGAGAGCAAAGCAGGCAGTCTTACAGCAAGTCTTACCTCGACCCCTACCTCGACCCCTGGTCCGGGCATAAGCATACTAAGACTTTTCGTATTATGCAGCCAAGTCGATCGTTATTCCAACAACAGGACCATAGCCGTACACAGCACAACAACATGTCGCTTATTACATAACACCAAATTCCGAAATACCGTTTGCAGCTTTTGTTCTCCAAACAGTTTCTCCACGTGCGCCCACGTCGTATCTCCTCATGTGCGTATATGTCCCTTTGAGACCTCCCCACGATGACTGCAGCAGCCACTACGAGGAGTTGTTCCCAATGCGAACAGTACGGTGGTGCCAGCCTGACCTAGAATTGATATCTAGCGCTGACTTCAGAAAGATCGTCACCTCGTCTACTGTTTGCAGTAGTTCTTAAAGTACTCATAGGCATCGAGTGGATGTTGGAGATCAGACAGGAGTTCGGAACTCACCACGATGACGCCAGCAGCAAGAAGGGAATACTTCAGATGCCATTTACCCGGGCGTACAGGACTACACATGTTCTCACCGTCGCCTATTTCGGACGGATTGGCATTTCCCTTACTCTTCTTGGCTCTCACGAGGTGTTCCCAGCCTGCAACTGGGCGTCAAAGGTCGGCGAACAGCTAGCTGAGAAGCTCTTAGGGCGTATGTAGAGATTCAATCGAGATTCAAAGTAAGTGTATATAAGGACGTTGAGCACGCAAGTTCTCAAAAAATATCAACAATCTTCTCATTTACTTCGCTCACTGCAATATCAGAAGCCCACGCCACGATCAATACATTCATCATGTACTTCTCAACCGCCCTTACCCTCCTCGCCGGCGGCTTGGCTCTAGCCGCACCTTCCCCTAAGGCCAATGTCAACTCTGTGGCCCGCACTACTGCCAGCGATATGACCTCTGCCATTCAATTCGCAGTCCAGGCTGACTGCGACCTGCTCCAATGCGCCAATGTTGTTGCGTCTGCTGCGTGCATCATTGCTGGGATTGCTTCCGAACAGCCGGAAGTGGTGGTTGGTTGCGTCTCGAGCGGCTCTTCCGGTGTAAGTATTCGCGCTGGAGTAATGCCAGGCTGTATTTGGCTGACATGCATGAAAATAGATTTGCCCATGTGCTGGATGCATCAGTGGACTGAACGACTTTTTGATGTCCAACGGTATCTGCACTTAGGCTGGTAGCCACAGCGCTTCTGCCGCGGCGATGCGAGGAAAGGAGTGTTATGGAGGATGGTCTTTCTGACATGTGTTACAAAACACTCTACACACTCGTTCTATGATCTATCAGATATAAAAAACTACTACATCACTCATGCCAATGCATCTGCTCCAAACTTTTCCGCCGTCTTAACATCATCAACCTCTGCCAAACCCCTATACTTCTCCTCCCGCACCCCTCCCAACTTGCTCAACCCCAATTTCCTTCCCTCCAAACCGTACAACTCCTGGAAGCTCATAATCATCGGCTGCCACTTATCCGGATCAATCCTGTTGTCATACCAATCCATTCTTAGCTCATCCCTCACCCAGATTTTGACAACCCTCATCTCGAGCGCATACAGTGGGCCGGACGTGCCGAACAAATCTTGCAGCATCGGGTGCGTCATGGTGAGCTCGCACTCCATCTGCACGGGACATTCGAGGATGCGGTGAGGTTGGATGAGGGAGGAGGGAAGCGGCGTGAGGTTTGCTCTTGTCCATTTGTCTTTCACGAATTCATAGTTCCTCTCTTGTTTGCTTGCAGACACGGGGTCAGAGCCCGTCGTCAGAGCGAGCGCGTTCACGTGGTCCACCATGTCGGAAGAAGGCAGGTTGATCACGCATTCTTTCGTGCGGAGAATATTCTGCGGCGTCTTGCTGCTTGCATCCAGACCGAGCATGCATCGGTGGCCAAGCCACCAGACGGAAGACATAGGCGCGAGGTTGGATGTGCCGTCTTCGTTTTCAGAGGAGAGGATGGCAACGGGGGTGCCAAAGTAGAGGATAGCTGGGGAGATAGGTGTGTGTGGCATTTCGATAGGTTGCAGAGGATACTGGATGATGTAAGGGTAATGAAGGAGGGTGAATGGCTGGGAATACTGTGTGGTCAGTTGAGATGGTGCGCTGCTGGGGCGATTCTTATATGCGAACATGGAGTCATAAATGACAACACTTTCTGCTCGGATATCCGTTTTGAGTATTGTCCTATTGTGGGACACAAAGTCTGTAAGAAAGACGTTCTCCGCGGGCGTAGCTCGGGGGACGCTTTTGATTGGCTATATTGGAAACATAACTCCTAGAGAACGCAACCAAAGTCAGACATGCCAAGCATCGTTTCTGCAGTATTGGAAGGAAGCTCAGGCGCCCGTTCAGCTATTGCACAATTGATGAGCAGACAATAAATTTGATCGTAGATAAACTTAGCAAGGCCAACAAGCAGGGCAGGTGTATGCCTGCATGGTATGCCGATGTTTATTCAATGTTCTCGTTCGTTGGGGACTCTCTACAGCTAGTCTTACCGAAAATTTGGACCAAGCTATTCTCGTGACTGATGCCCTGGATCCACTTCTTCGTGGGAATATAATCGTATATGTAGGTCGAGGTGCTTCCGTCCTAACGCCTTTATCATGCTTCGTGGTATCGTCCTCATGCGTCAACATATTCTTCAGCGTCACCAAACCATTGACGCCAACCCGGCCGAGCTCAAATTTCCTCATCATACCCAAAGTGGGATGACCCATAGTGCAACCGGGCATTACCCATGCCTGAGGATGATCATGTCATCATCCTCCGTGACGATCCAGGCCGTCGACCGGGTCGGGAAGCTGTCTTTTGAACACGAGGACGTGTTGATAACACGGGCTTCTGCGTTTTGCACATGTCTTAGCACGTGCTCCAAGAAGGTACGTATGATCCACCAAATCTTCAAAGCCACAATGCTCGTATAACGCATGCACTATGACGTTACCTTTGATGCTGTGGCAGTAGCCGCACTAGCGCTAATGGGCCTCGTCTTCTTAGGTTGTGTGGCTAGTCCCTTCTTCAGCAGCAGCGGGATGATGTCCGAGACCTTAGATCGGTTGATGTTCTTCCGGCAGACGGGGCACTGAGAGCGACGCTGCTCGCCTGGGTTGCCACGGTTCTCTCCGGCAATGAGAGCCTCCATAAGGCAGGTGTGGCAGAAGAGGTGACCTAAGGCCTTATCAGTATCAGGTAACATATCAGGGTGGAGGTGACGTACCACAGGCTGTCGCCGTCAAGTCCGTCGGCGTGTCCATGCATATGACACAATTGAAGGTGTTGAAAGTCGTGGCCTTCTCTTCCGGCAGGGCCTGCGCCTTGACTGCCTCTTCACGCTGCTTCTGGAGCACATGCTGGACCGTTTTGTTTTCGCTGGAAAGGTCGATCTCTTCTACCATCGCCGCTGGTAAGTCACTCTCTGCCTGTGCCGCAGTGCCGTCATTTCGCCTTTGCCTTTTGGCGGACGGACCCGGCGTGGGGCTATCCCTCTGCGTCTTCCGCGACCTTGCGGTGGTGACATCAGGCGAGTCGGTTGTCAAGTCTACGTAGCCATTGGACAAACGCGCCGGTCGTCCTTGCCCTCGCGAAGTTGGCATGTTACTGTCGCTAAATTGGTACCCGAAGCTGTTGGTCTCGACCGGGTTGAGGATGTTGTCGAGGAAGTTCGGCGCTGGAGGTGAGGGCTCGGTGTGGTAGGCGTTGTCGAAGTAGAAAGCGCTCCCGTCCTGTTCGTACGTGTCACCCGAAGTGAACGACGGGTCGGGTACGTCGAAGTGATCGAAGTGATAGGTCGGAAGAAAGTGCCAGCTCGGGTGCCCTTGCGCTTGTGCAGCAGTATTGTTGCTATGTTGGAGGAATGGGCATTGAGGTGGGTCCTGTTCCGGGTCGTCGTGAGGGTGGAAGCTAGAAGACGACGACATGGTGGCGAGTGGCGGGCTCCGAACTCAGCAGAGAACACGACAGGAGCGCATGGAGAAGCAACGGCCGCTGCGGCATGGGAAATGTGAACAAAGCAACTCTGGGAACGAGCGCCCGCCCGCGCGCTTCTAAGCCGTGTCACGGTGCGGCGGGATGCCCACACTGGGTGCATCTTCAGCCCTATAGCGCTTGGCCGGATGCAACAAACTTTAGTGCGTCAAGTCGCATCGCGCGGAGCTTCACAGTCCATGACGCCAGCCCATCTTCGCCCACACGACACCCGACAGCGCCTTAGACGGCATGAGGTGACGCTCGCCAATTTCACACGACGATGCGCTGCTCCCGCCGGAACTTTGCTGCCTATGTTGTGAAGCGACCGCGACTTGCGCCTGCTACTACAAGCTCCCGTATCTGGTGCGCGTCGCAAAGATGCCTCGCCACCGCACACTCAACGCAAGAGGAGGAAGGTAGCGGTGCGAAAAAGGGGACTCTTTCTGGTATGCGACCACATCTCTACACAAAATCCGCCCTAACTAAGCGTCGCAGTGCCGTCCGAAGCCCGCTTCAGCGAGATAGGGGTCCAGCAACTCTCCAGCCATGTCCACCAGCAAATCTTTCCTGGCAAAGGCACTGCCGCACCGCCCGAGCTCGTTGCCCTCTCCAAAGACCACCTCACCCGCCATGACCTCCTCGGCAAGAACCAAGACTCGACCCCACCCGTGGCCTTCGATTTGCCCGAATTGCAGGGGACAACGCTCGACGAGCATTTTTACAAGCTGGGTATGGATGCTGCGGAACCGTTCCTGACAATGGCGAAGAAATTGGCGTGGGCAAACCCTCCCCCGAAGCCGCGAAAGTGGGTCAGAAGGAGCGGGTGGACCAAATACAACAGCGACGGGACGAGTGAAGCTGTGGAAGCACCAGATGAGGACATGCTGACCTTTGATACCGAGGTTATGTGGAAAGAGACGTCGTTCGCGTGTATGGCATGCGCTGTGAGCCCGACAGCATGGTACGCGTGGATATCACCGTGGTTGCTGGGAGAGTCAAAATCGGATCGACATCTAATACCCCTCGGCGACCCGTCGAAACCGCGCGTTATCGTCGGCCATAACATTGGATACGATCGGGCACGAATATCCGAGGAGTACGACATACAGCAGTCGAAGAACTCGTTTGTGGATACCATGTCATTGCACGTTGCGTCCAACGGCATGTGCTCGCGGCAAAGACCGTCATGGATGAAGCATCAGAAGAGCCGGGAGCAGAGGGAGAAACTTGCCACTTCTGATGAACATGCGGATCTCTCACATTTGCTCGGTTCAGGCGCGATACCGGACGAAGAGGAGGAGCTGTGGATTGGCCGGAGTGCGATTAACTCGCTACGGGACGTGGCCAAGTTTCATTGCAACATCACTATCGACAAGGCCCGGCGAGAATACTTTGGGGAGCTAGATCGGGCAGGAATATGTGACAAGTTGGACGAACTACTGGATTATTGTGCGGCTGATGTCGAGATCACGCATCGCGTGTACCAGAAAGTTTTCCCCCTATTTTTGGAGACGTGCCCGCATCCCGTCAGCTTCGCAGCTCTGCGCTTCTTGGCTGCCGAAATTCTCCCTGTGAACGAGACATGGGACGCATACATCCACAATGCTGAGGCAACGTACCACAAGCTCAGCGACGACGTCCAAGAGCGACTCATTAAGCTCATGGAACAGGCACTCGAGGTCAAAGACAAGCCCGAAATCTATGAGAATGACCCCTGGTTGAGCCAGCTGGACTGGTCCGGTCAGGAAATCAGGATGGTCAAGGGAAAGAAGAAGGGTGACCCACCGCGACCGGCAGCACGACAGAAGAAACCAGGCATGCCAAAATGGTACAAGGACCTCTTCACGAAGAGCGACGGACCAATTAATCTTACTGTCCGCACAAGACTAGCACCGATTCTGCTGAAGCTGAGTTGGGATGGCAACCCGCTGGTGTGGTCAGACAAGCATGGCTGGACGTGGCAGGTGCCTATGGAAGAAGTTTTCGCATACAAAGAGAAGGGCTTGAAGGAATTGGATATGTCAGAAGAGGAAAACTTGAAGTTGCGCGACGACACGAAGCATCGATACTACAAAGTGCCACATAAGGATGGCCCACTGGCGAGGTGCGCAAATCCACTAGCCAAGGGCTACCTTGCATACATGGAGAAGGGGACTCTTTCTTCTGAGTATGAATATGCCAAGGAGGCACTTGAGATGAACGCGTCATGTTCGTATTGGATAAGCGCAAGAGACAGGATCATGTCGCAGATGGTGGTGTACAACAAGGAGCTACCGAATGCGCCGGAGCTAGTGTCCTCGTCCGAAATCGGTGGAGAGAAGAAGGTTGGGTTCATCCTACCGCAGATCATTCCGATGGGTACCATCACACGTCGAGCTGTCGAGAACACGTGGCTCACAGCCAGTAATGCCAAAAAGAATCGGGTTGGATCCGAGCTCAAGTCAATGGTGCGAGCACCGCAAGGTTATTGCTTCGTTGGAGCCGATGTGGACTCGCAAGAGCTATGGATAGCGAGTCTGATCGGCGATGCCACCTTTAAGCTGCATGGAGGTAATGCTGTCGGCTTCATGACGCTCGAAGGCACGAAGGCTGCTGGGACAGATTTGCATTCCCGCACGGCAGGCATCCTCGGCATAACCAGAAACGATGCGAAGGTGTTCAACTACGGTCGTATCTATGGTGCCGGCCTGAAGTTCGCCGCAACACTATTACGGCAGTTCAACCCCGGTTTAACCGACTCCCAAACCACCAAGACGGCGAACGAATTGTACGAAACTACCAAGGGCAAGAAGACGGCAAGAAAGCAACTCCACGAGCGGTCATTTTGGAGAGGAGGCACCGAATCCTTCGTCTTCAACAAGCTCGAAGACTTTGCTGAGCAAGAAAAGCCTCGGACACCCGTCCTTGGGGCCGGTATCACCGAAGCACTGATGCGTCGTTACCTCACCAGGGGCGGCTTCATGACATCACGCATCAATTGGGCGATCCAATCTTCTGGCGTTGATTATCTTCACCTCCTAATTGTCAGCATGGAGTATCTGACTCGGCGGTACAATCTGGACGCTCGTCTGGCCATTACAGTACACGACGAGATTCGCTACCTTGTGAAGGAAGAAGACAAGTACAGAGCTGCTATGGCTTTGCAAGTAGCCAACGTGTGGACGCGCGCCATCTTCTCTCAGCAAATGGGCATCGATGAGCTCCCGCAGTCCTGTGCCTACTTCTCCGCCGTCGACATCGACCATGTACTCCGCAAGGAAGTGGACATGGACTGCATCACTCCCAGCCACAAGGACAAGATTCCGCATGGCGAGTCTCTCGACATCATGACACTGCTCGAGAAGGGCGACGCCGCGCGCCTCGACCCCGCCATCGTTCCCAAAGACCCTCCGGCGGTCGAAAAGTATCAGGCAAGCTACGTACCGCGCATTCCTGTTATGGCATCCCTCGCGGGCGTAGACCCGACGTCTGTATCGAGCATTGCATACTTGAAGGCGCAGATTACGGGTGATGACAAGGAGTTGAAAGATATTATGCGCACAGTAAGGATGCCCGCCAAGCCGAGGTCAAGAAGATCGAAGAAAGAAGAAGATGATGAAGAGAATGAGCGTGCGGTGCTGCACTACGAACAGATGGCGCAACTGCTCCCAGTCGATGAGATATGGCAGAACAACAAGTTCACCAAGAAGTGGAGCTCCACCAGACCCGGCACACTGCACCATTTCCACCCACGAAGTACCGCTCCGCGACCAGCGAGAGCACATTAAGTACTCTTCTTTTTGCATTGCAGCAGCGCTACGCTTTTCTTTACATTCTTGTATATGCATTGTACGATATGTTGTAACGGCCGGTTGCATAGTCATGGTTTTTGGGAAGGTGCATTCGGACTACGGGAAGGCTGCATAAGGGCGGTGGTGACCTTTGTTGTTCAAACATATGTAACCGCGATAAACACTAATCATCTCAACGTTCAAGCGCTGAATCGCCCAACAGTTCCAAGTGTTGTGATACATCCCAGGTGTTGAGGCGGATGCGCGGTTAGATCGGCAGGTCCAGCCAGACGAGAAGGGGTCTCGAGCGGCTCCTCTTCTGTCGCCGCTGCCGATCTCCGCTGAGCCCTGCAGTGCGGCTCTAAACTTTTGCAGCTGCCCATAATTGAGTCTCTCTTGGTGGCACGCTGGCTTTCTACTTCTCTCGAGAGGTAAAAGACTGTATTTAGGATCCCGCGCCCTACCCGTCGAACCCACACTTCCCCACTGCTCGCAAATCTGGGGATTCTCGGCTGGCGGGACCCGGTACCGGACATTCTTCGCGACAATGCACGGACATTTTGGCGGCTCGTGGCGAGGCGGTGAGGTCTCGAGACAGGGGTGCGATAAAATTGTGCACGCGTTGTGCTTCGCCTCCTTTCTTTTTGCGGCGATAAAGACCCACTGGCCCACTCGTTCATAAAGTGCACTGGCTCCCCGCATTCACTCGGATTCAAACACCACATTCACTCTGCGTTCACCCTACTTCGACGAGGAGACACATTCACTTCGCGATAGTTCAGCGATCGGTTTTGCTACGAAGCATTCAAGAATTCGAGAAGCAAAAGCATACGTGTCACTATCACACCACCTACTCGCCACCTGCACTACATACCAACGACCACAACAACGACCACTTCATCCACAATGGCCCCACGTTTCGCTCTCCCTGTCCGCCTCCCCATAACCCGCACCTTCCGCGCCCCCGCGCGCTTCAACTCCAACACCTCCACCGGCCGCGCCGCTCGCGTCATTGAGATGGCTGCGCAAGCTGAGAAGCCAAGTACCCTCGAGGCCGGCGTGCCGATCATGTGGGCAATCTGCGGTGGCCTGATCTACACCGCATGGAACAGGATCGAGGAGAGGGAAGGTGCTGAGAATGTGCAGAAGGTATGTTACTATTGCCTCGCTTGAACCTAAAGCTAGACTAACAGAATGGTAGCTTTTGATCGTTTAAGCGTTTTCCATATGCATCGCAACGGCGCGCATGGATTCTAGACGGACGATTCGGCTTTGCATGGCTTGCGGATAGACCGTGGCTTGGGCATTTGCATGCTTGCGTTTAAGGATACACTTTTGCTTTAGGATAAGGATAGGGTAATGACGGTTTGTCATGGGATATGGGGGAGCCTGGTATGGCTATGGGAAGGAATATGGGTACTGGCGTTTGGGCATGATACACACCTTGCACTTTTCAACCTAGACGAATCTCATCTTCTTCACACCACTTCCGTCGCATCCGCATCCATGCTCTACACGTCAGTCCGATCGTGTTCCCTCCACACACCACCCTTCAAGTCGATCTAGGCTAGCACGTCACTCAATCGCCTTCTCGTGTCGCGATACACCTCAAGACTTCTAGAAGGACCAGGATGAAGCCGTTCGGACGCCGCAAATGGTCTCGAGTCCTACCCAGCCGCCTCTATGAGTGCCCACGCCTCTGTGTCTTATCTGGGCACCTCGAGATCATCTCACTAACGCTTCATGTATATTTTTTCGAGCCAGACGAAGAAGATTGCGAGCAGTGCATACATGTAGGAGATCCTGATGCGACGGAAGCTGGTCGCGATTGAACACCAGATACCACGGGACGAGGACATCCAGAGACTTCGCGATGAAGTCAACATTATTGGACTTTGTCAATTCAGTCTCAGTGCCACATGTTAGATGACATTTCGCAGGTGAATACTCGGAGGGAAGTCACTGAGTCGTAGTGTCTCTCAACAGGGAAGATGGGCATGATTCCACATTTCATAGACTCTCAATGCATCAGTCTACTCGTTGTGAAATCAACCATCATAACCACGACACTACAGCCTCGCCTTCCCTTCCCTCCCCAAGAATCCATCAACAGCGGTAACCCGCACGGCACCCTGTCCTACCCGATCCTTCCCATTCTGCTGTTGATTCTTCGCGATAGCTTCGTTCTTCATATGCACCTTTTCCAAAAACTCCCAACTCTCATACGTCTCCACCGTTCGCACACTATTCTTGTCCTTCCCCTCACCCACCGTGTATCCCCTCGTCCAGTACTCGTTCTTCGCTACGTACTCCACGACGTCAGCCCATCCTAGCAGCGCATTCGCTACCTTGCCAGCCTGGTAGTCAAAGTGCGCGAGGACTATGCATGGTGAGGTGGATATCGCGGGTGGTGGGGAGCACGGCTTGCTGGATGTGACGGTGCTGGTGTGGACCTCGGGGGGTTGCGCGAGGACGTCTGAGGTGGTGAAGAGCTTGATGAGGTCTTGGACGGGTTGGGTTGCGAGGTGCGCGTCGCTGGCGGCTTGGGAGGCGTATTCTTCGATCATGTATAGCACGGTGCCTGTAGTGTCATCGACTGGGAGGGTGACGATGTAGCGGAGGACGTCGGGCTCGTGAGTCTGGGTGAATTGTATGATTTTGTGGAAGGCGTCGAGAACCTAGATGTCGATGGTGAGCGTGAGCTTGGGGTTTGAGATGAAGGGTCGCGTACGGTCTTTCGCGCTTCTTTGCTTGAGCAGACGATTCGCGCGGTGACGAGAATTGGTGCCATTGTTGTTGTTTTCTACGGAGGAAAATGTAAAGATGAGAAAACCATGATTGTATTTGAGATTGTTTATGGTCCTTTCCCCCGCACGCGTGATAGGTTCCGAGCTTCGGAATTCTTGTTCCGACAAGCGGGTCTGTCGGAGAGTCGCTACACACTCCGCCAGCCACTCATTTCCACCATTCGACCCCATCTACTCGTCCATTCCATTTGACTGAGGACTATACTAAGTTGTTCCTTTTCCCGATGCTGCAGGACCCTCCTTCCAACGAAGTCTTTCTTGCTAATGACTTAGCCAAAGTCTACCTAGGTATGAACGGACGAGCATGAAAGGAAACATTGACAATCGCTCCCGGAAAACTGTCTAAACATTGGAACAATGGCTTCTCGAAAGCAAAGGGTCTCAAGAATAGAACAAGCCGATCAAACTGTAGAATCGCGAGAGGGTGCTGACTTGCCAAATTTCGATTGCGGATGAGTACCCATGGCCTGTTTTGTTCATTCACAATGCAGGACTTCCTTTACACAGGTCGCAGCATCTTGCACTATGTTACAGAGGTCTACCTCTATATATACTTTTTGAGATATGTTCCCTCTGACGGGTCAAACCAAAACCCAAAGTCTCAACCACAACTACAACTCTTGCTGGTAAACCAAGACTATCTTAACTCTCCTCTGCACCGCAAGCAGATTTCTTAACTTAACATCAACTCAAGAAACCAATATGGCTTCTCGTATGGACAATATTGTCACCGGACCGATCCCTGCACGCGGATTCTCTGACGCGACGTTGCACGTTCGCACTCGCGCGAACGGGGCGAAGGACGGCGCCGGTACTTGTATGTTCGAAGGCATTGACGTTGAAGTTTTCCAGTCGACTTCGAACCTGTTCCGTAAGTTGTATGCACGTGCGTTTGCTGCCGGCCACCACAACCATGTATACATTGTATGGAAGGATTTCCACATTGTGGACTGCTATGTCAAGTGGCTTCACGACCGAATCGTCCATCGCATCCCAGCTGAGGAAGTGAAGTCTAAGCGGCAATACCAACACACTGTGCTCAAGTATCCTAAACACCCGCTGAAGGAGTATAGCCCGCTTGTTCAAGATATGCATACACTTATCAACATGTGGCTGTTCGGTTTCTATGTCGAGGACGCTACGTTCATGGACACCATCATGTCCTTCTTGGAGGAGCTGTTACAGGAGTCCCATGAGCCTGAGTACGACGATGGGGACTCTACTCGAGAGACGTTCTTTCGTCTCCTGAAGCCATCTGTCATCGACGCTATCTGGTCCCACACTACTCGAGGGGCGAAGCTTCGGGCTTTCGTGGTTGATTACCTTCTTAAGTACGGCACACACATTGATATTCTCCGATTCAATGGTACTATCGTCGAGGAGGCCAAGGTCAGCGCAGTTGAGTCTGCTCCGCCTACTCCCGTCAAGTCTCGTAAGTCGCGTGCTGACTCTGCCCGTCCTTATCGTTCAATTCGCCAAGACACCACTCCGTCTCAAGTGTCAAGCTCAGAGTCCTCTACTGATGACAGTAACACCAAGGTGGAGGATTCACCGCAGACCTTTCCGCCTGAGTTCATCACGGAGCTGAACAACGCTCAACGCGGCTCCCTCCTAGTCTCGCAGCTCCCTATTGAGATCCAGTCGTTCTACCATGACCAGGTGCGGGTGTTCCTTCCTCCCCTACCGTACTCTTTCGAGATGACCTGTATAGAATCATACACGGAGCCTTGCCTGTCTGCTTACGGCGAGTTCAACGGCCTCGTGGTGCGGAAGACACAGCAACTTACATCCATGTATCAGCTGCACACTGTTGCGTTCCGCATAGCCTTCTTCAAGGCAGTCTACGGAGAGGGTCAGACGGTCCTCCGCTCCACGTACTGGGACACGGAGGGTGAAGTTCAGGCGCAGCCAGCTAGCGGCAACCACCTCTCTAATACTGGCGGGACGAGCATGAGCTGTGTATACCACCAGCATACCAAGGATGGTGCTTGTTGGGTGCTTGGAAAGCGCTTTCGCCAGGGCGTCCCGGTGCCGGTTGCTCCTCAGCCAGCCAATGTTTAGGCTGGTCTCTACTCTTTCCGGAAGAATTCGGTAAGCATAGTGTTTGAACACGCACCGCCAGCATAGAGGTCTTTCAAACCTCATTCCATTCTCCTTTCAATTGCGAGGTGCCATCACAAGTCGTTTCCAGATGATGAGACGTCGAATTCTGAGACACATCAGGCTCGTTCTTCATTCGTACTTTCTTATCTTCAGTATTTTGTGTCACTTCAGTTTTCGAATGATGCCGCCGGAAACGTTCACGATGTTCCAGATGCGGTCAACACGTGCTCGCGTGGAAGGCGCGCGTCAACGATGACATCACCACTCTACATGTCAAATTGTACTTTCTTAGTTTAGCTACCAATTTGTACCACTTTCCGAATTCATAATCATTCACAATCAATGTTCTTCCCCAGATTTGCCTGTGCACCTCGTGCTTTCACTCTGAAACGTGCCTTCACGTCCACCGCCGCAGCAACCATGCTATCACACAACAGTCCCAATCCGCCCACTAGCGACACAATCTCGCCCGCGCAAGTCCGAAAATACATCCCAAAACACCAATCATGGCCCTACACGGCGCGAGACTTCACTCGCTCCGACGAAACGAACGACGATGATTTCTACGACCAACCGCGCTACGTCACGCACATTGACGATCAAGCTATCACCCGCCTAACCGCGTATTTCAACACCGTGATCCCACCAAAAGGTCGCGTTCTCGATTTCTGTACCTCCTGGCATTCCTGGTATCCTGAAGAGTTTGTCGAAGCCGTCAAGTGCCATGATCTAGAAGTGTATGGTATCGGCATGAACAAGGCGGAGCTAGATCGGAATCAGCTATTCAAGAACCATCCCACGCGTGCAGTAGTTGCGGATCTGAACGAGAGCCCAGATATTCGAACGCAGTTGTCGGAAGGAGGAAGGAAATCTCCTGAACTCGATTGTGCGACGTGTACGGTCAGCATCGACTACTTAGTCCAGCCAGTAGAAGTGTTGCGGAGCTTGAGGGAAAGCACGAGGCTGGGCGGCAAAGTTCATCTGGTAATCAGCAATCGATGTTTTCCTACGAAGGCGGTGAGGATATGGCTTGAATTGGATACGGAGGAGAGGTTGCAGCTCGTTGGAGACTACTTGCATTTCGCTGGTTGGAAGGACATCGAAATTGTTGATCTGTGTGCAAGAGATGAGGATGGCGGGAGGCTGACGGATGAGAATGGGAGGATGTTGCAGGGAGAGGGGATGCTGGGTTTCCTGCGGTTACAACACATGGATCCGTTGTGGGTGGTTCGAGCAACAAAGTGAAAGCAGAAGTGACAACTCGTCTGGTCTGAGCGGATTGGTGCACGTCTCTTTGCGTTGGTGAATGTACGATACGCGGGTCTCGGTCACCTAATTCTCCGTAAAACCACCTGAAATAGCGAACGAAAGGTTTCTGATAAAGCTCAGCTCGAGTCTTCCTCAGATCTTGGACTGCTGGGCCAGGGATCATGTAATTAACCTAGTGATTGAATATATAACTTATCAGACCGTGGGCGGATGTCAAACAGAGAATTATCGATACTTGCTGTCCTTCCTGATCATGAGGCGCAACCAAGGTGGAGGTACCGGGCCGCCCTCTATCCGGTTCTCCATTTTCCTATACCATCCAACACTGTTGTATATGTATGCCGTCGGACGAGGGCAGATATCGTGGATGGAGCGAAAATTATATGGTGAGTTCTCGACCCCCCAATATATCCAGCCGGCATAGCAAACATCCTGTCAAGCCTTAGCGACTAAGCACGCAAGTTCAGTCACTACCATGTATACGGATTGAAACATGAAGAATTTCACCGGTCCGTAGTATCGATGAACCCAAAAGAGAGCTGGTAGCCCGCTTTCAATCTGTCTGTAGTGGCCAGACTGTTTGTAACAATATTCTATGGTACGAATCGTGAAAGCCGGTGACTGGAGAAGGGTTGGTACGGTGCGGGAAACTATGTGAACCTATCCGGCATCGAAGACGTCCTGTGAGAGCCTTGGTGATCGAGAACGTAACTTCACTTGCCACCCTCCAGGCGGGCCCAGGTAAGCAGAACATCACCGAACCGAATTTCCAAGAAACCGACGACAGAAAAGCATAGGAGGTGGTGGCGGGGCATTTTCGACTCGATTCCTCATGTGTCTGTAATGTCCATATCTGTATGGGTCTCCCAGTGTCGGGACTAAGATCCCGTGGATGGAAAAGGGACTGCTGATCCGGTGTTTCGTATAGAACCACCCAACACAGAAGACATTCTGGAAGAATCTTAGCTATCAGAAGACCCGACGACATCGGGACCGGGGTGAATTACCTTCACAGAGTCAATGAATTCGATCTATACGGGGGCCGTTTCACTTACAGTCGAAGGGGCGCTTCAACAATAACATACGGTGGGCTAAAGTTCCATCTCGAACAAAGCAACAACGCATTCGTTGAGCGACGACTTTACTCGGATCCGCACAGGTATAGGCGGACATACCAGTATGGGGGCACCACCATCGATGGATTGTAGGTGTGACGAGGGACAGGTGAGAAGTTTCTTACCTTGTTCCAATTCAGGTCATTGATTACCAACTCATCCCCCTCGTCATCGTAATCTCCAGTTTCAGCATTCATTTCTCCATAGATCTTGCGCTCGTAATCCCCATCCCTACTTTTGAAGATATCGACCTGCCTCAGCTCTTGTAATTTTACTTTCAGCCACGTTCCTTTCGGATCTCCAGCCTCGATGCGCTTTTCGCACCACTCGTCTAGTTCGGCACAGTCCCAGTCTCTGCCTCTCGAGCCAGACAATCGGGCGCTCGCCATCGTGTCGTAGACGATTGACCTGACGCAGTCGGCTTCAATGACAGCAAATCGTACTGAGCCCAAGTCCGGTGATCTGCCCAAACGTCGATTATGATTGAACAGCTGCACAGCTTCCAGGTTTTTCTCTAGGAAAGCCTGCCTTCTTCCCTCGCGGACGATGTTCAAAACCTCAGGGTTGGCCCATTCGACAGTCATGGATGTCATCCAAAGCAGGAACCGCAGAAACTGAATCTTGTCTTGCGTCCAGGGTCCGTGTAGTAACTTCACAGGTAAACGACATTTGACAAATGTTAGCGCCGGGCAATGACTGCGGCTGAATGTCATGGCCGTTGCATCCTCGAAATTTGGCGGCCATTGGGCGTCGAAACATCCTTCCTGTGCAGTCTTGCCGCAAAGACAGCCAATATGCTCGAAAGCGTCGAAGAGAAATGACTTAAAGTATTCCCACGTCATCCATTTCGACGCAAATAGTCGAGTCTGATTGAGCGAAACATTTGGGTTGTGAATAAGGCGCTTCTTCAGGTATTGTGTGCACACTGCGTAGTAGGTAGACTTGTGTGAAAGCTTTGCTGCGATGTAGTGGGAGGTAAGAGGCAGGGCGAGATTCGGACCGGATGCGAGGAAAATAGGCTGGATCAACTCGGTCGGGAGGCGCTCGATATACGAAAGCGACATGATGGAAATGTGATGGCAGTGTGATCTCGTGCAAACACTGGTGCCTAGGGCGCGTATAGTACAGTACTTCCAAGGTTGTTGTGTGGCCACGTGACGCCCGGTCAGCGTTCCGGCTAATTGTCCCGCAGTGGGGGCCAGAACGAAGGATTCTCTTCTCACACGTCAATCTGAAAGTAGATGTCTAAGCTTTCAGAAGTTTATTATTTGGTGATTTATCCTAGGCCGACTTGGACTATAATGAGATTATAAAACTGCACCCTCATATTGCATTGTCGATATTCACATTCGTGTTGAAGACGGCGAACTGTATCCATTCCAGCAGCTCTGGAGTCCGTCTTTGCCTAGCCTCCTGAGGTCGAACCATATAGAGTCTGAATCACGTCCCCAGTTATGTACGAGCCCGCGGCGGCTCTGAAACCAACGCGACGTATACAGGAAGTAATTGGCCGTTTCCACGTCAGCTTGTACCAAGGTGTTGAGATCGGACATATGGGCGACCTTGGAACTGCTCCAATTGTATGCTAACCCTCGAATATTCACGTCCTGATGGTTTAATTGGAAGGTTCGAGGGTGGTCGAGAACGCCAAGCTGAGGCCATGGAGTAAGGAAGAGTAGAGGGTTGAGCATATCGTACAGCAAGCCGCGGGGAATAACCCAGGGCGTCCAGTTGATGAATGTTGCGGAATCGTCATAGAATGTGAAGGTGAGTTTTGATAGATATAGCGTATACAATGGCACCAGGCAAGCTTCCATTCGTGTTTTAGAAGACGCGTCATATCTGGACCATTCTTCACTCCTTGAGCCAGAAAAGTACAAAGACAGAGGTAGCTGAACGGTGACTGTGTCGATATTGCTGAAGGCCGTTGGCCTTACAAAACGTACTTCTGCGGAGTAGGGCCACTCGTGCTTGATGGAAGCCAATAATTGTTGCATGGCGTTCAGGGCTTCGCTCTCGTACTCGTAGTGTAATTGGCGTGAAGCCAGCAACAGGCCTTTGAACTCCTCAGTGTAAGCATAGATAGGTGTGCAGAGACCATAGATGCGGTTTCGAATCTCAGCTGGTAATGAAAGAAATGGCGATGACGACATTGTGTGTTGTTGGGTACTGAAGGAGAGATATTCGAGGTCGGAAGGTCGGAGCGCCTACCTAGGCGAAGACTGCTGACTAATGAACGACCTTCATTTCGTTGCGACATCTCGCGGAGTAACTACGTCCTGATACGGTAGCTGAACGGAGGGGGTAAAACCCATCGCTGAAGCAAATGGAGATCACTCTTTATCCCAGTCCTGTGAACATTCGCTCCAGTCTCAGGTGCGAACAATTCAGCATGCGAACGTTTGCCACGCTTTCCGCGTCACGTGAATTCCAACGCACCATTTGATCGCAATCAGCAGCGTTCTTCCTAAAAGTTCCAATGGCACGACGGACTCTGACAGATCAGCATTTTTCGCAGCACAACTGGGCTCGATGTCTCCCGCAGTTGCGCTGGGGGACTGTTTCGGGTTGGAAGACTCAGATCGAGTTTAGCGCCAGACTTCGTTGCAGCCAGGCACAATGCAATCCATTTCCAATATAATGGCCTGTGGGCCATCTGCCCCGGATCTGCGCTACATTAGAGCCATCTCCCACTGAAGTCGTGGAGATGATGTGTACCAATGACACACAAGCTTCGTGCTAGTGGCCGCCAGACCAACGCAGCGCAAGACCATGACGGCATTCCCCACCATGTATAGGACTGACCTTGATCCACTTGTTCTAAATTGTGTGCATGCTTCTTATTCTGAGGTGCTCCCCCGCTTGAGATTACATGCTTGCTTTCGCCTATTGCACCTGCAGGTTAGTTTTGCAGAGATGCCTCAAGTGCCGTGGCGCGTTCAAATCACCGACCACCAGGGTCAAGCAGAGAGGAGATCGATCAGTAACCAAAATGGGACATTGGTCACCAGCATCTTGTTGGAATCTGAATCGTGACGACCGTAGACCTGGTCTCACACACAATGAAGACTACAGCAAAGTCGAAGACGATCTTAGTCAAGAAGCGAGAGATGGGTGTGAAAAGTTGGAGGGGCGAGCAAAGCGCGGCGAGCTGCTCAACTGGAGGGATGTTGTCCCAAAGGAAGAAGATCTACATTTGAGACACCCCGACGACAGATCCTTAGGATGGCGATACGTTCTTAACGCAACGGATGTAGCTGGGAGAGGACAACGCTACCGCATCGTCAGATATATCGGATGAAGTCTTCCATGGTGCATCATACCTGCATTCGTCTCTTTAATTGCGCTTCTTCCTCTTAGAACGTCTACTGTCTGGCTGCTCCAACGTGTTTCTGAAAAGCGAAGCCACCCATATCCTTTGTACCAAGGGTGGATTCTCGTGGTCTTCGGATTTCTCTATGATCTTGACTGACTGAATAGGTCCAAAGCCCTTAGGCGGCTTGGGCCTCTTGACACTGCTTTTCTTCACAATAGTCATGCGATAATATCCAAACAAAGACTGCGAGAGGAAGGTACTGAGATCTGTGTTGCTTGGACAGTCATCTTTCAGGAAATTATCGAGCTTTGCGTTGCGCTCGGGCCATCCATATGTAGACGACTTGTGCATTTGGTCTTGGTACAGACGTGCCAATAGATTAGCGAATACTGCGCGCTCTACATGAGCCGGCAAGAGTGTTTCTGTTGTCGTTTCAAGGTCTGTGGATACCTCACTCTCTAATTCCGCCATCCGTTGTCGCATCTGTAGAATCGATTGAGCGTTTTTGTTGAATCTCTGAAGCAAGTACTGGCACTCTAGAGACCGTCTCTCCGTCCTCACGTATTCCGTTGGTGAGACTTGAGGGATTTCAGGTTGATGGGTCAACTCAATATGATATGAGAGCATACCCACATAGTAGATGCAGGGGATGGTGAAGGTAGTGTCTCGCCCGAAGCTAGCTTCCCTCCTTGAACATGTTAGCTCAGCCGTTTGGTACGCTGTATTTGTTCCAAATGTAGCCGCAATAGCGAAGTCATCTTCTTTTGTGATCGGGAATAAATTGACACCGTATCCGCCAACAATCCAGTAGATGGTCTGGAGGAGCAATGCACCATCTCTATACGTAGTTATTGAACTCAACCTGTCGAAGCCACCCAATACGAAGTTGCTGAAATGGTGTAGCACTTCACTGATAACCCAGTACCATGCGACTCTACCTCGCGCTTCCTCTGAAGCTTCTTGTTCGAATGCCTGCAGTATGTAGTGCTGAGTTGCGTCCCCATCTCTGTGTATCGCTGCTTCAAGACGTATCATCAACTCTTCGCATCCAACTTCGTAGTCAATTTCCAAGCCCACAAGCTGCTGACCTTCTGGGAGAAGACCTAAAAGCGCATAGACTCTGTCACGGAATTCCGAACAATGCCTTCGATGGGATAGATCCAATAGTTGGAGCATGCAAAATTTGGGATCCTTTCCGTACCAGCCAGCCTCGAATTGTTGTCTGGCCACAACAAGCTCTACCGCTTTTTTAATGTCCGTTATGCGAAATTGCACCAAGTCGGCCATTTTGTTCTTCCCCAGTACCCTGGACTCCCAGAAAGAAGCAAGACGATCCCATGGGCAGATGGAAGATCCGCAGAGAAGGTCAATCCTCCTAGAAAGTACGATCTCCTGCACAATCCAGATTCTTTGAAAATAAGTTCGGTTGAGAAGTGCTTTGATTGCCGACCATTTTCGGTCTGAGCTGGCCCATCCATCTGCAGGATGGTCTCTGAGAAGACGCATGCCCAAATCAGAAGAGGCTGCTTCGGGACCAAGCCAAACTATGGTGTGAGACGCTTGGCGGTATATGCGACCCATCAGGCTGACTTGGTGGCCTCGTTCGGCTGAATGAGCTTGACTGATGCAAACGGCATCTATCCAAAATCTTGGAGACTCAGTGTCAAATACTCCTCCCTCAAACTGCTTTGTACGTAGAACGTTCAAAGCATCCCATAGATTCTGCCGGACTTGAAAGCTTCTTTCGTTGATGCGGATTTCCTTAGGCTCTTGCTCAGAACCCCACTCATAGGACAGCGCAACATATGCCGGACAATCTTCAATATCATAATGTTGGACGGTGAGCTCGACGTCTCCATCGCCAGGAAGGATGCGCAGAAGCCTGACTTCTTGCCTTGGTCGACTTAGTGGTGCGTATTCGTATCGGGTTGACGACATTGTGGAATTGAGACGACCTTGATCGCGCAGACCGGATTTTCGTATCTCAGAAACTTTGAATCATCAATTCGTTACTGGGTCATAACTGATCTGGATTCAGTGGAAGCGCGACAAAACTTCCGTAGAGCCTTGCTTCTTCTCCGTGGCTCATGCATCCAGCTCAGCCTCGCTCAGCCGTCAGACGCTGTTGCCTACAGCACGTGCGAACAAGCCAGGACGAGTAGCCATTGGAGGAGCAGATGCTCGCAATAAGAATACGATAACGATAACCAGGCCACGTCGACGGCCTTGGCGCATACAGAAAGTGTGGCAGCTACCCCCAGCATGTATATAGCCTAATGTACCCAGACACCTGTTACACAAGTCATGTATGCACACCTGCATAGCTCAGATTCCCTTCATATAATGAAATCAAGCCGCTGCATTCTCGTCTCACTGCAAGCTAACGGCCCTCATGTGAATCGAGAACGATTCGTTCAATCACCACAACTACATCTAGTTGAGTATCTATCATCCTCTCTCAACCAATAACCCGAGTAGATTAGTCTCCGTGGAGACTCGAGCAATATGACCTCAAAAGGTTAGCTCCATAGCGTAGTCGAACGCTTTCACAGTGTTACCTCACCCACTCGCTTCGTACGCTCAGCTTATTCTTCCCTACGAAACCCACCGCCCCATTCACTTTCCCCACCCCCTCATAAAACTTCCTGTCCTCAATGATTCTGAAATCATCTCCAAACCCACTTCACCTCTCTTCCTCGCCGCATTTGCCTTCCTCCTCACCCTCATAATTATAACATCATACTCTGTATTCTTCGTCAACCACCACGTCAACACGTTACTCACCTACCCCGTAACCATAAAGATCCGCCGACTTGGACAGGCATAGATACGCACGTGGGCTGTCATACCTCGAGGATTCAAGGCCTTCCGCAACATAACACCCAGGACAACAGACTGTGAGCTCTACAAGTTACGGTTCGTAAATGCTTTTGAATTTCCATTCATGCCAGCCGTCCAATATCCCTCATGATCCGACATTCTGGTCGTTACTAAATGTACATCTCCCATCCCAGCCGCAGCTCAAAACGCCTTGCTTACGCATTTTATCATACTACAACCTCGCTCGCGCGTCGGCCAGTCACTCCCGCATGTTAACAACACACCGGATACAGTCGCCCGCCTTCATATCTCCGAATGCCTGGTTGATCTTGTCGAGCGGCTGGCGGTGCGTGATGAACTCGTCGACCTTGAGGTCGCCGTTCATGTAGTCGGAGACGAGGCCGGGCAGCTGGGTGCGGCCCTTTACGCCGCCGAAGGCGCAGCCTTTCCAGACGCGGCCGGTGACGAGTTGGAAGGCTGTGTGAGTGTTAGCTAATGGCTCACTTGCAATGCTTGGGTCAAGGTATACATACGTCGTGTGGAGATCTCCTGTCCAGCTGCCGCAACACCAATGATGATGCTCTCTCCCCAGCCCTTGTGGCATGCCTCGAGCGCCGCCCTCATGACGTTGACGTTGCCAGTGCAGTCGAAAGTGTAGTCGCAACCTCCATCGGTCATCTCAATCAGCTTCTCCTGGATGCTCTGTCCGCTCAACTTGGTGGGGTTTACGAAGTCCGTAGCACCGAACTTCTTGCTCCACTCCTCCTTGCTGTCGTTGACATCGACGACGATGATCTTGCCCGCGCCGTTCTTTACAGCACCTTGAATGACGGAGAGACCGACGCAACCTGCACCGAAAACAGCGACGTTGGAGCCCTTCTCGAGCCCGCCCTTTCCGGCAGTGATGACGGCCGCGCCGTAACCGGTGGTGATGCCGCAACCGAGCAGACATGTGCGATCCATGGGTGCCTTCTCAGTAATGGCGACGACAGAAATATCGGCTACGACGGTGTACTGCGAGAATGTGGATGTGCCCATGAAGTGGAGGAGGTCTTTGCCCTTGGCCTTGAAGCGCGAGGTGCCATCGGGCATGACACCTTTACCTTGGGTGGCACGGATCTTGCCGCAGAGGTTGGTCTTTCCGGACTTGCAGAACTTGCATTCCTTGCATTCGGGGGTGCTGGATGTTGTTAGAGGAGCCTTGAAGGTGGATGAGGGTTGGGAAAGACGCACTAGAGTGCAACAACGTGGTCACCGGGCTTTACGTTGGTGACGCCTTCGCCGACGGACTCCACGATACCAGCGCCCTCATGACCAAGGACAATGGGGAAAGCACCTTCGGGATCCTTGCCGGAGAGTGTGTAGGCATCTGTCGAGATTAGCAGCTTGATCTTGATCTGACTCGAACTATCATATGGACAACCTCACAGCTTCCGCAATTCAAAATGCTGCCGTAAACATCCACAGGAGGTTAGAACTTACCTGTGTGGCAGACGCCAGTGTAGTAGATCTCAATGCGGACCTCGTGTGCCCTGGGCGGCCCAACCTCAACGTCCTCGATGGACAGATCCTTGCCAGCCTCCCATGCAACAGCCGCCTATTTCATAATCAGCTTCAGTGAAACATCTCCAAGCTCCATGGATATCCGCAGTCCTTGCTTCCCAGCACGTCAACTACCTCGGTGCAGTTGCGTGTGGAACTCTATATTGTATTTGCGGATCCGCACGGCTGGCCCCGCAATGGCCTCAGGGACGCTAGTCTCGAAACCCAACGAACGGAAGGAGGCAGAGGAAGCTCGCAACGGCTTCTCAACGGCGAGAACGTACCTTGCAAGTAATGGTCTGCTCATGTTAGCAACAATTCGTGACGGCGGAGCTCATAGCAAGCTCTAGCTGGGAAGCTCACCTTTCCTACAGTATCCGCAGGCATTGTGTCTGTGTGTGTCTTCGATTGAAGCGAAGGGGTATCAGAAGGTAAAGAGAAGATGCGGACGCGAAGAACGGTAGGTAGAAGAAGCTATTTAAAGGGCCAATCTCTCGCGGCGCGTCCTGCGACTCTTTTATCACTCGTTTGGTGGGGTATGACGCCGTCGCACTTGCGACCCCTCACCACGGCGATTGATCGGAGCAGCAAGCGCAGCGCCAGCAACTTCGCCAATTGCTCGCGTTTCCAGGCCAAATGTCGCATAGAGCTCGGGAGAGCCTCGCATCGTCGCAACATGGCAAGCCGGTACATGCGATTGGGCGGCGGGCACGCCCAGCGCGGGGCATCTTGACCTATTGTGGGGGGAGCAGAGGCGACGGTAGCCGCTACGGAAGGTATTTCCAGATCCGGAGGCGAAGAACGGAACCGCAACCGTAGTGCGTCGTCTGCTGAGAAATAGATGCGAGATAGAGGGCGTGGAAAGGGCGCTGTTCGAGCATTGCAAGTGAGGAGTGTAGATCGTATGCAGGATGTAGGACAAAGGTATGAAATTTGTAGACTAAAGTGTAGGCTAGACGCAAAGAAAGAGCACCCTGATGGTGAATAGGTATAACAGGAAAGAACGCCTAGAATGCTCTCACACACGCGACAGCTCTCTTGCTCAACGCCGTTACGAATTTGTGGTATCACTTCAATACTCCGACAACTTCCTCTAGCGACTCCCTATCAACCCAGAGTCGATGGCCCACCTTATACAGCCACGTCTTTGTTCTCCTCTTCAACCATGTCCGGAGTCCTGCTGCCCTCCTTATCTTTTGTCCCTTTGCTCTTGCTCCTCACCCTTCCCCAGCTGCTACTCCTGACCCTCCCCTGGTCTTTCAATGTCTTAACGCCATGGCTCCACCTCTTCCGCAATGGAGTCTTCTTCGTCTCCAAGCCCAGCAGCTCCCGCACCGCTGTCACCTCTGCGTGGTCCCTTGTATGTTTCATGCGATGCGCCCACACGCACTTGCCGTCCTCGAACAGGAACTCGCCGCCCACCTGCTTGAAGTCGCCGCCCTTGAGCGCGTTGCTGCCCGTCTTAAGACTCTGCACGATGGATTGCACCGAAGTGAAAAACATGTTGGATTGTATGTATTCGGGCTTTTTGCCCATCTCCCACGTACGGGTCATGTTGAGGAGGTCGTAGAGCTTGCGGGTGGGGTCGGCGTAGATTGGAAAAGGGCACTTGGTCGTTTGTGCGTACATCTCGATGAGATCTGGCCGCCCGCAGCCGATGACGGTTATGAAGGTTGGCTCGGGAAGTGCGAGAAGGGACTCGGGTGTTATAGAGGCGGACAGCTCGCGCAGGTACTCCTGGCAATTTCCGCAGAAGAAGTGTCGGATGAAGATTATGAGCTGGCGCGGCGCTACACCCTCGCCCTTGTATAGGTCTTTGAAGGGTCGGCTTTCGCCGTTGGAGTCGAGCACAAGGAGGTCGTCAACGCGCTTCATGTCCTTCTCCGAGGGTATATCATTGTTGACCTCGACGGTGCCTTCAAAGTCTAGCTCGGGATTCTCTAGCACTGGCGTGGTGCTTGAGGGCGAGAAGGGTGGTGTCGTAGGTGCATCGGCGGTTGTAGGCGAGGCGACTCTTGTGGCGCCTAAGCTCAGCGTCGCGTCAGTCGAGCTGCGCGGTTTTGCATCGTGGCTGGGAGAGAGTTCCGGGTTGAGAGAGAGGGAGGTGTTGCGTTTGTGGGATTTCGCATTGCTGCTGGGTGCGGGTGCGAGTGCGGGATTGAGCGAGAGTCCCGACTGTGAGGACGGCGGTGTAGGTGGCTTTCCCGAGGACAGCGCGTCTGTTGCTCGAGCGTGCTCTGGGTCGTTCTCCAGCGTCGCAATCTCAGCTCCTCCTGTTGTCGCCGTGGGGTCGGCCAAAGCAGCTATCGACTCCATGGTTACGTCTGTGAAGGTAGAGTGAAGGTATTCCTGTTGTATTTCTCGATGTCTTCAGCAGCTTCTCGCCCACGAAAGGAAGGTGGGAAGCCGGTGGGGCGCAGCAACAACGGCCGTATTTTCAGCGATCAGCGACGCGGTGCAACGATCAGACGATACAATTTGTAGATTCGCCGTATGCACGAGATTGTAAAGAAGGCAAGAGGTAGACGCGAGCGAGCAGATTGATCAGGGTTCACGATATTCTTAATACGCGCGCGACAAGTTTCAAGCCGTCTTGAACGCAGGGACCGGCGTCGACGTCAGTGGCTAACCGCCCTGTCGATTTCGCTTGTTCCTGAATCCTGACGCACCCTGCGCTTGGTTGGGTGACATGCCCTCTGGCGGCCCTGGCAGTCTTGCATTTTCTGCTTCGAAGAAGGCCGACTTGGCGTGCGTAGTGTGCGAGGCACTGAGCCTCTGACGTTGCTGGCCATGCTATGGAAGTCGTGCTATGGACTCGTGATGGTTGGATGCTTCAGCTGTGTCTCAGCTCGGGACCCTGAGTTTCCGGGACTTTTTTTGTGGGCTAGACCTAGCCTGGGGTGGAATTAGCTGCTCGCTGCTCATCTATCCGCAAGACGTTCGATTCTGCGAAACATTTCAATTATTATTATTTTCGAAGGGATGGAGTTACAAATTTGCATATCCCGCATCATATGGTTGCTTGGACAATGCCTGGAAAAGACCTGTCTTATGGACGCCTCTCAAACGCCACGGCCCGTTCCGTTGTGATGTCTCCACCCTACGCGTCCTGCGATGCCTTGTAGCTGCGATGCAGCCGCTTCAGTATAACTTTGTACTTCTCAAAGTCCGGAGAGTCGTCGCCCTGGCAGTCGCGCTTGATGCGAAGCGCGTTGGCTGCCATATCCTGACCGTTCTTGAAGTCCTCGGCAAATTCGCAGGCCAAAGCAAGGTCGGTGTAACTGCTAACAATTAGCTAAAAGGAAGAAAGTCGAGTGAAGGTATACTCACATATTTGCCAGCCTCATCGAGTAGTCGCCAATCTCCATGTGGAGCACAGCTAACTCAAGCAGCTGCTTCACGAACTCCGGCTCTCTCACTCCTATCTCCAGGTTCGCGCCTCGCAGATAGCTAGTTGTCTGGTCCAGCTCGGCAATGCGATACCTCCGATCGACACCCTCACGTGCGACACCGTCTTCATCGTCTTCATCGCGGATACAGGCAAGGCAATCACAAGTAAAGCCATAGTGCTTCAGCTCCCAGGCCCGCAGTGTCTTCTCGTGTGTCATGTCGCAGTATGAGAAGGTGATCTGCTCGCCTGCCTTCACGTCGTGGATGATATGGATCGTCTCTCGCTGGATGTTTTCGTTCCAGTTGAAACTGGCATTCGGGCTGCAACTGTGGTTGAAGCGGGATGCATTCGGAAAGATGCCGGTGCCTTTGCCCATCTCCATGCCTAGAGGTGGGGGTACAAAGTCAGCGTAATGTCCACAAATGAGGAAGTGGGTGAAGTAGGTGTTCTAGCCTGCTACGAATGCCTGAAAATCTCAGACCTAGAGTTGTAAGGCCTAGAGTCTTAGACAATCACCCAGCCTGAACACCTACTGTGTACCCCGGCATTGCGTACAATTGTTCTGGAAGATGCTGAGCAGCGACGGTTCTTTTCCGATACGGGCGTTGTGCTGCTCCTTGATCCGCTGGGCCTCGTGACCTTTCTGTATGTCAAATTCCCTGTCAGTTTGATACCCGTCAAAGGTTCGGTATGTAGGAATGGAGTTAGGCTTACCACGCTCTCATGGATATGACTCGGCCATTTCTTGGGATCCTGGCCATGACTGGAAGCCAGGCCCCAGTATACCTTCTGTTTATCCTCCGAAAGCGTCGCGAATGCCTCCTCAATGTCGCTTGTGAGGTAATCTGGGTTGGAGATGGCAAGGAGAGGCGGCTCGCTGAGGATGCGCGTACCACGCTTCAGCTCTTTGAGCGCGAAGCTGCCGTAGCCTTTCGCTGGGACAACCCGAATCTCGTAGAACTCATTGTCTAAAGAATTGGTCAGCGAGCCGGCAATGTCTTCTAGTAGGTTGCAATAGGAGAGCGGGGCGATTTACCGGGAGCTTTGGGAAATACATGCTGCACTTGCTGAGGCTTTCCGACGTCCTCACTCTGAGCTTCATGGTCCGACACGGCCTCTGCTGCATCTGCTGCATCTGCTTGAGGCGCTGTGCCGACGGGAAGCACATTAAGCAAACTGTTCTTTAGGCCTTCGAAAACACCTGCCATTGGGTTGTATGTACTCGGTAGTCGCGGCGGAATTCGATGTAGCTTGCCGGAACCGGTGGGGATTAGGGGTGTTTTAAAGACAGACTTGAGGTGATAAACTAATGTTCATTGACTGTTGTATTTACAAAGTGAGCCGGAGCACAGCGCGGTGGTGAACAGCAAACGGTCTTCTGTTCCTTCCCGCTTGGCAGCACAAACAACGCGCTTTCCCGTCGCTGCTATGCTCGACCACATGACACCGACATCGCCCGGGCGACCACAACCGCATCACCGGCCAAATACGTCAAAGTTATGCTCATTGATAAGAGCCATTCCCTCTTTACGGTATGTATCGGCCTCCGCGTAGCTCGTCACGTTCGCATCGAAGACGAAATCCTGCGGGTTTTCGACGTCATACACAGGCCAGTCTTCTTCAGTACCGTTCCACGCCGCCGACGTCTTGAACGAGTTCGGGTCCTGGTCGTGGAAGAAACTGATCCAGCTGCTGTCCATCAGCTTCGCTAGATCGATGTAATTCTGGCCCTTGCCCTGAAAAGGTGGCGTTGCGGCGGGGATATAGCCACTGCCGATGATGTTGTTGAAAACGAAAGACACTTCCTGGAAGTGAGTGACACCGATTTGCGGAGGTAGACCAGCCGGAATCGCATTGAAGCGGTAGCAGTACGCCGAGAGACCCGCAGCAGCCCAAGTCTCGCATGTCTTCCTACGGTGGGCAATAAAGGTGTAATCTCCAAAGTAAGAGGCGGACCGACGGAACTGAGATCCGTAAGGGGCTCCCGGACGAGTATCTCCTAAACTGGCAATGACATTGACCGAGAGGTTGTCTGGGTATGCCTCCAGAATCTGATCGGCAAGTTCTCCCGACACTTGAGGAACGGCAGCAATGATCGCAGCACGGAACTGCTCGGTGGTGTTGATACCCACCGGACTGAAAGCGGACCCTTCATCTGAGTTGGCGCCATCAATGATGGGCACCTTCACGAACCGGCCGTCGGCAAGTTGCTTGGAGCCATAGTCGGCAACGAAGTCGTCATCTTTGAAAGGTCCAAATTGAGCCAACGTTGTGTTCAGAGACGCGCTGGTAGAGTTGATCGCCGTGTTCAGCTGAGCTGCCGGCACCTCGCGTAGACACTCAAGCGGGCTTGATGCACTGCTGCAGTTTGTTCTCGCGAGAAGCTCCTTGTACATGTTGGCATTGCTTTCTAGCGTGCTGTTGAGCCTCCTGTAATAGATCGGATTTCCGCTCTCCATTACCGCGCCGCGGAACAGCTTATCGTCGCGTCCCTCATAAGCGGTGAGATGGAAACCGACAGATGCGCCTCCAGCACTCTCTCCAAAGATGGAGACCTTCTCGGCGTCACCTGTGATCCTTGTCAGCGCCTTTATTCGCTAGTCTTCGATCAGATACCTACCTCCAAAGGCCTCAATATTCTCCTGTACCCAATGGAGCGCCAATCGCTGGTCTCGAAGACCGAAATTGGAGCCGCCCTCATCTACAAGTTCTTGGGTTCCGCTCAAGAAACCCCATGTAGCCAAACGGTAGTTGATGCTCACACCAATGATGGGCTTGCCGATTTCAACCGAGTTTTTGACCATGTACGACAAGTTGTATCGCTGATCAACTCCTGAGCCTTGGTAAAAGCCGCCTCCATGAATCCAAAACGCCACCGGCAGTGTCTGGTTCTCGTATCCCGACGGTCGAACTACGTTGAGGTACAGGCAGTCTTCACTAACTGGATAGTTCCATTGATCAGAACCGTAACCATAGCACTGGTGGAGCCGGTCAGTAATGTGCAATAGTGGCGAATATTTAGTACTTACTGCGCTGGAATACTGCGCGGCTTGCTTGCTGTCCGTCCAGCTCTCGTTTAGGCTCACAGGGTTCTTGAATCTGAGGTCTCCTACGGGAGCCTGTGCATACGGAACTCCCAGAAAGAAGTCCTGGTTGTACTGAGAGTCATGGACACCCTCATATGTTCCGTTCTTCAGTTGCGCTACGGGACAACTTTCGGATCGAGCAACAGGTACCGCATGAGCAGCGCCGAGCAAGAGGCCAAAGGCCAAAGCCGAAGTTTGCAGCATATTGACGTCGAAGGACCACGAAGATTGGATTCCTAGAGGTACCAGGCACCAGATCAGTGGCTGTTCATATACCTTCCCACGTGTCCAACGATGACCCTAATGGGAACCTCTTTTCCATAGCACGGCCGAGGCAGCTCATTTATTCCTTGCGGTATCGATGAAATCTGCCGCTTGGCTAGCCATTTTCTACCATGCAAGCTTCGGTGCTCGCTGCATTTACAGCGATGGCCCGGTGCGGAAGGCAGACCTTCTGCGGGTCATCCGTACGGTCGCCATCCCTAGCGCCTCGCTACATGGAATAGCCTGTTTACCAAGTGATCTATGATGTAGCGAAGTGGCTCCATGGAACAACGGTCGGTCCCCAAGGCGAGTCGGTACGCTGGGCAAGGCTGGTCTGAAGATGTGATCTTCGTGCTTTCCTCTTGGTAGATAAGCGTGGGTCTAACACTGACATCTGCGAGCAGTGTCCGCATGTTTCGCCCAGAATTGTTCCCACATGCACGACTCGAGCAAGACGATCTTTCTTCCCCACAGTCCCCTGAAGACCCACTCCTCTTCGTCCACCTTTGCAATTCCCCGATGATAATCCGGGGCGCATACATTACGTAGTGCTCGAGGCGGGGACCAAGTAAAACTGCGGGGTGGAAAAGACCCCGGTCCGGCAGTTCATTGCGGGGCGACGTACAACCAGGAACGTCGCTAATATCTCCCAAAAGCGAACGTCTTGATGTTGGTTCTCAAGGAATGCGCTGACAGCAATATATGCGGATTGATGGCACTCGAGGTGAATGCGATGCCATCTGCACGTGGCGGTCCGATTCCCGGGGAATTAACCTTGGACAGCCTAGCAGCGGCTACACAGAAACTTACTGGGTAAGCCACTCCAACGTCCAGTCACTGACATTGGCTTCCCCCACAATTTGAGCACGTGGCGTCTGGCTTTTCGAGCACGTTCCATGGCACGAAATCGGTTCTGCTTACAGATTTGGTATCTCCCCCGGAAAGAGAAACGACCCGGCCGCCGGCAGTTTTTTGGTCTAGCGCGCAAAAACCGCTGCTGCAGCGGAGCTATGAAAACACGACATGACACTCCGGGAACAAGTCCAATGTTGCACAGAATTTGTGTACTACCATGATGATCTTGCACGAAGATTAGATGAAACTCTCCTTCAGAAGCTTCGATGTAATGACCCCGGTCAACCAAAACGATGCCAATTGTCAAGACATTGTGAACGTCCTTCAAATTCTCCCCCTGGATCCAGCAACAAAAGCTTGCGCGCAGCTTTACTGGGAGATGTATGTTGCTAATCACACTGATGTTTGATCTATGTGAGGAAAAATTCGAGCGCCTTGTGTCACTGTACGAAAGCCTTCACTCAAAGGTACGCCAAAGGGAGTAGAACAACCTGGAAGCACCGTCATACCGTCATGTCCCGGCGTGAATATGGCGCACTGCATCATGTATATCGATTGAAACCATACTCTGGAGAGAATGTGGACTTTGGTAATAACTTTTTGATCTGAACAGGCAAGTATTTAGTTGAAAGAGAAGGTTAACACACACACTGCGTCGAGCGATAAATACTGCACTCGTTCGCGTCGACTATTCCACGACACTTCCACCGCCAACTGATCGCACATCCAGCACCCACCCATCCAACCTTGTTGCGTTCATTCCAGTCCTCATCTAAGGAGGGGTAGCCGTCGTATCGGTGCTCGTCAACTCAGCACAGTTCTGGCCTGACTGGTCAACTGTTATTTGCGCAGCGCCGTCGTGTCCGCTCTGACAAGCACCACTCGCGGCGACTAAGTTGTTGTTCGAGAAGGTAACAGGGTCCAAGTTGGCATCGTCGCAGGGCTGTGCAAGGAAAGTTGTGCCGTTATTACCAACGCAAGCATCTACACCAACGAGGTCCTGACGGAAGCCTGCGGTGAAGGAGCGCTGGACTGCGAGTACGGGCTGACCATTGACGGTCGAGGCTTGAAGTTGGCGATCGGCTGCGGTGTTAACGCAGGCAGCATCGACCATTTCGCCGTTGTTGCGGAAGGTGATGCACTCGTTGCCCGGAATACCCAGCGTCTCCTTCAAGACAATGGTCGTTGCGCCCCTCGCAAGAGCACCGCCCCCTGTCGCGCCTGTCGCCGCCTGGTTGTCGCCAGTCTGGGTGTTTCCACCCGTCGCGGCGTTGTTGTTTCCAGTAGCAGCGTTTCCTCCCGTCGCCGCCTGGTTGCCCGTCTGCGCATCCTGCGTGGCTTCGTTTCCGGTCTGCGCTGCCTGGCCCTGCTGTGCCGCAGCGTTCCCGCCGTTTCCTCCACCGTTCCCACCACGTCCTTTGTGATGCCTGGGTGCAACGACTGCCGCCGAAGCAGTCGCCGCGATCACGAGAAGGAGGGAGAACTTCATTGTGCTGGCTAAAAACTTAGGTACAAAGAAGGTATGTAGAATGAAGTATATTTAGAAGAATTAGAAGGCAGGAATGAATGGATGGACCAGCCAAATGAATGGAAAGCTGCAAAGGGAAGGAAGAAGCGGTGGATGCTGATGAGGATGTTTTCTACACATTGTGGTGCGAGGCATTTATATGCAGATGGCAGAAGTTGTGAGGTAATTGCGGAGGAGCGGCTGCCAGGCGCGTGCGAGCCGTTCGTTGAGACGCGCTACTGGGAGATCACACGAAGGAGACTGAGGCAAGGAGGCATCGTGAGGGCTACTCGTACCGTAGCCAAGCGAGGTGTTCCCGCGTCCGTGACTTCGACATTTCTCGACAACCACATCGCCAGTAACAATTTCAATCTTAACCACACAGTCAAATCGCCAGATTCGTTTCCGCAAACATCTTGCTTATCTCCTAGGTATTACGACGACAACTATAAACATTACCCGCAGCATCGCGATAACGCATAGCGATGGAGTTCTTCGATCTCGCTTACATGCCCGCAATGGGTCTGTCGCGACGTTTGACATGCGCCATTGCGAAACTGCAACTGCACCAGAAGGCAGGCTTCTTATAGGCGAGCTACAATCTGGAAACTTTAGACTGCATCGAAAACTAGGCGTTTTTTCCTCCAATCCTATCTTCGAGGATACGGTTATAGGATGCGACTATACGGGTAGGACGCTTCGGGACGTATAAGGTGTAGATGAGGACATGCTTTTAGCATAGATGATGGAGGAAGGAACGACCTTCGTACACGTAAGCGCGACTACGGCGTCAAGACCTTGACACCTTTCTAGAGGTCATCTGTGCGCTCTGATTACGCCCAGTGCATTGCCTTCTTTCCAAGGTGGCGGATGACTTCAGCTGATGCGAACAACCTCCAGGAGGACCCGGCGACAAGGATGCAGAGCCTCCAACGTCTTGCTACGTGCTATAGAAACCGTCAGTCAACTATTTTTTGAGAACACTCGGTGCAATTGAGTTGACTCAATTCACACTTCCAACTTGAAAATCTGGTGGTCACGATTGCATGCTGCTATCCATCTTCCTACATTCACCACAGTATCACTGTCAAAGCAATGACCAGAACGCCATTCGCCTCATCTTATAGCCCGTGCTATAGGGCAACCGAGACGGATTTTACTGGAGTCTCACTATTTAGACTTTGAGGTACGGACGCATGAAGTTCTCGATGGTCATGAGCGTGTGAGACGCCACAATCACATTGTGAAAGGCGGTTGACCCACAGTCTATCTCCAGTGAGAACTCTTCTTGGCATCTTAAATGAGCACATATCATTGTATTGAGGTTGATTCTACCATTGAGAGCCTGGGGCAAGCATCGCATGTACGAGAGTAGCATGCTGTGCCTGACCACGAGGCAGACTGAACCATATAATAGGAATCACATATGATTAAGATGAGAGCAAGTGTCGAAGGAAGGCATCAACTTGGCATGAGCGACGAAGTATAAAGATGGAGCTGATGAGTGCGAACATAGGACCATCCAACACAGCTTCTGGCTACCCTCAGCAGACACTTCTACCTGACGACTTCTTTGCGTCTTGCTCCTTCCCAAACTCGGAATCGCCATCATGAAGACTTCTCTAGTACTTCTTCCGGCTCTCGCAGCCCTCGGCTTCACGGCACCCGTCGAGCAAGCCCCGCAGCCTCCAGTCACTTGCACCGGGAACCAAAAGGAGAACATTCTCGTCTCGCACGATTACAACTTCACCCCCACGTCGGACACGTATGAGATCTGCAACGGCGAATGCTGTACGTCTATCTTCATATGACCCTTCCAGCTCGGTAGCAAACACATCACTTACGTGCCATGACTGTAGTCAACGTCCCTGCAGAATACAACAACTCCATCTCTGCGATCGACCCGAACGATCACACCGCGCAGACGTGCACTCTTTACGAGTAAGTTCCGTCTTAGCACTCCATATTCTCATTTTCTGTGGACGCTGACTGTTCCCAAAAAGCTTGCCCAACTGCGAGCGCATTGGTGGAGAAGGCTATGTCCTCATTGGCAATGACCGGGTCAACGATCTGCGCACGCTTTCTCCTGCTCAGCCAAACCTTGACAAGAAGGTGTCGAGCATTCTCTGCACCTGGACGAACTAAAAGACCTGGCGGAGTGATGAGGTCTGGAGTAGAATGGGCGCCCTCACGGGCAATGCGTGGTGAGGACTGGTACATGTGATGGAGTTGTGGACACTCATTTGAACATTCCATGTTTCCTTGTGACACTCGTGTGTTTAGCTGGCCAGCAATAAAAATCCGATACATCAGTACGAGACTTTCCTTTGAAGTTTTAAATACTTTTCTAAGTTGAACCTACAATTCCTTGAGGATCGCTGTCAATACATTGAGTCGGACTCCAACAGGCAACAAAGATGTCTAGACAAGTAGAAACATCTTCACCATACGTGCAGACGCCACATCCAAAGCAGACCTCGCAGCTGCACTGTAGCAGATACAAAACACATATGGTTTCATTATCCTGCTCATTGCCAACTATGACATTAACGGCCCACGAGTGCTGTCGCTGAGCAAAGATGCGCCCTTTTCGAGTTCCGTGACAAGTTTTGGGAGATCAGCGCCGAATCTTATACGCAAACATACGCCGTGCACAACGCTGGTGTATTCTCAAAAGATGATGTTTTCATGTTCCTGGATCTGATTGACAAAGGAAACAAGAAAGGCAACGTATTCCAGAGGAGTCAGGTCGTTGCCGTCAGTAGCGCAGAGGCGTTCCCCGCACGCGGCTACAGGGCGGTTATGCATATGCTGGAAGCAAAGCTGCAGTCGTGCATCTGATTGAACAGTTCGCTAATAAGCTGGTGCTGTATGGTATTAGGACAAACGTTATTGCGCCAGGATGTTAGTGTGATCAGAAAGGGTTGACGTAAGCTGACAAAGTGTAGTCTGCCCAAGTGAGATGATGCAGCCGAAGCTCGATCGAAGACTTCAGTCTACGAAGACCCTGGTCCCGAAGGAGGGTGCAAGAGATTTGCAGGATATGGCGGGTACGGTACTGTTTCTTGAGCTGGTGGTCATGTTAATGGAAATGCGTTGCTGACGGATGGAGGATGGCTGGGCATACTCCCTGCCACATACTGAGGCATATGTAATCGGTATCAATGCTTGTCGAGCCACTTCAAGACCCTTGCTGCGATTTCAATGTTGTTGAGCTCCATGAAGAACATATGACCATTTCCTTTTATGTCTTCTGCCGGCAGGTCCACGTACTCCACTTCTACTCCGGCTTGCTGCCTAGACGTGTGGTATGAAGTTAGTGTAAGCCAAAGGACTGGGATTAGGTACGAGTTGTTTGTGTCGGAGACATCTATTTCGTACCGCGGCCTTACGTACAGGTAGATTACAGTATTGTAATCGTAGGGGGCATGATAGCTTGCTTCCGATGTAACGACCAGAACGGGTATTTTGGACAGATTCTTCAATTTCTTTGGTGGGTCGGCCTGCATAATGCACTCGTAATGATCCTCACTTTTCGCAGGAACCTTGACATATCTAAGATGCTCACCTCCTGCGCCTGCTGATGGGTCGTATTCGAGCTTTCCATCTGTTATGCCGAAAGGAATTTTCTGTCCTTGGAATGGCGGTCTCTTCTCGCACGGGGGCCCGCTTGGCTCTAAAGCCACGATTCCCTTCACAAGGTGCGGTCGCGCATCGCCAATGCGCCATCCGTACGCTCCAGCCTGGCTATGCGTGACAATATACGCTTCACCTATCTGATCGAGCAGAACCGAATATGCTTTCGCATTTTCATCCTCTGCGACGAGTCTGTCCAGACGGTAGGGAACTTGGGAAGCGTAGAAGGCGTCGAACACAGGATCGCCGACCTTACCGGTCCCAGGCCATTGTGTATGCAGCTTCGACTGCGGCCACTGGTCATGAGAGGACACAGCTGTGAACATAGATTCGATGTCAAACGTGCTTAGAGCGCCCATCTTCCCAACCGAAGGATACCAAGCCGACCTTCCACGGGAGGGCTGATCTGTGAGATACACAGTAAATCCATAAGCCAGGAAAAAGTGCGCCCAACCGGGCCTGCCATCGGGCGTATGTAGCCAGTTTGTCCCGGTTTGGCCTCCACCTGCTATGAATATGATAGGACATTTTCGAAATGCGATAGATGGTGTGAGCTTCTCCACGTAGATTTGGCCGGTCATATATTGGGCTGGACTTCCGTCCTGTGTACATCTGTTTCAGCTTCTCCTCGCATGGATAGGGAAGACAACGCACAGTGATTGTGGTGTATTCACCGCCAACGTATAAGATCTCTCGCTTTACAGGCACTTCTTCGAAGCTGCGAGATGCCATCTTGATAGGAAAGTGAAGACCGCTAAGATTCGATTGTAGGAATGACGTTGCTTGAGGCGACATGGACAGAAAGGGCTAGGCAGCGCGCTTACTCAGCCATCCTGTCTGACTAGTCCTGAAACGTAGAGCTGCACGCCATCACCAAACACCCGGCGTCCGTTTTGTCAGGTGAGCATCGCTTGTTCCTAAAGTCCAGATGTACATAGTAGCACAGTTGCGTCGCACAGTCGGGGTAGGATTGCGGGGTTCGGCATATCTGTGTGCGCGGATGTGGGACTGAGTCCAGCAGTACCAATCACGACACAGACACTGACCTCGCATGAGTCGTGCACGATGCTTTGCCGCGGGAGCCTATAAGCTTTTCCTACGACGGCAAAGGCTTGCGACCGTTTCTCTTGGACCTTGGGTTTCTCGTGCGCTCTTCTCCTTTCCCTCTCACGTTGTGCGCTTGTCCGCAATCGCGAAGACGCTGCAAGATGTCGAACTACGAGGATGCAGCTGGAGAGAAGGATCTCGAGAAATACAATGTGGGTCTTAAACCAGTATTTGCGGGGTTTTAGATCTAACGCCGAAGCACAGAATAACGAACGCGTCGATGCGCTTGAAGACTACTTCGATCCAGTTGCAACGAAGGCCCTGGTGTGGAAACAAGATCTGCGGATCGTTCCTCTGGCGGCGGCCATCTACCTTCTCTGTTACTTAGATCGAAGCAATATTGGTGAGCCTTACCGTTCTGGAGTCTGATTGTCCGCTACTGACCAGGTGGAAGGCAATGCGAAGACACTCAACGCTAGTCAAAATGAATCCCTCCTACAGTTGACGCATATGACCAATTATCAGTACACGATTGCTCTAATGGTCTTTCTCGTCGCATATGCCGTCTTCGAAGTTCCGTCAAATTACTTCCTCAAAAAATGTAAGCCCAGCCGATGGATTGCCTTCCTCATGTTCTCATGGGGGGCATGTACAATTGGCCTCGGAGGCGCCCAAAACTATGCTACTGTCACCGCCGTGCGTTTCCTCCTCGGCATGTTCGAAGCTGGTCTTTTTCCTGGCCTAGTCTACTACCTTACATTCTGGTACCGAGCGAAGGAGCGATCGATGCGTGTTGCAATCATTCTCGCTTCAGCAACGCTAGCAGGCGCTTTCGGAGGCGCGATTGCGTATGGCGTGGGTCATATGAAGTTGGTTTCAGGCCTTGCTTCATGGCGGTGGCTCTTCATCCTGGAAGGCATACCGTCGTGCGCTTCCTCCGTGGCGGTCTGGTTCTTCTTGCCTGATTATCCCGAGGAAGCGAAATGGCTCACCACTGCTGAGCGTGAACTCGCCGTCGCGCGTCTCGAAAAGGAAGGCTCAAAGGGCGATGCTCCGTCTTTGACGTGGGAGACTGCGAAAGAAACAATACTTGATGCTCGTCTCTGGATTCACTACATCATTTACTTCGGCATCTCGGCGCCTTTCAGTTCACTCTCGCTTTTCACTCCAACCATCACAGCAGGCTTAGGGTACGAAAATCTGCAGGCACAGCTTATGACTATTCCACCATACGCCGTTGCTTACGTTGTGAGTATTGTCACCGCCTGGTCATCTGATCACTTCAACGCGCGCGCTCTGCACTCCGCTGTCCTCTCCACCATCGGCGCTGTCGGGTTCCTCGCATCCGCCGTCCTTCCTGCAGACAGCTACCACGCCCGCTACGGCTGCCTAATCGTCGCAGCCAGTGGCGCTTTCTCTTGTATCCCTCCGCTGCTAGGTTGGCTGAGCAGCAACATGCACACCACAGCAGCTGCTGGGCTTGCAATCGCCTTGAACGTGTCGTGGGGAGCACCGGGTCAGATCGTTGGTGTGTGGATTTATAAGGCTGATGAGAAAGAGAAGGGATATCCCACGGGGCACTGGACGAACTTCGCGATGCTGCTCATGGTCGCTGTTGGGTGCGTTGGAATGAGGTTCTATTACCAGTGGAGGAACAAGAAGATTCGGAGCCTAGGACCTGATGCATCAGGTGTAATGAGGGAGTTCAGCTACTGATTTGCGTCGAACCACGTAGAATCACATTCAAGAATGACGTACGCACAGTTGTCTCATAGATCAGTTTCGTTACATCTAGCAACGTCTCAGATCGAGCTATAACCCATATATGTACCCTAAGTGTGCCATAACATGACAGGAAGAAAATAGTCAAGTATCAATGGAATCGTATTCCGGAACATGTACAATGCAGCACAGTGCAAATGCACGGATCTAAGCCGTCAATTGCTGCACCACAAAGGTCTGTCCCAACTTCTGTGTTGGCGCGTCATTCGGGTACTGCAAGTGCTGAGCGTTGATTCCGTAGCCGTGAGTCGTATCGCAAACGCCATCACCCTGCAACAATGTCAGCAACGCGGAATTTACACAAACCACAGACTATAGGGCTGCGACTTACATAGATACAAACATCCTTCGTCTTGCTGATCCACGCAGTTGGGATGGAGTTACCCCCGAATGCGCTGAGACCATTCACGTTCTTTGTCGTCGTGCCACCGTTGTTGTCTACGTTGCAGGCCAGTCCAGACTTGTGCTCGGGGTCTCCGATCAGGAAGACGCCTTTGACCGCATCGAAGCTCGCGCCGGTAAGCTGGGGCATCGCGTTCACTGTTGCAGCAGCACCCTGGCTGTACCCTTCAAGAATGAAGCACTGGGCTGGGTTGCTCTGAAGTTCAGCCTTCACTTCCCTGACGATATCGGCGGTGCCGGCAGCGGAGTTCTGGTCGGCGCCTGCGGCATAGACGGTGTTGTAGATCTTGCCGCCGGGGACTTGGGACTGGATGGCCGAGTTCATGGTGCGGAAACCGGCGGAAGGTCCTTGGGCTTCACCCGTACCGCGGGTGTTGATGATGGTGTAGGAAGAGCAGCCTGCGCGTTTGAGGATGTCCTCAACAGGTGCGGCATAGGCCGTAGCTGCGATGATAGGAAGGAGCAGTGTGGAACGCATGTTGTTGGTACATGCGGAGGGGATTCAAAGATGTCGTCAAGTTCAATCCTGTGCAAGATGCTTTGCGCTGGTATCGAATTCATGGAGAGGAAGCTCTCATCTTTATATGTCGATCAAGACCATCGGAAGTGAGTACTCGATGTCATCACGCGGAGCCCTCGATGAGCATGTCTGTCTCCACCGGTAGGCTACTGAATCTAAATCCCTGGTAGACTCAGCCATCGTTTCGAATAAACCCCCGAATAGCAGTGGCGTCCTCGCCTCCTTTTGCTTTTGCAAGGCTGTTGTCAGAACGTTCTCGGGCCTTAACGAGTCAAGTGCGGAACGGACCAAACTCTACTACACCGTTGACGCCAACGCTCACAAGTGCTATCGTCTAATTCGTCACATCTCTTCGGAAGTATATCGATTCTCCGCTGCGAAAGGAAGGCGTTCTACGACTAGCCCAGTAGCAGAGCACGAGGATGGGTATGACTGCATGCGCTCCAGGGCCGTAGGCGAAAATCTCACCATCAACATCAAGAAATGAGATTCTCCATCCTCCAAACACGCCATCATGCGGGGAACAAGAATCCAGCGCAATGGCGACGAGAAGATCGCCCGCTCCTTGTCGAGGATCTGATTTTAGTGTCTATTCTAGTAGCTGCCTCGGCTTCAAAATGCGCCGTGATTTATGATTGGTTCGATTCTAGAAAAAGTAGGAGGTAGTGAAACCCAAATGTGTGGGTCTAGCCGTGTTTGCCGAGGCCGAGGTGATTAGGTAGGGCTGCGACGACTTCGAGGTCGTACAAAGTCGGCGTTGGTGTTTTGGCGTCATGAGGACAGTTGCCTTGGTGTTGGGTGTGAGCTTCACCGTTTGGTGGGTTTGACCTTCCGGATTTAAGGGTGCATGTGGGCATCCCTGTTACAACAACAACGTCGCCGAGGTCTGCTACTACACTAAATCATGGCAGTGGCAGTACCTCGGAGGCCCATTAAATCCTGCATATCGAAGTCATGGTGCACCCAAACTTGAGGCATACGTTAGGTGCGGATTAAACAGTCCCACAACTACATATCCCATATTCAGGGGATTCAGCCAATGAGCATACTCTGGTCTACCACATTGCACCGTGCAAAGGAAGACGAGTTGTCAGCCATTACACTGCAGTGTATCGTTCAAAAGATATCGTCACTAGGTCCTTACTGACGCCCATCCTCGGCTTCTTCGTCCATCCATGCACATGAGGGGTCATCAAAGATCAGGATGCATTGCCCAGATCCTACAGAACATATCCTCCAATGATAAACCATGATACCCATCGAAGTGCATCAAATTGAACAACGAATTACTCAGGCTTGACGTTTCATTCTCACACAGCAGCGGGCAGGCCGAGGCCACCCAAAATCTTGGAGACGGCCCAGATGCCGTACGATTTTCACATGGCATAACGACTTTGACCTCCAACGCCTGGCAAAGTGCGGTAGGCCATGCTACAGTATGCGGAGAACTTCGGCGGAACCCACTCCTCTGAGTATGACTAGTTGGCTGATGCAGAACCTAAGCACATAGATGGGAGATGCTCCGACGAACAGATGAATAGCAGCAAAGCCCCCACATTCCATCGAAGAGACGTACGGGAGTGCGGCCCATATCAGGCAGCGGCATTCCTGCTATAATTTGCACTTGAGCAAGGCTGAGACCAACATAGATTGTTACCCACATCTGGGAATGTCGAGTGGCCCGGCTTCGATTTCCATGAGCGCCATCGAGCGCCAAAAGCAGGCCTCCCGTCAATTAATCGGAGTGATGCATGACGGATAGTAGGATGTAAGAGGAAAGAACTTCATTCAGGTCGGGTTCACCGATTGGACGTGACAGAGATTGGGCAACAAGCAAAGATATACTGGTTTCCTTGCCATGGTGGCTGCATTGGTGCTGCCATCTCGTATAAGTCTTGATCCTGAGCATCTTGGGCATCAACCGAGGCAGAAAAAGCAAACCTGTGTAGACCAAACCACGAGCTGTGTACTCCAGTCCCCGATTGGTGCTTTTATCTTTTTGCTCAATACTTTTATACTACCATTGAGCTTCATGTCACAAGCAACCTAACTCGGAAAATCCCTCAGTCAAAGGCTTGAGAATGCATCAGCAATACGTAACGGCACGTCGCCTAATCATGAAAGGGAACCCTGTATGGGTTGTGGGTAGCCTTGTTCTTTGATTTTATGGTATCTCAAGTACTAACTTGCCAGAAGTCTTCTTCGACCCGAAATGTTCCTGTGCTGCTCCGATCTCTTTCAGCGGATACACTTTGGCCACATGCGGTCGAATCTCGCCCTTCTCAATATACGAAATCAGATTTGCAAAGACCTCATCTTCCTGAAAAGTACAGCCAAAGAAGCTGAGATCCTTAAGATACAAAGTCCGTACATCGAGTTCCACTAGTGGACCTGCTATAGCCCCAGCGGTAGCATACCTTCCTCCTTGCTTGAGCACATCTAGCAGACCAGAGAATAAAGGGCCGGCAACGAGGTCGAGAGCCACGTCAGCGGAGTTCTTCCCGAGCTTGGAAACAAGGTCGTCGTCTCTTGCAATGACTTGGTCGGCACCCACTGCCAGCATGTCTTTTGTTTTGTCCTTGCCGCCGACGGCGGTCACGTAGGCGCCTCGTCTCTTCGAGAGCTGGATTGCTGCAGCACCGACACCGCCAGATGCACCCGTGATAACGACATGTTCGCCGGACTTGACGTTGGCACGATGCAGCATGTTCTCCGCTGTCGAAAAGGCGCAGGGAATAGAGCCGAGTTCGACGTCACTCCAGTCGCAATCGACTTTGAGAGTCTCTTCCGCAGGCGCTTTTGTATATTGTGCGAAGGCTCCGTCACACTCCGAGCCAAATGTCCAGCACTTGTAAGGTTCGCGGCCAACATAATGCCGCAGCATATTCCTGACGAGGACGCGCTCTCCAATACGCTTCGAATTGACGTCATTGCCCACGGCGACGATGCGACCGCAGCAGTCGGCACCCTGAACACGAGGAAATTCGAGCGGTTTGCCGGACCATGATGCATCATCATCCTGCTGTCCTTCTGCTGTGCCGGTGCCGGTTCCGCTTTTGACGCCCTTGGAATACCACCCGATCCGGGTGTTGATGTCGGTGTTGTTGATGCCTGCGGCGGCGACTCGAATTAAGACTTCATCAGATGCTATAGTAGGAACTGGTAGATCCTCGCGGTACTCCAATTTATCAGGTCCACCATGGCCTGTGAGGACGACCCCGATCATGGTTTTGGGGATCTCAGTATGTGCGCTCATCGTGTATTTGTGGATTCGAAGCTGGGATCAGTCTCTGTGATATCTCGTCGCTTGGCTAACGTTAGTAATTCTTGGTGTGCTGCGTTACTCCAGGTTTTATATGAACACTTGTCTTATCAGTCAGCTTTGGTTGCGATGATGTCGTGTAGGATTGCCTGTTGCGGGTGCGGTTAGCTTATGCGAACTCACCAAATGTTTTAGAACTGGCCAATCAACACACGATGCTCGCTACGAAAGCCTGTGGCCATTACAAATGCACCCATGCCCCTCCTGAAGAACCCCAAAAACGCCCACAATATAATTGCATCGTCAATCGACAGGATTGTAGAGCCTTGACCAATGTTCACGATATGGCGAATCGGATCAGACTTAGAACTCGTTCTACCCTTCTAGATCTGGCTTAGCGCTACTTGTAGTGAAAAAAATAGCTGTGCACGTACATACAATGACCGACCTTAGAGATAAAAGCATCGGAATAACCATCCGTAGTAATCGCAGATACTCGCAGATACTCGTCGGCCCACCCATATCTTCTACCGAAATTAGAAATTACAGTTCGCTCATAGCTTGCCTCCTGCCCGCGTCTTAAGGCTCAAGAACATGCCAACCATTCCCCAAACCAATTAATCCTTACCTCGTAGCAGATTCTTCGTCGATGGAGTCACACCAGTAATACATATTTGCAGACACTTTCGAACTGGGCTTCCAATCAGCACCTCTCATTTCAGGAGGTCAAAACAGTAGCCCTGCTTTGCCGCGAGAAATCAAAACATCCAGCCCTTGCAGTGATAGTAGCCAGTAGCTTGTAGCCACGGTCAACACGAACTAGCTACACAAGCAGGATACACGACAGAAGTGGAGAAATTTGGGGTATAATTCCTGACTGACACGTGCCGGTGTACTGTTCAGGAACCAATCACTCCACGGCCGGCCAAGGTCATCATGACTGATTCCAGGAGATGTTCTCATTGTCACCCTGGTTTGACTGGGAAAGTCCTGTTTCGATAGCCTGGAGATGGGTATGGACGCTGCTTACGCAGGGACCGCCTCGATGGCTGCGTGCGGCCAAGGGCATGGGACTTGAACCTTGAAGAAGTCTTGCATCTCCACGATTAGAGTCGCTCTGTGTAGAGCCAACATCCTCAGAAGGCAGGGCAGAGCCTCCGAATGGCAAAGTCGTGTGAACCCGCAAAGCACGAAGATCCGGAAATTAGGCCACGCGCGATAGCGAAGAGATACTTCAATCTGCTGTAGTGATGATGAGATCGAGTGCCGACCGCCTCCTTCCCCATTCCTCTCTCAGACATTAGTCTATATCCCCCCTCCGCTAAGGTCCGGCCCGCAACCAGAAAATCCTCCGCGGATCTTAGCTGCACGTGCACGCATCCGAAGCGTTTCACGCTCCGCTCTTGGCGTGCACCCCTGCTCGCCAAGACGCCCAAGACAACACTGCGACTCGGGGCGTTGTGCTTGGCCGGAGCTTGACTCGGGGTGTGTTGCTGGGGTCGTAGACATTGCGTGGGGTTGAGGCAATATTCTGTGCATGATACCAAGGCGGAGGAGTGGCGATTCTGAGTCTCGGGCGGGAAGACGCATTGGTGGAGGGGGCGGGAATGCGTAAGTGTTTCGGGATTTGAGATGCCGGAGGCGAAGAGGTTGACTCTCAGGGAGGGCTCGATGTAGTTGTTCCGTTATGCGGACATGTCGAGATGTCGGTAGACTGGAAGGGATACGTGTCTGCAAGCACAGTGAGCAAAGGGAACCGAACTGATCAACTAGTCGTTTATTGGATTCTATCTTTTTGCCCAGTGCCCCCGTTTGTCGAGCTTTCCTCAATAGTACTAGTATACTGTCATATACGCTGCTCGTAGTAATCCCATCGTACACCAAAAAAGCATCAATCGTAGAAGGAAATGTTGCACCAGACAGATAACTGCTTCCCCTCTTCGAACCTCCCCAGGCGTGCTGCTCTTACAAAATGGGTATCAACGCCCTGCAATCAACCATTCCTCGGGGCACTGTTCAGACTTCGGTGATGGCCACAAGGGTCATCTTGGGCGCTTCATCATCCTCGACGACCTCGGAGCGCTTAGCCTTGCGGGCCCGCTCGCCGCCGGGGGCGGCAGCACCGTTGGCAGCAGAGTTGGCAGGAACGTTGAGACCAGCGTTGACAGTAATACCAACACCAGAACCTTCCTCGCCAGTACCGAGCTCAATCTTGGGCTGGTTCTGTTGAGCCCTCTCGGCGTAGCTCAGAGCGGAGTTGAAAGAGTTGATGTCTCGCTTGATCCACTGGACGGCGGCGGCAACAGCATCGATGTGGGCGACCTCAGCCGGCTCGGGGGCGGCTTCGCGCTTGAGGATCTTGTTGATGTCACGGACGAGGTTGCCTCGCTTCGCTGCTTCGCCCTCAGCTGGTTGTTCTTGTTGCTCGGCCGGCTGGGCTTCGCCTTGCTGCTGTTCTTGCTGCGCGGCTTCACCCTGCTGGTTTGCTTGCTGACCTTGTTGTGCGGCTTCACCTGCTGCGCCTTGCTGAGCACCCTGGGCGAGAGTCGCCATCAATTCTGACGCACCTGCAGCACCCGCCGCTCCCAGTGATATTTCACCATCACCGACTACCAGGGCAGGCGAGTAAGCTCCCAAGTTGATGTTAAGGGGGACAGCGCCGACGGCGGCAACGAGAGCGAGAAGAACGGTGTGAGAAAGCATCTTGTCGGTTGTGGTTGGTATTATGGAGTTAGACTCGGTAGATGGGATGAAAGAGGAATTGAATAAACGACGTAGTGATCTTGAAAAAGTGATTGAATGTCTAGTCGCCCGGCGACAGATGTGACTGATTAGGATAATCGGTAAGAAGTGAAAGTGAGTGGCCGGACTGGAGAGCAAAAGAGTGGGCTCATTATGGTCTTATATCGATGTGAAGCCTGGCCTGGGGATCTTCACGGTACCCCCCGCCAAGGCAGTCCCGCTGTTTGAAGGTGAGCTTGAAACTTCTGTGAGGCCGAGCCAAGAATGTGAGGTCTAGCATGGCAGACAGTCCGCATGCGTGCTTGTGAAGTGCGTGGAAAGGCCGCCAAGGCGCTCCGGCCGTTTGAGGCCAGCTCGAAACTTCTGTGATGCCACGCCAAGCGGGATAAGCCTGGTCACGAAAAAGGACTTGTTAGACAGTCGGTGCCCAAGTGGGCCTGCCCCGAGGTCTGGATCATCGCGAGGCGATCTGACCGGGGACGTAGACGCTGTCACATTTGGGTGCGGCGAACCCCATTACGAGATGGAGTCGGGTGGTGAGCATGTTTGTTTCTAGTCCCTGCGACTCGTTGTTTTGGAAGGGATGCGCATTCCGCTGTCGTGCGAAAAGCTGTTGATGTGTCGAATAGACGGCACTTCTCATCGAATTGCTCTCTTGAGGTGGGCAAGATTGACCCCTTCAGCAGCCGCCTTGCATGCGCGTGCACATGTGCATGAAGGCCGAGCACGATTGACCTCAAGGCTTGGTTTTTTGCGCGGGAAGCTCATTTAATTGCCTCTCGCCAAGTGCGTCAAGCAAAAGAAGAAGATGCCGGCCGCTCTTGCGGGCGATAAGCAGCTGCCAGCGGCTGTCCTCAGGCTGGGCCTTGGTGAGCGGGTGCGATGTACGCACTTGGCGGCGTTTCTCCACACGCGTTCGCCCGCCGAGACGGCTGGGGAAGAGTGCAGTCGCTGGGCACTTTGAGCTTCGCAGTTGGAAGCTTTCGACGAGACACTTGCTGTATTGGCCAAGCGGAGCGGCGAAATGCTTCTGCGGCCAAAGTGCGCTGGCTCGCCAATGGGGTTTGAGGCACCCCAGGCGCACAGGCGGAGACGGCTCTTGGCTCTGCGCGACTCTCGCAGGCGTCGCAGAGATGCGACGAATGTTTCTTGGCCCGCCCCGCAGCCAGAAGGCCTCTGCGCTCAATGGGGATGCATGGGGGCTCCAACCGTACCAGGGGGCGGAGGGTGGTCTGTGAATGAATGTGCCTCAAGGGGGCCGCTGACGCGGACGTGACGAGCTTGCCTTAGGCTGTCTCATCGCATCTAAATCATCGAATTCAGCATGTCGAGGCTGGCGGACAAGAAGGCTGGGCGCGTATGCAGATATTGAGCCTCATAGATTGCAGTGCTGCGAGGGGGTGAGAAAAGAAACAATTCGTGTTGGGATGGAGGAAGCCATCAGCGGCGGCGCTCTTCCAGTACCCCCGGCGCTTCTGTTTTTGCGCCTCCGCCCATCCCTTCTCCTCAAGCTGCATGTCCGAAGTGGCATACAACATCTTGGCAATAATGGAGGACTTTGAAATTCGCACGCTGCTAGCTGTTGTGGAACACTTCTGTTGCAGCGGACTTCTCTCCTCGGAATCTCAAGGATTCTCTCGTACGGAGCCCTCTTCAGTACATCGAGAAGCGCAGCGAGCATTTCCTGCCGACACCAACATCATCACTATACGATCGGCCAAGCACGGTCAACATCTCTTAGGCTCTTAGGCAATGCGAACTGCTGTGGAGATGATCCACTGCCCAGCTGTCCCCCGGCTGGATACCCCAGCGAGCTCCCCAAGAGCTCATGCGACAGTCCTTGGTCGCAGTAGCAAATTGCTTGAGTATACCAAGAGCGACAAGAGTTGTAGTCCGACAGGACCCGAGGACTTGCCACGCGTCTGGTCCCAAGGGACTTGGCTTCGGTCGGCTCGTCACTTAAGCGCCCCTTTTGTCCCCTTTCCGATAATTACGTCTTTCTGAAATCTCATGGCCCAAATTTTTGTGTTTCGCTGATTGACTTTCACCTCTTTGACGCCTGCCGTCCGATGCGAATGCGTACCAAGTTGCCGAAGCGTTGGATGCCACAATCCGACTTCGGGGAGTGAGCTCCGCGGTTTGCTTGCTAGAACGAACTTCATTGCAATGTGGAATGATCGGACTGCTATTGAATGTCCTACATGAATTTTGCTCATTGTAACTTGATAGACCTCCGAACCATGTCCCTCAGGGCCCTCCGAACGCGAACTCGATCGACCATCGAACGTTAGGGAGTTCAGGCACAGTGCTCTTGGGTTCGCTCTACCAAAGTCACAGGTCCGAACGGCGACCTGAGGTCAAGGCTGGAACGATTAGGTACTCGACCCGTTCTACAGTACGCTATGAGCCTTTGAGGCCACGTATCTGAATAAGAGTTCCGAAGTATAATAAACACCCTAAGGCCAGGGGATGAACACAAGATTGCGTTGCTTACCAGAAGCCGAAGCTTTGCATCCCGCTGTGCATCTCGTATAAGCATTGCTGCATCTTTTCGCGCTGGATTGTAATTCTCTCACAATGACCCACAATTGTGCATTGGGTGGAAATATATTGGACAATTACTGCTCTTCGTATGATCGTGACAGTGGCTGGATAGTACTCTGTCTATCTCACCGAACACTGGTTTGTCCCGCTAGTTTGTAAGGTCTGCCGGCTGCGACGATATAGTTGACATCGTGCACTGTTGAATGTCAGAGGACCTGTCAGGCAAGTTTGTGTTTCCAAACTCTGGCCTCCCTAGCCCACAGTAGATTATATAGTAGATCATGTAGTGGAAACTCACTTTATTCTCTTAAAATCGATTCGGAAAAAAGTCTGTGATCATCGCAGGATCTCGTAGTAATCTTGTCGCCAGAGTGCCCGCCTCAGATTCATTGATACATGCCGCGTCATAAAATGGAAGCGCTAATGGTTCGGTATTAAATAAGTCAACATCTGTTCACGCTATTTGATCAAATTATGGAACGTCTTCCATCAAATCAAGAGCGCATATATCTATCATCTGTGATCCAATTTCATCTTCCCAAGACATCTCACCAAATCACTCAAAAAATTCTCCAGCCACAACACACGAACCGGAATGCTTCAATCCAGACCATATCTTGTTTTGAACAGAAAGTACTAGTTAACGGCAAAATTGAACGGGTCAGGCGCAAACTGGAAGTTGTGAACGCAGCCGTTGCGCTGCCTTTTAAACACGTCCAACGATGCAGATCTCCAAAGAAACTCATGATTAGCCGCCCTCTGCACGCCTGCAAATACACTTTTTTCACTAGCTCTACTCATGTATCTGCATTGGAGCCGATACACATGTTTCTTTTCTGCAAGTGGAGTGAAAAGTTTCTGGATGCCATCGGGTAGCGGCGAAGAGAACTGAGTTCAAGCGAACTTTTCGCCTTATCACTAGTGTGGTCTGCGGATATAATTCTTGGGCATGCATTGACTTGATCCCAAGTACTAGGCTGTGTTCTGGACGTTGACGGATTTCAAGGTCGCGCCTGTACACGTTTACGTGTTGCCCCTAGATGACCAGGTAGTACGCCATCCTCTACCAAGCTCATCCGCTAACACATTACCCCGCTTTCAAGCCCCTCATCGTCGCGAAAATTCTCGTCGTTGCAAGGCTTGATCCTCAACGAACAAATGATACGATTGACTCCAATCCAATCTGCTATATAAACGCGGTTGCGCAATTCTCGTCTATCAACAACAGGCTCGGTGGTGTAGTTGGTTATCACGTCAGTCTAACATTCCGTTGGACCACTGAAGGTCCCGAGTTCAAACCTCGGCTGAGTCACTCGTATCAACGACTTGCTCGTGTTCCTGCTTTCGACGGCAGGCCTTGCTTTTTGGCCATTCGTGCGCCTTAGACGAGGCCGATTGGGTGGGGAAGCGATGAGCTAGCAGTTTCTCCCGCCGAGGAAAATCAATCGCGGAGTGCCTTTGAACGCCAGGTTTTAACACAAGTCGTTCATGGTATGCTTTTTGTCATTCTGCGTGGAAAGTATAATTTATATAATCGTTAAACATTTACATATGTACCAGAATGGTGATCATACTGTAGCCAGCACGCTGCACTTGCACATCGCCATCTGCTTCTCATCGCTCGCTCCTTCCGTCCTCTCGTTCGGACCCCCTTTACAATGCTCAGTGATGGAAATCCATCGATAAGCCCTCCTCTAGGCGATCTTGAAGCGCCTGGTGATAGCACGACGCTCAGCGATCGACCTCCTGTTACCGACGAACCTCTTAGTGGTCTTGTCACACGGGTTCGCAGCATCTGCATTAGCTTTCGCGCCCTTGCTGTCGTTTCCGCTGTCCTTGGAACTTCCGTTGTTCTTCTTGGAGTTTCCGTCGTTCTTCTTGCTGGCGTCGTTCTTCTTGGAGTTTCCATCCATCTTCTTAGAGTCCATCTTCTTAGAGTCCATCTTCTTAGAGTCCATCTTCTTAGAGTCCATCTTCTTAGAGTCCATCTTCTTAGAGTCATCCTTCTTAGAGTCGTTCTTCTTCGACTTTCCGTCGTCCTTTTTGGAGTTTCCGCTGTTCTTTTTCGCATCTCCGGCGCTCGCTGCGGCAGTGTCGCATGGGTTCTTCGCGGCAGTAGTGCTCGAGGCATCGGCAGCAGCGGCGGCGGTCGAGTTAGCAGATGCATTCGATCCAGCGGTCGCACTAGCAGTGTCGCATGGGTTAGCGGCAGCAGCAGTGTTGTTCGAGGCGGAAGCAGCAGCGACGGTAGCAGTCGAGTTGGAAGCAGCAGCGGCCTGGTTAGCAGACGCGCCAGTGTTGCCCTGCCCGGCAGCATTGCATTGCGCTGATCGAGATATTAGCTCCTGTTCATCTAAGCCTCCATGAGATATACTCACTCTGCTGATCAGAGCACGCCGACACGCTCAAAGTCTTGTCTCCGCCGTTGGCTTTGTTCGCGCAAGCATTGAACTGTTGATCGCAGCTACGCTGCAGCGCGGCTCCGATGTTGACGAACGTATCGCCCTTGACTTGGAATTTGCGGTCAGGGTTTCCAGAGTCGGTGATGGGTGTTGCAGCGACACCACCAAGGGCCCCAGTGAACGTCTGGAAGTTTTGGGCTTGGCGTTTGATGGGAGAGTTTACACTTTGGTAGTGAGAGGACGGAGCCGGGGCCGCGAGGGCAACAGCGAAAAGAGTGGAAAGAATGGAGGCGGTCTTCATCTTGGTAGTGTTGCTGGGTAAGTGGTGGAATGGGGTATAATAGGCGTTAACAATATGGGTATCGTAAAGACTGAAAAGTGAGTGGAATAAAGAGTGACCAGACTCAAGGAATGTAAGTGCGCAAAGGCAGTAGAGAACGAAAGAATGTTGAGATGGAAGCTGATGTGCGTGTCGTCTCTGTGTGCTGAAGGCAATGTACTTATACTGGCGCATATGCATCGTCGGTCCGTTAGTCCTGTCATCACCCTCACCACATTCTTGCGAACCGCGCATTCGAGACCGCTGACGGCAGCGACGTCTGCTCGTATCGCTCCTGCGTCCCTAGAGTCATCTTGTTATTACGTGCCCTAGTCCAGAACAGGTGGACTTCGCGGTGCTAAGCTTTGCGCCCGGACAAAGCTTGACTTATAGGATCCAATAAGAGGGCCAGATAGGTGTGGGTTGGAATCTGGTGATGCTTGATCGTGTCTGAGAGTGGGTTTTGAGTTGCGCGAGCGAGAGATCTGAGGGGCGCATTGACGTTTCGGGTGGCTGTCCAGGTTCCTGGGAAGCGGCTGAGTACCCCAACATTGCAGAAAGTTCGCCAAAGTTGAAGCGATTTGTGAGATACCTTCAAGACCAAAAAATTATGTGAGCCGTTTGAGGTTGACATTAGATATCTGGTGGTTCAGTATCATATGCATTGCGTTCGTGATGGCGGGAGACACTGCACCTGGTGTTGTCGAGGGGTTCGCGCTCTTCGCTACAATCCCTGACAGCGATCATGCATAACTTGAGGCACTTGTGAAGTGAGAACCCCTACCCCAATCCTCTACTCTATGATCGCGGTTTCCACCAATCCAATAGCTTAGACTACCGCCGTCGGCTTTCGCTAGCAGCTGGAGGATAACGCTGAGACAATGCAAACGCATCAACGAACGCAACAAAGAACTTTCTCGATGAGCAGGGTACTGATTTGAAGCAATCGACTACCTCATATCTGGGCGAGGTCCGTCTCGACTAATCAGGTGACCGAAAGTCTCGGTCTCCAAAATACTGGTGTGCCTTTGCATTCCTCGCCTGGATCTGACAGCTGTTTCCAGTCCAATCTCAGATGTAGCTCTCGGCTGGTAGGTGACATCATCGCATCGTTTCTTTGAGCATCTGCGATGTAATGGATTGCAGCCTCTCTATCGTGAAGTTTGATGCATGCCTTTGATGCTTTGAGAGAAAGTAGAGCCTTCGCACGACCCATCAGAGTCATGTTCTCCTCTTTGATATGCGCCGGGAAAGTCTCGAAAGAGCTTCCATCTAGGAACCGGTCATCGCGATTAAGGTATCCGATCCCTTCTTCAGCAACTCGTCGAGCAGCTAAGTAATCGGAGACTGCCCGACCTGGGTTTTGCTTGGCTTCGATTAGGTGCGCAAGGACGAGCGTACTATACGCGTCTGCAATGGACTGAAACAACGATACTTGGACGTAATGTTTGTTGTGCTGGAAACCTAAGGAGGCGTGAAAGTTCCAGACGATGTCTAACGCTCGTAGTATGGAACGCAGATCCGAGTAACAACTACTCGTCGTCCGATTGTATTCGGACACCTCATACGGACGCATCATGTTGTGTACCCGGGATCTAGTTGAGGCGAACGCCCCAGCAAAATCGAACCAGATGTGGTCTTGATTATGCAGTAGCTTGGTCATCAATCGCTGGTGATAGTCAGGGTCCAGTGGACCTCGAATGCTGAAGGCTTTGAAAGTCGGTGGAAGCGGCATGGCAAGGAGAGATCCAAAAACCAATTCAGAAAAGCGAGGAATCGAATAACGGAATGTGTTGTGTATATGAAATTCGACCAATGTTACCATGGGCCACCTTGTGATGGTTGTTGCCAGATCATCGAAAAGACATCGCAAAGTATGCGCGGTGGTCACAAAGGCGGTTCGTGCAAAGGGATCCGTCCGTATGTACCGCGCGGTGAGGCTTAACAGTTCCATGCTCAGCGCGAAGCGGCCATGCGACGCACTTTCGTTGATTCCGTCAACTGTACGGGAAGAGAGGAAGCGCATTGTGGTTGGAGGCATTGCAGACAATCGGCCAAGGACATGTAAGTCAGAGTGGACAATGATAAAGAGGTTTCTACCGTAAAAGATATCGCTGCTCTCAGCGTAGATCTGGCGGTTGGTATATAGAATGCTGGTAGACACATCGCGGGGCCGAAATGGGTATGGCCCCTCTTGGGCTGGGGGAGGAACAAGCAGCTCGACATAGATCTGTTCGCGGATGGTGATTGGCAGGTCAAGGAAAGATCTGGGGCCCATCTTCGTCGTTGTTGACTCCTTCAGTCCGGTAATGCTGGAAGTGGGGGTTCAAATGACGTAATGTCAGAACAGAGCACTCGTGGCCCTGTATAGTCCTAAGAAATTAAAGTGGTAGTGGTAGTGACCGACTCTGGCTGTGAAACGGCACGTTGATGTCAAGTCGATGCTGCAAATGTGGCTGGACGGACGACCCAGCTTTGAAGGTCCGTGCGCTTGCCGTCTCAAAGCGCGTTTTGAGCAAGCGCGCGTCGGTGTCATCCTGCATCGAAAACTACTCACACTGCTGCAATTTACCTTCTTTGTGTCTTGTGCGTCCAAACGAATTCTCGAACAACGCGCACGCATACGTAGTATCAATTTGCCATGATGGGAGGAGATTGACCTTGAGTCCCTGCACCCATGACGTGACAACGTTACGATGCTCCGCCTTGTCGTGGACCGCCCTCGGCATGCGGGGCATCAAATATGCAGCTTGACGGGGAAGAAATGACGAAATCACTATAGCTACGTAGGATTATCTAGGAGCAGTCTGCTCTTCCTTCAAATGTGTCTCCAGCCTCTGTCGCCGCAATCGTAAGCGTGGCCAAGCTTAATCAAACTCAGGAAGGCGACTGGTGCAAGAGGCCTTGGCATTATCCAGAACGCGACAAGCTTCATGTGCGGCACAGTCCTTGAGCGCTAACATCTTATCGAATTCTTGGCCTCGTCTTGGGGAACGGAGTTGTGTTCTGTGCACGCAGCCTGGGAGGATCCCCATTTCATCGGCAAATGAACACAACCGCCAAGCTGCTGACTTCTTGGACTCTACTTATACCTTGTCACCGCATGTAACGCCTACTAGATTTAGAAGGTCATTATCGTTCGCGTGCTCACCCTGTATGTTCGCAATCCAGGAACCGGGCTGAACACGAGATCAATTGCCGCTATAAAATATGGCCAAGTCGCTGCCTGCATGGGCGCTCCATCCTGAGCTCTTCCTTGTCCGGCTCCAGGAACAGGCAAGCAGTGTCATCTAAAAGCTATGAAGGTCTCAGTAGCAACTCTAGCTGCCGTCGGTGTGACCGTCGTTAACGGTGTAGCCATTGAGCCTCGCGGCAACAAGCTCGTCACCTCGGTCAGTGCTGCATTGGTTCTACTTAGCTCTATCTGACAACAAGCGCAGGAAGGATTGCGTAAGTTGATCAAGGTCAAGGCGTTGGAGGAGAAGGCACACCTTTTCGAGCGCTTCGCATACGACTCTCCCGACAAGAACCGCGTAATTGGCAGCGAGGGACATCAAGCGACCATCGACTATATTACAAACACGGTCAAGAAGTTCCCGAAGTACTACGATGTGTACCAACAGCCTATGCCATTGTCTGTAGGCGTGAGCGCGAACCTTACGGTTAATGGTGAGGACGTCGCTGTCGATGCTGTAGGACTTGCTCCAGGAGGCAGTGCTTCTGGCCCGGTCGTCGCGATTCCGAATTTGGGTTGTGAGGAGGTAAAGCACGTCTCGTGTCCATGTGTGTACTTTAAGCTCACAGTTAGCAGGCTGACTTTCCGGATGACCTGAGTGGCTCGATTGCTCTTATTGCACGAGGCACTTGCGTCTCTGGTGAGAAAGTTGCTTTCGCTACGTCCAAGGGCGCCATTGGCGTTTTGATCTACAACAACGTTGAGGGCGACCTTCTCGGCTACTCGCTTCAGCGATATCCTGAGTCAGACAGTGATTATGTACCGACTGGCGGCATCACCCAAGCAGCCGGAGAGGGTTTTGCCTCATTGCTTGCTTCCGGAGGAAATGTCACTGCGCAGCTCACTACTACAGCCAAGGATATCACGACCTACAACATCATTGCCCAGACGAAGGGTGGTGACCAGGATAACGTTATCCATGTTTCTGGCCACTCCGACTCTGTTGCCCAAGGACCTGGCATCAATGACAATGGCTCAGGATCGATTTCCCTGCTTGAAATCGCGATTCAGCTCACACACTTCTCCGTAAAGAACGCCGTGCGCTTCAGTTGGTGAGATCAGCTTAAATACGGCGCTGATTTGCTTCTAATCGTATATCAGGTGGACAGCAGAAGAGGAAGGCTTGCTTGGCGCGGAGTACTACGTCAAATCTCTGAACCAGACCGAGAAGGAGAAGATCCGTCTGCTGCTCGACTTCGACATGATGGCTTCGCCCAACTACGCATTCCAGATCTACGACGGTGATGGTTCAGCATTCAACCTCACCGGTCCCGCGGGCTCCGCTGAAGCCGAGGCCGAGTTTGCGTAAGCGCTCGTACTTGTACCCTTCCTCCTGTTGCCAACTAACGTTTATCTAGCTACTACTTCGACAGTATTGCCAAGGTAAACCACACTGAAATCGAATTCGACGGCCGCTCTGACTACGGCCCATTCCTCGATGCCGGTATCGCTGCGGGTGGAATTGCGTGCGGCGCTGAAGGCATCAAGACACAAGAGGAGTTCGAGATGTTCGGGGGCGCGGCTGGTGTTCCGTACGATGTGAACTACCATGAAGATGGCGATACGGCGAACAACCTGAACTACGATGCTTGGATCGTCATGGCGCGCGCAATTGCACACTCGACGGCTACCTATGCCCGTAGCTTCGACAGCTTACCGCCGAAGAACTCTACGGCCATCAAGGCACGGAGTGACGCGAAGATGTTCGAGTACAAGAAGAGCGCGAGGTACCTTAGCATGATATAGTTGCCCTGACTCAGTTCGCATGAAGGAATGAAACTGACCTGTCACGCATCAACTGCAACCTTCTACCATACGCACAATTTACCATCACCAGATGGTAATGCAAGACTTGGTCCTGCTCTCGCGAGCACAACGCTTCAACCATCATCGAGCAAGCGGATATATATCCGGATATAAGCTGCGGGGAAGCCGCGCTCGCCATCGCATCCCCAAGCCTCGTCCATCCCCTTCCTTACTTGACATTCTTTGATTCTCTTAAACACTTCATTTAAAACAATGTCTTCAATAGTGCGTCTTCTACCCCGTTCCTCCTTCCTCCTCCCGCGTCCTGGGCTGTGGCCTCGCTCCCCGCGTTCCATCCATCCCCGCACCCTCGCCACGCTGACCCCCACGCCCCCACGCGTCGACCATGCACAGTCAAGCGACAACCAGACCGTCGCAGCCATGGGACGCACCGCCTCAGGCAAGAACTTGAAAATCAGAAAGTATCCTACATTTGAGCGCAAGGAAGACGAAAGGCTGTATAGGAAACAGCATCTTGCGGCTGCGTATCGCGTGTTTGCGGAGCGTGGGTTCGACGAGGGCGTTGCGGGGCATATCAGTGTTAGAGATCCGGTTTGGGAGGATCATTTCTGTAGGTTTCGCAGTGTCTTTTTGGCTGTGCTGTGTACAATTTTGACACCGTACATTTTCTGAATCACGGGAGGAAGACGTGTCGGGAATGACCAGGAGAAGAAGCTGACGAACACTACCACAGGGCTTAACCCCCTCTCAACGCACTTCTCCCAGATCCGCGTTTCAGACCTCATCCTGGTCAACGAGGAGGGCACCGTCGTGCAGGGCGATCAGCCCATCAACGCGGCAGCGTTCGCCATCCACAGCGCTCTTCACAAGCGAAGGCCCGATGTACATGCAGCGTGCGCAAACCCACCTATGCCTGGGTTGTATCTTGGACTGACAGTCGTTCTGTGAGTTAGATGCCACGCGCATTCCGTCCACGGAAAAGCATGGAGTGTTTTCGGCAAAGAGCTAGATATGATCACGCAGGACAGCATTAGATTTTACAAGAGCCACGGAGTGTACAAGCAGTTCGGTGGCGTGGTGCTAGCTAGTGAAGAAGGCGAGAGGATTGCAGATGCGCTCGGTTCGTTCCTCTCCTTTTCATACATTTGTCTCATGCCTTGCCATGCCACTGACAATCCACAGGCGCCGGCAAAGCCGCCATCCTCCAAAATCACGGCATTCTGACCGTCGGTCAAACTGTCGACGAAGCGGCCTTCTGGTTCCTGTCGCTCGACAAAACGTGCCAGACGCAGCTGCTCGTGGATGCAGCTGCCAATGGAAGCGGGCTAGAGAAGAAGATCATTCCAGATAGAGAAGCAGAAGAGACTTACAGGAATGTAGGAACGCCGGAGAAGGGGTGGTTGGCGTTTCAGGGGTACTATGATGAGATATTGGCGAAGACGGGGGGTGACTTTTTGCGGTGAGTTGGACGGGTGTAGGACCTCTATGGGCGTGGTGGCCACTGGGACGTATCGTTAGACCGCATCCTGACGGGACTTAGGGCGTGATAATAGTACTAATCTGCCTGCGCGAATGTCCGGAGGTGAAGCCGATGCAGGTCTGAGGAATACGTGAGGAAATTTTGGGAATGACGAATCAAGTAGATAGAAACTGACGTCTATTATCGAGGTTGCATGCGTAAGATGTAATGAGTACTCAACTGAGACTCTGCGCTATTTGACCTCGAACATATGCCCGCCGTAGTTACGGATGCTTGAGCACGTAGAATGCAAAGGCGCATTCTCACTGTGGGAAGCCCCCAGCAGGTGGACATTTGTCGGTATACTCGCCATGATATGTATCCTTAGTGTCCTTTAGACACCATCCATTGCCCATTCCAGACGGCTCCTTTCCATAATAGCAAATTGTCTCCACATTGAAGCCGTTCGACAGATGGAGCACGGAACCCCACCCCTTCGACTTGACTTTTTCTTCAAACTTGAATTTCGCGTCGCCGCCGTAGAAAGCCTCTTTGGGACAGACTTTGAGTTCAGCATCAGGCCCCACGGATTTGTGGTCAGCTGTTATGATTAGTTAAGCGAAGCAGCAAACGAAGGAGAGATGCGTACAATCGAGCAAAAGGACAAGCCAGCCATCGTAGTCGACGCGCAGCATGACCTTGTCTGGTGCGTTGCATAGCTCTACGTCGCTGGAGCCACCCTTGAACCCTGGCTTCCAACAATTATTCTCTGCAATGGTCTGGATGACCTCGGCCATGGAGTCGCGCTGTCGTCATGAGCATCTTTCGTCCACGAACAAAAAAGAAATACACATACCAAAAGCTCGCGTAATCCGCCCAACGGCCAGTAGCTCGAGCCGATCTTGATCGTGAAAAGACCTTCGCGCTTGAAGTTGCCATCTTTGTCCTTGACCGCGACCTGGCTGACCTTCCACGTGGTTTCGGTGTTGCACGGGCTGAAGCCCAAGGTGGTAGGGCAGAGATTGTCGATGGCAGCTGCGACCTCCGCCTGAAGGTTGGGCTTTCCTGAACGGGAAGTCTGACCTCCGTCGTGGGCTTCCGTCCCCACGTTCTGCGGCGCAACGCTGCCAATGCCAATGTACAATGTACGCCTCGAACTCCAGCCGTCCCCACCATCTCGGGCTTGCACCACTTGAGGCGTGAGGTTCTTGGGGCGCGAGAGATCGAGCTGATCGGGGGCCTCGCTATATTCGACTTGGGCAACATCGTCTCCTGTACGTGTGAGCGATGCAATGACTGAGGACTGTTGCAAAGTATACCGCTGAGGCCGCTAGTCGCAGCGGAAACGAGCGCGCTGAGAGCGCATAGAGCGATTGCGAGGTGAGATTTGACGTTGAACATCGTGTCGACGCGCAAGTGAGTGGAAGCGGGTACAGTCGGGTCAGGAGGGGAGCGCCGAAGTGTCGTTATGTACTTGCCTCGCGCGGTCGAAGCTAAACCCAAGGGCCACAGAAGGACAATTGGAGTGTCTGTGCTCACCAGTCCGATCATTCACTTTCATTTCAACCGATGCAATTCAACCATCCGGGCTAGCCAGCCGTCGTGGATTTCGTATCTAGTATTGATATCGGTATTCGCGCTGATCGTCTTCACCTCCAACCTCTGCTCGCTTCCTACTCAACTTCTGATTGTGCCACCAGAGCAATGCCACGTGCATCACACAAAAAGCTGCACCTGCTACGGTAATCCCGAGCCCTTTCCTCGAATTAGGTAAGTCCATGGCACATAGACCAGCTTCACAAGGTCTAAGATATTACGTACCTGTTCGGAACCCAGTAGGGTAGAACGGCGCCTCGCCCTTGATGAAGACATTGCTTGCCACAAAGTTGGCACAGTTACCCAATCCTAGAATCATAGCAGTACCAACGGCCACACTCGCTCTACCGCGCAGGTTGTTCGTCATCCATGACATCGTCATCGCCATTTGCAAGAAGGTACCCGCACTCATGGCGAAGAGTGAGAAGTAGCGGACACCAGGAGCGAGACCTTTGGATTCTGAATAGACGATCTGGATGATCCATCCGATCGTTGCGAGGGTGATGCCGAAGAGTATGAAAGGGAACCGCCAGCCGGTTCGACTGGAGAGGTAACCCGCACCCAATTCAAAGACGAAACCGGTGACCCAGATGGGGATAGACATAACCTGAGCACGCTCGGCCTTCCAACCGAGTTCAGTCAGAATCGTGGGTGTGAACGAAACGATCGAAGCGGCTGTCATGTCGCAGCAGAAGAACATCATGGTTCTAGGCACATTAGCGAGAGCCGCTAGAGGGAAACACGCTCAACTTACGGTAGCCAAATCTTCCAGTCGCTAAGTACAGCAAGCCAGTTGACAGACTTCATCGAAAGTTTCTGGTCACCTTTGTCGCGCCTCAACTTCTCAAGCAGGTGTTCCTTGTCGGCACCGGAGAGGATGTTGGTCTTCTCCGGGAAGTTGGGTACGTAAAGAAACACTAGAAACGAAATGGCTATCGTCGCTAGGCCCTCGATTATGAAGATCCACCGCCAGCCCTCTTTGCCCTGGACGCCGTTCATGCGTCGGATGCCGTAGGCTAGCAAACCGCTGACCAATGGACCAAGCACGCCAAAGGTGAAGAACATGGCGAATCGAAGGGGTTGCTCCTTGCGCGTGTAGTATTCACTGAGAAGGAGGGCCGCACCTGCCGGAAGGGTGGCCTCGAGGATGCCCATCAAGAAGCGACAAGCAAGCAGTCCGCCGTACGTGTGCGTAAGGCCTTGACACATAGATATTACCCCGAGAACGAGCATACTCCCTCCTAGAAACAGGTTGGGTTTGACACGCGGCAGGCCCATGATCATGTTGGTCGGGATTTCGACAAGCACGAACGGGATGAAGAAGATCCAGAGACAGGTATTATAGCCATTGCTAGGCATGTTGAGGCCTTTCTCCAGGCCCTCGATCCTGGCATTTGCGACTACAACATGTCAATAGCGATAATACTCGTCAAGGCGTAAAGCTCACTGTTGGTACGATCCAGGAACAAAAGAGTATACGTGCAACCCAACAAGGGGATCAAGCGCAAGTCGAGCTTGTAAACATAATTGGAGGGAGGCGGTGGTAATTCGCTGCCGTCGTCGCTGGTCGGCTTCGCCAGCGCTTCGGCGTTGAACTTCTCGTCCGCCATGGCCACGTCCTGCGACGCCTTCGGGTGCTGGCGGCAACAACGATGTCCTAGTGGGCGGGCCGTTGATTGACAGGTGCGGGAGGCACAGTGGGGTGGGAGCGAACAGGAGCACTCCGCGGCGACTGCAGGTAATATATAGTCTACTCCCGGCCTGCGTGCCGAACGTTGTGGAGGCAGAGGGCTAGACTTTGGACGACTCCACAGTGCCGCCAAGCGGCGTGCGGGAAGAGTTGTCTGATGTTTATCGTGCAATCTGGTGATGGGCAGCGGGGTGCCTTCTGCAAACGACACTTGACCCTGCAATTCGCCGAAGGAGGGCCACAATGCCGTGCCCAGAAGGTTGAAGCTCGCAAACGCACATCATGGCGACGTTACTGGCGCGGGTGTTGAAAAGACCGGGGTTTGGGCGCTCATCGCGCGTCTTCGCTAGCTCCGAAGAGGAGTACTCGGGCGAATTTCTGCTCACGGCGTGCATCCGGACGCGTTGCAACTGCCGAGCAGCTCTTCGCAGCACATATCGTGTCCCTTCGATGCATTGCCATGGCGTGAGCGGAAGCGTGATGCATTTCTATCGCAGACGTCAATGAAGACCACCAGCAAAGGTTCCGACATCCAGCCAGCTGGGTGCAAAGCGTTCGGCACCACGCGCGCGGAACCAGCTGTCCGGAACCCTGCCCATCTATGCGCATGGCATCCTTTGGTCTATAGAACACGTCCATCTCGCAACAACCAGATGTTGTCAGATGCCAGGGGTCCTTTCGCAAATATTGTGCCTGTGTCTCCGCCTTGATCGGTAAGAAAGTCGGTCGGTCCAGCCTAAACCGCAGCCAAGATCAAGGAGTCGCTCTTCATCGAAGGTATCGACCATGGACGGCAAGATAGGCCAATCAGGTGCGCCATCGTGGCCTTGCTGCTGCCAGGGCAAGTCGAGGTAGTTGGCGAGCAAAATGGGGTTGTCGTACATGGCCGTTGTGTTCACCATGCTGCTGCGGGTTCTACCACGGCCGTGTCAAGCTCTCAACGCTATTGCTCCAGGACAGATAGCACGGTCGTGCGCCTAGCTAGCCGGAATGCGAGCTGAAAAGACCAAGATCGTGCGCTGCATTTGTGCTATAGAGATGCGACCTTGGCCGCTCCGTGTCGAGGTGGAATCCAGAGCGGAAGGTGCATGCGAGCACCGAACAAAAGCAGCGGGCATTGGGTCATCCCCGGTAGCAAACGTGCATATTTTGAGCGGCTTCTCCGCGCATACAATTGATCGTCGACCATTCCTCAGTTGCTTGCGACATATCCTCAACATGATATATGTCTCGACAGGCCTAGGTCATCTGTGACGCTAACCCCTGGGGCCCTTGTGACATCCGATAATCGCTTCAGCGAACGCTTTTCGTTCGGTCTCACTCCGCCTTAACGCCCGCTTGTCGGCCCCAAGAGCGTAACAGCACAGCACCGTAGATCTTGGTTTCAGCGCACGCTATCAAGGGTCACCCGTACGAGATGCAGCCTTATGGACGGTCGGACGCGGTCAAGCTTGCGAGAACCGCCCGATGGGGGCCGCAGTGCCACCATGCGATTGGGCCAATCCCTTAGCTGAGTCGAGCGAGAGGCTGCGCGCTGCGGGGCGTAGGGTTAGCTCCTTTTGCTTACAGCCTCGTTGGCAAGGGCGTAGTAACTGGTTTTGGTAGAGCATCTTGAACGATATAAACGACAATAAATCTCAGGTTTGCAGGCAATACTAATCAACACTCGTTTCCAGAGCCCTTTCGAAATCAGTCGGCACCACCATCTGCATCTCACTTTACTCGCCTACTCTTCTTACGATAAGGTGTAATCATGAGTGGAAGATTTTCCCGCCTCCCGTCCAACGATGCCGAAGGACGATACTACCAGAACCGAGAGTCTTTAGATCTCACCGAACCAGTCTCATATGATGACTTCCGGCGGCAGTCCGATTCAGATTCTGTCAAATCGCTGATACAACGCGACGATGCCGCCTATGATGTACACCTCGAGAAGGAAAAAGAAAACAACTCGGCTCCTCTTCGCGATTCCCTCAAACAGTACTCAACGCTAGTATGGTGGATGCTTGCCATGTCCACGGCCATTCTGTATGGTGGCTACGATTCCGCCGTGCTCGGAACGCTCACCTCCGTACCTGCTTATCAACGCGACTTCGGCGAGTGGACACATACTCCGTTGAAGGATGACCCCAATCATTGGGAAGACGTGATCCCGGTGTTTTGGGTGTCGATCTGGGACGGTATAGGACCTTTGGGTGGAATCGCTGGTTCCGCGCTTGGAGGCTGGTTCCTAGACCGATGGGGCAGACGCTTCTGCCTGATGATGGGGAGCATCATTGGTATCGGCGCCATCTTGATCCTCACGCTTTCGAATAAACCTGAGAACAAAGACGGAAAGCGTGTCATGATACTTGTGGGCAAAGTTATGCAGGGATTCGGATTGGGCATCATCAAGATCGAAACCTTCACGTACATGTCTGAAGTCGTCCCGGTCAGTCTCAAAGGGGCAGTGATGTCGCTGGTGCCCATCATGACACTTCTCGGGCAGTTGATAGGAGCCGTCATCATTCTCGTCTGCTCCATTTCCGACAAGTCGTCGGCAGTCATGATGGCCCTGGCCTCACAATGGGCTGTCGCTATTCCGCCGCTCATCCTCGCCTACTTCCTACCCGAGTCTCCTGCCTTCCTTCTCAGGGAGAAAAAAGATCCCCAGGGCGCTTTGAAATCACTCGGACGACTCTTAGGTCCTAAGAACAACGCCAAGGAAGCACTGAAGAAATTGCAAGAGACGCTCGACGAGGAGGCTAAGAACTCCGTCCGGATGAGCTACCTAGATTGCTTCAACGCCGCTAATCGCCGCCGAACCTTTATCGTCATGTTCGCCGGTAGCATCGAGTTCTTCTTCGGTCTCTCGCTGTTATCTGGCGTTAGCTACTTCCTCCAACAACTCGGCATGGATTCCAACAAGTCCATCCTCTTCCTCGTCGCAGGTATCATCGTCGGGCTGATCGCCAATACGGGGTCGACGTGGACAGTCACACATTTCGGCCGCCGCAGGCTGACCGTTACAACTCTGCTCATTACCGCAGGGCTCTGGTCGGTCATGGGTTTTGCTGGCATCAAGCAGTACGACTTTACGCCATTTCTGGCGGGAGGCCTCTGCACCGCTGTCATTGTCGTCTGCGGTCTCGGTTGCTGGCCCGCCTCGTACGCCATCATGGGCGAAACGTCGTCGATCCGTTTGCGCTCGCGATCTCAGGCTCTCGGTAGCTTGTCGGGCAGTCTCACCAACATTCTGGCGAACACTGTTCTGCCATACTTCTACAACCCTGACGCGCTGAATCTGGGCGCGAAGACGGGATTCTTGATGGCGGCACTGGCCGGCATTGGTGCGCTGCTGACGTATTTCTTTGTGCCCGAGTTGAAGGGGAGAAGTGCGTTGGAGATCGATCACCTGTTTGCAAAGAAGGTTAGAAGTATTGGGTCGACTAACTGGCGGGATGCGGAGATGGAAGACATTCCGCTAAAGGCTGCCCAGGTTTGAGGATAGAACATAATTGTATTTAGCTCTAGATCTGCCATAACTTTCACCGTTATCATCTTAACATTGCTCGCGTGCTTTTTGTCCCTACCTAAAATGGATTGAAGAAGCCTTTCCTCTCATCGTCAATCCGTGCACTCGCCAGCTGGAAGACCTGTCAAAAGTTAGCGCATCAAGCCCCGTCTTCAAGATTTTCACTCACCATGCCACTCCTTCCGATCCCACTGATCCGGTGAAATCCAGCAGTTCACCGTCCCCGGATCGACCATCCGCACCCACGTCGTATTTCCCCCCACATCTGAACCCTTCTCCCAGCATCCCACATCCACATACCCATATTCCTGCGTCGGGTACTCTGTCTGGCAGGTCGCATTGTTCAAATCTGTGCAATTGCGACAGACCAACGCTACGTTATAGTGTCCTGATGCGATCTATTCCCACATAGTCAGTCCCACTGCACTCTATCCTTGCCTGAACGGTAACCAAAAGCGACAGACCTGATGATGCGGCGCCTCCCCACACCACTCCAACGCCTCCGTAAAATCGACATCCTCCCCCTCCTTCACGGCATCCTCATGCAACCAGCAGCCTTCCCCTCTCGCCTTCCCGCCCGTGTCGGCATTCCCCACCCCAGGGTACGAAAGGAAGTCCGGCTCGCCGAATGACCCGTTCGTATTCACCCAGAGATAGGTAAACGAGCCTTCGTTGTCATTTAGCCGCCCTTTGTTGTCTTGCATTGTGGAGGTCGTCCAGCATGAGACGTTGAGCTTGACGTTGGCGCCGAAGGAGTGGACGCTGTAGGGCATGTTGTCTGCATGGATGCGGCATGGGGCTTGGGGTTCGGTGGTTATAGTCATGTAAGGTGGGTATTTTGGGGCGCGGGTGAAGAGGGAGAGGGCATGGACGAGGTTCAAGAATGGAGCCATTGTGGTTGCTTGGTGTTTGGAACTCAATGGTTGTTGATTCAAACGTAATCGCTATTGAGTGGGATCCAGCGCACAATGAGTGCGAATATTCTGTTCCCGGGGTTGGGGTAGCACTATATATCGCCGAAGGATTCCAGGTTAAGAAGGCGACAATATATAGCACGTGGCTTTGAGGGAGGGCGCGCGGTATCCATATTGCTGTTTTGATTGTATGCATGGAATATGCATGCGGAGGATTAGGATAGGAAGGCGTGGTAGCTTACGGCTATTTGTTTTCGTACGTAAATAGCCGGGTTCGCTGCTCTGAAGGGAGATGCAGCCGATGAAGCTCAAAGAGTTATGCACGACTTACGGTATGTATATAGAGACACAGGAAGGCGATACTTCATGTACATCAAAAAGGCGTGGTAGTACCGCGCGGATGGTAAGCGTAGGATAAAATCAGCATGTGTTGTAGCTACGTATAAGATTATGCTTCTCTGAGAGTTTCGCTCAACGAAGGGCGAGGGTTTTGGATACCACGATAGTAAGGACATTGATTTCTGGGCGAAGCTAGGCTCTGGGATGATTGCGACTCGCGGGGCAATATGACATTACGGACATTAGGGTGAAGTCGCGGTCGTTTCTCGTAGTCCTCATCCTAAGGCATTGGCAATGGGGCGATAGTTCAAACAACTTCAGATGTTTCTTGTACATTGAGGTGTAACAGAGAGGTACGCTGTTCCAGCATAAGCTAAGTAATATTCGAAGGAAGGAGCGCATGTGGCACGATGATGGCTCCATTGGGTGCATGCTAATTTTAGCGCGCCACTACCGGTACCTAGGACGGCGTGAAACCAACGTGTCACTTTCACTGTTCGCTTTCTCCTTCCTCCCAATCCGTTGACAGCGCCGCACACATCTCTGATGCTATCGCAAGTCACTAACCGTGAGTGAAAACAGCTTTTATTGATATTCCCGGAGCTTTCAATACGATGAACATGCCGGCCCCGAGTACCCGAGGGATCTCGGCTGGAATACCAAGACTGTTTTCCCGGCGCCCATTGGCGGAACCTCTCTATACGAGGCGAGGGAACTAGGCAACAGCATTCATTGTTTGGTTTCTTGTAAGCAGGTACTCCGTGCGAAAAAGTAACATTGGCCTTTTGCAACGAGTTAGCTACATAAGACTGCTAGCCTCGTGCTCGTCCAGCCTACCTTCTAGCCCGCACCGTTCATTATGGCTGCGCTTACACCCTTTCCGACGTTCGCGCCCACTGGAACATATATAGTTCCTCCTTCACACTCAGTCACCCACTTCACACCCGCGCCCTCGTGCTCGCCAGAGAAATTATGGCTTGTCTCTACTCAAGGATGTTCCGTGAACGGAGCTAATGAAGCCAATGGGAGATACCCGTCATGGGCTGAATGCGCAGTTACACTGGCCGGCGACCCTCATCCACCGTGGAGAAACCCTGACTGTTACCCATGGAATCTTCAAGGCGACGATGGTAGCAAGGTATTCGTCTCCGAGTGCCCCGTCGGATACACCACGGTATGGAATAGCCAAGGAAGGCAACCTTACTATGACACAACAACGCTCGTCGAAGGAAACATGATCACCACGGCAGTAGAATACAAGGACATTGTTGCGCATTCCGCAGTCTGTTGTCCCGATAATACCCTCGGCGGCTTCCATTACAACTTCTGGGAGACGAAATCTGATTACGTCAGCTACATCAAGACAACCGATCCTCAGGGTCACTCCGCTAGGGTCAGCCTTTACGTACCACCGCGATGTGTTGCAGCCTCCGTATGCGCTATACCGCCTACCGTGACTCTGGACGTGGTATTCAATAGCGAGATTGTCGCCAAGAAGCACCGCCGACAAGATGAGTCGGTCGATCCCATCTCTCCAGTTGGCATCGTCACTCGTCCATGGGATGCAAGCAATAACGTCCTCTTTGCTAACGAGGTCCAATACTCATACACTGTTTTCCATGGGACGTATACTTGCTTCGAGGACTGCTACAACTATGCCAGCTACTCGTACCATAACACAGACCCGAATTCGTCGGCTTCCTCCGTTGACAAGGACCTTAACGATTCGACAGCCGATCATGATCCGCAGCCGACCAAATGCTCAGCATCACCCACTGATTCAGGGCCTTCCGAAACTAGTACTCCCGAATCACCCTCATTTGGAACAGGTGGCTTAGGATACAATAATACGACCGCAACGGGCTTAGGCCATTCGACGGCTGGAGCACCTGGTGGGACGGGGACGGGTGCGCCCTTGCCGTCCATGTCGGAGTTTCCTGGCGCCGCTACAATGACAGTATCCTCCTCCCTGTGGCAGTTGTTTCTCTTTGCGATAGTTGCAATCTTGTAGTAGGACTGTGCTGAATTAGTATAGAAGCGAGCAGTCATGTGAGGATCTGAGGAAATGTGGGCTGTTTTACCGGCAGTTATTCGTCGCATCTGTTCGACTACCACACGGTCTGGTTTGCACCTTTTTGAAAAAGAGAAAATCGATAAGCGTGCTCAATCATTCTCGATTGCCATAGAATCATGTTGCTTTGAACGTCCTAAGCAAACCGTCCCACTACTACTTGCGGTGATGCTACAAACTGGCTGTAGGTTGTGTGTCTCACGGCTTGGTGTTTTAGAAAGATTGTATGATTCACATTGACTTAGCGCGCAAACATCACAGAAGCCCAGTTCAAATGTGCTATAAAGCTATTGCTGCTAGACTTTCATCTGAGCAGCTATTCAAATTTAACCGTTATTATGTTTAGCATTTCGATGACAAAACAATGATACTCCTGTCGAGCGACGGCGCTGAGCTTTGTGAAGAAATTTCTTCTTGTCTCGATCGATATACTTAGCCACGAAATCCTGGTGGAATACAATGCCTGATGAAAGATATCGCCAACAGGCGTGAATGAATGCTGGTCATTGTGCACCCGGGCAACTCTTTCACCATCGTAGATGCATAATGGTGAAAGAAGGCTTGAACTCACAAAGCGCATATTCACTGTACCTGCTCTCCCAAGTGCTATATAAACAACTTTCCCATTGACTCTAAGCTGTCAAACCACCCCAATAACACACCAACGCAACCCGAACTCAGACTCCTTCAACAGCTTCTCCGTTCCAAATCACCCTTCCAACTCGAAACCGACACAAAAAAGAAAACAGAACCATGTCTACACTCTACTTCAAGGCTTCCCTTGACAACACCTCCCAGCCTGTTGGCCAGTCGCTCGTCTTTTCTCCACTCCGTCAGCTGGCTCTGAAGGACCGTCGTGACCTCGGCATGGGTCCCACATTCAAACTTATGGTTGGCGAGAAGATGGTCGGCAAGGAGATCCCCAAGCGCGCGGCCATGGCCATGTCGAAGTTTTTCAACGACGCCCTTTCCAAGTACCCGCGCTCGACCACTATCATGCTGGGCCCGCACGATGTCTCCGAGGACTGTGTTCTGGTAATCGTGGACTTCATTACTAGTAATGTGAAGGTTAACAACCCGTTCAACCTTCGTACCAAGGAGCACTTCGGTCGCGAGCTCGCGCTCTACCGCCACGCCGGCCTTTTCGGCATGATGCACCATGCCGGGAGCATGCGCGCTTCCTTGTTGGAGGACCTAAACCATAACATCCATATCCCCTCGTACAACGCTCTCAATGAGATTTCCGAGCTCCCGGACACCGATATTGTCTATAAGATGGCTGTCCGCCGAATGGAGGGCCTCGAGCATATCGGCGAGCTCACTGGTGATCAGGAGTGGCTGGCTTGGCTCAACGAGCACGACCACTTCGCGATTGACATGGACGCTTGGAAGGCGGAGCGCAAGGCGCGCGACGCGGAGAAGCGGGAAGTCCAGCGCGAGATTAACTTCGAGCGCAACTTCCCCGCTTTGAAGTAGGCAGATCCTTGATACTGCTGATCCTTGAGAGGCATTGGATCTTGGTGTCCAGCCTTGGTTCAAGTCAAGCTTCTCACCGATCAAGTATTGGTATCGAACGTGTTGGACATGGAAACAGACGTGTTCATGCTTTCATGCATAAGCTTGCATCGAGTATCCCCTTCGGAAGAATTTTCATGTTGACGATTACTTGAACTGTACTAGCAACTCGACCAGAAACTCTTTTCGGTCGGGCCATTTGTTGTTCTTAGATCTTCATTTCAAATAGCATAGCCCCTAATATACCCTCATCCATTCGAAAGCCTGTATGACAGTGACACCTGATCGACTTACCTTGCTTCCTTCTTAAAACCGCCTTAACCCCATGTTTTGCTTCAATTTTAATACGGACGCTTGCATTTGTCCCTAGTCCCTGAAGATCGTGACATACGCTTTTGAACATGCCTGAAAGTCTCGAATTGAACTCGCTATACCGCATCCGGTAGTAAATCTCTTATTGGTCAGATCAACTGCACTAGGCGTCGGTGTACCGTCGCGGGAAAGGACACGGAGATAGCGGCTATCTCCACGGAGACAACGTAGGAACCCACAACCTCTCCCAGAGCGTTTCCGAATTGGGTTGTATATCTCCCATTGGATGACTACGAATACAGTATGGACAATGTTGACAAGTTTGAGAAGTCATGGAGTATAAGTAGTTGGACGAGTGGCTGTTTAGGAGGCATACAAGTCTTCAGCTTTTCTTCATTAACATTAAGAAAGCTGAGAAAGTTCCAAGATGCCTTCAACCACACACAGCGAGTTCGGCCACGATACCGAAGCCCTCGAAGTCGCCAAAGCCTTCGCTAATGGCATCCGCGGCAAGACTATCATTGTTACGGGCGCGAACAGCGGCGGTATAGGATTTACCACATTGCAAGCCTTTGTACGTCTCTAACATCTCTCCTCTTGTTATGTATTGGAATGGGTTCGACTAACACTCATTCAGGCATCTCAGTCCCCAGCGCACCTCATCCTCGCCAGCCGTACACCCTCGAAAATCCAAGAGACTGTCGAAAAACTCAAGGCCGAGTATCCTAGCGTCGACTACCGCCCGCTGACCCTCAATCTCTCCTCTCAAAAAGCAGTGCGCGATGCTGCTGCGGAAGTCCTTTCCTGGCAAGATGTCGACGCAATCGATATCATCGTCAACAGCGCGGGTGTCATGGGTCTTCCAGATCGTCAGCTCACGCCTGATGGCATCGAAATGCACTTCGGGACCAACCACATCGGACACTTCCTCTTTACCTCGCTGCTGATGCCGAAGCTGCTCACCGCAGCACAGCGCAACTCTAGAGGTGCGACACGCGTCGTGAACGTCACGTCTCTATCGCCGCTTGTTGCGGGCATCCGCTGGAGCGACGTCAACTTCGACAAGTTTAACAAAGACTTGCCGGAAGAGGAGCGCCCAAGTGAGAAGATGTTAGCTATGTGGGGGTTCACCAACATTCTGGAGAGATCGTACATCCCTATCGAGGGGTACAATCAGTCTAAAGCCGCCAACGTCTTGTTCTCCATTGGTCTGTCGGACCGTTTGTATCAGAAGCACAGTATTGTTAGCATTGCCGTGCATCCGGGTGTCATTCCAACAGAGCTGGGTAGAGACTTTGGGGAAGAGATGGAGCAAGCAGTGGTCAATATAGGAAAGTCAGGGATGGCCACATATAAGACTTTGGGTGCGGGGTCTTCGACGAGCTTGACGGCAGCGCTGGATCCGAAGCTCGGTGAGGGTGTTGGTGAGGAGAAGGATGGCAAGGTATATGGTGCCTATATGATCGACTGTCAAGTTTCGGACAAGGCAAATGTGCGGGCGTGCTCGAGGGGAGAAGCGGAGAAATTGTGGGAGCTTTCTGAAAAGCTGGTTGGCGAAAAGTTTGCTTGGTAGTTTGGCACTCCGAATCTCCTACAAAGAAAATCCAATTCAATCACGGAATATCATCTCATAGGTGTGTAGTGAGCACTCGAAAATCTACCTTCTCTTGATTAATGCGTTTGCAATCTTCTACATGCGTGGGGGAGTGCCGATGAGAGAGAAATCCATAGAGGAAAAGCCTTAGAAGAACGCACATTTTGCTCAAATGGATGAGGAGATCTTGGTCGCTCGGCTAAAGACACTTGAAGTATGGAATTTCACGCTTGTACGTTGTCTTGGGGCGACCGATAAACGCGAAAATTTGCGAGAGTATATCAACTCGCTTTCAATCGACTTTAGCGCACAGCTATGACCCGAGACACGACCAATATTCTGCCCGCCGACTAACATTCAAAGTACAAAGTCGGCTGAAATATTATTCCTTGGCTGCGTCGTGCGCGTGTGTCCGTGTCCCTTGGGTTGAAGACTTGTCACTTGCCTTAGAAAAAGACTCACCTCCCCACACCTCCAGCATCGACACTAAACATCACTAACTCCAAAGGCTGCCATTGGCAGATCGTCCTGCGTTGCAATACTCGTCATGGATCTTGCGGCGCGCCAGAAGGCGATTGAAGGGGAGACACTGTCCAACGAGGAAGCGATTATCCTGCTCTACACACGAAGGGATTACTACGCCTCGCCTGATAGCGTTGACTCGCAAGCGCTTCACGCCAAGTTAGCAGATCTTTTCGAAGCAGCCGTCCTCGATGCGAAGATTGCCGTCGCTGCGCATGACCCGGTAGTGAAGGTGCTCAAGAAGGCACTGTTGGATACGGGCCGCTTACTGCACGCGGCAAAGCAGGCTGAGAACGAAGTGAGCAAAGGCGAAAAGAAGGCCAAATCTCAGGTAAGCTTTACTCTTATTGTACAATAGAGCATTTGACTAACATGATGAACAGTTGACCACAAAAGATGGTGCAGCGACGCGCGCGGTCGAAGTACAGGCGGAGCGCGAGTCACTTGCTCGCCCGACTGAACATCTGTCGCAATCACAGCAAACCTCCAACCAGTTAAGTCCGCAGAATCTGGATGTGACTTGTGAACAGACACAGGAGATTGCGTCTGTTCCAGCTTCCGAGAATCTATCAGTACCGCAGGCAACGCCAATGAAGATGATGAGGGCAGCCGCACAAACGGAAGGCAACAACGTTGAACGTGTGCCGCATCTACTGCAGAATCAGAACAACCCAAAAGCACGGCATCCGGAATCTTCCCGAGAACAGGCCCAGAAAACAGCGCCTGCTCATCTCGCCACGATCTCGACAAAACAACACGCAAACGCAAACATTGCGGCGCCAGACTCCCTCAGCAGCCGTATCAATGGTAGCCTGGGAGCCGTTAGCCGTTCACCAAATCCTGCCCAGCACTACGCCCAAGAGATTGTGCGGACACAGCAGTTAAGGATTCAGCAGAGGGCGCAGGCAGATAAACAAGGCAACGACGACACCAACATGAGCCCGCTACCTCCTTCCTGCTCCGTGTCCCCTTCCCGGCCGCTCAGCTCTATGCAGGCGTCGATGTCCACCTCGATCGCAACCTCTTCCCCTGCCGCCGCATTCACGTCAGCATTCGCACCCGCGAAGCGACCACCGCCCACCCCGCCGAAGGCGCCTGCACCCAAGCGTCGCAACACCACGGCGAAGGGGCAAGAGCCAACCCGCAAGAATCGCCGCAAGAAGCTTCACAAGTCTGATAAGCTTGTGGTCGAGTCTGAGGACTCAGACGCTGAAATGAAAGATTCCAACACCATCACGCCTTCCAAGGTAGGTGCGATTGATCCTTCCGAGGGCCTTACTGGATTCGAGAACTTCGATGAGAACGGAAACTACATGAAGAAGCCTCACGCTCGCCTGCTGCTGGAGAATGGGGAGCTGAGGGGGGCGCTCATAGTGAAACTGAAGCTTTCGCCGGAAAAGCTGCAAGAGGTCTTGGATAGAAACAAGAACGTGGCGGAGCCGAAGAAGTTAAGGTTAAGGCTGAAGGTGCAACCATCTACTCCCCGCACATCCGCTTCATATCACACTTCTGCCGCTCCGAATGCGGGGCTCTTCTCAACCCGGCCTGAACCCGGAATCGCTAGTGACGACGAAGACGCAGCATGGGAATCCGGTGAGGAGATGACTGCGACCGCGCACATAGCTGACGTGACTTTTCCGCCTTTCCCAGTCCTCAGCGCAGCCCACCTCAACCCCTTCATGAAAGGCCTCATTACCGCTATCGAGAACGTCATCACCGACCACGCAGACAGGCCGGAAGCCAGTCTCCTCGAGCTCGTCAAGCAGCTGGACGAAGAAAAGCCGACGCTCCCCGCCGGTTTCGATGAGCGCCGCATCGTGCTGAACGGCGGGGAGTACGTGTACGCGGCAGTTCACCAGCTCTGCGGTGATGCAGTCCAGGAGAAGGACGCGGCGAAGGAATCAGGTGTTGACGCTGACGTAGACTCCAACACGAGCGTCACCTCTTCCACCGACGTCAACACCAACATGAGCGTGTCTATGGATGCCGCCGCGGACGTCAAACTCACCGACAGCAATGATGGCAAGGGCATCACACCTCTCCCCGAGAAAGCTTACTACAAAGGCAAAGGCCGCGCGTGGAAGAAGACGCCTAATGACGCAGATCCCGCTTTCCACACGCAGACCAAGATCAGCGTCTCGAGCTTGCCCAAGCGGGTGCTCAGCCGTAGGAAAGCCACCCGCGGCGGACGGAAAGACTCGTGGAAGGAGGATGGGGTGGAGGAGCTGTTCGCTCTATTCCGCGCGCATGTGAAGAAGGAGTATTGGTTCCAGGCGGGCCGACTGGGGGGTCAAACCTGACAAGGGCGTGCTACCGGTGTGGTTGTGGGAGGGTTGAAGAAAAGGGAAAGGACGGGTTCGAGCGGGGAGCATCGAGTGTTTTCGGTATTTTGGCGCCACGACAGAAGTCGAACGATTTGCAGCTTTGGTCTTTTCTACTCTAGAGTAGGATTGTGTCCTCCAGCTTCTGAAGCAGGATCGTAAGCGCAGCGGTAAAATGAAAGCAGCGACATGAAGACTATGAGATACAGGAACTATAGTTGTGCACATGTCAATGGACTAACAATGAACAGTTCCAGTACGAACTGTCCATGTAAGATGCGTGAGTATGGAGCAAAAAGCTTTAGGTGTGTATACGAGAAGCGTGCGCATGTGGTTGAATTTTTTTGCTTTGATTGTGTAATAAGATAAGAGACGTACGTACACAGACCGGCTGCCCTTCTTTCCTACCATGTCTATTTCTCCACAGCCGTTTCACTGTTATCTTCATCGTACAATTATTCCCACCATCGTACATTGATCATCACCACTTGGAATGTGCGTCGTACTCCCGTGGATGTCATTTCCTGAATCATATTACCCCTCTAGACGCCCTCGCTCATTATAAGAGACAACGACAGTCAGTTCTGTACGATCCAAGCTGTTGAGGCTCCGCCGGCATGCCTTGCCCGCCCATTTCGGTTGCGGCTCCGTGCCTAGATCCAACGGCGCAGAGCGGGGTGAATGCACAAGGTGCTTTGGGCCACGGGCGCTCGCTCCTGGCCAAATCATGGCGCCGTCGGTGAAACTCGATAATACCGGGCCGCTATGAGTGATGAGTAGACACATGGTTGCCGACGCGAATGTCTGTGTTTCGTTTTCTAAGAGCCACAACTACACATTTAATTTGAATTGTCGGTAATCGTGCGAAGCATTGCCGGTCTGGCTGAGTATCGGAGCGCTCTTTATCTGGTGTGGCTGGCAGAATGCATCCGATGCAAATACACTCCATCCACCAGTGCGGCTCCCGAAGTAGCATATGCACGGTGCTAGGCGGTGGTCGGCTTCCGCGTAGCGCCATCTTGTAGCGGATACAGTAGAGCAAGGCAATCCCATCACGGGGCCAGATACGCCTCAGAGCTTCAATAGCGTGGGACTGCTTTTCGTTTGCGATCTTCCGGAGGCAATCAGCCACCACTAGACCAATCGAGACAAAGGTTGTTGCTGCTCGGGAAGATGATCCTTTCAATACGGCGCCTGCGTGTACGGTCGGAATAGTTGATGGCTCTGCTGGATCATCTGCTCGATCTTTCCAGTTTCGTTGGCTTCGAAATCCTGCATCAACTGCATCTGTTGCTCTTGATTCAAGCCCATTCCTCGACCAACGCTCTCTTGACTCCATTGTGGATACAAGTAATCGGTCATTGGGTAACCTTGATGTGCCGCGTAATTTTCGTTGTAGATTGGTGAACTTGCCTGCTGCATCCCATTCATGCCAAATGTCTCCTGCGGTGCCATAGTAAAAGTGGGGTTCCAATGCGGAAGCTCTGCGAATGTTGTGGGTAGAGGTGTGAATTGGGTAGTGGGTGGGTAGCTGAAAGTAGGCATGTTGTCGATCGCAGGTTTTGTATGCGTGTCGATGTAAGGCTGTGGGGGTGCTTGTTGGGGTGAAGTGTGACTTGAAGCAGGCCGGGCGCTTGGAGACGGCGATGACCTTGTCGCGTGAGGAGAGTTGTTGAAGTTGAAATGGGCTGGATTCTGATTCTGGATCGTGGGTAAATAGCCGAACGGAGGCGGTACACTTTCGGAGGGCGTTCTCACTGATGCGGTCGACGCTGAGGCCGGGCTTGTTGTGCGGGACCTGTTGATGCCCTCGACGATGCTCGATGAGACAACCGATGCGCTGTCGGATGGCGAACCGGCCGCGATGGGAATGTCGCCATCTTTGTCATATATCCTCATACATGCGCCGATAAGGTTTTGGTAGAGCCCAAGAGCAGATGCAACACCCGGCCATCGTATGGAAGCCAACTCGATTGACTCAAGCGCAACCCTCAAATGTCCTTCGACTTCCTCTCGGCTATGGTTGCGACGAACTTCAGAGTACGAAAGACTCCAAAGCATGACATTCACCGCCATGAAGATCGCTTGGGTGAAGATCCACGTTATATCTACGCTCTGTGTTTGGATCTGCTTTTGGGTCATGTAGATATTGTACTCGCAGGCATCAAAACACAGCACCGCAGCGCGTGCAGTGGGACGCGGAATCTGGGGGCAAGGGCGGTATAAGAGACAAACCATGGTGTTGTATCTTCCGACGAACCTGTCAAACTGTAAGAGAAGCCGCAATGGCACGAAACTCGACTTACCAGACTTTGTTGAGACCTGAGCCAGCGTCCATCTCCGGACTTGTGTCTCTCCACGCTTCAATTTTGGCCTGCATTTCGACAAACCAGGGGTCTTGATCGTCTTTGGGTTCGGGTCGCTTTCTGAGGTAGAGTTTCCTTCGCATTTCCAGCTGTAACAGTCGCATCTTGTAGAAATGAATTGCTATCCATTTCTTCAACGAAGGTTGTGGTGCTGGTCGGATGCCTTCTTTCGTGATAAAAGGATCGTCGACAAGTTCGCCGAAATTTACATCAATGTGTTCGCGCCTGGTGGCAAAGTGACTCGGACGACCCAGACTGTGGGAAAGACCATAATCCATCGTCAAGATGCTCCAAAACACCCGTCGGCGCATGTCAACCTCGAGAGGGTCGGCAGGCCTGCCACCAAGGCCCATGGTGATGGTCTTCTCCTCGTGTAGCCCTAAAGCCTGACATAACCTTACGCCCAGACCCACTATGTAGTATACTGCAGTTCTGGTCGGAGTTAGCAATGAGTAGCCGGCGATTAGCGTAAAGCATTGCAGGGTTTTGAGGTTCATAGGCTTGATCGCCTGCTCAAAGTACTTCAGCGCAGCAAGATAGTAACTATCCGCCAGACCGGCGTATTGTGTGTCCATTCTTTGGAGGCTGATGGCAATCACCATGCGGAGGCAAAAGTTCTGATAGGCATCAGTGGATCCGTTGTATACATCCTCGACATCTTGGGTAAAAGTCGGCTCGTGGAAGATAGGGTACATGGCATGGACTGCAATTATCAGTATCCCCGGACTCGATTAGCCACGAGAACGCTCACCTTTGCAGTAGAACAGTTCTACGAGCAAATTCGTCAGGTCTCTATTGGGCAGGTCTTCAGCCGCTACATCGCTCACAAGCGGATAAACCTTTGACGTTGGCCGGGCATCTTCCTGATCAAAGGCCGCCTTTATGGTCTTCGCGCGCGCATCTGGGACGATTTCCGAGATGCTCTTCGAATCGGTGAATTGCTTCGCCAGCTGCATGACCAGGCGCGTGATGGTGATGCCACTCGAGGGCCCGAGAAACTTGGACTCGTCTGTGTCTTGCACCTTGACAGCGGCCGCCCCCCGCATCACATCCTCTTGGTCCGGCTCGCCATCATCCTTCTCCAAATCGGCAAGCTGCTTCTCAAGCTCGCGCACCTTGTGCTGCAGGTGTACAACGTAGTTGCGGGGGATCTTTGTGCTCTTGGCGGGGTCGTAGTATTCGCAGTGAGAATTGGTGCGCTCGCATGGACCGCAGCGGGGTAGGCCAGGATCACATCGCGTCTTGCGCTGTAGATGTCTCAGTCTCAGTACGTGTTCAGGGCGCCCGCCTCGGTGCGCAGTCTGTCCTTACCGTGCGGCAGCGGCAGCAGGCCGTGAGGGTGTGGGCAATGCGATTAGGGGAAGCGGATGCGCCCTCCTCCTTTGACTGCAGCACGCCGTTGGTATGGCCGCCGTGCTGGGTGTTCGAATCCATCGTCACCGTGGGAGAGTTCGCGCGCTCGCTCTAGGGGAAGTCCGGCGAAGGGGAACGTCAGCGGATATAGCGACGGCGCGCACGTCCATCCCAGAGAAGGTCGGTAGCAGGCGAGGCGCGGGACGTGTGGGAGGGTGGGAGAGTCGGCGAGGCACCGGCTTCGATGTTTGTGCCACAGCCAAGCGCAGAGGCAGAGCGAGGCAGGTGTGAGCATATGTCTCTCCACGGCGGTAGTGACATTCCCACCCCGGCGCGCGTCAAATAATTACCGGCCCTTAGAACGCCTCGTCCACACATGGCCCAACTGTCGAGCCGCGCCTGCTAGCCAGCCCAACGCGGACGCTTCATCCTGTGGCGCGGCGTGGGAGCGTTACTTGATAGGCTGTGGCCGCCTCGGCGAGCAAACGTCAGGCACGGCCGCCTCGTATCTCACCGCTGGCATTCCATCCCTACCTCGCTGAGAACCGCACCGTCTGCACCGCATCTAGCGGGCCATCGTACAGATCGCCTACGCGCCATTCCTCCCGCAGCCGGTGAGGCCGTCCCGCTGTCAATCAATCCAGAGGGCGCAGTGCGCATTGTGCATCAGCTGCGCCTCGCGCAGACCCTGTCCCCCCTCAACACCACGGCCGTCGACCGACGCACGAGCTGAACGACCCTGTCGCCCTGTGCTGCAAACCATCCCATGCTCTGGCCCTGTCACACTAAGCCCGTATTGTAGCCTCCACCGACTCGGTAAGTCCATTTGCCTCTCTTCGATATGTCGTATCGTCAGCCTGGTCTTCGCCGCTCCCCTTGCCTTCTCCAGCTTTCTTAATCATGTCCTTCTCCGCTTCTGTGTGAGCTTTCCTGAGTGGTACCAAAGAACCCCACTTCTTACTGTCGGACCTTCTTTTGCTCTTCATGTGAATTCGTGTTGATATCCGCCATGATTCCAGATCTCGACGTCTATCCCCTCGTCGGAAACGACCTCATGGTACTGGAAACACCGCTGCTCCGCGTGAGCAGACCTGTAGCCGCTTGCCAGAGATGCAGGGCTGCCAAAATCAAATGTGACGGGAAGCTGCCCGCATGCACTGCGTGCGAGAAGTCCAACCGTGCCACCGAATGCTCCAGCACTAATGACCAGTTCGCGCGTGGAAAAGAAAGGAGTTATGTCGCAACGCTCGAAGCAAAGGTGGAGAGATTGGAGAAGAAGATAGCCGACGCGAAGAAGGCGCGAAGGAAGTCATCTCTGATGATGCTTGACACCGATATGAGCAGCCCGCGACGTTCTTCGGTGGACACCGTAAAGGCCGGCAGCTCTAATAATCGAGCTGCTCAGCGGAAAGAAGCATCAAGCATAGACGAGCTGGTGTCGGATTTTGGCCTTTTGTGAGTGCTTTCCGATGATTGGTCCCGAAGCTCGTATTGACCTTCGCCAGGGCTGTAAACGCCACTGCGAGAGATTTCTACGGTTTCACCACCGAGATGTCATATGCGCGCCTCATCTTGTCTGCGAGCTCAAAGGAACCCATGCCAGCAGGGCTAACAAAGAAGCTCCCTCCACGGTATGCGGCGACACCTCTGATCCAACAGTATGTGAACAATATATTCACAATTTTGCCGATATTCGAGGAAGCAACCCTGTACGCCTGTGTTGACGCTGTGTATCACCTGGAAGGTGTAGCGAAACCTTTCGATATTTGGGTTGTCCGCATGGTGCTTGCTATCGCATGTCTATCTCAGTCGGAACAGCGAGGCGACACTCTGTACTCGGACGCAGTGGGACACGCGAATGCTGCCCTAGAGCAGGCCGAGAAAGTTCTTCACCCTGGTTTCATCAGCAGTATACAAGCACAAGTCTTGCTGGTCATATACGCTACCATGGACCCGCACCACTTCGACAGCTGGACCCTGATTGGGGCTGCTTCTAGAGCCATGGTTGATCTTGGCATTCACCAGGACCCATCCAAGAGCACATCAATAGCTCGCCCAAAGCTGGAGATCAGGCGGCGCGTGTACTGGTGTGTGTATTCGCTGGATCGGTATGTTGTTGCGAACGTTGTTGTAGTGTCGTTGCTGATCTTGCCAGGTCGACTGCGCTGGTGCAAACTCGTGCCTTCTCCTTTTCGGATGAATCCGCACACGTGCACCTTCCCTTTCACAGCTCACCCACATCATCCAAACATACATCTCCGCAGAGCCACGTCTTCTTGCAGGCCTTCGATTCTGCGCTCGACCTGTTTAGGATTCGCCAAATCCAGTCCGAATGGTACATGGACCTGTTCCAGTCTGGCCGCGAGCCATGGCAAGACCCATACCCATACATTTGGACCATGTACAATCGTATGACCGAATGGTTCCAGTCCATGTCCCAGAGCACACTCCCGGCGCTCAGATGCTTTTTTGAGCTCGAGCTCCTCTACAGCTATGTGTACATACTGTCACCCAGCTCTCGTGTACCACACATCCAGGAGTATGCGCAGCGGCTAATCTTTGAACACTGCATCGCGTATGCAACAAATCTTCTAGCGCAGCTCAACAAGACCTCACACACGACCAAACCACCGGTGACATTCTACGATGCCATGCGGGCGTACATGACAGGTCGCCAGTTCGTTGACGTCCTTTCGCGAAATACAGACGCCATCCTGCATCCCGTACCACCTGCTCCACCGGTTCCTGCTGCTCCTACAAATGCGTCTGAAGATCCCCTTGCGCCGCCTGCTCCTGTATCTGCACCACCTTTCCCTGCACCGCTATTACCGGACGGTCACAACGTACCTTTAGACCCGATCACACGGGCCATCAATACCATAAATGACTTCACAGATATACTCTCTCGTTTTGGTCTTCGGTTTGGCTTCACTCACTGGCGAGAACGGTTTCAACGTGAATCCCAGCTACTCTTGACGCAGCTGTACAACCGCGCAGCTGCCTCGCCACATGCCTCTCCTCATTCGCAAGCCATGCCAGCACAGTACTTTAACCAACCCTGGATGAGCATGCCGGGGTCCTCACCACAGCAACAACTTCACCATGGTGTGCCAACAACGCCACCAGCAATCTACCCTCCACAGGCAAGTCCGTTCGGCTCAAGCCCATACAATACTCAGGCTAGTCCGTATGCATCACATTCACCCGGCCAGATGCAAGATTGGACTACACCACCATCTCAGCCGATGGGAGACATGCCACAACCGACGGAAGGAAGAATGAGACAAGCTCTAGTATACGGGCCAGGGATGCACGCACAACAACAAATGCATTCTTCTGGGGCAGATTCTGGTGGACCGGTGCAAGACCAGAATAATAATCACTGGAGATGACCAGGTTTCGCCCTTTCCCTCATTCTTCACGCACATTGAATACGATCTCTGTACATTACATAACGTCAATCGAAGTTAGCGCGGCGTCAAAATCGTTATACATAGCTATGATTTCATACGGAAACAACCGCATCTTCCCTGCGCCTCTCGACTCCCACAGCTCCTACAGGAACTTGACTCCTTTCGTTCGTCCCTTCGCACGAGAGAAACGCGAAGCTCTTGGCAAGATCTGCATGTGTACTAACAAGCAACGCTCAATAGAAAGCTTCAACATCTGTAACTACTACTGGGCTACTTGGTTCCTTCGTCTCCCTCATTCTCATGTTCGATTACTCGTAGAGAATTTTCAAGTGGTCAGCTCCGCCCACTCCTACTTGGCGATTGGTGAGAGATGATTATGATCAGAAAGGAGGCTTAATGCTGTGAAACTTCAACTTCATTCTCTATTACGCCAAGCACGAACCCAGACAATTTGAAATGATGAGGGCCAAGAACGTCGTAAACGTTGTGTACCACATTTGGCCCCCCCAGCTTTGGCCCCATGCTCAACGGGGCGGAATCATAGAATCGATGGATTACTCCGAAAAGTTTCCATCGAGGCACCGTGTCACTTCCATATGCAGGCTTCGGATACTATCGCCTCGATGTACGCTCAAAAGCATTCATGACCAAACAAACATTTATTTAATATCTTTAGTACTGAGTGATACAGTTGCGATGGATTGAGCGATGTCTTCTTCCCAGTCACGGAAACGCACTGTCACTACCAAGTTGCTCCTACTCGAGAATACTTTGCCTACTTTGACCTACGCACATAGATCCTGAGGCAACGGAGTACTCCCGTAGACTATGTAGCAGGGCGTAAACTCAGCCCTATGCGCCTTGCCACGCTAGACCCCACAAGGCAAGTGTTTTGCGAGGATGTTCAGGTCCTCAGCCTCACCGTCAGGTCTATGATAATGACACTTTTGTATTAATATTCTGCAGTGCAAATGCTGATGATATTCGAAGTACCGCTATCTATTACGCATCTTCTTACTGCACGCTATGGTCAATCTAGGTCGGTCATGGGGCTGCGGTATGTGCAAGCAGCGCCGTATCAAATACGATGAGAGTGAGCCTGCCTGCAAGAGATGCACCAAATCCGGATATGCCTGCCCGGGCTACGAAGTGGAGAAGCCACTAAGGATCAGGTTCAAGGACGAAACGGCGTTAGTGGTGCATCGGTTGGGATCCGGCCCACCGCATGCTCCCGCACCGGCCGCAATACACGAGGACTTCGAGACGCAAGCCCTGAATTTCTTCGTCAATAACTTTGCGACTGCTGGAAGAGACTCGGTTTCCAGCCGAGGGCTGTGGGAGAGCGTGGCTCCTACTATAAGTGCGTTACCAGCCACTTCCCCGGTTGCGGACGCGGCTACCGCAGTTGGCGGGATCCTGTTCAACGTGTGGCGGTTACACAGAAATGGTGTATATGCAAGGAATCCAGCGTTCAACCGTGCCATTATTGGCCTTCGGAAACGGCTAGGATCAGGACCATTCGATGGATCCGAGATTCTGATGACTATACTACTCCTGCAGTTCCATGAGAATATCGCCGCCGTATTCGGCTTACGTGCCGCATCCCGAATGCATTACAATGGAGCTCTTGCGCTGATCCGGAGCCTCCCAATAGAGAGTTTCTCCACTGTGGCGTCGCGAGGTCTGCTGCTCAACGTTCTCAACATCGAAGTCTCGTTAGCGATTCGCGAATGTCAACCCGTACGTAGAGAGCCCGGTTTCATTACTACGATGTTCTAGCTATTTTGCGACTGTGTTCCACGCGGTTAACTCAGGCTAGATTGATGTTCACCCCCATCTACACGCTTGAGATAGGCTAATCTTTACTTTTAGGTCGATCCAGGTCTGATACCCTGGTTCGCTTCATTGCCGTACACATTGCCTCGAACCCCAGCAATGAAGCTTAACTGGATTGGGGTTTCAGTCGCAAATATCCAGCACAGCTTTGCGGTCCTCCTGAACAGCCATCCACGCTGCTCTGGGAGGCAATGTCCACACGAGACTGAGATCACTACGATTTACGACGCGATCCTCGATTTCCAGGAGGCATCTTCCGAATGGCTGAGGAACGTTCCAAAACACTGGCTGCCGCAGAAATGGACACCTTCGACCAACATGCCGAAAACGCATATTCCCATGTACCAAGAAACATGCGAGATTTACCCTTCGGTCCAGGTCGCTTCCGTCTACAACACGTATCGCGGCTATCAACTCATTATTAACAAGATGTTGAGCATCATGCAAACGCATAGCTGGCTTCAGCCTCACATGGGCCCGCAAAATCCTAGTGAAACCATCCAGTCGGTTGTGGACTCCATGTGCTACTCCATCCCCTTCTACCTCGGCAACCGTGATGATGTTCACTACATTACGGATCTCACCCAACCAAAACCGCAATGGGTGTACCCTGCATACCACAATATGCAGGATCCACCAATTGCACAGGAACATATGCTCCCCGAAGACATACACATGAAACACGCCACAGCATACGGCGCATGGCATTCCATGTACCCACTCTCGATGCTCCTCGGGATATTCGGAAACCACGCAGGCTACGACTGCGACTGCTTGACGCGAACAATTCGTCCAGGTCAGCTCGCCTGGATTGGGACTCAACTCTTCCGCATGATGAAGATGTACGCCATAGATCAGGGTGTGGGCGTGGTGCCAGAGAACCCTGAGGAATGCGCGAAGACTGTGCGTCGCGCTTTGAGGTCCGTATACCAAGAGTGCTTCAACCAGTCGCTGGGCTTTCCAGACGATGAGGGAAGCCTCAACAGTCCTATCCGCGGCTTGGGCAGCTACTTGAAGATGCCTGATTTAGTCTGGGATCAGCAGCGTGCTGTCAATGTGAAGAAGTAGGACTGGCTGACTAGGAACAGATCGATGGCTGGAATCTAGGAGAGGCTGGACTGATTATGTGTCTTTTATGACACTGCCTTGCTGGATGTCTCTAGGCTGCAGCTGTTCGAAGGGCTTGACGAAGGGAACGCAGGCTCGCCTCCGAGACAGGTGTACACTGGGTTGCGACAAGGATGACGGTTTCTCCGTTTGTCGTAGAAGGCTTTAACGAGAACGGCGAACCGTCAGGAAGTCGGAGAAGTCAGTAAGATGCGAATACCCACCAATCGTCCTATTTACGGGCAGACCAATGTATCGCTAAAGTCGGTTGTAGGAGGAAAAAACAGTCGTGCATTAATGCCTATGAAGCTCTCTATAATGGAAAGTACTCTCATTACAATTAATTACCACACCCCACTGCTTTCGTTTTGAAGCCCGATGAAATCGCTATGATAACACACTACGAGTAAACCCTTAGGCGGACAACGCAGCGGAGCTCTGGCGTTAGGCGCTTAACTCCGCACGACTTGGCCTAAACTAGTTAGTCCTGTAGATCCATCGTTCTACTCTATTGCAATTCCCAGATCGCCCATGTCCAGCATTCCGCTCTTCAGGTGCTTGCGAGCAATACCCGTAGGATACACCCTTATTTTGATTCGTTAAAAGTTCGGCGCGATTGGGGAGCATTTACGGCTGCAACCACAATACCCCCGATACACTACGCCTCAACCAACCTCCACTAATCTTTGCCCACGACCAGACCACGTTATATCCGATACATAGGCTAAGTCTCCAATGTTAAAATGCAGCAAACGTTCTGCTTCGTCAACGGCACGCATATCGACAAGTCCACCAAGAAGCGAATGCGCCGCCATGTCATGATAGGCAAGAACGCTGGGAAGACTATACAACGAAAGTCGAAAAAAGATATAGTATGGTCTCAGGCTGTCAAAAAGCCACCTATGTCTTCCTTGGTCCTATGTCAAAGAGCTCAGTGGGACGGTCATCCTCACTTGGACGCCTACAAGCCGGACAGTCTATATGATCACGCGCTTTCTGGGCTTTCATTTCCCGTCAGCCTTACGCCGCATTTCGCTGAGATTATATCAAATTGTATAGTCATGGACTCTGTGCTTCAAGAATTGCTATTGATTCAAACACAGTCTTTCTCTTCGTCGCGCACAAACTATATCCTGTCGCTCTGGGTATAACAATGGACAAATCGAAGTACACCTGGATGAGCATCCTAATGTCTGACAAAGCCGGTATCTATTCGCTTCTCCCCGGTTATGATTCCTCCTCGCTGACATATGCTTAAGCTTTCTACTGCAACCTCGCGCTGATGCAAGCTTGCAACGAGCTCTTCCTCGGCGACGGCGAAAGCTCACCTGCAGCAATGTATCATCTCTCAAACAGCTTAAAGTACGTTAGAGAACGACTTGAAAGCAAAGAGGCGCTCTCGGACTCGACGATGGGCATCGTAATGTCACTCATCACGCAAGAGCAGTGCAGGCAGCAGCACGAAGCGGCCAACATTCACATGGACGGGCTCGCGCAGATGATCGAGCTCAGAGGTGGTCTGGAGTCGTTAGAAGGCTGCTTGCCGGTGCTGCTGAAAGCTTGCAAGTATGCAGTGCATAGTTCTAATGCCGCCCGCCCAAATGCCACTCATGTACTAACCGATACCACAGAACAGATCTCATGTTCACCCTCCAACGCGAAGAAACACCACGCTTCCACCGCTCCCGCATGCCCCAAATCATCTCCACCCTACACGCCCTAGACCTTCCCTTCGACCGCGAAGCAGCGCAAAAGCACGTTCAGCATCTCGATCTAGACGCCGCCCTCCTCGATGTCCTCCTGGATATCATATGCACGTCCGTGCTCTTCAATGACCCCCCTTCCGCACGCAAAGTAGATCTCTACCTGTTCCAGGAACTCCTCGTGACCGTCTGTTACCGCCTGCTCGCCATCCCGCATACGCATTCTCCGCCGAGAATAGAGGACGCGTACCACATTGGTCTTACGCTGTTTATGATGGAGCTTTTCCTACAGGTCGGTAAGCAGCGCGTGATGAGTTACGATAATGTAACGAGAAGGCTGAGGAGGGTACTCGAGAGCGACGTGCTAGAGGGCGAGGGTGAGCTGAGATTCTGGCTGTTGATGCTCGGCGGTGTGTGGATCTCGGACGACGAGGACGCGGAATGGCTTCTGCCGAAGATGTTTGCCCAAACGAGGAAGATGAGATTACGGAGTTGGAGTGATGCGAGGGAGGTGTTGGAGAGGTGGCCCTGGATCGGAGCATTGCATGACGGACCTGGGAAGATGGTTTGGGAGAGGGCGAGGTGCGAATAAGTGCTGGGAGTACCTGCTTGACCTGGTATTATTAACGTATACCATGAGATAGGTATACATCGCGGAGGAAATCAGTGTCAAACCTTCCAGTTGTGTGTCTCGGTTTGGTACAACTGCTGAGATGTTTCTAACAAGAATATACTTGTGTGTACCATCAGAATCACCAAGGAAGAGGAACAGCGTATCGATGAAGAGATGGCGGAGTTTTGTGCACCTTGAAATCAACAGCAGTATCGCACGCTGTACGTTGTATCTCAGCCTCATATCCATGCCGACCACCCGGGCTGCATCCATTTCCACAAAACCTATCTCGCCGACCGCCTTCTGAATAATTTCTCTGTCCAGAGACGCAACAAATTTCCTAGTGTATGCGCCCTCATGGTAACGCCGACCCGTCCGTCCAACTTTCCTTATAATGGATGCCGCGTGTCACAGGTGTCGGCGACCAGAACTGTCGGGGACCAGAATTATCTGGATGATCGCCACTGTTGAAGCCCGAAAACTCGGATCTTGAATTGAATCCGCGATCTCCTGAATGCTCAATGCCGCCCTCAACAGTGGAAATCTTTTCTAGCGTTGTCGTCCCACACCTGGGCATGTCCCGTATCAGAAACATGGGATGGTGCATTGCTGGTGTTGCCGCTCTGCAAAGAGTCATGCATGTTTACGACACCAAGAACAGGTCGGGACGCAAACACTTGTGAAAGCGATAGGAATATGTTGGCTTTAGGCTCTTCCGGGAGATTGATGATCGAATGCCTTATATATCTGAGTGTATCAATTGGAAGCGCATCCTCACTACAACCACGGTTGTGTCGAGCTGGGAGTTTTGCGGTTTGAATCAAGCAGCTACTTCGCGTACCACGGTTCCATCATAGTCATCACCACTCAACAAAACACCAACAAGTCACATCAAAGCTATATCCACGAACATTGCGTAGCAGCACATGATAATCGTGCCGCCCGGGCGAAAGAGAACGGCATGTGGCGGAACAGGATGCCTGCAACTGACTCAAGATGAGGTTCAAGCCGGCCATACCAGTCACAAAACAAGTAATTTGGTGGATCTGGATGTGAGGCTTCAGATTTTCGAAGCACTGGAGCTTCTAAACCTTGCAACCTTGGAAGGTGCAAGTGCACGTGATGTGCTTTCCTCCAGGTGTGGTGGGCACTAGTGAAGGCTTGGCGATAGCATTCTCCGCGAGCGAGGTGCGAGCGTCCGAGACCCCACTTTTACTCACTTCTCGTACTCTTCATCTAGTTCTTCCACCAAAGTCCTCATCAATGATGCCTCTGGAACAATCCCCGAGAGCCCCTCATTCGAGTACTGATCGATGTTGGGGCGCGGTTTCGGGGGTTTTGTCTGGTTGTTAGCACTGCAATGATCCAGGTCTGGGCGCGCAAAGATCAATGCCCGCTAGATGTCCGCATAGAGCCCGAGGCCTAACTACCATGGCACCAGTGGAATCGAGTATCAACTGCTCGGAAGCCTCCGCAATGCCTTGGCATGATGGGAACGAGCGGAAGATGTTGCGATGTGTGCCCGCCAAGAGTCTCTCGGCCGATTTCCAGGCATCGGGTCGTCGGCCTAGAGAACGGTGCGCTACCATGACAGCGCGCGTGTCAACTATCCTGCGAACGGTAGCGAGAGCCGATTGTACGTTCCAGTCAACAAAATCATGGCCCCGCCCTGCTGTTTCTGGCTTGTTGATTTCCGCCCGTTACTGTTCATCACACGACCACTGAAATGGTCCACTCCCCCTGAACACCTATCTCGATTCTGTACATTGAACCTTCGATGCTATTGGATTGCACACAGGATTGCTTCTCGTTGTACTCTGGCGGTGAAGATTCAAAATGGCTACTCGAAAGCTTGGGTCCTACATCCAGACCAACATCCTACATGTTGATCACGCGGCTCGAGAAGAAGAGAGTTGCAAGTACCAGAAGATAGCCCGAGAGAGCATCGAAGACCCATTTTTGGAGGAGGATCCGAGCGTCGTAGAAGCATTCCGAGGTCTTGTGCCCACAGCATCCGACGTAGCGGACTACTTTGTCAACCTGTTTCCGTCAGCATCATGGATACGTCGATATAATCTACATTGGCTACTGGGAGATGCCATCGCTGGTAAGAACAATTCTAAGTTGTCTTCTGACTTGCACTGACATGATGTTGTAGGTGTCACTGTGGGCCTGGTAGTGGTTCCCCAGGCTATGGCATATGCATCGCTCGCTCGGCTAAGCCCCGCGTACGGTTTGTATACTACTTTCACAGGCGCTTGTCTATACTGGATATTTGGCACCTCTAAAGATATCGTCATCGGGGTGAGTATATTCAATAGAACTCTCTTCATTACTCCCCTACTGACACTCGCTCAAGGCGACTGCCGTAGGGTCTTTGCTTATCGGCCAAGTGGTTAGCAGTATCGAAGAGGATAAACCAGGTGTTTATGAGGCACAAGAGATCGCACATGCGATATGCTTTCTTTGTGGTCTGGTCCTGCTATTGCTCGGATTCCTACGCCTAGGCTGGCTTATCGAATTCATACCGTACCCTCCGATCAACGCATTTGTCACGGCAGCGAGCATCACAATTATCTCGACGCAGCTACCCACTTGTCTAGGGATCAAGGGTATCAATACCCGTGAAGCGCCTTATCGAGTTTACATCAACACCCTGAAAGGACTACCCAACGCGCAATTGGACGCCGCCATAGGCATTAGCTCCATTATTTTGCTATTTGCCATACAAAATTTCTGCTCAAAAATGGAAGTTCGACAACCTAAGAAGAAGCGCCTATGGGGCATGATCTCGTCTCTTCGTCTGACCTTCACGGTACTATTATATACCTTCATCAGCTGGCTAGTGCACCGAAAGACAGTCGAAGGCCACGAGAAGTTCCGTATCGTAGGACATATCGAGAAAGGATTCTCACACGCCAGCGTCCCGGAGATGGATACAACCCTCTTTGGCCTCGTCGCCAAAGAATTGCCTGCAATCGTCATTATTCTCATCGTTGAGCACATTGCCATTGCTAAGAACTTCGGTCGTCAATACGGGTATACCGTTATCCCGTCTCAAGAGATCCTTGCACAAGGCTTCGCCAACCTACTGAGTCCATTCGTGGGAGGATATGTCTGTACCGGGTCTTTCGGCGCCTCAGCTGTGCTAACAAAAGCCGGAGTGAAGACCCCGCTTGCTGGGCTCTTCAGTGCGATGATACTAATCCTCGCGCTGTATGCCCTAACGGCCGTCTTCTACTACATTCCCAACGCAGCACTAGCTGGCTTGATCATTCACGCTACATGGAACCTGGTCACTCCGCCATATAAGTTGTATAAGTTCTGGCAATATTCACCCTTCGAGTTCGGCATATGGGTCATCGGCGTAGTACTCGCCATCTTCACCGACCTCGAAACATCGATCTACGTGGGTATCGCACTTTCATTCGCCCTGCTTCTAGTCCGCATGGCACGTACACAGGGCAAGTCCCAGGGCCAGGCAAAAGTCACGCGAGTGATCCAGCACTCCAAGCCCACAGCACACACAACCGCAGAACGCACTCCTTCTCCATCGCACACCTCTTCCACAACTACTACTGAGGACTTGACGCGCAACGCCTTCCTCCCCCTTGAGGGAGACAAAGCCCACAACCCCCGCATCACAGTCGAACCCGCCCACCCAGGCGTCTTCATCTACCGCTTCGCCGAATCCTTCAACTACATCAACCAAGCGCACCACATCGACTACCTCCTCTCTCACATCTACGCGCACACGCGCCGTACCGTCGCGGACGACGGCGTCCCACTCAAAGACCGCCTTTGGAGCGACCCACCACCTGCTCGCACATATGACGATGGTGCCGTGCAGAAGCCGGTCCTTCGCGCGGTGGTGCTCGAATTCTCGACGGTCAATGTCATAGATGTTACGAGTGTGCAAGGGCTGATTGATATGCGGACCACGCTGGACCGATATGCGGCGCCGAATGTAGTCGAGTGGCACTTTGCGGGTGTGCACAACCGGTGGACGAGACGTGCTCTGGCGAATGCAGGATTTGGCCGGCCGTCGACGAAGAATCCGGCTGCGTTTGCGGCTTGGTGTCCTGCGTATGTGGTTTCGCCTTCTTCTTCAGATGAGGGTGTGGAGAAGCGGTCTACGAGTGTGGAGGATGCGGCTGTTCTGGACAGGGGAGATTTCGAACAAGAGCTCGACGGTATTTCATCCCGATAGTAGCGAAGCGAAAGACCCGTTCAGGACTCCTGATACTGTGGATGAGGAAGCGGGTGCCGTTTTGAAGGCCGAGGAGCGAAGACGCATGAACGCTGTGTATGGTGTGGACAGACCGTTCTTCCACATTGATCTTACGGACGCGGTGGATGCCGCAGTGAGAGACGCGCGGAGATGCGAAGATATGGAAGCTGGTCGTCGAACAGAGCGTCCAAGCTCGACATTGCATGGCGAGGTATAGAATACCGATTGATTTTCTTTTCATTGTTGTTTGTTGCATAGTATCAAGGCATATATATGACAGCTATGATAATGAACTCTCATCTCAGATTTCCACTAGAGTCGGTTACTGCTTGCGCGAAGACACGCCTAATCTCATCATGTATACGACTGCTACACCCCCGATCACGAATATCACGTGGCCCACCCCTGTATAACGTTCACCAGAATTTCTTCGGCCTTGCGTTGCGTCGACCAGATTCGCCTCGTTGATTCAGTGAGCATGCACTCTTTCCAGCAGTCAGCAATGGTGGCGGCTCGACACCTGATGAGCACCGCGCAGTCCCATGCTTGACTTGCCAGCGGTGTAGATTGGACGCAAGATGCCCTAGTCCAAGGTCAATGGGATTTCGGGCTCTAGAACAAGCGCAAGATCGCGGAATATCCTAACCAGCTAAGACTAGCGCGGGTGCACTAACTTTGTTAGTGCTCGACGGTTGATAGCAATGCGTAAAGCAGTCACGATGGAAAGAAGAGTGCAGTCTTGAAATGTGCTAGACATGCATATTCGAACACTATCGATCGCCCTCCAGAGCCGACTGAACGCTATACCGCTACATACAAACACCCGTGAAGAACAACGCCTTGCATCCCACCCTACGGGTTCGCAAGAGCCAAGCACGCGTCGACAGCCAGACCAACCCTATAACATGAGCATTAGTACATCGCCACAGAAGATACAAAAGGGTCAACGTACCGTCCTTCCTTCAACCGTACCACATCGTCGATGACATCTCGGTCCAGCTGCGGGAACATCCCTGCCAGCGTCTCCACAACGACGGAGTGTTCCTGCCTTTGTATTCTTCTTGCCTCCTCAGCCTCGGCAGACGCCTGTCTCGCGGCAGCGTCTTCGGCTGAGAGCCTTTTCCGATACCTTTCTTCTTCTGCTGACCGTCGTTGCTTCTCGTTGAGATGTTCTGGAGCGTTTCCGGCGTAGTCTGAGGACGCTCCCCGAGGGGGCATTTGCGGCGGCTGCGGTGTCAATCGCGGGGTGTTACCCGGTTGTGGGGTGGAAGCAGGCCCTGAGGAAGCAGTCGTGGTATCGTTGTCGGAGAATATGCGGCCGATGGTGCTTAGTGGGCGCTGTATGGTGCGAAGGAGGCCTGCAACGGCGGCGTTCTCCTCTTCAGGTGGGTCACTTTCGCTCTTGCTTGCACGGGTACTTGTTGAGCGTCGCGGGCCAGCCTGCTCTGCGTCGAGTGAGTTTCGCGTTGTAACTTCGGGTCGGGATGGCGTCGACTTTTCTGATAAGTGAAGTGAATGCGGTGAAGGCATCCGGCGGTGACCCTGGGTCGGAGGTGGCCGCATATGCGGAGCATTTTCGGTGGGATCAGACAGGGCGGCCTCTGCGTTGTGTCGCTCTGCGATGGCGGATACTGCAGCCTCGACGTTCTTCTCGAATTCTTCGTCCGTCACAGTGAGTGAAGTTTTATCAAGTCCTTCGATGAATTGTATCGCTCCCATCAAAGACGAGATGTAGTAGCCAGCTTCACCGCCCAATTTGTCTTGGTTCCGGAAGCGAAGAATGTACTGAACATTGGACACTAGATGGTCTGGGTTTGCATGTAACACAGTATATATGAGGAGTGGCACAAAAGCGTCGGCGGACTGGTCTGCTTTGGTGGCCGTTCGTAGATAGCCAAATATGACTTTGCAACAATTGAGGATGCAGATGACTTTGTCTCGTGGCGCCCGGTAGCTCTTGATTTTCAACAATTCCTGTTGCGCAAGGTGTAAGAATTTCCTGCCCTTATCGCCAACTGGCTGTATATCAAGGTGCTCCTCCTTGACCCAACCATATATACGGACTTTCTGAGCGAGTACCTCATCGCGTTCGACATCCTCTTGATGTTGTCCTCTCCGGCCCGGCCCTGGTGCTTCCTGTCTGCGTCTACTCCTGGATGGGGCTACTGGCTCGGGTGGTGGGATTGCCGGAGAGAAGGTCTGAGAGTAGAGTCTATTCATGACGAGCTTCTCCATTCCTTCTCTTGCATTGTCGAATTCCGCGTCGGACACGGTCCGCCACACCTCACACTGGGCCATCTTCTTGCTGATAAATTCCAGAAAGTCGCCAATGATCTTCACCTGCTCATGTACCATCCATTGTTTCTTGGCAAACTCCAACAGGAAAGAGCGCAAAAATTTGGCTACCGGGTCAGCAGTCCGGTGGCGCAATTGCTCGAGGAATCGATGAAAGTCAAAGGGTAGGTCTGGTTCAGGGTCTGGAGGAGGTGCGGGTGTCTGGAATGATGACGCATGTGCGCTGGGTGATGAAATCTCGTTCAAAGAATTGTTGGTCCCGGCGCGGTACAGAGAAGATGTCCGTATCGGTGGAGATCTAAGAGGCTGCTCGGGAGACGGACCACCGCCAGGAATGGGCAGAGGCTTATCGGTTGAGGCTAAGCTCGACTGACGTGGAGGATGTGTTATCGGAGAATCTAGCATGGGTTGTGCTATTTCTAAGCGTGGAGACATGATCTCCTCTTCACCCAGCCCTCCATGACCGTCCGCGAACTGGTCCATAATGCTCTGTATCTCCGACTGAGAGTCGTCAACAGCATCTTCGGCGCCACTGTGCTTGGAAGCGTATTCGGCAGCCTCAGCATCTTCTGAGGTTCTCCTGCTGAGATTCGGTTGCGACACAGGTGACGTGGTACGGCTAGGTACGTTGCTTGTGGAGAGGTATCTGTCGTCTTTGGGCGGCGGCGGAGGAGGTGACGGCGAGCGAACAGGTGCCTTGCCGGCGACCTTTTCAGATTCTGGAGGAGGCGTGGACGCTCGTGGGGCGTTGTCTGGCTCATCGTTGCCAGGTGCTGGTGGCGCCGCTTTCGACTCGGCCGACTGCGTTTCTGTGCCCTCTATGGCCGTTTCCACATTTGCTTTCTTGGGCTCTGTGTCCACCTTCGTATATTCAGCCCCGTTTTCCAAGCCGTTCTTATTCGATTCCCCTATCACCCCTGCCTCGCCTGGTGCTGATATTGGTGCCTGCCCCGCATCCATGCTGTCTTCCTTCTTTACTTGTTCCTCACTCATGGGCGCATCTGCTTCTTCCTTCTGTGTCCGTATCTCTAAGGAATCCCCCTTCGCCCCTTGTGTCAGGCCATCTCCTAGCTGTGGCTCGCAGGAGCTGTCCTGAGCTTCATCGAGATGTGGCGCTTGGTTATTTGGAGACATGAACCGGCGGGCGGCTGCGTGAGCGGGAATGGCTGCGGGTTTGTTTATGAGTCGTCCATGGACATGAAGTAAGAATCCGAAAGGACGTGCGCTCGACCAAAGGGCTGTGTGTTGTGTGTATGCGCATGTAGGCTGCGCTGTCAACACTTGGGATGCCGCGTGCCCAAGTCACCGGCGTTTGGGAACCTCCGCCACCCGCCCCCACTAGCGCTAAGGCCACCGATTCTCGAGCCTCAACCCCAAGCCCTGCATCGCCAATCGGTCCCCCTGCCATGTGCGGCATCTTCTTCTCGCTCTGCCGTGGCCACTCAGTATCACCAGATGCTGGCACTGCTCGTCTGTTGCAAGACCGCGGCCCGGACAGCTTTGGCACGCGTCAGATAGCCGTGCATGCGCACAACAACAATGATCTCTCGTATCAAGCTACTTTCGTATCCACAGTACTCTCGCTGAGAGGCACCACCATTACCAAACAGCCTCTTATTGACGAGGCATCGGGATCGGTACTCTGTTGGAACGGTGAGGCCTGGAAGTTCGCGGGTCAGCCTGTGTCTGGCAGCGACTCGCAGCTCGTCTTCCAAAACCTCCTTGAGGCTAGTGCAAAAGGTTCTACTGGAAGAGACCTTGCGCAAAGACAGGTCGTCAATGTTCTCTCCTCAACTGGAGGTCCATATGCTTTTGTATTCTACGATGCCAGAAATCGGTACATTTACTATGGTCGCGACTGCCTTGGACGACGCTCGCTTCTCAAGAAAGACGCTTCAAATGACGAATTAGTTCTATCCAGCGTCTGCGATAACTCTACAGGGGAGGGTTGGACCGAGGTAGAAGCTGATGGCATACATGTAGTGGACCTATCATATCTGCCAGAGCAAGGCCCACTCTCCAGTATGCATATACCTCACTGTCGTCAGTGCCTCCACGCCGACGAATTGCACTTTGTAGGTAAGTTCCCTCCAACAAAGCAAGTGCTAAGTCTCCTAGAATGTTCCATTTCCTCAAATGAACGTGAGGTTACCACCATCAGATCATGGCCCAACCCTGCCGGTCGTCAACCAGCTGAAAGAGTCCCTGAGTAGCTCGCTCGCGCTGCGAGTGCAGCATGTGAGGGAAGCGAACAACTTAGCGTATGGTGAATATCACTCGATGCACGAAGCTAGAGTCGCCATACTGTTCTCCGGAGGTCTCGATTGCACGCTTTTGGCAAGATTAGCTCATGAGCTCATGCCACTCGGACAAAGCATCGATCTCTTGAACGTAGCTTTTGAGAACCCGCGCATTCATAGCAAACTGGGACCGGACGAGTCACCCTATGAGCTATGTCCGGATCGGATCACGGGGAGAACATCGTATGCCGAGCTAACCCAGGTCTGCCCCGGTCGCACCTGGCGTTTCGTGGAGGTCAACGTTCCTTACAGCCAGACCCTAGCCCATCGGCACGAAGTTATGACCCTGATGCATCCGCACAATACTGAGATGGATCTTTCCATCTCCTATGCGCTTTACTTCGCGTCACGCGGATCCGGCCTTGTACGCGAGTCGCAACACACAGCCGCACCATATGTCACCTCCGCCCATGTCCTTCTGTCTGGTCTTGGTGCCGATGAACTTTTTGGTGGTTATGGGCGCCACGCTGTTGCATTCGCTCGGGAAGGGTACATTGGCCTGGTAGCCGAGCTGAATCTCGATTTTGACCGCATCGGAAAGCGCAATCTTGGGCGCGATGATCGGGTAATCAGTGACTCCGGGAAAGAAGTTCGTTTTCCTTTTCTCGACGAAGCTTTCATCGCCTTCGTCCTCTGTCTCCCTGTTACCTCGAAGTGCGACTTCGCCACACCGCAAGACCAGACCTCAGACGACCCAGCTAAGCTTTTGGAACCTGGGAAGCGTCTGTTGAGGATGCTCGCATGGCACCTCGGTATGAAGGGCGTGGCAGCGGAGAAAAAGCGTGCAATCCAATTTGGCTCGAGAACTGCGAAGATGGAAACAGGCAAGACGAAGGGAACGCATGTGTTGACTTAAACATTGGTTGCTACAAGGCACGAGCTCGGTAAGTCGAAATTTTCCTTTCGCTTTGAGGTGGCTATGATTAGACGTAGTTGGGCCAAATGGGGGAGATACCAGGACACTGCTTGTACTTCTACACTACATGTACTCTGTAAGCCCGCGGTATCGCTGATCTCTGACAAAAGGCAAGTCTGAGCCTCAAAGATCTATCGTCACTTTCTTGGACCGTTTTGTTACGAGATTTGCTGACAGATTCTTCAAGTGACTGGTCGTGCTATTTTCGCGCTTTGCGCGGTATACATAGCTTTACAGAAGGGGTTTATGTATCTTCCACATACCTGCAATGTGTTAAGGGGTCACACCCTCCGGGCCACCTCCCAAGCAATCTGAAGTATCCTCATCGGCAGGTACCAGCACATGATGTGCTGCGATCGGGAAGCAGAGCCTTTGTACGAACACAATAGACGAGGTTTGGCTTTGTTCGGACAATCGACCCTTCTTTGTGAGGTGGTGCGTATGAATGCTCCTTTCAAAAGATCTACTTATGAAAGGCACCATAGATAGAGTACAATGCTGTTGTCCGGCGTATAACACTTCTAGGACAATCAATATACAATGCCGCGACATACTCGAAGGCGAAGTACTCCAAAGTGCATCCAATTTTCTCTGCTATTAACGACTAATCAATCACTAACGATGGCCCCTAAAACCCGCTCAAAATCCTCGAGCTCACAAGCAAACTCAACACCCAAGCCAATCAAAAAGACAGCTAACCCCAAGACAACTAAACCAGCCCGTGTATCTAAACCGACCAAACCCTCCACTAGACGAAGGAAACCCTTCCGCAGCATCCCTCAAGGCTCCGGCGCCACCTTCAGCCTCATCCTACCCACCGTCATTGGCACAACAGCCTGTAACACCTGCCTGGGTCTGTATGTCCCCATTTCCTTTAACCCTCCCCGTGCCTTCATCGCGCACTTCAACTTCGAACCACAGCCCAACAGCGGTCGGGCACGTAAGCAGAAGCTCAGTAACTATGTCGTAGGACCCGCGTGCTATCGCGCGGTTGTAATGATGACCAAGGAGTTTCTGACTGATGCGCAGTGGAAAGGGTGCTGGGGTCCTCTTACCGAAAACATGAGGCATGGGTTATGTATGGTGTGTCCGAAGTCGAGGATAGTTGGGAAACAGTATACGGGGGATGCGATTTGTGAAGGGGTGAAGGAGTTCTTTGGTGTAACGGATGAGGAGATGGTGCCGAGGAGGTGCGGGAATGTCCTTGTGAGGTATGCGGAAGGGGAAGAGGGAGGGGGGTTAGTTATGTATCCGAGTGCGGTGGAGCTGACGCGGGATTGGGAGGCGAGGCATGAGGAAGATAATGGGGGTTTTGCGGTGAGTGATTTCTTTGATGATGGGAGGGTTGACAAGGGGGACGGGACTGACGGGCCGTTTGTTTGAGTTGACGGACGGAGTAGTGTAGAGAGCTTGCCTCCGGTGTTCGTATTCAGTGCGCATTTGATTGACAGAGCTACTTGAAATACGGCCATATAATATCAGGTCACATCTTCGAACACGCATTATAAACACTAAATCGAGTCGCCCTAGGCTACCTTATTAAATACCAAGTATGCAGCCGATGGCCCATAGTCTTGACACAAGGGCCCGAGAATCGGACAACAACGGTATTCGTTGTTCTATGTCTGACACTGTGATAGATTTTGGTGTCCTTTGTAGTTCGGGTACAACTGCCTTTCAGCCACCGACATCGGCTGCACTTACGTTTCCGCCAACCCCGCGGCAGCCAACCAAGTGGGATGCATTGAGTCTTATCAGCAGTAGTAAAAACAAACATTCCACGAGGCCGTCCTGCACCAGATCCTTTCTCTCTCTTCGTCCATCTACTGCCTCTCCACGCAATTCCCCCCCGCAAATATGGGCTACGAGGAAGCCGTCGCCGCAATTGATGCCGCCCACGCGCAGGACCCAAACAAAGTCACCATCGCCGGCAAAGAAGTACCCTACGAGCTACACTACGCCGAGAAATGCACATCGTACCTAGAAAAGCGCTGCCCCGACGCGTCCGAAGCGCTCCGCCTCGCAATCCGCGCCCAGCATTTCCGCCGCTGGGAGGTCCCACGAAGCACATTCCCCATGACAAGGGTTGGGTACCATGCGTGGCGAACGCATCTCAAGAAGAGACAGGCTGATCTTGTGATGTGTATACTAGACGAATGCTACCACACGTCTGCCACCCGATCGCATGAAGAGCATATGGCGTTCCTCAACAGGGTGGGTAGCTTGATAAAAAAAGAAGGCTTGAAAGAGGGCGACGAGGATACTGGTGTCCTGGAAGACGTCGCTTGCCTCGTCTTCTTGGATGATCAATTCGACAAGTACGCGAAGCTATGGGACGAAGGGGAGAAAGGCGAGGGTGGGCTGGATGAGGAGAAAGTGCTAGGTATACTAAGGAAGACGTGGGCGAAGATGACGGAGAGGGGGCACGAGTTAGCATTGCAGATACCGATGGAGGGGCGGCCGAAGGAGTTGATTCAGAAAGCTTTGGCTGGGTGAATAACGGGATCGTTGGATTAGAAAGGTATGAATTGGATTATGCTATATCATCTGCGCCGGAACAGAGGGGGTATCGTTCAAATTCTGGAAAGGGAAAGACCGCGATTGTCGTAGTTGTCGTCGCGGTCGTGAGGCTCAGGGAAGCGTCTATGCGCCACCCTCCCGCTTCGCATACTCCTCCTCCATGCGCTCCTCGTACAGCCTCTCAGCTTCCAGCTCGGCCTCTGTCTTCTGGGTGTGCGTGGCAGATGCTACGCTTTGAGTGGAGGGCTTTTCGACTTCCTGCGCTGTTTGCGCGGCGGCGGAGGAGGTAGACTTGTCGGTTGTGGAGGGCAGTGGGACGGGCATTTTGGATGGTTGTGCTGTTGGGATGGCAACGGTAGAATTCAGGATGAATCAGAAGTTCTGATGTAGTGGGATATTCACTGAGGTCCGCTGGTATGAGGTTCTTATTGCAGAACATGTAGCTATATACTGCGCGGGTAGGCACACGCTAGTTGCGTCATTGTGGCGGTGCAAATGTGGCTGGAAGCTTCTGGCGTGCGACTCGCCACGGTCTTCCACGCCGATTCCCGCGTCTTGAATTACACCTTGTTCTTCCACTTTCCCTGGATCTCTGCCTTTTCGAAGTATGCAACGACCGGATCACGTTTCACTTTGGCCCTTTTCATAATGAGACTTTCGCGGCTACCTTCGCTTGATACAGATAGAATGTATCACAAAACATTCATCCGTCCACACAAGGAATCTCTTGCATCTCGGAGTGAAGGCTGGTGTTCTGGCGCGTCGTAACTTCCGGAAGGTGCGATTTGAGTTCCGACACGTTTATGGGCAGACTGCTTCTTAGAGGACTGAGTGTGGCAGGAGTAGGTAAAAGAATTGGGAATATGTAGAAAGAGTGTATTCGTCCAAAAGTAGTCAGGGGTTGCTCGGAAGCTTTTACAACCCTTGATGTGCTTTGCTTGCCGAGAGGGAAGATCAAAATTCCTTTACGAAAGAATTAAACTTGGGGTAGCAGTACAATGCGATGCAGGGTACAAGCTTTCAAGCCTCAAAAGCAGCTAAACTCTTGTATGATCCCCCGCATTAGTGCTGACCCACCTGCGAACCGGTGAGCTGAACCAAATCCTACGAGAAATTGAGGTTTAATGCACCAATAGCCAAGGCTTGCATCGACATCGCACCGGAGTCGTGATCTGAGTGCCCGGAAACTTCACTGGAATCTGCCTACATGTCTGTTCTGGACCAGCTAGATAGCGGTGTAGCTTCAAATTATTTCGAGCCCCGAAGCTGACAAACGCAGAGCATACAACTGCCGTCCTTAGTCTGCTTCCCATCTGGACTTTCGATGTCTCATCCGTTGGTCCCTGGCTTCTCCAGGAGGTAGCTAAGCTGATTTAGATGTTTTCAGCACTTGGAGACTTTGTAACAGGTAACGCTTGACACAAGTCACCGCTCTCACCTAGAAGGACCGCTGCGACACCAATCTCAAAGATGAGGCATAGAATTTATGCTACAGTGGTTAGTAATTGCTCACTACACTTCCACTGTAGCCGTTCAATATGACTGGTCGAGTAGATACGAATGCACGTTAAGGCACACTGCCGGGAATCTGAGCCACACGAAGTGTGATCTTGAAGATCTAATCCTGGAATGTATACGATGGATTGCGTTGACGGTAAGACATCGCGAGACTATGACGCTCTTGTTTAAACATCAAGGTACGAGTAATTGTGCAAAAACATGCAGCCACAGTCACGTCTCTTCTTTACCTCCTTCTGTTCTAGGCACCCTGATTGCGCGGCTTGACCATACTTTCGCATCAATTCACACTAATCCAGTGGCCATCGGGCACCTGAGTCGACAGTATTGCATGTTCAAAGCTACGCATTACGTATTGAAACCCCTGCGATTACGCATTCCTTCGTACTGATCCCACAGAAGCCATGTGTCTCTCGATCAAAAACAAATGGCTTCAAGCAGTAGGGCACCTGAAAGGATGAGACAGAATGTGATAGCTTCAAGGGCGGAATGATTGCATCGCATCGGTAGTTGTCCATTCTACCGTATCGTGAGCCGGTAGCACACATTCCAAGATATAAAAGAAACAGTTCTACAGCTGTGCTTAACGCGGCATCACCTGCCACTCCACCCGTTGGCCTCTCACCTAGCAACGTACCTCTCAGCTGGCAACTTACCTTTCACCATACCCAATACAGACACCTACGGTCTTGCAGACTTCCGGTTCTTATGATATCCAACCAACACAAGCATCATTGTTCGAGACAGGCATCCCTGAAGGACTTCTTCTTTCGATACCCCACGCCATGAGTACTGTACGCAAGGAAGATTTGGTGTTTTGGAGAGACCTCACCCCCTTCCCCACCCCCTCAAAGTTCCTGACTCCACTTCCCCACACGCACTCATTATCGGCGGCGGTGTCACTGGTCTTGTGACCGCATGGACCCTCCTCGACAAAGGCTATCGTGTTACCATCCTCGCCAAAGAGTGGGCCTCCTATGGTAAGGCCCAGCGGTTGACTTCCCAGATCGCTGGTGCACTCTGGGAGTTTCCACCGGCGGTATGCGGACAGCACACCGATGCCATATCGCTACAGCATTCGAAGCGGTGGTGCATGGTCGCCTACCATATCTGGGATGCTCTGGCGGCTTCAGAGTCTTTGGCTAAACTGTCGGGCGTTCGAATGAAAGGCGCTGACTTCTTCTTCCCGGTCCCGATCGAACAAGATCCAGCGCAAATGTCCAAGATGCTCGAGATTATGTCGCAAGGCGTCCGAGGTTTCCGCAGGGATCCCGCCATTATCAAAGAACGTCGTATTAATCCCGCATATGGTGCGGTCGATGCGTATGAGCACCTTGCGCCCATCATCGACACCGACAAGTGCATGGCGTTCTTGAAGGCGCTTGTCACAGCCAAAGGCGCCAAATTGATCACACGGAGTATCAACGGTGATCTGTTCGACCAGGAGCCCTCCCTGCGTACCGAATTTTCGGCTGATGTTATCATCAACTGCACCGGCCTCGCAGGTACTGAGCTTGCTGGCGACAAGTCATGCTACCCTATCCGTGGCGGGCTGATCCGTGTTATCAACGATGGGCGAGATTTTCCGAAGCTGGACCATGCGCTCACCATCACAGCCGATGCAGTCCACGACTCCAACGAAATCGTCTTTCTGGTCCCGCGCAATGACAACATCTTGTTGATAGGGGGTGTCGCAGAGTCGCACGAGAAAGAGCTGAATCTAACACTCGATTCCCCTATTATCAAACGCATGCGTGCACGATGCGAGGCGTTCCTTCCTGACCTCAAGAAGGCAAGACTAGATAGCGAGTATCCACTTGCACAAGGGTTGCGACCATTTCGTCAACGGAACGTCCGTGTGGAGCGCGAGCTAAGGTCACACGGCCAGGCAAGGGACGGATCGAGCAAAACTAGCCGTATCGTGCACAGCTACGGAAAAGGCGGGGCTGGATGGTCATTGTCATTTGGCTGCGCTGGAGATGTTCTGGGACTGGTGGAGGAGGCATTGCGCGAAGTCCCCCCCACGCCCATGAGTCTGGAAGTAGTGGAACAAAGCGAGCCTGTAGCAGTTGAAGTACCCATGCAGATGTTACAGAGGGAGATGGGAGAAAATCTTATTCGAGCGAAATTATAGAAGGGGATGAGAGGACAGAGATGTGTTCCGGGGGTTCAGACGGCTTGGGTTTTGTCAATCTTGATAAAGAGGGTTCTTTCACACTCGACACCCTCCTAGACAGGTGGGTGTGAGCTCTGTAATTGACCAGTAGAATCATGGAGAATATATACCCAAGACTGCCATTGGCCTTCAGAGAGTCGTAATTAGAAGCCCGTCCTTTGTGTCGGCACGTTCTCAAATCAATGTGAAGCGATCCAAGATTGAGGAAGGTCGTGTGAGCTTCGTTTGTCACTCACTCACTTTGACGTAGCTTCCTCACTTGCACGTTTCCACGACAACAAGGATAGCTTCACCTGTGTCCGCTCTCACCTAGCGTCCGCCCTCACCTTTTCTTCCCGGACTCTTCTCTCCGCACTCCGCGTCCACGATACTACACCAGCAAAGAAATTTTTGTGGCCGGCAGGCGAACCACATCAACAACATGAACGAAACCGAGATCAACAGTTGCGTAAATTGCGGCGCTGCTGCCAGCAAATTCTGCAGCAGCTGCAGAGTGAGCAAGTACTGCGACCGTACATGTCAAACGAAAAACTGGCCCACTCATAAGATCTCATGCGGCAAGAGTGGCATTGATCTTGTTGTGCATCGCGCCGGCCAGCTACTTCAAGACCTCTACCTCGCAATGCGTGAGGCCGCATATGACACCACAATCGCAAGCGTCAAGGAAGAAGGAGAAACACTAATTATACAAGACGCACCAATTGACGCCGGCAAGCTGGCGCGGTTTCCAAACGAACTTATGCGTAGCGATGTCCAAAAGAAGATGGCGCTGACTGCATTCACGTGCGAGGATCCTCTCGTATTGTGTCATGACATCTTTGTCCAGATGTTGGAAGGTAACTTAGAGCAATGCCTTCAGCTGGAAGATTACTAACTAGGCACAGGGACCGGGTTGCAGGTGGACGAACTTCGGGTAGCGACGAAACCGACGGCCAAGAAGGTCCGCATCATTTCTCCGTGCGGCTCGTGGGAGACGACCGATTACAATCATGTCATCATCCGCGTCAAGTCAACGGACGGTAGGGCATGGATCGTTGATGTGACTGGACCGCAGTACGGCATCTTCAAGTCCTGTTGCCCAGAGAGTGTCTATATGAAGAAATATGTTCTTGAGCTCAAGAAGGTCTACGAGTTTGGAACTCACAAGGCCAACTACGAGATGAGGAATTACATGTTTATGCATATCTCGTGGGGAGCGATGGAGAAAATCGAAGCTACGATCTCTGCGTGGAAGTCTGACACGGGCAGAACCCTAGCTACACTGTTACGAGAGCCGGACATAATCTTCCAGAAGAACGCAAGGAACCTGATGAGCGACTCTAAGAGGGCAGTGGACAGATTTGTAGCGGATGTCGTTGCCGTGGAGGAACCCGATACCAAGGCGAAAGCTGATTCGGTACCAAAAGAAGACTCCAAGAAGACAGACGATGCCATGGCCAGATTGAAGAAGGACCACGCCGCGCAGAGTCCTATCCCGGAGATCGAGAGACTACTCAAGTCTGCCAGCGTTCAGGACGCTGGTTACGCACAAGCAGCTTGCAACGACGAGGATTAGGAGTCCGATCACGAAGATGACGATGACGGTCAAATCACAATAGAATGAAGCATTCTAAGGCGACGTGCCATTCGATCTGACTGTCGAAGTTCGATTATTCTGAAGTTTTCTCCAAGAGCAACGATAGGAGATTCGTTCGCCAATTGGGGCGAATTGCTTATTTCCTTCTTAACTAGCGAATTAAACATGAACGCTCTGGTTTGTACTTGATCCTGTCCCTGGCATTAACCGCAAAAGTGGTATTGGGTGGTTGGATAAGGCACAAGAAGACGGAATCAATTTGGGTTTCTTGTCGTTCATGTAGCAACTTAGCCATGGAAGTCAGTTGCATCTCAGCAAATAGTTGCGAAACATGCGGGTCTTAGCGATCATACGTTTCGTCAAGCAATGTTTATAGCAATTCGTGCGCAAAGCAAGTGTGTCGTGACATGAAGATTGTGCAATCAAGGTGTTAACTGGAATTAAGCACTTGGGCTTACATTGAAACCCCAAGTTTCAGAACCTCAAACATGCCTCTAGTCATGGTCTCACGATTATATCAGGGCGATTGTATACCATACACAACTCTTGACAATACGTTGACTGTATCGAGCATCCCGCGATAGCGCCCGTGACGTTATCGAGCTTACGCTCAAAGATATCAAAGGACGTTCTCGTCAGTGGCCGGATGATGCAGGTGCGCTTCGTTCTATCACCCAGAAGAACACAGACAAGCTTTCAAGTTTCCAGGCGGGTGCGATACTGGCAATCAAGATCCTTCGCGTACGGGCTCTGAATGAGGTCAACAAACAAATGCCCAATCCGTTCTGGGAGTGTTTTGGGGCACTGCTGGATGATTATGAGGGAAGTTTACACCACCACTATATGAAGTCGTATAGATGAACATGTCAAGCCATTTGAATTGATGGATACCGGAAAGTGGAGTCTCGATGAATCGATGATTCGTCATCTCTGAACAAGAAGGCTCTGCTGGGATTCTATGTTGTATTCGAAAATCGAGCAAGGGAGCATGCTGTATGCAGAGAAACCTTGAAGTAACCTGCATACAGTTCAACTTATTTACGAGGCCACTAGAATTAACCGGTTGCTTGAACTCATCTTCGACAGGGCCGCCGCTGCATTCATCATATCTCGCTCTACACGCAGGAGACAATTACCGCGTAGAGAAGAAGAATTAGATGAGGTCTCACATACATACCTCGAGTCACGATTCACAGCTTTGGCGTTGAAAGTTGTTCCAGAAGGCATAATCCGATTGCTACTCTAAGTGTGCATTCGTTCGGTGTCATGGACAGCTGTGTTGGATTCGTTGAATCTATGTTAATATAGCATTAGCAACCCGTCATACCGATTATACAACCATTTCTATAGAACGGGTGACGGGAGATGATAGCAGTTGAGAATAATGAGTGGAGAAGTGCGCGTATCTTGCCCGAGCCATCATGTTGCTCTACAAGCAGGCCCCACCGACTTTGTATTCCAGCCCCTCTCTTACACGGCGTCATTACGCTCGAGGTCTCAACCTTCGCCTGGAGACGCACAACAAGACATCTACCACCAAATATGACGCGCCAGTCCCCCGAACGAGCCGCCGATCTCAAGATCATCCGGTTTGAGTCCATCTATCCTTGGCCTGACTGGTCGTTCGCCGCGCTCGCCGTTATCAATCCAACAACAGGCACGTTCGACCACCACCGCGCCTTCTATGAAGGCGTGCGCTACTCCCTCAAGCAGATCGAGGACGTCCACAAACTGCTCAGCATACCGCCGATCACTCAGTTCCAGGAATATGTCAGGACCACGGATATCAAACACTCACTGGCCGACTACAAGGGCGTCTCGACCGCCGCGATGCGCGTCACGGGCAATAGGTCCGTGTATTCGAGCTTCTGGATGGGCGGAATGTTTGCGATCGAGAAGCTCCAGCAAGGCGACCTCCCGGTGGCGGCGATGATGGAAGGGTTTCCGCAGTGTCTTGCGTGCTTTGCAGAGGAGTTTCGCGCGGTATACGAGAAAGTGGTGAAGGAACACGGGGTGCAGCCGGAAGTGACCAAGTATTGGAGTGCTTAGTCTTGATATTCGACTGTACTTCTGCTTGAGCGACATGTCTGTGTTTGTTGGGCAGATAAATACTTGTATGTCCGGGTGAAGCGGAATAATTGAGGTTGGGGCTCAGAACGTCCGCGCAAGTGATAGCGGTCCACCAAGAACATCACCGCGCTCTCACTTCGTGTTTACTCTAGACAAGTGACCGCGTATCTCATTGGATTTCGTTTGTCGAATGTCATAAGTGCGTGTGCCCTCCAAGGTGCAAGGTTGTCCAAAATAAAGCCACCAGCGCCTTGCTTATCACCAGAACACGTCCGTCAACTAACTTGTCTACCATATTAGTGCGATGAGCTACGAAAGCCGCCCAAGCCGCCGAGCCATCGCGATGGATAACGATGCCTTTGTCGACCCGCTTGCAAACCTGTTCCCCCAAGCTGACAAGCCTCGCTTCGCCAACCTTGACTGGCCCGTCTGGGATGAAGGAGTCTTCGACCCCAACATGCAAGCACTCGAAGACGGTCACGAGCTCGCCTTCATTGCCGGTACCGCCTATGTTCGCCGTTCCGTCAGCCTAGAGCGTCCGCCGGGTCTTCCTGAATTTCTCGACAAAGCAACCCTCAACTTTCTTGGTCGTTGGGGCATCAACGGCTTCATCATCGGCAAAGAAAAAGCGGTAGTACAGATCAAAGACAGCCACGATCTTTTAGCAAGCTTCCGCTCGGGCGTTCTGTTTGCTATCGAGAAGCTGCGGGAATTGCAAGTTCCAAAAGATGTCAACGAGGGAGTCTTGAAAGAACTGATCGACGCCCTGGAAGCGCATGCACACGGTCATTTCGTGGCGATGGCAGAGCTCGGTCCTGGCATTGCGGAAGCGCTGAGGGTTGAAAGCGTTCTTACGAGGCTCGGTCTGAGGGAAATAGAGGAAGACTCTGGAATCGATGAAGAACAGGATGAACCACAGGATGGACGCAGCGAAAAGAGCAGCCAAGAAGTGGGTAAGGACGACGACGGCTCCCAGTATACTGAAGTCTTCGAAGGCATTGGAGGAAGTGTCGCTTCAGGCGACAGCGATCAGGAGGACTTAGTCTTCGAAGGAGACGAGCTGTATGAGGAATGGAAGGACATTCTTGAAATTTTGAGAGAGCAGCAGATGGGCAAGAATGGGAATGGAGACACTCAAGGTGGTGAGAATAATCCAGAGAGCGCGGCAGGCTCATCGAAGAAGAGGAGGAGGACCAAGAGTAAGAAGGCGAAGAAAGCGAAAATTCAAGCCGAACGCGACAAGATGAAGGCGAAAGAAACAAAGGCTGGCTGAGCTCTCTTCAAGAGAAGGCAACCTGACCATAACCTAAGATTTACCAGGGTGGAACTACCAAATCTCGAGGATGTTCGGATCTGCGGCAGTTATTGATACCAAGAAGACGAATACTCGGGTACCATGACCGAGCGATTAGTCTCGTTGAGACTTGTGGCACTTTAGTGCATGTCGAGCTGAATGAAAGCGTATGGCTTCGATCATAGCAATTTGCGGCCAAGTATCAGACATTCGGCGAACAATTTCTGCTATTCATTTTCTTCCTCAGACGGTACTATCGCTGGAGCGCCATAGTTGCTTCAACCATCTTACTTTCTCCATCATGCAACCTTTTCTATAGCTGTAGAATATGTACTATTTTGGTACGTTAGATTGATGCCACAGCCAGAACATCTGTGTATATTCTTGTATCTTGACCACATGTGCATGTTTCCCGCAAATCTTGTGTCGTAATTCCAGTCTCAGGTTACATGACGAGAATGTGCGCAGGTCCGTATTGTGTCTCCAGCCGCACACGTAATAACGTGATACGTCGCTGCAGATGAAGCTGAGCACAGAACACACGAGAGACGTCTCATTCAATGGATCATCATTAAAACGAAGCTAAGTATAAGTTGAACACTGAAGACTGTTCTGAATCTCTCAGCGGAGTCGCATCTCAGTTTATCTTGAACGACATGTTCTCCATGTTATATTTCATTCAACGCCCAGCATGTCCTTCTCGGTCACTTGAATACAGGATGATAGAGACCAAAAACAAAGCAGACTGTGCAACTTATATACATCCAAATTCATAATGTCTCAATTTCGCTTCTCACGGGGTGACGGCTACGTTGCCGATCATCATGTCTGAATCGCACACGCCGTATCAACAAATCCTTCCCTCGATGTGGTTTTCGAGACGGCAAGGTGCATATGGCGTTCCTTCGCGGGCCGCAGGAAAGGCGCCAGTCATGCCCGCCTTTATCTCCTTCCTCCATCCCTTGGCTGCGCTTCACCCTCTTTGGGGTCCAGCTTCTTCGTGCGGCAATGCATACTGCTAACCTCGAGTTGGCCGAAGCGAGTGGTGAAAGTGGCTCTGTGTATTGTTGCTGTATAGAACGATGAGACGAGACGGATCGACAGGTTCGGCGAGATCGAGTTTCGTGTCCGCCAGGGTACTGGCTTGAATCTTGTTGTTCTGGTGAGGTTGGAGCGACACTCGAAGCACCGCAATTGGAAGGGCTGATTTCTGGAAATACGTATGATAGGATTGTGGAAGATTATGAAGAGAGAGGTGGACTATCCTACGTGATTAAGAATGAGCGGAGTCCTTAAGAACTCGTCGATGTGGTCTCACTAGTTTGGTATCTTCCATGCCCAGGTATGGTCTCACCAGTATGGCCTCCTCGATGTGGTCTCAAGTGTCCGCCTCGGTGGTCTCCTAGGGTACGGGCCACATCAATTGTTCCGGCTTAATGGACCATTATAGAGGCTCTCAAGTTAGCAGCCCTGTCAACACATATAGCGAAGCTATTTCATCATTATGCACTAGTGGCTAAGATTCAACTACAGCATGTAGCCCGGTAGTCTTCTCAATCTTAAAGTGTACAAACCAAGGCTCTGTCCGGTACAGGGATATAGCAATGGTTTGGTGAATGTTCTATTAGTGGACTAGCATTGCCTTTCCTTTCTAATGGTTGTTCTAAGACGATAAAGATAAAGTGCTACAGAACATCTATGAAGTAGTCCTCATCGAGCACTCGTCGAGATCCATAGCTATCGTCAACGCCTATTGGACAGTTGGAATCGATATCGGTTCCGGTCATGACGTATAGGAACATCACTGGTATGACTTCTTATCAGCAATAGTACGTGGTCTCGCGCTGCCTGGAAGTTCATGTGGTCTCACCGGATCGCGGGAGCTGCGTGGTCTCACGGTGACCGAGCGCAGCCTTGCTCACATCATTGGCTCTACGAGACCTGGGCAATAGTGTTGGCGGGCCCTGAACCTGGACTTGATGCATGAGCTTCGGCTATTGACCTATCAACGCGCACGACAGGCAATCAGGCAATCTAAGGCAACGATGAGACCACACCCAGAGCGTGTTTAAAGTCTGGAAGTTAGCCAAGTGGGTTTGTCTCGTCGACATTCCTACTTTCCTCGACCGTCGAGGAGTCTTCCCTCTATCAATCCGAGTGAGAGTTAGGTAGCATTCTGCTGTGAGTACATATGTCTCTGACAGAAGTTGGGATAGTGCGATAGGCTGACCTTCACACAGGCCAATAACACAACGCATTTAGTGCAGGCGCGGGGCGCTGACTCCGCGCTCGTGCAATTTTTGGAAGTTGCAATGATCATCTAAACACTAACTCACAGTCCAATCCACCACATAACGAAAATCAATTCAGCTACTTTTGCTTGGATGAATGGCTGGCCAGCTGCGAATGGGATTCTTGGTCGAGCGAAGTTCTATTGTGTCCAGATCAAGTCGACAACTCGATCATCGGACCTCCTAGATCAGAGTTCGCTCCCTTTGAATTCCAGCATTGTCATTCATCCAGCTCTAGTTTTGAAGAGCCACTTCAAACAATCAACCCCGAAGAACTCATTGGGCCTATGAAAGTTCCCTCGTCTACAAATGTCGAACCTTGGTATCCGCTCGTACTTCCGGCCCCAGTCTCGGTGGCTAGCGCGCCTTCCAGTTCCACAAAAGTTTCCACATGTACAGATGCGGCTCCGACACCTCCTGCTCAGCGCAAAGACTTGCCTGTCCCTGGTGTCGTCACCACTCCTTGCACACCGTAAGTACTCCAGAAGAGACCACAACACCGGCTTGAGAGATCTATGTCTCCCCTGGCTCTGGCTAATGAGGCTTCCCAGGCAGCGAAATGCGGCGAAACCATGCACACCATCCACCTGCAAGGTCTGCAGTCGAGTCTTCGCAGACCGTAAATCGCTGTGGTATCACGTTGAAGCTATACACAAAAAGAAGCGTTACGCTTGCGACGTTACAGGATGTGGGCATAGTACAGCCAGGGCGGCCAACCTTAGGAGGCATAAAAGAACTTTCCATGAGCGTTGAATTCGGCACGGGGCGGATCTCGACCTACCGCGCCTGGGATGGTTTCCAAAATCATAGTTTGACGATGTTCGGTCAAGAGAGCGTCAGAGTGCGGAAGCAGTGTTGCAGCATTCTTTCAGCAGCTTTTAGGACCGAACATCTTCAAACTATGATTTTGGAAACCATCCTAGGCGTGATACGCCACGTTTGAACTACGTCAATGTTCTTCAAAACATTTAGCTTGAATTGATCTATCTAATGCGGAGGGTGGGGCTATGAGGGGTCACGATGGTCTACCGGTCGGGTGGGGGCGGTTTGTAGGGTAAGTGCTTCGACTTTATTTCCTTGTCTAGACTGATAGCAACCCTCAGCTGTCTGTCCTCAACGAACTCGATCCACAATTACTTCCTCTTCTCGCCCTTACTATGCTGACTGAGTCTAGCTCGATTTACGAGTGGGTACACGGCGTTCTGGGTTCTCTCGCGCGCAGAACATGCTTTGAACCAATCTTATGAAATGCTCCGTGTACGTAGACACGGAGTAGAGCTTCCGAAAGAATATCTGGCACGTCTTGCTTGGTTTGGCTTTCATAAGTTTGGTTCAAGGCATGTTCTGAGCGTGAGGATTTGTGTTTTTTAACGAATCTTATCGGCGCTTTGCAAAAGTTCTGAGCCACCTTCCACGATACTGGGCATTGATTTCCTACATTTTCAGCCAACCTGTGTACTATAGGAGGCTAATTATTGGCCTTATTACTTTGGTAAGCTAATTCTGACATCTTACTGCCCTGCTTTAACGTCTACTAGGCCTAAAAATACAGGTTCAACCGATTCTAGCCCATAGTCAGCCTCCTATAGTACATAGGTTGGCTGAAAATGTAAGAAATCAATGCCTAGTACCGCGGAAGGTGGCTCAGAACTTTTGGAAAGCACAATATTTCGTTGATCAAGCCTCCTAATGGCGAGGAGGCGACCCTCTCTAGACTTCTACCACTTGAATACGTGTTGAGGTCGAGGTTTTCTTATGTTCTGCAATTTGCATATCTCGGAGCTTTGAGGGAGATATCCCGGTTTCTTCATTGGAAAAAGCCTCAGGACAACTACGATCAGCGATCTTAGATCCGAATCCGATCACAGTACATAGCCATTGTCAGCTCCAGATTTAATGAACTTGAATGTTTCGCTGATAGTTGTGAGTACTGATTGCGTGCAAAATGACCCTCTAGGACGATGTCTTACCTGAGTGGCCCACTCCTTGCTTCTGCTACAGATGCGGCGGCGTATGCGTGATACTGGGCTCGACGACTTGGCAAGTGGCCTCCGCTAGTCGAGCGAATTGAGCGAAGCTTGAAACTGCCCGTATGCTCTGTGAAACGTCTGGAATCATACCAGTCTGAGCTCCATCCGCTTCCAATCGGCGGCGCAAATTCTATCACTAACAGTCTCCAGCTCTTCGTCTGGTAACTCAAGCAATATCTTTGCATAACCCACTCTCTTAGCGACAGCAGCTCCTCGGCTCACCCAACTCATCAGCAGCAGGTCGATGACAGCTTGCCTCCTCGAGTACCAACAGTCGCCAAGCAAAAAGAGATAGAAGTCGCAATGACTGTCGCCACAGGTAAATTCTTCTCGGCTACCAATCGCAATCATGTCTGTTCCTGCAATCAGAACCGCTTCAATCTCTTCAACGAGCGACAGGTTGCAAGAGCAAGGTTCTTTGTTGCCGTTGTCGAATGCTAAGTTACCTCGAGTGAAGATGTCAGTTTGCTGGAGATGACTAAACCCGGACTTCGTGATGCAAGCACCCTCTACAACGATATGGGAACCTTCCATGACAGTCCCATAGGTGTTCCGTGGGGATTGTAAGATCATCTCACTTCTGATAAATTTGAGGTCAAACTGAGCCAACCACTTGTCGCGGTGTGGAAGCAGGAACTCCGTAGTTCGACCAAGAGTGTCCGGCTCGACAGGACCATTTACGCTTGTCCAGCTCCAGCTTGGCGCCGTGTATATAGGTGGCGTGTCGAAAGGAGACCAGTTCGCATTACTCCATGCTAGACCAGCCCCAAGGTGCTTACTCCAGACGCCAGCAAGATACTCCCCCATTTCCCCGTCGTAGTTGATGATACCAGCAATGCCAGAAATGGCATGAAGTTTATCTGAGGACAGAGCCAGGTTACGCCTAGAGTATTCTTGCACGCACGAGTGCCACGCGTCAAGGCGTTTAGACAGATTCAGATCAGCTCTCTCGGCGTTTTGGGTCACGCTTTCACTTCGTCGAGGGACCTCCCCAGTGTCGATCGCTTGCAAAGCGTCCGTTACGAGAGGTTGAATGGCCGCCTTGTCCAAGTCCCATATATGTTTCGCATATTTAGTCTTTGATGCTTCGAATTCGTGTCCGTGCCCGCACTCCCAGACCATCTGATGTGTCGTATAATGTACGATGCGAGGGGCGAGCACTCGTTCTTGGGCAGCCCAGCCACGCGTTGCTAACATAGAGCTATCGATACCATAGCTCGAGCTAAGCTGTCCTGGGCGCAGTTGGTAGTTTCTCCCTTTTCCCAACAGCGGCGAATACCGGATATGGCGGTTGGTCAGAATACCTCTGGTGCTATCTTCGGCGGCAGTGGCCGATATCATTAGAGACGACCGACCGTAGTACAGTGACATCTTGGGAGCTTCTTCTGCCCACTCTTCTGCGTTGTCTTGACTGATACAAAGTGCATCAATCCATAGATATTTAAAGCCTAACCGTCGTGTTATTTGGATCGCATCCTGGAAGCTTCTGGGAAGCTCTTCATACGGAATAGTGTTCTGGAATTCAGCGATCAGCGAGTCTTTGAGTTTCATCGTAATGTCTGAGCTGCCCCAACAGTGAGACAGAATCGCATAGCGACCTAACTTGTTGTCCGTGGTTCGAATTCTGCATGATTGCGCCGGATCCGTAGGAACCTCGATGACTCTTTTCGGCAACGGGGCTGGACCCATTGATGCGCAATCTGCATGGCTTGAGCACTCCTTCATCCAAGAGCGGATAAGGTTGAAGCAGTTTTCGTTTAATGGATTGACAGGAATATAGTGCCTGTAATCTACCTTCGAGTTGGATCCTGTCGCTGTCAGTGTTTGAGAAATGTACCACCATATGAGCAACATGCCTGGCAATGGCTCTTCAATACAAGCCTCTAGAATCAGATCATCGAAATCGAATGTCGGAATATCGCCTGCGAGTGGTACCTTCGCGTCAAGACGCAACTCCGGGTCTCCTCTCCATGCTTGGCGCAGAAACACTATACGACCTTGCAGCTTTGGCAGTCGCAATTTCCATTTGTCGGAGGTCTGAAGAGTTGTACAAAAGAACGTACAGCCACCACATCCGCTCCTTCCTGGGCCAAGACTTCGCGATTTGGTATGTAGATCCTCGTAGAGTCCAAGCTCTTGCAGTCCCAGCGGCAGTTCGAAGTCGAGATCAAGTTGTGAACATATATTGCAGAGTTCCACGCCTTCCATGCCTATAACAAATGAGAGAACTTAAGTGGCGAGACCTAGTCATCCGTCGTCTAGTAGATCTCGAGACTTCGCCCAACGCTCAGTGGGGCAGTCAGGGTATAGTGCTGGCTGATAGGACTGTGAGAAGATAGCTTCTGAAAAGTATGGCGTATCTTAGCTTATTGCTACTCCATAACATTTCGAGTGGGTATCAGCAATGACAAGAAGGTAGCATACTGGTTCTTGGGATAGGAAGGTCAACGTGGTCTGTGCCTACTTCCAACAGGCAACCGCGGGGCATTACCTCTCTTCCCGTTAACATCGTTGCACTCACTTCATATTGATCTATTGCGTATCGCCAAGCTCCACGTAAACATGCAAAGAAACCTCAAGCTATGTTAGCATTACAACACACGCTTGAGAAGTTTTCACAAGATGACCCTCGACATCAAAAGCAAGAAGACAGCGCCCAAAAACCTTCGCGCGCGATGCGGAAATTACTTGGATTTGGGCAGGTACTCTCAGCCCAGACTGTGGAAGAGTAGAGAAGCATGTTATCGCCTAGAAGATTTCCCACTGAGATCAAGTCTGCTGGAGACAGGTTGAGCATGCAAAGTACAGCTAGAAATCGTTCTAGCTAGACTTACATAGTGGGCCGGAACGCTCGTGCTAAGGAAATTGGCCGGGTGCACCTAAACAATATATCTAACCCCTTGGCGCATTGGAGAGTATTCGTGCGCTTGCTATAAAAAGGACTACCCATCGCAAGCACCATACCTATTCTTATCACTATAAGACCAGCTTGCAGACACGCAACAGGGCAGCCACGCGTCCACAGCGTAGCAAGCATCACCCAGCGGCTCATTGCACCAGGATACCCCAACCATCGTAAAAACTCAAAACCTTTGCAAGGATACCTCTGCGCCAAAACAGTGGGAAAAAGGAGTTTGACCATCTGCTCGCCCAAAGAAAAAGAGACGTGAGCATCGCGATTGTCGCTTTCGGAAGGGTCGGTATTAATCATGCAGTTGCAATTACGATCCCGGGAATGATAAGGTCACGTGGCCAAGGAGCCGTCCAACATGCGAAGTACCTCCATGTCAGACGTACACACATAGGAGGACCCGAAAGACGGACTTCAAATGTCAAACTTGATATCATTCAAGGCGGTATCATTAATTCGATCATCTCATCCCGACCTCGCTTCTATGCGCTGGTCTTCTCGAGTCCGGACTTGATGGCGGCCTCGAGGGCCTTGAGGTTGGCACCGACGACCTCTCCAACCTTCTCCTTGTTCGCGAAGAGCAGGAAGGTCGGCATGGCGCGGATGCCGAGCTCCTGGGCGACGTCGGGGACCTCATCGACGTCGATCTTGAGGAAGCGCGCTTGGGGGTAGGTGTCGGAGAGCCTGATTCTGTCAGATATATGAATTGGTGAAACGGGCGATGGCATCGCGTACTTGACGACCTGCGGCGCAATCATCTTGCAGGGTCCGCACCACGTAGCGAAGCAGTCGAGCACAAGCAGCGTGTCCTTGGTCTCGAGGACTTGCTCCCAGTCGGCCTTGCTGCACGGAGAGTTAGTATGGATTCATCCGTTCGCGTCGCGCGCGCATGACATGGTGTTTCTCCTTCCGAGACACCACGCCGCCACGCAGCACTACGCCTAGGGTCCGCACTCACGAGGTGAGGTTGTGCACGCCTTCCTTGCTCATTGTGGCGGTATTGGAGAAAAACTTGGGAGTGAGAAGGGGTCGGTAGAGGGTCGCGGCAGGGACGATAGCTGTTCGAGCGCGCGCAGTGGTAAGTAAGGTTCTTGTGAAGACTGACGTCGACGGGGCGAACATGGTATATAAAGAACAAGGGATGAGACAAAGTGTCGAGTCGAGGTGATTTCAAAGATGGAATGCACTGGGCTACTGAATGGCGCGTGCGATTACAATTCGGTGATTGATGGGGAAGAGGCTGCAAACTCGGCAAAGGCGCGCAAGTAGTCCCTGCGCCGATTTGAACAGTGCGGGCAGGGCGATGCCGAGGGTGCGCGGGCAAGACAGGAGGGGAGGCGGGTTTGACTTACGAAGCTGACTCTGGGTTGTCGTCAGTTGTGTGAGGGCGGTTCCAGGTGCTACGAGGGGCGCTGGTGGAGTTTTGCTGATGATAAATCCGAGGTGGGCGTTGATTACAGAGTGGAATGGCCTGCATTTCAATGACGTGCGCGTGTGCCCGAGCCTTGCCCGACAAAGGCAATCAGTACCCCGCCATCGCAGATACTCGGCAGCTGCTATGCGAACAATACCACGTACGCGCCGCAGGCGGCAATGAGCCTGATATTGACAAATAGACGGCGCCAAATACACAGCCCTATGGCGACTATCGTCAGATGCAGACACATGGGGGGCGCTGGTGGCTGGATTTTACATCAACACCTTGTCCTGCGGCTCCTTGCCCCACCATGGACCTTGCCCTTGCAACCCATTCATTCGCATGTGGAGACGGAGTGATGCACTCCTCAGACCATAGTCGCATATGGCACCATGATTGCAGTAGCAACAAGCGTTGGAATCAAGTTCATCAATACATCTGCTTGTCTAAGCTAAAAGCCGAAGTTGGGCAGCGCCATCGTGCAATTCCCAGTCGGGAACGCACGTCAAATATCCCAAAGTAGTGAAAGCACATGTCGTGGCATATGCCATCAGAAAGTGCATCGCAGAGCACCGCACGCCAAATGGGATCCGAGTTCTCGGCTTGGTAACATGTCCTCTATGCCTGTATGCCAGATCCCAGGAGCCGTGATGCGTAGGTATAGAACGTGAGAAAGGAGAAAGCCGGCCAATGTGCCAGCTAATGTACAGTACAAATTGGTATAGAACCACAAATATGAAGTAGAGCAACGCTAGATACCATATCCACCAAACGCCATGCTATGTGTTGCCGCCCAAACGTCCAAATCCGACGTCTACCAGAAACATCAAATCAGTGTCGAGACCAAACTTACGCGTAGGAAGCGCGATCAACTGTGGCTCGCGGGAGAGACTCAAGACCTGTATGTTTGCCATTCCTTTTTTTTATGGTGTTTGAAATTGTAACAAGCAAGGAGAGTTGAAAGAGTGACTGTGACAGACAAGGAGAGTTGAATGAGTGACTAGGGCAAGTTGGTGAATCCGTAAAGACCGTCAGGTACAAAGGAAATGCTAGTGAGTGGCGCGGTCTGGCAAACATTCGTGGTCTCAAAATCTTCTCCCATGTCCGTGGTTCGATCATTGTTCCTGTTGCGTTAGCCTGCTCTGCGACGATGTGCTCGCTCGCTTTTGGATGTCCAAAAGCTTGGCTGATCCAGCACTGAGATGTCGGAAATGATGTTTGCCCAAGTCGACGCTTCTGGCGCGCTGCACAACCGCAGGCTCATTGTCTGATGTCGGCGAGTCTCCTTCGAGGATTTCGGCGCTTTCGCCTGGCGAAGGCTTGTCCTCGAGGTAGAAGCTCAGAAGGCCCTCTCTCGACTTCACGCGCGATTGTCGGTGAATGACAGTGGGTTGTCGACCAATGCTGCTGTGCACGAGCTCTTCATCTTCTTGGGACGTTCCCGACCTGGTAGGCGCTGTCTCTTCGTTATCAGAGTCCGCAAGATTGATGGGATCCTCGAGGGGTGACATGGCCATGCTGCTGGGTTTCCGTTCCAGCTCCTTGGAGAGCAACGACGGGCGATGCTCATCGGGCTGAGGGGTCAATCTTCTAAAGTATTCGTCATCGGGAATGCCAAGTTCTTCGTAAGATGCACTGAATGGCTCATGCGTTTTGAGGGCGGTGGACGACCCGACGCTGGATCGCAAGTGAGACTTGTTAGAGCTGCGCTTAATGGGCTTTCCAGATAGCCAAGAACCTTCTGAGTCGACTGAAGCTAGAGATTGTGACATCAGTCCTGCATTAGGAACCCCTGGGCTGACGGGAGAATCTGTTCGAGCGGCAACAGAGTTGTCAGACTCGATACGCAGCCCAGCCGGTGGTTGACTTCTTCGCCGAGCAGCGATAGCGCTGTTATGAATGATCTCGGGCGATTGCACTCGCGAGTCCGGCGGAGTAAATTCAGGTAGATCTTCCCTGAATTTGGATCTGGTACGACGGGGGACGCTCGAGGGACGTTTGATGGCGATAGGTGCACTAGGTAGTGGTGGTGGTGGCCCGACCAAATGGGCGGGAAGTGGCTGGCGAGACATAGACTCGCGGGAGGTGTTCGAAAACGATACCTCGGAAGGTGTTGTACGACCCTGATCTTGGGATCGTCGCTTGCCGCGTCTGAAGAGCGAAGCAAAGACGGCCATGCGCCTTCCTTCTGAGCTGCGACGGCGGCCGGCACCCTTCTTCGATGTTGCAGCAGTGTCGGTGGTTTCGACTGCGTGCAGAGATCCACTTGCCATCGGATCATGTGCAGGTTCGATCGACTCAATAGGTGTTTCCTGGGCAAGACGCTCTGAGAGAAGCTCTGGCATTTGAGAAACATTCGAGGGCCCACGGGTGTGAGTAGCTGAGACGCTGCCTCGGGAGTAGCGGACAGCCTGGGCGCTAGAAATGACCGGCTCCTCAATGGGGCTCTCCAGAGGGGTGGGAAGTTGGCTGATCTCCTCAATCTGAGGTGTGAGAGGAGGTGGGCGGCGCTGTGGCGTGGTTGGCCGAACGTCTTCCATGGGCATATGCGTGGGTGCACCCATATTCCTCTCAATGCCCAGGCCAATCGTTCCTTGTGCATCCTTCCGAGGGGTAGTAGGCGTCCCTGGCGTCGGGGGTGCAGCTTCTGCTGCTCGTTGCTTCTCTGCGCGGCGCTCCAACCTTCGGCGTAGACGTTCATCTTCAGCTTTCCTCTTCTTCTCTCTTCGCCGCTGGTCCCGCTCCATTATTTCTCTCAGCGCACCAGTGTCAAGCTCGTCTGCCAGATCGTCTATCCTGCTACTCCTCTTGTCTCTCTTCTCGTTCCAATCTTGAGGGGCATCTCTGCTACCCGGCTGACGCCCTCGCTGTGTGTTGGACCGGCTCTTGTTAGAGAGTGGCGATGAGTCGGTACCGCTAGCATAGTGTTGGGAGCCGACTGAGCACCGTACTGTGGGCCGTGGTGAGAACATAGCGAAGGTGCTGACCCGGAAGGCGCGGGGATCTGAGCTGCCGGACATGGAGGAAGATATGGACTCTTCAAGTGGGAGCGAGACGTTGGAGTCGTGTCGTTCGAAGCGGCGGTTGAGGCTGCCCTTGACCTTCTTGCTTTCTCGTCGCAGCATGTCTCCCGACTTGCCTGCTGGTCTTTTCTGCGGGAGCGGCATGCTCATGGCCCGGATCTCCTCCTCGCGCAGATGGTCATGTTCCCGCTTCTGCTTCTTGCTTGAGATGCGCCGAACGAGGCCCGACTCGTTGATAGGCTTGCGCAGGGACTGGGGTCGTTGGAGTTTGCCCCGCTCACGGGCGGTTGGGATGCTCGACTGCGAGTTATTCGGATTTGTTTCGTTGAGAGAGAAATTGTAGGGGATGGTGCCGTGCTGCTGCGATATAGGGCGAAGGTGCGGACTGTGTTCGAGGCGGCGCTGATTAGGGAGGGCGGTGATGTTATCGTCGACGCTGTGGCGCGGGAGGCCCTGCTCTTTAGCATGCGCGGCGCTTTGGGCTTCAAGGGCCTTGAGGGTGGGCGAGTCCTTTTCGAGGTCGCGCAGGGACGCACTAGAGCGCGAACTCCTCCGTCTCCTCCGATTGCTGCGGGTGCTTTGACGGCGGGCGGGCGAGCTTCTCAGGACGTCCCTGCTTGCGAATTCGTGAGCTTTCGCGGCTGACATGGAGCCTGCAACAGGCCGCTTCCTTTCTGCGACAGCGGCGGGCCCACCCTCTTTTAATCTAGTGGCCTTCCGCCCAAACGGCCACATTGGCATTGCAGACTACGAGGCCCGTCGAGCGTTGGGCGGGAAGGGTGCGAGACGCTGCCCGCGCGCGCTGCACACAACGTGACTGCGCGAGCGCGAAGCGTGTCGGATGGTGCGGCGGGCTATCTGCTGTCGCTGAGGTGCGGTGTGTCGGCGGGCTGCATGGTGCGCGAGGTGGCGGGTTTTGTGGTTTCTTTTCGGTCAAGACGCAGGCGACTGCAGGCAAACAAAGACGAGATGAATGGCGGTGCGGATGGCGTGTTGTGGGGAGGGAGGGAGGCTACGAAGGGAGGCACTGCGTGAATGCCTGAGATGTGACGCAAGGGCCGAACCTTGGTTAGACACCAGACGTGAGCGACGACAGCTCTGCCACCGATGCAGGCCCAGAGGCTAGCGGCGCCGGTCCAGATCCCGCAGGCCTAGAATGCTTCGAGAAATGGAGACTGCGAGCGCCGTTGCGTTGCGGCGCGGTGCGGTGCGGTGCGGCGACAGCTGTGCGATGCGCGTTTGCGACGTGGGACGTAGGCCGGCTGCACACCTCGAATAGCCAGCCAGCCAGCCAGCGCAGCGTGCATTGCTACGTTTTTGTGTGCTGCACTGCGCTCCTTTGCCACTTCACCGTACTCTGTGCCTGCACTCACCCATGGCTCCATAGTCACGCGGCAAACTACCGGGCGCCCTAGCGAGCACACGCTCATCTTGCTCCCTCTCGCGAGCACGCCGACGATCGTGGCCACTGACGCCCGCTGGTGGCGAGCCTCTTCATGACTGGCCCCCGTCGCCAAAGGCGTCGCCGGCGAGCCCTGGCCTCTCGTGGCTCATCAATGCCTGTGCCAATCATTGCCCCAAGTCTCCAGCACCAACGTCGACCACGAGCTCCGCGCCCATCGCATCCCTACCGGGCATCTCAGCCGGGCGTCTAGGAAAGATCGGCTGCACCTGCCGCTTCTCCAGGGCTTGGTTGGTGGCAGAAGGCTCCCATTGTTGTTGTCCTGGCCGCTACCAGACAGTCAGCAATAACGACCACAACGACAAGACGCTGCCACTGGAGCCCGTCGGCGGGAGCAGCATTGATGCTGATGCCCTGTCGCGGGACCGCCAGCCACGCTAGGGCTGCCGCACGCCACAGTACCCACTTCCTTCCAGTCACACGGAATGCGGCATGCCTGCTTGTCCATAACGTCGATTGCTATCGACAGGTACCCGGCCTTATGCGGTCCCCCTTTTCCGCTCCTCTACCTATGGACACAGACGATAACACCATCGGCCTACAGATCGTCGAAGCACATCAACAATCTCCACTTCTCTTGTATCACCACCAGCCATGGCGGGCGACGTTTCAGAAACACCATGCCACGCTGCCGTGCTTTGCATTTCAGGTCTGAAGTCCCCCGTCAGCCAAGCCGGCTTCGGTACTGCACGACCCGCTGTTCTCAAAGAATTTGCTTTTCGATCGTCATGTCTCCGGCTGCGAATCCTGACCACAACGAGTCCAGAACAGATCGTCCTTGACATTGACAATAGTGTTTCGCGGCAGAACCGTCTCGCTTCCCTCTCGCTAAACCTGTCCTGTCTGGTTGGCAACGGCACCCCGTTTTCGGAGACCATCCGCACGGCGTCGGCGGCCAATTTAGTGAGCGCGCCAGCTTTCCGCGAGTCGACCGCACCTGAGACCTCGAATCTCCGGGGGTCCAATTGCGGGCCCTTTGCGTTCTTCTCTTTGCAGCTGAGTGTAGTCGAGCAGAATCAACTGTGTCTGAATGTCTAATTAAGATGAGATGAGAGCGGCTCCAACGTCGGTGGCTTGGGGCTTGCGTCCATACATCGTTCACGCTCACTGTACGACATCCGCAGATTGTCGATCCTAGCGTGAACCTTCTCACAACCTTCTCGCGACCGACTCAGTCTGCGGCAACTTTTGGCGCAAGCCCTCAACTTTGTTTTTTTGTTTCAGAAAAGCAACGGTCGGCAATTGTTACGCAATGACACGTAGCGACGCCAGCCTCTGCTATTCCCAGATTGTTGACCACAACAAAGAGAATGCGCGCGGATCGCCGCACTAGCACGATGCGGAGACGTCGAACGGCGTGGTAGCGGTTCGGTCGCACTCGCACAGCAGATGCTCCTCTCGCGAACGGTGCAGTAGACGCGCGGCGTAGCCACGAGACGGGCGTCTGGACACATGTTGTGGGTAGGGGAAGGTTACAAGAGACGCTCACGACATGCTTTCACATGTCATCGTCTGAAAGGTACATAGGGAAGAGGTCTTCTCCTTGCTTCTGCGCGCTGTGCTCTCATGCTGCGCTCACGCATAACTATCGATTTGGTGCATCTTACTTGCATTTTGTACTTGCAACAACGCCTTACACTCCAAGATGATTACGTCAACAGCAGCTTTTGTCAATGGACGCGGAGTCTGTTCGCGCGAACGTGGATTTCGGTTGCTTTACCGGGTGTTGATAGTAGAAGCGCGCAATGCACTACGCAAATAACGAATTTCCCGCTCCACCGCGTCCTTGTGTATTATTGGTTTGGTGTTCAGTTATCAGCTGTGACCTATCCTACATAGACTCCTGATGCTCTCGCGCTTGATCGGTCGCCATTGCCTATTGAAAGACACTTCCAGGCTGGCATGTTGCACACAAAAAAATCGTTCAGAAACGCGATCGAGCGCGCCTAGCAACTCTACACGATAGGGGCCAAACGGTGCTCCACGAATTTCAGGAGGACGCAAGAGAACAACTGAGTGTCGGATTTGATCATGCTTTGATATCCTTCAAAACGTGAGGTTCTTTAGGTCTGCATCACCGTCTTTGTAGCCCCAGAATACATTCCTGCCATATCACCGCTGTCCTGAGTCAGCATGATCTCTATACTTTCGGTGTCCCAAAAGACAGTCTGCCATGATGTCTCTCGTAACATGTCCTAATGAGGCAGTTACGCTTTGGTAGAATTAGTCGGCTGGGTCTGCCATAGTACAGTGCCACACGTCCAGGTGCATGTCGGAAGATGACCTTGAGAACGCACATGAGACGCAAGCGTGGTATCTAGCCGTAAATATCGAACATCGTTATCTAGATACTCAATATACAAGGTATACTGGTACTGCTTGTGAAGGCACGGTGTGTTGGCTAGCGCAGACCTGGTTGGGCCATTCCCGTTTTGGTCTAATGGAAATCCGCACCGTCGCAACCGTCTTTTCGTAAACAAACAAGCGCTCACTAACATCAACATTATACCAACGCACCACAACGTCGCATCCCTTGAACAATACAAAAATATTGAAGAAATGTCTTACGGCGGTCGAATGAGCATGGCGCGCAATACGTCCTACAACCAACGCGCGCCTCCACCCCCGCAGGAAGATGTTTTCATGACGCTTGTACGTACACCAACTGCAGTGGACAGAACGTGTGATAGGATTCTCTATTATGTATGGCCTGATCGCTATATCGGAGAAATCTATGTACTATTTCGGCCACTGTCGCTACCGTCCCTGTCTTTGTTTGCTGACAGTAGCAGCCCGACCACGAGATCGCTGGATGTATAACGGATATAGGAGTCCCCATCGGGCTGAGCTTCACGTCCCTGGACCTGCAAAAACCAAAGCCTGAAGTTATCCAAAGAGTCTTCGAATGGATGGCCGAAGTGATACTGAACACGACGCGCGACGTTGTCGCCCCAGCGATGCGTGCAGCGGCCGAAGATCTCTGCGGACCAGATGCAGAGAAGCTATACTCGAGTGATACGCGCGACTTGCTGGCTTTCTTCGTGACGTTGAGGAGGCTGCTCCGAGAGGTAAGTCCAGAGGTCGCAGGGCGACCGAAGATTGCCGACTGACTGTATACGTAGTGCGGTGTTCACGACTTTACATTCGCAGACCTTTACAAGCCGAACCACGCCCGCCTCGTCAAGATTTTTTCGTATATGATCAACTTTATAAGATTTCGCGAATCCCAGACGGAGGTCATCGACGAGCACTTCAACAAGTCGCAGCGTACGAAGCTGCGCATCGAGCAACTCTACGATGAGAAGGAAACAAAAGAGATCCAGCTCGCGGATCTGGAGCGGAACCGCATCGCAACTCAGAGGCTGTTGCAAGAGAAAGAGAAGCGCTACAATGATCTAAAAATGAGGCTCCGTGAGCTAGGCAAAGAACAAGAGGTGGTACAAGAGAAGGTAGCCCGCGCGAAGGAGCAACAACACAGTCTCAAGGCAATCCTGCAAAAAAAATACGAGGACAAAGAGAACATCACTCGCGAGGTGTCGAAACTGAAGCCGTACACCGAGCAGAGCCCTACAGCACTCGAGGACGCTTTGCGTGATTTGAACGATCGTTTGCTTAACGACAAATCGCAAATCGAATCGCTCGACCGCCGCGCACGCGCACTGCAAACCTCGAGTGAAGCATTCGGAGTGGTAGCCGCTGATGTCACATCTTGCACGCGCTTGCTCACCGACGTCCAAGCCGACCTCGCTAAGGAAGAGGAAGAGCTTGCGAAAGCGTCGCGACATGCGGATGCGTTGACGGATAGAAGTAACAACGTACGAGACATCGAACGTCAAGAACGACTTCTACAGAAACAGCTCGGCAACGTTAATGCGCGAATGGATAAGATCAAGAAGAAAGCGGATGACGAGGCTGAGGCAGCGCGCAAGAGGATGGAGGAATTGCACGATACGCACACGCAGTTGACTAAGGAGCGCGGCGAAAAGGGTCGTGATATGGAGGAGAGGCGGGTCAAGATTGAGCAGACTGAGAAGAAGGTATGTCTGATTGCATTCAATTCACTAACGGAGCTAACGCGCTGCAGATGGCGCAACTCAAGGACAGCATCGAGGCTGAGGTACACGCTGCCCATGACGAGTACATTAAGATGGAAAGTCACATCAAGCTGTATATCACGGAGATGGAGCAGAGCATCTAGGTTTCACTCACGTGGGTTTTGACGATGTTTGCATGATTGACGATGGCGTCTTGGATTGTTGGGACCTGGGTAGATACCTCTTGTTGCAATAGTACGATTTTTTGACTTTCTATGCTGATTTTCTTGTAAGTTACAAGTATTGCAAACATGATAAATGAAGCATGGTGAAGCTCGCGCCTTTAGCTGCCCGCCATTTTACAATGCTCACGCCAGCCACACCAGCTCCTCACTCAAGCCCACCCAAGACCCTGATCATTACAGCCGATTGTGCCTCGAACGTCATCCTGCATTTCAATTACTTGTGAATAGCTAAGTTATTTCTCACGATTGTGCGGTTGGTCCGCGGCTACCATACCGACGCTTTTGCAAAGTAGCATGTGTGTGGTGAGGTGGTTCGGATGGGTCCAATATTGGACGGATTGTGTTGAGGCTCCACCATGTCGTGCTGCCGGAAGGCTGCACATCCGCAATGTCATCTCGTCTAGGTATAACCGAACAAAATCGACGTTATGAATATTAGCCTTGCTTTTATACCTGCTGCACTCTAGAACGACATCGTATGGGTCGTTGAACGTATGACTCACGCCCGCGAGTGTGCTGCTAGTTCGTATAGTGGAGTGATTTCCCACGGGATCATCTGGGAGTCAATAGTCTTCTCACTCTAAATGTACAGTTCGGCGGCCCCTGATTTTGAAATGGGTGCTCCAGTCGTGTGCATGTTTTACTAAGTTACCAGGCTTGCTTTGTCGTATCGGGCTAAAGACCCGCACGCAGGAAACTTAGTTTCAACGACAGAGTCCAATGTACCTTCCCCGGACGCTTTCTCCGCTGGGAGATGTGCTTTAGTGATATCTCTAGCTTTCTTATGCTAGGTACAGGATCGTAGAGCGATTGATTTACGTGTTGGGCGCCGATTGTTGACAGCTCTCAGCAGTGATGTTCTGAACGCATACTTTTTCCCAAACCACGTTGAGTGTCACACTCGATTTCAGTATGGAGAGCGACATCCACGTGTGTGCGAACTAACGTTGCTGCGCGTAGGATGAAGGTGGCTCCAATGGAGAGCATACCTCACCCCTTTTCCGTCGAACCGACATGAAGTTATGGTAAACGGCGCAAAACACGATCCAAGGGAGTGCAATACGCGGATGATTTTAGATTGATTTGGAGAAGCGTTAGTACGCTTGTTGAGTAAAGCCATCTATTTCGTTCCCAGAGCGGGTTGCGTATAGGGACTCATCGTCACAGCCCTTCCGAGCCAGCTTCTCAAGGATAGAAGCGCGCCCCCCTCTGAAGTCAAGTCGCCCATCCGCATTCTCTCTTACCATTCCCCAAACTTGATCCCATAGTCGCCGCTCGCGTTTTCTGCGTCAATCCAGTGCTATAGCGAAAGCCAAATCAACAGCCCACCACTCCATCTTCGTTTTTCTTACATTTACAAAGCCAGAAGTAAGGAGCACTCCTTCACTTCAAGAGGATGTTCGCCTTGGTGATGGCGTTCCTAGTCATCTTGAGTTTCCTCTCCAGTGTTCTTGCTGGTCCAACCGCCATTCCCCATGGCGTCAAGAACACTGAGACGCTTCTCCCACGCACTGCCGGATTCGCGAGCGGCGCGCTTGATCGGTCTATATACATCCGTAAGTCGCATTGCCCATTCATACTCGGAGTTGTAGCTAATATACTTTCTTCTTCAGCGGCCACGTCAACTTCTGTCGAGTCGAACATATCCAGTACCAAAACTATGAAGACATTTGGAACGGTGGCGAAACCAACAGTCAGGCGGAGTTTCCCAGTGCCAGCATCTTCTAAGTCGGAAAGCGCTCATGAAACGGGCAGTGCTATGGACGCAGCACCAACAGAGCCGGCTGTCCTTACTACTACCCTCTTCGTCAAGTCTGCACCAGCTCAACCAACACAGACAGTACCCTGCGCCCAGTTTGGTCAATCGTGCTCCTTGATGGTAGTCGTGTTTTCTCCTTTTGCAACGCTAGAATCTTCTTCGTTTGTTGGCACTTCTGTTCCCGGAGATATCGTAGCTTCCACGACCATTGCGGCTTCGATTTCCTCAGCACTATCAGAACCCTGGCCCACAAGGATATTCAAGGTACCAGTGGGGGTTATGCCTGCAGCTTCCACAATTGTCGCGGCTTCGATTCCCTCAGTGCCGTCAGAGCCCTGGCCCACAAGGATGTTCAATGTACCAGTGGAGATGGTGCCCACCCAGAATCCGGTGACAATACCCTGCATTCCAGGACCAGGCGATGTTGACTGTAAGAAGTTCGCCTCTATTGTGGTTTGGGTGAACCCTTACCCAACAATGTCGATGCCAGGTTTGAAGACAGTTGCGACAAGTAAGCCGATGGAACACTTGGTCACAGAGATTCCTGATTACAAGCCTGCTTCATCGCCTATTCCCCGGGTATCACAAGGTTGGCCAGTCAACGTACCTGCTCTGATTCCAACTTTGCCTTCATTTGCAGCGCCTGCAGCGTCAGAGTCAATTCAGGTCCAAGGAACGCTTTCGCTTCCCGTAAATACGGTATCCCCAATAAGCTCGATATACGGTCCATCTCCTAGCCTAGATCTTCCGCCTCCATTTGGCAAAGGCGAAGCTCCTTTGATACCAGTCTCAGTAATTCATGAAGACAAACCCACGCTCTCTAGCTCTGCGGCACCAAGCGGCGTTTCGTCGGATATCTCTTCAGTAGCAGTAGTACCGATCAGTCCACAGCCATCTAGAACTGGAGTAACACCAATAAATTCTCTTCCCTCTATTACTGGAGTAGGAATAGCGCCTACTAGTTCTCTACCCTCTGGAACTGGATCCACCACTCCTTCGGCGTCCCTCATTTCGGCTTCAACGCTAGCGACAGCAAGCACACCGAAGTCCTCGCCGTACGATCCTGACAATACGGATCAGCCTGTCTATTTTTATGGTGCGGCTAGTGCCAAATCCTCTTCGCCATGGCTTGGCCTTATCGTCTCCTTCTTCGCCGGAGCCCTAGTCATGGTGTAAGAGATGCCAGAACGGCATGAGACGAGGATCGGTCAAGGGCGCAGAGACCGAGTCGAAAAAACGCCGAGAGTGCTCCGAAATAACGTGGAGAGCCTTTTAAAGAGGATGTGGCTGCCTTTTCCGTCTAGATGACAACTACCGAAGCCTTCCCTTACGAAGGACTTTTGGGTTTCGATTTCGATTTCGATTTTCGCGCTTTTAGGAGGCGCTGCGCCGTGATATGGGGATATACCGGTGTCGTGTCTCTTCAGTACTCTCGTATTCGGGCTTTCTATTCTCGTTTTGTGGACTGGGTTAAGTTTTGCCCAGGTCTGCTTACTTTCTTCATACTTTCTTATTGCGTTCGCGTTCGATGACTATGCGCGGCTTCACCTAATGGACCCAAATGGGCGGAGGTCGTATTCGGAATCGAGTCCTTTCAGGCTTCACTTTTCTGGGACGACTCATCGTCAGCTGCAATTCGGACACCGCGGGGATTACATGGGCTGGAGGACGACAACAAGGGTCGGCAGGGCACTGGATGCTTGGACACGACATGGCATGGGTACATACGGCTGGGATATAACACAGGATGCATAGCGGAACACGACGAAACGACAGCGGCATTTGGATCTTGAAGTACTGAGATGTACGATACGCGAAGGACTCATTCGCGAGGGAGATGGGGAGGAGGATATGGCTTAGCTGGACTGACATACCCTGTGTTGAATTGATAACGGTGAGGTGATGGAGATGAAAGAGAAGGAAGGAAGATACCCTACTGGCATTGCAAGGACTCATTGCAAGGATTGGAGTGACACGGCATTTGGATTGGATGGAATTATACGGCAGAAGAGGAGACTCGGAAAGTGCGCCTGTTGTGGGAGCTCGATGAGCGGAACGTCTATTTGGTGTTGCAATCGTTGTATCGAACCTGCAACAGTTAGCAATGTTACTTCCCCATTCCTAATTTTTCCCATGATGAACTTACTGACTGTTCATGTGCTCGTCTCCTCTGCAGTGCTTTCTCGAGGTTTCTGGTATAGCTCGAAGTGCTCTCGCATTTGGTACCGCAGTAGTGCAGGCTCTTGAACTGCATAATGCTCCGCTAATGCACGACGATCCGCCGGGGTTTCATCCAACAATCCTTGCTTGATACTCCTATGACCGGGCATTCGCCATATATTAAGGTGTCTAGGCAGGTATTCTTGGACGTAGTCGAGATCCTTTTGGGTGGCAGGCGCAACTAGATCGCTCATTTCAACATAACCCATAGGTTTGTACGAGCCTGGCCCAGCATCAGCAGGGTTTCCCCACATTGGATCTTCCCAGTATTCCTTCAAGATTGTGTCGAAAGACAGGTAGAACGTAATGTTGATGTCTGGCTTCCTCGCACGCAAAGCGTACATTATTGGACCGAAGTCGAGCGTATTGAGCGAGCAGTCTCCTGTTTTCTGCATGTAGATGGCCAGCTTTTGTAAACGAGGAAAGTCCAGCAATTGCTCCCACCGGACGCGAGAATCAGTGCGTCGATAAGTTTTCTCATGCTGATTCAGGACCTCGAAATTGGAGTCTTCGAAGCTGGGCAAATGCTCGGAGCATGTAATGTCGAGCTGTCGGATGTCGCAGGGATTGACGCAGACGCTTGTCGATTCGAGTGCGGCTACCTGTGGATTGTTCCAGTTCCAATTGAAGACTTTCGTTCTGACCAGAATTTCTAGTGCCTCAGGAAGTAAGTTTGTGTCTTCGCGTAAGATCGGTGGGACATGCGGCAACAGATCTTCCGTGAACCCTATGGAACCATGGACATCTACAGCGTCGGTGTAGATTTTGTCTCGAAGCTCTCTTGGTAGTCTAGACAAAAGATCCGCAGGGCGAAGTGTAGACACTGGCCATGAAGGTGCAGGCATGACCGCTGATGAAGCTAAGATAAGGGGTGTTAGGTAACAAGAGAATGTGGCTTGCTGTGCAGGTAAACTAGTTGGAAGCGAACACTTTGTCTTGCGAATGTTGAAACTTGCGGAAAGTGAGCCGATTTGGAAAGACGTATGATTGATGGAAAGTAGGAATTGGATTCGAGATGAACAATGTTGATGCCTGGGACGCGTGCGCAGCCAACACGTGTGCCGAACGCAATTGCTGAGGCACGCCTAGCAGCAAATTCTATGAACAGTACCCAAAACTCGCCGACCATCAATATGAGCAAAATCAGACGCGAAGATGTCGCAATGTTGATGCACCCGGAAGATATACCCAAGCGGGAGTGCGATGTATCTCCGCAGCACAGACCACATTGCCAAGCGATCCATTTGCAGCTTCCCCAAACTTTGCGACAACGCGCAACACCATCGCCAACATCGCCGCTGCCATGCCTGTACAATTCCTCCGCCGCCTCGTACGGCCGTCCGTCATCTTCAGAACCTCCCTCGCACCCGCACAACCACTCAGGCCCTCAATCGTTAGCTCGCTTCCCAAATCGCCGGCTTTTCAACCTCTACCCCCCGCGCGCGCGCACAAGTGCACCCTGATCCAGGTGCTGCGAAATGGTCGATCACAACAGAGAGCTCGAAAGCTGCGATCCCCGCAGTTGGCAGGCAGGCCGGAATTGAAGGGTGTGTGCTTGAAGGTCGGCACGACGAAGCCGAAAAAGCCTAATTCGGGTGAGAGAAAGATTGCCAGGGTCAGGTTGAGTAGTGGGAAGGTCATCACGGCGTATATTCCGGGAGAAGGTGCGTTTGCTTGGATTAGACCGAGTATGGGGTGTGAGACTAGGCGCTTACGAAGGAACCAGGTCACAATGTGCAGCAGCATTCGGTCGTCATGGTGCGAGGTGGCAGGGCGCAGGATTGTCCTGGTGTGAAATACCATCTGGTCAGAGGCGCGTTGGATTTGGTAAGGCTCATATCCAATCAAGAGGAGCGCCGTCACTAACAATGCACAGGGTGGTGTAGGAAACCGGATCACATCGAGATCGAAGTACGGGACGAAGAAGCCGAAGGCTGCATAAGAAAGCAGCAGCTATTGTAAAGATATGTAAACATCTGTACCATACCCAGCATAAAGGGCGTTCGGTCGCGGCAGACCATCTTGAATACCAGGTTTACTTCGCGGTCATATTGCCTTAGAATGGAACACTCCGAAAAGATTATCACAATTTGTGATGACGCGCTCGCATAAATGTGAACGTTGGCAATACAGTATCCGGTTACTGTTTTGGACGCTCATGATTAAGCCAATTACGCAGGAGACATGACCCGGACCTCAATTTATTAACGCTTCGTGAGTAGCAAGCCAATAACCAACCTCCTTAACTCCAGAGCCGGGGTTGTAGTTTCTGGATGCAGTGTCACGACGGTGACGGAGTATATGACGTACAAGGGGAGATGCGATGGCAGTTGTGGGACGCAGTGAGTTACGGAGAAGGCGAGGGTGTTGAAAAGAGATGAGGCTGGTCAGAGAGGGTATCAACGGGGTGATGTGATCTGCGTGAAGGCATATGATAGGAAGCATGATGGAGAAGGGGGATGTAGGTAGATCGATGTTTGGCGTACGTGGGTGACTACTGCTTGTAGGGCCTCAGCAAGTGATTTACGAGAGTGGAAACATTACATTTGACTAGCTAAGCAGGTAAATGTACCCAAGACGCATAGCTTATGCCCGATCCCCCTTCACGAACATTCATACCTTACGAAAAAGGCAAGTCAAAGATTGACCGCCGATCGAAAGGGCACAAGAATTTGTTATGTAGCGAGCTACGCATCTGCTCTCGCAGGCAATCCTCGCAAAACTCATGACCGCACGATGTGAGGCGGCGCCACTTGAATTTGGGAACAAGACAGATAGGGCAGTTCCGTTCTACGATAGTGGAGAAACTGTCGAAATCGATCAGCTCGCCATCAGCGTCTAGGGAGGTAAGCGAAGAAGCGGTGGGAAGATCCACAGTATCTGCCGACAAGGGCGATGATCGAAACACCACGCTACCCGGCTGTGCGTTTATCGCTATGAGGTGGTCATCGCAGATGTAGTGGCCATCATGGTGAATGTGAGCAGCCTGAGAACAAGGCAGGCTCTGTGCAGGCCAAGGGCAACCTAGAGGGCGCGGAACAAGTACATCGCACTGATATCCGTGCTCTTCACAGTACCAGTTCCCAGTATCTTTGTCCACACATCGCCCTGGGACATTGCAGCGGCAGCAGCGGTTCAGAATGGTATATCTTTGAGACGTGCAGTAAGCGCAGTACCAGCGCCCAACGGCCCGGTTGAAGATTTCAGCGAGGCAGGGGCATGGGAACATTGGGCACTCGCAGAGATGTGGGCGGGGTCTTATGGTGGCCATGGTAGAGGTCGGGGAGCCGTCTGGAGTACCGACAAGAAGGTTTTGAGTCGGATATTGCATGGATACAAGTCAATTATGTATTGAATTTTCGGTTGTGAATGCCCTAGGTCGTGACAAGATTGTGACGTTACGTGTGTTTTCAATATACCGAACAGCTCAGCAACCCAGCTCAGCAACCGTGGAGTCCGATGCGTAGACTGTGTTTGATGTGGTTAGACTTCATTGAGCAAGACTTTACCATGACTGAGTGTGTAGGCAAAGCCTTCCAGGAGCCTATCCGTATTTGAAATTCCTTAGAAGGTAAGGTTGCATTTGATCTAGTTGGTAGTATATCATGAATGTTAGGGTTGCATAATGTTATCATTAGAAGAGGCGTGATGAGAAACCGCCGCCCGTGCAATAAGTTCTTAGTGGGCTTAACTCCCTTAAGTCCGCCCACTTACATGGTGCGTTTTATCCAACACTGCTCCTCTTGTATCCTCTTGGTGCGCGTAATGCGCCTCGGTAATATGCAGTCCTTCCGTAATCCGCTGAGCTATGAAGAGGAAAATTGTATACCCGTAGTTGCAAGTTGTTATTAATCAACATTCGGCCCGGCTGCGTCGTGCGACATTTACGTCACCACCGAAGCACATCATTTCCAGCACGCATTGCTGTCATTCCCAATAGCCAGTTCATATACGGCACATCGCAGCTTGAACTCTAGAGTGACACGTTTGTTTATTGCACCTTACCTAGTCACAATATGGCTCACAACGTGCTACTCATCGGCGGCCACGGCAAGATCGCACAGCTTCTGACTCCTCTTCTACTTGCGCGATCGTGGAATGTGACGAGCATGATCCGCTCGGCAGAACAAACAGCTACTATTGAGAAGCTTGGTCAAGGACAGCCGGGCAAGCTCAGCGTTCTGGTCAGCAGCGTTGAAGACGTGCAGAGCGAGAGCGATGCACAGAAAATCCTGGACCAAGTGAAACCCGACTGGGTTGTTTGGAGTGCTGGTAAGTCATTATGTGAAGAACGAAAGATCTTTCTCATGCATCTGTCCACATACACACGTCGCACGAAGACAGCACGTGAGACGATGACTCACCTCTTCAACTATCGACCTACGTGGGCAGTCATGCTAACACAGCACAGGTGCTGGCGGTCGTGGGGGCCTCTCTCGAACAAAGGCCGTTGACCAAGACGCCGCCATCGCTTTCACCAAGGCTAGCATTCACGCTCCTAGTATTAAGAAATTCCTGACTGTATCCTACATTGCATCTCGCCGCAACCGCGCTCCATGGTGGACAGACGCCGACTGGGAGTCTGCGCAAAAGGTGAACAACGAGATCTTGCCTCACTATTACAAGGCGAAGGTTGCGGCCGACGAAGTTCTGACTGTGCTTGCGAAAGAGCGATTCGACGCAGAGGCAAAGAAGGGCATAACAGAGAACGAGCGCTTTGCTGGCATCAGTTTGAGGCCAGGAACGCTGACCGAGAAGCCCGCTGGCGGAGTCACAGTCGGAAAGATACCCTCTCGCGGAAACACCAGCCGCGCCACAGTCGCAGAGGCGGTGGTCGCAGTCTTGGCTACGGAGGGCGCAAGAGGATGGATTGACGTACTAGATGGTGATGAAGATGTTGATGCGGCTGTGAAGCGGCTCGTGAAGGAGGGTGTAGACAATGTAGAAGGCGAAGACTTTGAGGACCAGAAGAAGAGGGCTTACGAGTTGTGAACAGGACAACGCCCCGCCTGGTCTGTCAAAACTCTATATCTATCACTCAAAATCGTGAGAATTGTACTTAGTTTCTTTCCCAAGATCTCTCTACCTTCCGACATGCAAACTAAGTCAGCGATGAGCAGGCCGATATTACCAAGAGATTTCAGCACTGAGCAGATTGCTCTTCCGTACCACATTGCTTCCAAGCTACCGAAAGTCTCTGAGACACATGGCATTGAGGTTACATAGAGAGTTATGACTCTCAAGGACCCCTCTTCTACACACTCTGTACTCACCGTTAGAGTATGAATCATCTCCTGAGACAAGCTTGATGACTACCATCCTTCTCCCGGTCCCTTTAAAACCACACATTTTGCTTTTGCCTGTTTCTTCAGATATAATCGATTTTGCAGCCTACATACTTTGATCTACTTCAAGCACTGCAGCATGACGGGCCTTCCGGAAGGCCTCATACCCCGTCCTCCTATGGGAGCATTATGCGATAAAAACAATCCACACCAACGAAACCCAGCGTACAAAGATCCAAATGCTCAAATCGAGGAGGGGTCGGTACTATACGAGGAAGAGGACTATGAAAACTTTATCGGTGTTAAGAAGACAGAGCACAAACAGATTCATGCGACTCTGAGCGAGGACGCCACAACTCAAGGGAAGGTTTGGTTCATCGAGATTCCAGCACACGTTGGGCACAGGCCGGATGGCATATGCGAGCCGGTTGGTGAAAGCATAGGCTTCGTGTACAACGTCCAAGAAAACACCAAATTGCGTCAGATGCTCATTAAAAATCGGGCCGAGCTAGGTATCACTATCAGAAAGCTCAAATCACCTGCAGATCATGATTTTTACGTACGCAAGAAGATCTTTGATGCCAATAATCATATCACATTTGTTCTCGAGACCAAGACTTCTAGTCACAAGACTCCTGATAAGATGTTCTGTACGCGAGAAGGTAAGAAAGAAAGGCATATCAGAATTGAACTTGTACTGATACAGCCATCTCAGTATACAATCGGATTGTGGCTTGGAAGACAGAGAACAGGATTTTACCTACAGGTGGCGCGCATGTTTGCAACTATAAAAGACTTGAAATCAGCATCAGGTAGAGGTTCAGATCTCCATTTGAGACTTAATACATTTCGTGCACCCTTGTGTTTTCTCTCCGCTACATGCTATCATGGCTACTATCGTGTTCTTGAAACTTGCTCCTCCCGCCACACTGTGCATCTACCATAGGTCCAGATTTGCAACATTCTACATAGACACAAATGCGCGGGTTACGGTAGGAAAATCGTCCCAGCCTCTCGAGACTATGCATCAACAAGGCCTTCATTGCCTCTTCTTCGACAATACACCCTTCCCCATACCTTAAGACATACTCTTAGTCAACATGACCCAACGAACTATCAAGAAGAAGAGACAAATCAAGACCCAATTCGAGCTGCTCCTCCACGCCCTCACCTCAAACCTTCTGCGCCCGCCTGCCCGGCGAGCTGTGTTATAATACCACGACTACGTGCTCGACGAAGAGACTCTCACAAATCTCAATAGCGATCTAGTGGTACTTTCTCGTGGGGTGTTTCCACGTGACCGTGACGACCGAAGTAATTTCCATCCGGCAATTGCGTGCATACTTACAGGAGGTTGATTTGAGAGTGGTGAAAGGCCCCGCGACGCTGCCCTCTTTGGAATAGACATACGCATCGATATGGACGACACGGATATATCTAGAAGTAAAGAGCTATTTGGGCTACTGCCGAGGGCTGAGCAGAAATGGACGAAGAACTTCGTGCTGGATTTGCCGCTGCATATCAATACATTGGGGTATACGGCGCAGCCTTCAGGGATCACCAGAGGTGTTATATCAGCAGCCAGCCCTAACCACGCGGCGTTTTCGGATTCTCGTCTCTTCATCTCGATTCTACCCTTCCCTATTTGTTGTCCGACAGTAGGTTAGTCCAGCGTCGGATGCAGCTGCGAGATGTTCAGAACCTGCGACGTCAAGAATTGCCTTAATGTACAGTACTGACACTGGTATTCACTATGTAATCAGTATCTGATGAATTGTCTAAACGCTCATATCATTAAAAGTGGTATCTCGAAAGAGTGTTGGTATCTCCGCGCCAGCATGCAACCATCCGAACCGAAATCCCAAAGCACATTCCTCCGTTAAGCTCCAAACCAACATTTTGTCATACCTACATTTACACCTATCATTACCTAAGACTCCGGTATCTGCCCAGCCTATGCACACCTCGCACTACGGATCGGCACTTTTCGGATTCTGCTGCACCAGATAAATGTCTGGCACCTTTGGCACCTGTGGACTCTTCTGCAGCGCCTGCTTGACAGCTTCTCGCATTCTTTCTCTTTCTCGTGTATCTCCACTGCTACCCGTCAATCTCCTCATCCCGCTTCGGATCTTGCTTCGTGTGTCTTGCTTCAACCCGCCTATGACGGTCTCGATGCTGAGTTTATCTGTACTGGCACTCGCGGAGATGGTGCGACCGCCGGCAAATTCGTCGTCGGAGAAGGGCTCGCCGTGTTCATCAACCGCAGAGGAGGAGAGTGTGGGAGACAGCCGCTGTGTCTGATTTGGTGCCGACGGCGAAGTCACCGAGCGTGAGTGCAATCCTGGACGTCCGGCTGGAGCTGGTGGAAGGTGGTGTTGTCCAGAACTGAAGGAGCTGAAGGCTCCAGGGTTCATCACACCCGGATCGCGTGCTGGAGAAAGCTTGACGTCCGAAAAGCCGGACTGGAAAGAATTAACACTGCCATTTCGCGTAAGCGACTTATGGAGGATGGGCGCCGTTTGCTGGTCGTAAAGATTCTCTCGAACGTCTTGTGAACTATGAACATATATTCCATGGCCATATCTGTTGGTTCCGAACATCGAACTGTTTGGCAGATCGGTCAGGGTCTCATTCTCATCGTCGTCTTCAAAAAAGTCGTCGAGACTGTCCAGCTTCATGACGAGTTCGCCGATGTGGCTTTCTCCACGCGTGTCTTCGGATGTCATGGTCGCAGTGCGGTAGTCTGAGACTGGGCTGAAGGGAAACTCGTCCTGGCGGAATTCTATCTTCGGTGTTGCAACGTCTGCAGCGGCTTGAGCATCAAGGTTGCTGCACGTGTAGAATACCGCGTGCACATTTGTTCGAGTAAGATGTGAATGATGCGCCGGCACTGGAATCGACCAGCCCGTCTCCTCAGGAATGCCGTAAAGTGATTGAGTTGTGCCAAATTGCTTCTTGAATGCTCGACTGGTGTTTGACCCTGCCATACTCATGCGAATATGTGCTCTTTCTAGATTGGGTGGTTGTGGCCCACCAGTCACATCTATGACCGAATCCAACACTTGTAGAGCGTAGCCGCAGAGCTCGGTTTGAAGCAGACGTAATAGAGGCGAAATGACGTCTGGCCCCCGGTGCGCGATTTCCGGCTTTCGCATTTCAATTTTCTTGATCAAGAGGGTGAGCACTTGCATTGTATTTATCTTGAACCAGTCGAGCTTGTTGGAAAGCAGCCCTAGTAGGAAAACGAGACTGCTGAACTCCAGTTGCGGGAAGTAGTACTCGACAACGGCGTCCACCACCTGTCTTAGGAATTGATCGCCTTGTCGCGAGATCTTCCTGGCAAAAGCGGAGAGCGATGAAGCCAGGTCACCGAGTTGTTGCTCACGCGCTACCTGAGCCAGTACTTCCGCGGTATCGCGAACTGCTGGATCTTTGTTGGGCTCTTCAAAAGCCCGCAGGAACCGCGGCAAGTTTGCGAGGATGGTGAATGTAAGGCGACTTTCGTCTCCCACAAGCTCACTGGACGGTAAGATCACAAGCCGTTCGAGGAGGCGCAAAGATCGGTCTAAGCACAGGCTTGAGCGTACACCTTTGTAAACAAGCTGGAAAAGACCCTCGAATTCCCCTTCCCATTTCGGGGGGCGATTCTTCTTCAAAAAGGCCAGGACGTCGGGATTTCTCAGATCGACCTTGTCCAAGAACTTGTCCAACATTAGCATGCTCTCCATGAATTCGCCTTCATGTATGGTATCCAAACATGCACATGTGGTCCAGAAAAGCTGAGGATACTTGAGTAAATCTTCTGGTTGAAGGGCTTCGATGATGGCTCGTAACGTCGTAAGAATCTCCATTGAGAACGTCTGAATGTCGCTCTCATCATCTGAAATCGTATTGGAAAGTCGTGCCAGCATATCGGATAGCATCGCCTGATCCAATGTACTCAAAATGCACCGGAAGAGCTGGAAGGAGCGGCAAGCCAAATGACGAACAGGACAGGAGGTCGCCCAGTTGAGCGCCACCTTTCCCCATGCTTCGCGAAGCCCAGGGTTAGCGATTGAGAAGAAGCGAAGAACTTCGTTCGCAACATGCATCATCGATTCGGGCACTTTGTTACTGGGGTCTTCAGAACCTTTGCCGTTTTTATCGTCATAATTCCATACAACTTTAGAATCGTGCTGTCGTACGTTCTCAATGAATTCCTCAATAGCAGTTTTGTCAATGCCGATGGTGTTGTCATCTTCGATCTTAGATATGACGAGTTCATGGATTAGATGGACGAGCATCTCCCGCGCTTGATCCTGAACAACAGGAGTGTAATGGTCCCAAAGCACTAGGACCACTTGAAGGAGGAGCGGCAAATGTTCACTGTTTAGCTGAAGAGGCGAGACCATAAGGTCAACGAGTAGTATCAGACAGACTTGACCGAGAGAAAACCCCGACTGAAATGTATTAGCGCTGCATCTTGAAGGGGTCAGCTTTACTCACTTGTTTGTTGCTCGTGGGCAACAAGGCACTAAGGTCTGCAAGGTAGGGAAGGTTAACAGCATCCGGGGGCGGAGGAGTAGGCTCTCGTTTTTCGTGCACCATTGAGCGCGGGTTGATTTGAACTAACAGCGCTTCCACAACTTTCGCGCCTGTCCCAGCTAGGTGCACTACAATCTGTTTGGAATAGTCCACGAAATTCTGTTCTCGCTTGTCGAGGCAGAGGTTGATGATGAAGTTCAGGATCAATTGCACATTACCCCCGGAACCTGCGGCTAACGCTTGCCACAGAGCCTGGATCTCGTTGTGTAAAGCACTACTGCAACGGACAGTAATCTCGAAAAGATTCACCAAGAGCATGTACGAGCTGGCTGTAGGGCCACCGTCAGGATTGAGTTGCAGCTCCACACTTTGAATCCAAGGAAGCATGGCTGCCACCATGTTGCGTTGGTGGTCGGGCTGTAGTTCTTTGAAGTAGTAGGAGAATTGCGAAAAGACCATAAATGCGAGCTCTGCATGTTGATGTGCGAGTCGCCGGGAGACTTCAAACTGGGCAAGTTTGTAAACGGCGATGGTCTTGTCGGATATACTGATGTCAAGATCCTGGAGCTTTGAATTCTTCTGTTCGCGAGCTTCAAGGGTCCTCAGTAGACGCGCTGACTTCATACGCAGCTCATTATTCTCGTGTCCGAGTGTGTAGAGACCTGCGCTGAGGACTTTCCAGTACGGCAATGTGTAATCCTCGCGCTGTGTGAGGACTTGCGTTACGACTTCGAAATAGCTTTCGAGAGCCTTTGAAGACTTTGAAATGTAGCACATTTCGATGGCGCGCTCGAGAAGATAGGAATGCTCGCGGTTATGGAGTATCAAGTTAGTCAGAGCCCTTCGGCCGATTGCATGCGTTCTATCGCTGGGCGTTTCAAAGATACCATCGATCCATGAGAGCATGCGGCGAACATCAAACTGGAGAACGACTTTGCTGTCGGTCGTGATGCTGATCGGACCGCCGCAGAGGGTAGCCATGGCGCTGAGGGCGGCCGTACGAAGATCCCGTTTCTCGATTTCCATGGCAGCAGTGGCGATGCCTTTGCTGCTCATGTCGGCCTCGCGGTCAAGCATGGATCGTCTCATGTGCTCCTCTCGTTGCCGGATTTGAGGCTGATTGGCTGAGTAGCCACACCAATCCTCCATCAATGTAAAAGCTGCCTTTCGAGCTTGGAAAGGCATCCACTGCAAGGGATCAGGAGTTTTGTTAATTCCTTCGAAAAGGACCTCTACAAGCCCACAGTAGTGGGTCCTCAGCTTCTGGAAGCCCCACTCGTTCTGCACTTCCGCGTCGCTGAGAAAAATCCGAAGGTCCTTGGTATAGTTGACGAGATTGTTGAGAATCCAGTCGTCGTTGTAAGCTTCTGGTAGCTTCAAGAATTGTGAAGTCAGTTTGTAGACATGAGTGAGTTCTGTTCTCAAGTGGTCCGTCCGTCGATTGCGCCGAGGACTGCTAACTGTTCGAGTGTGCGACCCCAGCCTTGTCTTTGCTTCCTCAGCACAAGCTGCAGCGTGACCATGCAGTGACTCCAGCAACGTGCGATATAGATTGATGTTGATGGAGCCTAATCCGACGACAGCTGCGTCGCGCACTGCAGAGTTTTCGGTGGCAAGAAATGGCAAGACTCGTGAAAAAAGGTCGCTTGCGGTGTAAACCTTGTTCGAGCTCTTTTGTGAGGACTTGGAACTCTTCCTTGAGTGTTGGGCAGATGCACCTGCTGCGGACTGGCTGTTGACGCCGAGATTGGTTAACGTCGTAAATGCGAATATCAGGTATAGTTTCCATTGCTCGACAACGATTTCTGGGGCAGTTGACGGAATGCGACTACTTGCTTTATTCATGCCAGAATCGAATGATGCGTAGGGGCTGGCCCTCGGGCCTTCGGTTATCGAAATCAAAGTTCGGTGCATCTGCGACAAGCGGGCGCAGACGATGTCGCGCGTGAGGGTCACTGCAAATGGACAAACTTCGAAGCTGATGCGCACCAGATTAGGGAAAACCTTAAACCAGAGTGTGGAGTCGTAGGGCACGTCGCTGCTGCAAAGCTCGACGAGTGTACTCTGAACGTTGCTCTTGCGCATGCCTCGTTGCAATCGACTTCGCTCCGCAAGAGAAAGCTTTTCGTCGCTGATATCCATGACCTTTTGTGGGCTTCCCTCCATCACACGAATTATCCTGGTATTGGATCCTCCAAGAGCGGTATCGAACTCTGTTATGAGGCGGAGTACAGTTACCGCGTAAGCTCTTACCCGGCGGGACGGCGAACACAAGAAGAAAAGTCCATGTGATTCGACTTCATCAACGTGGGCCCAAACCGACGATAGATCTAAATGAACGCCTCTGTTGCCCACTCCGTCGTCAGGGGTGTCCACCGCTTTCCGAGTCTTCTCTTTGATCTCTTCAATCCAGATCTCAAGCAATTCCACGTATAATTTTAGCGTTCTTTCGATGTGACCTGAGCCAAGCATGCCGCCATCGGACATCGTGGAATAACGGTCATCAAAAGTGAAGATGAACCTCGCAAACGCAATAGTGACTTGTTGTGCAAATTGTTGACGAGCGATAGACTTGAGAGACTGTGCAGATGAGGTCGCAATATTCCCTTGTACATGAGCCGTCCCTGTACATAAAAGATTTACAAGTGAACTGAAAGGGATGTGCGATGACAGACAGCGAGGCAAAGCCTGGACAGCCACGTGTAAGAGGTCATAGAACCCTTGTCGGGGATCGGTAGGGGTTTGGTCTTCTCTCCGAGCAAAGCTGAAGGCCTCGGACATGGGAGTTTTGGGTGTTTGTAGAGAGAATTTCTCATCCAATACCGCCTGACCACCGAATGCGTTGTCGCAGATGATCGTTATGTCGCCCAGAATCTTACAGAATCGCACGTAGTATTCTTTGGCTATCTCAGGAAACCCAGAAAAATTAACGGGGCGGGAGAGGCGTTCTTCTTTGATTGGAAGCAGTGACTTCATAGCTGGGTGCTGCAAAGGACGAGGACTGATGATCGCTTGTGGATGATTCGAGAGAGTAGAAGCGTTGGTCTCCGAAGCGAAGGGACTGGGGAACGGTGGATGTTGAATCTCGCTCGCATTCTCAAGATCGGTCATGATGGCTAGGAAAGAACGGATACCAATGACCATACGATCTGGCTCCAAATTCTCAACGCGCAGGTCCCGACCAGAAGTAAACGTATCTGCGTTTAGCAAAGGAAAAATAATGGCCCTAAAGCAAACATCTTGGTATTTGAAACCGATTATGCGGGTTAGTTGGATGAAGGGTTCCGCAATGGCGGGCTCTGTTGACAAGTACGATCGCTTTCCGGGTTGGTATACCATGCGAATGATATCTTCCAGTTTCCGCATCGCAACATTGGGAAGATCAGGTGCTGCCCTATAAAGGTAGCTCCATACCAGCTGACATATTCCCTTTAGCGCAATAGCTCTCGTTGTACGCTCCTTCAGCTTCGGTTGTGTCGATAACGCAAGCGGTAACCACTGGGTCGCGAACGTGTCAGCCGGTGATACGCACAGTATGGCGCACATGAGTGGAAACGCCTCGTGCCAATGCTTGGGTTTGCTTAGAAGGAGCGAAGCTCTCGACTTCAAAATGTCAATCACGCTTTTCCATCTTGGCGTGCTGAACTGCGGTATAGCTTCCGATGCGATCCGGAGTAGAAGATCTCGGAGGACCTGGCAATACGCATATTTCATGGTTTGACCATGGGCATTCGCGAATAGTTTGGCTAGTGAGAACATGAATTCGCACGTTCGCTCCCAAAGCTCTACAGGCGTCGTCTTTACGCGCAGATAGCGCATCCCTCGAACGAGAAGTGCGCCCTTCGCTTCGACCTCTCTACTAGATTGGTTCTTGATAGCGGACTGGGTGTACTGGGAGTCAACGCCTTTGAGATCTGCAACGAACTTTTCTTGCACGCTATGAAAGATCAATTCGCTCAATTCGCCCAAGAGTCGGCTGTAGATGACCCAATTGGCTTTGTGCACAGAAGACTCTTCCGCTTGCTCCGGGTCCACCGTGTTCAGCTGGGAGTAGAAGAGGCTTAGGAGACGCTCAGCCATGTCGACGGTCAGCGACTCCAACGTTGTTTGATTGATGATCTGGATCAGCACCCTGCATAATATGTATGTGGAAACGGTTGAGCGCTGTTCGGCCTGCGCTACGGTCTGCTGCAGCGCCACCATGTATTCGGGACTTGTTGCGGCAGAAGCGGCAGAAGCGGCAGCATGGGATTCGACAATCTGGAGAGGCTCCGTATTGCGGCGGGGCAGCATTGAAGGGGGTAGCGAATGTGCCTGACGAGCGTTGGCTAGCTTGATGCGCAGCTGGGTAGCATCCTCGCTCTTCCCCTTCCGCCAGATCATGATGGTGTCAATCAGGGACTTGGGCTTGTTCTTCGCAATGTGGCCGAGAGCCCAGATGAGCTGATCGAAGTTGGGGTCGACACCTGGTCCGCAAATCCGCTCCACCCTAGCTTCCGGCTGGCCGCGGTCTGTCATGCACTGGCTTATCTTCAAGTCTGCCTGAGGTATAAACGAGTTGAACAGGTGGTGCAGCGCGTACTCGCCGACCGTCTTGAGCTCATGCTGGGCCTGATGACGAGACTGCGAGCGGTGGTGGTGGTGCCCGCCCTTCCGCGACCTCGCACTCTGCGCCCGCTCCGGCCTTCGATGGGCCACACTACTAGCATCAGTTGCCACTGAGCCGGTGGGTGCATGGCCATGACCATAACCATTCGTATTCGTGGGGGGGCCGCCAGCTGGAGCCCCCTTGGCCGCGAACGCTTCGGCTATCGTCTCCTGCGACATGACGGTTCCATCGAGCGAGGGGCCCTGGGCGGCGATTACCTGCGGGCTCAGCGGGCTTGTCGCGGGCGAGTTGACGAAGCTCGTGTTGCGCGAGTGCTGGATGCCATGCACGATGGAGGTGTTGCGGTTGTGGGCATATGACAGCGATGCTTTGCGCTCGAGGCTTCGGTCTCGGTCGGGGCTCGAGTTGCTGCTGGGGGTGAGGACGGGCGTCTGCGAACGCGGCGAGAGGATGCGCGAGGAAGCTGTCAGCGCTCGCCCCCGTGTCACCGAAGGTTCACGGGAGGGGACGTTGGGCCCCTCTATATGGTGCGACGGGTTCCCAGCAGCTGGACGGCTTTGCGCCAGTGGGGATGGAGCAGCTGCAAGAGGACGCAGGGGTCAGCCAGGCACAGCGAAGGGGAGAGAAGGCAGAGGGCTGATGTTGATATAAACTCCGACGTGCAGCCCAACCACGCTTTCTGATGCGGCTCGCGGCAGACGGGCTCTCGTCCTGAAGCATGCAATGAAACGGCACAAAGGAAGGACCACTCACACATGCCGCCGGCCTGCTTCGGGTCCTCATCTGGGGGCACTGCAGTGCGGCCGGACTGGGCTCACGGCCGAGCGCTGGGGACAGGATGGGAGCGGCGAGAAATCCTGGGTGTTTGTCATTCGGTCACTGTGCATGGCAGAGGTGTGGACGAATTCGCAGTGGCAGGCCCCTGGTGCGCCTCCGGCAAGCACGTTCCTGAGCGCTAAACCGCTTCCTTGATAGCCACCGGTATTCCCCACGCCGCCTGGAGATCTGGTGCTGGCGGGCCCAACGTCCAAGCATCTATGTAGACTACAATATCCTTCTGGCGCACACGGCTGACGCGAGAGGGCATGCTGTCTCGTCGGCGTGGGTACGCCGTGCTCCGAGCATGCAAGTGCTCACCGTGTCCGTGTAATGAGCCCTCAGCATCTTTGCAGAGTAGCGGGCCAATGGGCGTAGAAGAAGCACGTGCGCACAACAAGCCGGACGGGAAGATCGCAGGGCTCCCAAGCCGAATGGCCTGGAAATAGGACAGACGAGCAGCAAGGAACAATCTGATGCCCGAGGCTGTTCCGTGTCGACGTCTGGTTGTTCCGCGTCTGACAGTCACGCCCGCGCCCGCGCCTACGGCTGGACTCGGAAGCGCGCCAAAACCTCACAGCGCTGACTGCAGTGATGATGAACCATCTAACATACTATGTAGTAGTCGTCTTGCTGTGCCGTCCCGGACCCTGTCGCCAGACCAGCAGCTTCGCCCCCAGCGCGGAGGCTCTGTGCTGACTGGATTTGGTGACTTCCGATACAAAGACAGGGGGCCTGCCCCCCGACCATATTTTTGACCCTCCCCTCCGTGATAGCTAGCATTCACTGCCGTGCCCAATTCCCAGTGTGTCATTGACGTCGCCCCTCGTACGAAGCCCGTTGACATACTGCTGGCTACCCCACACGTCGCGGAAGTCTCTTTGCTGTGGGGTCCGTCTACGGCCCAATTCCGCGAACTGAGCGCCGACTTTCGCGCCGCAACCAGCTCCCGTCCCAGCGTGCACCCGTCACTGATCGTTGACGGCATCACTCCGACTGACCTGTGCACCGAGCTTCGTCCGGACCGACACTCACTACACTGCTTTCTTGTATAGATATTGCGAGGCCCATCGTACGACGGTTCCGAGCACTACGAGCTTTCACAAGCCTGAGCATCAGCCGACAGACCCCGATAAGGGTTAAGGCTCCACTCAGAGGGTCGGCCGCTACGACAACCGACCTCCACCACCGACCCCCGAAACCGCCATACAAATTACACCGCGTGTGCTCTTCCGGCCAGCTTCGCTGCTTGTGCTTGTGAGTCCACCTTTCCATACCCCGCCGGCCTTCGTTCTCATGATCCCGCCAGCATCATGGCTCAACTAGACACGCTCGACATCGTCGTCCTCGCCGTGCTGCTGCTCGGAACGGTCGCCTACTTCACCAAGGGCACCTACTGGGCCGTTTACGGAGATCCATATGGCAACTCGCTCGCGACCGGCAATGGCGCGGCCAAGGCGGGCAAGTCCCGAAACATCTTGGAGAAAATGGAGGAGTCAGACAAGAATTGCGTGGTGTTCTACGGCAGTCAGACCGGAACCGCCGAGGACTATGCTTCGCGTATCGCCAAGGAGGGGCATTCCCGCTTCGGCTTGAACTGCATGGTTGCGGATCTCGAAGATTACGAATACGACAACCTCGACCAGTTTCCAGAAGACAAACTCGCCGTGTTCGTGCTTGCCACCTACGGCGAGGGGGAGCCTACGGATAATGCGGTCGAGTTCTACGAATTTCTCGGCGGAGACGATGTGGCCTTCAGCGAGGGCGCATCCGCCGACGAGAAACCTCTCAGCAAAATGAAATACGTCGCTTTCGGTCTAGGGAACAACACTTACGAGCACTACAACTCCATGGTGCGCGACGTCGACAAGTACCTGACCAAGCTCGGCGCGACCCGGCTTGGTGCCGCGGGCGAGGGTGACGACGGTGCCGGTACGATGGAAGAGGACTTCCTCGCATGGAAGGAGCCCATGTGGACTGCTGTATGCGAGGCCTTGAATTTGGAAGAGCGCGAAGCCGTTTACGAGCCCGTCTTTGAGATCAAGGAGCGTCCGGAACTTTCTGCTGAGGATGACACCGTGTACCTGGGTGAGCCTAACAAGAATCACTTGGAAGGCTCCCAAAAGGGCCCCTATAACGCCAACAACCCCTTCATCGCTCCCATCGTTGAGTCCACCGAACTGTTTACTGCTGCAGACCGGAATTGCCTACACATGGAAGTCGGGATCGAAGGCTCCAACTTGTCGTACACCACTGGTGATCACATTGCTATTTGGCCCACAAACGCGGGCAAGGAGGTTGACCGCCTTTTGAACATCCTTGGTTTGAAGGACAAACGTCACACCGTCATTGCAGTAAAGGGACTCGACTCTACGGCCAAGGTGCCATTCCCTTCCCCGACCACCTACGATGCCGCTGTTCGCTACCACATGGAAATCGGTGCTGCTGTTTCGCGTCAATTTGCGTCCCAGCTAGCGCAATTCGCTCCTAATGAGGATATCAAGAACGAAATGACTAAACTCGGAAGCGAGAGGGACTATTTTCACGAGAAGGTTTCGGATCGCAATCTCAACTTGGCACAGCTACTTGAGATCACATCGAAGGGCGAGCCTTGGACGAAGATCCCGTTTTCGTTGTTGATCGAAGGTCTACTGAAGATTCAACCTCGTTACTACTCTATCTCATCATCGTCGCTCGTCCAGAAGAACAAGATTTCCATCACTGCCGTCGTTGAGTCTAGCCAGAAGCCTGGTGCACCTCACATTCTCAAGGGAGTCACCACCAATTATCTACTTGCTCTTAAGCAGAAACAACACGGCGAGCCAAACCCCGATCCGCACGGCTTAGAGTACTCAATCACCGGTCCTCGAAACAAGTACGACGGCATTCATGTTCCCGTCCACGTCCGTCACTCGAACTTCAGGCTTCCTTCGGATCCTTCAAAGCCCATCATCATGGTTGGTCCCGGAACCGGTGTCGCACCTTTCCGTGGCTTCGTCCAAGAGCGCGCCGCACAGGCAAAGGCTGGCCAGCCTGTTGGCAAGACCATACTGTTCTTTGGCTGCAGGAAGAAGGCCGAGGACTTTATATATGAGAAGGAATGGGAGGTAAGATTCGCGATCAGCGCCACCAATGTTTCATATGCTAAAATCTTACATAGGAATACAAGCAGGCTCTCGGCGACAACTTCGTCATGCACACAGCCTTCTCCCGCGACGGCTCTAAAAAGGTCTACGTGCAGCACAAGCTGGAAGAGAACGGCGAAGAAGTGAACAAGCTCCTCGAACAAAAGGCCTACTTTTATGTCTGCGGTGACGCCGCCCATATGGCGCGTGAAGTCAACACACTGCTCGGCAAGATTATCGCCAAGTACCGGGGCGTGGACGAGTCACGAGGCGAGGAGATCGTGAAGGCGATGAGGGCGTCGAATCAGTACCAGGAGGACGTATGGAGTTAGAGAGCCTGCGCTGTCAAAAAGAGTACCCTTCTCAATTGTTCTCTGCGGCATGGCATTTACAGTGTCGATTTTGCGTGATCTAGATGGAGCGTTGGCGTCATAATGCGAGAAGCTGGCGTAATTGTCATTGTCTATTCTCCATATTGAGCTTTATAGAGGTTGGTTAACTGGACTGCATAGCCGTATGTAGCAATCGCATAATGTAAATACAGCCCTAATGCTTATGATACCTGAAGGTTCATCGGTGCCAATGTACGGCAACGTGTCATTGGCGGCCTAGCATGGCGGAACCGAGCGGCAGAATCTGGAGCTGCACACCATGTTTCCTCGCCACCTACATTTTCCGCGCTTTCTGTTCTTCGTAGTCACTATAGTACTATTCTGGGCGCGCTTCCAACAGTATTCTTTGACATGAGTAACATGAAACTTTTTCCTGTAGTCTTCTTTCGTACACGCCTAGCCATGAATTATGATACCTCTATTCCAACAGCGAGCAACTACACGTTTTCATCCTAACAGTGAAGATCGTTCCATATGTGCACCGGTTGAAATGTGCTTCCTTAAGTACCAGCGAGGCACGATGTTTCGGAATCTGCCGAATGCGGTACTTACTCGACCATTCCTGGACAAGCCATGGGACTGCGTTGGCTGAACCATGATCCTTCATTGTACGACGCACCACGACGCACGCTTGCTTACACCGTAATTGACCGTCAATCCATCCCTTTTCTGGTTTCGCGAGTTGCGAGATGTATCCGATTCCCAGGTCTGAGGTTGAGTCAACTATCTGTCAGATGCACTGCACTTCATGCGAAGATGAAGGAAAATATGGCTGGCCTTAGAGGAGTCGAGTAATTAGAGATACATCGCCAGATGGAGAAGCCTACCGAGAGAATACACTTCGCCATCGATGTTAAGACGTCCTCAGCTTCTGGGTTGGGTGGTATAGAAAACAAGGCACCAATAGGTACGTTGTTCTTCTGTGCGCAAGTACACCATCATTTTCTCACAATTCTTATAGATTAAGAGATCGCTCGTTGCCGTATGAGCTCTCTGTCTCTTGCCAATTGGGTTCGGCGCCTGCCGGTTCGCGAGGTCTCTTGTGCGACAAGAGCAGCTAGAAGCGAACTATCGACGCCACAGGGCACACGACATGTATGACAGGCCGGGCCCAAATTATACCCATCACAGTTATCTATGTGACGACTCGTAAATAGAGGCGCTCTTCTCCATTGACAACACATCGCTCATGCGTGATATACGAGCCTCGCGCATCGAACCTTGCACGTCTATCGGTGGCGGACCAATAAACCGCAGCTTCTACGACGGGAATTCACAAACGCTCGCATTTCCAATGTTTCAGAAACCGGCCTTGGCGGTGAACAGCATTCAACGGAAGGTCGTAGCTCCATGGCGGCCACAGCGGCACGGGGAGAAGCAGGTACTCCCAATTTAAGTGCTTTCTGTCGTACGGCTGTCTGAGCAGCGCTTATCTGGCCATTTCAGGTTATTTCAGAGTCAGTGAGCAAGACAAGGATGGCCTGTGTCCCGATTCATTGAAGGGGTTTCGTCAGCGATTCATTCTAGAAAATTGAGTGACACGGGCTCGTGGTCCTCCGCATCCTCGAGATTTGCTTTCCGCAGGAGGCCCACGTCGTTCGTGCATGCTTGCAATCTATCAGCTGTAAACGAGGCGAGTTGTGTTGGATCGACCGGCATCGGGTCGTTCCTTGTTAGTGCATGCAGCCTGCAGCATGCGGAAGGTTTTTTCGACCCACGTGTAGGGAAGACAGACATGCTACTCTCGAACCGAGTGTGGGGGCTATGTTGATGTCTCCCCAACAGACGTCTCCTCACACAAGTCTCTCACCAGTATATTGCATCGAGGGACTCGACCGCAGAGCTGGATCCGCCATCTCCGTTCGGGCTTGCAGCGATGTGACAAATAAGATGCAGCTGCACAGTTTTGCGAGGCTATTTCAAGGTCAACACAGGTGCGCAGATGGTCTATGCCTCTTTGTGCGAGGTCTTCTCCTGTTGTGTCGCCCACTAACGTGCTGCAAGCCAATCTGATGTCCAACGGGATACTCGTAGTCCGGCGACGTCGAGGCTGCGCGAAGCTCGGCGGGTTGCTGGGGTAAGAGACGGGGATAGTAGACGTGAGAGGTGAAGAAAAAGAAAGTGACAGATCGAATCCTCTCCCCGCACCAGTTGATCTCATTGAACAAGTAGCTCTGCCTCACTCACCTGTACCACTGCAATTGGTTCGGGTGACGTATATCGAGGACAACGCCTCTGCTGCCTCAGCCCTACTGCAAGGGCGTTGGCGCTGCTCTCGTCTTCGACTACGGCTTGGTAGCCCCGCTGCGCCTAGAGATTGACTGCAGCTGGTGGCGCTCACGATTGGAGAGCTCGTCGCAGAGAAGATGTGGGCTGCGGACGCGGCAACGGGAGTGCACAAAGCTAAGACGCATCGCACCGCCTCGCTGCATCGAAGCGAATCGCAGTATTCTTGTTCCTGAGGTATGCCGCTGGCGGTACCGATGCTGGTACTATTAAAGCACCTCGCCCAGCGTGGCTGCCAGAGCAGCACACGCACCGCAGCGGCTTTCCCGCTACATACCTCACCCAGACATTGATATTGTAACAGCTCTTCGACAGTATAACTAAACTTACCGGACGATCAATAGTAGGAACCGAAGCAAATGTGACATACGGGTCGTTCCTTCTTCTCGAAATATCGTCATTGCTGTATCAATCCGCCATATCGCTTACTAGGAAGGTGAGTCCCTCTTCAAGTTGCTCGAGATGACGCGGTCGTGAAGTCGAGCGGAAGGCGACGCCACTGTCGCTCCCACGCTCTCGACCTGTTCCTCCCACCTCGACGTCTGAGCAGCTCTTTCCTCGCGCGAGGACGGCAAGCAGCGCTCATCTCGTCACCTTTGTCGTCCCATCGCTCGCTCTTCTTCCTCTCTTCTACACACCACACTTCTTTCTCACCAGTACGCTTCAGTGGCCACATTCTTTGTAGCTTTCCACAGGTCAGTCGTCGATACTGCTCCTGCGGCAGCATTGTCCTTGCAGCATCTCTGACCCCATTCCAGCTTTGGAGTCACTACCAGTTCCGCACATTGCAAACAGTTGACATTTACGACTCGGTGAGCGTTGTTTTATCTCTTCACTCTCACCATCACTCGTTCGCGACTCTCCACTGCTCCGCCCCATCGGGCAGCCGGCGCCTTCTATGCCTCACTGCTCGCACCAGCGTTCACTCTCACACCCACCCCTCGCACCTGCTCAGCACCAACCTCCCCTCTTCGCCTCGCCACCCTCTCTCGTCACCGGCGATCTTTGTGTTGCTTATAAAGTCTTTACTCACTCCTCGCCAGAGCACCGTCTTTCTTCCTACATTTCAACACACTCGCCAGACCTCGAGTCTCCGTTCGTCCGTTGCTCCCGGAACACCACCATACCTGCTCCAGTGCTTCTGGTTGTCCAGCGTTCGCTCCTTCTTCCCATTCGAGGATTCCGTAGCTTCGGCTCCTTCGTTTTTCGATTCAACCCTCTCGGAATTCCAGCGTTCCTACCTCTACCGCCATCAACATGTCTGCAAACTCTCGCCAGAACTACCCCACGGCCACCGGTTACAAGAGCCAGATGATGGGCCATGGTCACTACAACCAAGGCAGTCAAGGTCACGGTACGGCCAACTACCTCCACCGGGGACACATGTCTCCGCAGACTGGTGACAACGGTATGGCTGGACTGGCGAACGGCCTGGCAGCCATGAATGTTCACGGATCATACGGCGGCTCCATGACTTCGAAGGCAGGCGCTGTCCTTCCTGGAAACGCTTCTGAGTATGGCGGCCTGCCAATCAACCAGGGCCAACTGTGGGTTCCTAACATGAACCCCATGTACGGCGTCATGGCCGGTGCCCAGCAGCAATCTGGTATGACCCACTCACCGGGTATCTATAACCACACCGGCACATTCGTGCCCCAGAATGCCTATGCGTACGCCCAAGGCATGGTCGACTCTCCGATGGGCAACGGCTGGGCGTCCCGTGTCTCCTCCGGTGATATGCCCACACTCATGACGCCGCGTCGCGACTCAATCTCGTCCAACGAAAATGACATTCCCGGCACACCCTATACGAGTGCTGGTCTGTATCGCTACGGCACCTCGACCGCCATCATGGATCGCTCGCCGAACGGAATGTACACTAGCAGCGCGACCCCGTCGCCTTCCCAATTAGCCCAGTATGGTGTTCAGCTCGTCAATCCGAAGCAGGCATCTGTTGCCACCATCTCGCCTCAGCTCGCCCAGATCCTTCAGAAGGAGCCACCGATCCCCCGAGCCATTCCGGCACCTAGTTCTCCGCTTAAGCCGCTCGACCGGAGCCTGGAGAATAAGACTGGCGAGACGAACGTCTACATTCGTGGCCTCCTGCCAGAGACTACTGACGAGATGCTACACGCCTGGGGCAAGCGTTTCGGCGATATCCAGAGCTCGAAGTCGATCATCGATTTGAAGACCAACCTCTGCAAGGGGTAAGCCGTTCTTTGCTTGTTTTCGACTGGCAGTTACTGACTTCTCTATCTAGCTTTGGGTTCATCAAGTTTCACAACTTCGAGGACGCCGAGAATTGCATTCGTGGCTTCCATTATCTCGGCTACGAGGTGTCTTTTGCTCGCGTGAGTGTCACCAACACTGCTTCTTGTGTTCATTGCTTTGCTCACCCGTTGCAGGAGTCCTTTTATTCGAAGCTCAAGAAGTTCGCGGACGAGTCGAACACCAATTTGTACGTCTCGAACATCCCCAAGAACATGAGCGAACATGTAAGTAAACCCCAGTGCTGTCTTTGCTGTATCAACGACGTTGACAATATCTAGGAACTCAGTGCCATCTTCGCCCCGCACAAAGTCTGTTCCACTAGGATTCTTAGGGACCCCTCGGGCCATGGCCGCGGTGTTGGCTTCGCTCGGTGAGTGTCCTTGCTGATAGCCAAGGCAATTCTGTGCTGATTGAACTCAGATTTGAGACGCGTGACATCTGCGAGGAGGTCATCAAGACTTTCAACAACACACCTGTTGCCAAGCCGGGTGGTGACGAGCACCTCATTCAGATCCGCTACTCAGACACTCATGAGCAGAAGATGCTCAAGCAGCAGACAGCCGCCGGCCGTGTCTTCCGCGCTGCTGAATACGAAGTTGGCGTTGCCCAAGCTCGTGCTTTAACTGGCGGACCCGATCGCTACATGTCCATGTCTCCGGACTCCCAGGGCGCCGCCAATGAGTTCGAAATCTTCCTGCAGCAGCAGTCAACGGGGTAAGTACTGTCTAGCGACCATGCTAGAGCTTTTCATTGACTCTACTTAGCAACCCGACCTCGTACGGCCCTGCTACGAACCGATACCGCCAGCCTTGGACCCCTGCCGTTCCCTCGAGCTTGGGCATGTCTCGCCCAGCTATGCATCAAATGGCTCATGCTCCCGTCTTCAAGGTCGAGGATGGTGGTTCCGAGCGTGGTACCGACGTGAAGACGAATCCCGCCACGCCGATCAAGCAGGAGGCTTCATCCTCACCGAGTCGCCACAACGGCGACGAGTGACTTGCGACTCGCTACGCTCCCGTCTCTTCAAGCGATGCTTGACCGACTCGTACAAATGTACGACTATTCTTCGAGATCGTTTCTTGGACATAGGCTTGACCGCCATTTGCACGTCAGACATACATCGGCATCTTATCGTATGGCGAAGCCTCGCTACAGCTGTCTTGATGATGCAATCCATTTCAATCCGGATATCAGGCCTAGTCATTCTTTTACTGTTTCACGACGCCTTCTCTCTAATAGCTTGCTGGTCCACCTCGGACAACTTCCTATACTTTACATCACTCAGCTTTTGTTCACCCATCGCCATTCCTGGGAGCTGGCCACCGGCTTCCTCCATCTTACCGGTATATCATTGAATTTGGCGCGAGTGCATGGGCGCTAACAATCTTGGTGGATACTGGAATAGAGGTTTACATTGATGCCGGAAAGTCTCAAGGCGTTTGATGATCGGGAAAAGCTCTAGGGGAGGATTTTTCGGAAGTAGTCTCATGCAAAAAATATATTGTAGGCTTTTCTTTGCCTCGAGTCCATATTAGATTGAAGACTGTGAGTGACATATGATGTCTGTTCATCTTCGAGTGATCGCGTCGAGCCGAAGTCCACTCATTGCCCGCATGAGTTTTCGGAGGTGCTTTGCGATCCTTCAGGCGTTGCGCAAGTGGCTGTGACGCGAGCACCGGACCGTTTCGGTGTCACACGACCAGGCAACCGGGGCAGCGACGGGCGAATCGACCAACATCATCATGTCCCGAACATGTGCAACGTGCAATCTTGATCCTGAACGACGCATGAACTCCTTCTCATGACACCGCCAGCCGCGCAACCTTCACATTCTATTCGCTGCGCCACGATAGGTCTAACCATCGTGGACGCCTGGCGTAGGAGATGAGCCCGCCCGTTTGGCTGCGGGTTTGGCAGCTTGTCAGGTCAGGTTTGTGCTGATGCAATATGTTTGTCATGCGGTGGGTAGGATTGTAGGATGTCTTAATTATTTGGCGCGTGGTGAAGTGTGTGACGGACGGGACCGGGTTTATAGGACAAAGATGGACAGACTGGGCTGTGAGTGTTCTATGGTCCCTTAGGCTGAGACATCAACTGCGGCGTCGTCATATACACGAGTGGGCTATGAATTTAGTTTCCGCATAAACGTCTACTTCTACATTTACGACTACGTCACGAAACATTGCGAGGAATTTATTTGCTACTCACGGTGAAGCGAGTAGCGCGAAGATACGCATCGGTGTTGGCTTCTTCTAGCGAGACCAAAACCACAGTCAAGAGAGCTTGCAAACAAGCCCGTAAACATGCGACGGTACGCCATCTACTTTCCCACTGGCACGCGATCCCGCAGCGGGACCGGCATCTACATAACAACCTCGTCTACGCTTGCCGCAGACTTCCGCGCCTGGGGCCACCGCGTGGATAGCTACGCACCACATCATCACAACGTCCTTGCGCTGCTGGCGATGCAGCGTGCTGAAGGCCGAGATCAACGCGCTCGAGAAAATGAACTTTTGGATATTTGGTGCGCGGAGTGGGTGGGGCGATGGGGGTTTGAGGAGGGTTGGGGCGGTGTTGAGTGAGCGGGAGACGGGAAGGGATGATGGAGAGGGCAGGTATGACTACGGTGCTGCGGTTGGAGTGGGAGGGAATAATTTTGCGGAAGGGGCGAGGGCGGTTAAGATTGGGAGGAGGACGTGGGGTTTGGGTAGTGTGAGGGCGTGGTGGTTTGGAAGGAGGGGGTAGGTGGAGAGTGTGTAGAGGAGGCGGCGATGGGGATGGGGATGTGCTGCCAATGTATACGAAGGGGGAGGATCCACCGGCTTACGATCCACCGGCTTACAGTCCACCGGCGTACGAACAGTGAGTGCAGGGTGAGGGACAATGCCGGAAGGGTGGGAGTCAGGACGGGGGAGATGCGATACCCATAATGAGCTTTGTAAATGTAATCCATTGCGTCTATATAGAATCATACTTTCGTAACTTTTGCGGAGTGTCAATGTGCACTTCAAATGCTGGGGTATCGCTGAAGAAAGAAGTACGTGCGTGTCAACGTTTAGAGTGCCCATCCGGCCTTGGCCTTGGCGGCTTTTGTAGATATGGCTGGTGCTTGCTTAGCCTTCATGGCTTGAATCTCGCTGAGATCGGGCAGCGGATCATTGTCCCGGATGTCGAGGATGGTCATTTGTGTGGCGAGTGTCGCCGGCGTGACTGATGAGTCAACCGTAACGTCCTCCGCTGGCATCTGTTCAAGCGGTGCCTCTGACTCCGCTTCAAGGTCCAACGGCTCGTCTTGTTCGCTCACTGGGCCTTTATCTTCTTCTTCGTCGTCCCTCTCAGCCTCACCCGCGTCGCCGTCGATCCCGTGCTCCTTCATGTATGCGGCCAGCTCCTTCGCCATCTTCCTGCTGAAGCCGCTCGCCTCTACCTCTACGTCGAGCCTCTTCAGGATGGTCTTGGTGGAGTCCTGGAAGAAGGGACCAGGCTCGTCGCTTGTAAAACCATACCGACGATCGAAGAAGCGCTTGATGCAGGCTACATCGCGGTCGAAATAATACTCGGCGTTGGGATGAGATATGGACACCATTTGCGGGAAATCGATGATGGTAGGAATCAGCGACACTTGGCCATCCTCCTGTGGCTTCTCCTCAATCAGAATATTGAATTCGTTGAAGTCGCCGTGAATCAGGCCGATCTGGGCTAATCGGACAATGAGAGAGAGCAGCTCGGCATACAATGCGGCTGGGTCGCCAACGGTGGCGATCTGCCGCATGGGGAACGCATCGACGAGACTCATGACTACCGTGTGCCTGTTCTGGCCGAGAGGTTCTGGTACAGGGAACCCTTGCCGACGGAGTGCCTTCATGAACTCGAATTCCTTCATGGCGGCTAGTCGTGACATGTACATCCATGATGCCGAAGAACGGTTGCGTAGGTAATCGCGGTTTGCCTTCACGGTGCGGAACGATATGCGACCCAGACGATGTATCTTCAGAACCTGCTGCTTACCTGTCTCGTCGGCGCAGACGAAAATATCCGACTCTTTGCCCACACCAATTTGGTTCCCAACCGAGTAAATCGTCGAGGCCTTGGTGTGCGCGTGAAGGGCTAGGTAGTCCAGTCCGCCGTATGTGAGGCGGTACCCATCGTACTTTGCGTTCTTCACTTTGGCAATGAGACCGATCTTTGCGAGGTTTGAGATGCAATTATGTACGCCATTGCCCGAGCGCAGAGAGGCGAGCTGGGAAATCAACGGCGTAGGGACGACTTCGTGGTTACGGCTGCCCTGTTCTGTCTGTGCACATCTTCATCAGCGTTAGTCCCCCACTGCAATGTCAGCGACAACGAGAGCGCATACCGCAGTCAAAACGCGCCAGTCCTCGGGCGTAACATAGCGAATGTTTTTGACGTTCAACTTCATTTTGGCGTAAGTCGAGGCCCTTCCGCAGCTGTGTAGGTAGTCTTTGCAAGGATTGTGCGGGGTTGCAAATAATTTTGGACGTTTCTCGAAGTCGGAGCGCGCTCGCCGCTTTGATCGCCGCTCGATTGCTTGGCGTTCGGCGACTGCGCAAGAGAGCTCTCGACGACGCATCAACATTATCCCCATATCACCCCCGCCACGTCCCGCCGCCTCGAGCGATCTCTCCCTCCCCGAACCACCTCCCATATCACCGTATATAGTCCTCTTGACGGCCGAACTCCGCATCCCCGCAATCGTTCGGTGCACGAGACAGTTCGCCGCCGGCCTAGCTACTATTAGCAAGCAACATGGCAGCAGAAGACGAGAAGAAGCCAACGGCCGCTGAGAAGGGCAAGGGAAAGGCGACAAATGGCGACGCAGAGCAGAAAGAAGTACAGAAAGATAAGGATGGCAAGCCAATAGACGACAAGAAAGGCGCGCCCGCTGTTGGTATGCTTCCCATGTCGGATCGCTGTCATATCAGTATCATGAGGGAGGCTTTTACTGATGAACCACAGAGGAGCTCAGTGAGGAGGACCAACAATTGAAGAGCGACTTGGACATGTTGGTCGAGCGGATATTGGTAGGTCCCCCACCATGGAAGCTGTGTTGTTTATCAGAGCATTTGCTGACTGAAGCATTGCAGGGACCGGATTCAGATCTCTACAACCCAGCGCTCGAGAAGATCAAAGAGTTCATCAAAACGGCTACAAGTTCGATGACGGCGGTGCCGAAGCCACTCAAGTTCCTACGACCACACTATGAGAGCTTGGAAAAGGCTTACGACTCGTGGCCGGCGGGCGAGAACAAGGTACGCTCATATTAATTCTACAAGTTATCGTAGATGTTGACAGCAGCAGAATTCCTTTGCCGACATGCTGTCCGTACTTGGAATGACGTATTCCGACGAGGACCGACTCGACTGCTTGAAGTATCGTCTGCAAGCGCCCTCTTCAGATCTCGGCTCATGGGGCCACGAATACATGCGCCATCTTGCGCTCGAGATCGGCAGAGAATTCCAGAAGCGTTTGAACGATGACAAGTCTACAGACGACATCACGGATCTCGCCCTTGCGCTAGTGCCCTTCTTCCTGAAGCACAACGCCGATGCCGATGCGGTCGATATCCTGTCCGAGTTGGAGATGATCGACCAGATCGAGAAGTATCTGGACGCGGACACATACGGCAGGGTGTGCTTGTATATGGTCAGCACGGTACCCCTCCTCACATACCCCGACAACGATAAGTTCCTCCGCACAGCGTACCAAGTCTACCGGAAATATAAGCAGTATACCCAGGCTGTGGTCCTCGCGATACGGTTGAACGACCGCGAGTTGATCGAAGAGACTTTCAACTCAACGGATGACAAGGCGACAAGGCGACAGATGGCTTTCCTTATTGCCCGACAACGGATATGGTTCGATGTGTCGGAAGACGACGACCCTGAACTGCAAGAGTGCTTAAGCAACACTCGTCTATCGGATTACTTCAAGGCGCTTGGCAAAGAGCTCAATGTGCTCGATCCCAAGACTCCGGATGACATCTACAAGACCCACCTTGAGAGCAGCAGGACGGCAGGCCTCACCAACACCGACTCGGCACGCCACAACCTCGCCTCCGCGTTTGTCAACGCCTTCGTCAATGCTGGTTATGGTAACGACAAGTTGATGTTAAACTCAGATAGTAAGAATAGCTGGGTCTGGAAGACCAAGGACGAGGGCATGCTCTCGACTTCTGCGTCGCTGGGTATGCTCATGTTGTGGGACGTTGAGATGGGTCTTGATAAGATCGATCCCTACACCAACGTCGATGAAGATCTCGTCAAGGTAAGTGATTACTGGCTTCTCGAGTCTTGCAGTAGTTTTGCTGACAGTGTCTGGGTAGGCCGGTGCTATGCTTGCTACGGGTATATTCAATTCTGGTGTGCGGAACGATTCCGACCCCGCCATGGCCCTGCTCGGTGACGAGGAGAACCTCTCGCACAAGAATGTCAACGTGCGGGTAGCCTCTATCATGGGTCTAGGTCTCGCATATGCCGGATCAAATAAGGAAGAGCTCCTTGAGATTCTACTTCCCATCGTGACCGACACAAGCCTAGACATGCAGCTCTCCGCCATGGCAGCTTTGGCTTTGGGTCTTATCTTTGTTGGTTCGGCTCACGGCGAGGTGACTGATGCTTTGATGAACACTCTGTTGGACGAGGACCGGTCAAAGCAGCTTAAGGACAAGTGGACGCGGTTTATGGCTCTCGGTCTTGCCCTGCTGTTCTTCGGGCAGCAGGAAGAAGTCGATGTCATTCTGGAGACGCTCAAGGCTCTTGATCACCCCATGTCGAAGCCTACATCTGTTCTTGCCGAAGTCTGCGCGTGGGCGGGTACCGGCAACGTGCTGAAGGTGCAGCAATTGCTCCACATCTGCAATGAGCACATCGAAGAGGAGGACGAGGAGAAGAAGGGTGACGAGCTGCTGCAGTCGTATGCTGTCATCGGCTTATCATTGGTGGCCATGGGAGAAGACGTCGGACAGGACATGATCATACGCACTTTTGGTCACCTGATGCACTACGGCGAGGCTAACATCCGGAAAGCGGTACCTTTGGCAATGGCCTTAATCAGCCCCAGCAACCCTCAGATGAAGGTTTATGATACTCTTTCGCGGTACTCCCACGACAACGACAACGATGTCGCCATCAATGCTATCTTCGCTATGGGTCTGGCCGGCGCGGGTACCAACAACGCCCGTCTTGCACAATTGCTCCGACAGCTCGCGAGCTACTACCACCGCGATCCTAACGCACTCTTCATGGTTCGCATAGCGCAGGGTCTCTTGCACGCAGGCAAGGGCACGCTATCAATGAACCCCTTCCATACCGACCGACAAGTCCTCTCGCGCGTCGCCGCTGCAGGCCTTCTCACTGTCCTTGTCTCCCTCATCGACGCGAAGCAGTTCATCGTTGGCGACGCACATTACCTACTCTACTTCCTGGCTACAGCTATCTCCCCACGGTTCCTCATAACGCTCGACGAGGAACTCAAGCCACTCACAGTCAATGTGCGTGTGGGCCAAGCCGTCGACATTGTTGGCCAGGCCGGTCGTCCCAAGACGATCACTGGGTGGCAGACACAGAGTACGCCTGTGCTGTTGAGCCATGGCGAGAGGGCAGAGTTGGAAGATGAGAAGTACTTGAGCTTGAGTAATGTACTGGAGGGCGTAGTGATATTGAAAAAGAACCCCGAGTGGGAAGATTGAGGTCGCAACCAAGAGATGAGAGAAAACAGCTTCTGGGGGAGATAGCCATGAGGCATGTATAGCCTGGCGCGTATGCCGTAGGATACAACATACCGTATCCGGGCTCTTGACAGGTGGACTGTGTAACAGTAATTAGATAGTAGAGATGACGAACGAAGTATTGGTATGCATGAACTTCCATGTTCTTGGGTCAGAGTGATGCTACTATGTGGTTCCGGTAGTTCTACGCGCATCATACGATTGACTTACCACGTTATCCCCAACAAATTTAAACAACATAGACCTATCCTCGATCTCTATCCGCGTCAACATCTCAAACCCATACTAAAGACTGTTTATCTCACCAGCCCAATGTTGATTTGCGATTTCTCTTAGCGCAACACGAAAACGAGGCACAGATACTTGCCGGACCTCCTGACGAATTGTTTTTTTTTTTGGAGAAAATGTGTAATCGTTTGCGAGACTTGTATATTGGTGCCACGTTTGCGCCCTGGGGATTATATGACTTTCACGTACCTATGCAACCAAGATGTACGACAGCGCGTCCATTCATGAAGGTAAGCTAGGATAAGGAGAATGCGGACTGAGAAATGACTAAAACCGCAAAGCTGGAGGATTAGACGAATCATGTTCAGGTACAGCATCATCCAGGCTTTGGCATGGCTCTTTCCGGCCAGCGCATTTACCTCAGGATTTGCGACTATCACACCGGATGAATGTTCTGTTGCTTTTACTGCGTGGAGTAAATTTCAATAATGGCATGGCTCGCCCTCTCGCTGCACGCTCCCCTCGAGGTCCGCTGATGGCTGCTCTGCCCACAAAGCGCTCACTCGCAAGACATGAATAAGGTGAAGTAGTTCACCAGCTGTTTGTCCGTGGCAACTAGGTAGTGATCCGGCTCTCAGAGCGGCTGTAAGAGCCCATCAACGAATTAACAGTCGTTCCTTACACTTTTGTGAAGGCAAACACTCAACCCTGCCTGCCTTCACCTCTCACCTCAATCACCTCAATCAGCTCAATCATCTCAATCTTTCCCCCATATCCTTCTATTTATAGTACTATATATATCTATTGATTTGAAGTACTTTCATCAGAATTACAGAGATGTAGTTGGCGTGTAGCTTTCGTAGCCTCCGACGAACTCTGCTGAGGAAGATGGTCATACAGTTCGCCTGTGCGGTGGTTAGAGTTCGTTAGTTCGAACCATACAAGCCGACAAGAACGCCAACTTTTTGCAGATTTAATAGACTGATTTTAGTTGAATTCTGGTTCTTCTGTTTTGTTTACTGAGTAGGGCCAGAGCTTGCCGCGTCCAAGTTTGTGTATGTAGACGCGCAGATTGTGTCTACTTTTGGCACACCATACATACAGAATTAGACACGGGTGGGAAACATGGATATGGGCGGTCTCCGATGAGCACCGTTGCTTTCTGTATTCAAGGACGGATATGACGACTGTGGCATATCATTATATAGAACGGTGGAGAAACATGTTTCTAAGGCAGGCGCATATGAGCCCGCGGGTCGAATGCGACTTATGCTACAAATGTCACGGAGCATCGCAACTTGATGCGCTGTGTACCTCACCCAATCAATGATAAACAGGACTGCCAGCTGTAAGCAAGCCCGTACCCCCTCCTATCAACACACAGTCACAACACACCATTTAAGAAATCAAGGGTAGCTGTAGATGGACTAAGAAGCTGAAGCGTTGACAGATCGTGTATTCGATAATATATCTTAACATAAGCCTGCCTTCCCGTTCAAGTCTCATCCAATCTACCCTCACTCAATGCATAACCACCGCAACGTGATCATCCATATACTTGGAAATATCCCCCAAAAAGCACGCGGCCAGGATGCTAACCGCCCCAAACGCTATGCTCACGTAGTACACATATTTGTAAGCCTCTGCGTACGCGAGCTGGCCGGCGTACACCACGAGCTCGTACGCACCTGGCACGTCTTTGATGCCTGGGAGTTCTTGCAGCGCGGGAAGGAGCGAGGCGCCTGTGATGCCGATGGCTTCTGCGATTACGGCGTTGTCGGTGATGTTGAGCTTGGTCACCATGGCGCCGCCGATGAAGTGGGTTGCTGCGGGGACGAATTTGGCTGGGGAGTGTTAGTGGCCGGGAACCGGCAGAGGCAATAAGGGAGGTTAGAGGGGAGGGATGGCGCTTACAGATGAAGACGTTGTAGTACACGCAGTAGCCGATCGAGCCGCCGATGACGCGGATGGCGAGGGTGAGGGCGGCGACTGTGGCGATGAGGTCGTCGGGGCAGATGATGGTTGCTGGTAGGGTTAGCCCCTATTTACCATACACGCAGCCTCAGAATAGACTTACAGATGATTGACGCTGGGACCACGATGCCTCCAATACCGAGTCCAGCCAGAACCAGCAAACCCCAGAGCTGATGAAGATTGTCCACGCGTCCGATTGCAAGCGCACCACACCCAGCAGTCATGAGAATCGAGGATGCAATAAGAAGCTCCTTGTTATGGCCACGAAGCATAGAAAGTAGCCACAACACGATGCAGGCTCCGGCCAGAATGGAGAATCCAACGGGAATACCACGGATGCCGACACCGATGGGATCATGGCCGTACACGTTAAATGCCTGTGTAGGCCAAAACATGAGAATGGAGAAGAAATTGGCACCCGAGATGAAGGTGATTACGAGTGTCAGTCCCAAGATACGGGGCTCCTGCCGCAGTCTCTTCGGGAACATGGGGTGTTTTGCGTAGCCTTGCCATACGACGAAAGCTACGATGAGGACCGCGCCCATTATCAGAGGTACGAGAACGTGCGCGCTGGACCACGGATATTGGTACCCACCCCACTGCATGCCCATCATGAAGAGGAGCATGCCGGAGATGGAAAGCAGACCACCGACGTAGTCAATCTCGGCGAGAATTTGCTTGCGGCTCAGACCCTGGCTGTTGGGTCTTGGAGGAGGGTGGTAGAACACTGCAGTCATCACAAGACCGATGAACGCCCAGAGACCACACCAGCAGCCGATCCATCTCCAGGTGGAGTGCGCGGCAATAAGTTGTGCCCAGAGGACAGAAGGACAGAAAGGAATGATGGTGAAGACCAAAATGGCAACGTACTTGCCACGCTGAGCGGTCGGAGCGAGCTCAGACGTCACGGCCAGTGCTGTAAGCTCGTTGATACCCGCACCGATGCCTGAGAAGACCATGCCGCTGATGAAGATGTTCATGGTATGTGCTGTCGAACAGATGATCATGCCCAGGATGAGGAAGCAAGCTCCAATCATTGCAACCCAGCGGCGACCAACGATGTCAGAGATCGATCCGACGAAGGGGCAAACGGCTGCGAGGGAAAGCAGATTCGCGAGAATGAACCATATCCATCGATCAGCACCGCCGATGTCGCCGTAGATGTAGGGTGGAACACCGCCGAAGAGGTATACAGGAATTTGACTGCCCGTCCATACTACGTGGTTGTTAGTTTGGTCATGAAGTACTGAATTGGCTGAGGTGGCCTACGAAACGCCATGGCGATGAGGCTCATGATCCTCGAAAAGGTCATTGGTGGCTCGACATCATGATCCTCATCGTCTCCGTATGTCCTCAGACCACCCTTCTCGTAATAATTTGCGTGGCCGGGCACTCGCTCGTTGGTATGGATCTGCTCAATCTGCTCCGTGGTGGCGGGCTTTTCTGTCGGAGAGTGCGCCGAGCCATCTCAAAGCTGTCAGTCGGTCGTTCGATCATTTGTTCGAGTCATCAGAGATGGCCTACCAGAGCTACTATTATCTGCCATCGTCTACTGTTTTGTTCGAGACCGAGGCACCCGTACTCAGTCGATTAAGGTGATCTGGAGAAAGTGCCAGAAGTTTCGACCCGGCTGAAGATCCACTCAAAGAGACATGCCTGGGGCTTTATGCGCAGCCTGTGCCCGTGTGCCGATCTACGGTGGGCGGCTGACGGAGACTCGATCCTGGCGACACTGTACTCCTTCTTTCATGGCCGGACGGGGCAGCATCCGCATTGTGGATCCCACCACGAGTGATTCTGCGGGGTACTGGGGAAATAGCTCGCTCTAGGTATTTCAGTTCACGGAGATACCGACAGATCTGTTCTGGCCTGTTGTTGGCGGTGGTGGGTCATGTGTTTCATTGGCTGTCCCATTGGCCATCCTGCGCCTTGTTCGACTGGAGCCACGCAAGCCACACTATCGGAACCTCGACGTGCATGGAAAGATACCGCGGCATTGCCTCTGTTAGTCTTGGGGTTCTATCAATATGCCTGGAGCTCCCTTGAGAGCCGGTTGTGCTTGTCATGTTCTAGCGGTAGCGGTGTCGTGCAGCCCTATATCCATACTCTTCGAAGGTGATACAGCAATCGCTTTACAGGCCCCAGGTGCCACTTATAAGGGTTTTGGACGATAAGGAGACTTGCACAAAGATGGAAGGACGTTGCATACCGAATTAGCAGTGACCTTCACTTAGCGCGGAACTACCCCGCATTGCAATTGCTTGACCCAGGAAAGCACCTCGGCAGGCGTCGACAAGCTTCTCGATTGCCAAACGCGAACCAGCACCATTCGGGAATATGCGCCGATCATATCGCTACACTCCACGACTCCTGTGGCCAGCCCTCTATCTTGGTATCACCGCAGGTTCGGAGCACGATCCAAAGCGCCGGATGGTCCACAATCCAGGTCTCTGGGCAATAATAACGTGCGTAAACTCTCCTTGGGTCGGCCTGGTCTATCCGGGGTAACTCAGTCTTTCGGAGCTCTTGGCGGTGAGCACACTGTTGCAAAAACAAACATGCTTCCTCCTTATCGTGTAGATTGGGTTGTTAAGTCAACTTCCAAGACGTTGCCTGGTTGATCGTGACAAGATAACACTGTTACTCAATGTTCGAGATATATTAGTACAGTCTCCTGGACGTTTCTGCACCACTACGATAAGATCTACAAAATGGGACTCTGTGGTTGTAGTTGAGCTTGAAGCACTAGCTAACTTGACCGCGTTGCTAGTGGAGTACGAAAGCTGGGGGATCTACTGGTCCGGATTCGTAGCCGTTTTAGCCTCGTTGATCTCTCTTGCAACGGCGTGGAGCACGATTTTTGTGAAATGGCCGCCTTGTTTTCTGCTAGATATCTGAGGGACTTAATCAGCATCTGCAACACTCAAGTTCAAAAACAAGATCCGGTGCCCTTTTGATCTAAGGGAGCTTTCCAGCAGTAACGTGAGTCATGGACCTGCGCGTGTTACACATCACTACAACGAACTCCAATCCTTCGTCCACATGAAATGCGCCGTGAGCATCCGTGAACGGAATCATGCTGTCCTTCAACAAGCTGACTCTCACCATGCTGCCCTTCAAGACGCTGTCCTTCTTCGTCCTCTCCTTCATCATGCCGTCCTTCATCATGTCGTCCTTCACCATGCTATCCTTCATCATGTCGTCCTTCACCATGCTATCCTTCATCATGTCGTCCTTCACCATGCTTAACTTCACCATGCTATCCTTCATCATGCTATCCTTCATCATGCTGTCCATCAAAGCACTTCTAGTAGTCTCCAGTCCTGATAACACTCCCTCCCTAAACCCCCACAGCCACCCAAGTCCCCAAACCCTCCAACTAATCATGCCCTACCTACTCTTCAAACCACGTCGACCGAACTCTGTCTCCAGCCCCCCAAGATCTCGCTATATAACATCCGACCGCGCCGTAGCGCACCTCTTCCACTCCTACGGATGGGCCGTGATGCACATTCCCCGTCTCCCCTCCGAGGCCTCTGAGGGTGAGCCTGCGGAATGGTGGGACAGCGACTCCTCCTCCCCCTCCCCTTCCTCAAATACATCGAGCGCACAGCTTTCGCACATCAGGCATTGTTCTGGTATACGCGAGCTGCACTATCCGGGTGTGCTACTTGACGAAGTCATTCCAGGGCCGCAGGTCGAGGAACAGCTGAAGTGGAACGTGATGTGGATGGCGGATTGGACTACGGATAGAGAGGTGGATTTGAGGGTTGTGTTAAGGGGACGGAGGGACGGTGATTAGGCTCACTACCTGAGCGTTATCATTTGATTCTGCATACTTACCCGTGCTACACATGCCTTCTGACTCGCCGTAGCAACGTCTTATGGCTCCATGATCAAGCCCTTAAAGATCAGGTATAGTGTCGGTGGTACAGAAGAGGTGGGAGAAACCAGTGGTCCCGGGGATGGAGCAAGTTTACGAAAAGGAAATGAAGGGGCTTCGATGGGTCTCAAGAAGAATTGAGGGATAGTGCATTCATCCCACCGCGGATTGCAAATTGATACCTCCTAGAGGTTAGCGAGCGGTCTCGGCTTGAGGTAACGACGCGCAGAATAACCAGCGCTTGTTCGCTTGCATTTAGATAGACATCTTGCATATCTATAGTCACAAAAGAAGAACGACGTAACATTACGGGCCTCGGAGACGCGTAATATCTTCTGGAATTCGTAGCTTGGTCGATGAGTTGAGCGCTTCTTCATTTTCGGGGCCAGCGCTGTTGACCCTCCACTCCTATGTAACATGGCGTTGCCATCATAATCGCAACGAAAGTCTGTGGTATAACCTGACGCCGCGCTTCAGAACTTCGAAATCCAGAATTACCATCACCTGCCTTCATCTCGCCCATATCGTTCGCAAATCGTAAAGTCGTGCCGCATATCCCCCAGTCCGAGCCTCCGGTAGAGGTCAGAAACGTGTTATCCCAGAACGCCAATAATAACAGTACATTCAATCCCCACTTTTCCGGGCGGAATTCTGTCTTCCTTGATGTAGCACTTTTCTTTTATCTGACACATTTGCGCTAATACCTCAGTCATCACCTAGCTCTTGTAGTTCTCTTTCGCGTTTCGCCAGCTCTTGCCTCATCAACTCTGCTTCTCTTTTGAGTCTTTCTTTGCGGGTGGTCTTGTCTTCTTGGGTAGCGGAAGGGGAGTCTGCACTCTTTTGCGACAGGCTTGATAGCGATGGATCGATGTTTGTGTCTTGCGCCGCAGCCGGGTTCAAAATCGACGAGATAGGATTCGGTCGGTGGGGTGCTGGTGTCGCGGGCTTTTCTTCTGTATCTAGGGTAGCGCTCAAGCTACGTTTTCTAGGCGAAGGTGCTCCAGCATACGTCGTAGACGGCGAAGGGGGGCCCAGGTGAGCAGTTTTGCCCAGGTAGGTGGTGAAGTCGACCGGTACGGGTGCTCTGACCCCCGAGGGAAGCTCGCTCGATTCGATTGCAGTGGACGGATCGGGCGATACTGAGTGCTCGAAAGCCGGAGTGTGCGTTGCGCGGGGTTGAGGTGAGTAGCCGGCAATCGAAGACGGCGCTTGAGTACTGTTGCTGTCGGCAGGAACGATACGTTTCCGGCGCTTGATCTCTTGCTTCTTCATCTCGACCGGTCGATGTGAGCCATGAAGCTTGTAGTAGAGGCCTGCATATGTTAGCTCATGAAGTGGGATGCGGAACCCTACAATGGGTCAGCGGCAAAGTATGAACGTACCACAGGCATTGCAGATGGTATGTCCAGCCTCATCTCTTCTCCAAAGAGGCGTCACTGTGGTTCCGCAATTTTGGCAGGCGGGAATTGCGCTCGTCGCCGCCGATGCTCCTCTGTCGGATCCAGTGGCGATTGAAGGGCCACTAGTCTGTGCCAGTGCAAACTGAGCCGTCTTGGACACACGATTGTTAAAGGCGGGGCATCCACCGCAGCCTTGCTGACCTCCCATGCCATTGCATCTACCGCCACCAGGACAAGTTCCAGCGGCTTCATGGTCCGATGCGACGTAGGTTGCAGGCCTCGGTGAGACACCTGCTACTGCTGGTGAAGCGCTTCGGTCATGTCCCTGGCCTGGCGCTGGGTTTTGGTGAATGGGCAGGGTAGGTTGGGCTGTGGTGTTGCGCTTGAGATTAGTTGGGCGTGACTGGTTTCTTGCCTTCTGGTACAAACCACAAGCATTACAGATAGTTTCTCCAGCAGGCGATCGCCGCCACAGGGGTGTTTTCGTGGTTCCGCAGTTGCTTTGGCGATTGTCAGCAATTTTGTAATTGTTCAAGACAGGGGCTGCATGGCTGTAAGAAAGGAAAGCGGAGGCTGATACGCACCTGCAGACTTGGCCTGTGATAAGCGCGTTCCCCGAGCCAAGATTGGGCTGAGCGAGGGACGCTGGAGTAGTGGGCATTGAGGGCTGCTCTGGTTGCTCGCTTTCCCGCAAAGGTCGCGAATCCTCGAGAGAGTGGTAGATTTCGGGGGTATGCGCTGGGGGTGGGGTCGCGGCTTGGTGAGCTTGCGGAGGCGATGTTATTCTCGAGGCGCGATTGTCCTGGGCCTGGTTCAACTGGCTGAGTTGTTCAGCCATTTCCACGTCTTCTCGACTCGGTTCCCGGGATAAGTGGTGTGGATGGGTTGGCGTAGGAGCCAGCGAAGTGCCTCCGCTACCGGAACCGTTGGCCATGTTATCTGGCGGCCACGCTGCCTCCGGGCAGGACGGGAGACGCAGGTACGAGCAACAATGAAGATTCGGTGCGGCAGTGTTTGGAGGAGATGTTGCAGTGGGGCCTTGTGCGCCCGTTGGGCGGCTGATTGACCGGTTCCGCGAGCTGGTAGGCTTGCTTATGCAAGTGCTTGTCTCCGTCAGGTGGCCACAACGTGACCTGGGTGCTTCGCCGAGATGTTGGCTTTGGGGGTCCGCAGCGATAGCAAGGTGCAACTGGGAGGAGAAAATTGGCTCCTGCGAGAGGTGACAGGAGACGGGGAATATGCTTTGTCCGAGGCTTCCTCCGTCCTCTAGCGACCAGCAACGAGCGTCAGAAAGGGTCGCGGTGATGCGTAACAGGCAGTCGTCTGGGGAGTCGCGAGTTCCTTGCCGATGCAGGGCCGGCCAATCACCGCATTGGCAATGATAAGCAAGCTCGTTAGCCTTGCACCTAGCGCCATCCTGCGCTCGTCGACGCCCGCCCTCATGGCCTTCACCGCATCGTTTGGCAAGAATCGAAGTCTGGGTGCATGTACAATTACGTAGCCCGAAACGGCTGTGGCTTCCCCTCAGACTTTTTGCAGACTAGATTGACCGTTCGGTCGGTGGCGATCTGCTGTGGCAACGAGCAAAACCCAAACGACCTTCCCCATTCTGTCCCTGTTCGGTGGCCACACGTGGGTCCGGAGCTAGAACGAGACCTCGTCGGCGCATCTGTCATGGCAAACATGCAAATCTTGATTCGCTGACTATCGACCTGGCCAATCGAAGTCGCCTCGGAAGCACGCTGCTCTCCACCTGCAGCTAACGAAGTCGAGTGCCACGGTCTCGGGCTACGAGCAAACTGCCGCCCATGTTTGCATGTCGGAGGTCCCGATGCTTGTCGTCAGCCTGCTTTGACACCATTTGATGTGCCGAGAAACAACACTTCCTTGGCTAAGACATGTCTAGCATCGCGGTACCTGACTAGGTACCTGTGGACATCAGCGTCTTGCCTTGTCGAAACAACAGACTAGGTCGTCAAATTGCCTACAGTCTACAAATAACATACAACAGCCCGTCCTACGCCACGTCATTAGACGCTCACACTATCCTGGTTCCATTCCTGCAACCCTTCCAAAAGAATACACAGGTTCCTCACAGTCATGCGCCAGGTATACAATCCACCCAACATGACCAAATACTTTTCAATATCACAGAGAATGCGAAATTGTATCAAGCCAACCCAACTCTTGTCTCTATGCTGGTCTAGTTTTCGAGGAATCGTTGAGCGCCATCCTCGATTTGCTAGGGCGCTTAAGCCTTCTAGACCTGTTCTTGGCCCCAGCCGGCGTCGGCATCACGCATGTTTGCAGGAGGCTCGATCGAGGGAATGAACTCGAGGACAATGTACGCCAGGCCAACGACACCGACAATGGTACCTGGGATGATGCGCCACCAACCTTCTCCGACGGCTACGGAACCGACGAAGACATAGACTAACGATATAAGTGATTGGACCGTTTTCTCGCCTGATTATTGACTTACAGACTCCACGACCGATAAAAGAGAACATGAACGAAGCATAGCGGGCGACTTGTGGGGGGATCTGAAATTCTGCGCAGCTGTTAGCGGTGCCCATTGGCCATGATCGTGTCTCAGAGCCATGCGCCCGTCTCAGTGCTCTATCAGTTCATCGTCGCGGTGACTAGCATCAGTTCATATATCGAGGACCTCGAACGGTCTTGGAGCGCGGGTGGGCGAGACGGATGGCATGGACAAGAAGGAAACACGAACCAAGGAGTCCCGTAGCTAGCAACGTGTCAGTACTTGCTCTGCGCAATTAGAAACAGCTTCCTTACCAGCACCAAAAATGACCAAGTATACTCCTAGGATGATATTCGCGCTGAGGACCGTTGTCAGCGCCCATGTATGCGATCGAGGACAAGATGCAGAGCAACTTACAAGCCACCAGGGTGGATGAACTTTGTCACACCGCCAAGAATGGTGAAAACCGCAGTGGCGAGATTCACCATGCGACTACACCAATTGTCAGCGCCAAACACAACAATGGCAGCCTCGGTGCCTTTCGAGGGTCTGAGAGGGCAGCTCGTTGGCCCAGGCGCACGCACAAGATGTCGGAGAAGTCCATGCCGGCTGGCTGGTCAGAGAGATGTGGGAACCGCAGTTTGATTGACGTTCGCGGGAGCGATAGGGTACGATGGGCGGCGCAATGGGCGGATGCGGAAAGACACAGTGTTTGGAGGTTGAGGTTGCGCGCAACGTCGAGGATGTGCCTTGCGAGCTCGTAACAGCCAAGCTCCTCGCTTGCGCCTGCCGAACGTCATAGGGGCCCGCACCTGTGATTGGCTGCCGCGTGGCCTACCACTTCATCACTCGCAACATCGTGTCACAGGCAGCAGCTTTTGCACAATCGCGATAGGGCACATTTCAGTTGCCATTCGAGGGTATCGTTAGCTAGGTGCAAGATCATACGCCGCGCCGACGCTTCAGCGCCCGAGTGATGGCGCTCTTGCCATCACGCGACCAGCAGTACTATCCACCGCAAGCACCCCTTCCCAGCCATTGCCCTACGCCATGAGTTTCCTGATCTGGCTCATCTTTCGCCTGGTACCTGTCAGCGACCTCGAAAACAGCGGCAAAACCTGCTGTCACGTACTCCAACGAGCCCTTCGACGAAGATTCCTTGCTTTTGGTCGAGCTCGACCGTGACACTTCCTCCTCCCACGGAAACAGTGGAAGGTTCCACTTGGGTGGAAAATAGATACGCTCGCCCTTCTCGTCGACACAGATGCCTTCTTCAGGTATCACAGAAACTTGTGTCGTCTTGAGGATGCCTCCAATGCCAACCCAGTCTGTGATCTCTCGCAAGAGTTCGCGGTCTAGCTGCGCGTTGGCTGCCGCTGAAGTCTCGTTTCCACTCCCGTAAATGTATATGCTGGGCCTGTTGGGGTCGAGCATGCCGAGCGACTTGGCGAGTTTGGGCCTGTTCCAATCTTCGGATATCTCCTGTCTCTGTGCCGTCTGCTGTCTGATCTCGGCGATTGTCTTTCGTTCCTGGTTCGCTCCGCTCATCAGATATAGGTCTCTCTCCGGGTCGTTCCTCGTCAGTGGCACGTTCCTTGAGGCCTGCAGCTTCTGCGACTCCTTACGACCCATGAGTCTCGAGAAGCTACTCCTGTGACTGCTTGCAGTCTCCGGTCGAGGGGACTTGGTCAGCCTTCTCCGCTGCTTCCCCTTCCCGACCTCTAGCAATACTGGATCGAGGTGACCGACGGCATGACTTGGCTTGGTAGTAGCGTCAGCGTCTGGTGGGTATAATAGGTAAGGCATGTCAGTTAAGCTTGATCCTGGTATTAGCAAGAGTCCAAGCGCAGCACGAGTTACGATACTTAGATGACTCCAAGGGCGGCTCCTTATTCACCCGTACGGGTGAAGGGCCTGCAACACCCGCCATGATGACTTCCAAGAATGCGATCTCGAGCGTAAAGATAAAGATAAAGGGCACGATGCGCTATGGTGCTGGGGAGACGATGTATTCAGGTCGGTGACTAAGGAGTCCGACTCGTTAGCGGTAATGTGCTGCGTTACGCAAACCGAGGAAATTCATCGCCCACGGACGTCACGATGTCTACATCACAGACGATAACAAACGCACCATGACAGCTCAGCCACAAAAACCAATCATTATGCCGTTGCGAGTGTATTCAAAAGTCTTGTGAATGTGAAAAGCTGATATTGGTACTGGAGTAGTTGTACAATGATACTTCATGATCGTGTACACGTGTACATTCACCCTTTAGGTCCATAATCCGACCTTCACAACTTCATCTTTCCGTGTTGCTCACGACCGAAAAAAGGCCGCATGCTCCAGAAATCCTATGCATGCAGATAACCGTGATATCGAAATCAGATGTCGTGACTTTGCACCGTAAGTGTCTTGTAGCCGTGACACATAGGAAAGATGCAACATGCTTCAAAGAATGACACCTTCTACTCGGAGCCTATGATGAAGTCAGCTTAGCTATCATGAAGAGAGGCCGCTTTTTACGTACTTCGCTCATCATCCACCGAAGCCTTCAAGAGACGAGCAGACACCTAAGTGTGATACGCTGGCGGCGGCGTCACCTCGTTCCCCTCGCGCAGACGAGCAACCTCACCCTCAAGATCGCGAATCCGCCGCTGATGCGCCTCCATCAAGTCCTTGGCAGCCTCAAGCGTGGCTTCGTGCTTACGGACCTTGGCAGTCTGAATCTCCACCAACTGTTTAGCAGACTGACGGAAGGCTTCGTGGTTGTTGATCTGTTCCTCTTGCATCTCCACCGTCTGTACGGCCGATCGATGCAAGGCCTCGTGCGCGGCGTTCTCCTTCTCCTGGATCTCGCGACGGGACTTCTCGAATGCTAAGTCTACCTTGGTCTGGTCCAGGTCGTGGGTGACGCTGAGCACCTTGAGCTCGAGCTCGTGCTTTTCGGTGAGCAGCTTGACGGAAAGGGCCTGCTTCTCAGCGATGTGGCGGCGCTCAGATGCTGCGAGATGCTTGTGCATGTCGTTCTTGTGCTTGTAGGAGGAGACTACTGCCCAGACGGAGACGAGGGCTAGGAGGCTGATGGCGACAGGGCCGGGACGAGGGAGTGACAAGTCAGTCATAGTATTGTTCAAGATAGTTGACTAATCGAAGTATGAATGTTCGTTGCAGGATGTAATCTCTTCGTAGACCCGCAAAGTCTGATAGTGTTAGTATCTGGCTACGTGGAGCATGTCTTGGAACTTACAGTCGAAATCACGTACTTTAGGTTCTCGAGTTGATACCAGAGCTGTGGGTGGTTATATCTTGATCGGGACCCATCTTTAAATACATGTGCGAGTGCTAGCGGTCCTGGCACTTTCACGATAGCCATGGCGCGTGAAAAAGGCGCGTAACGCGTCACTCAGTATGGAACATGAAGCTAGGTAGAGTGCAACGCGACACTTCGATCGCTACTAGCTTTCACTTAAATCACATGATCGTATGAATTACGCCGAGAGATGTTGAAATAATTTCGTCCATTCGACATATGGACGGAGTGTACTACATGCAATTATTGGATTGCAGACTTCTACAGTACCGGACTTCTATACACAGCGCTATGAAGATATCCCGTAGATATACCCGAATCCGTTCTCGCGTGGTCCATGACAGAAGCTAGCAACAGTATGTGCGCGAGCTCGGAGACTTTATGGTCAAGAACCGCCTTCGAAAACCTAAAATAATATTAAGCAACATCTGCAATGGTTTATCTTAACTACTCGATCCAACGAAAGCCCAATCTAAACCCCGATAGAATATACTGGGCCCCGAGTGACTTCTATCTGAGTCAAGTACCGGCCCGCGTGAAGCTTGTCTCAAATCATATATTGCATGCACGACCATGATCATATAGCATCTACCGCGCCCATCTACTAACAGGACCTTTTCTCCACAAGGCCTGTTCCAGAGGACGCTCAGTTGACAACTCAGCTGTAAAATTTCCCGCTCATAATCCATGAGGCTGTCTGATCACCATCCCTGCATCGACTTCAAGAATTCCATCAAAGTTGGGAGATAATTTCAACCTTCAAACCGATCCATGCCCAGAATACGCCGAAAAGGGGAGTATGTACGCTATAAAGCGATGCAAACCTGAGAAAACCCACGAATGTTTCAATGCACTGGGCCACGTTGTCGGCGGTACTTCTTCTTATGCTACGTGCAGAGTCTCCTACACACAAGTGATCTCTACGGCCGCTTCCTGCGAGCCCGCACGTCTTTTTTTCTCCAACAGGAGAGTATGTTTCAATCGCCTGCTAGCTTCGATCAAGAGCGATGAAACAGCACAATCCTGGTTATGTACGCGTCCTGAACGAGTTGAGGGCAATCCAATGACCACTTATGTGTAGGACCCTTAACTGGGTCTTGTAGCTTGAATCCATATAGGTGTGCTGGACCAGTGGGATGTGGCATCTCCGATTCCGGAAGCTGGGCAGAGTGCGCCTGTTCACCTGCTTCCTGAGCCTGGACCGGCAATCCAGAAATCTAGCCTTTTTGGGGAGAAACAGGCGTAGGGTTGTGGACGAATTTGTGGCCACGTAGCATAGATGAGTGTGCAGATAGGGCAATCGAATCCCACGGAAGGATGTAGAATGACAGAACAGTTATCTTGCGGTAGATTTCAGCATTTTATGCCCGTTACTATACCTTGCAGTCCTGTCTGGCGTCATGAGGAAGCTACGTTCGACTCCGAAGACCGCATCGGTATCTGCTCGGGGGCCGTGGTCACTCGTAAGCGATCTTACTATTTGGATTCCACTGTCCAGAGGGTTTGTGGAGGCGCCGATCGAACAGCAGCTCCTGTTCAGCGAGCCTGGCTACTAAGGGACTGATGCCCATTATGCCGTCACTGTTTCCCCTGCCACAGAGCGTATAATCTATAGTACTCGAGCACTTGTTAACACTGAAAATGATCAATTTCACGTATGGCAAAGCGGCCAGATAGTGAGCATTAGAGGTACCCCGGGCTAAGAAAATTTGGGTGTGGGATCGGTCACGGTCACGCGATGGGCGTTTCTGGACGGAATAATCTCAGGCCTGTGGTTTGGGGAGATCCAGCTTGGCCGGTCGGGATTCTTTGTTGCCCGATAGCGGTTCAAGTGCTTCATGGCGCCGATGCTGTTTCACCGCCTCGCTGATAGCCCACTGACAAGTGATCTCTTATCAAACCGATGAGAACAACGGCCCTCACGGGATGTCGGTACATCCATGGATGATGAGAGACATATTCTTCCAATACTCGCATATATATGGGCAAGTCTGGGGAAATTAGAGCTCCACAAGAGAATTATGACGGGCGGTAAAGGGGCATCGAGACAATCACGGTGCGAAAGTGGTGGCGTGGCATAGTTGAAGCCGCAAGACTCCCAACAGCGAGAACGGATCTCTTCATTCCGTATCGGATGGTCACGATGATTTCTTACAGTCATATTAATCACCATGTTGTTGGGTGACAAAGTGGTCCGTACTTGCGCCAGTGTTTGATGTCCGGATTGGGAAATAGTTCCCATTCACGCCAGTGGCACTGAGGGGCAACAGTTTGAGATAACCTCATCGCGCTATCATCAGCCTCATCAACATGAACGATACGGACGCGTGATTCGTCGAATATCCTTGTTGTTCATCGATCATAGGCTCGTGGCTTCTAGATCTTTGTTGGGCCCCTGAGCTTCTGGTGGTGTTGATCACGATGCCAACTCCGATTCACCGGGTCCTTATCGCATGTGATAATAGCCGTCGCACTCGACATCTCGAAAGGTAATTACAGCCCGATCGCGTTCGCGCACCCCATGGCAAAGTCATACCAACGAAAGCGCATGGCCGCGCTCCCCTCACAATACAGTGGCGGATTGCTTTCCTAAATCAGAGCGCTCAAGCGATAGCGCTACACGTAATTGACCATCCTCCTGAATCGATATATATGTTCAGCAGCTGGCCCTACTCAGGTTTTTAGCTTCACATCTACCACTGCTTATCAACACAAGTCTTTGCTTCAACCGAGCAATATCTTCGTAATATCACACATCATGGTTGGATCACTACTGGGCTACCTTGGCTTCGGTGGCAACCGTGCCGCTGTCGCGCCCCAAACAAAGGCTGTACCGACGAAGGTACAGTCAGTGCGCGCTCTGCCAGCGAATTGGTACACATCTGAGGAGATGTACCAGCTTGAGCGACGTGCTATCTTCTCACGTCGATGGCTTCTTATGACTCACAACTCGAGGCTTCGCAAGTCTGGAGATTGGCTACACTATGACATCGCCAACTACGATGTTGTCATCCACAAGGACTCCGCTGGCGAGATCCAAGCCATTCATGGTGTCGATGCTCTTGACATCGCCAAATCCGACTCTTCAAAATACATCCACGTGCGCATCGACAGGAACGGATTCATCTGGCTCAACCTAGACCCCAACGAAAAGCCAGAGGTATCATGGGAGGACCGATTTGACCACATCGACGAGCAGACCCGATTTGATCAGTTCGACTTTGACGACTACGAATTTGACCACACCTGGAATATCGTCGGCCCCTTCAATTGGAAGATCCTCGCAGATAACTTCAACGAGTGCTACCACTGCGCAACAACACACCCCGATCTCACAACAGGCCTGATCGACCTCGAGTCGTACGACGTCTACTGCGATCCGAAGGGCGACCACATCCAGCACAAGCCCAATACACCCGAAGACTTCAAGGCTCTCGGACAGGAGATCTGCTCCACATACTGCTTCCCCAATGTCTCCTTTACTGTCACAAAACACTTCCTCTTCATCCAGAAATTCATGCCCAAATCCCCCAAGGAAAGCATGATGTACTACGAGGTGTGGCGTAACAAGCACTCTTCTGAGGAGGACTTCCTGCTCATCAGCGACACCTACAAGCGCGTTATGTGCGAGGACAAGGTCCTGTGCGAGCGATCACAGAAGAATATCGAGGCGGGAATTTTCGTCAACGGTGAGCTTCACCCACAGAAGGAGAAGGGCCCTATCTTCTTCCAGAAGAGGTGTCGCGAAGTGGTGGTCGAGCACGCCACTCGCGAGAGACGCGAGGGAAGGAAAATCGGACTTCAATTTTAGCGTGTTTCCTTTTTGGCATCTCATTGGCGTTTTATTAGCGACATAGCAACGATCAGAGAAGAGCCGGGATAGAAAGCCTTCGATCATTATGATATTTCCCCATCATGTAGTCTTGTTTTAGCCTGATCTAATTCACTGATCATTTCCGAAAGCTCTCCGCCCAATACTAGTGTACTGTTCTCAAACATTCATTTTCTCAAGTGCTTTCATCCCATACGAAGTGTGGGATTCGGTAGCGTACTTGCAGTCGAGGACATGGTGAACACTTCAGCAACCCGGTCTCTTTGCTGCTTTTGTCGTTTTTATCGTTAGCGGAGGAGCGCTGGGATGGCGCGAACATGAGAAACGCTCAATGAGTGCTGCCATGGCTAATGATGTTGTGGCCTTTGTAACACTGGATAGTAGATCCTTCAAAGAAAAGCAATCAGATAGCAAGTGAGAATAGCGGATATGGAGGATTGAGACACGATATTGGTGTACTGTTGGACACCTAGGGCATACGTGCTACCTGGATATGCGGCGCAGCATGCACCATCGTAGGGACGACATAGCTGAGGACTCGTACATGCGCCTTCTCCGAAACGAGACGTACATAGATGATATGTATGCGCTATACGCCAGGCAATTCTCTCATCTTCCATGGGCTCCTGGTAAGGTTAGGTAGAGATATCCTCACAGGTGTTATAGTGCACGTTCACCGCGCTAGCCGGCTCTAGCCTAGCACGGTCTGCAAGAAGTCGCTTCCAGATTAGGAAGAGCATTCGGAGGCTGCGTTTGCTGCAGAGAAACAGCAGACCCGATTTCAAACACTCACTTGTAGTGATCACTTGTAGTGAGACTGATTTATCCAGAATCCTGATTCTGCACCGTAAACTCTGCACAAGAGGCATACCCCCGGCTTCAAAGTAACGCTGCTACCGACACCATCGAATCCTACCACCTACCACCAAGGATACACACACGGGAGCACTGCATCATTCGCCGCGCGTCACTCCCACCACATTCCCATACCTCCCCTTCGCCGACCAATATGGGTTCCATAGTCCTTCCCCACCTACGCTCTGGCTGGCACGTCGACCAAGCCATCCTCTCGGAGTCGTGCCGCGTCGTCGTCCTCCGCTTCGGCAAAGCTGGATCAGCATCCGTCATGCAGATGGACGAGCACCTCTACAAGATCGCCGACAAGATCAAGAAATTCGCGTCTGTCTACGTCGTTGACAACACCGAGGTGCCAGATTTCAATGCCATGTATGAGATCTATGATGAGTGTACGGTTATGTTCTTCTGGCGGTGAGTAATTTTCATGAGGGAGGGGGAAGAAGGAAGCGGAGGCTAATGGGGAAACAATAGGAACAAACACATCCAAGTGGACTTCGGCACGGGGAACAACAACAAGATCAACTTCGCGATCTCCAGCAAGGACGAGCTGATTGATATAATCGAGACAGTGTACCGGGGTGCGAGCAAGGGCAAGGGCCTCGTGGTGTCGCCAAAGGACTACTCGACCAAATGGCTGTACTGAGGTTAGTATGGAGAGGGGCAAACGTTTGTCGAAGAACTTGCTGTAGCAAGAAGTGGCATGATACTGACGATGTTATGAACGATGAGAAGCTAGGGAGATGATGGTTGAGCGTCCGAGTGAAATGCAGAGAGTGGAAGTGGAAAGGGCCGTAACTCGCGGCCGCACTGCAAAGCTATGTGCACTTGGCCTGTATAATTCATCATCCCGTCGAACGATACCTTCCCCATGGTACCCTTTCAATGCAAAATGCATGTTCAAACATCTACATGCCCCCCTGCCCCCCGAATGCCTAGCTCCAACAAGTGGTGTCATAGACAGCTTACAGAATGAAATTCATCACTTCTTCAACGCCGTGCGCCATACCCTCCGTCCTTCTTCAAATGCTCATCCATGCAACGCTAAAAACCAGAACACTTGCAAGCCAAGCGAAGCAAGCCGAAGCCCTTACAGAATTCAGGCAACAACAGCACTTGAGTGCGCCTATTCTATCATTTCGACGAGCTGAAGAAATGATGCTTCTTTTTCTTCTTCTCCTTTTCTTCCTTGCCATGTTTCCCTGCCGGAGCCGGCGGCGGCGTAGGCTGCCCTTGTGGCCGGGCGTTCAGCGACATACCCGCCATACCAGCGGTGGGCGGCGCACTACTGCCACCAGGCCGCGATGGGAGACCGCCCGGAATGTTGGGTCTCGAGCCGGGGACGCCAGGCTTGGCATTTGCCGGAGGCGGTGCGGGCTTGGGGGGCTCTGGCTTCTCGAACAAATGCGCCGGTGCTTTTGGTGGAGGCTGGTCCATCGGTAACCGTAAATTTCGGCGGCTCTGGCTAAGGTCGCCTATTTGCCGGAGGTAGAGGCCAGGGTTCATCATGTGCGATGTGACAAGGAAAACATCTCTCGATGTCTTCTCAGAGATCTCGTAGCACGCGCGTGCCTCTGAGTATGTTGCTCCTCCTGCTATGAATACGATGATGCGCTGGCGGGGCTCCACACTTGATAACTTTGATTTCGCCCATGTGGGCTTTGCAGAGCGCAAGGAGGATGCGGGTGTAAGTTCGGCCATACCGGAGTCCTCGGGGCTCCCTTTGGTATACGGGAAGATATCCTGAGGAACGCGGCCGAGGATATGCTCTTCTAGTACGTCTTTGAGAACGGGTTCGTAGCGGGATAGGGCGTATTCCTCCGCGTTGGCCGGTGCAATGGTCTTGCGCGGGAACAAAGGGGGATTTGGTTCGCGCTTGTCCTTTAAGCCTCTGGCTATATGTGCGCCTAGATAATCGAGATTCCTAACGACGTCGCCATCTTGCGGAGGCAACTGTGCATGGAGAAGTAATCTCGTGAGATCAGCTGGGAGAATGCCATCCCGGTACAAAACGTAAAGTGCAATCAAACGAAGGCGGTCACCCGGTGTAACTGCGTCTTCGTCCAAAGTGCGAATAACTTGATCAGCCATATTTTTAGCTTTTTTGTACTCTTCGTCAAGTCCAGTAGCCAGACACTACGAAGTGTTAGCGCGTAACAAATACGAATTCGATCGAATCCCCTCACTTGTTCTACCGAGGCCAGGTCAGGGAGCTTTTGTTTCTGGAAGATCTCCATACATTCTTGTGCCATGCTGATGTTGAGCGAGTAAGCCTCTTTCGTCTGTTGGAATTGAGGAAGACCGGCCATCATATCCTTGATCGCATTTAGACCGTTCATTCCCCCAGCATTCGCTGCATCCTGATTGGTGAAGTGAGGGTTGTCGGCGATGAACTTCTGAAAATCGGAGATCAATCTGTCAATGGTGTCCTTCATGTGTCGGTGGCGGTACTCGACCCAGATCTTGTCTTTGTCACTAATTTCCATATCCTTCTCCTCTTCGCCGTTCTCATCGGCAAGCACAGTTCTATATACGATCTTATCCCCCTCTTGCAGACGTAGAAGGTCGTGTACCATCGCCTGATATGTGAACTCGTGAAGAAGCGGTGCAAAGAGATCCATAGAGCGGTCGGTGATGTAAAGAACACCGCGTGGGCGGTTTGACGGAGGAGGAAAGTCGGGATTGAATTGTGCGTACATGTCGAGCTTCTCTTGGGCAAATTTAGCTAGGTGTGAGCAGAGAACGCTGGCTTCATGGGTCGGGACACGCGGTCGGTAGTAGCGAATGATGGGGTACTCGCCCAGCGCGACACAAACTCCAACGATCTACATACGCATAAGTATAGAGGTGCAATACTGTGGAAGTCATACCTTCTCAGCCACTTCCTCCATATGGTGTCTGACGAGATTGTTGCATTCCGGGTGAAAGAGTATAGGGAAACTCCAGGGGTTCTTGAAAGTCACGAGATGCGACTCGCGCGGGTGGAAGTCAAGATGCAGGACCTTGAAAGAGCGGATCTGCTGTTGAGCCATCTGGGAGCGTTCCAAGCGCTCTCTAAGCGGTCCCGCGGGCACTGTTCCTAGTCAATGCGTCTCCCACAGCTATGTTACGGTGCGATCATACGAGTGGTCCATATTAGGAATGCCCCTTTGTATCTTCGGCGTTCGAAGTCTGCCATGATGCAGTCTATTATATGCGGTTTCGGAGTGAGGAAGTAAACAGCATCGGTATCGGGCTGCGCCTGGCGCCTGTCTTCGATGCGCTCGATGTCTATAACCCTTCAGCACTTGCCCTTTGCAGTCGAGCCCGAGCGTACTAGTAATATTGGAGTCGAGAATGTCATCTTCTTTCACCACATTGTCGATGAGCTTGCGGCTCTCCTCGTCTGTGATCAGGACCTTCCACTGCGGGGAATCAGCATTGGTCGCGCAGAAGGAGCTGGACGCATACGTCTCCACGGGTGGTATTGCGGATGGTGTTGAGGATTACTACGAGGCGCGTTAGTAGTGCAAGTATGTATGTCTTGGATTGCAAGGGCGTCGTACAGTCCCGCTGGATGTCAATGAGTGAGACACCCATGACAATGATGGCGGGGTTGCGACAGCTGCCGCTGCGCAATTACGAGACGTTCGGGGGCTTGACGAGCTGCAGAAGGAGTTAACAGAGTGCGCGGGGTAAACAATTGAGAGGGCGGCAGCGCAAGAAGGGTGCAAAGAGCGAACGGCCGCTATGGAGCGTCGTGGAGGCTGTCGTGTCTCGAGGTGGTCGGCGGGCGGTGGACCCCCGAAACAGCTGATGCGCTTGGCCCCAGGACTTCGACCATTTTTCTGGCATTGACGTCGAAATTCTGAGAGAGTCTAACAACACGCGCATTGCTGTCCATTCTCGAATGCGCGTCGTTTCCTGAAGCCATTACTATTTCTACTCGCGCCCAGCTGGAATGCCTACGCTGGTCTCCCGGCGTACCTCGCTGTGTCTCTTCTGCGAATTCGCCGCCCGAACGCGCCTGCAGCCACAGCGCCTCCTTCCACGCACCCAGGTCGCCCATCGCGCTACTACCGGAGGAGGAGAGAAGAATTCGCGTAGGGAAAAGGGTGTATTCGCCCGTATATCAGGAGGGGAACGACTGGGCTACAGAGGAAGGGTCGACAAAGATGGCAGTCCAGGCTATCCAGACTTCTTCCGGACGGTGCGCAATCAGATGGAGAAGCTGAGGGACGACCTCAACAAGCCCGGTTTCCTCCAGAGCTTGCACATGGACCGCGGGACCTTCGACAGCGAGTGGGAGACCTTCGAGCGCTCTGTAAGTCTTTGGATCAAACGAGCGTCGCCCGAATTGATCAACCTGGCCCGAGGTGGGTTCAAAAACAAAAAGAGCAAGGCCTTGGAGAGCCGGCTGCGGTACCTGTTCTATGCCCAAGTCTACGGCGGACGCTTCACAAAGGCCGAGCAGGAGAACCAGAAGCAAGTGGCCGACCTTCGATACCCTGCCGAGTGGTATCCCGCAACGAGAGAAATACGGCGGACAGTACATCTCCACGTCGGTCCAACGAATTCGGGAAAGACCTACCATGCGCTTAAGCGATTAGAAGCGGCGGATCGTGGCATATACCTGGGCCCGCTTCGACTGCTCGCTCACGAAGTCTATACGCGCTTGAATGCAAAAGGAAAGGCCTGCGCATTGGTGACGGGAGAAGAACAGCGATTGCCTGACGGCGACGTTAAGATGTGGAGTTGTACAGTCGAGATGGCTCCTCTCAACACAGCGCTCGATGTCGCCGTCATTGACGAAATCCAAATGATTAACCACAACGAACGGGGATGGGCGTGGACATCGGCGTTTCTGGGTGTTCAAGCACGCGAGGTCCATCTCTGTGGCGAAGCACGAACGGTACCCATCATCAAGGAGTTGTGCGCCCTCGTGGGCGACAAAGTTGAGGTCCACGAATATGAGCGTCTGACTCCGCTCGAAGTAGCCAAAAATAGCTTGAAAGGCAACCTGGGCAATCTCGAAAAGGGCGACTGTATTGTTGCCTTCTCTGTACTGGGCCTTCATGCGCTGCGGAGAGAGGTGGAGATGAAGACAGGGAAGAAATGCGCCATCGTCTACGGCAGTCTTCCGCCCGAAACAAGAGCCCAGCAAGCTCGTCTTTTCAACGATCCGGAAAACGACTACGATTTCTTGGTGGCCAGCGATGCCATAGGCATGGGGCTGAATCTGAGTATCAAGCGTGTCATCTTCGAATCCACCATGAAGAACAACGGTTCGGACTTGGTACCATTGAAGATCTCTGAAGTCAAGCAGATTGGCGGCCGTGCTGGTCGGTACCGCTCTGCACACCAAGCTGTCACCGCGGACATGAATGTTAAGTCGGATTCCGCAGTTGACCCAGTGGTAGGTTTAGATGATGTTAAGGGAGACATCGTGGAGGAGAAGGCCGTCGCGCCACCTGCAGCTGTAGGGCTTGTCACCACGTTGGACCGCTTGGATTTTGACTATCTCGCATCAGCCATGAAACGTGAGCCCGAGCCAATCGAAACAGCAGGCCTCTCCCCTCCCTCGCAGATAGTGGAACGCTTTGCCAGCTACTTCCCTCCCGGTACGCCTTTCAGCTACATCATGCTCCGCCTCAACGAGATCTCTGTCGTCCATCCACGCTTCCACCTCTGTGCCCTTAAAGACCAGCTTGCGATAGCAGACGTTATTCACACAGTAAAGAATCTATCCATTGCAGACCGTATCATGATCTGTGCGACTCCATCAAACATGCGGGATGAGGGGGAACGCAACTTCCTCCGCGCACTCGGCGAGTGTATCGCAGACAACAAATCCGGTGAGCTCCTCGATCTGCCCAACCTTCCTCTCGAAGTTCTAGACCAGGAACCCACCGCCGAACGCAAATATCTGTACAGTCTTGAGCAGCTACACAAGATGATCGTGGCGTACATGTGGCTTAGCTACCGCTTCCCGCATGTTTTCACCACTCGGACCCTAGCCAACCATGTGAAGCAAATTACTGAAGACGCTATTGAGCGCACGCTGATGCAGTTTTCGTGGTCGGATGTTAGAAACAAGCGCAAACAAAAGAGGGAGGAGGCTATGCGGGAACTACAAGAACAGGAGAAGGCGGCTGCGGAGGAGAGGAAAAATATCGGAATTGATCTGCCGGAAGAGGCACGTCAGATTCTCGGTGACAAGAGGTCATTCGATGACTCCGAAGCCCCGATTGACGACGAGGGCGAGTATCACCCCGAGGAGCTTGATGATCTGGAACCCACACCGGCAGTGGAGCAGCAGCGCACGCAGTTGACGCGGAAAGATTCTGACAACCGTCAAGGCCAGACAGCTCCCGCTGTTTCTGCATCTGATGCACCGCAGCCGAGGCTGTGATAGTTTTGATAATATTAATGTACCATACAGCATGAAAGAAGCACATAGATTTGAGCATCCCGGCGTTGTAGATACCATGTCACATTGTACACCATATTCGGCGGGAAGACAAAGAGCATTTGCATATAGAATAGTCTACCACGGAATGTAAATTACATCTTCCTTTCGCTCACGACATGCACTCCAGGAAGTACAAGCAGCTTTATGACGTGAAGCTTGGCTATAGATTATGGTGGCGGAGATGGGATGCCTACGAGAATGTATCTGCCAGGCTGCAACGAAAATACCGCGACATTAATGCCATCAGACTATTTCAAGAAGACTGTGAGCGCTCCTATGCACGTAAGGGCATATAGGGGTGAATTGCGACCAACACGTGAGGCTTGTCCTCAAGGGGATTAGTGAAATGAGCGTGCACCAGTGTGGGCAAATCCAAAGAGCCGGTGCATCCGAAGCGCCCATCGTCACCAACCCCGAGCTCTTCCTCGTCGCAGTCTCACCACCGCAACCCACAACACCGCGCACCAGTCTCGACACAATATACTTACCTTCTCGACGACCCTGAAAACTAGAGGCTTTGCGATCGCAAAGCTCGGTCTATCGCCGCGATGGCGTCCTCACAGCTCTTTGAGCTCCCTCGGCCAAAGGTATGAAAATGGGACCCCGATTTTCTTCACGCGATCGCCGCCTGAGGTTATACAGCACTAACATACGCCAGAATTTCTTCCAAAAGATGTCGCTAAGAACGGGCGCGGAAATAATCACCTACCTTCAGGTCATCAACAAAGTCTCCGGGTTATACGGGCTGCTTGCCCTCCTGACAGGCGCCGCCATCGACGGGTGGCAGCTGTCTATGTACCTCTACTCAACTATCGTGCTCGTCGCAACCGTCTATCTCTACAAGCATATCCGCCTCCAGTCGTCCTTCGAAAGCCTCCTGCTTGCGCACCTTTACGCGCTCGACTCAGTGGTCAATGCGCTTTATACCGCCTTCTTTGGTTTTATTTGGTTCTACACGCTCGCAAACCACCCCGACGGCGGCGACAACTCGATTGCACCCGGCATACCAGATAACGCAGGCTTCACGAACCCGAAATTCAACGTCAGCGAGGTCAATGTTGTTGCAGAACCCGCTGGTGGACTGAAGGCTGGTCAGGATGCCGTGGCTGTTGGACAAGGTACGCCCGGATCGGCCCCGGGGCTCGGAGGCGCCGTCTTCCAGACCAGCAGCATTATGAGCATTTCGCTCATCGCAGGCTTCTGGGCGCTCCGCGTCTACTTCGTCTTTGTCATGCTCGCGTTTGCGCGCCAGTGCCTGCGCCAACACATTGCTGCTAATGCTTCCACTGCTGGCTGGTACAACAATGATACTCCACAAACCTCTCAGAACCTTGCAGAGAACCCTTTTCAGGAGGGTAAAGAGGCAGGCTATGGGTGGAAGGGTAAGCTTGGAAGGATCATGCTGAGCGGTGCGCCCCTGTACTGGCTTGGATCGAGCGCGGATGAGGATGAATCGTGGATGCGTGGTGTTGGTGGCAAGTTCAACAGGAAGGGCGCTTCGGCGGGAGAGCCAATAGGCTTGGGCGAACGAGAGCGCAGGAGAAGAAGTGGGACTGGTCCACCTGCTCCGCCAAGGGAAATGAGGCCTCCACCTCTTGCCGACTTGCAAGAGGTACGGTGATCTGACGAAGGACGTACGACGAAGACCCTTACGTCCCCGTCGGCTCATGCTAATAGCATTTGTCTTGGAAGTCAGTGGGAGGTTGTAATGCACGAATCCGGCGTTCAAGCGAAGTAACGTTAAAATTCGATAGACGACAGACATGTACAGTAGGGAGGGTTAGAGTACCAGGGCCGCAGTGCATGGCGCATCGTTGTCATTCTCCGTTCTATGTTTTGGGTACCTTTGTTGCAGCGCGCATAGCATACCACGGCGTTTTCCTACAATTTATATATGTTCTATTCGCTATGTAACCACCGCACTCCACTGATCCAGGAGGTTCTTGTTAAGACCTGCTTTCTGATGTTTCCGCTCGCACGCTATCACGTATGACCAGCCCTACACTCGGTACGAACGGCCGTACAGTAGGCAGTGCGGGGCTACGTCAACGCCACTAAGGCAGTAAGCCGACCGGTTGGACGATCCTTCTCCACAATACCTGCACTACGGAATGTCCAGTATGCAGGGCAAAATGGTCGAATGCCCCTCCACCCCTCCAACAGTTTCCAAACCAAAATCCTCTCTTGTACTTATAATAATCAACTATGACAGACACCTCATACCCCCGCCCCGACTGGCAACGCCCCTCCCTTAATTGGCACTCCCTAAACGGCCCATGGTCCTTCATCTTCGACGACAATGACGTCGGTCTCGCGCAAGGCTGGCACCTGCACGGCCTCCCCTCCGAAGTCTTTGTCGACCCTGCACTGACCAACACATCTTCTTCGAATCAGGAATCTGAAAGCATCACAGCTAAAATCGCAGGCGACACACAAGCCCTCATCAAAGGCAACGTGTTTAAATCCGACGGCGCTGGCAAGCATTCCAGAAAAAATATACAAGTCCCGTACGTGTGGCAATGTCCTGCATCTGGCATTGAGGAGAAGGGCGTGCATGAGGTGTTCTGGTATGAACGCACTATCTACGACCTCCGTACCCAGGAGCAAAAAGAAAGGGGAGACAAAGTGAGCCTGAGATTTGGGGCCGTGGATTACGAAGCCACGGTGTGGGCTGATGGGAATTTCGTTGGCGGCCATCGAGGCGGACATGTGCCATTTTCTATTGATGTCACGGATGCGTTTGCGAAAGGGGTAGGGGAGCACAGGTTCACGATTAGGGTGTACGACTCTGCGTATGATCTTACGCAGCCACGGGGCAAGCAGTATTGGGGTGCGCAGCCGGAGAGCATCTTTTATACGCCGAGTGGGGGGATTTGGCAAAGTGTGTGGCTTGAGGTGGTGCCGCGGGTGAGGATTGGAGATTCGAGTGATGGTACTGTGCTGCGCAGCGATGACATTGAGGGCGGGAAGCTCAAGGCTAGAGTGCGCATTTTGGACAGGCCGACCGGGTGGAAGTACTCTGTGTCGGCGCAGGTCAATCTGGGTAATTCTCTTCTCGGCCTGACGGAGAGATTTCAGCTACCGCGGGAGTCGGATTTTATCTCCTTCGAAGTGGACATGCGAGTTCCAGATGGTGTTGGTCTCGAACAACTAGACCAGGAAACACTTTCCGTGGCGCCGCTCAATAACCACCGCGCATGGCTCAAAGACGTAGCCCTCTGGTCTCCAGAACACCCCACCCTCTACGATGTCTCCTTCATCCTTTACGACCCATCTGGCGCTCAAGTAGACACCGTCTATACTAAAGTCGGTATGCGCAAAATCTCCTGGAACGACGGTGCCTTCCGCCTTAACAATCGCGCCTGCTTCCAAGCTCTCTTTCTAGACCAAGGGTACTGGCCCAACACGTTCATGACACCTCCATCTCCAGACGCTCTCAGGTTAGATATCGAGCTCAGCAAGAAAATGGGCTTCAACGGCTGCCGCAAACACCAAAAAGTCGAGGACCCTATCTTCCATTACTGGGCGGACCGGCTGGGCTTCCTCGTCTGGGGCGAGATGGCAAATGCCTACTCTTTCTCCTCACAGTACGTAGAGCGATTCGACCAAGAATGGCGCGAGGCCGTTCTGCGAGACATTAACCACCCTTCTGTAGTCGCATGGACCCCCGTTAACGAATCGTGGGCGTACACGGACCTGAAGCAAAATGTTGAGCAGAGAAATCACATCAGGAGTCTGTACTATGCGACAAAGGTTTTGGATCCAACGAGGCCGGTCAATGATAATTGTGGCTGGGAACATGTGAAGGGGGATTTGACCACTTTCCATGACTATTCCGATGGCGATAAGCTCACGAAGACGTGTAAGACAATTGAGGGAATACTCGCGCCCAAGGCAGATCGCCCTGTCTTCTTGTCCGCGATACCTGAGCAGAACGACGAGGGCTCTAAATATGATCCCTCCGCGCCAATCATATGCACGGAATTTGGCGGTATCAATATTGCGCAGCAGACTGGGACAGGGGAGCGCGATTGGGGTTACACTACTGCGAGTGATCCGAAAGATCTGTTGAAGAGGATCGAGACGATGATGAGGGGGATTGTGGAAGGTGGTCATATTTGTGGGTTCGTGTATACGCAGCTTACCGATATTGAGCAGGAGGTTAATGGTGTGTATACGTTGGAGAGGAAAGAGAAGCTAGGCGCTAGGGAAGTTAGGAGAATTGTCGAAGGGGTCATCCAGTACTACAATGAGCTGCAGGATTCTGGATTGGAAGGGAAACAATGAGAGTAACAAAGCCAGGCAGCAGAATCAGAAGAGTACAGCATTCTATTCAATATTGGCTAAGGACTCAACCGATTATCTACGTCATGTATCGACCAATGGCATAGTTCCTATCGAGTCACATAACATAGTCCGCATATCCTGAGCTTACGGCTGAACACACTCGACATCTCCAATGAAACGTCATTTCTCAATAGAGAAGGATAATGAATAATGTTTTCTTCTTTGAGGTCAGCATATCGTTCCCCAATCACGAAACTATGAGCAGAAAAGTGGATTTGTCGCCAAACAAGAGGTCCTCCGCAACTCCGCAACGCGCTCCGCAAGCCCTCCGCAGTCTGTCTTACCTCGAGCCTATCATTCGAAGTCTCTGCAACGATCGCAACCCAGGACGCTAGCTCCCTCTTAATTTCATATTCTGCACCAGCTTTAGATTTATAATCCATCTTTTCTCGTACTTGAGAACTCAAAAACCTCGTTCTCGCGAACTTCCGCACATTTCATTCACCTTCATCCCATCTCCTATCTCCACGGTCGCAGATATGTCCAGCTCTTCCACTAGTCTCACCGTCCTCATCACATCCGCAACCGGCACCCAAGGCACCGCCCTGGTGTCTGCCCTCACATCTCTCTCCTTGCCTATCTCGATCCGCGCCCTAGTCCGCGACCCCTCCTCCCCGAAATCTCTCGCCCTTCTCGGCCTTTCAAACGCACACACCTCAATCATCCTCACACAAGGCGACTTTTCCTCCCCCGCAAGCCTGTCCCGTGCCCTCGTGCCGGATGAAGATGGAAGGGTCGTGGACGCCGTGTTCTTGAACACAAATCCGACATTTGGCGACCCGGAAGAGGAGGTGAGGCATGCGAGGAGTGTGTTGGAGGCGGCGAGGGAGAAAGGGGTGAGGCATGTGGTGTATACCTCTGTGGTTGGGGTTGCGGATGCTGAAGTGCGGGAAAGGATTGGCGGAATGCCGGGATGGGTTAACGCTGAGGCAATGTCATTACTGGGCGCTGCGGATGGGCCTGGGATTGAGGCGGTGAAGAGGCGTTCGAAGTTACTGACTGTGGGGGAGAACAAAGTGGAAGGCGGGATAACGAGGGAGCTATTGAGGGGATATTTTGGCGCGAAGATGGGGATTGAGGGGTTGGTCAAGACATGGGGAGGTACTGGAACGGGAGAGGGCGAAAAGAAGACGTGGACCATCCTTCGTCCGGCGTGGTTTATGACTAATTTTCTGCCACCGGCAAATGCGAGTTACTGGCCTGAACTCTCTCCCTCCAATCCTGTCCTCCGCAGCGCCATCTCGCCAAACATGCGGATGATGCTGGTTGATCCGCAAGATATCGGGGCTGTGGCCGCACGGGCACTGCTATCACCCTTCGTACAGGACCTTACTCCTTCATTGGTGAAGAAGACGATCAACATAGGAAGTCAGGCACTCACACTTACGGAAGCCACACGTATCTTCTCCAAATCAGCGGGCGTCCAAGTCAAAGTGGAGTTTGTGGACGAGGCAGAAGCAGCAAGAGAAATACGAGAAGGCAATATCCAGCGAGATGCACAAGCTTGGTTCAAGACACTGCAGGAATGCTTCGAGCCGGGAGAGCTGTTTGAAATCATTAAGCGGGAGCCGAAGACTTTTGGGGAGTTTTTAGAGGGGAGGAAGGAGGAGCTGCAACGATTCTTTGAACAGTGACCGGAGAAGTCCCAGGAATGCTTCATTCTGCAATCCATGCGGGGGAAGGGGCTGATCGTCAATCTCATAATCTATGGTATGGCTTGTTATTCTGCGCACACAGTCCGCATCTCTCCTTTTGCCTCGTTCTAGCTAAACAACTGTCAATGTTGACTGGCTAAGGGTCAAACAGGACTAGAGACGATCGAGTTGATGAATTGAGGTAAAAATATTTGTTATGCTCCGCTTATTCGGGCTTTCTGGCCCAGACGACCTTGTAGTGGGTGTGCGCATTCACCGGATCTTTACTAAACTCTTCTTCGATAGCCTCCATGAGTGTTGACACACGCTCCTTCGGAACCGTTATATTCTCCGGCGGTAACGCTATGGCAATTAGCATAATCGGCATGCAAGGTCTAACTAACACGTACTTTTCACCGCCGCCAACACTTGACGCTTCGTTAAGAGAGCAGATCTCTTTCCAATCGCTTCCAGATTCTTGTCATCTCTTGTGCCGAAGTTGACTTCGATGATTTCCTCGTGGACATCGACAAGACCTAGCTCTTCGAACCAGCCCTTCGCACTTTCAGCCAATAAACTTGATCATGTCGCGAAGACAGATGCAGTAGTCCTGCCACGCGGGTCCATCTGTATCTGATATCCACTCCTGCAGGTCGACCAACTGGATCCAGCCCCCGGGCTTTACCATGTCAATAAGGCGTTGAACTAGTAGCCTGGTATCGGATTCGGAGCCTTCGACTGCGATAGCAAAGCGCTGGTGGACGAGGTCAAACTTTCCGGACCAGTCTTTGGGCCAAGGTTTGGTTGCGTCCTGCGCGTGGTAGCTGGTGTTGGATGGTGGGTTGGTAGGGAAGTAGGACGCTTCAACGTCGGTTCCGATAAAGGTGTGTTGCGGTCCAATCGATGCTTGGAGGTCGCGGAGCCAGACGCCTAGACCGATCAGAAACCTTGGAAGCTGTTCCATTATATGATTTCATGTACTTACCATCGGCGGTGCAACTGTTAAGGATCGTGCGAGGACCTGAAGAGAAATTGATTGATGCTAAGACCAATCGGTTGTTCAGGGCATCTTTCACAATTTGGTGTTGCAAAGTCAAACGCGTAATCTCGTCATTGCTGTGGAGGATGTATCCGGAGCGGTTACTTCCCGCTTCAGCTGTAGGGTCCACCATGGCGCAGGCTTTCAGGGTCGAAAGTTGCAATGGATTAAAATAGTGGAGATATGACATGTGGGCAGGGCAAGTCTTGCCTTTGTATAGTCGTCAGAATGTAAGCTTACCGTACCGCCATGCTTTACCCGGTCCAGTAGTGTGGACTGTGTCGCACGACAGCGTATTCTATGTGGCGTAGATTTATCTCTCCGAGAAACTAGCTACACAATAAGTCTCCATGAGTCGAATTTGCACGTCAACATCTATGCGACACGTGCTGCTTTCGACACATGTGATGAACCATCCTTGGCAAATTGGGCAAGGTGCAAAATCTACAAGAAAATATAATCTCATGTTGTACTCCACGGTGCCTTATCTCCCTCATGATAGTCGTGACCTATAGGTCTCCACATCAAAAATGCCCTCAAATCCTCACTTTGGTACTTCTTCCAGGTATCGCTGGGGTTATCGATTGTGAAATCAATGTCAATTTGTTCCACTCGCCCAAAGCCGGTCTTTTCATATACTGGAGCCGCATAGGGAACGGCTTCAACAACAGTTTCCACACCCAGCTCATCGGCTTTGCGGATGCCCCATTGGATGAGCATCGTTCCGACACCTTGACGACGATAGTCTGGATGAACCATCATCTGGCTAAGTACTAGAGGCTGTAAATCACGAAGCAAGCAAAGGACAGGAAAGGCACCTACCGACATGAGGTCTCGCGACTCTCTCAGCAACAAAACCCAGCAATCCTCCAATGAGTTTCTCAGCAAAGAGTCTCTCGTCAGATCCTTCAATGTGCCAATCTGCAACGAAGGGTTTCTTCGTGCCATTCGGATTTGGTGCATGCGCTCCTACGTTGAGCATCCAGCATGTCGCGCCAACCACATTCTCGGACTTGGTTTCGACCACTTTGGTCCAATGGCACGCCGGGTTGGCTTTCCACATGCGGACATGGCGCTCCTTTGATGATGTGACAGCCTCGTCAAGGCTAGTATGAATGGGATTGAAAAACTTGGAAAAGGTGTTGTATGGATCTTGAAAAGCTTTGAAGTGAATCGGCCAGATGGCATCAAATTCGCTTTCCAAGGTAACTTCGGAAAGTTGAAAGCTCATTTTGGATGCAACTCCTGAAAATCCAGAGATGAAGTATCCGTTACTCTGAAAAGATTGTTCTCTCGAGGGTAGGTAAGGGGGCGACTGTGCCGCAAACGTGCACGGAGGGACAAGGAGCTGAGTCGGACGCGAGCGCATGCAATTTCCACCAGGCTGCAGCGAAAGCCACAGCTCAGATCTTCATTTCTGGTGCTCACGATTGGCAAACGCTTCGTGTATCACGTCGATATGGCGTGTGTGCTGAATGTAATGCGTGTTTGTTCTGGCAGGAGGGATTGATCTAATGTTCACATGGTGTGAGCGTAAAAGCCTTTTGGGAGATGCGTGCATCCAACGGAAGCGCTAGTCTTATTGACTGGTTGGCCATACACAGTGGCGTACGATGACGCACGTGTGCTACATCTGAGTTTGCGCTTGCGTTTTACAATATTTGTGTTGCCAAGGGAGGCAATTCGCATAGAGGGATATCAATCACTGTCAGTGGTATTACAAGATTTCCGTTCATGCTCCGCAAATTATCCTGATCCTCGCATACTCAGGCTGCACAGGTGAATCGATGGTTGTGAAGATCCAAACATAAAGAGCCAGAACAACAATTCGACACGTGTAACATAGCTGTCTACAGTTACGCATGATGAGGCCAGTGGAAGTACTCATCATTTATCAGCGTGAACCAAAAAGCATGTTCGCCCGAGTACTAGCCAAAAAATCCAGTAAGCCACAGTACTAAAGCATGAGTTGACAATACATCTCCACCATACACAAAAAAGACATGATTCCGTAGCCGTACACTCGGACGTGGTAGGAGATCTGGACGTCTCCTCGACTCAATAGCTGGTCCGGCGTCTCCATCTGGCAGCCCCTACAACTCGTCGTCACTATCGGACGTAATCGACTTGATTTCCCAACCCTCAATCTCCGATTGTATGAGCTGAATTCCACCGGCGCTCTCCTGATCGACCGTTTCGATAATATTGGAGGTGGATGGTTGGGCCAGATGCTTGGCGCTATCTTGGGTGTCCTTGCAGTGGCTATCAGAGGCGAGCACAGGGGAGCGGTCTCCTGGGAATTCTGGGAAGTATTTGAAGGTACTCTTAGAGCTAACGACAGAGAATGTGGCGGGCTCGCTGATCCCAACAGTTGATAGATCCTGCTTGGAAGAGTTCTCAGTCATCCCAGTCGATCGGCCATTCTTGAACGGGCTGCCGACCGGGCCAGTCTTCAAAGCGGTGGAATTGTCGTCGAAGCTAACTCCTGGATTGCTCGTGATCCTGGGGGCTGCGGCCGGGCTGCTAGTCGTAACAGTCGGGGCATGCGTCTTTAAAGCATCCTGGAACTTCTTGAGAAAGTATGCCGTAAGTGCTTCTTCACCATGGGGGAGAGGCGGAGAAGCAGGGGCGAAGGGTTCGGCACCTGCAGAGAGGGTCGATGCTTCCGAATCCTTGACCACGGGCGTTGGAGGGAGAGCATCCAAGACAGGCTGAGCAAATCGGCTTCTAGCCAGACCGGTAGGCTTCGATGTTTTTTCCTGCATCGTCATAGATGCGAATCGGCTACTAATCATACCGGGGGAAGGTTGAATCTCTTTCGGTGATTCGATTGGACCGGATCCTAGTGACGTGACAGACCGAGCATTCGTCCACTTGCCGCTGGTGACCTTTGCTCCGCCGTCTTGAGGGATAGAAGAGATGCCGGGCGCGGTGGAATGCGTGGGACCACTCGAGAACGCAGACTCCTTCGCATTGAAAGTGGAAGGAGCGTCCTTGAGTCGGCCAGTGTTTCGGTCGTACTTGCCCATGAAGTTTCCATGCTTCGACACCGAGCTCTTGCACCGCTTCATGTGCTCTGCATAGAACTCGGATTTGTTGCCGGTGTAATCTTTGCCGCAATTTGTGCAGAAGAAAGGTGCCGGCTGCTGTGCCGGCTGACGCGCGCTGCGATCGACATTTGACTGTGAGTCTTGAGACGCTACAAGAGTTTTAGCAGCGAAACATTAATGGTAGAGGAGATTGGAATTACCTGTAGGGTCCGAAGCTGCGCCGAGTGCCTCGTTTTTCGCTGGGCTCACGACGTCTTCAGCAGCCGTTGGGCTGGGTGCGTAGATGCTACGATACATATTTCCACCCACGATGGGTTAGTATAGCCTTTGAACGTTCAAATGAAGTAGTATTTGCTCACCTTGATCGTGCTGTGATTGTGGGGTCGTGCTGATGCTACTTGGTTTCGTGGGCTTGTTCTTGGTGCAACTGATACGCGTCTTTCAGTTTACCTGAGCGAGGTAGCGGTGGTCGGTGAGGTTATCGGAGCCGGGGGACCTTTCTAGCCCTGATTTGGGCAGGACATGACGCACGAGCCACCAGTGTAAAGCTATGGCCTGCGCAGCTGTGGCCAACATCACGTGACTTAGATGTCTCCGCAAGGTCTCCTGAGGGTTGAATAGGAATAAAAAAAAAATCAAAAAAATCCATCTGTTCTCTTAGGCATTAGGAATTGCGCCTCCAAGCCTTGAATACAGGTTCAAAGGCATTTTAGATTAACTATGAACATTAATCACTTACAAGGATCCTTTCAGACACGTGTGGCAGTCAAAAATGTAATCCGAGATCGCGGGTAGATTTGTGTTTCCACCGTTGCGCATACCTTCCGACCAGCTATCTGAATATAGGTACTCAGCGGGTAAGTCAAACTTCACTTGAGTAAAGCTCATCATATGTTCAGAATGAGTACTCAAGATATGCAGCTCCCATAGTGTGAATCTCATCTACCCAAACATAACGTATGAATTGAATATGTTCATGTAGTATACTCCCTGTCCTCCTACTGGCAGTATATACTGTCTCTGGCGCTGGCGGAGAACGGTCAAGATAGTGAAATGAAGCTTTTTAATTCAAGACTCTTTGACATTTCAACTTCACTAATGGATACCTTTCAAAACATACAACCATCATGTTGGGATGATCCCTGCAAATTGTATTCGAGACTGGATGACTAAACCCGACATGCGCATACACACGGAGGAAGAGCCCCATGATCAGATATGAACCGCATTCACCGAAACCTCCTTCTCGAATAATAAACCCGGTCCCGTGAAAATCAAAAGGATGCCTTCGAGTCGAACATAGCTGACTCTACATGAACCTCCGAATCCACCATTTCGCCTCATACTTGCCTTGTACGTATCACATCAACGTAGGAATCCAGAAGAGATGCCGAAATCGAACATGTGAAGGCATACGAGACGCCTACTACTCGGCGGACTTCGTACCGGCAGACTTGGGAGAGTGACCAGGGGCGCGGCGGGTCAAGCAGTAGTCCGCACTCTCAGGGCGCCGCGTGATGGGACCGTCCAGGTCGTGCGAAGTGGACAAACCAGCCCGGACGTTTGGCATGTGCGGCTCAGGCAAAGAAGCAACGGCAGCGTCCGGACCTTTGCAATTCTTGTAGTGATCCCAGGAGTAGTTCAAGGCCAAGTGTTTGCGACATTTGGGGCAGAAGAAGGGACTATCGTAACGATTAGTGTAAGGGTTCCGGAGACCAAACACGCGTGGGGCAGGCGCGACAGCCAAGGAGTCGATCGGCGGCTTGTTTGAGCCGGCGTTCGAGTCATGGCTAGGGTTGAATGATCGAGCGTCAGGGTCCATGGTCGTCGAGGACCGAGCACGCGCAGAGGGAGGGGCATCTAGACATCATGAGAAAGATCATGGACGGCGGTTGCGGAGAGTTCATACCTTCTGTCCGAAGAGTAGCCGTCACGTCGTATGGTGACGGTGGGAAGGCATCATTGGCTCGTACGTACTGGGCAACCTGAGCGGAAGATAGCATCTTGGCCCAGATGTGAGCATAGCCGAGTCCGCGGGAACGATCACCGAGATACTGCGCTTCGAGCAAAGCTACCTCGTCAACATCCTTAGCCTTTTGCATCTCTTGCTCATTGACCATGCGCTGGAAATCAGGGCCTCCAATTTGCAAGTAGTGTGCACGCTGTGTCTGCAAAGCCCGCACTTTGTCTTGCTCTTCGTTCTTCATCAGACTCTCGAGCCACTCGATCTTGAGATTGGCGTCCTCTAGGTTGACTTTGAGTGTGTCATTCTCACGGCGAATCCCTTGCGTGACCTTGTTCAAATGTTAATAATTGATATCAATTTCCTGTTGTTCGCTTATATACACGGTACTTACCTGGCCAACGATCGTCTTGATGATATCTTCGATCCCTCCAGTCTGAGTGATCGCGACCTTGATGACTTGATCCACCCGGCTGTCCATCGTGATTGATCTCTGTAAAATTCCTTAGGTTCCAGGCTTTAAATGGATCAGTGCGATTGTACGTACTCGGAAGAACCTTCTAACGTGCAGCTTCGAAAATTCTCTGCTAGGGGTGATAATCTCTAGCTGTACGTTTTAAGGGGCTGGGAGAAAGAGGGTGCTCTTATACTCGAGAATGCGCCTGCTTTAAGAGAAGGTTGATATCTAGCCGCCAAGCATGGCGGTAGCTTCCCGTGATCAGTGATCTGTGCTGGTTTAATCAGGTGAGTGACTCAATTGGGTAAGCTAATTCCGAGGGCTTGGGTAACTTTCAACCCGCAAAGCGCATGGTGACCGAGTCATCCTCAAAGTCTAGGTTAACTCGACGTATGGAAAGACCTGAGGGGTACATCCTTGGAATCAATTTGTCTGGCTTGACGATGTCACGTTGTTAATTTTGGAAAGAGATGCCGACCTACGTTAATTTCCTAACACGGGGGCTCCAGGTTAGCGTATAATGAGATGCAAGTATTGAAACCCCGTCTTACAATGTACTAAAGCTAGGCAATGTCCTAGATATTCGATCAAACGGCGGGGTCATTCGTGTATCAAAGGCCGGAGGTTGCTCACCACAAACATCGCTAATGTTGACGCTGTGCCTCGAGTAATGCGCAAGAAAACAAATTATTAGGATCGTTGTCAGTCATAGTTCAGCAACGTCTTTGCCCAATTGAAGTATACCCTGAGTCATTGCAACAGATCGCGTGTCTTGAATGTATGTTGATGGAGTAATAAGTTCCTGGAAGTTTCCGGCCACTTTTGGGGTCCAGATGTGGTTGACTTATGTCCTTACTCAAGTTCCATACTGTTTGACGACCATTAAACCACTATTTAGGAGTATGAGCCACAATGTGGATGCGCAAATACAGAAGAAACTACGTACATGTCCACAGATAGATGCGAGCAACCCTTCGCAAACCTATGACCGCACAGCACAGTCTAAGTGGCGTGCATCTAGCAAAATACGAAGTCAGGATACCCTGGAGCTTGTGAGATAGATCTTGCATCCTTCATCACCTAGTGACCCCAGAAGCGGTGGGAAGATCGGGCAAAAATATCCCCGATCAATGAGCTCCTACAAACCCTTCTTCAATACCCCGTCTATCAGTGTGTCGAACTTCTCCGCCATCCTTTTCCCACCAATGGCGCTTGGCTCCACCCTCTCCACGTAGTCTTCCTTTTTTGAACCGTCAAGCACCTCGTACAGCTCGCATGGTATCACCTCGGTCCCCTCAACCTTGACTTTGTTTGTGCCCAACTCAAACATCATCCTGATGGCCGCTTGTAACTTCTCGGGATCCCTGCTGTAACCCAAGCATCTCAACGCCGTATCACCCCACCCTCGTTGGCCATACTTCGCTTCCAGCGGGAAGTATATCATGCAGAGGATAATCGCGCGAGGCTTGGTTTTCGAACAGATTCGGTTGATGTAGTTTTCAGTCTGGGTTCCAAAGAGGTGCGCAAAGTAACTCAGTATCCACGCACTCCCCTGGTCTATAGAAGAGCGCGGCGTTAGCCAAGCAAGCGTGAGCATCCGCCAGATAGTTGAGAAAGTCGGCTTCATCGCGATGTCGTTGCAGCCCACGCTGACAATCAAAACGTCGTCTTTTTCAATGTGATCGCGTATGAACTCATCGTGAGGCAACAACGTGTTCTCTCTTTCGCGCAACATCGATGCCTCAACAGCTGTATTAATACAGGTGGCGCGGTCGCCCAGCAAGTAGTTCATCCAGAATGCGATGTCTGGCTTCGGTGTCGCACGCTCAAGCGTATGGTAGTATATCTCCGGTACCTCGACATCGAGAGGCTCGCCTCCAGGCCCAGAGCCGGGGACCCAATATTTATTATCGAGAGAGGAATCGCCTGCGAACCATACTAGAGGTTTGTCGGGTCGTTGTTGTCGCGTGATGCCATAAAATGTCTTTAAATCCTCGATTGGATGACCTTGGTATTGCATGTAGAATCTGGAAGGTTTGATTTGGCGCATAGTGGACGTGGTCGAGTGCTGACCTAGCTCGCGCCGGACCTGCGATGTTGGGGATGCGCAGCAAGATTACGTCAACGTTGTGTCGAAGAGGATTGTGCGAGAATAAAGATATGTTCATGAGTAGTGGGAAGAGGAGGTGTAGAACGAGCCGAGCCGAGCTCTATCGCGACACGTAAGCGTGTGTGGATGTTCGACAAGACTGCAGCGACTGTGTTCCGTGGACGTTGGTAGGCAGCCATCACTCATCACATCGTAGCACGCTAAGCCTTGTTTGTACCACGATCTCAGCTGCCGCAGCTTCCACATCTACACATGGGACATGTCCAATGCGCGGATTCCTGAAAAGTGCGATTGGAGGAAGTACTTCGTTACACATCAGGCTAAAGAAGGCGTCTTGGGTCCTGCCCGGACATTGCAATACCACGTGACTTGACTTCTCACTATCACCACAAAACTTTATGCGCTCAATATCTGACCCGTTGCAGTTGTGCCGGTATATCAAACATCTATTAGCTAGGTGCTCAAGCTCTTAGTGAAGAACAGGATTCGACGCCTTGAGGTTCTCAGCAGCACATGGTAGTGCCGTACGTTCTCTTTCTCTTCCAGCTTCGGGTCTTCACCAATCTCGTTGGTTGTAGGTTTACAAAATGCCTTAATCCTCGGTCGTCAGCTTGAGATAACGGTGTGCGACCTTCCACAGAGTTACCTAGGTAAGGTCGTCACTTCCCTGTTGAAACATACGTTAGTCGTACTTTTATAACACAGAGCGATGTATATTCAAAGGTGTAACTAAAACATCTTACATAGCAAAATTATGACAGGAGGCAAATGTAGAAACGTGGAGATCCTCTAGAGTTCCAACTCCCCCGATCCGTCACTGACCCCACGAAACCTCGTACGTGAGCGGCGTGATATATTCAATCAATAGTGCGACCTTGCTTGTGTCGCGCCAATTGCCTGCCATTATCAGCAAGTAACATATCCTGCATCTGCAGCCGTGCCTCCATGGCTGCGAACTGGTCTGCTAGATTCTTGTGTTCGACCATATTGCAGGCTGCCTTCTTCATCTGCTCCATCTCCCGAATATAGGACCACATCATTTGTTGAAGCTCTAGGACTTTGGCCTCGTTGTGCTTCGCTCGGGCTTGTGTGTCTACCATGCCATTGGCGAGAGCCTTCGCGATCTCTGCTGGGCCGTTGATCTTGAAGGTAGTGTCCCTTGTGGTGACGGCTGTAAGCCGCTGGAGAAGGGTGAGCTTTGCGCGAGCAGTCGAGTCGATGTTGATTGTGATTTGGAGATCTTGGTCGAGAGGCGGTCGAGGCTTGTGCGTGGCAGCGAAATCGATTGGCCGGATGACGACCGTGGAAATGTCGGTCATACCGAGTTTGGACTGTGGCAGAGCTTCTGTTTCGATACCGGCCAAAATGCCCGAGAATGTCGAGGGTGGCGTGGGAGAGAAGGAAGGCACTGTTTGAACAGCGCTGACGATACCCGAATACTTGGAAGCTACGGATGAAGACGAGCAACTTGAGTCTGTCCGAGGCGCAATATTCATGACCCTGAGGACTGGCTTCTCGGCCTGTAAGTCGTCATGATCTCGCGTCGGCTGATTGTGACCGAAGATAAGATCGTGACTCTGCTCTTTGAGGTGGGCATTGGTGGCCTGCAAGGCGGTAACGAGGTTCTCCAAATCTTCCTTCTCGAACGTCGCTTCAGTATACTTCGATTCCAACCATGTGCTAGCCTCCTCTAGCTGGTTGATGTAGGCTTCGCTCTCCCGGAGAAAATTCTGGAACGCTTGAGTGCTGTTATGCGGTTCATGCTGGCACACTACCCCTTGTTCGCCCTGGACTCGTATAGGTGCGCAAGCGGGAGCATCCGAAGACATTTCCACATCTTCTAACATCTGGCGGAGTTCCTGTTTGATTGCTTTGTTCTCCTGCTCGAGTGAAGGGAGTCGGACGTTACGCAAGCCGTTGAGCTCGGTCTGCAGTTCACCAGCGAGCTTTGCTTGAGCCTCCAGTTCTTCAATGCGATCGCAATTTTCGACCTGCGTGGAGAGTTCGTCGTTGACTTGTCGGTTCAACTCCAGTTCAGCTTGCACCTTGACGAGCCGCTCTGTGACATTGCCAGCTTCACGATCAGCTTGCTTTCGGCAAGCTTCACTAGCAGCGAGTTTCTCAGCATGTTCAGCGACATGCTTTCCAAGCTCGCTCTTCGCCTTTTTCGTTTCGCTCTGCGCTTTTTGAGTTTCCTTCAGCTGCTCTTCATATTTGGCCTTCCACGTTTCCGATTCATTCAGTAGATGCCGCGGCTTACGAGGTGCTGTAGGTGCTGTAGCGCGACTTGACGAAGTAAATCGAGGAACACGAAGGCGATTTTCTTGCCCTGGGCCCACCATGGACCGCTCAGCCTTCTGTACGGGTTGCCTAGTCGTTACTGTGGGCTTGCCACCTGGAGATGCGCTTCGAGACACGGAGGTAGATGATTTCGGTTTATTAGTGGAGGCCGCGTGTCGAAGTGCCTGACCTGCAGGATTCGTCGGACCTAGAACCTTCGAGTCAACCTTACCTTTGTTCGTGGCAGAAGCGATGGAAAGCCTGCCAAGGGGCGCCGATAAGGGCACAGTGTTCCCAGCAGGATGGCTAGAGCCAGGCATTGCTCGAAGCGAGTTGAGTGAAGTAGGTGACTCACTACAAGCGCGTGGAGGGATCTGGAGATCTAATTCAGTGTCCAGTGGGTGTTAAAAGGAATCCATGGGCATTGTTCAAATGTTGGTACACTATGGTTCGACAAAGCAGGTGCACGAATTTGCAAGGAATCAGAAATACCACAACAAAGACATTGTGCAGAGAGAATTTATTTCTCTGGTTGGTCGCGGCAAACGGTTCGTCGTATGGAAGCAACGAAGGTCTATAGAAATACATCTCAGTAGTTGTAAGATGCACTAAAAGAACGCTAGAGCGTCGAGAGGCCCGGTACAAACCTGCCCCAATCGTATCGTGTCATACGTCTTTGACGAAGCCGACCTCAATGACATGATCGCGGTCAACGTCCAAGCTAGCGATCTTTGTCCGTGTGTTCTCCCTAATGAACAAGAAGGCGCGGAGTAGAATCTTGCGAAACAAATTCGTCCCTGGCTTGACTTTCATCTGCTCCTTGCCAATAATGTACAGCACTTCGTGATTGAAGGCACGCTCCAGGGCCGTGAGCCTAGCAGTAGTGCTAGAGACGCTTGCAGTAGGAGTAGGTGCAGGCCTAGCACTCGGTTCAGAGGATGGTGGCTCTGAAGCGTCCTTTTCGGAAACGGCGACCTTTGCATTGACCTTGTTTACGTCGGCTCCATTGTTTGCATCGGTTGCGGTAGTGGACTTCCCTTCGCCTTCGCGGTCAAGCGCACGGGTGACGATATGGTTTCGGACTTTCTCAAAGATGAGTGAGGCCAGGTCCGGTGTAATGACTTCATCCATGTAGCCGTGTCGTACAACCAAGCGGTAGCAGTTTGTTAAGGCTAGTCGAGAGACATGATAGCGGTCTTCAAAGGCGACCGATGGTACCTCTAGCGGGCGAAGATGAAAGAACACGATGACTTCTGGTGCGGTAACAAGTTTGCGGATGAATTGGCTGAAGACGATTGGCGTTGTCTCGCCAGCTTTGTCGAAAAAGATGCCGAACCCTTCAATGGAGCTAAGCGACTTTCCGCCAAACTTCTCGGTAAGCTTAATTCGCCCGTCATCGAATGTTTTGACGAAATGCGTGGTCGGAAAGCGGTCTTCAGCCTCTGCGAACCATTGCTGCTCCTTCCCAAAGCGCCACAGTATGAAGATAGTGGCGATCAGGATGGAAAGCAGGATCGTGAACCAAGCACCATCCGGCACCTTGGTGAGGGCGGAAGACAGAAATGTTCCGTCCAAGCTTGCGATCGTAAGCCACGGCAGAAAGACGAAGTACGGTTTGATGCGCCAGACAAGGATCGCAACTAGCGTGACCATACAGGTGTCGAAGAACGTAACGAACATAACGCAAACACCGTAAGCGTTGCCGAGAGATGTGGTATTGTTGTAGATAGCGGCGACGACCACGGTGCCTACCATTAATAGCCAATTAACTGCGGGCACATAAAGCTGGCCATGATATGTTGTCGAAGTGTGTACGACCTTGATTTGAGGAAAATACGACAACTTCATTATCTGGGCGAGGAGCTGGAATATATGAGTACAACTTCGCAACTGAAGGACAATTTACTTACCTGGAACGTGGCAGTAATCATAGCTTGAGAAGCGACGATTGCAGCCAGGATAGCAATGACCAAAGAGGGATAGAGCCACCCGTGGGGAACGCAGTTATAGAAAGGGTTCGAATATGCGTCAGGGTTCTCGCTGATGAAAGCAGCTTGGCCAGAGTATGCTAGCAACAGACACGGATAAGCGTAACCAAGCCAGCTAATCTGCACCGCATGGCGACTGAAAGCTCCAATATCAGCAAAGAGCGCTTCGACGCCAGTAAAGCAAAGAAGTATGCCACCGAGACTTCGCCATCCTTCGTATTTATTGCGGGCGAGGTATTCAAATGCGTAGTACGGGTTGAAGGCTTTAAGAATGGTGTAATCGTGGCTAGGACGGTCAGTGTAATCCAGATCGAGTGTTCAGAGGTACTGACTTAGCCAAGTTGTATATTCCAAACCCAGCGTTGAATGCAAGCCAGACCATGACGATGGGCGAGAAAGCCATTGTGAGCTTAGAAATCCCAAGAGGCTGCAGGAGGAACAGCAAAATCAGAATAGCGCAGGTTATGCCGACAATGGTGGACTTCGTGATGTCCGGCTTGACTACACTTAGACCTTGAACAGCGCCCAAGACGGACTGCGCCGGAGTCAAAACACCATCAGCCATGACCATAGACACGGCGAAAACGCCAATAGTTTTCAGTAGCCGGCGGAAGAACTTGGTTCTCTCGATCGTCGAGCGGAAGGAGTTTTGCGATTTACTGAGCTCATTGGTCCTGAAACGTTCCATGCCTGCGTACACACGTCAGAAGGATGTATAGTAGTCCACATGTGGCACATACGAATCATGGTGGCTTCACGCGGGTCACGGTTCGCGATGTTCGCCTACGAGAAGTCAGCAAATCGTGGAGGGCGCCAGACCTAGATACATACATAGCGCGACAGCAACGAATACGTCGAGAATGTGCCTCCTTCGCCATCGTTGTCGGCACGAAGGATGATGATAACGTATTTAAACGTGACCATAAGAGTAAGGGACCAGATGATGAGTGAGAGTACACCCAGCAGGTTCGCCCTGTCTGGTGCTTCTGTGAACGTGCTAGAGAAGACATATAGTGGCGAGGTTCCAATGTCACCGTAGATGACACCGACACTTTGGTAAGCCAGCATGAGCACCTGAGCGAAGCTGAACGCCTGCGAATTATTAGCATGCTATACTTTTCATATACAGAGTATAAAAGCACCTGTCGACGCTTGTAGTCGCTTTCGTTCCGTAAGCCTGCGTCTTCATCTTCCGCAGCTTCCACAGTGCCTTCTTTGAAGATTTCAAACGAGCTTTTTCTTCCTAGAGAACGCGACCGCACGCGAAGCGGTACAACACCGCCGACATCGAGTTCCCTGTGTTGTCGCCTCGGAGGCTGATCGCCTGCAAATTGAATAGTCGTGTCCATGATGGGGGAAAACGAGGTTGAGAGGGTCCAGCAAACCGGTGTCCGTCAGACTTTCGCTTTATACTAGAATGTTATCTTGACGCGGCTGCAAATCGAGTACGCGATATCAAGCAGTAAATAAGCATGGGCCGCCGTGTATAGTTCCCGGTTGGCTGGCTAGGCACGGTGCTTATCGATTGGTTGACTTGGTTGAATGCGCGATTTTTGGGAGTTGTTTGGTGGAGGGGGTGGCTATGCGGCTGGATAGGGGAAAGCTCTACGCCATCGTCATGGTCCATTCCTTGCTGTACCTATGCGAGATTCTTTAACCCGAGCATCATGTCACTTGGAATTAGGAACAAGCAAGAAACAGAAGACGACAGGACCATAAGGTCTCTCCGGATGCTTGTTTGCAAGATTCCGCGCCATGATTGGAGCAGCGGTCGTCTCTGAGATCTAACAAAGCAAGGATCTACTAGACGTTATGCAGGTACTGCGGAGCGAGCTAGAGTGACGCATGCGATGGACTGTTGCAAAGCGGTACCGAAGATTCGTGAGGGATAAAAAACCCGCGACAAGTCTTTTCCACCGGGGTCCCATCCGCTTGCGACCGCAGCTGCAAGCTCGAGCTACCCTGTCATCTTTCGCAGTGGTGATCTCGCGAGGCGGGCATCTCCGTGCGGCGTGTACGGCACAGACATTGACTCGTAGGCTGAGAAGACACCGAAATCAATGCGTGGGATGAGATGCAGCTGCAGAAACGTGGGGAAGCACGATCACATGTCAGTTCTGACGCTAAGTGCATTTTGATTAGCACCCGTTCGGCCCCACTTCCTTGGTGCATATTAGAACTACTTTCCCATTTTCCTCGTTGCCTAACAATATTGACCCGACAATGACACCGCAGCCCGAAATCAGAGGTTTCAGTGCCGATTGAAAGAGTAAGCGTGAAGCTTCGCCGAACATTATGCACTGCGTGTACTTAGCAAAACCAATGACATCGCCCCTCAGCGGACCATTTATGGACAGCAAGAAGGTCTTTGTGCTCAATGCACTCGCTGGGCTTCTTCGAAAAACCATAAAAGCCTAGATTGATTGCTCGCATACTTTGAGAGGAGTTTGATGTGGTGAATCAAACCGCAACCAAAACCCTGCTGTGCAACAGCTTCACGAATGCAACGAAACCACTGGACGTATAGTGCGAAGATCATGCTGATTCTGCAAAGCCATCACAGGAGAACTCTATAATTTTCGGAGGCAGCAGAGCACTCGGGGCCCTTGAGAGTCTCTTCTGGTCATGACTTCAAGGCTGTGTCCCGAGGTACGTTTAATCACTGCTTGTGGGCTTCAATCTCCGACCATGCTTGATACACTAGACTCTCTGGGATGTAAAATATCAGATTCCCCATGTTGAGTCGGTCTCTGGGAAATTCGATCTGTCTGTTCTTCCTTTAGTAGAAGATGCGATGCCTAAGTCAACCAATACTAATCATATAAGAGAAAGTTCCTTGCAGTAGATGGAATCATTTCGCTCGTCGGTCTACCACGTTGAGGGTTCAGCTTGGATGATTTGCATCTTAGAATAACGCTTTCCTTGAGAAACACAAACATCCCGCTGGCTGTCAAACCATTAAGGAGATTGCGGCTCTATCAACTTATCGGCGTGGGCGGACTATCCTAATGATACGCCGCGCTTAGCTAGATTTGAGGTACGGGATAGGGTCCGCTCACGAAATACAAACTCCGTTCACTAGCACGGCCAAGCTCGTTGCATGATGCGATGTTACAGTTGATGTCAGTGGTCCGTGACGCGTTGGTCGTTCGCAAGCAGCTCGGTATCACGACTTCCTGTTGCGACTCTTTAGGAATCATTCAGGAGGAGACGATGGAGGAGGAGTAGACTTCGAGATGGTTACGCTTTATCCTCTGCGTACATCACTGTAGTATTCGCAGAAACACTCAATCTTCGTACAGGGCTTTCGAGAGTGTTGAGTTCACCTTTCGAGCCCCGAAGACAACTCTCGATTGGAGAAATCAGGCACCACTGTGTATAGCATGTTGGGTCAGCTGTAGAGCGGACGAAAGGGCTAAACCTTTCAAGAACCCCCCCTATTCTCGTATTGTCGACTCCTTTTACAGACACAGGTTCCTACATCACTGTGATCTAGGCGCGCATACTTGTCGCTTTGCCTCTGGCACGGTTCGGGAAAAAAACTTCTCTTCTGACTTGTCGCATACGATTCAATTGAGTCAGCACATGAGGACTTACCTTGAAGGGCAGGTTACCATGTTCTCAATCATATGATTCAATAGGTTCACAAAGCGTCTGAGGCTTCCAAGTTCGTTTGTCATCCGGGTCCTCACTCTTGAGGACGACTATTTTGCGGCGTTCGGCGGGACACTGCATAGCGAAGAGGAGGCATCGGCAATGCGCTTTGGCCAAAGATCTTCATATGGACAACCTCGCTAAGGCTCTGCTTTAGGAAGCCAAGTTAACGGTGCACCCAGATTTGCGCCAGCATGCGGTGCAGTACCTTACGCGTTAAGGAAGACTCGAAGTGGGTAGTTGAGGTCATGGATTGTCAGGTACAGGCATCAATAACAAGACATCCCTTGCTATCGCAATATGCGAAGTGGTTTGTGGTTCCATATTTAGTCGACGAGGATGTTCCATTGGGAAAGACCGACATGGATGGCGTTTTGGGACGCTTTGGACCGAAGCAGTTGAAGTACTAGCGCACGGGCCCCGACGAATCAGCAGCGATCGCGACCCTCCCCTTAGCAAAGGTGCCACCGCGACATCTGCACGACCTGCACGCCATCTTCATGCCATGACAATCGCCTGTGCCACCCAAAGGTCTCCCATTTATCCAGAAAAGCAAGCAACTCCTGCACGTAATGTCCTCCCAGCGATCGCTCGACTCGTCAAGGCGAGCAAGGCCCTCCAATATTTGGCGCCCCGATCGGGCCAAACGAACTGTTCAAGTTCACGGACTCCGCCCTACGAGCCCGTCTCCCGCAACAGTGCCGCCGCCCCGTGACGATCGCTACCGAAAATTCGGCGAATGTCTAAGCCCAAATGTTGTTGTGGGAATCGAAGTCCGATCAACGTCGTGCAGACGTGTGCGCCAGACGTGAGGCTAGTTTCGTCTGACGAAACAACTATCAAACCTCCGCTAGGGCATCCCCGTAGCGCACGCCTGCACCTATGCCCGTCGTTACACACAGGGCTGTCGACGCAATTTCGTTGGACGTCTTGGGGGACTAAATATGTGAGGGAGCCGCCCGCGAGCGGTTGCGATGTTGTTGCTGTTTGGAAAGGTAATTCATCGCGCGTTCTGCTTCTGGTAGGATATACACTCGTTTGTCAATCTTCTTCTTTTCTAGTTTTCTTCGATTCGCATACACTCGCTACTTAATTTTCCCATCACGTTTTTCATAATGCCCTCTATTCACTCTTTCCGTTTGGTCCTTATCTTCTCCCTCCTCCTACAGCTCGTGTTCGCAGAACAGAAATGCTACGCGCTCAATGGCACCCAACTAGGCGACGCATATGGACCCTGCAATCCTGATGCAAAGCATAGCGGTTGCTGTGCCATTCACCATTCGGCGGGATCAGTGGAACTCTGTCTGTCCAACGGTCTTTGCATGGCCACCAAAAACGAGTACATGGGCACGATATGGCAGACCGGGTGTACTGATCCCACCGGCAAGGACCCGTCGTGCCCGAAAATGTGTCCTGATAGTAAGTTTCCTTTTGTTTGCCATCATTCCGGAGGCGGGATGCTGATATCTCCTGTAGCTCGCGACAATTTCGGCAATGGCTCCATAGTCTCAGCATGGAACGTTCAGATGTGCGACTACGGAGCCTACTGTTGCCGCGCGGTGGGCGATCACAATAACTGCTGTACAAATACCACAGCGCCTCAGATCAAGACGAAGTTTGTCGGCGCATTCCAATTTGAGACATCTACATCCACCGAGTCTTCTACGTCCAGTCCCGCCTCTACGACTTCATCCCGGCCCAGCTCAACTTCAGCATCCCCGACCACTTCCCAGATAGGAGTCGTTGCTGCAGCCACCTCTTCCGTCAGCTCCCTCCCTACAGCCTCCAACGAATCAAGTACATGCGCAGCCGATAAGCACCAACTCAAAGTCGTCGGCGGTACTTTAGCTGCATTCTTCTGCGCCGCCATCGCAGGCCTATTAGCCGCCACATTCTTCCTCTTTAAGAAGGAGAAGAAGCAGCGTAAGTTGAAAGAGCACTACGAGGCACAGTTCGCAACTACCAGCTGGGGCGCTTACGGCGCTTCAAAGAGCACGGTTGTTGGGATGGCCTCAACTAGGGATTCATTGGACAAAGACGTGGAAGTTCGTTACATCGGAAGGCAAATCACATAAGAGACAGGTCGGGGTTGGAGAGTGTACGATATAATGATTCCTTCAGGAGCGCTTCGCCTGACGTTTTGACGCGTTTTCGAAAATCGTTAATGAGCAATGTATCTGGGGATGCGGGTTTGAGCGTACGACGCAAGCTGTCTGCACATAGCTTAATTCGAGGAATGCCGCTCATTCGATGTATTGGAACAATGGGGCCGGTGGCCTGATACTATCAGACACGCGACATTTTCGTCTTCCTTTACGTAGTGACTATGTGACGTTTCAACGTATCGAACCTGGTTGCGTATAGATGGTCACCCAGACACCTGATTTATCTATGTTCCAATTCCCATTGGATAGACCCGCTTCAAGACACGAGTGCTCTTCTCATCACGCAATCTGATAATGCTCTGCTAGTTGTTTCTCAGGCCCGCTTCAATTCAAGCAACAGCTCCTCAATCCTCTTGTAATCGTCATTTAAATCGTTCGGCCCCAGCTTCCATTGTAACAAATTTTGTTTGGCTTTCTGGCCCCAAGCAAGGGCCTCCGGATGTCTCCCAAGGCCAGCATACACATAAGCCATCCGCTCCAGATCCTCTGTTACGAGCACCTCCAGACCTTCCGTTTCGCTGATGTCAAAGATTTCGTTCTCCCACTGCATGACTCGTTCTGCGTCATAGGTTTCCGCATTCAGACTTTCCAACGTCTTGTGTAGCTCCGCAAAGCGCTCGCGCCGCCAGTCACTTTCCGAAATCTTGTATATCCCGGATGCGCACAGATTGCATGTGCATTTGAACCCCCAATTATCGCGGTACAGCTTCTGTCGCTCGGCGTACTTGAGGTCGACCTTGCCGTACGAGATGGTAATCTCCTGTCCAGGCTCAATATCCCTCAGCGCTCGAATCTCCATCAACAGCGTCCGTGGGATAAATTTTGCATTTGCGTTTGGTTGACAAGCATGGTTAATCCTTGAAACTTGGGGGAAGAGACAAAGATACTCATCGCCTACGCCTCCGTCGTTGAATTGACATGAGAAAGAGTTCGTCTTCAGTATAGCGTCCAGCCCTGTGGTCCCGGTAGGTTTATCGAGCGCCATGATTGTGTTGTAATCCTCTGCCATGAGCATTCCTGCCGCGGTTTCAAGCAACTCAGAACCTTCAGAGGGCGTAACATACATGGGCAGTCGCGCACTCGAAACGATCGCGGGCGAGTCGAGCATGATCAAGTCGCCCTTTGAGATGCGCTGTTTGGCGAGGACACCTTTACCTTTTCCCCGTATATTCTGGACGTCGTATAAGTCTTCTTGTAAGGACCGCGAAGCATTCAGAGAGGATTCTTCCGTTTCTGAAAAGTACTCTTCCTCATCCAAAGAGTGCTCAGGTGCTTTGAGCACACCATCGGCAGCTTCCGGTGTGCTGATGATACTGAGGCCACGATTGTTGCGATAAGATAAAAGCGTGTGTGCGCAATATGTTTTTGAAGTTCCTTTGAAGCATTTAGGCCGCGATGACCACCCAGAATTTCTTCTCAGCCAATCGTTCGTTGGTGTGCATACAGTGTTTTGCTGATGGGGAAAATGTGCAGGATTTTGACAGTGTAAAGTGCCTCTCGTATTGGCGCAGAGGCCGAGGGGGCTGCACAGCAGCAACAGATGTGTCGACCTCATTTAGTTTTGGTTGGGATGGCAGTCGTATTACACTCAGGCAAAAATATGTGTTCATCTTGGTGGTGGTCGTAGCTGTGACAGATCTGAAACGTGGGCAACGGGACAGGGTTGCCGCGTGTTTGGGGCTCAAACCCCTGTTGCACATCATCGCATTCGGAATAGACAGTTTTCGCATCCGACTCCTGGGGTCACGTAGAAAAATGATTAGAAAATTGAAGATGAGAAGCTATGGCTTCGTCTACATCACCTGCGCGATTGCGTGTACCGGATCAAATCTGACCTGCCTCCAACGTATGCGCAAAAACCCCATTGACCATCTTAGTCACTTCATCTTTTATGTTCACACCCGGCGCCTCAATAACCTCCTCTAGCATCTTACGCATTCGCGTCATCCTCGCCTTGAACTCCTCCAAGTCGTTAAGATACAGCCTTGACTTCGTGACTGCCTTCGCTTCCAGCTTCGCCGATATGTTGATATCGCTCGCTCTCTTCACCAAGCTCTTTGCCAGCCTTTGAATGCGCAAGCCTAGCAGAATCCAGCCGTCTGATGCGAAGAGTATCATCTGTGGTTCTCGATGCGAATATCTGCTCCAGCGCATAAACAGCGCATGCCCGCGTTCGATGTCGATAGGGCGCTTCCGCTCATGTTCGATGTACCAAGAGTCCAAAGCGGCATGCTTGATATCCACGAGAGCTTTGGAAGCCTCCGAGACTGTATACTTGGGCTGTACTGAGCTATCGTCTGCGCGATTTCTTTCTGAGCCGTCTATAATGGGAATGTCGGTCATGGTTTTACCAGATAGACCTGCTACAAGGCGAGTGTTGCGCTGTGGTCTGATCCCAAAATGTCGTATTCAATCAACGATTCCCAGGTCTGAGGAAGCCGAATTCCTAGGAGCTGTCACGGATCTCAGGGCCCCCGGTACGACGATGTTATAGAACTATGTTCTACTGCACGACACTGGCCCTTCGTTATAAAGAATCATGTCACGAGACAATTTTGCTCACGTGAAAAGAGGAAACGTCTTCACTACAAATGGGGACTGTAAGACAAAGTATCAAAAGCAAACCACAAGATCCCGAATAGAACCGTCGTTCCCAGTCCTATAGCAAACCGTTTGTCGTCAATGTGGACCTTCACTCACGTCCATCATTCGAGGCCTTTGCACTGATAGAAAGGAAACAGTATGTACCCGCTCCCTCGAAGTATCCGTCTCACCAATCAAACTGCTGTCCACTGCCCGTGTTGCATATTATGTGGCTCGGAAATTTTCCACCACGATGAGCCCAATGTTGTGGCTTCGCATATGCACTTGTGCGTAATCAGTGATTGTGCCGACTGTGAACTTTAGGCGACTTACTTGGCCTTTGGCAGATGCACAACGTCAAAATGCCGCCTACTCCAAGACTTTGAGAGGGTCTACTGGAAAGACCTCGCGCACTATGAAGGCAACTTTATAGCCCGCGCGTGGCACAAAGCGCTCCCACACGACGTCGTCCGTAATCTGCTGCATGAGATCAGACCGGGCGCGTTGGAAGTCCCATTTCGTGTCGTGCGCTTCCTTGACGAGCTTGGCCTTGTTGCCATTCTTCTCCTTGAAGCGGCGGTCTATGTTGATGTAGTGAACGCCCAAGTCAATGATGCGGCGTACGAGAGCTTGGGCTTCGGCCGAGATCACGACTCGACCTTGGCTGTCGCGGATGAGTCGTTCGATTTCTGAGGTCTTTGCTTGAACTCGCTCTGAGGCTGTGTCGTTGTCAAGCTCAAGGTAGGTGGCAGCCTCTTCCTCTCCGCTCTCAACAGCTTTGGAAACATGCTCAAACTCGGACATGATGGCGTCCTTGATAGATCTAAGGTCTTTGAGTATCCGGTTGAGTTGTTGGCTGGCGACGTTGTTGGGCTGAGCGGGGAGAGGGTTACCCATATACTGAGGGGCGGGCGGAGCGACGTGACCAGGCGCAAACGCTGAGGGAGCGGTGCCTCGTGCATGACCCTCGTCTCTCACCTGCGCTGCTTCACCTGCATCCCATGAGGCCGGCGCATGATCGTCGTGGTTGGCCCTCGGAACATCCTCCTCCCAAGAAGTGGCCTCGAATGCACTACCATTGATACCAGCTACTGTTCCTAAGCCATTTCCGCTGTCAAACGCGGCGATCTGTGTTTCCCAATCTCTAGCACCCGGATGGGGCGCTTGGTTTGGGCCTACGGGATGACCAGCACGCCGACGATCAATCACTCGTTGGTGAACCACCTTGACCATATCTATCAATGCGTCTCCCCTATTGACTTTCACGCGTTTGCTGCGTTGCTGAATGTAATAGGGGCCTTTTGGAAACGTTTGGGCGATATCGACCCCTTCACCGATGAGAAACGCCTCCATTTGAGGTATTCCGACTTTATTGTAGAGGGTCTTGTCGGAATAGATATTCCTAGCTGTGTACCAACTCGGCCTGTAAGGGTTCTTGGACTGTCCCTTCTTGGCCGTTTCTCCTCGAAAGGAGTGATTTACGGTCGACGCAACAGTGACTGGAGCGAATGGGAATAACACCGCGCTAGATGGATGAGCTCGACCGTCTGTCTCTAGAGCATAACTGGCAGCGATGCCTTTCGGGGCGTCGCTCGTCCCATTAGAGTCCATGAAGGGCAGTGCGATTGCTAGGTAGCCTTTAGTAAATTTTCCACTCCACTTTATATAGCTAGCGATATCCGTACCTTCATGGAAATATTGTCTGCCGAAAGCCTGAGGTTCGAGTCCATAATTACGCCTTACTTCTTGATCGCGAGGACCGACAGGATGGATCTCGTTCGATCGGCTCGATGACAGCTGCGCTATAGTTCAAACTTGTCAGCGTCATGCTGCACGATTCCTTGGAGCGAGTGATAGGCATTATATGAGCTCACATGCGTGATCAAAATTGGATAGATCATAGGTGTTTTGTTGGGGTGGCCACTGGTCCGGTTGAGCCTCTGCCCAAGGTTGAATTTCGTGTGCCATGTCACGCAACTATAGCCAGTATGCCTAGTGGGTTAGCTACGTCAGCGACTTTGGGAAAGGCTCTCGAACATTGGTTAAATATATAACGCGCGTCGCGCTGAGCATTTCCAAGGTTGTTCAATTGAACAAGCGATGCATACTCTGAGCGCAAAGCAAGCAAAATTGAAGTTGAGAATACTGACCAGGTACGGATGGGAGCAGATGTAGTTGGACTTTGGGTGGAGTAGTAAAAGATTTAGTGTGCAGGGTGGTTTACCAATGGTGCGAAAGAGGTGCGCGTTCGAAAGTGCAAGAACGCGCCATCACGTGATTGGCCCGTTCACGCGCCCCTGCACAGATGACGTATAGGGAGAATACTATCGCCCCACTGAAAACTTCGCATGCGCCATATCGGCTAATCCAGATGTGGGGATTACGCAGATCAAGCAGCATTTCCAGGCAATACATGGCTTTAGGCTCGTCGAACGCTACAAATACGATCGCCCACAGACCAGGTACATGATGTTCTGGAGTATTTGGTCTCATATCAGTGCTAGTAAGACTTCCAAATCGCAACTTGCAAAGCTTTGTTGCACTACGACCAGTCTGCACGTAACCCCTAGACCTGATTGAGCAAGCAAACAAATAGATCGATGACTCTTTGCTTAACCGAAGGTTGTTCCAACATGTGCAAGCGTTTTCCAGATGAGATCAACATCGCTTTTTAGCGAGGCCTCCTTAATCATGCCTTGCCATACCACTTCAAAGCCCCTTACCGGAGAAACATTTGTGTCAATCTGTTCGTACCAAGAGCACTTGTAGAAGATATTAGTGGATTAAGGTTAATACTGAAGCCATCTTAGAGTCGTCATGGTGTGGGTTCTTACCACGTATCACAAAAGCTATCTGTTTAGAAGGTCCGAATAAGGACATGTAGTTCATCATATGTACCAGCCTGCACCATTACATAAAGCTTGAATACTCCGTACTATCAGAAACTAGAAGATTTGGGTACTGGAAGAACTAACGCTGAAACTGCTACAGCAACAGCTGTAGCGCACATCCAATCCCTCAAACCATCTCACGTTCAGGACTTGCTTATTTAGAAGAGCAATCTTCCTCGCACTCGTCCCCCTGTCTACTAGATCTAACTTCTCAAGGGCCAGGACATTCAGGAAACTCTTCTTCGACCAGCTTCCTGGCCGCCGCCTTCCCATCCACCCCATCTTCCTACTGGACGGCAAGAGAGAGCTGCTTGATTAGAGCTTCACGCCGTTTAGTGAAGGCTCCCGCGCCAGCTGAACGGCGAAAGTGAACAGCCTTGCTGGCAAATTCATTCCCGGTAACGCCAACGCCAGTCCAATCCTGAACCTCAACGACCTCGCGTACGTAAACTGGAACCTGAAAAGCTCGCATGTCGTCGGCGACCACACCATCAGTCCAGATGATAGAGGTCCCTCGGCCCATAATCCTGGCTATGGCATTGGATTTGAAGTTGCGAAGCTGTGCACGTAGGGTTGAGAGTTGCTTAGATTCGACTGGAGGACTATTGCTGTTTTCCATCTCGGTGTGGTTGATGTAGGTCTCGTTGCTGTCGTTGCTGTCTACGATGCCTAGTTGGATGGACGAAGTTGTTAGTGCTTTAATAATTTCAACTTATTTGCTATTAGAACCGACGGGAAGAGTAGCAAGCTGGTGGGGAATGCACTTTTGTTTGTCTTTGTTCAAAATATTTCGGCGCTGCTTTCCAGGTCGAATTGAATGCTTCTCATACGCTGCGCAGATCCGTTAAAATCTAGGTATCATACAGAGACTTAACCCGGTGTCAGCCTGAAGTGCACATCGAGATCTACATGTCTGGGTTGCGGCCCCACCATTCTACCTCAGACGCATGAGCTTGACTGAGTAAGTACTTGAAAGCTTCACCGCAGGGTCAGATGTATGCTGAGTATGCTAAGTCGAGGTTGACCGCTGTCACAAACATGCGTTCGTCAATTTCTCGGAACCAGGATTGAATGCAGATACAATTCGCACTCAACTGGGTATATGCATTGCTTCGGAACATCCCGACAAGAGATGAGTATCCACTAGATAAGTATGTCCGCATATACGCCAGCTGACCTCTGAAGTGGATATCTACTTTAAGATCAGTCGCGGTAACGATTCTATACCGTGTAAAAGGTAGCAACCCTCTACTATACGCATGCAGTCGGTTGCAAGATAATACGAGAATAACACCAATATCGCCCAGTTACGAGACCTTCATCCTTCACCAGTTTTCAAAGAGGTCATTGCAACCAGTACATCCGCCACGAAGACTTCCCTCCTCATGAATCATCACACCCTCCTGAGCTATTAAGCGAGATAAGGGAACTCCTCGTCCACAAGTCTCCTCATATTCGCCCGACTACCATGATTGGGAACCAGCTCCTCGACAAGTTTGTTCGTTCGTGCAGCGAACGAATCTGTACTCTTCGACTGTAACGCGTTGGCATTGTTGACGAGCTCAGCATCACCAGAGCGGGTGTGATCCTGTGCCTGAATGACCAGGCGGACGTAGTATGGGATCCAGTCCGCTCGCAGCTTCTCGTTTATCTGTTTCTTTTCATCTTCTGGACATATGTAAAACTTGTTCTTGATGATTTTGATAGCGATGTCTCTGAATAACCGAAGTTGAGCACGAAGGTCTGAGAGTGGTTTGGGTTCGACTGCGGGAGAAGTGCTGGAGGCCATCTTGCTGTAGTCACCTTTGGTGATGTTGTTGTTGCTCGTAGTCTCGGCCTTGCTCAGATTTTCAGTGCTGTGGAATGAGGGGTCCGCTGCGTGTTTAATACCCTCATCTTGTTTGCTTTTGCATCCATAGGAAGTGCAGCAAGCTTGCGGGTGGTTTTTGCTCGTTTGTCTGTCATGGCAACTTCTCCATCGTTGCTTGCCAAGTCATACTCATCGCGAGAGGCAACAGATTGTACACAGCGACGGGAAATCTGACGTTTGGGTCCAATAGTGTGCCCAGCTTGTTTGAGATCAATGAGTATTTGTTGAATCTCGCGACACTTCTGTGCCAGTGCTTGAAGCCTGGTGCCGGGCTTGTAGCGGGCCAGGTTCGTAGGGAATTTCGTATTTACCTCAACTCCTTGTTCATCCAGAAAGTCTTCCATCTGGTCCTTGCCAATCTTGTGTGTCAAGGTGCTACTCTTATAAGCCTCTTTTTGGTCGTATACATACCAGCGAGGGATGAATTTCGTCCCCTGGTTCTTTTTAGCCTTCTTCCACCTGACGATCTCCGCTTCATCCCGCTTCTTGTCTCCATTGGCAGCAGGCTCCGAGCCTGAAGCTTGTTGCTTACGCTTGGTACAAGAAGGCTCTGGGGATTGAGTGATCACAGAATCTTCATGATACCCTAAACCGATCGCATTCAAAGACTGCGCATGCTCACGGAATACGCTGGGTCCGAAAGTGACTGATCTGCTGTTAAAACCAAGTCCCTGTTGCGTATCGGTATACTGCGAATAGAAGCCGACAATAGAAGATTGCCACTTGGGAGCAAGAGTATCGAGGTCTAGAAAGCGTTTAGGATCAACCCCTGCGCACTGGTGACTTCCATAGCCTGCGAAGATCCATGCTAGAAACCGGTCAGCGTTTATTCTCAAGTATCGATTGCAGATTCCAGGGTGGCTTACCCGAAGTTTCCTCTCCGAGAGCGGAACCTGAAGCTTGGTGCCTCTGTGTACCTGCGTTGATTTGTGAAGTGTCCGGGGATCTGCGTGATGGGCTAAAGAGTTGTCGTCGGCGCGCAATGCTCGTTGGGAGTGGCGCCAGTTGGCGCAGTGGTTGTGGGTGCGAGCTCAGCCACGTTGTTTCAACAGTGACGGAGCCTTGGCTGGCTGGCTCTTCCATGCCGTTGTACGAACCCACTCGATCGATTCGCTGTCTCTCGCTGTTCATGGGAGCTTTTCCTGAAGGGTGTTTATTTCTTGGAAAGCTCATATCGGATCCTTTTCTTGACTCAAGCTGTGCAGCAGGGTGCGTAAAGGGTTGATGCGTGCGTGTAAAGACCGGCTCATGTCTAGGAGGATATCGATGCTTTTCCGTGGCCGTCTGTAACATGTGGGACGTGGGTTCCTCGCGGTCGATCCAGTGCTCTGAGTCTGGTATATCCGTCTCTAGTGTAGCGGTCGATCCTGAGCTAAGAGCGGCAGTGGCTTCTCAGTTGTTAATAAGCTGTTGCGCGCTGCTATATGTGTGTTGACGGTCACCAACCGGGATATTTACCTCCAGAATTCATTTCCGCTCTAAACATCTGGTGGTCGCTAGGTAAAGAATTATTCGTCTCGATTGTTAGACCAGAAGGGTCCTCGGGTGGGACCATAATGATTACCATTCAGCGTCCCTGACTTGTGCGGCGGCTGTATCGTAATTCTAGCCTGCTGGCGACTCGTATCGATTTCGGCGACTCGATCTCGAGCTGCTCAAACGTTAATGGGACTGGACAGTTCTAATCGCGCGCAAGGAAAACGCACCTAATTCTTTGTGGACTTTGATCGCATGAATTATGCGACCTCGAGCTGATGTGATTCCTCGTTCGGCGACAGAGACACTCAGGCACATCTAGCTTGGCGTTGGTGCGGCCGGCGTTATGAACGGCAGTAACGTACCCCTGTCAAGGCACGGACCATCTAGTGAATAGAGCGACTCGAAGCTTCTTTGCCTCCGCAGCATGTTTTGGGCACTCTGAGATGAAGGGGAGGGGCATAATAGGAATAGGATGCATCAGGTAGTTTTAGGCGTCGTTAAATACATTGTTATTCTGCCATGTTGGTGGCGCTTCGAAAACCGTAAGGTCTGGCGCATATATCTAACAGTACGTGACATGAGTCCACTCAAGTTACCGAGTCAAGATTGAGCCTCATAGAAGCTGTTTGTTTGAATGGGAGTCTTCCTGTGTACTCGAAGAAGGCTACGTTCTGCAGGCCTGGCTCAAAAGATCTGCACGAGGGCACAATATGATATCATAATTCCATGTCATTGAAAGAGCAATATAGTTCGCAGATCCATCTGTTAATACTCTGTGATGAATCTTCGAACTTCTACCCTCAAAATCATCGCAACCGTTGTGAGGAAGAAAACTAGCATGATTCCGTGCTTAGGCTCACTGGGATGAGCAGAGCCATAATCAAGACCGAACCGTGAAAACTCCTCAAAATCCATCTCATGACATTAGTGGGGTCCCAATGCCATATAAGGTGTGCGCCCGAGCAAGGACTTGAACGCTTTAGGGCTCGACTGAAAACTCCTCGAAGGCTAGCTTTCCAACCTTGGTGGCAGTTTTGTCATCGTGATCCTTCTTGGCCACTTGTACAAGCTCAGTAGCCAGATCCTCAAGGTCCTTTTCGTATGCACCGCGATCCTCCTTGTTCAGGACTCGCGCCCCAAGGTATAGTGCGCCATCGCCGGCTTCGAAGCGAAAGACGCGGTTCTTTTCCTGCCACTTCACTAGGCGAGGGACGATCTCTTGCGCCCGGAGCGAGAGCAGCGGTTGGTCGAGGCCGTCGAGGACAAGGTCGGGGGAACTAAAGCCTGACTTCAAGGTGGCCTTCTTGAGTGCGCGGAGGGCCGACCGGGTAGTAGAGACAACCACACGCTCTGATTTCTCGCCAGCGACATGTTCGTCGTCAGTTTCACAAACTCCGTCCAGCTCACTGTTGTGGTCGTTATCTTTCCATGTCTCACTCTTATCAGCCCCTTCCACAAGCTCATGACCTTTGTCGTGATCGATCTCGCTCAGGTGCTCAGCTCCGACGACATCCCCACCAAACGTCAGAGGCTGACGGCGGCTGTTCCTAGGCCTGGCAGCCGCATGGCTATTGGCGAGCTTCTGGTCGATGCGGGCTTGTTGAAGCTCTCGGGCTTTGTCTACCAGTGCTTGGCCCTTGGTCGTCTCCTTTCCGTTGTAGACCATGCGCGTGGTAGGAAACTCTGTGTCAACATCGACACCCTCGTCCGTCAAGAACTTCTTGATCTTCGTAAGACCAATCTTGTAGCGCAAGGTCTTTTCACCGTAAACCTTCATGCTATCCCATTTAGGGACAAAACCCTCGTCCAGACCCTTCTTTCCCATCATCCTAGGCTTGACATTTGCCCTACCTGTGTCGAGCTTAGCGGTCTTCTGCTTCTTGGCAGGCGTGGAAGCGGCACGCGAGACGCGCTTCTTCGACGACGTGATGGCGGCAGGCTTGGCCACCAACAAGTTCTCGCTAGGGGCGGCGTTTAAGTGAGAGGCACCGGCTTGCGATGGAGTAGTGTCTGCCTCCTGACCAGCGACGAAGAACGTGTCCCACGGCACTGTAGGCATCTGATGGCGGTTTGTAAAGTCCGAAACTGCTGCATTGTTAGGTTTGATGCTTGCCAAAAGCTAGCAACTATACGCAGAAACAAACCACTTACATGACAGAGTTTGTCCTGCATGAGTCTCATCGAGCTGCTCGTAATCGCTGGCTACGTTCGGAACGCTCTCAGGGAATCCTGGGAATGCTGGAAATCCGCCTGAGGGTGCTTCTTCGTGCCAGGGGTTCAGTTCGAAGAAGTCGTTGGATGAATCCATTATCACAGTGAACTTGCTATTTCGAGTATCTGTTTGTTACTTAGTCAGGTATTCTCGAGTTGCCAATTTACAGCAGGGACTCACTGTGTGAAGGTTCAAACCGCACTGGAAGTGCCGTGAAATGCTCTTTCTGAGGGTAGATGCGACACGTAGAGGGAGATTGGGCTCAGGTCAAACAGAGTCAGTCACACTTGGGACTCGGCGAAGAATCAGGAAGGCGCGTCAGAGCCTTACTCAGCACCGGTGAATGGAGCGGATCGGAATTTCTCTATGTCCGCGACACCATGCCAACTATGCCTCGGCAGAACACAGGAAGCGTAAAGCATTGTTAGTTCTAAAGAACGCGTGTCTCTACCATTGGTGGTACAATATTCTGCAGTGTCTTCAAGTAGTTGAGGTTCGAGGATATCAAGGCCATGCAAAAGACTTCATTGATCTATTCGTGCCGCTTGATACATGAACATACCGCTGGACCAACTATAGTCTTCTCTTCCAGTGCATTTGAAACCAGATACCATATACAAGTTGCGAATACAACTTGTCTCTAAAAGACGGAGGATACTGAGGCGAAATCACGCCGTGAAGTGATACCGCACAAATGTGTTCTCAAAAGGCACGGCGTACAGCGATAGCGGATCCCGATCGCCGTGCCCAGCATTTAGAGAGAAGAGCGCAGCCTTCGTAGTGCCTAGAAGTCGACTGGAAACTCTTGCGCGACTAGGAGCATGGGATCCTGGCCTGTCTCCCACTTGACGGTGCGCTGCAGCTCAGTAGCTAGCGCCGCACGATAGTCTTGAATCTCGTTCATGATATCCGCGTGGTCGTCCTCCACGGTGGTGCGATGCTCGTGGACCACGCGAATAAGGCGGAGGTGCATCTGGCGGTCGAGGATATTGTAGACAAGGCGATCTACCGCGGTGGAGATGACCGGTTCAGCGGGTTCGGGGACGCTGACGATGATGCCCTGTAAGCGTCGCTCATACGTCTCGACGAGCTGCTCCGCCGCCTGACGATGGATAGCTTGGAGGTCCTTGCGGGTTTGCAACACCACACCATTGTCTTTGTTTGCGACCGTGGCAGCTTGACGCTTTCGGCTGTGGGAGGCTTTCTTGACGCCGGTTGTAGCGGCGCCATTGCCTGGAGAAGCAGGCGGCAGTGCGTGTGCTTGCACGGATCCGGGCAAGGAAGGCTCGTACCCAGGCAGGAAGTCGCGGTTTACCCATCCCAGCGGCACCTGGCGTGTGCCAGCAGTGCGCGCGTCGATGTAAGCCTGGTGCACCTCCTGGGCCTTGTTCTTCATGGCTTCGTTCCGAGCAATTGTGCTGCCCTTAGCATCTTTGTACTTCTTGCCCATTTCCGCGAACTCCGTCTCGACGTCGACGCCTTCCCAAGCAAGAAACTGAACCATACCTAGGCCACCAATCTTGTTTTTGAGTGTCGTGTCTGCGAAGACGTTCGTACGGTTGTACCAGTCCAATTTCGGTCGCTGCCAGGGTTTCTTGGCCATCGTAGGTCCTGCATCGGCCGTGTTGGATTGAGCGAAGTTTTCGGAGACCTCATGAATGCCTCGAACATCTTCTCCAGCATCTACACCATTTACTGCATCATTGGTGGCAAGGTCGTTGTCGGCAGCAGAACGGCCTGTCGGTCATCAGCTGAGACATTGATGGTGTAGCTCTACTATTACTTACCGAGAACACTACCTCCACTATTCTCCTCAGGCGTAGCAGTGACAGATGAAGGTCCACTCATGTCTAAAAAAGCGTTAGACACCGTATCCCCATGAGTGAGAGCACTGTTCATATGGCTCACCATTCGTGCCTCCAATCTCATCTTTGTCCAAACGCTCAGAGACCGTTGACGAGCTGCTCTCTAGCTTCTTCGACGGCGGCTGCAACATCTCTCCCTCCATGGACAAGGATCGGATGCGCTTATGATTTGCAGTCTTTGAGGCGGCAAGTTCATCATCGGGAACAGGGTGGTCTAGCAAGCGTCAGAATAACAAACTCAAAGTTTAGGGGATTCCTAATACCGCAAACGCTGTGAACGTTCTCGGGGGCGGCCGTAACAGTGATCGGCGCAGAAGCAGTCAAATCTGTGCAAGCGTTAGCCTATGTCTACAATACTCCAGGCCACCAGGTGGTATGCTACTTACCGCTCAGGCCATCAGCATCGTCTCGGTCCGAAGGCATACAATCAGCGAGCTTCTCCGGCGACGCCTGCAAGATTTCGGACCCCGCAGAGAGAGACTGGATACGCTCGTGGCTCGCGGTCTGCGAGCTGGAGAGCGGTATCAAGTCCTTCTCGGATATAGTCGAACACATCGTGTAGACCCTTGAATCAACACGACACCTTTAGTCTGATATTGAATCAGCTTTATTCTTATACGTTATAGGTTGTAAGTACTTCTCCCACTGCCAGGGGATAGAACAGGAACAGAGAGATATGTTGGGGCGTGTACCTACCAGATAGTACCTGTGTATACGTAGCTGAAGGATTCGAGGGCCGATGTGCAATCTCTTGGTGGTGGGGGCTCGAGTCTTCGTGGGTGGATGCAGGATCGGGGACTCGAAGGGGTACCTAGGTATGTCTTAGTCGAGCATCGACATCGAAGTAGGGTCTTACCTAGATCATGAATACACCCTCCTCGAGGGTAGAATGTGATTGGGGTGCAAGTATAATAGGGGTGATGGGGTTGAGAGAAGTAGAGTACCTGTTCAGCACAAGAGACGGAGACCACGCCATCCGCCTTTTATAAATCAAACCAGCGTAGACGGACGCTAGGGCCATTTCGCACGGGCATCCTCAGAACGGAATGGGTAGAGTCCTAAGAGCTGAGTAAAAGCGTACGTTATGTACAGAGATGACCATCTCTACCTGGAAGAACACACAGATGCTCGGCAGAAGATGTCATACTACGCTGACCTCATCAATCTATCTCAGAAAACAAACAAAGACACAAGTCTATCAACGCATCCCAAGAAGTTCACTGCGTACTGCTTCTGTGATCCTCGTCAGTTGTCTTGGTGTGTTCCTACAGCTGTATCGTTCACGTTGAACATTACGAGGAACAGTGATGGCAAACATGAATTGATGAGCAAAATTTGAAGGTGCAAACTCTGGATAAAGACATCAAACCGTTGTAACTACAGTACGGAATTTCATTGCCGACACAATCCTCCTTACTCCTCTTCTAAAACTTCACTAAGCAATTACTGACGACACTTCAAGCATTGGCGTCTTCGCCTGACCTTCTGTTCACCCTTCCATAGCAGAACGGCCGAGAACAAGATCTGAGGTCGCATATGGCTTCCAAATCGTTCATCAAGAGAAACAGCCTGCCTTCGCTCAACACCATGTTCAATCAACCGCCAAGTGCAAGCTTAGCAGCAAATTTCTCCTCACAACTGCTGAGGAAACTCCTGCATGAGCAGCTTTCGAGCAGTAGCCTCCCGATCCACATCCTCCTCAAGCCTCAGAGTGCTCTGTAGTTCGTACTTCAGCCTAGCTCGCAACTCCGCGTAGTCGGCTGGTATCTGGAATCGCTGATCTCCAGCCTCAGAGACATGAAGGTTTCGCAGCCTGTTGCCACGAATTTGGGTTACAACGACGCTGTAAATAAGATGCTGGACGGCGGCCGAGATAAGGGGCTGACCGTCACTATCGAGTTCAAGTTCTGATAGCTGGGCTGTGGGTTGGTGGTTGTTGTCGAAGGCCGCGTTGACCTGGACTGTCGCATGGTGCCTGATAGACTGTAGATGGGTACGAGCCAGCGTGGTCTGGTGGGTGTCACGCGCCGCGAGCTCTGGTGGATGATAGATGCGAGACTCTCGAATCAGCTGATTGACGGACGCCTGGCGGAAGTCGTCTTCAGCCTTGGCATCTATTAAAGTCTGGTGCAGATAATGGCACTTGTGAGCCATGGCGGCTCCACGACCTATCTGTGTACCGTCGATGTCGCGGTATGGTTTGTCCGGCAGGCCTGTTGATGGAAACTCGGCATCAACGTCAACACCAAATTCCGGGCGTCTCAGAAACGCCTCCATGCCAGCGATTCCGACCTTGTTCTTGAAAGTGGACGTGCTCCAAGCATGCTCTGAGTTTTCGTCCGGTACGCGAATCCCTCGCTTTGCTTTCCTTGAATTCGTCTTCTTGGCCCTATTTCGCTTCGTGGGGCGTTGGGAATCGGACGAATGCTCCCATGGAGCGTAATCGGTCATCTCATTGTCTACATCACTATTTTTGTTGTCACCGTCATAGTTGTTGTCTTTTTCAGCGTCAGTTTGCTGCAGGTAATCCGTACTTGGCATTGCAATCGGATTGAGCTTACCGGAGACAGTGAGGTTGTAGTCGCCTATAGCACCTTCATCTTCATCAACATCCATCATGAGACCGTTGTCTATTCAGTCGTAAGATTGACCACAATCCAATAAGAGCATCTGAGAAAGTTTGCTTACCATTCTCGGTGGTCTCTCCAACTTCCAGCGACTCATCACTACTTGAAGAGTCACTACCCAAGGACGAGTTGTCCGCGGAACGTGAAGGTGCCATTGGCGGAGGTAGCGCCTGCACAGCAGCCGACGAGCGTGCAGACCCGCCTTTAGGCAGAAAGCTTATGATCACGAGGGTGAATGGTTCTATGTGCCGTAAATCAGGGAGTGCCAACGATTTGGCGGGGCGTACCAACCGGGCAAGTTGGCGACGAGAAGATCGATACTTCTTATAGGCGCGCAATGTCTGCGAACTCTAGGCGCGATCAGCAGGGTTTGGACCAGATAGATCGTGTTCACTCACCGGATCTAAGGAAACTCGAAGATGACAGGGGTGTTGAAGAGTAGAGCGGAAGGCAACAGGACAGCATGAGCTACCGTGGGTTGCGCGTGTGAGCGCGTTTCACTGCTAGCGGGTTCTGACCCAGTGACGAAAGGTGGAAAGGCCACTCCAGAAGCGGCGGGTTGAAGCTATGCTGTGCTATCACGCACAATACCACTGGTGAGTTGGACGATTCGCGGGCTTTGTAGCTTTCGAATTGTCTAGAGAGCAAATGCGTGCCCGCGAGCTCCTGCGCAAAGCATGGAATACATTCAAACTACCTAATCTCGTCACACCGTGTGATGCCCTCATACTTCTAACAGCTGCAGGAGATTCCATCTTGAAGATTCCACCGCACAACTCGTGAGCCTCTACGAACTGGGCTTCAGATTCTTGAACGTTTTGGTGATGTTTGTGATAGCTTCTTCGACCGGTAGTCGTTCCATCGAGCTTGCGCCGTAGAAGCCATGTACGCCCTTCGTTCGCGAAATCACATACTCTGCGTCTTCTGGCGCTGCGATCGGTCCTCCATGACATAGGACTATGACATCCGGATTCGCCTTTGCAGCTTCGTCTCGAATATCCTGAATTAGCTTGACGCAGTCATCCAGGCTCTTCCCGCTCGTTGCACCGATGGAACCGGAAGTCGTCAGGCCCATGTGCGCAACAATGATGTCTGCACCAGCCTCGCTCATCTTCTTCGCTTCCCCCACATTGAAAACGTACGGTGTGGTAATAAGATCTAGCTGGCGAGCCTTCTGCACAAGCTCGACTTCTGCATCGTAACCCATACCAGTCTCTTCTAGATTTTGGCGGAATTGGCCGTCAATAAGACCGACTGTAGGGAAGTTCTGGATACCGGCAAATCCAAGATCTTTCAACTGCTTGAGGAAGCGATCGATATCCCGAAAGGGGTCAGTCGCGCAGACTCCAGCTAAAACGGGCGTCTTCTTCACTACAGGCAGGACCTCATTTGCCTGCGATCAATCATGAGCTATCGAACATAGGAGACAACAAACACGAACGTACCATCTCAAGCACAACATCATTCGCATTCCCATACGGCATAAGACCAGCCAATGAGCCCCTACCCGCCATCCGGAATCGCCCGCTGTTGTAAATGATAATCAGGTCCCCGCCGCCCTTCTCGATGAACTTGGCCGATAGGCCGATGCCGGCGCCTGCACCGACGATGACAGTGCCATCTGATATTGATTTTCGCAGCTTCTGCAATATCTCTTTCCGATCGTTTGGGGGCGCCATGGCGTTGTGAGGTGTCTTCGTCGTCCGCCTGCCACCAAATGCAGCAGACGCTGACGTCACCTCGTCCACATGGTGGGGCTGCTAGAAGCGACTACCACTCATCACATTCTACACATCGCTGGACATTGAGAGATACAAGTTCCTCAACTATAGCCATGGTTCATGTTGTTCTTCTAGGAACCTGCGATACAAAGCTGGATGAGCTCTTATTCCTCCGCAAAGCCATCCAAGGAGAGGACCCGAATGTAGGCGTTAGCCTGGTTGATGTGGGACGGGCCGAAACCAAGCATGAGGCCATCACATATAAGCACAGCGATCTGATTGAAAATTATGGCAAAGGTCAAAAGGTCGACGGATTGCCACGCGGAGAGCTTATCAAGAGTATGGCAGACTACGCCACGGCCTTGGTGAAGGAATTGTATAACAAGACTGATGGCACCTACATCGACGGTATAGTATCCGCTGGAGGGTCAGGGGGGACCTCGCTCGCTGCAGCAGTGATGAGGGATGCGCTTCCAATTGGGTTTCCGAAACTGATTGTCTCGACGGTTGCAAGCGGCGACACTGGACCGATTGTTGAAGAGACGGATATCACACTGATGTACTCGGTAGTGGATGTTGCTGGATTGAACCAGGTCTTGCGGAATGTTCTCAGCAATGCGGGCGCAGCTATCGCTGGTATGGCAAAGTCCTACGCATCCCGGCGTACACTAAGCCCGCCGGTTGTAAAGACTAGGGTGGGCATCACCATGTTTGGTGTCACCACCCCGGCAGTGGACGCGATTCGCAAACATCTTGAGTCGAAACACAGTGTTGAAACCTACGTTTTCCACGCGACGGGCCATGGAGGCAAAGCTATGGAGCGGTTGGTCCGCGAAGGCGGACTTGATGCTGTGCTTGATCTCACCACAACAGAGGTGTGCGACCTGCTCACAGGCGGTGTGATGAGCGCCGCTGATGATCGCCTTGAAGCAGCTGCGAAGGCCGGCATACCGAACCTCGTGTCTGTAGGCGCGACCGACATGTCGAACTTCGGACCCAAGAGCACAGTGCCCGAGCGCTACAAGAGCCGGAAGCTGTACGAGCATAATCCAGTGGTGACATTGATGAGAACTTCACAAGAGGAGGCAAAAGAAGTTGGAAGCTTCATTGCTGCTCAGCTTAGGCAACACGCCCGAGATCAAGCAATGATTGAAGTGTGGTTGCCCAAAGGGGGTGTCAGCATGATCGCAACGCCTGACGGACCGTTTGCGGATGCTTCTGCAGATGAGGCTATGTTCAAGGCAATCAACGACGGTCTTGATGGTAGCGACATTCAAGTAAAAGAAGACGCCCGAGAGATCAACGACTCAAGCTTCGCCCGCGACATAGCAGAATCATTGATGGAAAAGATTCGGGTGTACAGAACGCCCTAATTTTTATGCGCAAGCGTACGTCCGTATATCGAACATCATGCATTGCTCATTGAGAATCCTCTCAGAGAAAGGGTTCGCCCTAGTCGGGTTTCGGCAGCCCCAAGCATGCCTACGGTGAATCTAATTTAAGTCGCCGTGCTGATTGGCCGTGCAGAAGTCGCTGCCTGGTATAAGGGGCCGTGCGCGTAAGGCTGGCAGCCGCTGGCTCCACGCCGGGTAATGCCAAGCTGGAGGATGGGAACATTAAAAACACGAAGGACGCACGCATGGATGTTGACAAAAGCTAGAGCACTTCACGTCATTCATTTCAAGATGTTTGTTTCTTTTCTTACTCTTTCGCTCGCTACATCACTCTATGCGCAGTCTAGCGCAGCTCTGGATATCGATGTAAAGGACCAGGGTAAGGTCTCAGGGGTTACAAACTTGCGATTGATCTAACCCAATGTAGATTCGATCAAGAGCGTCGCAAAGACGCTCGCCGGGGGCATTGTCGATTCGTACCAGAGTGGCTTGAAGAAAGATCTCATTCCTGGACTTTTCCCTGATCCGTATTATTGGTGGGAGGCGGGCGCTGTGTTCGGCAGTCTTGTTGACTACTCGTACTTGACTGGCGATAACCAATACGATGATCTCCTCGGCGAAGGTCTTGCACATCAGATTGGCGAATTTGACGCCTTCATGCCCTCGAACCAAAGCAAAAGTCTCGGTAATGATGACCAAAGCACCTGGGGCCTTACAGCTATGTCTGCTGCCGAGAATGGCTTCACGACCAACAAAATCGGAAACTTGTCATGGGACGTCCTGGCAAGTAACGTCTTCGACACCCAGGCCCTCCGTTGGAACGAGAAAACATGCGGTGGAGGTTTGAACTGGCAAATCTACCAATTCAACAATGGTTACACGTATCGAAACGCCATTTCCACGGGAAACTTCTTCCTGCTAGCTGCCCGGCTCGCGAAATTCACCGGTAACGCCACCTACACCGAATGGGCGGAAAAAGCATTCAACTGGACACAGGAGATTGGTTTGGTGTCAGAGGAATACAGAGTCTTTGACGGAACGGATGAGACCCGAAACAACTGCTCCGATATCAATCAAATACAGTGGTCCCAAAACATCGGTATCTACACTGAAGCCGCAGCTCACATGTGGAATTTGACCACCAATGACAAGTGGAGAAATACGCTGAACGGTTTTATCAACACAACCTTCGACGTCTTTGCGGAGAAAAACATCCTCACCGAAGTCGCTTGCGAAAAAAACGGGAAATGCAATACCGACCAGAAGGCCATGAAGGGCATCGCCACTCGTTCCTTCGCCCGCGCAATCGCATCGGCTCCTTTCATCTCCGACTACCTCACGCCCTTGCTCGAGGGTTCCGCAAAGGCTGCAGCCGAGGGCTGCAGCACCAAGAATAAGCAGGTGGAATGCAGCCTCAGATGGACTAGCCAGAACGACGGGAGCAGCGGTCTTGGTGAGTCGTTCAGTGCACTGGCTGTAGTGCAGGCGCTGCTGGTGCCGAACGCAAAACCACTTGCCACTAAATCTTCCAATGCCACATCGACCGGAAGCCCTACAGAAAGCAACCCTGCTGCGAGTGGAAGTGGGCAGCCTGCAGAGAACGAGGGGGCGGCGGACACGATTGTTGCGTCGCGCAGTCTGGTAGTTGTCATCGCCGTGCTAGCTGCCGCCCTCCTATAGACTGCTCCTTGAGGGCCGCAGTGGAAGGGGTTAAGATTACATCAATCTTGAAACCAGTTTTCATAGACCTGGCGAAGCGCGTTTTCAAGTAGTCGCTTGTCCGACAAATACCTATAACACGGAAAATGGGACGTAAGAGACATTATTGTCAAGAAAATCCATAATGTAGTACTCATGGCCTCCCATCGCAGTTCATTTAATCATGATTTCTATCATGATCAGGTTCGCATGAAGTTTTGCGTGAGTGCGGCATCTGCTTGCGCTGTTTCGAAAGGGCATCGAGATAGGGGTAGCCTCAAGGGTGGCGTCAAGTAGGGCAATACTTTGCGAAAGTGTTTGATGAGCGCAACGGCGTGCGAGAACCACCGCGGCAGTTATCAAACTCGCCAGACGAACGTGGATCTTCCAATGGACTTCATCATAACTCAGGTCCCTCCCAAAAATGGTTGACCTACGTCAATGAACGAATCCTGCAGGAGCTTGCCGTGTTGACGGTCACGGATCCGAAGTCCACCACGCGTTCCAAGATGCAGCCCCCACAGACTTACCAACATGCATTCACGTAGAGCCAAAATCACTTTCGTGCAGAGAATCTAAGGGTACGTTATTAGCAAATAGGCAGGCTCGATCAGAGCAAACATGATATGGTATTGGCGGGCCTCTTTCCGTGTCACGCTAACATCCGAATTAACAAGGATGAGCTTCCCTGTCCGGTTTCTATAACAGCTGCATATAGAGGGGCGGTGTTGAAGCGTACTACAAGGCCCTCCTCATTCGAAGCTTTGAAGTAATCAAACACCCGGAAAGTTTCTCTGCGCGAATAAGGAAACACCTTGCGTGTCCAATTCGCAATTGAGAAACGAAGTCGTTGTTAGCTCCGCGCTCTTCATGATCCCTGATTATTTTACTAGAGCAACGATTTTCGTCTCATCGCCATCCACGTCCTCCTCTTTCGTCCCTATGACAGAGTCATCAAGACTCGTTTCGGCGTCCAAAGACTCAACTGCCTTCCTTATGGCATCGCTCACACAGCGCAAGCTCCAAAATCGAGCGTCCTCCCTGGCGATGTTGCGGAATTTTCCAGCGCCATCAGGCACGGTGTGATCCGCAAACGCCTCAGACATCTTTTGTGCCCTGTGCTCTCGGGCCTTTCAAATCTTGAGTTTCGTGAAGGGACTCTCGAGGCTGCTGGCATCGGGATTCCCCACGTGGTAAGGTTTGAGCCATTGCATGATTTCGAGCAGACAGATATTGATATCACGTCCCACAAGTTTTGGGGCTGGGAGAAACAGAGATGAGAGATCACGGAAATTGTTATTATGTTTGTACCTCTCCAGACGCACGGAGTAACGGGTCCCTTGGTCAACGATGGGCCCTCAACCCAGAAGCGCAAAAAGCGCCGCCAGTCGGGTTGTCGGGGTGCATCATTTGCTCCTGCTTTGCGCCGCATTTCGACTGTTCGGCGGCATAATAGCTGCATTAGTATGCTCAGCGAGAATGTTGCCATTCTCAAGTACGTAGTATCGATTCAAAATGCATGATCCCTGTCAAAGCTGCCGACAACCAGAGCAGCCGTGGTATATACCTTCCTCTCGCCAAACCTAGACCCTACCCAAGACCCAAGCGCGCCAAAATACCCTAACACCATACAACATGGCAGAACTATAGCATCGACCTACTGATACCACTCCTGCTCATTATACGCATTCAGCCCCGCCCCAAAGACCCCTTGTGCCCCTCCACCTCCGTTCATCCCCTGTGGCACCACTCCGTTCCCATTCGTCACGACCGGGCCCCCATTCATGACATCGCCCGCGCCGGCGACCGCGGCTGCTACCCCTGGGTTTACCATTGTGGGACTCCCCACGACACCTCCTTGCCCGGTAAACCAACCCGCCATATCCTCAATTCCATGATTCCAATTATCAAACCCAAAGGCCAACTGGTTCTGGTCACGCAACCACCAGTCCTGCCCTTCGCGGATGAGCTGCTCGACGCCGCCGAAAAGCTGGGATGGCGAGGCGCCTTGTGTGGAGGGCGTGCCGTTTGTGGAGACCGGTGTCGCGACGGAGTGGGTGAGTGAGCCGCGTTGTGCGCGTGTGTACGTGGGGATGGCGTCGATTGGAGGTGCCTCTGTGGTGCGGTTTTGCATGGCAGACATGCTAACGTTGTTTCCTGTGCGGTCGAAGAACTGAGATGCGGTGTTGGCAAGGGACAGGCCGTAGGGTTGGAACGCGGGGGAAGTATCTACGTCTACGTCTACGTCTACGTCTACAGCGGGCTTCTGCTCGGGCTCAGGCAAGGAGTCGCGCTTCACTGGCTTGGGCGTAGTGACGTCTGTCCAGGGGCCGAACTTTGAGTCGGTACGGGCAAGCACTGTGGCGGCTTCGTCGGGGAGGTCGACCTTCCAGCGGCGTGCAAGAACACTGAGTATGCCGAGGGTTCGCCGCGCGCAGAGCCAGCCTTCAGCGATTTCTTCGAGGTGCTTTGCGCCATGGATGATGTCGCGCTTTGCATTCTTTTCTGGGAGGTTCAGAAGGTGGATGGTACAAGCCGAGTGTGCGATGTAGACTACGATGTTGCAGATCTGGCGGAGGCCGTGCGATCGCTTATACAGGCGGAGGAGTTTGGATATCATGGCGGCAGCCTGGGTGCAGAGCTTTCTAGGGGAGACGTGAGCGGGGAGGGGAGAGTTTTTGGGGTTGTATTTGAGGAAGGGACGGAAGAGGTGGATGTAGAGAAGTTGGAAGAACATGCTGTGTAAAGTCAGTGGATGATCGAGTCATTTTGAGTGTATACTCACTGCATAACGAGCATCGAGGGTAGGCCACCTTCCTTCGGTTCTAACTCTTTCGGCAATTCCCTTCTCCAGGTCTCTAGTCTCTGGTGTATCTCGCTCAACTTCTTGAGCTCTGCCTGCTTGCCCTTCGCCTTGTCCATGTCTATAGGGTTGTAGAAATAGTTCATTAGATCGCTAGATATCTCGCATAGCTTGGTTATTTGAAGAGCTACCTAGTAACCATTAGTGACTAGAACCATCCTACATACGGTCTTGACGTACCGCTCGTGTCCGCGAAGGCTGTGAATGCGCCTGGCTAACACCGGAATCTGTGTATGCAGACCAGATTTCCGCGTCTTCTGTCGGGAAGACTTCAGGCTTAGGAACTGTCACAATCGCCCTAGGCAGCTGTGGTAGTCTTCCGAGATAATTGGACCAGCATCTACTAAAGTCAGCATTTCCCCCTACCCAGGACATCAAGAGAACGTACTTATCGAACAAGAAGCAGCCCCAGAACGTTATTCTTCTCGCATCTTCCTCTGTCTCCTCAATCTTACTTTTACTCGTCATATCGATGTTCAGCCCCAGGTCGCACGCCATGCGGAAGCTCATGCCGCTGTACACCCACCCCTTTGCTTCTCTTCCGCAACCCGCTTCCCGAACAGACATGAGCGCCAGCGCTTGCACGGTTGTCAAAGCAGGCACCTCGTGGAGGTCATCTTCCAGTATCAGCCGTTTCGCCTCTCTGAAAAAGTGGTCTCCTGCCGTTGACGAGTCGTCCCGTACAGCCCTTGCGCCCGGCCACGATGTGAAATGGCAGCCAAGCGCGAGCATGGCATTGACAAGCAATGGCGTGCAGTATTCCGCCTTCCGTCTCGACCCGGGCGGTGGCTTCCCCAGCTGAAACTCCTTCATGAAGAGGTGCTTCGACAGCGTAGTGAAGAAGCTGTAATGCCAGCAGAAGTACATATTGATAAGATGCCGAACGAGCTCCGGATCCGTGGTAACATTTGTCCACGACGTCAACGGGTCCTCGGTCTGATCGTACTGATCCGCACCCACGAGCGATTGCGAAGAATCCGTGTCGCCGTCACCCGCGCCCATGTATATTAAATGCGATGTACCCCCAATGTACCTCGTGGACCCGTCTTGGAGCCTCAGCTCGCCCATCTTCCCGCTCAGCTGGCTCTCAAACGTGGTTTGGGCGACGGGCGTCTGTAGCGGGCTGACCTCCTCATCGTCGACATCCTCGCCGTTCTCCTTGGCGATGATGGCCTCGGCGACAGCATCCAGGCTCTCGCATGTTCGTATCTGCTGGACGAGCGGGGCGACGTCGTCTTCGGGGTAGTTCAGGATGGCCTGGATGAGGGTCTGCAGGGTCGAGTTGCGCGTCTTGAGGCCCTCAATGTCCTTCTTGTAGACGCCCTTGCGGCGATGGTCCGAGTTGGGATCGTAAACGCAAGGCGTGTTGTATACGGCGGCGCAGGCGGAGCACGCAGGTGTTGTTCCGTCGCACTGGATGAGCAGACACTGTGGTCAGCGAGTTGAATCATGGAGTCGTGCGTCGTGCGCGGAGATGCACAGCACAGACGCACGTAGGCCAAGCTCACCTTGCTCTTCCTCTTGCGGCAGGGCACACAGGCGCTGGAGATACATCTGCGTTTCTTGTTGTTGTCGTCATTGGCTTGGTCCTTCTTGCTCCTCCTTCGGCCCTTATCAGCGGTGCTTGCCGCGTCCGGCAGCCCCATGGAGAAGTCCATGTCTCTGGGGCGGGGCACCGCGGGGTCGTCGAACTCAGTCTTTCGCGCGGAGATGTTGGTCGACGTCGCGTGCACTGGCGGCTCTCCACATACTTTAGGGCAGGGTCGTCCGAGTCGAGATGCGTGCGATATCAGGGCGGGCGGCGCATTGGGGATGCGATGCTGGCGTGCAGATGCGGGAGCGGCGAGGGGTTCAGCGCGTTGTGGTTGGCCTGTTCTGGTCCTTATCGCGGAGGCAACGAGCTCGAAGATTGACTGAGACGTCACCCTCAGACTTGGAGAGCGCAGCCCGTCTCTCTTATGCGAGTGTTGTTACTTTTCCAACGACCTGTTTAATAGTGGCCCATTGATTCGCTCGCTCGACGCGTGCGGTGGTGGGCCGCCGAGGATCGCTCTCTAGCACCAAACTAGCAGATCCACTTGACAAATGCGACCTTGCTACAAGATGAGTTCATACATGTATCTATACGTTGTAGCTTTCAGAGGCCTTGAGTCCATCCAGGCTGGGCAATGACCAAAGCGTATGCCTCGTATCGCCACCCTAATTTCGAGCAAAAAGCAAGATCAAAACACCCAATCATAGTGCCCAGAGTAATCGGTCTAACCTCGCAACTCCCAGCCAGAGTTTCCTCAGCGCCACTTGAGCAGGGCACCTTTTGCCGGTCAAATCACGCTCCTATGGCAGAGGAACCGTGTCGCCCCCAATCCCTGAAAGCCCACCTTGACTGGACTCCAGCCCCCAAAATCTACCCCAAAACAGTGTCAGTTTCGTGTCAATCAAAGCTCATCCGCATAGCCCTCGTGGTCATTGTCCGCATGGAAGCCGCCGCGCGGATCAGGATTGTCCGTCATGATGAACGGCCGACCGTTCTCGTCGTCGCGGATGTTGCCGAACAGACGCATGAGATCCCGGATACCCATCTTGCTGGCCTTCGCCCCGGCATCCTCCTTCATCACTGAGTCGATCTCCTTCTCTTTGCGCTCTTGCATCTGGATAAGTCGCTCATCTACCGTGTTCCTAACGCAGAAACGGGTCAGACAAGTGGTCTCCTTTTGGCCAAAGCGGAACACACGGCAGAACGCTTGCTGCTCTGCTGCCGAGTTCCACCACGGGTCCAGAATGACGACGCGCGACGCCATGGTGAGGTTGAGGCCCACTGTAGATGGTCAGTCTGGAGCTTCAGAGCTATGGAAAGGGTACTTACAGCCACCGCAACGAAGAGAGGCTAATAGCACCCTCACGCCGCTGTCGTCGGCAAAGCGTCCGATAGCTTTGTCACGAGACTCTTGACTCATTTTGCCATGGTACTAGTAGTCATTAGCACTTGCTCTGCAGTAGACGAAAACTCGGGTATTGATAGGGGCTGTGAAAGTAGTCCTGGGGCAATACAGGGCTCTTTTAGGCTGGAGCTGCTTCCACTGATTTACTCACTTCTTCGGTTCCCCAGTGCTCTTCCTGACACATCTTGTTTATGATTCGGATCCTGTTATTGTCAGCATGCTGCCTTAAGCCTGACAAATCGATGCTCACATGGCCAGAAATTGTGTGTAGATGATGACCTTGACATTGGGATTCTCCGTAAACCTGTAAGTCAACATCAGTAAATGCTTCACGGCCCCAACCGGCATTACTTACCAATTCAGCAGCTGAGCCTTGAGTGCAATCGTCTTCGCAGAAGGCAGAACTCCTTCGCCGCCTAGGGAAAGCCATTCCTCTGCGATGTCCTGCTGCTCGATATGCTGAACCTCCTTCGAGTGTTGCCTCTTCTTGGCGCGCGTCATTGGCCCATTTGCGAGTACGTCGTCGTCTTGTTGTATCTCATTAGCATGCGTGAAAACGCTGCCACAGCCTTTACAGGTGCTGTTTGCCCTCTCCTCTTCTGCTGCTAGAATCGCCGCATCGTCGTAGCAGCTAGAGCATAAGATGTGACCGCAACTAGTCAGCCAAGCATCGGACGGCGCACCGCCGCAATCACTACACACGGCCTTTTTCTTGACTCTCTGCCAGTTCTCGCCACTCGTCAAACTGTTCAAGTAAGGTCGGAAGTCGAAGGTCTTGCCGAAGGTCTTGCCACTAGCACGTGAGCGACCATGGGCCGGTCGATCGACATCCTCAGATTCTTGGCTATCGTCCAGCAGCTCTTCGATATCACGCTGCCCTAGATCTTCGTCGTCTTGATACGGCAGCGGCCGTTTCGAAGGCTTCGAGCGATTCGTCGACTTGTTTGCGGATTGCTTCTTTGCTTCCGCCTCAAGGTTGTCTAGTTGCTTGCGGATAGCCAGGATAGTCCTACCCTTCCTGCCCCGCTGCTCGGTCGCTTCTTGTTGAACCACTTCACGGATCTTTTCAATATCTTCTTGCTCCAAAAGATCCTGTACGACCAATTGGAGCATCAGGATATGTGCAGTGAGTTGTCGTAGTCGTAGAAGCATGCTTTGTGAGTGTCAGCGAATATTGTTCCTTTCAACACGTTTGTACTCAAGTGTACTCACACCAAGGCGTTGTTGTATTGTTTCTCCCACTCGTTCTGCCTTGATGCCAAGTTGATTCGCTTTGCGAAGCGCTGGCGGACGACTTCGTAGATGCTGCGCTCCACTGAGTTGAACTCACACCAGTGAGTCATTTGGGAGGCTCGAGGCAGTTTCAAGATGGGAGCATTCATCATCATGTCTGAATGATCTCGGCGAATCATAAATTGTGATAGTCGAATAAGTAAACGCTCGATGCTCTCGGGCTCTTTGGGGTCTGCGTAGTTATGCTTGAAGATCTTGAAGCTGCCAGTATATGGGACACCAAGGAATTTGAAGTACGAGTAGAGCTCAGTCAGGCTGTTGAGGATAGGTGTGCCACTCAACGCCCACTTATGGCGTGCCATCAACGCGCGGCACGCGAGCGAAGTCCTGCTGAGGTGGTTCTTGATAGCTTGGGCCTCGTCCAATACGATCCTATGGAACATCATGCGGTGAAGGGGTCCCCGGGCCTCCTCATACACCTTCGCCCACCAAGCGATCTTCTGCTCTGCAGTCTGGCATTCGATAGGAGGGTCATTCTTGGGATAACTCCGAAGCACCTCGTGGTATGTGGTTAGGATGATATCGTGTTGTTTGAAGGTCTGAAACGCGCAGTTAGAACTGATACGCGAGCCTGCAGTGTGTCTCATCACACTGAGTCCACAACGTGTGTGCAGTTCGATTTCGCGCGTCCATTGGGTGAGTAGAGCAGGGCTGGCAACGAGCAACGTAGTCTTGCAGTCAGCGTCGTTGTTTCCCTGGCCATTGACAATGTTCGCCAGCACTAGCCATTCTCGTTAGTCAAGTATTCTTTACATATTGAAGAAGACTTACTCATGAGCGTTTTCCCGAGACCCATTTGGTCAGCCATCAGGCCTCCGCGAGGCTCTCGGATGTCATTTTCGCGTCGCCTCATAAAGGCCGTGCCCATAACCTGATAGTGCTTCAAGCTGGTCGGCATGCCTCTCACCTTCCACATACCATTACCATCTGCCTTGCAAGAACCCCGACCATCGAAGTCTTTGGTAGCTCGCAGCAAAGCGGCCGTGTCATCTTTCGCCGACTTCTGGTGCTCGGTTGGCACGCTCGCAATTAGCTCCTTCAGCGCACTAGCCTTATTCTTGGATGTGAAGGTCGGCTGTTCGGGAGCGTCCTCGCTAGCCTGCTGGCGGAAGACGTCGGAATGCATAAGTGAGTGGTGTAGGCGGGTGGCGTTTTCCGCTGCTTTCTTGTCTTTCATAGTCTTGCGTACGCCTGCTTTCGCGGGCGTGCCTGAAGCTGAACCAAAAGCTTTGAAGTTAGATCCCTTGAATCGGCCGCGACCCTTCCCCATATCTTGCGCTTGCTCGGATATGCTGGCTCCTTTCTTCTTCTTGCTCGGTTTATCTCCGTTGGCTTGAAGTGCAACCTGCATGCTACGAAGCTCTGCTTCCGCCATCGAGGGGAAAGCGCGTCTAGAGGATGGTTCTGGGATGCGAGAAGAGCCAGCAGGGTCGTCGTCGAACATGTCTCCATCCTGGCCATCGTCAGGGCCATTTCTTGCTCTAAAGGTGTCGGGGAATAAATCTGATTCGCCGTTCTCTTGTCTCGCGATGTCTTGGTCGCGCTTCCTCTTACGCAGTCGAGCTGACTCTTCAGAGCGAATCCTCATCCACGCAACGTCCTCTGCGAAGTTTAGTTTTCCTTTCTTCTTTTTGACCTCCTCGTAATGCTTCCTCTGATTCTGATACTTAGCTTGCGCCTCTCGTTCCGCCCTATCATGATTATCTTCACCGGCTGTGGAGAAACCAGCAGACGTTTGCCGACCAGGGGCATGCGAAAGAATGGCATCCAGGTAGGTTCCTCCATCAGGCGCAGGCTGAGCAAGCTGCGGCGGTCTGCTAGCAGCAGCCCTATCTTGACTGAATTTCCTCTGCAATTGGCGCATCTTGTTGAAGACAGATCTCGATGGCCCTGAAGGAGACCGCGAAGCAGAAACAGGCGTGGGTAACATGCTAGACGAAGAAGGCTGAGCGGCGAAACTTGGTGTCGCGGTCAATATATTCAACGGGCCAGGAGTAGCAGATGACCTGTTGAAGAGACCGCGAGTCAAGGAAGGTCTACTGGAAAAGCCTGGGCCTGGAGAGGGAAGACGTTGGTCTGGCACAAAGAGACTGTCCTCATCATCATTGATCTCATGGATTAGGGTCTGGTGTGTGGGAGCCGGGTCCTCCAATTCGGGTGTGTCAGGGATAGCAGGCACGCGAACTAGAGGGCCTTCTTGTCGATTCTGCGAATGCTGGATATCCTCCATGTTGCTCCCCTGCTCTTGAGACTGGGGGCGGATGTTGTGCTCCTGAAACGGGGCCTCGACGCCGTTCATGGCGTCCACGTTTACCTGCTCCTCGTGTAGTTCTTCGCTGTACTGATCTTGGCTCTGAACTTCAGCCATGGTCTCGTCAAAGTCCGGAAACTCGTCTTGATTGGACTCCAAGTCGTCAATCGAGCCCAAGTCCTGGGTACCAGCATGAGGTGCAAGCTCATCGTCCGGAATTTGCATGCCGTTGAAGTCTTGCTCGTCAAATCCCTGGGCAATATGCACGACAGAATCCTCTTTGGGTGCCGGGATGTCATCGTCCTCGAGATCAGGCTCTCTGTCGTCCCCGAACAGTGAGCCGAGCTCGTCATCGGTCAATGCGGGTGCAAGGACGTGACTCTGGGAAACATCGGGCGCTTGACTCTCGGAAATCTGTGTTGGTGGGGTCTCTTGAACACTAGGAGCCTGGCTTTCCTCAGTAGCCTGAGTCACAGCCGTATTAACGCTGGGGGTTGGATCCGCCATGGCTTCTATTCCAGAGTCAGAATCCTGTTCATATCAATGAGCGGAATGATTCACATACTAGCAACCGAACAAGGTGTTCATAGGCTCCCTCATACGAGCAGCGACAGAAGCAAGAGAATGTAGATGTGAGTGCCAGATGATCGATCGAGTCTTAGAACTTGTTGGTCGAGCACTTGAGTAGTGATAAGTATTGATGTGGAGGGAGGGAGCCAAGATGAGGAAGAAGATAACAAGCGGGCGAAGTATGAGGTCCACGGAGAGAACGTGGTGTAAGAGGGAGATGCTGAGCTTGCAAGTGAGGCCTTCTATAGAGCATGGCGGAGCCCCTGAGAGAAAGCCTTCTTTGAAGTGAGAGAAACAACGATATACGCTCCGAGTGAAGGCGGATAGCATGCCGCGCCGACATAGTGTAGATGTATGTGTAATACAAAGCTAAGTAAAGTAGAGTGAAAGCGTGTCAGAGTACGAATCTAGAAAACGAGACAAGAACAAGATGGACGGTGATTATAGAATGAGTATGATGCAGGGAGTTCTCTCGGGGACCGTTGGCAGAAATTAGGTACGCGCTGCGCACACCGGCAAACGCAACGACGAATTTGCAAAAGGCATTGAGATTTCCCAGGATACGTTTCCGAGGCCGTCGAATCTGGGGTATGGAGACGAAAGTCAGCAGATACCCGTACAATATTGTGCAATGACCTACCAAGATCGGCCGCCCCTTCCTCACCACAACTCAGGATATCGCACCACAACAGCACCATCTGCTCGATCCAATGCAACTCAGCAAGTACATTTGAAGAACGATAAATTAACCTAACACTACAACGTGTACAAATCCAAAGCCCCCCACAAAAGAGATGTCTCGCTCGGTTACTTGCAGATTACTCTCGCGACCACAGGGTATCTAGGAAACACACACTACTCAAATTCGAGCCGTAACAGTTTTAAGTTGAGACGATTGTGATGACGCCAGACAAAGAGTAAGGGAAAAGACGCAACGTGAGTTGCAATAAAAAATGTACAGTTATGTTAGAAGGAGAAGAAGATGAGGGAAGCAATCTAGCTTTCGGAACCCTCGGGCAGATCGGGGTAGAACCATGCAGCCAAGCTGATGATGATATAGGATGACATGAGAAGCACGCCCTCGAGCCAATCTGGCGTACCGTTAGCAGTGTCTGGATAATGCGGAATATATGTACTTACGAGACTTGCCGTCCTGGATCAGGTAGTTGACGAGCAATACTGCAACGAACAAGATGGCGATCTGGAAAGTGTCGAAGTAGAGATTCATGTCCTCCTTACCCGCGATCCATCCAATGACGACGATACCGGGGAGTACGAGAAGGGCGATTTGCATGGAGGAACCGACAGCGACACCGATGGAGAGGTCCATCTTATCCTTGATCGCGACAGTGACAGCGGTGGCGTGTTCAGCGGCGTTGCCCACAATGGGCAGGAGAATCAGACCGACGAAGGTAGTCGAGATACCGGCCTCGCGAGTGAAGCCATCAATACTGGAGACCATGAATTCGGAGCAGAAAGCAACGAGCGTAGTTGAGATAGCGAGTGTGACGAGAGCACCCCACATGGTGAGGTTAGGCTCCTCGAAGTCATCTTCTTCGTCTTCCGCGGCTTCTTTGCTGTTCTGCAGATGGCGGCTCTGGTTCGCGGCACCGCCTGATGCGGCAGCGGTACCTGCTCCGATGGTTGCGATGCCGCGGGCGACGCTTCCGTCGACGGACTGTTTGCGCTTGACGCCCTTTTCGCTGGGTTCATTGTACATCGAGACGTGGGTCTTGAGTTGAAAGAAGAGGTAGCAGCCGTACACGAAGAGGAGAATGATGGCTGTTCCGTGGGACTGTAAGAATGTAATTAGTACTGTGCTGTAGCAGTGGAAGGTCTATCATACTAGTTCCGAATTACTCTTTGCATCTTGCGCGGCATCTTGTTCGCCTGTGCCAATGTCGGCGATCATATTGTGGAACACGGTCGGAATGATCAGCGAAGCAATGCAAAGAGCCAAGAGAGAGGCAGCCGTCTGCGCAACGGTGATGTTGAAGAACTGTTCCACGCGATTGAAGCCGCCCGCAAAGAAGGACATGCCCAGAACAAGCAACAGGTTAGAAAGCATACTACCGATGAGCGATGTCTTGACAATCGTGATCTCATCTTTGACCAAAGCCTGAATCGAGACAATGAGTTCGACAGCGTTACTGCATTTGTTAGTCAAAATGAGACGCAGAATTTATGGGGAAAATACATACCCGAAAGAGGCGTTGAGCAATCCACCGAGCGTTTCGCCCACGCGGATCGCAAGCTCTTCCGTGGCGTTGCTAAGCATACCGGCCAACGGAATGATGGCAATGAAGTTGATCAGGAAGACACCGATATCGTTGATCTTGTGCGTGTAGTACACTACAAAACCAATCGGCACCATAACGAGCAGGACGTTGATCCACGCGCCGAAAAGCACGTATCGGACCTGCTGGCCTACAGGAATTTTCCTCTTCAGAGCCCTTCTCTTGCGTTCGTCGACATCCAGCTTCTCAGATTCGTGGCGGCCCTCATCGGCGTCGTTATCCTCTTCCTTTCCCTTGATTATTCTCTTTACCCAACCGCGCTGCTTCACAGCGGAACCGTTCGTGTGAGTATCTGCATCGTTGGTGACTGCGGTCTTGTCGCTGATATCCGCCGATGCCTTCTTCGGCGCAGTGCTCCCACTCGGCGCAAAATCGGTGGTCGCTGGCCCTTCGGCGTTCAAAGAATTTCTTCCTGACGTAGGCGACGGCGCGGTATTCGCGTGGTGAGGACCGCCGAATTCTTTCTCTGCCTGGGCACTTTCAAGGGCTCTATCCTGCTCATCACCTAGTTGCATGTGCGCCTCCGACTGTGACCTGTGCGGCGCATTCTCTGCATCCTGATGTGCGACGGTATCCCGCGACCGTACGCGTGAAAATGGGTTGTAGGCGGTACCGGCTCCTGGGCTACTCGCCACGCGATGGGCCTGTCTCCGTATAGCATCTGTAAATACATGTTAGGATGGACAAAATTAGTGGAAGGGGTGACTGGTCTTGAGGAGTAGCACTGATGTGGGGTGACATGGTACGAGAGTCTGGACTTACGCATATTGCTGTATGAACCTGGGACAGAATAGTCAGAGGTTGCTCACTGACGAATGTGGCAGCCAAGGTCAATTGAGTAACAAAGACGATCAATGCTCGTTGGCGTGCAGCTCGGAATCAATGCCTAAGGCTCGGAAGCACGACTGGGGATCTGGGGGCGAAACGGCTGTGCTGCTGCGGTCCGCAATTGTCGTTGGTCAAACAAGCGCGTTTGCGTCTTTCAATGGTTCTTTGTAACTTGCTTTCGTGGCGCGTGCTGTACGGCCTTGGGTGTACCGGTGAGCTTTGTGTTGCAGCCTGGAATGCCCACGCGCTCGTATGGAGGAGTGAGGACTGGGAAAAGGACAACGGGCGCACAGAAGGGGTTTAAACGGCCGGGGACCTCAATAGTCGGCCGCAGGGGTAATGAGCGTACGCACGCCCACCAGCCACAGATGCGGTCAGTGTGCATCTCACTAGATCTTAATTACAATGGACAGGGCCGGCTTCGCGCGCGCTGTCCGACGCTCAGTTCGAGACCAGTCCCTAGTGGACCGCTCGATTCCTTGTTGTCAGGGCGATTTGCTTGCGCGCGCCACGAAGATGACGCTAACATGTGCGAAGCACGAAAAGCATCGGTGCCAACACTGCGAAGCTCAACGTCACTGGCTTGGCCCGCAAGAATCAAGGCACCGGGTCCTCTTGTCGTGGGCGGGATAGCTGCTTGATCGCCGCGGCTAAACGCTTGAAACGACGACACCATGCCGCCCGAGGTTTGCCATCCATCTAACGTGTGGCGCAGGCCTTTCGATCTCCCCTGCGCCACAGCCGGTACGCGCATCGGTACGTCGAGTGTACCGTAACTCAAATATCATCAGCTCCACTGCGGCGACGCTGAAGTTCAGAGCTCCGAAGCAGCGCCAGAAGTAGCTGGGCGAAGACAGCTGGGCGCAAGGAGGCTTGTCGTCCTTGGTGTCTTGGAGCTGAACCGCACGAGCTAGCAACACCAAAACGGTTGCATGCTGCGAGCTACAGTAAGATCCAGCAATGGCACGACTTGGCAATTCCCCACGGCATCTTCCAAAGGTCATAGTGTACGAGGTGCACGATGGTCGAAGCCACAACGTGTGCTATAGAAGTCCGTCTACATCTCCGCCAGGATTGCAGGAGTGACATCCTTAGGATCGACCAATTCGCTCCGTGGAAGATGCGATTGATCGACCGACATATCGAATTAATTCGCTCCACGGACAAATCTTACTCGCTGTGCGAAAGCCAGATATACTTCTAAACTCAAATGCATTGCTATTTCCTTTTCAGGTACCCCAGCCCAGAACATATCACGTCTAGTCAGCATCCCACACTCCTACGAGCCCACAACCTCACGCCGCACGTCCAGTCACACAATAATAAACCCCGAACACGCACCCTCCGATTCTTTCGCATTCGCGCACGCATTCGCAGGACAACAGAGTCGCATGCAGGTAATCACGTTTGTGGGCGTATGATGACGTGTTGAAATTTCCTTGCTCCTGATTCGCACATGGATTGATGCGATTGGTGCACTTTCCACGAAACAACGCCTCCGTATCTGACAAGCAAGGTTCAAACGACAACAAAGGTTCGGAGGGCTGACCGTTGGACGTATCGGCCTTTTTCCTGTACGCCCTGGCGTGGCTGGTGTGACCGGTCGGTGGGAGCCCCAGGCGAGGCAAGTTTGGGCTCACAAAAGTCAGGTTCTCAGACAACGTGCGCTGGCATAAATTACTATAAGGCTGAACGTGTGCGACCGCAGGCTGAACGCGACACTATGCAGCGAACTTTTATTCGCGACTTGCTACATAATAGAAATGACCTCACTGTATATATTCCGAACTATATTCAAGCTTCGAGAAAGGGTGTCTCATTCATGCTATCAAACACTACTCAAAACTCTCCTGCTTGCTTCTGTTCAAGAACACATGCCTGCTATGTATGCAATGCTATACTTTCAAAATGCTTACATCGTACCTGTCCGGATACCTGTACCCAGACCGACGAATTCGAATAGAATGGGGTTGCCGCACACTGCTATATAGGCAATGCCTGGTGAAGTCAGCGCGTGCCTCAAGGCTATGGCCGCGTGGAAATTCATGCTTACCTGTATAAATTATCAACTTCGTGACGACCTCAACGTCGTACCTCACACGCGGCTTCAACAATTGCATAAAGATCTCCCTCTTCTCGCTTTCCGCCTCGGCGGGTGTTTGCACCGCAAGCTCCGCCTCGCTGTCGGGCGGTGTGATGTCGACACCCTCAACATGCCCGGTACCCATCATCTGTTCGTAAGAGTGGACTCTTGACGCTGCTGGCGTTGGCAGGAGACTGACACCCAAGGGGCTCTTCTCCCGTTGCTTAGACGATGATCGCTCATCTCGATGGGAAGCCTTCTTCTCCGTGGGCGACCACGCGGCATCTTCCTGAACGGCGCCATCGAGGGAGTTGATGCTTTCTCTTCGTCGCCTGTTGCGGTAGGCGAGGGTCTCGTACGCATCTGCGGCAGACTGAGGCCCTACAGATACGGAGCGTTTGCGTGGATGTGCGAGGTTCTTGAGCATGTTGGGGAGTTCGGAAGCAGGTGGGATGACATTGTCGTCGCCTCGCAATGTTGGGATACTGGTGTATTTTCTGGGGCAGATCAGTATGTACTTCCCAATACAGATTTCGAAACACTCACGAAGCGTTGAGGAAGAAAGCACGAGGCAGGTTAAGCCTGAGCTGCTCCAATAAACGGAATATAGGCGGCAAAACGGTGAATAAAGTTGGCTTCATGGTTGCCCGCCATAAGAAAATGACCACAACACCAAGGAAAATCCGTAGCGTTGCCCGTGGTAGACCAACCGTTTCCAGTCGAAATGGATTTGTGGAAGGAATTGGATCGTCAATGGCTAAACCGGTCATCGCATAGTGCCATGCGCCAATGTTGATACCAATGACGACCGAAACAAACGAAACGGTGTCGTCGAAACATGGACAGTCGTCTGCTGGCTCGGGATGGATTCGAACGAGTATCATAATGAACAGAGTGATGACCAAAGGCGGCAAGGGACTTGAAATGAAGAGCCAGCTGTCGAAGCTTTGCTCAAAGACTAGCTGGGCGACGGCTATGGCGCCGCCGAACATGCTGCCGACAACGACATCCAGAAAGCCGTGCATGCCACAGTAGAGCCTGCCGAATACGATGGAAATGGCAAACCAGTAGCAGAGTATCTGGAGGACCAGGAATACGTTCGGATGGTAGTCTTCACGTGCGCTGTGGAATTTATAGAGGGCATAGATGGCTACGGAGACGGCGTTGCTCGAGTGCGACGATGGGAAGCCATATTCCAAGGCGGCAGATCCCGACATTGTGATGCGAGCAAGCGGAGGTGACAGTGGTCGAGGGAGGCACAGCATGTCTTTGATAAAGCCGGTGAAGAAGATGCCTGCCGCCAGCATGTGGACCATCCTGCCAAAGTCAATGCTTAGAGCTGGGCATGCGTGACAATACGTACGCTCTACCGATATTGGTATATCCGCACCAGAATAGAATGGGCAGAAATATCATATAGAAGGTGTGCGTCCCCAAATTCGCGGTCACGGCAAAGTACGAGTCGAGTGTGGGCGAGCGCAGCTTGTCCTGCATGAGGGCGAGGTAGGGCGTTTCCCAACGGACGACGGGCAGGAGATAATTGCGTATCGCAAGGCGCCATGGCGGCAGTCGTCGAGCGTCTGTACGCGCACATTAGCTGGCGTCGTCGACGTCGAGGGACATTTTGCGCGCACAGTGGTCGTGGTGTTTGTTTCCAGCGTCAAGCCGAGCTTGTTCAGGGCTTGCTGCCGCCGCCGGGGCAGGCGCCGCAGCGGGCGACGAGCTTCCCTCATGGTGGAAACTCATTGAGGCGACAAAATATCAGTCTGCGGCGCGCGAAGGGCATGGGCATTGGCCTTTGGGCGGGTGGGGGCTCCTGCGAGGTGATGTTCGATCGTGTCCCGTCCCAACCCCTGCCCGCCCGCTTCGCTTCTCTGGCGGCCGTGTCCGTGGCTTGGAAGCGCCGTCCTGTTTCCGTATCGATCGCGGGCGGTTGCTGTGTCAACGGCGGCTGACCGTCAACATACACCGCGCCCTAAATACCCCAGCCGCTCGCTCGCACCACCAACTGCGACAAGCACAAAGCGTATATTGATACTGATCGCCTGCGCCTGCGCATTTCCACTCACATTGCACCCTTCACCATGTCTGCCACGACCGCGCCCTCGCAAAACTACGACTACCTGCGCCGCAAGCAGAGCACAAAGGCGCCCGTCTCGTCCATCACACCGATCCGCAAGCCCGTGAGGACGCCCAGCGAGCGCAACAGCAACGGCACCGTCAGCTCCTATGCTACCACCGCCACGCGAGACACCAACATCACAGAACCGCCCACCTACTCGAAGAAGCTGGTCGTCGTTGGCGACGGCGGCTGCGGCAAAACGTGTCTTTTGATTAGCTACAGCACAGGCAACTTCCCAGAGGTGCGTAAAGGCCTACCCTTGTACCCTCTCATCACTGACCAGGTCAGAAATATGTGCCCACCGTCTTCGAGAACTACATCACCCACACACCCCATCCGCCCACGGGTAAGATGGTGGAATTGGCGCTCTGGGACACTGCTGGACAGGAAGAATACGACCGGTTGCGCCCCCTCTCCTACCCCGAGACGGACATCATCTTCGTTTGCTTCGCTATTGACTGCCCAAACTCGCTTGAAAATGTCATGGACAAGGTGCGTAAACATTCATATCACCTTGCAAACATGCACTGACAGAACTAGTGGTACCCCGAGGTCCTTCATTTCTGCCCAACCACCCCTCTCATGCTTCTTGGCCTCAAGTCAGATCTGCGCAACAAGAGAAGTTGTATCGAGCTGCTGAAGACCCAAGGCCTCACACCGGTAACTCCTGATCAAGGCCGCGCCGTTGCCAAGAAGATGGGCGCCCTGTACATGGAGTGCAGCAGTAAAGAGCAGGACGGCGTAGAAGACATCTTCGACCGCGCCGTAACCGAGGCTGTCGGCGACGAGTATAAGGAGCCAGCACCCACATCACATTCAGTCACCCCGGGCGCACCGCGAGCAGACGCGCGATTCCCCAGTGGCGGTAAGAAGACCAAGAAGCGAGAAAAGTGCACCATTCTCTAAGGCACTCGTTCATCGTTTCTTTAGAGTCCGTCACAGCATTGATCTTGAGTGAAAGCGCTTCATGTCCATCATCCCTGCGTCCGTCTTCTGCTTCTCATACTACATCCGACGATGTTTATTCCAACACAACTTCTGCATCTACCGAGACGAACAATGGCTTATCAAGATTCACGACGCTGGACGACACGATCGAGATGCTTAATGACCTAATCATGGACGCGCTGGCCTTTTTCCGCGGCCTCTTTCGCTTTCGCGCTGCGTAGCAGCCGCTTGCTTGCATTGGTAGGTTCGTCCGTCGGAGGCGGACCTGCTGGGGAGGATTGTGGAATCGCGACCGACATACATATACATAGTTAGCGGGCGTTGGTCTGGAAGGATTCCCAGGGAAGGGAGATTAGTCCCTCGAGCTTATATTTTCCCTTGTCTTTTCTCTGTCTGTATTCGGTATCTTATAAGGTGTGGCTAGCGTGGCTGCATCGGGTGCAATAAATTTGACAAACACATCTTCATAGCTTTGGTCGACTGCATCGTGACTCGAATCTTTTATCTTCATGACGTTTCCGAGGTATAGTGCTGGGTATCTTAATATAAGGCCACTGCCACCCTTCGGTCCATACCAATCGTGAAAAGCTTTCATGTTCATCTGAACACCCTACTCGAGACTAATTCCACATAGTCATCCTCCTGCGCCGGTTCACGTTAATCATAACCTTCGGCTGGCTACCTACACCCTGTGTGACCCTTCCCGCCGCGCACTCCTTCAACGCGGTCTCTTTTTCATCCACATTTCTCACGTTATCCTCTTCTCGCCCCTCGTGCATCTTCGATCTCAGACGCGTACCTGGCGCAGTGCATCTTAGTTTTCCAGCAACTCATCTGTCTTTCACCGAGAATCACATAATTGGGAGAGTGTAAGGGCAGGAAGATGCAGGCTCTTCAGCACTCACTCGCCCCCTCTTCCCCATCACCCTCCCTCTTTCCTTCTTTCTCCTCCTGTCCCTGGTCTCCCATGACGCTCTCAAAGTGACTCCAAAGCGACTCCACCGGCGCGAATTCATTGCCGACTTGGATGACTTCTTCCAAGCTCCGGTTCAGCGCGTTCAGGTTGTGCAGTGCGTTATTGAGGGATTGCGCGATTTCGAGCATGAGGAGTTCGCGTTGTTGCTCGTAGTAAGACTTTGGCACGGCTTCGGCGGCGACGGGCACCGTGGACGCGCGGGCGTTGTTGGACATTTTCTGTGTATATTGGTGGGATGTTGTCGTTGCGCGTTCCGAGCGATGTTTTGGCTCGGAACCAGCTCAGGCTAGTCACCTGAATCAGCGCACGCCAAGCCGCCATATAAAATCGCGAGAAAGCTTTCCCTCACACAACACATCAACTTGCACCATGAAACCGTACAAGTGAAGGTAAGCTTTCCCACTCCAAAACACTCCTCTACCTTCTTATGATTATTACCATAATTAATCTGTCAATCCCCTGAATCCTTCGGGACTTGATGACTCAAATTATTTGTATTCACACTATGATTCACCGCTTCTGCACAAATTTCTTCATGCAAGTTTCTAGCTTTGAGTAAAGCTAACGCAACATTTACGCAGGACACAATGGCTCCGGACACGCCTCCGGACCAAGAACCTTTTCCCATCTCGTATGTAGCGGGTCGCTACCTGCTCTTCGACCCACCAACTGTCGCGTATGCGCGCCGTAGGCACAACGTCATCGGTGTGCTTATTGGCACGATACCCAACCTCAGCCAGCAGAATGTCTTCCTTGGTATTCCGCTCGAGCTCCAGCCTGAAGAGGCACGCGTCCTAGTTGAGCAGGGTCATGCCTACATCGTTGACGATGCGGCTGTGCACCGCGATGGCTTCCTGGAGATGAGTCGGGAGGACAGACTGGCGTACCTCAGAGACATGGACGAGAAGGGGGCGGAAATCAGTCGCGAGGTCGTCCGTCGCGCGAAGGAGAAGAGTGAGCAGGCGTTGCGAGAGAAAGGGCTGCGTCCGAGCAAGAAGATCAACGAGACAACCTCCACCAATGCTGATTCATCGTTGTTCGACGCGGATGAACAAACAGGCCCCGTCGTAAAAGCCCCCGAAAAGAGACTAGAGCCTACGTACATCACGCCGACAACGTCATACCCACCCTTGTCTAGGCCCCAGCCTTCGCATGCTTTAGGGTTTCCAGAAGTGCCGAAGAGTTTCCCGCTGTTCCGATATCTGCATGGTAAAGGTTACTTCATGATGCCGGGTCTGCGCTTTGGCTGCCACTACTCTGTCTATCCGGGTGATCCATTGCGCTTCCACAGCCATTTCCTCGCCACGGGATTGGGCTGGGACGAGGAGTTCGATTTGCTCGACATCGTTGGAGGCGGACGTTTGGGCACGGGCGTGAAGAAGGCATACCTCATCGGAGGAGAGGAGAAGGGTGGCAAGAAGAAGGCGGAGGACATACTAACGCTGTCTATGCCGTCATGGAATCCGGCATTGCGACCGAACAAGGAGGATGAGAAGAAGCCACGCGTGGACGTGGAGCCTGTGAGGGCGTTTTCGATCGAGTGGGCTGGGTTGTGAGCGCGTTGGAAGATCCTTACGTTCATCACAAGCAATCTAGTGCGTGCATTTCTATAGCGATACCCAATCAAACCTACCTGATACCCTACGCATAGAAGATCACAAGTAACGACTCAGAAAGTACATGCGCAAAGAGCGGGATTCATGAGCGACGAACGTCTACAAAGTATGTCCAAACACTCGGCTACACCTTGATTTTGCTTTCCTCCGCCACACCCTTCTGACCCGTTTCTGTTCCTGTTCTCTTCTCTTCTGTGCACTGTACACCCAGTCCCTCAATAACACCCTCGCAAAACATACCTTGTCTATCATAACTCTCCTCGAACTGCATGCCTCTCTCTTCCTTGCAGAAGTCCCCTATCATCGCGAGCCCATAGTATAGCACGCTCGAGATCGTACACCCCATCACCCATCCCAAACTGTACAACCGCTCCCACCCAACCCCCACCTCATGCCCAAATTGACCCGCAAACCCCGGAACAAGAAAGACAACTGTCGTCGTAAAAGCAACAGCATTCCGCCAATTCACCCCACTCACGTAGTAGTACTTAGCTCCCTTATTCGCCTTGTACAAGTCCGTGGCCCACAAGTTACCCTTGCGCACGACAAAATAGTCCGTGATATAGATCCCCACCAATGGCGCAAGGAAAATACTATACCCGCCTAGGAAGCGCAGAAACGTCGTCGAACTCTCGAGGATCTTCCAGGGAAAGATGACGAGGCCGATTGCATAGCAGAGATACATTCCCCGGCGGATGTTCAGCCACCGTGGGAAAAGGGCCGTCACGTCCACGCCGAAGGGAAAAACGTCTACTCCCATGCAGGACGCGAAGATGGATAGCATCCACGCCATGCTCGCGAGTGCGATGGCGGCTCTCGCTCCAGAGTTCCAGTGTCGATCGAGGATTTCGGAGCAGAGATCCCATGGGTTCCAGAGTGTGACGCCCCACGCTTGCTGCGTTGAGGACGTGGCGAAGATGCCGAGCGTGGCGCAGAGCGTGTTTCCGATGGGGAGCGAGATGAGTTGGGAGAGGAAAGGGGCGTTGGGAGTGCGGGCATATCGAGCGAGATCGGTCTGGTTAACAGCTATGCTCGAGGTTTTGCCCATGCAGCTGTTGATCGCGGAGAGCATTGCCCAGGCGAGGGCTGCACCTTTCGGGGAGGGTTTTATGGATTTGAAGTGGCCGGCAGAGATGTTCGCGTTGCGGCCTTGCACTATACACCAGGCGAACAGCCCGATAGCGACGGGAGGTAAAACGAAGGATTTTATGGTGTAGAGTCGCCGCATTTGATGGGGACGCAACGCCAGGAAGGGCGCTGTGACGACGGCGAAGAGGATAAAGCCGACCAGTTGCTGGGCTGTCACGCCCATACTCTTCGGGATGGTGTTGGCAAGATCATGCCAGTGGTGACCGAACACGCAGCGGAGGAAGATGGACAGGAAGTAGCCGCCTTGCATCATTAAGACTGCGGTCCAGATCTGGCCTACGAGTAGGCGGATCACAATGGGGAAGAAGCTACCGTACATGCCCCACATGACTCTACTTTCGACTGGAAAGCCAAAGTGCCATTTTGCACCGATCCGAGAGTGCCAGGCAATAGCGATTGCGCCAAGGAGGTGTGAGATAAAAACACAGATGACAGCTACGTTATATTAGAATGTGATCGAATAGTGACTACAATACTGACATTGCCAGGCATTCAAGCCCATCGATACCATGGAAGATCCAACGCTCCAGACGCCTACACTGAAGCCATAACTCCACCAAAAAGCGGCGAAATCGTACCAACCCCATGTCCATTGTGATCGTGGTGTGAGATCGAGATCTTCATTCTTCCAGAAGCTGCGCTCTTCAGTGGGACCATGTGCCGTTCCGTCGACTTCTAGGGCTCGAATGAAGTTTTCACGGCTCGAGAAAGCATGTTTCGTTTCCTTTCTTTTTTCCCGAAGTCTTTCATTGCATTTGGTCATTAAGGAACTCATTGAAGGGAACATAGTTTTGTCGAAGCTGTCCCTCAGCGAACAATCGTCAAAATGATGATCTTAGTATTCGGCACATTATAAAAAGTGCCGCTTATCAGGAGCATTCCTAGGCTAGCGATCGTGGCAGTATGGATGGTAGTCAATGTAGCTCTAGCGTCGTGTACCGCTTATCTCTGTGATAGACGGTATCTAAGGATTCGGAGAAAGGCGACAACCAAGGATACGATAGCGGGGTAAGGCGGATGGAGCTTTAGACGATGGGAAAGGCGAAGGATACACCAATGGGACCGTGATGATAATCAGACAGCTCAGGAATCCTTTTGCTACGGCATTTGAATATCCGAAAGTTGGAGACAGATCCCGGAAGTATTCACCCGGCATAGCTCTGTCTCCACCCCACCTTTCTCCCATCAAATCGCCTTCTTGGCTTGCTCGGCTCGCCACCTAAGATACTCACCCGAGCTGACGATAGGATACTTCATCCGATTGGTATCACTTACGCACGTTGGCACGGGTTCCAGCTTCATGTCCTGCTGAAAACCGAAGAAGAAGGGGCAAGAGTAGCGCTCTGCACCCGCCTTGTTGACAACGCGATGCACAGTTGAGACGAAGAAGTCGTTGGTCTGGCGCATGAAGCAGTCCGCGATGTTCACGACAATGCTTCCAGGAATGGGCTTTGCCTTGATCCAGTAGCCTGATTTAGACAGCACTTCCAGACCAGCGTGCTCGTCCTGCGTGACAAATGTAAAGCACTCGAAGTCGGTGTGCGCACCGATACCCAACTGTTCCGATGGCGAAGCCTGTTGTTTCATGAGCACGCAATTAACATCTATTGCGTAGACGTACCTCTTGTGGAGGATAATGTGTAATCCTCATGCCTGCTGCTGGATTCTTGATGTACTTATCAAAGTAGTTCTCGTTCAGGTGAAGCGCTAAAGCGAAGGTCTTCGTCAATCGGCGTGCGAGAGTCAACAATTGAGCATGGTGTTCGTATAGCGTTTCTTTGAAACCAGGGAGGTCCTTGGGCCACAAAAGCTTGATGTAGTCGACATCTGGTTCGGACTCATTTGCGTTCTCAGGATCAAACTTAGGGTTATAGCCCCAGTTGTAGGCCTCCATCAGGTCTTTCTCTTTTTTACCATTCCGGTTATACTGTGTTACGCGTCAGTGTTTACCACATCATCATAATAGCAGTAGAACTGGCCTTTGACATCGGGAAATACCCAAAATACTCTGTGACCAGGTCTGTGCAGACTTCCATCTTCTTCTCTCCAGACTGAGCAAAAAAGCGCTTGGCTTGCTTGAATGTGTTCTCTGCATGCCTGGAATCTATACCATGATTGATGATGTAGAAAAAACCGATTCGGTGCGCCGCTTCTCGGACCTTTTCCGCCACAGCTTTGCGAGCTTCAAGGTCATCGCTGTAAATTTCCCTGATGTCAATAACTGGAATTTCGTCTGCCTCGATTGATGTGTCTGAATGGTAGTGGATTTCTTGCCCGTTTTGAAGCGTGAGGTTGAGTACAGGTGGGGTCGCGGTTTCCACAACAGTCGTAGACATAGTAAGGGCCTTATGCTGTTCTTTGAGATGTTTATCTGCGGAAATATGTTGATTGAGGTGACTGTTTCATTCTGGGAGGTTCAAGAAGCATCGAAAACGGTGTGCACCCGGTCTGAGGCCTGACTAGGGCGTGAGGGGGTCGGAGATCGGCGAGCCGCCGAGGCACCATCGTAAGAGCAGGGATAGCGCAGCGATGCGGACGGATAAGTAACCGGATGCACAGTTGATAAGGGTGTTCACTTGCAGCGAGGTAGCGGATCGGTCATGGCCCCCACCTATTCACGTAGCGGCGACGGGTGATCCGTTAGTCATCGTTCTTGCGCTATTTCCTATACCGCTTGACGCGGGATAATTTGCATAGGCCGCTAGCATGGAAACGCTGGAATCAACAAAAGCTCAAAATCTACGCAGGGGGTTGGATGCTTGACCTCGACATGGAAACTCCTCAAGAAGTGTGGTGTATGGTCATGAGCATAGATGAAGTCGCGAAGTTGATGGTTTATTTTGGTGTACCACCTGATGATAGTGACAACATTCAAGACAAACTAAGTAAGAGAGTAGGATTTTGTCTCTGGGAGGGCTTCTTGCCCCAAATTGTCGCGAAACATGGAGCCGTCGAAAATTGTATCACTATCGCGTGGTGAAATACGAAGTTGGGAGCCTACGGTGGGTTCCCTGAGCGCGCGAAGAGATGGCTGCTTACGGTGTATCTTTGAAATGCTCATTTCGCTCATTCCGTAGTAACTGCTCGTTCTGTTCTTTCAACTAGAACGTTAAATCCAGGAATTCTTCCCATCGGTTGCTATACCACTCATACTTGTTGTCGCCCATGCGATCCGTAACGAACAGCCATCCGACGTTCCTTCTTGCATCATTGATTATCTTCCTTATCCCACCTCGGCTGATAGTACGCGGAGCAGAATGCACAATCTCCGCGTAGTCCTCACGTCTGCCGTCTAGTTCCCACAGCTTGGTTTTGAGCTCATCTCTTGCCGGCATTCCCTTGTACTCCCCCTCATATACCACCGTGATGTCGGCATGGTAGTTCGTCATATTTGCGTCCGGCATTTTCCCCGGATTGTGTACTACCAGAGTAGGCTCCAGAAAGCCCTCTGAATGCCTTACTGTTGCACTGACATTCTTCAAATACGCGCGCGCATCGTCAATATCCTCCACCGGCGTATGGTCGAAGAAAATTCCCGATATTGCAATGTTTGTATTATTCCACCCCGCGTATATCGCAATCTCCCCAAGCACCTTTTCCCTATCGCGCGATCCATAGGCGATATCGATGTATCCAATTGTCTGGGCATTTGGGAGCGTGTGGAGTCGCTTGATGGGGGCGATGTAGACTCCAGAAGGCCAGGCTGATGCACTGGGCCCATGGTCGACGGAGATGATGATAGTGAAGTTTGTTTCGGGGTGCTTGATGATGCTGTTTTAATGCGTCAGCACATTCGACTCTCTCAAGAATGTGGAAAAGATAGAGGAAGCATGTTCGGCACTTACTCCTCGAACAATCGATCCCACGAATTTTGTTCCGGATTTACATAGAACGGCACTAGAACGTTGATGGGCAGCGGGACGACGTATTTCTGCGGCAGGACAGCACCAAGCGGGACACCGATGATGACGAGCAATGCAAGCGTTATTGTGACTGAGAGCGCAAACACGTGATCATCAATGTGGCGGCGTTGCTGTTTCGGCCGCGGCCGAGGATGCCCGGGCCAGCTTGGGAGGGAAAGGTTGGAAGTAGAAGCATGGAGAGGCCTACCAGGCCTCGTGGATGAGGAGCTTGCAACGAGCTGTCGCAAAGGTATGTCGGTAGGTGATGTGTTGATCAGCGCCTCGCGAGAGTTAGCAGCGCTGGATAACCTCTCGTGCGATGTGGCAGGGTTACACGACTGTAGATGTCTTCTGGAGGAGCTCTCGGCGGGAACAGACAGCATGGCGAGGTCTCAGGTTGCGTTTGCCTGCTGCTACATTGAATGATGCCGACGTTTGGTGTTTGTTTCCTTGCATTCCTCGCTTCCACGTGGGTGGTACCGCTACCACGTGATGTTCCTTTTCACCTCCTCGTAGATTCGAGCGTTTGCAGTGACATCACCGGCAAGGGGAATAAATTTAGTCCGAACTTTGGCAGGCCCCGTTCTCTTTCCTCACCCTGCAGTCACCACTCTCCCTCGCAAAAGCTGCCGCGGAGCGTCAGTCCACCATTTGTTCGAGCGAAAGCCATATATAGAAGGTAGCCACCCTCCCACGATATCTTCTTCTACGCTCACTCACACTCTCTAGACTCGGTTATTCAACACAAACAACAACTCCCATGGCTGAGCAAGCCGATGGTGTCCCAGCCGGGGCACGACACAACACTGGTTCATCACCATTGTCCGACTCTACGATTACCGCACCACCTTCTCCGACATCCTCGCTGGATCGCGAACGCCAGCAGAAGAAATCGTCTGACGCAGCTGAGTACATCCTTGGGGTCGTCCGACGTAAGCAGTCCTATTACACTCGCAAATCGACTTTGCAGGCGTACATGGACAACATGCCTTCTGCCAAACATGCGGGTGCCTCATCTGAGGCTACCAAGCCAACGCTTGGTGGTATCGATGCGCATCCGGCTAATGATCCTTTTTGCAGCAGAGACATCCACCGCCAAATCTTCTGCCGGGAGGACGTCCGCAGCGAAGTCCTCCGCAGGAAAGAAGCGTGCAACCGAAACTCCCGCTGCAGATCCTGCCGATGTGACCGTCAACGCGTCAGGTAGCAAGAAGAGAAACACCCCGCGTGTCGACCGCGCTGGCAATGTTCGACCCGATAACATGAGGTTCCTCACGCGCGGTAAGTTCTTTTCACTGGAGAGCCATTTAGATGTAGATGTCAACTGATAGTACTAGACGTTGCTGGCAAGCTTGACTCAGAGTTGACAGGCCAGGATACTCAGCTCGAAGAGATCCAAGACTGGATCAAAAGCAAGAAGTACAAGAAGTTCGAACTTCTGCCCGACGCATCCGAGTACACATTCGAAGACATGGATCCAAACTTCGTGACTGAACCCCTGAGTCTTAAAAATCAGGGTAGGAAGCTTCTTGTTGGAAAGGACGGAGACACGGGGGGTTTGGGCTATCTTGCCTGCTCATCCGAAGAAGCTGTACCAGTGTCGAATCCTCCTGTGGGATGGGACGAAGGAAACCTTCACTGCGATCAAAGACATGAAGAAGCTGAACGACAGCATTGATGAGCTTTATTACCCGTTCGATGCATTTACGCATAGCGCGCGGGAAGATGCTTTGGTGCAGCTGCTGGCTGTTCTCGGCTATGTGTTCTTGCTCTGCGGCGAAGCGGACGTTGTCTTTACAGATTCTTCGAAGGGTCCCCACACTTTGGGCACTGCGCTTACGTGTATCAAAGAGACGTATGCTCCGAATGGTAAGTATTCTTCTTCTGGCACCTAATATGGCACTGACCAAACCACCTAGACGAACATGCCACCGCTGCCACGGTTGATAGGAATATCCAAACTGGTGGTGTTGCATCTAGCGATACTTCCGAAACCCAGTTGGAGACAGTCAACAAGGTTTTGAGCGAGAAGAAAATGTTCGATAGCATGCAGACTCTGGTTTCAGATCGTTCGATCTACGTCTTCAAGGATTACACACCCGGAACACTCCAGCGTAAAGGCATTGTAAAGGCGCACAATAGGGCGCTTTTTCTAGGTGAAGACGGCCACGTGGAAGCCTGGGCTGTCATATCGCGCGAACCGAACAAGGCAGGCTTGGGCTGGATCGTGAACTACGACAAGGCGACTGGCGAACAGTGGGTCGCGGACTTCTGGCTGAATGTTCCAACGCTCACGTTCCCGTTCGAGGCGTTTCAGCAGAAGGGTAAAGAGGTCGACTGGCGCAAGTTGACGTACACGATTGCATACGTGTTTCTGTCATGCCATGAGGCAGAGGTGGCTTTGAATAAGGGAAAATCGTTCTGGAAGCACTGTTCTTCGATTCCCAAGGACGTGGCGAAGCACTATGGATCGCGTGAGTTTGTCGTTTGCCTCGTTTGCCTCGTTTGCCTCGTTTCATTTTCGCTGATGTGTTTAGTTTCCCCTCCTAAAGGCTGGCCGTACTTGCGAAAGCCGGGTGATTTCCCTGGTCCTGGTCTAGCGCAGACACCGAACGATGGACACGCTTCCTCTACGACTGCTCCGAATGCCCCTGACGTCGATGCGCCCTCTTCCGGCAAGACCAATACCCGCAACGTCTTACGGAAGAAGGGCACAAAGCCAAATGGCAACACAGTTCGAAACTCCCTGCAAGAGATTCTAGGCCCGAATTTCAAGCTGCCTGTCCAGACGCTAGGTCGCACCGCCGAATCATCCGTCTCCACTCTTCAAGATGATCGTACGTACACTGCCCCGGACGGCGAATATCGTTCCATCGACGACCTCGACACGGCTCTCTTCCTCCAGGATCAACGTGACGACAAAGGCAAGCGGTCTGCCTTCGACGATCAGGAGAATCGGCCTGCAAAGTTCCAGCGTCTTGAGGCTACACGCGCAAGGGCAACAAAGCTTCGTCTTCGCCAAGAGCGCAAGGTTGGAGAAGTAAAGCGACTGCTACAGGAAGAGGAGCGGAAGATGATGCTTTTGGAGGAGACTGAGTGTGATTTGGCCGGCGAGATGGGCGACTTGACAGCGGCGATGACTGACAACGGCATCGCTGAGCTTCAGCGTGCTTAAATTGCTTGAACCATGGATGGACGGGAGGTTGGAATGAATTTCGGCGTTACACGGTATAGATCGCACGGCAAGACTTGAGGTTCTCGCGCTCGCGCATTATACCCTGCATGATACATTTTGTTTGATGGAAACTTGGATAGACAAGGCGACTGGTATTGATAAGCTGGTGCTGCTGGTCATGATCTCCACTGAATGGGAGCCTGATGGTTGGGATACGCGACCAACCAACGATTCCATGTTAGCAATGACAAGCGTGGAATATGTGCATATTGTCCAGTGCTTCAGTGCCAGAACATTAACGCGTCGGGGTCTTCCACTCGACATGTCGTCTTTTCGTTTGTGTCATTCTTTTCCAGTACAGGTTGTTTCTTCTCGTGTTTTCATTGGACTCTCATCTTCCCATACAACCGCATTCAGCTCGTCCGCAGATCTCAAGAACGTTGTCATACGTTTCTTCTCCCCAGTCCCCTGAGCATCCCAAGGCCATGTCGAACCTTGAAAGGCCACAAGACTACCGAATAGCTCTCCCTGATGCGGTTGGTGTTCTTGTCCCCTTGCAGCAAGTGCTATTGGTACGTGACGTGGCTCGAAAACCGGGAACTCACAAACAGGCAGCTCGAACGCGCAGTATGCTTTCATCTTTTCCTGCCATGTTGTTATCGGTGTGCTTTGCCCAACTCGTCTCAGGTTCTTGTTCACCAAGCTCGAGTCTTCGATACTGTGATTTCTTGCTTCTGTACAGTCCAGTTGGCTTTCAAATCCCGAGAAAGACCTCGATTGTGGCTTCTCGCGAGTTTGCTCTGTGAAAGAGGAGGGAGGAGGGGAAGTGGCGCGAGATCTATACTGACGCAGTGAACCTACTGAAATGCGACATTGGGCATGGAGTTGCTGATTCGAAGTGGATGCTTGTCTAAATACATCAGTGATAATGGGGTGGTTTGAGAATGTAAGAAGAGATAGGAGACTGTAAGACAGATACGTGCGTGCATCGTATTGCTTTTGGGAATATATATGTGCAAGTAGAACGAATCGAAAAGTCTACTTTTATTCTCCCACTCCGAGGTCAAGTCTAGCCATCCACTACGTAATGGTCATCACCTGCCGGTTAATGTCACGACGCAGGATCTAGCACAACATTATCTATCAGTCTCACTGGAATCTGGCCCCCGCCAACACCCAGGTCCTCGGACGATCCAGCCTCCTCGATCGGCAACATCTTGACGGCGCCGCTAAGAATGGCGCCTCGCGCGGGATCGACCTCGTCGAGCTCCTCCATGGTCTCGGGGTCCGCGAGGCTGATGTAGTCGACCTCGAATCGCGCTCGTCTATGGGGTTCCAGAGCATCCTGTGTCATCTTCGTCTGGTCCGCGTGATCGCTTGCTGGCCACAAGATGTCCCCTCGCCCCCGCTTCCCAGCTTTGTACTGTGCCTCCGCCTTCCGCAGGGCCTGGTTGAGCACGATGCCCACTGTGCGCCGCCGCGCACCCAAATACACGTTTCTGCTCGACAGCGCGAGGCCGTCCGGCTCGCGGGATGTGGGCACAATCTTTACGTCTATGGGGAGGTGGAAGTCCTTGACCAGGCGTCTGATGACCACAGTTTGCTGGATGTCTTTCTGCCCGAAGTATACACGCTCTGGCTGGCAGATATTGAAGAGCTTCATGCATACTGTCGCCACGCCACGGAAGAACACCGGTCTACTTGCTCCCTCGAGCAATTGGCCTAGCGGGCGCATCTCAATGAAGCTCCCCACCCCCTGGTATGCTGCTGTCTGGCGGCAGCGTGGGATACATTGTCTTCGTAGTGGGCGCAAACACCGCGCTTACGCGGCCCGCCCCTTCTACGCTTGCTAGTTCTCGGTCCAGAGCGTGCAGCATGCGCAAGTCGGTCTCCCAAGTTTTAGGATACGAGGCAAGATCCTCGTTGAGGCCAAATTGCGTGGGATTCACGTAGATAGTCACAAAGACGTCTGTGTTTTCGGCGGCGGCGTGGCGCACGAGGGAGAGATGACCTTCGTGGAGGGCGCCCATGGTGGGAACGAGTCCGATGGTGCGGTTATCCAGGAGAGCAGCTCTCCTGAACTCTCGGAGAGGTTCTACATCGCGAAAAATGGTAGTCGGCGGCGCGAGGTTCTCAGAGTCTCTACGAGCAGGCGTGGCTGAGAGGAAGCGGCGCGCATTGTAGGCGACTGGACCTCTTTGGACACGGAAGAAGCTTGAGATCGGGCGACTGAAAGTTACAGTGACTGAGCATGTCAGGCAGAGGTCTCAATGGATTGGGATGGGTGCTGTACCTCGAAGCTGCCGTAAGGATGCCATGGCGGGGAGGAGCGGAGGAGCTCAGGGTCTCTATTAGCTCCAAACCCGTACTCAAGGCTGCGGTCGATGAAATGTCTGATGGAAAGGGATTCCTGCAGCTGGAAAGCAGGAAAGAACAGAAAAACTCTCCATGGTCAGCTCGTAGTAGAGACGCGGCAGACAAGTCTCAATTGTGCGCTGCAGATATGAACACGGCTGTCACGTGCAGCGGCTTACCTCGGAAATCGGCCGTGCGCCCTGCATGTTGCTCCACCAAAAAGTTGGTGTTCGAGATTTGCGAAACTTCAGACCCCCGCCGAGCCGGGACAACAGCAACGCAACATGGCCGACGATGGCATGCTACTCAACTTTTCCATACCGGACAGTGGAATCTTGAATAAGCCGTCATTCAAGGGAGGAAATTGGAAACAACGACAGACCGCGAAGAAGGCAGCCGCGCACTGGCACACGAAAGCCACTGAGCGGTTGACGGGAGTAAAAGCGCCAAAAGCCCCCCCTGCCACTGTCAGTCAATGCATCAGACGTGAATCGCACGGAAATAGGCCGGCGCCCCGAACGACCTCGCCGATCGCCTGAGTACGACAACGACCGGCCAGCGAAGAGACTCAGAGTCAGCGGAGGCGATCACAAGAATTCCGAGGACGATGGAGCTGCGGCAGCCTTCCGACCTCATTCAGATGCTAGTGTCGTAAAGCATCCAGCTGCCAAGCAGGATACTTCCAAGGGTGGCAAACAGATTATCTCGTCGCTTTTCTCGTTCAATCCTACCTCGATCACCCAAGCGCAACCGACAAAGGCGACGGAAGAAGATGCACCGGTCGAACCATCGAATGCGCCCCTCACCAGCGAACTCGATACGTTCACCTCGCTCGGGATATCGCCTACCCTTGCCACACATCTGCTCAAGAAGATGGAATTGAAGGCACCTACGGCGATTCAGAAGGCGGCCGTCGCACAACTGATAAAAGATGACTCGGACGCTTTCATACAAGCCGAAACCGGTTCAGGAAAGACATTGGCGTACCTGCTGCCGATTGTGCAGAGACTGATGGAACTGTCCGCTAATATGAAGAAGCGGAAGGTTGATGAATCTGTATCTCGAGATTCTGGTCTTTTTGCCATAATTCTGGCGCCGACTCGCGAACTTAGCAAACAGATCGCCAATGTTCTGGACAACCTACTTAGATGCGCACATTGGCTGGTTGCGACGACTGTGATAGGTGGTGAGAAGAAGAAGTCGGAAAAAGCCCGGTTACGGAAGGGTATCAACATTTTGGTTGCAACCCCTGGACGTCTAGCGGATCATCTGGAGCACACGAAAGCCCTGGATGTGAGCAACGTAAGATGGTTGGTGCTTGACGAAGGAGACAGACTTATGGAGCTTGGCTTCGAAGATGAGATTCAGAAGATCGTCAGCAATCTCAATCTTCGCATGAGGGCACATAAGGACGAGGCTGCGAGAATTCCGGGATTGCCTGCTAAACGCACTACAGTTCTTTGTTCAGCAACTATGAAGCTGGATGTGGAACGCCTGGGCGAGATTAGTTTGAAGGATGCTGTGCATATACGGGCTGACCCTGCCGACAGAATGGAGGATGAGACGGAGAAGGACCAAGGGTTCTTCGCCCCGGCCCAGCTCAAGCAGTCCTTCGCTGTTGTAGCTCCCAAGCTGCGACTCGTCTCTCTTATCAGCTTCTTGAAGCGCGCCTTTGCCCGCAAGGGCTCCGTTATGAAGGCGATTGTCTTCATCTCCTGCGCTGACTCGGTCGATTTCCACTTTGATATACTCACCAGCAATCTTGAGGAAGAGGTGGTGTCTAAAGAGGACACGAAAGAAGAGAAAGACGAGGAAGTTGATGGAAAGAAACCCAAGAAGAAGCCTGTGGTGCAGGCCGATCCAACAAAGATAGCAGTAACGCACGCTGAGTCGCCATCCCTTTCGCCGCATACGCACAAAGTCACGACTTATCGTCTTCACGGTTCTCTGCCTCAGTCCCTCCGTACCTCAACACTCGCGCAATTCACCAAGAATAACGAGCCCGCCGTACTGTTGGCGACTGATGTTGCTTCTCGAGGCCTGGATCTGCCCAATGTTGATCTAGTGGTTGAGTTCGATCCTGCGTTTGCGCGTGAAGACCATCTGCATCGCATTGGTCGAACAGCTCGTGCAGGTCGGGATGGGCGCGCGTGTATTTTCCTCATGCCGGGCTGCGAAGAAGGTTACGTCGACATCTTGAAGAGCGACAGGAAGGACGGGGAAACCGGCATTCACCTAGGTCGACAGGATGCCGATGAAATCCTCAAGAAGGGACTCGTCACATCCGGCGTTTTGAAGGACAAGACTGAGTACATGGAGAAAGCAACCGACCTTCAACTCGCTGTCGAACGCTGGGCCCTTGCCTCTCCAGCACGATTAGAAAGTGCTCGACGAGCTTATCAAAGTCATGTCCGCGCCTATGCTACCCACATTGCGGCTGAAAGAGGATATTTCGATATCAAACAACTCCACCTGGGTCATTTGGCGAAAGCCTTTGCACTTAGAGAGCGCCCGAGTGGTATGAAGGTACCTGGTCTCAGGACGGGCGCTGGGCGTGAGAACAAGAGGCCGGCGAAGATCCGAGGTGCGGCAACGGGCGCCAATAAGGGCGCGGTGGCTACCAAGGCCGCATTGGATGACACTAAGGTGGATGATACAGAAGATGCAGCGAAGATGCGGAAGGCTGTGAGAGCGAGGGAGAAGTTCATGCGGCATGCGGGTATGGCTGATGAATTCAACTTGGGTTAGATTACATGATACCAATCATTGCTTCGTGCATATTTTTCTAAGTGTATACTACGAGCTGTTCATTCAAGGCGAACTAGAACAATAACTCGGTGCGAGGTCCTTTCACCTCAGCCTGCTTGGCCAGCTCAACTTACAGCGACGCACCTTTCCTTTCCACGAAACACTACTTTCTCACACACTTTCTCACCTGCAAGTGTTCCTGCCACCGAAAACATCTCCGACAATGGCACGGCAATTGAAACTCACCTTTCCTTCTCCGCGAACTCCAGACCCCGTACACGATGACAAAGCACCCAACCCGGCAAGATCGACGCGCTGCGAGACAAAGACATCACGTGAATGCGAGTCGCCAATCGCGTCCTCTGACGCGCCGTCGACGCCGCCATCATCGCAACTTTCCGCAGCGCCTTTACCTCCCGCCACGTTCGCAATGGAGTCGTCCTTCGTATTACCTGACTCTACTGACTGGCTGACGACGTCCCTCCCCGCTTTCGAACCTCTCGAAGCCGCGCTTCGCTGCGAAGTGTGCAAAGAATTCTACAACAACCCCGTCATTACCTCTTGTGCGCATACTTTTTGCTCCCTATGCATACGAAGATGCATTGCGACCGATGGCAAATGCCCCGCGTGCAAGTCTGCCTGCCAAGCCGACAAACTGCAACCCAACATCGCGGTGCGTGAGATCGCAACGAAATTCGAAGAGGCGCGTCCCAAGGCGCTAGAACTAGCGCGTGCGAAGGTTAATGACGACGATGAGACAGCCGCTCTGGTTAGCGGGCGGAAGAGAAAGCGCGAGGTGGCGGATGGAGAAGAGGAGGGAAGAAGAACGACACGGTCGAGACAGACCAGGCGAAGTACGAGGCTTGGCAACGAGGACAGCATGACCGACGATATGCCTGTGGTAATACCGGATAGCGACGAGGAGAAGGAGGATCAGTACATACCGGAGGGCATGGTGCCGTGTCCGATATGTAAGAAGCCTATGAAGGAAGAGGCAGTCTTCAACCACATACCAGTCTGTCCGGCCGCGCAGGAAGACGACGGGGCGCGCAAGAGAAGGTCAAGGTAGGCACCTTCGCGAGGCAAGGCTGGAATAATACTAAGATCACAACAGGAAGAATGACGCTTTGCCGAACCCACTGCAAACTCGAAAGAAAGACACCGGACCACCGCCGACGCGTCTTTCCGGCCTCCACTACCCGATGCTGAACGATAAAGCATTGAGAAAGAAGTTACAAGAACTGGGCATACCCTCTTGGGGAACGAAACCACAAATGATAAAACGACATCAGGAATGGTTAAATATCTACAACTCGAATTGCGACGCGTCGGACGCTGCAAGAAAGCCGAAACGGGAGCTATTGAAGGAATTAGAAGAGTGGGAACGTACACAAGGCGGCAGGGCGAATCACAAAGAATCACACATAATGCAGAAAGACTTCGATGGGCAAAACCACGCTACGGCCCACAAGGGCCAATTCGATGACCTGATCGCCAACGCAAGAAAGCACGCAAAAGCCACACCAAGAGCGACCAATGAAAAAGGGGATACTGTTCTGAATGGCAACTCTGGTACCGATTTACAACCACATTCCCATAGCACAGACCCCACTCCTGATCCACCGCGCCCTTACGAAAACAACGAATCCGCGCTCGCGACTATCAGGCAAAAAGTGGAGGAAGCGAACCGTACCGACTCCGCCTTCCCACCCCTGGACCATAACATAGAATATGCGAACAGAAAGGCAGCGCAGGATGAAAGCCTGCAAGAGCCAGAAGTACCAGTAGGCTTCGCATCCTCACCTGGAAATCCGCTTGGGAGTCCAACAAGGAAGGTGCCGATGTTCAGGATGCCAGAGGAACCGGTGGTGGACGTGGAAAGTTCGACCACGACGCAGTAGGTAGTCAACAATGTGGAATCTTGGCCAATGAAATAGTTCTTGGTCATTATGGGGTTGTTTCTGTGTGCTTTGATCATGTACACGCATGCAGGTACCCTTTCGTTGTCTTGTTTGCGCAAACCATGGTTCAACCTTGCAGTCCGTTCCTATCCGATTCCCAACAACATCACGCACCCTTCTCCAAACCCGTGATAGGTCTCGCGCACTCGCATTTCTTCTTCGTACACTGTGATCGCACGGGCTCGTATCCTAGAACAAGTCCAACTACGCCACACTCGCACCAATGGAGCACGCAGTCGCTGCCGACCACGCACGCGCCATGGAGCATCAGAATCAAAACGACCGAGGAGTCGCCCCTATCTCGCCTGAAACTAAACCCTCGTCGCTGCTACCACCGCGTAAACAGCACTGCCACGACGTCCCGCACACGAAGTCGCATTCGCCGATGAGAGGAGTCACACCTGCGCAGTGGCTAGGGCTAAGGAGGAAGTGTCGGGTTCCGGAAAAGGTGTTGAATCCTACCAGGCAAGACTTTTGTGTTGACAACGGTGAGGGACCTTCAGCAAATGGGGAAAGAGAGAAGGGGAAAAGGAAGAGCTTGACTGCATATGTGAGCGACGAGGCAGAGGAGATGGCTAGGAGTAATGGGCAAAACAGGAGTTTGGGTGATGGATTTGCTGGTCCGAGCAAAGCAGCACCACACGTCGCTGAAGCTGCGAAGCAAGAGCGCACGCCAACGCCCTTCCCTTTTGCGAAGACAAACAGCAAAGGGAAAGACCCAATCAGATCCTCGCCCGATGGAAGCAAAGGCAAAGGCAAATTCAACACTTCTCCAGCGCGGCTAGAACCCATATCCTCGCCCACTGAGTTCGTCATTCCTTCTCCCTCTCCTCGCCCCTTAAGCGTTAGATTAGATATAGAAAAGGGCAAAGTAGACGAACCTCCTTCACAAGAGGAAGTTGATAGTTGGCGCGTTGGATTAAACGCTTCTACCACTTCCAGGCATCCTGGCTTCCACACCCCGGGCCAACCCTATCGCCGCTTCCGCGACTCACCACTGAATGACTTCAGAACGCCGAAAGAGCTCTGCATGCGGAATATTGACAGCGTTATTGCGGCTTCGCGCTCATCTTGCCCCGCCCCTTTCCCTCTTGCGCCCTCGGAGCTTCGTTATCGAGATTTCCACTCTCCTCTTGTCGTGCGCTCGCCACTTATTCAAGAGGGTGTGGGGATTGCTTCGCCAGTGAGCAGTGGGCGTTTCTATGGTATTCCGCAGTACGGGTTTAGTACGCCTAGCCCTGGCCCTCCTCCCAGAAAGATGAGGTTGAGGAGGCGTGCAAGTTCTGTGAGCGAGACACGTGAGGCGCTACCTCCGAAAGCGTCTCTTGAGGTGGCAGAGACGTGTCAAAGAATAGAGAACGCGGCGACCCAGAATAATGAACAGGGCTCGTCGGGGAGGCTTAAGCGCTTATTCAGGAAAATTTGGAGTAAGGGAGCTGATGTTGGAGAAGAAGTGCAGAAAGGAAGCAGAGGGGCTGCTACTAAGGTGCTGAAGAGCAGGATTGTAAGGTCGGGATATTCCATCAGTAGAATCTTCCGGAGGGTTAGGAATGGTTGAGATGATGATGACATTGGTCGGAAAGACCTTCTGTTATCATAGAGATGAGAACCTATTCACTGGGTACATCGCTGTCCAGGAAGGTTGTATTAATTAGAATAGGCACGCATATCGATCCGCTGCGTGGAAAGCGAGGTGGCAAGCCAAGCAACAATGATTTAAATAGGCTGAGATGGATGGGTCAATCGTGTGGATGTGCGATATGGGAAGAGAGGCGTGACGTAGGACACAGGGCATTTGGGGAGACATGGCTTAATTGGCTGTGGACTTAGGTTGAGTACAGCCGTGACGTACATGATAGGGACTGGATAATACTGCAGCTTAATACACCCGTAACCCCTAGTATTGAATCAGGCCACATCAGTGACCTTGAGGAGGAAGTTTTAGGACTTTCGAGGCCTCTTATTATTGTTAGCCTCCTGAACGTACCAGACCCCTCTCCAGACCGCTCCTTTTACTCGTGTGGTTGATTTCATTACGCTTAAAGCGCAAACAGCTACTTCATCCAGGTTGATGCTGTCGTGTGACTTATGAATGAGCACCGAGTCACACCTGACGGCCTGTGTATCGTCGGTCCGACGCCTGACGACCGCAATCGTACCCAGTGCTACGACTCGCTTCTGTAGCGATGTGTTGATATTGGATCGAATGCTAGCCAATCCCGAGGCAGTGGGTCAAGTATTGGCGGCTCCCAACAGAGCTTCAATGATCGAGCTACGTAGCTCGTAGCACGTTGAGTCTGCGTCTCCAAGATCGGAATCTGCCGCACACCCTTTGCATACTCTTCTCTGACCTCCCACTTTACTCTTGACCTACCTTCACCAAGCCTCTCGAGACCACGTCTATCACAGCTTTGCGCTTGTCACCATGTACTCAGAGTCTGTAGCCTCGCGAACGACTAATAATACAACCGCAGCCATCGTCGTATACACGACACTCTCCACTTCTTTGCTATCTCCAACAATCACCTCTGTAGGACCCGCGCTGTCCTCAAGCACCACAACAGTAACATCAACCCAACCAGCCTTGACTGAGGGACACATAACCATACCGCCGTGGACAGATGAACCTTCAAACAAATGGCAACCGGACGAGCACCGCGCAGACGAGATGAGGTTCTACAACGAGTTGATATTGACTTTAGGAATCTTTGGTATGGCGATCGGGGTGATTTGGTTGTGGGCATTGTGCACGTAAGTCAACCCTAATACTTGAGCGTTGAAGAGATGTTAATTCGTTCGATAGGTGCTGGTGGCGCGGCGACTGTTTCTGGCACTGCGACAAGGGGACTTGCGGGGAAGTGCGTCGAAAGTGGAGGAAGATGAAGATGAAGAGGAAGACTCCTCGTGAAGAGAGCGGTCCTGGGGATGATCTGGGGTGGCGATACGACTGAGGTAAGCAATATTCGACAAGGCGGCCAGGGATCAGGTCACGCTAACAAAACGCTGCTGATCACCTTCCTGTAGGCTTTGGCCATATGATCAGTTGTCCCCCGTCGATCGCCGACTGTCGGTGGTTTATTTGACGCACAGATGGAAGGACAGCCCAGAGATAACGCAAGACCGGAAATAGGAGCATGTGTAATGTGAGAAAGAGTTAGTCCAAGCGTCGCAGCACGTTACAACCTTGAGTATACGCATACATACTATTCAGGTCGAATCGAAATATGTTCACGAGGTATCCAGCCGCAATCGAGAAGTTTTAAGAGATGTGTCGAAAAGCAAACATGCGTAGAAAACCAGCTTATTGAAACACTTAAGAAAGACGGAACCCACGAGAGCTGACGCTAAATATCTGCCAGGCATTTCAAAGACAACGGAGAGTGTCTCTAACCGCGCAAGCCGACCTCTTTCCTTCTTTTTTGCGGCCTGCGTCGGCGTCCTGCGTGCCCAGGCTCAGTTGAGACGCGTCTATATACCTCATAATCACTTCTTCCATGACACGCGACCAATGAAAGTCACGTGACGTGACATTCACTGTAGGTGCGCGCCACGCTCACGATTCGGGATGGTTCCTCAGCGCACGAACCAATGTGCGCGTGCGTGTCTTTGTATATAATATGCGCCGCCTCACCCACTGCGGTAGTTCCTTCAACGCTTGCTATACTTCAGCACCACCGTGCTCGAAGACTCAGCATCACACAACAGTCTTGAGAGCACCAGACCCTCCCAACCACCCGTACCACACCCGCTTCGGAGAATTATCAACGCGGACCACCTCACCTCGCCGAGGTTATCCTCACATCACTCATTGACGTAGACACCTGGTTTCTCCCAGCATGTCTTCAGCATCCCTACCAACTGCGCGCAAGCGCCCTATATCAGATACCCACGGTAGGCGAACAGTACTTGACATCTCGCAAGGCGTCAGACTAATGGTTGTTTTAGAAGCAGACCAAGACATCGACTTCTTCTCAGACAGTGGCTCCGACACGGAGTCTGAGAACGAATATGAGTCCGTGCCCCGGTTCAAGCGCCAGAAAGTAGCAGAAGACGAACTCGCCTATCGACCGACGAATGGTTACGGTCAAGGACCAGGGTATATATCCAAAGGAGCACGTTCTGCGAACCTTACGCGATTCCCCCTGAAGCCCATGTACAACGTGACAATTCCTTTCGCTCAAGACTTGGTAGGTCGATGCGGATACGATATCCAGCAACTGCCTTTGCCGCAACGCGCGGTGATTGAGGAGCTACTTGCCGCTGGTGAACGACAGGAAAAACAGGCAGAACAAGCAGCCGCTCAATCGACCGAAGCTACAGCTGCTTCATCTAATCCGCCTCCTCGACAGCGTGCTAAGCATGTATTTCCTGGAGAGATCCCTGTCGGCAAGAAACCCTTGAACTGGGGTCGCAACGAGAAGGCTGAGGGTATGGCGGGTCACTACACCAAGCTTCAGTTCCAGCGGCCGTTGTACGACGAAGGCTTCGAAGTTGCGGATCTTAGGGACAAGTCTAACCTGGAGCTTGCAAAGATGTGGCATAAGTATCGCGATGAGCATTACCCTCTTCAGGGAATTGGCCAGCAAGAAGACGATGCAGAAGATGATGATGAGGCTTCTAATGTGCTTGATGGACTTGGAGACTCCTTCAAGGGGGCTGAAGCACAGTCTCAGGCTGAAGCGACTACAGGTACTCCAATCAGCATGGCAGCAATGTATTCACCTCAGGAGTCTGGATCGTTAGAAGGTCACATTAACGCAGGAAGTTCCACGCGGGACTTGACAGATTCCTCAGGCACAATCCGAACAACCGCGTCCGATCTTGTGCCAACTCAGACGAACGACAACAGCACTCTGCCAAAACCGCTTCGGCAAACTGTTGGCCCTCTTGGAACGATTTCAAACCATCCGGTAGCGGCCACTGTGACTGGGAAGCCGGCAGCACTTCAGTCTGTTCCCCAGACGAGCACTCGGGGGAGCGGAAAGGGGCAACATGCGCAAGAGACAGCCCGCCGCGTAGCTCTTGCCGCTCGGGTCGACCGTTATCCCTTGCACCTGCAAGGTAACAACAACCATACGCCTTTCTCGATGGATCTCGATCTAGCGCCTTTCACCATCAAGTCGAAATATAATCGTAACATGACGGAGCAGCTATTGAAGGATTATGGCCTGCTTCCAGCCAGCCACCTGAAACAATACAAAACACATTTGCAGCTTGCCCAATATCTTGTTGACCGGCGAGATGAGCTTGTTGAGAACGGGGCTACACTCCAGGAACCTTGGACCAATGACCGTCTCGAGCAATATGTTGCTGACCAGGAGGCCCAAGGATCGATTCTTCCTGCTAGCTCCCTGCCTGGAGCTGGCCCGACGAATGCCCAGATTTCGCAGCTGCTCCCTCCACAGAAGTCGAAGAGCGGCACTGCTGCCAAAGTCGTTACTTCCGCTACGAAGCAGGGGGTCGCAACCACCAAGAAGCGCAACCGTGAAGACGAAGATCATGGCCTAAATGAAGTCGAATCCCCTCCCCAGAAGCGGTCGCGCAAGATGGCGAAGACCAAGAAGCGCAGCCGTGAGGAGGTGGATCAGGGCCTAGATCAAGTCGAATCCTCCCCCCAGGCCCGGCCGCGGAAGATGGCGAAGACCAAGAAGACAGCCCAAGTCACTTCAGAAGAGCCAGATTTGCCATCTGCGTTTGTTGCCACTGATTATGGCTCGCCCTTCCAACATCCTCTGTTGCCACATGAAACGGCAAACGTAGCGCCTTCGGCCTCCAGCGCGTACGCATCATCTCCTCACCACGTTGCACAGCACGAGCCTACCAGATATGAGTTGCATCAGCAGACCTGGGCCCGTATGCAACAACCCATTGACGACCCAGCCTATGGGCAACCGCAGTATGGAGTTCAGCCCCCGTGGTCGTACACAGAGCAGCCAGTCTACGATCAGCAGCCCGCATATCAAGGCTACACTATCTACAACAATGGGTACCAGCGGTATCAGGCGCCTCCTCCTCCTCCTCAGGCACCTGTGTCGGCATACACAATGCCTCCATCGCCTGGTGCCTCCGACATGATCCACTCGCCTACCTCAAATATCCCAATTGATCCCGCGCTGCTCCAGTAGCCGTGCGGCCTTCCGGTGTGACATTTTTCCCCTACGGAAGCTTCTAAAACTTCATGACTATGATTCGAGATGTTCAATTCTGTACATGCTCTTTTTTGTTCGTTGGCGAAACTCTGATTTTACTTGTGTATACACCACTCACAAAGTTTGTGAGCCTGGTTTCCGGTTTGATGTTGGCGTTTTTACGTTTGTGTACACCACTCGCAAGATGTGCGAGCCTGGTTTCTGTTTTGATATTGGCGTTTGGGAGTCTTTGGCGAGAGTTACTCATTTTGAAATCATCGATCAATCATTTTGCGTACAGCGCTCCTAGAGGTAGGCAACATTCAAAGAGTACCCTTGATACGATTGCGTTAGGATTCGGTAGATATACATTCTTGGAATCTGATAAGATACTACCCCACCACTACTCAAGATTCGGAAGATGTGAGATGGCCCAGGTTGATCATGATTTTTTCAAAGTGGGAGAGTCTTTTAGCTCTTGTTGCATGCCGCGTCCGTGAGGTCTCTTACATCGGATCTAGGACTGCAGGGATCACCGAATCATAAGATAACAACGCCGGCTGTAGGTTCTATTCTTCCGATACGTCCTCTTCGTCTTGCCTTTTTTTGCGCTTTCGATCATGGCGAAGCTTGAAAAGAAACCACGCGCCCACAGTGAGTAGGGTGAGTGGGATGGTCGCAGCGACATACAGCCAAAAGGTGGGACTAGCTCGCAATGCACCAACATCGGCACCAAACTCAAAGAAGTTCATGCCAAAGAAAGTTGCTGTAAAAGAAGCAGGCAGATAGATCAATGTGCAGACTGTAATAACCCTGACTGTCGCGTTGTCATCGACACTTTCCTTAGTTAACCTCAAGATACGTGTGCTTATACGATCTGAGCTCGCTTGGTTCTGAAGATCCAGCATGTTTGTGAGCTTGCACCACGTTAGCTGGATAAGGAAATGTACGAGGTAAATTGCTTACCAAACCAAGCGTAGCAGTTACTCGTTCGCCCAGAAGCTCTGCTGCAATGATATGAGTTTCCAAGCGTTGGCTCAAGAGTCGAAGTTGCTGATTTATTGTAACGCTCGCGTTTGCAAAGTCTGCATCTGTTGATGGGAGGCTTCCATTAATCTCAATCAGCGACAACACTAGACTCTGTGTGCTTGTTAAACATCTTCGCGCCCTGCAAAGTATCTTGTCTTCGATATTCTTCAGGCGTTGAAGCTCTTTTGCTTCGAAAGTTGACTCCTTCATATCTATCACCAGTATGTGTTTGCGCTACAATCATTTAGCGCTGTCTTTTTCTTTTTTCACCACATAATCTTTACTCACGATGTTCTGTAAGCTTTGTGCCAGATCCTCCATATGATCTTGCCAGTGGTTCATATAGGCAGAGAGAATTACTAGATGTACGTTCAACGGGTGTTTGGCCAGATCGTGACCATGCGGAAGACAAGCAAGCTTCTCAAGCTTTGTCTGAGCCTCACTCTCTTCTTTTGGATGGAGCAGGACAATCACACTGCGATTTGTCTCTATATCATACTTGTGTCCAACACCAGTTTGGCGGAAGGACCACGGGTCTCGCGGTTTTTGTCTACCACTAGGCTCGACGTACATCATCTGGTAAGAGATCTCTACTATTGTTAACGATTGCTGAATCTGATGCCTGAAGCTACTCGGTACCGAAAGAGCCATTCGTGTCCTGGGTCGTCTGTCGGAAACCAGAAGACTCTTCAAAGACACGAGGCTGATCACCAAATTTAAGGAGGACGTCGATGAACATTGCGGAGATACTCCATGACGAGATGATATGCATCATTGCGCTTTCGGTGCACTGTATAGAATCGAGCGAGTACTCTTGACAGAACGATCTGTATATCTGTAGTTAGGGGTAAGTAGATCAATGGCTGTTGCGAGTCCTACAAGATGCGAAAACCATCTTCACTGGTCTTCAAGATACTCTCAGCGAGATCGGTCTCACTCTCAACAACGTCTACAGATGCTATTTCCTCTCCTGCCTTAAGTTAAATTGAATGACTCTTTTTAGCCTCGGAAATTGTCTTACGGATTCGAATCAGCCTGGCATTGCAGCTTTTTGAACAAAAGATTAGGTCTCGTAGACTTCCTAAGCGGTTGAAACGGTGACTCCACTCATCTGTGTAAGGACATCGGCGGGCAAACGATTGCGAAAGATAATTCAATTCAGAAATCATGATTGCGGTTGATATCTTGCAAGTTTCTCAGCGTCTCGAAGCTGCGGAAAAGTTCAATACCATGCTTGCTTTTTGGTAAACTTTTTGCAGAGTAGGCTGAGGCAGTGCCCCGCCATCGCGTCATACAGCGGTTCAAAGACCGTCTGCTCTACTGTGTGACCCTTGATCCGTGCCCTGGGGCCGCGCCATTTGCGCCTGCATGACATTTTCCGGTCAAGATTTGCGCCTTCGGAAGTGCGAGACTTATGGGTGACATCAATCGGGGCATAGGTACCTCTTGCACGCCCCACGCCAACGCACCTCTATTCACTACAAATCAATTCCGGAAACAAAGTGGGTTCTTGTAAATACGAACAAACCTGGGTCAGCCTTTCAAGGTGAAAGTTTGATTGGTATGACCCGCCGCCCTGTCCAACTCCAGCATTGCCACATGACCCATGATCCGTATAGCCTCCTCACATATCATAAATTCTTCTCCTTGATTGGCCTATCGGAGTTCAACATGGAGGATAGGGTTATATACAGGTTTCACATACTTGTAATCACTCTTTCGTCACCCTGTCAGCAACGTGGCCCTCCAACATCGGATACACGACTTACCTCGGGGATCAGTTCGGGTGCATAGAACTCCCACTGTTCGTTCGTTTCCTACCGAAATGATAAGCGCCACTGCGGAAGTACAAAAGAGACAAACCTTTATTTCGAATCGATTGGTCGCCGCCCCAGGGTACTGTGCCACAGGAAACCTCGCTTCGAGGAACGCCTCCAGCTTCTCTCGCTTGATGTAACCAGTGGTTTTGGACCCGATGACATTGTGTTTCGCGTAACGCGCCATGGCAAGATACTCAAGAACCGATCGCGTGAGATTGGTTTCAAAGACGTGAATTGTTCCCCCAGGCTGAATTGCGACCGCCTGAAAGCCTTACTGTCGCAAGTACATATACACTTCACTGGTCGCGCAAGCTGCTGAGGCTCATTGTTCGCTGCCCTGGTACGCCATGCAAGGTGATTTGGCATCGTGAGCTCCACTTTTCAAGTCATACGTCTAGATTGTCGGAGCAAGGACCCTTGAATGACGCTGGAGGTTTACGTGGTTCGACCAGGCTGTACCTTCACCCCATAGGCTGCTCAAAGGGTGTTTTTGCTGCCTCGCATCTGGCCTGTCCGCCTTCCCGTTTGCCTTACTATTGTCTGTGTATCTCAGGTAGGACTGGATTCCTTCTGGAGGCGGACAACGCTTACCGATTGGCAGCCTTGTCGTATGACATTTGTACGACTGGGCAGTGCACGTATTGAGCGAATGAACATCAATCCTCGAACACCACCTGTACGGATGAAGGGGTTAGGTGGCGCTCAATATGCATTGAAATTGTGTCGTTCATGGTCAGCCGCCTTTCTTCGCGATTGTTTCTACGAGTCGTTTGCCTGACAGAAGCAAAGCATAAACAAACGTTGGTGGCGCCTTCGTCCTTTGACCGGACGTAAATGCGGCTCTTAGGTTCGACGCATGTAAGATATGTTCGATAAATGGTTTCCGGATGTTCGCAAATTGATCGTTTCTGCTGCCCCGGGTTCTAAGTTACCAGACAAAAGCAACACCCCAGAACCGATTGTTGTGCGGCAGCCTCGTACGATTTTAAGAGTTTTAGCAATCACCATGGGAAGCTGCTTATCTTTCTTTGAGGCTAAACACAACACACCTGAAGAGCGACGGCCACTTCTCCACAATAGAGTCGAGGAAGAGCAACCGCGGGGAATGCTAAATGGCGGTCCCTTAAAAACGCAGCAGTCAGGACTTAATCAAGGCCCCAGTGAAGAGCAACAATCACTGGTCAGCGACTCAGCCAATACATTCCCTACCGCGCCATCGAATTTCGAAGGCGATCAGATGCGGAAGCTTGAGATCGAGATTCGAGAATGCCTGCGACAATTGACGAAAGGCCCATCAGAGCAAATAAATGCAGAGATCATCATACCTAAAGAGCTCAGCTGTTCCTGGACTTCTCGTTACAGACAATTCTATAAGCGACAGAGGTGGTACCGGTCTGAATGGGATGAGGACGACCTACTGAAGAGTTACCACAGGATCATTTCTATACTTATCATGATAAGATTCACCGACTGGAATAGCTTCTGTAGACTGTTCATCGAGTTGAACAGAAATGACGAAGCCATTCCTTTTGAGCATGACCAGCTCGTGGACGACAGTTTCCTTGGATCTGACATAGGCAAGGACTTCTGGAAAGAACAGTGGAAATTCTGTCCGCTAGTGATCAAAGAAGCCGAAACGCCAATAAAGCTCACTGGAAAGGAGGTCCATCGACGGTTCCCATATGTGGAAACGGAGGAATGGATTGGTGACGGAGCAAGCTGCACAGTGTACAAACAAGTGATTGCCGCACGTCATTTGATATACTCTGCGCCTCTTCGAAATTCCATTAACACAAAGGTTAGGACATCTGGGCCACTATTTCTCATCTGAACTAACTCATACTTAGCCTAAGCGTGTGGCATGTAAAGTGGTCGAAGGTGGAAAAGTCGAAGAAGTGGAGTTCAAGAACCTGCAAACGCTCCGCGGTGATCTATGCACGCATAACCGCATCATGGTCAACATTGCGACATTCATAAAAGGCGATGAGATCAAACCAACGTATATGATCTTGTATGACCTAGCAGCTTACAATCTGGAGACATTCCTTGCCATGGATAGGAGGACAAAAGACGATCACGTGAAAGACCACAGAAGACGTCATGACAGTGCCTCACCAGGACGGAACAACTCGTATGACCATAGCGCCTGGGATTTGGTTGAGGAAAGCCAGAACCTGGCTGATGCGCTAGACTTTCTCCATACTCGTCTATACGATAACGGCCTTTGGTCCCTTGCTCACAATGATCTGAAGCCAGCAAATATTCTTGTGTTCTATCCGGATCACGAAAGGAAAACCAAGAGATTCCCAGTGGGCCAATGGAAAATCGCGGATTTTGGACTGGCTAAAATCAAGAGAAACCTCCGGAAGACCCACACGAAACAATCCGATGCCGAATCCACAGATTTTCAGCAATCTGCACCAGCCACGCTTACACCAGACTACACTCACAGGAGAAATCCTTCCAGCCTTTCAACTGCCTCTATCACAGACTCGAAAAGGAATCCTGGCATGTATACACCGCCAGAATTGCGTGGCAAAGGAGAAGCTCAGCCCGACTCCAGAGCGGGAGACCTTTGGGCTTTCGGATGCGTCTTATCCGAAGTCCTAGCATATGCTGTCTCACCGCCATTAGTAACCGAACTTCATCAGGAAATGGATAACGGGAGAGATACCAGGTACTACGATGATAGCAAGATGCTCATCAAGGATAAGGCTCAGGCGTGGCTAAAAGAGTTACCGCACCGGTGCAGCGGCGATCAGGCTGGCGTTTTATGGGTCCAAGACTGTGTGAATCTCATTTTAGAGATATTGGTCCCGAAAACGAATGAGCGATGCCCTGCATATATAATTCGTGACAGACTCGCCCGCATTCACAATGGCATGAGCATAAATGCCAAGTGGATTCTGTTGTCTCGCAACGCAGCTCGAGATTCATCACATACTCCGAGAGAAACATCGCCGGTGCCAAATGCAAGGCAAGAATATCAGATGGGCCAGAGCTCGCCTTCTAGGAGAAGGGATCTTTCTCCCTTTCCAAGGCATTTTAGTCCACCGAAGATGGTTGAGAGCTCCGTTAATGGCCCCTTAGTGAGGATAACATCTCACGACAAATAAAACCGCGGGATGATTGGTATGAGGTAGTGCGCTGGGAGACTACGATAGCATATTCTCAATTTCAACATTCGTTTCACAGCCTTGACAATATAGAGATGCCGCCAATGCTCGCATATGGTCTCAACGAATTGATGGAGCCACCCATGCGCATTTTTCTTCAGGCTTTCCTTCCTTGTCTCAATAGGCAGTTTGGATGTTTGGTTTATAACCTGAGCGGTGTCCACACGGACTGAATATCGAAAACATGATAAAGACCCGTCTCCGATTTCTCAAGGCGTTCGATGCCAGTGACCCGCTTGTATCTTCCGACTTTGTTCGATAACGCGTAAACACTAAGTCAAAACATTCCCGCACCCCCAAGCCTTCATCCTCCTGCGATGTCTACAATAGTCTAGGCCCTCCTTTGAGATGGATGCATTCAGAAATATTCATTGGAGATCTCGCACGCTCAGTACACTATGCGCAAAAATTATCGGTAAACTTGTGCTAAGCCGGACGAGCAGAACGAATCGAAAGGGTGAGATCAGGGCATGGAAATCTCGCGCTTCATTGGCGCAGCCATGCCTCATATTCATCTACTGCTTGGTCTGCTTGTGGAATATCGATGTTCCTCTTTAATAACCTCTCGGTATGTGTGCAAGTTCATTGAGGATAACGCAAGAGGTGCGAGATGTATGTTCAAGGAGGCATGGATGCTGTCTCGTCTGAGATCCCGGACTTAAATCTTTGTGGCTGTCTGCAACACATGAGATGGGAACGTCGGATGGGTTTCGACCATATTTTGAGCTCAGAATGCGTTACTTCGACCTGCAGAAACAATTCAACCATACAAGATCCATGCTGAAACAATGATCTGGGTTGACGGAGTGAAGCTATTCCTCTTTTAATTGGTGATATTTGTGCTGATCATGATACAACCGAATGATAACAGGATTCGCCAAAAGTTCGGGACTCCACCCGACTTATATCTAGTCATGGCTGGTCCAGATCGATTACTAATGTTGAGGAGCCATCCAATAGCCTGAGGTACCTTGCAGTACAGTCACAAACTCATGATACCCTCACCGTGTTCAAAAAAGAAGGAGGACTCGCAATGATCCTCATCATCAAGTGTCTGTTCCTTGGTGGTCGCCTCATTCACACGAATAGCCCACGGTGGCCCAGATCTGTTTAGGAGCCACTAATGCTTCGGTGAGGCTATATACACTTATTTCTAAAGGCCTGCCTGCCATGCAGCCATGGTGAGGACGGGAATTAATTGGGCATTACCGAGCATTACCAATGATGTGTCTTTCCTTTCTCCATGCAATGGCCGATGCCGAAGAAATGTGAATGCTTCAATGACCACGTGAACGGCCGCAAGATATGAGATCCGAGTATTGTTGCGTGTAATTTATGAAACGTACCACTTCAAATAGGAGAAAGGATGCTGAAGTGAAGAAGCCACGCAAGCGCGGAAGGTACAGAGAAGCCTGGTGAGATGTTCAATAGCTCAAACCAATGGCTCGATTTTGCCGCAACAGCCCTGGAGACCTGTATTTCGACTGATACAGCATGCACTGGATTTGCGGAGAGCTCATGGTCACCATAATTTCCTCTCTAAACCATACTGCAAGTAAAGCAAGCTGAGAACACTGCAAAAACCCCACAAATATATACATGGGCAGGTACATGGTGTGGACTCTTGAGATGATTGCTGATATCGTTCAACGAGTCTACATGGCCCAGACGCGAACGAGCACTGAAGTCAAGTGAAGCTCGGGTGATTCAGTTTTCGCATTAGCTCTTGCACCGTCGGCTGAGGGGGACTGTTTGTCTCCTAGGAAATCGTTCGCGCAAAACATTCCAGCACATGTAACGAGGTTGTACGAGAACTTGAAGGTATCCGATGTTTGCGGTAGACATGTCTGCAGCCATGTCTCTGAAGCGACAAGAGTCTCGGTTTCTGGATTGGCTGGCACACAAGACGTCAAGCCCAACGAGCATAGACAGCAACAGGATTGCGCATGTGGAAAGATACGGCCGGCCTATTATAATCTTCGGCAAAATGCGTCTTCAAAAAGTGTCCAAAGCCTAGTCATTTGTCTCATTTCACCTGTGCATTTGCCAAGCGGATTACTGTGAAAGACGTGACTCGAGCCCCACATCTTGCGCACCAACCCTGACGCTCTCGAGAGACATTTTCGATACCTCACACTACTCTCACATTAAATCAACTCCATTTTCTACCTTGCAACTTCAAGTCCGCCGAGAGGATCTCCGGTTGACATTGCCCCCCTTACCTTGATATTGATCCCTCCAAGCTCGCGAGCCATTGCTATTGATATATATCACCTGAACGTGTAGCTCCACGGCTACCGCCAATCGGGTTCCAACCTCCCCTCACCAGGCAAATCAACCTACCGAGATTTTTCACGACGGTCTCACGAGAAGTCACGATGAACACCTCGTCTACTCGACTCCTAAAGACACTTGCAGGCACGATTGAGAAGCTCCAGAAAACTGTCGCCGAGAACTCCGACAACGCCGACAGTGCTTTGATTGTGACAAGGATGCATCGAGAGATGCTGTCCGAGCTGCAGTCTCAGCTTAACGATCTTGAGAAGTCTCACTCTTCGATGAAGAGAACGGGGGATGACCACAAGCGAGAGATAGCTACTATCAGACAGAAGATCGATGCCGTGACTGCAAGCGGGTGCTGTCTCACGTCGGAAGACCTGGACGACACCATCTTCATGTTACTGACACCTATCAAGGAGCTTGAATCTCAGTATTCCATTGCCTATGGAGATTGGAAGAAGACCAACGATAGAGAAGAGACGCACGCAAAAGATCTACTTGAGCGTGCCCAAGCACTTCTTATGCATGCGAAGGAAGCGGTGAATCTGGAAGGGATAGTGCGGGCAGCAGTTCAAAACGAGCTCAAACAGCGCCACCGAGAAGAGATCGCGGCAAGTCTGCTTGAAGATGGTATTCTAGTCTGGGCATCGCGCACAAACCAGTTTGCCATACTTATGACCGAATGCTTGATGCAGATAGACGGCCATCAGCTGACGATCGCACCTACTCAACTGTGCTTCGATACGCACTCTGTGCGCAGCCTTCACCAAAAGTATCGCCTAGACCACACTAGCATCGACATCGAAAAACATGAGGTTACGATCGATCTGCGGGATGTGGAGGAGTTGAAAAGCACGAAACGCCGAGCGAATATTCCTGGGACTTTTGACGAGAAGAGCCCACACTGGGAACCGCCCAAGTATCATCAGTGCGTCAATATTCGTACACGCCAAGGCGAGGAGTATTTCTTGGCTGATAGGAGGAACGAGGCACGGGACAAGACGTGGGGCAGGCTCCAGGGTGCCCCAGATGGCTCACCGAGCTTGCTGTGTCAGAAGTTGACGGAGATTTGGGAGAAGCTCAAGAGGGGCGAGTCATAGTGGTGTGCGCGTAGATGTTTGATCAGGTCCCGGGATACTAGTGTTGGAATTGCATGGAAAACTGGATGGCTTTGATGCGAAGCGAGAACCCAGCCGAGACATGCGTTACCCTGACTTACATGGACTGCCACTGGTCAGTATATCCATTAGAACAATACTCATATCATCGTGGGGTCGATTCTCCAGCCATCGCACCAATACACGGGCGAAATTTTTGCAACTCGGAGTATATCCCAACACAAACCATGCTCTAGATGCCTCGTGACTCTGTATCTCGAGTTCACAACATAACGAACCTCTGAATTGCTGCGCGAAACATGACCTCGAGACGTTTGTCTCATGCGCATGACCATGCCGGAGAGCTTTGAATAAAGGTGCTGTTGTGTTCAGCTCTGCTCGCTATAATTCACTCTTACTGCCATCTATCCGCAACTCGTGTTCTGCGCACACTTCATCTTACAGCTATGTTGGATGATAAAAGAGTAGTATCAACCCATCATCAATCATTAGGAAACGAAAACACTTACCCGAGCTTTTCTCCAACAAATTTTCACGCAGGACAAGAAAATTCTGGTAGAGCTCCTAAAAGAGATCTATCCCAACATTTACAACCGGACTTCTGAATCAGGAAGAGGAAGCTGATTAACAATCGTCCCACAAACTCTTGGTGATCTGGTGGAAGACCCTGTCAGGATATCTTTGAACAAGCCTTGGACGGCCTTAGAAGCAAGCTGTGGAAAGATCTATATCAACGCAAGTTGTATGTCTTGAGTACGCGGGATGACTTTTAACTCCCTGACACCGTCGATAAACTGGCCAACCTGCAAGAGGGCATCGAGTGGGACAATCCGCACGCCACCCAGATACCTGAAGTGAGGAAGGAATTAGTGAACGTGGTAGCGGAGAGGCTTGAAGACGAGATTGGGTTCCATGCTCGAGCTGAAGCGGAGAAGCTGGTGGATAACATGTTCTTTGGGGAAGATGAATAGTACTGTGATCGAAAAATCAACATGTTCGGGGACATGAGGGAAATTTTCGATGTTACAGTTAGTCATCTATTCGATTATGGATCGACCTCTTTGTCAATTCAATAATCTAAGAAGATATAATACATGAACCACGCAAACATGAATCTACCGTTCTGCTAGGAGAAGTTCCACTCTTTTGCAATCGTTTAGTGAAGTTTGACATCATGCAACTCCTGCTCACTGCTCAGTATTTTAGTTCATACCACTATAGTTTGATGTTTATGCTTTCTTGAATTGCTTGTCTCAGCTTCTTTGTCGTTTGTCTTCAACCACACCGAGTGGCTTTACCTCCTCGCCCATCCTTTGTTGTCAAGAACTTGCGGGCAGACCCAACAATCCTACCATTCGACTTGACTGTATTCACTACTCGCAAAACTTCACATTTAATGTCTTGGAAGAAGTTAGGGACATGAACTACCACGAGTCACCGACCGACCCATACGCTCTGTATGACAGCATCACTTCTGACCCATACCTAAATCAACTGCAACTACTATCAGCGCCGCAAGCGAATACCTCCACGCCAACTGCACAGACTGACCAAAGCTCACTCACCTCCCCCAACATCCATACCGCCCTCCCTATCGTCTTCCCTGACATCAAGCGCGTTCCCAAATTCTCTAGCCCATCATTCAGCTACTCTCCTATTCTGTCCGCCACGCGCCGCCATCTCGTTGCCATATTCCGCTCGCGCGGACCTGTCTCGAATGAACAAGTCGCGAATCCCATCATGAACGAAGTGGTGACCGGAACCTTCACGTCGCGCTTATGGACGTTAGTCTACGAACTGGTGGATCTGGAAGCAGTAAATGGAGATGGCAGAGAGAGGCAAAGGCTGAAAAGTGAGTTGGTGAGGGAGCTGGTCAGATGCGTAAATTGGGATGCGGGGATGGACGCGAAGTGGGAAGCGGAGAGGTTGGTGGAGGATTTGTGGCCTTTGGAGATGGAGTAGACCATTATGGTCATACTGCCTTTCTTCGCATTATACGGACCAAAACCCTTAAGCCCTTTCCCCGTTTAGCTCATTGCACAAAACAGACACACAGGCTCTCAACACCAGCGCATTGTAAGAACCGCATCTTCAAGAAGCAACAAACTAGATGAAAGGAGTGTATTATATTACTATTATTGGCCATTATGACCATGTTATATACTAAGCGCTAAGGAGTGCAAGCGATATCAAAAAGAACCGAACTTTTAGCCCCCATCTCTTCTACCTCTCTAATCACTGATGTGAATGCAAGCCACATCCTCAATCTCCCCAAGCTGGCCCTTCATCTCTTCTCCAACGCCCAGGGTTGAGCACACAGTCTGCAACTCCACCGGCGCACAAGCCGCCAAAAACCTCTGGCCCGGCTGCACATAGCTCAAGTAGATCTCCTCTCCGTCACCCTGGCACGCCTGGAAGCGTCCACCGTCGTGCCACAGCGTCGGGATGCCGGATGAGTTAAGCTGGATGTCGACGGGCGCGGTACCGTTGTTCACAACGAATTCGATAGCCTTGCCGTCTGGCACGGTGGCTGTTCCGCCAGGGGTGATGGTCAGGCCGACCGAGGCTTGTGCAATGCGTGGGCCGGTGCCGTATTTGTAGAGGAGCCCGCGGGAGGCGAAGGAGGAGAGAACAGCCTTGCCGTTGGATGCTGTGACGTACCATGACCCAGTGTTGAGTGCATCTATGGGCCCAGGGTTGTTGATATTGGACTGGTACATAAGGTTGAAGGTCGGGGAGGTGTCAGTCGCGCTGGTTTTGAGGGTTGGTGCTGCGGAGGCGAGACCCAAGAGAGCGAGCGAGGCGACAGTGAATTGCATGATTGTGGTATTAGAGTATTGAACTTGAGATGGTAATGTAGGTGTAGTGGAGAGGTTGTCAGGTTGCTGTGGAATGTGAAGTTGTTGTGATGGTTCTTTTGCAAGGCGTGGATGTTGCACTTTATACACGTCTCGTCGATACTCAGGTCCACAATACATCTACTGCTTGACGGTCAGTGCGATGCCGTTACGTTCCAGTAGCAATGGGGAAGTCAACATCTCGTGGAGACGGTTCCACAGACACTGCTCCGTCACGATGGCACGTGCTGATTCGAGCCATGGATTCGTGTTCGTCCCAGGATGAGCCGTTGGGTGGTCGATCAATATGCACAGGTTATTTTTGAATTAGCGTGTGCGCTCCAACGACTTCAGCGAAAGGGTAAACGAAGGGCAAACGAAGGTGGACCTGTCGATCGTCGCGCACAGCCAATGTCATCAAGGTTGGAGTGGGTAATTGTAGCAACGAGGCGTGCCAATAGTGACTCCGCCCCTACACATGGCAGAAGCGTGTCATACAACTATTGCACAGAGACAAACAAGGGCAAAATTGCGCATAGCATCGCAAATACATCCAGAGGCGGTGCAGTGAGGTACAAGAACATGGCAGCGCAAGGAAGCGCGTCGCGTGCATTGATCAGGTCCATGGGTGCCCACGCACGTGCCATGTACCGCAGCGGCGACGTCAACCCACAGCCCTTATCGATAAGAACTTCAGCTTTTTGAGAACATTCAATCCTCCGCCTTCCAATAATACCACGCCGCACAAATGGCCTTCCGAAAACGTAACGTAGCCCTCGCACGTCCACCAGCTGAAAGTCCTGCCTCCGAAACTCCTTCATCTCCCGCCTCAAACCCTATTGCTACCGCTCCCGCGCCCGGCACTCGCCCCTCACCCATAGACGGCCGCCCCACCACCTCGACCGGTACCCCCTCCCTCGACTCTATTCTCGCCGGGCATGCAGGTCTATCTTTAGGGAATAGTCTGTTGATCGGCGAGTCTGGGACGACAGACTATGCAGGTGCATTGCTGCGGTTCTATGCCGCCGAGGGTGTGGTGCAGGGACACAAGGTGCATGTGGTGGGCATGGGAGAGGTCTGGGGACGAGAGCTGCCAGGCATAGCGGAGGAGAAGGACAAGCGGAAGGAGGGCAAGGAGCGGGCGGAGAAGATGAAGATTGCGTGGCGGTATGAAGGGTTGGGGGCGCATGGCAGTTCAAGGGAGAGAGGTGCGTGTATATACTTCTTGGGACGAATTGCATATATCTGTTCGACTTTTGAATTTCTGAGAGTGTCTAAGTGTGATGTAGGTTCTCCGTTTCCCAGCACAGGTGATGCCGCAGCGGACGAAGCGGCCGTGTTTTGCCACACATTCGATCTCGCCAGGCGGCTCACGCTGCCTGTTGGTTCGGCGATTGACTACGTCCCCATACCACGGACTTCCAGCTCGCCGTTCACTGAAATTCTCAGGACCCTGCAGAAGCACATAGCTAGATCGCCACCAGACTCCATACATCGACTGGTTATCCCGTCGCTCCTTTCGCCTGCCTTATACCCTCCGACTGCTTCCCATCCAGCCGTGATCCTCCCCTTCCTCCATGGCCTCCGTGCTCTTCTCCGCAAATACTCGACACGCCTAACCGCCATCATGACCCTTCCTCTTACGCTCTATCCGCGGTCGTCAGGCGTGGTTCGCTGGATGGAGATCCTCTCCGACGGCGTGTTCGAACTATCGCCGTTCCCATATTCGCATCATGAATCGCTCGCCACATCAGCAGGAACAACCAAGGACGAGGAGCGGCCGCAGGGTATGTTTGCGGTACACAAGCTGCCTGTGTTCCATGAGAGAGGTGGTGGTGGTAGTACCGAAGGACTGGGCGAAGAACTCGCGTTTACGTTATCGAGGAGGAAGTTTGTGGTCGCCAAGTTCAGTCTTCCGCCGCTTGAGGGTGATACAGAGGCGCAGGAGGCAGCCGTGAGGGAGGCAAGTGGAAATGCGATGCCGCGGAAGGAGGATCTCGAGTTTTGAGATGCCGATGGTGGCTTAAGACTTGCGGTCCATGAATCTTTAGAATAGACAATTCAACTTGCATTCCGAAGAACGGAGTTTTCCATGCCTCTAAGCGCTTGTCCTAATTGTCGTCTTGTGTGATGGGAGTAGCGGTCCAACACGGTTCTCCAACTCAAGGCCCAATCCCTTCCGATTGTTCAGAACTCATCTTCACTATCCTCCCTCAGCAGCTCATCCATCTCAATTCCCTCCCAGCCACCACTCCCAGCTCCACCCTGTAGATTCCTAGCATACGCACTGTTGTAGGATGCGTATCGCGGATTGAACGTAATGCCGGCAACCCTTGCGCGGAAGTCGTTCCCCAGGCATGAGCTCAATGCCAGAAACGCCAGGAAGAACAGAAATGGCACGCCGAGCAGCAGCACCAGTAACAGAATGACGTTCATCGCGAACACATGGGTAAAGAAGAAACGAAAGTGGAGCTCATCCGACATGAAACTCAAAGTTCCCTCGAGGTGACGTCGGACCGCACGTTTCACCGACCGACCCCTGTTGCGATAGATTGACCTCCGCAATCTCCAGATGGCAATTGCGCAATCCCTCCACTACACACAAATACGTACACGATGAGCAGAGCGCTCCGGATACCACTCGGCGCGCTGGTCTTTCTGGCCAGCGCGCTTAATGCCGCTGCGCATGGCGAACACGCCCAAGGTGACGGGCATCAGATCGTCATTGCGCCGGACGCGGACTGGGCGACAAGACACATGGCTGGTATGCACGCACTCTGCCATTGATTGTACAACCTGGGTACTGACTACAATGATAGAGGAGCACCACATCTCCGCCTTCGACGCCGGCACCTTCTTCACCCTCCATGACTACGATTCGACAGGCCTCTGGACAACCGTCGATATCCGGCGCACCTACGGCCTCAACGACCCCTCCAGCTCGCACATCTCCGAAACTAAGAAGCAAATGGTTGTGCAGACCGTGTTGGATATGTTCGACATCAACAAAGACGGCGAGATCTCGGCCTCGGAGTTCTACCAGAAAGACCACGAAGGGGTGAAATTGCCTGACTTTGGGATGGGACCGGGACATCATGGGGACGATGAGTACGAGTATGAGATTCACCACTGGGAGAAGTATCATAGTGGGGATGACGTCAAGGAAGAGGATTTGAATCATCCAGAGGATATTGAGCATTTTAGGATGCATGAGGAGCAGGAGAGGAAACAAGAGGAGTGGGAGAGGGCGGAGAGGGCAGGAATTGTGGAGAAGAATATCCCGGCGAAGTTCAGGGTTAATTGAAGGGAAAGAGGGAGTGTTTGGCGTACCGGGATGGATGCTAAGATACCAAGGGACGCGTGTTGTATATGTATACGTACTGTGCTGATGATTATGGGTATGGATAGATGGCTATAATGGGACGCTTGATAACGCAGGTGTCAAGATATCGCGAGGCTTTCGATCCTACCAATCCAGATATCGAACACAACGTGCAACACGCCCGGCGCATATGTTTTCACCTTCTCCACATGTTCGCACCTCACTTCGCCCCGTAGTCCAGCGAAGTCCAAGTGCCCTTCCATCTCCCTCACCACCTCCGCTTTCCTCTTCTCGATATCGTTTACTCCGACGTTCTCATGCGCGTGGATCCAGCCACCCAGCTCTCGATCGAGCATGCGCACTGCGTTCCTCCATGAGAGATTCGAAGAGGGCAGGAACCCGCAATTGACGTGTCGGATCGGTGGTAGGTCCGTCACGCGTTGCATTTGCGCAAGGTCGTCAAGTGCGTACTCATTCGAGTGCGGGAAGATAATCACATCGGTGTTTTCGCTGAGAGGTTGCGATAGAAAATTGTTACTCTCAACGACCTGCGTCCGCCACCCGTTTAGCTTTGCACCACGATGCAGCCCTTCAATGCTCCATGGATTCAGCTCCCAGCAGAGCACCTTACTGACGCTGGCTTTTTTGTACGAAAAGACAAAGTAGCCAATGCCCGCGTAAAGATCAACGGCTGTGCATCCCCGAGGCTCTGCAACGGAAGTAGTCACGGAGGGTAGATTCAGGAGACGCGTCTTTTCGCGAATGTTTCCGCGGCTGAACATGGTATACAGTGGAGCCCAGGTTTGATGGATTCCATTCTGCATGGACGTGACCCAGAGAGCAGTGTCGAAGTCAGTGGCAGTGGGTGCGGAAAGGGTTTGAGCGGAGGGCGGAGGACCAAAAAAGCCATATATTGGCGTGAGGTCTATTGGGCTGCGGAATATGTTCTCAATCGGGGTTCCGTCCACATTCTTGACCACCGAATCAAAGGGTGTAGCTTGCAGAGGTATCCCAGCGTTGATGGCGATGTGCGTTACCCCAACGGCGGCGGCGACACGCTCCCAGAACGGCTGGAAGTCGGGCGAATGAAGCAACAGCGCTTTACTGAGGGTGCTCCCGTACAATGAAGTGAAGTCGTTGCGAGGTAGGAGGAGCATAGGCCGGTATATCGTGTAGGAGGATGGGAAGTCGGAGATTAACACGTCGATTGAGGCACGTAGAGAATACAATAGCTCTGGCGGCAAAGCGCCAAGGCTATCTTTCACAGCTCTAAGAAAGGGATTTCTTCTCCAGGGTTCATAGTCTTCCGGCGGCACAGCATATGATTTTGCCTCTATCTCCCCCTTGATATCCTCTAGGCCCAATAATTCGAACGTGGACTTGTATGTGTATTCCGGTGGCACAGGATTCTGGGCTTCTATGCTGTCTATTAGAGCAATCACTATATTCGTAGAGATTCTCATGTATTGTTCGCTCGCTGACTCCCATGTTTCAGCATCGTATTGGTGTGCGATTCCTCTCTTTTTGTTCAGCAGCATGCGTTGTTCCAGAGCTGTCTTGACGCGCTTGACGTGCCGCTGGGGGACAATGAGCTCCACGCGTTCTACTGGGGCAGGCTTAATTTTTTCTTTTTCCATGTTGTTTTTATTTCCCGCATCTGTGTAGACGCCGTTATGAATGTTGGGTCGTTCGATGATAGGCGATTCGTTTAGGGGTGAGATGTATAAGTGAGCGGTCAACGATACGTCCCTCTTTTCTGGAGCTATTGAGAATATGGATCTAGATGGCAGGAGGACTGGTTATAGCGATCAGGTGGACCAACCGTGTGCTAGTTCTCCGCTTTTCGAAAAGTTCGAGGATTCGCACTGCTGGAGGAAAGCTACCCCGCCCCCACCAATCGCACGGCCACCGAAAGTGGAAGTGGTGCGACTCAAGTCTCCGGGATATTTACACTGGTCTTTCTTACACAAACATCAAACGAATCTGTCCGCAATGTCTTTCACAAATCTTGATCTAATCAACGCCGTCGACGGGTAGGATTCCTCCCCATGGACTCTCCACACGCTGACTCCCCGCAGCTTCCCCTACTATCAAGTCGACCCCGACCTCTACGCCGCTAGCATATCCACCTACTACGAGCTCCGCGTAGCAGACCATGACTACGCCCTAGGCTACGTCCTCCCCTCTGTTGCCGAAGTCTTCCGCGGCGTCGCCCACTGGGAATTCGACGACGAAGACCGTATTCTCACGCTTACTGGCGGCACCAACGCCGCTGTGCGCTCTGCTATAGTCGCCGCGACGCTCGAGGCACTACGCACGACGGGGCACTTCAAGGTGTTGGAAAAGTGGCGAAACGAGTTGTACCCCGTATACGGACGCAACAAAGAGCTGCTTTTCAATGTGGAGCGCAGCGCGAGTCCGCTTTTTGGGGTTGTCACATATGGCGTGCATTTGACTGCGTATGTTAAGAAGGAGGATGGTTTCAGGATATGGATACCTAGGAGGGCGAAGACGAAGCAGACGTATGGGGGTATGCTGGATAATGCTGTTGCGGGCGGCATTGCGACTGGTGAGGTGGCCTTTGAGAGCTTGGTGAGGGAATGTGCAGAGGAGGCATCGCTGCCGGAAGATCTGGTCAGGAGTAAGGCTAGGGTTGCAGGATGCATTACGTATTTCTACATAAGGGATAAGAGCGCTGGTGGGGAGACGGGGTTGATGCAGCCGGAAGTGGAATACGTCTACGACCTGGAGTTACCCGAAGACGTCGTGCCCAAGCCTGGAGACGACGAAGTCGAGGAGTTCTACCTATGGACTGTAGACGAGGTAAAAGAGCATTTGGAGAAAGGGGAGTTCAAGCCGAACTGCGCGGCTGCCATGATCGACTTCTTCATACGACACGGCATGCTGACACCTGAAAATGAGAAAGATTTCATCGAGATTGTGGCGCGGCTGCACCGCAAGTTCGAGTTCCCTACACTATAGAGCAGGATGTAGAACATCTAAGGACGCCTCACACTCTGGGGGTATCCGTGAAGCAAAATTGACTAGACAGACCAAATGATACCACTCCACCTTTTTCCTGAACGCCGACCATGCTGTTGTTGCGTGCTTCGTGACTTTTCTTTCGAGATCAGAGGCATTCAGGCGCCTACTGTCTCTTGACGAGCAGGTAGAGGTGCTCGATCTTTAGGCCGGTCAGTTTCCTATACGGACCGGACATGACCAGCAGCAATCCTCCAAACGAGAGATAAACTTTGCTAGACAACTATTAGCTCTGCACATTACAACATTCCTATCTAGGCTAACTGACCTATTACCGTTGCTCTCCTCGCCAGTAACTCTGTACACCTTCCCATAGCACACATAGTCGTACATATCCGCTAGTGTCTGCTCCCCGCTCTTCTGCACGTCCCTCCATCCCGCCTTCGCATCGTCTTTCACGCCGTCTAATCGGATGGTGTTGGCGAGGACAACAGCGAGCCTCTCGCCGCGCTCAACAGGGAACAGCTCGTGGTTTATATCGAGTGTGAGATCGACCGAGTTATCGTCGGAGAGGCCCTTAAGGCGAGAGACGCGGTCGTATTTGCCTGAATTGACGTCGTTGATGCTGAAGGTGTCTTCGAAGAGGGTTGCGTCGGCCATGATGGGCTATGCGGCTTTGCGCGTGCGCTGGTGGGGTTTTCGTAATGGGCAGTCTCGAACCACGGATCAAGGTATTTCCAAGACGAAAGGCAACGATTGCTGAACGGGGAAAGCAAGGTTGCGCGGCGAGCTCCGAGCAGTTCAAAGCGGGACGTGAAAGAAAAGATATGGTCGAGCTCCAAGGACCGCCGGCGCACTAGGCGCACTGGTTTCCCCGACCTCCGAGCTATGCCGCGTCTCTCGCGGAGACGTTCCCCGCGTTCAACAGCCAACACGGTACATCTCGAGCCTACAAACACCAAATACTACACTTGCAGCGGACTACGCGGCCCCCGATACCCACAGTCACGAAGTAACGAGCTTGGATAGACCCGTTCCTTCATTGTCCGGCGGTTCGGCGGCTCTCATTCACCTCCGAAGCTACCAAACGAGCTCGAGGGCAGTGCAGCCTTACCGTATCAACTTCATTCTCACCACTCCTACGGGTCGTGCTTCACTCTGATATGCGAGACACAAGCGCTCGCACCCAAGAGCCTCCTATATGAGTGCGCTGCACGACCTGCTCCGCCTCTACCGCCATCTCGGTTTCCCGCCCGTCGACATGCCGCCCTCTTCCTTCGACGATATGGACAGCCGCGAACCGACTCCTTCACTGCGCGACATCGATCTCGATTCCTTCCGTGAACATGGCCAGCAGAAAGAGCAGATGTCGCCGTTCCTGCAGCTGCCTAACGACTTGTTCAGGTGTGTTATGGATTACCTTGACAGAGATTCCGCATGGTCTCTCAAGCGGGTCTGCAAGGGCACGTCCACATCCAAGGCCATAGACGAGCTGCTATACCGATATCCGCTGCAATTGAACGATGTTAAGGACATCAGGCTGGGCGACTGGAACTACAGACCCATGGGCCAGGCTCGCTGGTCCTGCTTCAAAGCGAGCATTGACGACAAGAACCGACACCACGTGCAGAAACTCGCGCTAAGTCATTGGTGCAGTATAGACGACTTCAAATGGATAGAAGAACATTTGCCTTCTTTGACGAGCATGGACCTCTCAGCCATCAAGGACTTCGTCTGGACTCCTGAGGAAACGTGGACATGGAAGGCGCTGGCTGAGGCTTGCCCGACTCTGTTCGCACGCTTGGAAGAGCTGGAGGTGTCGAATTGGGCTGACTACACCGCGCATTCCCGCATCGAGTACAGCTATGCGTACAATGATTACAGGTTTAAACAACAATATCGCCTGTCGCGACGACGAGGCGGTGGGTCTGTCGCGAAGATGATCTTTCCCTTGTGCAAGAAATTGAAGATTTTGGCCATCCGAGAGCGTTACTCTGGGTTCCATACTTGGAACGAGTGGGAGGTGCACCAACGCGTGTGCTGCCTTATAGATGGCATCAAGAACCACTGTCCACCAACCTTGACGAAGCTACGAGTCCATGACTATGGTGAGTTCATTCAGTCTCTCACCCAAATCGTTTACCGACAGGATTCAGCGCCTTATCGTTCACTCTTCTCGACCGACGCATCCACATGGTCAAACATCAAGGTCGTAGAGATTGGCTTGTACTCGTGGATGGAGGACCGTCGGGACCGCGATGTGATCGGACCGATACCATATCGGATCACTCAAGGCCACCATCACCGCGATGAAGAAGAGGCATTTGACGATAAGACATACGATGATTGCAAGCGGAACCACATGGATCTAGGTAGGTTCAGATTTTTCCGCGTGTGCATGACATATACTTATCGGAGCGTGCAGGCAACAACGTCGTTCAAGGCGCCGGTGCTTCTTTTGAAGATCTCCTCAAGAGTCTTCGCAATATTACACACAAGTATCCCTCGGTGACCATCAAGCCAATGGACACCCTTCGTGATATTACTCTGCATCCTTTTCACCTTGTCAATGTCAACCAGCGACGGCACCCTGGAAACGCACAACAGAACGCGCAACAGCCAGATCCTGTCGCTAATCTCGAGATACAAGAGGCGTTGCAATGGTTAGCAGAGAAGTGCGGCTGGAGGCCAATTCTTGCATGGGACAGCATGATGTGCGACGTCTTCCCAGCGAATCTCGAGCCAAGCCGCTCTTTTCTCCCCAAAGAAGAAGTTTTATCTCGTATCAAGACCATGATCGCCACCCTACGTTCGCTCGACATCCCCATCCGTATCTCAATTGGCGACCGGACCAACAGCTGCCCTAGTTCAGGTCTAGATGGTAACCTCTACTTTGGGGATTACAAGACCTTCGTTGGAGAGGGTGAGACCAAGCGCGAGCTTCTAGCCCCCACTCAAGCCTCCTTCAATCTGGCCGGCATTGCGCACATGGTCGATGAACTCACCATTCAATATCCTGGCGATGTGCCCGGTGTTCATGGCTGGCTGCGCTCTTCGCGCGGTACGTCAGAAGCCGAGAAAGTACTGTTTGCCCGCGAACTCAAAGGTTGGCGCCGCTTTTGGGAGCGCTACGCACGCCTATTTACGAACTTGAAGAAACTCACTATCAACGTACCGATAAGCATTTACAATGATTGGGGTAAGTGCGAGGGTTTGCGCGAACTGCTTGGTGACAAGCGTTGGGAGATGCTAGAGGTGGAAGAGAAAGGCGGGGATTTTGGCTTCTTCGGGAGTTACTTCCCATTCACGAGCTTCAGGTACAATCACTTAAGAAAGAGGACTCGCATGAAGTTTGTGCAACGCGTGTTCTTTCGACAGGACTTTAAGCCGCTTCGGCTGAATCCGAAGCACACGCAACTTGAGGATAAAGAGCGCGAAGCACTGGAGATCACGGATGGGGATATTGAGGCACCGGACGGGCTTGACGAGCATCGCTTTTGGCCCGTGGAGCAGGAGAAGAACAACGGAAAGGGCATCGGCGAGAAGAGAAAAGCAAACGATGTCGATGGAGAAGACGGCAATGCAGACGGCGAGGAACCGGCGAAGAAGAAGAGCAAGACCCAGAGCGATTGACTAGCCGACGCCAGGGCTGCTGAGGCGCTGGAGAGTTTTATTGATATGATTGAGGACGACATATTCTTCTACTAAAAGTAGACAGGATTGGGCCACGCGACTTTTGGAGAACTTGGTCTCGTACAGAGCGGATTGGGGCGTTAAGCGTGCATAGCGACAATCTTTCAGGGATGGGTATTCTATGGTTACTTGAGCATGTCATGAGTCATGGGGTCTATCGATGGCCTCGTGGATGCATTAATGGGTTATGAGGCTGGTATCAAGGTAACTCTAATACATCGTCAAAACTGATTTGGGCATGCTATTGTGCTGCAGTGAGTATACGCCGCACTATGTGTTCGCTGACAACGATGCTAAGAGCCTAACGCCTTGATCTTGACCAGGAAGCGGTAGTCATCTAACCAAGCGTTACCCCGTTCGAACGCTGTGCCTCATGAGCAGACACAAATATCGTCGGGATGCTGCTGTACGAAGGTCACTTTCTCTCATATTCTAGTTCCATGGCGCCTCTCACCATCGCCGGATTAGCGATGGTCTTGGTGGACTAACAGCCGCCCTCACACTCCGAAACGAAAGACATTCGCGCTTTGCTCTGCTCCAACGAAAATCCTGACAGGCAACAGCTTTTCGAGCGCTTCTCTTTCATCAAATCGGGCGATTTCCGCATCGCGCTCGGTACCAATGTAATCGGCATCCTCGAAAACCTAGGCGTGTCCATTTCCAACCTAGAAGCCAATTCTATTCGCAATGAGATCTAGCATGACGGCGTAACAGCGGCATATGTCAAGACCATAAACGTCGACAATTCCGTACCCAAGTATGGGACGAATTGTGTTCGTGGGGCGGCCAGATGTGCAGAGGGAGTTGTTGAAACAGGCGGCGGTAAATGTCCACTTGGTGTTGTGAAGGGCGCGGAAAAGGCGGTTGCGGAAATGCGAGAAGAAAGTGGAAAGGGTAATGTGGCTAATGGAGGTAATGACGGCGTTTGAATCAGGCGGATTTCTCATCGATCAAGTATTGTTGACCTGGTAGCACGAGTCGGCAAAGGGGGGAAACGCATGCTCTGGTCACCTTTCGCCCGTTCCAAAACGCGGACATACTGAACTTCCTCCCATATTCTCGTGTAGGGCCATTACAGTGCAACAATGCCTACGGAGACGAAGAAGAGACACATCGGAAAGCACCATATCTCTGCAGCGAATGTGAACAGTGCACCAAGACCCGATATCGGCCAGTCCGTCTGTCACCGTTCTACCTGCCCTATAAGGTCGATTGTCAGTGCATAGTTCCCCGCCCAAAGACGCCTTCTCCTCAAATTACCGCATCCAAACCTGGAGACCGCCCCGCGAGATTTACTGATGATCTGGCTGCCGATCTCGGTCAAACCGCACACCACAAGCTCGGACAATCCGCTAAGCAGCAGCCAGGGGACTATTCGAGCTGATTTGCCGGAGGCAAGCGCATCTAAAAAGGCATAAGCGCCGTGCATGCTTCTTTTACCAATTCTCTGGACCTGGAGTGTTATTACACTAATGTACTAGAATCTTGGTTCTTGTAGAATCAAGCTTCAGACAATTTGCTTTCCCGTCTGCCAACCATGATCTCACTATCCACATTGTCAGTTGTCTAGTTTCCTCCGTTCGTTGACAGCTTGATCACTGTTTGGACTTGGGACTTTGCAATTTCAATATGGAGACTATGGAACGTCTCTTTCGCAGATATTTGCAAGTATATATCTGGAGCAGGCTGCTAACATTATTGCACTAGTTGCCCTCAGGCCAACTTGCAAGAGATTGATGATGCTGCTGATTTTGCGCGAATTCTCCATTATCAAGCAACCCAGAATGATTCGCTGCCACATGCATGAAGCAGTTTCCATTGCGAGAGACGATGGGGAAAGGCCATGCCAGAGCAACGGCCAGACTTGTTGACGTCCCGTCTACAAAACTCTTTCCAATCCAAGGCAGCTCACAAAACTTGGCAAGCGCTCCGTGGAGTCAACACCATTACGAGCTCAGAGCTCAGGAGTTGGGAGGGTCCTGGTCGACTCTTGGCTCAGGTGATCGCCTAATCTTGCAAGGCTGTGTCGACTAGCTATCGAAGGAGGTTAGCGTGCGCTTGGGGCCCCAGCCTGTATCTTTCCACGCCGCGTAGTCGCGGCCCAAGTCTGAGCCCAGAAATTCTAGTCGTGACCGCTCATTGCAGTTGCTTCCCAGCTATGGAACTAATCGCACAATTGTTGACCCTCCCCCAGCAAGAGGCGCAATGTTGAGTATCTCGAATGGGCTCCATGCTAGGCTTGTAAGAAGCCACGGCAAGGGAAGATTGGTTGGCACGCGAGCTGCAGCATAACCAGCTGTGCGACGCCTGTAAGATCGTTCACTCGTATGCAAGGCTAACATTGGCGCCAGGACACTGGTGGCAAGTCCAAGGACTAGGGCGATGCTCCCAACGAATCAACGTATGGCTACCATGTCGCGCATATTTGACATCATTGGAGAGGTCGCCTGGACCGTGACGTGCGCGGCTCAACGAGAACAGATGCGGACTAACTTGAGGCTCTTGTCCATCTGCCCCACTCCGGAGAAGGACCGATATGCTCCAAGGGCCAGTTGCCGCACACGGCGCTATCGTGAGGCTCTAGTGTTCGAGGCCTGATGGTGCTGCATCGAACAACGCTAGAAGCCAGCTAGAAGAAGCTGTTGAGGTTCTCATGCTACCGGTAACTTGGCTGGATTATTCGAATTCCTGGAGAATTGCTCACCAATGGAAGCGTCGACCTGGATGGTCCACGCACGGAAACACCCACAAGATATTCAAGAACGAGAGGATCTCGATGCTGCGTACGAAGAAGACAGTCCAATGTGGTTCGAAGGTCACGAGGGCAAAGTGATGCCATGCCCCAGACAGGGATCCATACACGTAGCCTGGAGTGGAGACCTTCACGTCCGAATGCCTGGGGAGCGACTAGCACACTCGCAGTTGAGGCGGGGTGCGGAGAGACTCTCGGGGTAGCACAAGGCTAGCCATCTGCCAAGCATCCACACAAGCCCAGTCCTTCCTACAGTAGCGCTGAGCTAGTGTATCCTTGATCAATCTGGATTCTGAACTATCATGGCGTATCACGACTTTGGGGTGCGCCGCAAGGCTTGCGAGACTTTGTGGTAGACGGCTCGCCTCTATAAAGACAACATGCTTGCCCACCACTCTGGATCATCAGCAGTGCCCATCACCATCACTTGGCCTTGAACATCATCAACACATACTCATTCTAATTGAGTATTGTTTCGAGTCCATCTCCGACAGTCCAAAGGATACAAGCACAACAATGGCTGGTGGTGGAATTCCTACAGACTCCCCCGGAGTGGCCGGGGGATATCTCAGCGGCAAGAAACTCATCTATCCTCTGAGCTTGGTCATCTCCCTCTTTTTCCTCTGGGGTTTCTCTTACGGTCTTCTCGATGTCCTCAACAAGCACTTCCAAACCGTCCTTGGCGTCACACGTCTCGAGTCTACCGGTCTCCAGGTCATGTACTTCGGTGGCGGTTATCTCTGCTTCTCTCCGGTTGCCGCCGAAGTCCTCAAGCGCAAAGGCTACAAAGTCACCATTCTCATGGGTCTCACTCTGTACTCGCTCGGAGCCATCTTCTTCTGGCCAGTCGCTCATTTCTCGACCCCAACGAATGAGAAGGCCGCTTTCGGTGGCTTCTTGGCTTGCACCTTCGTGATCGCATGCGGTCTTGCTACCTTGGAAACCTCTGCCAACTCCTATGCTGTCGTTATTGGACATCCGGCTACCGCTTCTGCTCGTCTCCAGTTCTGTCAGAGCTGGAACGGTGTAGCCTCTTTCACCGGCCCTTTGATCGCTTCCAAGGCTTTCTTCTCTGGCGAGAATGCGAACTCTCTCACGAACGTCCAATATGTCTATCTTGCTGTAGCTTGCGCTGGTGTCGCTGTCGGTGTCCTCTTCTTCTTCTCGAAGTTGCCTGAAGTGTCGGAAGCCGCTGGGCGCTCAGCATCCATTGTTGGGGGAGACTCTGAAGAGCTCGGTCTTCCCATGGACCAATATGGCAACATCATCGAGCAGAAGCCGCTGTGGAAGGAGTACAACATGATGTTCGGTTTTGTCGCCCAGTTCGCTTACGTCGGCGCTCAGGTCAGCATCGCAACCTTCTTCATCAACTACGCTACTGAGGCAGCCTCGTTCACTGCGGAGGAGGGTGCTCGCCTACTCTCTTACGGTCTCATTACCTTCACCGTTGGTCGCTTCATCGCTGCTGGTGTCGCTTATTTCCTAGAGTCCAACTTCGTCCTCATGGTGTACGCTGCAGTGTGCATTGCCCTCTCAGCCTACGTTTCGAACGCGCACGGCACCGCGGGCGTCGCATGCATCATCGTCATCTTCTTCTTCATGGCTCCGATGTACCCTAGCATCTTCACGCTTGGAACCGCGAACCTGGGCCGCAACACCCGTCGCGGTGCTGGTATCCTCGTCATGGGGGTCTCGGGCGGCGCAGTCTTTCCGCCAATTCATGGCGCTATCGCCGATGCTAGCTCCACCCGCATCTCCTACCTCGTTCCCATGGTTGGCTTCATCGTCGTCCTGGCCTACGTCACCTCCCACTGGATCCGCCACGGCAGGCACATCCTCCGCATCAAGGGCGAGAACGTGGTTGCAACTGCGCTTGAAGGCGGTGCTGTTGGTGGAGCTGTTCAGACTGTCCACTATGACGAGAAGCGTCTCTCGATTGCGGAGATCGAGCAAGTTCGCCGCTCCAGCCTTGCTGGCGCACATGTCAACCCCATCACCGGCGGCTACCGTGTTGATGCTGACCACGAGGCTGGCGTCGAACGTCGCAACAGCATCCAGGGGCGCATCAACGCCACATTTGCAGGCTACGACATGAAGGGCCAGCGTGAGGAGACGGTCGAGCACTCCACCAAGTAAGAGTAAGAGGAAAGCACATAGGCTTTGTGGGTTGAGTCTGGGAGGCGATCAGACTGATGATGGGCTTTGTCCCCGCTGTACTTGCCGCGTTTTACGGATACCTCTGAAGCAATGATTTACGATTGACTGACTTTATACCATGTTTTCCATCATCATATTTCTGTAAATACTCAATTCTACTTTCCCATTCAAAGTTTGCAATTCGTCCCGACGACCTTCCAAAGCAGTGCAGTTCACGAGTGCATCCAGGATCCTGGATATCACCTTACTCCGTCCTGCAACTGCAATCTTTCGTCCAGATCACCTCACTTGACTCACGAGCAACCTTCACAGTTCCTTCCCCTTTTCAACCTCAAGCTCTGTCCGCGTATGCATTATAGGCACAAATCACTAACCAGAATATCCCCCTTCTCCCATGTGAACCTCAGACAGACATTATGGTCTTCTAGTAGCCTGTCCGTCATCTCTGCGCTAGCTCGTCCCATGGTCACAATCTTCGAAATATGCCATCGTGCGTGCGATCTCAGACACGGCGTGTCCCCCGTCGGTTGCGGAATGACGAGTGGCAGATCATACAGACCCTGCGCAAAGTACCCACTCGTTTAGTGAGTTTCGCAATGGCAGCGAGGCATTCGCTGGTGGAATAAGAAAAAAGGTAACGGAGGACAGGTCAGATGACGCGAAGAGGGTTGACCGTTGAGTGCAGTTGAGCTTGGGCCATATTGATAGCGCACGGGCCATCGACCTGAAAGTGACGGTGACTGACAAGACAATCGACACTTCTACCTTTCATTACCCGATTAGGAAGTTAGGCAAGAGAGCTCTCCATCATTCCTAGAACGAAGCTGCATGGACAGTGCGTGCGCGGATTGAGCTTGGGCCCAGCGCACGGGCCATTCATCTGTCGTTAAAAAAGTGAAGGTGACCGTACCACATTCGACACCATAACACAAGATTGCCCGATTAGGAAGTTTGCCAAAGAAGCTCTTCATCATTTCCGGAACGTTCTCAGTTCGCTTCTTTCACTTCCATAATATGCGCACATACATGTCTGGTTAGCCACCTGAACTTCTGCGCGACCTGTCTCAGTATACTTAGGGAATGCCACGCATCTTATTCTAAGGCACTAGATACTGTCATTGCATCTTGGTCCAAGTGGACCCAAGGTCTACTGACCTGTTGCGGAGTAGATCTAACAGTTGACCGCGAACGATGGAGATACACTGTATTCAACGCATGTTAGCGCTCTAGTCACATAAACGATGGAACTTGACCGCCGGACGTAACGATGTTGTCCAGCTACTCGGGCAAGATTGACTCGGCCACAATAAGACCCAGAAGAAGGTTTCTCTACTTCAACTTCTTGATGACAATCTTTCGCCGAAAACGTTCAAACGTCGCAGTTTGGGAGCGCAATCGGAACCTGTTTCCGACAAAGATAAGGGCCACTCCGGACAAGTGGCTGGAGCGCTCGCTCTTGATAGAGCTCGCGAAAGAGGTAGGTGATAACGACGCATTCCTAAAACAGTCTCTAGCTTCCTTTGATACCAATGCCCTAGGAAGTGAAGCAGCGGCTGAGGAAGCGCTCCACATCAGAGCCAGGCTGGAGATTGCTGAGCATCTCGAGGCTAATAGGGTGAACCTCGGGCTTTGCTAGCTGGATTTGTGCCGGGAGACTCCTACAAGGAGACAGACCCTGCAGGTCAAAACCATATTCTGCCACAACGAGCCGGCTCATCAAGTCGTACATGATCTTTCAGATTACTTTACTGGAACTTCAAAGCACACCATCGGTGTCTCGCTGGAAATTCTCACCCATACTGTGCCACAGAAAGTTTAGAATGATTTATGGGCTTTTGAATCCAAATGTTCTTATAATGCCTCTGCATAGTATGTCAAATACACATTGACACAATTGCGTTGCTTAGAACACTGTTTGTCTTCACGAACAGTACAAGCAGAAGCCTCAGGATAATCTCAAATCTTCCTCAGAATCACAAAATTAGGCTATCACACACAAAACTAAGAGTTTCTAATCACGCAGAGGTTCCTCTCGTGATGCGACAACCCCAACGCCACGTTACTTATCCCTCTTGACTCCTACCACCGTAATCCAATCCGCAAACACCTCTTCCACCAATTCAGTCACACCTCTAATATCATGCGCCAGTGGTAGCCCCCTTATCGCCCTTATCAATTCCTCCAATAGCTTTCCAAAAGCCCACTTCACTCTTTGACGACTGTTGTTATCCCAGCAGCTTGCATTGATCCTGACTTGGCCGTGCATGGCCCAGCACATATTCTGAATGTTGGCCGAAAGTAATACGCCTTGCTTGTCGATGGTGAGGAATCTTGAAACGCGTATTGAGGGGTTGTCGTGGAAGAAGGGCGTGTGGTTCGGTGATGATGCGCTGCTGGTAAAGATGCGGATCTGGGTGAGGGCGGTGTGCAGGTCTTCCCTTGTTAAAGGCATAGTTGAAGGCATAGTTGGAGCTTAGTGCTTGTTTGCAGAGTCAGTGTTTGGAAATGTTGGGTCGGTCTTGACGTGAAACTTAGGGGAAGCGGGCAGTTAATAAGCTGGGCCTTGGCTTTGCTATCTGAGTTTACTTGCTTTATGGAAACACTTGAATATCCTTTCAAACTAGCTAAGAAAGCGTTATACTCCAACGCGTGACATGATCCAAAGCAAAGTTCTAAAGCATGCGCAAGTGCCTTCCAGGAGAAGCTTGAAGCAAAATATCATCAACGCGATCATACCCGCACTCGTGAATTATTCAGACCCATCACACCCTGCCTGCCACCAGACGTATCGACATCTTAGTTGCCATCATCTGTGGCCTCATAGTCAGAAAAGCTGCTGCTGAAAGCAACAGTCTCAAGCCCCGAGGCAGACGATCCGCCATCTCAATATCCATGTAAACAATTGCGCTATTCTCAACCATACCGCCTCACATCTCCCCGGTCTCTTCGGCGTGATCACCTTCCCCAGCAAGCCTCAAAGCTCCCTGCAAGACGAACTCAGCGCGCTGCTCCCTCGTCCCCTTATCATTACCAGGTAGTTGGTCCGCAATTTCCAGCCTCAGCTTCTCCCAGATGGCATTGCGGTTGATCAGATTAATCGCGCGCTCCGCCTTGCGGTACTCATCATTCCCACCCAAAACGCCATTCGTATCCTCCCACTTATCCTCCATCGCAAACAACGCAACATAGCATAGAATCAGACGGATACAGTCCTGTGCGCGATAGGAGACAGCCAACAGACCGTTGGGATTCGCAGCCTCGGCCAACATGGACTGCTCGCTCTTGGCCCGCTTCGTCTTGTCGATGTTGTGCCAGATGAGGTTCTTGACTTCTGGCAGGAAGTACTCGCGGAGGGCGAAGATCTTGTTCTGCATGAGGTCCATGAAGCGCTGAACAAAAGATCGCCTGTTCGGTAGCTTCAAGCGCGGAAGCTTCAGCACGGGTAAGACGGAGGGAACCTTGCTGTTCTTGAAGCCGTAGTTTTGAAGATCGAGGTCGCGTCTGGCGGCTGCGGAGAGGCCGATCCAGGGGTGGTTGGGGATTGGTGTGTTTGCATTGCTGGAGACTGTTTTGCGGAGCTCGTTAGCTAGTGTATGCAGAGGGGAAATGCGCGAATCTGTATACCTGTATTCTTGCGCGGTGTGGGCGCTCGAGCTGCATTCGTGTTCTTCGGGATGCCTTTCGGCTTCTTGGGGGCTTTACGCTTCGCGGCCATCTTGAATGATATATGGTCGGTGGTTGCTCGATTTGCCTTGCCGCTGCGCTTAATTCAAGATTCGGTCGAGATGCGGTTGACCTAGGCGATGTGGGAGCTGGAGCGTGTTTCGAGAACGCGTCCCCGTTCTATAACCGCGCAGCCTCTGTGACGTGGCCATAGCAGTGGCTGCCATATTCACATAGTGTGATTTGTTTCGTGTCGTGGGGTGTAGCGGTTGTCTGGTCAACGCGTCGATGTGAATGAGTTTCGATCCGACTTCACCCGGACTTGCAAGCAATCGCATACTGCGTTTCGGGCAGGCAATATGTGATCTCGTTTTAGATCATTCTACAGGCCAACAGCTACTAGTTTCCAGGCTCAAGAACACTTCGCATGTAAGTTGGCTGATTACGTGGCTAAGACTTGACAAGGTTCACCAGCTTGATTGTTCACTCACTTTGGCCCTCACTTTCACCTTAAGCACTACCGAATTGACTACACACCGTCACCTCACTTATCTCAAATTACCCAACGCGCGCGCTTCGAGCTCTTTCTCTGCTCCTCAATGCCACCCGCATCCGCGGTCGCATCGTTGTCCACTGGCGGCCTTCCAGCTACCCGAACAATGGCCAATCCTACTAAGTAAGAAACATTGCGACATGTTTTCTATGCGGGGACTCACAGGTGTAGGCATGACGAATTCGTCATGGCGCACAACGAACAGGACAACGAGGAGTCTTTGCTCGGACCGATGGAGGCACACTTACATGCTCACGCTGTCAGCGACGATACTGCGACTGAAGAAATTCAAAACAAGATATACTCCGCCATGGAAAGTTTCATGGCCGACGCGACCGAAACTAGCGACGCAAATGCATCTCATGAGCTTAAAGCTGTACTTCGTGTGCTCTACCGCAAGGTGCCCATGACACTGGAGCTCGCGCGCGTCATTCAGAGGCTCGCTGATGACCTCAGTGTGGCACTCGGCAACGATTTCAACTATCTCGAGGCTGTGATGGAGCGCCATGAACCAGAGATACGTCGTCGATGGATCGCGAAAACACGGAACGAGAGGCGTGCTCTCCTTTTGAAGGTGTCACCACACATGCCAGAAGGGCATCGTCCTGACCTGGACATTATCTACCTTGAGAGATTCGCTAACCAAGAGGAAACTTCGTCTCTAAGTGATGTACTACTCTGGCCGTATATCAATCTCGAAGACTTGTGCAAGACGCAACCGCTATTAGTATTTCTGAACGCCCGAGCGTACAATCTACCATGGACGTTTGCCTTATCCGAAAGCTTGTTCAACCCATTCGGAAAAGCTCCAGGCTGTCCAGGTCGTGATAAGGAGCAGATCAGCATGCACTTCCGATTCACGAAAGACCCAAGCCCCGGCGTGTATGGACATGTCCGGATCATCTTGGAAGGTGACGTCGAGATCACTAGCAACCTGAGTGAGGAGTCAATCGAATACTGCCAGCGACAGGGTCTCCACCTGCTATATGTTCAGCAACATATCATGGCCTTTCTTGTCGCCTGCGTCAAGGAGATCTTACACGACAAGAGTGGAGAAGCTCTTATGAATGTTCCCATTCTCACAAAAGATGCTCTTTCCGACAGGGTCAACAAAACCACCGAACACACCATCTTCGCAGATACAATTCTACTTGCACCTTATCGTGCGCGATCCACGGTAGATTTTCACAGGCTCCGCGCATACTTAGCCGGTCTGTTTAACAACGCGAAAGATCATATATGGGCATTGCGAGAAGATCCCTCATATATGGCCGATACAATCCGTGATGAGTGGAGTCATCGCACAGAGATGATTATGGACATGACATCAAGGGCCAAGTGCATTGGTCCGTTTCAAGACGCAGCCTCACAAGTGAGGTAGTCACCCAGGTCGTCCGTGAGGCTTATCTCAATCTTGCATACTTTAAGACGTTATACGAGACCGCAGATCGTTTATGCCAGTTGTTCGAGGACGGCGTGGTCAATGATTTGCACACCAATTTTCATGCTGTGCAAGTCATTGACCTATTCGCTCGCCACATGAAGGATACCCTGACTAAGTCCATTCGGTATGACACTTGGGGCTCCCCAGGAATGAGGCACTTATACACGAGGGAGCAAGGTCTTCGCGAACTCTGCTTCAAAATCAGAAATAATGCCACAGGAGATCAACTTGAAGCAGAGTTGATGCATGTTTTTAATTTCTTCGATGCCAGCGGGAAGGGTCGAGTCTCAGATGGCGTCTTCTTTCATAAGCTCGACCAGCTCGATTCCATCCTGAGGAAGAATTCCGGGGCGCAAACTATGATCTCTCCACGCGTATCTCAGAAACTCGGGAGTCTGTCAATCATGGTCGAGTGTCTTCGTCAGCTCAGCCTCTGGAGACTTAGCCCGGAAGTCCAGCTGTTTCTCGAAGATCATGGGCATTGCGAAGAGAAGCTGTCCAACAAAGAAGGCCTCCAACATTTTCTGAAGTGGTTCAACGCTTTGGATAAGTACAAACCTCTGGTGACTGCCGTAGATATACCACAGGGCTGTTTGAACTATCCAATTCACCATTTCCCGAACCGCCAGAATGTTGAGCAAATGCGAGCAGCGGAGAAGAATTTGGACTCATTCTGGACTCATCTCGACATGTTCTTAGCGGAGTCTACGGGCCAAGCTCAGCATGAGCTTATTCAGCCTTGCCTTGCTGAACATATGCGTCGTACACCAGCATGGATCGACGAGAAGACTTCCATGTCAGAACACGTGTATGTGCCTCTTTCCAGAGTCTTACACGATGTTTCGAAGCAGATCACTGGCGTCTTCGATAGATGCGCGGGAGTGAGCAACGCAAAGCCCAAAACCCACGGAATGCCGAACCCAACGCGGACGTTTCCTGCGACCTCTTTGGATATGTCCGTCACCGATGAAAAGTCCACAGCACTTAAGCACGTGAAAGTGGATAAGCGCACTTTCAAGACGATCAAATCCATCTTCGGCATGCATGCCCAAGCAGGAGATGTCCCTAAGGTAGTGAAATGGGACGAGTTCAAGCGCACTATGATTCGTACTGGTTTCTCAGCGGAGAAGCTCCAGGGATCGGCGTGGCAGTTCACTCCGCAGGGAAACACCAATGTCGAGCGGGGCATCCAGTTCCACGAGCCTCATCCCGACAGCGACATCCCCTACGCCATGGCGCGTCGTTTCGGTCGTCGGCTCGAGCGTGTTTACGGTTGGACGCGAGAGACTTTCAAGCTCGCTTAGAGGATGAACATGTGGGTATCTCAAGTTGTTCTGCGTCGACCCTTTGTGAGAGAGGTGAATTTTTCTATTTGATTCTGGTTAAGGAACATCGCAACTGTCGAAATAAGTTATGGGGGACGACATGCAGCGCGTTAGCGATGCTATCTTGCCTTCATTAAACGTGACTTGCTGCAGCATGAGGGAAAAGGTGGAGAGGAACGAGGAAAGCGGCCAACAGAGAGCCTGAATAAGAAGTTTAGTTGTCCAATGCAGTGTTCTCTACAGAATGTCAGTCACAGAGAGCTATAAGCAAGCATACCGTCGTACAGAACTGCATGTTGCCAGGTTGATGTTTTCTTTGATCGTGTTTACCGATGAGTGACCAGTCCGTTCTTCATGATCTCATCACCCTCTCAAGAGTCCTCAAGCTCTCAGTCAGCAGGACCATATCCTGTTACCCCGTCTCCCTTGTTGGTTTTGACAACCAGCCATAGTTGTATGGTCCGTGGATCTTCTCATCCCAAACCGGCTCGTCACGCGAATCGACTGGAATATACTGCCGTCCCTCTGGATGGTTCTTTGGCTTCGCACTTGAAGCTATGGAGCTAGTCTTGAGATTAGCCATACGGCGCTGCAATTCCCCTTTGGTGAGGACTGGCAGCCACAGAGTCGGGTCTACGCTGTATCTAAGTAGGTTCGGTATCATATAAGATTAGAGATGTTTTCTATAACTTACTCCGCTTCAAGCTGTCGCCCGATATCCTCCTTCGTTAAATCAACCTTCCATCCCGCTGCCCACCAGTAGTTCCAGGTGGTATTCACGCTGGTGCGGGCGAAGTTCTTTTTCTTTTCTTCACTCCATGCCCAGGTTCGCCAGCCTTAATAAGACGATTGTGACAGACCTATGATGATTGCTTAGAGATGCTCAAGGCCCAATGTTTGCAGCACTTGCTCTGATTGCCACCTGCTGATAGACTCACACCGTAGTCATACTCTCCCCGGTCGTAGATCTTGAAATAACGTATACTATTTTCCATTTAACGTACTCAAGCCGCATGCGCATCGTTCCGAAAGCACCCACGGGAGCAAAGCTTCCGAATCAAGAGCCACACTGCCTAAGCTTGGCTGGAGCGTGCAATGGATTTAACCATATGTTTCTTCTCCGTACCCGCCTCCAATGTTAAGGCGTGGCGGTCTCGGGCGCAATGGAATTTACGTGACGTCACTGCGCTCAACCTCCACCACATCTTCCGCAACAGGACCACTCACAGCGATGAGCGTTTGAGAATTGGAATCGTCTGTTGTAAGGGAGCGTTCATACCGCGAGAACAAAGCGGCGGGAGTGACATCGTCTTCGATAGCCTACTCCAGCGATGGAAGCTCCTTCTTTAGGGCACCATCCAGCATTAGTACCCCTTCGATTACACAGCCCAAAGCTCTCTTCAAGATACCACACGCCAGGTATTCAAAATAGATACTAACATAACTAGAACGTAATTCTGACGACCTACAATGCCCGTCTTCCACTTCTACATACACTATTCTGACGTCATGACTCGAGCCATCGATTGATCAAAGCAATCACTTACCTCCATGAGACTTCCAGATCATTATACTACACCAACCTACATCTTTCAAAACCTTCAACGCTATATTCAGAATGTCCGGTCAACGCGCCGAATCCCTAATGCAAGACTACGAAAAACGCCCCGACCCCGTCTCCCTCACCCAAAATCCGGACCCATCTAAGAACAGCTCCTCAGGCGTCGACTACGAGCCCCATCCTGAGAAATCTATTGAACTAGAGCCAGAACGCCAGCGTATCGTCCAGTCAATATGTAGTCTCTACTCCGGTAGCGCAAATGAGCAGGACATGCAAGTTTACGCTGAGGAGTCTGTTTACGATGACCCGTGGAGTTTTTGTGATACGAGGTATAAAATTGCGGGACAGTGGTATGGTACGTCCAACCCCCCTATTTTCCCTATTCGCCTCCTTCCCGTTACTCACCTCAGTGCGTATAGGGATTCCCAAAATAATGGCTTCCTCCAAGACCATCAAAACTGAGGTGGTATCCTCTAAGCCTGACGAAATCATCTTCAAGCTACAGCAAGAGTACACGCCCAAACCGATGCCTGTGCCCAAGAAAGTAAATTCTCTGGTCACGCTTACGCTGGATCAGCACAATAAAGTCAAGTATCACAAGGATATGTGGAACGAGAAGGATTACAGCCATGAAGGGTTGGGGAAGGTGATGAAGACCCTGAATGGGGATTATCTGACTAAGATTACCAAGCCGCCGGAGAGCTTAGGACCGAAGGAGTGAGGGAATTGAGGAGAAAGATATATGTGTTGGGAATCGTGCTCTTCTAAATCATACGAAGTATGTTGGCAAAAGTCGCCATTAACAAGGTGGCCACTGGGCAACACATCATTCTTCACCCTGAACATAGTCTCACTGTCAATGTATCAACAACTACGAAGAGACATCTTTAAAGAAAAAAAGTACATGTATTGAAACAAACCCACATGCCCACAATGCAGATACTTCCAGTGCTGGCCCAATCATCATGGCACAAACAGCCTTGAGTAGGCCGTGACATTCGTTCGGCAGCACACGCAAGTGGTGTAATTCTTCGATGCCAGTCCGACCCTACAATCATCACACAGGGACAGACAACCGCACGGCCAGACCAAAACTGTCCGAGGACTGATCTGGCACACTACACACACTGGGGACCTTCGCTACCCATGCCTTCAGCGCCGCTGTCCCATGAGCCAGCATTACTCTTGGCCGCTGCGTCCCGTCTGTCGAGCATGAACTCTTCCAAGATCTGCTCTTCCTCGTCAGGTGACATTGAAGCTGCGCCGGGGGTACGGTGGCGAGTGGAAGCTAAGAGCTTGATATCATTCCTCTGAAGAATTCGACGGTACTGTGAACGCGTCATCACACCTGAGCTTTGTAAATGGCGTCCCAGCATCTTAGCCTCTTCCCTGTCGTCTTTCGATTGTGGGTCCAGCAGGCGTGAGAGACGCGATATATCCAGCGTATCGGCTTGCATAGGCGTAGACTCTCGGCTATCCCCAAACGATGTTTGTGTCGGCGTTCGTTGCCCTTCATCGTCCGTATCCGACCAATCCTCGGCATCCGATGTCGTGGAAAAGGACATAATGCTTGTTGTGTCATCATCATCAGCAGAGGATGGAACGTAATCACCACTCGTGTCGAGATCGCCCCATTTCCCGCCTCCTCTCCACCAATCGTAGAGATAGTTGGATATGTGCGCTTCAGAGTCGGAAGGGCCCCGCTCGTCGTAGGCACCGGTACTCTGCAATCTTTCCCGTGTGACAGCTTCCACATCGAAAGAAATGTCTGCTCGTCTCCGAGACTTACGTCCGGTGATGTCGTCCACAACGAGCCATGGCTCTCGCTCTGATGGCGGAACGCCTTGCCGACGTTTGGCTTCCTCGTTCAACCGCTGTTGGGAAAGACGAACCAGCCACTGAGGACGCCAGGTGATGTGCAGCTTCTGCATGATGGCTACTAGCAATCTAGCCTGCACAAACAACAAGAGCGCCAGGATGCCCCTGAGGAATCTAAGAGTTAGCGTCCATCGTCCTTGTCGGTGTTGCAGTCCGACGCCGTGATCCTGCTGTCCCAGAGCTTCCATTGCATCAGGCGACGACGCATCAGCGTCCCTAGTCTTCCTTTCTCGTGCGTATCCTGTATCTGCTTGAGCATCCACCCCAACTGCATTATTCGACTTCTGGCCAACTTGTCTACGGCGAGCGGCCGTTTCATGATATCTCTTCCGTTCCAACCAGGTTGATGAGTGCACATTGACACGCATTGCCTCATTGAGAAAGACCGCCTCGCTTGCTGCAGTCAGAACAGTGAGCCCAACCTTGAGCACGGCAGTGTAAAAGTCCTCGTTCCAGCTAACGCTTAATGGAGTGATTGCAGATAAGTGTATGTTAGCATGGAGGTTTCCATAGGCGGTCACAAACCGCTCGCGCCATGTTGCATTAGGTTGCCCGGGCGGAGGATTCAGGACGGTAATACCCAGAGCAAGCAAGTAGATTACTTCAAAGAGTCAGTACGAATCCAACAAAGCAAAGCAACACGAGCCAACGTACCGCCACAACATAAAATTCCCGCAATGATAACGAGGTGAGGTATGAAACCAACCATGCAAACGGTGGGGAATCTCAAGATGCCTACGTGCCGGCCGGAATCGAAGTCATTCGTTGCAAATCGTATGACACTCCAGGCAAAGGTGGCCATATAGGCGGCTCCCCATATAGCAGTAGTCACAAGTCGGAATCGAGCGCGGTATCCAATGATGGCGAGAAAGTTGCTTGAGAAATGGCTGACACTGGAAATCAATGATATTAACAAGACCTCAGGGGGTACATTTGCAAATGAAGAAATTGTCGCCCGGGTGAGTGTAAGTTCCGTAGAATCAGGAGTGAGGAGCTTTTGCGGCTTGAAAAATTGGGTTGAGTCCAGGGTGAAAGGTCGGGAGACAACTGCCTCGGCCTCTGCGAAGGCTAACGAATGCTCGAAGATGGTCACTAATAGGAGATCAGCTACCGAAATTTGCTGCCAAAATGAGGGTACTTACTGCCCACCTCCGGGACGGGGTGACGTCCTTGAAGGGCACACGACAACGTCTCAACAAATTGACCAAACCCGAGCGAGATGAATAAGGGCCATAGCAGCGCTAGGGATCCAGCCGGCCGTGTACTATCTGGTGCGATCGGAAACATCTTGACTGCCTTGCAAGAACTTTCCACGTCTTCCCAGAAGAGTAATGCTGAACTTGCACGCCATAGAAAGCCACCGTCGCCGGCAAAATCGGTGTCCAATTGCCGCCCAGTAGGACCATATTGCATGCTTGTCCAATTCGGATTTGTCTGGCAGCGGATAGCCTGGAGCACACTCTGTATCCTGTACACGAAAAGGAGCAATGGGAGAAGGTATAGGGCGAGGCGCAGGTGGAGGCGATCGAACGAGAGGGGCACTCGGCTCGAGGCGTAGAAGTATGTACGATTAAGTAGGATGGCCTAGCGAATGGTCAGATTTGCGTTCTTTGTAATACCCAACCCTGCAGGTGGTCTTTACAATAGAGAAAGTGGCTATAGCCCATTTAGAAGTGATGTAGCTGAAGAACGACCCAACGTTCTTGAGCGCCTGGAAGATGTTCATGTCGTCCTGGAGTGCCAGACCAGCGTTTGCAGCGGCCGCGACAGACTCCTGAACGAATTTCCCCGATGTTGTCGCTGCGGTCGCGTTGGTGAGATTGGCGAAAGTCGGTTCCGCGATGATGCTGCCGCCTGATCGGATCTTGCCAAAGACGCTGTCGATGTGTTCACCGAGCGCACCTGCTTTTGAGAGCAAGCGCGGCACAGCCATGAGTAAGTCCGCTGGTGAGGGCAACAACGAGGTTACGTTCGTGAAAGCTGATTGTTGCTCCATTGTTTCCCGGCTGCTGCGTCGGACGGCGATTTCTTTGACGATGTGAGCTTCGACTGGCCAAGGCCGATGTTTGGATCTAGCGAACGTGAAGCATGACTGCCGGCGACAAGGCGCAAGCAGTTCGGTAGGCAGTCGCGCTCGGAGGTGTTTGTGAATTACTCTAGTTGGTGGTCGTCGTGAGCGCGTTATCGCTCGTCATCCAGGTGGAGCGGACCACCGGACGGAACCGAGGCGCACTATTTCGGGACGGCACTACAAACACCCCTGCAGGTAGACCGTCAAACACCACATCTTTGTATATGAGCCGTGGGTCTATCCGGGCAAATGTCTCGCTGGTCATACACGAGATTAACTTCAATGCGGCACTGTGTGTGAACTAGAAATCAATAGATTGACAGGGTTTCCGGCTGCCCATCCTTCTCGAGGGTCACCTGTTATGTCTATTCCGTACAAGCCTGCAATGAACAGAAATCCGACCCTAGTACATCAAGGGAAGACTGCCAAATAACGACCCGTTTGCCAACCCGGTTCAAGAACTGACTATCCTTCCCAAAGATTGTCATCTTGCCGATGCTTGTCATACCGAGGCGGCGCATAGGAGACTGCCGCCTCCCTTCATTCCAGACGCCCTTGCCGGCAGACGCGCTTCAAACGCGCCACATCCACATCTTCCCAGGAATGCGCCTCCAGTGCCTCAGATTTAAACGCCTACGGATCCCAAAGATTGTTCTTTACTTTCTTTCCGTATTTCGCTTCCGTTACTAACAATCATTTCGTCGGCTTTCCAGCTACGTCCTTTCCAATCTTTATCCAAAACACAATTCTTACTAAAACTTTTCGCCTGCAAGTTAGGCCCTGGATCGATATAGATGGCTATTACTGACTAGATGCTAGGATCTTCACTTGTTCTATCTTTGTCTTTGCTTGAACTTACTCCTGATCCTCTACTCTGAAACGGCAACAATGGTGAACGCCAACCGCCTCCTCGGAGCGGTGGCCTTGGCCACTCTCGCGGCCGCTGCTAGTCTCCCAACCAACCTGCCCGCCGGCTGGACCTACCTTGGGTGCTATACGTCAGTCAATGTCTGTAGAATATCTGGACCAAATTGACACTCTCAAGCGACAATACATACCCTACTACACCCCGTGCCTTGGGCGGAAGGCCGACAGGTAACGATGGAGTAGCTTATAACAACAGGTACAGCCCGAACGGCTTCAGCAATTGTCAAACCAAGTGCTCGGCACTTGCCCCCGGGACCTGGACCTACATTGGAACGGCCGACAACCAGTGTTGTACGTAAATCATCTTCGACTATCCACTTTCATCAGAACTGACTGGTGCCAGGGTGTGACAACCAAATCAACGCAAACAGCAGCACGACCTACGGTCAGCTGAAGCCAGATTCTTACTGCCAACAGACTTGCCGTGGAAACACCAACGAGATTTGCGGTAGCAATGTCTCTGGCAGCTTGGGCATAACTATCTACCAATACGCCGTAAGTGGTTTCATAGATGCCTGTGTGCTTGTGCTCTGTGCTCTGTATTGTAATTATGGGGGACTTTGGTTGTCTGTGTGTCAGAACAGGGACACAGCGGGGAGGCTTGTTTCGGGAGCGATGTTCACTTGCCTCACGCGGAGAAAGGTCGAGAGTCGTTCCTGTGCTCTGCTTGATGGACACTGGATGTATAGAAATAAAACCTGTCATGCAACACTGCCAACCTTTCTCGTGACCCTATTGAAATCTGCAAGCTATTCTGCATTGGATGGGAACAGAAACAATGTAGTAATGATACCACCCGTTTCATATTGTACCGTGAGTAGTCGCTTCCACAGAAGCGTGTCCTCCTCTCGCATTCTCGTGTTCCTGCAGCAAGAACCTTGACCGAGCAGCCAACCAATGTCAGCCGAAGGGCGTGCCAGACGATCGATTGATTACAAATCTCAACATGCCTTCGTTCAAGATATATAAGCAATCGTCGTATTTCTTACGGTCCGCAAACCGGCAACATGCCAGAGCGTGCGCGACCCTCAAGTATCACAGGCGGGTGCCTCTGCGGCGCCATCCGCTTCACGATTCGCTTTCCCAACGACTCCGATTGGCCTCCCAAAGGCGTATGCTCTACCTTCCCTTTCTACATATGTTATTCACCGAAGAACAGAACGGCATCTGCCAATGCACTATGTGCCGCAAACACTCTGGGTCGCTCCTTCCGCAGAACATATCCTTCCCCGTCGCGCATCTCAGTCCCAGCCTTAGCTCTCTGCCAACCTATAAAACCTACGCCAGCGGACCGACTACCTCGCGTGGGTTCTGTTCGACGTGCGGATCGCCGCTGTCGTTCAATGATAAGAAAGATCCGGATCTCGTCGAGATCAACATTGGGGCTCTTGACGAAGAGGCTTTAATCGGGGACAAGGTGGAGGAGGAAGCATGGGAGGATGAGTACGGAAGACATGTTCCGAGGAAAGGTGGATGGGGGTACGAATTGGGATTCCCGCAATATCACATCTTTGCGGAGAATGAAATAAAGGGTGTGACGGACGGGTTCGAGGGTGATAAGTGGTTGACCGATCGGAAGGGGGGAAATGTATTCAAGGGTAAGGTGGGTGAGATGCGGAGGAAGGATTGAAGGGGATGAGTTGGTCCCGGAAACTTTGCAGGAAAGGTGACTCAAAAGTACAAGGTATCAGGAGATGTGACAGCTCGAAGGATAAGCGATGGCTATTCGGGCCAGATCCACACTTGTCGGGAGTGTCGGACGAGATCCGCAATCTAGCATACCTCGACTTCATTAGTTAGGAGTTTTCTTTTGCAGATTGATATGACTGTATCATCAGTATGCCCCGAGAGTCATGAGGTACAAGCACCCGGTGAGAATTGGTGCGATAAACCAGAAGAAATACTGATGGGCCAACATGGGGTTCCACTAGACCAATATTCTATTTTGTGCTGTGTGCGGTATATAGGGAGACGTTCTTACCGAGTTCTCGCTGTTAGGTTCGGTCTGCGATGACGTGTGAGTCAGTTCTGGGTGCTCGGAAAAGTCGCGTGCCCGGAGACGCAGGTAATACACGAATTTAAGGCGGTGAACGTTATTGCCGGATGCAAATCAATCTGCGCAACTTGATTTGCCAATTGGCCTCCAGATTTCAGTCATCGGGCATAGCATGCGGAGACGAACCCATGAAGGTGCATGTCGCGTACAGAAAAAAAGAGGTCCCGAACGGCAGCGATTTCCCCGCCTCCCACGACGCCCAGACCACCCTCAGACCCAAGCGTGGCCGATTCCCGGCCCCATCGCTTTCATCATCGCAGCCAACGAGAGAAAATTGTTTCTTGACCTCTTGACTCACTCGCATACTGCGCGAGTCCTTCAAATACCCGCGCTATTCCCCCGATACATTCTTGCTCTCCATTCCCACACCCACAAGCAACCATGTGTCCCTCCATTGAAGAGACACCCGCCAATGGCACCAACGGTACCAACGGCGCCAGCAACGGCGATGCCAACCAGTACACTGCCATTGAGGCTCGCGCAAACCCGGTGCCTCACCACAAGTCGTCGCCATACCAGCCCGTAGGCGACTTCCTCTCCAACATCAGCCGCTTCAAGATCATCGAGTCGACCCTCCGTGAGGGCGAACAATTTGCGAAGTGCGTACCGCTAAGCCCCGGCACATGTACTCGCGAGCTAATCAATCACAGCGCCTACTTTGACCTCGAAGCCAAGATCAAGATCGCCAAAGCTCTTGACGACTTTGGTGTTGACTGTACGTGGACCCCAGGAACAAATTTATCTGAAGAAACTCATACTGACGTTTCTCGCCAGACATCGAGTTGACGAGCCCTGCCGCTTCGGAGCAATCGCGCCGCGACTGCGAAGCCATCTGCAAGCTCGGCCTCAAGGCTAAGATCCTCACTCACGTACGATGCAACATGGAAGATGCCAAGATCGCCGTCCAGACGGGCGTTGACGGTCTCGATGTCGTTATCGGCACATCAAGCTACCTCCGCGAACACTCTCACGGCAAGGATATGACGTATATCAAGAATGCGGCACTCGAGGTTATTCAATACGTCAAGTCCCAGGGTAAGGAGATCCGATTCAGTTCGGAGGACTCCTTCCGATCAGACCTTGTCGATCTGCTGTCCCTGTACAGCGCCGTGGACAAGGTTGGCGTCAACCGTGTTGGTATTGCGGACACAGTCGGCTGTGCAAGCCCCAGACAGGTGTACGATCTCGTCCGTACGCTGAGAGGTGTTGTCTCTTGTGATATTGAGACGCATTTCCACAACGACTCAGGTTGCGCCATCGCGAACGCTTACTGCGCCTTGGAAGCTGGCGCCACGCACATTGATACCTCCGTATTGGGTATTGGCGAGCGAAATGGTATCACTCCTCTTGGAGGCTTGATGGCTCGCATGATCGTTGCAGACCGCGATTACGTCATGGGTAAGTACAACATCAAGAAGCTCAAGGAGGTTGAGGAACTCGTGGCCGAGATGGTCGAGGTCAACATCCCCTTCAACAACTACATCACCGGTTTCTGTGCCTTCACACATAAGGCTGGTATCCACGCCAAGGCTATCCTCAACAATCCCTCCACGTACGAGATCATCTCACCCGCCGATTTCGGAATGTCGAGATACGTGCACTTCGCCAGCAGATTGACTGGCTGGAATGCCATCAAGAGCCGTGCCGACCAGCTCGGTTACAACATGACCGATGCGCAGTACAAGGAGGTTACCGCGCAGATCAAGATCATGGCAGACGTCAAGAAGATCACCCTCGATGACACTGACGCGATCATCTCCGCGTACCACCACAACCTCGTTAACAATGAGAACAAGCCACTCCTGGAGGGTCTCTCAGCTGAAGACCAAGCCAAGATGAAGGCCGCAGAAGAGAAGCTCGGCAGCGTCAAGGAGAAGCGCCAGCTCGACGCCGAAGCAGCGGCCGACGCACCACCGGCTAAGAAGAGGTAGAAAACTTCCTCGAGCCGCGACATTACCAAAGCAGTGAACGCATCGGAGTTGAACGGGTTTTCATATTTGTCTCGATCTAGTTTTGGGCCAGCTGTTGCATCTATCTTCCGGATCCGGAAAAGTTCGTCTATCTTGATACCTGGCCTGCCTACGTATTTATGGCGATGGCACGTACTTTACATAGAAATGTGCCAATAGTGCGTGAACAATCATGAACAAGTTCACCAGTATCTTTTGGGCTTGCACCTGTCAATTGATAGGCATGCTGTCTTCGAAATATGCAGTGTTCGGTATTGACCAGACATGGAAACTTCCGAGGATTCGTTAATGAGTTGCACGGACCACTGAGGCGGCTACTCCAGGGTCTCGAAGCTCTGCAGGGCGGTCTTAGCGCTTTGTTTTCATCAATTTATTGCCCCTCTCCACCGCTTCCTCCACGCTTCGACGCCGCCTCTTGATACCCTACCTGCTCGACCCTACAATATGAGCACTACCGAAACAATTACCCAGCCTGTCACGGTCACGCAACCGATCACCGTGGCGCAGCCTGCGATCACCGCTGAGAATGTTCAACAACTGTTCCCCGAAGTGAACACCACAATAATCGGTGGCTCGCACGCTTCCGCCACCAGCGACAATGCGCTCGACGGCTACAATGAGGAGCAAATACGATTGATGGACGAGGTGTGCATTGTCTTGGACGAGAATGACCTCCCAATCGGCAGTGCGACCAAGAAATACGGTGGGTAGTTGTAGGGTGGCATGCGATCACACGACCCTGCCTAGTCACCCTCTCTGAGTGCTGCTAACATACTCTAGCACATCTGATGGAGAATATCAACAAGGGTCTGCTCCACCGCGCTTTCTCCGTCTTCCTCTTCGACTCGCAGAATCGATTGCTCCTCCAACAGCGCGCATCCGAGAAGATCACTTTCCCCGACATGTGGACGAACACTTGCTGCTCACATCCTCTGGGCATTCCAGGAGAGACTGGCTCAAATCTAGAGGAGGCTACACAAGGAGTGCGCCGCGCGGCGCAGCGCAAGCTGGACCAGGAGCTCGGCATCAAGGCGGAGCAGGTGCCCATCGATGACTTCCGCTTCCTCACAAGAATACACTACGTCTCACCGAGCGACGGCAAGTGGGGCGAGCATGAGAGTTGGTATATCTTAGGGAATCGGCAAACAGGGAAGGCTAACAAGGCGCAGTTGACTATATCCTCTTCATCAAGGCCGACGTCGATCTGAACATAAACCCGAACGAGGTGCGAGATTCCCGATTCGTCTCTCAGGAGGACCTGAAGACCATGTTCAAGGACCCTTCGCTCAAGTTCACGCCGTGGTTCAAGCTCATTTGCGAGAGCATGTTGTACGAGTGGTGGAGCCACCTTGACTCGGGCCTGGAGAAGTACTTGGGCGAGAAGGAGATCCGAAGAATGTTGTAGGGCCGTAGATATTCTTCTTCTGTCGGTCAATTGTCAGCGATACCTTTGACGTGGCGGTGAGAAGATGTCACAAGAGTCAGCGTCGGAGAGCTAGGAAGTGGGAATGGGTTTGATTGGGTTGGAAACACGCGGCGCGGCGCGGCTCCCGGTTTGCAATGCTAGGAACGCTGGCGAGGCCGCGCAGATAACAGATACCACTCGGCGAATTGGATGTACATGTAGGCCAAGTGACCATTCCCCACGCACTGGACTTGCATTACGCCTCGTGAGACTGTCCCTACCTAGGTACGCTCCTCTCGTCGTTTGCCCTTGACCCACAATGTAGCACAACTGCGTACCTCGCTTGACCATCAACTTCAGACATGACATTGAAGAACCATATGCAAGGACCGCCAGATAAGTATCACGAAGCGCGGAACTGACCCGTAGTCATTAGCAAATGGAGGATCAGATACGAGTCGACGCAGCGATCAGAGGCGCTCTAACTCAGTAAGGCAGGTACAGCCGCACGCTGGCGAACGATTCCCGACACCCCACATTCCTTCCGACCAACAACACGCCTCGACGGCACTCCGTGAGCTTCACTTTTTGTTGGCTACGGACGTCCTTGTCCGGTTTCCAGCTCATCTTTCAGCATCATCCCTCCTTCTGTGTTGTAATGATTCACAATGAGCAAACGGGACAGTCGTGCCGGATGCTCATCGACGATGCTGACTACACTGAATGCTGGGTGACGCCCGCAAGATGAAGCACACTAACCATCACGGGCAGGGGCTCTTCGGCACGGCAGAGATAGGGCCCGCCTTAGTCTGGGGTTATCGGTCACGGTACATGTGTTAGAGGGCGGAGTATATCAAGTGACATGGCCCAGTACTTCTCCGTAGCTTCAGAAGCACTCTCTGGTACGACTTTGTGCAGCTTTGTCGTCACAGCCAAGCGTATTCCGCCAACCAGCTCCGCCGTCACTCAACCCCCACGCTCTCCGCTGCAGTTGGTCTTACTCAACAATCCTTCGCTGTCCGCTATCCGGTGGCCAGGATCCAGCCAAGCCTGATACAAAGGACGACCACTGGTCCTGTGACAAGCCTCACGTCTCGAAAAAGCAAGCGCCGACAGTCTCCGCAGCCATACATCTCCTTCCACAACTGCACCCCGCTCACAGTTGCACATCACAACGAACGCAGCACAGGCATACATCAAGCAAGCAGCTTGAACGCATCGTCCGAAAACATATCTCCCACTCAAGGGCAGCTTAAGTAGCTTCAGCCTATTGATGTCGGTTGACGTCCGTCAAGCTTGCACCTCCCTACGGTTTCCCGCTCGCGTCGAAACCGTGTCAAGATCGCAGCTCTCCAAAGTTCATACAGGAGATAGTACTCGTCCCGCTGAAACGTAGACTACCATCGACAAAAGGTATACTATGGGCAGGCAATCGATGGCTTCGGGCCTTGCTTCACATGCTGCCATATCGACCACCTTCAAACTAATTGCATCCCAGCAGCGTGCTTTGAACTGCAGGCCTTGATCTAGCATCACCCGGTTCGAGTGACATCTCGATTCCCTTCATCCCATCTCCGAGTCCAGATCCGTCTGGCCACACCACCTTCACGCTGGCGTATACTACGGACTTACCCATCATCAAGAGAAGCGGCAGATCCCACTTGAATACTAGTAGTAAACCTTACGCGAATCCGCAATCATGGCGACTACCATTAGCCCGCTTCGCGTCGACTTCGAGCCCAAGAATTCATCGCTGAACGCTGCTGACATTAACACTACTGGTGCTCCTCTGAACCTCCTAAAGCTTCTCAACTTACGACCGACTACTGTGCCTATCCCTCCGTTGCCGGAGGGTGTCCGCGTTGTCACGACGGCAGAGTACAAGCAGGCCGCTGCTTGCCTGGCCGAGGCGTTCGCGGAGGACGAAGCAGTCCGCTACCCCGTCGACACGCCCGACCGCACGCATTGGACAGAGCAGGAGAAGTGGGATCTGCATGTGGAGATTCTCGAATACGTGACGTATGCTCACATCCTGAAAGGCCTCGTCACTACCGTAGGAGACTTCGAGGCCGTCGCCCTGTGGTGCGTTTATCTTTCCTCTCCATCCCTTTTCCACACCAGCTTACAGTCGCAGGATGCCTCCCGGCACCAACATGGATGACTACCTCACGATGTTCCAATCAGGCATGTGGCGCCTCAACTACCGCCTTTCCGCCGAAGGCAAACGCCGCTTCTTCACCGAATTCCTGCCCCTCCTCCATGACATGAAGCACGGTACGCTCGGCGCTCGCGACGATTCTTCTTGGTATCTCGTGTACATCGGTACCTCCCTGCGAGGCCGTGGTAAAGGGAATGCCTCCAAGCTCATCCGTCATGTGACCAGCCAGGCGGATAAGGACGGCGCACCGGTCTACTTGGAGAGTAGTAATGAGAAGAATCCGCCGATTTATAGGCGCTTTGGATTTGAGACTGTGCGGACAGTCTATTTGCATCGCGCGGAAAGGAATGTGGAGTTGGACATTATGGTGAGGGAGCCGGTGAGGGGGGAGAAGAAGTAGAGTGTCGGGCGAGATGGGATGGAAGAAGATGTAAGAGCATGGATTCAACACGTATGCTGGGGGAAGAAATGGATTGATGATCCAACGAGATAAGGGTTGGGAAGATTTCTCCAACAGAAATCAGGGAGATTGTGGTTTTGCTTGTACTTGTTTCGCTCATTACTCACCATTGATATAGCATTGCTACTCAGCATCAGCATCAGAACATCGTCGTTTGCGAATTAATGATTGTTCGTTCATATTTGCAGTCTTCCCGTGCTCTCGTAGAAAACGGCGTGTCGCAATGCAAGCAAAATCGATAGAATGTCTGCGAATCGTGTTTCTGTGAGCCAGGAAGTCACTGGCATCATCTGTCGGCGCGTCACCTTGTTTACAAACAATCCACAAGACCGTGGGTGCGTGGTATATCGACGGTGTCGTGGAGAACGGAAGCCACGGTCATGCTCAGGGGTACGGGCGATCAACGGAACGTCTCCACCGCTTCACTTGCCCGGGTCCTCAACAGTGTGATACGTTGGAAAGGCGCCTCATATACCACACGAGTCGCTGTTTGAACTCAGTAGCCCTCGACTATCTCAATCTTGTTGCTATCGCAAAGATCGGATGACGGGATGCGCGGCGACAGGTGAATGGTGGTGGTTTGATTAATCGTGGCTCAGCGCATGCGCGTATGCGGTAATGTACATACACAGTAAGTGTAGCGGCAGAGGGAGGCTGATTATGCATAGAGGCGATGAGGTGGCATTAATGCGTTCTAAAATGCTCGATTACATCCTGCCTCAGGCTGTCGGTGTATTCGCTGACGAAAGCAGTGTTGATAGCGGCAGTATGGCCGGAAGTGCTATTGAGGAAGGCCAACCAAACCAGACTTGAGCTCGCAAATGAAGACTTCATTCGACCTTGCAGCCCGCTTATTATGCAGTGGGCCGGTCCCTTTGCGGTGAGCGAGATGGCATGTCGTGCTCCTGTGGATTCAAAGCCAACACGTCCTTGGCCGCATGAAACACGGCCCTCTCACTTCCAGCCTGGGTCAGACGGCGCATGTGCAGATCTCTCTCCTTCTCAAAAGTTGGACTTCATTCTACTCACTCTCGCTATAGTGTATTCAACGGTCTCTCAACCGCTCTCCGCAAAGACCCTGAGACGATATCGATAACGTGCGATTGGCGTTCAACCCCGCAAGCTTCCGAAACGTCCAGCCCAGGACAGACGCGTCCTCCAGTGCCTCCCGTGCACGTCAGGCTGCCAACGCATCAAACAGCGCAAATTTTGCGCGCGAGAGCCGACAATCACGTTCCACAGAGGCATCGCCGTCGCCTTTTTACCCTCGCTCGATCGATCGTTTACCTGCCCGTCGTACCACCACCGTCGTCGACTCTAACACCACCGCCATGGCGCCAATGCCCCAAATACAGCGTCGATACTCGGTCACAGGCTTAACACCACCCGACGATGTGGCCCAGGTCTCCAAGCAGCAGCACTCACCCAAGCTGCAGGCGCTGGACACTAGTGTACAGTCGACACCTAGCTGTGGCCTCTGCGACCCGGGCGCTGACGCTTCGAAGGCGAGTGTACAGCACATTGAGGACGTAGAGGCAGCAACCACAAACGAGAGGGATCGCGGTCGCAAGATCTCGCATCAGACCGTAGGCAGAATGGCATCAAAACGTTCAGCGACCCAATTACCATCCCCCAGCACTCCCACGACACACCAATTACCTCCCAAGATCGCGAAGCTGGGCCTAGAATCACCAGATAGACATGTGGGCATAGATATGGACGACGTGGCGGATCTAGACGAGGGCGTATTTACAGACCCCTTCTCTGAGGTCGGATCAATCCGAAGCCTGGACTACGGAGCCTTGCAACTCGACATCCCACAATCCTCACCACTTACCATAACCTCAAGCCAGCCTGACGAACCCATAATCGAGCCCTTCGACCTAGATTCCCAGTACGACTCGGGCGTCGAGAGCCTCGCCCTCACGCCCATCACTAGCTCCACGTCCAACTTCATCACCTCCCTCCCAACCACATTTCTTACCCTCCCGCCAGAACTCCGCCACCAAATTTACCTCCGCCTCCCCGACCTCGTCCTCTCCCATCCCCTCATCTACTGCCTCTCCACCTTCAACGACGCCATGCAGCACCCGCTCGCCTCTGTTTCACGCCTTGTCCGCGCGGAAGCCCTTGCCATCTTCTACTCGTATAACACCTGGACCATCAAGCTCGAATTCAAAATGATGTACGAGGCCTTCCGCGACTGGATCATCCGGCTGGGCGATGGGGCAGGGCTGCTACGACTGGTCACTATCGCGGTACGTGGGAAGTTGTTCAAACCTGGGACGAGCCATGCTAGGGAAGAGGCGGGTGCGAACGTTGCGCTGGTGCCGGGGATGCCGGCATATGCTTTGGTGGTTGAGCAGTATTGTCCGCCGGACGGGGATGCATGTTTCAGTATCGATTTGAGTGAGAAGTATGCTGGGGGAAAGGTGGAGGTTGTGCGGAATGACGGGACGAAAGACGCGGCTGAGCTGGCGGTTGGGTGGTTGCAAAAGAGTGTAGCAAGGCTGTGGGAAAGGAGAAGGGCGGGGACGCTCAATGGGCAGGACTGGGTGGATTTCGTCGATGCCTTTCTCGCGTTCGCTGGAGGGTGGTAGCCAAGACGGACACGATACGATACGATTTCGACGACGGGATTCCCTGCATTTTTACTACGGGCGGAGGGCACGGTTGGCATGTTATGTTTGCTGCATTCATTTTCTCTCTGCACGGCGCTATTTTGGGGCGGTCGGGGTTCGAGGCGTTTGACAAAATCTCAGGATTTGGGTGCATCCGGCGTGAGGAAAAGACGCGGTTAGGCTGTTGTTCATTCTGGGATCTGGACGCATTTGTTTTGCATGCATAATGAAGGAAAACTAGTCAGACGCAAAAGTCATTAATACCCCGGCGCGAATCAATTTCACAATTCATCATTGCAACTGTCCTACTTCCCCAATGTCTTTATGCTTGTTTCCTTGTCTTACGTCGAGATGCAAAGTTTCCATGGGACTTGGTCACATCACGGCCACGCCTCAATTTCCGAATGTAACATCGCTCGCCGGAGATATTCCACAAAGTGATCCAAACATGTCAGAGCACCGGTATTGCTATCATCCGCGATTTTTTGTGACCATTCGAGTGCGAAGAACTCGCTTGCTTAGCTACATTCACCGAGCGTAAATAACTCCAGTGAGTGTAACATCAAACGACGCCATCAGCAAGCTCTACAACGAGCCCCCAGCAAAGCTATTGTCTCATGAACGCAGCTAAAGGTCAGCTCAGGAACCACATCAGGCACAAACACCTCAAGCATGCCTGTCGAAAATGCTCGGAAACGTTTCGCCACCGCAAATTGCTCTGGGAACACGACCAGATGGTGCACAAGAGGGTGAAACATAGCTGCGATATTCCAGGATGCACATACGTCACTGCGAGGAGAGCCAATGCAAGGAGGCACAAGAGGACTAAACATAGAATTGAAGGCGAGCCAGCGGTTGAGTTATTAAGTCTGAAAGCCTGTAGCTATAAGGAGAGTCGGTCCAATTTTGTAGTAGATGAGAACGTTAAGTTTGTTTTTCAAGTTACGGTAGTTTCATAAGTGGTGATTTGCTTTCTGTAATTACTATCCTTCTCATGGATAAACTTACATGATTAGCAATCAGCAGATAGATTGGAACTACATAGCCTTTGGACTTCAGAATGCTGATACAAGTCGAAGCAGTCATTTCCAACTTCTTGGATTTGCTCTTTTCCCCAAGGAAGAATCCTTGACCGATTCCCAAATTCCGCAGACGGATCGCGGTTGATGCACGTAGTACGAAAAAAGCACCCTTCGTCGGACGTCGACCTCTTGAGAACATCCTCTCAGCTTTCCTTAACGAAGCTTCGCAATGGAGGAGCTGATACTAAAACGTTGCGATCATGCAAAGAACCCACTTGCAGGGTACGTTTGCAAAGAGTGCCCCCAGTCCTGCCATAGTGCAATACCTACACTAACGCGTGCAAGCTGTACGCCGCGGTGTAAAACAGTCATGCAACATTCTGGGCTGTACTTACAATGCGGCGAAGAAAGGCAATCGAATGTCAATCAAAAGAGACATCGGGAAGGCACTGGACGACTAGCCACCCGTTCTAGCTATACTTCAATTCTGACGATGTCTTGGAGTATCAATATGGACTGAACAATTTCAGTGATGGAAAACTTTTGCTTAAGATTCGTTTCGGTTCCGTCAGCCTCAATACATAGCATCGTAGATGTCACCCGAATCATCAACCGCAGGTTTCCCCTAGATTTCTTTTAATCAAAGCCTTCCGCGTAAGCGCAGGCTCAATGCGACCGCTTTCTGGGATCCACTCAGTGCGAAAGTCTTCGATTACTTCGCAGTGTGTAGCCGCATTCTGTTTGTACTTCATCGCAGACAATTGGGCGGACAGTACGATGTAACATAATAACAGTGTAAGATGCTTGGTACAGAGTGATCTCAACATTGATACAAAGTTCCCTCAACGTTCTCTTGAGTGGAAAACGAGCTCTTTCTAGTATATGTACAACCTCGTGGCACACATCGTCCCTTCGGGTACACGTATGTTACAGCCCTGCTAGACCCAAGTGTTATGGACCCTCCCCATCCGCCGATGTCGGTTTCCGCCGCGCGCGCTGGACCTGCGTTGTGATGGACGGCTGCTCCTCCTCTTCCTCTGCCTTCTTTAACCCTAGTACCTGCCCGATCAGCCCACCAGGCTTGGGAACCGGGCACTCCCTCTTTGGCGTCGCCCACTCTTCCGCTTCCTTGATTTTCCTCCGCTCCTCGCTCATGATATCGTTGCACGTCTCCTCCTTGGGAACTCTCCTCCGCCTCCTCTTTGGCTGGCCGGACAAAGCATTAGGGTCTGGAGAGTCGGCGAGGGTCCTCGGGTCTACGGGGCACGGAAGGAGATGGGGTGTCGCGACTACGAGGAAGGAGACCGCGAGGGTGGTTGTAAAGAGCGACATGGTCGAGCGCGACCGTGGGTGGAGATGTGGAGGCATGGTGGTGTGAGACTAGTGGGCGTACAGAGGAGGCATCGCAGTCCCTGTACGTTGTCAATGGCTTGCCCAGGCTCGCGGATGTAGTAGAGAGGTCGTACCAAGCCAATTGAGATGCTTTGGGTGCGTTCGGACGGGGGGTGAGCGTGAACGCAGGGCTGGGTAGCTGGGTTTGGTATTGCCCGCAAGCTCTCCTGCCCGCTGTCGTAACGAATTATACCAAGCCGCTAAGTGGCTGATAGCGCAGGATCCCTGTCCCCGCCGCCAAGTTCGGAACTGCAGCGTGCGCTCAACACCATCTTTTGTGCCCACGACCTTGCCTACTGATACGACTTACGGCTTGATAATTTCGCTTCACGTACTTACACCTAATTGTTTAAGCTTTGTTCTCTCACCAATACCCAGTTTTCAAGGCCACACGCGTTCTTCAACCCACGCGACCATCCGCCCGCCACCATCTCTGCGTACTAAAGCTTCCGGCTGGCGACAAATTGGACTATTTGCTTTCGACGTTGACGGATCCGCGCATAATTTCGCCCACGTGGGCTAAGGTGCAGCTGCGATCATGAGTATCGGTGGCAGCGACCTCGATCGGTACGCAAAAAAATCAAAAGAATCGGGATACGAACGCTCACATCGTCTAGAGCCATTACACAGCTTCGCGCATGCCGCCCGATACCAGAAAACCAAGTTCGCGAACTATGCTACAAAGCCCGAGAGTTGTTGATAGAAGAGGGCAACGTGGTTGGGGTTGATGCGCCAGTGACCGTATGTCATTACATGCACAATACATGGGCAACACTGATGCGTGTCCTTCTAGATATGCGGTGACATACACGGCCAATTTCATGATCTGATGGAATTGTTCAGAGTAGGCGGCGATGTGCCTGACACAAACTATCTTTTCATGGGTATGCTTATTCAACGACACGCGCCATGTAATAATCGCGCAGTTACTGACCAACGCAGGTGACTTCGTCGACAGAGGTTTCTACTCTCTCGAATCTTTTCTCCTATTACTTTGCCTCAAAGTTCGCTATCCCGATCGAATCACACTTATCCGCGGGAACCACGAGTCGAGACAGATCACAACAGTATATGGCTTTTACGACGAGTGCTTGCGGAAATACGGCAGTGCAAATGTCTGGCGGTATTGCTGCGAGGTGTTCGATTACCTAGCCCTTGGAGCTCTCGTCACCGGTGCTGCCACCACGCTCGACCCGACCGACGGCCCCATCGCAGACAACGTCAACTGCGATCTACCTGATCCCGAACTGGACATCGAGATAGAAACTCTCAACGCCAATGGGGAAATCATGTTCCGCTATGCACGTAACGGAGACTCACAGTCAAGCGCCGCATCCCAGGCCAACTCCAATCCAGCCTCTTCCTCTCCGATAGGCCCAACACCATCGCGGTCGGGCGCCGCCGGCACGGGCGCCACCTCGTCTGCCAACGGTTCGACGCGCAACGACACTGGCGCTATTCTCTGCGTACATGGTGGTCTGTCACCGTTGATCGACTCTATCGACAAGATCAGGCTGCTCGACCGGAAACAAGAAGTACCACACGAGGGAGCCATGTGCGACTTGCTCTGGTCTGACCCGGACGAGATCGACGGATGGGGTTTATCTCCCCGTGGAGCCGGCTTCCTCTTCGGCGCCGACATTGTAAAATGCTTCAACTACAAGAACGACCTCAGCCTCATTGCGCGCGCACATCAGCTAGTCATGGAAGGTTTCAAGGAGATGTTCGACTCGACCATTGTAACCGTCTGGTCCGCGCCCAACTACTGCTACCGCTGCGGCAACGTCGCCGCCATCCTCGAGCTGGGTGAAGATGGCTCTAACGCAGGCTATCAACGGCGCAGCAATGGCGACCGTGGAGGTGGGGGTGGAGGCTGGATCCTAGGCTCGAACGCCGGACCCAACGGCGTTAACGACGAGAATAGACGCCTATCCTCCGTCCTGGGAGAGAGCATGCAGAAGCCGCGTGACGGGCCGGGCCGACGATACAGGGTGTTTGAAGCGGCGCCGCAAGACTCGCGAGGCATGCCAGCTAAGAAACCAGTTGCGGACTACTTCCTCTAGGCGGGAGGTGCCAGAATGAAGATGGAATGGTTGTACTGCAATTTCCGCAAAATACCTCCTCAGGTTCAGGTTGCGCAGGGCTTCAGGCTCACGGATTATACTATGTGGAAGGGTGCGGAGTATTTTTTGTAGATGATGGAGTTTGGAGGTGTTTGGTTAGGATACCCGGGTAGTATACTTTTAGGATATTCAATGGATGCAACATAGCGTTCAATTGTGGGTTGACGTAGGGATCGTTCTGGTAAACCGGAGGTGCGCTAGTGAAGGAAGTTAGTCCAAGCATGAACCGCCCCTCGTCGCCTTGTACGCTTACTCAGGGACACGTCAAACGGCGTGCTTTGTTTAATGCGCAATAACTTTTGCTGATAGATACACGCGTACCATTATGATACACGCGTGTATCCGAATCAAGCAATTCCACCCACTGCCCTTTCGTGGTATAGTTTCCTTCTCTTTGTTGGAAAGATTTCCTCTTGCAGCTTAGACAGGCTCGCAAGGTTCACCTTTTTTCAACACCACATCTGGGCGTACCTTATCGATAGTCTTCACGATGGTCCTTTGCCAATTGACGATTTTCAAGCGTTCAAGCGTGCCAGCCTGACTGGCTGAGAGTCGGGAGCGGTCTGCAATTCCGTTGGGGGCCCGCTAGCTCTGGAGTTTTGCCCCGCAAGGATTATTCAGCGGAGGACTATGGTCGCTCTGTTCCAGTCATCGTGTAACCGTGCTTATCGTGACCACATGTTCAAACAAAGATCCACCGATAGAAAGGTGCAGCTATAGGCTTCGCTGTCTTCACTGTTCCTTCTCGCTTATGTCGCCGCCGTAATCGCACTCATCAATTGACCTCTCCAATTCAACTTGGTCTCATCCAACCAAGCTGAAAACTATCTGCGATCAAGATGGCCTCCTCCGCCCTCCACGGCCTCTTCGACATCCAACACTCCTCCTCCACCACTTCTTCCCCATCAGTCACCAGTCCCCCTGCTACCCATCAAAAATCCAACCCCTCCGTGAGCATAAAAGAAACCCCTTCCAACATTGAGCTCGATGACCTCAACTTCGGAGAACGCTACAATGGCCCCTCGACCGCATCCCAAACCCCCAAAGGATCCTCAGGCGCAGGCTTCTTCTCCGGCGCCCAAACGCCAAAGACGCCGTACGAGCTGGAGAACAGCCGCCCTGGCTCGCGGACAGGGCATGAAGCCGTACCGCTGATGCAGACGTGGAGTAATCCGCCGATGAACAAATGGAGGATCCTATGCTGTTGTTTGATTTATTTTGGGAATGGGATGAATGACTCTGGTAAACTTTACTTGCAATCTGTGTTGATGTGATAGTAGGATGGGATAGCTAACAGTGGACTACAGTCGTTGGTGCCTTGATCCCCTACATGGAAGAATACTACCACATCGGGTACGCCATCATGTCCATGGTCTTCGTCGGCAACGCAGCGGGCTTCATTATCGCGGCGTTCTTCTGTAACACGATACTGGGCAAACTTGGGCGCGCGAGGACGCTTATCTTCTCTGAGATCATTCTGCTGGCTGCGTACGTGATGCTCGTCGCCACCCCACCGTATGCCGCAGTGGTGGTGTCTTTCTTCCTCCTAGGCTACGGCGCCGCGACGTCGCTTGCACTTAACAATGTCTTCTGCGCAAACCTGCACCCACCCAGCGCAATCCTCGGCGCCGCCCACGGAAGTTACGGGTTAGGTGGTATCGTAGCACCTATCATAGGTACGGCGATGGCCTCACGAGGCATCCTCTGGTCGCGGTTCTACTTCATCTGCGTCGGCCTCCGGATATGCTGCATGCTATTCGCCGGCTGGGCCTTCTGGTCCTACCGCGAAGACCAACCGCAAACACTCCTTTCGTCCCTCCAGCGCACTGCTAGCCAGCAAGCTGCCCCCGAATCGGCTGAATCCAAGTCCAAGAACTTGAAATTGGCGCTCAAGAACCGTGTCACCATCTTTGGCGCGCTCTTCATCTTTGCGTACCAGGGCGCCGAGGTGAGTATCTCGGGCTGGGTCATTTCCTTCTTGATCAACTACCGTGGTGGCGATCCGAGTAGAGTCGGATACGTAACAGCAGGTTTCTGGGGAGGTATAACCCTTGGTCGCTTCGTCCTCACGCACCTCGCACCTCGCATCGGCGAGAAAACATTCGTGACTGCGCTCACTATCGGTACCGCGGGCCTGCAGCTTCTCGTCTGGCTCGTTCCAAACGTCATCGGAGACGCGGTGGCTGTCTCTTTACTGGGCTTACTTCTTGGGCCAGTGTATCCCTGCGCGCAGACTATCTTTAGTCGGTTGATGCCGAAGCATGTGCAGACGACGGCGATTGGGTTTATAGGTGGTGCGGGCAGTAGTGGTGGTGCAGTGGCGCCGTTTACTACGGGTATCCTGGCGCAGGCGGCAGGGACGTGGGTGCTGCATCCGGTGTGTATTGGGTTGTATGGGGCGATGATGGTGTTTTGGTGGAGTTTGCCGAGGGTGAGTAAGAGGAAGGAGTGAGCGCATGGAATTGCCTTGTATCCTCATCATATATAGCGTGCCTGCCAGAGGCGCTCTTTCCAAGTTTGTAAAGGTGATGCGGGTATTGCTGGGAGAAAAGGAGGATGGGAAGCAATGGAATTGATGGGCTAGGAGTATAATGTCTGAGATGCAAAATTGAATTTGGAAGCAATTCTTGGTAAGACATTTTGTGGTGGTGTTGTAGGGGACTGCGTTACCGTGGGTCTTTGAAGGGAAGGAGCTCCCCGAACTTCAGCTTGCTGCAATCTGTCAGTCTGCTCACATGTCGCATTGCAATCGCGACGTATTTGATGCCGTGACCCCAAAGGGACACGTGTTTTAGAGACTAATCTGTACTAGATCTATACTACAATTACGCGCGAAGCGAAAGCAAAGCAAGGGCTGAAGCCATAAGAAAGCACACATCATCTTCGTGTCCCCGACATTCTTCCCTGAGCTTGCATCTTCCGAAGCCATCTGCTCCGGTGCGCACATCGCTCCTGATACTTCCTTTCTTCCCACACGCGTTGGACCAAGTTTTGGTGATAATGTAGGTCTGACCACGAGTCCAAGTATGATAAATCGGCCATGTCGTCATCGGCGCGCTCGAGTCCCCGTGGCTCGTCTTCGTCCTCTTCATCTGATTCTTCGATTTGCCAGGTAGGCCTTGTGAGATCCACGTTGTTGCTATGACTATACGGTACTTCTTGTTCCGTTTGGCACTTTAAGGGCTCGTCGTGTCGTACTATGGTCTTTTAATGTCTTTTCCGAGACGTTGAGTGTCCGGCTGCGCGACGGTCGCCTCAAATCTCCTATCTAGCTGAAGTAAGTGCGAAACCGCCGGAAAAGCCCCGTTGTGCTTGTTCTGCCTGTTCTTTATCTATTGCCTGCACCACAGCCGCGATACTGAGAACCACTAGGTCTTCACCTGCTACTTTGTGAGATCCCTTCCGGTTCAATATTCTAGATAGGTACACATAATGTTCTTTTTTAACCGTGTCAGGGTGGGCCTGGATGAGCCGCGGCTCTACTGTACCGAGCTGTATGTAATCATGGAAGAGGCCTATCAAAGACGTAGTGGTCCCGTCGCTCTGGACCTTCGATTTGTACTTCCAGAATCCATTCCAAACCATTCCGATCCTTTCAGTACTGTTGACATCTAAATCTGCAAAATCTTTCGTAAAGCGTACGTCAGTTGATTGTTGTCCAGATCCATCAGGTCCATCGTCGCTTGGCATGCATCTGCAACGTCTTTGATGAACGTTGCATACCACCGGACGTGGTGACCATCGTCCATGACGAGCTAAGGAAATGTGAGCGAGATCTAGAAAACAATGAAACATAATTTGTAAAGCGATTATTCCAATTCCGAGCAAAGGTCGGCACGAGTCCACTCGCGCATAGCATTGACCTGGCCTTGTCTGCTATCTAGTAGTGTCTACTGTCAACCCATCAATTCGTGAATTTCGTGATCTCATATCGGGCTTCCAACTTGACCTGAGTGCGTTCATTCGCCTCAAACGGGCCCGTTGACTAGGTTGGGCATTATTGAGCCGTCTCTGCAAAGCTACAACAGGCTGGACAATGTGCCCGATGCAATACTTCCTTGCTCTTTGCATCGGTAAGGACCAGTTTCGATGCCATATATTCCGAGCGTCCGATACGCTCACCGAGGCTCCCAAGGTGTGCGTGAAGATGCGCAAGGGTCTGCTTCTGCCATGTTTGCCAGAGTAGGCTTGATGAGTCCGGATGTAGGTTTTCTTCTCCCAAGGTATCATATCGTGATGCTCAAACGCCATGTGGACTTGCGTACCTGTCCAAAACATTGAAGACAACCGAATTGGTCACGTAGCAGTGTTGTCCAGGTCGGCAGCCAAGTTCAGCTTCAAGTTCTGGACCCGATTCGGTTCGCATTGTTCGTATAATGTTGGCCGCATCGACGCAGGAGGTTGTGTTGTAGTAACTTGTGGGGTCGGCGACGTATTGTTGGTGGTGTGTGTGCTGGTGATGTTGCGGGTGTAGTTGCGGCCAGGAGGATTGCAACGACTGGTCATATGGCATGTATGGTGGAACATCCTCTGAATTCATCTCAGGCTCTGGCGTCATAGTATGCAAGTATGGCGTACCGTGAAACGAAGGAGGTGGAGTGCCCATGTCCGAGACAATTGAGTGAGGACTCGGTGAGTCATTGCTGCTCAGCGCCGCCGAACGAGGCATAGACGTGGCAAGTGGTGGAATTGCGGGTGTACGGGGGTCATTTCTGGCGTCCGAAGGGTGAGGACTAACCGGCGAGGCCAAGAATGCTGATGTGTTGCAAGTTATTTTCCGCTCAAGCATCGCATTCAGCGACGCTGATGCCGAGAATTGGTCATATGATCTGTCGTTCAATCCGCCCATTGCCGCGACGATATCGGAGTCGGGAACGCCGCGCTCATGAAGTAGCGCTCGCAATCTTCGGTTCTCATCCAAAACCTTGCGTGCAGCACCTTGAATCTCTGCGGAAGCCTCGACGCCCACCTGCTCATAGTCACGCAACTTGGCTTCCAGCTCATGTAAGTAATCTTTTCGTCGTGCTCGTGATCTTCCTGCATCCCGGTCAATGAACGTTCGCTCAAGGCGCTCAAGCCGTAGTGATCTCTCTTCGGACGGGGACACCGTGTATGTGGGTGATTCCCGAGAGCATAGGACGCCTCTAACTGTCGGATCATCCCAGAAAGTGTGCATTACTCTAAGAGATAACCACACGCAAGAAGAGTCCATATGTCGACTTACGTTGATTGTCCCTGATCCGAGCAAGATTTTGTTCTTTCTAACGCGCTTGTCAGCTATAGTATCCTCGATTGGTATTTTCCCAGTATACATACCTTCGAGTCACTCATAGTGCAGATAAACGAACAAAAGGAAACGATGCGAGCGAGAAGTTCGTGGCGTAATGTGAGAGTTGATGGTATGACGGAGGGCCAATAGAGCGGTCATGATAGTGGATATGTACTTACACGACTAGCCGGTCTCCAAGGGTGTGCCGATACGGATTAGACGCGCAACCAGGTGCAAGGGAGCTTGAGTAGCTGCAGGATGCCTTGCACGAGGGGGTCTATGTCTGAGCGTCCCTCGCCGTTTGGTAGCCCCTCGCTCTAGGATATTAGGTGCACGGCACAAGGGTGGTGGCAAGACAAAATTCGATTATACCGGATTAGTCGCGTAGGATCAACTTAGATGACTCGTGTAACATTACGTGTAATCTATCGACATTGGTACCATCACGTGGATTGCCCCTGCACTACCGGACGCTAAGGCGACCGATAATTTCGGAGGCGGAGTCTCAGCTTCAGCCCTAAAACACGGAATTTGCATGCGGCGCGACAACCTCACAGCCTCGCCGTGCTGAGGTTGGTATAGACAGGCCAACGCAGCTGCCCATCGCGCTGTTACTACACGTATCCTCCTGCCGAGCCCATCAGCAACAACGTCTTCAGTACTGAACAAAGTGTATCAATGCGACCCGTCAGATAGGAGCATCACCGAACCCGACAGTATGGCTCCCTGGACACGAAAAACCTCAGGTCGCGACGGCGGCTTCGATCCAACTTACCGATTTGCAACCTCGTGGATAGTTTCCCCGGCCGTCCTGTTCTTCGCACGCGCACTCCTCTCGCTATATGCTTTTGCGACACAATTCTATATCTTTGGCTGGAATGGCACACATGGGAGGGGCGTAGACACTGGACACTCATTCTCGTACTTCACCATCCTTACGTACTGGGGACTTGCGTTTTACTTTGCATTCGCTGCTCTTCATACGGGGAGCTACTGGCTTACTGGAAAGCCGTTCTTGCATCGCTGGATCGCCCCTCTCCGATGGGCGCACAGCGCCTTCTACTCCACCATCGTTGTGTATCCTTTCATCGTGACTGGTATGTGCCTGTTTCCCAACTAATCTCGCGACCGACTAAAGTGATATTAGCCGTCTTCTGGGCTCTACTTGCGCCGGAGAATGGATTTGCTTCGACCAAGGACCTGTGGTCTAATACGTCCCAACATGCGCTCAACTCGTTCTACGCGCTATTCGAGATAGTCTTCCCACGTACCGAGCCGTTGCCTTTTCTACACATAATCGTCATTGTCATCGTCTTGGCCCTGTATCTTTCTCTTGCATATCTCACTCACGCGTTGCAAGGTTGGTATACATACGATTTTCTCGACCTGAGCAAACACTCGGGCGGTGTCGTAGCAGGTTACATTGTTGGAATCCTTGTTGGGTCTATCATTGTCTTCCTCATTGTGAGGTATCTGATACTGCTCCGACTCTGGCTGACGGAGAAGAAGCTTGGCATGACCGGAAAGTTCTCCAGCCGTGATCAACGAGGTGTGAGAGATGAAGAAGCGGGGAAACATGTGCAAATGCATTCTATCAACGTCAAGTAGCGGAGCGCTGCGCTTTTCAGATTAGTTCAAATCGCTTTAGACATTATCTTTCGAGTTTGTTTACAGTGCCTGGGTCAGACGCCGGCCCACGGAGGACCCGCAATCTCTAATGACTGTCATTTGTCACTCGAGTCTGTTCTGCGATCCCTGCTTAGAGCATTCCTTTTTTCCAATCCTTCTATCTGTGTCAGGATGCACATAGCAAACAAAGATCCTGGTCCTAGTCGCCTCCCGCATACATGCAACAGAAGACGTTGGTACTGGACTTGGGTCCCCTGCCCTCCACACCTGTGCCTACTACTAGACAAATTATACTATCTCGCGGGGAAAAGCCGCCCCAGTGCCTTCCTGATGTCTGCGGGTCGCCAAGCCAGAGATGATGCACAGCTCTGGGTCCTTGATTTCGCAGCGTGGCGAAGTGAATCACTCCATGAAGCGTCTCAAGCTTCTACTGTCTCTCGGGAAGCAAGGCTGGCCTTTCTGGTACCAAGCCCGAATCCTATCGACTGCAGAAGTCTTGCAGTGGCACAGAACGGTGGGCGGGGGGTTGCTTTACGATGGCGTGCTTGTAGTGTCAGACGATAGGCCACCATTGATGGCTGACCGATGCTGGGCCCTAGCAACCCGCGTCGACGCCCTGTCTACGCCTGCTCGCTGAGGAGCTCCAGCCATCAGCGGGGTCCGAATGATCGGTGACTCTACCGTCTGAGACGAGAGCAAATGAAGCTTGTCCTGCAGCAAACGATCCTAGTGCGAAAGAGTTTCGCATCTTTGGGTGAGTGAAGAGAACGGTTGGGTGGAACAGCCAGACCCTAGACGTAGGGTCGGGATCCTTTCAAGCCCAAAGCCGCGACTAGCAGGCGACAGGCTACATCTAACGCATATGACGCCAGCCCTACCCATCCACAATGTAGAGCAATTCTGCCTGTGTTAGTCTACAAAAGACAGCTCGCTACAAGCGACTCATTTTTTAGAGGCCATGGACGGGCATCTTAACGTTTGCCAGCCGCACAATCACTAGTAACGGAGGCCCCCAGCACAAGTAGCGGCTTTCTGAAAGATTCATCTTGTGATTGTTCGTAATTATAGGCCACACTTTGCGAGGCTTAGCCTTCTCCAGGCCTCAGCCTCGTCATGGATAACATTGGCATGTGCAAATTCTCTTTCCGGGGTGACCTTTTGCAATCCCCGCAGATTACGACAAGCAATGGCAGCGATGCAGGAGACTGTGGCCGATTGCTTTTGAATCTCCGTAAGGTCGTGCTTGAAATAGGAGATTACGTTTACCATTGCTACCACAGCTAGCTTGCGGGCGGGTGCATAGTTTGACACTGTGCGACGAGCATGCACAATGGTCAGCGCATGCAATGTGATGGCGACGACTGGGGTGCTTTTGGTATTTCCTAAGGAAGTTCCACCATCGACGTCGGTGGTGTAGCCAGATTCTAGATGATATAACCTCTTCTTGTCGCCTCCACATATTTGCTCACTGACAAGAGGTTCCGGTCCTTCTGTTATTAAAAGCAAGAGTGATATGAGACGTTCGAGTGTAGAATATTGAACTTCGATTTCCACCTGAACCGTCCTGTAATATACTCTCTGCTTACGTAGTGAAGCTCATCGTTCCGCTGCACTCCTCCCGCGGTCCATAAACGTCTTTTGCCAGGTATCGTCCCGAGTAGTCCACTCTTTAGTGTACCGTGCATGTTCTGGAAGTCAGGTACTGATCCCCGCTCATGCACTAGTGCCGTTGGGCCATGCACAATTTGGAAAAGCAGCGGACAATTGGCATGAGGAATCGTCCAGGGCTAACCCCACGTTGTTCGGAGGATTGACATGCCTGTCATCACGCGGCTTCGCACACTTTGAGTCTCCCGTTTCCGGCAAGTTATCGCTAGGTGTCCCAGTCTCAGGATGCGGACGCCGATGGATGCACCTCTGGACGTAAGCGGAGCTTTTCGTAGCGCTCCGGAGGCTCGGGATTTGATTGTAACCGTTGGAGCCAAACATCTTCAGCCGACACAGATTGCAGATGCAAGCCATGTGGCCTAGTGTCTAAGCCTAGCGCGATAGGCATTACAACGGCGCCCAAGCCCTCGCCGACCGAAGCCGCCGACTGAAATAGAAGCGGAGGTACTGCGAATGCATCCCCTTGTTTTTTGGGTGTGCTTTGAATACAATGCATATAAGTAGTCAGTAGAGGCTTCACTATGATTGAGGCCTTTAGACATTCTGCTATGCTACTAGGTAGGTAAGGTGGAGGTTGCCGATGCGGGTTGCTTGAGGCTCACGGAAGTCTCCATACATTACGCAGGGGCGGAAACTTAATGCTGTGCTCTGTCAAACACCTGTCGACATCGCGTGCAAGCACCCGCGGTGATGGCCTGTGGGGGCAGTAACCAGGGCCGAAGCTTCCGCGTGGATGCAAGGGGACGAAGAGCGACCACCCACGCATTCGGATAAGTGTACGACGATGGCTGTGTAGACTCTATTCCTACCCACACCGGCTCTCCCATCGGCGAGGTTCACTTGTGAGACTACTGACGTTGCGGCCCGCTGCGCAGGTGAACGTGCGTTTGCGCGTTACTGCGAACTCACCTCATCGCAGAGGTCCGCACGCATATACGTTTCATTTTGGCTTGTCGATGCAAATACGTACTTGCGATTCATCACATCACCAGTGAAGTATTGGCATCTTGTAGGGAGAATAGCCGAGTCCTAACCACATACGGGGTGCACTTCGTAGCGTTACGTTATCGATAAGGGTGACACTAGCGTGTAATTTACAGCACCTGTATGTATTCATCAACAAGGTACTCAGTGACACAAGCCACTCCAACGGCCAATAACAAGACCGCCACTGGCCATATAAGCACACAAATCTCCTCGTCACTGAAACATGATAGAGACAATTTACATCGTTCGGCACGCAGTAAGTCACATTGGAGTGCCGCTCTGAGCCGTGGTACTGCAGCCCCTCCAAGCGCCCCAAGTCATGCTGGCGATCGTTCCACATGTCCTACCTTCCAATCCAGCGACGCCAGGCTTTGCAAAGCCGCAGCACTGACTGCTGGCTGACAATGCGGCACAGTTTCGCTCCAACTGGGATGTCAATCCTCAGACAGGCGTCTATACAGCGAGCACACGGACCCCGACTGGTATCCCAACTGACCCAGCGCTTGCGGCTCATGGCGTAGAACAGGCTGCGGAACTTGCCGACCACCTTTGTGCGATTGAGCCACCGGTTGATAGGATCTATTCAAGCCCGTTTTATCGGTGTTTACAGACACTGAAACCGACAACCGAACGACTATTCAAGGAGGGCAGGGGAGGCCGCAAGATCAGGATAGATCGCGGTGTTGGGTAGGTGAAGATAATGATCTCCTGATCGGCATTCCCCTATAACTTTGAGATTTTGCCGAACTCGTTCAAACGATGCGCTAATACCGGGCAGCGAGTTCTTCGGCCGCGCGGACTTTGAGCATCCAAATCCACCGAGCCTTGAAATACTGAACAAGCATTTCCAAGACCTGGATCAAGACTACGTCTCTATACACATCCCGGGCGCTAATGGAGAGTGGCTCAAGGAGCTTCATCAGCGCGTCACCAAGGCTCTCACGAGAATTGTCACTGACCTCGATGATGACCCCGAGCAGCCTAACACGCTGTTGATCTGCACGCATGCAGCCACAATGGTATGTCCTGGTATTCGGAGTCTTCTGGTTCATTGTATGCATCTTGGATGTTGTTGGGCAAGCGATCTTCGCTTCTAGCCCGCACCTGTGCGTTACCTAACGTAAAGGATCCGTTACTAACGTCCATACCAATCTCGCAGATTGCCGCCGGTCGCGCTCTGACCGGGAAGATACCGGCCGACCTCAACGAGGACGACTTCCAGTGTTACACTGCCTCGTTGTCGAAGTATGTGCGGAGGAGCTTTGAGCCTGAGAAGGGCGTGGCTGGGAACTGGGACTGCGTAATCAACTCCGAGACTAGCTATCTTTCAGGTGGCGCGGAAAGAGGATGGTAAGTTTCATGCAGTTCCTCCATCATCGCAAAGAAATTGTACTCTGGACCGTGTATTCCGGAAGGTGGAGAACGACCAGGCAAGCGATTCGGGGTCACATGAATGCGGAGCCAAGTTGGCACCTACTGTAACCGCGACACACATCCCTAATCCGTTAAGCCGAGCGTACTATTAACGAAAGCTTTCCGCTCGGCTTCTCCGAACACATGGACCATCGCTAATGTCCTCAGGAAATTCAACGGCGAGGAAAGCTTCGTCGCCTTTCCCGAGGACGCTCAACAGGAGAACGGATCACCGAAGCTATAGTGCTTCTTCAAAGTGATAGTATCAACAGGATATCTCTACGAGCACCCTTGCGGCATCCGTGTACGCCATCGCATATCTAGCGAGTGCATGACCAAGGTAGACGGATATCAGTCAGTGTACGTTCACACTGGCTCTCTACAATATTTGTCATACACATGCACAGCGAAGTCGTGCAACAATGTGAGCCCTAAACACTATTCATCAGCAGACCGACAAGCAGGCCATACATCAGTATACACGGCCGACTGCCGGTTACAACCGTGCGTTTCAACCCACTAAACCACTTCGCCCCCAACCACCAGTTTCAAAGCCCTGTCGTGCCATCTAACCGCGGTAGCGCTTTCGTTGGCACACCATTCTTTTGGCGCTTGGCCAAAACCACGCTGCCCAAACACCTTCCTCATTGTTGCAACTCATCGTCAAAATAACCTCAAGCGCAACCCTGCTCTGACGGCCCATTAGCTTAACCGGCGTACCGGTACATGTCTCACTGTACGATACATGACCAACAAACTCGAGCCAAATGAAACGGCTGTGGCTCGCCTCATTTCAACAACCCCGGCCCAGATGTCAGGCCATCTGAATCCTGACCGCTGCCCACTGCGCACGTGCGTTGCGCGTGTTGCGAAGGGATCGACGCCGGAAAGGATTGGGATGCCGAGTGGAGCGACGTGGACTGGGATTTGATCTTTTCCCACGTCAGTTCTTCAAATTTGGCGCTTGACGCATAAGTGCAGAGTTGAGATGTGACCATGATTATAGGGGCGCCCTAAGGTGCCTGATCGGGAACAGTTTGAGGCTGGAAGTGGGCGGGGTCCGAGTTTCGCGTAGGCGACGAGAGGTTTAGGCGGCAGCAAGCGGCGGCTCGGAGTACGCGGCGTGAATGTTTTTGGAGGGTTTAGTCGGATCACGGTCATGTCCGTTGATACCGATCGTGGTATTGCATAGGCTCTACCTTGTATTATATTGTAGCGTCGCTGGGCGTTACCCTCCCTCGATCCATCGTTCGAAATTAGTCTAGACCCTCTACACTAATTATTGCAGCACGCCCTATTCGTGAAGGTTACGTCATACACAACTGATATTCCCTTGATCTTCGAACATCCACACCATAGCTTGAAAATGTACCCTCAATCGTTGCGACGTACGGACTCACAACTCTTAGGTTGCGTGCGGCAATGACTATCAGCTTAACACGCCGCTAAAACGCATCTCCGCTGATTGACATCATGATTACTGATGTGACGATGGTTTTATATTACCAACTCGAAGCAGCATCCTGAACGCTCACTACTGTACAACATAGACAGGCGTCAACTAAGTCTGCTAAACATGCCTTTGTACGAAGTCTTCCATACGTGCTCTTTGAACGACGAACAGCAAGAACAGATCGCAAAGGGGATAACAGATATCCACTGCGGCACCTTCGCGGCACCATCCATCTTCGTGAATGTCATCTTCCACGAATACAATGATTCTATGCGGGATCACGGATACGCGAAGACAGTCTACGTAGGAGGAAGAAAGGTAGGATTTCAACTTCAGTCTTATCTTTAGCACAGCCAGTTCCTTCCTATACACATGACTTGCGAAGCATGTTGTCAGTGCATCATACACAGGAAACATGCTAGACTCTAATCCCCTTCATCCATACCTACCTAGACACCAACTCAACCCTTGAGTCTCTCCCCATCACTACTATCACAAGAGCATCGTTCCCGCTCCTCAATGCACGCAGCCTACCTTTCCTCCCTTTCGTTTCTTTTCCCATTCCACATGCGAGCATCTCAACCTCTCAGTCTCTCCCCAAATTAACGCACGACAGCACCAACAAACCAATTACATCACCGCGCACCTCCGCCCGCGGCCCAACAACCGCGACACGCTAGTCCACATCACCCAACGCATCCTCGCCCTCTGGAACACCACCGTCTCACTCACCGTCCCTAACCACCCCGGAAGCATCACCGACGCTAACGCTCTACATAACGTCTTGCTCTTCGATGACATCGCTGCGGGTGCAGAGCAAGGGTTTGTGAGGCCGCCGGCAGGCAAGGATAGAGAGTGGGCGGAGGAGCACAGGGAGGAGTTTGAACGGAGAGCAGCAGAGGGGGATGAGGGGATGAGAGTGTTGGTGGGGAGATTGGGGAGGGTAAGGTAGGAGGGAAGTGAGGAAGTGGTGGGATGGAGTGAGCGTGGGCGAGGCGCGGATGAGTTGTTGGGGGATAGACTTGAGAGCACGAAAAGATAGGGATGTGAGATGAGGCCTAGAGATATCGGAGAGATTGATGTATGCGAATGTGTGCAAGAGCGTAAGACAAGGCAAATAGCATGAACGGGGTGGAAATTGTGCCGAGTCCGGGAGCCTGGATGCTACATGCAAGACAGATCATCGAGATAGTTTTACACCGTCTGTGAGATCGAGCGGCATGAACCAGCAAGTACATTGATGTCTACACGAGAGAGCGGCTTGCTTCGTCGTGATATTGCGCAGCGGCAAAATGGGCCATTCGGAACAGGAGACGAGCCAAAGTAGGCGGAGCCCTGTGAATCAACCCAGATTCGATCTTGCTTAATGGGTTCGATTCAATGTGTACACGAATCACCAGAGACGACAGAGTTTGTTGTTGACATAGTGACGTTTAGCGACCCTGTAGGGCGTGGACACACCAAAGACTTCTGCAGCCGGAACACCGTCACTGCATGAGGCGTGTTTCCGAACAGGTAGTAATACATCTATATGGGCAGTAGATAGTTACGGAGTCTGGCAGACAAACCCTGGATGCATTGCGATTGTGTGGAAGGGTGTATCCGGCGTGGATGCTATCGTTACTGGAATGGGAGCAAGCACCTTCATAGGTCTCACATCAAGATGCTGGCATGTAAGTATAGGGTTTTGGTAACGAGAAGTCTTTGAATTCGTGGTCGTGACGTTGTTCAAGGCGCGGTGGCTACCCATACAGGAATAGTTCGCGATTCAGGGCGAGCTACTTCGAGTTACACAGGAGGGCATTTGTAGCGATTGCATCTTTCCTCAATAGAGATTATCTTCTTGCACGGGCTTGGAAATTAGAGCCATTCTCTATCGACACCCGTAGCTGAGACTACCAGTCGGCGGATTCCCACGTTCACTTCACAAATGCTCTATTCATAGCGGTATATCCTCCATCATCTGCACCGCACCCTCACGTCCCACCGTGATGATGACATCACCCAGCGTCTTCGTTGCAAATCCTGCTTCACTGTACCTAAAATAGTAATCCCACTTTCTCCGGAAGACCTCTGCGCCCTCCGCGTCCATACCCTCAGCTCGCTTCTCAAACATTAGTTGCGGCTTAATCTTTCCGTCCCAGTTGTCCAGGAATGCCTCGCGCCATATGCGCAACGCCTTGGCGTAGTGCGGACCAATGTTCTCTACGTTGTCGACGACCAGGGAGCCGCCAGATCCATTGGTAATTGAGTTGACGAGTTGCGTTAAAGTTGGGAGGTGGCCGCCGGGGAAAATATACCGGCGGATGAAATCATCTGATTTCGCGTAGGCATCGTACCGCGCCTCCGGCATCGTGATGCACTGGAAACATGCGATGCCGCCGTCTGCCTTCAAGAGCTTGTTGATACACCGGAAGTATGTTTCCAGATACTCCTTGCCTACTGCCTCCAGCATCTCGATGGACACCACCTTATCAAAAGCACCGGTCTCGGGGACCTCCAAACTTCGATAGTCGCAAAGTAGCACAGAGATCCTGTCTGACATGCCAGCTTCTTGTATCCTCTGTTCTGCCAACTCTTTTTGCTCGACTGAGAGGGTCAACGATGTTACGCGGCAACCCGTTCGTTGAACCGCCCTAATTGCGAAACTGCCCCATCCAGTGCCAATCTCTAGCACATGGTCTGTGGACTCTATATGTGTGTTGTCTATAAAGCGATCGAGCTTCCGCATCTGCGCATGTTCTAGTGTTTCGGTCGCGTGCGCTGGATTCGATTTCGTGTACCATATTGGGCTCGAATAGGTCATGTCTGGGGAAAGGAAAGCGGCGAACATGTCATTCGAGATATCGTAGTGAGCGGAGATGTTCAAGCGGGCGTTCTTAAGGTTGTTGCTCCCTCGCACGAGACCGGCAAGGCCCGAGGATACAGCAGAGGTGAACGTCGAGCCATTGGACAGATGATTGCGGTTTAATATGAAGAGCTGTCATGGTAAGCATGAGAACTATGATGTAAGAATTGAATCTTACTTCGAAAAATTGTGTAAGGTCTGGCGAGGTGACTTCCCCTAGCATGTAACTTTCAGCGAAACCCTTCCTTCTGTCAGCGGGAGTTCTTTATTCAAACATCAAAGTCACCAAGAACCTACCATATCCGCGAAAAGTGCTAATCGAACCCAGAACTTCTCATCGTGAACAGCAAGAGACGCAAACGGGTGTTCAGGCGACTTTTGTCCGAAAAACGTTGCTGGTTTGTCGACGCCATCCTCGCGAAGCGCCAGTGAACCAACCTTGATGCCCTGCAACTGAGCGAGCGTTCCACTCCTGCAAAGCGAGACAAGCGGATCCCAAGCCTGCGAGGCTACGCCGTTCCATACCGCTGCAAAAGGACTTGTAAACCCACCCAGTATCGTCATTATGGCTTCTTACGTATACGCGAGGATAGGAAATAAAAGAGACAATGCGCGCCGGGGTATCACTAATGGTGGAAGATCGAATTGAGCGGTTGCAAACTTTTCCAAATGTGAATACCGCATTAGTCGAGGAATGCGCGCGTATAAAGAGAGATGGACGCTGGCGCCAGACAACCACCGTGGGCACTCCGTACGGGGCAATTGACTCTGCGACCGGCTCTGTCCGGATGAACCGAAGCCGACGGATTTGCGCCATCTTGCAAGATTTGTGTGGCAGGTGTTTGAGGTGCAGAATCGACGAGGGACGTTTGGAGGTACTTTGCCGTTTTAAGCGTTTGATGAATCATGGAATCGACGTCGCGTGCACTGGCTCATTGTGCCTCGCACTCTAAGAAACCCGATTGACAGCGGGTTTCGATCAAAAGAACATCAAAAGGTTTCTTGGGGCTCAGCTGTTGATATACTTCGACGGCCGTTGCAGTTGTACACATGACGTACGTTCAGTTCAGCGCCCGCGGCGACGCGTCTCCGCTAGTGAGGGGCTCTGCCTGCAGGGCTGCGAGGCTTGCGCCAGGTACTGCTTCCATCCCTGTGCCGGTAATGCTTCAGCCGCAGGAACGCCTGTGGACCTCAAAACAGTATCAGTAACATTTTAGATCCATCGACTGCATTCCTACTGCTCTCGCACGAGTTGGTACTGTCACCTGTGTAAGCTAGTTTCTCACACTCGGTGCAGCGTCCACTGCCGACATAACTTGGCGCCGTCGCGGTAGATCGCCTGTTTCGTTTCGGACGACTCAGGGCCACTGGTGATACGGGAAGCGCAAAGCTTAATTAGAGCTGCTGGATGGATCAGGGTCATCAATGTAGGAGATGCCACTGCTTGACGGAGTGAGAGTTGAAGGTGATGTTGCTGTCCGACCAGGGTTGGATTGGCTGGTCCTGATATGGTAGGCGCGTAGGCGCGACGCGTCCGCGTCTCTCCAACGAACCTAAGGTGTGCGTTGTAACGACGTACAACACCTACTCACGATCAAAGCATATCCACAATCAGATCACTGCACCACCACCTTTCCCCTCGAGGCCTCGCATTGCGCTACTTCCACCATGATCGCGATCCGATCCACCAACGCAAAGAAATGCACACCAAATCTTCTCCCCGCGCGACTCAACCACAACGGACCCGTGAACGACACAAATCACTACTGGAAGCCCGAGACAGATCAGAAGGGTATGTGTTAAGGTTCTACGATCCTCAATTCGCAGGTCTAATACCACATCCAGGAACACCCCACGCCTACTTCCGCGGGCGCCATCTCCACGGCACACCTCTCGCCCTTCCTTCCACGCACACCGGCGCCATCCTCCAAGTCACAGACGAGAATCTGCCACAACCGCGGCCACAGGCGATAGACGAAGAGGACGGAGAGGATGAGCAGGAGACAGCAGAGGTTAAGATCGCCGAACGAATAGGTGATTTTGACGAGGTGGTAGTTTGGGGCCATGGTGGGGAGGTGGAGGGGGAACAGGATATGTTCATCAGGGGAGTGAAAGAATGGATGGGGTTTGCGGAGGCTATGCATGGAGAGGAGGAGGATGGGGAGGGTAAAGATGGGATGAAAGGAAGCTGAGGGGTTAGTCCGTGCTGGGACTCATCTCATAATATCATGCAGTGCAAATACAGGAAGCTAAGGGAAGGGACAGTACCAGGTCACTTCGGTGGTATCCTGTGTGCACAGAAGTCCGCATCGAGGAAAGATCTAGTAGCGTGAAAGGTGCCATCCAGAGGGCAGAGCACTCAATCTGTTTGTACTGACATCGCACGAATGTTAGATCAGCTTTCCATCCCTATCCACAAACCTCACGCCTTCCACCTTCTCCTTGACCACATCCGCCACCCCTCCTCATTCCACCCAAAATCCACGCTCCCTCCGCCTCTCAACCGCAGCCCCTCACCCTCCCACCACCCCACCCCTTTGGAATCGCCGGCCCCAGCACCACCGTCCTCTCCCTCCCCGCCAATCCCATGCTCCTCAATATCCACAACAAGCATACTCAACACCGCGCCCGCAAACCCAAAATTCGCGTCAATCTGGAACGGCGGGTTGTGACCGGAATACATGCTCAGCGCATTGCCCGCGAAATTCTGCTCGACCGCGTATTTGAGCTCGAAGTATGCGCGCTCAGTGTTGTTTAGGCGCGCCCAGCCTAGACGCGCAGGTACGAAGTCAGTTCAAGTCAGAAAAGTGGGGATAGTACGAAGTGTTTATGTCTAAGACATATCGACTTCGTACCCGGGCAATACTTGCATGCGGACCGCCACACTTTGGCCCAGCCGGCGTTAGCATCGGGACCGTTCCCGGTGCCGCGAGAGTAGAGAGAAGTGGCTATCGCGTCTTGGATGGTAGCATTGGTGTAGCCGCCCAGGAACGAGCCGGAGGGTGAGGCGAGTGTGATGCCAGGGTACCAGCCCCAGAGGTGAGAGAGGTGACGGTGTGTGTCATTTTGGAAGTCGTAGACTTCAGAATCTTCCGGGTCTGGCAGCTTCCACTCTTTCACGCCACCCCAGGACGTTTTGTGGAAGCCTTTATCGAGGCGTGTGAGCGCGGTGCTGATATTGCTGATGAATGCGGAATCGGGTTCTTTAGCAAGTGGGCCCAGGACTACCATGCTGGCGAAGAGTTGATGGAGGAGCTGTTGGTAATGGGTGCAGCCGAAGGTTGTTGGACCATGCTCTGGACTGTTACATGGGTTTACGACGATCGTTCCGTCGTTCCAGTACCGATCCTCTTGGAGTTGCGATAGCCAGAACTGCGCGACACCTTTGAGGAGCGGGTAGCCTGTCAATTGCAGCCAGGTGACGTTCTGGGAATAGGAGAAGTGATCTGTGACGTGCTGCATCATCCAGGCGGCGGACGCAGGGTAGTTAGCCCACTGAGCGTCTTCTTTCATTCCCGTGTGCCCAAAGATATTCATCTCGTCGTGAGTCACCCAGCCCGGCGCTCCATATAGGAGTTTCGCGGTCTCGGTTCCTCGAGGTACCCATGTATCGAGCATATATCGCCAAAGCCCATCTTGAATATCCCCAAGCCCAGTCTGCTCAGCTGCCCAGTAGTTCATCTGCAGATTGATGTTGGCATGGTAGTCCCCGGACCAGGCAGCAGATAGGCCCTCACTCCAACGTCCTTGGAGATTGGCAGGGAGCGAATTCTCTCGAGATGACGAAATGAGCAGATGTCGAGAATAATCAAATAATAAAGCCTCCACAAAAGCGTCTCCTACGCCGGAATCATAGCGGCCAAGAAGAGACGCGGTCTCGATCTTAGCTGAGCCGTTTGGGTCTGGTAATTCCAGTACAAAGCTATTTGAAAGCTTCTGGTAGTCCTTAATATGCCTTTTCCTGAGCACGCTCGGGGACAGAGAGGCAGCAGTCGCTGTCACATCTCGGACGTAATCCGCCGAATCGGCGCTCCGGAACGAGAAATTACTGGCTGCGTTACCCTTCGTTTGGTCGAAACTGGTCCCCGCGCCAACTACTACAGTCAATGATCTCAGTCCTGGAGGTGGGAGAACAAGAAGAACTTGTCCAGCACATCTCGTGGTCTTATTAGCAGGTCCAACGATTCTCGCCACGCCCTCGAACTTCATACCCTTAGGGGGTCCAGCTTGTGTCACGCCACTAAGCTTCGCATACCCATCAGTGCAAGAAGACTCAACGAGGGTATCGCTTAGCAATTGATTTTCCAATTTGATAGAAAGCTGCGGTAACGTAGCGCTGGTGTCGAGCTGGTAAACGCAAGTCTGGTCGGGAAAACTGCAGAACACCGTGCTCGTATAGCCGTTGCCCTTTGTATCGGCAAATCTAGTTGTATGTATCCCTGTTCTGAGGTCTAGTTCTCTTCGATAAGAGCTTGGAACAACACTGGTGTTGTATGATATAGATAAGTTGCCCAGAACTTGATACGATCCATAATCATTGCTGCTGCCCAGCAGTTGGGACACATCTATGAGCATCAGCGAAGGTCAACTGATCGATGGCTCACGTACTTCCTGTGGTATTTTGGAAGATCCAATCTCGGATGCCTGAAAGATACGTGTACTTCCCCTCGGCGGGATTGCCTCCGGTATAGTTCTACCCTTATTAGCACTTAGGATGACATTGGTGCATGTATCATACAGAGTCACCAAAAGGCCCACCTGACCAGAGCGAATCTACATTCAGTATGATCTTCTCTTCCCCTGGAGAGCCGAACGGCATAGCTGCATCGGTCAGCCATCGGATTCAAGTTTCACAACAGAAGGAACTTACCCCCAAGCCTCCCATTACCGAGTAGATATGCTTCTCGAATTACATTGGAGTAGTCAGTCGCTGGCACGGACGCCCAAACGGATTTGGCACTAGAGACACCTGCTGCCAGTGAAATGATAAGGGCATGCGGAAGCCATAACAACATGATCGGTAAATGGCGTTGTTTAATTTCGGTCGTACGATGTTACAGAACCGCAGACCGACCTGCACCATGAGGATGGCCTCTCAAGGCATATTCGAGGGGTGGCTTTTTATTACATGTAAAGGAACGATTTGTAGATCCGCTGCAGGTACAGCGGGGTAATTACTACGGTTAATGAAGATATCTCCATCTATGCCGTTAGAAGGAGACCAGGTTCGGACACAGTGCTCCAGCTGCGTGTATTCTCACCACTTCGTATCTTCACGAGCTGAGATACGGTAAGACGTATACACGGGTACACATTTTTCCGAACAAGACGGTACGGAGGGGAGGGCAAAGGGGAACAGAGCAACTTGAACGAGCCAACAGTGCTGTCAATCATCATCTCTTGTGGTCCGAAGTTTTGGGAGCTGCGGCACGGAGTACTTAATAGCGGGTGAAAACACTCCGAGAGAGAGGTTCAGCGCACGAAAGATCTGCACCGCATGGGAATGTGTTGCACCGACAGAACGTACGTCTAGGGAAGAATACCATAGCCAACATTAGCACGGAAAGACAGCGCGATTCTTAAGGACGATAGCACCGCAACGATCTCCGAGTGGGGAAATATCCCGATGCACATAGCAAAATCCTCATCCTTCCCGTCGCTGTGAGCCTGCTTCCTAATTAGGCAATTCGAACGCTGTCGATTACGGTGTGAAAGTGATGGCGCCATATCCCACTCGGCCATTTCCCCGCGGCAACCCCAAGCGAGCCTCGGCAGCACCTTCCCACGCTACCCACAGCAAGCCCCTCCAAAACCAACAATTCCCAACATAGTGCGAGCACCACGATAACCCTCACAATGCCTCGCCCAAAGCGACAACTCCACGCCACGGCTGAAGAAACCCTCACCCCGCCTGACACTCTCTCCGCCACTCAAGGAATCGCCCGCATCACCAAAGCCGCGGGCAACAACCTCTACAACGCCGAACTGCCAGGTCGCAAACCCGTCCTAGTCGAGCTCGAATCAAAGTTCCGCTCTACAATATGGATAAAACGCGGTAGCTACGTAGTCGTGGATACACAGGCGCTAGCAGACAGGGACAACAAGCTCGACGGTGAGATTGTAAACGTGGTTCGGGACGAGAAAGCGTGGAGGAAAATGGGGTATTGGTAAGTTAGGTCTACACTATGCTATGCTAAGGAAACGCGGGTATATGGATGCAAATGTACAGCAGTATTGATACCATCTAGGCCGAAGGAGTTCGCGAAGAAGTCGTCATACGGCGAGGATAGTGAGGATGAGGAGTCAACGGTGGGAAAGCTGCCACCGTCGGATTCAGAAGAAGAAGAAGTGTAAACGGATGGGCCTACTCTGCGTGTGCATGCTCGTTGGCGCCCACAGGCTTTCCGTTCGCCTCCGCGGCTTCGAACTCCTTGCGAGTGCCCCACCATACGCCCACGATCGTTGTCGCGAGCACACCCACAACCGTTGCCGAGGACAGCGGTGTGCTGGGATACACGTTCCACGCCCACTCCTGCACGCCCCACAGCGCATACTGTACCACCGGATGGAAGCCTGCTTTCCAAAGTAAGAAAGGCGTTGTCCATGCAAGATAGGCATAGAATTGATAGTGCAATGACCGGGCGCAGAGCATGCCAATCGCGACGGCGGAGAGTATGGCCGTCATGATGAAGTTAGGTGTTATTCTTCGCGAGATCTGGCCCTGATCGCGAGGTTCGTCCCAGATCATACGCAGGAACTCACGGGGCCCGCGCCTTGAGGGCTTCATCCAAAGGGTGCGGGCGAACCAGTATAAGAGACCCACATGCGCCGCGAGCAGGCCAAGGGCGAAGGGTTTGGAAAGGAAGGTGGATTCGGGAACAAAGCGCCAGTTAACAGTCCATTTGTAGAGGAATTGGCGTGTTAGTTCAAAAGCTCTGGCGAAGTAGGATGGTGCTCGTTTGCGGAAGGGGTACCCATAGGCAACCTAGTCAACCAGTCAGCCCTAAAATAAACATTCCTACTCAATGACTTGAACATACCGAGACTTGCAAAATAATCATAGCCTGCGTGATCGCCTCGGTCGACCCCAACGCCTGCAGAAAGATGATTCCCATGGCTGGCAGCGGTAGCAGCAGGCTCATCTTAACATTCAGCCCCGTCGTGTAGAGAAAGCTGCCCCAATGCCAGTTCTTCGTCTGATAGCAGTAGATCGCCGCGAACAGGCCAAGTACCGCAAAACAATCATTGAAGCATCTCAACACGAAAATACTGTGCAGCCGCTTCGAGAGAATCAGCAGCGGAAACACATATGGCGGAACCTGAGTATGTTAGCCCTCCGTTCCTCTTGCACATCAGATTGGGAGATATACCTTCGCGTTACGATAACATTGTAGTACAATCGCCAACGTGAAAAGATACACAAGCGCGAAAATGTACTGGGCAAGCTGTATGTTCGTCCCCTTATCGGTCAACCAATACAGAATCCGGTAAATCAGGACGTGCGCGCCGGGATACACCAACGGCCCTGTGCCGCCCTCAATAAGTTTATAATCTCTTTCGCCTTTATTGAAAATCGCAATCTGCTCCATGTAGGCTTTCCAGTCGATTTCTGTATCTGCGCGGAATAGGTGAGTACACGTGTTGTATAGTCGCGAAGCGCTGCCACTCACAAGGCACGAATTCTATGATTAAACCGCACAGCGCGGCGTCCGCAACAAGCAGCAGCGGATACATCCATTTTGTATGGTCAGGGTTCGTCGCCAGATCTCGCAGGGTATTCATTTTGGCGGTTGTGGATGGCAATATTGGTGGTCGTCGGAATTAGCGCTGGTGTTATAGAGATGCGCGGTCACGTGTAGCCGTGGCCGGGGAGTTTCAGATGTGGTGTTGGGGGCATCTTCAAACGGGGACGCGTTTCAACGGTGCAAAATTCGTACGATGGGAGGAGGTATGATGTGGCATCTGCCAGCGGAGGTTTCGTTGGTGCCTTAGGGTCTGCAGTACGTTTGCTCTTGCACTGGGTTCTATACTGCACAAGTCGATAGGAGAAGTGCATATCAAGAGTCGAGAGGGTGGTGTGTGAACGAGTAATGGCTTGGAAGGCAAGGGTTTTGTATAGAGCGCTGATGCGAGACTGCGATATACATGAGGAAGCCTCTTGACCGCATCACGTTCTATGGAAAGTGCCGTTTAATGACACATGGGCACTCGTCCTACTACCCGCCTCGACTATACCGGTCCCGAGCCCAGGCATTCGGTTCAAAATATGCTGTGTCCCGGTGCGGGGTGTTACCCGGCGTTTGACCTTGTTGAGAACGATCGATCCTCGCACTGTCTCTCTTCTACTCCCATTCCGTTCCTTTCAGTCGCTGCATCAGATAGTCAACCTCAACCTCCTTGGTCAGCGGGATGACCCAATCCTTGTACATTGCCTTCACGGCGTCTGCGTTGACCTTCGCGGGAGCACTGGCGATAGATGAATAAGGTTCTGTGCCGTACGTCTCCGCCTTTAGCCTGAGCCTTTCTAGTACCTGCTCCTCCACCGCCGCAACAGTAATAGCCTCGTCGATACCGTTCGTATCCCCAGCCTTGATAAGCTTCACAAAGCGCTCCGGGTCCTTGACAAATTTTGCTTCCGCCACGAACTTCCCATAATGTATGCGTCTTGACAAAGCCTGGATCAACAGCACATCGCACGTCGCAGCAGACCCATAGTTCTCCTGGCTCTCTCCTCTGTCGCCGCGGTCGGATTGCCGGCATGCCGGGGGAAGGATGTGCTCGATGTAAATCTGCTTCAGCTTGTCGTTCACGTTGACATCGTTTTCATGCAGAATCTTCGGGTAGTTGAGCGGCTTCAGGATGGGCTCTTGAAGCGCGTCTGGGAAGAAAGGATATTCATCGGGCGATTGGTAGCGGCGCACGAGTGATTGCAGGCGCTCCTGCTCACGCAGCATCCAGTCAAAGAGCGAAAGTTTGGACCCGGGAATTGCGACACCGCCGGGAACGTAGATTGTTTTGTTTAAAGGGAATTGGACGCGCTCGATGAGGTGGAATATGATTGTGTCTTCGAGGCGGCTGTAAATCGTGACGTTAGTCTAAGTTGTTTCAACATGCATAGAGGACGAGGACAATAGTCGAACAGCAAAGAAAGCCATGTTCGTGTATAGTATGTATTTATTTGTATTGCGCATCGTGGGGTACATACATCAGTTGGAAACGAATGTTAGCCAGATCCAGTGCCTGTTTGGCATCCTTCGAGTCAATTACTCCTTCCATTGTGCGCTAATTGTTCAGCTGCTGCAACCGTCCTGTGCAAGTATGCACGTAGTTATATTCGAGGTTATAGTGGAGGGAGTCATTGTAGCTGAGGATGAGCGCAAAGGCAAGCACCGATTCCGGCGGCAGTGCGGAGTACTTGCCTTGCCCAAATGACGCACGTTCCCCGAAGCTTGTGGCTTCTGGCCTTGCCGAATGGTCGAGCTTCGAGCAACACCAAACATACCAAGTTAAGACACGCCCCGCCCATTGCGCTGCCCGAAGAATCCCACGATCGTTTTCCACAGGCTCATGACTATGCGATCCTAGGGCAGCATCCGACGCTGCGTATTCACTCCCATTTCACGTGCCTCGATGGCCTCGCGGCAACAGGGCAATGGCTCGCCGTCACGCGGCAGGTCCACGAGCCCGCGACCACTGCGGCCGCAAGAGGACATGGACTACGATTCCGATGCCAGTTTCATTGAGAATCTACCAGATGTACGAGCAAACGCAGATGCATTTACAGTTTGCGGTACTGATCTTTGCTAGGCCCGCCACCTGCAAGCCTTTGGTAGAAAAGTCACAGCGACCGCAGGCAGCTTGATAGGGGCAGAAGGCGTGAGCCAGCACTACCAGAACGCTTTAGGAGAGCTTCACCGAGAACTTCGCCGGCCGATGTTGCAACGCTCCGTCTTTTCCTTCGCCCAGACGACCCCACGCGAGCTCGTGCGCTCCAGGATATCTGTGCCCGAGATCCAGCATCGCGCCCTTACATACCTCCCAGATGAACTGCTCGCGAATATACCCGAGGACAATAACGCATACTCGCTGTTTCAAGGCTTTCAAGCCTCCTTGCCGGAGGAGAAGGGTGGAGTGGGCAAGAAGCATGGAAGGCACAACTCAAGAGGACAAAGGCTGATCGGCGCGGCAGTCGAGGAGGAGGAGGATGCAAACCTGCCGCCGTCTATGCGTAAGCTAAAGAATCAGAAGCACAGCATGGGACACAAGCTGGAGATGATGGGCGTAAGGAAGCACATGTGCGCAGCCGAGATACACGAGATTGACAACAAGATCGCAAACTTGAATACGATGCGCAAGATCGTGCTGGACAGGCTAGCAGGCATCGAGATGGAAGAGGCGGAAATTGAACAGGAGATGTTGGACGTGGACAATCGTATCGAGGATTTGCAGGAAGAGCTGGAGGATGCCGCGGCTTTAGCTCCAAAATCACCCGATACCCCAACAGTAGGCGTGAGTGCAGAGGAGGCTGCAGAAGCCGGAGACGATTTCATGTCTGAGTCCATATACCAGAAGATACCCTCGCCGAAGAGCAAACGGAAAAGAGTTACACGTCGCATATCAATGCCGATCCTACATGAGCACTTGGAGTCTGGCTCGAAGATCAAAGAACTGCCTGCGCACCAGGACATTATCACCGCATTAGATTTCGACGCACCTTGGGGAACATTGGTAACAGCATCTTTGGACGATACGGTACGAGTATGGGATCTGAATGCTGGCCGTTGCATAGGGATGCTTGAAGGCCATTTGTCGTCGGTTCGCTGCCTTCAGGTAGAAGATAACATTGTTGCAACCGGTTCTATGGACGCTACTATTCGGTTATGGGATCTAAGCAAAGCCGAATATGCACCTCAAGACAGTCGGATAAACAAGGACGGCGAAGAGGAGGAAGACGATGGACTTGGTTTCGGAAACGCAGAAGACGCGCCTCCCCCGCCGCCGGCTACCATCATGCAAGACGTACCTCTATTTTCGCTAGAATCCCACGTCGATGAAGTCACCGCATTGCATTTCCGGGGAGATACTCTTGTTTCTGGCTCAGCGGATAAGACGCTGAGACAATGGGACCTGGTCAAGGGACGCTGCGTACAGACGCTCGACGTTCTGTGGGCAGCTGCCCAGGCCAACGCAACGACGACTACAGGCGCCGGACAATGGCGGCAAACGGGCAGGGTCACGGATGCAAGTGCCGACTTCGTTGGTGCTGTGCAAGTCTTCGACGCAGCTCTGGCATGCGGCACTGCTGATGGCATGGTAAGGCTTTGGGATCTGCGAAGCGGCCAAGTGCATCGCAGTTTGGTCGGTCACACAGGCCCTGTTACCGCTCTACAGTTTGATGATGTACATCTCATCACTGGTAGTGCGGATAGGAGTATACGAGTATGTTACGTCCATTCTCTTGATGAAGCCATGTGCTAACACCGATAGATCTGGGACCTCCGAACGGGTTCAATTCACGACGCGTATGCATACGACCATCCCGTGACCAGCATGATGTTCGACGCTCGCCGCATTGTTACGGCAGCTGGTGAGGACGTTGTGAAGGTCTACGACAAGACTGATGGCCGACACTGGAACTGTGGCCCTGGCGTTGGCGCGGACGAGGACGCTTCGAGCTTGTCTATCATAGAACATGTACGAATCAAGGAGGGCTACATGGTTGAAGGCCGTAAGAACGGTGTTGTCGGAGTCTGGTCGTGTTGAGTGCTGTACATGGGGCATATATGGTTGGAGATCGGAGCACAGAGGGAGCGTGCATGTATTACTACTATACCAGTCAATCTACATTACCAGTTCAGCTACGTGCAAATTGCGACTGTACATAGAGGGGTACGAGGTATAGCGAACAAACTGCAAGCGCATCACTAAGCCAGAGACCGCAGAGATAAGCATTCGGTGACGATCAGGAAAGCTAGCGCCGTAGTGGTGGGTACCCTGGCGCGGCTCAAGCGATCATGGGCTGCCGTCTACGTCACCCATAGTAAATAATCGCTTGCGACTTCCAACACTCCGACACGTCTTCCTACTATCGCTCCTACGCTCGTTCCCCACGCCCTAGATGGTACTCGCGATCTAGTTCTGCATCCCTTTGCCCAATTGATAGGAAAGTGGCGTCGGCATCGTCCCAACCGCAAGTCCGTCGTATCCAAAGCTATGCTCTCCCGGCAGGCCGGAGCTCTGTCGCGAGCGTCGCACATCTCTCCTCGAGCCTCATTGACGTGCCGGAGTGTTTCTAGAGCTTCCACTCCTCAAATCAGGGCATCATTCAGCAATGGCGGACCCGCAACCTTCCACCGGCGACCGCAGCTTGCCGCAACCCTTCAGAAAGCGCGTCTAAACCAGTACCGGTCTCCGATAATACGATCCGTATCCACGAAACCTCTCCCGTCGCCGTCATCGCGTCTTGTCAGGTTCGCATGGAGATCAGCGGCGGCACTCGGGTTGTTCGTTGCTATGAGCGGCGCGCTCGTGGTCGCCTTCTTCATCTACGATGCGACAACATACAAAGAGGACCCCGAAACGTTCGACATACCCGTGTCAGAGCTCGCTCTGAACCCGAGAAGAGGGGGCCCGAAGAACCTCCCCATCGTCGAGTATTTCGTCGACGATGACGAACCCGACATGAAGCAGAACAAGCACAAGCCTAGGCTGGTCGTCCTAGGTACCGGCTGGGGTAGTGTGGCTGTTTTGAAGCAATTAAATCCAAACGATTACCATGTCACAGTCATATCGCCATCGAACCACTTCCTATTTACGCCCATGCTGCCATCCGCTACTGTAGGTACTCTAGAATTGCGGTCACTGGTTGAGCCCGTGCGAAAAATTGTGAAGAGTATAAACGGGCACTTCTTGAAAGTTATGGCCGAAGATGTGGAGTTCTCAGAGAAGCTCGTGGAGGTGTCGGCGGTCGGAGTTGATGGAAAGAAGCAAAATTTCTACGTGCCATATGACAAGCTCGTCGTTGGTGTCGGCTCCGTCACCAACCCTCATGGTGTCAAGGGCCTCGAACACTGCCATTTCCTCAAAGATATTAGCGATGCTCGCCTGATTCGGAATAAAGTCATACAAAACTTGGAGAACGCCTGCCTGCCAACGACTACTGACGAGGAGCGACGGCGCCTCCTGTCATTCGTTGTATGCGGAGGAGGACCGACAGGCGTCGAGTTTGCTGCTGAGCTGTTCGATATGCTGAATGAGGACCTTTGCAAGTTTTTCCCACGGATTCTACGCAACGAGATTTCCGTGCACGTCATCCAGTCTCGCAGTCACATCCTGAATACCTACGATGCAGCACTATCCGAATATGCCGAGAAGCGCTTCTCTCACGATTCGGTAGATGTCCAGACGGACTCTCGCGTCAAAGAAGTCTTCAACGACAAGATCACCTACTCCCAGAAAGGCAACGACGGAAAGATCATCACGAAGGAAATTCCTATGGGCTTCTGTCTCTGGTCTACCGGAGTTTCTCAAACCGACTTCAGCAAGAAACTTGCCAAAAAGCTTGAAGGCCAGAACAACCGACACGCCCTCGAGACTGACACGCACCTCCGCCTAGTCGGTGCTCCCCTCGGCGACGTCTACGCCGTAGGCGACTGTGCAACCGTCCAGAATAACGTCAGTGATAACATCGTCAGCTTCCTCCGCACCACGGCCTGGGAAAAGGGCAAGGACCCCGAAAAGCTGCACATCTCGTACAACGACTGGCGCGGCATCGCCAAACGCGTCCGCCAGCGCTTTCCGCAAGCAGCTGACCACCTCCGCCGCCTCGACAAGCTCTTCGCTGAGTACGACAAGGATTCCAGCGGCACCCTCGACTTCGGCGAGCTTAGGGAGCTCCTCACGCAGATCGATAGCAAGCTTACTTCGTTGCCAGCGACCGCCCAGCGCGCCCATCAACAGGGTCAATACCTCGGTCGCAAGTTCAACAAAATTGCGCAGGCGGCGCCGGGTATGCAGCTCAACGAGGTGGACTACGGCGACTTGGACGAGGCTGTGTACAAGGCGTTTGAGTACAAGCATCTGGGGAGTCTGGCGTACATTGGTAACGCGGCGATCTTCGACATTAACGGGTACGGATTGAGCGGTGGTCTGCTCGCTGTGTACTTGTGGAGAGGGGTCTACTTTGCGCAGAGCGTGAGTTTCAGAACGAGATGTCTCTTGGCGATGGACTGGACGAAGCGGGCGTTGTTCGGAAGAGGTAAGTTCTTTTTATTGATACGTTTGAAAACCAGAGTACTAACGACTTGTAGACTTGATGAACTTCTAAGTGCTTTCCTTACTTGCAAAATGGGTGGTTGGTACACCATTTCCTTTTCGATGGCATAAAGCGTCCTACCTAGATTTTGCGGATGTGCTTGTACAAATTCTTTGTAAGAGCTGTTTAGAATAGCGCATTCCTATTGACCCTATCTTTGTCCACGTGTTGTGCTGGAACACCATTCATCTGAACGAAGATCTGATCCTTGAAGATGTCCTCCTGCTGGTCATTTCATGATCATGTGGAAGCCTTCACCATCTAGAGGTTGCTCATGCCCGCCGTCTTCCAATAATTACGCGCATCCCCCGCGGCCATCCTCCGCAAGCCACAGCGAAACCTCCACAGGCCAAGTCCCAAGCCGCACGGCTCATACATAGTGGACAGAAGTGTTTTGTTCGTGGCAAGAGGCTGTGGAACAATCAGTGAGCACAATCGATAGCGTAGGAGAGCTCCGGATGCTTCGCCGGACCATGCGGAATAGATTCTTGCTTTCTGAGGCCCGCGCAAGCGAAAGGTGTGCTTCGGATCGCAGCAGAGTTTCTGTGAGCGAAGTGCATAACATGGACACCGCATCCCTTCTGAAATCATGTGGAGAGGGTATGATAGAACTAGACGGAGACTTTGACAAAGTCCAAGACTTTCAACTCCACATTATTTGGGGGACGGTGTGCTCTTAGACCTTCGTAGAAAGAAGCATGTCGGCACGCACGGATAACTTCTGGTGACTAGATCGACAGCAGTTCTTTCAGAATGGCGCGTAGGAGAACATAGCGTTATCCTTGACCCCTTTCCAGAGCGTCTAAAACAAGTCCACTTTGTACATGTCTGCTTTCAAAGTTTGTTGGGTTTCTGCACAAAAAGCAAGGTTGCTCTCCGTTCCACGTATGGGGAAGGTCAGAGCTTGTGTAGCGGTACGGAAGAAAACATGCTTGTTGCTCATAGTGTTTTGACAAGCCCAAGATTGCTCCACCCACCCCACATGCATCTCTTTGAACTCTTTTTAAAAATTCAAAAGAAACATAGTTCACTCAGGCCTTGATCTTTGACAACCATAGCAAGCTTGGAAGTTTTGTGAACAACATAAGCAGGAGCAGAGAACCAGCTATTTAAATATCCCCTCCGTTCAGTCCTATCGTCAATGTCTATTGTGCACTTTGTACTCTCTTTACGTGAAGCCAATCATAGCTGCTCAAGCCATTCCCGCACCTCATTTGGGCACTTTTTTTTGCATATTTGCTCACGTTCACGTCATTATCAAAGTACCTATGGCTGCCAACATCAATGTTATGATAGAATCAGAGATCAGAATAAGCTCACAATAGAGCCACATGAGCTTTGTGGTGATAAGGACGCAGACTGTTTAGATGTATTACGACGACGCAGAATATTCACAGTGATGATACTAATGGGCAGAAGTTGCAGGGGGCGGATGTGTATTATCCGTATCCGGATGATGGGAAGAAGGGAAATGCGCCGACGTGAGAGAATGGGAATATTTCAGATAGTGGGACAGGGATGATCGGGAATAAGAAGGGTGGGAGGTAGAGAATGGGGGCCTCCGTTGGAAGATATTAGAAGACTAGAATGTGCTGTAGACAATCCCGAGTACGTCTGATCACGTGCATTCAGCGACATAAATACCCTATATAAGCTTCCTCTGTTCACCCATGTAAATGTTCGGAATAGCAGTTGGATTACTTTCAGACGCAGCTTGGTCCAGGCCCAGAAGGAGGAGATTGAGAAGCAAGCAACATCTCGAAAGAAAGCCTCTGAGCGATCGAGACATGGGGTTGCTTTACGGGAATCAACGTATTGGGTATAATTGGATTATATGCATCAAGTTTACCGCTTCGACTTCGCTTTCAGTCTAGCAGCCAACTTCTTTACATCATCTGGCTCGCCAGCGGCCTCTTTCTTAGGTTTCTTATGCTCAGGCTCTTCCTCCCGATCGCGCTTCCTCTTCTTGCGACCTTCTTCCAGCAACTTCTTCATACCCGACGTCTCTTTGAATCTAGGATTCGTCGGGTCGATGGCGAAATCATGGCTTTCGAAGAGCTTGGCAAAACGGGGATCATTGGTGTTCAACTCGAAGTTGTCAGCCGGTACTTCCTTCGCCGCCTTCTTGTTTTTCTTTCCCTTGCTCTTTTTCACTTTCTCTGCCTTTATTATCTCGTTCATGTCGAAGTGCTGCATCTTAGAGTCCTTCTCATCTACCATGAGCAGCTCCAAATTGGCGCGCTCTTCGGCGGAGGCCTTCTCCTGCTTCTCGCGCTCTTCCCGTTTCTTCGCACGCTTCTCCTTGTTGGACTTGATCTCCAACGCCTTCTCTGCTTCAGGGTCTGAGCCAAAGAACGGATCGTTCCAAGGGTTTTCGCCTTCTGCCTCAGCAGGTGCAGCGTCCTCAGTCGCAGGCTCAGCATCGGGGTCTCGACCTTCCTTGATAGCCTGCGCTCTGTCTTTCCGCTTGGCTTTCCGCTCTTTTTGCTTTCGAACGTACTTTTCGAGCGTGTTCTCCTCAGGCTCATTCTCGAAGACAGAGCCCTTCGCACCGTTCGCTGCAAACCCCGATGTGAATGTGACCTCCATTTCGGTATCTGGCTTCTTCATATCCCGGTCCTTCTTCGACGAGGACTTCGACTTTGGTTGCGACGATTTGCTTGCTGCGTCTAGTCCAAGAGCTGCACGCAAGCTAGCAGCTTTTCCGGCTTTATCGGCTTCTTCCTCGTCTTCGGATGATGAAGAATCCGTGCCAAGATATGCCTGGAGCTCGTTCTCGTCAATCTCTTTGCGAGAAAACGCTCTTTTTTGCACTTCTTTCCGTGTTGTGTCATCGGCGTCCCACGTGAGTTTGACCTTCGAGTGTGAAAGAGCATCCGTGACGAAGTCGTTTGGCTTGTATCCGTTTGGCAGCTTCTCACACTCCTCGTGCGGTTCAGCATCGAATTCGACTTCATCGGGTACGAATCGCAGATCGAAGAAGTTTGCACTAGAGAGGTATTCGCGCCCGTCTAGGTTGTCGTATATAGCTTTTGCTACATTAGGCGTCGAACACGAAATCAAGGCGTAGTAATAACGGAGTCGATCAAGCTGATACGTTCGCAGCGCTTTAGAATCGAAGTCTTCGGCAGGGGCCTCGTTCAGAGCATCGTCCCTCTTTTGTTCGTCATCCTCAGAGTCTGAACCTTTTAGCTCGTCCACTGTTTCTATGTTCTTCGCGCGATTCGTTGCAGCTGCACTGAAGATCTCTTTCGGTGGCCCTTCGATTTCCTCGCGTTGCATTCTTTCTAATCCGAACTCGCTAGGATATATGGTGACGTTCAATATTCGCCCGTCGGCAGGCACGAAAGAATTGGCTACAGCCATGATGTCTGTTGCCCGAATGTTGTCCCAATCCATGTTTACCGCGGCGATTCTTGCTGTGACGTCTCCCATGGGTACCTCATTACCCTGGCCTGCCAATTCTGTCTGGTCTTCTACCTCCGCCTCTTCTTCCTCATCCTCGCTGTCGCTCTCGTCGGACGAAGACTCCAAGCCGCCATCGCGTATCGGGTCGAAACCTTGCTTCTGGATCCGTGCCAATTCGCGCAAGACATCCTTGTCCCTCTTCTTCTCTTTAGGCACGTCTGCCTCGCTCTCGCTTCCTTCTGAGTCTAGTTCGAACATGCGCTCCAGGTCTTTCTTGCCCGCGTCCTTGGATATGGGGCGTCCATATTTGTCGACAGAGGCTTTGTTGTAGAAATCCGAATCGGTGCGTAACCGCGAGAATCGAGGGTCGAGCTTCGTCTTCGCATGCTTCTTAGACGGAAGGCGGAACTTCGGGTCAGTCTCAAAGGCGGCAAATCTACTATCGCTGGAGCCTTTTGTGGCCTTGGGAACCGTCTGACGCTTCGGAAGGGGCATAGTGTGGCGCAGAATTATCGCGGAGCAAGTGCTCCAATGCGCGACGAACGTGAAATGTTTCGAACTTTCTGCGGGCGGTAACAATTTTCTGCCGTGCGCTGCATGTTAGCGTGCCAAGACGTTTGTTATCGATTACGCACCTGGTGCAGCCTCGGCTAACTACGGGGGAGCAGATCGCACCAGGGTCTAGAATTCCTGGGGAACGCGCCAGAGGAGGGGGAAGATGGGAAAAGGATCGCGTGAGCTGTTTGACGTCTCCCAATAAATATCGACCTCTTACGACAAAGTGCTCCCACGCTCACATAGCACCTTGCAATTCCGTTCCCTTAATCATTCGCACTCAGACCGATACAATGGCATATTCTAGGCTGTTCACGTGGGTACCTTTCAGGAACACGCTGCGCCTTCCTCTTGCTGATTCTCGCCCAGACCTCGCAATCTTGCCTTCTTCTCCATGTTCTCACTTGGTGGAGGCTATTTGGCAGTCAAGTCCCGAGCACTCGCTGTCAAGCAGCGCGAGAATGGCGACTACAGCGTTACTGTGGATCGCTCAGGTGAGCACCCCAGCCTCCAGGCGCCCTCACGCGTCATCCAACTCAGACATCAGCCCTCTTGTGATATTGAGGCAGGCAGCATCAGAACCTCCTGCAAGTCTGCTAACCAATATGAAGGTGGCGGTATCTGAAATCCAGCAAACGAAATGGCCACATGGCATCAGCATTGTGGCTTCGGCACGGTTCGCATGAACTTGCATTACCGGTATTTCTCTGTATTGGGCGTCATGGCATCAGTATTATGGCTTCGGCACGGCTCGCAAGTCTTTCTCTGTGTTGGGCGTCATGTTGCAACGGCAGTAAACAAAGTTGACTTCAGGCACACATCCAAACCTTCTGCCCACTGTGCAAAAATGTCCGAATGGATGCGTTAGCCCACAGACGCTGACCGCAGGCTTCAAACAAGCCCACTCTCCGAAAGCAGCAGCACATACCAACCAACGGAAACCGGACAATGCGGTCATCGGGATTTTGCGGTGATTTGGAGCTCTGTCTAGTGACAAGCACGTACTTGAGGGGAGTCGCGCGACAACAACAATATGCGAAAGACTGCCCTTTCGAGCCTGTTCGGTCAATCGCTTCGACGAGAAACTAACGTTTCGAGGGTGCTACAAAAGATGCGCGTAGTTATCGCGTGGGTCGGGACGCTTACTTGGAACATGGCAGCCGCAGTCTGTCAGCCAGCCATGCCCATCTGATGCGCGGGCATCCCGCTGCTAATTTAAGCAACTCAGCCTCACAAGCTGGCCCACTCGATCCTATCAACCCGCAAGCGACACTGCAGCCCTAGCAACACATCTCCCAATGGAACATTGCGCCAGTCCTCCCGCGAATCAAGTTCCTTCCTCGCGCGTGGTAACATGTTAGCTGCATCGGCATCCCAGCGGGCCCTGCACTGCGGTTCTTCATCATGGACGGCTGTCTACCCTGCGCCCTATCGCGGCGGCCTTCATGTAGGCTTGGTGCAGAGAACCCGCTGGGCGTAGTTTAGGTTGGTCCGTGGTAAGCCTGACATTTATTCCCTAAATCAGGCGTTCGGTTTCCTACCCCAAGGGCGCAGCTAAGACTACTCTTTCTCTGCGTCATTCCGAGCCCTTCGATATTACCGACCACGCACCCCGAGCTGATGTCTATCTGTAATGCTCCGTACTGACAATATCCACCAAAAGCGAAAAACGAACGCGCTTGGTGTTTCCTTTCCTTTGCATGACAAGCTCAGCTTTCACCACTAATCATGGGTGAAGATCAGAAGTATTACGATGTGGATGATTACTTGAGGTGGAAGAGAAGCCAAGGCAAAAACAACAAAGTCGCACCTCGACCAAACCTGCTGGCAGCAGCGACCTGGCTGCGCAGATTCTTCGATGCTCGCAAAACGAACTGGGCCGCCATGGGCAGCCTGGCGATGCTCTGCCTGGGGGCGCGCCGAGAAATACCTGACATCCACATTGTATACGATGACAAAGACTTCCAGCGCATCAAGATGAAGCTACAGGCAGACCCCAGGCATGGCCTCCAATAACGTACTTCGTATAAACTCTAACGAATCTAGGGTACGACTGCCCAGAGACATGAACTCCATGTTCTCTTCGAAGCTCCTGATATCGACAGGACCGAAATACAAGGATGCGGGTTGCACTGAGAACGCGGATATCGAGGTGGAAATGATTCCGCCAGGTAAAGCATCAGGCTTGCACGAAATAGAGACGAAGCTGACGGGGTTCAGGCTCCCACGGCACACCACCCAGCGATGTCCTGCGCAACAATCAAGCCACGCTATCCCTCAACCTAGATGGCAAGATCACGAACATCAAGGGCTTGAACATAATTTACCTCGTCAACACAACTGTCCATATGTGCACCAGCCAAGACCTGCTTTGGGACCCTCAAAAGGATCTGTTGTGGTTGTGTCGGAAATATGGCAAAGAAATCCAGTCAATACGTGGGCAGTTGAACGCTCGGCAAGTGAAGGAGAACTTCCTGGGCACTCATTTCTTCGCAACGATGTCACCGGATGAGCAGCGACTGTGTTACCAAGTTTTGCTCGGGAAGGAGCCTCCACCTTCGATGTTCCTCACCCCTGCTCCATCTCATGGACAGCCAACGTCTGCGATAGCTAGACTGCCCATCCCGTCACACAAGTCTGCGCCGTCGTTGAAAGACAACATGCAAAAGCAGTCTAACTTTTTGAGGCCTCCCATGAACGGCAAAGCAAAGACGGCGCCAGGCGTACCTCTTAGTGGTGCTGTCAGCAAAACCTCCCCCAACGCTGTTGCGAACGCACAACAAACCGTTCCCTCTGAAGCTACACGGGACTCTCGCTCCAGGTACCGCAATTCGAGCGCACCAACGACACCAAGCGCAAGTCGAAACGTCAGTCCTGAAGCTGCCACAGTTCGTCAAGCCAAGAATATCATGGAATTCAGGCCCGACCACATGCAGCAGCGCAGCATGATATACCAAGCGCAAACAATCAACATGCAGAATCTAGCACCTGCCCAAAAACCACAGGTAGTGCGGACGAAGAAGTCGCTGCCTCGGATGGATGGCCAGATTACCAGCTTTCAAGCTGTGCCAGTGTTTGCGCACAAACCGACAACCACCTCTATTGTGTCGCAAGCGAATGCCCAACTGGCTCCAGTGGCTGCCTCTAAGCCATCTGAACGAAAGGCACGGCCACATGACGCTGTTTCAGAAGCGCACTCCTATAATAGCGCCCATCCGTCAGCATCTAGTGCTCAGCCGCAGGTAGTGGCGCACACGCACCCAGCTCATAAAGTCATGGCCCAGCGCAACTCAATGATGCCTCAAAGCCACAACGCAGTCGCAAAATCCTCTACAGTATCTTATTCAGAACATAGCATGCCCGAAACACCCTCAAAAGGACTTGTTATTGTAGGTCCGGCAGGATTGTACCCGACTCCACCCAAACCCCTGCAACAGCCCCAGAAGAGTCAAACTGCTGCGCCAACCATGCAAAACAACACTCAGGTTACCTCGAACAATTTCGTGTTCGAGCTTGATGCGGCCTCGCCTCAGGTTGAGACCTTTGCTCAAGCAGCTCCAACGGCGGGATTTGTCGCTGAGCTTCCCGCTGACAACAATGTCCCATCGCAGACTACCCTCCAAAGATTCGATACCCTGCCGGAGACTCCTGTTAGCCCACTACAAGGTCCAACACACCTCGCATATATGCCAGCATACAGAGACTCGCCAGTGAGCCCTCCGACCACATTCACTCCGTTGGCATCCTTGATTCAACCGATTAATGCCGGGCCAATGACTGAAGCACTAAAGGCCCCAAAGTTGGCACCCTCCCCTCCTGCCTTTGACTCGCTTCCTCCAAGTCTCTTGATCGGCTTCCGCGGCCCTCGGCGTCCAACAAACGCTGAGTCTCGAACACGTGCTTCATCGCAGTCCTCGAACGGCTCGAACCCATCCGCGACCCTGAACATGTATCAACGCTACTACTCGCCGCCTAATAGCAGAGAGGCATCTCCCAACAATGCATTGACATCAGGGCCGAATAGCAGACACCCATCACCGAGTCGAGTTCCGGTATACAAGGCGTATACGCCTCCTATTACACCTCCCATGCAACCAAAGAAGGAGCCTGCACAATTTCAACAGCCAACTTCGATAGTACAAAATCAAGTCCTCACGCCTCCAGCCCTGATACCTGCGACAAGGCCCGCTCCACAGCAGGGTACACCCGTGCCTATGGAACGCGCGTCGGAATTTGTAAGGCGTGAATCGCCTCCTGCTATCCTGAGAGCAGGAGCGAATGTGCCACAACCACTTAAATCTACTAAGGCTTTCCACCTTCCGAACCCCCTTGCTGCGAACCCGCCGACGCCTCGAAATGCTTCTCATATGAAGCACGACTCGCATCAAGGACCTCAAAGCGTGCCCCAAGAACAGTCCGCGAAACCGCAGCCGGAGGTATACGCACTTCCACCTCAAGCCGCCTCATCCCAATACATCGCATTCAGCGCCCAAAATGCCGCGCCAACCCAGCCACCTCGCCAATCCTCCCTCCACCAGCGCAACGTCTCCAACGAATCAAACACCTCAACTACATCGCACGACTCGGAGAAGCTAGCGCAAGAATACCAACTGGATCTCCCTTCCTTTGAAGACGGGTTTGGATCACAGCCAGAGAGCAACGCTGCGGAGGCCGAGTTGAGGAAGTCGTATCGTCCCTCGTACGCCGGGACTGGGTACGGAGCGCAGTACAAGCTGGGCTCCCCGGATTTTGGGACTAAGCAGGGGAAGTTCATGGATGAGTTTCATTTTTCGTAATGATGTTATGATTGTAAGATAGAGGATTGAATTCGATGGACTCGGACTTAGGTTACGGTTCGGTTTTGGGTTGGATTTGATACCATAGAGGGGGTTTAGGCGACTTGAGTTTCGCATGGGAAGTTATTGCGGCCTAGATAGACCAGTGATTACTTCGGTAGACGTGCATTGGCCACGATTTCGGTATCATAATTGTTCATACATTATGTAGGTCCCCCAAGGAAGCGTCTTGTACCCAACCTCAAAAGTCCTCGATCTTGTACACCTCATACCCAGGCTCCTCGTAAGGATGAGTCCTTACGTAACTCGCATCAGCGGACATTGTCTTAAGTGGAAGCGGCACGGATACATACTCTTTCAGAGCTGCGACTGCTTTCTTTGTGATGTCCTCGCCTACGCAAAGGGTTTCCACCCTTGCTTCTTCTACTTTCTCGAGCTTGCCGACTTCTCCGATGTTGGGTTTGGCGGTATCGCCTGGGCGGAATTGGCCGGTGCCCAAGGTCTGCCACGCGACCTCTGTGTAGTTGCCTGGGCCGGGATAGCGACCTGCTCCGGTCGCGAAGACTGCTTTCTTGACTGCGTCGAGAGCAGACAGTGGTACAAAGTAGACAAGCTTGTATTTGGTTGCCATCCTGGAAAATTGCCGTTTGGCTTTGAATAAGTAGAAGGATGGTGCTAGCTAATCCAGGGTCTTTGGTCAGAGGGTACTGAAGGTGCGATGGGGATGTCAGGCTCGCACGGGACCTGAGGTCCCAAGATGGCGGGGCAATCCCAATCTGGCCCGCTTGGCGGAATGTAGTGTTAAAGATGGGTACCAAAATATTAGTCGAGATCGTTGTTTCGTCACTAGCGACTAGCGTTGCTTTCGGAACTTCTCGGATCCAACCACCAACCTACTACCACATTTGCGACTCATACCAAGAAAGACTGGTCCCTTATAACACCCCTGGCTCTATGCACCATCGAGAATGATGATTTCCGAGCTACCTTACAGTCTCCACAGCCGCTATGCTTCGATTGCGATAGCCTGGACCGTGATACTCATTCCACCCATCTTCGTAAATCTTGGCTTGTTCTACGGCCTCTGGTATGGGAGGCCACAGCTAGACCGTTTGCTAGGTACAAACCACCGCTCCAAAAAATCATGATCGCTAACACAGGTGTTAATAGTCCTGACGCTACCGACCGCGGTCCTTGGGATCTTCACAGCCATCGCCACAATCGATCGCGTCTGGAAACTGATTCGTTATTCACCAGAGTACCGCCCACTCAACTCGCCTCGGTATGCTCTCGATATCTTCCAATGGGGGTATTTCCTCGTTCTGGTCATTATCTCCGCCCTGATCACTTCTGCACTCGGTCGCGAAGATAAGGATCACGATGACCACGATTTCCAAATCCGACTGATGTCCCTGCCAGCAGCGGTGCTCATGTACGTCGTCGCAACGCTGGCTCTACTATCGTTGGCGCTCAACCGCAGCGGCTGGCAACTCCCCTTCCGCTTTGGTAGTGTCGAAGCTGGCAAGGTAGTACGACCAGCTGTCTACTACATCGTCGAAGACGTCGTGGCGGTGGACGGAGGCGGCGGCATTGAATACCGCAAAGCGTTTGGCGCAAGGTACGACAGCAGCCGGGTATTCCGCCAGATGATATTCGATTTGAGTCTGGTATGGATGCTGTATTTCTACGTCTTCGCCATCCTGTTCACCATACTGGTATTTACTCTGCCGAAAGCTGCTGTCTATGCGGTTGGGTGGGCTGGCCCGTTTCCGTTAGCTGGTCTAATGGCGGTATGGACGACGTTCTATGTCAGAGAGAAGTTGCGAGAAGAACGGGAGAACTTGCAGGACGATGAGAGGGCGCCTTTACTGGGATGAGAAGAAGCGCAATGCTGAGACCTCAAAACCACACCTAGGTACGTCGGGTTCAGGACAGCTGGACTTGCACGGGAAAATGCATACGAAAAGAAAAAGTGTTATCGGTTCTAGTGTAAGACTTGTACCTGCCTCATGCAACACATATATCATCGCGAAGTAATACTGCACCCTGTCCCAAGTTCGCAAAGGGCCGTTTCCCCACAAGGGTGCGACCAATCAGCGGGAACAGGTAAATTGCCGACAGTGCAGGTACGAGCGGGGAACCATATCCTCCACAACACCAAACTGGTCCCTGAGTCGTGAGAACACCGCCTCCACGGCTCGTCCATCGCCCCACACATTCACCCAGCCAGTAGCGTGGTGTGACCAAGCAAGGGTAGGCACAGATAGCGAATAGGATGCATGCGGCGCACGACCAAGACATCCAGACTGACAGATGTCAAGCCAGGTTATGGGATGCGGTGATGTGAGATGGCGGGGTAGCTTGGGCGTACGCAGGGGATAGACTTGGAGTAGGGTAGGGAAAAGGACTTAAGTGTGACGTCTGGCCCTCCCGCACTGTGTGACTTGTAAAGCTTCTCTAAACTGACTGCAACGATGGCTACTACAACCACACAGCCCATCGTGAATGGGGTCGAGCCCGACAGGATCGCCTCCAAGTCTGAACCACAATTGACACACACTACAACCAACATCACTCTGAGCCCGGAGCAGTTCGAAAGGCTTTATTTTGCGCCCAAAGTTCCGCACGCAAGCCAAAATGCTGCGCAATTTGCGAATGCCGTGCCTTTAGGCTTTCTTGGGTATGCCAAAGTGTGCTGAGTATCGACTTTACCGGACTAATTGTCGCGGTAGTTTCGTCATCTCCACATTCACATTCAGCATGGTCTTGATGGGCTGGGGCGGCGCATCAGGGCTACAAGCCGTCGTGGGCATTTTCTTCTTTACCGGTCCCGTGCTGCTCTTGCTTTCCACAATTTTTCTCTGGATCCAGGCACAGTTCTTTCCCATGATGGTAAGTAATTCTAGTTCCATCTCTACGACTTCCATCATCTTATTTCGCCCGAAAACCAAGCTGATATCTGCTAACACTCTCCATTTCTCCAGGTCTGCGGTCTCTTTTGCGTCTTCTGGCTTTCCTTCGGCGTCCTCCAACTACCCACACTTGGTCTCGCAGCTTCCTATGGCGGCGGTGATGCCGCAGCGGGTGCAGTGTCGAAGGAGATGAACGCTGTGATAGCATTGTATCTCCTGGTGTGGGGCTTCGCACTTGGCACATTTTGGCTCTTCACCATCCGCATTAACCTCGTTTTTGCGGGCATCTTCGGGTTCGTAACGGTTGGGGCGTGGATTCTATCTGGCGCGTACTGGGCGCTGAGTAATGGGCATTTTCAGAAGGCGCTGCGGTTGCAGAAGGTGAGCTGAACATGATGGTGTGAGGGGAGCGAGACTGACGAGAAGTAGGCTGGCGCAGCGATGCTCTTCATCGTGGGATTGCTGGGATGGTATATGTTGTTTGTGATAATGGCGGCTGAGATGAGGTGGAGGGTTTGTCCTCCGGTGGGAGATTTGAGTCGGTATTGGGGGAGTACGGATGTAGAAATCGCGGCGTTGGAGGGGGAGAAGAGAGAGTGAGATATGATTCATGACGGTCGTAGTCTGGAACGAATGGCTGACCATAAGAGGCGATCGATTAGCCTGTAAATTTGGATCTAGGGACGTTATGGTTGTCTTCAATAAGCGTCAACTCCCTCTTGCTCTAACAGCGAAAAGAAAAGGCTTTCAGCCGTCTCATCGAGTAGCTCCCTACGAACGACGAAGGGCAAGACAGTGTCTTTTGATGAGGATGCCACACTTTCTGGTACTAGGCATTTTTAACTATTCTGCGCCTCATCGATTGCAATAGTGGTCAATAGCACATCTGGAGCGCGTCGCAACGTCTGAAAGCTACACGCATGAATACATAGGTAGTATGACTGCTACCTGGATAGCCCAAGCACCATGCCCCACGACCGGTATACAACGTGCCTGTAATGATGCCCTCAGCCGTTGCTCCGGCACAAAATGGTGTACAAGCAGTTCCATGGCCGGAGCGCGTCCTGCCGTCGAGAAAGCAACTTTGCCGAACAACCATGGCGGCAGTTGTGGAAGCAAAACCTAATTCAACACACCGAAAGCATTCAGATTCACCATGGTTTCCTCTGCTTCTCTTCCAAACAGCATAGCTGTAACGATATATGTGAAGCCACTCGGTCATTCTGCGAAAAAGGAATGCGATAAGAACATGAGGCTCGGAGCACGGGTCTTGCATCGTAAGCATCACCATCAGAATAGGACAGTGAAGATCATCATCGATAGAGAATCGAAGTGGATTAAATGTGGTAAATACCTGAACAAGCAGGGCTCTTCCGGTCCCGAGCTAAGCTAGGGAAACCGGAAAGAGCAGAGAGAAAGCAAATGCAAGAGAGATATTAAAACCACATCACCCGCTGAAAACCAAAAAGCATAACAGGAGTATACCGAGGTATCCCGTAAAAGGAAGCAAAGACAAGACACGCGCTATCACGAGATAGCCTGTATCAGAAGGAAACAAACCAGTCCATCAATTGCTCACCACGTCGCCTTACCCTTGCCCTTGCCCTTCCCACCACCAGCCCTTGGACTCAGCGGCGGAAACGCATCGTCACCAGTTTCCACCTCCTTCCTGCTCGCCTCCTCTGCAAGGCTCAGCTGCAGCGCAAACTCAAGATCATCCATCTCAGCGGCCTTGCTTGAGCCTGATGCTCCACCCACCCTGCCAGCCGGCGTCGGGCTGCCTTTCTTCTTGCCCCTCGCGTACTTGACGGGGATATCCCATTCCTCATCCGGAGTAGGCGACCCCGATTCATAGATGCCAGACGTGGGACTGTCTTGTAGAGACAGACGGATGGCTTCGGCAATGTCGGCGTCGAGCTCGGGATCGATGGCCATGGTGGGCGAATTAGTAGAGTGTGCGACGCTGGATTCCGGGGTGACAGTGTTGCTACTAACAGCGAAACTGCTCTCGCTTTCCCGGCGCTTTGCTTCGTCCTGCTGCATGGCTTCTTGCGAGAGCAACGTGGCGTAGGCCAGCGCCTCGTCTTCGTCATCTAGAAGGTCGACGCCAAAGCGGCCGGCTAGGCGATCTGCGTGCTTGCGACGTTCCATCTTCTCGCGCTCGAGCTCGTGTTTCTCATTCTCGATATAGTTCTTTAGATTCAGGCGAGTGGTGCCTATGACACGCTCGCCCGCGTTATTGCTTCCGCGTTCGGAACGGCGAAGACGGCGCTTGCTGCTCTTGTATTGATCGGCGGCCGAAGAGCTATAGCTCCAGTAGCGGATCTGGTTACCCAGAGAGACCGCTCCACGCAGAATTGTTGGGTCAGGGTCGAGCACGATGGCACCAGCTGCGTACATGTTCACACCGACACCCTGTATTGAAGCTTCGGCTTGCTGGAGGCGTCTGCGAGCTTTACTAGCATGGCGAGAATGCAGTGTACGAACAGGCTTGGTATCTGAGGCGAGAGGATCCCAAGCTTGAACAAGTCCATCGTAACCACCGACTACAATATGCAGTGCTGTCAGAGCAAGGCAGCTGATCTCGGGAGACTGTGTATAGATGATACGGACAGGATGAACGTTGTTCGGGTACTCGGCGCTGCGTGAGACAGGAGCGCGTAAATTCCACAGAAGGACTTCGCCCGTCTTTGTGCCTGCAGCAACAAAGCGAGCACGTTGACCCGGGATGTCTGAAGGTGATGCCGGTCGACTAGCCACCGACATGGGCGAGGCGTAAGGCGAAGAGGCTGTTGATGCAGTTGAGTAGCCAAAAGCGGGATCTTCAGATAGGGTCATGGTAGCAAAGATAGAGCTATCGATAGCACTGGTAGCGATCTCTACAACCTTTAGGCCACCGAGGCTCAGCTCTGACGTTCTCCATTCCTCGACAAGATTGACACGCTCAGGAGAGCTGTTGTCAGACGCGTATGACTGACTACGCGGCCGATGGGGTAGGCGCTGCTGTGTAAGATCAGGAGTAGCGGCGCCAGATCCGCCAAACAATGAGGTATTTTGAGATGCTTGTTGAGAGGCTCCCGAAGTTCCTTGCATACTACTCTTGGGGGTTTCACGAGTCTTCCAGCGCGTGAATCTAGTGAGCTTGGCGATATCACCCTCCTCAAGCCCACATTCGATAATGACCATCGCTTCTCCAGCGTAGTTACCATCGTCGCCTGCAAAGTCGACCTCAAGGCGTCTACGCATATCCCACCCAAGGCAGGTTTTGCGGAACTCTTTTGGCAACTTGGAGATGAACTGTTGGATCTCTCTGGTCTCAGCCAAAATCTGATCTTTGCCCAAACACATGCCGTCCCACGAGCTTCTTGGCGAGTAGCTTCCGTCCATTTCCACATCTTTGTAAGGGTCAGGCCTCGCAGTACGTCTACTAGGCTCGACGAGGTTCCAGTAGACGCTCCGACCAGTAAGCCAGCCAAGATATTCAGGATAGTTCGCATTGAACTGGTTCTTTGGAGCTTGGCTTCGGGTAGGGAACTTGGTCAGATAGAACAGCTCACCCAAAGCATTGAGAGCTACGGCCCAGATCCGGTTCTGGGTCTGGCGCTGATGAGAGTAGTTCTCGTCGACAGCGATCGCAATTATAGGAACTCCAGGGCTAAGTACCCAGCGAGCTGCAAGTTCGCCGCGTTGGATACGGGTACCGCGCAACCCGTCAGAGCCAAGGCTGCATGCCGATACAACACCGGCTGCAGAACCCATAAGCACACCGATCAAACCATCAGTCAGTTTGGGGATGACGTCTGATTTGGCAATCCAAACGCTGCAGATGGCGCCGCCGTCGATACCAAGCTTGGGTATACCTGCTTCAGGCATTGAGAAGTCGGTGGGTTCGGCAATGAAGCGACCTCGCTGCTCGTCTGTAGCTCGATAGTAGCAAGAACCTTCAGGACAACCCTGGCCGTATAGCATGCCATATTGCTGGGACACGTCCATGACATTAGGTCGGCCGATCACTTCACCAGACCCTAGACCCCATTCGGCAACGCCAGGGAAGCGTTCGGAGAATTGAGAGTAGAAGTTGGGGTCGCTCTGGCCCCATGGATCGACCTTAGTGATGGTTGGGTCACTGCTGGTGCACATGCCCACATCATCTGCTCCGTGTATCAGGCGAGGGATTCGTTTATTCAGACCGGTGCCGAATGTGGCGTGCAGGTGATTGACGGTGGTATACGTGAAGGCGTTGTAAATGTTTACGGGACTGTTGTTCTGCGATTGTCCGGAGCGCGCAGCAGTTGCAGATTCTACCTGGACGGGTTTACCTTTGGCTAGCGAGCGCAGAAGTCGGGTCCGTAGTATATATTCGCTACGCCACGAAGATAGCGCAGTGAGACGCGTGAAGGCGCGTTTCTCGGAGCGGAAGCTGTCGCCAGCCTCTTCCATGGCTAATCGCACGTCCTCATCGACAAGAGCTGTAGGCCCAGGAAAGTAGCGACTGAACGCTTCGCGCCAGGCATGAGGCGTCGTGACCAGGCCATTGAAGCGCTTCGAGACAAGAGATACTGCGGCAAGGTCGTGCGGTGACAAATGAGAGAGAGCGTGCGTCAATACTTCTGTGTAGGTATCAGATGTCGAGTTGCAGATGTCCCAGATGCTGTTTTGACTCACCATTGGGTAACTTGGCAATTGAACAACTTTTATCGTCCGGTCTCCTGGTGGACTTGATGACCTCAAATGCTGGTCCTTGATTACGTTTCCTGGGTGTCTGCACTAATGCGTTCTCATAGTCCGTGATCCTGTTCTTGGGAGGAGGGCTCGCGGGTTTCAGTCCAGGGGCGGCGTCGGAGTCGCAGTCGCGACTTGACTCGCGCGACGCGTGCTCTGCTGCGGTTCCCGAAAGCGCTGGCTCACCCGGTTCCCCATTGTAGTGGGGAAGCAGGGAGAGCTGCCGGTCGCGATCCTGAAGGCCATGCTGGGAGGTGATGGCGGGGTGTTGGGGAGAAAGTTCGGGGGACAGCGTGTTCTGGGAAGCGTTTGAGGGCTCTGGTTGCATATAATTGAGAGGCGGGATAGCGGGGGTTCGCGATAGACTGAGCTTGGAGATGCTGCTCAGTCAAGTGTTCGGTAGGCTTTGCGCGGGGTTTCGGGGTCGTGATGGACTTGTCAGGGTCTGCTGTCGCGAAGTCTAGGAGATGGTTTGCCAAGACAAGCGAGAGATGACGCGGTGACCCGCTCCAATCAGTCCGCCCACGAGTTGAACTTTACCACTAGCTCCCGACTTCACGCGATAGGGCTGGACATGTCCTAGACGGAGGTATTGCGTCGTCAGACTTCTGTCCATCGTTGCTGGCTCCAGGTCAGTGGTCCATGAATCCTATCAGCCCAGCCTTCCTCGAGACCACTGCGTCCTGCACTTCTATGCTTTGCAGTGCTCTAGAATCTGACGACCGGATTTCATTGACAATTCGAAACGAAATCTTCGCCGTTGAGCACTCCCTTTGCCCCTCAAGGCCCTACGAAATACCAAAATCTCCCTCCAGATAATTGGCAGCAACGCGAACTTTCGATGCAGTGCCATCTTTTGGCCGCTAAAATACTTTTCTCAAAGCAAATAATGAGTTCAATGTCTTCGCAAGCCTTTGCTTGCTTTGCAAAAGGGGCTCAAGATAGTGTTTGATTTTCTTGACCTTGATGCAATTAGAAAGGCTTGCAGCTAAACTGGCTTGAACAAGGAGCTGTAAGATACTACATTGGTTAAGAGGTATACTCAGCCTGAACTCACTCTTGAGATCTGATGGGTTGGCTACTTGTAGCTTCAGATAGTCTTGGTGGAACATTTCGATTAGCTCTTCGACTACACTTGGAGCAATTCGCTTGCTACGAAAGATGTGGGCTTCTGGTTCGTCTTCATGTATGTCATCATAGACCTTGTTGCGGATACCGTGAGGGAGGCGCTGTCGCATTGCCAGCGTGATTACTAGACATTGAGTATCTGAGACTTCTTGTCCTAAGATCGTGGTGGCGAACGTAGCATAACATAGCGTGTGAGGAAAATGTAAGCGAAGATGTGGAAGGGCATTGCTAAAGGTAGCTGTCTGTTAGTAGAGAAAAGCGGATAGAGAGGACAAGGTCAAATTATTCTTCTTCATCTGCGCGTTTGTGCTACTAACACAAGTAGCCATTCACTGTCACAACACGACACGTTTTAACCACCTAGCCTAGTATCACTCGATGTGCATATGCTGCCCCTTCACACATCTCATAGCCGACCTTAAAAGCACTTAGCAAGGCTTTCTCCCCGATAAAAGTGGCATAAATCTGCAGATCCTACCACGCTGCTTAACCACCTTTAGATGAGCTTGCCATTCAAGACATCCCAGTCGTTCAACGCAACGCAAGGTGCTCTTTCATTCTCCCCAAGGATTTTCAAGCATACCATTTTCAACCGTTAGTGCAGAGGTGGCTATCAGACCCCCAAAAGTTTCACTCTAATGAGCGTTGTTCCCGCCAAATTTCGTATCAAAATCTATCGTCTTTAAGGCAAGCGGGTCGATGGTGCTAGTTTCCAAGCATGAATATATACTTTCTAAAGTCAGCAAGTGCGAACTACAGTCTGGATTCAGCTGATTGTCCATTATGGCTCTGTGGGAAAGTTGTAGCTCGGAGGAGTCACTCTTGGAGATGTTGCCGAAGCTAAGAATCGGTGATCGTGATACTTGATCAGATGTTGCGTTAATGAATTCATCTTTGGCGTCCCCTTTGCTTTTATCAATTTTTGATACCACAAGCAAGGAGGACGAGGGTTCTAGTAATAACTCTGATGGTTGGAGTCCACTTCATGAGTCGACCTTCTCTTGCGCTCTCTCCAGAATCCTCGGCATACTTCCTTTCAAATCAGCAATGAGACTCTGAAACGTTGCACAGAGAGTTAGGCCCCATTGTTGAGCAAGCAAATCCTCCATAGCGGCGGTCAGAGAATCGTGAAGGTGGTCGAACATAATTGATCTAGCGCCTTGAAGATATTGTCAGCGAAGCTCGTGTCCTACGACAAACCTACTCACAGGCGGATGGGACTCTGCCGTCATCAGGAAAAAGCCTTCTATAGCGGTGCTGGCGTTTATTCTCCACCGACTAGTCGTTATAGGCTTTTGGTCTGCTGTCTACAATATCTTTCCACTGTCTATGAGTTATTCGATCATCTCTGAGCCTTTCACGCCATGGGCAACCTTCGTACGCGTTCAGATGCTCTCCCAGTTGCTGATTTGGTGTAAACTCGCCCTGGCCTCTTGGGCATCTCACCGCTTGCATTTTCCAATGACCTCTTGTCAAGTGCTGACTAGCCTAATGAATAAGAAAAGGGCCATACATAAGATTAGTCACATTTGGAAACTCGAGGCACTACTACAAGCTTTCCGGCAACATCGGTCGGGATGATAAGAAAAGCGACATCTTAACCCTCTAACCCTCGCCGACGACGATTTCATGCGTTGTTTGCGTGGAAGTTCTTCGTTCCCACCGCTATATTCTTTGCTCTCGGGACATCGCTCTTCTTGTGAAAAACTGCCATGTTCACGACTTCTCTTCTTTGTGGGATTATGTTGTCTACTATCCGAAGCTTTTCCACTCGAAGACAAAGACAAGGTCTGAGAAAAAGGGCCATCGCCCATCTGCGAACACTTGTCCTCTCGCGTAGAGTATCGCTCAGGATCTTGCCCATGAGTAGATCCACAACAACATGCTCAAGAGCCGAGGCGAGCTGAAGTCGATCCCAGAATATGTCTCCTATCAATCGATTTGCAACGAATGGCGTCTCGAGCTCATTCTCTGGGCTCATAGGGACAAGCTAGACAACAACTCTCCTTAAAGGATGCATACTCCAATCCAAAATCCGAAAGTGTAGCATCTTTACACACGCTCAAGGCCAGCCGCTCTCCTGACTTAAATCGCCACCCAAAGTAACAAGAACATCGCTTCGCCAAGAAACCCCGGCGATACCCTTCATTTCTTGTGTCTACTAACTCATACAAACGGCGCAGGACACTCGCGATAGCTTCCAGAGATACTTGACCATAGTTTGAGTAATCCCAGTATCAAGAAGTTAGTTGTCATAGAGTCCAGTCGAGAAGCAGAGCTTTGCAGCCTGAGGACGTGCAAGCGTCTTACATCGGTCTCTCAGTAGCATAGACAAGTCAACGACCGCTCGCAGAGGCCTCACAAACACTAGTTAATCCTACTGCGACCATCTCCATCGCCAGAATTCCTGAGGGTGAAGGTCGACTTCCAGCGTTGACTCTCAGATATGGGAGGGGGGGCGCCGATGTCATGTCTTCGTTCGGCATTTTGATCACGTGCTGTTAGGCAACCCGTGGACGTTCGTGGGAATAGCTTTGGTGTGACTTGTTGGTGTTCTGTTGAGCCGATGTTATGTGAACAGCTCGAAATACAAACCTCCCGAAGCAGACAGCTTTGTGTGAAGAGCAGGACTATTCGACTCCATCCTTCTCCCAATTTAACAGGAACTGAGCTTTATAGGGAAGGGATGATAAGGCTTGCGGTTGATCTCACAAGTATAGTTGCACGTGTGCATCCGGGGTGTACCGCGGTTACTCAGCAAGAAAACTGAGAAACGACAGCGTATGGTTTCAGGCGAAACTCTAAACGTTCAACCACATGATAGTCATAAATGTATCTAGGCAACACCGGCGCCATTTCCTCTTCCTGTGGGCAGACACTCTCACGTGACACCGCTAGCGGGGCACTAGCGCCCGTATCCAGTAGTTCGGAAGGAGCTCTGGAGAGCTTTCCGACAACACCACAAACGACCGCGCCACTTCAACGACTCTCGCCATGGGAGACAAAATGGAGGGCGTAATCGCTAGCGGCGGCGCAGTCGACCCTAAATATGGCGTCCCAATTGAAACGTTTGTCACTCCAAGATTCTCTCGCGCGTACGCTAACCTTGTCGCAGTATCTACGTGAGTGCACCTGCTTCCAGCATGCAGCTCACATTGCACCCCGTGGCTCATGCTAACGTTGCAAGGTCAACAACCTCGAGGAGCGCATCAAGATCGACTACCTGAAGGAGGCCCTCAAGGTCATCTTCAAGCACTACGGCACCATTCTCGATGTCATCGCAAAGAGCAGCGTCAGGCGCAAGGGTCAGGCCTTCATTGTCTTCGACAGCGAGAAATCCTGCCTGGACGCTGTCGAGGAGATGAGCGGCTTCGAGCTGTTCGGCAAGGTCATGAAGGTTTCACGCGCGAAGACGCACAGCGACGAGACAATCAAGAGGAAGGCGCCCGAGATGTTCGACGAGCACAAGCGCAAGCGTCTCACACAGAAGGGTACCTATACCGTCACACTTTGGGTTGTCTGTTTGTGCTGCTGACACTTTACAGACTTCAAGCGTGCGCAGGAGGATGCGAAGGCGCAGGCCAACCCCGCGGCGGCCGCTGAGAAACCGCGCGCACACAAGCCAGGAGCCGCAGCCTTGATCCCGGACGAATACGTGCGACCGAACAAGACCCTCTTCGTGCAGAACATCCCATACGAGACCGAGGAGAACGATCTCACGGCCATCTTCGAGCGCTTCGAAGGTTTCAAGGAAGTCCGATATGTCAAGCTCAGGGCGGTCGCCTTTGTGGAGTTTGAGAACGAGCAATATTCCATTACTGCCAAGGAGCAGACGGCGGATGCTCGCGTCGGAAAAGACCAGAAGCCGTTGAAGGTCACTTATCAACGAGCGTAGGTCATTGCATGTGGATTCGGCGTTTGATTTTGACCGCAGCTCATGTGCTGCGGTGATGCTATTATGATACCATAACTCAATGCAGGGGTTCTCAGCTACATAGTCTCGCCACATTTATCTGAACATGTACTCACGCCGCTTATAGGGGTGAACCAAGCAAGGCCTTCAGTTCAGCATCACAAGGGAGCTTCATTGATCAGCGTACACCGGAAGTGCTCCGAGAGATGCGACGCGACGCCGAGAAGAGGCGCCCGTCAAACTATCCACCCAACAAGGCGTGGTGGGTTGTGGAAGATCCTGATGCGCAGTTCGATTCTACAGTCTTCCACCCAACGGGCCCCAATCATTGATGCACCATTGATGCACCATAGGGCAGGCACTAAAAGATGACGTCCTCGTTGTCTTGATCTCCGAGTAAGTCTTGAGTGTCCGCCTCCGCAGCAGCACTCTCCTTCTCCTCTGCCCCAGCGTCCTTCTTTGATTCTTCTCGTTCAGCTTCGGCTTCGGCGGCATCTCGCTGCTTCTTGCCTGACACTTTCTTCAGTCTGTAAAACTCCTCTCTGTCGAGCTCGTCAAGTTCCGAGTTGATATACTTGATGGTGTTTTCAGTTCTTGGTATGATGACATGCTCACTTGGGCTTGTCAATTAATGGTTCATGGCGTTGAAGGATTGGAAGATACCCACATAGCGTTCACACGACGGTTGACGACCTTGATAACTTCGTCAAGAATGACAAAGGCAGTCTGCAGACTGGCCAACTCTACCAACGTCTCCACTGCCCTCGCGTATGTTTCTCGTGACCTCTGCACCTGTTGACCACCCTTGCCCAATCCCGTGAGTGCGAAATCGTTGGCGCTCTCGGAAGTATAGCTCTCGAACTGAGGCAGGATGACACCTGAGACGTTCTCCTGCTTGGTCCGTACGCGGAATCGTGCTTGTTTCGCCGACTCTTGGACCTGGTAGCCGATGTCGCTTCCAACAGCGTAGGTGACTTCGGCGAGGGAGAAGGCAGCAATCTGCATTACCCGCCCCATCTTGCGCTTTGCCTCATCGATGCGGCGTGTAATTTCTGCAGTCCGTTTTAGCTGCAAGTAACGGAGAACAGATATATGGCGTAGTCGTACCTCGAAAGCGCCTATGGAAGATGAGTTAGCAGGGGCCTTTCGCTATCGATACCATAACGAAGGGGACAGCGTACTTTGTGAGTGCTTCACTTTTGCGCTTCAGCAGGTCGTGACCGGTCTGGGCACCCTTGAGCTTGCTCTTCATCAATCCCAGCGACTGACGCGTGGGGAACACGGCCTCTCTCGCCTGATGGTCGTGTCAGTGGTGCTGCAGCATAGCTTGCTTGACGCAGCTGCGACTTACCCCGCTGCCTGACATGGCGAGACGCTGGGTCGACCGAGTGACGGACTGACAGAGCCAACGGAAAATACGCCGGGATGCGAGTCGCAGATTTCGGGCGCGGTATGGCGTGCAGGATCGGGGCGACGCAGCGTTGGATGAATTGGATGTTCCTAATGACGGCACAGCTCAGACGCAGCTCGCCGGCCGGCGGTTGCTCCAGCGCTGGGCCGTGCTGCAGTGCTGGCGCAGTGGGGCCATGTTGCTGCGCGCCATGGTTTCGGCCAATGGCAGCCCAGTCAGCAGACCGCCCGTTCCCAAACTCCCGCGCCTCAGAAGTTTGACCTCGTCTCCACCCTTCACGACTGCCTCGAGTACGCACGATTCCCTCGCTCCTGCCGACCGCGGGCCCTCCCACGCCTACGCCGGCGACACAATGCCCGGCGAGCTGCTCCGTACCGTGACGGCTAGCCTTTCACGGCCGCCCAAGCGCAAGATGGAGCGCTCCAACGACCTCTTCCTCATCCACGACCAGGACGTTGCCTACGAGCAGGACATCCAGCGCAACCCCGGCAGCGTCAAGCCGTGGCTGGACTACTATGGCTTCAAGAAGTCGCGCGGAAGCCTGCTGGAGCAGGCTTTCGTCTTGGAGCGCGCGTGCACGACGCTCCCGCGCTCCTACAAGCTCTGGAAGCTCTACCTCGAGCTGCGCACCAAGCACCTCGAGAAGAAGAACCCCGCCAAGTACGCACCGCACTATGTCAAGGTCAACGCCCTCTTTGAGCGCGCTCTCGTGCTGCTCAACAAGATGCCGCGCATCTGGGAGATGTACCTCAACTTCCTTATGCAGCAGCCATTGGTCACCACCACCCGCCGCACCTTCGACCGCGCTCTGCGAGCACTTCCCCTGACCCAACACAGCCGCATCTGGGCGCTCTACAGGCCATTTGCGACTTCCGCTTCCGGAGAAACGGCTGTCAAGATATGGCGGCGGTACATGCAGATCCACCCGGAAGATGCTGAAGATTTCATCGAACTGCTCAAGGATATGCGCAAGTACACAGAGGCCGTCAAGAAGTACATGGAGATTCTCAACAACCCCAAATTCAAGAGCAAGGAAGCGAAGGGCCCCTTCCAGTTCTGGACCGAAATGATCGACCTGCTCATCGATCATGCCAAAGACATCGAAACAGGCGACGACAGCGGCATCGACGTCGAGAAGATCATCAGGAGTGGCATCTCCAAGTTTCCTGACCAGCGCGGTATCTTGTGGGTCGGACTAGCGCGCTACTGGATGAACAAGAACGAGTACGAAAAAGCTCGTGATGTCTTCGAGGAGGGCATTACTACTGTCATGACCGTCCGCGACTTCTCCGTGGTTTTCGACACGTACGTCGAGGCCGAGGAGACTCTGATCGGTATCAAGCTTCAAGAGGCTGCAGCTCGGTCCGATAAGGACAAAGTGGATCAAGACGCCGATGCGGACCTGGACATTCGTATGGTTCGCTTCGAGTCGCTAATGCAGCGGCGGCCATTCCTATTGAACGATGTCATGCTAAGACAAAACCCGCATAATGTTATTGAATGGGAGAAGCGTGTCGCGTTGTGGGGCGACAACAGCAAAGAGGTGGTGCAGACGTACACCGACGCCATAGCCGCCATAAACCCCAAGAAGGCTGTCGGCAAATTTCACGAGCTGTGGACTGCATACGCAAAATTTTACGAAGCCGGCGGGGACCTTCAAAATGCCCGTGTTATCATGGAAAAGGCGGTAAAGGTGCCCTTCAAGTCGGTCGCCGAACTAGCCGAGATGTGGTGTGAGTGGGTTGAGATGGAACTGCGCCACGAGAACTTCGACAGGGCCGTTGAGATTATCGCCAAGGCAACACAAGCCCCGAAACGGTCTACTGTCGACTACTTCGACGAGTCTTTAACGCCGCAGCAGAGAGTACACAAGAGCTGGAAGTTATGGAGTGTCTACCTCGACCTTGTGGAAAGTGTGAGCACACTGGAAGAGACCAAGAAGGTGTATGAGAGGGTCTTCGAGCTTCGCATTGCCACGCCGCAGACTGTCGTCAACTACGCCAACCTACTAGAAGAGAACAATTATTTCGAAGATTGCTTCAAGGTCTACGAACGAGGACTGGATCTGTTCAGCTATCCCGTTGCGTTCGAGATATGGAATCTGTATCTGACCAAAGCGGTGGACCGGAAGATTGGCATGGAGCGGTTACGAGATCTGTTCGAGCAAGCCGTGGAGGGATGCCCGCCCAAATTTGCGAAGGTGCTGTACCTCATGTATGGCGCACTGGAAGAAGACCGAGGCCTAGCACGACACGCCATGCGCATCTATCAGCGTGCCACGGAGGCAGTCGCCGATGAAGACCGCATGGAGATGTTTAACTTTTACATCACCAAGTCGGCCTCCAACTTCGGGCTTACCTCCACGAGGCCAATCTATGAGCGCGCCATATCAGCGTTGCCTGACGCCGAGGCGAAGGAGATGTGCCTCAAGTTCGCTGAGATGGAGAGACGGTTGGGTGAAATTGACAGATCACGAGCTATCTACGGCCACGCGAGCCAATTCTGCGATCCGAGAACCAGTCCAGAATTCTGGAAGAAGTGGGAATCGTTTGAAGTTCAACACGGAAACGAGGACACCTACAAAGAGATGCTTCGGATCAAGCGGAGTGTTCAAGCTCAGTACAAGTACGTATACCTTCGACATCTGTTTGTCTATCTAGCACTGACAAGCTCTAGCACCGACGTCAGTTTCATCGCCTCTCAAGCTGTGGCGCGAGGCCAACAGAATGGCAACGGCGAGCACATCAACGGCGACGCAAACGAGGGCGAAGACGCCATGGCCGCCCTCGAACGTCAAGCGAAAGCCCCAGCCGGCTTCGTCGCCTCCAGCACCGGTCCTCAAGGCGGCAACATCAAATCAGACGGAGCAGCTCCCGCAGCAAACCCCGACGCTATCGATCTTGACGACGATCTATGACGACTTTACGATCCTGCTTAGACAGGCAAGAAGGTTCTCTCTCACTCTGCATTTTATGGCGTCATCGGTACCACCTGCTCTTCTCTTCTTCTACTTCAACTTTTCCCGCGTGTGTAAATGTTCTGTTCGTATGTCCCCCGCATGGGGACCGTTTTCCATTATGTTTGGCACATATTTCGAGGTGGATACCTAGTTGCATACCCGGCGTTGATACCTGTGGATGGTTCAAAATGAAGGATACTACTGTGGGCTGGACGAAGCTGGCATGAGGGATTTCTTTTGTGAGGAGAGGGAAAAGATGGATCGGATGGATCGGATGGCTGGGTTGGATGGGTTGTACTGCAGTGTGAGGCCTTGGGCCTCATGCTGGGGACCACACGCACAGAGACCGGACGCGTAAATTTCTTCTTCTATCTGGTTGTCATATACTAAACCATTGCCCCTCAAAAAATTCAAAAGCTGTCTCCTCATCAAGCTTTCTCCCCTGAACTCGTATTGGCTAGGATGTGGGACGGACATGGCGCTGCGACGCAAGCACTGCGCCTCCCTTGCTCGCCGTTCGACGGTTGCGCTGCGGCGGCGTGTTTCACGACAGAAGAAGTGCCAGATGTAAGCTTCTTGAAGTTTCAGCCGTAAGCGGCGTGAATTAATCTACATGAAATAAGGATGCTGTCAGGTGGCCAAGGTACCAACGTTGGTATGATGGGTGCCGTGTGGGAGATCTGTGTTTCTGTTCTTAATCGGTTCAACGGCTACGACGAATTCCGTCCTGTTACGAACTCCTTTGAGAACGAGCATAGCAAGTAGCAAAGGGAAGTCTACAGATACCATGTTATGCAGCCGCCTGTGTTTGGTCGGCACGAGACGTGCTCAAAGGTATTGAATTGAGAAGAGGGCCTGCACTACTGCGTTCATCGTACGAAGAGGACCCAGCCCTTCAGATTCCAACGCCTACATCCGCGAACCTTTCGCTTGGAAACAAAGACAAAAGCGACTACCAGCACGCGGGATGGACGAATAAGCTCTGCGGCAGTGGTTGCAGCATTGTTGGCGTGACGTCAGACCTGTTGCGTTCGTCCAAGACTCAATATCCGGCCAATAAGTTCGTATTGGGTAGCACGCCGCGAGAGGCAAAGATGCACGTTGCCAATTGCTTCGCCAGCGTCCGCAGCACGCGTGTTGCGTATCAATGGTCCTGGCATGTACGTACAGCAGGAGCGAACGCAGGTGTGGCGTGAGGTGCTGTATTGCGTGAGTGGCTGTGATGCATGAACGCTCCATCCGTTCGTCTGGGAAGATGTGACACCTTCTTCCATCCAGAAGAATCCCAAAAGGCCTTTTACGTCTGTATACACGTCGTCCGCTCGATAAGAACAAGAAGATTTACCGAGTCGTGGAGCTAGCAGCACCATGGCTTACAACGGTATGTTGATCCCGGACGAAGCTCGTGGAAGGTGCGCTTGGGCGACAGGCAATGGCTATAGACTGACAGGACACAGGCAACGATAACCCAACTGCAAGCAATAGCCTCTCACACAATGACCCTTTCGCTGCTCAACGCGAGGCGAACAACGGTACCGCGTCTACCAAATCATGCCTTCGTACGTCACTGACTCTTCCACAGAACTCTTCCACGAAGACAAGATACAGAAAGCCACCCGCAGCAGCGAGACGGCCCTTTCGCAGCCCGCAGATTCGCCAACCCAAGATCGACGCCTGAGCCGTGAGTGGGATGCGTCTAAGGTGCCGCCTTCGCAGTTCCAGCGTCCCAAGGGCAGCATCTATGCTACGCCGAACACTCGCGACGGACATGTCGGGGGAGCTGAGAGGGATCAGAAGTACTGGGATAAGCTGAAGGAAAAGGTGAGCGATGGCCGCGGCGGATTATCGATGTTGGAAACGTGAACTGACACAATAACAGGGCTGGCTTCCTGGAGGCGATAAGAAGTGAACCTCTCTGAAGATGCGCGGAGAATGAGTGTGGATACACTCATTTTCAATACGGTTTCCTATTTTCATACTGTACTGTAAGGAACGCAGCCGCGAACATAGCAGCTACCCGGCTCACTAACTTTCACAACGAGGATTATGCCCTCATCGCAAGGCAACAGGGAGTATGTATACAAATACCAAAGGACGTATTGTAAAATTCTTTCTGTCGTTGTCCTGCTTATCTTCATGTCTCAAATGTTCGCGCATACCTAGGTACTAGCCAACGAGCACTGCAGCCCTGCATATCCCGAGCACCTCATCCGCACCATGAACGACGGTAGACCGTGCAACTTCACCGCGACCACATTGATCCTCTAAATGCCATTTTGAAACCAGGTCTTTACGAAGGGCAAGACACCATGATATTACTACACCAACTCTGATCGATCATAGAGTATGTCGCACACAAGTTGTAGATGCAATGTAGAACCGTACGAGACTACGTTCCATTGTACTATCGCCTTGTTGTTTTAGAGACGCCGAGACTCTATTCGGACATGAAAGCAATTTTGTTTTGCTGTGGGTGCGAGAGAAGCAGAGCCATAAGCGCTCTCACCACCTCTTCAGGCTATAGAGCACGGCTTGCCCCCCCAGAGGCAGACACCAACTCCCCGATCTTTTTTTTTTTGGCTGTAATAGTCAGGAGCGTTTGTGAAGCGCTGGCGTTGGTTAACAGAAGACACAGACTTCTCATGAGGCTTATGCTCGTGGTTTTTCGAGCGCAAGGACAGGAGCGCGGGACATACACTATCATGATTGCACCTTGGAAGAGAGACATAAGAACGACAGACATGACAGGTCCCGTTTTAGTTTTCTGATGGTACACACCAAGGCTCTCGGTGGACGCCATTTCGTTCACAGTGTAGGTTTTGGGGCGCCTGCTCAAACATGACTGATGTTATTTTTAGCCTTCATGAACGGATTAGGGTTGTCTTTTGAACGGCGCAGAACGCACTTCGGACATCAGAAGGAACCCCCCAGAGTTTTGGATGAGCCTGGAAGCAGGAGATATCGACATTCACAATTGCTGGCGGATGCTTTAACGTTGGAAGGACATGGAGGGCAGCGGCGCTACGCTCAATCCAGACATTGTCTCATGCTCCATAGTTTTGGGCAGAAAAGAAAGATCGGAGGGCATGGAGGCAGATATTTGTAATTGTGAACGTGAACGAGAGGAAGAGCAGTAACGAAGAACATGTAGGGACTCGTCGGTTGCTTGAGATTAGGGGATGGAGGAGAGACCGCCGCTAAACTAATGTTCCTCGCTGCCCTCATAAGAGTTTGAGAATTTGCTTTCGAGCGGCAGTCTAGCTCAAGCGGAACATATTTTTTCAGCCACTGAATATGGACAAGGAAGAGAAGGAAGAAGAACTGAGGCCATTTCGGAGCTCGGCTGGATTTTGGATTGTGGTTGGCAAGGAGAGCGGCAGCGGAGGACATGAACGCGTGTGGAACCGCTTTTGGATCTCGAGGCTTGTTGGTGGATTGCTCATTTGATTATGTTCTTCTCACTGATCCCATGAAGTAGAGGAAGAAATCTTTCGGGTGGCGATCTTGCTCATCCGCACGTTGTTTCTTCGCTTCTCTCTTTTGAACAGAGGAGAGAAGGAGCGGAGGATATGACGAGCCTTCTTAGCACCATAGAGTGCAAAGGCCGAGGAAGTGCGATTGTGCACAATATGAATGCTGCGACACATGGTTTCTGTTTGTGACTGCTTGCGGCAGCGTCCCGCAGAAGGAAATTTCTCCCCCTTCGAGAGCCCAGCACCCTCATGAATGAGACGCCTTTGACTTTTGAGGGACAGAGCAGCATTCACCCAGCATATGTTGCACTATCTTGAGATATACCAGAAGACGAAGATCATGACGATTCTTGTCTGCTTGTGAGCTCTTTGATGCGTGAGCGACTTGCAGAGCGGCAAGAGATGACACGAAGGCGGCGAATTGGTACTCTGGTCGGCAATGGAAAGCATCTTCTACACATTGACTCTAGCCTGTACGGTATCTGGGGCTTTCATGTACTGATAGAGCCTATATGGAGCCTATATCTTCGTGGTGGTCGAGCTCTCGGAATTGCATACATGTAGTATGTCAGACGTCTCAAGGAACGAAGAACTGACGAAGATTATTTCGAGGGTGGGACGAGCTTTTGAAAGTATAAAGAGCATCGTGGTTTTCGCTGGAAGCCATGACCTCTGCGATTCACGCTTCTGATCGTAAGGTTTGGAGAGCGTGTGATCCGAGGACGACAGTGCTTTTTAGCCTCTTATATTAGGTATAAAAGATGAATGTCAGGATGCAGATGGACATCGTCATCAGCCAGATAAAGATCGCGATCACCATGATGTACCAGGTAAGCCGCCACCACCATGCGCCGGCTATGCGCATTCTCATCAAGACGGAGCTCTCGATTACGTTGTGTGAATGGAGGACCGTAATGTTGAGGCTCTGTGCTAGCGCCGCACTAGCCTCCCGCAACCACAGACGTCCCATCCTGTAGACCGCTCATACCATGAGGTTGCGATCCAACTGCGGACCATCTATCTTTGAAGTCGGGTGTTCCATCGAATAGCGGAGCTGAGGTCGCTGTGAGCTTGTGGGGACCCGGTCCTAGGTCCAAATCATCTATGTTTGGGGCCCCGGCCCGCTTTACCCAATGCAGACATATATCACGGGCAATAGAAGAGGAGAAGACGTCGCAATGACCAACGCGCACATTAACAGAGGGGACGATTGCGAGCAACGGGCTCGTTGGGGAGATCTACCACACAGTCATAAGCCCATATAACCTCTAACGCCCTCTTCCGAGTTTCTGGCAACCCATTCAATTGTACCTCATCAGATTCAACCAATCAGTAAGTGAATAGTGGTACTCCTCGCAATTTGGTCTCTGCATCCTAACCATTCTATAGTGTCTCAGAAAGCCGTCCCCCTTACAATCATCAAAGGCGCAGGCCACGAATATATCCCTATCCCTGAGGGTGAGAGCGCGATCGTCGCAGACTTCCACTCGTACGTCCACTTTCCGCTTCCAAAAATTGACCCTCCCACCCTTCCACGGACCCAAAACACGACAGTCACTCATATGATTTAACTATCCTACAGCGTCCGAACCCAAACCAAAGAAAACCCCTCCTACCTGACCTCAGGCTTCTACCGCATCCAACCCGGCCCCACCCGCAATATCCCACCGTACACCTACGAAGAAACCAAGTACGTACTGTCCGGCCAGATCGACATCTTGGACGAAGCCACGGGCGTTACACATCACTTGGTTGCTGGTGACTTCGCATTCTTCCATGTTGGCAGCAAGTGCCAATTCAGCAGTAAGAGCGGAGGGCTTGCATTCTTTGCGGTAACAAGGCCAGTTATCACGCAGCATCCGGGGCTGCAGGGGAGGGAGGAGAAGGTTCTGAGCAAACTGTAGATGATCGATTGCCGTTAAAAAAGCAAGACTAGTGTCCTTTAAACCTTGAGCCAATAGAGCCAGTGGCTACACTTACCCAATGATGTGGCTCAGTCCCTAGATCGTTTTATCCTGCATATTTTTGTCTCTAGCAACCGCCCCAATGGCCATATTGAAGCTAAATATCGATGAAACGCTGAATGTGTTCAGGGTATGCAGCACAATTGGCCAAAGCCCAAACTACCAGCTCATACGCAACAGGCTTCCACCCTACTCCCCACTTCGCAATAATGGCCGCATACACAATCCTCAGCGGAATCGTAGCAACGAACATAGCCTTGTTATTCTGACACGCGAAGACAAACTGATACCATCCGACGCCTAGCGCACCGAGACCTGGGCCGGTGTCAGTCAATGTTTGTTGCAGTGTTGCGGTTCGGAGGCGAACCGATGGACTGCACCGCTGCGTTCGATGTTCCATGGAAAGCAGACGGTGCAAGCTGTGTCCAGGCGAGCGGCTGTGTTATGCAATAGAACCCTTGTGCAACATTAAGCAGGCCGTGGATGACGAGGAGGAAGCGAGCAATTTGGGAGACGCGGGACATTGATGATAACAATGGATCTAGTGAAGTGACGACACGAAATCTGGAATAACTTGACTGGAATTGAATGGTGTCAGGATTTCTTTGGGTGCTTTGTGTCTGTACTTACCATTGGGGGAACTATATTTAAGGGAGGAGAGGCTGATGAGGCTGTGCTAACACGTGATGTACGCAGCGGTACGCCTTGAGCTTGAAGCTGTAGGATTACCGTAACCGAAACTAGCGAAAATCGGGGAGATGCTCCGACATCGAACTTCAAGTTTCGCAATTTGGTTCTCGACCTTTCGCGATGTTTCAAACATTCAAAGGTGTGAAGACTTGAGTCAGATAACGATGATGACGATGAAGAAAACCACCGACGTATGACCATATCAAGAATTCTTTCTAGAAAGCTTCTCAGCTGCAGATCTCCATACCTCGTTGGAATCTAGCGTTTTTGGATCCGTCTAGAACGCATGAGCTTTTCATTCTCAATTCTTGTACACCATACCTACAGTTGTCGATGTGTAGAGAGTGAAGACAGTACGCAGATAAGGGCTTTATATACACGCGAAGCATTGAGAACACGGGGCTGGATTATAGGTGCACAGTCTTCGAGAGTTTATATCGGTGATGAGTGCCACCATTAGGACGTATACATGATGGCCGCATCTTGATCTCTTAAGACCCCAGTCCAAGGCGCGCATGTCGAATTTGGAATTTGGTTGGCCACGGGAAGTAGAGGTGTGAGCAACGGAAAGAGTGCGGAAGGGAGGTGATCTATATATGTGAGCTCGTTTCGTATTCCGAATTGAAGACGTCATGGCGATGGTGATTAAAACCATTATCATATAGGGAATTGGTATTCACCTGTTTTGAATCCCAGCCCAAAGACATCCCATAACACTGTCGTGCACAAACTTTTCAAAACCAAGCAAAAGCCATCACCCTTATACTTGAGATTTCAGTGCCCCTCTTGAGACGTATACATGTGAGGAGGAAGGATGGGCGGAGAGAAGCATGCTTATATACGTGGGCAACATCTCATGTGCCGGACGCTAGGCGCCATAGTGATGGCGGTGAAGATCATCACCACGTTTGATAACCAAAAGGGAAGCAGACGAAATAAACGACGTTGAAGGGTATCAACTCTGCAGCACAACGCTCAAACACCACCCGCTTCATAAATGTCATACATTACGCAAGAATCTTCGCCTTTGGGAGACCCCGATTACACCCTGCGCTCATCCATCGCATTCCGTGCTTCCGCCGCCGCAACCGCACTCTCCCAGCTCGTCTTGTAGATATAGAACCCTTCGATAGCAGCAACGACACCTAGCGCAATTGCCGGTCCCTATATCTTGTCAGCATGCTCGCTCGTCAGCTCGCGTGGAGTGAACTCACCGTCCACAAACCCCATAGACCCCAGCCGGCGCCAAAAGCGAGCCCAAAGCTAATCGGCATGCCGATGATATAATAGGCAAAGAGGGCGATATACCCACCGATCTCCTGCTTGCCTATCCCACGCAGAATACCGTTGCAATTCGCCTGCATACTGTCGAACAGCTGAAAGGCAGCGCAGAGCGGGAGCAGCGAAGCCACAAGGTCGATGACGTCGTCTTCCGGGGTAAATAGCTTAGGGATGTAGTTTCTAAGCAGGGACAGAAGCAGGAGGTTGAATATGCCAACCACGACGGAGAAAACCAACGCTACTCTGGCAGCCATCTTCGCATGCTCGTGTAATGTAGCCCCAATGAGGTTCGCAATCCGAGTCGAGGCCGCCACGCTCATTGGGAACGGGATCTGAAAGGTGATGCCTGTAACCGAACCCAAGATCGACTGGGCAGCGAGCGTCGTCGGACCCAGCCAGCTAGACGACAGCGTGAGGATCTCGAAGGCAAGGAACTCCGCGAGGACCATGACGAGGCCTGGGACCGCGAGCCGGATCATGGGACCCCAATTCTTGAGCGCGCGTCGATCGAAGCCACCCCAGCACTGGTAGCCGTCTACAAAACGCACATAGCAGAAGAGCATGACCGGCATGATGTTCTCAGTGATTGCCACGGCGATCGGGGCACCGACGAAACCCCATTCAAGGCGCCACACGAAGATGTAATTCATAAGGGCATTGAGTGGCGCGCAAAACAGGAGGATGTACATGTTAGCAGAGAACAGGCCTTGAGCTTGCAGGTACCTCTTCCCGGCCTCGAACGCGGCGTAGCCTGGGGCTCCGGCGATCAAGATGCGTAGGTAAAGACCGGCTAGGCGTGCGGTTTCTTTCTCAGGGACTATGTGAGATAGGATCTGTGGGCCACAAGCCCAAATGATTGCAATTGGAATTGTGATTACCCAGAGGAAGTAGAGCATTCGCTGCAACTGCAGACCCACCAGATGAGGGCGGCCGGAACCGTAGGCTTGGGCGCAAAGAGTGTCGAGAGAGGTGGCAAGGCCTTGATATACCGCATAGCCCGTGATAGAAGCCGTCACTATTCTCGTTAGTATTTTGCTTGAAGGAATTTGGTAAATTGATGTAGATGCTGTAGACGTACTGCTAGCCAGACTCACAGCCCCCAGCTCAATCTTGCCAATGTGGCCCACCGTGAAGATACTCGCCACGGGCAAGCTATACTGCAACAAAAACGTCAATATGAGCGGTGCCGAGCTCTTTAGCAACACCTTCGTTTCTCGCTGCCAGGTAGCCTTCAGTCGCCCTGACGCAACCGCCTCGTCGAACCGCTGTGCTATGGTCCTCGGCGTGTCTAGGCCCGCATATGGTAAATTCGGGTCTCCCAGAAGTGGATTTCTCTCATTTGGTTCATCAGACTCCTGCCGATTGTCGGCAGTAGCACTCTTCGTCTTCCGCAGCCCAGGCAGACTCAACTTTCGTGCTATGGAGTCATAGGCGCCGCTTTCACTTCCTCTCCTTGGGTGTTTTGGCGGAAGTAAATCGTTGTCACGGAGTAAGCTGCGCTCCTGCTCGCGCACCGCCTCTCGCTCTTTCTTGCTCAAATAGCTATGCTTTTTCCAATTCTGATGCTGATCAGACAGATAATTCTCCCTCGGCATACTGGAAGAGAAGACCGTTGCACGAGCTCCTGGGTTCATGTAGCTCGGTCGTTGGTAGGAGTTTATCATGGAAAATTGGCGGACAGTGGACGAGCCATCCGTGTCTGACTCAATCTCGTCCTCGGAAGGCGAGTCATCTTCTTCGTAATCACGAGCGATTGCTTCTTCAGCTATCTGCGGTGACGATGAAAGCCGTTCTAATTGCGACGTGATATCTGATATAGGTGCGAACTCGTCGTCCTCACGATCCCGTGGCGGCGCCATGATGTAGGTGTAGTAGCGGGGTCGTCCGGACGTTACACACCACACCGCCTTCTGCAGCAATGGTAGATTGCTGAAAGTCGTATCGCAGTTGTTCCTGAGAGTCAGGAAGTGGTGGAGCTAGGAAAGCAGAGAACACTATATATGTGGAGTCGGAGTGGGATCGCCGCAGCTCAAAGGCTAGATGCGGCAGTTTCAAGCGCGGTTCCTAGTTAGTACAGCTTCTGAGCTTGGCTTTCCGCCCTTTTCTTTGAGGTATCGCATGCAAGCCAACTTCCAAGATAGGTGACTCCACGTCGATCAAGCTGAGCCTGATAAGCAGACCGCTGGGCTTCTTCAGGAAACAATTCCTTATGAATCTGCACTGCGAAATTTTCGTACGAATTTTTTTCGATGTTCGATAGGCGAATGCCGCGGTCCGCTGCGGCCCAGAACAAGAACGTACAGAGAAAACTACGACACCGGGGCGAGAATACTGACTACGCGGCGAAGAGATGCACGTGGTCGGAGTCTTGAACCATTCACTGCTGGTTGTCTCCCGAAGGACTATCGTGCGTCATCGACAGTCGCTGGGAGGCAACCGATATGTCTTGTAACAGTAAAAGAGCCAGGGATTCGTGCACTTCATTCAAGCCGTAAGATATAATGCCTCTCAGCGCTTCGTGTCTTCACAGACTGTAAAGAGTATATCGACATGCACATGCGAACGCGATTGCGTCGCGAACTGCCCGAGGCCATTCTTCTAGTCACGCCCTACGAGTCTGGAAGCCACTACTTGAGCAGATCGAGCAACAATGCGAACATCACTGAACATACGAATCGATTATGCTATCTACCAGCACTTCCGTTACCAATGAGCGGCGTCTGCTCATTGTCTTCTCCAGGCCCATTGGCGATGGGAGCGCTGCCAGACTTAGCAGCTTGTCTGGCTCTCCACAGAAAGCATAGACTCATTCCCAGAAGGACTCCCTGCAACAGTCCAGTGAATATGAACAAGCCCCATGCGCTCCACCCCCCAGGTCCCAATCTGACTGCCAGACTCGCCGCAAAGACAAAGCTCCCTGGAGTCTGAATGCACATCATAGGCACCGACAAGCTGCCCGTCTCCTGCAGCCTCCAGGTCGTGATGATCTGAGGTATGTATTGGATAGCAGCAAGCGCAGTAGCTAGCAGGCCAAGGAAGTTCGCCCAACCTCTAATATGCGACGGTGCAGCGTAAACAAATATGACGGAGCCGAATAAGGCGAAGACGAAGAAGGCGAGGGAGAGGGCGAGGACGATTATGGCCTCCTTCCACGTTGGTAGGTTGGTGTCCTGCGCCTCAGTATCTTCGGTGGTACGTGGGAAGAAGATCAGGAAAAGAAGCATACTGGTGCTTGTTAGTAGCTGGGTGAGCCGCGATGGATGCGATGCTCACATGAAGAAGAAACATGTCCACTGTACGCCTATCTGCGCGATTCCCAACAGCGCAGCTGCGCATGGGAAGCGTCCAATCTCACTGCAGCATGCCATATCCCGGGTGCTCTCAGGCAGCGTCAAGATGTTCGCTATGCTGGCTGTGCCTGACACAGTGCCTAGTAGCACGAAGAGGGGGCTGAGGCCGCGCGACGAGCGCCGGATTATGATCTTTGCATGCTGCGGTAGGTAGGACACGAGGATGCCGACTAAGATGAAGCTGCGGACAGAGGGTCAGCCATGGTGTGAACCAGTAGTTGGCTAGACTTACACTGAGATAGAAAAGTTGGCAATGTCAGGATGCTCCAGCTCCTGACATCTCTCAGACTCCGTGAATAACATGGTTGCGGTTGGTTGCGTCGTAGTACTACAACGCGCTGTGAAGGTTGAGCTGCCTACGCGCTGCGCGTGTCGGGAGCTTGTGACGTCGCAGTTGGGGACGGCAGGTGCAACCGAGTCACCGACCGCGCTTTCTGTTCCGATGCCTCGGCCCAGCGCGCCTCCATCCTTCACGACCACGGCGCGCGGGCTGTATACATGCTTCGAGGTCCATCAGCCCGGAACAGGACTCCGTCGCCATGGAGTTCCTCCCCAGCCTCCAGCATGGTATAGACGACCTCAAGCCTTCTCTCTTCGAGCTCCTCTCCGAACAACAGCTCGCGTCACTGCTTCCGCCTTCGCTCCGCTACCTCCTCGCCGTCTCCACGCATCGATATCCGCGCTATCTGCTGCCCGTGCTGAATTCTTTCGATGAGGTTTATGCATTGGTAATGCTGCTCGTTGAGCGGCACTTCCTGCGCACATATGGTGGCTCATTCACAGAGAACTTCTACGGCCTCAAGCGCGCAAAAGTCCTGCGAGTCAAAGGCGGAGAGATTCCCCGCGCACAGCTAGGCGCGAGCGACAGCGTACGAGATGCTGTGAGATTGAGAGAAGGAGACATATGGCGGAATCTCGCCGTCCTCGTCGGATTGCCATGGCTGAAGAGGAAGCTGGACGATGGGTACGATGTCCACGCCGCCCACTCCAACATCCTCGGCGCTGGCTACAGTCGGGAAAGAGATGGACTTCGACCCGGTGCAACTATTAAAGAGCGGTTACTGTTCTACTACAAGTGGTTTCTGCGAAACATCTACCCAAGCGTCAACGCCGCCTACTATTTCTCGCTTATAGTGTTCAACATGGCGTACTTATTCGACGGAACAAAGTACTCATCACCTTTTTTGTGGCTGATTGGGACGCGAATAAGGAGACTAGGCGAGGCAGACCACAAGGCTATCGCGCTGGCAACGCAGCCGCGAAAAGTCGCGCCGGCGCGGCCTGGAGAGGGCGGCTCTATGTTCACGCCAAGGAATGTTGCGCGCAGCATCAAGCCACGCTTGTTATCTTCGCTTAAGATACTGCTGCCTACGAGTATCTTCGCGCTGAAGTTTCTGGAGTGGTGGTACGCTTCAGACTTTGCGCGACAACTATCGCAGAAGGCTGCTGAAAACATCGAACTACCACCGCCAGTGCTTCCTAGCCTGCCACCTTCGACAAAACGAGAAACCGGTAAACAAGCATTAACGGACGAGAAGCAGAAACCTCCATCGTCTTCGTTAGAGAAGAGCAAACACATTGACCCGCCAATATCTTCATCCTCGCTTTTACCTATCTTCACTGTACCAATACCGATCGAATCACATCTGTGTCCCATTTGCGCCACCCCTATAGTAACACCTACCGCGTCACCGACTGGTTTTGTGTACTGTTACAAATGCATACATCAGTGGGTCGAAGGCTCCCATGAACGCCAGGTGGCTTTCATGGAGGGTGCCGCAGGCTTCAAGATTGAGGATGGGGAAGAGGAGGATGAGGGCTGGGAGAGAGAAGAAGGGAGCCGAGAAGGCCGATGGGAGAATGGAAAAGGTCGAGACGCTGTCACGGGCAGAAATATGCTCGGAGGCACAGAAGCTCTCCGACGGGTCGTGGTCTGAACCAGATGGTGTCCGATTTTCCACTATCCGATAAGAAGCAATGGCCTTCAACACAACACCGTACATACAACAATGATACCCCAATTAAACCACCAGCCTGGCTATGGCGTCAACTCCTGCGTTCAGATCCTCTGTTGCAAGTCGATTCACATACCTGATACTCTTCAGTGGACCCATAGGAGTCGAACTACAGTAGCAGAATAATAGTACGTCGGCAGCGAAAAAAAGACAATTCTTCGATATATTCTTACATACAGCTCTTAAGTGAAATAGGTCCCGTTCCTTATGTCATCAAGGAGGCTCGGCTGCTTCGGTGTCCAGCCCAGCATTTCCTTCGTCTTCGCACTCGATACCGGATTATCGATACCCGCCACGCTTGCAAACCACCCAAAATGCTCCGCAGCCTCATCCTTTTTCTTCGACACCATAGGGAGGCCTAGCTTTTTGCCGATTGCGATAGCAACGTCCTTCGTCTGGACACCTTCCTCTGCAACAAAGTGTAGAGTCGACCCAGGCGGCACTTTCCTTTCCACCGCCAGCCGGAACGCAGCCGCAGCATCGAGGACATGTGTTGCAGGCCAACGATTCAAACCGTCACCGATGTATGCGGAGACTCCATTCTTGCGCGCCGCGGCGATTACAATAGGCACAAACTGCTTGTCGGTGTCGCCGTGGACGACAGGCGCGAGACGCACAACGACTGCAGCAATACCTTTATCCTTCGCCAACTTTTTTGTGAGTTCCTCGCTTTGACCTCGTACGTCGAATGGCGCTGCGGACGTGTCGTATGCATCGTCCTCGGTGCCTACGTGTCCGTGACGCATCAAGAGCGTCCCGCTTGTCACGATCAGCGGCTTCCCCGTCCCTTTCATCCCCTCGGCCATGGCTTCTATGGCAGCTTTATCGATCTCCACGCTCGCGGCGAAATTGGAGAAGTCGTGGATAAATGCGAGGTGTATGACGGCGTCTGCGGCCGCGGCACCCTCCTTGAGAGCATGCAGGTCCGAAAGCGAACCTTTGTGGACAGAGGTACCAAGTGATATCAGGATCTGTGCGGACTCGTCGGAGCGAGCGAGGCCGGTGACTGTGTGGCCGAAGGAGAGAAGCTCTGCAATGACGGCTTTCCCGATGAAGCCGTTCCCTCCTGTTAAGAAGATATGCATTGTGCGGTGGGAAACGGAGAAGAATAGAGGAATATATAAAGAAGTGCACTGTGCAGCGTAGAGAGATGTACTTTCAAGAAAAATTATGTCCTCTGCTCTAAAATTCCGTGATTAGTACTACTTCTACCTTCACCATATATACTCGATACCTCGCGGGCAATAGTACGGACCGAAAACATGATATACTGTTCGTATACTGTCCTGTTTCACGCGAATCCTATTTGAAGACTTTCCGAATGTTGTTCGGGTCCTTATTCTTTGCAATCATTCGTCTCTGAGAAGTAGGGTATTAGCAGGGCGGGTACTAGGATATGCTCATTGCATCGCAATCGGTCTAAATCCGGATACTTAAGACTCATAATGATTGGTTGTTGCGAAGTCGTGAGGAGATGCTGACATATTCAACTTACATGCCGTCGCGTCGGACGTGTACGGCGGAGGAATGTCCGGTTCCTCCGAGGTACCTATGGTACCTTCGAAGGTAGTTCCTTGTTGGAGACTATCTCTACGAAATTATGTACGAAGGAAATGTAGGTATGCGATTGGATAGGAATTTCGTCAGTATGAAGAATTGTACATCGTGAAGGGAGTCAGCGTTTCGCCTCGCCCAATACAGAAACGGCAAAGGTCTAACTGCATCAGTTTCAACACCATGACTCGCAAGGATGAGGGACTCTGTCCTAAAACTTATCAACCAATCGCATGTCGTGCAACGCGAGGCAAGGCTTAGCGCAACGGCCTTCCTCCTGCCCCATTTTCACCCTGGAACGTTGCTCGCTCGTGTTCGAACCCTCTCCCATCATCCTACCTTTTCCTGCATACGGTCCTCGCCAATCGAAGAGTGCAGATGACACCCGAGATACCGATACGGAAACGCAGGTCTTACAGAAAATCCCTCTTTGGCTGTCGCAACTGTAAATTAAGGAGGGTTAAAGTATGTTCTCGGCCCGGAGATGGATCTACCGCATGTTGCAAGGCAGAAACTGATCATGCCAGTGTGACGAGACAAAACCGCAGTGTCGCAATTGCACCACCTACCAGGTCATCTGCAATTACGTCAGCAATACTCCTGACCTGCACGTTCCGGCTGTAGAGCTGCATGCGAGAAGAGGCGCAAGTAGACTTGGTCCAAGTGCAAACGTAACCGCGCGCCAATATGAAGACGAACATCTGCCATCAATTCTTCAGACCTCCCTGAAGCCAGTAATCCTGTGCTCAGATGGTAGCTACGAGTTTCGCATGGATGACGGATGCTTTGCTGGACTGGAACGGTTTGGAATGCGAGCTATGGGGGCGTTTAGTAAGGAGATGACGATGATCTGGCGAGATAAGGTTCCGAAGCTTGCGTTCTGTGTAAGTGCGAAGTAACAGGAGGGGCCGACCTGCCATTTATTTCCGATGTGGGTGGCGATGCTTGAAATGCTGACATGCATCACAGCATCCATACCTGATGCATACAATATTAGCTGTAGCAGCAGCGCACGAACGTCATTACGATATGGTTCGTCATCTTCCAATGGGACCCTGCCACCCCATACGCTGCAAAAAGGTGTACTGACCGTCCGGTCCTAGGCCCCAGATGCGAGAAAGACCTTAGGCGAAGCGTACCATACCGCACGCGCAACTTACCTGTTGAATCAGAAGCTCTCTTCACACCTCACTCCTGCTGACTACGACCCGCTATGGGCCACAGCTGCTCTTCTTGGTCTTCTAGCCAGCACGGCGATCGACACTTCACCGGAACACTCGTGGCCGCTTACGCCGCCATCCTCGTCAGACCTTGAATGGTTCATTCTCACTGACGGAAAGAAGGCTGTGTGGGAACTGACGAATCCACTACGTCCTTCATCCGTGTTTTCAATTATGGCGCAGGAGTACGCGGCGTGGGACGTGCCGATCCCAGCGTCTGGAAAGGGGGGTAGTATCGACCCCCGGCTCGCATCGCTGTGCGGAATAACAGACTCCAGCACGCCGAGCAACAATCCGTATTTTGCGGCTGCGCATGTATTGTCGAGTTTACAAGCCCTAGACTCACATCCAGATCTAGGCTCGAAATCAAGTGGCCAGCCGAAGAAGCCAAAGCTCGAACGCGAGATCGTCGTCGGTCAGTCGCAAGTTCAATGTCTAGACTTGCTGAAGAAGAGGGACAAGGCCGCTCTCCTACTATTGGCGTTGTGGTATCAGAGATGCGAGGGCGTTTGCTGGTGGCTCGAACGGCGGGCCAGAATCGAGGGATGTGCCATCCGTCTCTTCCTCAAACAGCACTATCCCGATGACAAGGAGATTTTCGAATTATTACCAGATTTGGATACCGAAGACAGTACATCTGTGAAAAGACCCAACGTAAGTGGCACTGGCGGGGGCAGAAAATGGAACCAAGAGTCAATATTGGCGGGCAGGAATATGCTGCATGCGGACTTTGTCAAAGTAGGGACAGGAAGCCAAGGCTGACGATGTTCCCATGTTTGTAGGCCTATAAGGAGACGCTGTTGGCGTTCGACGATATCCGGGTTACATATATGTCAAGTAACTTCTATCTAGGCCTATAAGGAGGCGCTGTTGCGCGTGAGCTCCTGCGGGCTGCGCATTGAGCGGACAGAAGAAGGCAGATGTGACTTCGGAGTGGAATTGAAGGCTGACGGTAGTGGTGGCCCTTTTCCCAGACATACCCGGAAACAATAACGCCTCGAGATCCACGCTTCCCGAGCATACATGCTGTTGAGTAGGTGCTTTGAAAGGTTAGGGGATATTGAAAGAACTGACAGTGAATAGGGTTTGCGCCATAAGTTTTTGGTCTAGATTGTGCAAGGGTTGTGCGCATCGAGATGACTTGAATCAACTTGAGAAAAATAGTCAAGGGCTAAGAGGCTGGTTCATTCCTTCGGCGGAATCTAGAAACGATGAAACCGCGAGATTTTTACTCGGGAGGAATCCATACCATTACGCAGGTGCGTCGGCAGGTTAGAGAATGGTATCACTGAACTGACAGTGATAGGGGTTGTGCCGCAAGCTCTTAGTCCAGGTTGCGCAAAACTTATGCGCATCCAGACGAACTGAATCAGCTCCATTTTCTCATGCTTCTTCCACTAGGCAGATTCGCAAGCAACGACCGCCAATTTTACACTCGCGAGAGTCCACTTTATTGGGTGGGTATGGTAGAAGGCTAGAGGAAGATATTGATGGAACTGACAGTAAACAGGGCATGCAGTGTGCAGATGTTCGTCGTGGTGAACGTGGTGATGAGAGAGCGAGATGGTGTTGAGCTTGGAGATGAAAGTGGACAGGAAGTACCCGCTGAAGTGGTGCTTCCGCAATCAAGGGAAACCTGAACACTGCGAAGTAGAATTTGCCAATTGCTTGCCAATTCAGCATTGCCAACCTTTACATCATGGACTTCGTTTCATCCTTTGAGCCGCCACTCAGCAATCATTCGAGCCTGAAGTTGTAGCTGATTCGCAGAACTACAGCAAAGGCACGCCTACATAATTTGCAGACACGTTCCTTCACCGAACAACAGGCGGCTGCCGCAAGCCTCATGCTCTGAAACCGTCCCAGCCCAATACAAGACCGGACACGTCTGTTATCGTTGATCGCGTTCGAACGATCATTGTCCTCCAATATCGATGACCATTCATCTCGGTGCCAGGCATTTCTTGAGTAGTTCACTCACACAATCAGGCTGTCATAGAAACACGCATCCTAGTTGGTCGCTAACGCTTCACCGATAGCCTCTCATTCAGACTCTATAGATCTGAAGAAAGCACTCCAGGCCGCACCCAACAAAGGCACGGAAGCCGACAGCCGTGTTTTCGAGTGTCGATCTATCCAGCTATCTGCTACGCTCATGACCATTCAGAGCTGCGGTTCCGCGATCCTACAGTCCGGAAGCTGGGTGTGGCGTGCATCGCGCCCTGGATACCGGAAACACGGGTCCTCCCTAACGAATCACACCGGCAGGCACCACGCCGTATCACTGTTCCCAGAAGCACGAGATTTTGTGCTGTAAGGGGAACTGATAGACAAGATGTCAACGTCCGCCACGGGCAACGCGTCTGACACATGGGATCGCACGCATCAAAGACCCGTTATCGCTCGGTTAGCGGCAGTCTACCCCTGTTTAGACTAGCTCTCGTACCGTTATCGACACCATGCATCCTGGAACTGTGAGTCGGCACACGCACACGTTGCGCCGTTGCCCTGGATGTACCTGCACCGCGGACCCGTGGCGGAATGGGCCCACGCTCTGCCGGGTCGCTCCTGATTCGGCCTTGTTTTCCGCCGAGACCTCGGCGCTGCGCGACCTTTGAGTGAAAGGACGCGACAGTGGAAGGTTGCACCAGATGCGCCCTTATCTTTGCCAAGGACTTCGGGCGGCGCGGTCGAAGGAAGCGGGTGAAGATGGGGGTATCCTGCTGTCGAGAGTCAACTGGGCGGGCGTGTCTGGGCACAGGAAATTGATGGCTTGCTGGCCTATATAGTAGCGAGAGTACCCCCTGCGCGAGGTACCGTGGTACCTCAGGACTGTTCGTGTAGTCACAGCGACCCCAGCTGCGTGGTCAAGAAAGTTGAGCAAGGACGCTACTCGAGAATACCCTCACAATGTCGAGTGCACTTACACCTGTGAGTACTTTCTATACCACATGCATGGAAACCAGGGCCCGAAGAAACTTTGACTGTTCATCGTTCCGTCGGCTTAGTGCACCCCGAGGTCCCCTCTGTATCGCAATAATGCTCAGGTGTACAATGCTAACGACAATAACAGCCCGAGTTCGACCCGGCCAAGCCGAACGGAGGCAACTCCCTCGACGAAGATGTCAACGCCCAATATGCTGGCCTTGAGTTTCACTATGTGTACCTGATGGTCTGCGCCTTCCTCGTCTGGCTCATCATCCCTGGTATTGGTTTTCTCTACAGCGGTCTTGCGCGTCGCAAGTCATCTCTTTCTCTTCTCTTCCAGTCGTTCGCTGTTGCAGGAGTGTAAGTGATCAACGTCCCACGATTGTGTCGAAATCGAAGCTAAACGGGCACAGCGTCTGTTTCCAATGGATGTTCTGGGGCTACTCACTTGCATATTCTCGCACCGCAAACGCTTTTATCGGCGACCTCGCCAACTTCGGTATGAAGAATGTTGTGGCCGCTCCGTCCCCGGGTTCAGTCCTACTTCCCGAGATCGTTTTCTGCCTGTATCAGATGCTGTTCTGTATCTGCACGGTGGTCCTTGTCACTGGTGGCAGCTTTGAGCGTGGCCGTATCCTGCCATCCCTGATCTTTTCATTTTGCTGGGCTACCATCGTATACTGCCCTATTGCGTGCTGGACTTGGAACGCCAACGGCTGGCTGTACAACCTCCCGTCTCTCGACTTCGCTGGTGGAGGTCCCGTTCACGTTGCCAGCGGCTGGTGAGTGTCTTAGAATGCCCTACTAGGTTCACCACAGCTAACATCACATGTGTAGGGCCGCTCTCGCCTATGCCTTCGTGCTCGGAAAGCGCGTCCATAAGGGAGAGAAGTTCCACGGCAAACCGCACAACACCACGCTGGTGTTCATCGGCACCGTCTTCATCTGGTTCGGATGGTTCGGCTTCAACGGCGGCTCTGCTCTCAATGCCTCCGTTCGCTCCATGATGGCTGCGTTCAACACCAACACCGCTGCCTGCTTCGGTGTTCTCGGTTGGATCACCGTCGACTACATTCGTAGCAAGGGTCATTTCTCCCTCGTTGGCGCTTGCTCAGGGGCCATCGCTGGCCTTGTTGGTATCACACCGGCTGCTGGTTTCGTCAGTGTCTGGATCGCCGGCCTCATCGGTTTCTTGACTGGAGCAATCTGCTCTTCAGCCAAGAATATCGACAAGTTGCTTGGTATCGACGAGGGCATGGATGTATTCAAGCTGCACGGAATCGGTGGTATGTGCGGATCCTTCCTCACCGGCATCTTCGCCCAGAAGTGGGTTTCCGCTCTCGACGGCGCGTCTATTTATGAGGGTGCGCTTGACGGCGTCGGTGTCCAGGTTGGCCGCCAGCTCGCCGAGATCTGTGCTATCTCTTCGTACTCCTTCGTTGTAACCTGCATTCTGCTGTACGCGCTCAAGTTCATTCCATTCATGCACCTGCGCGTTACGGAGGAAGCGGAGATGATTGGTTTGGATCTCGATCAGTTCTTCGATGAGCAAATTGGCGACTGGAGTATGATGGAGCAACACGCGCTGGAGGGTATGACCCAGCCGAACAGTATTCAGGCAAGCTCCGAGGCTGTGGCTCCCAAATCCGGTTGAGTTGAAGAAGTGTATGGTCTGGGATGCGCGGATTGACGGATGTAATAGAACGTGACTTTATACCCTCGCTTCTGCCTCACTAGATTTAATAGAGTATGATGCATGTAGAATGCAAGTATCGCCCTTTGAACTTGTCGTCATGAATGGTGCATCGCTCTTTCCTCAAACTCGACCGCACGAGCATCCGCCAATGTCAGTATCCGATCGACAGGCCTCTCTTCATCTCACCTTGCATCACCTCATCTCTACTTAGATTTCTCCTCTTACCTTACCTGACCGCTGATGCGATGTTCGCCCTGCCTCTCGCCAAATTGTTTCGCCACGCAATTCCAAGATTCGCTTCCTCGCTCTTCAACTGCAGCCACAATCCTGTGCTTATTCATTGATGCCAGCACCATGGGTCCTATTCGACAGCTCCGCCGCATATGGCGGTAATTGTACCTCTCGAGCGGATCCTGACATTGCGGGTGTTGGCGTTTGTCTCCCGGCCTTTGGACTGCAGGCCATGCACTGATATTCGCAGGTGGTACTATCCTTCGTGCTCGCGAGCATCATGACAACGACAGCGTCCATTCTTGCTATGATTCTCGACCAAGCATTCGATTCGAAAGGCCAATTCACACTCCGGGCTCCGGTACGATTCATACGCGATCGCATTCTAGACACGGAGTGGAAGAAGAATTATGCCTGGAGACCTTTTCTTGACCCACTCATCATCGGATTAGGAGACCAGCAGCTCATTACTGGCTACGCGGTGTTGCTCAGCGGCTGGATAAAGGTTTTCTATATCAAACTATACCTACACAGCAGCTGACGAAACTGCTTTAGGTCTTCCAGAATTCGTTCGAAGTCCAAGGTGCCCATTTCGTTCTTGTCCTCTACATCTGCGCTCTGTCCTCCTCATCGCACCTTGCCGCCCTGATCACGCTGCGCAAGTACTTCCGGCGCTACCGTCTCATCGCCAAGATCCGCCTTACACTCGTCATAGTCTTTGCATGTTTTCTGCTCGCGTCCATGATTGCGGCCATCAGTATGCCGGAGCTTGTGCGAGTAACGCCACAAGGTGTAGCAGAGAAACAGTCCCGTGCACAACGGCTATCTTATACCGTACCTATGTTTTTCATTATCCTGGGGTTTTCAACGGCGCTTATATGCATCATGTGGACACCGCAAAGGAAGACAGTTTCACCCCCTGGCACTAACATCTGGATTAACGATGGTCGAGGGGCTCGTCCTAAGCTTGAAAGAAGAAGCAAATCCATGACCGTCCCAGCAAATTTCGGAATTGGCTTGTTCTATGTACTCTTCCTAAATCCTCTCGTTGCGTTTATCATCCAGCTTATTCTGGCCTTGCTATCGACCATTTTGGTACTTAGTCAGAAGTTTTCGGTGCCCGAGGAAGCAGGCAAGTGGTGTGGACTACAAGATGAAGCCGAGAATGAGTGGGGTTTTGGGCAGACGCTGAGTGTGGTGATGCTGCTGCTTCCGGCAATGAGTGCGGCGCAGGCATACTTGGAGGGGAGGCAGCATATCCAAGAAGGAAAGAAACCTTGAGCAACCTTTGCATCCAAGCTCCAGCTTAATGAAACCATGTTCTTAGCAAATTGAGAGGTCATCAGATTGAAATACCCAGAGCCACACAGATCAAATCTCAGTACGTCGTACCCCTGTCAGAGCTTAAATTTAGCGCCTCGGCAAGCCCCAATGGCGATGACGGTGCAGCCTCGAACGCGTCCACCATCGCTCATTGCTGTGTATTTCTATAATACAGCCGCAATGATACTCCGGCCAACCCCCTCAATTTCCCGCTCGCTCAAAATACAGATTCCGCGCGTACCCCATCGCGGCTTCCTCGGCGCCTCCTCCACCCGTTCGAACCAAAACCGCATCTTCGACAATGTCCGCACACCAAATGACCTGCATACCCTCACACTTCTCTCAGCCGCCAGCAACCGGCCCCTGATAACGCTGTGGAGTGCAAGTTGGTGCTCCACTTGCCAGACTATCAAGCCGCTAGTCAAGGGGATGATCGAGGATGAGCGCGTTGGGGAAGAAGAGGGAGGGCTGGGATTCGCCGAAGTCGAGTTGGATAGTACGTTGATTGGGGATTTGGGAGTGAAATATATGGTAGGTGGGATTAATCTGAGGTTGCAGATTCTAGAAGACGCTGATTGGGGCATGCAGATAACGTCAATGCCTACGTTGCTGGCGTTTAGTAGGCAAGAAGCGCAGTTTGACACGAGGCTTACGAGGCCGGAGGAGATGAAGAATAAAGAGCGGTTAAGGGAATGGCTGTTGAACGAGGCGAGAAGAGGAGGACGTACTGGTGGGGAGGAGGGGGCTGTTTGGGGGAATATTTGGGAGGTGATGCATGATGCAAGTGAACCTTCTGGCATTCGAGGTGTATATCTACTGTATTGTACATGTAAGTCTTCTGCGACAATGCCAGTTAGTTTTCCGGCAAATATCGCTCGCCAGTCAGCTCTATTGCAGGTTTGCCAACATACATCAATGAACAACTTTTGCACCCAATGGACAGATTTCTCGACTGTAGACATGCGCATGTGGTCGATGTCTCCACGATATTGCCACAGGGTATCAACAGTGATTCGAGCCGCATCACGATATTCATGAGAGCCACATACTACGCAAGCTAGCACGGACGTCACCGAAACTTAGGTAGCAGTATAGAGGTTGGAAAGTATGGCTAGGCATGCAGTTTCTTTGTTCTACATCTATTGATCAAGGCGTCACTCAACTGACAAGTTTTAATAGGGTTCTTGGGTGCATTGCTGATAGAACGTCGAAGCTCACCCCTCGTCATTGACTTTTGGTGGCATGAGCCTAATCTTCAGGTAAACAGCAGCTACCGTCGAGCGCAGTGTCCCTGCGCAGGATAAGCTTGGAACCAATGCATAGCATCAATGGTAACGCAGATGTTTGTTGCTCTCAACATTCGACGCATGCGGTTCCCCACATCTAGCTGGACCCTGATGACATCAAGGAACCTCACCAAAGACCGCCGTCAATGCTACCATCGCTAGCTTCACACGCCATTGTCCCACGGCGAACCAATGCTCCTGATGAACTCGATATACTCCTCCTACCCCAGCAACGCATCAGAACTCAAATGATCGATCGGAGTATGGTAACTATCTTGATTGGCTCCCATTGCAAGCAAAACCCAGGCCAACGCTGGTGATCGCCGTCTAGCTGCGGGAGATGTAACTCAACGCCAATCCGATACCCGCAAATGGTAAGCCTTGGCCCTTGTCCCGAAAGTTGGAAGTGGGTCCCGAAATGACGATGGCATGTGAAGTGCGATTGAACATAAGAAAAGGAGGAGGAGCACGCGATTGCAGTTGAGCTCTCAGCTGATAGCGTGAGGCTTTGTTTGTCCACATGTCGTCCTCTTCGTCGACAGGCGACCCGAACGTGGGTAGCCATCAAAACTCATCGTCTTCGATATCCGCGTTTATTTCCACGCTTGTGCCTTGCGCTGCGCTCGCTGCTGTTTACGTCGGGTTCTTTCTCATATTGCGCAGGAAGCAACGGCGCCTTTACCAGCCACGAACGTTTCACGAAAAGTTGAATAACTAGTACGTTCATGTCGCGCGGCCTCCCTTGCCGTTAGTACGTTCTGACCGTGTGAACAGTGAAAAATTACCGTCGTCTTCCAAACCAGGCCTTTTCGGCTGGATCTCCGATTTCCGCAATACCAAGGATGAGTATATTCTCAATCACCAATCGCTCGATGGCTATCTTTATGTGCGGTTCTTCAAAATGCTCGTCTTCATGAGCTTCGTTGGTTGCTTGATAACTTGGCCTGTTCTGTTCCCAGTGAATGCGACTGGAGGCGGCGGCCAGAAAGACTTGGATCTCTTATCATTCAGCAACGTAGCGAACCCGGCGAGATTTTTCGCACATGCGTTCATCGCGTGGATCTTCTTTGGTGAGTGCGCGACCACACTGCCTGCTGGCTCTGTTTTGAGGTATGACTAATCACCAGCGGTTTGCAGGTTTCGTGTTATACTTGATCTGGCGCGAACTCTCCTACCTGATCAAGCTGCGGCAAGCGTACTTGCTCTCAGCATGGAGTTCGTCACGCATCTCTTCCCGCACTGTACTTTTCACGAACGTGCCGGAAGAATACCTCACGCACCAGCGTTTGCATCGCATGTTCAGTGGCGTGTCGCAGGTCTGGCTAGTATCCGATTTCGCAGATCTTGAAGAACAGGTCGACGATATGAACAAGACGGCGCTAAAGCTTGAAGGTGGAGAAATGAAACTGATACAGAAGGCTGTCAAAGCGGCTATGAAGGGCAAGAAGGGAAGCGGTGCAGATGGCCAGACAACGCAGCCTAAGCCAACATCATGGAATGAGTTTCTTGCATCGAAGGACAGACCAACACATCGGCTGAAATTTCTCATCGGGAAAAAGGTTGATACGATCGACTACGGGAAGGACCACTTGAGAGAACTATTGCCGGAGGTGCAAGCAAGCCAGCGATCTCATATCGCCGGCAAAGAAAAGCTTCTCAATGCAGTCTTTATCGAATTCGAGACTATGGCTGCAGCGCAGACAGCAAGCGCTATCATCATCCACGACAAGCCTGCTACTTTTGTTGCCCGCCAGACTGGCATCTTACCCGGCGAAGTTATATGGAAGAATCTGAAGATGAATTCTTGGGACCGATCGCTGCGACGGGGCCTTGCCACCGCTTTCATCTTCGCGATGATTCTGTTCTGGAGCTTACCCGTAGCTGTTGTGGGTATCATCAGCAACGTGAACTATTTAACAGCGAACGTGGCATTCCTTCGATGGATCGACGATATTCCGCAAGTGATTCTGGGAGTAGTGACTGGACTCTTACCATCTGTACTCCTCGCCGTACTGATGTCACTCGTCCCAATCATCTGTCGCCGTGAGTAGAATGCATTCCCATCTCAGGACACAATTAACGATCTAGCAGTCGTGGCAAAACTCGCGGGCGCAATAACGCTCTCTGAAGTTGAGCAACAAACCCAATCGTGGTACTTCGCCTTCCAGGTCATCCAAGTCTTCCTCATTACGACCTTCACTTCGGGTGCCACAGCAGTAGCTTCGCAAATTGTTTCCAACCCTACCTCAGCCGTGTCACTGCTCGCCAAGAACCTTCCCAAAGCGAGCAACTTCTACATCTCATACTTCGTCCTGTTTGGCACTGCCCAAGCGGCCAAATACCTCATCAATATCGGAGGCCTAGTTGGCATTTTCATCCTGAGTAAATTCGCTAGCACGCCTAGGAAGAAGTACAACAAGTGGATGGCACTCACGGCCCCATCATGGGGTTCAGAGTATCCCGTATGGACGAATCTGGGCGTAATCGCCATTTCGTACGCAATCATTGCGCCGCTCGTATTGGGCTTTTCGACGGTTGGTTTGGCATTGATATACATCGCGTACAAGTACAACATGCTGTAAGTAAACCCCGAAATGATCTATTGAAGAATGATCTAACAGTTATAGCTATGTCTTCACCACCGACGTCGATACGAAGGGCGCCTGCTATGCGCGAGCCATGCAGCAACTCATGGTCGGAGTCTACCTCGCCGAATTCTGCCTCCTTGGCCTCTTCGCCATCAATATCGGCAATAGCGCCGTTGCAGTCGGCCCACTCATTCTTCAGATCATTCTCATCATCGTGACAATCATTGTTCACATCGCCATGAGGAAGAAGCTTTACCCGCTTGTCGCCACACTCCCATTGAACTTTCTCGAAGAATCAGACAATCGACACAGACGAGCTGGTATCGGTAAGAGCGTCAGCGACGAGGGAACGGCTAGAAATGACAGCAACGATATGCACCCAGGCTACGAGGACGAGATCATTACTAGCGGTCCTGAAGGCACCGGCCTCGTCTCCGGCGCAGCGGCAAACTTCGGAAACGCGTACAAGACTAAGACTGAGACTGATGACATAGCAAACGGTGCGGGGCGACCCCAGAAGCGCTCGCTCTTTCAGCGTCTCGTCAAACCGCAATCGCAGTCTGCGGCAGAGATGTCGGCATCACTGAACGCGCGGTTTAGGGAGCCAATCCAGCCGTATGATGTGCAGGAAGCTAGGAAGGCGTACCTGCATCCGGCGATTGTTGAGGAGCCGCCTGTCATTTGGCTCGCGAGGGACCCACTGGGTGTCAGTATGAAGGAGGTCGGCGAGCTCAAGGAGAAGCTCACGGAACATGGGGTAGAAGTTACTGATGAAGGTGCGATCGTGAATCAAAAGGGGAAGGTAGAATGGGTGGAGGAAAGTGCGAGTCAGGCACCGTTGTGGGAGGGACGAGTCACTTATTGATCTGTACATAATTTTTGTACGTAATGTTTTAATAGTCTTTACACGGTGTTTAGAGCGCAATCTTGGATGAGTAAAAAGGACGTGATGGAATGTGAGGAGCAATTGGGTTCAGGAACGTTGTTGCAAGGAAAGTGTATGATTCTATACTTGTGTCTATCGCTACTATACTAGACTGATCATTGAAATAGAATTATCAAATGGAGAGTGTACAGTTGGACCCAAGTCTCAACAACGATATCACAGCAGACTCAAACAACTGCGCATGACTCGCGAGCGGATACTTTTGGAAGAGCAATCTGCACCCAACCTGGCCAATGCGCGATTTGCTAGCCCATGAGATTGCTGCGATGCTGGAAGATAAAGGCTCTATGCTATAACTGGACGCTGCGTACAAATAGCATTATATATGCAGACTGGATACCCTCATGCAGATCTGGTATTCTTACATTCTGCACTGGCAACATGTTTCAAGTGTGTTCACACTTGCTCCTATCGCTTCTCAGACGTTGAAGGTAGTCAATGACACGCCTTGCCGTACTTCCTTAGCCGCACATAGTTGTACGGCAAAGGCGCGATAAACCCTGCAGACACCGAGAGCAATGCCGCACCCCAGAAAGCCGCAGAGTCCCACTGAACGGCTCCCCCGGTCAGATGATAGTCAACCACATTCTCAGCCAGTTCCATAGTAATCATCGAGATCATGCTCATCCCTGCAGCGGTCCGAGCAGCAGCCATCCAAGAGAGACGATCGTAACCATATCGGAGAAGCGTAGTCTCTAAGAGCATTGAAGAGGTGATACCTGAAGCCACTACACAGAGTCAGCGTGAGTCATGAGGAGACAGAACAGAAGAAGCGCACTAGAGATAGCCATGATCGTGCCCATGCCCAGACTGGGGTGTGAAAGCTGGAGATACCACATCGCCGAGAAATCTCCTGCGGTGCAGCCAATCAGGCATCGGAGCGTGTTGATCGCGGCCCGTTTCCAGAGTGTGTTTGAGGTCCAGAATTGCGGTGTCGTGAGAGATGCGGAATTTCGTGCTTTGCTGGGACATGAATGAGTCGACGACTCATTCTTACTGCATTTGGATCTTCGTTGCAGGATAGAAGGCTCTTGTTGCGAGGCCCAAGCTACGTTGCTGCAAATACGCGTACGATGTCGGGTACAGTTAGTCAGTGAAGGTGCCAGCGGACGTAGGAGGGTATTGGCCCTAGTTGCGAACATTCTCATTGATGACGGCTGCGACCTTCAGATGGAGTAGTAGGTTTTCTTGATGCAAAGACGCATCCCCAGGTTGGGAAGGCCAATTTCAGCACCGTCAACTTGGTCTAGGCGGACGCTAAGGTCGGATTAGGAAACACAAGGTACGCACAAAACGCGCGCGCTAGAATGAGCACGATGGGCGTCGAAGAACTCATTTGGAGGACGAGACTCTTGGAAACGCCTTCCTAGACTCTGTTGGCAAGTATCAATACGTCTTAGGATGTGGTATATCTAGCTGATGGAGATTGAGGGGCTGTGCTTTGGCACAAATCGTTGACGGCAAAGTTCAATGCGATTGAATGAAAGAACTACAATGAATCTGTCATTCCACATGCTTAAACATAAGTGTAATTTGAGTGCGGCGCTGCTGTCGTTCTTTCCGGTCCCAGCCAAGTGGTGACAAGTCTAGCAACGGAGAACATTCGGAAGTTGCGCAGGGCGAGATTCCATAATTCGAATAGGACCTAAGATGAGGTTCTATTGCTGTTGTACTATAAGTTCTCGCCTTGCTCAATGATATGGCCAACAAGGCAGGAAAGGGACCACCATGTTGAAGAATCGCACTAGGTAGTATCTATGTTTGCCTGGTCCATAACACTTGTATGTAGAGACTATGAACTATTTACAGCGCATTATGCCTATATTAAGCTACTAGCTGGCCCTCCACGTTCCATCATGCCTTATCATGATCTTCAACAAACAACCCCATAAATCTGTATCTTACCATTCCACATCTGATGAGACTTCCCTAGAAGAATCGCGCGCGGTTGTTGTCGAGAAATTGAACAAGATCTGCTTCTGCAGCTTGCATCGTGCCACCCTGTCCTTTTTACGGTAGGAAACACTGTAGCGTATGCGACTTGAAGTTATAGGCATTCCATGTTCATATATGCTCCCATGACAGATAGCAAATTAAACATTTTAAAGGTTTCCTTTGGGGTCGTTCTGGATGCAATCAGGTTGTTATTCCCCGAAAGAATCTTTGTTGTCGCTTCATAGTCCAGTGGTGAGTATGACCAGGAGACGATCAAGCAATCTTCCTGAAGCTTGAGTTGATCTTTCAGCTTCTCTTGCGCCTCTGTAGCGGAAACGCCTTGCGCGGGGCGATAATGCTTTCGGATTATACGATAAAGGATCGTTGGGAGGTACCCTGTCATCTGTTCCCACCCTAGCGCTAGCGCCCACGCCCTGCCTATCTTCTTGTCCATCTCTTCTGCAGTCTCGTCGTATAGTATATTTGCGTTATATTTGACACCTGTAAAGGGGTTCCTGATCGAGTACTGCATTGCTTTAGCTTCTTCTTCGGTTATGCGAAAGCTACCAAGTTTAGTTGTTATGTTCGATATGTCTTGTTCAGAGCGAAGAATGAATACGAAAAGGCTGATGGGAGAGATAGCTAGGTGGGATCATCCATCTTTTGTGCTTGGTTTCGATAAGGCTGTACCCGATGCTTAGCTGCACCCATGACACAGCCTAACCTCTTGTAGATGTCTTTGCGAGCCAGTGCTTCGTGATCTTCTCAGGCTCCAATGGGACTGCCAGACAGCCAAACTACGCTCACGCCTTCAAATACTCAAATCCGCACACGAGAAAGCCGGTCTCGTACTTCCACTATAATCCGCCACAATAGCATCACAGGCCGCATACAGCCCCGGCCCCAACAAAAACAATCCCACCAGCATAACAACCGCATGGAACGACGTCTTCACACTCCTTGAGAACCCGCCAAACAGATCGCGCTTGTACATTTGCCAGTATGCGATAGCGAAGTAGATGAAGCCGAAAAAAGAGTCGAATGCTGCGCCAAGGAGAGATAGGAAGTCGCCCATCGAAGGGATTACAGAGGCGAAGATAAAGCCGACCCACCAGATAGCGGCCATGACAGCGGTCCAGGCGCCCCAGCCGATTAGAGTGTTAGAGTGCTCATGGTGGGAGCCGCGCATAAGGTGCTTGTAGACATATTTGGCGGAGACGTTGGCGTAGATGACCTAAGAATGTGAGTGAACACGTTTGATGAAATCGGGACGGGCGACTTACACCGATGACGATCGTTGGCACGATGACGAAAGCAAAAGACGCTTTTTTGTACACGACAACACCCAGGCTACCGAATGCTGGGGCGGTAGCATACTGACCCAGATATCTGAAACCGATCGCCGGAGGCACGATGAAGAGAAAGGCGGAAAGGCCGGTCAATACAGCCAGACTCTTGGGAAAGTCCTGCGGTTTCTCCATCTCGGCGATGAAGCTGGGGAACAGGATCTGTGGTACCCAGAGGAACGTAATGTTCAACACGGCGTTCATGGCAGCGACGAACGTGGTTCCGGAGGGCGGGATTGCGTAGGTCTTCACGGGTCCAGCTTCAGGATAAACTCCAAGATATCCGAGTCCAGGTGCATCTTCGATTCCTGCGAAGACAAGGAAAAGTAGAATGGCGATGCCCATACAGACGGCTGAGAACATGGACATGAAGGAGACATGCTTCAACGTACGCGGGAGGGACCCGACGATGCCCATGAGCGTCACGATAACGGAGAACGAGACAGTGCAGAGGGAGTGGTCGGATAGCGTGTTGATGACTTTGGCGCCAGTGAGAATATGGAAACCAATGAGCATGATATTGTTTGCCAGCAGCATGAACGCGGTGAAATGATATGCCCATCGCTGCTTGCCGAAGACATAATATCCAAAATCGCAGATATCCATGATCTGTGGGTGCCTAGAAGTGTAAGTTTCGTCCGCCGCAGCAATGCAGTACTTACTTCATGATGAATTTCCACATAGTCATGCTCGTGAAGTAGAAGAACGTTCCGGCGAGCAGCATAGTGATAATACCAGGTCCCCATCCAAGAACGCTCAAGCTCCAACTCTGTGCCATGATTGCCAGACACACCTGGTCGCCCACGAGCAGCCAAGCGGCCTTCTGCCACGACATTGTGCGAAGCTTGATATCGTGCCCATGATCCTTTGCGACGAGAGCGTCAAAGGTCAAGCCCTCCTCTTCTGAATCGATTGCAGGCGTATCGACGAATTGATTCGGCGCTTTTTCGTCCGCATACTTGAGGTCGGACATGATTGAATGGAAATCGGCTGAATCGCTTGTGGGGAATTTGCGTGAAAGCTTGGATGCAAAGTCAAGTGGAGTCAAGCATATATAAGTGCTTGGTTGTGTCTTGGGCACCTGGTACGATAAGGTTGCAGGGGGATACTCGCTACGCAGAGCGGGCTATCATGTGGCTTGGTCTAGAACCCTGGCGGACTCCGGTCGTGGGGTGAATCAGTGCTGCAAAGACTCAAACGCACGCTTCGCCCTAACTCACCATCGTATCCTTGTAATGCTAAACACGCGCAATCCAGTCGCATAAAGATCGCCAGGCACGACCGGACAGGGCTAAACGACGCCAGCATCTTTATTAGCATAATCGTCATAACGACTTCACATTGCGACACTGGCTCATAGGATCGTGATAGTGTCCATTTCAATGGTATTGTCATGGGTGTGGCGCACCTTTTTGGGTCACGTCCACTACGCCATTTTACACGATATGGCGTGATTGCGCGTCCCACCACGGGTTGTAATCAGAGTTACAGAATTTAGGACGAATCGGAAAATTTGCTGATGTAGTTGGATGGAACGAGGTGCGAAAGTGTCAGTCTATTCGTTAACTCCGGGGACACTACCTGTGGTCTTGGGGTGTGTTTCCGTGTAAACTATCCACGGCTTGACGCTGTCGGCAACAGATCGCAAGAGAGCCGCTCGTTGGCGGCGCGTTTGCAGACGAAACTCTGCGATCGCGATCATCCCTATGACGCTTATAAGTCCACCTTCGTGCGAAGACCATCGTGTTCTCCAACACCGTGTCGCTTAGCAGTAAAGCAATGCTTTCCTGCCATTGTCGTTGTTGTGCAAGAGAAGGAACGTAGCGTCATGAATATTCAAGTTCGCCCCCACTTCTGAAGAACGATTGGGGCAAGCCGACGTCGGTATGAGCAGCGCTTGCTACAAATCGAAACAGACGACACAATAGTACTGGCACAGCAAGACCAGCTCTTGTGTGCTGTTGTGGTTCGTTCGTCCAATCTACGCGAGTCTTACCACCTCAGCAACCGGGCAGTGACATTCGACGGGAAAAGGTTAGGCGGTATCAGGCAGGTGCGAAATCGATGCGAACTTTAGACACTCATTACTGCATCCTCAGATAGGATAAGTAGAGCCGGTTAGACAATATAACGGTCAACATTTTGGTGCTTCTGCTGCAAGATTGTGAGAAATGGCATACAAAAGACCTCGCTCGTCCCACGTGATCTGGCCCGAACCTTGGAAACTCGAAGCGTGGAGAGATGGGTCGATAAGCGTCGATTTGGAAGAGGCAGCATCGCTTACAGCTGAACTGGATATATTCTGCGCCGCCTGGGCTGTTGTGATAGCTCGCCATGCCGGTGTAGTGGGCGCCAGCGAGGTTGTCTTCGCCGGTGCACTTGAGTTTCTCTGCCGAAACCGGCGTCGGTATCTTTCTGGACAACACGAAGAAAGCACGTAGAACCGTCCCTTCGCGGCTTCGCCCTTGTCCGTCGATGGACTCCCTGTTGTCACGCTTCAGACGGCGACCGGCGACAAGCACGCCTGGAACGGCCGGGCGGTGATCCTGACAACCCACTTTCATCAAGCGGTGATCCAGTTGCAATCACTACCTCAAAGAACGCACCTTGACACAATCAGCATGGCGGGCCCGGTAGATGTACAGCATGTGCGCGATGGAACGAAGAAGCGCCGCCGCGAGTCGACGAGACACTGTGTAGCCTGTTCCTGCGACAGGCGCAAGCGCGATGGCGATGGCGATCTGACTTAGGCGCAGTTAGATGGCTTGTCTGTAAGACCCGCAAACTATCTATGGAGACGGGGCGTGGGGCCGTAGCAGGTGATTGCGTTGTGTTCTAACAAGTCCTGGGTTGCTGTCATGGCGATGCTGGCAGTTTTGCGAGCAGGAGCCGCCTTTGTGAACCTCGGCATCGCGCTGCCACGCCAAAGACAGGCCGCCATTCTCAGCGCCTCCAATGTGGCTGTCCTCCTAGTCGACGCCTGTAACAATGAGCGTACCAGCGAACATAACACGATCCCGAGCCTGGTCGTCGACTTTGAAGTCATTACAGCCCTCCCAGCACGAACGACTCGGCTTCCGAAAATCGCACCCACCGATGCCGCCGCCGTCATGACCTTCACATCTGGATCTACCGGCACACCCAGGGGCATCGTTCTCGAGTGGGCGACGTGTTGGGAGAGTGAGAGGAAGGTACGAAGTCCATCCGTCAGTGAAGCATAGGCCTAGCTCTATTCTAACACTCGTGAGGAGGAGCACAACATGTCCAATTAGGCTGCTACATATCGGCAAACCCGTACCTACAGTCCTGAAAGGGGAATCTGCCTTCTCATTTACGCTCAATTAAGAGAACCGCGACTATTTAGGAAAATGGTGGAAGGATGGGGCTCAGTTGTAGCGTGGGGCACGAGGAGACGTGAAACTCGGAGATTTTGGCCAAACGGCGGCTTGCGCATACCCCGGAACCCCTGCCGGGACCGCAACGGCACATCGCAATTAGCCGCGTCTACTGCAGCAATACAAACGTTGTCAGAACGTAATATCCCTAGGCTTGCGGCAAGCGGGGATGGAGTACACAGCCGATTGCTGCATAATGTCGTCGCAGTGTAGTGTCTGCAAGTGCGCACCAAGGCGGCACCTGGGGTAAACGGTTCGCCCCCAAGACGAATCATTCACACCAAGCTTAGAGCGAACGCATGCCAGCGCACGCGGACGAGAAGAAGGCCACTCGGGCGAGTAGTAGGAGTCACCAAGCAATAATTACCCCAAGTGAAAATTTCCAACTCCGACTTCCCTACGGCGTACTTAGCTGTGCACAATTCGAGCTTGTCACCGCTAACCACTTTCGAATTCGAGAGCACGGCAAAATGCCTTTGCTAGACAACTTCACTCAACTGTGCCCAGCCAAGATGCGTGATACAAACATTCGCATTTCCGACTTCCGATATGCTCACGGGCCTCAAGCCGCTAGTGCCCGTACCTGCCTTGACTGCTTGCGTTGACTACTTGATATAAAACTCTACACTCTTGTGCCTGCTGTACTTGCCCTATTCTATCGTCACTCATTTCTGCCTCTTGACCAGCCGCCATGCCTCGGCTTGCTTTTATCTCCTTGCTCTTGGCCTGCAGCACTTCGATCAATGCGGCGGTGCTCAACACACGTCAAAGTGACAGCAATGCAACCACGACCGTGACCATCTCTCAGCGAGACGTTGACCCAGCAGCCCGTAAGAAGGAGGTTGCGTACCGACACGACAACTTCCTCTACAACGTCTCTCAGATCGGCAATGCAGCCGCATTTCCCATGGGCAAGATTGGCGAAGAGCGCGTAGCGCTGGCTTGGGACCAGTGGCAGGTTGACCGCAACATCATCACGGCCGACATTCAGAAGGATATTGCGCAGATCAAGCAGGCAATTATTGCGGTAAGAACCCTTCAGTTCGAAACATCTTGCAGTCACTGACGTGTCTTGTAAGAACAACGGCACCCTCAAAACCCTAGATGACTACGCAACGGTTCTTTACAAGGACCAGTGGCTCAATGCATCGCCGTTGAAACCTGCTCTCGGTTCTTTGACTAATTACACCCTTGACTCCTTCTTCGGCGGAGAGCGCCTGGTCCGCCCTTACTCGCTGTACAAGGCGACTGACAAGGACGCAAAGCTCATCGATATCTCTGATGAGGAGGCGAAGAAGATTGCGGGTTCCACAGTCGCCGAGCTCCTCTCTGTTAATCGTCTGTTCGCCGTTGATCGTAATTCTTCCCATCTCCCAAACTATGACCCTGCTAACTTCGCGCAGACACCTACCAAGCCGATCAATCTACCTACGTCCCCTCGCAATTCAACGACAAATACGGACCTCCAGCATCCGCACTCTTCTACCTCGATGACAAAAATGATCTGCTTCCACTAGGCATCCGCACTAATGTCGGAGCGAATCTCACCTACACACCGCTCGATGAAGACAATGACTGGCTTCTTGCCAAGATCATGTTCAATGTTGCGGACCAGTTCCACAATCAGATCTACCATCTCACGGCTACACATAACGTGGGAGAAGCACTCCATGAGGCGGCTATGCGCACGCTGAGTGATAAGCATCCTGTCATGGCGGTGCTGGATCGGCTCAATTATCAGGCATATTCTTCGCGACCTGTCGGTGAAGCGCTTTGCTTCAATCCGATGGGCCACTGGGACGAGAATTTTCATATCAGTCAAATAGGCTGCCGCAACTTCGTCACCAAGCACTGGCCCACGTTCGGCGCCTTCGAGCCCAACTATCTGCAAACCGACCTTCAAGCACGCGGTCTCGTCGACGAGTCCGGAAAATCCCCCTTCAAACAGTTCCCCTTCTGGGACGACTCCTCCGAGATCGTGCGCATCCAACGCGAGTTCTTCACCTCCTTCATCGACACATACTACAAGTCTGACCACGACGTTGCCGCTGACCACGAAGTCTGCGCCTGGTTCAAGGAAGTTCGCCGTGGACCGACTGGTCCAGAGGTCGAAGGACAGGGCCTGACACCCGTTGCCTCTTTCCCTGAGAAAGCGACCAAGAAGATCCTCATTGATGTCCTCACGCACAATGCCTGGCTGCAAGTAGCGCACCACTCGCTCAACGCGGGTGACCCAGTACGCTCTTCCCTCACACTACCGTTCCACCCCGGAGGTCTGTACAAACCCGTTCCTGAAGCCAAGGGCGTCGAGTCCATCGTCCCGTTCTTGCCTAACGCCACTGCGTCGATCACGTACATTGGGTTCCTGGCGAGTTTCAACCGCCCGCGGTACCGGACTATGGACCCGCCGCGTACGCTGGCACACGCATACTCTGGAACTGAGTTCCTTGCTCGTTTCGCTGAGAAGGAGGTTCATAATGCCGCGGACAAGTACCTGGAAGCGATGAGCAATCTGGGCGCGAAGAACGACGCACGCAAGATCGAGGAGGATGGGATGTGCACTGAGCAGGGTATTCCGTTCTGTTGGACGGCGCTCAACCCGTCGTACATCCCCTGGTTCTTTTCTGTTTGAGCGTAATAAGCGTGGGCTGGTGCTGAAGCATTCTCTGGCATGCATAGCAAGGCGCTTGGAGTTTTCTAGAAGGGCATTAAAACATGGATCTCTTCTTTAGTGACTGGTATAGCTTCACAAATATAGATTACGATAGCAATATCCGAAATTCAACCACTTGACCATACTCACAAATGTAACTGCGGGTGAAATTATGTTGCAAGTTTGCGAACTCACCACAGTGTAGAAAGTGTCTTTGTTTTTGATGTTTGCAGATCAAGTGACTTGCCGTATGTTTGCTGGCTCACATAAAACGCGCAACATCTGTGCGTGCTCCAGTTGCCGTTCCCTTGAGTTGCCAATCGGAGTTGACCCATGCGAATCGACATCTTGTTCAACCCGTACACTCCAAATAGCAGACACCTGCTCCGCATTGGAGAGACAGCTAATTCAACCCAAATGAAGCTACCTTTAAGTGGAGATCACGAGATCGTGTAGGCACCGTGAAAGCAAATATTCTCGCGGCTTATTAACGCACCTCACGTTGACCTGCGTTCACGGCTCGAAGTTTCCACTTTGACCGGAAACGATTCTCCCTTTCACCATTCACCGCGCTAATTGCAAACTTTCCGACACGTATATAAACACTCTCCTGCCCTCCTGTCAGCACACTTCAGCACCCAACGCGCTTAATCTCCTGCACTCCTCAGGTTTACTCACGCACAATCACCATCGGCTACCATATTTCAATCTCGCCTTTCTTAAGCACACTCACTCGCCACTTCGCCCCTCAATACTCAACCAAGACACCCATCATCGACAAACACACCAATAAATTCGCCATGTCTTCCAACTTCTTCGCCAGCCTTGACGCCGAGGCTCCTCAGCTTCCTACTGACATCCCCGTTGAGTCCACCAAGCACTCCAAGTACTCCTCGAAGATGATGCGCAAGATGGCGCTCACAAACGAGGTCTCATTCGAGACCACCACCATCGACACTGGGAGTGGACTTTGGGAGACCACCGGTGCGAAGAATGGCACCAACAACAAGGAGTATGAGACGAACAGCAAGTCTGCGACTACGGAGGAGCCTAAGTCCGCTCCAGCTGAGCCAGCCAAGAGACCCAAGATGGAGGACGCAGCCCTGGACTATGAAGCGCAGAAGAAGACCAAGAAGGCTGCCAAGAAGCTCAGGCAGAAGATCAAGAAGGGCAAGGTCTTGCAGGACAAATCGAGCCAAGGCGACAGCGAAGCTATGAAGGGCACCGCGGCTACTGAGGCTGAGGCATCCGGTAGCACTGCCACTCCCACCACTGCCCCGACCAATATCACTGCTGGTCTCACAGTTCCGGCTGTCGCATCCGAAGTCGGCCTGGTCAACCCTGACCAAGTCCAACCCAGCTCTGCCGAAATTGAGCATATCGCCGTTGTCGATTTCGCTGTTATCCATGAGACAGATGCCAAAGGCCACGCACCAACGAAAGCTACCGCAACCACCACGATCCGGCTTGCTCCGCCAGGCAGTATCGTAGTCCCTCGCAAGAACACCTCCGCGAACAAACGCAAGAAGGAGAATGCGAAGAAGGCTCAGGAGGCCAAAAAGAAGGCGGAGCTTCGAACAGCGAGTAAACAGAAGTGGATGAAGGGTTTGGGCAGTATCTTCTTCCTGTGCATGGCGCTCTGGGTCATGTACATGTCCTTTTCCCGCGGTTGAAGACTTTGGCCAGCATCTTGCTCTCTGGGAGATGAATACGGTTATGGAACAAGGGTTATATGATTGCGGGTATGTGCAACTCGTACGTTTCAGATCAAAGTCAGGGTTTACATGAGGCACATGGCTCGTGAGAAGGTTCGTGCCATGTTCGAGGTTCTTGATACAGTAGACAGTCACGCTCTCTTATAGAGTAGGTTATTCAAGACTAGACCTCTTACACAAGAACAGGCACTTCGTTATTACAATGATTATATTCAAGATCGATATGCAATGATAGTGAATTCAAAATCCTTGCCTGTTTGCAAACACCACAGATAGGGTAGCTTTACCCCTATAGACCAAGTTATGGATCAAAGTAGTATGGTTTTAAGCTGTCTATAACAATATGGAAAATTGATACTCAGCAACCTTGGCGAACAGCTATCATATCATAGACCCTTATCATCTTTAATAGTACCTATGGTATAGAAGCCGCCCCAGTTGGAATAGCATTAGCTGTTTCCATACTATCACGGCAGAAAAGCCACATTTTCATACTATGAAAGATGCCTTTTGAAACATGAAGACCGTAAGATCGACTAGATGGGAACTAAACAAACGTCGTCAGCGAAACATCGTTAGGCCCTTTGCCCGTCGCCCAAAACGAACAGTTCCCATTCGCGCAGGATCCGCCGGTGATGATGGTTTCCTCTTTGAGGACGCGCTAACTCCTTCGCTCATCCGCCGGCACTCGTTACGGCCCCGACAAATGGGGGCGCAAAAAGTAGTTGAGCTTTTTCATTATATATTACAGATAGAATGCAATCATTATGTGGCACGGGAGCTTTGGATGCGCCTTTCTTTCCTACACCGCAACAATGAGGAATTTAGTATCTGCCGTTTTGCTCTCACAGCTAGTAGCCGCAACACCAGTCCGCCGGCTCGACTATGGTTCCGACACCTCCACCCACATGGACGACGTCATAGCCGGCTCCAGGAACTGCGCGTCTTCAGCCATTATGATCGGTCGCGAAACGTTCGCGCCGGGGAATATCGGTGTATTTTGGGGCGCACGCTTTCGCAACGAACTTCTTGATACGTTCAATGGTGACCTCGATGTCCAAGGCATTCACCGCGAAGACTATCCTGCGAACTTGGTTGATTACCATATTGGTGGGAGCGACACCGGAGCAGACTCTTGCGCAAGGACGATTGAACAGTATGCGGCTAAGTGTCCGGATTCGAAGATCTTCGTGTCGGGTTACAGGTATGTTCTATACTGGCTACCGCGTAAGGGCTTTCGAAATCACATGCTTACATCCGTTGGAACAGTCAAGGCAGTCTTGTCGCGTACAAATGCGTCAACCGAGTAAGCGATACAGCACGCAAGCAAATCAAAGCGCTCGTCGTGTTCGGCTCGGAGGAAATCCTCATGGACGACGTGCAACCCGTTCCAGAGGGTATCACCCTGAAAAACTACTGCGTAGAAAATACAACAGCCCCAGATGTGGTATGCACCACGACGCTCACCTCAGGGATTGACTTGCCCAACAGCGTAGGCGAAGTAGTGTCCCAGCTCAAGGACTCGTTCGCCTCGCTCAAGGACGTCGCAACGAATGAGGACCAGCTCAAAGAGGTTGCTTCGATACCTGGATTATTGCTTACCGAATTGCCTGCTGCGTTGCCGTGGATCGCGAAGGATATCGCGCAGGGAAAGATTCGGAGGTGGATGATTGTGAGTTAATCGTATCATTGAACAAAGTATCAAAGCTAATGCGTTACATAGCTTCCTCCGCACATGGTGTACGGACTCAATGGCATGACTACCGAAGCAGCGGCGTGGATGGCGAGTGTAGCCTCGAAATAAAGGCGCGGTGGCCATCTTTCTTTCATATCTGCATAGAATGTAACAAAGTGTAATATATACAAGAATTGGACCTCGTTATCCATGGGTCATTCAAGCGAACACGTCCTTGTTGAAGGTGATGGCACCCTTCCAGGTAAGTCCGTTGTCTGACGTTGTGAATCCCTTCGACGACGCCCCATCCATGCTCAGGGTGGCACCAAAATTCTTGTCTGCCGTGGCGAGGGTGATAACGACGTTCTCCCAGGCTGTTCATGGGTCAGTCTACAATCGCGGCGCACACGGTTGCAAGAAGAGATGGAGACATACTGTATGAAGCAAGAGTTCCGCACTTGCCAGTGAAGCACTCGTCTGCGGCGATGAAGTAGGTGGGGTTTTTGCCGATGTTCTTGTTTGTGATGGAAGAGATGACGTTGCCGTCGATGGACACGTTCTGCGACACAGTTCCAGACGAGACAGTGTTGATTTCGAAATCCACTTGCTGATTGTTGGCAACCGCAACATACGGCTCGTCCGTTTGGCCGTCTGGCAACAAGGTCGACGCTGCTACGCACCACGCGTTATTCGCAGCCGGACACCCTTGAGCCGCATTATCTGGAGCCCAGTTGAAGATGGGCTGCATGAGCGGGACGCTGTTGTCGCTCTGCGAGGCTGAAATACCAATCCAGATGCTGGCCCAGCAGTCGCTTTGGGAGAAGTCTGTGGGCACGGGAGGCGCGGTGACAGAGTAGGTGACCTTCTTGATGTAGTTTGAACCGCTGGTTGGTCCCATATATACGACATCACCAAAATGCCACTCCTGGTCTGCGGCCGCGCCGAGAGTCAGTGCCAAAGCCGGGATAATCGAAGTGAAGCGCATGGTCGATCTGTCTACAAATATTGCGAAGATGAAAAGGATAGACTTGAAAGCGAATGGAAACGAATGACGGAAGAGTATATAACGAAAGCGATGGCAAGCAATCAGCGCGCCCAATACCTTTATATAACTTGGCGCGAACTACTACTACTATTCTACGCCGTGCCAACGGCCAATTCTGAGAGTCATGAAATCTAACGAAAGTGGTGCGCATGTTTTCGCGCATGAAACAATTGAAACAACCGCGGGCCCGCAGTGGAGGAGGACGGGTTCCCACCAATGGCCGAGCGCCCGTAGTATCCGTGTATAGCGCACACGTCGGATGTGGTCCTTTGGAACTTTCATCTAATAGGGCAATAGACGGAATGTTTATTCCCGTTCTTGCGATGTTGGTGATTATGCGCGCTAATCTGCGTTGCTGTACGAAGGAGCGCGTATTCAACGAGTCACCATTGGCTACCTTAAGACTGGCGAGGGTGGTGACTTACTAAATACGAACTCCTTCATAGTTGAGTAAGGCCTGGTTCGCGCGAAGGCGGATAACGGCTGGACACAAGCTGACATCTGGCTCTATATTGGGTGTCGAACGATGGATCAGAAGTTGAGCAAGACTTAGTCGACCGCATGCACGGCAGAGAATCCATCTGAGCATACATCACATGGACAAGTTTCCGGATATGGAAGGGTAACATGTATTTCAATGATAAATGTACAAGAAGTGCACGTGAAGAAAAAAGGCAAAGTGTATCTACAAGAACAGAATGTTTGCCTAGTCCGCCCTAGACCTGCTTAGTTAGACCCGGTCTCAGCCTTGAGCCACGCAACGAACTCCTGAATGGTGAACTCGTCGGGAAGAGCAGCGTCGGATGAGGCGGCAGACGAGGCGCTGGGAGCCGCTGACGTTGGCGACGCAGCTACAGTTGCGAGGGTAGTAGGAGCAGCTGCGGTGGAAGCGGCGGCAGACGAAGGAGCTGAAGTCTGAACATCTGCGACTACAGTGGAAGAGGCAGCGACAGCGGAAGAACTGGCAGCGGCGCTAGACACAGGAGCCGCGCTGGATACAGGAGCAGCACTGGAAGCAGGGGCAGCGCTCGAGACGGGAGCAGCACTGGAAACAGGCGCAGCGCTGGAAGCAGGAGCAGCACTGGACACAGGGGCGGCGCTTGAGGCGGGAGTAGCGCTTGAAGCAGGTGCCGAAGAGCTATCGTCGCTCGATCCTCCAGCGCTTGCGATCGAGGTGGTCAGCTCTCCACTCTCAACGTAAACACCGCTGAAGAACCAGTCCTCGGCACCATCAGCATCGTTGCTACCAGGAAGACGAAGAACACCAAGATGCCAGTCAGCACCGTTAGACGAGGTGCTCGCATCGAACGGACCAGCGGTCTTGGTGAGCGCATCGCTGCCAGTCGAGTGGTAGAACGACACCGAGCCAGCATCGAAGTCGATCTCGTAGGCAACGTTGTGCCATTCGTCTGCGACGAGCTCAACATCCCACTTAGACACGCCGCCGACGTGCCACTGTAGATTGGTGCTGCTGCCCCCATTCGCGCCGTATTTCAATTCCGTGAAGTGGCTCTCGAAGAAAGCGATTTGGTGCTCGTTGGTGGCAGTTGGGGCGTTCTCGGCAGCAGTCTTGATAGAGAAGTGGTAGTAGACCTTGCCCTTGTTAATAGCGGCGCTGGTCTGAGGTATTAATTCCGTCCTCAGCATGGTCTGCCCGTTCCACTTGGCCGTCTCATCGATGGTGATCTTGACACCCTGCTTTGAACCCGTATCGGCGGGGTTCTTAAAGGTGCTGTCGAGGTTGACGTAGTCGGTCACGTCGCCGGAGCCGTGGATGTAGTACTGGTAAGGACCGACCGGGTTGGAAAAAGACCACTTCTCGAGATCAGCGCTCGATGTCAGGTCGTTGAAGCGTCCATCCCAGAGAATCTCTGTACCAAGGTCAGCATTGGTGATATTGCACGTTTCAGTCAACATACCTGCGGATACGGCGCTGACCAGCGCGTTGAAGAAGGCGGCTTTGGCGAACATTGTGAAAGGAATGACAGGAACCAGCTGTAAAGAATGTGATGGTAAGAAAGAACGACGCACGAACGAAAGTCTTTGGTAAGTGGGATGGAGGAAAGACGATGATATCGCGGCGGTGCCTGGGTACATACAGTATTCCCCTCCATTTCGTTACCTACGGGACATCCTTGCAGGACCAATAACCCGGGAACGAAACAGCAATGCAATTGTTTCAGGGTAATAGCGCAAGCCCAGATCGAGTGACGCTCATGCTGCAGCCACTGCTGGGCGTTTCGAGACGTTCGCGTGCGCCCGTTCCGTTCTGACAGGGATGACAGCCGTTTGGAATTGACAGCAGCTAAACCGGATGCTGTGAACGTCAGACCCATAAATTGCTTGTTACGGTCTGGTGCGCCGCACTTAGCGCCATGGACTGCCCCTGCTCATATAACGGAAGATCTAGGACCGAGGCCGAAATGAAATGGAGTCTGACGGATTGAACCCAACATCATGCACTTCGAGGATTGCACAATGGTTTTCTATTCATGATTAGTTAGTGCCATGATCATATCTAGAATGACTGAGCCAGACGGCGCGAAAACCTCTCTCATGCCTCCAGCTGCGACTTTGCATCCTTCGCACTCTTTACAATGCGATCTGCCTCAGCCTGAGTATACACACCATCCGCCACAAATGCCTTAACAACATTTTGAACTGTTCCTACAAAAGCACTGTGGGTCTTGAACGGTGCAGAATCCCAGACGATGTCCAGGAAAGTTGGCCCATCATTTCCAGGCGATGTGATGTTCGCGACAGGAACATCATACCGCGGCAAACCATCATTGCGTTTGCGGTTGGCGATCTTGGTGTCGACAGACCCAAATACAACGCTGGGCTCTACACGGCGAAAATACGCAGACGCGGCTTGGGTGTCGCCAATGTAGTACGGGCGCGCCGTCAAGTTGCCATTGCTACCGGCGAAGCTAAAGATAGAATCGCCAGCCGGTGAAGTCTTCACGGCAGCTGCCCGCGCGTAGTCGCCATCGAGCTTGAGATGCCGGTACAGCGAGAGCTGATGGTATGTTTGACCGCCCGCGGGTGTGCCTATCGTCTGAAGGAGAACGGGACCCCATAGCAGGGCCTGGGTGTCTGGGCGGTCGAGCGCGCGTTCGATGCGTAGCGTGAAGGGCATGGTGACCTCGACGACGTCACCCGCAGCCCATGTGCGGCTGATGGTGAGATATGAACCTGGTGTGGCGGTGGCATCCGAGACCGCATTGTTGACTTTGACTTGGAAGCCCTTACGGATCCAGGCTGGTACGCGCAGATTGATGTCCAATGGCCCATCGCCAGAGACGGTAAACTTGACGGTGTCGCTGCGCGGGAACCTTGTCTCTTGCTTGACTACAAACCCTTTATCTGCCCACGTCAAGGTGGAGGGAACATAAAGATTGACCCAGAGCGTGGACCCATCGGCCGAGCGTAGGTACACAGTTTCCTGGTACTTTGTGTGGCTTTCCATACCGGTGCCTCCGCAGCAAGTGCCTGTGTTTTCATACTCGCGGCTTGAACCTGGGGTCAGCGGTTGGAAGTAGGTAAGCATTGGACTCTCGGTACTGCTTTCGTCTGCACGTGAGCCGGCGATCATGTTGAACAAGCCGCGCTCGTAGTTGTCCATATACGTGGCGTTGTGCTCGTGCAGGAACAAGTAGCGAGCCAATTTGAGCAAGTTGTATGTAGTACACGTCTCGGCGCCGTTGTCAGCAATGGCGTTGACAATGTTGTCTCTGTTCTGGAACAGTTCGGGGTTGTCGTTGGAGCCTGGATAGTTGCCTCCCGTACCGCCATGGGCAAAGTGGCGGTGCGGGTGCACCCAGCCGTAGAAGTTCTTTGCGGCGTCAAAGTACTCTTGCCCGCCGCCGTGCTCGAAGACGCTCATATAGCCAATGAATTGAGGGACGTGCGTGTTGGCGTGCAATCGTTGGGCACGGCGTCGTCCGGGAATCTTGTCAGCCGGGACTACAAGTATGTCGTTGTCTTGGACGGCTGCACCAAACAGGGATTCTCGGTTATCAAACGCTTTGGCAGTGTACAAGTGCCGCTCGTCGCCAGTCAGCTGATATATCTCTGGGAACACCTCGTTGGCGCCACCAAATTCGCCAGCAATGTACAGATCCCACATGTAGTTGAGGTCCGACCTAGTCAGATTGCCAGTATAACCGGGCTGTCTCTTATCTCCGATGGTGAGTGCTAGATACGCCCAGTTGGCCATCTTCACCACCACGTCGAGTGCCTGTGTGTTATTGGTGTTGTAGTATGCATCTAATAGACCTCGTATAATCTTGTGCTGTGTATACCTAGAGGAGTGGTACGAAGTCAGCAACAAGTCCCCGACATGACAATAGGTACGTCTTGTACGTCCACAACTTACCACGATGCCCAAGTGTTCTTCGAGAGGTCGCTTCCGTAGATAGCCCAGCGTGGAGGACCGAGCCGCAGCACTGTATCTTCAGGTAAAGCTCCAACATAACCAGGGTGCGTTGGAATCCAATCGGGAGCACTGGCGGTTGTATTTGTTTGTTCGGTGTTGTTGCTCTGGTGCATACGTGCAGTGATGGCATCCTGACACGCGGCTATTTCCTTCACCATCCAGTCTAACTTTGTCTTGAAAACCTCTTCCCCTTGATCGGCATAGGCTTGGGAGAGCGCTGTCAAGTAGTGGCCAGTCCAGTGTCCGCTGAGCAACCCACCGTCTTCCCATCCGCCAGGAACCTCAATGCCATCGGGATTTGGTCGGCCGGCTTGATTGTTGAACAGAATCAGGAAGCGGCGCTCATCGTATGCTTGCACGAATTCCTTGATTCTATCACGTTTCTCCTGGAGCAAGCCAGCGCCGAGCTGTACCTGGTCGAGACGAAAGGGGCGAACAGGCGCAGTGCTTCCTGGGCCATGATCTCCGGCAACATCGGCCGAGGCTGAAGCTGCTATCGCAAGGACAGAGATACCCAGGGTCGTAAGCGCCCGCCGCGGGGTGAATAGATTATTTATCCGGGCCATTGCAGAGCTGGTGCGGTGCGAAACTCCCGCCTGGAGGACGATATCTCTTTATACGGCCGCATTGTACTCCTCCCCGCGTACCCCTCCTATAGGTTCGATACTGTGAGTTGGAGATCCGCAAAGTAGTAATCAAAGGTCGCACTCATGGGGAAGGAGACGATATCGTCGTGGCTATCCACGGCAAAGAGCCTCGACGACGGTGCGGTCTTTCTGCATCCCACCAATGGGCACGGCTACGAGCACGAAGGTCGTATCAGACGACTTATCGAGGGAGTGATCAACTTGCCGAGCAGCGATAGCTTACTCATTAGCACGGTTGCCGATTGCAACGTTGAAGGGGTGCGGGGTGCGACTGCCCAGGTGCGGAGAGGTGGCATGATGGATGCACGCGATTGCAGCTGCACCGTGCGTACGCCTTATCGGGTGCGAACAGGTGGGATGAGTAGGTGATTGTGAACGGCGTCACTCGGCCATTCTTGCGTTGGTCCTGGGTAGATGTTATCGATAAAGGCATCGCCGCGACTGCTCGACTTTTCGACTTCTCGATGCGCGTTTCGAGTAAAGCTCCGCCGGGTGCTAACCTTAGCGTAACGCACGCAAACCTTCCCCGTTCGCTGCGACCCGGCTAGCTTGCCTGTGGATTGCTGCTTCAGTGTTTCCGACATGTGCCCGCTCTCCACACTTGCTCATTTGCAGGGTCGAGGCGTCGCCATATCCGCATGTCGCGGCTCTTGACCTGCCATTTCCAGCCGATGACGCCCCGCTCCGCTTTGTTCGCTTCTTCGGCTGCGTCTCGTCACCGCTCTTGCTTGCCCGCATCTCAGCACCTTACCTTTCTTCTCGTCGCCTCTGGCTTCACTCGTTTTGCGTGCTGCTTGGGGTTTGCATTCCGACCATGGAATGTCCTGCGCATCGCACTCGTCCCTCGTTTCTGTTGCGCAACACGCAAGCATTGATTGGATGACCCATTCCTAACATGGATCTCAGTAGTGACACCAAAATCCCCTTGACGGCCAAGACGGTGCGCGCCATCGCTCGTGCGAGTTGCGCAGAAGCCTTTGAAAAGCTCGCGGGCGCTGTACCCGACTCCAGGTGGCTCGACTTCGACGTCAACGACGCTCGCAGCATTGGCGCCGACCGCGCCGTATACCGCTCTCTTTCGCGCTCCAAACACCACCGCCTGCTGGTCGTGGGTTGGTATGCGCCGGGCTATGACGACGAGGGTCCAAAAGATCGGGTCGCCGCTCACGTCCACACCGACCCCGCCGAAGTTAGGTTCTATCGCATAAAAGAAACCAACGACGGGTCGCGTTCACTCGAAGACGTCAATTCCACGAGCGCCGTAGAATTTGATTCCCCTTTCTGCGATGTCGGCGACGGCCAAGGAGATCATAGGGCGGGCCACAGAGTGACTGCACTCATTGAATGGTTCTTCCTCGATGCTGGGCTTGTGCTAGAGCTCACGCGACCGGACGGCGATCCTGGCAAGTTCACCAGAAACTTTCGACACGCGTGCATGTGGGTGGGAAACGACGGCAGCCCGCCGGGAGAACTCTACACACGGCGTTCGTCGGGTGCGAACATCAAGGAGGAAGAGAAGGAAACAATACCAGTGAGACCCAAAAGGTCGTTGACCACATGTAAGTATACCTAAAGGCTGCGTTTTGCATCGTATAGGTACTGAACCCTCCAGCTGCCAGCTTTCGGAGCCCAGCCGCCGAAGAACTCCGTTTACCGCTCATGAAGCGCTCCGCAACCGACACTTCCCCAGTCAAACGCCAACGCGTAGAGAATCCCTTCGTACGTCCGACCAAACATCGTCGCACTATGAGCGAACAGGTCACGCCATTGACTATGCCCCACCACCTCATCAAGTCTGGCTCAAATCCTCCCAGTCCTAGGACACCCACCCTCAACGATGCGGAGCGCATCAATCGAGCGCTTGGCGCCCGCATCATTCATCTCCACGAGCAGTATCGCACTCTCAAGTCGCTATTCGAGGGGACCGACAGTAAGCAGATGGAGCTTAAAAAGGAACTGCAGAACACCAGAGCAAGAGTTGCGCATGCCGAGTCTCGCTCCGAGGATCTGGACCGTGAAGTGACAGGTCTGAAGGCGCGGCTCCAACAGGCAGAAGAAGAGTCTACGAAACTGCGCGCCGAGATACTGGCCAGCAGCATTGGGCCCAGCAATGGCGCCAGTAACGGAGTGGATAGGAGAACAAGCAGGAAGAGATGACCATGCACTGTGGATGCTGCATGGACGGAGTTGGATTGTAATTCCCGCATTGAGCAAGGCGTTAGCGTGCGCTTCATGGCTGCATGTGATACCACCTACCATGCCTGGACTTTTCAGAGTCCATGAATCCCATTTTTCATCATTTCACAATCTGTGCACCCGCTTGTGCAAGGGTAATCAACCCATGTCAACCAGGTTACATCCCAGCATGTCTCATTCGTCTCGCGCCGGTTGGGCTTGAAGGCGCCCGGTCCGCGGTGCAGCTGCGTCACTCCCGAAGATAAGGCGCGCTTAAGAACATCAAAATCTGCACCTTCTCCCACCCATCTCTCTCCGCGCACGCGACATGCTTCCCTGCTAACACTCCTGACGCTGGAGCGTCGAGCCAGGACGGTTTCGTGTTATTCCCGCACCTGGCGGCGCTCGCAATCGCTATCCTGATCCCGCAATGTCGGCCACGAGAATGCGCAGCCGCAGCAATGCGCACGGCCACGAGGAAGTAATCCCAGGCACGCGACGCCTGTACGACGACCACGGCAATTCCCTGACCAGCGACTCGTCGCTACAGAAGACCGCCGCCGGCATCGTACTTGTTCCGCAACCCACGGACTCGCCCAACGATCCCCTCCGCTGGGGATTGTGGCGCAAGATATGGCATTCGCTTCTCGTCCTGTACATGGTTGGCTTGACGGCCGCCACGTCCAACAATGCTGGCTCTGGGTCCGACGGCGTCAACGAAGAGTATGGAATCAGCTACGATGTTTTCAACACAGGCGCCGGTGTCTTGTTCATCGGAATTGGGTACTGGGCGCTGCTGAGCTCGCCGCTTGTGCACTTGTACGGGCGCAGGCTGGGCTATCTTATCTCGCTTATCTTCAACATCGGCGGCCTCATCTGGTATGCGCGCATCGACAACAGCGGCGGCGTTGTGTGGAGCCAGCTGTTTGTCGGTGCTGCTGAATCTGTCGCCGAAGCTACCGCACAATTGTCTCTGTTGGATCTTTGGTTCGAGCATCAGGTTGGCAGTGTACTCGGTATATACACCTTTGCCACCGCCATTGGCACGTATTTGGGGTATGTTCTTCGTCTCGGCCACCAATCGCGGGATCGACCAACTAAGTACATCACAGTCCTCTCATTGGTGCCTATGTAGCCTCGGGACTTGGCTGGCGCTGGATCGGCTATGTCGGAGCTATCATCTGCGGTGGCAGCCTCATCGTCTTTTACCTTGGTCTGGAAGAGACGGAATTCTCACGCGACCGCTATATTGCTGGCCGCGGTCAAATCGTGACTGAAGCGGAGCAGCCAGTCGAGAAGGGACATGGGGAGGTTGATGCAGAAAAGTCACTGTCGATTCCAGTTGCGACATCTGCACGTCGCACGTCCATCTCACACAAGAAGACGTATCTGGAGCGCATCCGCATCATTACCCCAGCACCAAACCTCCGCGGGACAGGTTTCCAGCAGTACCTCAATCGACTATGGCACACGCTGCGAGTCTTCACTTTCCCTGCCGTGTGGTATGCAGGTCTGCAGTGGGGATTTCAGCAGTCCTGCCTCACATTCTATTTGACGGTTCAGGAGGACTGGTGGTATGGTCCTCCCTGGAATTACGGCTCTGCCGCCGTCGGCAACATGAATCTCCCAACGCTGATCGGCAGTCTGATCGGCTGCGCCTACGGCGGCTATGGCAGCGACGCCTTTATGCAGTGGATGATCAAGCGCAACAAAGGAGTCATGGAAGCTGAGTATCGCCTGTACCTCATGGCTCTCTGCACGCTGATCTTCCCTACCGGCATGTGGCTGTTCGGCATCGGTTCGGCCCGTGGGTGGAGCTGGCCGGTTCCATATGTCGGACTGGGATTTATCGGGTTTGGGTATGGCTGTGCGGGAGACTTGAGTTTGTCGTACCTGGCAGACTCCTTCCCCGACATGGTTCTCGAAGGCATGGTAGGCGTCGCCGTCATCAACAATACGCTTGCCATGGTTTTTACCTTCATCGCGAGCCCCTGGATCGATTCCGGTATGGAGAACTGTTTCATCGTGCTGGGCGTGCTTGGGTTCATCGTGATGGGTCTGAGTCTCCCTATGGCAATCTGGGGAAAGCGCACGAGGAAGTGGTCGCGCGATCGCTATATGACGTTTGTAGAAATTCGCGATGGTTTCTCCAGGTGACGCGGCACCTGTGCGTTACCCTCTGAGTACATTCGCGATAGATGTTCTAGCCGTCGCTCGTGGTACCGTCAAGCTTACATGTTGTCTCTCGCACCACGAACCAATGGCCACAAGACAGCTAGTGCAAATATCTATCACGAATTGTTAATCATATTCACAGATGTTGTATATTATGAATCCTCGATCACTCCTGCACTATACTTGATTCACTTTTAATCGCCAAGTTTTTGGGTGCCATGCCCTTGTCTGACGTACTCGATCTCACAAATGACGTCCGTCGTATATCATTACAACTTTTGATTTTCTAATGTAAATTGAATCAGACACCCAATGCCTTCGCAATGGCTTCACCAACGCCGGTCGCACTCGCGGGGTTCTGACCAGTAATCAGACGCCCGGACACGACAACCTTCTCGCCCCAAGGCTCTGCCGCCTTGACAAACTTGCCTCCCGAAGCCTTCTGCAGCGCATCCTCAGGAAGGAAAGGCACGGCCTTTGTCAGGCCAACCTGCTCCTCCTCGGTGTTGGTGAAGGCAGTCACCTCCTTGCCGGCAACGAGCAAGCTCCCATCCGAGAGCTTAGCGTCGTAGAAGACGGCTGGCCCGTGGCATACGGCAGATACAACCTTGCCGGCCTCCCAGAATTCGCGGATGAGCTGCTGCGAAGTAGGGTTGTCGACGAGATCGAACATCGGGCCATGACCGCCGACGTAAAAGATGGCATCGAAATCGCCGGCCTTGCCCACGAAGCTTTCAAGCTTTTGTGTGTTTTTCCACACAGCTTCATTGTTCTTGTGGAAGTTCACGGAAACGTCATCCTTGGCCGCTTCGACGGAGGCGGGGTCCAGCGGTGCTTCACCGCCTTTGGGCGATGCGACTGTGATCTCAGCCTTCTTAGAGAGGACGTGGTACGGATGGGCGAGCTCTATTGGATGTTAGCATGTGAAAACTTTCGCATCGGCGAACCTTGAGCGGAGAAATTGAACCTACCAGGAAGATACCAGCCAGTCGGCTTGTCGAGGCTGCCCAGCTTGTTGTGAGAGGTGAGCACGAAGAGGATCTTGGGTGCCATTGTGAATATGATTCGAATGTGAGGAGGATCAATTGCAGAAGAGGGGTATTTGGAGGGGCAGTCGAGCTATTTCATCAGAGTACCGAGTACCATGTCATCGCCTCGGTAGCACTGAATGACCTCATAACGTCTGATCGACACTATCAAAACGGCGTCTTTTCGGTACCATGGCCCTGGTACGCATGCAGGAAGCCGCAATTGACCGAGGCAGTTTCAGATGCGGCTCAAAAATGGTGGTCTTTCTCAATCGAGTAACCGACGATGAAAGCACTTCCGGGCAGGCATTTAGCGTGCTGCTGCGCACATGGCGGGTAAGATCGCCAGCTCCTCCGCCGCTTTCTTGGCACGGCGCCAAGGCGGCAACAGGCTGAAGGATTCCCCCGTCAGCAGCTAGAAGAAACGGCTATTTCATCCCGAACTTGTCCATCATCCATCGCATGATTCCAAGTCCACGACAATGCGAAAGTCGATCGACACCGCAGATGCCAACTGATAGTGGAAAATTATCGGTCATAGCCTTCCCACGCAGCACGCACGCGACAATGTGTTTAGCATTCCGGAGTCTCGAACAGCTCGCAAAACTTTAGAACGTGGCTCTCGTACGGAAGTGATGATCGACCCCTGACGCCCTTGCTTTGACACATGGCATCACGGTTTTCTACCTATCTGTCCCAAGATTCGTCAGCGATTCTGCCTGTTGCTTCCGCATTCATCTTGACCGAGATTTGAAAAGCCATCCATCGTGGCGCAAGAGAAAGGTAGCTGAACTGAACCAGCATGCTTCGCCTCGGGCAACCCCACGGGCCTACCAGCATTGATCGCGCGACGGCCGTGATGCAGCCACATCTGCAAGGCTGGGGCCTAGAAGTAGCATGGGCAAACGGCAATTGGAACCGGACCCGCTAGGGCATTCATCCTCAGCCCGCAACAGGTTCAGCTCATGCATGCTCAGACGCGATGTTGGCAGATGCACGACGATGGATCTGGGGGCTGAGCCTTAGGCATGTTCATAGCTATTCCTCACGTCTATGGTTGTTCTTCACTCCACATTCTCGCGGTCTGCTCGAAGCGCAAGCAGATTCGACACCACCGATATGGAGCGCCAGACATATTCCGGGGTCGATGACATTGAGCGGGGTGCAAGCAGAGATCAACCCAGGAGCCCAATCAGCAGTCTAGGAGAAGAAAGACCCAAAATCACCTACCAATACGTGGAAGAAGAAAAGGAAGATCATGACCACGGCATCGACTGGCAGCCGGGATGGCGCAACCAGTGGCCTTGGGTAGGCTTCTCAGGCTTCATGACGATAATTATTGCGACAGCAATGGCTGTTGCCATTCTCGGCATCTCCAACCACAAGCGAGTCAAGGATTGGCCGTTCGAGAAGTATCCCGTTCAGCCTAACGTGCTGCTCAACATCGCGAACCAAATCCAAAATCTGGGGCTTATTACAATGGTTGCCCAAGGTCTGGCAATCGCCTGGTGGAGGAAAGCACTCAGGGGGAGTTCACTCCAAACTCTGCACCAGAACCACGCCTATTCATATAGCTTTTACGCAATTATTACCAGTGGGCGGAAGTTCAATGTCGTTGCGCTTGCTGCCCTTATGACCAAGTTTGCTGTCGTCGATTCGACTTTGTTTCAAAAAGCGACCAAGACAGTCATCACGCAGCAGACCGCGTACATGAACAGCTCAGTGACCGCTTGGATAGCCACCGAATGGCCTCAGAACAGTGGCGGCATACCAAGTAAGAACGACACCGCCAACCCCATCAAGACAGTGGACGCCGCTTGGGCAAGCGTCATCGATGCATACTCGGGTAAGATTGCGAACGGCAAAGTGCACGACCTGCTTGGTGCAAACGCGTCCTTCTTTGACTGTCCTTATCGACAGGAGTGCTCGGGTTTCGTCAAGGGAATCGGATTTGCATTCAAATGCAACACAACCACGGAGGACATTGACTACGGCCTGCAGCACCTGAGTCAGCAAGGTGGCGTTGAGTCGTCTTACCCGTTGTGGGATCTATCTTTCAACACGAGTTGGGCGACGACAGAGAAACCTTATGCCAGTGTGCAACTCAACATGTTGTATGCTGACACCCATCGCGGCGAACAAGCAGGGTCCTGTCCCGGGTTTGTGACTCGTCGCTCGTGCGAGATCCGCCCGGCGATGGTGGAGTACCCACTCACGGTCATGATTCCAAGCGAGGAAGAATTGGAAGGGAAGAATATTGTTACACATATCAAGTTCTACAACCAGACGGGTAACGCTGATTTCGGGACTGAGTTAGACAGCGAACAAATCGATCAGCTCAAAGTCCTCGAATACCGCGACCTCGAAGAACGGCTTGGCGAGGTCTCCACCGTTGGCGCTCTGACTTACGTACTCAATAATCTCTACAGCTCCAATGCCAGGCTAGTCTTCGGCGAAGAATGGGACATCAAAGTGGAGGGCTCCCAAGCGCAGAGCATCTTCTTCGCGGACTCCGACTCCGACGACGCAAATCGCTGCTACTACGACATCGACAAAGACGGTCGTGACGACCCGGCGATCGCGCTCCTCCGCAAGGTCAACACACTCAGCTTTGTCGCGGGTCTCTACCTCAACGGCGCGCCTACGACAGACGTGTCGAAGCGCAAAGCCGCGAACATGCCCAGCCAAACGGTGCTCTCCTCCGTCACCGGCATCGTCGAAGAGTACGACACAAACTTCAGCTACGTCGCTGGCGCCCTCGTCGCCACCTTAGCCACCGTTCTCCTCGTACTTCCCGTGTATTGGGGATTCTGGCAGCTAGGTCGCAAAGTCACGCTCGGTCCGCTGGAGATCACCCAAGCATTTGGCGCGCCCATCATCGCGCCTGACCGCTATAAAAACTCGCACGGCGACTTCGACCATATACTCAAGGAGGTTGGCGACCGCCGCGTGCAGTATGGGCAGCTGAGGGGCGCGCCACCGGGCCAAATGGGTATTGCGGAGCCGCATAACGTGCAGTATCCTGATACGGTGGTTCGGGTGGGAAGTTCGCATACAAGGGAGAGGGCGTTCGGCGTTGGGATTGGAGCTGTGTTGGGAGGGATTACGGCGGGGTTGGTTGGTGGAAATGCGAAGAGTTAGGGTTGAATTAGAAATGGCTTTCTATGTATATATTTGGTCTGTCAATGTTAACGTCTATTCCGACTTTGAACCCCCTTGCGCCGCGATGGCATCTCTTTCGCGCACTCAGCGTGAAGGCTCACGATTGTCTATCATGGGTATGTCATTGTGGACGAAGGTGTTGATCGCCACTGTGATTTCGATTTCAGCGCATTCTGCGACATAACTTTCCTGTACACATCTGGCGAAGATTCGTTCTTGTTTGTACATAAAGAGCAAGGCGTTATCCCAATCTTAGTATCTTCATTACAAAACCGCCCTTGGGTGAAGTCTTGTCATATCACCCGTACGCTTCGGTACATCTGCATGTAAATAGCGCTCTGTGTCACTGTCTCTTAAACTATGAATGATCCCTCCCCAATCTTCCTATTATCCCCTTCCTCAGCTTCCCATTAGTAGTCTCCGGTCGCTCCATAACGCCAACATTTCCGAGCTACCGCATATAAATCGGCGTCTTAAACCGACTCATCTGTGTACTCACTCATCCCTTGATTTTTTCAACAGACGAAAGCTGATCAAAGAACAAGATGGCCATACTCCATGGCACGGAAGGCTACGTAAGACCCAAAAACATGAAAGCTGCGACCTCTTGATTAGGATACCGGCAAGAGTGATACCTGGTGGCTTATTGAACGCAGGTTTGAACGTTTTTACCACAGTTTGTTGTTCTCATCAAGTCGACGTCCCGTACAAGACATTGACAGAAAATATGACAGCGTTATTGCAATTTATCCCCACTCATCTGCGTATCACCGGACGTGAACGAGGGCGACCGACCTATATGGTATCTTAGAGCGAATGTTGGATTGTGGGGTACCGGTAAGAACGCGATCGTCTCGATCGCATGCCTCGGGTCTGACCGATTGCCTTATCAGCATAAGCGCAAGGTATGCACTACCCCTCACTGCGGACATCCCCAACACCGAGGAACTCCTGTGTGTCTTAACTTCATTGAAGCTCTGGTCTGTCGTATCAGGCTCCAGATAACATTGGCTCTAGCACCTTACCAGTCTTTGAGCGACCTTATAGATCATCATCCACAATCCTCCGTAGGCAGCCGGTAACTGTGCCCATTTGATTGTATCATCGATATGGCGCCAGCTCGTGTTATGGAGATATCTGGGTCTGTGGAACAAGGCTACATAGCCCCATCGGATGCAGCTCATGAAAACGAATGGTACAACCAAGACTTCGACGGTTATCGCGTTACCGAGGAGCCATTACACGCTAAGCGCCACCTGCGCATTGTATGCGTTGGCGCTGGAGCATCCGGTCTGCAGATCGCCTACAAAGCTGAGCGTGCACTCTCCGACATCGATTTGCAGATCTACGAAAAGAACTCTGATGTTGGCGGTACCTGGCTGGAGAACAGATATCCAGGGTGCACTTGCGATATTCCTTCGCATTCTTACCAGTTTACATGGGCACGAAACCCTAATTGGAGCCAATACTACTCAAGCAGTGAAGAGATATGGCAGTATTTCAAGGATGTTGCAGTCAAGTATGATTTGGAGAAGTATGTACAGCTGAATACGACGGTGGAAAGCGCCGAATGGAACGAACAAGAAGGGCAATGGAAAGTTACAGTTCTTGGGCCAAATGGAAAGCAAACGGAAGACTGGTGTGATGTCCTCATATCCGGTGAGTTACTCTCATATACCTGTCACTTTCGTACTGACCTTGAAGGCTCTGGCGTGTTGAACTCGTGGAAGTATCCAGACATCCCAGGTCTGGACTTATTTAAAGGTAAACTGATGCACTCGGCAAAGTGGGATAGTGATTACGACCTGAGTGGCAAGCGCGTTGCCGTCATCGGTGGAGGTTCCTCCGCCGTTCAGATCGTTCCCAACATCCAGCCTACTGTCGGCAAGCTATATGCCTTCTTGAGATCTCCAGTTTGGGTGACCACTGGGTTTGGTGCGAAACATGCCGGCCCCGGTGGCACAAATTTCGAATATTCGCAGCATCAGATCCAGAAATGGAAAGACGACCCGGAAAGCTATCAGAAATATGCACGCGATGTTGAGGGTGAGCTCAACAAACGGTTCAATCTCATGCACATGCATTCGAATGATCAAAAGAACTCACGCGAGCTCATAGCCAGCATCATGGATGAGAGAATCGGAAACGAGAGAATCTCGAAGAGGCTGGTTCCCAATTTTGCTCTGGGTTGCAGAAGAATGACACCTGGGCAAGGATACCTCGAGTCCCTGAGGAAAGACAACGTGGAAGTGATTCATGAGTCCGCAGTGCGACTTACCGAGACTGGCATCGTGGACGAGAGTGGTGTAGAGCATGAGGTGGATGTGGTAATTTGCGCAACGGGATTCGACACCTCGTTCACACCACATTTCAAGATGACCGGTCGCAACAATGCAGATATCAAGGAGCAGTTTGGAGACTTTCCAGTAGGCTACCTCGGAATCACAGTCCATAACTTCCCTAATTTCTTCCGTAAGTTAGTTGCTGCCGACAAAATATCTGTGAAGTGCTGACAGACACAGTTTTCATCGGGCCCAATGGACCCGCAAGCCACTCTTCCATTCTCCCCATACTTGAATGGTACACGCGCTACGCTTTCAACATGATTGCGAAGTTCCAGACGGAGAATCTCAAATCGTTCGAGGTCAAAGCTGCCGCCGTCAAAGACCTGTACAACCACACTCACGAGATTATGAAGCGACTTGTTTGGTCGTCAGCATGTCGATCGTGGTTCAAGAATGGGAAGACGCATGGTCCTGTGACAGCCATCTACCCGGGAAGTCGTTTACACTTCTTCGAGCTGCTGAAGGAGGTGCGATGGGAAGATTACGACCTGGAGTATCGCACAGGCAATCGGTTCCAATTCTTAGGGAATGGCTACACCTTTACGGAAATGAGTCCAGATGGGGATCCTGTCTGGTATTTTGATGATGATTTTACGAAAATATAGACATAGGAACAAAGACAAAGTGGTGGAGCTAGCGATTAACTAACTGTCAACGCTTGATGCTGAATTTTGGTAATTTCTAGTCACTAGTCACAGTAGCCAACATAATAGACTGACCTTCGTTGGGGCTAGATTCTTAGGTCCCTCCCTGTGTTAAGAAGCTAGGTGCTGGCTACAAAGCTTAGTAGCTATTAGTATAGCCTAGGGTGACTCGCTATATAATGCGTGTTCGAAGTTATCACCTAATAATGTACGAACGTATCTCATGTTGGCGCAAGAGCCGCCGATCAGGTTTTCGTGTCGGCCACTGCAAGCATGTACATCAATGTACAAGATCCTGGATCTGTTTCAGCCGCATTGTTTATCGACGATCGCACTTTCCTAGCACGGTTATCATACCACACGCCTTTAGAGGGCGCGTGAACATCGACACAGCCTCGGCACTGTACACGGCGCTTGCACCCATTTTGCGCAGGTAGATAATACAAGCAACATGAATCTAAGATATCGAGGATATTGCGCATACATCAAAAGCTTGTTTATCCATTGGCGAAGCTTGGGAAGCTTCCTCTTGTGGCGAAGATGAGGCCGCACCATCGGATGATCCTTGTTCGTAATCAACCTTATTAGGCAGGTACCAAAGCCACGGTGCGCGCATCGCTCTCCTTCCACAACTGTTTGTATGGGCGACGTGGTAGATCTCAATGATGCATATATAAAGCAAGCGGGCGAGCTTACTTTTCGTCAGCTCGCGCGCCAATATCCAAAGATGCGCCTCCTTAAGAACCTGTCCGCGCTCGCTATCCTAGTGTGTGTCTGTGATGCACGACCCACTAGCAGCGTTGTATTCGAGAAGATCGAGAGCAGCCCGGCGGGTTGGGTGCTGGACAAAGCCGCCAAAGTCGACAAAGATGAAACGTTCATTACGCTGAAGATTCACTTGGTGAACCAAGGGTTGGACAAGTTTCACAAACTTGCTATGGACGTGAGTCAACCCACTTTACTATGCAATCTAAGTCGAGCTAATCAAGCGCGCAGATCGCAACGCCGGGCCATCCGCAGTATGGCAATCATCTCGACCATGAGACGATACTGGCAATGACTGCACCGAAGGAAGAGTCCGTCGACCTGGTAAAGGAGTGGCTCGGAAGAGAAATCTCGAACGCCAAGGTCGACGTGATGGGCGACTACTTCACCGTGGAGGGAACTGTCAGCGCTGTTGAGAACCTCTTGAAGACGAAATACAACAGTTATGGTAAGAAATCATTGAGAAATCCCGAACATGAATCTGACTGGAGAAGTGAACGAAGAAACAAAGGCAAAGACACTGAGAACACTTGAATACAGTCTTCCCTCCGTGCTCCTTGGCCACGTTGACATGGTCCAACCTACCACGTACTTTGGCGTGAAGCAGTTCCGATCCACCATCTCTGAGCACCATGCAATTGCAGATGAGGCGGATGATTTCCACGTCGAGGCTGCACAGGCTGTGACCGGATGCACTGGTACGCGCATCACCCCCACCTGCCTCGCCAACTTGTACAACTTTGCAAACGCAAAGAACGAAACCACTGGACTACTTGGAGTTGCAGGCTTCCTTGAGGAGTACGCCATCAAGTCCGATTTTACTACATTTCTCAACAGCTACGCCTACTTCAATAACAAAGCCAAGACATTCACTTGCACTGGCGTGAATGGAGGCACCTGCCCTACATCTCCTGCCGGTATCGAGGCCAACCTGGACGTCCAGTATGCAGGTAGCATTTCCAGCTCCGTGCCAATGACTTATTACAGCACAGCTGGCCGTGGCCAGTGGGTCGGAAGCGGAACGAATACCAACGAGCCCTACCTTGAGTTCCTAAACTATCTGATTGCTCTTCCTGCGGCTTCACTTCCCAACACCCTCTCCATCTCGTACGGTGACGATGAGACCACCGTTCCCCTTTCGTATGCAACAAACGCATGCAACCTCTTCTCTCAGCTCGGAGCCCGTGGTGTCTCAATCCTCATCTCGTCTGGTGATTCCGGCGTAGGCAGCACTTGCAAAGTAAATGGGAAGACGTCCTTCACGACCGCCTTTCCTGCCGGTTGCCCTTGGGTCACCACCGTTGGTGGAACAACTGGAAATTCGCCTGAATCGGCTTGGAGTTCCGGCGGGGGCGGGTTCTCTGAGGTCTTCGGACGACCGGACTACCAGAATGCGACTGTAAACAAGTGGCTCACGACCGATACGACCCACAGTGCCGTGACCAACTACTTCAACTCCTCTGGTCGTGCCTATCCTGACATCTCCGCCCAAGCCACCAACTTCGTGATCATTGCCAGCGGATCCGCCCAGTCAGTTTCTGGTACTTCTTGCTCTGCCCCCACTACGGCAGGTATCTTCCAATTGCTCAACAGTGCACGCATTGCTTCTGGCAAGAAGGGCCTGGGTTTTCTCAACCCTTGGTTGTACAACACCGCAAGCAGTGGTTTCACCGATATTAAGAGCGGAAAGATCTCAGGATGCAGTGGGGTTATCTCTGGAGCAGGATTCAGCGCTGTCGCTGGATGGGACCCAGCTACCGGTCTCGGAACGCCGAACTACGAGGCTTTGCTCACGTTTGCAACGTCGACTGCGTAGTTGCAAGGGCAGAACATATATTCTGGATCAAGTTGAATCAAAATGCAATCAATTTTGACGAGATTTGAGCTGTGTGAAAAGATCCAAGTTTTCGGAATTTTGTCAGTGCTATATTGATTATCCTTTGAGTAGGATGTGATAAGTTGCGTCGGTAACAACAGCGACCGCAGGTCGTTGGCGAAGATATGTGGGGCTCGGAACGAAGACCTACGTTTCAAGCCATCTGAGGAGACGACGATATTCATCGGAGAATAGGGAAGTGCGGTGAATTAGCGCGCGGAATTGCATCCTCACTAAGCTCCCGTCCAACACGTGACAATCTCAGTACGGAGATCGCATACTGGTGAAGAAAACGATCAGACGTGACGTGACTGTATTTCACGAAGTTTTTCGTAGAGAGCGCATCGCCTCTGCGAAAAGACTATGACTCTGCGAACCGGAATTGCGCAAAGGTAGCACGCCAACAATCTCCAACGCCCAGCGTCGATGTTGTGACTCAGATGTCTATTTTGAGCATTGCATGGCTAGTCACCGCCACAAAGCAAGCGTAGCCAAGATCTCGAAAATAAACTGCAGGAGCCATTGCAGCGCTGGAACAGACAGCGGGGCGAAACCAGTTCGGTGGGGGTAAGTTCAGCGCGGCTGATCAACGTTGCGGATCCGGAGGGTCCAAAGCTGCTGCGTTTGCCGATCTTCCCCTTCCTTGAAACAACAACCCCGCGTCTGGCAGACTGCGATGAGACAGAATTCGATACTGGTGGAAAGACAGCCAGTGAAGCCAAGGTTGGAAGGAATGGCGACAATATGTTGGGTAGACGAGCAGTGGGAGTCTGGTTGCCGATCGTTCATACGGTCACGATATGATTCCACCTCTACTGAGATATCGATATCAAGATCGGATATATAATCATGGGGAAGCGGGATCCTGGTAAGCGTTCATACGAGAGCCCAGACCGGCGAACGTGTGCTCGACTAATGTCTTTTCCTTGCAGGGTAATTTGTGCCTGCGAATCGAACGAAGCGGTGAGAGGAACCTATTGCGACGGAACGAAGATTGAATTACACTGCCAATTGTATGATCAATGCTTTGAAAACGCGACCTTTGCTCAAGTACAGGTATTGCTACACTGCTGATGTTCAGCACTTTTTAGCAAGGACGAAGTGCAGACGAACTCTCTCGAAGATCAATTATGCGTGTCGCAGCTTTAGTTTCATGTCCACAAACGATATTTTGTATTACTTATCATTTGGTGAGTGCGCAATGATCGTCGGGTGATTGCTGCTCGACGGTCCCGGTTTTCCCCCTACAAGGACACAGACCGTTTTTGTTTGAGTCCGCAGTATGACGCCAACCTGTTTATGTGTAGCAGGGCGAATTCTAATGCACTTGGGTATCCCGGCAGCACCGAAGAGATTGGGCGCGCTTTGTCCTGGTTGGGACCTGGCCGTCGAACCTGTCTTAGCACGTCCACGACTATTTGTCACTGTGCTATGACTACTGATCCAAACATCTTACGGGCAGGTGGTAGACGAATCACGAAAGCCATGCTCGATGGAAAAGAAGATACTGTGGACGGAGATGGACGCGGGGATGTTGGGGAGACGCACGCGAAGTGAGGCGGTTCTGTCGCCAAGATAAAACGTCCGCTTGCCCCAACGGCTCACTCATACAAGGAGCCCATGGCTTGCGTCTTCATGGTCTCTGCGCATCGTCAACATCGTAACAACGCACAGCCTGTCGAAGCTCTACTGTGTACGTACTCGACCTGAAGTCTCGGGCAACGTCCAAGTCCTAAGGTTACCCTTGGTCTGACCTCTTTTCTGTGCACCTTAGCACCTTATCCCATAGGGCTCAAGCCACCACTCAATTCACATGTCGTCGATTCGGGTCGCAACCTAGAGTTCGGTCCGTGGACTCGTGTCGAGCCCCGAGGTTTAGGCATGACATCGATAGTTGCAGACACTCGCTCTACCTTCCCACGGGCGGGGAGACGGTCAGGAGCGCACGGACTCTTATGAGACCAAACTAGTGCTGTCATGGACGCGGAAGGGCCCGCAGACCAACCGGCCGACGCTCCGCTGCCACCTCCTCTGGTCACATAACGGCCCATCCGCGACAAAGTTTCCCCTCTGATCGTGCTAGGGTGATGGCATAGTGCCATTGATTGTCGACAATGTCTTCAATAACAATGCAGCTTCCATCATTTCCATCTCACGCTCACCCCCCTCATTACTCACGATGCAATGGACAGCTGCACGCGCTTCATCGTATGGACATGCTTCCTAGCGGCCTCTTCTACTGCGGCTGCACCTCAACCACAACGACAAGAGCTGTGCAGCGATGCGAAGCAATTACAGACGCGCGATGAGCGCGTTGTCATGACCGATCCTCAGACTGGGCGCATATTCTTGCCCGGAGAGACGAGTCGGGCTCGTACCGTGTACACAGTTGTGGCTTTATCCTGCGCAGTAGTGTTATCGCTCTTATTTGGTATGCATCGCACATGGTTCCAACAATGCCGCGAGAGCGGTGCGGCTTTCGACACTGACTAATGTCATGTAGGGCTGCGCGCAAGGACACTGGCTCGCAACATCAGGAGAAGGAACAACTTGACCTCTATTATCCTATCATTTCTCTTCCTATTCGCCATATGCTTCATCTTTGCCACAGTGGTGGTTGAGAGCGGGCAGAGTCTGGCTTCCTCTAATCTATGCTACTCCGCTATCATCATCTGCCTAGTTTTCTATACCACGAACAAGCTGGCCATGTCAGTGTACTCCATACCCCTGGGCTAAATGATGCTGATAAACGGCGTAGCTACATATTCCTCCTGGAACGCGCCCGCATTGTGCGCGCGCCTTTCATGAGGCGCTACCGAGATTGGTTATGGATATCTGGAATGGTCATAATCTGCGGTGGCTTCGGATCGGTCGCCATCACCGGATTCATCTTTCCTGTTGACGAGCTCTCCCCGATAGATGGTCGATGCCGCATTGGGCTGCCGCGCAAAGTAGCCTTCCCGCTCATGTGCTTTGACATCGGTCTCAACTTCCTCCTCACCGGGCTCTTCATATGGCTCCTTCGTCCGGTACTGTCACTTCACCGCGTAAATCTTGTGCCGGGTCTACTCAGGAAGCCTACCAGCCAAGGAAGAAGCACTGCGAGCGAGGCAACTCTACGATATAGCCGCCCGCACATGTACAATTTGAATCATTCGATCAAGGTTCTACTCTGGAAATGTCTCATTGGAAGTACACTGGTTATGTTGCCCACAGTCGGCAACATGGTCACGTTCTATATCATGAGGGGGCGTGAGCTAGGTTGGATTTGCTTGACAATTTGTACATTTGACGGTAAGTCACAGTCTGCGTTCATAAACCAGTCGAACTAACCAGGATTGCATAGTGAGCTGGGGAGTCCTCATCATCAACTGGCTGACCATCGGCTCGGCCAAAGCTGAGAGGGCCCTGACCACCCTGGCATCGCAGCAGACAGTGAGCGAGCCAGAAAGCGAGCGAGACGGACCGGTTCCTCCAACAACCATGCAGAGCCGGCTCAGTGGCTTGGGCGAACGCCCGCCGCCAGCAAAACTTAAAGATGAAGGAAAGCTGTTAGCTTTCGAACGCATTTCGTCTGTTGCCAAGGAAAATGACGGTCCAATGAGGTAGCGACACCACAATATCACTATTTCCTAAACATAGATAATGTAATGCGCGGATTCTGCTCTGCCCCTTTCGTTGCAGCGCACCAGAACGTCAAGCTGCCCCTTCATCACATCATACAAAGGGAAAGCGATAGAGAAACACAAATTACCGTGAAGGTATATCTCACAAAGCTAATTCTCTATATCTTCACAAAGCAGCTGACGTGGACCAGAAAGCTCTGGTACTAGTACGCGTCGCGTCGCATCGATTATCCTTTCCATCCGGACACGAAACAAGGCACAGACCACCTCAGATCTAGGGGACTCCTAACAAGGAAGTACGATCACGCGTACGCACGCCACCGTACCCATTCCTCGTACAGCGCTCGACGTGCCATGTCGTCGATAACGGCCGCCCGATCGCTCTCAGCCAGCTGTTCTGCGATAGCCCAATCCAGATCCCTGCCCAGCTTGCGCATAAGCCGTTGTCCTTTGATGCGATCTTCCGAAAACGTGAATTTAAGGTCTAAATTCCGCTCCTCAAAATTGTAGATCTCGTACAAGCAGTCCCGCGTCCTGGTCATATAATCCTCGAACGGCAGAAACCAGCATTCTTCGCCGAACCCAAACTGCTCAATGGTGAAATCCGCGACATACTTTCCACGGTTATGTGGGAGCGTTATCAGAAAGGAAGAGTGTGTAGGGTCTGGAACGTTAGCGTCGGAGTCAGGGTTGCGGAACAGGAATACAGGCGCGATGTCGACGTTGAGCCAGTCCACACGCACGCCCGGAATGCGCGCGGAGAGCTTTGCCTCGAGCGATGGAAGCAAAGCCTGGACGACCAAATCGCATTCATTCCAGGCCAAAAATGCGCGTTTCATGGACTCGGGCATGTCGGCGGGAATTGCAGCGTAGCCTGGGACGCCGCGTCTATCGTAGGCGATTACCGGCTCGTAGACTGTGAACCGGTTGGCTGAATCAGGCTTCGAGACCTTAATGGCTATGACAGGATAGGAGGACACATTGTTTACATAGGCGTAGAAGATTGAGCGGAAGATCGAGGCGACTTGCTTCACGACGGTAATCATCTTGGCTATATTAGGTAGACCGCCTACCAGGAATCGAGGACTGGGGGAGCTATGCGTCTGTACCAAGACTTCCAGAGCGCTTAAAAGGCTGCTTTCGTGGGCGTACTTATATTGTGAAGATGAGTTCGAATCTTGTTCAATGTGCGAAAACAGTGAGACAATACTTAACTATGATTTAGACAGGGACTGCCTACTATGCACACATAATCAAAGCATTTTTTGGAACGGCCAAAAGCAATACTGTTTGAAAGGGCGTTGAGGGCACGACCGAAAAATTGTATATTGGCCCAGGTGTCGAACCGTAGGCTAGTTGTTTTGTATTTCTCTTTCGGCACTTTGATCACGTGCTGTTAGGCAACGTTCGTGGGAATAGCTTTGATGTGACTTGTTGGTGTTCTGCTGAGTAGTGATCCCTAAGATAGAACCGTGGTACACGATATAGCTTGTATCTATAGTCGAAAACAAAACATGCGTGTCAATGTACATATGCCGGGTGAACTTGGACTGTGAAAGCTCGTCGAGGATGCAGGTCGATACTCTAAATATTGTTATTAGTATTTGCGCGAAAGCTAGGTAAGTTTCAGCCAACATGAGATTAGAACATGCCTCTCATTCATGTAAAGAGCTGACCGAGACCTCGAGTCCAACGGAATTTGAGCGCGAGCTGATCATGAGACATCTCTAGGAAATATCCACCTGTATGGACTATTGGAAAGAGACTTGGTCCTTTGTAGATTAGTGCAGCTGCTGGAGGAGATTTGTTGTTGCCGCATGGTGCTAATACCCGGCACTTGGGCAGACCTACCGAGCTTATAGCATCGCATCTCACAAATTCCCATCTAAGCATCTCGCAATGCACCTTTGTACATTACCATTATCCGTGGTGGGATTCGTAACGATTGTCTGTTCAGCATAGGGGTGATCTAGTCTATAAAGTCGTGACGTCATGTGCATGATTGTCACGAATCCATCAGCGCAATGCATTTAGGTTCTCATGACAAGAATCTCAACATCCGAAATCATAGGACATAATTAGCCGCAATTCTGAAGAGGCGGGTCTTACAGCTCAAAAAGCTCCATAATGTCACGAAATACCTACACCGCTTTCCAACGACACCTACTATTTTTCTCAACTACCACGAATCCACCCAGATTGACATTTCTATCTGGGGTGAAGGCTGCCGCATCTTTAGGCTTGGACTTTCCAGCTGCGGTTCTGCTCGGGCTCTCGTTGCGCATACTGTACACGCCTTTCCCATGGATTCTCTCTCCTATCAACATCGAGCGAATCCCCCTATCACAACGCCGCGCTCAACTTCGCGAAGCAAAACTCGACAAATCCGAATATACCTGCACTGAGTTGCTCGGGCTTCTTCCTCGGGAACCGGGCAAAGGCTTCCTCGGGCACAAGATTGACCAGGCTCACATCGTAGGCTTCTGGGCAATGGCAGCATCTACCAGAGCGCATACTGTGAGCCGTGATGACGTTGAGCGGTTCCAGCGCGGTGATTGGGGAGAGACAGTTGCGAAGAGGAGGCGTGGACGAGATGACGTTCTGCCGTTGTGGAGAGGCGGACCGATTATCGTAAGCTGGCATAGCTGGGCGATAAGAAAGGTCCTGGACGTGAGGGTGTATGAGGAAAACCCAAGGAGGGTATGATGCACATGGCTGCGCCGTATGTACTTGCATTACAGAGTGCGAACGTGTTATAGCGTCCTTGTCGTTTATCAGCCTTGGTGTTTGGATTCATATCCTTGAAGCAATAGGGCGACATGCGAAATAATCGGAGCTTCCCCCAGCACAACGTTCACGCATCGAACACCAGGCCAATGGATTTTGAAATGATGGAGTCAATGATGGAGTCAGTGATCGCTGTTACTAAATGATATATTTCAAATCGAGATCTGCCTGTCAGATCATTTCAGCGCCTCAATGAACCTCAATGTTTGCCTTTCCACTACTATTGTTTCCCTCCGTGGCCATGACCATATAGTTATGAGTTCCAGTCTTCAAGCCCGCTCCCTTCCACGCCGCGAAGTGGTTTCCAACCGTCACCATGCCTTCACTTCTCACATCCTGTCTCACGCTGAAGATTTGCCTGAATGTCGCGGTCCCTTGAATTGATGGCTTGTTGACCCTCATCTTCGTCCGCACAGAGTAGACACTGCCATCTGAGGTCAGATTGGTGACCATCTCTCCTTCAGGGGGAGCGGCGGGCTCATGGTCGGGGTGGTAATTCTCGACTATGTAGTATTCGATTAGAGGGTTGGTTGTCCAGCCATACACCGTCAGATAGGCGTAGCCATTGGGTTCGAAGGAGCCTGTCCAGTTCACGGTTCTGCATGAAATTAGAAGTAGGCTTCTGATGCATTGCTCCTGCCTGCACACAATCATCGACAACGGGAGTGCATACTTGGAAGTCGAACCAGGGTTCCAACCCTTGCCACCTACAAAATTGCCAGTGCCGTTCCAAGTGACGGAGTACGCACCTTCGGCAAGGTTGCTGTATTTCACACTGGCCGCAGTGTCGGTCCAAAAGGTGTTGTACCAGCTTGCGCGTGCTTGCAGAGGATGGACAGCGTCAGGGCCAGCAAGCGCTCCTCTACAAGCCATCAAAGACAACAAAACGGCTGCAGACTTGTAGAACATTTTGGATCTAGTTGTGATCAAGGTCAGATTCTAGGAGTAAGTGGAGACACCATAGTGTGATTAGGCATCGCCTATACTTATGGCAGACGCCATCTATGCCGGTAGTATGATTGCCGACAGTATTGTGGGGAACCCCACAAAGTTCATCAAAAACACGAGAGTGGCCAAGAATAGTAGACCCTATCAAAAATCTGCTGATATTAGACCCCAAGAATGATAGTCGCACTGCGTTGACGATTGGTGCGCGATCCTTGCTGGACAAGCTCGGACAGCCTAAATAAGGCGAGTGAACGACAACGAAGGGGCTCGTGTATGCTCCTTGGTGATAAGAACCTGATGGGCTCGCATTGGAGGATACGTGGTGCGTAGATCACGAAGGAGGCGTCGTCTGTCGGCCAAAGGCAATCTTCACCGATGATCAATCGAGAGGCCGTCACCGGAGCATCGGCATCCTCAGGGCATTCAAGAATAAGTTCGACAACACGCGGAGACACATACTCATCATTGTCAGTCTCGCACGCTCCTCGATCTCTGACTCGACGATGGTTCGAGATCATGAACGACCACGGCAAGCCGAAGCCGAAGCCGAAGTTCGGATGTTGATCCCGACCGGTTATGTCATGTACTAGAGTAGACATCAATCGGCTATGCAAAACAGACATCAACTTTCATGCTGAGCACACGACGACATTCAATTTTCAGTCACTCCCGATGTCGCGACCTCTTTGTAAGGCGGCGCGCCGTGCAGCCCTCTCTCCATCACATCGCATGAAGCACCTATCAAGACGATGTCAGCCCTTCTCAACCTCACAACGGACACGCATCATGGAAACTACAGGCTTTACACAAACGCAGCTTGAGGTTCGTGAAGCCGTTGGCGCAATATGTTCACAATTTCCAAACACCTACTGGCAAGAGCGCGACCAAAGCGGCCAGGATCCCAAGGACTTCCACGCGGCCCTCGCAAAAGACGGATGGCTGGGCATCGCCCTCCCGGAAGCGTTTGGAGGCTCAGGTCTCGGTATCTCGGAAGCAACCATGATGATGCAGACGATAGCAGAGTCGGGGGCCGGCATGGCAGGCGCGCAGAGCATCCACGCCAACGTCTACGCGACGCAGCCGCTCGCCAAATTCGGGTCGCAGGCCATGCTCGAGGAGACTATTCCCAAGATCGTGTCGGGACAGTGGCGCACATGCTTTGGCGTCACGGAACCCAATGCAGGCCTCGATACCCTACGGTTGAGTACCGCTGCGAAGAAGATGGATGACGGTACGTACAGCATCACAGGGCAGAAAATCTGGATCACGTGCGCGCAGGTCGCGGACCGCATGATCCTACTTGCGCGCACCACACCTCGTGAGGAAGCAGCGAAGCCATCCCAGGCGCTCTCAATCTTCTGCATACCGCTCGACCGCTCCGCACCGGGGCTCGACATGCGCAAGATCGGGAAGATGGGCGGCCGGGCCGTCGACGCAAACGAGGTTTTCTTCGACGGTTACCGCGTGCCCGCATCCTCGCTCATCGGCGAAGAAGGCCAGGGCTTCAAGATAATTCTGCACGGTATGAATGCGGAGCGATGTCTGCTAGCCGGTGAAGCGCTGGGCTTGGGATACGCCGCGCTCGCAAAGGCCGCGGCGTACGCGCGCGACCGCAACGTATTCAACCGCCCTATAGGCAGCAACCAAGGCGTTGCGCACCCGCTCGCGGACGCATACATGCGGCTAGAAGCTGCGAAGCTGGCGACGTACCATGCGGCGCGGCTGTACGATGCGTCGAAGGATGATGCGAGTATCCGACAGGACGCCGTGGGTATCGCGGCTAATAGCGCTAAATACGTTGCTGCCGAGGCGGCCTTCAATGCGTGCGAGAAGGCGGTGTTGGCGCATGGAGGTATGGGGTATGCGGTCGAGTACGACGTTGAAAGGTGGTTTAGGGAATGTCTCGTGCCGAGGATTGCGCCTGTTAGTAGGGAGATGATCTTGAATTATGTAGGGGAGAAGGTGCTGGGGCTACCCAGGAGTTATTGAAATATGGGTATATTTGTTCGTGTATATAGGTTTGAGGTCAAATTGCATGCAATCTTTGGCATGCATCGAGTGGCACGCGACGAAGATACCGTCTCCCGGAACCTGGCGCACATGATTGATCTCGTCCCTGGAGGCACTGCCACGTTTTGACACGGTTGTAGTATGGCAGGATGATGAAATCCTAGACACAGTGAACAGCAAGTGGCAACCAAGGTACGTCTCTCTAGCCTAATGCTAGAATGAACGTATTTCATGAAGAGGAGAACCTTTTGATGTAAAGCTTGAATGGCTGAGGTGAAAAGTGCATCCCCTTGAGAAGTCAGGGTAACTCATGCACTGGACTGCACTGGAGCTAGATGTATGGTGGAGTGAATCATCGCATCGCCAATCTATTATCATGCATTTTTTTTATCTCCCCAAAAGAAGGAATCTTGGTGTCACGTAGCGCACGAGAATTCCGGCTTAACCTGATGCAACACGAAGATATCCGTGCTTATATATCTGGCTCGTGTTAGCCTTCTATAAAAAGAGACGGCAGAGTACAAAGCAAGCAAAGAGCCGCACAATGCTGCCGCCGTTACATAGCTCATGTGCAGTTGTAACAATAACTTCTTTTGTGCAGACTCATTTCGTCACCGCCGACGAAAGCAGCAACTTCAGGCTGTTGGACTGTGGCATGGAAATAGTATAAAGCTTGCAATAAAGTCCGCAGTATGTCCTTACACTAGATTTACCTTCTGTTACTCCACAATATTCAATTGAACCTGCATCGGAAAGCCAGCATTCAAGCGGCGGTCCTCCATCATGAGGCTGACAAGCGCGACGCTCATTGTTTTGCTCAGTCTCTTTGGCGCGAGTGCCCAGAGAATCATCGACCTCAAACCCAAGGTGTGCGGGCCCAAGTTTGCCAAATGTCCGATCGGCTCGTACTGCTCGCGCACATTCAGATTCTCCGAAAGCGGAATTTGCATTCCCAGGTTCTGCGCTAACGGCTTCTGTCCGGTGTACTCCACGTGCGACTACACTGGCAGCGGTCGTGCGGCCAACGAAGGGCGCTGCATTCAGGACATATGCAACACACGCGGAAAAACGCAGTGCCCGTATGTACCTTGATCCCTTTCTGTTTGCCTTTATAGTTCCGATCGAATCCAGAAGCTGACAAGATGTGCACGTCATCAGTCACGGCTGGATCTGCGAGATGAGTGGCGTGGATTTGGAAATCGCGGACAGCCCAGGTAAATGTAAAAGACAGATCTGTGGCACGAGAGGCCATCATTTGTGTCCGAAAGGGTGGGAGTGCGATATGAGTCGCGTTGACCCCAATGTTGCGGATGAACCGGGAGTTTGCGTCGAGACCTAGAATTGATGTATTCAAGTAGTCGGGAGTTGCAAGAATAGAAGAAGAATGTTGAGATGTTTCGATGCCAGGGAAACGAGAGTCAAATGAACAAGGCTTCGTGGAGGAAAAAGGGAGACGATGACTGTTTGATCGTTTTCTCGATCGTCTGTCATTATACGTACTCATACAATTCTGTGAAGAAATTTTTAGATCAACGTTGCAGACCTACTTATACGCAGGTCTCATATGATGAACCGCACAGAGTCCAGGCTCGAATGCTCTGTCCCAGACATCGAGTGTCATCTGCGTTAAGGAACTCCAAACATTACGATACCACATATGGCCTTCGCAGCGAGATCTTGTGACGAGCATGGACAGTTGAAGACAAGTAGGCTATCCAGGCTATCCAATCTCTTGAAACGATAATAGAACATTTTCTGATGAACGTATCAATATTTGGTCTTTCATGGTGAAACGTGAATCAGACACGGAGGCTTATTCTGGTTACGAGGACTTTACGCAGTATCTAAGACCGTAAATGGGCTGAAGACCTGAACCCGGTTTTCGATGCTCAAAAATCGCTTGCACGAACTCTAAATGCATGAGTGCAACCCACATTCAGCCTTGGCTGTTTGTCTTCGATTCATACTAATGATCGGCGGCGATTGAGAGCACTCTACGAAGCAGATCACAAGATTACAACATTGTTGCCGAGTAGCGTACAAACTCACACAATCTGCTTATCCCACTTGACTGGCACGTCAGATGCTCCTCTGCCCGCAACCTTGTGACCACTGATCGCAATGTCTTTCCAGCCTAGTGGTCCGCACGTGATGGTTCCTTTGAACTTTCGACAATCGGCCCCCGAAAAAACGATGTAGCCCATGTCTGTTGTCACCACCTCAGACCCCTCAACTATGCCATTCCAGCGAAGCCAAAACTTGGGTGCACGAAAACTGTTTTTCTCGAACCTTCGGAACCGTGCTGGGTCCTCACTGTCTCGTTCGCTCTCGGGATCCTCAGCGTCGCTCGCATCACTCTCGTCATCTCCTTGGCTTTCATCTCTCTCATCATTTCCGTCATCATCTTCAATTGCCTCTGCTTCCACCTCGTTCACGGTTGAATCAAGGCTCGCCCGACTTGCGGCGAGGATTACTGCCGCTTCCAGCACACCAGGGAATTTGAACTCGCCAACTATACCCGCTCCATTTGGACTCAAGCGGTACAGCTCTAGCGTTATCTCTTGTTGTGAATTTCGCTGATTCTGCTTGCCTTGCCCTGCAGCGCATTTGCACGTATAGCTTCCAAATGTTTTGTGGATGTCAAAAGGTCGATTACGGCGATTGGGTCTGTTGTGGACGCGATTGTGCATGTGGCGAGAGGTGAGAACGTCAGTCTGCCAGTCGTCGTCCATTGTGTAGTTTTTGGGCATAATAAGTCTTAGCAAAATTTATTGATGTGCCTAAGCGTGGCCTCGCCTTGTTGCTTGGGCTGTATGAAAGGACTAATGGTGACGTCATTCATTTTGTCACATTGTCCACTGAGCACTCTGCCCGGCTAAGTACTTGCATTCCACCCATACTTTTCTTTCCTCTCTTTCGAGAGGTCCGCTGAATACACCCTAATATTGAAGCCTTGTAGCACGTGTCGTTAATACGCACAAAACCTTGGAATGCTAGTGTTAGCACAGTAAACAGATGCGCTGACGAATCTAGCTATTCTCTAGTCTAATTATACCACTTCGGAAGATCATTTAGCATGGGCGAATATGCTACCTTGATTAGGCAAGATTCTTGTTTTGTTCTACGAGCCTAGAATAATGAAGCGCTAAAGCCTGGATCAGAAGAGCAGAACCTTCCTTCAAAAATTGTAAGCATGTTGAACCTCTGAATCAGAGTTTATTATCTGAGTGTAGGTCATACGATTATTTATTCATGAGTCGTTCCTCGTTTCTATCTATGTCATGTCCTTTACAGGTTGATCCACCGGCCCATCCATTCTTCTACAATCTGCTTGGCCTCATCGACAAGACCCATATCGAGCAGAAGTTGCGTCGTTCCACGAACCGCCGAGTCAAGAGCCGAGTATATCCAGGCGTGCGTGTAGCTTGTATGCTCCCCGATGAAAATCGTGTTGGCCTCGGTCTTGTAATATGCTGGTAGGTAGAGATCTTGCTGACCAAGAAGGGGATCAGCCCAAGCGCCAGCCTGATGCTCATCAACTTCCCAGCATTGTCGCTCATACGCGCCGGTGAATTGCTCGGCAGCAACGTCGCCGTGTACTTCGACCATGGCTCGCTGAACGCGGGCGACGTGGTCTTCGGTGCTCAATGCAGCGAGTGAGCGCGCAGAAGTTCCACTGGAGTATGAAGCAAGGATCACACCTGGTCTGGTGGAGTTGATCTGGTATGAGGGGTAGCAGACAGAGCCAATGCCGTAAATGTCCACGGCACCGCAACCACCGATGATAGGTTCGTCCAGATGCTCCCAGAACCGAGTTTTATATCTGAGAGACACCTTGCAAGATTGCGCGTAATTCATCGTTTGAATGGCCCGAGACAAAAGAGACGAGTACTGCGGGAGTTTCCATGTCCTGACTTTGGAGAAAGGCACTGCGACCACGGCATAGTCGTACTCTTCTTTCTCGGGCTCCATAGCAAACTGGTCCTGACGCCAAGTGAGACTAACTTTGCCCGTGTCGTTGTTGTACATAATACCATCAATCTTACGACCAAGAGTAAGCTTGTCCTGGACGTGCGGATAGAAAGCGCGAGGAAGCGATTCCAGACCTTTGTCGATAGTTCGCCAGGTTGTAGCTCCAAAGTAGACGGTATCGTAAAGATCCCACATGGGGTCGGAGCCTGCGCCGGCGACATAGTCGACCATATCGGCGCTCATGTTCAGATGGTACCTCAGGTAAGCAGCCTCGGACCAGTGGAACAGGCCCCTCTCAATGGCCTCCTTGTGAGCTTTGTAGATGCTTTGGGATGCGTTTCTGAGACGCTCTGGGGTCTCGTCGTAAAAGGCTGCGAGCGCGTCTTCAGCTTTTGTGACGACTTCTTCATCATAGTCATCTGGCTTAGCTGTAGGTAGTACCAAACTCGAATTGGCTTTAACCTGGGCTGCACTGGGGATGCGACCGTTCGGCAGCCTGTACCCATTGGAGTTGGCTGGGACATTCGGACTTGCCTGGATCCAAGGAATGAAGTTGACTGCCAGTGTCGAATCGTTACCGTTCAGCTTGTTCAATGTGTCGGCAAGCTGGAAGACCATCTTGTGGTCGTTAATATCAAGCGTCTCGTTGGTATCGGTATATTTCGTGCTGACGGGAAATCTCATCGGGCCCATTTCCTGGTATTGATATTGATCAGGTGTCGTTCCGGCGAGGTACTTCGTCCTAATACGGCCTCCAATACGCTGAGAGCTCTCAGTAATGTGCCAGTCGTTGATTCCGACAGATGTCAATAGATGGCTTGTCAAGAGACCGGACATGCCTCCGCCAACGATTGCGATCTTCTTGCTTTTCTCGACCGCGACGAACGACGCACTATTTACTTTATTCTGGAGATAAGCGACGCCGTCGAACCATGGGCCACTCCAGTCTGAGATCTTGGACATGTCTTCTCGTTTCTGGTAGTTACTGGTAATGGCAATGGGTTCCGAACGGCCAATGAGGGCGGATCCAGAATATGCATGTAGACAGCCTCCATGAACAGCTTCATCGGGAACAATCCAAACTAAACGTTCTGGACGGGCATCGCGTCGGAAAAAGGTCGATCCAAGCTCGTGGTGTCGTTCGTGGCTGCCAGCCATGTCACACGCTCCGTAGACAATTTGGACATCTCCTTCAAAGGAATCATCGCCGTATCCAATGTGGACATTGTGAACAGAGTCAGAAGCAACCTTGAAGGGGCCCTTGAAAAGAATGATCTCTGAGCGGCTGTTGAGGGGCCCAGCTACAACGCTGCTTGCCAATGAGAGCACAGCAGACGAAGCTTTGAAAACACCTTTCATCTTGGAGGAGGTTCGAGACGACAAGGGGGTGCGGAAGGGAAGGAATTGACGAGGTGTCGAAAGTCAGACGATCGTCGCACAGCACTCATATGTATATCTTCAAGAGAGCCAGCTTGCCGGTATCGCAAATACATCGGTCAACAATTCTACATCAACCTCGTAAAGATCCGAGCTTGTCGGCAATTGCACGCCCTTCGATAAACACTGCCGTACCATTACCACACTTCTACGCCCGTGCTGACTTGAGAGTCTCGCGATAAGACTGCAAAAGTTCGCCAAGACACGTTCAAGGCACCCATAGCATTGAAAATGGGGTACCGACTTGTAAGCACCCCGCTCTCAGGTGACTGGTCATCTTCGATATCCTTGGGCTGCAGTCGGGATGGCTTGCCAGTGCGCAGTAGCGCGGAGGCGGGAAGTGTGAGGTCTTTTCGATGAGTGGAGATCGACACTCCGATGCAACTTCGTTATCTTTTACTCCGAATCGACAACTCGCAACGCAAGACCTCAGCACAGCGGTGCATTTGTGAGGTGATCAATTGACCGGTCACCTGGATCTTGGACTGTCATTGTGGAAAGCGAAACGGCGTAAGAGAAGGCAATGCTGTGTTGAAGACTGCGAAGTGTGCGAGGTGTTACACTTCGCGGTTTACGCCCTTAGTGTGCGCTCCGTTCCGAACGACGCTGTTCACTGCACGCTAAACTCCGCGTGAGCACCCCACAGTACCGGCTCTTCTAGGACCAGATCTCGGCCGGGCTTCCATAACGGTCCGTACACGTGGGTAAATAATAGAAATCCAGGTCAGCTTTAGGGTCTCCATCAGAGAATTAGTGGGATCCATTATCTCGGGCCAGGGTCGGCAGTCGGTTCATGCAGCTAATTGCACTGGTGGCACTCGAAGCGAGCCTTGATACTGCACAAGGTTACTCCTACCCGTATTGCTTGCGCTAGCCTTCCAGGGATCTTTGAGACGACGAGTCTTATCTCTACTTGAATACGACTATTTCTTTATCTCAACTTACGTCAATACGCCCTCCCGCCGTTACGCCCGCACGTTATCAGACCCTGGAGGCCCAGCCTACGTCTCCCCCCGCTAGGTAGACCCCACAGATGCACCGCTGTCACCCCGTCGTCGCGGAATGGATTTGAAAGCATGCGCGCGCGTTGCGCGTGTAGATTGGGGGTCTGACTCGTACGATCGGAGCGTTCCACAACGTTGATGTGACATAGAGAACCAAGATAACGATGTCCGTCGGCGAAGGGCTCCGCTGGCCGTGGTCCTGGCCGTCGGGTTAACCAAGAAATGCCCAGAGGTCGGCGCCTTCAACAATAGAATGGGGCCTTGGTTATGATAGAGCGAACTCGGATGTATTCGAAGGGCGTAGTGGATGGAAGTCTTGGTGAGCAGAACAGCTTTAGAGCGGATTGAGCAGCTGCGCCAGTCCGAGCTATAAGACCGAAGAGCTTCCTGTTGTCAGTATCGCGAAACAACTTTTAAGCTTGTCTCTTTTCTGGACGCTCAGATTCCTCAAAATGGTCCAACTCACCCAGATCTTTACCACTCTTCTACTCGTGGCAGGTGTTGCTCTTGCAAAGCCAACACCGAAGCTCGCAGAACAGCCAGTAGTGACCTACTTAGGCACGCAGGGTCCTATACTATGTTAGTTGAATCGGAATATAGCTCAGAATTTATGTTGACCGCAGGAATAGCCAGCGGAGCTTGGACGAGCAAGGGCATAGTCTATACCTCAGGCACAGTACCATCTGTTAACGGTACCATCATAACGGGCGGGATCGAGGCACAAACCGTACGTACTATTTCGACTTCATATCAACGCATCTTGAGTCTCAGGTCGCAACCTTTACTTGACTCTTGCTGATAAATTTCAGGCCCAAGTAATTAAGAACATCGCCGCCACTCTCGAGGAGGCTGGCACCTCGTGGGACTATGTTATGAAGACCACGGTGTTCCTTGCGAATATGAGTGACTACGCAGCCATGAACGAGGTTTATGCGGCAATGCTTCCAACTCCGAAGCCAGCACGGACAGCCGTTGAGGTGGGGAAGCTGCCTGGTAATTTCCTGATCGAGGTTGAGGCTATTGCAGCAATTCCTGATTCGTAGGAAGCTCTTCGTTGGTTGGTGTCATCTCTTGCAATAGACCAAACAAATAAAGGGAATTGAACACTGAGACCGATCCCGTTAATGTCGACCCGTAATGTTTCGCTAGGCCGTGAGAAATTCATTGCCTACTGTTCCATGCTCTTACTACCCAACGTAGATGGGTCTTCATAGTCTGATACGTTATAGCTTCTCCTACGATTTTGCGGATTGCACATGGTTATTGAGAAAATAGTCAAAACTTCATGAAGTGATGTTGTTTAAACTACCCGTAGACCTGCCGACAGCCAAGCCAGCACGTCATCTGCACGCAAGCACGCCATGCTCCAGCACCTCTGACCCCGCGACCCGGTCACAAGGCACACAACCTTATCACCCCTGTGGGTCCTGGCCTACGGGCCACTCCGCGATAGGGTCCACAGCATTGGTATGCGCCTTGCAGCGGCCGTTAGATCTATGCCAAGTTAGACAGAAGACATCTGGAACGACGATCCCACACGTGCAGATAACGCAAGTGGTACGTTTATTCGTCTAGCAGAATTTGACCTGGAAGGCATACACTTGATCTTACATAGGATCACCCTCAAATTCCCTGAGCAAGGTGAGCAAACTATCTTCTTCCCACGCCCATCTTGTCGTCCCCTCATGGGTCGTCCCCTCACGGGCCCTAGTCTCTAAAAGACACATGTTCATCTTAGTCTCTTTATGTATTATGGCTCCTCGGACCTTCATCATAGCCCACTGTTCGATTCCGCACCGTTACCGCGAATCTGCTTATCCCACGTCTACTTGAGTCTGTTAGGCGGCTTTCTATCTTTTTAGATCCTATTATTTATTTCTTTGAACCTTACTCTTCGATATGCGTGGGGCGTAGTTCGATCGATATCCGCAAGCATTGAACTGAACTTACTCTTACGTGCAGCGCTTAGTATCTCAGCCTTCGTTGTTATTGTACACAATTCGTTATTCGTTTTGTTTTACGACGCCATTGTTCAGGGTCCGGTATTTTGGCTTTAAGACGAATCGTTGTACCGGCCAAGCAGACTGGTAGAGCTGCTCTCAGGCACGGATAACACATGACCCAGTGGAACTGCATGTATCTATACCTCTAGGTGCCTATTAAAATTCAACAACTCTTGCTGCTTTGGTTTTTGCATTTATTAAGGGCGCCAGGCGTAATTTGCACTCGCTGGAGTGACAAACCCTACTATCGTTAGCCGCTGTGATCACCTTCTGCTCGCATCGCATACTTACTGGCACTAGTATTTGACAGCTTCTGCCAAAGACAGCTTTTAGTTCGAACAGGAATTCGTCGAGAACATGTTTGCAGCTTGCAAGAAGCTTTTCGTTACCTCGACGAGACCCTGGTGACCAATACCACGCGCTCAACCACCTTGAGACTCACCACGGTGCCCGCACGGTGTGTAATTTGAGAATGACTTTGGACTTGTAACTTCCACACTTTCACCTGACCTGGCGTGAGGCAGCTAAATCCGCACTTGCCACGTCGTAAGCATCACAATACTAAGGTCAATGATGTCGCCGTAGATGCACTTCAATAACATCTTGAGAATTGGTGGACAGAACAGTGAAGCGTTAGCTAAGATTGAGGAGAGCCTGGAAGCGTGGTAGTTCCTGGGAAATATAACAATGAAGTTTAGGTTTCTTTGAATTGATCAGCTTCTACGAATCAATTCTCTAACTAACGTGGCATTCGAGGTTTCCCCGTCTCAACTACCTCATGATTTTCTTTCTGTCCTATCTCCGGCTCCATTACTAGTCGTCTGAATGTGAACATCGAGCTGGTATCGATGTATCAGATAGTGGTTGTTCTCTTACGCCTAAGTACATTTGCTTCGCTTAGTATCACGTAGCACGATCGAATGCGCGAGTCTAAGAAAAAGTTCAAATTCAATGTGCTCACGTGTGCACATACTGCGCGAGGTCTTTCCAGTCCAGAATTCTATCATCTTGCAAAGTCAGATCTAGCAATTTCGTTCAACATTACATTAAGGTGTCGTGATCAGGCCTTCGTAACTCTTCCCTTCCCTTCAAAGTTTGCTCTCATTAGCCTTGCCAAACCCTCGGTCCGGGTACGGTATAGTTCTGATCGTACAGTCAGTCATGGCACGAAAGTATGGAGTAGTCCGGTATAAGTACGCACCTTTGTCGTCAGGTCACCTCGAACCTTCCCAGAGACAGCGATGCCAGGATCTGCATCACAGTCAGTATCAATCAAACAACTTCGTGTCCCCTTGAACCACTTACCAGTCAACTTATAGCCCCCCGGAAACTGCACCAGATACTCATCACTTGGCACAAGCGTCCCCTCACCTGCGACCTCTAAATGCGCACAGTCCGGGTAGAACTGAACTGGGTTCAATTCCAGCATGATAATCTCATGCCTGATCATATACCTGCCTGGCTTCAAATCCTTCGGCACAGTCACGTTCCAGTACTCCGTCCTCCTATTCTCCCAAAGATCGTTCTGGAACCAGCCGTCTTCCTCGCCAATGGCGTACCCGTCGCGCAGCCCCTCTTCCGCAATCTTGAACCATTTGAGGGTACTAGTGTCGGTGATGGTCGTGCAGTCCTCGCCGCAGGAGGCCATGTATGCGACGACGGGGCCAAGCGTGTGGGGCCAGCCGAAGCCGTCGGGTGTTACCCAAGTGCTTCGGATCGAGCTTCCGGCTGTTACAGAGGCGTGGAAGGTGCCGGGTACTGTGATTCCTTTGTTGTTGCAGGTTATATTTGTGGAGGCGGGATCGCTCAGGGGGTTCATGTGCCATGAGCGCTGGATCAGGTCGTGTTGGCCTTCATACGGGTCGGACCACACGTAGCTGACGATCGTTTAGCGAGTGCGCGCGAAGGAGACATGACGGATGGATTTACCCTGTATAGTTTTTCCCGTCAATCAGATAGGAAGTTACACCACCGTGAGCGAGCGTAGTGCCACTCAGTGCGGCGAGAGCTGTAGCGACCGTGAGCTTCATTGCGATTTAAATTTGGTCAAGGACTACAATGGTTGCACTTCAACACAATCATGGTCCTCAATCTTTATACAAAGTGTCGCAGTATAGTGTTGTCGGAATAATACTTGCCGTGGGCTACTGCATCGGGCACGCATATGCCCTTTGCAATTGGAAAGCTGTGAGCTGCCAATTCTGGATCGCACCAGTGCAGTTGATTGTATATTGGTTTAGCCGCTACCCTTGGTCCTGTTACGGGTAGATTAAGCAATAGCCGATTCGATACTTTTTGTGACTGGGATTTGCTTCGGTTGATGCCTTGGCGGCCATGTTAATAGAAGCTTGGTATACTAGGACTCGATAAGACTCTTTGAATCGTTAATTCAACAACAATCGATAAGCTTACTGTACTCGGGGTTCGCTTCGCTGAGTGCTTGGGAGATCAATACCTGATAGGGCCTCATACGTGCGAGTGATATCGATCAGAACTCCATCGAAGAACAATCGCAACCCCACTTACGCATAAAGCTTGAAAACGTATCGTAGAGCCCTTTTCCAATCTAAGAAGCGTCCCATTGCGATGATGTGAAGTATTCGAGTCTGGAGTATTGATGGGAAGCGTAGCTTATGTTTCGGGGACTTTTTTTTGCACTCTTGCCGTAAGCCGTAAAGAAATACTGAATAGATGACTTGTGGTTATCCTGCCAGTATGACCTTTTGCCGGTGTGGGTCAACTGTCAAAGTAGACATTCTTGTCAATACTGTTTCTTTCAATGAAATTGACCAATGCGAACAATTTACGCATAAGCTACAAGGGCGGGAGAATCGCGAGCCCGTCAGAAAGCGTAAAGAGAAAATAGTAGGAACGGATTGTAATCAGGAGGAGTGGAAGACTTGGGATAGGCGAGCCGCCTACATAGGTCTAGCGCGAGGTTGTTCCACAGGCCACGCTCCTTCCCACTACATTGACTAAGGAAGTCGTCCCTGTGACAACTAGCAGCCATTGCCCCTGGTAGATGACAAGCAAATCAATGGCAGTGAGAACTTCACATGTTTCGGCGAGAGGTGGTGTAGTAGGGTGTGGTATAACAAGTATCTACAAGTACGTAAACGTCCACTCTCCTCTCCCACTCTTACTTTCAACGCGGATCACACGTCTCCACCTCTTTCCTTTTTCAATGTTCAGCTAGGCGACTGATACAATGTCTACTCGTCGTCGTTGACGTCGATGACGGTCTTCTTCCACTGGCGCGCAGGAATGCGACGCCTGAACATAATGTCGATCTCACGGTACGAGCGACCCTTCATCTCAGGAAGACCCCACCAAGCAGTAACGAGACAGACGAGCGCGGTACCACCCCACACGTAACCGCACTTGCCGCCGAGGTTGCCACTGTTTGGGTTGAGCATGTAGGAGGCGACTGTTCACATGGCATTAGCTTTGAGCATCTTTGAAAGGTTTCAATGAGTAACTTACGGAAGATGCAAGGAATTTCCACAATGTAGTAGGTGGCACGACCCATGCCGGTGGTGAGAGGCCTGAGACGGATGGCAGATGTCTCTCCGATGATGACCCACGAAGCGGGAGCCGGGCCGAGAGTGAACAGCACGGAGACGATAAGACCAAGAGAGGCTTGCGCGTTGCTCGCCGCTTTGCTGACACCAACCGAGCCCGCGACACCGAGGGCAACGAGGAGGGTCAAGTTGGCGGCCGAACCCCACAGGTAGATGGAGCGGCGGCCAAAGTAGGTCGTCAGGATCCACGAGAGCATGACGAAAATCATCTGCAGGGCGGATGTGATGAGACCGAGAGCGAAAGCAGTGCTGACTCCCATGCCGGCCTGCTTGAAGAAGTAGACGGCCTGGTTGGCGATGAGATTACCAGTAAGATTCTGGGCGGCGTAAACACAGCAGACGATAAGCGTGCGGCGGAGATCGGTGCCTTTGAAAAGCTCGATGTGGTTGGGTTTCTTCTCGCTCTTTTCAAGGTCAATGACACGCCTCATCATGGCGACTGTCTCGGTAGAGTTGACTTGAGACCTCTTTCCGAGGCGTTCGACTGCCTTGGCAGCTTCCTCGGTGCGACCCTTGCGAGTCAGCCACCAGGGAGATTCCGGCGCAAAGAAGATGAGGATAGCGAGGGGAGTGGGGAACATCCACTGCAGCGCAATTGGGATCCTGGCTTCGGTCAGTGAACGACTTGTAGTATGGATCAGATGACTGACCTGTAGGCAGAGGGACCCTTGACATCGTTGTAATGGTACGTCACAGCGCCGACAATGATACTTCCGACGGCCCAGAACATCTGCAGCATCTGCGTGGCAGGAGCGCGCAGCTTGATTGGCACGATCTCAGAGCAGTACGCAGGTGCGTTAGCAATGAAGATGCCCCACGGGATACCCTCGAGTAGCTGAGAGACGAACATGACGGGCAGCGACTTGGCGAAGTACATGGAGAAGATGAAGACGTTCAGGAGCATGAGTCCGGTCAAGGTGGCCCAACGATATCCGATGCGGCTGGTCAAGGGACCGGCGAGGAAGACACCGATGAGGGCACCGAGCTGGCCAGAAACCTGCAATGCCGACTGCCACTTGGTGACGACGATGTATTCGCCGTGGGCCTCAGACCACACGCCGAAATCCTGGGTAAAAGAAGGCAGGGCGAGGAAGTTGCCCATGAGGAAGACATCGTAAGATTCCATGATCTGGGCGGTCAGCTGCAATGCTCATCGAGGGCTTGAAGGGAGCTTACAATGGTACAGGACATGACAAAGGCCCAGAACGAGGCCATGGGATAGGCTTTGACGGCCTCCATGACAGTCATGTTGTGCTCGGCATTCTCTGCCTCAATGGCACCCGCCTTGAAGGCGCTGATGCCTGCCTTCTCCTCGTACACGTCGTGGTGGTCCACATTGTGTTGGATCTTGGACTCGAGGTCCTGGTCTGCGGTAGCTGCCATTCTGATGTGCCCAACGGTCGGGAGTGGGATGCAGATGGGCTGCGTGAGTGGAGGGGGCAAGGGCAGGTAAAGTAGGGCACGACAGCAGCAGCCGCTAGCCCCAGCACAGAGCTATGCGCCGGGCGCACGATGCGAACGCGCCAAAGTCCCCGCATGCTAAACTCGTTGTGGCGCCGGCCTTCATTGCGGGCGCGTCGCTGTTGGTGGAGAATAATGGATCCGGGGTAATGAGGGCCGAGGCTATTTTCCCCGTGGGCGACCTCAGCGCTAGCGGAAGCCATCCCTGTTGCAGAGAGCATCCCCGCATCCTTCCCAAGACAAGCAAGAGCGACAGGCCAAGCTGGCTAGAATGCTTGTAGAAGCCCTCCGTGCAATCCGACGGCACCGAGCACCAGGCTATCGAGCTCCTGCTTGATGAGCTACCTGAAGGGCCTTGCTACCCAGCTTCTGCGCCGTTTTGTCGCGCGTTTCGCGGGAGGGGAGGACCAGACGGGAAATTTTGCGGGGAAGTGGGCGACAGCACAGAAGCGGAAGCTACCGCATTCGTCTTGTTTCCAGGCAGAGATAAGAGACAATGCTGAAGGTATGGGTGTTGCCCGCCTAACCAACATGCAGGCGAGCCGTACAGACGGATCAATTCAACGCGTGTCGGTGCGCGGGCCGCTCTGAGCGGCTCCATTACCCGTGGAAGGGAGACACGCCGCTGTCTTCTTTCTCCGTGCATGGTGGATGGCGGGCGTCGCAGTTCGCAAGGGCGGGGTTGGATTGCGTCCGTTGAGCCGACACCTCAAAGCGATGCACCCCAGTCGAAATGTGCTTTAGCTACAGCATCAGGAACCCAAGATCCAATAATTGCCCACGTGCAGTCTTGACTCCCAGGGCCGGGCTCACGGCCTCTTCACGTAAGCGCTTCGAATCTGCAGTGCTGAGGCGCTGGTCACATGCGGCGCGCTAACAACCTTCAAAGCATCAGAACTCCCACATGATCCAGAGCAGTGCTGCGATGCTGCAAAGTCATTCACAGCCGGGTTATATGGCAAGGGCTTTGGCTTGCATGCGGCAGAAGAAGGGTGGGTCCGACTCCCAGACGAGCAGTAGTACCATAGGTATACGGAGTAAGGGGGCTGCGACTTGATGCTCGTCGTGGTCAACGAACACCACCACATGTTCAATTTGTAATCTTCAATTTGTGTGCCACGCGGGGAATGGCTCGCCTGGTGCCGCTTGCGGCTGGTCTTCGATCACCCACGCGCAGGCCTTTGAAACAAACACTGCGAACCATAGGCTGTCGTGACTCGTGCCTTGCTTTTCAAAGCGGACCCGACCTTGGCTGTCGGGTCTGGTTCCACATCTTGCCTAGCGAGGCAAACGTCGTGCCATCACGTTACGCGGAGGTGTGGATCCGGGGCGTCCGGTCTTTGTGGAGCGAAACGTTCTCTGCATGTTATCTTTCCTCCAACAGTCCGCCAGTACTTCGCGAGGCTGGCAGCGCGTGCATGAGAGCCTGCACATGTGGACTACCAGTGCAAAAGTGTACATGTCACCATGACTATTGGGAATGCAAATGGACAAGCCGGCTGATAGACGTGTGATCAGCGAAACGGCCAAAGCAAGCCACGGCGCATCCGATCGCAGTGGCGCCATCGCCGCATGCCTCAAAAGCTTGCCTCTACGACCATGAGCTGGGCGCTCAGTAGTGGGTGAGATGGCGCTCTAGTCTGGTGCGGCTCGCTAGAAACATGGTCCGCTGGTGTGGTCATGCACTCGTACGCTAGGACCGGCCTTGTGCTGGTAGCTGTTGTAGTTCGACATCGCTCGCACCTGGAATGTCGGATGCACCACCCTTTTGGGATCGGAAACGTGTATGCGTGGTCCGCTGTTGGAGCCAGCCAAGCGGCCATCCATTTGTTCCATCAATGTGGAAGCGACAGAAGTGAATCGGGTCCGACCCTCAGTGCGGGTATCCTCCTGATGCTGGGCAGGCCGTAACACGCAAGGCGTACGAGTTACCGAGGTTGAAGGGGCGTCGTGGGACAGAGGTCGAGACTTTTATCGATATGGGAGCAGAAGGTGCAGGAGCTTGACGGTCAACGCCTTCCGAGGGACTGGGCGGACTAAAAGCGTTGCCGCAACGAAGCGGCTCCATCATCAAACCCCCATCAGATTCCCCTCGCATCTCTGTACTAGGTAGGTAAGCGACAGCAGGAGTTGGTACAGTTACGTACATGCAATGGGTGAAGTGGCATTCTTCAGGCGCGTATGAGAGATCGAGCCGCCGCAGTCGGAGGCGTCAAGGAAGAAATCGACCAGGTTGCCATGGCCCGCGAAAATACGAGAGGAGCGTTCTAAAAATCTCGCCGTAATCGATGTGTCGCTACGAGCTACATCGTTCGAGTCGACACGGCGTATTCACTTTGAATGAGACTTCCGACATGTTTCTCACAAGCTCTTTCATTGTAGGTCAAAAGAATAATCACAACAATGGCATCGTGTGCATCGGGTTGCGCCTGGTTCTCGGTGTATCGTGCGGTTCGAACAAGCATCCAAATTCCAAAAGAGTTGGGGTCCTCGGCGCGTCGCGGTCCAAAATAGATGTAAGAACATGAAGGCCGGTGTTAGGTTTTCGTCCAGGCGAGATATCAAGCTGTCATTGGTGACCGTATTTATGTCGATGCTTGTTTTGATTGAATGTCATTGTCGTCAAGACATTCTGACTGGTATTGCTTCAACTCCGACGTGGTGGAGTTTGATCGTACGGGAGGCGAAGTGATGCTGAGGATTCAAGAACAAGATCTTTGCAAGACCACAGCATACAACGCGGGAGCTCTCGTACCAAACACAGCGTCCCGTCACTGGTCAGACAATGAAAAACGCTCGAGAGTGGAAACTTCAGGCTCCTCTTTGGCTCCGCCGCCCTTTCTTAGGTAAATTTGGCTATCCCGCCCTCGGTCATGCCGCCCTTCACACTTGCAGTGACCTCCAACTTTTGTTTAAGTGGTTAATACCTATCCGCTAAAGAGCTCATTCAGTTCACTAATACATTTGCGTAGTGTAGGCACCGATTCTGCGACTTTGATTCAAAGACGTCGTGCAGTACTTTGCGAGCAGTAATCTGTTACCTAGCAAGAAAAGGGAATGCGAACGGGCGTATCATAGCTTAGAGCTCATCCCAGTTCTCTTGACAGTAGGAATCCTCGAACTTTTGTCTGAATTAATAGATCACGTATAGACAAGGGCGGAGGTCTCTGAGAAAGGAGTCTTATTGTTGTTAAGCGCACCACTGTCCGACAACAAACGTAGGGTATGATCGTCCCGTCCCTTTGCCTGAGGACAAATATAAGATTATCGCACAGCAGCATATTTTTCCAGATACCAAGGCTTCGCTCTCCCGATGATCTCCTTCCTCAGTAGCTCTTCGTCCACCCCGTGCTCCGCAACATAACCCTTTTCCTCCGTCAGAATATCAACCTGCACCCACTTCAGGAAAGCTCCAATCCCTTTCATATTCTGCTCGATGCCTTTCTCCCTCAGGTAATCCCAGCCCTGTTCCAGCCGTTGCTCCGAGCACCATGATTTAGCCAGCGCCTTGGCAAGCTCGCATTTTTCAGCCTGGTCCACCGGCGGCTTCTTCGGGGCGGGTGTAAAAGTAGGCTTGAAGTGCCCACCTTTCGTCTTGAACCAGAGATCGGAGTCGGAAATGTAGGGCACGAGCTTCCAAACTAAGCCTTCGCCTTCGCCGCTTATGCCGAAGCTTTCTGCAAAAGGGCAGTGGGCGGCGATAGTGTCGGCGAGGGCTTCGAGTTCGTTGATCGTCTTGTGCGGTTCTTCTGGGTAGAGAATAGAATGGTAGGTCCCTGCGCGGGAAATGTTGTAGATGTCGTCTTCTGGGGCTTCGATGTCCGCGTAGTCGTTGTCTGTGACCCAAGCGCCGTTGATCTTGGCGGAGATGATGACGAGACGACGGGATAATCTGGAGATGGCAACACCTTTTCGGATCTTCTCGCCGATCCATTCGCCGGCTATAGTGATGGGCAGCTCGGTGCTCAGAGTTTTGTTGGGGTTTAGTTCCTTCCAACGGGTTAAGAACTGATCACGAAGCCTGAGAATCGTAGGTTGCTTCCATGACATAGCATTTGCGAAACCCAAGTTATCTGCTGTTTTAAGGAGCACCGCATTATTCCGGGATTGCAGGATAATGATATTGTCACTAGTAACTAGGATGTCTGCATGGGTGCCGTGGAGCTTGACGGTACCAACGATAGGAATAGGCTCGAGTGTAGGTTCTTGTTCAGGGCTGTCTGGATTGCGAAGTTTATATCTGAGAGTCTTGATCACCTGGAAAATTGGATTTGGTGAGCTATCGTATGGAGTGTGATGCAGAGCGCGGAGACTCACCTCTTTGATGTGGGTGGTGATCTTAGGATAAAGCGTCGACTTTGTTTCAGAAGTGGCCATGATTAGAGAGAGTAGGCAACAATTGACTTATACGTAGCTTCTCAAAAGTCCAACGGCTGCGCAACCAGCTGAGGTCGCTGAAGTGTTCGCAATGATACGATACGAGATAAAGTTTGTCAAATCAGCACTGTGGTGTAGAGAGACAGATTTAGTTTCGAGACAGAGCGGTGTACGTAGATTGTGAGGAAGCTATACGATGGAAGTCGCATGCAAATGAGATAAGGCCACGCGCAGTTATGACTCTAACCATGGGACGAAGATCGCGCTGGCTGATTCATAACATGGGTGCTGTGGCGCAGCTCCTCAGGCGACCAGTTTCCATGCATCAGGCTTAAAAATACTCGGCCATGTTAGGGACTCAATCGAAGACATCTCCCAATACGCGTCAATGTAGCTATGTGGAAGTGTGAGGGGAGGCTCGTCGCTTCCCGATCTCGAAAATCGAGCGCTGATTGGCTGATTAGCGACGCCCTTGTTGGCCTGGCGCGCGGCTATTCGGTCCAGGAGTGACAACCACTTCATTATCACGACTACGGTCGAAAATTAGACGTTGCTCACCATGGAAACCTTGTCGCGATGCGAAAGATAATACCGCTCTTCATTCAATATGCCTCTCCGGCAATCGATGCACGGCCAGCTACGTGATGATCCGCGAGGGGCATCACCTCATGCCTACAGACGTTCGCGAACGGTTCGAACCGCGCCATAGACTCCTACACGTATATGATACTCAGTGATATGACGGCCTTCCATTGTGGATCGCACGAGAAGAAACCGCTCGATATACCATCTTGGGTATACACAGTATATCATGAAGTGGCCCTCCTCACCTACCAACCCTGACAAGGAAAACACACTTCCAACGAAACAAGGGAAATTGAATGACAAAAGGAATAACAACCCATGAGATATCGATTTACAAAAAGCTCTCATCAGGATTAAAACAGCAGAAAATGCCCATGTGGCCCCTCTTTGTCCTGAGTCTTGGCGGCGACGATGCGGCCCTATCACTTCGGTGGGGTTGCTTGACGTTGGCGAGGGTAAGGCCGGGCATTCGAGGGTTGCTTCGGGCTAGATTCGACAGTATCTCTAGCAGACGATCGAGTGATCTTGCGATTACGTATCTGTTATCAAAGGCCGGAATTATATGCGGCCTTGGCCGGAACAAGTTCCGGCCTTCGCCATATAAGCGCGAGTTTTGGAGTCTCAAACGCTCGACCATCGAGTACAAGAGTCGGTTTTCGACAACACAAACTCAGATACTTTGTTACCTGAGCTTTCTCAGAATATCTCAAGATCGTTCACCATGTCGGTCGATATGTTCGAATTTCCGGTCCTAGAGGACACCCGTCCCAAGGACCGCTCCCTTCCTGCCTTCATGGTATCGACCAGCAGGGGTTTCCTCCCACGCCAAGAGCCCCTCGAGAAGCTTCCAGTCGAGTTTCAGGCTGTGGAATCGTTGCTTCAACGCATGCCTATCAAGACACTGTCCGGTGAGCCTGGTTTGCTTGCCAAGTTCACCTTTGGCGAGACTCTTGACAAGGAACTACCAGACCTCAGTGATGAGGTCGAACAGTACCGAGATGACCTTGTTACCATGAACGCTCTCTATCGCGACTACTCCTTCCTGGCTTCAGCGTACCTTTTTGAGCCTTGCCATGAGAGATTTCTTAGAGACGAACCATATGGACTTGGTAGGCAGAAGCTGCCTCGCAGTATTGCGTTGCCCATTGTCAAGATTGCTGAGATGTGAGTTCGACCTCGCTAATGATAGCTTTTGGACTGACCCACATCCTCAGCGCTGGATTTAAGCCTTTCATGGAGTACGCAGGTTCCTACGCTCTGTTTAACTATCGCCTCCAGGATCCTGATCAGGGATTAGACTACGACAATTTGCGCCTGATCCGCGCCTTTGAACATGGGCTTGACCCTACATCCTCAGAGGCAGGTTTTGTCCTCGTGCACATCGCTATGGTCAAAGAGTCCGGCCCGCTCGTCAAGGGTACCGTCGACATGCTCGAAAGCTGCATTGCAAAGGACCGTGAGAGGTTCGACGATGGGCTGAGGACCGTGGTAGATGCCTTGAAGAACGTCAATGCGGTCATGAACAGTGAGTCCACCATTCAACGCACTTCGGTGACCATAGTTTGACGGCTGCTCTAGCAATGTGGAACCGCTCCAAACCTCAGAGCTATACTCATTTCCGCACCTTCATCTTCGGCATCACATCGCAATCCATGTTTCCCAATGGTGTTATCTACGAAGGTGTGAGCGACGAGCCCTTGTCTTTCAGAGGCGAGTCAGGAGCCAATGACAGCATGGTAATTTCTCTACCCTCTTCCGACTCCCTTCCACACTCCTGACTTCACGCAGATTCCCCTGTGCGACAATCTGCTCCAGATCCAAATGCCTACAACACCCCTCACAGAGATCCTCCAAGACTTTCGTCAATACAGACCCGGGAACCACCGCGAATTTCTAGAAGCAGTGCGCGGATGCGACGAAGCCTCGGGTGTGAAGGAGTTTGCTCTCGCCAACCCCATCTCTGCGGCACTGTATCTTCAAGCCTTGAATGAAGTCAGGGATTTCCGGTGGCGGCACTGGTGCTTCACACGCGAGTACATCCTCAAGCGGACGATGCATCCGACTGCAACGGGTGGCAGTCCTATTGTTACGGTATGTGAAGCTCCTCGTCTGTTGGTGGGTCGAGCTGACAATGTCTTAGTGGCTACCTAATCAGCTACAGGCTGTGCTAGAACAGATGGCCAGTACGGTTGAATATTGCAAAGATGTGCATGGTGTTGGCGATATCATGGAAACGGCGAACAATCAGCGCGAGACATTGAAGAAGGAAGTGGCTAAGTATTGCGGTGAACGCGGGGTCGCTCCTTGACTGCTCGCACAACGACATTGAGCCATTTGGTCAAGCGTACATCTATGCATTGATACCTTAACTCCGTTCTTTCCAATCCGTATTCAGGTCCTTCTCGTGTTGCGCCCTTGAGTGTGGAGGGCGGGTCTGTGGCGGTGCGGCGAAATCTATGATGATAGGACCCATAGCCGCATACGAACCGCAAGCCCTTCGTCTATTGGCAACCACGTCGTCTTCAAGCCATGATCAGGCAGTGAAAATGCACTATCTCGAACGTGACTCGTGATGTTGACGTTGAGTCACGCGCGGTGATGGTCGTACGTCCCAGCGTCATCTGGCTATGACTGTTATCGATAGCTGGTAGGAGCTACTAAATACCCCAGCTGCCCCACGCAATGGCCTCCAGCACGACGCCATCCCATTGCGATCCATTCTCACGCCCCAATGCTAGCTGCAACACGTCTCATGGAATATTCGCGTCCAATACGAATATCAGCACACCGACGAATAAGAAACACCACCACCTGAACACCTACAGTCGCAACAACGCATCATGACCTCACGCCACGCTCCTAAGCAGAGTCCCATCGATCGGCGCAAGGGCGAGAGCGTGCGTTTCCACGTTTCCGACCATGCGTAGGAGGTGGACGCTGACAATCCCAGGCCCTCAGCGATTTCGCCGACTACGTGCAGAAGCAGCAAGCCCTGCGCCGCCCGCCAGGCCAGAAACCCGCCGACCTCGAAGAGCATGACGAGCTCAGCATCCTCGACGAGCTCGGCCTCTCCGACGACACGACACCGTCCCTACCGCTGAAAACGCTGCTGCTCCACCCCGCAGAGGACAATGTCGACAAACTCGCTGAGTACATTGAGGGGCGCCTGGCGGAAGGCCATGGCGAAGCGCTTTTCGACCTGGGCCTCGAGGACAGTGGCGATTCGATGGCCTTCTCAATATCTGACTGGGAGTCTGCGCTAAGAAGAGTGGGCGAAGTGTGCGACAAGACCAAAGCGGATTATAAGCTGCTCATGACGAGGAACGTTGGGGCGGATCCGGAACTGGAGGTTGGACCTAGGGATGCGAAGGATACGGGAGCGAGCGGGAAGCTGATTCTGCGGAGAAGGCCGGAGAGCGTGGATGATGTGATCGAGACACGGATAGCGGTTGTTGGCAATGTGGATGCGGGGAAGAGCACGATGCTGGGGGTTTTGGTGAAAGGTGGGCTCGATGATGGGAGGGGGAAGGCGCGTGTTAATCTATTTCGGCATAAGCACGAGATTGAGAGTGGGAGGACTAGCTCGGTGGGTATGGAAATAATGGTGAGTTTTCCGCATCGTATGGGTACGGCACAGAAGCTCATACCGTGGCAGGGCTTCGACAGCAAGGGCGAGGTGGTCGTTTCCAATGTCGCAGGGCGAAAATTGACCTGGGAGGAGATCGGCCGGAGGTCCGCCAAAGTGATTGGCTTCACTGACTTGGCTGGCCACGAGAAATACCGTGAGTTGATGCTCAGTGAACTATATAGACTGCTAATTCGATGTCCAGTCCGCACCACTGTCTTTGGTCTCCTCTCCAGCGAGCCGAATTACTGTCTTCTTATGGTTGCCGCCAACAATGGTCTCGTCGGCATGTCGAAAGAGCATCTCGGCATAGCCCTAGCTCTCAACGTGCCTGTAATGGTCGTCATCACCAAAATCGACATTTGCCCGCCCCAGATTCTGGAACAGACGATAACGCAGTTGACCAAAATCCTCAAGTCACCAGGAGCGCGCAAAATCCCAATCTTCATCAAGAACCGAGAGGAGTGCATAAACACCGCCACACAATTCGTGTCGCGGCGAATCTGCCCCATCTTCCAAGTCTCTAACGTCACAGGCCACAACCTCGATCTCGTCCGCAGCTTTCTCAACATTCTGCCCCACCACGGTAATTACAATAGCTCTGCACCTCTAGAATTTCATGTCAACGACACCTTCTCCGTTCCATTCGTCGGCACCGTCGTCTCGGGCGTTGTCAAATCTGGCGTCATTCACACTGGCGATACTATCCTCATCGGCCCTGACTCCCTCGGTCAGTTCACTACCACAAAGGTGCGCTCCATCGAACGAAAACGAATACAGGTCCCCGGCTGCTCAGCCGGCCAATCTGCGTCCCTCGCGCTCCGCAACGTACGAAGAAAAGACGTCCGCAAAGGCATGGTCGTCCTGCACAAGAACGATCCTACCACCGGCGCTGAGTTAACTCCCAAGGTCTTCCGCGAGTTCGTTGCCGAAGTACTGATCCTCTCGCACGCTACCACTATCAAGACGAAGTACCAGGCTATGCTGCATGTGGGGCCTGTATCGCAGACATGCGCTATCATCGACATCGACAGGAACTACATTAGGACGGGTGATAGGGCGCAGGTTGCATTCAGGTTCGTGCAGAGGCCAGAGTATTTGACTGTGGGCGATCGCATCCTGTTCCGAGAGGGTAGGACGAAGGGCTTGGGTATTGTGAAGAGGGTGGGATATGATTCGAAGCATCCACTGAACCCTGAAGCGGCGAAGGAGGGAAAGAAAGCCGAGGGAGGTTAATGGGCGTATCAGTCGCTAGGGCATCGCGCGGAATAAGAGATGCATTGTAGATACATATGTATATATGTTTCAGTTGGGGTGCTTGAGAGGTGAGGAAGTCTGATGAAGTCGGTCCCGTCACAATAGCGTACTGAAGTGATAACACACGGATAGGGCTGTAGGAACGTACTGCGATAATCTCTCACGCATTGGATTGCGTTCTTCCCTTTCGCCGGACTGGGTGGTTAAAGTGCGTATCAATAATGACCTGGTAACACTCCTTCGCCAGTCATACAAGAAAGCTTGGCTTTATTACGGTTCTACAACGGGTTCGACGCAGGACGGGGAGGACGAGCGTATCCATACCCCAGTCGGTGCGGTGTGAGCCAGTGTGACGAGGGAGGAGAAGTATCGCATCAAGACAATTCCACACGTGTAGTGGTAACATAACGGAGATAAGCACCATTTGAGTGCATAAGATGGTAGAGCTTGCGGGATTATTCGAGAATTGTTGCCGAATCATAGGCCGGGGAGTGTAACGCCTTCGCCTCAACCTGAAAGGTGAATGTGGGCCAGTACGTGGTTTAGCAGAACATGCTGGTAACAATGCAAGCATGGATCCACTGCACTGTTCGAATTTATCAATTGTGTTGGCGGCAGGAGTTTCCGCGCTCAGCTGACAGGAGCCACCTAGCACTAGCCTATATAGGCGATTCTCTCAACTCTAGCAATCAATCACTCCTACACTCCACTTGGTTCCTACAAAGTTGAACATGGTTTGTCACCTGGACTAGCCAATATAAGTGATTCTCTCAACTCAGCATTCATCACTCCTGCAACCAACCTGTTCCTCAGGTACGTTAAGTTGAACATGATTTGTTCAGCAAAACTCAAACTCACATCGTCAATTCTGCGTCTCTTCCTCATTCTATTTGACATCGACATCAATTGCATCTTATACATACAAACCATTCTCCGAGGCCAATTCTAGAGTATTTCGAAACGCCTGCACGCCCCAATACAAAGCTTAACCCAAACAAGCTCACGCCCGCTGCGCGCCACGCACAGGCCAGCGCCGATCACTGGACAGGCGCATTTCCCCGCCAGCCCTCGCGTGCCACCACGTCAATGAAACACCTCAGCGCCCACATTCCACTTTAAAACCTTCTATATAGTCCAATGCACCCCCAATGACTTTTTGATATCGTTACTTCCCCTGTTCGTGACCGGTGTGGACAATGAGAAAGCTCGCCACCCTAATCCCTACCATGCGCTGGATCCCGCACGACATCGAGCCACCTTCTAGCTCGGAGAAGAAAAAGGAGAGACCAAAGCGCTTCATTCTGAGCAGGAAGAGTAGCGAGCCAGATCATGGGGCGTTGAAGAGGAGAAAAAGCGGCATCAGCCTTACCAGCGTCATAGACGAGGAGCTGCACGCTCGGACGCATATGCAAGACCAGAGCGCTTTTTTCAGCGCGTTACCTCTCGAGATTAGGAAGATGGTGTACGAGTACGTGGCAGGAGAAGAAACGGTGCATTTACTTTTCGCGAAGAAGCGATTTGGACATTTCATCTGTAAGGGAAAAGGGGGTGAAGATGGCGAGTGTGGATGTAAGGTACTCGTTGGTGGTGCGCAGTGCGGGAGGTTGAGTGGCGCGTGCACGAGGATGTTGGTTGTTTGTCGCCGAATGTACGTGCTGTCGATTTGGAAAGAGTCAAGATACTAATTCGAACAGGTACACCGAATCCGCCCCGCACCTCTACAGCCCTCACATCTTCTCTCTCCTCCATGTAACCCACCTGCTCTTCCTCCCTACGCACATCCCCCAACCGCGCCTCGACACTATCCGCACTCTGCGCCTGAAATGGGCCATTCGCGGCATGCCTTATTTCCGGAGGAATCCGTCTTCGAAGCGTCCTGCGTACCCAGAGGACACGGCGAATTGGGAGAAGGGCTGGGACATCTTGTCGCGCATGAGGGGGTTGAAGGATTTGAGGGTTGCAATTATCGATCCGAGTCCGGAGGGGATTTGGGAGGCGCATTGGCTGGGGGTGGAGGAGGTGCTGCTGGAGGCTGTGATGAGGGTGAGGGCGCCGAGGAGGTTCGAGGTTGTGTTACCATATGCAAGGTGTAAAGTGGATTGGGATATGGGCGGATGTAATGCTAGGTTAGTCAGGCCTGTTGCGGAAGGAGGAGGAGGAGATTGAGGTGAATAAAGGTGCTGCTGTAGTATTGTCAATTGAGCTATAGCTCTAATTATCTAGGGAGAGTCCTTGGGCTTGACGATCGTTAGCAATGGCGTCTGTTGTATAGTATGATAATTGTTCAAGAAGAAAGTTACCGGATTTCAGGCCATCACGCTCGAACAGCCTGCTGTCAGGTCTGTTATCGTAGGAACTGGAAAGGTCAGGACTGGTCTCTGAGGTTAGTTGGACTTTCGACTGTCAACATAGCTCATAACGCATGAAGAGCATAAATGCTTACCCATTTTATGATATGCAACCCTCAGGCCGATTCCAAGCAGCACCTCTCCACTATCACTACTCTGCCACGTGGTATGTAGATCCCGGTCTATGCTCATAGATGACAAAGATCCGTTCGTAATCAGGCTCAAAGGGGTTTTCAATAAGGGATTCTTTCCGTAACGCGTAAACAGCTTAATACTTGCTGTCTGGGATCTGTCATAGAGAAGGTGGTCAGCCGTAATTGCTGCACTAGTATCATACAGCCTGAAATTCAGAGGGTAACGCAACTGCAGCTCGCATGATTCTTCTTGTCTTCGTCTCTTATCTCGCAACCTTTGCCAGTCTTTGCGTCTTCCCCATCAACAATCTCCTGTCACTTGATAGTCGCCTTCCTCTCCTGTTGTTTCTGCACCCGCCTACCGCTACACTGATGCCGCTTACAACAAGCAGCACAGCTCCCTTCACAAGCCGCCAAAACCCGCGTCCCAGCCTCCTCCCTTTTCAACTTCCTGCACCACCGAACCCACACCCACCTCTCATCCTCGCCCACCATAATCACCCTCCCCTTCGCATACCTATTCTTCGCAATTTGCACTCCCGGATTGATTGCTTTTGCAAACCCGCAGTCGAGATAGAACCTCTTCATCCGCTTCCCTCTAGACTTGGCTTCGAACCCCGCCCATCCGAGCATTGCATCAATCGGTACGCCGTGGAGTTGAGTCTGCGCCTGCGAAAAGTGGTCTCTATGACGCAGACGAAGACAGTACCTGCAAGCCTGGAGTCCTTTACTCGACGCTCTCAGCGTTAAATCCAAGCCCAGAGTAAAAGGAGGAAGCATTCGTCTGATCCAGCTCGATGCGCCGCGAAGCGCGACGATGGCCCAGAGCCAGGCGTGTGGTTCTTCATACAAATCTTTGTCTGCGCTGATGTGGCGGAAGATTTCGTGATGGAGTTCTGTTAGTAGGCGTAGAAAGGGTGTGCATGATATGGGAAGGGGGATTTCTGCTAAATGCGGGGGAAAGCGGTGAGTTGGGTGGAGAGGACCTATAGGTCCGGGTGGAACGAGCATTGTTGCGATGGGTTGGTTTCTGCTGTCGATTTGGCGGTAGAACTTAACACTTCGATCTTGGATTTAGTCTTGCCATGCGTCACAGAGCTTGTAAGGACCCATCTTATTGGTAGAAAACGTTTGAAAAAGAACGAAGGTCCTGGAGAGATCGAAACAAGCTCTAGACGTGGTGCTGGCTGTTGCGATATTTCGACTAAGTTTACAAGTCGAGGAGTGATTTATGTATATATATGGAATGGGATGGCTGAGAATGAAGGTGGTTGGCGGTGCGAACGCACGAAGGAGATGATTGGGCTGCTGCCTGGTAGAATTTTGACAGCACTGCAATCTCCTAAATCAAGGCATGCAAGCGTTTACGGTATCATGAATGCTCGAGACCCACACTAGCTCACGGATCCAGAATTCGCCTAAGAGGGAAGTGACTGGGCGTGTCATAGGTATGTCAGCAGAGCACACAGCCTGCGCATATCTCTTCCTGGATACACGTCCCGAACCGATGCTGTTCGGTTCGAGAATATTGGGCCAGATTTTCAAAAAAGTTCGACCGTTATCGTCCCAATCGCATTGAGCCTACAAAAATGGGTGGCATTTATCGAGCCGCGCTTCTGACGATCGCTGCATCGAAGAGCTCCGGTAGCTATGAGGAAAGTTTCAACGACGCCAAAGGTCCAAGTTCCAAATCTTTAGTCGATTGTGTTCGCGTCCAACGAAATAATATATCGTGTCATTCTCATATCATCCCTGTAGGGTTGGAAATCCTTCTGCAAGCATAAATGCCCAATATACATCTACACCTCCCTAATCTTGAAATGAAACATCTCATTAGACGGGACCGTATTCCGATCTCTCATCTTATGGGCGACCTCCGTTCCAAAGACCGGTACACGATACTCGAGTCGCTTGCCAGGTGCCGGGGCCTTCCCATCTGGAAGTGGGTGCGGGAAGGGTAGATACTCTGGCAACAGACCCAGTTGCCGGAGGACTGTACCTTGGTCCCAGCTGATATGCTCATGGTATAAGCGATCGCCTCGAATGTTCACGACAGCACAGAATGGTACCTCGACCTTGAGGTTGGTTGGGGGAATACCAGGAACACTTTGCGATTGTCGTTAGCATGAGCTTTGGAATAGGCAAGGGGAAATACTTACAGCCAGTCAAGCTCACGATCATGAGTAAAAGTGAAGATGAATTCGTCAATAATTCGATCGATGGCAATCGATCTACTTATCAGCTCTAGGTTCGTGTCTGCGGAGTTGTTGAAGATAAAGTTGTGTGCGTAGAAGTTGGTCAAGGGCTCTCTGCCCACACCACCCGTAAGCTGTATTCCAATCAGCGCGCCAATCTCAAATTCATCATTGCGTATTACCATACAGTGGGAACGTGATTTACATATGGTTCCTGCACCATAGTACTCATTGTGTGCTCAACAGAACGATCCGCGAACTCGTAGTAGGTGTGCTCGTCCCATATGAGCTCAAGGTCAAACCATGGGCCACCCATCTGCTTCTTGAGGTGTGTGATACTCCTAGTGTGCGATATAGCCTCTTGAGTATAGTGAAATGTCTTCTGGAAGGGAGTGGCAAAAGTGTATGACTGCACCTCTGGGTAGTAGTACAGAGTCAAGTTCTCGGATCTCAGCGGCCTGTCACTCCCTTTACCTGCCAAGTGATACATAGATGGAGCACTTGACGCAGCTATCAATTTTTGCTCAGCAGTATCTGCGTATACAGCGGTAGCGGCGACTTCCGGGATGCTGTTCACTGCCTCTGCGGCAAGATTCCAGCACATTGGGTCGTATGCTATACGGATGATTATGTTAACCTGAGCACTGCAATCTCAGTTTCCAATTGAACTCACCCACAACTCCGATCTTCTCTTTAGGTTTGCACTTCTTATTCTGTTTCAGTGCGTTGACAGCTTGGCTAAGCGCATCCTTGACGTTCTTCTGTAGCGCCTGCTGCTCAATTTCAACAACGGCGTAACCTTCTTCGGCCCATTTTACGAGATGTGATGGAACACCTTCTATGATCTTTGTTGATGCACTTGAATCTGAGACAAGCACAATGATTCCTGGACCGTGCCCTCTGCGAGTGAGTGGGGACAGCATGGACACGCCCTGGTCGAGGATTCGGAGTTCCTCCTTTGGCAGTGGCGGTGGAGGTTTCGTGACATCGTTGAACATCTTGGAATTGAGACTGGACGTTAGATCGAGCTTCAGGGATTGATGTCTACTCCGCTAAGATACTCTTGGAGCTTCAGTGGTGGGCTGAGTTCGCGAGGCTGAAATCCAGGTTACTGATGACCTTTTTTTAGAATGACATCTGATGATGCACGTGTAATCTGTTGAACCGTTGAACGTAAGTAATGCATACTTCGTGGTTTTGACTAACTGGTCTGATTGTGCTGCGGTACCGGTACGGGGACTCGCGAATCTAGCGCGCGATCACCAGCGGAACCAAGTCCGGGCCACCATCGCCCCTCCGACACTATCGGCTAGACCACGTATCTTTCCCGCCACTGTCGGGTACTGATATGCAGGGCAGGGGAACTTTGCCGACCTTGATTCATGGGTCCAGACTATTGCCACGTGGCTTTAGATCCTCGGTCCAAAAGCTCAAGGAGGTATTAGGCCTATTCTTGTCTGAATCATCTGTGCATTGTTGCATATGCTAGAGGTACCTTTACTACAAGCAACAAGGACGATTCGAGCCATACACACACACTTTCAATCAAAGTCACCCGAAATTCGAAATTCGATTACAATGGCCGACAAGCTTGACGATGTGCGGCCTATGTTTGAACTGCGAGGCCGAAACTACTTGATCACTGGTGGTGCACAGGGTATCGGTTTTGCGGCCGCACGGGCTATCGCCGAGTTGGGAGGAAATCTGGCTGTCTTGGATATCCAGGACAGACCGGTTGAGGAGTTCACCGGCCTGGCGTCTAAATACCATGTCAACACCTTCTACTTCAAGACAGATCTCACACAGCAGGAAAGCCTGAATGCGGGATTCGACCAAGCCCTCGAAGCTTTGGGATCGATTGATGGTTGTGTACCTGCGGCAGGGATTGCCATCGACAAGCCTTTTGTTGACCAGACATGGGAGGAATTCACACGCATTCAGGAGATCAACGTAAGTGATCTTGCTTATGATCATGCCCGTTGCTGACATGTCTCAGGTCCGGGGAACTTTCTTCATTGTCCAAAGGGTGACCAAGCAGATCATCAAGCAACGGACTGCTGGTAGCATTGTGCTTATTGCTTCTCAATCGTCTCACATTGGCCTTCCAGGCTATAGAATGGCCGCATACAATGCCTCTAAAGGCGGTGTTCTGATGCTTTCCAAGGCGCTCGCGGTGGAGCTAGCGAAACATAACATCCGGGTCAACACCATTTCCCCTGGATTTGTCGATTCAGAAATGACACGCAATGTGCGTTCAGCAAAGAGTAAGCGGGAAGGAGACCAGATGTGGCTCGCTCCGCCGCTACAAAGGTTGAGCACGCAGAACGATCTTACGGGTGCGATTATCTATCTTCTTAGCGATGCATCGAGACACACAACAGCAGCGGATATCCAGATTACTGGAGGTCTACACGCTGGTACAATTGATGGAGTCATCAGTCCGCCATCATAAAACACCGTTTAGCATTTTCTAAAATTATTAATGAGGGTTTCATGTTTTGTTGAGTATCAACATCATCCAGAATCATGCTCATGGCTTGTCATTGTTTCTCATCATCTGTCTGCATTAAGACACACGAGCGCTGTTCACGTCCCTGGCTTTGCATGAGTCTCTCCATCAGAAATTCAAATTCTTATCAGAACACGACGGGGTCACGATTCCAAATTTGAACATAGCATCCATTGAACTTGGATGTTCACGCCCAATGCACACTTAGGGCTTCTTCGTAGATCTGGTGCTTTGAATACCTCGAAGGAAAATATCTGGAATCACCGACGAGGCTCCTTTTCGCTAACAGGTCGGATAATGGACATTACCGCTTCATCTGGTTCAGAAGTAGTTATCATACGAAGCAACCGAGGCGCGCGGCTGTGGGTCATCGGAGCGATCGATTTGAATTGCGAAATACCACCGCGGGAAGGAAACTGTGGCTCCATTGATAGGCCGCGCCGTGAAGACGACTTATAGAACAAGGAACGTTATCCGCCACCTCAAGCGGGCAATGCACCAATTAGAGTGTGCGCGCACTAGCACCTTATCTAGCCGACTTTATCTTGTCTAGAGTCTGTGGAACAATATCCGCTGCCAGATAAAGCTAAGAACTCTTCCCCACATAGAGCTAGGAACGCTTAACCCCAGATCAGGTGACGCCGATAGGGTCGCATTGGACAATTGACTCGGATAGCCCCTGACTACGATAGCCAGTTGGCAAGACGCCATTCATCCTCGCTGATCAACTGCTTGCACTACTTCATAGGCCAGGCGAGCTCCTGGAAAAGATCGCGGATACGTTCTTAACATCATAATTCCCCAATCACGCGAAGAGCCTTGGTCAGTCTGTATTTGTTCCTCCATTGCACCTTCAGCCTCAGCCATGATTGCAACAATGCCTGAGGCGTACGATCTCATTGTGGTCGGTTCAGGTACGTCCTTTACCTCTAGTTCAGGACCTGCGTCAAAATTATTTAACGAATTGGCGTTTAGGGTGGTTCGGCCTTGGGGCCGCTCGGGCATACTTACAATCTCATCCTGATCAGAAAATTGCCGTACTTGAATCGAACGAGTCGGTTGGCGGCACGTGGTCGGAGAAGCGGTTGTATCCCGGCTTGAAATCTAACAACATGCTTGGCAGCTATGAGTTCCCAGACTTTCCCATGAAGGAGGAGGTTTACGGTGTGAAAGAGCTCGATCACATCCCCGGCACGGTTCTGAGTCGCTATTTGACCGACTTCGCGAAACATTATGGCATATACGAGAAACTACAGTTCAATTCAACTGTCGGTCTTGTCGAATGTACAGAATCTGGATGGATCCTAACAGTCATGTCGCCAAGTGGAGAGCGAAGAATTCCAACGGAGAAGCTCATCCTCGCAACGGGCCTGACATCGACACCTAACATTCCATCGTACAAGGGTGCCGAGAAGTTTGAAAATCCCTTCTTCCATGCGAAGTACTTTTGCCGGAGAGCAGATGAGCTGAAGGAAGTAAAGAATGCAGTTGTTGTGGGAGGCGCCAAATCTGCATATGACGTTGCGTATGCCATGGTTGAGAGTGGTGCTACAGTTGACATGATCATCAAGCCTGACAGCAACGGCCCTGTCTGGATCGCACCCCGCAAGGTTACACCACTTCAGCACCGCATAGACACTATCCTTAACGTTCGAGCCCTATCATGGTTCAGTCCTTGTCCATGGGGCCAGGAGGATGGCTTTGGTGGTGTGCGCAAGTTCCTAGAGAAGACTTCCATTGGACGAATGCTCGTCAGAGGCTTTTGGAGCATGCTGGGAAACGATGTTCTCCAGCATCACCAATACGATAATCATCCTGAACTCCAGAAGCTCAAACCATGGCACTCTGTCTTCTGGATTGGCAGCGGTTTGAGTATCCTGAACTACAACACCAGTTTCTTTGACATGATCCGCGATGGCAAGGTTCGCGTACACATTGAGAACATTGATCACCTTGCTCCTGGGAAGGTTGTGCTTGAGAATGGAGACGAGTTGGTGGCAGATGCTATGATCTGTTCAACAGGCTGGAAGAAAGAGTCAACTATAACGTTCAAGGGGCTGGACAAGACAGGCCTGGGCCTGCCCATCAACGAGAAGGAACAGGCAAACCTTAGCCTAGAATACGACACGAAAGTACTCAACGACTTCCCAATTTTAGAAAAGCAGCCCATCCTACGATCCAAGGCTAAGAGACCCGCGGACCCTCTGCGGTATTATCGCTTCATGGTACCGTCGGGCATGCTTGCGAAGCGGAATTTTGCCTTCGCGGGGATGATCTCCTCAGTCAGCACTGCCATCTGCGCCAGTACGCAAGGTCTCTGGATTACAGCGTACTTCGATGATAAGCTGGACCGCCAGGCCAAGACCCAGGACGAGATCACCCGTGAGATCATGATGCACACGCAATGGGGCAAGTGGCGGTACCCCTGCGGCTACGGTGCAAGTCTCCCAGATTTCGTTTTCGAGGGCATTCCTTACGTGGACATGCTATTGAAGGATATGGGTATTAGAAATAAGCGGAAAGGCTCCTTCATCAAGGAACTCATCTCACCATACGTGCCGAAAGATTATAACGGGGTGCTAGATGAATATAAGAGGAAGATTGGTATCGTGACCCAGTGAAAGTAGAATAGGGTAGCAAATGCCTAGACAGGGCACCGTTCTGTTTCTTATGTCTTAATCAGACTGATCTGCATGGAAGTGTCTTTACGTTAATTTAAAGTTTTCAGTCATCCAATTACCACCACAGGTCCACATTAGACACGGATAATCGGTACCTGCTTCATACCAATCTTGAAGACTTCTCATGCGCGCGTACCTCTAGTATCTGGGTACTGTCACGCTACACTGTCTCGAGGGTCATCGCTGTGATTATGCGGCGCCCTCCTTTCGACCACCTGTGTGCTCTACATCGTGTACCATGGTTCCATCCTAGGCCTCACCACTCAACAGAACACCAACAAGTCAACACCAAAGCTATTCCCACGGACGTTGCCTATCAGCACGTGATCAAAATACCGAAAGAAGGCCATCACATAGGCTCCAAATTCCGTATGTGGTATCAATCAGTGAATGTTCCTCAACCAAGAGGCTGACGTTTCCGGCGTCTCATGTGTTACGTAAGGCCAGTGACAGCTCACGATTGTAAAGGCATATGTGGCTTATGTAGCCCCATGAGGCATTACGTAGTGGGACCATCCACTTAAATTCAGAAGCTGTCAAAGTTTAAACACTCTGGTTCTCGTAGATTTGTTTCCGCCCGCAAGAACAATTATGTAATGTACAAGATAGCTAGATCCATTTCGCTTGTACTCATCTATCGTGAATACATGACTCATGCTATGGAGCCTCCAACCTGTGCTGAGCAATCCAGGCCCATATCCACATCTGGCAACATGGGATAGAGATACGCACCAGCATATTTATCAACGTCCCAGAGCATGCGCATAATAACATCGTTGTCACCCATCAACGCAGGATCTATAGGTCCTATAGCGTTCGCAGCGCTACTCGTATGATCAAGCTCAAGAGGCCATTCGGTCAGGGAAGGCTCCAGTACCGACGTATCCGGGCTCGGGAACTGTGTGGTGATATGTTCCGCCTCGTCCACTTCGGCTGTGGAGTCTGTGAAGAAGACGCGGTCGACGAGCGTCGGACGAGATTCTTGCTTCTCCCGGATCAATTGTTCCCGGTAGGACTTGATGGATTGGTGGAAGCTCATGAGAATATTGTAGTACTGCTCAGCCTGAGGACTCATCCGCTTGAGCTCCCCCAGAACGTGAAGTGACTTGAGGAACGCGGCGCGCTTCTGTGAGAAACTGTGGCCATCTTCTACGAGTATCGAAAAGCCGAGAACAAGTCCGGTCGCAAAGATCCAGGCTCTATTAGATGTTAGCATACTGCTATGGTATGGGTAGGGGCAACCCACTTGAGGATACACATATTGCCAATCAACATGCCAGATTTCATAACTTGATGACACATCTGAGCCATGAGCGACGCTGCGTCAATGCAAGCGTCTGCCAGATGAGCGACCTTTGTGTTCTCAGTTACTACAGGCTCCGAACTCTGGGCCTGCCGAGGCGAGTTCCGCGCCTGCTCTGAGAGCAAGGGTACCACGTGTCGAATCAAACAATGTCGAGTGACCAGAATGACACTGAAATAGTATGAGCCGGCCACGTGGACATTTCCGATCGTCATGTGTCGCGTGTTGATGTTTTTATCGCTACCATGATGCCGTAAAATCGGTGGAAACGTGCGACTACTTTGTCGTAGAGCCAACACGAAGGCTTCGGTAGCCTCCATGTCAAGACCAAATTCAGCAGACTTAGCTACAGCCTCGTTGAGAATGGCGGAAACTTCATAAGATGCACCTAGAGCCAACGCTTTGTATGTGACTTCGGGGTTCGTATTCGAATTGTCAGTTACGTAGCTTGTATGGCCCTTACGTAGAGACGGAGTACTACTCGGTCGACCAAGAATCGAATTGCAAATAACATCGAAGACGCGTAAGCTTTTGGCTGTTCGAAGTCTGTCGTACTCATGTTAACGTAACCCCATGGAAAGTCGGATGCATGTATGCCTTACCTCGCGTTCCTGACTTGTTGTGATAGATGATTACATTGTGCAGACGAATGTAGCCCCAATATATCAGCAGCTTTTGAGGCAACACCGAGGTACATGAAAGCTGTGTTACGTCGGCATGCCCCGAACATGTAAAAAGCCATAAGGAGGAAAGCTCTTACTAGGTCCAGACTCGGATCCTCTAACATCCTCTCGAGTGCCAGCTTCCGAGCGTAAGAGAATAGTTTCGCTGCCCATGTGGCATCGTCAATGCTGTGGCGACACTGTGCTCCAATCGCAATCATGAGGTACAAAGATGCGGTCTCTAAGCTGCTCAACCTTTGAGAAACAGGTGGTATCGTGCTTGGGCTGATAGGTTCGTGGCTTCCCAATAACCGTGAGATGTCTTCCCAAGAGTAGAGATCGAGAAGGCCACTTGACTAAGCACCATTCAGAATGCGATTCGAGGAAACCAAGAGTGGAAAGATGGGGTTACTGACGGCATCCAGAAAGACTTGTATGAAGGCGCTCTTCTCATCAATGCTCAGACTGTCGTAGACGGAATTTGGATCTACGTCTGCACTGTCTGCTTCGAAGAGCTTGTGACTATCATCGGCGACGGTGAAGCCAGAAGGACCGACATGGCGTTCCAACGTCTTCTGTAAAAACCTCAAGAATGAGATGGCAGCCGTATTCCCGATGAAGACTGGAACGAACAGTGATTAGCTTGCGTCTTCGATATCTATGTTGGGATGTGCTTTGCGAGTGAAGGAAGCAAGTGTATCAATGTATTGCAAATCGCCACATGTATTGCGTCTTGACTTGACTTACCATTTTCTCCGTTCACGCTCGACAACATGAGAGGCGGCTGGTCTATGCCCTCATTAGAGGAAGTTTGCGTCTCATCATCGAAGGCAAGCTCAGATCCATCATGACCATCAACATCGACCTCATCCGAAGTAATGCTACCTGAAGACACGACACTCTGGCCATGAACGTTCCAGGAAGAAATAGGCGAGACCATGGAATTGCCTAATGAATTCCTATTCCCTCTTGAATTCGAATCAAGTACAGTGGCATTCTGTGGGAGAAACGAGCTTCGCCGTGGTAATGGGTGGCGCCGCCTGCCGCGTGTGTAATGACAAGTCTCAGGGTTGCCTTTCTTCACGCAAGCATCGCAAGGCTGGTTTCCGTCACAGCGCTTCTTGGATCCTTTGCACTGGTCGCACGCTCGAGCGACCCGCTGCCGGTCCTCTGGCTTCACTGGCCGACGGGGCATCGTGAACTCGGATCCTGGAGTGAGATCAGAACATCACGTGACCATATATTTGAGGTCTCCAGGCCCACTCAGTGCAAATCTGGGGTATCGGATGTCGTGTGTTGTGTTGAAAAGGAAACATGCGGAAGTCGTTCGTGGAGCAGTAGCCGCCATGATGTTAACGCGGCTCTGACAGGCATCTATCCAATCGCCGCTCGACAAGTCTAGCTGCCAATAACAGGGCCTTGATCTCACCAGCGGCATACTGATAAGCATGAAGCGGGACGCCCTTGTGCTCTAGAGTCCCAAGGTGCCCTATCCGAAGATAGGTGACGGTCCGCTAGATAGATGGCGATCCCATGACTCGGCCCTATTTTAGCGTGCCTCGGCCGCGGCGAAATTTGGCCACTCAGTGGCCACCCACAGGCATACCAATAATTTCATCGGTGCATCCCCAAAGACCACTACGGAAGCGAAGGTACGCGTGGTCGACAGAGCGACGCTTGAGCCTTTTCTGGTTTGCTCACCGGTATGCTTCAGCAAGTCTACCGACTTCAGTAACAGGAAGCGGAATATCTCCGCGAGTGGAGACGTTCCCCGTGCAACGACCTGAGAATGCAGCGTATATCAATGGCATATTAGGCACATCCTGCACCTATACTTGATCCGGTTATTCCCAGAAATGAACAGAGAGAAAAACGTTCACACAGTCAATCTTTTTTTTCCAGGCAGACCACCTTATAGTATTCCGAGGTCAGATGAATCCATGGATGTATTGCTGCCCCATGTATTAGGAAAATCGTTGCCTTCAGTGTCGACCTAATGGTAATTCACGGTGTGGAAGCATATCTCGGTATCTCGGCGTACCATTGCTGTTTGCTTGAAAGTTCGATGTTTCTTATCAGTTCTTGACGTCTATATAACTTTTGCATTGGAGTCCTTGTACTTGTTGAGCTTGAATAGGCCTTTCGCATTCTCCCCTGCCAATCTTGAGACGATCTCCCGTGTTCATCTCCGCGTTGTCAAACCAGACACATCCATCCTCGAAAGTCTCAAAAGGATAATCAACGGAGAATAGAATACGGTCGGAGCTGACCTGATCTTTGACGAAATTCAGGGTTGTCGTAGAGAAATGACCGCTGGTGGTCACCCAGAAGTTCTCATTGAAGTATTCGCGGATTGTTTTCTTGCAGTCGAGGCCGAGCTTCTTCTTACGGTCCTCGAACCAGTGGTTTATGCGCCACATGTCGAAAGGAATGTGCTCCCCCAAATGTCCAAGGATGACCTGAACCTTAGGATTCCTGTCGAACACACCATTTGTGACCATTCCAAGAGCATGCAGACTGACTCCAACGGCGAAAGATAGGGGAGGGCCAATGAGCCATTGGCGGTCCTTCCAAAGCTTTTCGAAGACAATGCCAGTTGGGTTCCTAGGATGCAGGTATAGAGGTACGTCGAGCTCCACCAGTGTTTGCCAGAAAACGTCCCATTCTGGCTGATCGTAGAAAACGTAATCTTCGCCATCTGCGCCAGCTCGTTGAGTATCGTTTACCAACGCGCCCTTGAAACCGTACTTTGTAACTGATCTCCTCAATTCATCGGAAGCTTCCTGCGGGTCGTGCATGGACAAGGTGCTGTAATCTGGATAAGTATCCACCAGTGAAAATAGTAGAGCAGCTGGTATGCTTACGCGAAGGCTCCGAGACGATCAGGGAAGGGCTTGATTTGCTCGGCGATATAATCATTGATCTCCACAGCCAAAGCCTGAGCTTCCTTGGGATCAAAGATATCTTGGACACCAGGTGCAGTGTAAGATAGGATAGTGTAGCCTACACCATATTGATCCGCAAACTTTAAACGGATGTCCTGAATATCTTGAATCTCTTTTGTATGCTTTTCAGCATCTGTGCTGAAAAGACCGGCCCACCATTTTGTTTTTTCCTCCAGACGAGGCAAGGCAAAAGCTTCTTCGAGAATGACCTTGCCGAGCATTTGGTAGAGCTCAAGGAAGTAGGCGTGAAGTGAGCAAAGAGAGAGAGCGAGGGAGGGGGAGAGATTGAAACAAGGCAGGTTGAGGATGGGTGCTTTTAAGAAAGGATTAGAGTTGACTATGATGCCAGTATACACTAGGGCCAATGCTTCTGCTTATGGTGTGAGTTTCAACGGCGGCAAAGGATTGTAAAGGAATTCAGATCATGCAGCCCCACCTTGGGACTCCGCACCAAGCTGTCTCCTGGCGCGTTGGTTGCATCCCCGGATGTTCTTGGTGAGGGGTGGGTGCGTTCATCGGTGCGAGTGTGGAGGGGAGGCGGCGGAAGCGTTCCGTGCAATAGCCGAAGCGGGAAGCGCACACTTGCATGAAGCGCGGGGTCACAGGAGATGCTTTAATAGTAGAGCCGTCGGATGCATGCGATTGTGCGTTTGGACTTGAACCGGGCATCTTGCCATTTTCGCAATCAATATGTGAAGATCCTACGTCCAGCGACACCTACAGTATCATATACCAGGCCTATGAGGAGTGTTGATCGAACGTCTACAGTTCATGGTCTTCAATCTAGACAGGCAGATTGCTCACTACTCAACAATGCCGGAAAACAATATTGACGCGGAATTAACTGTTGATAGTATATTGCCATATGGCGCATGACTAAGAAGTTACTACTAGCGATATGTGCCATATCAGGAAGCGTGTTCCGAGGTTGATTGCAGATGTACAACTTTAGACAAGAAAAATCGAATTCTAGCATCGATGAGTGAAGACGAGTCGTTCATTAGGGGGCCGTTGGAAGTCGAAGTTTCATGCTAGTCCTTGTTGGCCACTCAATCTGGCATGGTGGCCTGCGAGGTCGTGTGGAGCGGTAAGCTTACGGAGGTAGTGGCCAACAGGAATCAAGCATGTGCGCGTACAGAAAGATACGTGAAGGATGATATTCATCGAACAATTTGTGCGAACCCCTTGTATTTACACAAGCAGTTTGACAAGTCATGTAGATTCCTCGAAGTTTTCTATCGATCTGTGGTCTTAATATACCTAGGTAAGGGCGATAGGACTAGGGGCACGATATATACATATATGTAGTTGCACACGTCTTCAATTGCGGTTCCGTTATGTCAAACTTAGGAGTCATTCCTCCGTTCCATTCTCTGTGTACCCCTTTGACGTGTCAATAACCTTTGCGAACATCTGCCTCAGATCCAAAGTCCCACGTAGGCAGGTCCGAACCATTCGGCCGGCTAGCTCTCTGAAAACCAATTTCGAGACCTTCGATCTCGGCCACCGGGTTCACTACTTCAACATCGGCGTTGTACTTATCTGCGTACCATTTATCAAGTAATTTCGGGCGCGTGAAAAAGGTTGGAAACTGTCGGCGCATTTGTTGCAGTGCAGTGCCACTGATCTGATCCACGCTGTTGCCGTGTCGCAGCGCCAGGAATTCGGGTCCCATCAATTGTCGAAGCTGTTCTTGAACTTGTTCCGTATGCAGCCCTGCTTTGAAGAGCAAGAGATCGTACTGTAATAGAGAGACTTGACCATGCCATGAGCCACCGCGTTTTGTTCGATGTAGAAGCCCGATGAGAGAGGCAATGGCTCCCATGCAGCCAGTTCCGTAGTCTGATATTGGGAATGGAGGTACTATAGGCTCTGAAAGACCCATGAACTTCCCTTGCTCCCACGCAACACCCGAGACCTGCACGGAAAGGTTAATACCAGGACCTAATTTACAAATGGTGCTTAAGCTATGGACTTACACAATCGGCGATCTGTTGCCATCCCGGCCTGTGAGCCCACTCGCCCTCATATCCAAAACAGTTCTCGTTGACATATACGATACCCTTACCTCGTCGCATGGCCATCTCAGACAGCTGCCTTGGGCCGTATCCAAGTCTATCAAAGGTTCCAGGTCGATAGCCATCCACAACAATGTCCACTTCGGCAAGGAGGGCTTCGAATTTTGCTTTTCCTTCGGGCATCTTTATATTCAGATCTGCTGCATGCTTGCCCATGTTTCCATCAACCTGGAAGAATGGTACGTCGCTTAAGTTAGGACTGGTGATCTTCAAGACTGTGGCACCATACTCGCCCAAGATGCGCGTAATTGTGGGACCTGCGATAATTCGGCAAAGTTCAAGAACTTTGATGCCTGACAGTGGTCTCTTGTCTTTGCTTGATGGGAGGGGACATGGCGGCGTCCGGCCCTCTAATTGAGTGATGTTCCATGGCAAAGTTTTCGAAGCTACTTTCCCCTGTGGTGATGATCAACATGCACTCACTTCCAGATTACGGTTAACAAGCTTACATGTGGTGTCTTCAAGAAGTCTTCGTGTTTCAACACAGGAATTCCAGCCTGTTTGTTAGCTGCATTCATCTCCTCGAGCTGCTCGGTCGTGAATTTTCGGACGGCACCTTCTATCGTACTGACAATTTCCTCATGTGTCTCAAGATCGGGTCGAAAAGGTTCCAGGCCGATCATGCCCAGCGTCTTGGATGCTTCCAGTGAACCATGTATGTGGTAATATTCTCCTTGTCTGTTCGTCTCGTACAGATTTGCTGACATGCGGCGATACGGATTAGACTGTGCCTGTAGAAGATCCGTATCTTCCCGGGTCTTGTCAGCCAGTGCAATCAGCGATCATTGGTCTAAGGCGAATACCTTTGAGAAGTTTCTTAGCATCTGGATCCAGCTTGGTTTTGCCTCCGACCGTAGCTAGATACGCTTGGAAAAGAAAAGCTGTTGTCTTCTCCAGATCGATCTTGATGGCTCTTTGTGCATCTTTCCCAGCTTTGAGATCACCTAATTCGGCAACCACAGAAGCTTCCATAGCTTTCAGTGCCGCTGTAGTCTCCGTCTCCTTGAAGGGGATGGGAAAGTAGGGTAAGGTCCTTTTTGCCTCGAATGTGACATTCTCTGCCCTGTGGCGGATTGATTTTGGAAGCTCATCATCATGCTCGTTGAACAGCTCCAGTAACGTCTGTAGGATATTCTTTGACTCCTCGGTCGACTTGTAGAACACCATGTTGCGTCGCAGCTTCACACTCAACTGCGCACTTCGAGACCTTCGTAGCAATGCTGGCCTCCAATATCGTTCTGTGCGACGTCGCGCATGACATACTAGGTGATGTACAGACTAGACCTATTACAGAGAGCTTCGAGTACCATCGTTTCTAAAGTGTGGGGGTCTGGTCCCGCTTGGAGGTGTTCCGATGGGGCATCGGATGCGGCACCTGGGAGCATCGGCTGATGCCCGCGTACCGCTTGCGCCCCTAGTGAGCGATCCGCGCCGTTCTGTCAAGGCGATACAGGCGCACTTGCCGTTCAATAACAGCCAGGAATCCAATTATCACAATCCAATTTCTAATTGGCACAGGGCATATCACAGCATATCACAGCATATCACGCCAGCTTCGAAGCTACTGCGGGGTAACGAAGACTCGGGGCGTGAGCTCGATGCAATATTTGGGAAACTTGATAGCTTGTCCATATCAATTACCATTCGTCTAACCTCACTCTATCGGCACATTCCTTTCCGCTGAAAAGAAGCATGCCTCACACAAACGGCACCAACAACGTCAACGGGGCCAGCAAGCCCAAGCCTCAGTATGAACCCGATTTCACATCGAATGTGATCAAAGCTACTGGACCGAAAGCCAATCCCCGCGTCGCGCAAGTCGTCGGAAGCTTAATACAGCACCTTCATGATTTTGCGCGCGATGTCGACCTTACAGTCGACGAATGGATGATGGGCGTCAACATGATCAACCGCGCAGGCCAGATGAGCAACGAGAGACGGAATGAGGGCCAGCTGTTATGCGACGTGATTGGTCTCGAATCGTAAGCTCTCACAGTCCGAAGGCCACTGTATTCACTGTATTGACTTTCCTCAGGCTTGTTGACGAGATTACAAACAAGCAGCTCGTAGGCGCCGACTACGAAGCCACGAAAACAGCCATCCTGGGACCTTTCTTCCGACATGATACGCCGCCCACCAAGAATGATTCGAGTATCATCAAGACCATGCCAAAAGATGGTGAAGTGACGTATATGCACGGCGTCATCCGTGATGCTGCCACTAATGAACCACTTAAGGGCATTACAGTTGATATCTGGCAATGCAGCACGAATGGTCTCTACGAGCAACAGGATCCGGACCAAGCAGAATTCAACCTGCGCGGTAAGCTCACCACCGACGAGAATGGATATTATGGGCTGTACTGCTTGCGGCCTGTTCCATATCCTGTACCATACGACGGTCCGGCTGGTGAGCTACTTAAGCTTCTGGACCGTCACCCTTACCGACCGGCCCATATTCACATCATTGTAAGCCACATCAATATTTTGATGCACATATGAGAAGTAATTGACAAGATGGTTGTAGGCGGGGAGCGACAAGTACACTCCTTTGACAACCCAAATTTTCGACAAGACCAGCAAATATCTTGCAGATGATTCAGTGTTCGCGGTGAAGGATGACCTCGTCGTTGATTTCGTGCCAGTTGAGAGCAACGAAAAGGCATCTTTGGAGCTCACATACAATATCAAGCTAGCTAAGATAGTAGAGTAGAAAAATGAGTAGAATAGAAGATAAAATTCTGTATACCTTGAGCTCGAGCGTTCTTAACGTTTCTCAAAGTGAAGTGCCCAAGTGTTCCGGGCGTGTATCTCATGGAAGGTGGGCAGTACCGCCTAGGTTACTTGAGGACCGTAGATAATTTGTCGCGACTACATGAGCCCTTCTTTCAATCAAGACCAGATTTCTATGCTAGTAAGAGGATTTTATGAGATTCCACGCCATAACGGATACTGGACAGTTACCGTGACTCATATGCCGCAATAAAGACAACGGAGTTTGGCACATGAGTCGCTTCCTAAAGCTCTGTATGTGTGCGTGGGAGCGTCGAAAATTTTCAAGATTGAAGAACAGCGTGGTCCGTGATCTTTTGAAACGAAGTTTCTGACGAGTTGGAAATTACTATCGTGGCTCTTTTCGACTACACTTTAGGCAGCTTAGTATTTTGGATTTGACACCCTACTATAAGTTTGATGAGTTTGGAACCCGCAGCTATCAACACGTTCTGACTTGTAGATTGTTTTCAACATCATATCGAGATACGCCTAGACTGCGACCGCCCGGAAACGAGGTCGAACGTGATAGATCGAGTATTAGAAAACGCGGAGATATTAAAACTTTGGAATAATATTTGATCTTCTAAAAAGGTATAACATGAAGGAAAGCTTTACGCTCTATAACGCTACATCAAATTTGTTGTTTACAACCTAGATTGCTTCTCGCCGACTGTGACACCATTCGTGAGCTTGAGACCAATAGGTAAGCCCTTGATGTACTTGTCAGTGTACGGAACTCCTCGTCTCTCGGCAAAAGCCTGGTCAATATCCTTGTACATGTCATATGCGTTCATCTCCTCAATGGTGAGCTTGTTCGCTTCGTCCTCTACTTTGTACCCTTCAATGTTGGTGTTACTCGAAAAGCCTGAAATTAAATGTCAATCGTTGCTGTACATGTAAAATAAGTGTACTTACCGATTCGCTCGTTGATATTATACGCGGCTTTGGCTGCGGAAGACTGAACCTTTGTGGCGCGAGGCAGACGGATCTGCTCGTAGACAGCAAGAGACTCTTTCACATCTCCCTTGAAGTAGTCCTTGTTAAAAAGAATACCGATAGCAGCTGCGTCTTCTATGGCCATGCAGGCACCTTGACTTTGATGGGGCATCATCTAAAGGTTATGTTAGTTCGAAAATTCTTAGCCGAGAAGAAAAACAGCCTGGCTTACAGGATGACCGGCATCGCCGATCAAACAAACATTGCCCTTGACAAGGTACGGGTACGGCTGATGGACCCACAGGCGCCACGGCTGAACCTCAATACCAATAGCAAGATGAGCCTTGACCTGAGCATCGAGTTCTGGATATGGCGCAAGCAGTTCCTCTACAGGGCGATTGGCACCACCCCAGGTGTGATTGCTGTAGTCTCCCTCTGACCGAGGGAAGAAACAGTAGTAAGAGAGAAGCTCGCCGCCGTTACAAGGTGAAAGGACAATCTTGTCCCACTTGCCTTCCTGACCGCCCCAGTACTCTAACGCGCTGTTGAGAGAGTAATCAACAAGGCCAAGCTTTCTTGCGTCCTTCGACAATACGTTGGCATGCAGACAGCTAGATTCTGCAGGCCTCTTCTCTGGGTTCAAGCCGATGATCTTGCGCGTTACTGACCCAATACCATCGGCTCCAACGATCAAGTCATGGGTAGCCTTTACTCCGTTGGTGAATATGATTTCGCCACACTCAAGATCAATATTTTGGCACTAGATAGCGAATCAGCATACGAATAACTTTCAAAGCGCAGGCTTGGTTGTGACAAATACTTACTGAGTGATTTACAAGCAACTTTGCTGGGGTTCCAGCGCCTTCATCTTGTAATGCACACTCCATCAGCATCGTGTGCATGTACTGCCTGTGAAACATGTTGTATACATAGCCCCATCGCTCTTCATAGTCGTTCAGATCGTAAACACTAAAAGGCTCGCCAGTCTTCCAGTCGCGGTTGATAAGCTTCTTCAATACGACTGGGTCACCCTTCTGGACGTCAACATCCCACTCATGCAACCAGCGAGTACCGTTTGCTGCACATGAAACTGATGCGCCAGCCTCTCCTGCGAAGTCGTTGCGCTCGTAGACGGTGACGTCGTGGCCTGCCCGACGTAGAGCAATAGCAACGGACAGACCTCCTATGCCGCCGCCGATGACAGCCACGTTCAAGCGCCTCCAGCCGCCTTCGCTGATTGTTCCTGGCATGTTGGTGCGGTAAGATGGAAAGAGGAAGAAGACAGATGAATATATGGACTGAAGCACGCGAAATGAGCGTGAGGCTGAAGATGGAGTAGTGATGCTCTAATTTGATCGGTACTTCGCGTAATTCTATAGTCGCCCGTACGTTCATGTCTTCACGTGTTGTCACTATGGCACTAGAAATCGGTCTAGCCTTTTTGCACTTGGAGCGGATCATGCGTTGCCATGCCTTGCCTGAAGGCAGCTTCCAGAAGCGGACATATCACACGATACGGGTACGGCAATGTTCCTATAGCTTGATCGGTGAGCTTGTCGCGTGGCTCTTGACAGGTTCGTGGCGGATATTGCACCTGGTGCGATAGCCGCCATTCAACAATTGATCGGATCTTGAACCCTTCCCACACCATTACCGGTCCGGTCAGAAGGAAGCGATTGTTTTCGTTGAATGAACATTTACGCGTGCAAGAGATCTTGGCGACACGTATATGAATGCCTGGTCCTCGCGCAAGCGCGATACTGCGTTTAGCACGTTCAAGCTTGGGTTTCGGTACGGCGTCGACAGTCGCAAGCTATAAGATATTCACAAGTGTCTGATCAAACGTTGTGACGAGATAATCAAGAGGATCTTATGAGTTATTATCGGGTTGCGAGGGCAGGTGTAAGGAACCGAGGTCAATTGACACAATGCCGGACGAGAAGTGAGGACTTTTTGTGAAAAACGGGGACTTCGCTCAGAATAGCCCCAGACCAGTACAATTGCGTACGACTGGGGGAGTACGGAAGCAATGCCGTGAGGCATCGAAGAAGATCGAAATATTGGCCAATGAAGACGGGGATAAAAGCAAGGCAAATGGTTCGATGAAGCGGAGTCACAGTATCTTTGTACTGTGAGGCATACTTCTTTATTGTAAAGCAGGATGTCTTTAATGTTTATGGTGAGGGAGGGGCTAGAGTTGTGAGTACTGCTGGACAGGTTCAGGCACGTCCGCGTGGTGTCAACTTCAAGTACCCTGGTTGCTTCCCCGACTTCAAACGTCATATATGGAGTACGCCCTGAGCAGAGTGCTTGGACGTGAGTGGGGCTCTACGGCATGAGTGCCTGTCTCTGGGACTCCGAAGCTCTCTCTTGTGGGTATCTTCCTGGCGACGAAGGGTATCATGTAGACGGCTTTCAAAGCCATCGCCCTCCTTTGTGTCAAAAAGCCAACTACCCACTTCTACCATCGCATTTGCTTGTTTACAGAATGACATCATTACTGCTACTTCTTGGTATGTCTCCGGCGCCGTTGGTGTAAAGGTGTGGCATTCTTCCGGCGCTGAGCACCATCTTTCCCACGATCTGCAGGTTCTAGAGCGCCTTTTGTTTCGGTGGCTCCATCGTTCTCTGCTTCGTTTTGTACTGTAGAAGTATCCTCCAATAGCTGTTGACTGTCCACGGGATGCTGACTTTGTCCCAGCACCCTCGCTTCCTTCAACTGAAGAGGCTGCTCCGCTAACCCAAGCTTGGACATTGCGAAAATCCACCAGCCTGGCGTAGGTGGAACCCAGTGTCCGATGTCAACGACATAACTTCTTTGCTCCTCGGGCAAGTTCATCCAGACAAAGGGCTTGTTACTGTTTACTCGACCTTCTATGGCGAAATCGCCAATTTCTTCCGGGATCTTGAGCGCTTCCACAATGACAATTGGCTGGTAGGCGGGAACAAGAAGATGAAGCATGACGGGACGAGCTTTACGACCCTGCTTCTTCGCCCGTCGTTCCCTCTCTGTGTTTGCGTATTGTCGTGCTGCAACCATGAAACTGAATGCCGTGTCGATTTGATTCGTATAACCGCAGAACGCAGGACCCAATGGTTTTCCCTCCAGAAGATGATAGAATTTCGGGTACCAATCATTATCGGGATGATAAAGAAAGAACCAATGCTCATAGGCTGGATCATCGGATGTTTGGCCCAGCCTTTCGCGGATCAGATCATAGACGTACTGCGGAAAATCCTTCTGTGCTAGCAGGGCTGTTTGCGCGGCGAGCGCTGTGGACATGTCCTTGAGCTGTGTCGCGATGAGGTGCAAAGCTTGGACGCCCTGGTAAGTCAAAACCACGTTTGCGCCGATGCCCACGGTAGTAGCGATGGTGTTGAATGTACTGAAGATCCTAACCGTGTCGCAGAACGAGCGCCCCATGACCTGCATAGACGGAACGAAGGCCTCGATGCGATCCACAATCTTCGAAGCCTTGGGTATGAAATCATTGAGATTCCCAGCAGTCTCATTCGCGTTATACATTAGCTCTCCGGCCTGGAAGATGCCTTCGACCGCCTGCACGGTTTTAACGAGTGGAGGGACTTGTTTGGCAGCTGTAGTGACATCTTTAAAGGATCTCGAGCCGAAAAGCGAACCCAAAACGGACGGTCGTCGGTTGCTCATGATGTGTCCAAGGATTCAGATGTTGTCCCGCGATGCATAAGGGACGCGACTCACATATACTCGCCACGGGTTCCACACCGCCATTGACGTGGCAGGTTAGCGCGGTTTCGGCCCGGCGACGTGCCGGACATTTTTGGACATCCTGCAATGAGTGACAGCTCACACAGTGCGAAGACAATAGAACGTGACTTGGTCTCATTTATTGTGAGTGCGCATCGGAGCGCTGCGCTGTGCCAGAATGCCTTGACGTTGTACCTGGCAACCACGGAAGATGAGTGGCCGAAAGACGGGGCTAGATACCAAGAACCAATCGTCGTTAGCATGGTGGGGCCCAGACGCTAAGCCTTTTTGCAGGGCCATGCTTTCGCGGTCGCCTTCGTACAAGCAACGACCAGCGTAAGCGTTTCCGAAGGCTCCATTGACTTCTCATCGTATTCGTCGAGAGAGTTGAATCAACGCTCTGAGTCCTACGTGCTTGCCATTCTGTCGGAGGCCTCGGAGTGATACACGCCATTAACATCAGTACAATCCAGTATACCTACCTGTAGCACGCTAGGAGGCAGCTGCAATGCGAACAATGCTGTGAGAATTGCAACGTACGTGCACCTACATCTCGTGGGAACAGTCCAGCATTACTCTTTGTGCAGGCGATGGCCCGGGAATCTGCTTTAAGAGCAGAGTGCCTTCTAAAATCGATGTTGCCTCGGCTCTTCAAGCCCAATATGATTCTCGACCACGCTTACACGCACAGCACCAGGCAGTTTTGGATTCGCCTAGACATCAACAGTATCACGTCCATTATATATGCTGACAGCCATGCCGTAACATCGTGAGCCAGATGCTGAGGAAGTCGCAACTTGTACTTTACTCAGCCAGCTCACCAGATCTCCTGCTGCTTGCAGCGGTCACTGTGTACTAGTCACTTCAAGTTCACGGTTCGGGTTGCAAGAGAATACTATTGACCGAGCTAGCGCTTACAACAGTAAGTAAATCAACAGCAGAGGAAATGTGACGGTACTACTGTTCGTCGTGCACGGTCTGTTAAGTGCCCAGGTGAACAGCATCAACACGAATTGCGCATTATGTGAGCTTTGCACAAGGAACGGTAGTACTATTATATTGGCCCTACCTCAAATTACCTACTATTGCAAGCGCTGGGGCCACCGCTCGTTGTAAACGTGGACTATCACCGTGAGCCAATCGTGCATTATCTCGCTGACAGAGCGTTGCAATCAGTACACATATATGAGTGACTCTTTCTCGTTCAAAAGCTTGACCAAAGGATCTTCCACAAACAGAAACTCTATATCACTACAAAAACTTCAACACTTCGAGTCACAAGCAGCTACAATGCAGTTTTACAGCCTCTTCTTACTCCTCTTCGCTACGACAGCTATGGCTTGCAAGTGTTGGAACATCGACGGCGGCCCCCCTGAAAAGAAAGAGGTCAACTGGGACGCTTCCTATAGTTGCTGCTTCGGTGCCGCGGGTCTCTGGCTCAGGAAGGATTGCAAGCACCCGATTCGCAAAACTTACCGTGCCTGCTGCCTGAGGAAGAACACCTTCGATCAGTGCTAGTAGGTCAACTTTCTTTTTCCACTGTGTCAACCATTCTGATGGAGCATTTAAGAGCGTCCGGCTAGCAGGGGCCTGCGACAGAGTTGCGTTACAATAAGCTCCTCGATATTGACTGTACTACATAGGCCTCACAACAATCCTATCAAGGACTGAGTGTCACTACCAGGACTTTAAATGCTCATCGCGGAAAACCTGAACGGGCAATCCGGGGAATTGATCTCATGGCGGACAATGCATTGAGACACGCTTCGGGAGGACTGATGAGTAATGTCCCATATGGTCAATGCCATCAATATATGATCACAATCATTTGCGTCACCCATCCGTTATATCCCAATGTATGTTGGTCGCTGTCCTCTGCCGCTATCGTTACCTGTATGTCATTTTTCATGGAACAAATATGATATAAAGATGTTAAGATTGTCTCACGGGCCGATAAAAGGTTGTGATGAAAGATGGGAGCAGCAACGGTAGTGTTCAGATATGCAGCCCTTCCGACACGTGGAATTCGATGCGCTTTGCACCTTCACACAGGCATGCAATTCTCTCGAGAGAGCTTCACCATGCATCTTCATCGTTTGTTTAGCCATGAAGTTCTCTTTGCGTGCTTGCCATCATGCTGAAGAAGCATCGTTTGCATGTAGTTGCGCGCCTTGTTCAACATCGTCAATAAAGAAAACCAACACCACCATGGATGAGTCTTTGTTCAGGTCAATTTTGTCTATACAGCCACTTTCAGCCTTGTCTTTCAAACAGTTCCTTTATTAGAAAATTGTGTTCTTTGAGTATTTCATTGCACACATTTCCATGTTATCTCATATGTATGCTAACTTTCTCCTGCAGACGTCTATGACTGTAAGATCACAATAACCAATTGGTATTGGTCGCTCACTTTTACTATGTATTATCATGTCTCACCCCAAGAAATAGTCAGATTGACGACCCGGCACGGCGTCCGCGATCACTTTACTCGGACCTATCACAACGGAGCTCCGCGCTGTATGGTGCGAACGCTGGCAGGGCACCAGTGTTTTCGGAAAGCTATCGTCACGACTATCAGGGGTAATTACTGCGGAATTTACAATGGTCATCATCCGACTGCTGATCCATGGAATAATGGTGACGAGGAAATGACCAGGCGCCTTCCACGGTCTGGTTGCCTCGGGATTCTTCAACAACCAGAAATAGCACTTGACGAGGAAATCCGGAGAATGGAGGACGATAAAGAAGAGCTTGATGATAGGCTAGTAGGATTGTACCCGTTATTTTCAGGTTGTCGCCCATATTCTATCTTACTTGTACACACGCCTCGAGGCAAGAGCAGCAGCAGCAGCACTAGAACCCATCATACTCGTGGCCGCGATCTACGTAATGTGCGTATCAGCAGAGTACATCTTTTCATATCTTTCGCTGCTTGTGGTGCTACTCTCTCGTCGACCGTGGCAACCGTAGACGACAGGTTATCATCCGAGGCACCAAAATTCTGTCAATATACATGATTTCAGGCACAGCGGAGCAACGGGATCCATTAATCCATGAACATGGCGATCGTCGAACAGCTTCTGGTTGTCTTGAATTGCATTCTCGCAATTCCTGGCTCACTTTGCATGTATGGAAGCTATTCACAGGGCAGAGAGCCTCCAGCAAATTGATGGATCACATAGATAATCGCTTTGAGAGAAGAGGGCGGATATTTTCTCAGGTTTCTTTCCCCTCATACGCTTGTTCGTTCCAGGCCAATATCAGTTTACCCAATGGAGGTCTCCTTTTCACTTTGAACGTCGCTTCGTAGTATCTTCAAGCGGTTTCAAGGTGCTACAGTGCACTCATTCTTGTCTCTCGCTATCAATATGGAGCTGACCGGCGCCGGTGACCCTGCGTTACCTAAGGGTAGGGTGATCCCTTTGACTCCAGATCTTCATTACATTGTCCGGGTTTCCGTCGCTATCAGGAAATATTTCACCCATTCAGCTCCTACTTCTTAATTAACCTGTTCTATTCATTAGTAAAACGCCGCGAAAATGCAATGTCCAGGGTAGTGACCATTCGTTGTCCTGGCAGAGAAGGAGTGGCAACACGGCTCGAGTACCTACTAATGTTTCCAAATTATCTTAGATTGTAAGGATTCTGTAAGTGCTATTCTACAGCCAAAGGCTTGGCGCTGCACAACGCTGGATGCTGGCTTTCTGTCTGCTCCTCTTGCTGGCCTAGACCGGTAGACTCTGGATTGCTTACAGAATTCGCTATTCTGCTGGCCGGCTGCACCGGTCGCGCGAGACTTGTTTACCGACTGACTTTCGGCGCTGCTCGATTGTAGGTCGGCAGCTTTAGAGGTGTTTTGTGGGGAGGCTTCGCCGGCAGAGGTGCGATTTAGGAAAGGTGGGATGGCTGGGAGGCGTTAGCATTAGTGGACAAGACCAAGGACAATTTCCAAAGATGAAATCCGAGATAAGATAAGGGGTCGGAGAATGGACAAGATGAAGTGTGCTTCGGGGCTTGCTTTGTGCTCTTTGCTGCAATGGGTGAGCGAGAAGCGATGGTGTTGCCCGAGGAGTGGTGCGTAACATGTTGGAGGCCACTCTAGACGTCTTCCATTCGTAGTTTCTAATAGGGTTTGTATGTGAATTGGAAGTGGTTGGCGTATAATTTGGCGTCTTTTGAGAGGTACCTGAAGTTTGATTATACTTGCTGCACATCATGTTGACGTTGTGGTTGGTGAGGTGACTGCACGTCATTCGCGCACTACTCGATATGGCAATATTCGTGAGAATCACATCGATGTTATCCGTAAACATAGGTATAGTACTATCTGAGAAGCTTGTCTAAAGCCAAGAATATGCGATGCGCCTTTCGTTTATGTGAACCTATATGCCCATTACTGCATCACTTCGAATCGCTGCAATCAAATAGCTCCCTTCGTGTGACACTTGTCGCACTTATGATCTGACGAGGATATCAAAAGGGACTCAGTGAGGTCACGTAGCTTTTCAGGAAAAAATGAGGGACAGGCTGCGCGTCGGCACTTCATTGTGGTGTAAAGGATGAGAGAACCGGAGTTAAGGACCGGTATCGCCAAGGCGCTAGTTGAACCGCGATATCGCGCGTGCGCGCCCATGAACTTTTGACACCTCACGAAATCGTCCTTCCAACCCGCTCACGTTACCTTCCGGCTCAGCGATGCCGCCGCCGAAACCAAAGAAGCTTACGGCGCAACCCGTCCGCACACGCCACTTCGCCGGAAAGCCCGCCGCTGCCGAAGTCGAAGAACGCGACAGTAGCGATGAATCCGAATCAGAGCAGGAAGAGGAGAAACCGAAGCCGTTCGTGAAACCGAGACCAGCTCCTTTGGCCTCTTCGTTTCCTAAATCTGCTCTCAAGTCACAATTAGCCGCGCGGAAAAAGCCAGAGGAAGATCTCAAGCATCTGGAGGACGAGTTCGAAACGGAAAGTGAGGGAGATGAGAAAGAGGAAGGTATTGGGAGCGGTAGCGGCAGCGGTAGCGAAAGTGGCAGCTTGGAAGATAGCTCAGAAGAGGAATCAAGCAGCGAGGAAGAGGCGCCGAAGAAGCTGTTACGGCCTGTCTTTTTGAAGAAAGGCCAGCGCGACAAGGTAGCTGCACCTGTCAAGACAGCAGAAGAAGTGGCAGCAGAAGAGGAGCAGCGAAGGCAAGAGCAGACGAGGGCGCTCGTTCAGGAGCAGATCGAGCAGCGCGCTGCGGCAAAGGCAGCGGGCAAGAAGGACTGGGATGCTGATGTGGAAGAGGCCGACATCAATGCTGTCGACGATACCGACAACTTAGATCCCGAAGCCGAATACGCTGCCTGGAGATTGCGCGAATTTAAGCGCATCAAGCGCGAGCGTCTTGCCATCGAAGAAGCTGAAGCAGAACGCGCGGAGATAGAACGGCGGCGGAACCTCACCGAGGCAGAACGCGACGCCGAGGACCGCGAGTTTCTCGAGAAACAGAAGGAAGAGCGCGGGGACCGAGGACAAATGCAGTTTATGCAGAAATACTTTCACAAGGGTGCATTTTTCCAAGAAGACCTCGCAGAGTTGGGGCTCGATAAGCGAAATCTCATGGGCGCGAGGTTTGAGGACCAGACAGATCGTCAAGTCCTGCCTGAGTACATGCAGATTCGCGATATGACAAAACTGGGCAAGAAGGGCAGGACGAGATACAGGGACATGAAGTCCGAGGACACGGGCAAATGGGGCGACTTTGGCGATACAAGAAGGCCGAGGGACAATGGCGAGTACGGTGTGGATGAGCGCTTCCGTTCAGACGGTTACGGTGGCAGAGACCGGGACGAAGGCGCAACAGGAGCGAACGCGCGACCACTAGGCGAGAGGAAACGGTTCGGCGAGGACACCAACCGAGAGAGCAAACGTCCAAGGGTTGACGACCGAGATTGAGACAAACCCAACCCCAAAATTCAAGACCACCTATCACCGGAGTGAATAATTTGTCACTTTTTGCACTGAGCAGCAGCTCAAGACCCGAGTATAGGACCTGAGTCTAGCTTAGGATGTCTTCGAGACATCTGTTTGACTGCAGAGTGTCGGCCACGGCTACGATCCCTCTCAAAGATGATGGTACGAGAGAATTGCAGGCAACTCTGGCTTGGAGGCGGACTCTCTAGGAGTCGCTACCTCCATTGTCAAAATTAGTTCCTCTTAGCCGTACTAAATGATCCGAGAGCTTGCAACACAGAGGATCGAATGTTCATGACGATCTAAGATCAAGAACGAGAGCCGTGGTATGCATACAGTCGCTTCACATCAGATAGCATCAAGAGCCAGCATGGCAGGACACATTATCAATTATGTATGGCAGTGACTACTCCGAATGGGTATGCCGATTTTTATCCACTCTCATCCCTCACGTTCCACTTTTAGTTGATGACGATCGTAAGCGCGTTGACCTGCTGGCAGACGAAGTCGTCCGCTCCGTTACCACCAGCGTGGCAGTATGTCGGTACATCACCCTCGCCGGTCTTTCCAGCAAATTGGCTCGTCTCGTGGTACCTAGACGCGCAGGTGCGAAGTCAGTTAAGTCAGAAAAGTGGGGATAGTACGAAGTGTTTATGTCTGAGGCATAACAACTTCGTACCCGGGCAATACTTACACCCTGAGGCCAACCTCTGCGCCTTCGCTTGTCGCCTCGATCAGTCCGAAGCGGTACTTGCTGTCACCGCAAATCTGGACCTCGGAGGGAAGGCTCTCGACTGCGCCAATCTCGCACTTGACGGTTCCGTTGTTGCCGGAGAGCGTAAAGCCGGCATTCTGGATGCCTGGGTTCTTGCGCAGGTAGAAGTCGCTGATGTCGATGTTCTCGTAGGTAGATGGGTCGGGGGCAGAGCCGCCGCAGTGTGCTGGGTTGGGGCAGTCTGTGGTTTGCGGTGCTGGTGCTGCGAAAGCAGCGGCGGCGAAGAGGGTTGCGGCGGTGAGGAACTGCATGTTGGATGTATTTTCAAAGTCTTGATGATTTGATGTTGTGTATTGGTTGTAGTGGTAAAGCGAAGGAGTCGATGTGATGGTGGATTTCTAACAGCCCTTTCACGTTCCCTTTATACCTACTTTCCTTCTCCAACAGTGCACCTGAGCAATGTCAATGTCACGCCTCACCCTATCCATCGACGTCACACATCGGCCCAGCACCCCTTCAAGCTCCACCCGGGTGTCCCCACAAACTCGCCAAGTTGTCAATAGTCTAAAGTTCGCATTAGCGAATAACACCGTGAGGCTGAGCCGATCGCCACGTTTCGAAACACAACCTTAAGCTCGTACCTCAACGGCAAGGACCCACCTGAAAGAAGGCGCATAAACATTGTTTCCAAAATAATTTCAGAATGTAATCTCATTCGTGAAGCAGCCTGCAAACGCTTGTAACAGTAGCGAAGAGGATTTGGTACACTTCAAACACTCCAAAGAAGCATGCATGCGTCGTCGGTTGCTCGGTGTCACTGAGCGCAGTTCTCGTAACCGACGTATTCGCACGGTAACGCGGCGTGCGGAAGCCCGGAATAATTCTCGATAGGGATGCATGATATCGATTAATGAGCCGGGCCGAAGTGTCGATCGGGGTGTACTCAGGTCCCAGAACCACAACATGGAACACTTCATTACCTCATCATTAACATCGCTATGCCACGTTTAGGGTACCTCGGCTGGCATTAGATACTGCGGTCCGCTTGATAGAAATATCGCGAGGCTTCGATATCACGATATGCGCGTTACTCCACATTTCGAGGACCTGAGTGAGATGCAGGGTCTGGAGCCGCACGGAAGTGGCGTGGTGGGTGATGGTCCGGCTGATTTCACATCGAATGGGCTATTCTGATGTTTGGCGCGCTATCGTCTTAAAGGGTTTGATGGTTGATTGGGTGCGGCGCATACTTGTTGTGATGTCTTTGAAGTGAAGCTGGTCACAAGATTTACGACCCTCTGGGGTTAAGCCATATCCCACAAGTCTAGCTCTTCGGGCGCTAAGGTTGTTTTGTCAGAAGGTCAGAGTGTGAGGATTGTTTTGTGCATTGAAAAAACCCGGGAGAGCTTGTGTGAGCGTACTCAAGACTTCGATATCTTGCGCAAACGATACATTCGTTCGATGAAATAGGGATTGGGCCTTCACTCTTTGTGGATGCAAATAATGTCTGAAAATAACCCTCTCATAGACCAGCCGGCTTTGAACATTGCGGACGCAGTAGATGGTCGCATAGAATTACATGATTGGGCCTGTTTGCGTAATAGGGATGCCACGCACTGCATGACCCCATAGCAAGGCTCTCGTGCGGCGCAGCCGAGGATGCCTCGATCTTGGATAATCTAGTCGGCAAGTTCAATGACCCTGGTCAACTAACTGGGCGAGGTCCGGCGACCGCGGACACAGAGGATTGTACATTTCAGTAGTGAGACATTCTTGATCGTGCGCTGAGGTGGACCAGAAATTGGCCTAGAAATCGCAAAGATTCAGCAACCAGTAACGGGAGATGGGAATTCATCTACAGGCATAGCCAAGCTGAGCATAAGCGAGAGGCTTTGGCACCTTTCGAGGAGTTCGCAGCATTCGAGCAGGTCTAAATAAGACGAGTGTCGAGGGAGGAGAATAGATCGTCCCAGCCACTGAGGTCAACTTCGCCACCATTCTGCAACGCAATGTTCCAGTACGTATCGAATGTTGGATCTGTAGTAGTATCAAGGTCACTGCGTCGATCGTAATGAGGAGGAAACGCTCCTTCGGTAGTTTCAGAAACACTGTGCGCTACTTCATCACTGTTGTTGGCTTTGTTGACCATGTCTGTTGATGTAATTGCAAGCTCAATATTGTTCTGCTGCAGGACGGCTTTTAGCGACGCAAGAGACTTTGCAAGCAGCGGCGAAACCGTGGGCGCATCTGCGAAGATACTGAACGCTGTCGTGATATCCTCTTTGATCTGAGCTACATCGGTTTCACGTTTGTTGAAGCATAAGTCCATGATAAGTACGCTTAGAGCCAGATGCGTGAAATGGACAGCGATTCCCATACGCGTGAGCAGCGTCGACATCTCATTAGTCTTCTTCAGGCTTGCGTACCCTCTTATCACTGCTTGCGCAGATTCCACACATGCTCTTCGAGAGTATCCATACCGCGGGTCGAGATTCTGTCGCAAAAGAAACGGCTGGTTCAGCTTCCAGCGCCGGGAGAGCGCGGTTTTGGCAATGCAGTAGCGCCAGGACGGTAGTTGAGGGTATATGGACTCAAGAAGCTTGTTGTTGGGACTGTCGTACTGCAGCAGCCGCGGCATTGTAGCGAGAAACTGCGCTAACTTTTGATCCAAGGCAATAATACGCTCGTACGGCATTTGCAGAAGCGTGTTCGTGTTCAATGGTACGGTGTCGGTGATCTCGCGGCAGATATGTGCTAGACGAATCCTCTCAAGAAACACCATCATGTGGGTGGGCGCATCTCCTGAGCGTCTGCTATTGAAGTCTCCAAGCACCAAATCATCATCTGTACAGTCGCGAGGCAGCTTCACTTTGATATAGCGGCCTTGGATCCAGTAGGTACCTTCTTGCGGCCCAGAAATAGTTGACTGCAACCTTTCAAGTGTCAGTCAAGGCTATGTTGGAAATTTCGGGCTATATTTACCAGTCCTCAGAAGCTATGTACCAAAAAACTCTGCGCTTGATTTCCTTTTCGATCATCAAGCGAGCATAAGTAGTGTGGCTTGTAGAGTCCTCGCATTCGTCCAATCGGTGCAACTGAAGATCCCTGGCTAACGATACAGCTGACGAGAACAACATTCTACATCTTGAGGAAAACCCATCAATGTGCGACAGGGCGTGTGAGGTCAGGATGTAGGCTTGCACATCTTCCAGCGTGCCCGAACTCGTACGGCGAGAGTAGTCCAGCACATCCCATGCACCCTTGCTGAAGACTTTCGCAAGCGTGATGGACTCAGCTTCCGTCCTGGCTATCTCGGACGTTCGCGACGGCTCGGAGAAGAAAGCTCCTAGGGCAAAGAGAGAAAGTAGTACGGCGACGCTACTACTCACGATTGACGTGGCATCGTTGAGTCTCAGATACGTCAATCTCATAGCTGATCGAATCGACGGAACGTGCCTAGACGCGCAGGTACGAAGTCAGCCAAGTCATAAAAGTGGAGATAGTACGAACTGTTTATGTCTAAGACAGATCGACTTCGTACCCAGGCATTACGCACACGATTGGGCATAAACACGCTACCTTAATTTCATAGGTCTGTAACAACAGATTTGCTACGCTGAATGGTGGCAGTATTGTTTGAGAACGGTCGTTGTTATTAGAGTGATCGCTACGTGATAATCCAAGTATTTCCAACATACTCTTGATTTCGTAGGTAACCGAGTCGGACATGTTGCAGAGCTTTTTATAGTCAATCATCCACATGTGCTTTCGCTTCGTGACACTCACAAGAGCGTCATCCCTTGTTCCAATATTCTCGAGATAGCCAACGCCTTCTTGAACGAAGCCATTGGTCTCGCCTCCGAGAGAGTTTGGATGGTGAGAACTAGCAGGTGTTGGCGGAGCAGCCGTGAGCACATTCACCGTGCGCAGTTCTTGCTGTAAGCCAAGGACCGTGGTTTCTAGGCGCTCAAGACGTGAGAAAAGTGAGCGGTCACTCGACAAGCCCGATCCAGGTTTCGGCGGTGGGACGAGGAATCTGCAAGTGATGCCTCGCGCTAAGCAATTCGAGCATGGCTGGACGCGGCTGCACTTCAGCTTCTTTGTGCGACATGATTCGCAAGACACAGGGTCGGGACGGACTCTACTCTTTGGCATTGATGAGATAGTTGGGAGGGAAGACATGTGGAATGGCGGAGACAAGTACGGTCGGGGGTCCGGGATGAGCCCGGACGTCCGCGGATGTTTCTTTCTCTGGAGACTAGCGTACCTGCCCCCAAACGCTCCCACTCCCACATTTGCATTTGTCAGCTAGAAAGAACCTCATATCATTCCAATAGGTCTGAATGAGACTTGCACATCTGATCGGGGCTCGTGCCAATCCGACGTGAAGCACACGGCGAATAATCCGCCCTCACACTGATTCGGACCTCCGTGGGAGTGTTCAGGCTTTGGTCGATCTTAAGATGGATCCAAGATGGAAGACCAAGCTCATGCGACCTTCACCTCCGTCTCATAAGTACGTAGATATCCTCAGAAACCTGACACGCAAACAAGCTTCGCACAATTGGAAACATGAAGGAAGCCATCGTTCATCCCTCAATAGAGTCCGTTGAGATCGTGGAGTCCGTGGTACCAACCCCCAAAGACGATGAAGTAGTCATCAAAGTTGTCGTGGCCGGTACCAACCCGAAAGACTGGAAGATGCCCAACTGGTAAGCTTTACACTTGACAAAAGATTAACGCAGTCAAAGCTCCATCATAGATGTGCTGACCAACGTAGGAAGAATCACGCTCTCAACAGCGGCGATGATATGGCGGGCTTCGTCCATGCTATTGGATCACTTGTCAAGGACCTCAGAGTAGGCGATCGTGTCGCAGCCTACCATCGCTCAGGACAACCCCATGGCAGCTTTGCAGAATACGCGGTCGCACCAGCGCACATGACATTCCACATACCTGATACATCGTCGTTCGAGGAGGCTGCCACAATACCCCTTGCAGCCCACACCGCAGCGCTTGCACTTTACGTGGATTTGAAGCTCCCACTGCCATTCACGCGACCGATGCAACCAGAAAAATCTGATAGGAAAAGGGAACCATTCCTGATATATGGGGTCACGTCAGCTTGTGGAGCTTTTGCGGCGAAGTTTGCTCGCTTGTCAGGCATCGGACCTATCATCGGCGTTGCAGGTCGCGCTGAAGAGTTCGGGAAGACGCTGGCCGATTACGTGGTAGACTACCGTAAGGGCGAGGATGAGCTGATCGCTTCTGTTGAGGCAATCCTCGAGAAGGAAGGGCTACCGGCCAAATTGCCCAAGATTTTCGATGCGATATCCGAAAATGGCTCTTTGGAAGCTACCCTCCGTATCATCGATCCCAAGGCTGGCGTTGTCAGTACGCTTCTCCCACCCAAGCTCTTTGCGAAAGACAAGGAAGCATATCAGTACCCTGAAGATGTGACTGCGATCAACACGGCTGCACCAAAGCTGTTTGATGTGCATAAGGACTTTGGATATGTGTGGTCAAGGTACATGACAGTGTTGCTGCGTGAAAAACGACTAGTCGGTCATCCTTTTGAAGTGATACCTGGAGGCTTGCACGGCGTCTTGAGAGGGTTGAGGAAGTTGTATGATGGAAAGGCTAGCGCAGTGAAATATGTTTATCAGATCGAAAATACCGGCAGCGTAGGACTGGTACGGCTGGAAGAAAACGGTTCTGATGTCGCAGCAGTCTCGGAGGCAATTGCTGAATTCCCGTTCAGCGTTGCGAAGAGCAAATAAGTCATTAACAATGTAGAATCCGGTACACTGATAGATATGATGGACTCATGGAGATGTGATCAATTAGTCTTGTATTTGCACAGCATCCTGTAGTGTAAGTCTTCAGTGTGTTATCTCCGCTGCCGCGTTCCTCAACGATACAAAGCTAGGATGTTACCCCTCTCCCTCATACCCCTCTCCGGGTTTTCGCCGCGGGCAGTGACCGAGCCAAGCATGAGTCAGTTGTCTTCATCATGCCCCAACAGCTTACTCGCGCAGCGACAACTCGCTTGAACGCGGGGGATTGTCAAACGCAACGACTTGGGCACGCGGAGACACATCATCAATTCGCCGGATTTACCAGGGACGCGATGTGATGCGCGCATCATGGATACGAGCGAACCCTCCGTACCAACTCGCAGTGCGCCCAACGACATTGTACCTAGATCGTCGAAAGCAAGACGAGACAAGCGTCCGTACAGAAGCTTGACATGCGCAAACTGCAGGGTCCGAAAGGTAACGTCCTCTTACCGTGCGACTATCCTTGGGTAACCAATTGACAAGTCTTCAAGGTGCGATGTGGCGGTGGATTACCACGCTGCAAGACATGCGAAATATACAACGACGATTGTCGCTATGATAAAGCTCCGCCTATGTCGCAGGTAATGGCATTGATGGAGAGGTTGCAGGAAGCGGAGCAAACCATCGCACAACTTCGTTCTAAGAGCAATAGCTCTTCATGTAATGTTGCCCACAGTCATCTAGCATCGACGCCTCTGAATTGCAGTGAGCCTTCGAACGCAGGCGGACCGGATTCATTGTCTCCTAGCACGGTCTCGACCAGAGAGCCTCCCGATTGTCAGCCAAGACCTCATCGCACAAGAATTACAACAACATATCCAGGGGTTTCGACAGAAAGCGCTCCGCCTGATCTTAGCGTGGATAAGAATGGCGAGATACAATATTACGGACCCACATCTGCAGTACATGATCCTCCCCAACTTCCATTGGAGTTCTCCAACGCCCAAGTTCCATCAGCACCGCCCGAGAGCTTTTCAACATCCACGGTATTGTCCGCCCTGATGTCACACGCGCATGATTCAAAGATATGGGAAGAATATGCATTGGGTAATGCGTCACTGCAGACTGGCATACCGCGTCACATCATTGCCAAGCTTCTGCAAATGAACTGGATTTGGGTATCACCCATGTTTATGTAAGCAATTTCCGGATGCAATGTGGGTGTTTATGCTGTTGCCGTTGTTTGATATTCAGACTTTTCTTTTCGGAACTCTGAGATTATCAAATATTGACAGCCAGCTAAGACACCTGCTGATGCCTACTTACCCTTTTTGTAATCGTGACCCTGACTTTATCCCTCCACATTGCAGGTACGTGTATCGCCCTGCTTTCATCAGCGACATGGCAACTAGTGGTCGCTACTACTCTGAATTTCTCCTCACTGTCATGTGCGCGCACGCAGCGAAGTACCAAGAAGGGAACTACGCCCAAATCCTACTTTCACGAGTGCGACGTCTTTTGGGGGAGGCTATACAACAGCCTAGCTCCATACCTACTGTACAGGCGCTTTTGCAACTCAGCGCCCGAGAGCTCGCCAATGGTTCGATGTCTCAAGCGTGGGTATATAGCGGTATAGCCTTTCGTATGGCAAGCGACCTCGGCTTGGAATACATTGGTCCTAACGTTAAAGGACTGGGACCTGTTGACCTTGAGATTAGGAAGAGGTTGTTTTGGAGCTGCTACTTTTGGGACAAGTAAGCCTTGATCGAAAGACGCCTGAAAGGTCGTGCGCTAACTACATTTATCTAGAGCTACAAGTCTATATGCAGGACGGCTACCGGCGATCACAGAATTGCCGCACCATAGCACTCATGATATAGGTACGCGAAATGCACACCTATCCAAGTGATCATGCTGAGCATTGAATATTATAGTAATCGATGATTCAATGGAGCTAGAGTTGTGGTCGCCATATCATGGCGACTCACTCAACCTCACGAGGTCGACACAGAATCAGTATCCAGCTAGCAAGAGCCATGCTGTCTCTTGTTTCGCGAACTCATGCAAGCTCTCAATCATAATCTGTGACATCATACTTCAATTATACTCGCGCAAGAGTCGAACAATTACTGAAGTAGCACTGCAAGCCATCAAGATACGCCTTGACTCCTGGCGAACAGAATCCCCGGCCCATCTACGATATGATCCGGAAGCTCTTCCATCTATGTGTCCTCCACCACATATATTATCACAAAAGTAAATGATACATAGTTTCATTCATGTTCGTCGAAAGAGACGTCGGCTAACTTAGAAGCTAGCATTCTGTACTATACGACAATAATCTTAGCACATCGTCCCTTCTGGTCAGCTCCATCACACTACCAAGTGTGCATTTCAGCAGCGCACGGTATCGAGAAGCTAGTGCTGCTACTTGAGTCGACGTTCGGATTGGAAAACATCACCTACCTAATGGGCTATTGTATCTACACCGGCGCTTCGGCTGTACTTGAGGATGCTAGAAGTAGCGGTCAGGGCGCAGCACATCCAGTGCTCCAGACCTTCGTTCGTGCTCTTCAATCCGGCATACATCGATGTCCGCTACTGGAAAGAAGTTTGAACATCATCATCAGGGGTCTTAGTCGCGTCGCAATTCAGCGCGAGAGCGTACCCTCGGCACAAGTAAACGATTTAAACTGCAATGGTACGAGATTAGCAACAACTATCGGAGGAGAGCCTGTAAATCCTTATATACCTGCGTTTCCCTATCTGGATCCGGAGATACAATTGGACTTTGGTATGCAGTCGTATCTTAACGACAACACCCTTAACATGGCCCTGCTCGACTGTTTTCCAGAAATGCAGATGGAAACTGGAGAGACTGATCCTCCTCATTGACTGTTATAAGCACTGTTGGAAAAATCGATTGAATGGTCGGTTAGATCCTTCTATGATTTCGAATTGTGCTATGTGATAAAAGAGCCGGGATTTTCTGGGCTGATCTTGACAGCCGTTCCGGCATGTAGATCCTGCAAAGACACTTTCTAATTCTGAATGCCCGTCGTAGCCTCGGCCAACATGTCAGCTTTCAACGCCGGTCTGTCGGCTTTTCCAGCTGTAGTCTACGAGCTTCTGTCAGTTCATTCAGGTGAACGTTCGAATACAAATCAAAACTTACACCACCGTCGACCGGCATTATCAAGCCAGTTATCCAACCAGCGTCTTTGCTCGAAAGGAACAAAATGGCTATTCAATCAGTAACAGTTGGAGAAAACAGTGAGCAAATGTAAAACATACCGTTACCCACATCCCAGCCCGTCCCCTCCTTTTTCATCAAGTTCTGATTGATACGAGCCTGTCGCATCTCGTCCGTCATCCCACGTCCACGAGTCATGGGCGTATAAACCATACCCGGACAGACACAATTGACTCGTATGTTTTCTTGGCCATGCTGTGCTGCCATAGCCCGTGTCATTTGAATGATGGCGCCTTTGGTAGTTGGATAAAGTAAACTAGGGTTACCACCTAGTACTGCAGTTGAACGTTGTCAGAAGATCTTTTCTGCTTGTCTCGTTGGTTTCGTTGGAAAACGTACAGCCGCTGACTGATGACATATTGACTATCGATCCTCGTCCTTGCTTTCGCATTTCAGGTATCGTGAAACGACTCATAAGCATCATACTAGTAACATTAATGCGAAAGTCGCGCTCCCATGCTTCCAGGTTCACCACCGTTGCATCGCCCATTGCACCTCCGACTCCCACTTTTCGCGACGGAAAGTCGTTAGTAAAGAGGAATTTGTTTTAGGATAAGGGACGAGTATTTGTGGTATGTGGCTCACCAATATTGACCAAAACATGTACTGCACCAAAAAGCTCCACTGTCTTCGCAACAGCGGCCTTGCATGAACCCTCCTGGGTCACATCCGTCTGGATCACCTCAGAGATACCGCCCTCTTCGTCAATCATCCGTTTCGTTTCTTTTGCCCAGTCAACGTTAAAATCGAGCAAGGCCACCTTGGCCCCGTGGCGAGCTAATAAGATCGCAGTCGCTCGACCATTACCGATCTCACCATCCATTCGTGATCCAGCGCCTATGAACGCACTAATCAGTGTTTTATTTCTGAATCGATTCATTGGCTTACCTGTGACAATAGCAACATCGCCAGTGAAATCTAGCGCTCTTGGTGGTGCCATGATTAGCTCCGAAGAATTGTAGAGTGGGTGTCTCTCCAAGAACTCAAGAGCGTGAGTTCGAGAAGCAGATGTGAAGCATATAACAAGTATGTCTCATGAAGGTTTCGACCTTTTCTTTCCGGGAACGTTTGCTGGGCTTCCAAGTATCGCCACCGGCAGCTGTCCCCGGAATCAGACCGGCGCCAAAGGCGACTGCTTGAAGACCCCACCCTACCCCACAGATCATTTTCCCTAACTGCGTAGCTTGCTCCGGAGATCACCGCTCTCATTGTTTCTAGTAATTCCTTCCAAATCAAGGGATCATTCAAGCGAATACAGTGATACATGGTGCACAGTGATCGGGTCGAATACGCTGCCTTCGCTTCGTAGTTTCCACTGTGGGCATCACGCAGTTTATGTCTATCTTGTGAATAAAGAGAGGTCAGGGAGCGCAAGTAGAAACGAAGTGAACGTCGAATGCATTGCATGTTGCAAAAGATTGCATGATGGAACTTAGTCTCGACACTCGGCCATGTTCCCATGCACATCATCAACCATACCAGAATCCTACATGATCTCGAGCGAATAGGCTACTAACTCTCTACATTTTACTGAAAGGAATTCCTTTCAAGACTGAGATAACCAGTAGTCGAACCAGCCAGCAATACCAGCCAAGCTTTGCTCCTTGACCCAACCTAAACGCGCGTTAATGATACTCATGAGGCTTCCAAGTCAACTCACGTTGATACGGATCATCCGGATCGCCACGCAACGCGAAACCATGCTCAACACCAGCGAACAACTGGTAATGATAGGGTATCTTCTCTTCTTGGAGGATATCAAGAGCACGCCGTCTCGACGGCACGTCGAACGTGTGATCTTTTTCAGAGCAAGACAGAAATAAAGGACCTGTACGTACTTAGCGACCAAATTTACCGATCTTTGTAGGCTGGAGGCAATCTACTTTTCAGCTGCCGGAAATGGTGCTCTTTCAAAAACGCCGGATGGGCGAAGGCGCCAACCGTTACAGTATCTTTGGCCAACTCATTGCAGACATACGGCGCCCCAAAACAGTAGCCTACGCAGGCGAATTTGGTCTTTGGGTCCTCTTTGCGGTATCGCGAAGCAACCGCCGAAACCCATTTCGGCACTGCGATATCTGCAAAAGTGGTATGCTTCAACTTCCAAGCCTCGTAGTCAAAGCCAGGGTCGCTATTGTCGTGCCTGTTTTTTCGATGTTTCCACACCGGATCCTTTGGTAGCTGTCAGCGATGACGTCTCGATGTCAATATGAGCGTATGTGACGAAAGTACATACCCCGCGGAAATAATCCAAGCCCAACACTGTATAACCGGCATCTGCAAAGGCGTCCATCACCAGCAAACCATTCGGAAACATTCCCCAAACGTCCGGGAAATACAGAAGGACATGTCCATTGGCTTTCGATCTCGGCGGTACAGATACGTAGGTTTCGACATCTGTAATGGTCTCCCAGGTCCCACGCGGATCACCTTTATGGATTGTACCTTCAAGACAACATATCGCGCTTGGCTTGGCCAGATATTCGCCTTTTGATTCCGCTATAGCATCTGTGGAATTATTCACCGAGTTTGAGGGTTGGCAAAAGTACTGTCCCATGGTTACTTGGGCTGGCGTTTGTAGACAGCTGGACAATCGAAAGCGATTCAAAACCCTGGGACTTGAAGAAGGAATGATGAGCGAGTATTGCATTCTCTCGTGGCGAAGCTCTCCAACAATCATTCGCGCTAAGCTCCATTTGATGAGCGATGATCGATCAGTCCAGCAGGCGGGGCCCCAACATTCGCTTCGGCAACTCGCCACGGAACTTCGCCGTGGCATATTTCCAGCCAATGTCGTGCATTGAGCTTCGCGCATCTGTCTGGGGTAAATGTCAAGTTTGGCATGGTCAGCGATGGCGCCGCGCGTGTGGTATCCCAATGTCGTGGGACATAAAGTGGGCAGGCCTTCGCAGATCTCCGTCTCATCGCAATTGGCAGACCTCAAGAACTTGGCCGTCAGTGCCGCTCACGCCGCCCACCTAAAAGAGCTATCTGTCTCTTCCTGTCGTTCACACTCGTAACGACACTCCAACGCCGACGTGATGACGACCGATATCGCCAAACCAGAGGTCGAACTTCAAGACAACATGCCCGTCATCAAAGAAGTCGAAGCGCAGGAAGCAGTCTCCGTCTCACATGCCGTAGGCTATCAAGAATACCTAGAAGCCCAGGAAATCTCGGCCACTGACAAAGAGATGACTCGGCTCCGCTGGAAAATCGATCTCATCATCCTTCCCATGTTTCTCATTACGCAAGCCCTCCAATTCATGGACAAGACCTCCCTCAACTACGCAAATCTATTCGGATACCAAACAGCGCTCGGACTCAAAGGAACGCAATTCAATTATCTCTCTGCGATGGTGTACGCTGGGTACTTCTTCGGGCAGTACCCTTGCGGATGGCTTATTGGACGGTTCCCGGCACAGAAGGTGTTGGCTGTTAGTATTCTGCTGTGGGGAGTTACGGTCCTTGTCATGACTCAGGCAAGGACATATGGGAGTGCCTTAGCGGTCCGATTCTTCATGGGAATATTCGAAGCTGCTGTCACTCCGGGCCTGACCTTGATGACTGGATTCTGGTACACTAGACGAGAGATCCCTCTCCGTCAATGCATATGGTACTCCTCGCTTGGTTGGGGTGGCATCATTGGTTCCTACATCTCCATGGGCATCTCCACGCTTCCAGCCGACTTCTCACCAGAGCGATGGGAACTGATTTTCTACATTCTCGGCGGAGTAACATGCGTGTGGGCCGCCATCATCTGGTTCTTCATGGCGGACGCACCCTCTAACGCACGATTCCTCAACCACCGCGAGCGCCTCCTGGCAGTCAAGCGAGTCGCAGGCAACCAGGTCGGCATCAAGAACACGCACTTCGATAGAAAACAGATTAACGCCGCGTTCATGGATCCAAAGACAATCCTACTGTTCATCAGCGTGTTCGCTGCCGCCATTCCGAACGGAGTGGTTAACTCCTTCTCAACAATCATCATCCGCGACATGGGTTTCAGCACGACAAGAACGACGGAGCTCAAGTCCGTAGGAGACGCTGTGCAGATAGTCGCGCTGTTCATTGGAGGCACCATTATCTTGAACGTGCCAAACTGTAGGTCCACCTTCTTAGTAAACCTAGTATAGTCGCTGAGACTGACCTCTTTCCAGCACGGCTTCTCACGTCCACAGCCGCCAATATTCTCTGCACCGTCGCAGCAGCCTGTATGGCCTATCTCCCGCGCTCTAACACCTGGGGTCGTCTCGTATCGTTCTGGCTCGTAAACTCTCAATCCGTTGGCTTCACTGTCTCCTTGACCACGATATCCTCCAACATGGCGGGCTACACGCACCGCTCGCTGGCAAGCGCGCTGGTGTTCACCGCATACTGTTGGGGTAACTTTGCGGGGCCGTTTGTGGTAGATCCGAAGCAGGCGCCGAGATATGAGGGTGCGACGATTGGGTTGCTGGTGGGGTATAGTATCAAGCTTGGGTGTCATCTCGGTCTACTGTTGTATATGTTCCTTGCGAACAAGCAGCGTGATGGAAAGTATGGGCCGCAGGACAAGGAGAAGAGTGAGGAAGAGGGGATGCGCGACAGGACGGAGTTTGAAAATAAGGATTTTAGGTACGTTCTATAAGCTGTTTCGGAGCAGAACCTCAACAGTAGTTTTAAGCATACTCCCATACGCGTAAAGGATTGAATCGAATGGACCCTGTTGCAGATTAAACCCCCGTTCAACCATTCGAGGCAACATGTAGCTTCCTCCCTGTAGCTTCCTGGAATATACCAACCACGTCTTCTAGATCTGTAATACGCCTTTCTCGGACCTGGAGGGCGCTTTCCTTCAACCGCCATCACACCTTTCTTGAATTCTTTAATTGCGTCCCTTGAACACAACCTTGGAATGTAAGACGCCTACGAACCTACCTAGGTAGTGTACAATCCTTCGGCTTGCCTCTCAACTGATGTTATAATGCCATCAAAAATGCCACTGTAGTTCTCCCCAGTCAGCATTAACTTATCTTGGTTGCCAAATTTGTCAGCTATTATGTTTCCGACAAACAACTTTCGTCACCCACAGCAGGAGCGACCGCCATCCTAGTTTTGCAATCACCCTACACTGGAACCACAAGTGACTATTTGCTTCTCAACCGACAATCTCCATCTCTGACTTTGATTCACTCGAATTCCGGTCGGGCGCTCACCGGTATCTGCTAAGCCAAGACGCTCCCTGTAAGACGTGCAGCGCTGCGAACTTCATTGGTCGTCCCGTATGCTTCGCCACGCATCTACATCGGTTGGTTGCCCGCACGCCCGCGACTGCCCCTCTTCGTCTTCTAATGCTCCTTAGTCTCTTGAAGTCCAAATTTTGATGATATTATGCAAACAATGAGCTTCTCATACCGGCCACTTGTCCAGAACACTCGCCAACTTCCCACAGGAGATTTCGAGATCCGACTCATAAGCCTACATCCTGGCGACTTCGATAATCCTATATACTGTACAATTTACCATTCCAAAATCAAGAGGGGAAAGTCCAATCAAGAATATACTGCTTTGTCTTACGTATGGGGAGACCCTACTCAAACACGACCTATTCAGCTAGGTTACCATGAGCCTCTCATGACGAGAATCGCCCATGCTTGGCCCTCTGGTCTGTCCTTCGAGACTAGGCGCTATGAGACATTCCAAGTGACGAAAAACCTAGAAAGTGCATTACGACATTTACGGGATGAAACAGTACATCGTGTGTTTTGGATTGATGCTATTTGTATCAACCAGTCGGATGTGGAAGAGTGTCGGTCGCAAGTTCAGCACATGGGCGACGTATACTCTAGCGCTCTGAAAGTTCACATCTGGCTAGGGCCGCTGAGCGACGTATTCACGTCAACGTGCAACATACCCAGTACAAAGCATACAAGAGAGACACAAGAGGGCGACCCAGAAAAAGGAAATCTGTCATCCAGGCGTTTCGAAGGCAATTTCTCGTCCCCCCAGTCAGACAACAAGGCAGTCTCCGAGAATAGTTCTCGTTGTTACCCATCATCTTCGGAGTCTCAGGTAGACCAGCATCAAACATACGATGCGATAGCAAAAGGCCGAGAAAGTATCATTTGTTCTGCTATGAATGCAGCCAGGGATTATCTGATGGACAAAAACCTTTCGCGAAGCCATGGGACCGAAGACAGTCGGTTGCCTGACGAGCTAGAGTCTTTCGGAATGCGAATCATAGTTGCACGACCATGGTGGCGACGCGTCTGGGTAGTTCAAGAGGCCACATGTGCAGCAGAAGATCCAATCATGCAATGCGGCCACATGACCTTTAAATATCGCAAATTTCTCGAGCTGGCGAGATCGATGCTTCCCAACCCGCCACTGGGACTCCCAAACAGCGACGTATTCCTTACCGTGCATAGTATGTTTCGCAAAGGATACGACCCAGCGGAAGTGTCTCTTGCAAGCCAACTGTTGACATACCTAGGCTGTATGAGTGGGAATTTCGAAGCTACTAATCCTAAAGACAGGATTTACGGACTGTTAGGACTCACTCGTATGGTGGTCTGCCACGATAACATCTTCTTTTTGATCATAGAGCAACATGATCAGGTTCTTGCAAAACTTTACCACAGAATTGCTGTCTGGATTCTGCACGATCCTCACGCTCGATCATACCCTCTTCGACTCCTGGAAAGCGGGCCCAGTACCATCAGAGGCATACCATCTTGGGTTCCAACTTGGGAGTCAAAACAGTGGATCGGAGAGAACAAAAACCTCGGAATGCCGAAAAGTAAATTTGAAATTTCCACACTGGATCGTCCGCTTGCTTCCCCTCATCGAGTACACAATGCGCAAACCCGCTCGCAGAAACGTTGCTGCGCCAATCCCCTCAAAATCGAAGAATGTTGGTCCGCCGTTCATAGCTTCGCTCAAAGCACTGCACTGAGAATCCGGGATGCGCTAGCGCTAGGACAGGTGATTACAGTGGTGCGAGTTCCCAAATTGCAGGGGCGAAACGAGTTGAATGTTTTGCGCAAAGCACTTGTCCAGGTCGAAGATAAGATCCTGCTCGCTTTGAAAGCTATGCATATACCTCGTGATGCTGTCCGAGATCATATACGCAGATTTCGAGAGTACATCCAATCTAGTTTCTGCGATATGGATGCGGTCAAGGAGCCAAACTCACTAGAGCGGAACGCAGGAATACAAGACTTCTTCAAACACACTGGAAAATCAAGAAGACGAAAACAAAAACGATCAAATTGTACGAATACGCATCAACAAGATGGCCTTGATGCTGCAAGCCCCCCATTCGAGCCAGGACTAAGCATGTTCTTCGAGCAAGTTAGCCACCTTCTAATCGGATCACACGTCGTAGGACATGTCTTTGAGGACTCACTACCAACTTGGCGGTGCGGTGACAAGCTGTTTCTTATCTCCGAATGTCGCTGGGCTTTAGGTCTCCAGAAAGATGGCGAACGGTACAGGTATATGTATAGAGTGTTCGTAAGTAATTTGGGATGGGATCAACGTCAGGGGCTCTTTGATGAAAAAGGCATTTATAAGGACATTGTTCTTATTTAAACAGGTGTATGATGAGCTACTTTCGCTTCATTAGCCCGCTTGTTGCTCCCGGTCTCCCCAACCAACGTTTTACATACAACTTAGCCAGCCTGTGATCAATGTCTTTCGCCCTCTATAGATGCCTCTTCTGCTATGCTTCACAAGACCCCTACATATCCACAGCGAGAAAGCTCAACCTACCTCGACCAGCCGAATCATGAAGTCGGGCATCGGCATCTTCACGTTCGCCACTTCACCTTCTGCACGCACACCAGACTTACTGGAAGCTTGAGCCGTGATTCGTGACGGCAGCTTCACCCTGACCTTCTCACCATCGCCACGATCAAGATGGCCGCCGTCCCTAGCCGTAGCCCTCTTTGCGAGATGATCACGGTAATGCCAGTCATTCGGCATCACCCAGTCAGTAGGCGCAAGACACTGCAGCGCATACGCACCCTTGAGAGCATCCTTAGATGGAATATTAACTTTCGGTCGGCTCTTCTTGTATAGGGAACGGGGTAAGAGAGGCACCGTGGTGGCAAAATTCGGCTTTAGCACCCACGGCTCCTCGAACGGCTTTGAAGTTTCCGTATGCTTACCGAGACGGCGTACCTCATCCCAGCCCATGCCGTAGACATCAACATACATCTGTGCCATTGACGTGGCGCCGAAGGGGAAGATGTCAGGGTTGGACACTGGTGCCAGCATATGCTTGGGGAATTCCGACATGCGCTTCGCACGTTCCTGTGCTTGCTCTTGTTGCTCACGTTGTTGCTCACGCTGCTCGTTCCGGCGCTTCTCACATTGCGCCCGAAACTTGTGTGGCGTCTTCATCATCGCGTTCTCACAGTGCTTGATGCGAGCGTGGACCCGTTCGTACAGGGACGAGCGCTCATCAGCATGCGTGAGGATGTGGAGGAAGATCATTTCTTTATCTCCCTCTGAAACGTGCCCTCCAGCGCAATGGAAACCAAGAGCGCTGACGAGCTTATTGATGAAGCCAAAGTCATTGTTATACTTCGGGATCAGGAGCTTCACGTCAGCCACGGTCACCGCGTTCTTGTGGATATAGTCAATGATCTTGTGGCGCGGGCCATCGGCAGGTTTGCCTTTGTGATGGCCATGTTCAGCACAAGCGTAGGCGTGAAGAAGCTCACCAAGAAGAGACCGCGACTTGAGCTCCTGCACAGCAGGGCTTGAAGATGCGACTGACGTCTGCGAATTAGCGGATGTTGCTGCTGTGGAAGAGCGACGTGATCCATCAAGAATCAACTCATCGAAACCATCATCCGAATCGAGGTCAGAGTCTGGACCTGACGGTTCGGGTGAGGAGGGAGGGGTCAACTCGATCTCGATCACGACCGGCTCGAGGACGCGGTTGTGCTGCTGAGAGCGTGGCATACTGGAGTGGCGTGGCATGACGAGAGAGAGTCTACAATACAGCGTAGCGAGATTTCAACGATGATTGCAGGTATCCAAGGGTGAGAGAGTACCGAAGGTTGCAGGTTGAACTGCTTTGCAAGTATGATGCACAGTCCCACCTGGGGATCTTTTAAGGGAGTACTCAGCGTGGAGGCGTATATGAATTGCACTCTGTCATAGCTGGGGGATCACGTTGTGAGGTCATGAGATCTGGAGAGTGCGCATGCACAATGTTGGTTGAAGACTGAACATGATGCATCGAATCCGTCTGGAAAGCTGTGGTTTGCGGGTAGGCCACATTGTTCATATAATTTCATTCCCTGAGATGAAACAAAAGGAACCCGATGATTCAAAGTCTTGACTCTATGTCGATACGATTGTGAGGCGTTCTTTATTCTTGCCAAATACGCAGACGGGTGTCTTGGAAATAACGTCTCAAGAGTAGACTTTGAAGTGGAGTCGAAGCACTGGTATCATTGAAATGAGAAACGAAGCTGGCATATTCATGATGGCCAAGTAAGCTCGTAGCCATAGACAGTCCGCCGTAATAACTCGTCCTGTGTTGATCAGCAAGAGTCTGCGACAGGTGAAGGACGGCGCTCACCCCAGGATCCTTCTCGAACATGACCTTATCCATAACCTTTTCAAACGTCTTCTCTACAAGGAAGCCCGCTTCGCGCGCCAAGTCGAAGAAGGCCAAGTCCTTCTCGAGGAGCCATGGTCGGTAAGGCGTGAAGAAGACGAATGCGCGGGAGCTTGGTGACTTCTTGAGCATAAGCTGCACAGACTTGATAAGTTTTGTGTGCTCGGAATGATTAAACAAGAGATCGGCTAGAATGAGCACGTCGAATCCGCTGTCGTCAGAAAGGTGCTTCGTCAGCTCCGATGTGGGTGCGCCCCATAGGTAGCCCTACTGGGGTCAGCAAGAAAACCTCATAGTGGACGATGTGTAATACCTCGGCTGTGACCTGAGCGCGATTAGGCAGTAGGTCGCAGTGGTCGATGTTGTACCGCAGATTCTCAACGAGCTCAGCGTCAGGGTAGTCGGTCACTACGACCCGCTTGGCGCCATTGAGAGCGCACACAAGACTGGGTAGACCTGCACCTGCACCGAGCTCGAGAACGCTTTTTCCATGGAGTAAATCATGTGCTCGCTCTTCTAGGTAATCTGAAACAGTTCGACCGGCATTCCATAGAAAGTGTCCCTGGGAACGTCAGTTTTGTGTCTTGGCAACGGGTTGGTGGGTAGGAGTTTGAGACTGGATGACGCATCTCAAGGATGTTCCAAGGGTTGACGTCTTCTAGAAGCCTTGAGGAAGATTGACAGAAGGCTGCTTATTTGCTAGTAAGGAAATCTTACCCACAGTGGGTTGTGGCCGACCAATCTGATGTTGAGCTCCTTCCCAGACTTCAGCGTGTGCGAGGCAAAGGTGGCTTCTTTTTCTGGTTCGTAGAAGCCTTCGGGGTCTTGGAAGAGGTCAATGCCCACGTCTTCAGGCTCATCGGCCATGATCGCACGTGGCTGGTAGGAGTTGCCAATGGGCTTGGCGTGAAGGTCAATTTTCGGCTACCCCACAGTCACGTGCGGCGCTCGCTTCGATTGCGAATGTTTGGGCGCCAGTGATGAGAAACGCGGGCGCGGTACGGCGTGCAGCGAGGGGCAGACCATGATGGGCTCACCGGCACATGATGGCCCTTCTGTGGCTTGAGCCCGCAAGCGTCCCCACGCGTTTCCGGACACTTGCCAGTAGGTGTAACGGACGGGAGCAGACGCAGGGGCTGGCTGGGCGTTCCTTTGTCCAGTCTGGACCACGACTCTTTATATTGAAGCCCCTCCTCCGCGCCGCACGCTGCAAAAGCGAACATCCTCACCGTCGCCCTTCGCTAGCCGTCTCACGCTCCAAACACCGGACGCTCAGGGTGCAAGACGGCGGTCTCGAACCTAGCGCGGGCGCAACATGAGCGCGCCGGCAGCTGATTGGTAGAAACTTGCTCACTCCTCTGCATCGCAAACCCACCAGCTCTGACGACGACCCAAAGACATTCCTCCACCGTGCCGGGCACACTCGACGTGAACAAGTGCTACTCCAACGCGAACCCGTCGAGGAAGCCCCGTGCGTATTTCCAGCCTGCCGCCGACGGGCTCCTGCAGCTGCGACCGCGCGCCCGCACCTTCCCTGCGACCTGCTCTCCCCGGCACTGCCTGAAGCGCGCTCCCGTCCTCTCGAGAGCCTTTTCCTTTTCCCTGCCCCAGGCGCCGCTTAATCTGCTCGTTTCTGCGCACCTCTCATCAATCGACCTGCTCCCTCGCCATCACCCACCCGGCTGGCCAGCGTTACCGACTGGACGCCAGGCCTCTTTCGATCATAGCCACAGCCACGAGGACCCGGGTCGCACCGCCGTAGCACGTTCCCCGGCGTGTCTGTGTGCCCATAGCGAGACGCAAAACATTTGAGTGGTCCTCGTCAAACAGCCTGTCCCGAACCACTGTCTTTCCGCGGGCACTTGCACCCTTCTTTCGGCCCATCCACGTGCATCCCGCTGACATCGACTTCACCTACTTGCGCGGCTTTCCATCACCCTGCGGGCACCAAGCGCGTAGTCTGTGCGGTTCATGAGCACATTGTAATCTTGTCCATCTGAGAGCCACACCATGTGGGCAGAGGTCAACGGCGAGAAGAAGAAGGTCGCTTGGTATGTGTCACCCTCCTTACCTCGACTGATGAGCAGCCATTGTTGCCTCCTGTCTTGATTCGCCTCGTCCCAGCAACATCGTCGCATCTTACCTTCAAGTGGAAGCTGGTCGAGCTTCTTTTCTTCATGCTAATAGTAATCTAGCGGCCCATGCATCCGAGGTCATCGCTCATCAAAATGCGATCATCGCGATCGGGTGCTTGTAGAAGTTCGCAAGCCCGGTCGACCTCTCAGCAGCTGTCCGCATCCGACCGGTTCATGTAGCTGCGAGCGGGTCGTCATCAACTACACCATCCCCAAGTCTTCTGAATGCGCCTGTCCGTCAGACAGTGCTCCGCCAGTGCTAGTCAACAACGGCACCGGTCGCGTTCAGAAGACTCGTGGTCGCAAAGCCACAGCCACTACGTTCAACGCTGCCGTGCTCGAGAAGGCCATCAAGGCTGCCCAGGACGGCGAAACTGACTCGTCGTCTCACCTCACCAGAACACCGACGAGCGAAAGCAATATTGCGTCAAATGCATCAAGTGCGAGCTCGACGCCACGATTACCTCCATTGCAGAAAGATGCCGAATCAATCATCCCCGCAATCTCCGCTCCAAATTCACGGCCTGCTACTTCCCAGGGCACCACCTCCAGCTGCTGCAAGCCCAAACCTGTACAAGCGCAAGCTGGAAGTTGCTGCAGCAACAAAGCCGCTCCACCGATCCAGCCGACACCACCGAAGAAGTCCTGTTGCGGGGGTTCTGCCCCTGCTCAACCAGCGCAATCACAGATGCCACAGCCTCACTTGCCGTCGGATTATCCACAGCATCTACCGAACTTCCCTCAGTATCCGGCGCAATTTCAGCATTCTCCTTACGGCATGCCACACCCTGGGAACAACTTCATGCAGACACCACCGCCGTTCAACTTCAACACTCCGATATACAACCATATGGCATCCGGTTACCAGCCACCAGTGTCCTTGCCCATGACAACATTGAACGGACACGTCGCGCATCACAATCCGGAGCACAACTGCCATTGTGGCGATACTTGCAGCTGTTTTGGCTGCGCAGCTCATCCGAATAACGCTACCATGATCGAGTATGTCCGATCGATGCATCAATTCATGAGCACGGGCCAATTTGGCGCGATGCCTCCGCCAAACTACGATATGCCATCTTACCCTCATCAGCCGGGGTACGGCGCCGAAGCTAACATCGCTTTCAACCCCATACAAGCGAACTACCCTACGAGCCAGATGGGTTTCCAGCCAAGCATGAACACCATGCACATGCAGCATCCACCAATGAACCTACCAGGCCCGTGGCCTCAGACTCCCACGCCGGGCTCGATACATAATCCTCAAACGACAGCGACAGCATTACTCGAAAACAACAACACTTCTAGCAGCGCACCGACAGCTCAAAGCAAGGAGTCTTCCCTACCACTAAAGGTTGAAGAGCAGATACACAGTCCCACCTTTACCGACAGTCCAAGCGAAGGCAAAGAGGAGGACACTGTCACTCTATCGCCCTCAACATTCCTCTGGCAAGAAATGGTGCTACCAGGGTGCAACGACGCGACAGGCACTTGCCAGTGTGGCGACGGTTGCGAGTGTGTTGGTTGTTTGACGCACGGTGGACACAACGGCGTGATCCTGGAGATGATGGAAAGCAACGATCAGGATGGCTTTCCTGATCTTGCTACCCCGACAGACGCCAATTCCTCGACCCATTTTGCGGAATTTACGACTGCGCCGACTTGAGACCCAGGCAGTGGAACGGTTGCGCGTACAATTTGGACGCTGGTAATGCTGACCCTCATGGTATTGCACCAGCCGCAAGACCTACGTTTACAGTGCCTCTTAGCGGAGATTTATGCCCTGGTTGCATATCCTCATCTGCCGTAAACAGCTGCGCGTCTATCATCGACGCTCGCACGTGTTCATTAAGCGCGCAGCATGTTGTAACGAGCTCAACGAAATAGCCTACGACTTGCTTCTTTGTACATTTTCTCTGGGTTGGTGTGAGTCTTTCGCCACACATTGTACCATTTTGATATCCATGGGCATGGGCGTTTTGGCATAGCCCTATTGTTTTGGGACATGGCTGGACATAGCACAGGATGTCTACAAGGCGTTGCATAGCAGAGATACTTGAATATACCCCACTAGGACCCAAGGACGCATTTGTCGTCTGTAGTTCGTATTGCTCCGCTCTTTGCCTCCCTTCGGTAACATTGCGCATGCGTTCTCTTGTACAAAACCCCGCCTTGCACTTTGCTATCCGCTCGTTCCGCGGAAATACAACTCATGTGCTGCAGGTGGCCGTAGTAGGAGTATAAGACCCCGCGTCGCACACTGCATGCATGGTGGCGCTCCTTTGCACGTGCGTACACGAAGCGACAACCTCTTATCCCGGCTACGGCATGGTCGGTGGGATCTTCCACTTTCGTCCTCTCATGTACGCGGACTAGGCTCTGTTTTGAGGCGGTAGAGAAGGAGATAAAGGGGCCCATCAGTGTGGCTTTTGTCGTGTTAGGGTAATCATCACTTCGGATAACGATGCTGGAACTCGCTTATGGGGACCGCAAGAGAAGTATGAACACTCGGCATTGGAGTCTTCGACCGAGTGTGTCGCTCGAAGAGCGGGTCGCGAACAAGCCATTCAGAACAAGAACCATCCCCGAGCCGCCCAGATCCATCTGCGAACCACCGCATCACCAGCAGAATTTCCCCGAACGCCCCATGACAGCAATCCGAAACGTGAACCCAACCCACGGTGATCTCACCCAACCACATGCATGCCTGTTATTTCAAGGACCTCCAATCGGATCCACTACCAGCCAGAACCACTACCAGCCTCCTTCATCCCTTCCCAGCATCCATCGAACGCAATCCTTGCCCAGAGCCCGATAAGAAGACGCCATGAAAGAAGAAAAGCAACGCCAGGTAGCGGTACCGCACATGGCAGATCCGCGTATGATGTACAGAAAGCAGCAAAAAACTTACAATTCGAAAAATGCCCCTTGCGGAGACTGACCGATACCAGATGCCGTCCGGATACTTATGCTTGAAGTTTTCGCAGATTCGATACGCCACCAAAAAGTCCGTCGAGATCGGTTCGATAGTGAGAAGAAGGTCTTTCGACATAGTCAAGTATTGACCAACATTCGCTGGTATAGCGCGAAATAGGCGCGAGCGCCAAAAACTGAAAAGAAACAAGGCAGGAAGGAAGTCGTTGGCACGTAAGACGATTCGAGCTGCGACTAGTTGTCGGTGAACACGATCGTGAGAGTCTTGCCATCTGCAATGCTTGCCTGTGAGGACTTAGGTTAGCTCGGATTCGCAATGGCGCCGAAAACATACCGTGCAACCGTCGGGATTACCAACGCCGTCAGCATTATAATATTGCCCGTCCTTGTACGAACATGGGTTGCTGACACCGTCGCCCATGAATCGAATAACAAAGTTGAGCTTCGCGTCGGGATTGGTAGGCTTGTTTTGCAAGAGTCCAGTGTATCCCATGTTAGAGAGGATGTCGTCGAATGAGGTTCCGATATTGACAGGAGCTCGGTTGCCCGTATCACCTTGGCCGCTGCCCCATGTGCATGCTTGGGCCTCGGAGACGCCCTGGTTGTTGACATAATATTGGGCAGATGTAGGCTTGTTGTCCCAAAAATAGTATGACTTCTGATCCGGGTTGGCGAGCTCCTTGGTCTCTCCAGAATTGATGGTGAGAGGAAGAGTCTCACTCTCAGTTCCTGATACCAGTCAGTACAAGTTTTTCGACTCGGGTGGGCGCGTACCTGGGTAGTCGGTGCGGCAGAGGGAAACTGGCTTGGAGAGCTTGCTCTGAACCATAACCTTCACGCGAGAAGAACCCTTGCCACAGAGAGTCTTGGAGAGAGAGCCATCGGCCATCTCTAGCTTGCCATCTTGGTTGCAGAAAAGCCCACCAACCGACTCTTTCCGTGCACCCTGCAACTTGGGGAACGACATCTTGAGGTAGGGATTCGGGCAAGCGTAAGAGCAGAATCGACCCTTCGAGCAGCATTCGCCGCCAGGGCAGGAACCTGTAGGGACGGTCATAATATCGTGATAGCCGGCTACATCGCGCTTCGCAGGAGCCTGGATACCCGACCAGCCTCCAAGGCCCTCGTTGCCAAGGTGGAACGCGCCATAGCCAGCAGGGAACTCGCTACAGTTGAACTTTCGATTGGGGAAGTCCTTGTCGCAGTCGGGGCAGCTGCCATCATCGCCCACTGGATGATATGACATTGGGTCGGGCGCCTGAACATTCTCCGACGGCTGTTCCATAGGCTCTGAGATCGAGGCAGGAGGCTCCGGTTCCGACTGCTCAACAGGCTGAGGTTCCTGGGCAACGTGGTTGATCTCGACGGCTTGGGTCTTCGCTGGTGGGGGTGGAGTCGGTGCGACAGCGGCAGATGATGAAAGGCTGCCGTCCTCACCCCAGGTGAGCGTTCCGTTCGCGATACCGTTGCGCACATCCTCCTCGCTAATTGAATGACCGTTGAGCTCATAGATGACGACCGTCTCGACCGGACCAGGTACGTAGACTGCAGCGTCCGCGCGCTTAGCAACGGCAGCGTGGTGGTGCGCGTGTCCGTGGGGTTTGGCCAGGGCAGTGGCGGCGGCCGCGGCGATGACTACGGTAGAGTATCTCATGTTTCCCGTTGTAGATTCCTTACCAACACGTCAAGGTAACTGCGGTTGATAGTGCTACTGCCCAATTAGCCACTGTCGGCGCGGGCGGTGGTCTGCGCAGCACCAACGCACCTACGACACAGAAACGTACAATGGCGAGAGACTGATCTCCAAGACGACGGGAAAGCCCGGCGGTGCGCAGCGACTTAGTCTTTGCGACTTGCTGCCTGAGGAATGAAGGTGGGCGCGGCCGGAAAAAGATACTCAGAAGCCTAAGGAGTGGATTGGAGTTGGGACTCCAGGTAGGGTGCCGAAACAATAAAGAGTGGAGATTGCGGCGACTCGAGGAAGAGATTGAAGGTCGTAGTAGAGTCGAAAGAGGAAGTGTTGGTGAGAGGCGGGGCGGGGCAAGAGTTGTTGTTTGCTATGAGGTTGCCAAGACTGCGGTCGCGCCTGCCCTTTTTGCGATTGCGCTCGAGGGAATGGGCCGAGGAACGAGACTTTCGGATCTGGCCGTGTCCTTTTTCCTTCACCGCGGGAATGAGCGCCGGCTACGCCGTCTGTGCACAGAGCGAGTGTATGGGTGAAGATGAAGGTGAAGCTGTAGCCAAAGCGAGTGCAGTCTAGTCAAAGCAAAGGAGTGACGGATAGTTTAGACGTGTTGAAAAAGATTGGCAGGCTTAACAGACTGTTGGGGGATGACGGGAAACGAGCGACTGGAGCAGACGGGGAGAAGGCGGACAGCAGGGCCAGCAGTAGCTTTGTGGTACGGTTGCATTGAGCGCAGTCGCTCTTCGAATCTAACATCCAGCGCGACGGATCGCCATGAGCTGTGCCACAGCAGTCTCCCAAGCAGAATGCATGCCCACGTATAGCGGGCGGCAAGCGTTGTACCTTTGCGGCACAGTCGTGCTGCCGACGAGCGCACTCTTCTTCGCATTAAGCGCACGCAAAGCCAATGGTCTTGTCGACCTGTCCGTACTACAGCCATGGTCGTACAGTACCTGGCACTATGCCTCGATCCAGGTACCATGTTTATCCCTGTGTTGTCACATTCTCGCCCGTTGGCGGGAGGAATTGGAACTCCTGTGGCGAGGTAAGCAACTTCGGAATCAACAGAGAGACGCCCCTGTAGGTTCCAACCGGCGGACGTCGCTCACAGCAGGGTGGATTCAACCAACATGGAGGTAGCGTTTCATTCAGCCCATGTCGTCACGCATCCAGTTCTGTATATGCTGTACGCCGGCACTAGAAGAAACTCACATTCCCCACAGGAACGTTCGACAAGGCTAAGCGAACGTGTCGTCAGCACAGCGTCGTGCACGGAGCCAGCTGTCGGCGCGATTGCATGGTGGTGAGAGTAACAGTGAGGAGTGATGTCGTCTCCAAGCTCCAACCACCGGCGCAACCGCTTGCGGGGCGGGTCCAATTTTGAGCGCAGGGTTGGCACGTTCCATGTACATTCACACCGCGGCGCAGCGCATGTCATTCTTTCGATGCAAATCGGGCTGGCTGACGCTGTTGTGAGTGCAATCTTGATTGCGGCACAGCGCTTGTCGATGAGAGTAGCTGGAAGGCTTTGCAGTTGCATGCAGATGCGAATTACTGTAATCGCCAGCGCCGTGACACTGTGTACCTGCAGAACATCTACAGCACGAAAACGCCTACTGCAGGTTGTCGTAGCAGTGTAGCACAGACGTCACTCCACGTGAGTTCTAACCACAGTTTCACGCCCACGAGGATCTTTCAACCGTGTCGGCCAGCTGAGACATCGTATACAACAATGCATTGTTCAGAAGAATACACATGCCTCTATCGTTGGCGGTATATCGCTTCGCTCACACAACTTGCATGCAACTTCGCTCTTCTTCTGCCATGCTATGGTATTGCCGTCCAAACACGATCAGACTTGCTGGATGTAATTCCCAGGCACACTCCTCGTCACGCCATCTTTCTCGACATCCGCCCAACCATCCCCAGCGTCCATGTTGATGAGGACGAACCGCTCGCCCTCGGACATGCTGTGCTCGGCGTCGCTCTGCGCCGTGTAGTCGTACATAGCTTCAACGTACTTTAGCTTCTTCGCACCGCGCTTGGGTGCAACTGCTGGACCCTTTTTCTTGATGGTGCCGCCGCCGGCAACGCTGCCTGCTAGCGACACGGAGGAGGCTGAGTAGGTGGAGTCGGGACGGTTGGAAGAGGGAGGTGTAAGGGGAAGGACTTCGACATAAGACGCGGGAACGAGGCCTTCTTTCGAACCGGCACGAACTTTCATCCAGCCCGAGCCGTCTGTGAAATCATGTCAGCGTGGAATCGATCAGGTAGTCATAATGGGCCAAGTTCTTACCATCCGGTTCCAAAATCGTTACATCTCTGCCGTCAGCCACTGTGAGTTCGCCCTCGCTACCTTGCTGATATTGGTAGAGCATGCGTCCTTTTTGTTCGGCAGTCTTCGAAGGACTAGGGAGTGGAGGATCTTGATCGTCGCTTTTGATATATTGTGCAGGCGGAGGTGCAACGATACGGTTCCTTCTCGGCGCTGTTACCGCAGGTTTCTTCTCTGGTGCTGGAGCTTCTTCAGCCGTTGGCGTCAAACCACCAGATATAGATCGATTCGCCGTGGCTGAGTACCCGGAACTTAGCGTGTTCATCGAGTTGACTGTGTCGCTTCGACTTAGTGCAGGCATGCTGCCTGGCACTGCATTGCCATTTGACGGCGGCGGTGCAACACCAGCAGACTTTTGTCGCTCTTCCTTGAGCTTCTTTTTCTCTTCTTTGGTCTGTTCGCCGGGGCAATCTGCAGGAACTTTGAGCTCACACTTGCTATGGCATGTATATCCACAGTCTTTGCAATCGAATCCCTTCGCAGACAATCCCCATATTCTGTCCCCGCACAAATCGCAATTTGTCGGTATTTTGAAGGTTTGAGATTTAAAATTGTGGCTCCTAGCGCCTAAGCTCAAGTCGCCCACGACGGAGGTAATTGTCGAGACTTCGACTTCAGCGTTGACTTTCTGACGCTCGACATCGTGCATATTCTCTTGTAGAGCGAAAATAGCGCGCACTACTTCCACCTCATCCCTCTTATCTTTGCCGTCGCGTATGTTCTGCCGCACTTTTCTCGCATTCTCCACCTCTTTCTTTTTCTTGTCTAGCTCGCGTCGATGCTCCTGCAACGATGCTTTCGACCTCGTGAGAACGTTGCGAAGGAAGACTGCCGCTGCTTCGTCGGTTGCGATCGATCCATCATCGAGCCATACTGGGCTCGGTTCGAACTGGAAGTCGCCTGGCTCTTGCCATGAACCGGCGTTGTGTCTTACAAACATCATGGAGTCAAGCGCAGGGTTATTTCGTGGGATTTCAGCAGAGAGGTGTTTTAGGAAATCGGTGCTTCGTGTGAGGGTTTGCGTCTCGATTTGCGCGGCAAGGGCCCATATGGAGTTGAGCTTAGTGACTCTGGTCTCGGAGAGATCTTGAAGACTATCAAGCACCTCGGGAACGTACTCGTGGTAGTACATTTCCTTTTGCTTATTGGTCACATTGATCGTGAGAACATATGTGTTTTTGACGTTGCGCATTTCCGCCTGCTGTTGCTCGAAAGCGTTGCGCGCTTTCTGTTTCCCGTGGTCAAATGCGCCTTCAGTCTTCTTCCGGCGATTTTCCACCTCCTGGCAGACGCTGTCGTACTTCCCCTTCATCTTCCTCAAGTCTGCATATGTGGAGTCACGCTCCTTTTCCAATTTTGCAGCATGGTCGGCGTGTAACTTCCGTAGCTCTTCGTATCGAGTAGCGTAAAACTTAAGGGGGTCGGCGAGGTTGGAGACAAGGGCGGTTGCGAATTGGTCGTGTTCGGAAGCACGCGACTCGAGCGTCGATAGCTGCACCCCCCATGTGGTCATGGATGCGCATTCCAGCGAACCGGGGGTGACGGTAGGAGTCTCGCCCACGCTCAGAGCGCTCGACTTCCTCGCTTTCTTCTCATAATATTTCTTCGCCAGTGCGCTGAGCTTCGCAGCATATTCCCTCTCTATGACACTGCGTTCTCGGTAGAATTGTTGGATGTCATCCAGCCAAGCTATGCCGCCTGAGACCTGAGATTGTTCGATCAGCTCGGTGAGGAAGGCCGTGGAGAAGGGCCGGATATCTCTATGTGTTCGAGCACAGAGTGGGTCTCGGATATACGCACCCAGGCGTTGACATTCTTGAAGCCATCCTGCAGGTCTCGACTTAGTCTACATGTACATTGGGCGCTGTGCGCGGGATCGTCGGTACCTTCAACTCGGCGCCGAACTGGGGCGCAATGTCGACTTCCATACTGCTACGAGAGGTGCAGAGGAGAGCCTAGGGACCAGCAGAGCGGCACAGCACATGGAGGGAGGAACAGGCGTGGGGTCTAGTGGAAGGCTGGGCCGACGGCACCACGGCGGGCATTCACGCACGCGGGTGCCTAAACCGGCCTAGTGGCAGCCTGGTCGTGCCTGCCCCGCCATAGATCGCGCCTCCCGTTTACGTTTAAACAAATTCCGAATCACTGACATCGACCGCAACCTCGAAGCTCGCGCACACGGGCCGCTCGAAGTACGCGTGATCCCTTTGCTTTCTCCGCCACAATTGCGCTCTCTTTGTTCTTTGAGACTAACTTTATGAAAACAGACCTTACCGACTCCCAACTTCCAGTTTCCCCACACCACTTGCCATAACCATGGCTGCCGAAGAGAACACCCCACCTAGCACCACTGAGGCTACTAAGCCTGACGAGTCTCCTGAGACTCCCACCACCACCCAGGATCCCACAAACAAGCCCGCCGCTGACCAGCTTGACGGCGCTGGCTCGCCAGGCAATGGCAACGCGCTCGCCGACACTGAGCTCAAGGTGGAGGTAAAGCTCGCAGACTTGCAAGCGGACCCAGACAACCCGCTCTATTCCGCTAAGACCTTCGAAGAGCTCCAATTGTAAGCACTCCGCAAACAATACTTTGCGTGTCGCGCAATCAGCTCTACAGCTCTAATCACATGCAGGTCCGATGAGCTGCTGAAGGGCATTCACCAGATGAATTTCCGCAAGCCCTCAAAGATCCAGGAGAAGGCACTACCGCTGCTCCTCATCAACCCGCCCCAAAACATGATTGCTCAGTCACAATCCGGAACGGGCAAGACGGCCGCTTTCTCACTGAACATTCTTTCGCGAGTCGACATTAGTAACGTCGCGCCACAAGCCCTTGTCCTCGCGCCGAGTCGGGAGCTCGCTCGCCAAATCTTGGGCGTCATTTCACACATGGGACAGTTCATTGAGGGCTTGAAGACAATGGCAGCTGTTCCAGACCCCTCGCGACGAGGTCAGAAGTACGAGGCACATGTTCTAGTTGGGACTCCGGGTACGGCGATGGACATGATTCGGAGGCGCCTTATCGACCCGCGCAACATTAAGATCCTGGTTCTGGATGAAGCCGACAACATGTTGGACCAGGGCGGTCTCGGCGAGCAGTGTACGCGTGTGAAGGCACTTATTCCGGGTAGTTTCCAGACTGTGCTATTCTCAGCGACGTTCCCCGACCACGTCATCAATTTCGCGCAGAAGTTCGCCCCGAATGCCAACGTGATCACCCTTGCTCACGAAGAGCTCACGATCGAGGGTATCAAGCAGCTATGCATCGACTGTCCCTCCGAGGCTGGAAAGTATGATGTGCTGCTTAAGTTCTACGGCCTCATGTCACAGGCCTCTTCGATTATCTTCGTACGAAAGAAGGCCACCGCCGAACAGCTCGAGGCACGCATGACCGCGGACGGCCACAAGGTTGCCCAGCTGAGCGGTAACCTGGAAGGAGATGCTCGTGACAGGGTCATTGACGCATTCAGGTCTGGCGAAGCCAAGGTATTGATCACGACCAATGTGCTCGCTCGTGGTATTGATGTCCAATCGGTCACCATGGTCATCAACTTCGATGTTCCTACCATGGCCAACGGACGCGACCCCGACCCCGAGACATACCTTCACCGCATCGGTCGAACCGGTCGCTTTGGACGTGTCGGTGTCGCTTTGACGCTCATCCACGACCGTCCATCTTGGGAGCAGCTCCACGCTATCGCCGACTACTACAAGACGGAAGTGCAGCCGCTGCCGTTGGAGGACTGGGACACGGTGGAGGAGACGATCACGAAGGTTATCAAGAACTCGCGTGCTGGCAAGAGCACCGTTGACATGGTCAAGTAGGGGAGGAAAGGGATATGAAAGGAGAGCGATACGTGGAAAGGCGGAAACATCAAGAAACGGATCAATCACGGCAATTTCGAGATCTGGTGGTGGAATGAACAAGCATGGGAAAGAGACACAGGCCTGGCTAACAGGTGATGAATCGAAATCATCGCGATGAGATCGATGTTCTTCAAGCTCAGTAGATAGACCTGGGCAAGTTAAGGGACCTAATTGAGATACCCACTTCATACACTCTCGCGTTTCTCACGCTGCCTGAAGCCTTGCTCCGTTTGAATGGGTCTCTTCACTGCGGTCTACTAGCCCTTTGCATTTTTAAGCTCTTGGTCGTCTACATCTACTTCTCAAAAGCCCCCGGCGCAACCACCAAAATAACCACCAAACTACTCAATATCAGCGCGCCCGCGACCACACTGACCAATATAACACTGCCCCTACTCGCAGGAAACTTTCCCCTAATGACATAGTGCTGGGCCTCGAAGTAGCGGTGGAAACCGATGGCCAATATGACGATGGAGATGGCAACGAAGGTTGCGCCGAGGGGCTTGCCTACGTGGCGGAGGTGCGCTGCTGGGCTTTCTTGAGGCGAGGGTGAATCGGGAGAAGAGGATTGGAGAGAGCTGTTGAGGCGGAAGAGCTGAGTTACCGCGATCCCGATGGAGGCGAAGGAGAGGGATGTGCGGAGCCAGGCGAGGAAGGTGCGTTCTGTTATTTATGGTCAGTATACGTCCCCGACAATTATGGATTGAACGTAGGGATTGAGGAGAAGAGGAAAGGATGGTGGACATACCCAGCGCCAAGTGGTCCCTCGCAACACTCCCTTTATTCTCCAACTCCACACTTCCATACTTTTCCCAAAACGCCGCCCACCTCGTGCCCTCCTTCCTCTCCACATCGGCCGCTTCTCTTTCCGCCCTGTGTTGCTCCCGACCCCTCTGCACCGCTCCCTGCGTGCCTTCCTGCACTATCCTGGACTCCGCACCCGTAGATCTCGCAGACAGCCGCGGCGATATAGAATTGTAATCTTTGCCCGCGCGTGCGCCGCGCATTATTGGCTCCGACTCGTCCGAGTTTGTGTTTGACATCTCTCTTGCCGCTGCTCCCTCGTCTGATTGAGTATGCTCGTCTTCTGTGCTAAAATGGGGATTTCGCTTCCGACCCGTGTTAGAGCTATCTGCATCGCCGTGCGTGAAGGAAACACTCTTGCAATCTGTTGAAACTCGCGGTGCCAGAGAGACGTCCGTATCTGTATGTGCCGCTGCGGGTTCGTGATCGCTCACGCGGGCCGGACCTTGGTCATCCATTGCGCTGGGACCGTGGCTTCGGGAGTTTGTTGGGCCTGCATTGTCGACGTCAACAAAGCGGGTTTGATCGTGGGTATGGCTGCACGAATTGCGAACGTGGCGGGCGGTATCGCAAATGGTAGATGCTGGGAAGGGTGTAGTGCGGGATTCGTGCTTGCGAGTGGAACTGACGCCATCGCGCGAGCTCGCGTGGGTGCTTGAGGGAGCACTGACCTATGATCGGGAGGATTGCGCAAATGCTTCGTATGCGGGCTCGGGAAGCTCGCTCGGAGTTTTGACAGTTGTTCAGATTGTAAAGATCAAGACATGGTTCGATCATATATGCTCCGGAATTAGATGCAAGTTGCTGTTCGCGCACGTGCGAAGCATCCATGGATTGCTGCGGGACCTCCCGACTTCGGGTCGTCGGGAAAGTCCAAATAACACCGTAGATAGTTCCCATGTTAGACTGCGGATATACATATGGATAGGCTTAATGAAATTCTCAGTAGTAGACGTCCAGCAAGTCGCTAGGTGCAGTGAGGTCGAAAGAAGTGATTCAAATATTTGACATTCCCACCGCCACTGCGGTGACCGTATCGCATGGGTAAATCTAAATGGGATCGAAAAACACATATTTGATACATTCGACAATATCCGAACTCTCTGTGAGCGCAGAGAGTACGCCGGGTGCCTCCACGAGCCGAAAACGCCGCCCAATGCTCGCCAAAACAGTCCAGACAAAACGTAGTTCCTCGGGCGAGCATTCACTCGTTATAGTGGTATACCTGCGATTGTTAGCAATGCCGACTATGATAGAGGAGACCGAGGCTTACAAGGTAGTTGGGCAGACCAAAGCTGTCCCAATTCAGTCTTCGAGCCATCTTCGCAAATCCCTCCGTCTCGATCAGGTGGTAGAACGAGAAAGGTGGGAACATGGCACCGTCACGGTGCACGTCAGCCTTCACTAGGAGAGCAGCACCGCCCACACCATCGAGCTTGATCTTGGTGCCAGGATCGGCGGAAGCGTCGTACATCATAGCCATCAAGCTGCGGTAAGTTGGCATCTCAGCGTAGCCTTCCAACAGAATGTCATCCTTGCCCATCTTCGCGGCAAGTTCCTTTGCCGTTGGGCTATCAATCCAGTTGTTGTAGTCGTAGGGCCTGACATCCATGGCCTTCTTCTTATCGTCGTAAAAGCGCTGGAAGCAGTTCGGCGCAATGATAGGTGCGTCATAGTCTGCCAGGTCTTGGATCAGCGTTGGAGGGAACTCGACGACATCGGCATCTAGCCAAAGGACCCAGGAAGTAGTGGGCCCTAGAGTGGTGAAAAGGAGCGAGTTCCGTGCCTTTGCCATGGCTGCCCGACGGGACTTCTGGTTCTCCATCTTGTGCCTCTCCGCCTCGTTCTGAGATTGCAGAGGGTTCTCCGTATCTTGTCGGAGGATGGTAACGCTCGCGAAGCGCTTCGCTTTGGGTCCGCCCTGGGTCTTGGTGACCTGCTTTTGCAAGTCCGCATATGCCTGGTTGCCCTCCTTGGTCTTGGGGATGATGAAGCCGAGTGAAATGAGATCATGCGGGTAGGCGATCTTGTTGAGGTTGTCCCAGTACTCCTGATAGAATCGTGCGAGCGGTGTCAGGATGAGGACTTTCTCCTTGTTCTCCGCCGGTGTGCGCGTCTGAGTGACATTGTTCATGAAGTAATGCTCGACGGGCGGCGCTGAGTGCGGCTCGTTCGCTTTCGATTTGCGGAAGGGTAGCGATGGCGGGGACAAGACGCTCGAAGATGTGCGGCCAGATCCCTGGCCTGGCGATACCGATGCACCGTCATTGTTGGAGAAGAAGAATATAAAGAAGCCTATGCACAGGATGCCCGCAAGGACAAAGGTGATGGGGTTCTGGCGTCGTAACGAGCGTGGAGTGGGCATGTTGGCGATAAAAGAGAAGCGGCGGTGCGCTGCCGGTGACGAAAGAGATCTATGGATGTCGCATCAGAAGCGGAGGGGGCAGGTGCGGCGTGGATGCGCGGGCAGGCGCGATCGGGACACCGTTGAGATTTTGTCGATGGCTGCGCTCCAAGGGGTGGATGGCAGCTGAGGAACGCCGGGGAGAATATTTACTGGCGAGGTGTGCGAAAGAGGCGGCAACAACGTCGTTCACCAGGGCAGGGGATGAGGTGCCAGCTGTCGTCTGCTAATTGCGATTCGCCCTTGCCTTGCCCAGCCGCGTTGCATCTCCAGCGGAGCCTCAAAGTCCACCCGTCCGTGCGCCCAGTAGTCCGACACAGTTAGATTAGATGAGTTGAGATCGACATCACAATGTACCACACCGTTGTCTCTTAAGTACGGGACGTCTCGAGATTCGCAACACATCGAGAGTTTGGCATTTCTAGTCGACTATCTTCAGATCACCGGAAGCTCGCTTCCAAACGGCATACCCACTCTGATGGAGACCAATGTGGCACTTCTACAGCTGCAGCTCCAGCTTGAACGATTGCACGTGAGAGCGGGTGACTTAGTCAGCCACGTCTGTTAGCGCGACACTGGACGATGATCTCAAGACCAAAGCCGACTATGCGTCTGGAACGAATGTCATGATCAATTGAGCCCAACATATGCCTCCTTGGGTTGCGCGACAATGGCACGCCTGGGGATGCTTGCGATCTGTCTCCGGTGATCTCTGCCACAGCCAGCGCTTTCGAGGGCCCATTACGTTGCGCTCCTATGCGCAAAGCTCCTCTCAGAGTGGCGCAAAGATACAGCTTCGGACCGCCAACAGCGCCGTGATCATTCCATCGTCAGTTGGAAACACGGTGAGGACTATCTACAGTACAATAAGGGTCATACTAACAGCAACAGCTCCCAGAGGATCTCATTACCCACATCAAGCCTGTCCTACGGAAACGCGTTACCGAAGACCGATTTGCAGTCTTCTTCGTGACGCCTGCATTTGCGACATGGCTCCTAGACGACACAGTCTTCCTCCAAAAAGCCCTGCGACAGGCTTACAAGCACATACTGGATCGCAACGAGTCTCCATACGCTGTTCAGATACACGCACTTTGCGCCGTCGTAGACAAACTGCCTATATCGAGGCCAATCGGTAGCATCGATCATATCGAGGAGGAAGGCTTGCAGCGTATTGAAGACCCTGCCATCCAGGAGACAGGTCATGAAGGAATTGCATATGCTACCTTGCGATCTTCTGACTCAATACCAACCCCATCCGATGCTGCCCAAGACAAAGCATCCATCAGCTTCGTGGGCTTCGAAAGGTCGAATGAAGAAGGTGAACATTTTAGCGATTCTGTTCGGCTACCGGTAGCGAACACTGTGTTCCAGACTGGCTCGCCGACCACGATGACATACTCGACTTGGGAGAAAGCCAAAGGATCACAGGTGTTGACTTTGAAAGAGAAAAGGAACATATCCCATCATGGAATCCGAATGCAACTGGACAGCGACACCCAACCCACCGCATTGAGCGTGCCTCTTGTTCCTTTGTCCAAGCCACGCGAGGTTGTGGCCAGTATGGGCAACATTCTTCGAAGAGTCAAAGGTCCAGACGGCGCAACCATCACCGCCTCTCAGGAGCTTGAGCAGCTTCTACCGAGTTACTTCGGGGCGCGTGGCGAGCCATCACAGGCGACAACCGTTTGGGCTCTCGTGATGGATCACGATCACGTGATGGAAGCTCAAAATGGGACAGATCTCCTTCTAGAGCGGGCATCATCCGACGGCCATCAAAACAAAACCGAAGACAAGTCATGGGAGAACATGTGGAAACAAGACCCCCCACCCTGGAGCCCTCTCGTGTCAACCGCCCTAAGATCTGGTGCTCGCTTGCATCGTGTCCTAAGTGGCGGAGGCGGTTGGGGAAAGAAAGCTGGCCTGCTCTCCTTGGATCCTATCCCCACAGTGGAAACGGACACCGCAGATGAACTAAGCACCTTCGACGCAATTGACGGACCTGGAGATCTTGGTTCGGCTCTCCAGCAAGTCGCTCAAGAAGGAGACTACGTCCAATTCTTCATGTCTCCATCAGTTCCCGAGGAAGATGTTGTTACTGCCGGTAGCAGCCCAGACAAGGCAGTATGGGGTCTCGAGCTTGGCACTATACCGAGCACAACTGATTCCATGCCAGCTGCTCCAGGACAGGCTGAGACAGCAGGCACAAACGAAATCTCTGTTTTCAGATACACTTTCGGCGCATTGGCGGAAGGTGGCATGATTCTCAGTCGCAGCTCCAAGCTAAAGCCGGGAGACTCATTTTCCACGGTTGGAAGGACAACAGTTGATGTACCTTTTTCGCGCTTTTCCGCTGTGAAATGGAGGACTGAAAGCAGCCTAGGTGAGGATGAGGATGTGGATGTAGGTGGTCTAGACGAGTAATCGTAAATATTGTTTCTAATTAAGAGTAGTCATTTCGTAGTCTTCTTGAGTCTAAAACCTTTTCTTATCGCCGTGACTTGGTCAAGTCCCTCTATGGGGAGGCTGCGCCGGCATTCCTGGGCCTGGGTCTCGGCCTAGACAGTTCCAAGAAGGAAGTAATACAGAAACCAGGCAACTCCATCTCACACATTTCGCGAGAAGACGAGGATTTGGGCTTTTTTACGGAGCTGCTGACCGCCCCGCAAGTACCTTCAATACAGCCAATGGCCCAGGTAGCGCGAATAGCTACACCACCCAAGTCACAACAATCCGCTGCGATTGCTTCTGCGGAACGAAACACCCTCATCGACAACGACCATTACGAGTCGGCTCTTGAACTTGAACAGATAACGAAAGCTCTAGTACCTGAACAGCCGCCGATCCGCTTCTACAATATAAACACTCCACGAGGAGACAAGCTCATTTACTACATCAGCGGTCTTCACCGCGTAAGGAGAGAAGTCGCACGCTACACTAAAAAATATCGAGAGCTCATGTACCAGATCCGTCGGCAGAACGGTCTCCGTAGGGATTTCACTCCGCGCGAACTCAAGCCCAAAAGGAAGTCACTTTTCTCCACCTCTAATACCCCAGTGCGCATGATACTATCCGATGCTTACGAGAACGAAGCCATGAGAGCTATAAGACTAAAGGAGGATATGCCCGTTCTGATCCGGAAAGTCGATACGGGTGCTCCAAGGGGACTTATACCTTGGCTTGAGAGCGCGTCAGAAGAGAGCGCGCACTGGGTTCGCACGTACCAAGGAGACTTCGACAAAGCCATGGCCAGGATTAGAATGGACGGTATTTACAGATTTGGGCTCAGCAGCACCATCCTTGCGCCCATCAACTTGTCCCAAGGCGGCCACAGCAGCAACAGCACTGGAGCTCTTCGTCTTACCAACGTCCGTCTCACGCCCAGACGCCTCCTCACTGGTCTGTCCAATGCCGTCCATCAAACACAGCTCAACATCGACGACTTGCAGGAGCGGATTCACCTAGCGCTACAAACTTTCGTCGTTGAGCGCCGTGCGAACTCAATCTCCGACACCGTTGCCACCTTCAGAAAGATCATCAGCGACGCGCTCACCATAATCAGCTTCAGGGCCCATATGGCTCTTGATACAAATAACTCTGCCGTAGACGTGTACACGCTCCACATCCATCTCCGCCGGGCCTTGACCACCATGACAATGTCGCGCCGGGGCCGGGGCTCCGTTGCCCTCCTCCGGAACAAGCTTATACAGCTCCGGGCCTTTCGCGAAAATCTGTTCACCGGCCGGAAGAATCGGTTGATCCGCGATATTCATGGAAGGTTGCAAGTCATGGAGACGCGACATCATTTGAGCAAGAAAAATATGATTAGGGAGAGGAACCTCATGCCCGCGGACAAGAGGAAGGTAGACCCGTGGATGAAGAGGAAGGTTTATCCGCTGAAGATAACGAAGGTTAATGCGTCGATTTCGAAGGAAGGTTCGGGTAGACTGGCGGTGATGCGAAAGATGCGCCCTACGAGGGTGAGGAAGATCAATAGGGAGTATAGTGCTGTCAGGAATCTAGAGGAGTTGGTCAGGGGTTGGGTGGGGTGAGCGGTCTGCATGAAGGGGATGCATTGGCATTGGCGTTTCTGTACGTATGGGTTGTAAGACTACTTTGATGGTAGGGACGGTGCACATGCATGCACATGTATCGTATCATACAAACGTTCGAATAGGAACACACATTACCTGTAGATACGAAATTTAGCGTTTTTCTCGACATTTCTCAACTGCCTTTGAATTGTAATTATCATGCATACATACAATACGATGTTCTAACTACCGACCACAGCTACAAGCACTCATCTACGCGACTAGGTCATAAGTCAAAGGCTCCCCGTTCCTTCCATGTGATGTTCTCCGTTCTCTACGAAGCATGGCAACGCGCAAGGCACTCATCCACAACCTTCGCAATATGTGGGGGAGTAACTGGCCTGACACTCTCGAAATCTCCAGCATCGACCCTCTTCCTCATACCGACCGTCGCATTTCCGGGCTGCGGGTCCATCAAGATTGGTGTACTTCCCGCATCTTCACTCGTAAGCGTCGCATAGATCGTCGCAGGCTTACATTCCGGGTTGTTGTTCACCTGATAGTGCACACTCCCCTTGGGAAACAACGTCCCTTTGTTCTTCGTCAGCTTGCCTCCGATCTCCGGGTTGGGTGCAAGGTTCTCATAGAGTCCAAGCTCGAGCAGCGTGCCGAAGTCGACTTCGCCTTCGGTGACCACGAAGAACTCGTTGGCACGAGGGTGTACGTGAGGTAGAAAGAGCCCGCAGGGACCGAGGGTGCCCATAGTCAGGGTTACACCGCTATTGATGAGGTAGGGGAATGTTTCGAGGTTGGCGGAGCTCGCGGAGCCACCTTGACCGCCGGGAATAGCGTCGCCATTCTGTTGAAAGTCCCAGATTGTGGCATTGGTCAGGCGGTCACCTGTGAGCAGTTTGTTGCCCGAATCGTCGGTGAGAAGCTTCCGGTAACGCTTGATCTGTGTGGGCGTGGTTATGAGCCGGGCGATGAGGTCGGTGTTGTCATTTGGGCTGTTGCCCATGGGTGTTGGGTATGCACTCGTGATACCCAGGGCGAAGGCCGCAATGAACGCTTTCGAGACTGTAGAGTGCATCTTTCGTACAGGAAGGAGATGAGTAAAGGTTTCGTGCGACTGTCTGATAGATGCCCGTGGCTGTTGGGATGCTGTTCGTGAGGGTGTTTTTGACGGTGCCTGCTACCTGCTCTTATATGGCCTGCCACAAGCTGTGGCTCGCATGTCCACGTAGAAGTTTGCGGATGTATTTGAAATAGTCACGGCTCACTTCGCGCTGCTAAGGATTCATTGAGTGGAATCCCGCAGCAATGCTGAGGCTGGAGACTAACCGGTGTGCAAACTAACATCTTCAAGCCCATCATAATCACAGGTTCAAATTCGGATGACCATAGTTGACCATTTCCAATATACAAATCTTAGTGCGAAGGCCCTCAGCCCCCCCGCGTAGCTAGGTGAACATAGACCAGCTTGTCTATGCTTCGGTGCGGCTCGTATGTGCAGATTGGATCTATGCAGACTAATTATGCCAAATGCGGACCCGCGTTGTACGGTGAACATGGTCACAACGAGCCCAAAGTGGCGCTGAGCCAAACTTGCGGTTTGGAGGCGGTGCTGCTAGTAAGCTTGAGGGCGGATCTTGGCGAGCTTGTGGCTGATGTACCCTTGCGTTGAGATTGGCCGAACTTGTTAGAAATTTGAAATGTTTGCAAGGCTGTGTGATGAGCTTGGGATGAAGGCATTATTGGGTGCCTCGTATTTCCTAGTCGGGACACTGAGAGCACGGTCCCAGTGTTTCGCATGACGTGAGGCGGCCGCTATCCTCGAAGGGACAAGCGCCAACCGGCCTGACGCGGCAGCTTCGACTACACATCGCAAACATCCGAATCGACTTCACCTTGTCAACACGAACATGTCCCTCGAGGATGCGGTGAGGCCATCCCATCCTTCACGATACCATGACGAAGATACGAGTCCGACGACTCAACGTGAGCTGAGAGGCTGGTATTCGTACGCGATCGCGGCTGAGGTTTTCGCCGTAGTAGGAGTTGGTACGCTCGCTTACAATCTTCCTGTTTCGCGTTACTCTGCTTGGCCAACATCAGGTTTGGTCGCATTCTGATGCTTCAATAGGCCTCTTCTTACCGGTTCTACTCGAACAGCTTCCACGAGAGAGAGGTGTTCTTTTCTCGGACAGTTCGAAGCCATGTGTGGACCCACCCGGATCCGGAGATGCCGGGAGGTTTCGAGCAAGAGCAGGTGGCTCCGATAGTGATGATCAATGCATCGTGAGGTTTCTGGGTAGCGAAGTGACGACAACATCGTTTGCGATGTACACGACATCCGCTGCGGTGTTGTTTCAGGCAATTACTTTGATATGTTTCAGCTCGTTCGCTGATTACGGTAAGTTGTCTTAAGCCGTGTTTTCCTTGGCATGAATTGTTTCTGACATCTTCCAAGGACCGTATCGAAAGAAATTACTTCTGACATTTGCGTACACTGGGGCAACGGTCTGCTCCTTATTTGTTTTCATAACGTCCAGCGTGTATTTCCTCGCACCGTTCTTAGTTGTTATCGGCGTCACTTGTCTCGGCAGTGGCTTCAGTCTTCTCAACGCCTTCTTACCTCTACTAGTATCCAACCACCCTTCGCATGGAAAATCATTTTCCTCAGACGACTCCTCAGAATATGAGCTTGAAGGGCTCAATCGGCGCGACTCCGCAAACTCAGCGCATAGTTTTCATCCAGACAAGGCTGATAAGCTCACTGAGGATCTCGAGCGATCATCCAAGATCTCCTCCAAAGGCGTTGGTCTCGGCTACGCCTCAGCCGTTGGCTTCCAATTCTTCAGTGTTGGCGTTATCATCGCCTTCGATAAGCTTGGTCTCTCGAAAGGCAACCCTACGCTTCCTATGCGCGTTATTCTTTTCCTAGTCGGCATCTGGTGGGCCCTTTTCACCATCCCTACGCTCCTCTGGCTGCGCCCTCGACCCGGCCCACCGCTCCCTACGCAGCCGGAACACAGCAGCATCTTCACCGGCCTAAACAGTCCTCTCATCTTCTACCTCTCCTTCTCGGTCCGCTCATTCTGGAACACTCTGAGGCGCGCTTCACGTCTCCGCCAGACTCTGATATTTCTTGCAGCATGGTTTCTCCTCTCCGACGCCGTCGCCACCATTTCCGGCACCGCGATCCTCTTTGCGCGCACAGAGCTACACATGGGCACCATTCCGCTCGTCTTCCTATCCCTGACCTCCATTGGTTTCAGTATGATCGGTGCGTTCCTATGGCCTCGCGTCGCCGCGCACTATGCCTTATCTCCGAAAACGGTACTGATAGCTTGTACTGTCGGCATGGAGATCATCCCCCTGTACGGCCTCCTAGGCTACATTCCCATCATCAAAACCCTCGGCGTAGGCGGCATCCAGAAGCCTTTCGAGATTTACCCCATCGGCGTCATACATGGACTCGTCATGGGTGGCATCTCGTCGTATGCTCGTAGCGTGTACGCACCACTTATTCCTGAAGGTAGTGAAGCAGCATTCTTTGCGTTGTATGCGGTGACGGATAAGGGGAGTAGTGCCGTTGGGCCGGCACTTGTGGGGTGGATCGTCAATCGCGCAGGAACGATCAGGCCCGCGTTCATTTTCCTGGCCATCCTGGTCGTTCTACCAGGCCCATTGCTCTGGTGGTTGGATGTTGAGAAGGGCAGGGAAGAGGCCAGTCGGCTAGCGGGAGAGCGAGACGCTGTCACTGTAGGCGGCTACGCCAGAGTGGGCGAAGACAATAGGGAGGATTGAGTGATCGTAGAGATTGCGCTCGTTGCCCTGGAGTAGCCGAGCCTGGCTATAGTCCTATTATGAGAGATACTACACGACAACTCTGATTTATACGAACCCCAAATGAATCAGCTCTTAGCATTCAATCCACCCTTCGCCCTTGCCCCACCCCTATGCAACCACCCCTTCCCATTCGGCACATAATATCTCTGCTCCATCCTAGCCACCCCCGCCTTTTGCCCCTGCCACAACAACCCTAAATCCGTCCTCCTCACAAAACCCTCCATATCCTCCCTGTTCCTCCACCTTCCCAGTACTCTCACTCCAACATCATCATCGAGACACAAAAAGACCATGTACGTGAGTACACCACCATTTCCATCATTCGCCAATTCCTCTTGGTAAACGTTGTTGACGAGCTGGGAGAGGTGGGTGAGAAGTGACGTGCGGGTAGAGGAGGAAACGCAGGTTATGCGTATGTTTTGTATGATGCCCGCTTCGACTGTGGTGCTGGGTAGATCGAGAAAGCCGGCGGTGAGGCGGTAGTGGGAGAGGTCGAGGTTGGTTGTTGTCGTTGGTGCGATGCGTTTGAGGAAGGTCGACATGGCGGAGGAATTCAGATGCGTCGTGTACAAGTCCTCTCTGCGTCTGTAGACTTCGAACGCTAGCATGCTTGTCGTCTTGTTGAAGTCGTGGGCGTAGTCGAGGGGGATGCCAAAGTAGTAGGTCTTTGTTGTGGGTTCTTTGGCGTAGACGTAGGTTGCGAGGTCGTCGTAGGCGGCTTGCCACTGTAATAGCGTTAAATTGTGGAATAGAGATAGACTTCGGAGGTGAGCATGAGAGGGCTTACTGCTGCGTATTGATCTGGTACGAAATTACAGTTTGCAAAAAGGTAGAAGTCATCCATGGTCTTGCTTGCTAGAGGTACTGAAAGCAGGATACTTGAAAGTTTTTGACGGTTCAAGTCAATGAGAGCTTTCGTTTAGCCAGGCATTGCTACGTCTTTCTTACTTTTGTCTACCCGTACCCTCAACGCATCCTTTCAAACTCAGAACCTTATCCGTTGTCTTCCAAACATCATAGTGCCTACCTAATTTTCGCCAAATCATGCCCTCCAACAGATTCACACTCAATGCAAGTCCCTGCATTAGCGCATGCCCCACGTTCCACTCGTCTCCTCATCGAGCCCTTGGGAAGTCACTACACCCCTTCCCCACGGGCACTAGTTCGCGGGGATAGTCACTACACCCCGGATATAGTTTCCGAGGACGGTCACTACACGTTCAGAAGCACGTCGGACGGAGTGAGTACGGTCTGTTGGGAATGCGATGTTCGAGCGAGTGGCTTGGCGTTTGCCGCTCGGCGGAAGATGTTTTCCGTACTCATGACTAGATGTCTGGTTCGCTGGTTTGCTGTTGTGTAGCATATTGTTTCAGTGGGGTGAGACTCGAAGATGGGTAAGGGAGAAGTTTCCGCGCTATGTCCGTTGTGTTCTAGGGGTGCCCACACCTATTCACCTGTTCACCTGTTCACCTGGAGCCATCCATCTCGCATTAAGCAAAAGTTCTTCTGAAGTAACAAATTGCCTCATAATATCTCAAACTTCAGTGATATTGGAAAATACGCATTGTTCTATCCTAATGATGCTAGGCGTCTTCGGACAAAGATAGCTGAAAATGCGCCATCCAGCCTACTAGCCAAGTGTTAATTGAAAGCAAGAACTCATAGATCTAGAGTCGATCTTCCAGACCCCGCTCCAGTTAATTTTGGATGGGTTATGCAAGTACAGAAAAGAATGAAGACCGATGCTATCTTGACGATGCCAACTTTGCGCGGCAACGGATACCAATACGCGAAACCCTACTCAAGATAATCCAGTCTGGGTTATGCAAGCTTCATGAAAGTCAAGACCCATGATTTGCCGCCATATCCCTCACTTCTTGCCATCCTCATTGCCCCAACCCTTCTTCATCGCCCACTCCCAGCCGCCCCAGCCGTCGTGGTCGAGCGGTCGAACGCGGAATTCTTGCTGCCGAGCAGTCGGGTTCCATGGTGAAGGAAGCCAGTCAGTGCGATCACTTGTGCCAAAAGTCGAGACACCTAAGCCTCCGATCTCGATGCCGTAGCATGTTCCAGCCTCTTGCTTAGGGGTGAGCGGGCGATTGTCTGGCGTGAGGCGGTCACGCGCGTTCCGGTTCAAGAGATCTAGCATTGTCACGCTGGGAGAAGGGGGAGGAGTAGTCTCGTAGTCATCAGCTGTGAAGGCGGGCTCGGGGGCGCTGGTCTTGGTGGTGAGAGCGCCGGTATGGGTGCTGCGTTCATCTGCGATGGTGTCAAAGACGGGCAGATAGGCCGGGTTGATGTAGCCATGGGTGTTCACGCTGGCGGCCATGGTGGCAAGGGCATCGGTCTGGGTGCTGCTTTCCTGTGCAGCGGCATCGAAGACGGGAAGATAGACGGGGTTGATACGTCCATGAGTAGCGTTCGCACGGGTGGAAGTCTCTGGCTGAGGGGTGTAACCTTGCGCGTTGGGAGTCAAAACGTGGGAAACAGGCCGATAGAAACCGGGAGTGGCAGCAGCGGGAGCCTCGGCCGTGATATTATAGCTTTGGGAGCGGGAGTAGTCAGTGTAAGGTCCTGGCTGAGCATTGTATGCTTGGTGTCCAATGTTGGCTGCGGAAGCAGGCTGAACATGCGTCGATTGCGGCTCGAAGAAGGCAGAATGCAGTTGGGCAACGGTAGCTTCGCGCTGAGCTTGCTGGGAAGCGGCAAGTCTGTCAAAGTTGTAAGCTAAGTTCACGCCAGGGCCAAATGCCCGGAAGGGCGAGGCTTGCTGTTGTTGCTGCGTCGTTAGCTGCTGCTGCTGTTGTGCTATCTCAAGTCTAGCTTGCGATTCCGGGACGAACGGCGGACAGGTTGGCACCATCTCTGCTCGGGACTCATGTGTTTGCTGATCCGCGTGCTGTTGGTTATACCGCTGGGCTGAGCCTTGCTGAGCAGAGACCGCTTGGTAGGCTGAGTACGGCGCGGGTCGAGGCTGGAATAGGTTGCGCTCTGGGACAGACATAGCTCGGTAAGTTGACTGCGGCTGTTGCTCTGGACGGATACGGGTGGGCGTGTGCTGCTGGAGTAAACGCTGGCGGTAAGCTATGACTTCAGCTTCGATGACGTCGCGCTGTTCAGGTGAAAGTGCGTCGGTATCGGGTTGCGAGGAGACAAGCTGTTGGGCCATAGCGGTCTCAGAATCTGAGGTTGATGTCGAAGAGCTGCGAGCTGGACGAACGGTAGATAAGCTGCGCGAGGCCTTTCTCCTCTCACTCCTGGACTGCTTGCTAGCGGCACCCGGTGTGGGCCAAGCTTCGGTGTCCTCGACGTGGAGTTCCGCTTGCTGCTGTAAACGTCGCGGTTGATCGTGACGGCGTCCACCTCGCATGGCGGTGGGGAAGCGCGGTGGATGACGGAGGCGCGTTGGTGAGTCCTCGGGGTACTTGTCGGCGGATGAGGGTCCAGGACCGTTGCTCAACCGCTTGTTGCGGGGTGTAGTGGAGTTGTCCGACATTATGGTGGTGTTGATGTGAGGACGGACAGGCGCGGAATTGGCGGCGGAGGTAGAGGTAAGAGGTGCGGGCGCGGGCACGGGCGCAGGTGAAGGAGGCCTGGTAGCCCTCAAGCCCGTTTGCAGTGAGCGATCATATCGCTCTTGGGTGATGGTTAGATCGGAGTCCCCGCCCACAGAGGACCCCGATCTCACCATCTCCCTCAGCGTCTCCGCTGAGATGGGTGAGTGTGCTGCAGCATGCAGCAAAGACCAATCTATGCCCGTAGGCAGGTACTCATCTGCCTCTGGATTCATCCCGGAGCGAGAACCTGTTCACAAATCGATTAGTGAAATTGTTCCAAGCATACAAGCAATGGAGATTGAACGAAGGATAGAAGAGAAAAGAAAGGTCTAGGAAAATATAAGCTTTTATACATCCACGAAGGGAGACTCACATTTCCTCTTCACCTAGCCACTACAACCCTCAAACATGAATCGATATTCACCTATACTATACTTTGGGTCTCAATGTGTAATATTCGTGAAGTAGATATCGATTTCTGCCAATTCTGCCTTGGCTGAACTGTGTCCTTCCTGCGGAAATGCTGACCGAATGACTTGACGCGAGCTTGGGAGTTGCATTATGCCGTGAGGACTACCAAGCTGCCCTATCCTGTATACAAGACCAGGTGCTTTGATGCCAAACTAGCTCATAACGTGTGGGTGCTGGAGTCGCGAAGCGGAAGAAGGTCATGCGTCGTATTGTGTCGTGAGGTTAATCAGGCACTGTCTCCTATGTGCAACCAAGTGCTTTTTGCTAGTATTATTTCTTTGGATGGACGCTGGAGGTAAGGAGTATGAGAAGACCCTGTGGCGCATTGTGCCGTGAGGTCTGCCAAATCAGGTTATCCCATGGCGTCGGGTACACGCAATGCGGATGGCAGTTTCCCTGCGCATTGCACCAAACCCTCTGCATCAGGACCTCACCACACCACCAGATAACGCCCTTTGCGTCGCATCTTTTGACTCGCATCTTTTGACTCGCACAGGACGATGCCTATCGACATTTGTTTGGACAAATCATTAACATATGATCCTACCATGGCACGCGGTGGAGACTTCGCAGTGTTGAGTACCTCGCTTTTAAGGTCGCTACCACGCTCAACGCACGCTCGCCACGCACAAACGTCGACGGAAACGTTCGCAAACTCCCACAGATGGAAATCGGCCTCATACCGGCGGCTTCTTGTCCCCGGAGAACCCTCAATTCTTGCTATCAACGCGATACGGCCATTTCGAGCGTATGGCTGCTAAGTGCGGCCATGTCTTGCACCCCTCCATCCCGCGATCCGCATACTGCTCGGCCTGTTTCTTGTCAAAGGCAGAAGCGAGATTTGATGCCTCCCGTGCCAGTTTCTCGTTCCATGGCGGTGCAAAGCTTCCTACCGAAGAGCGAAACCAGACTTGGCGCAATGCACGCTTGACTTATAACATGGCCGTGCGAGAAGTCGACAAAGCTAGAAAGAAAGATCGGCTAAGAAGGGAGCGTGAGCGTGAATGGGTAAGTTGCAGCCCTCATCAGAGGGCCCGTTTTGTCTTGCTTCTTGGCGCATGTTCCAAGTGGAGGTGTTCCTGCTCTTGAACGCTTTGCTAATACGGCGCGTCCATCGCAGGATAATTCCCACAAAGGGCCACCCATGGCATACGTCGGAGAAGGCCCTGGGCCCCAGAAAAGCTTCTCTGTATACTTGTCTGAACAAAACGCGTCGAGTGCCGAGCATGAAGCATACCTTGTTGTATCTGGCAGAAACATGGCGGTCGCTTGGTGGGAGAGCCCCGCCATACGTTCACAAGAACCAAAGCCGCTCCGAGGCAAGACGGGGGCCGGGGCGATAGGCAAGAAGCCGGCCAGGGCGAAAGGGTCCCCCATGATGCGAGACCTTATCCGCAGCAGCCGTGCCAACTTTGCTATGTTGGAAGCCGAGCACAAGAAGTGGGAAATCAATTTCAGGACTGATAAAGCCTACCGCAATAAGCACAATCTTCACGACGATATCTTGATTGAGGAAAGCTGTTGGGAAACGCCATTTTTTGGATTCTTAGCGCGCATGTGCCGTGAGCAAACTCGTGAGGCGCAGCTCACGATGAAGTTCAAAAGCAGATGGCACACAATGCGCCCTCTTCCGACCCGCAGCTCACTGTGGAAAGTGGATAGTGTCGACGACTTCGAAGTTACCAAGGAAAGCCGCAGACTAGAAGAGGCGGAAAGACTGGAACGGCAAGCCAGGAAAGCTGCGTCCGAGGTGGGATGGTTGTATTACGTTGGCGGTGGAGGCAGTGATCTGCTAGAAGAGTGGAGAAGAGCTTTCCTCAGAAGCAATCATATCCTAGTGAAGGGGAAATGGGTCCTACCACCGTCGCTGCATGGGGCGTGTGCTGACCGGGCGATGGCGGAATCGACCACAGTCTACAGCATCGAACCCGCCGAATCATTTGATGCTGATAAGATATTAGAGAGTGTTGACGAAAACAAAGGTTCTGCATATGAACTATTGGAACAATATCTGGACACTGCTATGTTGGACGATGAGCCAGCGACCAAATAGATGAGAGATGGAGGGGAGTTTCGATGAGGTAGAGACGGGTAACAGCGTTGATATGACGATCGGTGGCAGGGAAGACGTCTAGGGAAGGCTCGGTAGGATGTTAGCATTACGATGATGGAGTCTTGATGAATTTGACACAGAACCGATTCAACTCTTGATGGGAACCCCTTATGGTAATGCTTGCACAATGAACAGAAAACATATGCACCGAGTGCAGGATGCTTACAACTTTAAATTGAAAGGGGACTGTATGATCCTAACAGAACGCACTGTGTCTGTCCACGCAGAACGGAGCATATCGAACGTCGTGTGAGAAAGCGACGTGGAGCGAAACTCCGGTGCGGCTGTTTTCCCGAGATAACGCCGGCGCATACCATCACCTCTCAACTTTTCGACGCAACTACCACACGAATCACCCACCCTTAAAATGGGCAAAGGAACCGACAAACTCTACATAACCCACTCTGAGTGGTCCTCCACCGACTCTTTCGCGCCCTCGCGAGGCGCAAACCCTAACGCCGCCTCCTCTTCCGGCCTCTCGTCGACCTTCCGCCGCCTTCCCTATAATTACTGCGCTGTCTCACTGCAGCCCTTTGCCGACCCCGTCTGCACGCCTTCCGGCATCATATTCGACCTCACGCATATCCTCACCTGGCTCACGAAGCATCCCGATACCTCACCTACCGACGGCAGCCCGCTCAAGCGGTCCGACCTTGTGACCCTGCACTTTACGAAGAACGAGGATAATGAGTATGTAGATCCGGTCACGTACAAGGTGCTTACGGATAACACGCACATCGTCGCGTTACGGCATGGGCAGGAGGCGAATGTGTTCGCGTGGGATACGGTGGAGAGGCTGAACATCAAGGCGAAGAATTGGAGAGATTTAGTCAGTGATGAGGAGTTCACGCGGAAAGACATCATCACACTGCAGGATCCGCAGAATATTGAGAGTAGAGATTTTGGAAAGTTCAAGAGCGTGAGGGATGGGGAGACGGTTGTACCTGGTTCAGAAAGCAGCGTGAACACTGAGGCGTTGGGCAATGCGGCGAAGATACTGAAGGCGAAAGAAGCAGTCGCAAAAGCGCGGGCGGAGAGACAAGCGAAGGCACAAGGCAAGATCACCTCCACCGGCGCGCTCATCCCTGCTACAAAGAACGGCGCAGCACACTCCATAGCAACACAGAAGAAACCCGCCTACAACGCCGCCGTCTACACCTCAGGCAAGGCCGCCGCCTCTTTCACATCCACTGGTGTAACCCCGCACACCTCTGCCGAGCGCGCCCTCCTTTCCGATGAAGACTACATGCTGCGCCCGAAGCGTGTCAAACAAAAAGGCTATGCGCGCCTCTCCACCAACCTTGGCGACCTTAACCTCGAGCTTCTCCCCGAATTTGCACCGCGCGCAGTCTGGAACTTCGTCCAGCTGTCCAAGAAAGGGTACTACCGTAACACCGTCTTCCACCGCAACATCAAGGGCTTCATGATTCAGGGAGGTGACCCGACCGGAACGGGGAGAGGAGGGCAGAGTGTCTGGGGCAAGCCGTTCGAGGACGAGTTTGAGGGACCAGAAAGGCATAATGTGAGGGGTGTGCTGAGTATGGCGAATAAGGGGAAGAACACCAATACTTCGCAATTCTTCATCACCTACCGCGCAGTACCCCATCTCGACCGTAAACATACTGTTTTCGCGCGAGTGGTTGGAGGTTTGGATACCACGCTCAAGGCAATGGAACTCGCGCCCACAGGCGAGAAAGATCGGCCGGAGGAAGATATCGAGATCCTAGACATTGTCGTCTTCGTCGACCCCTTCGAAGAATGGGCGAAAGAACGTAAAGAAAAAGAACAAAAAGAAATCGATGACGAGGAAATTCGGAAGCAGGGCGGTACAGCGGATGATAAGACGACATGGACAGGGAAGCGGATTCGTGCGGATGGCAAGGTGGATGAGGCGAGTGGGGAGGTGGGCGTCGGGAAGTACTTGAAGGCTGCGAGGCAGGATGTGCCTGAAGATGATGAGATTGTGGGGTTTGTGGATGAGGATGAACCGCCGCCGCCGAAGAAGAAAGCTAGGACAGGTGGGTTTGGAAACTTTGATGCTTGGTGAGGTCAGCGATGAGAGGAGTGAGTTCGTAGAATATGTGATACCCTATTCCAGCCGTGAAATGCTGCTGTTCTTAGAAGAGACTTATTCGTAAAGTGATCGCTATGAGGCGGGCTACGGCTCGACCAATCATCGGGCCAGGAGCTCCGCAGGTGTACACTTGCTCTTACCGCAACACCAGTATCGGCAATCTCGATCATTACCAAGTAGCATAAACCAAGCAGACTCTGGACGAGACATTATCACCGATCCGGACCGGCAATAACGAGATGCAAGCGTTCGCGAGTAATTCACGATATGCATTTTCTATGCTTTGCGCTAACCCAAAGGAGGACCGGAATTGTAGGAGCACGCATGGTAGCAAACTGGGCAAGCAAATTACAGACGGTGAAACAGTACATAAAGTAATGGAAATCGCGTGTATATCTGAAGGAGGAATTCAAGTTCGAACTACTTCTTCACACGTTCTACGTTCCAATACAAGCATCGGCTTCCACGTCTCCATGAATACCATGGCTTCCACCATCCCGGACACCATGAAAGCCGTGGTTATCTCCTCGCCCGGCGCACCCTTTACCCTCAAACAAGTCCCAGTCCCCCAACCCACGCACGGCGAAATCCTAATCAAGGTTCTCGCCTGCGGCGTCTGCCTCTCCGACTACTTCGTCCAGCAGGGAGCCTTCGGAACCTTCCCACGCATACCCGGGCACGAGATTATCGGCGTTGTTATAAAGACGAGTGAAGGTGAAAAGAGATGGAAAGTAGGACAAAGAGTCGGCGGCGGTTGGCATGGAGCACACGATGGGACGTGTAAAGGGTGTGGGATGGGATTGTTCCAGATGTGTGAGAATAAGGGGGTGAATGGGGTGACAAGGGATGGAGGGTGTGAGTACCTATCCCTTCCCTTACCGTGGGTGTTGGCAGGAAGAGAAGTAACAAGGCTAACCGAGAATAGATGCAGAGTACTGTGTCCTGCGTAGCGAAGCGGTGGTCAGAATCCCAGAGGAGGCTGATCCGGTAGCATATGCGCCGTTGCTTTGTGCGGGGACGGCGGTGTTCAATGGGATGAGGAAGATGGAGATCAGTCCCGGGGCTACTATTGGTGAGTGCCCCCCTCTCTCAAAGTATCAGTATCAGTATCTAAGAGTGACTAGCTATCCAAGGAATCGGCGGTCTAGGACACTTGGCCATACAGTACGCGCGCCGCATGGGGTTTCGCACTGTCGCATTGTCAACGTCCGATTCGAAGAAAGACTCAGCGATGCAGCTTGGCGCGACGGATTACGTGGATACCAGTAAGCAAGATGCGGCTGCGGCACTGCAGGATATGGGTGGCGCGAGTCTCATTGTTGTTACGGCGCCAAATGCGCAGGTCATGAGCGGATTGGTGGGTGGGCTGGGGAGGTTGGGGAAGTTGTTAATACTTGCGCGTAAGTTTAATTTCCTGGCTTTGCCCTATGTTCCTGGTTTCCCTACGTCTAGTCGGCTCGAGGTCACGGGTCACTGACAAGATGGCAGCTGTCGGTGACGTTCCGTTCGACACGGCGAAGCTGCTAAACATCGGAGGCTCGGTGCATGTTTGGCCTGCGGGACACGTGCTGGATAGCGAAGAGGCGATTGACTTCGCGGTACGGCAAGGTGTAGAGTGTTTGGTGGAGAGGTTCCCGCTTGAGAAGGCCGAGGATGCGATTAAGGCTGTGACGAGCAATGTCGTGAGGTTTAGGAGCGTGCTTGTGATGGTGTAGGTGAGGCAGAGAGTGAGGCTCGGAATAAAGGGAAGGTGGTGTGGTCGCTGAGACAGATCGAAACAACGAGATGATGTGGATTGAAAGATTCGTTGCAGGCGACGTCAGGTGAACGCTCTTCGGTATGTGATCCAGTGTTCGACTGCACTGTCATCAAGTGTATCCGTATAGCGCCATCGATGATGTTTCTCACTGCAGCAAGACCAGCACATTCTTGTCCATGCTTGTCGTCCAGAAGTATTTGGATCTCCAATGAGATCTTCGTTCGACGTCATTGCATGTTCGTTTATGCTGCTGGGTGGTCCTGGTAGCCTTGTCCGTGCCTTCCAGTGGGGCCACCAGCTTTCTCTTTTCATGAAACATCGAAACATGCATATTCATGCGAATATCACAAACACCCAGGTACCCGATATGTCGAAGGCTGCTCTTCACGTGGGATAACGGTTCTGGAAGGCAAGTTGAAAACACTGGCACGCATTGGAGTGGCTGGTGCTACTGTCAACTGTCCAGCCAACGGCGTTGCGGTTTCTTGTGCCACCATCGCCCTGGTAGAGACACATGCGAAGGGTCACAATCTGTGCATGTTTTGAAGATGTCGGGGACGTCCGTAGTGGCGGCTGTAAGCCCGACGTCGCGCCGGTACGTCGAGGGTTTGTTTCAATGCCGCTCTGAGGTACGTTGTTGCGATGCACAGGCACGACACCGCTGCAATGATTATCGGGCTGAGGATCAGTGGAGGGACGGCGATGCGCTGCTGGTGTAGACGCCCAGGATTGACGCCTATTCTGAATATAGCAGGCACGAGCAGTCGCTCTTCCCTCTCTGGGCGCGTGCTTGAAGGTCTGTAACAGGCAGCGACGCTCATCGCAGCCAGGGCGCCAATGACGAGGCCCGATTGCGGGGCTGACGCACGGACGGGAACCAACGCGTTTCAAGTCGGTCCTTCCGCACCCCGTCTGCACCTCATGCTTCGAGGCACCGCCCTGGCCATCACCAAACACTCATCCAACCGCTGCGCCTTGTGCTTTATTACCCCCTTGGATACCCTGTGATGTCTGCGTCAAGATCTGCTCCTCCGCTTCGGCCGGCATCACGATGCTCCACAAGAACACGCTCACAATGGCATGAGCAACCGTCCATCGCGAACATCACCACCTCCCTTTCTTCCCATTTTCGCTTCTTATGCTTGCGCTGAGCGCCTTTTCTACCCGACGTAGTCTCTCCTTGCAGGCCCAGTGCAGACTCACTCACTCACGATCTTCTCCTTCTGTCTCATCTCACTCTTTGCCTTGCAGAACGTGCGCTGGACGGTCAGTCGTGCAAGCACAATTGGCCAGGTTGGCCAGGTCGCATAAACAGGGCTTCTCTGAGTCAAGGGTCTCAGTCGTTGGCCCTCAGAGCTTCAATTCTGACCCCGCACAAGAGGTCTCGAGAAGATAAAGTTCACGGCGCAAGAACCCGCGACGCGAAGTTGCAGCGAGGAAGAGCTGGATGCATTGAGCGCGACATCGCCTTTTCATATCCAGAGACGCCTCCCCGGAAAGCTGGCTTCCGCGAACGAGACCGCAACGCACCCCGCGTCTCACAAATTCCCAACCGCCACTCCAAACATCAGCCGTCGCACCACGCCACATCACCGCTGTGCACCCGGGCGAGGCATCGAGTGAGCGTCATCTGCGACTCACAGCCAAGCACTGCATTAAAGCGTTCATCAAATTCTCGCACTCGTTCCTACCCATCGACCCACCTGCCGCGTGCGCGCTCGCTCTGAAATACCTACCAAACACCTCACGATGCGTCACCTCTTCTGCGCTATCATGGCTATGGCCCTCGTTCCCACGGGTCTTACGACCGACATTGAATCTGTCTCGCTCTCCAAGTTCGTACCACGCATCGAAGGCCTTTCACAAACATGCCAAGTAGCATACAACACATCGATACAGGGTTGTACCCGCGCCGACTTCCCCAAAAACAGAGATGACAGTATCAACAATTGCAGCAACGACTGCGTCCAAGGGCTCATCAAGATAGTACAACTCGTCGACCAGCAGTGCTCAACGGTCGTAGTACCTGCGGATTCAATCATTGGTGTCGCTCTGTCTGGCAACCTTCTACCCAAGCTCTGCGGCAATATAGTAGTCGTAACATCGGGACAGCAGACCTCAACACAAGGATCCTTACAGACCTCGAGCACATCGGCAGAAGCATCGACCACCCAACAAGCACAATCCTCGAGCGCACAGGCGACCAACAGCGCACAAAGCACCCAATCTGACACAGCGGCAAGCTCCGCTGCCAGCTCGTCGAATCAGTCGACACAACCCAGGCCTTCGAGCACACAACAAGGCATCGCCATCGATACCGGCACTCCGCCCCCAGCACCGAGCGAGACGGCCATTGGCCAAAAGTCAAATCCGGACTCGGGTGGCGGCTCACCATTCGACGTTACGTTCTCGGGTTCATCATCTTCATCGCGCGTCCGGTTAAGCGGATTCACAATGACGACGATGTTTGGTGTCTTTGCCTGTCTTGTACTTTTTCCGTGACCTTCATTCCATGATACCCACGCTGCGAGCCGGTCCTTCTCGTTCTATTGCCACGCATTGGGAGGTGCGACAAGCGGTGTCATCTCTGATCTGTTTCTTTCTTTCTTTGTATTATACCCTTACTGGCTCACGTAGAGTTTGGTTTCGATGTGCGATGATCTGAAACGAGGCCAGGGCTACGCCCCAATGAAGGATCTCTGAATGAGAAACCACGTGTCACGATTCTGAGGGATGTTGGGCGACTAGGAGGTACCCAACCAGCCCGGGAGGATCTATGGCGCCAGTGTGTCGGCGATGCACAAGAATATCAGCGGTGGGACTGGCTATCTATGCAGTACTTGGCAGACCTTAGGCTATCTATTGCAGGTGATCCATCCTGATACATTGGAAACCTCACACTGGTACCCATGTGTCCAGAAGTAACAGCTATCACTCGCTGTTTTGCTTGATGCAGATGCCTTATATATATGAATCCAAGACGCAGCTTCTTGCTCGCCGGAACGCTTTTGAACAGTTCACGTCAATAAGAGTACCAAGCTCAGGTCACTTCGCCACTTTTGGCTTCAAAAGAAATCTCAGTCCAGGATGTAGGACATTGAACTCACGACACAACATGCTCTGCGATTGGCCCTTCCTCAGCTCGAAGTCCCAGCCTTCTAGCAGGCACACAGACAAAAGCTTCGCCACATAGACAGCGTAGAATCTTCCAGGGCTGTCGTGGCGTGTTAGTCAATCTCTCACTCGAAATGCGCGCTAGGAACCAAGCAGAGATCAGCCTACTAAAGAAGCCTGCTGGCTGCCACAAAATGGCCGTTTAGTGCTCACATCAGTAGCACGAACCTTGGAGTCGAGATGTCGTTCAGCCTCAAACGTTGCTGCAGATGAATATATCAGCATATCAGTCACCGCACACAATGAGTAGACGTATATTCTCGTTTCAACTGATCGTAATACAATACAGAGAGCTGAAACATGCTCTCTCTTGCATCATGTCTCGCAGATTTCTTAGTTCTACGATGAGATTAGTTAGCAAGCATTATGGATCTTCCCCTGGTTCTGACATAGTTGACATCACAGAACTAACACCTGTGGCTATCAGAACACCAATCTACATAGTTGTTCAGCGGAGGATGATGCTGAACTGAGGCAGAAAACACTGCCACTAAGTCAACAGTAAATTCAATCCCATCCTGACCACAATCACTAAGAAGCCAACCTGGCTTATCGCGGAAACGTAGAAACCACCACCAGACCACCTACCCCTACCTTCCACGTTCTCTGCACTGGTGTTAGTGTACCCAATTGCATAGATAATTCGTCCCACTATCCACGCTGCGCCTGCTGCGGCGACAATCCTGGGATATTCTAGTCCACTGATGAGAATTCCCGACAAGGCGGCCGGGTAATTCTCTAGGAAGTTGTAGTGCGCGCGTTGGGCGCAGTTGAATAAATACAAGGCGCGCTTGTGCTCAGCGGAAGCATTGGCGATGGATTCCAAGGACGCTGAAGCATGAGGGTGGGGCACCTTGGCTGCATTGCGGAAGGGGCCGATGCGGACGCCGAGCCAGATAGATAGAAGGTAAGAGGATGGCACTACGAGGAGGACGTAGCTATCTAAACAGTCAATGTTGTGAATATACGCTTGGGTGGATTATTGGGTACCCGTAATCCTTTGGGATTTGCATCGTGGTCATGGCGGCCATGGTTTAGTACTTTTGTATGAGTGGAGATAGTGGCTTGGAATTAATCTGGATGCATATTTGTAGTTTGATCAAGTCCGGCTTTAGATTTATAGGACTAGCATGTCACGGGTTCAGCTTGCGTCAGAGGTGGCAATCTTGGGGTGTATCTGGCGGATAAAGAAGACCATTACTGCCGTTGGAAAAAGGAACAACTCTAACGGTCTAAAGTCACTGGGAACTAGTCGTTCGTGCAGCTCTTATACTGATATACTGGGGCCGTCGGGTTGCGGAAGGTTTTCTGATCCGAGTCGGTGCAACGAACGCCCGACTTATGCAGTACAACACTTCGCAATGATCGGTTTCGCGATTTAGAGGAAGCTGAGAATATGGTACTGCCGAGAGAGAGAAGAAAGCGTTTTATAAGACGACGTTCTTGGCAGGATGAGATATATGATGCATTATCATGCTTTGAATTCTTGTCGTAAGCTTAAGACTGCAATAGCGCATTGATCAATAGGGTCGCAGTTCAGGTAACTCAGAAAGAGCGACTGGTGATATCTCGGCTTCAAGCGGTCATGTCGATACATCAAGAGAATCTCCCTCGCAGAACCTAGACAGGAAAGTTACCTGCATCTCTTAGATTCGTTTTCTTGATACTGATATAGCGAACTCGTTCGGGGTTCGGGAGTGCGAAGGCCGGTGGGGGTATGGGGAAGGAGGTGACGTTGTATTAGGAGGCTAGACTGGACAAGGTGAAGATCTCCATAAAATATCCCATCTTCGTGAGCATACTCATGTATCCTAAGGCTCGCATCTATGCCTTGGCTCATGCAAGTGGTTTGTTTTACCGTGATGGACATGTGACAATGTAATGCGAATTCAGATTTTGGCCAGTATCGGTTAGTAGGTGGGCGTCCTAATGGTTGAAAACACACCAACCTGCTCACGCTCAGCGACCATTGCTCCCATGTGTACTTGCATACCATTGTGAACGGCGACCGTTCATCGACTTGGTTCGCAGCAGCTGACATAATTCAACTTTAAGCCACGCTTCGAGTCTCGTCTAGAGGCAATCATGACCTTCTGTTCGCTGACGCGATCGGGCTTCGTAAAACATTCGACCTCCCGTTCGATGAGGTATCCAAAGCGTTTCGAGGGTCTTGCAAGTAGTAATCGTGGCCGAAAGCCGGGAACGATAACGGCATCTGAGCCGCGGAATGACGCCGGCGGGGCAAGGGCGGGGCTCCGAACCTCCTGTCACAACTACCCCTCCGCCCCCTCCATCCTTACTCACCCTTCTTGCCCGTTCCTCGCAAGCCTCTTCACCATGTCAATCCCATCAACCCAGACCGTCGCCTGGATTGAAGACCCAGGTCCGTCCGGAAAACTCACCATCCGCTCTGGCGTCTCCATCCAGGAACCATCCCAAGATGAGATATTAGTTAAGCTTGAATGTTCAGGCATATGCCACTCCGACTGCAGAAATGTATACGGAATGGGGAATTACACCGACATCCCTGGTCACGAGGGTGTTGGTGTGGTTGTGAAGCTTGGACCCAACGCGAAGCAGGACTTGATGGGGAAAAGAGTAGGGATAAAGTGGCTCTATAGCTCGTGCAAGGAGTGTTCGGCCTGTAAGAAGGGTAACACCAACAACTGTGGAAAGCAGTCAAATACGGGACGGACGACTCTAGGCACGCTACAACAGTATGTTGTTGCGCACGCGGACTTCGTTTCGCTCATCCCGGAGGGTGTGAAGAGCGAAGTCGCTGCACCGCTGCTATGCGCTGGGCTGAGTCTTGCTGGTGCTGTTTCCAAACTGTCGCCTGAAGTGGTACCAGGCGACTTTGTGGTTATCGTGGGTGCAGGTGGCGGTCTGGGTCACATCGGCGTGCAGATTGCGACTATCAAGGGGTACAAAGTCATTGCCATTGACAGCGGAGCCGAGAAGAACAAGTTAGCCAAAGAGATGGGTGCTGTGGCGTTTGTCGACTATGCGAAGCAGGATGTGGTACAAGCAGTCAAGGACTTGACGGATGGCGAGGGTGCCCACGGCTTAATTTGCGTGGCCGGCAGCGAAAGGGCATACCTGCAAGCACCTGAACTCATCCGCAACAACGGCGTCTTTGTCTGCGTTGGTCTGCCTCCAGACAGCTTCATGTTCCCTATGTCACCGATTCATATTGCGAATCGTGGCCTTGTCATCAGAGGATCGTCGACCGGCACGTCAGAACAGATGGACGAGCTCTTGCAGCTTGCGAAGGAAGGAAAAATAACGCCGAAGATCGAGGTCTATGGCTTCGAGGAAGCTCCGAAGATCATTCAAGAGCTCGACAAGTACGAAGTTACGGGAAGAAAAGTTGTGCGGGCACCTGCATAAGATCAGAAGTACGGAGGCGTAAGGGAGCGGAAGGTGGGGCTGGGCTATGCATGAGTGGGATATACCCTGGGTGGACTGTAGATACTATTGGTGCCTGAAAAGCTTAATGTTTTGCATGGTCAGTCTCAAGGTACTTCGCACCTTGAATCCAGCAATTGAGGAAATACTCAGGATTGGGAGGGCTACTAATCACATCTTCGACTGCCCACCAACTGGCGCAACACCCTCACCTTCAGTACTGGTCTCGCCACCCTTCAGCTCCCATCCCCTATTCCGGTATCTCTCGGGCCATATACCGCATCTTCCCGGCGCTAGAATACCGTTCGGGTCGATGGCGTCCTTAAGGGTGTTATTAAATTTCATCAGCGCGCTGTCATTCCAACTGTAAGTCCCAGCAACCTGATCCATAAGCGCTAGGTGCGTGCGATACTCGCCATAGCCAAGCTTCGCAGCATCGTCGATCATACCCCTACGTATGTTAGCCTTCTACTCTGAGAATCATCTTTCTTATACGGGTACCTCAAGCATTCTTCCGCCTTTCTCTTCATCTCCTCGTCCTCTGCATCGAACACAATCTCAACAATCAGATGCATCTCGCGGAGCCCGACACAAAACGCAGGCATCAGATCAATGCCTGCCTCCGCATGCCTCTTCCTCGCCAGCGCGAACAAGTTATCCGCATCCTTGCCTCTGATGGGAGAAACAGGACTGAACGCGATATGAGAGCCATTTGGCATCCAGTTAACCCACTTCAGTTCCTCTAGGTCTGGCGTTCCGCTCGCAATCCTGTCCCTCGACCAGAAATACTCATCCGCAGGCAGTGTTGACGGGTCAATACGTTTGCAACCTGGGATACGGTGAAATTCCTTATCGATGATGTCAAGCTTGTGGCCACGAATATGCGCCGGGCCGTACGACATGCCATAGTACACCCAGGCGCATTCACCCGTAGCGGTTGTGCGAAGGTGTTTGCGAACAACATCGTCCGGCATAGGACCGGTTCCAGCAAAATATTTAGTACGAGGATGTCCTTTGACGGAGAGGGTTTGCAAGCCGTGTCGCAATTGGGCGACGTTCTCGAGGATATTGGATATGCGGAGGGGGCGGATAATCTCGATTAGGGGGGCGAGGTCGGATTCGTTGGCGAAGGTGTACATCTGGTGGTATTAGAAATAACCCTTGGCAGTTTAGGGATATTCTCACAAAAGATTCGAAGCCTCCGGGGTTTGGCATCAGAGTCATACCCATCTTTGTAACAATACCGAAGTTCGATTGGGAGAAGATACCGCTGTGCGGAGTTAATGCAAACTCGGAAGGACACACCAGCGTGAGCGCCCAAAAGATTGAGGGACTCACTCATTGTACGGCCCAAACCCGTAAGGGAAGCACTGCCACGTATTCTCCCCTCCAACACCCAGCGCACCCATTCCTGTCCTCAATACGCTGACATCTCCCTTCTCTCCAACACTAGGTAACACAACTTCCAGGCCCGAGTGGCACGCCCAGTGGTCTCCATACGGCGTATACCCCACCCCGCGATCCAAAGTATTTCCAATCACGCTACCACCTCCAAGGTCGGGTGTATCAATCCACATCTTGTCGTCCAGCCCACGTTTCACAAGCTCCTCATGGAGTGCATAGAATGTCACCCCTGGTTCAACGAGGCAAGTGAAGTCATCGGCATTGATGTCGAGAATGCGATTCATGCGACGTCCAAGATCAATGGTGACAGAGCCCCGTACACGTGGAGCTGAGCCACCGTATCCAAGGTTCCGACCTATGCTTATGGGAAAGAGAGGTATTAGGTGCTTGTTCGCCCACTTTACGATGATTTTGACATCGTCTACTGAACCGGGATATACTACTGCAGATGCGATGAATTCTTCGGAGTCGAAGAGTGGCATCATGTCGTGAGTGTTCGGGGACTCCATGTACCAGCCATTCTTGATCTCTTTGTCGTTGAGCAAAACGTGTTTCGCTCCAAGCAGGTTGCGTAGCTCATCAATTGCGGAGAGGAAGGCGGGCTTGGAAATGCCTTGAGGGATGGGAAGACCTCGCTGAAGCGTAGCGGTATCCGAGACGGTTTTCCCATTGTATATGAGTGATTTCGCTAGAGTTGCTTTTTGGAGCAGGCGTTCTGGTATTCCGCTGTGCGCGACCGTAAGGGTTGGAGTGGCTGGTAGATCCGGAGGTGCCATAGTGAACAGTGAGATGCCTTGGCTGAGAGGAGGTTCAATACGGAAAAAGAACAAGACGGGAGAAAAGCGGGCTTCTGAATTTCAAGTAGCCTCTAGTAGCCTCAGTAGAACTGTGTAAGACGTGCGCGTGGTGTGGGGCTTAGTCTGGAGCGCAGACCAAAGGCGCTTTGCCGGCAACACAGAGTGAGGAAGGTCCGCGGAATGGCGACTTCGGAACCAGCAAACTTTGGTAAAGAAGCTTCGTAAAGGCAACCCGAATCCGTTCTTACTGTGATTACCCATGAGAAGCATACACAACAATCATCATTCTGCGATGTGTTGCTATATCCTTGCATTTGCGGGGTAGCTCCACGTCTAGTCCGGGTATCGAGCTCCATGTCCTGTGTGGGGCAGATATATACATACGACTACTAGGCCAGAAGATTTGTAGAGCGGTGTAGCCCGCATGATCTCTGCTACAACTCATCCTGCAAAGCGGACGTCACTAAGATGTGGACTGATTTCGCTCGTAAAGGTCGGCTACTACCTAGGTAGCATGCTATGAAGCAGTCTATGTTAGGGGAGCTTGAGCTACAATATGTATCTCAAACGTTTAAGTTAACACTGCATCGTCGGGTTTTTAATCCATGGGAGGTAAAGTCGGGCGCCAATTTCTCGACTTTGGTGTCGGCCACTGCAGGTGTGCTGCCCATTACGGTTTATGTAGGTCAAAGTGCTCTGATTGTGTCGCCACCGAAGCAACCCGGATATAGGACCTGCGTGAAAAGGATGGGGACGCAATCGCTCCAATGGAAAAACATGCCTCCTTGTAGCCAAGCTAGATAGCATAAATAGAGAAGCTTTCGAAGAGAACACGACATTGGATTCCCAATCCGGGTTAACCCGTTACGGCTAGCGAAGCTTGTCTGGGGAAAATCTCAGAGCAAGACCTCGCTCGATCCATCAATTGCACGCTCACTACCTCATTGTACAACACCATGCATCATCCACAGATTTCTCATTGTTTCCTATAATCTATTGTTTCACTTTTCAGCATGGAGCGGCATCAACGCATCGTTACCCAGGTGGCTTCTAAGGTCAAGGGATATTTCACACGCAAAGAATCTTTCAGAATTAATCATGGATCGACTAACAGCACGCGCCCTTCTCTTAAAAAACGCGTTGTGGACATCAGCGAGCTACGAAATGTTCTCAAGGTCGACACCGCATCGCGGACAGCTCTTGTCGAGCCAAACGTACCCATGGATCGCCTAGTGGAAGCCACTCTGCCCCATGGTCTAGTGCCTCCTGTTGTCATGGAATTCCCTGGAATTACTACAGGAGGCGGCTATGCGGGAACAGCAGGTGAAAGCAGCTCGTTTCGACATGGGTTTTTCGATCGCACGATCAACTCGGTTGAGATGGTACTGGCAGACGGCAGAGTTGTCAAAGCCTCACAGCAAGAGAATAACGACTTGTTTCGTGGCGCAGCAGGTGCTGTGGGAACGCTTGGTGTCACAACACTCATCGAGCTGCAGTTAATTCAAGCGAAGCGATTTGTAAAAACGACTTATCACCCCACTAGAAGCATTGCGGAGGCGGTCCGCGATGTTCGAAAGCAGACTGAAGTCCCCGAGAATGACTATGTGGATGGAATACTGTTCTCGAAAGACCACGGCGCAATTGTTACTGGTGAGATGACTGATGATATACCCGCCGATCACAAACCCAGGACCTTCTCCAATCCATGGGATCCTTGGTTCTACCTGCACGTTGAAGAGCGCACGAAGAACGCATTAGCTCCTGTTGTGGAGTATATTCCGCTAGCAGAGTACATGTTTCGGTACGATAGAGGCGGTTTTTGGGTGGGCCGCTCTGCGTTCAAGTACATGAATTTTCCTTTCAACAAGTACACAAGATGGTTCCTAGACGACTTCCTTCACACGCGGATGCTTTATCGCGCATTGCATGCGAGTGGCGAATCGAACAGCTACGTAGTCCAGGACATGGCACTGCCTTATCCGAAAGCCGAAAGGTTCATAAACTATACCGACGACAAATTTGGAATCTGGCCGCTATGGCTGTGCCCATTGAAGCAGTCACCGCAGCCCACCATGCATCCCCATACGAAGGGAGACTTGAAAGACGACCAGATGCTGAACATTGGACTCTGGGGCTTTGGGCCCAGGAACCGCAAACAATTCCTTGAAAAGAATCGCGACTTGGAGAAGCGCTTGGGCGAACTCGGAGGCATGAAGTGGCTGTACGCACATACATACTACAGCGAAGCAGATTTTTGGAAGCAGTTCGATCGCGAGTGGCACGAAGGACTACGGAAAAAGTACAACGCGACCACGCTACCTGAGGTCCACGAAAAGGTTCATGTGGATATAGAGAAGCTAGAAGCACAAGCGCAGCAAGACTGGGGTATGCGACTTCGATCGATCTGGCCGCTTGGGGGTTTCTGGGGATTATGGAAATCGATACAGAGCGGGGACTACCACATATCGAGGAATTCGACTTGGAGGTGGCGGTGAGCTGATTTGCATACTAGAAAGGCTGCGCCAAGTATATGTTACATAGTGTATACAATTCATGAATGGCTGGTCTTTCCCAGGACCAACAAGATGGAGGCGTGGGACAGGTTGTTGTCGAGTATGCAGCTGCTCTGTCATTGAGGTAATTGGCTCCAACAAACCACGTTAAGTCTACTGGAGCTTCGACATGAGAAACTGCGAAGTCCTTCTCGATCATGTTAGTATGAACTTAATCGAGGCATGTAGAGGGTCGAGGGGGAAACGTCGAATGTAGTTGAGCATGGTCTCTTTACGTATCACGATCTTGTAGTATAAATAGTAGCCTCATAGCAGCCTACATACAAACATCCAGCACAACGAATATTGCAGTCCTCCCAGACGATCTTTGACACCTCAACACAATGCTCTTCTCCAAGCCCATTGTCGCCCTTGCCGGTCTTCTTTCCTCCACTACCCTTGCAAGGGTCCAATCCCTTGAGACCGTCTACCTGGTCAACTGCGGGACTTCGTACTCCGACATGGACTACTACGCCGAATGCCACACCAGCTTCGCCGGCTCCTGGCCTAAAGAGCAGTGCAAGGTGTCTGGCAGCGGTGAGTATTTGCCTTATGTCTATTCCCCATACGGAAACTGACAACGCTTTCATCAGGCACGACTTGGTGGGAAGGTGCATCCCGTAGCTGCAATTTTGGCTCTACAACATTCAATTCGGACGTTGATGCGAACGCATCCAGCAAGCCTGCGCACTCGGTCGTCGGTTGGAAAAAAACAGCTTCCATGAGTATACTTGTAGGAAAGAGCAGGACTTCCGTCTGTTGTTATAAGAAGAATGGACTGGAATGCAGGAGTGTCTACTAATGCACTTGCCAGGTCTAGGGGGCATGCTATGACGGGTGAGTGAGTCCTTGGAAGGGGAGGAAGGGAGGCGGAACGGTGCACAGGAAGCGGTGGGTGGGTGGCATCGCACGTGCTGATTGTAGTCGCTCTTTTGGGAAGTAAACTATCAGGAGAACATGCCTTAATATCAACTAGGAACGCTCTTTTCCGTATCAGGAATGACCAATATTTATGAGCCTGCCTTCGGAGTTCAAGAGTTCCAATTGTTCAGCCTCATATCACTCTACCGAAAATGATTTATTTTACTTCAATGAAAACGAAGTTAGTCGGATTATAACTACGACTACGGGTTATCTAGAGAGCCAAGCTAGCCATGTAATCGTTATATCTGCACTCATGAACACTACCCGCAACATCTGCCACACCACACTGAAGGCAGGGTAAGGTCTGACACCTTTACCAACGACGTTACCAAAGAATTCGTGTCTCGGGTGCGCCCCTTGTGCACTTTACTTAATGTGTGACTTGCAGGTCCATTGATGACAAGAAGAAGATGCCATGATACTCATACAAGGTCTGCTGCCTACTGAATCTAGAGGTCAGGAGGAATGGATACCGGAGCGGTGGTGCGCGAGTTAGGGTTGTACCGAAGAAGCTCGATAAGCTTGCGACGCTTCTCCTCGTTGGCCTTATTCTCAGCCTCCTTCTGCGCGACCTCTTCCATGTGGATGTCCCAGAAGCCGCAGGCCTTTGCGACTTCGTCAACTTCAGCATTGTAGTCCTCGCGAAGCTCATCGGTGCGAGAGACAGTCATTGCAGGTTCAATGATGGCAGCAGACGGCTTGCTATCGAACTGGGCCGGCCAGTTCGAAGGATCAGATGACTTGGTGCCCCAATCCTTACCATGACCAATGCCAATGACGTTACGCCATCCATCGTAGGAGATCTCACCGGTCGGCTGGGCGTGGCTCGGGAGATTGCTCATGTTGGTGAGCGTCGAATCTGAAAAGAAGAGGTCGAAAGGTTTTTCTGCAGTTGTGATTTGGAGCCCATAATGGGGGTAGCTCTTGATATATAGTCGGAGGGAGAGAAGCCCCGTGTGGAAGGTGGAGCTATAGTAAGTGAAATAAAATAACATCGTGAAGCTCGATCGGGTCACATTATTCGACTCTCAAGCCTGCTGACTCGATATAGAATAGAGGTAGTTTGAGCCCGCATTATGAAGCGAAGGGAGTCCTTTTATGATCAGTAGCCCTACAGAGAGAGACTATTGGGCAGTATGCGTGTTGTTCAGTTAGCGCTTTAGTCTAGTGCTTAGACATTGAGAGAAACCTTGTCTCTGGTATTCCCAAGTGCCCGGGCCTCTTTATGTTAAGGAAAGAACTTCTTAGATACGGAGAGGTGTTCAAATCATGTGTAGCTTCGCAAATTCTAGATATTCAGACGATTGTAAACCTACGATGAGATGTACTGTTTCCAAAGTTACACAATACTAACATCTTCAAGGACCTTCAATATACCACTAGAAATGAACTCCCGAGATACGGCCTGCACAGCATGGGCTCAACGAAGTCTCGTTTAGGTACTGCAGGCGTCAATGGATGACCTTTATTCCACATTCGGACCGAGCGTCGAGGCAGGTCAAGAGACAGCGTTTGAGATCTTTGAGCTGTTGAGACTGGACAGTATGGTCCGCATAGGTGAGCATTCTTCACGCCGTCTTCTGCGGCCGGCCATCGTGAGCTAGCTATGTTTGAAACTTGGTCGATAAGACGAGGATGTGTATGGCGCTAGTGGTGAAATTGCTTTTGTCGCAGGGAAACAAAGATTGTGGTCAGCCTATATGGGGCATTGGCTACGGCAGACGGTAGTTTAACCATTGTTTCCCGACAATGTAACAACAGATGACCTGAGTACATTTGTGGCATTATCATGGTCCACAGATCTGACTTCCTTATGAGTGCATGCTTACTATCAGCATGTAGATGTGGCGATGATGATCCGAAGGAGAAACTCACGGTTAGTGTTCGTCTTTGGTGTGACGCTATATCTTACTTCTTTTTAACACGATCCGCGAGCTCACACTTGATTTTGTGAAACTGACGACATTCTGATCTTCAAGTTAATCCTGGAATCAATGGCGATAAGAAGTGTCTGCGCTGTCAGCAGTGAGAGGAGAGCAGAGTCGAGTGACCCCAACAAATGCAAAGCATTATTCACATACTATACCAGAATGCGAAAACAATGCCACATGAATGCCTACGGCAATGCTCGCCTGACCAGTCGATCACTCAGCACTGCAAATCACCAAGCCCCACACTGTTCCAGACCGACCTCCTTCTAACCGCAGCAGGCCCGTCCCAAAACACAACACCAAGAGACGTCGCAGAAAAAACATCGTAAAGTCAACATCCATCACCGAAAGCAGTGGGCGGGGGGCTATAACTTCCGCATCGGGAAGCGCACGCGCTGGGTACCCGAGGAAACGGCGACCCCACCAGCACGCGTCTACCCCTCAGCGCGACCCCACCCATCTCCAAACCTGTCGTTCCCGCTGCCGGCGGCCTGGCCCAGTGACAATCGTACGGGTCTCCGTCCGCCCGCGACGTGATTCGACATGGCGATACCAATTCTAATAAGCGCGCCTGCTCGCAGGTGCCGTGTTCCTTTCTTCTCCCTAATTTCTCTTGCGCAACACGGTACATTCATTCGGACTACGCCTACTTGTTTGAATAACTACGCGCAGAGCCATTGCTAGGCGCAATCGCAAGCCGCAAGCATGTCGGGTGAGTATACCCGCTCACACCACCCCAACAAGCTGTGAATTGATTGTCCTGAATTAACTGACAGCCACCAGCAAAACACTTCATCAACGACCCGACACATCTCGTCAAGACCGCCCTGCAAGCCCTCACCCACACCAACCCCTCCGTAACCGTCGACCTCCCAAACAAAATCGCCTACCATTCCCCCCTCCACGTCACAGGTCTCCATAGTTAGCGGCGGTGGCTCCGGGCACGAGCCGTCATTCTCCTCCTTCGTCGGAAGCGGACTTCTCTCCGGCGCGGTCGCAGGAACTATCTTCGCGTCGCCAAGCGCGGAACAGGTCCGGAGATGTATCCTGCACCGCGTGGACAAGACTAAGGGGGTTTTGGTCGTGGTGATGAATTATACGGGGGATGTGCTGAACTTTGGAATGGCGGTTGAGAAAGCGAGGAGTAGGGGTGTGGAGGTGGATATGGTGGTGGTAGGGGATGATGTGGGTGTGGGACGGAAGAGGGGTGGAAAAGTCGGCAGAAGAGGGATTGCGGGGACGTGTCTAGTTCAGAAGATTGCTGGAGCGTTGGCAGCGAAGGGGTGAGTGTGGATGTGGCGTGGACGAAGAATGGACCGAGTTTGCTGATGTTGATTGCAGTGCGAGCCTTAAAGACGTGTCGCGGATAGCGCAGTTGACAGCCGATAATATCGTGTCCATTGGATCATCGCTCTCGCACGTCCACGTCCCTGGGCGCAAGCTTGATGGCAGCGAAGATGAGCTCAAAGAGTCGGAGATCGAGATCGGAATGGGCATTCACAACGAGCCTGGTTCCGAGCGACAGACGACTGATCTGCCAGAGCTTGTGAAGACTATGTTGTCTTATTGTCTAGACAGGTCAGACAAGGATCGGAACTTCTTGGACATCTCCGAGAAAGATGAAGTTGTCTTGCTGGTCAACAACCTCGGCGGCGTGAGCGCGCTGGAATTGGGAGGTATTACCAACGAAGTCGTAGAGCAGCTTGCGAATGACTGGAAGATTAAACCTGCCAGGATACTGTCGGGGACATACATGACCAGCCTGAATGGCTTGGGATTCAGCATCAGTTTGCTCAAGGTCACGGATACCGGACTGGGCGCTGACTCTTCCATGATAGAGTTGCTAGATGCGCCTGCGGAGGCGACTGGCTGGAGTGCTGCAGTAAGCAGCGGCACATGGGCGAAGGGCGCACAGTTGGCGAAGGCAAGAAGGGGGTCCGATGAGGACGAAGCGGAACCAAGCAATCTACGACGTAAGCACAATGCCGTTCAAGGACAGGCAAACACTAACATCGTGTCAGTGGACTACGGCTTTGCAGAATCGGCGTTAAAAACAGGTCTGGCGAGACTGATTGCAGCAGAACCGGACGTCACAAAATACGACACAATCGTCGGAGACGGTGACTGTGGGATTGGATTGAAGAGAGGCGCCGAAGGTATTTCAATCGCATCTTTTCGTTCCCGTCACTAACGCGAGGCAGCCATTTTGCAGATGTTGGAGCAAGCGAAGCAAACTGATGATCCTCTGATCTTCTTGCAGAACGTGATTCAAGTCGTTGAACTGGCCATGGACGGAACTTCCGGTGCCATCTATGCTATCTTTTTGAACGCGCTTGCCCACGGTCTGCGACAGAATTCGCCTTCGTCACCGACACCTATCACACCACAAATCTGGGCGAAAGCGCTCGAATCCTCTGTGCAAGCGTTGGGCAGATACACCCCTGCCAAACCAGGAGACCGAACGTTGATGGACGCGCTGTATCCATTCGTAGACACACTCTCGAAAACAGGAAACGTAGACTCGGCTGCCAAAGCGGCGGATCAGGGAGCGCAGGGTACGAAGGGGATGAAGGCCAGTCTTGGACGAACGGTATACGTCGGCGGCGAGGGCTGGGAGAATGTGCCAGATCCAGGTGCGCATGGTCTTGCAGAGCTGCTACTGGGCCTCAACGAGGGATTGAAGAAGTGAAGAACCGTATAATGCATTGCCGATGGTGCGACTTTCTTGTATTTTTAGGACCAAAACTCCTTTGTCGCAATGAAACATCCTTGATCCAATTCCTTTCCCCGTGCCTCCGAACGACCTCATTGGGTATCTTAACTGAGAAGAACGAGGATGACGGAATCGCCGCGCAAGAACATCTTGCTGATGAATCTGTCCTTGTTGACCTTGCGACCGAGCTGTCCATTTGCCAATCGGGGTGTCTCCGTCCACATCTCTTTTGCATTCTCCAGGACCATATTGCAGTGACGGTCGAAGGCTTTTACGCGGGCGAGTAGCTTGCGGTTGTTGCGGCAGGAAATGAGGACTTGAGTACGCGTGCGAACAGCTGTTTGCAAGATTGAGAGGGGACCGGTCGTGAGTTCGTGTTCCTCAACTTGCGCGACTTCATATTCGCTGGAAGGAAGGTCAGCGCAAAGCAAGCTAGCATGGAGTCGGCTGCGATACGTACGTCAACTCCGCGCGGGGCTTGGAGATGAGCTCCCTGTTTAATGTCAGCTTTTGCTATGCGCCAGAGTATATCTCATCACATACTGGAGCTTTGCGTCCACCATGTTATATGTCAAGCTGTTTGGAGTGAGGGGTCGAGGTGCGATGATTTTGATCCTGCTGCACGTGAGCAAGTGCTGCCTGGACCGATTGCGTGCGGAAAACGAGCCGGAGAGGGTCGATGTCCGAGTAAAGGCGAGGCACGGGCCAGCAAGAATTGACTCGGCAAGAGATCTGAGCGCGCGACACCACGGCAACGGCTATGAAGGTGGGCAAGTTGTATCAGCGATGAAGCGGAAGTTCAATAGCGCCTAGCGGTGGATAGTTTCTGCGGCACCGAGAGCCAATCAACGCGTGTGTCACGTCTTAGTCACGCAAGCTGCCGGACGGAGCTTGTGCGTCCAAGCTCGACCATCTTGAACTCTCATCGTCGCGCTCAGGCGCTTGTATGACGCGCTTTTTCTCCTCCTCTTGCGTAAATCGGGTCGTTGGGGCCTGTAACCAGCTTTGCCATAGCGAACGCTCTGATTTTATACTCGATTAATGCCCGCGTCCGCCGTTTTTCCACTCGCGTGCTTCAATAACGCGTCTTCGCGACCCATGGACGCAGTTCGCAGTGCTTGCCAGCCACGCCGATCTGATCGCGATACGCCAACACTGACCACCTCCCTTGACACTTCCACCACTTCGACTCTCCTTTGCTCACCACACCTGCTCTGGCCTGTCATCATTCTCGTCGGCAGCCATGTCGACACCATCGCCAGGTGTTGAAGGTGCTGCCGTCCAACATGCTGCCGCCGACGCCGACACGGAAGGCGCGAACGACATCCCGCGACGGCTAATGCGAGGCAAGCACCACTAGCGAGGCAATAAGAGTGCCGCCTAACTAATCATCTTACAGTCAAGGTACTCTACACGTTTGACGACCAGAACATATCAAATTGCCTTGCCCGCTTACCGAACGCGTTGAGCGTCCCTACTGTTTCCCTGGACGAGACGACGCAGGTGGGCGTTATCGAGCTCAAGACCTGTATTCAGGCTATTGTGTCAGCAAGGTAGGTCATGTGCACTGCAGTTTTACAGCTGATCAGAGGCTCACACCACGCCTTCAGTCCGGAACTTGTCGCCAAGCTTGGTCATGATTACACCGTATACGCCTACGACTTTTCCGAGTACGAAACGCCCCTTGTCGGACAAGGCATGCTATCATGGATCCTTGCCTCTGCCTCTATAACGCCCAATGCCCCCGCCGAGGAATCACAAACTATGGTCACCGGTCGCGTTTGCAAGAACATCCTAGGCCTCTTTTCGAATGGCATCAAGGAGACGCTGGAGGTCAAGCTCAAGCTTGTTCCTGTTCCGACCTGCATGCAGAGCGAATACGTGGAGAATATGGAGCGGTATCATAGCCTTAGCAAGATCATGCCTGAAGGAATGGACTACAAGGAGTGGGCAGAGTTTCTCAAAGCAAACCCGGCCATTGGTCAACTAGCCCAACCCACGCCCATGGATGCCCCATCGATGACGGAAAGCATGTCCACGAATGCGATCGAATCCTTCAATGAGTTGATGAGGAACAATTCGTTCCATGGCCATCATCGCTTGTCTTTCAGTGCTCATGACACCCGAGCTTCTAGTCCCGCCATGAGCACGGTGTCTGCGTACCCGTACCAAATGCACCCAGAATACCGTCCCGCTTCGCAAGCGTCTTTCTACAGCGAATCCGCCGCAAATTCGCCTTACTACCCGTCCGCAACCGATCCCAATCTCGAGCAGGCCGACGAGGGCCCGCCTAAAAAGAGGGCTCGTGTAACAAAAGCGAAGAGACCAAAGAAGACAGCCTTAGGTCCCAATATCGAATCGCTACGGGTGACTGCTAGTACTGCAGCATCTGTGCGACTGCACCGTCCGGTACCTCTTAATGCTAGCGCTGCGGTGTCAGCCGAACAAGTACCGCGTGCGCCCACACCACGTCCACGTCATGCTGGGTCGCACTCGAATGAATCTCGCGTTCCAGCTCCAAGCCTGCTACGAAACGCGTCGATGGAAGAAACTCGTCCCTACGTGTCGCCATACGACAGCGGCATCTTCTCGGACAACGCCATAGATTCTGCAGATGACGATAAAGGTGACAGTCCTTCGGATACTCCCCCGAACATGCCCTCTTCACCTCCTATGCTATCCGAGCATGTTGCTTCCCCCGCTCCCTCCAGTCCTGAACTTCCCATGCTCCCTCCCCCCAATGATTCTGGGTTCGCGAGTGACATGGCTAGTGCTCACAATGAAGAAGGAAGAAAAGCGTACGACAACAGTGGAGTTCCTGCGGCGCCTGAGGTGCGTACGCGCAAGAAACGAGATAGTTCAAAACGCCCTTGGTCTGAAATCAACCCTGGGCCTAGCAACCTCTTACCGACCTCCGAGATTCGAACAGATCGACCAGGACATAGCAAGAAGGAACCCGAATCGAAGCCAATTGACCCGAACCTACTGAAACATTTTTTGAACCACTATGGGACAAACGATTCAAATGGCGTATCGCAGAGTATCGAAACAACAGGAAACAACGTTGAAAAGCCTCCCGTCGAGATCTTCTCGTCTAAAGATGCCCCGACAGGCCCATCGCCGCCAGCAGACACAGCAACAACATCTGCCATTCGACAACCAGAACTCCGCGTAGGGACTCCCAGTCTCCCCTTACCGCCTCCCAAAGCAGCTAGAGGATTGGTCAGATCGCAAACATGGGCTGGTGAGCCTATGTCAGATGCCGCAGGCCCTGATGATGCTAGACCGAAACAGCCTCGAAGTGGGTCCGGTGCAAGACGACAAACGAAAGTGCTCATCAAGGAGAAGTTGGAGGAAGCCATCATCAAGGGCCACTTGCCGACTTTTTGCAACAACTGTGGGCAGATCGAGACGCCAGCTTGGAGACATGCATATACGCGGGTTGTGAATGGGACCCCACAAAACATCGAGTTATCTTCGAAAGGCAACGCCATCGTGGCATATGAAGTCTTGAACCCTGCGGATAATGAGGGAGTCCCCCATTACCGTATATTCAAGAACGACTTGGCGCCTGACGGATCGGAGCTAGATCTCTTTACGACTCTTACCCTCTGCAACCCTTGTGGACTATGGTTGTCGAAGAAGAATGCAATGCGACCACAGGATGTATGGGGGAAGTCCCGGGCACAAGTATCCGCAGACAAGGCGAGGAAGTTCAAGAAACCGAAAAGGACCAAGGCCGACACTGACCTTTTCACCTCTGATGCAGTTATTCCAGAGTCTGACTCAGGTCTTTTCGATTCACACCTAGAAGCAGAAGCTCTTCCTGCACTAGACGGCACCAGGGATATTCAGATGCAACCACTCTCGCAAACAGCTTGCAAAGGCTCCAAACTTGACGAGCCTACAGCGCGGGCTGCACTTGAGCGGGCCTTCCAGTCTAGCCCCGTGGGCGTCCGTAGTGGAAGCAAAGACACCCCTATCGATGTCGATGGTGATCTGACACCTAAACCCACACGCCGACTACTCTTCCCCTCACCTCGGAGACCTGGCGAAATGAAGTCGTTAGCCGACAGCAACTTGGCCAGGTCCTTGTCGGACGCAGCCATGGAGGACGGTGACAAGGAAAATTGTCCACCACCGGCAACCACTGAGGACGATGATCTGGCGCACCTCTTTGGGTCCCCCAAGGTGACGCCCCCCAAAAGCTCTTCTTTTGAGGATCTATTGAAGACACCAACACCTGGTTCACGCCAACGTGTCGCGCTCACACCCATGCGTCACGCCGATGCAATTTTGTCAACGCCTTCAAGATTCTCTCGAACGCCTAGAGGCAATGGAAGAAATGCGACGATAGCCCCAGAGACTCCCTTCACCCGGCAACTTAACGACTTACTCTCTGACAGCATGCTTCCTGGTTCGCCGTCTCAAAACTTTGACATGTCTGCTTTCGCGACTTTCAACACACCGGGCCGTAATAGCATCCTGCATTTTGGAGATTTCCTGCAAAACGACTCGTTGTCTAGCGACTTACCCGTACCGAGCAGCTCTCCACCGAAACATTTCGACTTCTCTGTCTTCGAGGACCCAAACACGAGCACGGTTGGCCTGTGGAGTGGAGCAAGCATCTTCGATATCAACGATGCGATCATGTCTGATGCACCTGTTCATGAGCAGCACAGCGATGCTCAGGACGGCAACGCTACGCCGAAAATACTTACGGTCAATGGCATCAGTCTCGACTTCTCTTCGATGATTGAAGAGGTGGTTGGAAATGTGAACCCGGAAGAGCGGGAAAGCGCAGCACCAGTGCCTACGTCAGCTGTGTCTCCGGGATGTAGACCAAATCTCGTCCCAGAGCCAGCGCCAGCTAAGCCCATAGAAACACGACCAGACCTTGTCCCCCCCGCCAGTTACCCAAACACGTGTACATCCACCGATTCCTCCGCCTGGCGAATATGACGCACCAAAGCCCCGTTGTCAGCGATGCAAACAAAGGAAGAAGGGCTGCGATCGCCAACGCCCTTGTGGACGATGTGTTAAGGCTGGTCTTGATGCAGACTGCTGCATCCCCGTCGACGAGGAACCAGCAACATCGCCTGCGTTCAGTGCCAGTGCAGAGCCAACCCGCGCAGCGCAGTACCAGGCACAGCAGCAGCCACGCCAGCAAGCCAGAAAACCCAGCGTGCCTGTGGATCCTGCACTTGAGGCTATGACGGTACCTTGTGGACCAAAGACTCATGAAGTGAGCAAAATAACCGCCGAACGAACTCCTCACATGGACGAGTCCACAGGGATTCAGGGGCGGTCACCATCGATTGCCAATGACGGCGTCCTACCGGTTTCTAGATCTGAAGTGAAGCAAGAAGTGATTACTCCTAAAAGCCTTCATGCCAACCTTGAGACCGCTCACGCTGCAGAGCCGACGACAACAGCATCAGCACCTACTCTTGATGATTTGAATACGGTTTGATTCTACCCACGTTGTGCGCAATGTACATATACCCCTTTTTTTTTGCTTTCCCAGCCACTGATTTGATGGCTTGTGTTTGATTAGTATTCGGTCAGTGTTCTGCATTTCGCACTGACCAAGCATTTTTGATCATGGCATGGCACACATGGTCTGAATTATTATGCATGGCATGGCACTGCATGAGGAAATGAAGCATGAATGTACTATACATGGAGAGGCGAGCTTCGGGAAAAAGCCGATGAAATCGCGTAGACAGATAAAATGGATTGCGTCGCTGACGCTTCAAACACTGCAACCACGACTAAAACAAAGTGCTATGACATCTCGATGTTCGTTTGTGCTGACAGCGAGCAGATTCCATTACATATGTAGTATACAGTCCGTAACGCAGCAGGTGTAGCATTCGAATGTCCTCAAACCAAGAACCATGACACGACGACCAACCGCCACGCTCATGTCTGTATCGTGTATCATCGCCATCTCGAATCCACAAGGATCGTATGGATGACAGACTGATGGCTTGCTATGGAATAGCTGTGACCAACGGACATTTACAATGAAAGGGTAAGAAAGGCAAGAAATCTAGTACATAAGATTCATGTTGCAGTTGCAGTGAATTTTTTCTAGGTGAGCTATCGAAGTAGGTATAGAATAAGGACCGAATGATTGCATAACCATATTATTTGAAGTTTTGAAGTATTTCATGAATGAACTCAATCAGCTCGTGTCACTAGCAGTGTGCAGCAACATATTGAGAGTTGAAAGACTGCTTGAAAACGGACTTCTTCCGCTTGTACGATGATTGGTATGGGTGATTTTCTAGATAGTAGAGCATGCATAGCTCGTCGAGGGTATCACTTCCCGCGAATTTACCCAAACGCCGGTTTTATATGCAATAGATGAGAAGGAGATGGGGAATGGTTTATTCAATAGAGCCGACGACGGACGATCCCTTAGTTCTCGTCGAAGCCAAAGAAGGCGTCGTCGAATTGAGTTGCCTCAGGATTCTGGTAGTCCAGGTCGAAGAGATCATCGAGGTTGTCAGAGGTCATGGTTTCGAGATTCAGCTCGTCGGTGGTGGTAGCCTGCTGGCCCGCAGTGTCCTCTTGCTTCGGGGTCGGGGTCGTGGCAGTGGCCGACTGCTGCGGCGGTGCACTTACGTTTAAGTCGGGCATGTCCGTCATGTTGAAGTCAAGGTCGAGGGTGGAGGCATTGTTCTGGCCTGCGGTGTCATCCGCACCGTCCTTAGCAAAGTCTTCGAGCCCACGCAGGAGCCCGTCGGACGGTTGCGTACCCAGGGTGAAGTCAAGGTCGGCATCCGCGTCTGGATTAAGATCGCCTTGGTCGTTGCCGGCATCGCCTGAAGTGTCCATTGTGCTCTCGCCGAACATGGCATCAAAGTCAAACTCGCTCTCTTGCATACCCCCGAGGTCGTCTGTATTCTCCATAGACACATCTGCAGGCGGGGTCGGCTCCTTCGGCGTGGGCTCCTTCTCCACCGCAGGCTCGACTTTGACGGGCTCTGTAGGCTCGGCTTTGACTGGCACAGGCGACGCTGGTTTGGCAGGAGCGGGTGGTGCTGCGACTTCCTCCTTCGGCGGCGCTGGGATGTTCTTGGACTCGGTTGCCAGTCGCGCCTTCTCTGCCTCCTTCTGTTTGGCCGCAGCTTCCTTCTCCTTCCTCTGGGCCCTCATATGGGCGAGGTCGCGCCGCAAGACGGCTTGCGCATGGCGGATCTCGTTTTCAAGCTCGTCGAGCGAATCGTGAAAGCGCTCGCTGCCGGCGGAGACGGCGCGCTTCAGCTGGAACTGCATCTTGGCGGACTCTGCGGGCGCCTGCTTCACGGTTTTCATGTAGCGGCCACTGGTTATGAGCTGCACGCGGGTCAGGGCAAGCTCGGGGGAGCCGGTGTGCGGGGCATTCATTCGGACGTACTACGAGGTTCATCATGGCCTGCATGTTCTCGAGCGCATGCGGCGGGCCGGCCTGCTTCTGCGGCTCCTGCGGCGCATTGCTGGCCATGGCGACGGTGCTGCTGCTGTCGTCTCGTCGCCGTTGTCGGGGCGCCAGGACAGGACAAGGTGAGGCAGGGCAAGGCAAGGCGCGCGCGGAGCTGGACAAGCCGCGGCGGCCTCGACAGCTTGGGTGCATGAAGCGAGCAGAACGAGGGACCAGGCTAAAATTGCGCAGCCGCTAACTAAGCGCTCCCGTGTATCAGACATCCCCATCGAGGCCTCAATACCGCGCCCACGTCACGTAAGGCTGGCAGCCTGCGTTTGCTGCATCGTTCCGCGACTCGTCGAGGCCTGCGAAGCGGTCCTTTTCGCGTCATCCTTCGCAGATGTTTGCAGGCGCATCCTTCCGGACCAAGTGCGCCCTGAGGGCTGGCCACTGTCGCCGTCCACGCCCTCGATGTGCATACCCTGTATTTTACACGGCCCAAGGCTGCAACGGGCCGTAGGGGTTTAGCGCTGGCTGTCACCCTAAAGAATCGCAGACTTCGACCTCCCTCCTCTCCTCTCTCACCCCACAGTGGATCAAGCCTGACCAAGTCTCATCGTCCTTCGGTGTCGGTGTCGCTTTCCTGTCTTCCTGCGCCCTTTCCTATTTCTCTTTCTCTTTCCTTCCGCATTCGAGTGTCTTGTCGGTCGCGCCTCCCTCTTGCGCTTACTTTCCTTGCCGCCTGGGTCGTGCCGTCCAAGACCGTCCTCCCCACCGCGTAGTACCCACGTCCGTCGTCGCGTGTCTTGTACACGGTAGCCTTAGTGTCGCCCGATACCTCGCTTGCGCCTGACGAATTTCGGTTCTCCGTACTCTCAGCCTTCTCGCGCATCTTCTCGTGGTGCACCTAGAATAATTACCATGGCCGACTCTGCCACCTCGCAACCTCAGATGCCCCCGCCCTCTGCCTCTGCCGGCGCCCCTGGCTACGATGGGGGTGCTCCAGGCCAGCCCCAGCAGCACATGCCTCCGCCGCCGCTGGCGCCCGTCATCATCCCCCAGAACACGAACCCCATCCCGACGGCCATCAGCTCGCCCATGAGCGCCGGTGTCATGTCTCCCACCAGCGGGGGCGCTGGCTACGTTCCCCGCCGCGCGGCTCCCGAGCCGAACAAGAGAGCATTGTATGTCGGAGGGTTGGACCCTCGCGTGACTGAGGATGTGCTGCGTCAGATCTTCGAGACGACGGGTCACGTCCAGAGCGTGAAAATTATTCCAGACAAGAACGTTAGTGTAATTCTACCATTCACCAGCGGTTGCTCCGGCCACGCGCCGGTAGCGCCGACCTAGCTAACTTGACCCCATAGGCTGTCGAGACTAATATGGGCGTGCAGTTCAGTCAAAAAGGCTTCAACTACGGCTTTGTGGAATTTGACGACCCTGGCGCTGCCGAACGCGCAATGCAGACCCTCAACGGCCGCCGCGTGCACAACAATGTACGTACAACCTTTCAGCCCCGCGACTACCCCGCGCTCGTGCTGACAGATGCTAGGAAATTCGCGTCAATTGGGCGTACCAGTCCAACAACACGGCCAAGGAAGACACCTCGAACCACTTCCACATCTTCGTAGGCGATTTGTCCAACGAGGTCAACGATGAGGTTCTTCTCCAAGCCTTCTCGACCTTCGGCCCTGTCTCTGAGGCACGTGTCATGTGGGACATGAAGACGGGAAGGTCGCGCGGATACGGTTTCGTCGCTTTCCGCGACCGCGCTGACGCTGAGAGAGCGCTCAGCTCAATGGATGGCGAGTGGCTCGGTTCTCGCGCGATCCGCTGCAACTGGGCGAACCAGAAGGGTCAGCCTTCCATCTCCCAGCAGCAGGCCATGGCGTCCATGGGAATGACGCCGACCACTCCCTTCGGACACCACCACTTCCCCACGCACGGCGTGCAGAGCTATGACATGGTCGTTCAGCAAACCCCGCAGTGGCAGACTACTTGCTACGTTGGCAACCTCACTCCTTACACCTCTCAGTCCGACCTCGTCCCCCTGTTCCAGAACTTCGGTTATGTGACCGAGACCCGTTTCCAGTCCGACCGTGGCTTTGCTTTCATCAAGATGGACACTCATGAGAACGCCGCCATGGCCATTTGTCAGCTGAATGGCTACAACGTCAACGGTCGACCTCTCAAGTGCAGCGTAGGTCCTTTCTTTTCCCTTCTTCTCCGTCTCAGTCAGCTCACATATGCATTCTAGTGGGGTAAGGACCGTCCGCCGACTGGCCAATTTGATGGCTACTCCCCTCAGGCGGGTCCCAACTCGGCTTATCCGCAGACTCCAAGCCAGTACTTCCCGCAGTATGGCGCGGGACCAGGGGGTCCTATGTCACCCCAAGGTGAGCGGCACCGAAGGAAGCTCAGATATCGCAATGCACAATCTAATGCTCGGGCAGGTCCAAGCCCCGGCGGACAGCCCTTTGCCCAGACCCAAGCTGGCTTCGGCGGACCCGGCATGGCACAACCTTACCAGCAGATGCCCGGTAGCGCCGGCGGCTACAATGCTGGTCGCGGCGGCCAACCCCAGCAGCAATGGGGCCAGCAGCCGCAGGGTAACTTTAACCAGAACGGCTTCGGCGGCTACCAGGGCTGAGCAGCTACGCTGCTTGCTCCTGGGCCCCCATACATTCCTCTCTCGTGTGCGCTGTTTTATCTTCACGACATGCCTGGTTGTCTAAATTGGCGCTACCTATTTGTTTGGATAGCACCCTTATTTCCACCCATTTGGACGTTTATCCTATCATTCCCCTCATGTCTCCACGGGCTCATGTCATGCGATCATTCTGTTCTCGGTTCTATCCAAAACAGCTGTCTAGTTAGCGGGAGGATCTTGGGTGTCATGCCGTCTTTGAAAAGGCTTATGTCTGGTTTGGGTCATGTTGGCCGGGCGTACGAGTTAACCACCTGTACGTGTTTCTATCTCCGCATCGGCGGATATTACCCTCGTGTGGGTGAGCGTGTTGTCGGATTCGGATTTCAATTTCTTAATGAATCTCCTTGCGCTTTGCATCTGCCATCTCCTTTTCTATCTTCTCCACACCTCTTCGCTTGGACCGCTTAAGTTTGTTTTGATGATGACGAACGACGAAAAGAGTTGCGTTTCCTCAGTTGTCTTTGTCGTTGTGTCGTGTTGTTTTGGCGTCATACCAATACCCATCCACGAAGCGCATGCATCTCCTCTCTTCAATCAATCGAAATGTCTAGTCTGCCTCGGCTGTGTTGGCGATAGACGGCCCCAAAAGTTGTTGTATCGTAAGAGTAAATGCGGTTCATCGCCGCATTCGCAGAAATATATTGGTGTTCAACATCGTACCCTGATAGGTCCTTGTGATGGTGGAGAGAAGTAGCTTGAAAGATAGATGGCAGCGAATATCTGGTGGTGCTGCTACGGAGCTTCACTGGTGATCCAAATTTTTGCGTTCGATCGTCTTCCTGCGAGGAAGTGACTAACATTGCGTGAGGGAAGGAGGGCCGGGGCCGGGGTCCACGAACTCACGTGATGGCCAGTCCGTCCCACCAAAGCTTGGACGCGCTACCCTTCGCGTCCGAACGCGTCGTCACACCAAGGTTGATTCGTCGCTAACGCATGCGCATGCCGCTCCTTGATACACTTTCTCTGTTTCTTTCATTTGTTGTTGCGGCCTTAGCTTGCTGTATGCTCGTCGCTCTCTGCCATTTAGGCGCGTCTTTGCGATTCACCTCCGTAAAAACGTCGTCGCACCTTCCCCGTCGAACCGCGCTGCGACCTCCCCAAACCGCTCACCTCGGCTACCTTTCTACACGACCACTTTCCACCAAGACAATGTTCAAGGCCGCGGTTAAGAGCCATAGCGCTGCAGCACCAACGCACCCTTCACCAGTGCACGCGGCGCAACAAAAGCAGCAGAGCATTGCGGGGGCCTTCAATAGTCCACAAGGTGCACAGAAATCGATCGGGACGCGTCCACTATCGACCCTGTCAGGCAATGTACCGAAGCACAATCCGGAGCGGCAGAATTCGGGGCACACGCATGGAATAAAGAGAACCTCGAGCGGGTTAGCGAAGGCATTGGGCTCACAGGAGGATGCCTTCGGCTACCCCTCCCTTAACATCACAGATTTCGAGAATGATCTTACTTCTTCCTTTCACGACACCAAGACCGGCCAATCGGTCCCGCTATCGGCTGTCCTCTTTGATGAGAATGATTTCGACAGCGACATTGACCTGGATGTTGAAGACCCCGCAACCAAGACCACCGTACAATATCCGACCCTCCCGCGCACAAGCACCGCAGACTCAGCGTATCATTCCTCAACGGCACGGACGACAACGGTGCCAAAAAACGAATTGAGGAGCAGCCAACCGATACCATGGTCGTCTTCCCCGCCAGAGCACTTTAATACACCGCCCAAACCGCAACGAGTCCCGGTCCCTACAAAACGTCGCACCCTACCCTGGCTGCAAAACGGAGGTCAGGTCAAGACAGAAGCGATAGAGGAAGTGATGCAAGAAGAGCTAGAAATAAACAGACCAAAGAAGCGGAGACCAACAGAAGCCGCCGTGACAGCGACACCGGCACCGAAGTCGAGCAAGCCTGACTACCTTTGGAACACAACGCAGAGCGCTATCAAACAGCAACAGAAGACATTAAGGGAAGCAAATAAGAAGGCCGTTGCTGCCAAGGTCAATGAGGGTACGGAGGAGGATGTGAAAGCGGCCATCAAGAAGAAGAAGAAATCCACTATCCATCGCATATTCCTAAGCGAGGAGCAACAGAACGTGCTCAACATGGTCGTAGAGAGTAAGAAGAGTGTGTTCTTCACTGGTTCTGCCGGCAAGTGCAACTCCTACTCAAGCCTTTTCACCTTTATTGACCAGTGACAAGGTACCGGTAAATCCGTTCTATTACGGGAGATCATTGCGGGCCTGCGGAGGAAGTACGTTCGTGAGTCTGATCGTGTAGCCGTCACAGCTTCGACAGGCTTAGCAGCGTGTAACATCGGAGGTGTTACCTTACACAGCTTTGCTGGTATTGGTCTGGGCAAGGAACCTGTCGAAGATCTCGTCAAGAAGATTCGCCGCAACGCAAAAGCAAAGCAGCGATGGATGCGCACCAAAGTCCTTGTTATCGACGAGGTGTCCATGGTAGATGGAGATCTATTCGATAAATTGGAGCAGATCGCGAGAACTATTCGCAACAATGGCCGACCCTTCGGCGGAATTCAACTCATTATCACCGGCGACTTTTTCCAGCTTCCACCAGTACCGGAATACGGGAAGATGGCTCGATTCGCTTTCGACGCTGGAACTTGGACCACCTCCATCGAGCACACCATCGGTTTGACCCATGTTTTCCGTCAAAAGGACCCCGTCTTCGCGGGTATGCTTAACGAGATGCGCGAAGGTCGATTGACCTCCACCTCGATCGCTCAGTTCCGGAAACTCGACCGCGCCCTTCCCACTTCCGAAGATAATATCGAAGCTACGGAACTGTTCCCGACGCGCCAGGAAGTTGAGCGTGCGAACCAGGCTAGAATGAACCAACTGCAAGGTCAAATCTACGAGTTCGAGTCTCGCGATGGTGGGACGGTCGTGGACAAAGAGAAGCGCGATAAACTGCTTCAGAGCTGCATGGTACCTTCGACTATTTATCTGAAGAAGGGAGCGCAAGTCATGCTTGTCAAAAATATGGATGATACATTAGTCAACGGTTCTTTGGGCAAGGTCACAGGCTTCATGACGGAGCAGATGTTTGCATTTTACAAGGACAATGAAGACGCATTCCTAGAGGGCGCAGAGAACACGGCTGAGCTAGAAGCCCTCACCAAGCTCAAAGAGAAGGCGTTGGGTGTAAGCACCCAACAGCTTTACCCTGTTGTCCGCTTCGCCATCTCCGACGGCACGACCCGCGACCTCCTCTGCAAGCGCGAATCGTGGAAGATAGAACTACCGAACGGCGAGGTTCAGGCTTCTCGCGAGCAAATCCCTCTGATTCTTGCATGGGCGCTGTCCATACACAAAGCCCAAGGTCAGACGCTCGAGCGTGTACGCGTCGACTTGGGGAGAGTCTTCGAGAAAGGTCAAGCGTACGTCGCGCTCTCGCGTGCGACGAGCATGGCTGGCTTGCAAGTATTGCGCTTCGATGCAAAGAAAGTCATGGCGCATGAGAAGGTGCGAGCCTTCTATAGTAGTCTGAGTACGGCGGAGCATGTGGAAAGCAAGGCGAAGAAGGGGAGTATTGAGAAGCATTTGAAGATTACGAAGAGGCAGGTTGATGAGTTCTAGGCCAAATATCCGTGAAGTGGTTGGGATCGATGGTAGTCCATTATTGTGGCTCAGTGTCTTGATTAGCGTTTGTGCGACTACTGGATCAGGTGTTCGGGAGCTAGACAGCATGAGCGTGTTGACGGAGTAATCTTTATTGTGGGTGGAGTCGGTATACCTTGACGTTCAATGACAGTCTCACTCTAGCAAACATCTAGGTGGGAGGTGGGCAAGTAGTATATAGCATATGCATGTCCTTCACTCCAAATGATGCAGAATCTTACATTGTGTCCTTGCACTTCTGACTGTAATTATTCAGATCAGTCGTGTTTTAGTACTACGATGTCTTCTGCGTTCAGTCAAGCCACACATCACACTCACTGCCTCACCCCAATCCTCACCCTAAAATCAACGGGCTTCACAAACCACATATTCTGCGTCTTCCACCTCCCTTCCCGCTCCTCAAGTTCAAACTTAAACCCATTCACAATTTGCGGTATCAGCTTGCTCATCTCAAGATGCCCAATATGTCGTCCGATACAAGTCCTCGAACCCAGCCCGAACGGTAGGTAATGCGCTTCCATAATTTTCAACCGCTCCACATCCGCCTCTATCCACCTCTCGGGCCGGAAGACTGAGGCGTCAGAACCCCAAATGTCGGCGTCATAATGCGCGACCCACGTATTGAGGCCGACTTCTGCACCGGCGGGGAAGAAGTGGTTGGATATGGTAGCGCCTCCTTCGTTCACGACTCTCCACAGCGGCAGACCGGTGCCGGGGTGTAGGCGGAGACCTTCTTTGATGCAGGCTTGCAGGTACGGCATCTCCTGGCTGGCTTTGAAGGAGATGCGGTCGGGCGTGCACTTGCCTTCTGCAATGCACTGTGCAGTCTCCTCGCGCAATTTCTGCATCGCATGCGGTGTGCGAATGAGGTGGTACAGCACGCTGCTCAGACTGAGGGCCGTAGTGTCGCTTCCGGCAACGATATTGCTCATTGTCAGCGCGAAAACGTGGTAGTCCGAGATGTTGTCCTTCACCGCCTGCATGTCTAGCATCTTGTCCACGAAATCTTCTGGCTCGCCCTCCTTGCGTGCCTCTCTCTTGCCTGCGGCTCGCTCAGCCCACCGCTGAGCAAGCGCCCCCTGAGCGAACCGCATCAGATACGCTCTTCCCGCGGCGCCTGATGACGGGAACTTTTCTAGGATGGGGTACAGCCAGGGATGCAAGAAGGAATATACGCCCACCAGCGTCGAGTACACCATACTCCTGTCCAACGCCCCCATTGTATCTCCCAAGTCCCTCCCCTCATCCAAGAACCCGAAACGCTGGCCATACGTGATAGCACCAATGACATCGAACGCGTAGCACTGGAACCAATGTCCCATATCCACTGCCTCTCCACCTGCAAGTTCGCCTAATCGTCGGGCAAAGATGTCCGCACAGTCATCAACGTACGCTTCGTAGGAGAGTAAAGCGCTCATGGCGTACAGCCCCGCATATACACGGCGCGATTCGGAATGCCGCTTGATATTCCTGTCCGTGAATACCGTCCAGCGCTCCGGGCTTGGGTGCTTCCAGCCCTCGTACCAGGAGGACTTTGGCATCTTGCTCGATATGCCGTAAACAATCTTTTCGGGCGTCTTAAGGGAGTACATGTTGGGTCCGAGGCGAACTACGGGAGCGAAGTATTCGCCGGGTTTCGCATACTTACGATGCAGAGCGATAGCATCTTGCTCGTGCGTACCCTTGTAGATGTTGAATAAGTACCACAGCTTTGTAAAGCGGGCGAGGAAGGGGCCGGGGATGGAGCGGTTCGGAGAGAGAAATGCGGAGACGAGGACATAAAGAACCCGCAGGAGAGCTGCTGCGAGCGCGGCGTGAATAAAACACATTTTCCTACTCTTCTAATGATTTACGGAATGGACTGAGCAACAGTGCGCTTGCAGAATGTTATAAATGCATGGGATATGTGCGGAGATAGCGCGCATCCTCATGCTAAATGACGAAGTGTTATAGGTACCCCGCTCGGCCGAGGTGTAGTGCAGCCACAGCGGAAGCCGCAAAGAGTAAAGAGCGCAAGGTTCTAGTGTATGTTAGTTCATTCTCCACAAACCGAGAGTACTGCCGAGAGATGAGTGATGCAGCTCGACTCCACATCCCGCATGCATCCCGCATGCAGGTTCGTGTTAGCTGCAGCTCGTGAAAGCTTTGGTCCGACCACGAGAACACAAGCCATCTTGATGATTTACCTGCATGTACAATAAGTATACAATCATAAATTTGGTTACATGATATTTAGGTCAGAGGTTGCGGAGGGATCGCGCGTCGTGGAGGTGGAAGCTCCCCCTGCCGTCACCGATCGGCGGCGCAAGCATGATCGGCTCGTATGAGGAGAAAGGTTTGGAAGATGTATATGGGGAATAGACGTAAGGTGGGCGATGCAGAGATTAATTGCGCTCGTAATGCCATTAAGTTGCTCCATCGGATACTATAATTCCATCCTAGGTACCACTATTTTAAGAAAATAACTAACTTCAAGGCTATTCCCACGAACTTTACCTAACAGCACGTGATGAAAAGTGCCTAAAGTGAACGTGGAAAGCTGTAGGCTTTGAAAGACCGAGAGGCTCGTTCCTAGGCCGAAAAGGCTCGCCTTCGCGTTGAGAACGACCGGCTTGATTGAGCCAATTCGGCCCTTATCGCACCGTGCGAAGCGCCGACTTGGGAAGTTCAAAAGCTCATGACACCCACCAACAAACTTGGAGCAGAGTAGGGGACTAAGCTGACCTGGCGTTAAGCACGCCGCCTGGCTGCAAAGGAGGCAAAGTCTTACAGGAATTTTGAGAAGTACGAGAACTAAGACGAGATATTAACGCAATATTGCGAGAAGCTTGCTGTCGAGCACTGCAAATATAGGGTCGACAAGGTAGCATTATTAGCATCTAAGAAGCCTTAGATATTCTGTGTGTGCCCCCCACAAAGTATGCGACTTGTTGCTGTCTTTTTCCTTTGGCCTAAGGAGAACATGACGAAAATCCTGAGGAAGTCGAGTACGAACACATATTTCCGTACTAGTGATGGATGTAACTATTTCGTTGTGTTGTTGGAATCAGCCTTTTTCCGTGCGGTTATAACGTTACCAATAATTTCCCGCCGTCACCGTAAATCTGCATTGGTTTTATCGAAGGCTGTCACATCTAGCCTCCACTTGGAATGCCGGCCGACCCCGTCTCTATGAGTCGCATAAAATTTTGAAGTTATATGATGATAGCTCTGCATTATTAGTACTGAAACGGACTTTTACTAGCGCAGAGATAGTATGCTAACATTAGCCTAAGCATGAGTATTGATAGTAACATTACACTGTTGAGAGTAGTGGTGCTCCGTTTTACATGCTTCTTAGTCTTCTTGACTATTACACGCGTATAGCTTTCTTTCTCGAACCCTGCCTTTCAGGCAGAAAGCTTAATGAAAAATTATCGAGCATCCAGAGACACTGATCAAGATTCGTCATCCGGAGAGACTTATCCTGTCGTATGTAATGGCGGGCATACGATCCCTAGCAGTCGACATCATACTGTTGCGTGCTGGAAACGACGTGTTTCCAGGTCTCGGAACCCTGATGCAGGCAAACAGCAGCGTCTAAAATAGGTAATAGTAAGTAGGGCTGATAATAGCCTTGACAATGGCTCTTTATAGCTGTTTGTCCTAACGGCACCTGATAACTGTAAAGTTATCAAGTGGAAAGAAACGTTCTTGCAATCTACCTGAACTAAAGGAACAACAATGTAGTGAAGCCGCATTCAATCTGCTCCTGCAGCACAGTAACGTCTCCCGGCGAAAGTCCGGGAAGGGTTGCTAAACCGTTTGTGAGACACCACTGATCGCGTGAAGTAGGCCGAGTAGTCATGACTGGAGATTCCTTTAGTCCAAGATCCGCAGGCTTACTTCTCCCGGTTCCAAGTGTTACCAGTCGCTGGACGCCATTCCCAGTAACTGGTTTAGTTTAATCTAGTGCTTGGAAGAATATTCAAAATGCGCTGATGTACCGACGTTACGGTGTTCTTCTTGGAAAAGCGGGCGATGTACATATCGTTCGGTACGAACCATCAATCAAGTCTAAAGCAATCACGCATGCAGCACGATAAGACGCAGAAACACAAATGAGTGAAAGCGTACAGGCTAAGGATGATTGGTCCCTCACACGTCGTTTCCGAGCTCACATTAACAGCTTTGGAAACCCGGAAACCCGTCCCTAGCAATCTTACATCTCCCTTGGTGTACGTGGCTCCAACGCTAATCATCCCATCAACATCGCAGGGCAGCCACCTAGAATTCTGCTTTCCGTACCACCAACGATGAAGCCAATGATGCCCTCTTCAGCTCCCTTCTCTGCCAGAACCGCGGGGCTCGTAGAATCCGACTCTACTTTCATCATTTCTACCTTCGATGCAGCACTCCCGTATCTCCAATCTATCGGAGGCGAAGCGCAATTCGGTTTTATATCCTTCTCACAGCGACCTGGTTGAACCGATGACACATTGGTCCAGATCCGAGAAGCAACACATAGTCATCCTACAGAAGCTACCGATGGCTTGCACAGCTTAAATTCGAAAGAGAAGTAGAGGATGATGCATCTGCATCACCGTGTTTCTGAGGCTAGTCAGTGTCTTGTATCCATGCCCTTTGCGTTCAACCGCGAGAACTGGATACCTTCGTACCTCGCACCTGATATATTCCCGCATGTGGATGATGTTGACCTAGACGACATCGTATATATCGAAGTCATGATCACGGATAGTCGCGCCAAAGACTTGAGTCGCGAAGCTGGTGGACCTTTGATTGACAGTTTGCGATGTCACGGTAGGAGCAAAGGCAGAAAAGTATTGTATCTGGATGGCTGGGCTGGAAATGGAGGCCCGCTGATCAGATTCGTATTTTTTATTACTTGCAAACGAAAAACGCAATGCTGATGGATCGCTGGATTCAGGTACTACGAGCAGGTGGGTTTCCAGAACATGGGCGAGTTCACTCTGCCGCGATCTAACAAAGAGCCGTGGCTGGGTGCCCTTTTGCAAACGGATATCCAGGAAAGCTCCCGTACGTCTGCTATTGTGTGTCGTGCAGACGACTTTTGATTCGGTGTTCGAATATTTCAGTTCGTATTTCTAGATTTCTCGACCCACCCGTTCTCTGCGAGATACCAATCCACCCGTCTCCTTGATACTTCCCTTGGAGTACTGCCTCGGCGATGGTTGATGGAGCCGCGTAGACGAAAGCGTGCTTTTCTGGTAAATGCTTCGCCAGTGACAGCAGCACCCTGATGCTAATCATAGACACGTGGTGGTCCTCGTGTGTAAATAACCCCTAATTACAAATGGGGACGCAGCGCGCACGATGACTGAGTCTGCTTTGCTGGGGCAATGTTTGAGTCCTGGAGACGTCGGCGATGTCGCGAGAGTGGCACGTAACGCTAGCGACATAATTCTTGCTGCGAGTTGTAGAACGACTTAGAACGGAGACTTAGGGGTACGACTCTGAGCATACGAGATAGCAGACGACGTGGTAGCTGACAAAGCCACAGCCACCTATGAACATAATTGACCAACGATGCAGCCATGTTACCCATAGGACGCGGCCGCCTGCTTGAATAGGAAAGGATGCCCTACAAGAGCCCTTCAGAAGATTGTGGATCTTAGGACAAAGTCATCCCGTATATATGTTCTCGAAGTTGACTGTGCCACATTCAGCACCAGGTTTCACCGAACAATTTGAGCAAGAATCACCATAGCACCACCTGGCAGCTTCCCTCTTGTCACAAATTATCTTCAAAACCTCCAGAAGAATCTCAATGAGTATTACAACGCCCAAGAAAGAAAGAAAATTCCAATCGCGATCTCAAAGAACTTGTACTGCTGGACACTGTGCTGCGTCTGTTCAAGATGGTTCGAGCGATTTGCGTGGTATAGGATCTGATGCGTTGGATAAGTATAGATCTCAATATTTGGCTTTGAATACAAGATACGCGTCTACTTGCTCACGCGTTCGGAGCTCAATCATGCTACACAACAAGAACCGTCCCCTTCCCCGCTGAAACGAAGAATTGCCACCAAAAGCCAGAATCTATATGTATTTCTTGTCTTGCGTCTGTTTACGGATTGAATTGAACGTAATTACCTATCGTAGTATTAGCTCGTGATCCCCTTTCTGCAATGATATGTATGCATACCTGGAAACTGTCCCTGCTTGCCTCGGACTTTGCCAATCCACCACTCATTTGCATTCTCCGTCCACGTAATAAGCTCGATAACATCGCCTGTGATAAATGAAAGGTCGCCCTCGGCCTGCGCCTCATAGTCGTAGAGCGCAGTGCAGGTCCTCGCGGCCGGCACGCCGCTGAGCCTCGATGGTTTGGGTTTCGGTGGGGGTGGTGCTGCGCCCTTGGATTTAGCGGCCGATCCCCAACTTGTTGCGGATCCCGGCGGACTTGCGATCGCGCCGGCTCCTGGCGTAGGACTATAGGGTGGAGGCGGCGTGTCCGTTCCGTCTGAGATCGTGGATCTTCGTTCTGATTTGGCTTCCAGCGCTTTCGAAGCATACTTTGACCCCTGGCCCGGTTTGCGGCCGCCGGTCGTCTTGAATTTGACCATGGAAATCGCTTCTGCTTGCGCTTGTACGTCACCGCGCTTCTTCTCGTATGCGGCTTCGATGTCGAGAGTGAGGTCGAAATAGCCGATGTCGATATTTTGCATGCGCTCGTGGAGGGTGTAGAATACGTTGAGCTGCATGTAATAGAAAGACTGGAAAAGTGGTTGAATGAATTCCCGTTCCAGTTTGAAAAGCTTTGGTAGCTCGTCCTTCAAAAGATCGTTGAAGTAGTTGTAATCCTGCGTAGCTTGCTCGACGTCCGCCTCGGCACGGTACATTGCCTTCTCGTCCTTGAGTGTCTTGTCCTTCTTTTCTTCGAGCTTCTTGAGCGCCGCTCGGTGGCGGTCGTAGTCGAGCTGTTTGTGATCGCGCTTCAAAGCCACTTTCCGTACTGCCTTGATAATCTCTAATAATTGGTCCGCAGGCTTGATGACGCGCGTTTCGATCATTTCCAGCTCCGGTTTCAGCGTTTCCTGCAGTTCCCCAACAATGCCCTCGTATTCTTCACATGCTTGGATGCCTGCCTGGTTTCCTTCATCGTGAAACGAGTCGGGGTCGGACATACGCCCCGATATGGGCTTATATATTTCGGCGATGGCTTTGGAGAACTCGATCTGGTGGGTGAGCATGCCTATGCGACGTTAAGCCATGCTAGCGGTAAGTGAGATGCGAGCATACGAACCATTTATGGCTTGGAAGTACCTGCAAAGACGTTAGCACACCCACGGAAATCGAGCACAGATAGCGCACTTCTTAGATTCTTCATGAAGCTTTTTGGTCTCCTTCTCCAGCTCCTCAAAACGTCGCTCGGCATCTAAGTAGACAGCGTCCTTTGTGATCTCGCCCTGCAAGTGGCCTTGGTTAGCTTGGTGCCCCGCGATCTCGGAAGCCGGCGCAAAAGCTTGAAACCCGCGCGGAATGGTCGACAGGAGGACGCACGATATTGAAGCGTTGCTTGAACGTCTGCGGCGCCTACGCAGAACTGTCAGCCATCTTGGGCGCGCATCATGGTCGCGGAGCCAGCGCCTACCCGAGTGACGCTCTTAGTGAGACCCTTCCAGCTCATTGGTCTCGACTTTGGTGGTTCTGCTGAGAATAAATGTGCGGATGCGCGAGTTCGGGATGCAGAGGTGTGGTTGCAGGGAGCAGGGAGGCAGTAGCAAAGCGGGACACAGTGTATGGGGCAGCAGAGGCGTTTACGGACGTGGCCCGGGCCCTCTTTGAAGGTCTTCTTGCTGCTTCGGCAGTGACGTACGCTCCGGGCTGTGAGTGGCTGTGCTGTGTGGCACGCGCTAGTGCTGGCTTTGACTTTCTGGGAGAATGCGCACGGCGCCAATGCGGATACACGGAATGCGCGACGAGGACCGTCTGGCTGCCTTCACAGCGCGCCGCGCAGACAGTGCAAGAGCTCAGCATTGTGTGCAGCTGGGCCGACGCTTCCGAGCGCCGTCCGGGCCCGCACCAGTCGGCGAGGCGCTCACGGTGGTGCAGAGGTCGGCGTTATCGGTGCAGCCGCGGCTCGTCGCTTTCGCTTAGTCAATGGCAGCTGCCCGTCGAGGAGAACAAAAGCTTGTGCGGCGACCCCGTCTGATCTGTCGAGTGTCGCCCCATCATCCATCCAAATGTCGCACATCGCTCCCTCCGCTGCGAGGCAGGCCCTCCGCATTGCTTCCCGCCGCTATCCCTCTTCCACCTTCCCCCGCTTCTCTGCCCGCGCTGCCACCGCCAACGCCATCGGGCGGCGAACCTATGTATCCGAGACGAAGCCGTCAAATGCCACCGTCAATGTCGACACGGCCATCAAGGCCGACCAGAAGGCCTTCCTGAACCAGACAGGCCAGAGCCCAGAGGATGCCACCATGCCCACCACCGGCATGAGCGCGGATGCCATGATGAGTCCCGCAGCAGGTAGCTTCTTCCCCGCCAGCTGCTGTATGTGACGTATACTAATTCGCTGTAGGAATTCTGAAGCAGGCCACCATCATGGACGAGGGATCCAGACCCATCTACCTTGACGCTCAGGCTACTACGCCCATGGACCCGCGCGTGCTCGATGCTATGCTGCCGTTCATGACCGGTTTATATGGCAACCCACATTCGCGCACCCACGCCTACGGCTGGGAAACCGACAAAGCCGTTGAGCAAGCCCGCGAGCACATCGCCAACCTCATCGGCGCAGATTCCAAGGAGATCATCTTTACGAGCGGCGCCACCGAAAGCAACAACATGTCCATCAAGGGTGTAGCACGCTTCTTTAAGCGCGGAGGAAAGAAGAACCATATCATTACCTGCCAGACCGAACACAAGTGTGTATTGGACAGCTGCCGACACTTGCAAGATGAGGGCTACCAGATTACGTACCTCCCGGTACAGAGCAATGGTCTCATCGACATGGCTCAACTCGAAGCGGCGATACGGCCCGAGACCGCACTGGTCAGCATCATGACTGTCAACAACGAGATTGGTGTTGTCCAGCCTGTAGAAGAGATCGGAAGGCTGTGCCGCTCCAAGAAGGTTTACTTCCACACCGATGCTGCCCAGGCCGTTGGCAAGATTCCGCTCGACGTCAATAAGATGAACGTAGACCTCATGTCGATATCCGGCCACAAACTGTACGGTCCCAAGGGAATTGGCGCATGCTATGTCCGACGGCGACCGAGGGTCCGCCTTGACCCCATCATCAGCGGTGGTGGTCAGGAGCGTGGTCTGCGTAGTGGTACTCTGGCACCCTTTTTGAGTGTCGGCATCGGCGAGGCCGCGCGCCTTGCCAAACAAGAAATGGAGGTATGTAATAGCCGTTTGTCCGCTTTGTTTCGCGTTTGTGTTCCGATGATTATTAGCACTATACATGCATGGCTTTCAGAAGTTGGGTGACACCGACACGCCATGTTGACACATGTGCAGGGGTTATGAGTTTTGATCATTACCTGCGTTCTTTCCAACATTAAAGTTCTTGGCCTGGTAGCTGACCACACATAGTATGATTCCAAGCGCATCACCGCCCTTTCCAATCGCCTCCTTGAAGGTTTACTTGCTTTGGAGCACACCACCCTCAACGGTGATCGCGAACGGCACTATCCAGGATGCGTGAATGTTTCATTTGCCTACGTCGAGGGCGAATCGCTCTTGATGGCCCTCAAGGATATCGCCCTCTCATCTGGCAGCGCCTGCACGTCCGCCTCCCTCGAACCCAGCTACGTCCTCCGAGCACTTGGCAGCAGCGACGAAAGCGCACACAGCAGTATTCGATTTGGTATCGGGCGATTCACTACCGAAGCAGAGATTGACTACGTGCTTAATGCAGTGAGGGAACGCGTAACGTTCCTCCGAGAGCTCAGCCCGCTTTGGGAGTTGGTGCAAGAAGGTGTTGACCTCAACACGATCGAGTGGAGTCAACATTAAGATCGATGCGAGATATACCCGGCAAACTGTACAACATAGGAGATGTTCATGGCTTGGTGCATAATTCAGGCTACCACGCTCGCTGCGGCGTTTACGACGACAACGACTAGCATTCGCTGTACTATACTATCTGGCTCTGCTTTAGGACTGCATTGAGCGATTAAAACCTATAATTCATTCGAAGTACAATCTGGCTGCTTGCACCTGTGAACCGTGTTTTGGTCACCCGCGTTGTACTAGAACATTATCTAGACCGTGTTTCTTCCAAATCAATGCGAATGAGACTTTCCAAATCAAAAAGTACGAACCTTACAAAATCGTCGCGCTTGACTTGCGGTGCCAAGGTGCCATATTGATGATACGGTTCTGCTGAACACCCATCCTGGTCGTAGCTCCCCCGCCGTACACTCGAACCTCATCACAGCATGGCCGGAGTGCCAGAGAAGGTGCTCAACTGGCTATACAGCGTTCTGCCCAGCGTAACGAGCCCATGCAAGCTTTATGTCCACCTGCTGACGCACACCTCGCAGGAATATGCAGACGTGAATCGCACGTACCACGACGTCGCGGAGACGCTCTCCAACTACCCATCGCTGTCCCCACGCACCGAGGTCTACAGTATGCGCCCAGCTCCCCTGCACCGCACCTACCCCCGCAAATTCCAGACGTATATTGACCGTATTAGCGTACGAAAATGGAGCTCCCGCGCTGCTTTTGCAGCTCAGCGGAACACTGCCCGTGCTGTTTCGCGGCCAGACGTTCGGCTTTCCGATCGCAATATGGGTGCCGCACGCCTACCCTCGAGAACCGCCGATAGTATATGTGACGCCGTCGCAGAATATGCTCGTTAGGCCTGGGCAGCATGTCAGCGGCGATGGCAGGGTATACCATCCATATCTTGCGCAGTGGGGGAAGTACTGGGATGTGAGTACATCGTGGGCCGCTGCGCTTGCGTTTACACGGCAGGCTGTAGGACAATCAGAAGCTGATACGTAATCAGAAAAGTACTCTATACGACTTCCTAGCGGTATTGAAGGGCGTATTCGCAAAAGAACCGCCTGTTCGCTCGAAAGTACAGCAGCCGCATTATAACGCCCCTGCTGCGCAGGCTCCTCCGCCTGTACCTCCTCCGCCAGCAGACTGGAGGAGATCAGTACAGGGCGCTTCACCTTCGCCAGGGCCTTCATCAAGCGCTCCAGCACCTCCACCGAAACCACCCAAGCCGTATGAGCAAGGCAGGCCGACCCCTCAACCACAGTCACAGCATGATCGATACTCGCAGCCACCGCCGCTACCTCCGCATCCTTCGCAGCAAGCACCACAACACCAGAGTCAACATAAGCAGCCACCAAGTAATAATTATGCTGGCGAGCCTAGCTGGCAGCAATCGGGACCGGTCCATTATGCAGCGCGACAAACGAGCTATGATATGAGCCCAGCAACACCAGTGGCGAAGCCACATCGTCCACACGTGCAATCGCAAAACTATCCTCCGCAATCCTATGAAATAGGGAGTCCAGTGAGTCCCATGACCCCAGAAGATCAGCGATCAGCGAGTAGACCATATCAGCATCAAGCGCCGCAACAGCCCCAATCTTCCAGTTACTCACGGTCGCAGCAATACCAACAGCGTCCACTACAACAAGGACAACAGTATGGAGCTCCACCAGTCCAACCGCCATACCAGCAAGGTCCTCCTCAGCACTATCCGCCCCAGCAATATCCGCAATACCAACAGCCACCACCACCACCACCTCAACCTCCAGCACCCCCGCCAAATCTAATGGACATAGACTCCCTAGAAGTCACTCTTCCGTCGCAGAAAGGACCCCAACAGCCTCTCCACGTACCACCTGTACCTCCCAACCCAGAAAAAGACGCCCTCCTCCACGCACTCTCCTCAAGTCTTACCGCGCAGATTCGGCAAACCGTCTCCCAGAACAATGCCGCTATCACGCCTCTGCAAGCGCAACAAGCCGCCCTCCAAAACGCTTATACGCGCCTGCAGTCCGAGCTTGACCAGCTACAGCAACTTGATGCCACGCTCGCCTCCAACGAGCAGATCCTACGCGATGCCATGCGGGAAGCGGACAGGGTGATGGAGGATGCGCGGAGGAGAAAGGCTCCTGATGTCGACGACGTGCTTGTTGCGCCGACGATGGTGGGCGGGCAGCTATACGCGGTAGCGGCGGAGGAAAGGGGAATAAGCGAGGCTCTGTTTGTGCTTGGGCGGGCGTTGGATAGAGGTAGAGTGGGGGCGGATGTTTTTGTCAAGGTATGTGAATCCCTTTCGATTCTACGGTGTGAGAAGAAGCTAACGACCATGGCACAGCAAACCCGAGCTCTGGCGCGGGAGCAATTTCTAAAAAAGGCGCTGGGGAAGAAGATCGCAAGGGGAATAGGGCTCGATGAGTATGGGATGCGGTAGTCTTCTCCGAGCTATTATCGCTCGGTCCTGTGTATATATAAGCATGCTACTCCATCAATGCTACATACTACGTTGGCGTCCACTAGCATCTCCCATCACCTCATTACGCAGCGACCTGTGTCTCTGCCTATCGCTCCTCTTGCACTCCGTCGATCCAGATGTCAACCTTCTCATTGTAAAAGCACATATGCCCCACAATCGCCGCACTTTCCGCTGTCGGATACTGATAGTACCACACCAGGTCCTTGTACTCTTTCCCCTTGACTGTAACGTTGTAGTAGTTTGCGCGCCCTTTGTAAGGACAGTATGTGATCTGCAAGGCGTACAAGTCAGTGTGAGTCAAGGCAGTGGATCTTGGGAAGAGGTAGGAGTTTGCAGTAGCCCGAAAGATACAGAGAAGAGATGGGTCTGTACCGTGTCGCTCTTGCTTAAAACTTCCCAGTTGACGGAGGTCGGTGGGAGGTAGTACCGCGTACGGAGGGTTGTTTCGAGCAGGAAGAGGGGATTGCTGCTCTCCGCCAGCTTGACGCCGTCCTATCAATCGTTAGTTGGGGTGGTTGGACGGTAGTTACAGAGTCCCGATGCGCATAAACTACCAAACCACCATCTCATTTGATCACATGCAATTCTGGGTAATGGTCTTGCAGAGAAGGCCAATGGAACTAATCCGCAGCACGAAGACACCGATGAAGCGCAGAAATCTGTGGCTTCCACAGCTGGTTATGTACTTACCAGCTCCACTTTCACATTTCTCGTCGAGTTCAAGATATCAACCCTCTTATACGGGTCCTTGGGATGCTGGTATATTGGAACATCTTCTTCAAACCATTGGTCCAGCACAGGAAATTCGACCTTTACGAGGTCTTTCAGCTCTTTGGTGTTGAAGATCAGGACGCGGTCGGTGCTCTTCTTGGTGTCTGTGGTCTTGTTGGTCACAGAGAGAGTGCCAAAGTGAACTTTGTCGCCTGTGCCAGACACGGAACCGTTCTTGGTAAGATTCGCGGACGGGGTTATGGCAGATATGGGGACGTAGAATCTGGGATTGCATTAGGTAATTAGGTAGAGTGGGGTGGTAGGGATGGTGGATAGGGCTTGTGATGTCTCGGATCTTACACCAGATCCTTAGACTCAGAGGGGAACGCAATGACATGGCGATTTAGCAAAGGAGTGAAGGGATCGTACTGTGGATAATACGGATGCTCCCACACGTGATACGCGTTTGTCGTATCAAGTACATATTCACCGCAAAACAATGCGCGCACTCTGCGTGGTGTCGCCTCCACCTTATGAGGGCCTTCAGAAGCGAGTTGTTGCGCGAGTTTCGTCAAACTATCATTTATTACCTTGATCCATTGACCAAACTCACTCATGTAGGACTTACTCGGATGCACCGGCCATGGTAAGAACTCGTCGAATTGGGGATCTGAGGGCTTATCAGATGGACACACAAAAGAGGACGGAGTTGAAGAGATTGTGTATATGCAGTGATGAGGGGACAGTAGGATGGATGATGCATTTGTCATAGCATTGAGCGCTAGGCTGGGAAAGGGATAAGCGGGGACCTCAAAAGCAACGTCGGTGTAGGATGCGTGGAGAGACAAGCAAACATCAGTAATCACGGTGTGTGCAACGGAAGCTGAATCATCCTATTATGGAGGTGAGGGTGAGGAGAGAGGGATGGGAAGGCGGAGAATGCTGGGTTGAGGAAGGGTCACGAAGTACTTGCTTGTTGCAAAGAAAGCAATATTGGCTGCGACCTTTTGTACTTAGTGAGTACTTTGGAGCGTAGAAAATGTCTATTAATTTTGGAATGCAGCTCATCGATAGTAGGCTGCACGTGTCACCCGGATACTGAGTTACTAGGGAAATTGTGTATTGATACCTTTGCACAACACCGACAGCACCCACGATATTATATAACCAATGCCTACGACATATATATCCGCATGCCCCGGAGCCGATATCTTCTTCGAGAGTCCACGTGCCCCAGTCTGCTCAATGAAAGGGTGGGGGTATGATGAAGACCTAGCTCTTTACACAGACGTTGAACAGCCGCGAACGGAGGTTTGTGATACCAGGTATTGTCCGTATCATCCGCAAAAGTATCCTAGGTCTTCTTAGACGATATCCTTGAGTTCAAGCATGCCGAAAGCATTAACGCTAGAATCATCGAGGTCCGTAGCACGTCTAGACAACTACGTAGTCTAGACGGAGTGAGGAGTCATCGAGCTTCTCGTATCCTCTTCTGGGCGCTACCGCCCTCCAGCCAAAACGACGTCTGTCCAAGCCGAAGCTTGTTGTGACAAACGATTAGCGCTTGGTCAGGATCTGCAAATTTGACGATGAACGTCAGTCTCGTCGCTTGTTGTGCGTTGCGCAAATGCTCAAAGGCATATGACGCACAGCGAACGACCTGTGTGCAGGAAGAGCTAGAGAAGGAAGCTGGGTCACCGAACTTCTGTCCGGCTATCAACAACGCTCCGTTTTTTCTGCGTCCAGTTGCGACTGCAAAGGTCGAACCCTCGCTTCTCCTTGCGGAAGAGGGTGCGGTGTGTCCCGTGAAGGTCCACGCCTTGATGCTGAAGAAAAAAAAGATTGAAACACAAAAACCCGATTTAGAATGTCGGGTTGGCGTGAAGTCCGCGTGGAGAGATTGAAGCCCTGGAGAATAGATACAAGCGCCAAGACACTAAATTGAGTGCACGGCCGTCCATTCCTGTTTGGTGGAGGTGGAGGTGCAAGTGCAAGTGCCCTGTGCTTGGAAAAGTGGAAGGCGGGCAGCTTAGCGCCTTGGCAAACATCACGCGCCCGTATAAAGACGCCCACTCCTGCTTCCCATAACCTTTCCTCTCTGTCGAGCTTGTTCACTTTTTCACGAAGGCATAAACTCACCACCTCACAATAGAGTGCAGAATTGACTGCCAAGTCCGATTTGCCTAACAGCTAAACTCATTAGGAGCGTTGTTGCTAGCTTAGCCCGCCGATTGGGTGAGCATAGAAACTTCCTTCTCTAACTGCTCGCGTAGTCAGATCGTCGGTGTACCGCCATTGCCTTGAAGCAATCGCATCACGTACGCAAAACGACGAGATCATACGCTGCGTCGTCACATTGGTCCATCACGAACGGCATTTATCTGTCACAATCACAAGCACCCGCTAGACGGGAAAAACTGCAAGTCGGTAGCTTGGACAGATGCTCTTTGGTTGGATGAGCAGGTTACGAGAAGCTCGTAGACTCCCACTCCGTCTGGGCTCTCCTCTGGAATGCCCAGACGTGCCATGGATTCTTGGAAGTTCTAGCATTAATGCCGTGGCATGCTAGGACCCAAGGATATCATTGACAAAGACCGCTGTCTTTCAAGCCTAGAATGTGAACAAACACTGGTAGTCTATACCTCCGTTCGCCATCTTTGCAAGAAAATGTCAAGTCTTTGCACCCTCATTTTTCATCAAGTATGTCGCAGCATGCGAATGCTCGAGGAAGAAGCGTGAAGTGGATACTGTCATCTTGGACGCATTGTGTGGCTGCTCGAGAATCCTTTGTCGAGGTGTTTTGGTAGTAATGGTCGTTTCGCTAAGGAATAAGATAAAAATCTATTTGGTAAAGAAGAGGGACCAGTAGGGCGCGTTGGAATCGGTGTAGCCGGGCCTTGAGGCATATTTATTGGCCGTACAGCACCGTAGTGCAAAGGGTGATATAAGGCACAACCATCGATTACTAAGCGTCGTGGACATTGTCCGCAAATTGCTTCATGAAGCAGATATGAGTTCCCAGCAGATTGGCTAGAACTACTGCGAATATCATACAGCAGTACAAGGTCGAGTTGAGCACTTATGTGACTACGTGATTTTTATTTACCAACGCCTGGTCAGGTCCAGCACCATCTATAATACAAGTTGCAATCGTACCTATTACCAGAACGCACAGAGATGCCTTAGAGGTCTCGTAAAAGGCCCCGAAAACCTTGTTAACGACACTAAAGCCTTGAAAGGCAAAATCACTACGATCGATACACGTTATCAAGTCTCTCGAATGTGACTATGGTGCGATTCGCTTCAAGTGGCATAGCTTGCGTTGTAAAGAGTTGCTCTGGAACACTGTTTGAAAACCATGCACCGACAAGATCGGGATTGTCGTGAAAAACGGTTCCACCAAAAATTTCGGCAACGTGCCTTCACCAGTTCGATCTAGGACGGAATCGGACCCTAGATAGAGACATCACCGCCCATGCCTCCGCGATCCTTGCGATGGTTGTTTTGCTTCGCGAAAGAAGAGCCAGGCATGCCGGAAACTTTCAGCTTCTTGGACTGGCTGCCCTTGAACGCGGGATTCTTCTCCTTGTCCTGGAACTTGCGCTTGGTGCCAGTCTCTTCTCGGACAGGCAGGACACCAGCGGTGCCGGGAGTGGCGAAAGGCCCCGATGTAAAGCTCTGGGTTGAGGGCTGACTGTCAGAAGACAAGACGCCTTGATAGGCTTGCGGGTGAAACGGGCCGCGAAGATGACCAGACTGGCCTACACAGTGAGGAGAATCCTGGTTGGCGGCTTGATCGCGAGACTCAAGGTCAGCGTGGCGGGAAGCTTGCATCTCCAATGGCTCATGATCTCCGACTTCAGTCTGCGCTTGGCCTTGGAATGTACCAGGAGTCTGGGTCTGACCTAGAGCACGGAGTTGAGCGTGGCGTGCGAAGTTCTGCTGAACTGCTTGTACCTCCATCTGTCGGAGCTGAGCGCGGCCACGGTCCTCAAGATGCTGCCTTTCGCGAGCACGTTGAAGACGGTGCTGTCGAGCACGTTCCTTGAGCGTGTCCATCTCGGCCGCAACCTCAGCCCGTTCCCTCCTCTCCGCCGGCGTCCGGTTGGAGTCGCCAAGCAAGGCAGCATGGGAATGATAGTCCACACCAGCATGGTAGGGTTCGCTGGGTTCACCCGATTCATCATCTTGCACCTCGCCGTGGTACATGTATCCGCTCTGGAACATGTTGGAGTCGTCCGCGACCTCGAGAGGCGTAACACCGGTGTCTTCGCCATAGCCTTCCAACACGACCGGGAGATGGTCACCATTGTCTTCCGCATGTTCATCATGGCGGCTGCTCAGGCCAGGCTGCTCCTCACGAGCATCGCATCCATAATATCGATCGTGCCGCCGGAAAAGTGAGGGTATGTCTCGAGGATCCTCACGATCTAAAAGCGAGCGGCTTGAATCCATCTCGATGTTAAGAAGGCCGTAGATTGCGTCGCCAATGCGACCACCATCTTGAAGCGAGGCCGAATCGACACGGAGAGACATGCGCGATGTCTTACCAGGTTGCTTGCGGGTAGTTGTCGAGCAATTGGCGGCGCTAGAGAGCGCAACCTTCTTCCGACCACCTGCGCTTTTCGGCTTCACACCGTCCATGGGCTTCAGCCTGTTGGCATCTTCGCCTGCGTCCACCATCTCCATATCTTCAGCCTGAGCTTTCGAAGCTCGCTCCTCTTGGGCAATCGTCTCTGATGAGATAAGGGGCTCGCCATCAGCCGGATCCTCGCAATTGTAATCCTTGATCAGCACGTCTTGAATTCGCTGGTCGTGGGGTGGTTCAACGTAACCGGTGTTCAATAGGCGAATCGGCGGTGGCAGCGGCATGTTGGGCGAGGTGGTAATGGAGCTCACCAGGTTGAGTATGTTCGCGTGTCTTGGGTGTGCGACCACGAAAATGGCTTCGGTACGGTACCTGGGTTCTGATAAGAGTACCGGTCGTGTGAGAGGCTTCCGGATCGAGGTTGAAGTGCGCCGAACTAATTGCGATCAGTGGATACGTATAAAAGAACGAAAGCGACGTGACTAGTAAGGAGATCTGAGCGGCATGCACAAATAGCGTCACTCTCGTGCGGTAACGAGTAGCTCTTACAGATGAATCAATTCGAGGCTGTCTCTGATTAGTTGATTTGCGGTAGAATATAGGTAAAAGGTGCAGGAAGAGTGGTGGAAGCTGGGCGGTATCGTATACAGCGGCAAAAATTGTGCACCGTCGATTGTGCTGGAGACACATACTTACTATTGGGTCAAGGCTGGAGTGGTGGTAGACAACGCGTTATGTGGCGGTTGCAGTGGGCGTGGGCAGTATGAGGGTGGGGGAAGCTTTTATAAATCGTGAGGTTCAGCGAGACCCAGCGTCAAATGTCAATCTCAAGAGAGACTGAGCTTGGCACGACGAGACGGTGTGGGCGTGGTCACGTAATTCAAGGTCTCACGCGCATGCGATATTTCACTTGACGCGCCTTCGTCCACGGCCGCTTTTCCCGCAATTCCACACCCTGAACTTCAACTTAAAACCACCAACCACCCATAGACCACGCCCTCGATCTCCAACACAGATCCATCGAGCCCACCAAACACACACAATGCCCCCGTCGTCTGCGTCGTCGTCCCCGAGCGTTCCCGCGAAGAAACGCAAGGCAGGTGTCTTCGATATGGAGCCGGACCACCGTGGGCATGCGAAGCGTCCGCGAACACCACTATCAAATTCAACAGCTCCGCAGTCTTCCGCGGACAAGAATGCCGACGAACACAAGATGCTCCTGATAGAATATAGCTCTTGGGAAGAGAAGCAGCAAGTTGAGCTGAAGCAACTTCGCTCAACAGTCGCCCTGCTCTCGAAAGAAATTGCTGACATGCGCGAGGAGCGTAGCGCAAAGAAAATTGAACTGCAAAATGCCCACCAGCATAACAAATCGCTTGAACTGGAGAAGGATAATCTGCACAAGAAGTGTGATAGCATTAGTCGCCGCGCAGATCGATGGGAAAGTGCCCACAACGATCTCAAGCCAAAGCTCCAAGAATCCGAGGCGCAGATCAACAAGCTTGTGAACGAGAAGCACCAGGCAATCGCCACAGTCTTGCAAGAGCAGAGCCGTAATATCGAGAAGAACAAGGAGGTCCGTAACCTCAATCGCGAGCTCAACGCCTTGGCCAAGAGCTACCAAGACCTTCACAAGTCATGAGCAAGCCATCGGTCGAAAGAAGGCCTCGCAGGAGAAGTCTAGCTACGACTTGCGCTCCAATGCGGACAAGGAGAAAGAACCACGAGTTGTGAAGTGTACTCAATGCTACACAAAGAAATGGCCCTGCGACGCTGGACATCCTTGCCAGGCATGCATCGCGAGGGGGGATACCAGGAGGTTGCAAGCGGGTCAAGTGCCAGTTCTGGACGAAGGACACTTGTCCGAAGCTTCGGTGTGGGCTGGCACATGAAGACGATGGCCTCCCTGTGGTCGTTGAGCATCGGAAACTGAAGCAGAAAGCCACGCCGATACCCGCTGAGGTGGCAGAGACCCTCAATACACCTGCCCTTCCTCTCCCTGCGTTGGCCGCAGCTGTCGTCGCACCGGTATCCGGACCTCCCACATTACAGGACATGTCTGCCAAAGCTTCCACTAAGAAGCACGGACGAGACGATGGCAATGCTACTCAGGGTAATGGAAGCACCAAGCGTGCAAAACTCAACACAGCAGCGCAGCATGCAAACCATAGCAACGAAAGCACCGCCGCCAGCATCGAGCGAAAAGATTCCAATATCACTCTAGACTCCAACGACAGGAAGGCGCGGCAAGCGCACACAGTCCAAGAGGAACAGCATTTCGATCCTATGGAACAGGATTCAGACCCGAACGACTGGGTAGGTCTGCATTTTGCGACTTTTACCAGCATTCCGGAGTTTAGGCACCAGTCGCTGGAAGAATATCGCTATCACGACTTTCAAAGGGGACATCGAATCCTTTATTATCCAGGTGGATACTGCGGGATACGTTGTCCAGGCGGATGCTGTGCCGTACATTGTCCGCACAGCCTCATGGACATATCTGGCTGGAGCGTCAAGTTTCCTGGAGGTCCTTTGGACGTTTGAGAAGCCGTTCGGATCGCAAGTCCAGTAGGAGGGCCAGATCTTCGAGTACCATCGGTCTATATTGTCTGTTCAACCCGGAAGCATGCTGGACACTCTTTCCAGCATCCCATGGCAATTTCATGCATCAGTAGAAGTCTATTCTGCGCAGCCTGTAAAGATGTGACAAGACATGCAGTGATCTGCATTTGATGGTGTGCCGTTGATAGGATGTGGTTGCAGGGTTCGGATTAACATTTCGCCATGGCGCCATTGTCTCCCGTCGTTTCCAGAACCGATCGGATGAAACCTGCCGTCGTGGCGCGTTCGTTGTTGCTCTCTTGGCAGGGGGAGACGTGTTAGCCGGCAGGCATGGCTCCACAAAGATATTGACGGGAGACGGGCACGGGGACGATGGGAGATGGAGGACGGCGCAGGTTTGCATCAGGCATCGCTTTTCGCTTTCGGGATGTCTGCGGATGTCTCCCCGACCACTTGGCACTACGGCACCTCGACAACCACGCCGGCAGCCTCGTGTCCTTGCTATGGAGGTTGTACGATATGCCGTGGCAATCCAAACATGATCCGTGGCCTAGTCCTACGTCGCACCCTCTGTGTACTCTTTTCGAGCTGTAAGGGCAGGCACACGACGTCTAGCCATTGGCTTCATACAGCGTCACCGGCCCAACACACCCACCCGTATCAAGGCTGCCATGTACTCAACGTAGCCAAGTCGACCGGCGCGTAGCTGTTTCCGTATCCAGCGTCTTGACTTTGCTGGCGCAGTCGAGAGGTCGCAAAGCGAGTCAGCAGAAATCGCCAGGCCGGCCGCACGTCGCTCTACGGCGAGCTGCGGTTCCACCAGCACTACATCCCTAATACTGTACACAATAACACAGGCTGCAGCTACAAGCGTGCCAATGAGCTGCTGGCCTCGTTCTCGCGATGCGTCTTTGCGCTCGCCAAGCGAGTCTCCGCCCAGGGGCATGGTCCGCTTGTGCACCATCGACGCCGCTAGCCTGATCGAGCCTTGTCGTAAATTGATCGCCCACACCATGTTTCTATCCACGCCCAGAATAGATGCGTTTCATGCACGCGATGAGCTTGGCTATATCGTATATGTACAGGGCAGCGTCGCCATGTACTTTGAGACTTTACGACTTTTCGTGCTTCGACCGTCGCCCTTTCTGTCAACTTCCTGGGCGGGAAAGTCTGCTCTTGGAAGCCGTTGACTTCCGTACATTCGCTTTTGCTTTAACCTAGTCTTTCGCTACAGCAGTCTTCACCATGCGCAGTTTTACCTTAATGGGCCTTGCGGCCGCCTTCGCGACCGAGGTTTCGGCGGCCTGCAGCTCGGCTCTCACCATCGATAACTTTTCCAAGTACTCGAGCAACACCAACAGCCTGGGCGAATGGACGAGCGACGACTCCAGCATGAAGGCTATCTCGGCTGCGAGCGGAGTCCTGTCCTTCACCCCCAAGGCTAACGCCTACTTTTACGAGACTTTCCAATGCCAGGCTGCGTCTGGAAACGGCTACAACTCTGTCCAGTTTACCATCAAGGGGCCAAAGGGAGGTTCGTTAAACCTGGAGCTGCAGAGCAAGACGTCATGCTCGGCTACGGCATACAAGTCTGCCTACACTTCCGTGACTGGCTTGACCGGTAACACGCAAACTATCACACTTCCTCTGAGCCAGTTCTCCGGCGCCAACGCCGACGCCATCAGCGGTCTCGTCTGGTATGGCTTCTCTTCCAACACGGCATGGCAGCTCAGCAATGTTCAATTTGGATGTGCGGGTACTTCAGCCTCCGCTTCCAAGGATGCCGTCTCTAGCACCGCTTCTGGCTCTCGCACCACTCTTCAGACGTCTACTCGTACGACTCTTACCACGTCCGCTCCTGCTTCTGCTTCTGGAACATGCTCTAACCTTCTCATCGACGACTGGGTGTCCCAGTCCCGATTAACTTTCCTCTACTATAATGCTATGCTGCAACCCTCCTCGGACGATGCTTCCATGACCTCACTGGTTGTCGGATCACCATCACCCAACCACGTTACCATCAACCCCAAGGATACCAGCTCCTACTTCTACTCCCAGTTCGACTGCGTCAATGCTAAGAACGTCTATGGTGGAATCTCTCTCAAGATCAAAGCTCCCAAGGGAACCAGCTTCTCCGTTGAGCTCGACTCCTCGGCCACCTGCGATCCCACTAAGGCTGTTCAGGTCACCGTGACCACTGCGGACCTCGGATGGACTTTCGACGGAACTGAGAAGCTTTACTCCATTCCTTTCAGCAAGTTCTCTGGCCTTGATACCAGCAAGCTTACCACCATTCTTTTCGGTGGCTTCACTCAGTCTGTTTCCTTCGGACCCATGGGCTTCTACTGCGGCAGCAGTGGTACAGAGGTGAAGATCACTACTACCAGCGCTGTTGCTGGCCCGTCATCCACCGTTGCTGCGCCCAGTGGCACAGCTGCTGCTCTTGTTATCGACAAGTTTGCCAATGCTAACAGCAACGCTCTTGGTTTCTGGCATGGTTACGACGAGGGTATGAAGGTCACTATGAGCGGGTCTAAGGCAACCATTGTCTCTAGCGACGCCGATTATTCCTTCTATACCCAACTCTCCGCTTCCTGCACGGACATGACCAAGTACGAGGGCTCTTACCTGCACATCGCATACTCTGGCAGCACCGCCTTCACAGTCGCCCTCCAGCAACACAACTCTAAGTGCGACGAATCTATTGCGCCATACCCCGAGACTTGGGACTCTCTCGAGGCATCTCGCTACGCCAAGGATGGGCACATCTACATGCCCATAAATCACTTCAACATCGAGCTCACTCGCGCTGTTGGTATCGCCATCAAGGGCTTCTACAAGTCTGACCAAGTTGTCCTTTCCACAATCGAGATTGTTCCGTCGGTTCCTTCGACCCACAGCATCCCCAACAAGCTCGAGTCTGGTGACCTTGTCTTCGCCTGTAAACGGCCCAACAGCTTTGCTTTCGCCATCGATGACGGCTCGCCTGAGTACGCTCAGCAGGTTCTGAAGATCGTCAAGGAGGAGAACATCAAGGTCACCTTCTTCACCGTCGGTGCTCCTCTTCTCGATGCTTCGACCAACCTGACTAACGTCTACCGTGAGATGGAGGCCTCCGGCCACCAGATTGCTCTGCATTCGTACACACACCCGAAGATGGAGGGTCTTCCCGACTATGCCGCTATCGACTGGGAGTACAAGGAGGACATCGACACCGTCGCTAAGCAGTTCAACGGCCTGCACACAAATTATTTCCGTCCTCCTTTCGGAACTGAGGGTGCCCGTATGCGCCAACGCCTTGCGCAGACTCTCGGCGCTAAGCCGACCGTCACCATGTGGAGCGTTGACGTCGAGGACTGGTTGTGGGCGGAAACCGACACCCCCGAGGAGCAGCTCAAGGCCTTCGAGCGCGATGTCAACAAGGGCGGCAACCTTGTCGTCATGCACTATTTGTACCCCAGCACTGTCGGCTACCTTCAGCAGTTTATTCAGATCGCTAAGAAGACTGGAAAGCAGCTCATGCGTGTTGACCAGTGTATGGAGGACCCCAACGCCCCGGCTTTGTAAAGTGTGGGATGGCTATCGATGGAGTTGAGCGGGGTGGGAAAAGTGATGTTCATATGATGAGGCGTGAGTGGTTGGTGTAGTTGCAACGGCATCCGTATGTAATTCTTAATGCGTCCAAAACAAGATTCCGATCGAAACATACATGCGCTTTTATGCTTCCTACAGCTCGAATCGTAAGTGACTTGCACCTCTCAAGTTTGCTACTTGTATGCTGTTGCCAACGTGCCCTACTAATGCACAAGTATCCAGATCAGTACTTCTCACTTACCATCAGCTACCACCCAGGGTATGGTGACCGGAGGAGGATGAATCGTTGCATACTTGGATAAGCAAACTGCTCGGTGCTTCCTGCATTGATTGATATTGACCAGCATGCAAGGTATGATTTGTTGGAGAGTTCATCGCGATTCCGAGTGCTGACGTTCGCGCTAAGACCAAGTAGCCCGAGTCGCTACTGCTGTTTTCAGTTCTCCGTGGCTCCTGCGTTTGTTACATCCGCAGGACAGGAAAGGAAAGGGATTAGTCAGTGAAGCTGCGCCTTCCGTTGCCTTACCCGCAAGCTCACTTGAAGCCTCTGGGGCTCCAACTCCCGCGAAACCCCAATATCAAACCTTCCAAGCCGTTCAACACCTAACATCACGTTCCAATCCTCGATTCTTGTTGCCAATCATGCGAATCTCTGTTCTCGGCATCGTCACCCTCATGGTCGGCATCGCTCTGGCTCACCCCGCTTCTCTCGAACATCAAGACGATTCATCCGCGGACGCCGCTTTCGACTACGGTGCCGCCCACGCATTCGCCGCTAAGAAGAACCCCGAAATCACACAGTCGAATGGAGGTGGCGGCCTGTGGGCTTGCTACATGCCGCAATGGTCGCACGGCTGCGCGTAGTAAGTATAACCCTGGCGTTGCTATAGTCCCCAGGGTATTGCCGCAGAACCCATGTACCGAACAGCTACGACGGACAGCCGGCTCCCCCTTTCCTTTGGAAGCAAGGCGCTATCTGATGCTCTCAACCAGCTTCCCTGCCCGTGATGGCTGCCAGACTGTGGACCTTTTGAACGACCACGGTGGACGTAAGTCAGAATTCTCTTTCCCCATCGCGCGCATTAAGATGTACTGAGCTAACAACACGTCAAGGGGTGAATGAGATTCATTCACTTGGACCAGACTATGGCACTCGATGCAAGGTATTCTCCGATGCCCATTGCGCTCACGCATTCTACCCGAAGCATGATATCCCCACACCTGACTGGTCTATCGGATTTCCCGGCACCGCAGAAACCGCCGACGCCGTTCGCAGCTTCAGCTGCTTTCAAGGTTGAGAAAGTTCAAGACCGCATGGTTACGTCAACTGGCTCTCGACGAAAGGAGGAGTGCATGCTAGCCGGTCTGAAGGGGGAAATGATGGGTTTTGAAGCCACTTAAGGTAGCTTCTTGAAATGAACTGATAGGGTTTCTGCACATCTTTCAGTGGAATTACACCTCCGAGGGGACACTGTTTGACATCAGCCAGATTTCAGGTGAAGTAGAGTCTATGCTCACAGTGACCGGCAAATTACTAGTTCAGGTGGCAGAAACTCGCCTGCACGAAGACGAATCCGCCAGTGATCGTGCATCAGCATTTCCTCAACAGATACATTCACTGTTTACCGATCAACCGATGCCCTTTACCTCCGAATATTCTATTCCTAATCCAAATTTTATGGTGGCCAATCAGGAGCGAAAGACCATCTCTGGTGGAAATCCACTGCGCGCATCTCTTCGTCCCGCTTGTGTTCGTTGTGATGTGGGAATTCTCGCGCAAATTCTTCCCAGTCATCTGTATAAACATAACTTCTCCTTCTGTCAACCCGAATGTATGCCCAGTTAGGCTATGGTCCCTGTGGATGTAGGCACATTCTACGGACTTTGCGACGAACAGTACCAGTATCTCTTTGCTTAGCATCCAGTATCAGTCTAGGATCAAAAGGCATTTCCTCTGCTTCCATCGCACATTCGAACATCAAGTAGACTAATTCGGATGGTAACCGGGAACCTGCGGCATTGTATGTATTCTCACGTATCTCCTCGTAAGCGTATCGCTGGAACATGTCTAGGGTAGGTATCAGCATGTTGTACATGCAGGATCGATGGCGAAATTCCTGTACGTACGTAGGAAGCATAAGCGATATCCTTGGGTCGTGACTGGGCTTTCAAGTCGCTCACAACCTTGTCGCTGAGTTCTTTGAAACATTAAACATTAGAAAGTCTTGTAGACGACCTGGACTTACGAGGTTGCGCAAACAGATTGACGTATTCCCACCACTCCGAACTCTTTCCAACTTCAATAGTCGCACCGGCCAGCAAGTCTAAGGTCCGGGAAATATCTCGCTCCATGCTCTCAAGGAAGTCGTCAAAATGTGCAGACAAATCATCGAACTGGTCCTCAGGCGATTTGTTAAAGTGCTGGGTCAAGGCGTTTTGAGCTAACAACGGCCCATCCATAAAACGCCGTAATTCTCTATATTGAGTATGCTTTGAGCGTAAAGGATATCGCCACGCTGCTGAATTTCATTTCAATCTACTCCTGTTTGCATGTCCTGGACTTCCATCATCTGCAGACATACTGGCAGCCACCCGAGAGCCCATTAGAAGCAGTCAGCGTCTCAAGCTCTCCGGCAACATGGTTGGACCATAATCGTCTTCCACCGCCGTGAACTTCTTCGGCGTCTGTAAGTGAGCGTGTGTGTGGAGGATTGACGAGGGATGGTACTCTAAGGTAGAGGTCCGATGGTGGAATGAGTCGGCTTTTGAAGTGCAAGAGTATAGAGCACAGTAGTATTCTCGGGTCTACATCCTTAATCTCGGGCCTTGAATATTCTAGGCAAACTGTACAGCGCAACTTTCAAGATGAAAGACAATGCATCTCCAAAAGAGAGCATGCAGTACGTGGCCCCGTTGGTGGGGCAGCATCACGTGCACGCGTATTTACCTAGGTACGCGGCGCGTCACACCGCGCCTTCCACCCATCTCTGCGACCAATCCCTACGCCATTAATCACGCAACAAGCCCAATCCAGACGTCGATATTCCGAAAAACTTCTCTCTATAATACAAACCTCGCCTCAAGCGGCAAAGCAAGAAAAACATGGATCACCTCCAAACCCCGCGTATCCTCGCCCCACATCTATCCAACTTCCAGCACAAGCTCGTCCGCATCCTGGGCAAAGTCGTCGAACTACGCGGCGAAACCGCCGTCATCGACGCAGGTGGCAACGTAGACGTGATCCTGAACAGGGTAAGCTCCTCTCTCTTCTGATCCATTGCAGAAATTTTCTCGAGGATGTGGTGTATACTGAGCATTATCAGGATTGCCATCTTGCCGTCGGCCACGCCGTCGAAGTCATTGGCAAGGTAGACGGCAACCTACATGTAAAGGTGCAGGCTGCGACCGATTTTGGGACGAACATCGGTATGCTCTTTGTGCACCCTCCCCTTTCCTTGTCATGTCATGATGCGAATTCTGGACAAAGGCAGGCTGACAGAGGATAGACTTCAACGCCGTACAGGCCGTGGTGGAGGCGACGCATCGGCATAGGGAGATTTTCTATGATGCGGATTGAGTGCGTCCGAGAGGGTTCGGCAAGTGAAAGTAGGCATCGCTGCGTGAGAGGCGCAGTAAGAAGCCAAGGATGAAGACGACCAAGATGAGATAGCATATGGGAGTCGCCGGATAGGCGCGACGAACGAACAGTGATTATGAAGCGAACCGAAGTATTTCGCTTTGAACAGCCTGCATGTACATATAATAACTACGCGCAAATCGCATATCGTGGTGGCTCACACCGCAACTCAAGTCTACAAAGGTATCGCGCTGTGTGTGCCAGTATGCGCCTCCCAAAAAGCAAACGCTAGCATAACCGGCAAGACCCCAACTCCAGATACAATGCGCGTTGTGTAGAGAGCGCCCAACCGACTCACTCACATAAGCTGCTAAAGCTTACTTCTCACACCCTCCAATCTAAATTTCACATCCTTCAGCCTCTTATCCGTAGGCTTCCACTCCTCAAACATACTCAACAGCCCATCAACCTCCTTCCCAAGCTCCTTCTTGACAAGATCCTCCTCTAGTAATCCTCTCATCGCCCAAGGTAAAAAATACGGATTCTCCCCGGCTGCGCTCCCACTGCTCTTGTACTCCCTCACCCTCAGCTTACATGTATCCTTGGCACTATACTTCACCCCTGGTACTGGAATGCTAATCCCCGCAAAGCTCGCCGCAGCGTTCATCTTGGCCTGTTGGGGAGATACAGGAAGGGACGTTGTCTCAAGCGCGTGCTGTATCGCGAGCGTGTAGACGCGGGGGTCTTCGTAGACGCGGGAGTGACCTTCGCCGGCGTAGATGGAGCCTGCGAGGTGGGGCGAGAGTTCGCGGACGAGGCCATGGTCGGGAAGGCCGAGGTTGCGGAGTTTGAGAGCGAAGCCAACAAGGTGAGTAAGAAAGGAGGGGGCGTGGATGCGACCGTCAACAAAGACGGCGCGGTAGATGTACGGGTGCGATACGACTGAGAAGGTGGACGACTGTCGCGCATCTGTTAGTAATTTGTAATAGATGAAGCGGAAGAGAGCATACCTCTAACGAGACGAGCTGATCGTCGATGCTGCCTACGTAAGTCACCCTTACACCAAATCGTAGCACCTCGTCTAACGCTGCGAGATACATCTGGCTGACCAAGCTCTTCGGATCCCCAAAACTGAAAAGTTCCGACGCGATAGACCCGAAAGCAGGGGCTTTGCTTTTGAAATCGATAAAAGGGCCCATGTTGACGCCAGCCATGGCGCAGATGCCGATGCGGGCAGAATTTACGCATCCGAATTGAATGAGCTTGGCCACTAGCATGACAGCGACCGGCACTCCTTGAGAATGACACGCAACAAGGACGAAGTCCGCCTTCCTGATAGCATCGACGCTGTTCAGTAAAAGCGTCCATAAGATTCTCACTCTTTCGGCGACAAAGCCTTCACCTTCCAGCGCGATATGGTCAATTTCCGGCTCGTAGCCGCGCTCTTCACACCAGGTTTTGATCGACGCGGCGGCGGCGGTTGCAAAGCGAATGGAAGTACCCTTCGGCTCTCCGATCACTTTTCGGATATAAGGGGATGGAAAGAAGCCATGCACACCAATGGCGACTGCTTTCTTTATGCGAGGAGGGGCAGGGTTGATGTGAAGATGTGGTTGCGGTGCCTCATTTCCGAGGAAGTATTGGCGCACCTGCTGCCAGAAAGACGGTTGCTGCACCAGTTGATAAGTGTTTGGAAACTCTGGTAGTAGGTTATTCTGAGGTTCTTCTTTTTTCTTCGCACTTTCCTTGGGTGCGGGATGTGCTGCCGGGGCTGTGTCGGGCCGGGTGGGAGAGGGTGTCGGCGAGGTCTTCGAGGGTGTCACAGTCTTGCTGGAGTTTGGTGTGTCTGTAGCTATCTCTTTCGGTACGGTCTTCGCTCGTGAGCGACCACGCAGTGACAAAAATGATCGACTAGTAGTAGCAGGTTCTTTTGCTTGCGATACTCCTGCTGGCTTAGGGGCCTCAGCTTCTGGCTGTTCCAGCTCGTTGAATTGAGCTGGTTCAGGGTGGGACTGCGAAGGTGTGTCGGCCACTGCCACCTCACCCACTAATTTGTGGGCAATGGCTCCGTCTTTGTTGACCTCGGCTTTTGGTTGTGACTTGAACCAGAATGCCCAGCCTTGGGAGTTCGATCGATCTTCCTGAGTCGTGCCGGGAGCTGACTCATTAGACGGTACGTCGGCCACGGTCTGCTCCGCTTGTTTGGCAGGATCTGTTTGTGGTGCTTCATCGACCTGCGGATCTATTATTTCCTCGTTAGGGACATCCGGGACGTGCTCGGTAGGAGCTACCGATGTAGCAGGAGGATCTGCTAGTGCATTCTCTTTCGTACTCCAAGACCAAAACCACGATGCTCTTGGGGCTGGCCCGCGCGATTTGGTAGCATCTGCATCTTCCACTTCCGCAGCCCGCAATTCCTGGGCCTCTTCTGTAGGTGCGTCCTTCGTCTCAACATCCTGCTCTTTTTGAGGGAGTTCTCGTGTAGAGACCTTCCCTAGCTCCTTCCCAGCAGCATCAGGCTCCTCCGACGGCGTGACACCTGGTAGAGGGGTGCCTTGCGCATCTTCAATGCTAGATGTCTTTGATGCTTCGGAGTATCCATCTGGTCGAGACCACCACGATCGCCAGCCCCATGTGCCCGCTTCCTGAGTGGCATCGTTCTTCTGTGGTTCTGGAGGTAACGGTGGTTCGTCGACAATAGGCGGCTCGTTGGGCACTGCCTCTGGCTTTGTCTCCTTCTGCTCGTTGATAGACCCATCTGACGTCACATTGAACATGGTCATCGAGGCCGGTATGCTGTCGGCTTTACTCGACTTACGCTTCGTTAAGAACTTGGCAGGCGACTGGTCCTTTGTCTTCTTGGCCACTTCGTTCGGGATTTCAGAAGCCGCACCACCACTGACACTGACGCCAATCTTCTGACTGGCCGTCTGGACTGTTGCAGAAGCCTTTGACCGCCAACTACCCCCGCTTAACCACTTCTTGCTGGGCTTCGTATCGAGCTTAGGCTCAGTGGAGGTCGAGGGTTCACCAGAGGCATTAGAAGAGTATAATGGTTCTTTTATGGCCGAATCCGCGGGTGTACTCTGCAGGATCGCGCTTTCACTCGGAGTGTTCGTGGAGGGCGTGGAGGGCGTGGCGGCTGGGGTGGTGCTGTCATGCGGGACTTCGGACGCGCTGGCACCGTCTTGTTGCGCCAAAGGATTCGGCTTCGATCTCTTGCGTGGACTCATTGCGTGCGAGGCCAGAGCCTCGAGTAAAGCATACGACCTCTGCGATGGATGGTGTCAGTGAGTGCAGGGCGGCCAGGCGCGTGGTGTCTACCCTGAGCCCGGCAGGCGGTTGACTTGGACGATGGGCCATGACGCAGTCCCGTGCACCAGAGTGGTCACCCCTGTCCGAGGGCCCGCTTTTGTGCTTATCGCCCGCCGCGTTCAGCCACAGCAAAGCGCCGCCCACTTTCTGCCGCCTTGCACCGCCTCCGCGGCCAAATACGCCTAATTTTTTCTGTGAATGTGAGCGCTCCCCGCAACATCACCGCGCGCCGTAGCAGCCATGGCGATCCAGAAGAAGCACGGCAAAGGCCGTCTCGACAAATGGTACAAGCTCGCCAAGGAGAAGGGCTACCGCGCCCGCGCCGCCTTCAAGCTCATCCAGCTGAACAAAAAGTACAATTTCCTCGAGAAGAGCAAGGTCCTCATCGATCTGTGCGCCGCCCCCGGATCATGGTGTCAAGTCGCGTCCGAGGTCATGCCCGCAAATGCCCTTATCATCGGTGTCGATTTGGCACCGATCAAAGCCATCCCACGTTGCATCACCTTCCAGAGCGATATTACGACCGACAAGTGTCGTGCGACCATCCGACAGCACCTCAAGACATGGAAGGCGGACACCGTATTGCACGACGGAGCGCCCAATGTCGGTACGGCGTGGGTGCAGGATGCTTTCACGCAGGCCGAGCTTGTGCTGCAGTCTATGAAGCTGGCGACTGAGTTTTTGGTCGAGGGTGGAACTTTCGTCACCAAGGTCTTCCGTTCGAAGGACTACAACTCTCTGTTGTGGGTATTCAACCAGCTGTTCACCAAAGTCGAAGCCACGAAGCCACCCTCCTCGCGTAACGTCTCCGCCGAAATCTTTGTCGTCTGCCGCGGCTTCAAAGCACCCAAGCACATCGACCCCCGTTTCCTCGACGCGAAGAGCGTGTTCGCAGAATTGGCCGACCCGACCCCGAACAATGAAGCTAAGGTGTTTAAACCTGAGATCAAGAAGAGGAAACGTGAGGGTTATGAAGAAGGCGACTGGACCCAGTTCAAGGAAGCACCTGTGAGCGAGTTCATCCAGACGACCGACCCCATCGCTATGCTTGGAGGCCTGAACAAGTTGAGCTTTGTCCAGCCACCCAACGGAGACGTCGCCATTGCAACCATCGACAAACTGCCAGAGACTACAATCGAAGTCCGAAATTGCTGTGCGGATCTCAAAGTATTGGGCCGCGCCGACTTCAAGAGGCTGCTCCGATGGCGATTGAAGGTCCGAGATATTTTCGGCTTTGCCTCTAAGAAGAAGCAAGAGGAGGCAGAGGGTGAGGAGGTTGCCGAGGTTGAGCCTATGGACGAGGAAATGCAAATCATGGAAGATATGCAGCGGCTTGACGACCAAGAGTCCAAGAAGAAGAAAAAGGCACGGCGACAGGAGAATGAGCGCAAGCAGAAGGAGGTCGTGCGAATGCAAATGAACATGACTACGCCCTTTGAGATCGGTATGGAGCAAGCTGGTCCTCAAGGCGACGATTCCATGTTCGGTCTCAAGTCGATCGACAAGGCCGGAGCACTGTCCAAGGTCGCACGCGGCAAGATGGCAACAGTAGTTGAACGTGAGAAGCCTGAAGAGTCCGATGAAGAGATTGTCACCGATGACGAAGGTGACCAGCTTGATGCAGAGCTGGATAACATGTACAGCGAGTACGTGGAGCACAGATCTGCGCGAGATGCCAAGTATCGTGCGAAACGTGCTCGGAAGGAGGACGAGGATGGGGAATGGCATGGCTTTTCCGATGAGGATAAGGAGGAGAGTGATGACGAGGAATTGGTACAGGATGAGGACAGCGACTTCAGCGACGATGAGGATGAGGCGCCGCGACCCCTAATAACCGACCTCGACAAGAATGGCAACACCAAAGGTGGTCTTACTAAACGCGCTTCGAGATTCTTCGACCAAGACATTTTCAAAGGCATAGATGACTTGGAAGAACTGGAAGAGGCAGAAGAAGACGGCGAGGACAGTGGCATCGATGTTGACGGCGATAGCGAAGAGGATACCACTGCTGCAGCACGCGAAAAAGCCGTTGTTGTGAAGAAAGTCAAGATCGAGGCACCGCCACAAGAAGATGATGCAGACTCATCCGATGACGAAGACAAGATAGAGGAAGTCGCCCGCGACGAAACCCAATGGGAGCAAGACAATACCCCTATGCGCAACGGCCGTCCTGACGTCGACATCATCACCGCCGAAGCCATGACAATGGCACACCAGCTTGCCACCGGCAAGAAAACCAAAGCCGACCTCCTCGATGACTCCTTCAATCGCTACTCTCTCCGCGACGTCGACGGCCTTCCAGACTGGTTCCTCGACGACGAGAACAAGCACTCCAAGCTGCAGCGCCCGACCACCGCAGCCGCAGCCGCCGCCATCAAAGAGAAGATGCGCGCCCTCAACGCCCGCCCCATCAAGAAGGTCCGCGAGGCCAAGGCCCGCAAGAAGTTCAAGGCTGCGCAGCGCCTCGAAAAGCTGAAGAAGAAGTCTGCGCTGCTGGCGGACGAGGAGGGCTTGACTGAGAAGGAGAAGGCGCAGTCTATTGCGAGGTTGATGAGCCGTGCCGCGAAGAAGAAGCCCAAGCAAAAGGTTACCGTTGTTGTGGCGAGGGGTAGTAACAAGGGTAAGGGCCGGCCTGGCGGGACGAAGGGCAAGTATAAGATGGTGGATGCGAGGTTGAAAAAGGATGTCAGGGCTGAGAAAAGGATTGCGAAGAAGAGGAAATAGACGCATCGTTCTTGTAGCGTAGTAGTTCATTGTATATACCTCTGGTAGCGCCGGGGTGGCTGTTTTTATGAGATGGTTTGTGCGGGAACTGCTTCATATTCTTGTTGTCGTTATGCTCACCCATTTTCCAAGGTCGTGCCAGTGGAGGGCATGCCGCCGTGGAAACAGTATCCACCGACGCTATGGGATCCGTCTAGCATTATCATGGTAGTTCTTTCGCCTCAGCGCATACAGTTGTTCAATCGTGCTGTCTATGGTCGCAAACGCACGTATACAGCGCCGTCGACCGTATCATTGGCGGCGATCAGTGTGCATAGGGCCTTCTATGGTCTATATGCTTGTGGAGCTTATCAAGCTCGATATAATTCTTCTAGACGATGACGTTGACAGCAAGCTGTAGATAAAGAATGTTTGGAAGGGAGATTTATGATAGATGGGTCAACATAGCAGCTTGTCGATGAACATAGCGTCGCTGCATTCAAGAAGGCAACAGAGTGATATCAGATTTGCTGCTACTTGTAGGTTATGATCGAAGCTGTAATCGGTGGCTTCTATAAGAGTGCGGAAGTTCACATCGCAATGGAATGCACGGAACGAACATCAAAAACCACGGTAAAGAGACAAATACTTGCAGTACATGCACGCTTCAAAACAGACGGAAAGCCGAAGGTGCTGCCTGCACCTGGCTATAGAATCGCTGGCATGAAAGCAAAAAAAAAGAGAAAGCCGAAGGTGCTGCCTGCACCTGGCTATAGATTCGCTGGCATGAAAGCAAGAAAGAGGAAAGTCTCGTCGCGCTTCTGAGAACGACGTGGCCCAGTTGATTTGGCGAGAAATCCATATTTTCTTCTGAAATACCACAACTTTTCAAGGAAAACCACCCAGTCCTGCGTATGTGACTTCTCAAACACCCATTCAGCTTGCCTGTCCGAGCGGATTCCCAGACGCGAATGCCTCTACATATAACGAGGTCTTGAATACATCGCGCTGGTCCAGACTCGGCGAGACGAAGGAGGATCAGGTGTCTGGGGTGCTGATCGTCGGTGGCACGGAGTGTGTTGCGGAAGATGGCGGCGATGCTCGTGGTGTTTCTCGCCGGATGATTTGTCTTCTTGTAATGCAGCCAAAAGCCCATGCGAAACCCATTCCTACCGCTGCCACATCTCTACGCAGGCGTCCCTGCGAGAGATGCAACACTTCCGATCAAAGCGTCCTCAGGTCGGAAGATCGCAGGGGATCGATGGTAAAAAGGAGTGTGCTTCTAGGATGAGGGAGTTATTCCAAGGCTGAGCGATAGAGGGGTTCGATCCCGACGTATGGCTATGCAGGGCGCCGTGGGTGGTGTGTTATGCGAGATTGTATGGATAGTTGATGAGATGTATCTGTAACGAAAGTATCGCATCTTCGTTCGGAGCGATAGGTGGTGGTGCTTCTCTGGGTAACCTTGAATCTGGAGAGCCAGTAGTTACTCCAGAGCTTGTTGGAACAAAGCACGCCGTACGTACCGCCTCCGCGTGTTTTCTTCTGGGCTGCTCAGCTGAGGACGCAGTGCTGAATGGAGTGCTAGCCCATTTTTCAATCCGTAATGGTAACTTGAGATGTGAATGGTGCCACCTCAGTGAGCTCGGTCGGACATTGCGGAACGGAATGTAGAGGAGGCACAAGTGGATAGAGTGGGACGAAGGCGATGTGCCCTGCCCCTCCAGAACGGTAAAAGATAGCTTGCGGTCGTACACTAGGGGGGTTTGTTTGTAAATTCGGAAGTGCTGTCGCAAGTTTTTCCCCCAGCACTCTCGGTAAATTAGAGATGCGCCTTGAGGAAGTTTCTGCACCATGAGAAGGCAGCCTTGCACTTAGTACCAAGATTGTTCAGGACAGTGTAGGTACTTGACATGCAAGGTCGAAATGCCTGGAATGAATTGCTGATGCCCTGAAAATTGGTGCTTACGAAGCATATCCAGTCATTGAACATGCATTGCACGCTTGTCCACAAGGAAGCTTCCGTGCCCGCGTAGCATGATTCTCCAGATCGGTGGTGATGATACTTGCAAATATCGGCTCCAGCTCTGGAAAGTGATCGGGGGATGCTGCCACTGCGGTTGATCTGCTCTATACATAAAGCGGCAGTAAATTTTGGCGAAGACTCAAGAAGGGGCTTCCAGATACCCGACCGGACCCAATGGAAGGTGATGTCGAACAAAAGCGTTCGGATTGGAGAATCGTTGCCGGTGGCGCTGAAGACGTGCTCAACAGTGGCAAGAAAATCCTTGGATGGCTCTGCCGTGACTTTACTAGCAGCGCGCAACAGTGCATCTGCCATGGCGTTGCAGTAGTTAAAATCTTGCAGATGGTCACCGAGCAGGTAGCCCTGGCAGATGCGTCGCCACTCCGTGGTGTCTTCGAGCCCAATCTTAGGGCAAGGTGCGAGGCGACGGGCATGTAGCCAATCTTTGTATGTTCGGAAATCTTGTGGTTCAAATCTATGAGAGTGGTCTTGATTAGTACATCCACTACAACAAGGTGGCCGTAGACTTACGTGGGCAGAGGAATGGTTTCCTTCTGCTCATCTAACTTGGTAGCTAGTAACGGTGAGGCCGCCCGAAGGAGGCTCTCGAAGTCCTTATCAACTGGGTAGGCCTCGCAAGGAGGATCCCCGACAAGGATAATGTAAGATCTGTAGCTTGTAAGTATGAAGAAATTCGCACCGCGTATAACGAACAACACACTGTGTCCCGTTACTTGCAGTAGGTCACGCGCTAGTAACCGCGAAGGTGGTCGTAAGACAAGATATATGCGAGGGAAATTCAACGCGTCTATATATGCAGTGTACTTACTTTGTTTTTCGTTGCGGCATGTTATTGCTGCTGTCGAGCTTTCGCATATTGAAGGTGTGTGGTTGAGTGTGTCGAAAGTGTGTGAGTGGAACGGGCCTGCAGAGGTCCGGAGACGGCGAAGTATTTATGGGCGGAAAGAGCGCAGTGAACGCACGTGATTGACACTAGCGGGCGCAGGGGCCCGAGCCCAGGCCAAAGGGGTGGACAGAGAATTCAACTGGCCGGTATTGTGAGCACAAAAATGAATTCCTGGGATGCAGCTAATCTCGCCAGCGCAACATAGGTGAAAGAAACCGGCGAGGGTGCGCATGCCATTGGAGGCATACAGCCCACAAGCTCTCTGCATGTCTGATGCTCCTGTCACCACAGAGCCCGCTATGCTTGCAACAGACTGCGACAGAACCTCTCCTAGTCCATCTTCATTGATCGTTCTGGTAGATTATTCAGACTGGCCATAACATTGCTCCTCCCATTGGCGAACAGGATAAATTAAACTTAGACACGATTGAATCATCCAGATCAGATGATGTTACAGAGCAAATACCCAACGAAAATAGAGTTCTTACTTGGGTATCAAAATCCACATCCCGCTTCACGAACATTGAAGCATCGCAACCCATATTCGCTGCTGGCATCTTCATATTCCCACTCTCTCATCTTATACTCCGCACCAGCTCTCTTAAGTCGCCGCCTTCCACCCACTTCTCCTCACCACCGCCACCAACACCGAGACCACCTCCTGCGCCGCCGCCGCTTACACCCCAACCCTCGCCCACCTCGCCGACGATTCTGGCCGGCCGACCGCCCACGACGGACCCGGGGGCAACGACCATTGCGCTAGGAACGACGGTGTTTGAGAGAATCTTGACGTTCTCTTTAATGACAGCAAAGGCGTGAATGGTAACATTGGCGCCTATGTGTACATGCGACGATATCGCGATGGCTGATATCACGCAATTGGGGCCTGCTTCCTGTTAGGCGTAACCCACAGCCTGATTCGGAACAAAACGGCGGAAACAGACCTATGAAAACATTGTCGCCGATTTTCATCGGGTAAAAGTTCGGCGCGCCCCGACTCATTCGACACGGTGGCTTGAGCACGCTACTAGTCGACACTACCGTGCACTTTCCGATGCTGATACTGGTGGGCGTTCCTTCTTTTCCAGAATTTGAGGCGGTGGGACGTGTGGAATGCAGGTCCCCGCGGAGGACGACGTCGGCCATGATGACAGTGCGGCCGCCGAGAGTGATGTTTGCAGTCCCAGTGATCGCGCTCCGTCGCGAGACCTTGTTCCCAGAGTCCTTGGAAAGGGTTAACGGTGAATATGCGGGAAGGATTGGATGAACTCGAATTGGTTGGAACTTCCAGTGCAGGGCCTTCTTGCAGAAGATCCAAGCCAAAACTAAGGAATCATTGAATATTCCTTGATTATATACAAATAAAGCTAGACTTCGCGGGCTTCAGGAGGAGAACTTACGGTCTCTATGTACTCGCCTTTTGCCGCAACTTTTTTAGCGGACGGGCGTGACATTGTTGCTAGAAACTTAGCGTGTAGGCTGAGATCAATGAATTAATTGACTGCGAACTGTGGTCGTACGTGATGATGTCGTTGAAGTGCAAGCACGACTAGCTGGAGAGAGGTCGCGGTTGAAGCCCGTTACTAACCGTTTTCGGTTTACTCTTGATTAGTCATGATACTTACCTCAGAGGGCTTACACTTGGATACATAGAGCGAACACGTAGGAGACGTACATTTTAACGGCCAGAACTAATCAAAAATTCGGTAGCTGTAGATGTCCTGCAGTAGTCTCACGTTGCTTACTAGCTCAACTTTCGACTCTCTGGGCTCAAATCTAGACATCATAGATCACATGACCTACCCTCACCCGTAGACTCAACTCTGAGATGAAGTATCGCTTGATAGCTGCTGGTCTGAAAGTCGACGAACGTTCTACACAAGCTATCTTTGCGCCCACACTGGAGTCACTCTGAACTATCTGAAGATAAGGCAGCATACCTAGGTACTGGCCGTTCTACTGACAGTCGTCACTGGAACGGAACACTAACGGTACTGAGGCATAGACTGCTAAGACGATGCGGCTTCGGCGCAGTATTGGCTCCGATGTATATGTTAAGTGTCCCCGAGAGTTTACGGCGGAGTTATCACAGCCATATCAACCTCAAATCTAGTAAAGTGAGACAGTTCAGTGAAAAGGCGGATGATTAGACTACACTTGATCAAGCAATGGCTCGACCAGATGGCTCTTTGCAAAAATAGCTAATTGGTGTACAAGGATTTAATATGCACCGAGACCGACTCTACCTGGGTTGTCATTGCGTCGCTCACTGATATATTTGGCATTGGCTTCTTTACAAATTCTCATGCATAGCCTCCGGAGTGAACAGACGATCAGGAAATACTAATCTTCTCCTATGCAAGGTTATCTGCAACATTGAAAGGCTACCTGCGTTCTTGCCTGATCGACAGAATTGAATGGCTCGGCGCTGGAGCGCCCGGGCAACGGTTTGACTGCCACACATCAATGCCTCTGTAACATGATCCCCACCACCACTGGCTTCCATCATCGCCAATGTTAGTTTTGAGGGAAACGCCTCAACGGCTCGGACAAACTGCACGACCTCCCTGTGGAGCAGTTGCAAGTACTCAAGCAGATGAACGTCTGCGTGCCGGATCACCTGGGCAAGTGCGCCCCTAGGAAATGCGCCTGTTCTGACGCCGATCCGCATGTGTTTCTTCCACTGGTCTATGCGCTCCTGCAGTGAGGTCTGGTGTTCAAGGGATTCCAATAGCGACCATCCTTATTGTGGCGGTCGGATATGATGTTTAAGTAGCGACAGCGGCTTCTAGATTAGCGATTAGACTGGCATAGGCAGTGCGTTGCAGGCACACACCCACTACGCCCAGTCCTCGAAAATGTTCAATAGTACCCCTCCGTCTTTGGACAATTTCAATTGATTCAATGGAGTATACAAAGTGAAAGAAAAAAAATTGGGTATACTTGTTGACACTACCGGATGAAAGTCATCAGAGTTCTTCCCTCCACGGGTTATCGTTAGGGGGCTTCTTCACATCCTCGAATTCCTCTTCCTGGGGCCTATCGACCAGCACCTCCTCTTCTTCAATGCTGACACCCTTCATGGCCCCATCACTATCCTCGTACCACTCATTTGTCGCCCAATCAATGACATGCTCCTTTGCATGCTCGCTCATGATGTAGTAGCCAGGGTTTTGCTTCGGATCAAACATAGACATGTGCGCCCATGTCTCCGCCGTGCTTCTGTCGTTGACAGCTGGCACAAAGTATTGCCGCAGGTCGCCTTTCGGAAGGTTACAGAAAGTCCGGTCACGGCCGACGACTTTGCCTGTCCACGAAGACTTTCCCTGTGAGTCGACGGCGTGGCCGAGGGTAGTATAGATGTTGATGAAGCCGATGTTGTGGGTCTGTCCAAGCTTCGTGATGCTGGTAAGTCGCTTCTTCATCTCTTCAGGCCTGGCTAGCGAGCCTACAAATTCCAAGTGCGACGTCGCCCAGCCCAAGCCTTCCGATATCTGCTCTCGCTTCATGTATGCAGCTGCGCCGCCAGCCGCAACTGCTCCTGCAGCGCCTGCAAACAGAGCGACTCGACCGTACTTCTGCCAGAGTGGTACTGATGCGGCGTCCGCGTTTGCGTCACTGACTGCCTGTGCAGATCTCTGTGCTCCTTCCAACATTCTGCTCGAATTCACTGCGGTCTGAGCACCGGCCTCCGTGCCTTTTCCCCACCCGAAAGCGCCAGCGACATTTGAATATGCCGAGTATGCCGAACTCGCGGTGTTCCAATGCTTCTCCGCGCCATGGGCTACGACTCCAGGTGCGATACCAAGATACGGGGTATCGAAAGCGAGAATCGCTTGTATGTAGGGAAACATTAGACTGGAAGAGTCTTGGAATGATGATGCCGAGTGCGAGGCAGAGTTTTGAAGGGAGGGAATAGGTTGGTCCTCTATAAGTGAAAGGAGAGTCTCCGCAGCCACAATGCCACCCATCGAATGACCGACGAGTATAGTATGAACAGAGGGGTCGACAGTAGGCGACGGCGTGCCATTTGCGACTTCGAGGTCAATTACCTTGTTCTGCAGCCTTAGCCCTTGTCAGCTTATGTTGGAGCGACCTGCGCCATATGCATGTGCGCCCCGTATGTGTTATGCGCTTCCATAACTCACCACTCCTTGAATCTCCCCACGCAATCGTGCAGGTCTCCCCTCGTCTCAAATTGCGGATACGTAATCGCAAGGACTGTAACCTTAGGTAATGCATGCTGCAGCAAAGCCTTCAGATGTGAGGGGAACGTCCCGAAGGTGCTGTCGCTGCCCTGTGTACATTTTAGATATACGTCATCGGTAATGCGAACGCGTCCGCGCAAGTTGAACGTTGACCTACTTTAAAGCCATGTATGAAGCATAATAGCAACGTCTTCTTCATTCTGAGCCTTGAGTGTGTTCCTACATGTCCACAAGACCTCCGAAGGGCTGCGACAAGCGTTGACGTTGGATTGCGGCTCGCCACACTAGCGCGTGATTGGTGTGGGGTGAAGGTGGCTTATCGATAACGCGCTAGGGTCACTCACGTGAGTCCGCGACGGGGCCGGGCGGGCGCGCGAGGGCGCTAGTGACGCGAGTCCCACTCGTTCATCGATAAACCCGGCCGCTGTACCTCGCTGTCCTTCTCCCTGCACTTCTACCGCGATATTATGTCACTGGCGCCCATTACACTTACGCCACGCCTTGCAGGATTTACAGTTGCCCGCAAGCACTGCCATCCCGTCGACGACCTCGTTTCGGTTATGTTCACGCCAAACGGCATGACTGGCCTGGTTATCATAATACCGGTAGATGACACGTCTCTTTCCGGTCAGGTTACGATCGTCGCGTGAACGGGCTGAGCGGGGTCGTCGACTTCGCCTTCCACCATACTCAGTTTGCCGCTGCCACCGTCATGTTGTCGAATGTTTCTTGGCATACTTCTGTTGACGAGTTCCTTGGGGGCTGTGGCGAGGTAAGATTTGTGATAGCTCTTTTGTGACCCATAAAGGACCACATCTTAGCACACTTGTTAGCGGACTTATCATAACCTCGAATATACTACAAAAATACCATCTTTATCACAGATGATTTGTAAATTTATGAAAATGGCAGGCCTAGTAATATTCATCCAGCCAATGCTCCGAACGGTCCATATCACAGCACTTCGATTCTCAAGCAACAGGACACTTTCAACGATCATAAGTCCGGGAATTGTGTTGGCCGAGCGAGATCAGGTCAATCAAATCCATGTTTGAAATTTGCAATCACCTCTTGCTGTGTTTGCAAGATGAGCACTGTGATTATAGATGAGTATGTACCAGGTGACGTCGAATTCAGTAAACCGTGAAACCCATCCTGAAAATACCGCATAAACTGCTACCATCTTCAGATAGCGAAGCTTGCATGATACCTTCGACAGTGACACGTCAGATGGATCCGTGACAACCTTGGAACGAACAATTAGCACCTAGCTAGCGGCGCTGCGTTCACGCTGAGCTACACGGGAATGTCGCAGAATCACATTGCGCTCGTTGATGATCTGCTTGTCGGCCTCTTCTTTAGACACATAGGCACGTTTACAGCAAAAGCCAAGATGGTAAACATGGCATATACCCTCCTCTTTGAGCTTTGCCTCGATATCTCTACCTAACACCATCTTCAGAGGCTTTGGAGCGACGTAAGGAACCAGCAGCTGATCTATTTCACCTTGAGGCAGATGAAGAGCTCGGCAGCAATTGCCTTGTTGATGATGTGTACATATGTTGAGGATGTTGAGCTGCTGCTCACGGGAAAGCTCGGGCCGTATTGACTTCCGATCTCGCAGCTGGGCGTGGTCATTTCGCATCTGTGTGCTGGCTGTGCTCGCAGACTTGGCGGGAATGTTGAAAGAGTCAACTTTGACTGAGCGGGCAGGGATTGTAGGTCCTTGGACCTCAGCGACACTGGAATTGCGGCTAGCTGCTCGTGTCTGACGGACAGAGTTGTTCTGAGAGACAAATTGTTGACTTTCCGCCTCTAGTCCCGTTGTCTGGTTCGGGGGGAGGTGCTGGACCTCGGGCGCGCGATCTTTGCCCTTTTTGTTCGCTTTTGGCGTGTCGGCGGATGCACCACATGACGATGTCTTCAACGTCTCAAATTCTTTGACGACGGATGCTGGGGTGGTGATATGCCCGCCATCAAGGACGTGGTGGAGGGCGGGCTCTTGGATAGCGGATCCATCTCCTTTGTCGACAGCGCCACTCTTGATCGCGTTAAGGCCGCGCCTCGTTCTACTAGCGTTGATCTGTACAACCTTGTGCTGGCCTCCCGAAGTCTGGTCGGTCTTGTAAACGAAGCCTCCCTTTCCATCAATTTCATCTATCGACACCATAGCCTCAGAGCCGACGGCGAGCTCTTCGGTGGTCTTGCTTCCGTCGCCAGCAGTATTGTTCTCCATATTGCCAAGAGCAGCATCGACAGCGGCGTCGTCCCGTGGATCTATGTCTAGCTCAGGGAAAGCTATCTTTTCAAGAGACTTGTATTCGTCCTTGAGCTTTTTGACCTCGGCGCGGTGCTCCTCTTCGAGCTTACCTAAGTTGATTTTATGCCGGGCCGTAAGCAGGGTCATGTCGGTATTGAGCTTGATGATCTTTTCGGTTTTCTCGGCCGTCAACTCGGCCCAGTTTACCTCACACGTTCCATGCATGGTAACCGTCGTGTCAATGTTCTTGTCTTTATCTGCATAATTTTCATGAGCAGACCCGGCTTTTTCCTCTGCAACAACATGCCCATCCTCCTCTCCAGCAAGGATACCGTCTCCGTGGTCGATAGGCTCATCAGCAGGCGCAGGGGAGAGCTCCAGTGGTACGTGGTAGAGCGACCCCTACCAAGAGGATTGACGGGATCCTGATCCTCCTCATCTTCGGAAGCGTCATCTACTGCGATGACTTTTTGCTGGCTCCGAGTGGACTCACACTTATCCTCCTCGTTCTCGAACTCCTCGTCTCCGATAACGATAGGCTGCGAGGATTGTGTGCGGCTTATGCTGCGCCTGCGCGAGTGGTGGCGATGGAGCGAGAATTCATTCTCCTGAACATTAGACCCATTATCTTCCGAAGCATCATCCTGCCCAGGGGTTGGTGAGTGCAAGTAGTCCTGAGTCTCGGTGGGGTCGACTAAATTCTCATCATACTCTTCCTCAACGTCGGAAGAATCCCCCATATCAACGTAGTCGTCATCGCCGGCGGATGCCCGCTTGTCGGCCGCCTTGCGCTTGGTTCGATCGCCTCCCTCAGCGCTGTTATTTGATTGCTTGTTCTTCTTTTCCTCCATCTCTCGAACCGTTCTCTTGAACTTATAGAGCTCACGTTTAAGCTCTGTGACTTTGTCACCCCACTCGAGGTCACGTCGCTTTGCTTCTCTGTCATGTAGAGGGCCATTAGATTGTCATATTGATCCTCGAGCTCGCAGATCCGGGCAGGGAGCTCAGCCATATATGTGTCGTGCTGAGATTGAAGCTTGACAAGCCTGTGATCAGTGGATTTGCTAGATTAGAGTAATTTTTGCTTACAGTATCTGGCTCCATCGTCAATATCAACCCAAGTGAGTTGAGCTAGAGCGGGATCGCCGCTGGCTTGCGGCTGGTGCTTTTAGTAGGCATTCGCAGGTATCTTCTGATACACTTACGGCTTTTAGATCAATATGTTGGTGCACGGCGGGGGAATATGGTACGGCGCAGTGTTTATAAAAAGAAGCGGAGCAGGCATGAGCGTGTTAGCGCCGAAATGCATTCAACGCCCCCCCTCCCCGGTTCGCTAGCGCAAGCACAGTGGAATCAACACAAGGACAACTTGCTCATCGTGGTCCATGCGCTTTCTAATCAGTCATTTCACATTTGGTCCGGAGGTCCTCGTGGGAACTGTTGGGAGCGCGGACATGATTGTACAGGACAGTGTCGTAGGTTTAACTGAGCAGTGACTTGACAGTGTGAAATTAGCCCCACCAAGCCCCCATAAACTATTTACTAGTTGCAAAAACGCGGCTTCAAGTACTTTGTTCCTATGATGAAATATTAGACATATTGTATGCCGAAGGTACGTACCAAAATCGGGACAGAGACACCAGCTCGAGGATTTGCGTAAGACAGGACCTCAGGCTTTCTACTTGCTAAGGTGTCACTGCATATGAATTAGCTTTTCAATAGAAAGGCGGAGATCCAAGCTTCTCTCAGCCATTCTTTTTCTTTGGGTATCTTCTACTCCCGACCCTTCAACTGCTTTAGGACCTCGTGCGCTTGCTGTACGCATTGAACCAATTAAGGTACCATCATGAAGCGGATAGTGGATCCTAACAATTGGAAAGGGTTGTTATATCATCTGTATTGCTGAACGAACTTGTACGCTATTTGACTATAGCCTACAGCTTTTTAGCTGAGATCTTTTACGCCTTTCAATAGCAGCAAGATCATGACCAAAGTAGCGATGGCAACGGATCGGACCGAGCGGTCATATCTGAGGGCAAAGTGTAGGACTATCGAGATCAGATGTGATGCGACCTAGCTAATGTTTTAGAACTATCTTTTGGAGGCGCCATTCTTTGAGCTTGCACCGCTGGGGAATTGGACGCACCTCATGATATCCCACGCACACAACACCGGCACAGTGGAACCCCAATCAACACCGTAGGTTCTTTACATTCGATTGATCGTACAAGCTTCTCTGGAGCGCCTAATCATGCAATATACTCTCGTCCGCACGCCGCATTTCACCGACGGCTCGTCTAAGCACCCCGTCCGCCCCTCTCGTCCTGCATGCCAATAGCTGGATCAGGTGCCTCGGGATGCTCCTTCTTTGCCTGAGCTACTCCACCCGCAGAATCCTTACGTTCCGTCGCGTGGCCGCCTGTGCCGCTCTTATGCGCGCTACTAAAAGTCAACAGATTAGCCCCGAATCAACAGCTTCCGCCTCCTCACCGATCGCAATCTGATGATCAAGGTGCAAGGTGGGAGAAATACTTACTCAATACCATCCTTCAGGTTGCTTGTCTGGACATCGTACTCATCACCTTTCTTCGCTTTGTTGATGCTATGCTCGTCGTCGGGATACTTGTCCGTCTTAGTCTTGTCATTCGTGCTGAGTTCCTTTCGACATCCTGTTGAGACGGCGAAGCTCCGGAGTGTAGGTCGGAACGTCGGTTCTACGGCGCGGAGAATTCGTGGTGCCGATGTAACAGCCCGGCGGTAGAAGGTGAGGAATTCGGACGGTGAGGACATGTTGTCTTACTTGCGCGGCGTGACTTGCTGTTATCCAGAGAGCCTGGGCTGTCAATTAAAGCAAGTAGAGATTGTTATGGTAGACAACAGCGGTGAGAAGTACGTGAAGGAAGGAGAGTCAACGTCACAGCAAAAGTACATGAAGCCATCATTTGTCTTGGCAGGCACGACAATGATGAATGCATGATGACGGATTGCGATCGATGTCGAAGCTCCCATCGCGACTAACCCAAAATGGATGCGGGGGCGGGGGAATTTTTGCATGCGCCGACAACACGCTCCTCCATCGCGGATGTAAATCCACGCAAACGTGTCCTCCCTGTATCTCAGCGCCCAAGGAGATCAGGAAATATGGCGAAGGGAAGCGCTGTCCAGGACGCCTCTTCCTTTCCCTGCACACTGTCCGTCGCCTCTTCTCCAACACGTTCCCGGTCCTTCCACTTCCACCTGCTAATGCCTCCCAGCACCTTGAACATCCCCTTCCCATCCGAAAGCCTTGTCCGCACCGCCGAACAAGCCCTCGTCGTCGACGCTGAGCTCTCGCCTCTTGTGCGCCGATCGTTCTCTACATCCGATAACACCTTGCGCGTCGACTACTCCGCGACCACGAACCGCATGCTGCGTGTGGCCGTGAACGGCTTCTTTGAGAGCCTAGGCGTCGTTCTGGGCGTTATGAAGGAATTGGACGTGGACGTTGTACATGGCGATCTTGAGGGAGAGTTGACAGGCGTGCAGGGGTTGGAGGTCAGCGAGTGAACGGCGATGCAGGATGAAGAAATACATACCAACGAATGGAGAGACGAAGGCCCTACAGATTAAGAATACATTGCATGCAGGTCGATATGTGCAGCGCGCGCATCCTCAAGCGTTGAGACACGCGGTAGCAGGCGCTCCAAATGTGGAGGAGGCGTTGCGGTACGTACGGGACTCGGACAACTAGAAGACTCTGCTGGGCTGCGAGTGTGCTACGGTCTCAGGAGAGACGAGGATACTAAGTTGATCACAACGATATCAGCATGATCCAGGAACACGAGGAAGATATCAATAAAGCACTAAATCTATCCAAAATCTAAGATCTGCGCCAAATTCCCAAACGCGTCAATACCGGGTCTCCACGATCGGGACTTTACACTATCTGGCACCTTTTCTCAAACGTCGCATTTGAAGAGGTCCTCCCAATACTCATCCGTAATACTGATGTCCAACCGCATCTCTAGACGACTCATTACGTCCAGACTGGATTTGTCCGGCGTCGACTTGACCAGCTCGATGAGCTCTCCCTCCTCAGTCCCTTCTTTTATGAAAGGCGGTGGCTGTGACGCAGGTGGTACATCCTCCACAGGTGTCTGCTTTGGCCGAATGGTCTCCAGACTTGTCCAAGAACAACGGGCGGGTCCTCGAGGTACGAGGATACGCGGTGCCTTCGGCGAGCGTGAGGCTTCAATCTGTTGACGAGGTCCTCGGGGTACGGGACCAGTGGGCTTTGCGATCGGCGAAATGTCATATAGAAGGCGGGAAGGCGGCAACGGAGGATTATTTCCAAATGTGTACCTGCGAAACCTGACTGATGTTTCAGAGTTACCGGCGGCATCGTCGTACTTCTTGTAACCATTTCTAACCCTTGAATGAGTCTCGGGTTCCGATACACCCTCGATCAGATGTTTGTTCAGCTCGATCAGCCTCCACCTCTTCCTATCATCGTCCTCCTGCCACCACGCACCCTTCCACGCCCTTCCATAGTACGTATCCATGTTCTGGCCTGTGGTTCTCTTGTACGAAGCAGGGATGATGCACCCCGAGGCATCTTCTGACATCAAGCGCGGTAACTGTTCATACATATAATCCAAATATGAATTGATCGTATCACTCGGTGCATAGTCCCAATCCTTCGCACCTCTCTGCGCAGTTTTAGCGGCACGGAATATCGCTATTAGGACACTGTTTATAGCTGCGTGTTGTTGAGGGTCGTGGTGGGAGAAGCTGGCAGAAGCCATCGCGACGGCCTCATTCGTGACAATCTTTTTGAAGGTTGGATCAAAAAGTAGGGAAGCGAGTGCCGACACCCTACCGGTAGGGTTGCTGGCTTCTCAGCCGCCTCTTGGGCTGGGGCCGGGGCCGGGGTATATCGTAGAGCGTCGCATTCTCGGTCTGCCTTGTCGCTACGTTCTTTAATTGGCGAGTGGAGCGGGAGTGTCTTTCCACGCGTGGAGAAGCCTTCATTCTGCTTCGTCCCCCGCTCTCGGTGAGCCAATTAGCATTGGTGTGGGTATAAATCTCGATTGAGCATGTTGCACTTCACAGATACCAGCGGTTGTGGATGGTGGTATAAGTCCAGAAGAACTAGACAATATCGGCTTGGAAAGTTTGTCGAGGGGCTTCCACCGACTAAAGCATGGGGGTGATAGGACTTGCAACCCTCGTCGCGGGTGATGATGCTGAAGAGGCCCTTGAAAGCGGCGGCGTCGATGGCGTGCTTGTGACTGATGATACTGAAGTAGCACTCGAAACTTGCGGTGGCGATCGAGCTGACCCTCACCACTCGCTCCTTCCATCCAGAGTCCCAACCTCTTCCCCCCGACCACTTTGGACCCCGGCGTCGGTCCGTTGAATCCATCTGCAAATCCCAGGTCCGCTCCCTTTCTCCAGAACGCTTTCTGATTCCTGAGCTTGCATAATCGCGGGCAGAAGCTACCCCAGTGCTGTTGGTCATCAGGGCAGGCAGGGCACATGGCGCCACAGTGCATCCAATTACGACGGTGTTGGTAGTCTTTCTCATTCAGACAATTGAAGCAGCGAATATCGGTGGATCGCATACCGACAGTCTTGTATGCTCGATGCAATGCCACATCTGAGAAGGGAAGGAGGCGGGTGTTCTCGGGCGTGGAGACGGAAAGGGGCCCGAAGCTGTAAGGGTTTGGGATTTGGTGGGAAGAATCGCTGATCCTTGTGGTATCACATTATTCATTTGTTGTTCTAATTGATTAGTGAGTATCCTGGGACTGCTCATCATCGGTTCGTATGGAAATATGTTCGGTGCTATCACCACTCGAGTCGGTTTCGGAAGTGAATGCACAAGATACTGTTCAGGTTCAGCGTAAGCGCTGGCTCTGTGCCCAGAGCAAAAGGCCATTGTATTATCCATGAGGGCAGAAGCATCTAAAGCAGCAGGCCGTATCCAAATACCCCTCCCACGCGCCGCGCCTTCCTCCCGCACTGTCTGTGCGCGTGGGTGAGTGTTTGCTTTTGTCGGGGCAGCAGTCGCACCCACAACGTGTTGAGAGCCATGATTGCCGACAAAGGTCTTAGAATGAGAGGCGCTTTCTAGGAGAGCCGAGTTTAACCTCTTGGCTATAGTACACCTGAGGAAATTCGAGGTTCTGACCACTGACTTTCAGCATGCTAGGATGTAGTTGGATCGGTGCACCCTTGCTGATTCGCTAAATTCAAGTAAGCAGATAAACAGCAACACATCGCACAATGGCATTAGGCTCTTACGCATGGTGTGGTTCGATCGCGTGATGCAAAGCCCAAGCTGCACAAGCCTTCCGTCTCGATGAAGGCACGGCTGTCGGTTAGTTTACGGCAGGCTTCGTTGAACATGGCCGAGGTAAACTTCTCCGGTACCGTACGAGTGCACGTTTGGTAAGGCTCAATTCGCAAAAGCTCCTGTGCATACCATGTTGGACCATCCTTCGTGCCAATGTTGTCAGCTTTTGTGTGGGGATCTATGTCCTTTCCAAACACTGTATTGACTAGTCAGTACTTCTGGGTGACTTAGGGTGAGAAGAAAGAGCGGCGTAACAGTCTGGAGATGACCGATCACAGAGATTTCAGGACCTTCAAGAATGTGCTTGTTTCTATCATCATTCAGAGGTTTTCCATCTGGCCCGCGTGCCTTGTTTCGGTATGTGACCAGCCCAATTGAACATCATAATAACCACGTACCTGCTTCATCCGGGAAGCCTCGCTATTTAGGTACGCCATCTTATCAGCATCACCAACACGTCAGTCATACACAACATAGACGCGGAGCTTCTTCAACGCTGCTATGGCCTCATGGGGCCCGGGCGCAGCCAAAAATTCGCTCACGAGCATCGGACGATAGAATGGACTGGTCGCAAGGTTGAGGGTGAGGATGGAATTGCCCATGCCCGGTTTAATCGTATAAAAGTATCCGCGAATGGTCTCGAGTGAGATACAATCGCTCATAGGGCTCCGCGCCGTTTTGATGAAGAATTTGTTGGCTGATTGCTTATAGTATCTCTTTACCAAGGCCCTTAGATATGACGATGTTAAAGCAGCGAGCGATGTCCACGAATTTGGGGTTGCCCAGGGAATACTGCTTAAGACTGTGAACGTTCACTTTTTATACGAGCTGGAATCGCAACAGCAGCTCACTTTCGCGATCTGAAGTAGCCAGTCCAGTCCAGACTTCATGGCCAGCTCTGAATGATATTCTGGACCATTATTTTACTTGTCTTGGTGTTGGCTTTTTCGGGGAGGTCCAGAAAATTGTACTCGTAGATGGTCTCTGCAGTCAAGATGCATGTGAAGTGGTTCGTGATGACGTTACTTCGGTTATTGTCATTGCTGAAGTATTCTCGAAGTGACTATTGCGGCTTTGTGTCATTCGCTTTACCGAAGATCTACTTGGAAGATTGAGGATCGAAATGATTGAGTAGTGCCTTCCTGTCCCGCTTCTCCTTAGGCAGCGTCCAGTCTTCTCCAGCACCGGGCGTTGTCTGCTCGCAGCGTGCTGAAGCGGGAGGGTAGTGCATCTCAAAATCGAAAATGTTGTTGACATAGTCAGAGGTGTTGCTGGGCTTTGGGAAATCTTGGATAGACTCGTTTCTGCCACTGTTCCCGCCAACGGGACGGCCTCCAGTATTTGGATGACCGCCTCCGCCTAAACGGTACGACATAGTGGGTCCAATTGCGAGGCTCCGAGCAGTGTGATTGAGAGTAAGATCAAAAGTGGGCAGTGCAGTCACAATTGGATTCGATAGTTAGTAAAAGACGATTTCGATAGATGTGAAACGATGGGCTTAGTGATAATGAGAAGAGGAGTCTGCGCATCAGGGTATTCTGCTCACTCAATGCAAAATTTGATGGTATTTGAAAGCTTCCCAATGGCCACATTATATATGCAGAGGGCCCTATTATCCAAGACACAGCGAAAGACAGTCTGGGCGGAGGGAAATAGCATTGCCACGGGTATACCTTTGATTCTATCGACGTCGTAAGCGCTGCGTCGCAAGAGCGGTATTGAGAGGTTCGGAGTCCCACGTCGCGATCTGGGAACTATAGTTTGCCAAAAGGGTCCAAGTTGCGAGTATCTTCAGGGTCTGAGATGGTGGACGATGACGGTGTGTTACGTTGTGCAAAAAGCAATCTGGTCAAGAGGGCTGATGTGCGGTGCGTCCACCGTGGGGCCCAAAAACGCCAAAAACGCGCTAAGCCCCGCGTTCACGCGTATCCCTGTCACTAACGTCAGATCTACTCCAGTCCTACGTCTACACCCCGCTCTGGTAGCGACGCCCACACTAATCATGTCGCGACATAAGACTGTCGTCGAACAGAAGCAGCAGTTCTTACAATCAAGGAAGCAGTATCTGTCTCGCGGTATAGCGCCTTCGGAGAGGCTCAAGCAGATCGCGCATGAAGGCGGTGTCGAGCTGAGTGTGTTGAAGGGCGCCGTGGACAAAGGTGCGTACTCGGGTTTATGAAGCATTTGAAAAGCCTCTGATATTTGGTCCAGTCAATCGAGAGCTCAAGCAGCACTCACGGCGTGTCTACAGCCGGCAAATGACCGAACATGTTGTCGAGCAAATAGACACCTTTTACTGGGACTCCGGTACCCGCAACGTTGACGACGATGCGGTGGATGCGACGACGGACATGACCGAAGACGAAAACGCGATGTATCTGAACGACGACCTTACACAAGATGTAAACATCGCCCAACTCCCCACACGCTGGGATACCTTTTCCGACCCCTCTCCCTCGTCACTTGAGGATCCTATCGACCAAGATGACTATCTGTCTGCGATGACGCGTCTACAAAGTCTCTCTGCTCAGCGTCTCACTCTCCAACAGAAACTCAATACTTATCGCACGCTGCTGGCGCTGCTAGAACCATACCGCCAGCCGAAGGACAATGTGCAGCCAAACCTGGTATGGAAGGACAGTCCGCTTGCGGGAGAATTAGGAAAGATGAGGACGCTGGCTATCAGGGTCGCGGGAAGAGTTGGGGAAAAGTTTGTGGATGCTCAAGTTCCTGCTACCGTGGAGGAAGATATTGCCGTGGAAGAGGATGGTAATGAAAAGGTGAAGAAGGTTCTCGCGAATTGGTAACGCTTCACCATGGCGTTTTGGTTCAGTTTAGGATACCCTGGGATTCTGTTCTGCTTGTGTCAAGATTATTCCCGGGTTATACTTCGAATGAACGAGAAGAAGTGCGGAGATTTCGCGGATGTCACGAGGAGTGTTACGTCAAGATATATCTTCCCGGGAGCGGCTCTAGGCGTTCAATCTGTGGTAACTGTTCCTTGTTGAGTGGAGTACAGTCTAGAAGGACGCTACGCACTTTCCAGCTGTAGAACGTGGTCGTTAGAGGAAGGGTGCATTAAGCCCACCTCTGTCAACCAGGCAGTCGCCGTCCACATCCACCTATGTTCGGCTTTTGCTCCTGGACATCAAACCATTGCATTCGTTTACCCATTCTTCGCATTGCCCACGGTACACATTTTTAGTCACTCACTACGACCCGGACGCAAAGCCATTCCTCCAATGCGCGCTCAAAGGCAAGGCACGCCATGCAGTGCGACTGTGTTGCGCATGGCACTGCAATGCAACGTTCGCTTATTCCAGGGTACTTGAACAAAGTCCCCAAGAATGTCGCTGTTTTAACGTCAAACAGGTATGGTACTCAACTACAAGCTCGCCACTGCTACGAACGAACAGGTGCGTAGCACAATTTCCGCCAACATTGCAGAGTTTGACAGTGATTGTGCAGATAACGAAAGAGCTGTACCAAGTCCTGAGACCGGTAGTCCGAGCCCAGGTACAAGAAGCCAAGAGACACGGCCTATCTAACAAAAGAATTTACTCCTACTACTCCGTACTCCGCTCTACGATCGAGAAATCGTGGAATCGAAAATGGCGACACGCCACCTGGTTTTGGAACTCGGAGGCTGTCATGTCCATTGTTGCATGGCTTGTCGATCTATATGACAGAGAGGTCATTGAAGAAGACGGAGAACTGAAACCACTAATACTTATCAAGGCCTTGGCAGTCGCTTTAAAAGAACTTTAGGAAGGCAAGAAGTATGCCCAATTGGAGAGCGAGTACGACGCAAACATTGAGGACCCTGATGGAGGCTGCAGCACAGAGGCAAGCATTGCATTCCCAATTCGTAGGTTTCAGCTGATTATCTAGTCAATACGCAACGTGCTCGAGGAGGAGTTTGTGGAGAGTCTTCAGAGACATGACCCACCCGGCCCTGTGGCTGACAATGAGGATTCGCTTCCCTCCGTAACGTCGTCTATCGAACCTGCCGCTCACATTCCGAGCCCGACGCCCGAGTCTGATGCAACAGATCCATCAGATCAGGGACATGGGAAGGGTACGGCTCCTGAACTCCCACCTAGCCGACCCACAGGTCTCTACACAGAAGACGGGTACGACGTCGGGTCGCATGAAGGCCTACGGAGACTGAACCGTGATTTTCTCCAAGCTGTGAGAAGGCTTACGCCACATTGTTTCAATGGTGTCGCTCGGGCGTTATATCCCAAGGCTTGGGCAAAGTTGCAGGATATGCGTAGGCAAGATCGGGGGCATCAGGCTCGAGCCGCGAATTCTGCGAACCAAAACCAGGCTCCGAGTGGCCGGATGTCGGACACTAATGCTGGTGAGTAATGTCCGCGAGGTTGATTGTCCGGATGTTACGTCGTGTCTTCTGCGACTACTCAGACAAAATTCGTTCAGAACCCTTTGCTACACATCATGACACATATTGAAGGCGTAGGCTTATTGTACAATAGGCTCATCTTCAGAAGTCGCACGACAGTCAAGTTCCATTTTGCCTCACCCGCCACAGCCAGGGTTCGCACCATCGCTAGGCTCAGAGCGGCGTCCAGGGCAAAGTCAAACGCAGTACGAGTCACGGCTAGCATCTCTCAGACTTCTACACAGTCGGACGGATTTGCCAGCATTACCTCATGCGATAGAGTTCTCCGCAAGTACCGATGCTCAAAGCGCTGTTAAAAGAGCTTTACAGGCTGGTGCCGATGCAGGAGTCGCGAACTTGATTGGATTGATAACACAAAGGCAACACGAAACATCCACGCTCCCCCAAGCTGAAGCGTCCACTCTCTTATCGCCAATGTCTCGACTACCGCTTGCACCAAGCCTTACTGTCACCGCAGCGGCATCTGTCCGCCAATTTACGCAACATAATGTAGACAGCGATGGGGTGAGTCATGAACTAGTACCGGAACAAGTTGGCAGCCATCCGACGATTGCGGACAATGAAAGTCTTGGAAGTACTACGCAGACACAAGAGGATGCCACCAGGAGTACGTCGCCTTCGTCGGTAAGGTCAGATGAAACAGTCGTTTATATAGGTCCTCCGCCAAACCCCATGCCGAGAACCGACACATCGGCTCTAGAGCGCGGTATGAGCACAGGCGAGAGCGACACCAGCAACAAGACTGAGGTCGCGATTGAGCCGGTGGACGCCGCCAACCGAAGTCCTTCTATCGATTCTCTACATCCCGTTCCTGCTGGCACGCCACCGAACACCCCACAGATAAATTCTTCAGCGTCAGATACGTCGTTAGATTCGCAAACAGATAACTCGTCTTCTGAGTCTTCTCAAGCTGATCGATCTTCCTCTCGGGAAAGGGACAGCTCCTCCGACAACGGAGAGGAAGACAGTGCGGAGGACGGCGACGAGGATGCGAGTGAAGAGAGTGAGTCTGAGGACGGTCCCGAAGACGTCGGGGTGCAGGGGACAGTGCGAACTTATTTTGAGAATCCGTACTATCACAACGACATTGCTGAGGCGGTGGGCGGAGAATCATGACTGGTGGGGTTGAAGCATAGCAGTAATAGTCAGAGAGTTTGCAGACTGAGCTTCGACAAGCAGTGCTGTCAAGGGCATTGACGTGAGAATGCATTTCATGCTTTCACATAGCAATGTTGGTGGTATTAATCATAAATTGAGGCCCTGACTTGAACAATGCAGGGCTCAGATATGCAGGAGAACTAGGGTATCGTCCACAACTTTCCTCTGCTCCATAGCAAGCTATACCATGCCATGCTACGCTATGCACGCTCGCTACAAATCCAGACTGAACCATGCACACAATCGTCAAGAACAAAAGGAAACTCGTATACACCACTCCATAATCGTACACCTACCCCGTTGCCCAGTCACATTCCGTCCACTCAAACCTCAATGTTCTCGAACGGATCCCGATCCGGCGGCAATCCCCCTATACAGCACATGCCCACTCGCATCCAACCTCGCATTCACACTCGTAATCCAGATCTTCCTACTGAATTGCCCCGTGCGTCCGATCTCATCCGCCGCTATGCCCAGCTCGTCATGCGGGATCCAGATCGCAGGTTGAATAGCGCGTGTGGCAGGATGCTGGAAACTGCGCTTAATCAGCTTCTGGCGGGCCTCGGGCTCGATGTCTTCGAGCTGGTCGTCAATGTTGTCGAAGAGGTTTGCGGTAGGGAGGGTCTGAGACTCGATGTCGCGAATGGGGCGGCCGAGATCGTCGACGCCGGCTTTGAGAGCGTTGGTCACAGCGTCAAGGGGGCTGACGTGCTGCTTCTTGTTCTTCTTCGGGGTGCTGGGGTTCGATCTGTGAGCGAAGTCGTGCGAGGAGTGGCTGTGCGACTTGTCGCCTTTGTGGTGGGATTGTGAGCGTGAGCGGTCGGCCCACTTGGGACGGCGCATGCGTTCAGGGGACTCGCTAATGCGGGGCGTATTCTTGCCGCTGCTTTCGAATTGCTTGAGCTCGATGCCGCCGTCGTGGTAGGCCTGTGAGCGGTGACGATCTTCGTCTTCCAGGCGCTGGGATTCGCGGCGCTCGGCCTTCTCGCGAGCGGAAAGCTCGCTGTTGAGAGAGGTGTGCTCGTCCGCGTCACCGCTTTTACCATCGCTCTTAGATTGCCAGCGAGTGGCTTGTGCACGCTGGAACTCTTGATCGCGTTCTACTGCCTCGTCTTCGAAAGTAATGGGGAGGTATGTGTAGAGAGGCCCGAATGCGCGGTTGAGAAGCAGTTGAAAGAAGACTGTAAACACCAGAGTGATAATCATAATGATTGCCTGTGGGAAGCAAGAGAGTTCGCCTTCAAACCGTTGCAGGAAGAAAAGACCGATCAAGGTAATCTCGAGGAAGTACAAGCCAGTGAAGAGTTGATTGATCGCCTTCGGGAAGATCAGGCCATTGGTTTCAGCTTTAGCGTACGAGACGTAGATCATCTGGTACCTGTAGGTGAACCAGAAGAGACTGAATGTGATCATCAATACAACCATCAGCAACGGCGCGATGACGGCATAGATGAGTCCAATGGCGCCGAAATTCGTATAAACCGGAATCATGTTTCCCCAGGTAATACCTGGCCGGCTAAGTACCCGAGCGACCTTCTGCCGAGGAGTAGTGTCCAGGAAACGACTAAACAGAAGGAGTGCTACTGCGGCGATCTGTAACAAAGTTCCCGAACTGATACTGAATGCCTGCAGAATCATGTACGAGAAGAAGTAATCGGCAGATTTTGGAAGGTCTTGAGCAAGCGTCTGCGGGATGTTGATAATGGTATTGCCCGCGCTGGACGGGTCCTTGAGGGCAGAGTCGAGAATACCTGTGATGCCTGAAGAGATCGACACAACTAGGAACAATTGGACGAACACGAATGCGAAGTAGAAGTTTTGAACCAGCAGCTCTCTCTCGCCCATTGTAGTTGTACCAGTTATCTCAGCCATGAGACGCAAGATAATGGGTAGAACGGCGAATAAGATAGCAAGAATGAGGGGAGGCAACACACCTTGGATGAAACTGATGAGCCATACTGGCAGTTTCTCTATCCACGCGAGCCATGATACTTGATCCGTCAAAGTCGAGATTTTCGAGAGGCCTCCGGTGAAGGCGACCAAAGGCGTCCACAAGATGATCAAGGTCACAATGATTGCGACGATGACCAACATCCGGATGTAGCGTGACCACCAGGGCAATGTGAGGTTATCCCAGATGACTTCATTGGGATTGACCTCGACAGTTCGGGGGTTCATCTGTTGAGGAATGTGGTGACTGAGCGACTGACAGGCCATATGTGCTGCAACCTGATGATTGAATTGAATAAAGGCAGAGTTCATCAAAGGAAACTGTTCCAAATTAGATTGGTCTAGGCCAATTTCGTGGTTCAATCGAGCCAGCTCTCTGCGGCAGTAGTAAATTGTGTCAACTTTCTTGCCGATCAAAGGAATTGACGGCCACCAAGACTTGTCGAACAGAGGCACACGCATCGTTTCGCGATCCTTTGGCTTGATGTACTTTCTCCAGAGAGCCTCCTCGCCATCTTCGATGAAAGACGGATCATAGACGCCAGCATAGTCATAATTGACGTCCTCAGTCTTCTGGATTTCCAACGGGAATTCTTCTCCCTCGGCGCGGAACGGCTGGGGACTAGCAAAGTCGCTCAATCGCCGGATTGGGTTCAGCTTTGAGTTCTTAATGGTATTAATCGCCTTAAGCGGACCCAGTGTAGACTCCGCCGTATGAGGGCGCTTCTTGTCATGTGTGGAGACGGGAGAGTTTGGTTCGGTCGCAGTCCCATCGGAATCGAACTTCACTTTGGCTGGGTCATTCAACGGGGTATAGGTATCGGAACTTGTCCCCCTCCCATCAAAATCAGCGGTCACGGGTGAGCTAGTGCTTTCAGAGGTGATCGTCTCAGGATGAGACCTGTCACGGTTGTGGCCGTGTTTGTTGCCGAATGCGCCTTTGATCCCACCAGTGAAACCACCGACCACCTTGCCACCGAATCTTCCAACATCACGGAAGCCGTCCCCGACAGCCTGGATGCCTTCGCCCAAGATCGGTATAGGAAGGATTTTGCGCCTGCGTTCGGGTGAAGACGACCGGGAAGAAGACGAAGAAGAAGAAGACGAAGAACTCGACGAGTCCTCCTTCAACACTTCCTGGAGGGTCTGCTCGATTTGATGTGGGTTGTTAACGCTCACTCCGTGTTCTTGCGTTTCATGATGGATGACCGCGTTCTGCGTGTCTTCCTCGGCTTTCTTCTCCTTTTTACTTTTCTTTTTGCCCTCTTGCTTTGCCTTTTTCTCTTCCATTTTCTTGTCCTTCTTGGTGCATTCAATGATGAGGTTCACTTCGGCGTTTTCGAGTGATAGTGCAATCTTGGTTCGCTTCTTGACCTTCTCAGCTAGATCGTCGTAGTTGCGGTTGATCCAAATCTCCTTGATTCCGCCCGGGAAAACATCGTATAGAGCATCGAGTGCAGCAACGGTGAGCCACTTTCGAGGGATGCTCTGCACCAGAATGGTGGTAGCAGAAGCGCGAATGCGATGCTCTGGCAAGGTGAGAATGGTCTGCCTTAGACGCACGAATTTCCTCAGAGCCCTGTAAAAGTTGTAGCACACCCAGACGACCACCAAGACGGCCAAGACGGCGTGGGCCCAGAGTCGCCTACGCTTGGACGTTACGCTGACGTTCGGCCAGGCAAACGAGTCCAGGCCCGATACGCCCGGCACATCGCCGATGCGGTTTATAGGCAGGAGAATCGGCAGGATCACGATGGCCATAGGTACGAAGATGCGAAGCAGTAGCTGGAGGTACTGCAAGAAGAGGTAGCCGTCCACGCCTGCAACGCGAATGACCTCGCGGTCGCTGATGGTGAAGACATTCTTGAACGATTCGATGGCGGTCGTAGGGGCGGCTATTCGCTTGCGCTTAGAGACGAAGGAGGTTTTGTAGTAACTAGAGCCAGTCAGTGTGCGCCTGGTGGTTCACTCCTCATTACGACGACGTACTAAATCTTGTGAAACAAACTCTGCCGTGCTGCTGCCTTCTCGGTTGTTTCCTTGGACCGCCGTATTTTCCAATTACCGCTCAGTATCAGAAAAGCGAGGATCTGAATGCCAAAGACGATGGCGGCGGTCGAGAGCGAGGCGGCGAAGGTCTTGATGCTCTGGTTTGTCGAGTTCAGCGCAACCCCAGTCGAGTCTGAGGGCGTCTCCCGTGGGGCGAGGATCACCGGGCTCGCGGCCGACATAGTGCTCGAGCACGCCGTGGAGGCACTGGGCTGTGTCCCCGGGTCTTCTCAACGGTTGTTATAGCCGCGATACGGGGTTTCAGGCGGCCTAGGCCATGGGCGTGTGCGTCAAGGGTGGCGGAAATTCTGGGTGGGAGACGGGAACACACAAAAGAACAGTAGTGAAGTATCTAAAGTCGTAAGGACGGTCGTCTGTAGGGTACATAAGGTGCAGGCGCAGGGACAGGACCAAGTGTTTCATGGAGACGCCATGCCAACGTCCAGCCCGTCGTTGGTCGTATTAGGGCTAGTCGGCGCTTGCGATCTAATTGCACGCGCCATCTGCGTCATGGAGCGGCAAGCGAACCGCGACGGCCAAACGATGGTCACCGGCGAACGTTCCTCAAACGCCCCTGCGTAGAGGGCCCGGTTGTCCCTTGCGATGTTCCTGGCTAAGTGGTCGCGTACCAGGTACTTAAAACGGGCGGTAGTTCGTTATTGCTCGCTGTTTGCAAGGCTGCCGAAGTCAGATCTGAATTGAATGTGTATCCAGGGGTCGTACAATGATTTGCCGCTAGTCCCCTATGACGATGTCCCGCATCGCCCAGCCTTGCTCCCGAGTCCGAGATCAAGGAACGGCCTTCATTCCGTCCTTCTCTCCCTGTGCGCTGATATACTTCACCGCTTTGTTTGGTGCTATTCATTCGTATTGTAGCAAGTCGGAATGACCAGACGTCTTTCACCTGCCTCCTTGCGTGCGCCTTGTCAAGGCGCAGTGCGCACAAAGGATTCTATGAAGCTGACAATCTGAGACAGCAACCGGCAGCATGGATCTCGAGATCTGATGTTCGCAAGGTTCTGGGATGCATCGGGTAGATCGGCTGACAGGCCGTTCCACGGCACTGGGGATACGTGAGACATGTTATGCGCCGGCGTTCTACTGCTATAAACTCTGCGGACAACCTTGTTGGGACAACCTTGACTTGCCAATCAACACAGTAGCAAAGCCTTTGACGAGCTTCATCGTTATACTACATCTGCTTTGATCTATCTCCGTTTTAGCATCATGTCGACCGCCATCGCACTTCACGACAGAATTTGGCCCAAATAGCTCTACAGCCCTCCTACACAAATGCACACACTCCAGGACTTCCACATGGGAGATGGACTCCTCGTGGCATAGCACGCACATGACACGGTATCGAGTCTTTGGAGAGGGAAAAGTGAGAGGAAAGAGGTCGTGGCCAAGTATGCAGATAAACAGTGGGGCGGCATTGTAACAGGTGGGTGGAACGGTAGTTATCGATGAGAGGCAGGACGAGATGAGGTTGATGCCTTGTTTGAGTGCAGTCGAGGTGTTCAAGAAGAGGCAGACGGCGGCGGGGAGTAACGGATTCTGTACGAAGAATCGGTCTGTCCGGGGTAGATAAAGATAAAGCAATATGTGTATTTGTGGCATTTACTCTGGAGTAGTACTTCATGCTCTAAGATGTTCAAATCAATGGCGCCAATCACAGACACCGGGCACTAACCCCAGGTTCAGCCCTGTCAGCAAGTTCCAACAGAATTTTGGTAGTCTCATTCGGCTTTTCCAGCATCATCCAGTGTCCGGCATTACGAATGATCTCAACTGTCGCGTCTGGAAGATGCCCGTGCTGTCTTCCCTTATCGACTGCGTCAAATGCTATTTCGGGACAGCCCACAGCATCACGCTGGCCCGCGATGACGGTAACGGGTCGGGTGATGGCAAAGGTGTCCTCGGGAATGGCGGCTTCGTGGTCGGCATCAATCTGATAAAGAGCAGATTTGTACCAATTTAGCGGTGCCTCGAAACCGCCCCGTCTGAAGGACTCGTTGAGTAGTCGGTGGATTTCGATGTTGGAATCCGATTGCGATATATATCCTGCTTCATGTTGCGAGTTGCATGTAAGCCATTCTCGGAGTCTGCCTTTCGGCAGAAGATAGGTTTTCCAGATCTCTGGATCGGATGCATAGAAGAGCGATGTAGCCGACTCGACCTGCACAAATTGTGTTAGTCGGAGCTTGCGGCAAAGGTGGGGAGACGTACATATCTATTGAGCAAGCAGGGTGCTTCCTGAGATGTAAGAAAGTACCAGTACCCACCCATATCATACCCAAATCTCTCCTTCGCCATCGAGCTCATGGTATCAAGATCCATCTTTTGGGGGGTTCCAGGAGCGACGCTCATGAAGGCAAGCCCCGTAAAGTTTTGAGGGTAGTACCACCACATTCTTGATAATAGGACCGCTCCCCTGCAGTACTTCTAGTCAGTCCTGCCATAGTCAAGGGCAGTCTTTCAGTGCTTCGAGCTGACTTTAAGCACGGTGCGCTGCTCGATGAGATGCAATCACTTACCAGTCATGACCAACCCCAATCACTGATATCAATTCATGAGATTCGAGTACCTGAACAATCTCAGCACCCATCGTTCGAAGTGAATATTCGTGCACGTTCGTAGGTTTGGAAGTGTCGCCGTAGCCAAGAAGATCCGGTCTAAGGACACCATAGCCGACACTCCTGAGGCGGTCGGCAACTTCGTTCCAGATGATGGATGTGCTGGGAAATCCATGAAGAAGGAGAAACGTCGGCAGGCCTTTGGTAGCAGGCGTGTACTTGTAGGCGTACGTGTGGTGCGTCGAGAGCCCTTGGATGTCGAGGGTTCTGGTTTGCTCTTCCTGAAACATGACGAGATAAAACCTAGAGAGCCAGGCGATTCAGTATCCTCGTCCTGTTTATATGTTGAGCTAGGAAAATGCGGGGTGTTTAGACTTTTAAGCTGCTGTATGCCGCATGCCGTATGCCGATGCTGAGGCGCGGAGTTGAGTTCAGAACGCCGACGTCGCTTGTAATGAATCGGATTGAGAGAAGGAGATGTTGTATGTGGTAAGATGTCTTTGCACAAAGGCATGGGCAGCATGACGGAAGGCACATCTATCGACTCTATGCTCAGTCTGACCGGGACTGGCATCTGGAGCAGGAGCGTTTCTAAAGCATAGCGGTTGCGTGGATAGCTCACGACCGCCGTGTATGTATGTTAATTCCCGCTGGATCGACTACACTCCGTCTCCCAGCTAATATGCTGCATCGCACTTTACAGGTCGTTGCTGCCATTCACACGAGACATTGATGCTATCTATATTTGGCCTAGCCTTGTCGGCTCAACCTCGGGCCATGCGGCGACATTGCGCATTCATCCCAATATCCTGTCCCTCGGAGGAACAGCTCATCTTTTTGCTGGCACTTCAATATCGCGCGCAGCATTCAGTATTCGAAACGCGTCTACTAGGATACTGCGCGCGCTGCGCCTTCCTCGTCCCAGGGCTCTTCGTCTATCTCCCAGACAACGACTCTACCAAAAACAACAACCCCTCCCTCGGGCACCCTACTGTTCCGGCACCCCTTGACGCCGAAACTCATACTCGCACTATGAACAATTTCTCTTTCTTGGACTCAGGCCCGCAACCCCCGCTTCCCCGCGCCGCTCCCTCCCCTTCTCCCTCGCCAACCTCTACACAAGCGAACGGCATGCCTGGTCCCGGGCCCCAGCAGAATGGCATACCGATGGTCAATGGCCTGCCGAGCGGTGGTCAACAAACGGATATGAATCACCTATGGAGCGTGGTTCAACAGCTGAGCCAGATGCTCGAGGAGAACAGGGCACAGACGGCGGGGATCGTGAATGGTGTGCAGGCCATACAGGCAAGAGCTGCGGAAGAAGGTGGTGTTGGCGGATTAGCGATACGTGAGGTGAATGGAGAGATAAACGGTATGTCGTGCACCAGGTCATCTTGACGAAAGTGAAGAGTCCGAGCTGACATACAACAGCAGCGACCCGCACTGCCGAAGTCACACAACTGCAGAACCAATTGCACACCGCCCAATCTCGAATGACAATTTTGACATCCCAGAACTCGACGCTCGCAACCCTGTTAACCGACTACGAAAACGCCCTTACTCTCCTGCTCGATAAGCTCCGGCCATACGCCTACAACCAGACACAAGCTATACTTTCTCTGCACAAACACTACCAAGGTCTTCTCGAACAAGAGCGTGCTACGAGCATGCAATTGCGGTTGGAGCATTCGGAATGGCAAGCGGGGCTAGGCCGAGTCGCAGAGTATGCGAGGGGCTCACTGAGAGCACAAGGAGAGAGTGAGAGAGGGCTACGAAGTGAGATAAAGGGACTGAAGGAAGAGAATCGGGTACTCCGGAGGTTGGCTGGGTGGGAAGAGAAGCCCGACGACAGTAGTGACGAGGAAGAGTGGAAAGGCCGTGAGGTTTGACATTCAGGCTGCTGTGTATCATTCGGAGTTGGACGGTGCTTTTGCACACAGCATAGCGACGGCGTTTGGTAGGATATCCCTGACGTTTGGGTCATGATGCGGTTCGCTCAAATGGAACGAGATGCTTCATTTCAAAAAATTCGTCACTCCACATGTTATCAGACCCATTCTGAGTAGCATTGGCTTTCGGGTCATTTTTGCGAGAAAGGGCAAAGAGGAAGAATCGAACTGACGTACTTTTTAAAAGCAAAAATAACTCAAGATTGGGAACTCTGGATTTCTCCGCAGACCTTTTAGGAACTCTAGATTTCTCCGCAGACCTACCCCACTAGACCAGCTGGTGGGCTTACTCGAGTTATAGTGTACACACAGAGATTCTATCTATATATGGTACCCAAAGTGAATGAAGTAAGAGGAAAGTTCCCGTGGCATAGCTTGGTGAATGAAAGAAGTGAGTGACTTCACCCATGCGGAATTGCTGCTGCAATCTTCCATTCTGACCTTCATTTCACCATTGTACGCGTCAAGCGCTTCTCTGACCGTAATAACCTCTACGATGAGGCGATTGATCGTCTCATTCCGGGGGACGAAACGCGCCTTGAAGGCTTCTGATCGTACATTTCCACTCTCGGTGTAAGCGAAGCTGTCGAGTCTGAGTTCCCTTGCCTCTCATAGTCAGCCTGCTGCTTCGAGGATGCAACCCATAAGGCAGAACGTACGTTCGCATCAAACCCAGCATGAATGTCGAACGCCCAAAGTATATGTGCCAGCGAGCACAGCAAACCTTGCTCGGCTGTTCTTCACCCCCGGCCGAACAGATTACTTCCTCGAGCGTTGGGATACGGGTTAGATTCCTTCAGGAACCGCTCAAACTTGAAGGCATCTAGATTCGGAAAGTCGCTAGGATCTTGATGAATCGCCTACTGTGTGCATGTAAAGTTTGTACCGGCGGAAATGGTAAGCTGGACATACGGATTTGACAGAGTTCGCATGTGGAGTGCCAGCAAGGATAGTGACGGTTCTCCAGCGCAGCACTTCCTCGACCAAAGCATAGAGGTAAGGTACCCGCTTGCTATCGACGTCTCGCCAGTCTGGTGATCGGTCCTGTCCCACTACGGAATCGAGCTCAGCCTGGATTTTCCATGGAATTGGGGAAAGCAGTACACAGAAAGAACGCAGCTGATCATCGTACTTGATGGCGTGCCGACCCCGCCTTCTATTACATTCCCAGAGAGTCCCGCCACTTCCACATCAGTCAGTCCATCCTCTTGTCGAGTCGACACCAGCTCTTCGCGAATTTTTTCGATGGCGCTTCAGGGCCCTCTTTTGACAGCAGGTAGAAGTCTTTCGATCCGATTGCGGAGCCTAGGAGAAGCTGAAATGGAAGACAATAGAGCCAAGACGGTAGCTTTGCGAGAGCAGGAATCGCCTCAAAGACAAAACGACCAGGTATGATGAGATGTACTCTTTCCATCGTCTCTAAAGCTTGTTGGGCGAACGTAATCGGTTTTCCGACGGATTCGGCGGCGCCGGCGCACGATCGATGCAGCGGAAACTGGGTGCTGTTCAATGGAAAGACGATGGTTGTGCGTTGATGGCAGACGGTTAGCGTGGCAAACAATCAAATTCAATTCAAGATGTGCATCCATGCAGTGACTGATATAGATTACGGCACGGATATGCCTTCGTTACTTTCATACTTCGCTCACCTCAATCGCCCAGTCTCTTCTTCATGAGAATCGCCACGTACGTAATGTGGGGGAAGCTACGGAAGCGCTGGAAGGCGGGGGACCGCAACCGCAAAACAACAAAGCTTCGACGAACCACGTCAGCTTGAGGCCGCACTGCACAGCATGTGGGGCATGGGCAGTACTTGGTATTTGGGGTACAGTGTTTAGTACAAGACGGTTGCAACCTCCATCCGCGTGTGATCATGTTGGAGAGGCCACTTGGGATAGTGACCTGATGCCCACCCGTTCTTGACTTGTGTTTGGTGACTTAAACCTGCATACGAAGTGTAGGCTATGCATTCAAGTGAGTTATCTTCTATTTATGGCATTAGTCCGGTTGGTCCAACACTTAGGGATCGATGTCCATGTAAGTCATGTTACTGATGTCGCTTTGCCAGCACCGGTTTCTAGAAATCCAAGCAATGGGTGCGCGCAAACGAGAATCGATGAGCAAGCGACTAGAAGCTACACTGAAAGCTCCGAAGAGTACGAATCCTTCCGCCTTGGTTACCAGAACGGATACGTGCCAAGCCGAAAGCCAGTAGAAATCGTAATTCCATATACCGTACCCCAAGTCGTGGCCACCGTAAAAAGAGCATGTCAGAAAAAATTACATATTGGAGTGAGATCTGGTGGCCACCAATGGACTGCATCAGGTCTCCTCGCCGGAGCCATGCTCATCGACGTTCGCCACGTCAATCGCGAAGTCGTATATGACCTAGAAACTGAAGTTGTGTCGTTTGGTCCAGCCGTTACCGGCGCGGAAATATCGGAGAAGATGCTTTCCGTAGGCCGCTTCTTTCCTCATGGTCATACGCCGAGTGTCGCTGTAGGAGGCTTCCTGCTTGCTGGCGGGCAAGGCTGGTTCTTCCGCAGCTGGGGTCTTACTGCAGAAATGTGGGTCTTGAAGATGGAAGTAGTCACGGCTTCTGGGGAGGTCGTTGTCGCGTCTCTGGAAGAAAATGCGGACTTGTTTTGGGCTGCTAGGGGTTGTGGACAAGGGTTCTTTGGAGTCGTGACGAAGTTCTGGTGCCGGACGATACCAGCCAGGAAGCTCTTTCAAACATCCTTACTCTTCAATATTCGAGAAGGATATGAAATGGTGCTTGGGTATCTTCTAGACGCAGCTGAAGCTACACCTAAAGAGGGGAACAGACATCACCTTTGGAACATTCTACCCGGAAAAGTATGATCCCAAGAGGATAAGCGATGAAATTCAGGACTCTTCAACACTCGTTATGGCCGCCTCTGTGGTAGCTTACACAAACTCCTTGGAACAAGTAGCATGGCTGATGGCGGCCTTTTCGGACTCGCGGCTACCGGAGCATGTAAGGCCGTATCTAATTAGCGTGACCGACGTACAACCTACAACGTGGAAAGAGCTATTCGCAGCCCAAGAAGCCTTCGTGCCACTTGACCACGGAGAGAGGTGGCAGTGCTCGAGCATTCTAAGCAATCCGGATCTGGATCAAAAGCAAGTAGGTGCTTCACCGAGATCCATATACTGCATAGGATCTCTGACATGTTGTTATTACAGCTCATTTCGGCAGTGAAGCCAATGCTGTGCAACCTACCTACCCGTCAGTCAGCAGGCTGCCTGGTCGCAGCACATATATGCCCTAGTGAGATAAACATGGCTGGTAGCCTTCCGCAAGAGTACTATATTGCCGCCATGTGCTGCTGGACAGATCCGGACAAGGATAATGTAATGCACGAGAAGCTTCGTCACGTCAATGAGGTTGCGAAGTCTGTCGCCTGTGGTCTTTATGTCGCTGATTTCAACACCAAGTGGCCTGTCAGCAAGGTACGTCGCGCCATACATGTACTTCTATTTGTACTCCCCTTCAAGTTGAGTATTAACATATTGCAGGTTATGCCAGACTCTGCATTCACAAGGTTTACTGAGATCCGCCAAAAGTGGGATCCTGAAGAAAGTTTCCAGGGCTATAGAGGATTGAACAATGAAGTGCAAAACACAGATCAGTAGAATATCTTTGGAAGTCTCGTACTGTATCAGAAGGAAATCATTGACGGAATTGCAAAATGCAGAAGCCCTGGTAGAACGTAATCTTGGGAAGAGATAGCGGGGTATAGCCGCGGTGGTATCGAGCTTCCTCTCATAAAGAGTTCTTGAATATTCAGTACACATATGTTGCTCCATAACACGATCCGTTATAAGGAAAACGAACGCAAAAGCAAGGCAATAGTTGACGCTGCCTCTCTGAGTCCCTCCACCACAAGCGCTACCTACCTAACGGCACGTGCTATTTACAGACTCGAGCAATGTGGTCTATTAGCGAGCGTGTGCTAATGGATCAAGACCTGGCGCGCACAATATGGCATACATCGTTTGGCGCAACAAAACACTCCGATTTCGTCAGGTCAATGCTGCTAGAATGCTATGAGGGGCATGCATAACGCAAACGCCCCATCGGCCACTTGACGCCTTAAAGGCTGATAAAAATCCCGGTAACATTCAATGATAGGTGCATTCGCATCCTAGATGCAATAGAAACTGAGTGTTGTGAGAATCAGGGACAGTTAAACTCTAGAAACGCTACGCTAAGTCTAATTGCTGTAACCACGGCGTTGAGGATCGTTCTTGGTAGGGTCGACAGGAATGTCTTTCCTTCCTTGCGCTTGGCATTGAAATTAGGTAGAGTGGTTTTAGTGATATAAGCGCCAATAGTTCAAAGCGCACCATTCTGCCTTCCATTCGGCAATGCGAAATCTGGTTAGTCCTCGATCCTCGCTAAAAGCTTGCGGCTAACCTTGCGGAGAAATACTAACGGTAAACTCTGTCCTACACCAACATCTGAGGACTAGTATATCTAAAAGGGCGAAATGGAAAACATATTATATTTAAACGCACCAGTAGGAAATGGGTGTACATGAAAATTATTCCATGAGAAACAAGTAATGTGTGCAACACAAGTTTTCCAGGGAAAGTGAGTGGTGTATGGAACGCAATTAACCTCAGGAAGCAAGTAGTCTATGAAGCCCAATTAGTCTATGGAAACGCAGGAGTCGGTGAGCAGCAGACGATCTATGCTAAAACCAAAAGAAGGCAAGGGAAGATGCAAAGGTGGAGAAGCGAAGCTATCTCCACTAACAAAGAAGACTGACGGCCAAAACAAGACAAAGGAAAGAAAAGCTCTAGATATCACGCAACAGTCCCAATCCGAATAATTCACCACCGTCTTCCCGCTTCCAAAACCCCTCCTCTTGGTACGGGCCTACATCCAGAACATTGTCCTCCCCAACGGTTGATTACCCCAAGGATTGCGTGGAGAGTTCGGTATCAGATCACCATTAGGCTTGCTGTCCGCAACACCATATAACGCCAGCTCAGCCTCGTTCATCGTCCAACCATTGCAAAAGTCCCTGAGACTGTTTCTATCTGTCTGTATCTGCTCCTGCTCGCTCCCAGTCACCCTACGCTTTCTGCCAGTATTGGGATCGCGCTCAGGTCCGTATCGTTTGACTCTTTTGTGACGGAGGGCATCTTGTTGCTGATTTTGCTTCCTCTCGATATCGTTGCGGCGAGGTCGACCGGCAGTCGTACGCACGAAAAAGTCACGGAGGTAGCAACGGCCACGTTCGCAGAGCCTATCAGCGTAGTAGGCGGGCGATGCGTATGAGACTCCACTTGTTGAACGGACGTAAGTGTAGCACAGCTCATGGGTCTGGTTAGATAGTTAGTGATATCACCAAAGTGACAATCATACGGTAGTGCGAACTTACTAATTGTCGAATCCGCAGCTCACTCAATTTCATCTCATTTTCAATGACGAAGTAATGAGCCGGTTTTGCAGTCCCCTGGATAGCAGCATGAGACTGTAGATAGAAGTCCATGTAGAACGGTGAAGTCACCACATCATCCACCAGTGTTCCGGGATGACAGTTTCCGGTTTTGTCCGCCCCTCCGGCTTTATCGTCTGGGTAGAAGCGGACGCTGTGACGTTTGACACAAATAATTGCCGTGATTTTCGGCAAAGGCGGGTTTGAGTCGGCAGGGATCTTCCTGTCGAGCTTGAGCTGTTCGACCGCAGCCAAGAAAGCTTGCCGAATATAAGGCAGTTCCTCCTCTTTCACCTGCTTAAATTGATCATCGCTCACACCATCGCGGTAGTAGATGATGTTCATCGGTAGAAGGCATTGCCCAGGCTGCCGCTTTGCAGCTTGTTGTTCTCCGCACCAGTCTATGATCCGCTCTGTCACCATGCTTTCTACTTCGTCGATCATCTGACCTGATTAGCATCATACCAATCTAATGAATTGGTAAACATACCTCTTTCTTGCCTTGACTCTGCAAGCGCATTGATCCCAGAAATCGACCTGCCAGTTCATCCACTGACCCGACGATTGCAGCGATGGATGGGCATCCTACAATCGCTGTGGGTCCAGGGTGTGTAACGTCAGCACCCAAGACTAGAGTGTCGCCAAACATGCGCTGGATCTGTCCGCCGTGGATGGTGTGATTGATGCCGCCTGTCTTCAAGTTCGCTTTCAGCATCAAGTTGCCCATCTTCTCTCCCAATTTACTGCGAAACTTTGCCTCTGTGACACATAAGGAGTGTTTTCCGAATTTTCGATCTGCAAGATCTTTGAAGTTGGCATACGCATCCTGATCTCGATTCGCCAGTACCATTAGGAAGAGATCGGTGTTGCGTTGCGCTGCAGCCATTACTGCGGTCATTGCTTCGCGGTTCGTCGGGTCTAGAGTGACAGCAGGGCCAATTTGTATCATCTTTGCAACGCTGTAGTTTTTATGGTCTCCAGTGGGCCGGCCAGCAAAGTCTCTGAACTGCTCGAAACAACGTCTCGCAAGAGTTGGGTCTGCTACCCCTTGGTCCATCAACAATTGCACCCCGATATCTTTCCAATTGCGACGAAGGAACTGTTTACCCTTGGTGTTCCAACGTGCTGATACCTGAAATGTCTCGTTTCCATATCTAGCATATGGAAATTCCAATCTATGACTGGGCACTTTCATCATGCTTGGGTTCAACTTTATCACGGGACAGAGTGGCTATTGGAAAATTTTTAGCTTCCTACTAATTGGAGATTCGACGAACTTACAAGGGCACTCATTCCAACCGCGTTCGGAGCAAATCCAAGCGCCTCCATGCCTGAAACCTCAATGAGGGCAGCGTTCTCGTAAGGCTTAATACATGCGGTATTGATCATAGCTGCAGTCCAGATGGGGCGCAGTAGGTCTTTGTGTAGCTGATAGGGCATGATTTGCAGTTCTTCAGGTGCATACCATTTTGGATCTTGCCTTGATCCCAGGTTCACTGCCCATAATTCAGGATGCTGCAAAGTGACGTTCCGAGCTGAGATCGTTAGCGAAGTTCATGACCTAAGATGCGTGGCTTACAATTGTGGATGTAATCCCGAACATTGACATTGGTCCCGTTCAGCGAAAAGTTCTGAGCACGCAATGGATCACCAAGGTCGCATATTTTCTTCACACGAGCCTCCTCACTGTTCAATCGTGTATAAGTTTCAGTGTCGTTGGGGTCGCCTCTTTTGTATTCGATGCGAACCCACAGACCTGCAAGAATGGCTCGCAATTCAGAGCGAATTCCCGAGAATGTCTGGCGATCTATCATTAACTGGCTAAGTAGCACGGGTCGGTAAGAAGCACTCGTGCGGGTTTGGAGATTCAAAAGTATCTTGCCAACACCGGGTTTCATCTGGTAATCGAAACCGCGGGAAGTCTCAAGAGAACGACAAATTTGAGGTGGTGTACCCACGAGGGGCCGATAAGAATTCTTCAAGTAGTACTTGTTCGCGCCAACCTTGAAAGTGTTCGTTGTAGATTCTTCGAAACATTTAGAGATGAGAATGTTTAATGCCGCCCTTGTAGGGTCCTGAATATCCCTCGCACAAGTGTCGATGGCATTTGGATACTCAATGATGCTTGGAATATTCACAGTACCCTCGTATCGAAGCCGCAGGTGTCTGGGTGTTGCTCCATCTTGTAGAGAAATTAATTTCCATTCCGTGCCAGGCGCTATATTGTTAGTCTGCAGTTCTGTACGCTCGAGTGGTATCCGACTGTGCAGATCAGTCCAAGCAATGATGGTATCAAAGTAATCGGTCGCAAAGCTCGCTTGATAGTTGAAGAGATATTCGGATTCTTGAATTGCTGTCTTCACAATGTCTTTGACTTTTCCTTTGCTCAGCGCGGAGAAGTTCGACAGGATCGTGTATCTGTGAAGTATGAGATCCTTTGAAATTTGGACCTCAAAGTGATTGGTGAATACATGGGAGTGTTCATTTGGAAACACATGTTCTCGCTTGGGAAAGTCCAGCTGATTATGGTCCAAATGTTGAAGAGTACTTGGCTGAGCAATGTTAGGGGGCCTCGCAAGATCTTGAGAAGAAGGCGGCGGTACAGAAGTTGGCTGATGACTATCTACGACTGTGCGACGCAAGTCTGGGTAGTTTCCTTCCTGCTCATACTGCTCGTCTTGGGTATCTGTGGCCTCACCAGCGTTGTCAAAGGCATCGATCTGAAGTGAGTCTTTGGATCGAGCTGGTGTCTTAGTGAATGCCGAAGTATCCGTGGAGGTCGGCATCGTGGTCTCATCCGTCATTGACACTTGAGGTGAATCGAGTCCGACACTGGAAGCTGGGGCTGGAGTTGAATTTGAGGCTGAACTTCCAATCAACGCCGCCAGCTGCGCACGTCTGTTCTTCAAAGCTTGTGAAAAAATCTTGTCGGCCGGGTTTCGCTGGTATGTTGCCTTGAGGTCGTTGATGTGCTTATCTGCTCCCATCTTCTTCCCATCTCCGAGCCACCCATAAGGTCCAGTGGCATAATTACTAGCGGCATTCGGACAAATGAGACAAGAGTGTGAAGGATCGTTGCAACGAATACAATTTGTAGTAAAGAATTGGTCTGTGATAGCAGTTTTCTCCTTCTTTCTGAGTTCTTCGTACGTCACCTTGCTTGGAGCCATTGTAGAGATGGAGCCAGGAAGTTCACAGTCTGGCGATAGAGGTGTTGGGTCGTGCTATGTTGATCAAGAGAGATATCTTAAGCCACGATGAACAATGAAAGAATCGGTCGTGTTACGATGTTCCAAAAAGTCGGCTAGCTGGGCTCTTGATATATGCTGTGCGTCGTAAAATTTTGGAGCAGTTGAGACATGCAAGCGGCTTGCGCAACACCACAACGTAGCTGAACCAAAGACGGTAGGAGTCGCAAATAACAATTCGGCAAACATTTTATACAGCTTGATGCAGCCAGAAAGTCTAATAGTAAGAGAGAAGGCTAATGGTCAGCAAACAAGGACAAGTATCTGGGCCATACTCACAAGTGTCGCAACTGTAAGACAAGCATTTGCAGAACTTCAACAAGTATTCGCAACAAGCTCACAACCCCACAGCAAATGCTTGCCTTACGACAATCGATGCACAACAGCAGCCATCTGACTAAGCTTTCCCAAGGAGGTCGCATGTTTGACCAACTCGAACCTGCCGAACCCTCTGCAGACCTTCAAGCGGGCGGAGAAAAGGGAAAACGATTGACACAACAAGAAGAGTGTACGCAGGGGCAATTGGGGGGGGGGGGGGGCAAGCGGCGCAGCTAAGGGAACATATCGGTGACGGCAAGTTGTAGCATGATCTTTACGTGCCTGTCCCATACAAAGGTTGGGTACCATAGGTGGCTTGCAAACCTCCACAGAGCGTCCCAAAACAGTCAATCACTTACTAGATCCAACAGCAGAGTATGTGGGCTACTGAAGCTGTGCCGAGCCGCTGTTCTCAATGTGACGGTTGACTGAGCTCGTGAGGAAAAAAGCTGTAACTCAGTGATGCGGAAAGCGCGTTTCGTCCCGCTGCAGTCACGATATATTGAAGGAGCAACGAAGCGCAAGGGCATCCATGATGATTGTACAAGACTTTTGGAATGGATAGTTCAGAAGTAGGGTATTGTAACATGCATTTCGCTATGCCTGAATGGAATGAAAATGCAATATGGCGACTCACACGACATAGACCTTCAGTCTCCACTACTCTGGCAGCGCGCGCATGACCGACTCGAACGCGACAAGCGCCATCGCATTCGCCGGGAACGCCCTCAAGAAGCACGGCACGAAGCCTCTCTCCAGTATCCCTTCCAGCCCTGCTCTCTGTATACCGCCTTCGCCGCGTCTCTCCATCTCGGAAACTTACGCCCAGCGCCAAGAGGATCTGTCATGATCCGCTGCTTGACCACATCGCTCGGGTACGAAGTAATCCAGAAGATCTGAGCGGACAGGCCACCGGCCCAGAAATTTACGGCCGGAGCGGAGAGGGTTGTGTGGGTGTTCAGCAACTGGGTGAACTTGTCGTACGAGCCCCACCAGAAGCAGAAGAATGTGCGGAAGAGGAGAGTTGCGCTGAGACCGTGCCACACACCGCGGATGCCGTGGTTCTTGAATGTCTTCTTCAGACAGTCAACTGGCCCGCTATACAGCCTCTTACTCTTCTCCGCTGCGTACTGCACTTGCAAGCGCGCCTTGATGTGCTCGACCGGTCCCGCGATGAAGGACACAGTCCAACCGGCCATCACACCGGCCATCGCGTGCCCAACTACTGGCAGCTTCCCCTGCTGTTCGCCTGGGTATCTTACGGGATGGAAGATATTGTCGTTCAGGACTCTTCGGTATACGCTCAGTGAGCCCAACATACTGCACACGCGGTCAGTATATGTCCCCGAACTTCGCGGGCTGCGCTCTATCCATACAGCGAGTCCATGAACATCCACCCGATTAGTGGCGGCGTCGCGCCCTTGTATATTCCCTTCACGCCCTCATTCCTCAACGTTTGCGTCAAACAGTCCAGTGGTCCTCGAAAATGCGCCTTGTCGGACGTCTGTAATCGCACCTTAATAGTGTCGAACGGATGCCCCACTGCAGAGTATCAGCTTCCGGTATCAAACACCAGAAATAACAACGCAGGAAGAGCCACGCAACCCACCTGAAAGTTTTGCAATGCCCGAGAAGACGCCTGCGACGAACCCCCGATAGTTCTTGGGCGACTTGCTGGGTTTGCTTTGGTCGGGCGCGTCCACGAGCTCGCCCGGGATCTGGCTGTGGCTCTTCATCGAGGCAGACATGGTGCGTGTTTCTGGTGTGGGCGTAACCGTGGAATCATGCCGGCATCAGCGATAAAGCTTCACGCAACATACAACAGAGAATGGCGGGGAGGAGCAGCAGTGGAAATGTTCATTCCGTTCCTGATTATGCCACGCGCAGAAGGGTCCGTCGGAGAAGCACAAGGCTCCGCGACGCCATGTGGTGACGATCTTGACTGAGCCCCGAGATCGGCTCGTCTTCGGCTAAGATGTACCAGGGTTTGTGGACGTCGTGATAGAGCTAGTGGACGCGCGAGCCCCTCCATCGAGCCCCTCCAAGCCCAGACACTGGCATGTGTCGCAAGATTGATGGCGCTCGCCCGTGTTTGCGTGGCTAACCTGCAGCACTGGCAGACAGACTGACAGATAAAGACTTGTGACAGGCGCTCAGTGATTGACAGACAACAACAGGCACAATGGCATCATCAACTACCAACAGTGTTGACAGCACATCGAACGGCGTGCCGGCGGGCGGTTCGAAGAAAGGTAGCGCGTTCCAGACTGAGTAATATTTTCAGACTGACGATATCAGTGTGGACGACGCTCATCACGAATACGGCGTACCTCAGCGGTCTCCTCGCGCTCGACTACAGCTTGAAGAAGCACGGCACCAGATATCCACTCGTCGCGCTCTACACAGACACATTCCCCCAAGAGGGCCACGAGGCGCTCGACAGGCGCGGCATACCCAAGAAGTATGTCCCGTATCTGCTGCCGAAGGTGGACAAGGACTACACGAACGACCCACGGTTTTACGACTGCTGGAGCAAGCTTACGCCCTTCTCGTTGACCGAGTATGACCGCGTCGTGCAGTTGGACTCGGATATGCTGGCGCTGAAGAACATGGATGAGCTTATGGAGATGGAGCTGGATCCTCCGAGCGCGGCGGGCAAGGGACAAAGGGTCTTCGCAGCGAGCCATGCATGTGTGTGCAACCCGCTTAAGAAGCCGCACTATCCGAAAAACTGGTACATCCGCGCTGATTGCTACGTTATGTTGAGCAGATGGACTGATGCACCACAGGATACCGGAGAATTGCGCATTCACCTCGCAGCACGACAAGCCCGACGAAGCGCAAAAGCAAGGTGCGGCGCCTGACTTTGGTCTCGGCATGCCCAACGGCGGTCTTCAAGTCGTGAACCCCTCGAAAGACGTCTACCAGCTCATCTCCGACCAGCTCGGCAAAGAGTCATCAATGGACTATGACTTTGCGGATCAGTCGCTGCTCGGCGATGTCTTCCACGGTCGCTGGGTCGCGCTGCCCTACATCTACAATGCTTTGAAGACGCTGAGGCACAAGGGCGTGCACGACAAGATCTGGCGGGACGACGAGGTGAAGAACATCCATTACATCCTGAGCCCCAAGCCGTGGGACGAGAAGGCCGGAGAGGAGAAAGAGGAGAGCCACACATGGTGGCATGCGGTGAACCAGGAGAGATTAACCGAAGAGAAGAAGAGGAACATCGACGACGGCTTCTGATTGTCAGCAGGGTGCATTTGGCGGCAACATCTTGGAGTAGACGTTCGGCACAACGTTGCGGACTATATGTAGAGTAGAATCAGAGTAGCATGCGACGTCCACGAAACGACGATGGATGAACACGTTTTGCGTTTCGAGGGATGCTCAGGCGTTTGCAAACAATCTGGATCTCATCTCTAGATGAGACATGAGTTTCGGTTCCGGTGCCGAGCCACTGCACCGGGTCCTGTCAGCTAACGACGTGATATGCGCCGCGAGAAGTGCTGCGTGCTGCAAGTTGAGGCTGCACGCAACTGCAGCTAGCTGTGTGCTTCAGGAGTCAGGTCGCGCGTACCTGCGTCGTTAGATTGCGGGCGGTGGCAAGTGACACCAAAAGCGGTACACTAGTCACCGGAGCTCTCAGAACTCATTAAACACACCGCAAAGAGCGCAAAGTACAAACGAAAACGTAGAAAGGCGCCGGTATTGCCCCTATTCTGTACGGACAAGGGCCTGCAAGAGTGACGAGGTGCGCAAACGAGCAGCGCTGGTGGTCCTGGGCGCGCGTCTTCGGTTGGCTGGCATCGGGCCATCCTCCAACGCGCCTGCCGTGTTTCACCCTGAAGCTGCCCCCATCCTCCAACGTCGACCCTCGCACCCTTCATACAAGCGCCCCTCCACGCCATCGTTGCAGCCAGACCTGGCTTTTGTGCCCTCGGCAACGGCTTAATTGCACACCCACACCTCCACCCGCCTCAATTGCACTTGCGCGCTCCTCCAACATCGCCGTATCTTCGCGACAGCTCAGCACGCCTGATTTCCCCAGAATCTCCACGATACCCACACACGAAGCGGATTGCGATATATACAGGCACAATGGGTGCTTCGATTTCCAAAATGATGAACAAGATCTTCGGATCCAAGGAGATGCGGCTGCTTATGCTGGGCCTCGATGCTGCCGGAAAGACGAGTACGTCTGCCCAATTTCCCTCGATAAGGCAACACATATGCTAATGCAATTCTTCCAGCAATTCTGTACAAGCTCAAGCTCGACCAGGACGTGACCACGATTCCTACCGTCGGCTTTAATGTCGAGACCGTCACGTACAAGAACACCAAATTCAACGTCTGGGATGTCGGAGGTCAAGACAAGATCAGGCCGCTATGGAGACACTACTTCTCGGGTATGTTGGGGCGCGACTTTGGTCCGGGTAGGCAAGTGCGAGTGCAGACGTATGCACACGGACAGCCATACCATCCTTTATCTACGCCGTTTATCTACGTAGAGGACATAGTCTGACAGTTGTGCACAGGGACCCAAGGGCTGATCTTCGTTATCGATTCCAACGACCGTGACCGTATCGAGGAGGCACGGACCGAACTTGCGCGCATTATCCAAGACCGGGAAATGAGGGATGCGCTGCTGCTAGTGTTCGCAAACAAGCAGGATTTACAGGGTGGTGCGTACAACACAATCTGAGTAAGAAGGCAGTTGCGCTAACGTGAGATAGCTATGCGACCAAAGGAGGTATCGGATAAGCTCCAGCTCGAGAAAATCGCAAAGGACCACGTATGGAAAGTCGAGCCCAGCTGCGCAACCACAGGGGAGGGCATCTTCGAGGGCCTGGTACGTTCCATAACATGCCCGCATGCCTCTTTCTTTGCTGACCCTTCTTAGGCATGGCTCTCGAACAACGTCAAGCTTCCCCCGAAATAAGCGCTCTCCACTTGACCTCCCCTCTGTACGACTGCATGCGCACCAAACCTTATTCGTCTTTCTGCATATACCCGGTCCTCGGTCTCGATTTTCGTCATGCCTACCCTCGCTTGAACTATACTTGTTTTCTAATACTGCGTCTATTCCCACTGTCAGGTGGGAAGGCAACCCTTTCTCTTCGATACACTTCGCTCGGCGGCAGCACGGGTGGTGATACCCCAGATTGTATTGAGCTGGTTGACCTGAATGGAATGGGACTGCTGATGTCACTTGCATGCTTTTTGTTTGTAGATCTATTTATGTTCGCTGTTGGTGTGGATAACGTATGAGTGATAGACGAGCTTATGGATATTCGTACGAAAGCCACTGCTTGACCCGAAGGAACTGCGATGTAATGAATGAAAGACTAATAGCGACGCCTAGCGATATGCTTTGAAAGCACGAACCATATCCCGTACATACACCCCTAGATTGCACCACAGATCGTATCGAGCTCAGTTCTTTTCCTCACGCCTTGTCAGGCAAAACATACCTCCTCTCCACACTATTCACCATATCCACCTCATCTTCGCCCTCAAACCTGAGCGTGACATAAACCTCCTTCCCAGGCTTTTCATCCCCACCCTCCTTTTTAATTCCATCCCCTTCCCATTTCCCCACTCTTCCACCCATCCACGACCTCAGCCTTATAAAACGTCGTCGTCCCCGGATACAACGCAAGCACATTCTTCTTCGCCTCTAGGCTCGGCAGAGAGAGATTCAAGGACGCGGGCGGGATGGGCACGATGTGGGCGACAGAGGCGCGGAAGGGAATGCTGGGGGTGAGGGGGTCAGGGTCGGAATCGATGATTTCGTAGCGGCGTTGTTTGCCTTCGCCGATCACGCTGGTAATGCGGTGGAGTGTGCCTTCGCCTTCTTGTTGGACGGGGCCGTTGCGCGAGCGGGGAGCGCGGTAGAGGACTTCGGTGTGGACTGTGAGGCGCTGTTTCGTCTCTGTGGTGGATGAGATTAGCTTCGAGGGTGGGAGGGAAATGCGAGACCGACTACAGTAAGGCGCACAAACATGAAGGTATGGAGAGACGAAAGAAAAGTTTACATATCGTAGTCTATCGAAGACTAGATAACAGCCAGCCGCCCATAGGGTATCTCGACGTAAGGAAATAAAGAAAGATACAGGAAGCACATTCAGCGAGAAGAACCGGCAGAGCCACCGCCCTTCTTAGAGTATGTGACCATAGAAGAACGTTTCTTCTTACCCTTGATATCATCCTTCTCGTCCTCTACCTTCACACTGCTCTCCCTGCCCGCGGGTACGCTACCGGCCCTACTTCCTCCGCCCTTTGGCAGCAGCCTGTCCCTGTCCTTACCGAGAACAACCTTAGGACTCGGCACGGCGGGACTATCGGCAGCAATGCTATCACGATCATCCGTGGCATCGGTGAGCTTTCTCTTGTTCTGGCCGCGATCCCGTGACTTTCCGGGGTTGGTGGCGCGGGAGGTGGAGCTATCGGTGTCGGCAGAGCGGAGGGCTGAGAGGACGGTGAGCTGCTCGCAAATGTCGTTGCCTTGATCGGATTTGATGAGGGTGAGCATTTCTTCGCTCAATTTGATGTTCTCGCGGAGGGCAGCATCGAGTTCGTTGTCGATGCGGGAGGAGGGCGCATCACCGCGTCCTGGGAAAATTAGACTTCGCTGTTATGGTTGCAGCAGGGGTTTGTGCACCTTTACGGGCTTCTTGTTGACCTGCTAGCTCGAGTATCTTTTCTTGAAGGTTATCGGATTGAGCCTAGGTGAATAGTCAGAAACAGGTTCGCAAGGCCTCCAAGAAAGGACGCGGCGTCCTCTAAGTTATTGCACGAATGGCTTGTCAGATATCCAAGGGCAGCTACATATATCGCGCTTCGCATGTCGTACTGACGACGAGCAGGTAGTGATGATTACACAAGGGTCCAGAACTTGTGCGGGACGTTGATTAATGGCCATAATAATTCGGTACGGATAGACTCCAAGGATATGCCGAATGCAAGTAATGGATGGGTTTGGCCTTGCGCAGGTGTCCGTGCCAGGGAGTAAACATCCGCCCGGGTACCAGACTTGGAATTGATCTTTGGAAAAGACAAAGTTGTCCTTAGGTCCATTGTGTAGAGTAGCGAGTGTGCTGTGACAGTCATATCTGTCTCTGGCAATCGACGTGCCTAAGGTGCTTGTACCGAATTCTCGTAGATGTCCAAACAGAAGACGCGACAACCAAAAGTAGTACTGAATGGAGTACACTTACCATGAGCTGGTCAAACCTTCGTCCATCGGCCCGGATTGTGTTCCACAGGTGTCGCTCTTCGTCGATCTCATCTTTGATTTGCCCGCCACGAGGCCTACTCCGTGCCGCCATGTTGATCGGACTGGCCGCACTTCCCCTGCGGCGCGCTACGAGTGACGAGAAGTTTTCGGGGTCATCGGCGCCCAAGTTCGAATGCGCAGAAAGGTGGTCCGCGGGTTGGTCGTTGAGAGGTGATGGTACCGGGCCAGGAAGGTCACGTTAAGCGAAGCCACTATCAGCCAAGGAGGCTTAGTGGCAGTGGGTAGTTGCTGCTTAATTCGACCCACTCATCGTGCCACGAACGCGGGGTGCGGCCACACACGTAGTGGGAAACTGGCGGTGACAGCAACACCAATTTCATCAACACCTTAGGAACGTTATTCAAAATGGTTCAGGTACCTTTGGTTCGACTACAATGCGGTAATGCAGAGCTACTCTCAATGCATGTGCGCATCAACTAATGATTGCAGGCTGCAACAGCTACGACTGGGGTACGTCAGATGCCCCGCCGAGAAATTAAAACACGAGCTGGATGCTGAAGCCCTCCAGGCAAGGTCGGAAAGTCGTCTGCAGCAGCCAAATACGCCGCTGCGACTCCTTCAGATGGCTTCTCCATCCAGGAAGAAAAGCCTTACGCTGAGGTACTCATTCGCCTCTCCATTGGTGAAAATTAGTGGCTAACATCCCAAGCTATGGATGGGGACCCATCCCTCACTTCCTTCAAAAGACCTTGAAACACAGCGCTCCCTCCTAGATCTTGTCTCAGATAACCAGCAGCTACTCGGGTCGACCGTCTCGCAGAGGTTTGGAAGCAAGCTTCCTTACCTTTTCAAAGTATTGTCTATCGGCAAGGCTTTGAGCATTCAGGCGCACCCCAATAAGAAGCTCGCAGAGCAACTGCACGCCAAGGATCCCAAAAACTACCCGGGTAGGGAATTGCGTCAACGAACGTATTCTTCTACTAATATGGTCCAGATGACAATCATAAGCCTGAGATGACAATTGCCGTCACTCCCTTCGATGGCCTCTGTGGTTTCCGGCCACTTGCTGAAATCTCACATTTTCTTCAAAACATACCCTCTCTCCGCAAGCTTGTTGGCGAGGAGGAGGCCAAGAATTTTGAGAGCACTGTCAAGGGCAAAGAGACCTCGGAGAATGATGCGGATGTGCAGGCTAACAAGAAGGCTCTTCAGTCTGCGTTCACTAAGCTCATGAACACCGACAAAGCAGCGATTGATGCAGCCACTGATGAGCTCCTCAAAGCGGCCTCGTCAGAAGGCGCCAGTTTCGCCGGCGAGGGAGGACCCTCCAATGATGGCCAGGAGCTTGCCGATCTAGTTGTTCGGCTGAACGACCAATTCCCTAAGGACATTGGCCTGTTCGTACAGTTCTTCCTCAATTATGTCAAACTCGAGGTTGGCGAGGCTATGTTTTTGCGGGCAGACGACATCCACGCCTACCTCTCCGGTGACATTATCGAATGCATGGCCTCTTCCGATAACGTTGTTCGTGCAGGTTTCACTCCCAAGTTCAAGGATGTGGACACTCTTACCTCTATGCTCACGTACTCATACGCGCCTATCGACAAGCAGAAGATGGAGCGGCCAGACTACTCCGGCGTCAAATTCAACGCTACCGCATACAGCTCGAACTCATCTGCTATCGAGTACAACCCGAAGGAGATCGACGAGTTCGCTGTTGTCCGTGCTGCGCTGAACAAGTCAGGTGCCAAGGCTACCTTCAATGATATCGACGGACCCAGCATCGTGCTCTGCACCCGGGGCAAGGGAACTATCTCCGTTGGTAACAAGTCAGAGAAGATTGAGGAAGGCTACGTCTTTTTCGTGGGCTCCACTGCAACGCTTGTGATCGAGAGCGAGACGGACGCAGAGGATGGAGGAGAAGGTCTTGTTGTCTTCAAGGCTTACTGCGATCCTGAAGACTGGAATAACAACGGAGGACAAAAGTTGTAAGGTTAGAGATATTGAATGGTCAAAGATGTCTCAACCTGACTAGTAAGGACTCAATTATCATAGACATATCTGCACGAAATTTTGGATGGCATCATCTATTCCTTCCATAATCTTACTTGTGTATTTCCTTCGTCACGATTTCTAGGTTCTCTTCTCAATCGCTTGTTGTCTAGTTCAGTTAGGCTCGTCAAGCATCATCGCTCATCTGGAGATCTGATTACACTCAAACCACTAACCAAAATAGTACAACAAGTGCTCGTCGATGCACACGAACACCGACGGAAGAGCGAGGACAATGACGCTTTGAGGAAACGATGTTAGCAAAGGTCCATCAACAAGATTATCTACTCGGGATATTAACATGAAGAAATATCCTTCTGACGGTAATAAAAGTGGTTCTACCGCCGGTACGGCTGACCCTTCTGGGTCGTATCGGTCGAAACCCCCGCGGCAGTGATAGTACATCTAAAGTTCCATCCAAGGATGCCTGTCATGCCGGCGTTTGTTCAACATACAACAGAACGCATCTGGGACCGCCCTCGATCTCTTTCCCAACATGAGTTGATGACATCGCCAATTACGTCAAAGTCGATAGTATCCCTAACAAACTGCATGTCTATTCGCTTACCTTCTGGAGACCGAGTACGGATCCGGATAAACCGCAAGACCGCAAGCTTGTATACAATAAGCGATGTGATCTCGAAAGATGCTACAATGCTATGATCGCTACAGACGTACTATGCTTTGCGTCAACGTGGGCAGGCGAGCTAAGAAGCCTCCGAAAACTTCTGATGGTCCGAACGCCTCATTGATCATGCATAGGTGTGCAGATGCCATGTTGCCCGCTATGCGCCCATGAATGACTATACATGTCTGTTAGAGCTCTGATTCCTAGTCAAGCTCACTACCTTGCGCATTCCTGGCGAAACTCGCTTTCGCAGAATGGGACAGCTACAGAGGATGATGCATGAAATTTGTATTAATAGTGAGTGTATGAAATATGCCACCATTTCACAATCTCCGCTAATAAGAAACCTTGCCCAGATCCCATTTCACCGTAGCCAATGATGCAAGCTTCCTTGATCAATAAAGCAGTGAATGACAGGTGAATGTGCATTAGAACCAAGCTGAGCACGAGTATTCCCGGGAGTGGACCAATGGGAGATGATGCTAGAAAGAGAGGCATCGAACTTTGAATGTTCATAAAAGAGAAGAGATGTGCTGAGAACATGTCGATGCAAAGACTGGTGCGCCCTTGTTATGGAAAGGACCGATTTCGCCTCCGAGTTATGTTCCGTGGGAAAAGTTAGACTTCACGAACAACAAGCTCGCTAGGCTCGCCAGCTTCGACGTGCCACTCCTTTTGCATGTAGATGCCGTTGTCGACGGAGTCCTTGGTCTGGTGGTAATGGTGGACCCTAGGGCTCTCGGGCTCCTTGCCACTACCGAAGGTGTTGCCTGTCAGATGACTCTTTTCGCCGTAACCCTTGGTGCTTGTGGAAGAAGATCGGAAAAACTCGTTCTTGAAGAGGCGCTGGTGCGAGTCGGGGCCGCTACCGCCGACGCCCGAATCATTAGCCACGAGACCAGCCCAGATGGCAGAGAGAGGCAAGAAGATGCAGATGACGGTGATGCTCTGGGACGCGAGCTCGGGAACTTGGTCATAGAAGTTGAGGCAGGTGAAGATTGCTTGGGGCTGTTAGCGCATGGTCAGTGTACCATGAGGTAGGAAAGGCCTACCTGGAATGACCATCGTCTGGCAGCCCATGATGAAGATGACTTGCATCGGACCGAATTGTGTCATCCGAAGCCTCTTGCGCTCTAGCAAGGCGTGACCGAGTTTGAATGTGAAGACTGCGCAGTAGGCCCAGACAGCGATAGCGAATGTGATGTACATGTCATTCACCAGTCCATTGTAGAGCTCCATGCCCTGATCTTTCATTGTCTGCTTATTGCTGATGATGGTGACGGCAAATCGGAAACCAATGGCGACGAATGCGGTGACGGAGGTGACGCCCATGATGATCCACTTCTGCAGCGACTTCGCGGTAATGGAGACGACCCAGACTTGAAGACTCAAGGAAACCATGATGCTTGCCACGAGCAAGAGCGTGATCGTGTTGGAGGCAACAGTGACAGCGCGGTTAGCAGGAGTAACGTGGGTAAAGTCTTGGGCGACCATGGCGTAGGGATGGAAGAAGGGAGTCGTGAGGTAGACACATTGGAGAACCGAGCGGATAGTGTTGAGAACCAGGCAGAGACCGTTCATGATGAAGATCGAGGAGTTCCTCTTCTCGCGCCGAGTAAGGAGGAGGAGCACCAGCAGCAGGATGACAGACGCGCCAATTTGCGTGGCCCAATTGATACCTACCCGGACGCCGAAGTGCCTTAGCCAGTCGATATCAGCCATGGAAGTGGTGAACTGCGACCCATCGGGAGCATAAAGAACGAACTCCTGCGTGTAGACATCCTCGGGACGCGGAAGGGGGTCCGACATGGCGTGCAGACGATTGCAATTGATGTGGGCAATGTCGAGATTCGCGATGGGGGTCGGAGAGATACTCGTCAGTTCAGTACTAAGCCGGATATCTTGAAGGACAAAGAGTTGGTGAGGCTATGACCGTTGCGGGGCTAATGGTCCAGAACTGTCGGATGTCGCTGGAAAGACTTGGAAGAGTGTAAATTTGAAGCAGGAGGGAGCTGAAGTAGAAGAAGGAAAGGAGTGAGAGCTGGCAGCACAGAAGTTAAGCTGAAGCCGGGAGCTGCGAATAATATCAAACCGTACAATAGTACTCCTGGAGTCGGAGTACGCCAGCAATATTGTTACACGAGGTGGAGGTGGAGAGAAGCAAACAATGTCAGTGATGGTGTACCAATCACTTCACCGTCCCTCAAGCTTCACGACATAAGCGTGAACAATATCTGCCATCATCAAGCACTGAGATGCTTTTTCGCGGCGAGCCACTTCCGCTGTCGCAGGCACAATACTAAGAGCCTCGATGTGACTCAAGCTAGAACCAGAAATTCCATCGAACTCGCGCCTGTCTCGCAGTAATTCCAAAGGCTCAGTATTCGACGCGTCAGCCTTTCGACATAATATGTTTTCGGCCTGTTGAGCTATGGTGAGTGCCAAGCGGGGGCGCTTAGTATTGTTCTCTACACGCCGGGGCCCGAGCGTTGAAACGGGTAGGCGTGCTAGGCGACGCCGCCAGTGGAGCCGCGCGGTGATAACAGATATGAAGGCGATAATTTGCGCTGAATCATGTAGTGCGTAAAAGTGCGAGCGCTTCACGCTTCCGGTGAATGGTGAGAGCAGGCGCGCTAAGCGCTCTGGCGTTAGCGTCGGTCAATGGGGAAGGCAATACTCTAGTCTAACTCCCGCGTTCAGGTGACACCGCGTTCTCGCGTCGACGACTGCTCGCCTCAACGATGCCTTGGGTTGTCAACTCTACCGATGGCCAGCAGAGCTATCCTGCTCTCGCAGGTGAGACCCTTTACATTATTGCAGGCGATGCCGGCTTGTCAGCCGTGCGCGCTACACCTGTCGACCCAGCACTGGTTCTGGGCACACTTGGTATGTACAATTGAGCATCGAGGTTGTGAACAATCAGCTCATGAAACATAGCTGTACAATCTTACGGCGCAAAGCTTGAAGCTGGACTCGAAGACCTAAAAATATTGCCACCTGTGCCAACCAGGTTTCAGCGAAAGCGCAGTGGCACACCGCCAGCAGAAGCTTTCCTACTTCGAGCGAAATCTGACGATCGTGTGGAGACAACCATTGTTCGGAATCAAGATAAGATCACTTCTCAAAACACCTCAGGCACTCTCACATTAATCTGGACTGCACCGCAAATTCAAGTGCAATCTTCAGAGAAGAAAGAAAACTTGAGTGAGAGCGGCGAAGCTGCCCAGGCTGAGAATGAAACTGAAGATGACGATGAAGATCTCAACAACACCACTGTATCTGGGGTTAGCAAATCACAGACCATGCGCTCGACGCCTTACATGTCGGCTTCACGCTCAGAGATCATCCAAGAAACACCGACCGTAGATCGCATCGGGCCCTCGCGGACAGAACCTCCTGTATTGAGCAACGCACCTCAGGAACAGAGTATTGTTAATGACCTTACCAAGCCTGAGGATCCGACTGATGCGGAGACGGAAGACAACGAGGAGGAGCCTAAGACTTCTGAAACGGTACTACGGAAGTCATCTCGCCAGCCAAAAGTGGAGATACCGAAGTCATCGAAACGACCAAGTCTAGCTCTCGAAGAAGAATCCAGCAGCCCTATCACTCATCTCACCAAGCGTAGAAAGGTCGACAAAGACAGCAATGGCAGTTCGACTCCCGTGCAGACTGCTCGCAAGACCGCCATCAAGAGTAAGAAGCGGGAATCAGCTATGAAAGCAGCGTCTACGCCGTCTCGAAGCCAGCGTAGCACGCAGAGTTCGATCGCAGGCTCACCAGTCGATGTTGAGGACGACTATAACGGCCCCAAGCCTCGTGTAGCGCTTAGCAACTCTACAATCCAACCAAATTCCTCCTTTGTGAAGTTCCTAAAGAAGACCGGAGGAAATATCGTTGATTCCGTTGAGGTCGACTGCAACATTCTTTGGTAAGTCACTCGTCGCCGTTTGTCTCATGGTAGCTGGAGCAGACATATGTACTACCGTTGTACGTGCATCCTTACTAACCTACAACTCAGTATCAAAGAAGGCCCCATTCTCAAGACCCCAAAACTCCTCCAAGCCGTCGCCAGCGGCCACCCCATCGTGACTGACAAATGGCTCATCGACTCCACCAAGGCCGCCCGCTTCCTGCCTCTCGAACTCTACAAGCCGCCCGACCTCGAGCCTGTCTGGAAAATCCCGCAAAGCCGTCTTTTCGAAAGCTACACCATTTTCTTCACACCCGCCTTAAAAGCGCAATACAAAACCTCCTTCGCCGACATAGACAAGCTGTGCAAAGCCGTCGGTGCGCGCCGTGTCGTGAGCAAGAAGCCTGGAGGGAAAGACCTCTACGAGAAGGCATCCATTGTTTTTTTGGCTGAGGCAGAAGGCGATAAGGATGTGCCCGCGTTACTTGAGGCTGGGCATACGTGTTATACGAAGGACTTTCTGACGCATAGTATTGTGGGGGGCGAGGTCGACCTAGCGAGCGAGGAGTTCAAGGTTCAACCTGAGGAGGCGAAGCCCGAGAAACGCGCGAAGAAGAACGGTCGTGGTCGAAACAGCTAAAATTTCTGCGTTACTTCAAGAGCAGGTCGACCTCACAGATAGGATGAAGATTATGTATATGGAGATCCTCATCCATTATGGGGGTATGAGTAAAGAGGTATGAGTATCTTAACGGGCGACACGGCATATGGGGGGTATTTCGGAACACAGCGTGCATTTGTTTGGTTCATGTACTACAGGGTATATTTCACGATTGATATACCATTTGTTGTGCCGCACACCGAGGTTGCTTTCACTCTTCGCACACAGCATATCGAGCATCCTCAGCAGTTTTGTAACGCGATAGCACTTCCAGGAAAATTCGAACGTGTATTGACACAGCGAGAACAAATCAGAACCTATATACCCCACGCAGGCCATGCCCAAACGCCACAAATGCTCTCAAATCGTCCTGCCGACACTCTACATCACTGCCTGGTATCATCGTCCCTGCAAGCGCCTTCGCAACTCCCAATCTCTCCCTGCCTCATCGCATCCTCTAGTCAAACGCCGTCTTCGCCTTTCCGCTGCTGAACGTCCTCAGCATACCCATGTTCTCACCACGACTCCTCTGTTTCCGTCCCCAGATCTCCATACCCCAATCGAACATCTGCCAGGCCCACCCGCCAGCCACCATGACACCACTGATGACATTGACGAGTCTAACGAGCAGCCGGAAGAAGCCGCCCCATTCCTCTGCCACGGTCAAAGTGATCGGCTCGATGTCGAACTTGACGAAGATGCCGGGGATGTAGTTCTCGGCGACTTTGTGCGACTGCGAGGTGACAGCGTACTGGTTGGTCTTGACGGCGTGGGAGGAGTGGAAGACGTGTTTGGCAGGGTGGTCGGAGTCGCGGTTTACGGCTTCAAGGAGAGGGAGGAGGGCGGCGTCGTCGGTGTAGATGGTGGGTACGATGGACAAGTAGTACTGAAATTTGTAGAAGTGGTCTTCGGTTGTGGCGACGGTGTTGTCGAGAGGGTTGACGAGGGAGGGGTAGTACGGGCCGAAGGACATTTCTTGGATGTGGTGGGAGAAGTTGAAGCCTGTTATTGTTAACTTTCTGTGTGCAGAGGTCTGGATGTGAGGGTAGACGTACGCCCGTGGTCCAGATGTTCACCAAACTCCCTGTATCCGTGGCCCCGCGCAGTGATGTGGAAGTCACCTTGCACTTTGTTTCCATCCAGGCTACCGAAGATGCGGCACGAGTCGCCTTCTCCCCTCCTCCGCGGTGTCTTGGGAAACTTCTTCTTTTTCTTGGCCGCACCCAGCTGATCATGCACATCCCACATTTCCTCCCACCCTGGCAGGCCATCCTGGCCCTGACCGAGAGCATGCGCTCCCTTCCCATACTGGCTGAAGTACGTGGGATCTTTCCGCAGCAAGTCCCCCGCTAGTGTTCTGTCGCCCGCCGCGTCCTGCATGTTGACATGTAGATCCGCGCACTTCATTGCGACGACGATGTCGATGTTAATCTGCATGTCGTGGGAGACACCCTTCTCTACGGAGAAGGTTTGCGTGGTTTGGCCGGTCCACCATCGACTTATTTCGGACCATGAGAGGTAGATACATGTGCAAAGAAGGAGGACGGTCCACGACGAGGAATCGCGGCCGCGGGTGAGGTATGTCTTTTTGGTTTTGGCTGTGAGGTGTTAGTTGTCGCATGTTGTGTGTACGCGCAAGCTCCAATCCTACAAACTGATACGCCAATACAGTAGTAGTTCAACGTTATGCTTTGAGAGAACCGGCGATTTTTGAGATGATATAGAGGACTTACGAAAAGCATCAAAGCTCGCTATTCCACCCTTAGAAGCTCCAAATGAGTCTTCATCGAGGCCGTGCTCTGAGAAGCCGTTCATTGTGCCTTCAATTGGCGCGTCGCGCAGAGAGGGCACAGCAGGCCCACTGCGACAAGAAAGTACAAAGGTAAAAAGAAGTGTATGGTCGAGGCAGGTAACGCAAGGAAGCGACAACAACTTTGGGTGTCGTGTTCGCAAGTACTTACAAAAGGACACGGGTAGTTTCAGCCCTATGGAGGCCGGTCCGTGCACGCGGAGGTGGTTGAGCTCCGCCGCGAACGTCTAAGCTTATACGACATCTCCAATGATTAAAAAGCCAAGTTCTTGGTTACGCTGCATTTGTATTCTGAGGTTATATACCTAAAAGTGCCTTTGATGTACTTCACTTCTTCCAAATTCTACCTTCATCTCTACGTACTTGGTTGGGCTTCCATCACTTGCACATGATCGCAAAGGCCGTGTCAGAATCATCAAGAATCGCAGTTCCTTGTTAACTATGTTCGTCTCCAGACGGAACAACATTGATGCTGCATTTCAATCTCAAGGATTCGGCTCCGTTGCGTGCTCCCATGGTACCCACAGTACCACTGTCGAATCGGGAAGTGACAGCCAGCATCTCATTATACCTTAGATTGACTCACACCCATCAGTGCTCTGCTCTTCCATCGCAATAAAACGACCAACTACCGCAGACCATCGCTAGCTGATTTTTTGCCGGAGGGGTGTAACAACACCTTGGTCACGGCGGCGAATACCGAAACCCAATTGGTCGGCCATGTATATGCGACCTCCTGGGTAGCCGACAGACGGCAGTTGTGCTGGACCACGCAATTGTGCGTAAGGATTTTCGGAGGCCGGGAATCTACAATATCTAGCCCTCACTGCGTCAATTTCTTTGATCGTCTAGATCGTTGTCAGTGATACAGGGCTGATACGGTTCTTGGAACCTACGCAAGACCAAAACGGATTTGCCTGTGACCAACCTGATTGGCATGCTCAGCTTCCATCCCGCCGCATGTCATGACCGCATGCCGCGCCTTCGGAAACGGCATTAATGGCATGGACCTCAACCCTATGCAAACCAAAGTGGCGGCGATCTTGAGGACTCTACCTGTAAATCACGTCAAGACCCCCTAAGTTATAAGCCTTACTGCGTGTATCTTATCCTCTTGAGCGGTTTCCGAAACTCTTATCGGCACGAACGCGATTCCTGCGCATTCGCGAACTTCTATGTCAATCACACAGAGTCAGAGCAAGCCTTGGAGGCTTGCGGAAATTCTTGTCGCCAGTCTCACAGAAGGAAGTGGCTTGGCCATTGGGTGAACTGTCCGAAGGATGGGAACTCCTTGCGTTGGTCGAGGATCAAAATACTCAGCTATAGACCCAGATATCAGAGCTGCTCTACAGTACTAGCTCTATATTGAGTGCTGCATTGCTCAGCATGGGATAACACAGGATACTAAAACAGTTGATGAGATACTCGAAGGTGGCGACATCGTAGCCTGCCGTCTTCTCATCAAGTTCCAGGCTCGCCATAATTCAGTCACTAAGCTCAAGTAAATCTTCCTCAGAACATCCCGCCGGATGCCAACTTGGAGGTCTTTCTTTTATATCTTACATTCGTGAGATAGTCATTTTGATTATAGGCGTTGCTTATCGAGAGTATTTCTCATTATTAACCCTATGCAGATGCTGCCATGCAGGCTTCGTTACCGGCCTCGCAGGAACTCTTTGTTCTATTACCTTGTTCAGGTGACTACGCCAAAGCTATCTGCTCCCGAACTCTAACCTCACTTATACGCCTACAACCACCGAAAAGTAATATACTGGCAGTTACTGGCATGAAAGAGCCCCTCATTATCACTATATAATAGCTCGTCCGCTTCGCAGGTTGTCTAGCTTTTCCCTCCATCATTGACCACCTTCCAGTTCAAACTAACGTATCGGCCACGCCAGCTCCGGATAACCGTCAGCAACACAAGCCGGTGACGACGTGCAATGGTGACACTTAAGGGTCTCGTCATTGCGTCGGTCGGCGAGATAAAAGACTCTTCCGGCAAAAGCATCAGCAACGAGCAGTTGAAAAAAATGGGTCGTGAACAATAAGGGGCGCTGGACCTTGGAGGTTGGCAAAGGCATCACGCACTTGATCAGCTCCAAGGATGCATACAAGAGGGACGTCAAAGCAGGTATGTTATAAGTCCTGGTGCCGATGGACCGGTACGTACGACTACGGATTTGGATACCTGGCCCAATGAGAGCATTGCTGTCAAGGCTGGATGGCACTATTGCTTGGAACTAGGTTCCAGCGAACGGTCGTAGCGAGAGCTAAGGTGCAACAGTCCAGAAGGCAAAGGCACTTCGCATATTCGTCGTCAGTTACGATTGGCTCGAAGACTCCCTACAGAAGGGCCGTAAAGTTGCTGAGCGCAAGTACCTCTGGGAAGCAAAGCAAAGTCAGCGAAAGGTCAACAAGCAGCTCAAGCGACTGGCGCCACAAGCAGACGGTAAGCTTGCTCCACTGTCTATGATGATTTATGCTTAAACATGCTGATGACCTGTAGCGAAGAAATTCAACGCAGGATGCGACCTCGCGAGGCAGGATCTCGGTTCTGGTACGTCCCGCAAGCATTCTGGTGGCTTCTTTTCTAGCGCTCTCGATGATCTGAAGAGGAAGAGGGAGGCAAGAGAGGCAGAAGAAATAACAAAGCAAGCCGAGGCCCCGAAGACACTTGGAGATCAAGAGCCCGCAGTGTCTACACCAAAAAAGGAGTCCGTACCTTCCACGCTGCCTTCCAGCCCACGATTCGCATCAGAATCCACTGTGGCCGCTCCCGAGTCTCCCGTCCGACAACAAAGTCAGCCAGAAGATGGTGTCTCCATTGAGGAATTTGAGGTTGCCACTCCTACAAATGCTTCAACATCTACTGCAAACATCGCACCAAAGCCCTCCCTCTTCCCGCCCAGCCTCAATTACATGCCTCCCTCTTTTTCACCCAGAGCATACATACCCGCACCTTCTAAAACGGCTACTGCTGCGACCACTACTGCTGTTCACTCTGCCGAAACAAAATTCGCTAATTCCAAGCTCGAAGACCTATACCACATTTACCTCGACCAAAAGGGCTTCGAATACAAGCTCATCCTCCTACGCTCGAACCCGTACCTCAACAACTTCGCAAGGTACGACTTGCGAATGTATGAGTCGCATACCATTCCGCACGTGTACTGCACGGTGGCTCGATACATACCACCTGCCGGTGCCAAACCAGCAGCACCCCCACCCGCATCCCAAAACATCGGCCAACTAGCCGCGCAGACAGGTGCTCGTCCCATTCAGCCAGGAGAATCACCGTCCCAGACCCTCCATCCCGCAGCCGCCCACCTCCATTCCCTCATCAATACCCCTCTACCTTCTCCATGTGCCCCCTATCGCGCCGCCATAGCACTGCCCAACTCCGACTACCAAACCGCCTTCCGTGCCTTCCGCCACGCCTTCCGCGATCTGACCCTACTCTCTTGGCATGAGCGCCTCGAGGCCGCTCTTCAACGTCTCCGCGCTCAAGCCTTTTGCATCGAGCCGTTCGTATGGCGTCGTCCTGCCGAAGGTCTTCCCATTGGCTTCGAACCACCTTTTCCAATCAAAGAGCAGGCCGATCTGCAGCTGGAGGGGTACAGGCGGAACGCATGGGGTTTGCCGGCGTTGGACGAGCCGCTGGGGACGGCGGGGAGCATTGGGAGTGCATTATTCAGGGAGGCGGAGGAGGTGAGGAGGAAAGAAGAGGAACGAAGGAAGGAGGAGGAGAAGCGCCAATTGCAAGAGAAGTTGAGGGCGAAGAACAGTGGAGTAGTGAAGCGGGCGAACGGCATCAAGTCCCGGTTCGGTGCGGCGACTGGGCTGCAGTACTACGAGCCGCAGCAGAGGCAGGCGGCGGCGTCGAGCAGGGCACCGTTATTCAGTAATGGGGTTGCGAACGGGGTGGGCCGATCAGGTGCTTCGAATCTTGCTTTACCGACACAGAGGTCTGGCAGGGCTATCATCATTGGACTACCGCACTCAGCAGCAGAAGAGGGTTGACAAGCGGTTCGATTATTGAGCGGTAAGGAACACAATGGGTACAAGCAGTGGGCGTTACGATATTGGGCATGGTAGTGATTTGAATCTTGTTAAGGATGGCCATTGCGTGTCAACCAGAACACGCAATACACGCCTAGCACCACTGATATTGTGTCGATCTCGGTTTGAGAGCCTACGACAGGGCTTAACAACTAAATCCATATCGAGATTGGCAGAATTAGACATTTGCTATTGACCAGCATATATCATATCCACCACGCTACCAGTCAATTACCAACACCTGTCGAGCGCCATACTAGCAGCTTGAAACGCCAAACCCACCCATTTCCCGCTCCAAATGCATGCAGAAGGAGAGAAACAAAAGAAAGATCGTCGTGAAACATCGTATCTAATAGCAAATAGACTCTCATCTCCATTGGCCCTGGCTCAACTTGAGCAAGCCCTCCACACAACCCGCCTCTTCAGCGGAGCTCACAGTAGTTCTCGCACTCGCGCTACCGCCCATGAAATCCCTCAGCTCATCGTCTTGTTCTGGATCTGAGTATTTTCTACCACCCTTCTTAGGTATCGATTTCTCGAGCATGGTGCCCAGGCTATTGCTCTGGCTCATAATCTCTGTGTTCTCACCGAGGATCTGGCGCGTGCGTTGCACGGCGGGCGACTCGTACGCTTTCCGCGACCGCTGCTGCGACTTGGGCACGTCTGGGATCCAGTTCTCCTTGTCAGACTCAGTCTGGGGAAGGTCGTCGGAGTCACTGCTGCTAGAGCCCTTGGACTGGAGACGTCCGTTGATCGTGGACGCGCGTTGCATTGGGCCGCGCGACTTCTTGACGCCGTGTTGGGGCGACATCTTTGCGGAGTGATGCCGCGATATCACAGGGGTGTTCTGGCGCGCCTGGTTCTGCTGCAGTATCCGCCTGTTTGCGCGGAGGAGGCCGATGGCATCGGCCGCACTGCCGCTTCCTTCTTGTTCCGCGCGTGTTGTCAGGCTTGTGTTGTAGCGTGTATCCGGATCGCACCAGAATTCCCACGCACGCGAGTCTCGGCTGCGGCCAATTGTGGATGTTCGTGGCATTTTGGGGCTGCGCTCCTCGCCACGTGCGGCCGCGGCCAGTCGCTCGTTTAATCCTGCAGCACTGTAGCTTCTTCGGAGACCTGCTGCTGCACGGGCGAATGGCGCTCCATTCGCCCTAGGATGCGGTGGGGAAGGTGTCTTGTCGAGGTCGGTGACTACGCGTGCCGTACCATCTTCGTTCGTCGAAATGCGCACGAAGGAATGTGCACGCTTCATTGTTCGTGTTGTGGTAGAGGGTGTAGTCGCGGTCGCGTTCGTAGTTGCGGACTGTGCGGGATGAGGGAATGTTATTGTTTCTGGCGCATAGTCATCGGCTGAGCGCATGAACGACGCGCTGCGGCGGTTCGAGATCCAGTGGGTGCGCGACTGCGACGCGCCTTGCGAAGATGGCGCACTCTGCTGCGAACTGCTAAGTTCCGTAGGCGTAGTGTCGACTGTGTGAGGATCGGTAGACGGAATGACGCTCGAGTCCGCTGTGGCCTGCAACTCTGCCTTCTCCGGCTCGGGGCTGTCTGCTATGGCTTCTTCTGACACTGCTCTTACGGATTTCTTCGCCTCCCCAACTTCCTCGAGAGGACGCGTTTGTGCGACTGCCTGCGCGGGTTTGGCGGGCTCGGTGGCAGTGACCTCAGCGATAACGATAGGCTCCGCAATTTCGCCGTGCGGGGTTGCATCGTACGCGCGCTCACGCTCCGGGGGCGCGTCGTCGTGCGCATTCGCCTCGTCTTCGATGGGCGGGTCCGACATGGTGGAGGATGAGGACATCAGCGAGGGCGTGGAAGAATGGTCGAGGGGTCGCGCACGGCGGCGGTCGTTCTGTCGTTTGTTCTGAAACCAAATCTAAGGCAGCGTTGGCGTCAGCCCATTCGCTCGATCCATGGATGACACGCAACCATGTGACGTGGGGATCACCGCACCTGCACCTCTTTCTCACCTAACGCGACTTTGCTCACAATCTCGATGCGAGCAGCTTTGTCGGGCTTGGGGTTCTTCTGATATTCGGCCTTCAATACTTCCTCGTCCTCTTTGCTGTACGTGCGGTCAGCTGCAGTTGATGGACCGAGAACGCAATGTGTGGGGTTAGTAAGCACGGATCACCGCGTCGGAAAGGCGCGTCCAGCATGAACACGTTCAGACGAATAGAGGTTATTAATGATAATGGCAACACACCTTGTTCTTCTGCGTTTCTGGCGAGCGAGAGGTTTGTTGTCCACGTCCGGAGGTAACGAATTGGCAACGGTGTTGGGTGAATGATTGAGGAACGCGATCTCTCCATCGTGGCTGCGCCTGCTTGATGCAGGAGACGATGAAGGCAAAGGCGATGAATCTGGCATTGTGTTGGAGTTGACCGGGAGTGGTCAACGCGTAGAAACGAGCAAATCAATGAGGTTGCAGATTCGAGTTCATGGAAGAAATAATGGAAGCGCGAGCGCAACTGGATTGTGGCAGGGAATGTTGTGAGGCGCGTCGGTTCACGGTTCACGCCAGAAGATCCACATACGCGGCGCACGAGCTTCGGAGCAGATGTCTTGCATCGAGCCTTGGAATAACCGTGCGCTTGCCCTGTTCGAGCGTCTGTTACATCCCATGTCTGTGCACTGTGGAAGAATTGTGCAACTTATGAATTGCTCTGGACGCGTCGTGGTCGTCGACGCGAGCAGGTATGCTTGCAGCAATGTTCCACGACCTCACATCTGTTGCACGCGTCCTTGTCTCACACTCCATCAAGCTAATGCTCACAGTCTTCGCAGTTCTGCCTACGCGTGAACCATCAGGAGTCTCGAGCATATCAAGCAGCGTAGTAAGCATCCACGTTCGCGTTATGCATGATGAGGTTTGCATACAATACTTTCCTGCTGATTGAGCGGCAATTATCGACCCGAGCACAGGCAAAAGACAAGTCAGTCATGTCGATCTGGCTCTCTGCAGCCTCAGTGTCGATAGTGGTTTCAGTAGGCAATCGTTGAGGCAACATCGTGAAGGCGACAAACGCGACGCGTGCTCACGTGCGTGTCCTAGTGCACGTGCAGGTGAGGTCCTTCTTGGTAAGCGCGCTTTGGCCAACACTTGAAAACACGGGCCCAACCCTAGGCGTCTTATAATCCTTGGATAGCCTTCTCGCCATCTCTTCTGTTGACCGTTGCATCTCATTTGCGCCTTCGACGTCCTGTGGTTCCCTCCTCCGAAAGAAGGCAACCGGTCCTAGGCAGCGACTACGACGTAGGCGGATAGCCGCGCCCTTGGCCATCAGCAACTACCGAGCAGCAGTGGAGCTGAGCGGTTTTTGCGCATCGCAACAGAACTCGCAGGTGCGCGTCAAAAACACCCTGCTCCACTGCCATGTAGTCAGGTGCTTTGGACGTCGCTTACGACGGCTCAGTCTGCTTTTGTCTTCTATGCAGCTGCTCCACTGTCACCGGTTCTGGGTGATCGTGTCAAGGCAGAAGTCTGCTAATCGAAGAGCTGGACTTTTCTTCCCATATACTGATTTCGTCCGCGCCAATCATTTCCGCCCTCCGAGTTGGCCTGCCTGGAGCCTTGATCGGCCTTCTAGTCTGCGCTAAGTATGAGTAAGATCACCTAGCTCAGTTGGCAGTGTCGAAGTCGCAACAATGCGGGGAGACGCGTGAGCTGCGTCCGATCCCAGAGTTCGGAATTATCGTTCGACTTTGTCAATCACGGCGAGTCATATCATCATCACCGACGGGATGTCGAGGTTCGTTGAGACTCACAAATGCGAACTGAACCCCTGAGCCTTTCACCGGATATCGGCCCCCACTCCTTCGTTCGGACACCTCTTCAGGAATGCCCACTCTGATGGATGGGAAAAGAGGTGATTTCGGACGTGCAGACCATGCATGAGGTTTCTCTCCTAGCCCTACTATGCCCAAAATTGATACTCGCCACCGGGCCATTGCTAGGCACTTGCTGCTCACCAGCCTCTGGGCTCTGCATGGCAACTCTCCGAACACCAGCACCTAGTCAACGTGCGGTGTAATATAAGCCCTGTGAACTAGTGGTATGCTTGCCATGCCAGGGCTGAAACGTCGAATCCAAATATGCCGACTGCGTCCCGTTTCCCGTCTCCCACGCGGCCGAGGACGCCATCTTTTGCTTCAGTAGGGCGTCTAGCCTTCTAATTGGGCTGGCCCCTTGTCCAAGCAAAATGGAATCGTCAGTGCTAAGAATCCCGCAGCATGGTCCGCTCCCAAAAACAGTCCACTGGCTGGCATGGGGTACGCTTGGTGCGACAATGTGACCACGATGTATATCATAGTTATAGCAGTTCTAGGCATCACTCTAGCTCTCATATCTACCGGCTCGATCGGTCTTGGTTTCGCACTGCGAAGTGACGGGCGCGAAGTAGGGGAGAAAAGGCGATTGCAGCCCAAACGAGGGCGCAAATAACACTACGACATCGAGCGGAGATGAAATGGTACCCATCAGAAAGAGGCGTTAATGCAGGCAGCTGCAGGGTCGCAGAAGACCTTTTGCGAGCCGAGACGTTCTACTCACCGAATCTTGCAAATTCTTCCCAACCTTATGAGAGCAACGCGACCGCTGCTTCCCGCGCAAACCGCCCCATCTGTTCCTCTATTGGATCTCTATTTCGACTAGGGCGTTGATCACAGTTGCTTCATTGGAGTACCCACACAGTCCTTGTTCATCCTTCGGAGTGCTCCGCTCGAATACATTGATTCCCTCCATCTCTGGACCAATCTTTTAGGAGATTGTTCCAAGTTGCCTTCACTGACCGTGCTATGTCCACCACCTCTCCGTTCGAGAGACTGACGGTGAGTCACGTACACCGACCCTTCTGGTGACACCTGCAGACATCCGCCATTGCGCACGTAGCAACGTTTGTCATTCACCTAAGTTCAGATGCTGTAACAACATTCAGGGGCTATAAGACACTGGCGTTCCAGGTGTGTTGTAAACTCCCAATATCCAAACTCACGAAATCGTTTTCCAAATTTCCTATTACAACGGTCAACTATCCTCAGGTGTCTCTTCCGCTAGGTTGAATCAAGAATGTCAGTCATGCGCATAGCCGTAGCCGGCACTTGCGGGTTGGCCTTGATCATAGCTCGCCAGATCCATGATTCGACAAGTCACCAACTCATCATCCTATCAAGAAGTGTAAGTTTTTATCCTACTCTCACCTACCCCCTATTTCTTGAATGAACCTGATATCGCCAAAGCCGCAGCCAGGTCTCCAGTCTCAAGGATACCAATGTCAAGTCGTCGATTACAACGATCCGTCTTCGATCCAGCATTCTTTGATGGGTGTTGACACAACGATATCCACCGTCACAGGCAATGCTCAGTTGCGACTGATCGAAGCCGCCGTGGCATGTCGCGTACGCCGCTTCGTTCCAGCGGAGTTCGAGGGTCAGCCTAGCCTTAGGACCCAAAATGGTCTCCTAGATCGTGGGCGAGCCGCTGCCCTGGCTCTGTTACAGCACTACCGTGGCTACATCCAATCAGGCGTATTTGTTTGTGGTATCTTTTATGAACGATTCTCGGTCAACGGAATGGTGTCCCTTCGCATCGGTGTGAACACTGGTTATGGAAACGAAGGAGACTACATTGCTGATCCGAGAAACATGACAGCTGTGGCGCCAGTATATGACTCCAGCCAGAATCTGTCGGTTGTGTGCCTGACATCCGTGTACGACGTCGCGCGATTCGTTGTCAGGTCCTTGGACATGCAGTCTTGGCCTCAAGAGATGACCATGTGCGGAGAGAGGATAACGGTGCAGACTCTGATCGAGACTATACAGTCATGTAGAGGTGAGTCACCCTTATCCAAAGGCGATGCCAAAGGCTTGCGCAGGCGCGCTCGCGTAAGATACACATCAAAGTCCGACGATGAACTAGCTCCAACCTGTTACTATAATTTTATACCCTTCACAGAATACTCACAGCTCACAGGGCGTCAGTTCTATCCCATCGAGTGGCAGAACCCTGCGAACCTGCAATACCAGATGACTATGGCACAAATGGCTGGCGATACTGCCAAACAGCGGAAACTCGCCACGCTTATCGAGACCTCCGAGAATCGGTACCAATTCACGTCCCCTGCGTATCTAAACTCACTGTTTCCGGACATTGTACCAATGAGCTTTCGTAACTGGTTCACAAGTACGTTCGAGTCTGAGTCACCCTTGCAAGGAGCGCAGACTAACATGCTCCAGACAACTGGGCCTCTGTGCCTTAAAAACGCCATGTTCCGGCTGCACGGGGAAGGTTATCCAACTCACCGGTCAATACTGCCATGCGGATTGACAGGAGCTCTGTGACGATAGACGACCTCCATCTTCACGCCGTTGCAGCTCTCAGCACCCTTAAGTCACGTGCAAGGGCAAGGCAGAATTGCCGTGCGTTTCTGCATTTGCGCTCGCATAACTCATCTCGTCGTAAGGTGGTGTCGTTGGTTTTCTAAGCATCGGGCGTGGGACACATTCGCTCAGCATGGGCCGTAGATCTCCATTCACACAACTTCAGCTTCATTGCTATAACACTACTTCTATTACCCTTCAAGCCCTTCTAGTTGCATTGTCTTGTTCTTCATGGTTTAGAGGGGGCGGAGCGCCGGCACCCATAATAGTTGCGGCCTGCCTTTCAGCTCGACAACAAGGGTGTTTGTTCGGACCGAAAGAAGACACAAACAAGGTGCCAGACTTAATGCCCGCCCTACACTTTGCCGGCTGATAAGTAGATCGTCCGTACATGACTGTGTAGTCCGTTTCCAGCCCTTGTTGTGACATGTTGACGATTATGATTTCGAGACTATCAACATAGCAGTCACCTTACAAGCGGCCTACCGAGGTCGACACTCTGCAACACGCGGACATGACAACCAATCTCCACATTGCGGACGAAATGTAAAGCATCTTGTGGACAAGTATCAAATCCAAGTTGTGGCCCCATCATTCCATCCACCAATTGTTCCATAGTATTCTCTAAGACACTGACATGAACCTGCCGTCAGCCCTGCAGCGATCAGCACTACTCGCACTCGCGTATACTGCACAGTCAGGTTCATGATCGAAGTTACGCAGTTGCATCGATCATGTAAGCAGAGCAAGCGACGGTGAATGCTCTCCACGTGCCCTCACTGCGCTCGGTTAATCCATGCGGATAAAGCTGAAGTTACATGCGGCTCAACGCCCAACATTTGAACCTTCCCAAAACGCCCGAAACATCCACCACTCAGCATGCGATGTTTGGGGCAAATGACGCAAACGCGAACGTGCCACTTCGTGGGGCGTGCAATAAGGGACGAAATCTTTGCTCAGGGCCGAGCAGATTCCCATTATCACAGGTTGACGTCACGCTGCCCCACCATGCGCGCAAGCTCCATATAAGGGAGGGCAGCTTCACACAGAGACTTTTTCTTTCCTATATTACAATAACATTAACACGTACTCTACGAGCTTCAATCGATTTCACAAAATAAGACACTTTCCTTTGAAACACCAAGTAAGCCTTCTATCTTGTCGCGTTGTGCTTTGCGAAGTAACAGTTTCCCCGCACGCGACACACCATAGCTCCCAACAAGCTCAATTAATTGATACATGTCCAGTCAACAACACAACACAATGGCCTCCAAGCAAGAGATCATCGATGAGCGCAAGGCCAACCTCCCCCTCCCTGAGCAGCCCCCTACCGCCTCCGACTTCAACTCTGCCGATGAGCGCACCGTCAACGTCGGCTCTGGCGCCCAGGCATCTGACCTCTCACACTCTGGCCTCGGTGGCGACACCCTGCGCGAACCCTCGACGACCGATGCCGTCGGCAGCACCGGCCGCCAGGCCAAGGACGGCCTCAGCGGTATTCCTAACGATGCTGTGACCCGTGACGCGAAGGACAAGGCGGGCCTTGAGCAGACAACCGGAAAGGACTACGGAACTCCAAGCTCGGCGAAGTAGATGGAAGTGGCTCCGGTGTTTTCGCATGAGGGCGTTTGGGTTCGTGTATGATTACTCGAGTGCATGGCATGATCGAAGCGAAAGCTTACGAATAGCTTCCGGATATCACGTACAATGATATGAATGACGAATAACTACCAACACTATATCGTTTCGAAATGTATGTAATGTGTGAGATGCATTGGGTGATAATCTTCAATGATGTCTAAATCCTCTGGCGCTGGGGTTTCGTCTCATGCTATCACAGCTCTAAGTGCTTGATGCTACAACATATCACTGTCTTTGTACAGCTGCTTAACATTGTGTGCGGACCTGCATCCCTCACCCGTAATGCCCTCCTTTCTTTCAACAACATTACTGACAACCCGAGCACTTTGAATGTCAGTCTAGTGATGTCTCACGAACGAGATACCGCGCATACAACTTCACATCGTTCAAGAATCATGCAAGAAGCGCCCAGTTAGACGCCATATCTGCAGCAATCCGGCACGCCATCCGAGATAAAGAGACCGATCGCATGCTCAGGTCATGATCGACAGGGTCCCCCGAACACATCGCTGTATGAATGGTGGGTTTGTGGTGGAGTATCGATGGGTGCTACAATTGACGTCATGGCGATGCAACGAAAGTTTGGCTCGATGACATGATGAGCTCACCGAAGCTACGGAATTATAAGCTTGAGCTGCAGCTCCCAGCGACCTGCAAGCATACTGGAACACAGGAATTGAACTTCACCAAAACCTTCAAGAAATTCAAAAGATCGTTCGAGGTTACAACCATATATAAAACCAATTGAAAGAGATAATCAAATATGTCTTCTTCAGCAGGTACAAAGGCAAGTCGAAGACGCTATATCACCTCGTTACCATCATCACCCAATCCAACTAACACACATGCAGGTCACCGACCCCAAAGCCACCCTGAACGAGCCCACTGGCCTTGTCACTTCCGACTCCCTCGCTGCCGAATCTCTCAAGAACGACGGCCAATTCGCCGCAAACAACCCTCATGCTGCCGCTTCAAAGCAGCCCTCAGCCTCTACAACCTCAAACACAACTGACACCTCGGGCGCCACCAAGCTCCCTCCCGCCCCCGACGCCGAGGCCCGCGACGCTCAGGAAGGGTGGCAGGAAACCTCCCAGCTCAATGCCGCCAAAGGCCTAGGTAAAGAAGCCGGCGTAGGCCCTACATACAACGTAGGTGGCACATCTGGCGCCGCCAGCGGCCGATCAGACAACTTCAACCCTGGAGGTGACGCCGCGCCGACTGGTGGGTATGCTGGTGCGAGTGAGCAGGCGCGCAGTGCGGGGGAGTTGAGGCCGCATGGTGCGAATATTACCGAGGATCCGAAACTGTCTGGTAAATCTACTTTTGGTGAAATCGGTACCAACCAGGATCCAAGCAGGGCGGCGGAGTTGGAATTCGCGAAGAGGGATGCTCTGCCTGGTGGGGCAACGGGGGGTGGGAAGGATTTGAGCAGTCAAACTGGGGATAGCAAGTTTAGTGGGTTGAGTGATGAGAGGGTGTAAGGATGTGCGAGAGAAGTGAGACGAGGTTCTATGACATGTAATGGTCTTAAATGATTTGTTAGATATTATAATGTTTAAAAACATGCTTGGAGTTGAACTGTTAACCTTTTTGGGGCATGGTAGGTGGCCAGTTCGACGTAGTACGTGATTGAGGGTTGCTGAGGTGTGTTCAAGAGTCTTGATTCATGTGTGAATGCTTTGAGCGTTGTCTACCTAAGAGCGCTTTGCCGCTCTAACAAATGCCTTAATTTTTTCGAGACTCTGCTGACCGTCCACTTCGACTCCACTGCTCACATCGACAGCCTGGATACGATCAGTATATTCCCCTAGGCCCGCCAGTGCCTTTTGCACGTTATCAGGATTGAGGCCACCGGCGAATATGATCTTGATAGTGTCGTCTTTAGCAAGAGCCTCCTTAACCTCAGATAAGTCAAGCTGCTGTCCGGTGCCTCCGGATCCCGCATCAAGGAGCGGAAGTGCATGGTATCCTCTCAAACCGATGCCGATGTCCTTCGGACCGAAGGCTTTGATGACGGGCACGGGTATGAGTTTCGCCCACTCGATGGGCTCTTGTCCGTGGAGTTGTACGATGTCTAGGTTCAGCAGCTGTTGTTGTTCGAGGACGTACTCTAGAGGCTGGTTCCGGAATACGCCTACGATTAGAGCCCGTGAGGGATAGGAGATGTGGTTCGAAGCTGCATGCTCGAAGAAGTCTGATGCTGATTGAGATATTGTCTCGGCGGCTTTGGTAGCATATGGTTTCCGGGATATGTGAACTGCTTCGGATATTGCTAGCGCTACCTCTGTTGACACGGTGCGCTTGGTTCCTTGAGCCAAGATCATTCCTATCAGATCAGCACCTGCCTCGATGGCTGCTTTAGCTGCCTCCACGCTGCGAGTGCCGCATATCTTAACTAGAGGAGCGGACGATGCTGTTGGCTTCTTTAGGGTGCTACCACCAAGTAGGTGAGCGATGAAGTCGGCAGTATCAGACGCCCGCATGAGAGCTTCGCCGACTAGAACGGCACCTACTCCGTTCTGCGCATACGGCTCGACATCCTGTGGACCAGTAATACCGCTCAAAGCGCACACGACGGTCTCTGTGGGTACCAAATGCATCAGACTGCTGGTAGTTTCCATATTAACCTCGAAATTAACGAGGTTGCGGTTGTTCACTCCAATGACTTTGGAACCAAGGTTGACAGCGATCTTCATCTCCTCTACATTGTTGACCTCCACCAGAGGCTCCATACCGAGCGAACGCGAGTATTCATAGAGTCTCTTCAGAAGGAGTTCGTCCAGCATCTTGACGATAAGCAAGACCGTATCGGCGCCAGCAAGTCGGGCTTCGAGGATCTGATACTCGTCGAAGATGAACTCTTTTCGCAGAACGGCCGGCCTGTTGGGCATTCCTTCGAGGCTTTGTCGCACTGCTTTGAGATCATCGATGCTGCCCTTGAACCATTCCGGCTCGGTCAAGACGGAAATAGTGCTCGCGCCAGCTTTTGCATATGTCCGAGCTTGAGCAGGGGCGCATGCGGACAGCGAAATTATGCCTTTCGAAGGAGATGCGCGCTTGATCTCAGCCATTAGTGAAAGACGGTAGGGCGAGCTTCGCAGCCGTTCCGGGAAATTGATCTGGGGCGGAGCTAGATTGAGATCGTACGCGGCTTGTAGATCAATTGGTCGCTGTGAAGGGATCTTCTTCTGCTCGGCCACGGCAGCCCTTCGGTGATCGTAGATCTTCTCTAGGATGGAGGTGTGCTTATCTTTTGGAGCTCTATTAGACGATGCTCCATTGGCAACAGCACCAATCGCTTGAGCATGCGCCTCTTTACCCAATCTCTCATTTTCCGCCCAGGTGCCACCTTGCATGCGAAGAAAGTTTCTAAACATCTGTCGACCCTCCTCCGTGAGGATGCTTTCTGGATGGAACTGCACGCCTTCGAGCACATATTCCTTGTGCCGTACACCCATTATCACTCCTCTGCCGCCTTCAGGGCTCTTGATCCAAGAAGTGACCTCAAGGCACTCGGGCACGGTCTGGTGTGTGCCTGCTAGGGAGTGGTATCGCGTGACGGGGACGTCCTGGGAGACGTTGGCGTATAGACCCTTTCCATCGTGTACGAGCGGAGAGGTTTTGCCGTGGAGGATCTCGCCGGTAACGTCGACCTTGCCGCCGAGGCTGTATATGATGCATTGTCTGCCGCAGTCAGTTCCTGGCACTCTGAGGACGCACGCCTTACTCACTCGCCCATACAAACGCCCATTACGGGGATCTTGCCTCCGAAATGACCTATGGCGGCGTTGCTAACACCAGCATCCTTCTCGGGGTGGCCGGGACCAGGGCTGACGACGAGCTGGGTGGGGTTCTTTGCGATGAGCTCGTCAAGGGTGATCTCGTCATTCCGAAAGACAGTTACGGTCGCGCCTTCCAAAGCCAGATACTGGTAGACATTCCAGGTGAAGGAGTCGTAGTTGTCGATCAGAACCACGTTATTTGCGGTGGGAATTGGCGGCGAGGCCTCAGGATGGTGGGGCGAGTGATCTATGACTGGCAGCGCGGCAGGCATGGTGGGCGGTCCAGCGGTTGTGAATTGGGATCGAGGCCGAACGTCTGATTATGAGCAGACGGCGGGGGTCAAGAGGGCCAGGTATCCGGCGGAGTGAGTCACTCCGCGCTGCTCTATTGCACCTTGGTAGTTCATCGGAGCTTTGTTTCTGGCCCGCCGGCGATCCCAAAATTGCGGCGGTCCTGCAGATTGGGTCTGTGCGCAACGCGCTCCAGAAAGCTTGAGCTTGCCTGCGAACTTTCGCGACAACGCCGATGCGCCCACGACAAACGCAGGCAATACCTCCACCTGCGACATTAATGGACTCTGGCTGAGCGCCTTTTTACTACGCGCACTCTAGCGCCGCCATGGCACCCATTCAGCATTCCAACTTGGACCTCGCGAAGTGCTTCAAAGGCGAGCAGCAGCTCATGTGTGTTTACTCAAAGCATTCCCATTCAATGACACGACTAATTGGCCTAGCACCTGGGAGATCGCTTACAATGCCCTCTGTAACCCCGATACTGCCGCTAAAAGCCAGCCGCTGCGCGACTTCCTGACCTCCGACGAGAACGTCACCATCCTCAGCAGCCCATGGGCCCCGTTTCCTAAGCCCTCGCCGCAGGAAAAGAGCAAATTCGAGTCCGCAACCGCCCCGATCAGCGTCACGCCTGCCCAGGATGAACACTACAACCTAAATGAGATTAAGGAGGACAGTCTGTGGTTATCGAAAGAGGTTCAAATATCAGAATATGCGGCATTGCGCCTGGCTGTGCAGGAATGGCAAACCAGGCCAACCGTGCAGCTGCTGAGTGGATTGACAGAGGAGGAGGTGCTGAGCGTAAAGGAAGCTGCCGGCTTGACCACCCTGGGCGCCTCCACCTACGTCCCGACCATGTCCATTCTCAAGGCCCCGGCAACCCTTGAGGAGCAGACTGCCTCGCAGTTCAACTCGCCTGATCAGCGGAAATTGAGGCTTATCGGCATTTATTTTTCCACTTGCACTTCCATCTTGAGGGTCAGCCAGCTGCTTCTGGCATGGGGGGCCGCACGAGACCTGCGCTCCGCAAAGCCCACATACCCCTCTGACTACCGCGTTTGCGACGACCGTTTCGAGCAGCTCGGCCAAGCTATAGCTGACAAACAGAATGCAAAAGCGGGTACACCTTCCGATGCGCCTGCCCTGGACCGGTGCATCGATGCTCTCAAACAGAGAATCGAAGCGCTGAACGAGGGCTGCACTTGGGATCTTCCCGACTCAATACAGGATGATGTCGATACGCAATGGATATTGGGGCAGACCACTCAGGTTGTCCACATACTGCACCTCACTCTGTTCCACGCGGACACCAACACGAAGGACCTTACTTCCGGCTCCAGCGTCGAACTGTGGTTTGGTACACTGACTGGCGTGGGTTTCTTCAAGGATTTTCCCATTGTAAGCTTGCTCAGACATCGTTGCAGATCTTGAAACTGATTCCCTTTCAGATGCGCGAAGGACAAGGGCCTTTGATTTCGTTGATCCAGACTCTCACATCCATGGTTTCCGTGGCAATTCTACGACCCCAACAAATCTTCGATGATCTCGATTCTGGAAGGTCTAATGAGTGGAATGCAGCTTCCTATGTTTTAGATGGTGGCTTGCTTGAGCGGCTTACGACTAGCCTTTGGGGTTTCATGCAGCTAGGGCCGAGTCCAGCGCTTCCCGCAGCTTTTGCTTGGGCCTCCATTGTATGGCGACTTACATTCCACGCTCGAAATGTCGAGGAGGCTCGGGACCGTCAACTGGAGTCCGCTGCCCCTGGCTCCAGGATGTCTCTTCCAGCACCTTCTCAGCTTGAAGAGGCGATGCTTCACATGACGCGATTTGACTCAAGTGAGACACCGTTGTTTACACAGTTGGGTGCACTATGCGTAGAACAAGAGGTTCTCTCCTTCATGTCTGCCCTTCTCCAGATTGGCATGACCGAATTTGGATCCGCTGTTGACCAGGTATCCCTCGACAAATTCCGGTTGCTCTACATCCAGGTCATTCGTGCAGCTCTGTTCGCGGATGCCATAGACTTCAGTCACGATGGGCTTGTTGACTTAGTCCATCAGATTCTGGTAGGCGAGAGGACTGCCCACAACTGGTCTGCACTCGACGCGCCTCGTCACGTCGATGATCCCGTGGTGGCATTCGTCCGCGAGGATCGCGCTGTACTTCGGGTCAAATTGCTTGACTCGGCTCAGCATTACTACCCGTTTCAAGTGGAGCCTTTGCTTCTTTTCTCAAGTGCATTGATCAGGGGAGAGGGCCCTAAAGAAAGTGGAGAACCCACGGCGTACGATGACCTCATTCAAATGCGCTCAGTGACACAGCGATTGCCGGCTGGCTTCGTTGACTATCGTTTGGAACAAGAGGAGACCAATGAAAATCGCGTTGCACTGGCGGTAGATCTACCGCAGTTTACCAAATCGAGCCCGTCGAGCTTCTCCACGCAACGGCGTCCACTGGCTCCAAATTCTGCTCCGCAACTCGAGGCCTTCATGATCATCGACGAGAACACACCGGGGGTCATTCTAGATGACACTGCCCAACCTTATGTTGCTCGATGGCTGTTTCCTCACTCAGCTTTGGAATACTTCTACCACCTTTTATCGACGTATGCCGTAGGAAGCACCAAGGTCGTGTACGCAACACAAGAACCTGCGTCAGCTGCCGAAGCTGCACGGATCATTGAACTATTCGCCGACATCATGCACTCGTCGCTACAAGCTTCCAGAGCCCGAGGAGACGGTAACACTTGTCCTGTTGACGTGCTGACAGCCTTAAGTATTGGAACCGAATACAGTCCGGACACTGTCAGCATTGTGCTGTCTATCTTCGAGGAGCAATTACTTCGGCAGTACCAAGAGCCATCTAATGAAGTCTCGCTCCATCTTCTGGTTTCATGCACGCACTTCGTCCAAGCACTGATTGCAGTTGCCCCCAACAGGGTCTGGCCGTGGTTGGCGAGGAGCCGACTTCTACAGAGTGACGGAACCGGTGGCAGCCTAGCGAGCATCTTGATCGGCACCGAAATGGTCCTTGGTAGCTACAAATTCCTCATGGGCTGCATAAATATCTTCCAAGCGTTGGTCGTCGATGCAGTGGGGCGCTCCGTCTCACGCAAATCGTCCTCCTCGAACAAGGTCTTGACACGCTTCAACGCCTCAGCCGCCTCTGAAAGCGGTACTTCAGAGAAGTCTATGACCACCACACTCCTTACATTTGGTAAAATGCTTGCGAGTATCTACGAAACTTCGCTGAGTTGGAAGTATAACTCTCCCAAAGACCGATTGCACATCAACATTGGCATATGTGAAGCATTCTCATATATCCTCAAGATAGCGTACAGTGTTGATGATGCACCCGAGTTAGGGCGGAAGTTAACCAATATCATCGCACCCACTGCCAGCTATATCACAGAACTATATCTCACAAAGTCTAGGAATGACCTTCCAACAAATCCCATATTATCCTCTCTGTTATCCGGAACAGATCTCCTCAAAAACACTACTTTGACGAGTGGGGCAGCCTTGTCCAAGCGCCAGACTCAATCAACACTTCTATTCTCAGAGATCCTCGTACGTGTTGCGATCTTGCTCGAAAGACCTTGGACACATCTCGAACAGCAACTATTCAAGGCTACTCCACTTCTGGCACGACTTTATGTCACCAGTGAGGTGTGGAAGTCTCCAGTTGTTACGTTGCTCGAGATCCTGGTTCACGGCGCAGTCCGCGTTGTGGAAGACCAACCACAAGATGACAAGGAGACACCGCTCAAGCAAGAGCCCAACGAGCCTCCATCGCTCCTTGGCCACCTTGGTCCAAAAACCGCAAAGAATTTCATGCTTGTCCTATCTCAGCTGGATGGACCGTTGAAAATAGTTGACATACAGAAGAATGTTTGGAATTTGCTCACTGCCGTAGTGACGTGCAAACAACGGTGGTTCGCGTTGTATCTGCTCACTGGCACTACACCACGAGAGATGGTAAAGAGTAAATCGAAGACTAGCTCCCAAGCACCCACAAGCAAATCCTTGCTATCGCGAGCCTTCGACTCACTTTCGCATCTCGATCTCAATCGCCAGAATCCACCCTGGAGTTTATGGACAGCCATGCTGCAGTTTATTACCTCGGCGCAGAATCATTGGTCATGGGCTATGGGAGATCTTCGGGAAAGGAAGGAGTTCATCCAGCAGATTATCGCATTTCTAAAGTGGATATCAAACCAACCTCCGCCGAAAGCAGAGGAAGCCATTGAGAATCGTTCTTTGGAGAATGAATTCGCCTCCCTGGCTGCCGAGATCCTGGCCATGCATCTGCACGCCGCGCGGCAATCAGGCGATAACGCATCAGTCAAAGATATATTTGGCGCGCTGGCTTACTACGATGAAGAGGCCTTGAAGCTGCCCCCATACAATGTTGCCCTACACGCGAATCTTCAGAAAAATGTCGAAAAGAAATTTCCTGGAGTCAGGCTTGCCAACTTTAAGCGTACAACTTTGCAGCCCTCGACCTACGGACCTAGCTTTTTCTATGATATCGACATCGCATCATCACTGCTTGATTTCGACGGCAAGTGGTTAGGACCTAAATTTGGTCAAGGATTCAAAGCTGAGGTTGAGCGAGCCAACAGAAATCTCAGCCTTGTCGACTCCCACGTCAAGCTTCTAAGCAGTTGGAGATTGCTTTCCCTAGAGCTCGGTCACTTCGCCGCGAAAGACCCGCGCATCACCACTTGCTTGATCCAGGTGACCAATCAATGCATGAAGGCAAATGCAGACTCTAGTCTTCCTGAAGCTCTCTTTGGACAGCTGATGGTCTTGCGAGCCGATCTTGCCTTCGCATTACTCAAGAGACTTGTCGAAGATAAAGTGAGGTCTGAAGAGGCGCGGCAGCTGCTGGGTACGGTTTGGGCGGCCGTTCGGGCGGCTACAGCCGATTTTGATGATATCTTTTCTAGCGAAGAGGTGGATTACTACCGCACGCTACTCCGGATATTGTACCTTACGCTTCACTTCTACCTCATTGAACCGTCCGATAAGGTCGACCCCAGAGAAGAATCTTTCCGCTCAAGCTTCCGCGGCACTATCGTGCAGCCCAAAAGCAAAGACGAGGCTCCCATCAACATTTCTCTCGAACTCCTGGAAATCCTGTCCGACACCGTTGCCAAAGGCTTCCGCAGCCTCGCAACCCAACTTCACAACGACCCCTCTTCCGTCTCCCCCTCCGACTTTGCCCTCCTTACTGCCCTCCTCCAACGCATTATCGCCATCCCTGAAATGGCCACCTCCTACTCCCAAATCACACTCCTCTTCGCCAACAGCAACACCGTACGCTACGCCTCCTCTCTTTTCTCCTGGTCCGACCGCCTCACCCTCGACACCCCGTCGAACGGCACCACCCCCGACCCCATCTACGGTGAACTTTCCCTCCTCTTCATCCTCTCCCTCTCTTCCGTCCGCGGCCTCGCCGAATCCATGGCCGTCGAAGGTATCCTCTCGCAACTCAACAACGCAAATCTGATGAACTACTTCCGCCGCCCCGGCGGCATGGGGCCTTTCGACGCTCCCGTGCGCATGCATTCCATCTGGACGAAGGGCATCCTCCCGCTGTGTCTCAATCTCTTGCTCTCCGTGGGCGCGCCTATCGCCGCGGAGGTTAGCAGCTTCTTGAATGCGTTCCCGGAGCAGTTGCAGCGCAGTTCGAATGCGCTGAATAGCAGGTACGTGGGGAAGATTACGTTGAACTTGGCGAGTGAGACACATAGTCTTGCTCTTATCAGCAGCATCATAGATGGCGTTAAGGCTGCGGGCGTTAGAGAGGGGGTTCAACCGGGTGATGTGAGCCCGCTGGATTGGGACAAGGAGAATATGAAAGAAGACATTGAGGGATGGATGGGAAGAATGGGCGCCTTAAGGGAGAGGGTTGTCGGCGATGGAACGCAGGTCTATGAAGATAAGGTGGTGGCTGAGATTGAGGCTGCGGGTTTGTGTTTGGGACTAGGGAAGGGTGGGTCGTAGTGTGACCATATTGCATTGAGGTGCTGGGAGGTTCTGACGGGTAGTTTGCGATGTGACGTGGCGTAACATGGTAATTTAGCTTTGTCTAATTATGATCAGGTTCCGGTTTGAAAGCATATCCGCATGTGATGCAGAGTGTGGACGGAGAGAGGTGGATGAACGACCGCAAAGTGTTGTGGCTGTTGTCTATGTATTGTCCAAAGCGAACCCCAAAAGATTCCAATTTGAAGGTTGATAAACATGTATTTGGTACTCAGCTTTGTTGCTCCTAAGTAGTATAGAGTCACTCCAGCCATAACCGCCTAGTAGCCGCTGTCACTATCCATATCAAAATAAAAGGATATGCAAATGCAAGGACGCCTATCTTACATAAACCAGAATCATCTCATTTGCCTGCAAAATAAAACGCCGGCTGTTGTTAGGGAGGATAAGAAGACTGTTAGACGTTTGTAGTCTAAATAGACAAGGCGTTAGTTAGTAGGGCGAAAAGTGTACGCTACGCGGGGTGCAGCAGGATAATGCAAATAATGCAAATTCTGATTCTATGCGTAAACCTGGCAGCAAACTAAATCAAGCGATCATAAAGACTGCAAAATGCCTATCTTGGTCTTTGAATGGAGGGGGTATCATATATCTTATGTAGCTACCTATCTAAGAGCACGAAGCCTTTTAACAAAGAAGCGCGCGTATCATTGCAGCCCGCTCACAGCCTCGGCAGTGTCCCTGGTTGTCAACTCCCTCTCTAGCTCCTCTTTCTCCTCGATGGTCAATTCACTCTTCGCCTTCCCTATCTTCACTCCTACGAACATGATCAATAGTCCAGCTCCGGCGAGGGCGATCGACATCTGGAAAGCGACTTTATAGCTCTCTTTCTTTCCACGATTTGCTGTTTGCGTGACTGCTAGATCCGCGAAGCCTAGGAAGAAAGATATGCCAACGAAGAGGATCGAGTTGATGAAGGCGCCCGCGAGGCCTTGGCGAGCCTTTGGCATTGAGGTTGTAATAAAGATGTTGGAGACATTGTATGTAACATCGATGCCCAGTGTAGCGCAAATCATGGCCGGGAAGATGTATTGCCAGTAGTTCGGATTGTCGGGCAGGATAGCGAAGAGGAGGACGGAGATGACGTAGGATGTGCCACTTATCAGGAGAAGTCTTATGACAAGTCAGTCCTATTCACTCGAATCTGATGATGAGAGGGAGCTTACATTCTACCGGGCAGCAAGTGCAGGACAAAGCCACCAACAGTCGCAAGGATAAGCCCACCGATGCACATGGGAGCGAACCAAGCGCTGGTTAAGAGTGGACTAGCGTGCAAGACTTCTTCAATGCTGAACGATGTTAGCTGACTGTTTTTGCGGAGATTCATGCGTTGTCCACTTACTAAAAGCTGGCGTAGAACAGAAAGATACCAAAGACACCATATTCGAGGAACAGCGCTACTGTAAGCGCCTTCATACCTTTGACGTGGAACATATCCCCCGGTAACAAAGGTTGTTCCACGACCCAGCCCTCAAGATACACAAAAGCGCCCACGAATATCCATCCTAATACGAAGGTGACCGAGATATAAGGTGTTGCCCAGCCATCTGGTGCGTGTGAACCATCAGTGATCGCGAATACGAGGAGGACGAGTCCGGGCACGATAGTGCATGTCCCCCACCAGTCCATCTTTGGGGTGATCTTATGATAGTCCATAGTGCCGCGCGGAATGCAGAGGAATGAAGAAGCGGCAACTATGCTCAGCATGATAGTGCCGAAGTAAAAATACCATTTCCAGGTCAACATCTGTGCCGCGAGACCAGCAAAGAATATTCCGGCAAAGAAGCCGACTGGGGCGAATGCTCCGTACAGGCTGAACACGAGATTCTTCCGTGGCCCTGGTCGGTACTGCAGCTGCGTTAGAATGTTGGTCGGGGTGCGCGGGGTGATGAACTTACTATACTTCCAAGAAGCATAATCCCAGAAGGCATGAATGCCGCTGGTCCGAATCCCTGCAATGCTCTACAAAAGATGAGCATGATGTAGTTCGGGCTGAATCCCGCGATCAACGACCAAACCGCGAACCAAGCCAGGCCGACAGTGAAAACAGCATGACCACCGAAGATGTCCGCAAGGCGTCCTGCCGGCAGTAGGAAAGCGCCTGTGACTAGCGAGAATACGCTCGCTGGCCATGTCTCTGCCTGTGACGGGATGTGAAGGGCTTCGGATAATGATGGAAGCAGGACATTGAATCCAGAGACGAAATATTCGACAACGAACATGGATCCCAAGAGAGAAAAGCAGAACCCCAATTCAACCCATATCGTTCTGAATGCTGGTGGTCGTTCACGTCCTAATCTTTCGAGTTCGGCGGGTGTGTATGCGCCCGTTGGGGGTGGTGTTGATCGAGCGGTCTCTACCTCTTTCAAAGATGTCATGGCGAATATTGATGTCGACTGGCTGACTTTGAGGACGGAGAATTTTGGATCGAAAGCTAATAAATCAATATGACGAAATCTCACATGAGAGCTTGCTCTTGTTACTTCTACACTTCAGTTCCTCCGAATCTCTTTTGAGGTCCAGCATCGGGCTCCGTGTAGCCCGCTGAGCACCACATGGCTGAGGAATCCCAAAGATTTTTCAGCAGAAGGCGTGTTTCTGTGACGTCCACCACATTGCGGATAGAAGTGGACCAGACACCTAACGATGAGGCTTGGCTGCCTCTTCCAGATTAGCGCGGCACAGCTTCGAAAGGCGCGATGAAAGGCTCGCATCAAAGAAGCAAGAAGCGTTGCTTATGTAATTAGCTCAAAACGACGTGAATGGCTGATGTCGCCATACTTTCGCCTGGGGCCCACTATGCCATTAGTACGCCTGCCGAACAGCCAAGACCGAGTTTTCGCATTTGCCCTCCCGACATTCTAGTCATGCCTGAGTACACCGGCCGTTGAGCACCTTGTATATCACTCTGCCATCCGCAGACCTGTAGGCGCTACTAGCGAATAGCCGCTTTGAGAGAAAAGTCGACATACCCCGCATGATTCTTGCCCAATGCTACCCCCCAACCTCACACTACCTACGAAAGCCTGCCACAACTGCAGGAAGCGCCGCTGGAAATGCGATCGGTCCTTGCCGGTTTGCCACAAATGCCTGTCTTCCGGTTCCGAGTGTCTAGGCTATGGCAAGCTGTTCGTGTGGAACCAAGGCGTGGCCAGCCGCGGCAAGATGATGGGAAAGACATATGAAGAGAAGAATAAGTCCACAAAGGGAATTGTGTCTGTCCAACACCCAATCACGTCAGAAAATGATAAAGCTTATTTCTCGCTTGAGTCGCAAAGGCAGGAAGAGCTGCCAGTAAACATTGAGGTTGAGGAAGTTCCTAGACAGGAGCCCGAGGCGACGGTACACACCGCCCTCGTTGACCCCCTTTACCAAGACCTAAACCCGAATTCTCGGTACTACCTCTATCATTTCGTCACACAAATATGCATGGATTTGGTCATATACGATGGTGGACCTGGCCACAATCCATTCCGCGATCTTGTCCCTGCGACTATCGCCTACCCTACGCTACTCCACATCATCTTGGCAGGCTCCGCTCAACACGTTTTCAATATATCACAAGATCCCATTACTCCTTCAACATACCAACCAGACAAAAGACCATGTCTGGTGCAATATTACCAATCCGTTAGTAGGTTCGGCGGACCGATGAAGACATCATTCGCGGACGCTCTGCTCGCAAAGCAGCAAGCCCTTTCCCTTATGGCAAAGTCCGTGTCATCACTCACTCCAGCCAACGCGGATATCATCTTAGCCACTATACTAATGTTTATCAACTATGATTTGATCGAATCAGGTCGGGACAAGTGGAGGATCCACGTTGAAGGTGCCCGGAAAATAATCGAGCGGCTTGACACTCCTCCCTACCTGCAGCAGCCGATGAGCAAGCTACGACTGGCTGTATTAACGGATTTCCTTGTCTTTTTTGTAATAGGCTCTACGTTCACCTTTTCCACCGCGCGGCTGCTGATACCTGAAACCATCGACCTGGATCCTATTTTGCAATACGCGGAGACGAATAATTATCTCTCCATGCCAGGTCCGTTGCTGCGCATTATGGTAGAGTCTTTTAAGCTGGAAGATACGCGCAAGCGCACCTCGGATGACATCGCCGTCCATGTTCAGGATCAACTAGGTATCCTACTGAAGGCTGCTCTTGACTTTGACCCCGCGGTAAAGATATTCTTTTCACTAGTATCGGTCGAGCCATGCTGACTGGCACTAGATCTGGGCATACAGTTTCGAACCCGCGTCACCCTTCGAAGATCTTGATCATCGAATGCACATAGCCGCAGCGCATCGTGCTGCTGTTTGCATTTACCTTGCTCGCGCATTGCCATATACCAATCCACTTATCGACCCCGCCAGCGGCTTCGCGCTTGTCAGTCTTACTGGGCTTGCCGATGAGATCATGCAGCATGTCTCTTTCTTCAAGCCTGGTGATACACTCTACAAGTCGATAAGCTGGCCTCTGTTTCTCGCCGGCGCTGAATGCGAAGGCCTCACTCGTCGCAAGTGGATCATGGACAAGCTGGACGAATTCTACAATCTGCTCTATTGGGGATATGTCCACACGGCAAAGAAGACACTGGAGCTAATATGGAGTTGCAAGGACAAATATGGTGCTACTAGTACTTGTTGGATCAGCGACATCGAAGAGTTAGGGTACGAGATCTTAATTGCCTGAAGTGGTCAACGCAGATTCGGAATGGGACGAGAATTGTGGGCAGCGGTTGCCTGCTCATATGGACAATCAGCACCCGTTCCGAAAAGAATACATTGAGGGTATGCTTGGGTCAGAGATGCCCTTACCCGTATTTGGCGTGATACCCGCTGCAGCAGATGCAAATACGCACAAGTTCTGTGCAGACGCTTGCAAGCCAGACTTGCACGGTGTGTATGGGACGGATAGGTAAGTTTTCTGCATTCGAATTCCGTATGAAATGAGGCTGAACGGATTCAGTTGCACGCAGACCAGATCCAGTGACAGCCCTGGACCGCTCCTGGTCACGTGACAGCTCACGCGCGGTTCCGGTGTTTCAGCTTTCACCCTTGATTTGCAATGCGTTATCGACAAGGCCAGCGCGTCTACTATTATCTTATCGGTTGGATCTTCCCCACGTCTGTCAATTGAACTGGGAGTCCCTTTCCATCCATTTACAGCAGCAACCTGGTCGCACGTCACAAGGTTGCACGTTAAGGGGTTCACCTTTTGAAAAGCAGAGTTGTGGAGCTGAAAGCCCGGTTACAGGATAGTTCTGGGCGACTGCTGGACCTTTGGTCGCCAACGAACCACTTTTTGCAGCTGACGACTGAAACATGTCAATCGGATGCCTCAGGGCTGAGAGGTTTCACGAGTGGGCACAGCGCACGCGCAAGCTCCACTAGCTGTTTGGCAAAATCTGGTCTTCAATAGCATGCCAACAGCGCAGTTGCAGGTTTGTTGCAACAAATTAACATTGTAAATGAACTGGATAACACGTGAATAGCTAAGCTCAAAGGAGGGGTACAAGGCTAGCGTAAGCGCTACCTCAACGATGCGCCTCTTGACCTGCACAACGTCATTGGATAGATGCGAGAGGGCTCAACATCATATGTCTTTGACGACTCACATAGCTCCACGATATCTTCTCTCGTCTGTGTTTTGTTTCCGCTGTTAACCTGAAGTCTGGGCACGCGGACTTGACAGCCTGGGACATCGCTTCCGGAACCGTGGTACTACAGCCGCACTTCACACGAAATGGGCAACATGTATGGACGCGCTTCCACTCCCGGTGATCGCTGTCCAGGCCTTCGCGCCTAGTCAGGTTCTCCTGAGGACTTTCTGGTGGCCACAGCGTGAAACAGCGTCCCCAGCCGCAAGTCCCACTAAAATTAGCGCAACAGTGAGCCCTTTTTTGCTTCTCTGGTCCAGCATTGCATGTGTTATATCTACGGCCCCATGTCATTTGCTGGGTCTCTTTTTGTCTGGCGCATGTTTAGATGAGAGGGGTGAGGGCGAGTCAGCTTTCAAGAAGGTTGTACCTGTTTGAGACGTGGAAAGAGCGTGGGGCGCCGAGTGTTGCGTTCCGTGTATAAACACCTTCGGAGCCGCTTTTCTCGGTGCTGCAAAGGTTTGTGGTCGTGGGGATTGCCGTCTTCGTCGTCCTTTTACCTGTTCCGGAGCGCTCATAATATTCGTTATCAATCCATTTTGCTTAATACTGTTGTTCTCCTATACGCACATCATGCACCCTTCCTCGTTCATACCCACGCTCATACTCTCCATATCTATCGCGTCTAATGTTTTTGCTCAAAGCGACATAACCGACCCAACGAAACGCGCCGAATTCGCTCTCTCATCACTCCAGATATGGTACAATGCAGGTACCGGTCTGTGGAGTACGACTGGGTGGTGGAATGCCGCCAATATCCAGGCCATGGTGGGGAACTTTGCGAAGGTCGACGACAACCCACAACTACAAAGCTTGTATGATTGCGGACATCCGTTGATAGATTCCGCTAACTTGAACAGGGCCTCTCGCATTTTCGCAAACACGCTTGTGCAAGCGCCACCACAAAACCCACAGCCAGGTGTAGAAGGAAACCACAATAAGAAGAGAGAAAACAGCAACGACACATTCGTAATGTTCAATTCGACAGTGATGGGGACGGGATACAACAAGCTTTTAGACAACGAAGACGAGCTCGTCACGGTGTACCCAGAGGACTGGAACAAGCCGACTGGCCAATACGTCGATGTAACACAGCTGCCTATCTACAACATCGCGGACAAAGCTCAAGTCGCAGCCGCCGATGTGAACGACTGGCTTGATGGCTTTTACGACGATGACCTCTGGTGGGCGCTAGCTTGGATCGCCGCCTACGATGTTACGCATGACAAGGATTACCTCACTCTGGCTGAAAGCATCTTTGCAGCCGTCGCATCGACCTGGGGGACCAATTGCGGCAACGGAGGTATCTACTGGAGCTGGCAGAAAGATTACGTTAATGCGATCGCGAACGAACTGTTTCTATCGACTGCGGCGCATCTTGCAAATCGCGCGGATGCCAAAGCGACTTATGTTGCATGGGCGAAGAAGGAGATAGACTGGTTTACCGATTCCGGTATGATTAATGAGCGGGGAACTATTAATGACGGATTAACGAGCGATTGCAACAACAACAATAGGGTAAGTGTTGCAACAGAAGTACTGCGTGCTTTTTACTGACATCGTCCAGACAACGTGGTCATACAACCAGGGTGTTATCCTCGGCGGCCTCGTCGAGCTGAACCGTGCCTCGCCTGATAGTTCCTACCTCCCTCTTGCTGCCAAGATAGCCAAAGCAGCTATCTCTGAGCTTTCGGACGACAGTGGCATTCTCCACGACAAGTGCGGACCCTACTGCGGCGCCGACGGCTCCCAGTTCAAAGGTGTCTTTGCCCGAAACCTGCAGATGCTTCACGATGTTGCTCCTGATGACGTGTATGTGCACTTCATTCAAACAAATGCGAACAGTGTCTGGGAGAACGACAGGGACGAGGGAAACATGTTGAGTATCGACTGGGCGGGACCGTTCGTTAATCCTGCGAACGCGAGCACGCATTCGAGCGCGATGGATGCACTCGTTGCTGCTATCACGGTGAAATAAGCAAGGAGAAGAACACAGATTAATGACTTCACGACGGTGGCTTTACAGCTAGATTCTGGAGCAATATGCCCGGTGCATAATGTCTAATGATACCCAAGGTCTGCTTGTTATATCCTTCCACTTCCACACCTTCCACATATGATGTCCATCGTTTCCACATGTACTTGCCATGCCAACAACAGATTTATCATGACGTTGCGGTTCAATCGTCTCTGAACTCGAAACTTTTTAACCCAGCCGCATTTAAGAAGTCAAACTTCCCAAGTTCCACGCCACCTGCCCTCAGCAAGTCATACGCCGTAACGACATGGAACCAGAAATACGGATGCGCGTGCATCTGCACGAATTCTACAGTCCCATACTCCACGTACGCAATATCCCCGGCCCATTTCCTGCGATCGATCCGCAATTTTACAGCTGCTTCCTCCCTTCCATCCAGTTGCTCCGGCGTTACCGACTCGAGATAGTTGATGGCACTGGCGATGCGCGAAATCAAAGTGTCGAACGTGGGATTCTCTTCCAGAGGGGGAAGAGGCGAAGGAGGGAGAGACGAGTTGATCTCTGTTGTAGTGCGCACGGCCATGTTGGTGAGGAAGAGGATCTGGTTGGGAAAAGGAAGCATTTCGGGATGAATGCGGGACGTCAGCAGGATGCTGGCATCAATGCCGGAGGCTTGGGCTTTCTTGAGGATTGCGGAGATGTTGTGCATGCCCCGGATGAGTGGTGGAATGGTAAGGGCGTGGAGAGATGTCATGGTGGTCGTGCCCGAGTTTTACAATTGGAGGAGATGCGATAGAGTAGCAAAGAACTGGTCCTGTAACGGTGACGGGCAGGTGCAAGGAAGATGCATTGTCTACTTTATATACAACTGCTGTGCAACATGAGCTCACCGCCTTACCAGACCTTGCGCTTTCTGCTCCACAACCGTGTCTGCCTAACGCGAGCAATACACCGTGTGTGCCCGCGTCTCCAATCGCCTTGTCGGAAAAACGAGGTAGTAATTACAAAGCCGCTGTTTTGGGCTAGCTTAGGGGCGTACATACGCACCTATTGCTCAGATGACGACCATCGATTCAACTTACCGTCGAAACATAACATTAAGCAATCATCGCGCCGAACAGAATGCGAAACACGACCAATGTTAAAGTAAGTCCAGCAGCACACAACAGACGAGCTTTCGACAGTGCTACATAGATATCTAAGTTCACAAGACCTAATTCAGTCCGGAGAAGCAACCGGAAATCAGTAGCGCCCATCATTTGTAATCCATCGGCTGAAAATGCGGCCGCACGACGTGGCCTCCACCCATCAAAACATACAATCTATTCGTTCGCCAAACACCTGATCATGCAGAGATGCGACATTAAATATCACGCCGGGTTTGTCTCGTGTCGTTAGATCCGGCCGTCCAAATATCAAACAGTCACCCTCCCACTCTGTTCGAGAGATGCATAAAGCTCTTCAATCTCCCGCTGATAGAGCGCAACCGTAGCTTTCCTCTGCACCGTTCCCTTCCCAGAAATTACACACGGCTTCTCTCGCTTTGCCAATATGATAGCGTCCTTGCTTAACTGGCCTGTTGTATCTGCAGCCCTATTCGCTTCGTCGATCTTCGGTCCTAGCTCAGCTAGAATAGCTTTTCGCGCTCCCTCTGGATCAGAACTATACTCCTGTCGAAGCTCAATAATGGCTACAGGCGTGTCTCTTCCGGTTCCAATTAATATGCAATGCTGTACCATGCCGTGCGAGCTGATCAAAACCTCGTGTTTTGTCGGGTTGAAGTTCCACCCGCTTCTGAAAACGATCATGTCGTCTGTACGGCCTTCGTGTTTCCAGTGGTGTGGCTTCGTAGGGTGTTTGGAGTAAAGGTCTGACATGGAAATTTCCTGTGATCTTGGAGATGTCTTGAAGATTCCTTGTACGTCTGCAAGATCGTTGTTTTGCTTGAAGACCAGCTCATAAAGGCCCCCTCGTGGTCGCCATTCTATGCCGCTGTATTTCGGGTTGAAGCAAACGTATTGCCAGTCTTCCCGGTTCGTGGCGTGTTGAACTAGGGTACCACTTTCTGTGCTAGCTACGAGATTGTAGAGGTGGGTGTAAGGCGCGATGATGTCGCCTGCGCTTTTGGATAAGGAGCCTGCGAAGTCGTTAGTCCTACTGTACAGTCAGATATCTTGTTGACGACTCACCTCCCGTATAAGTGACAAACCTCAATCGACCAAGTTTCGCCAAGCTAGCGGGAGAGGTAACGACATCTTCCAGAGTTGTTGGTAGCAAGTTAGCAGCATCTACACGCCCAAATTCCACCACCTGTTCAAAAACCCTCGCGGTCGGGATACCTGGAGGTCCCAGAACAACTGTACAACCATTGAACAGTAGTTCAACAAGGGCAGTGACGATTCCAGCGCCATGAAATATTGGTAGCCCAGAGTAACATCTCCTAGAGCTGTCAAATATCTTATTCCAGACTGTGGGCCGTCCTTCTAAGTCTGGAATAAGGCGCTGCGCATCCGTCGTTGCGAGCATCCAATGTGTCCAAACCACTGCCTTCGGCATCCCGGATGAGCCAGATCTATGAAAGACCATGCATGGGTGATGTTGTGCTTGTTCAAATGTTTTGTTATACGGATATGGATCGGTGTGTATTGACTCGTCAAATAGATAGTCGAGCTCTGGCATGCATAATGACTCCTACAGAATTGATGAGCAGTTTCTCGAATCGGGCAACGTTTGACGTCGACTCACCATTCTTGACGCCTCAAGGATACCTGCAACCGGGATACCGGTCGTATACATAAGGATTCCGCAATCGGTCCGTTTAATTAAGTCGGCGTGGCCCGCTACGCTATTTCGATGGGAGCTAAAGAGTACCTACGTAATGGTGAGATACCAGTATGAGGAAGGATATGTAGTGGCTGCAGCTTGGTACGCTTTACACGTGGATCGTGATACTCACTTTATGGCCCGTCTTCATTCTGCGGCGCAGTCAGTACATGGACGAAACCGAGATATTAAGAGACAAAGGTTACTGCAGGAAGACGACTCACAACGCGAATAGAACGATGAAGTGCCTCACATCCGGATGTCCCATATACATAACAGTCTCAAACATGGAACTTCTGCCTATCTCCCTTTCGATGAAACGAGCAGTCTTGTTGATGGCATTGGCGAACTGTTGTAAGTTAGTGTTGGCAATCGCTATCAAATGGTCGAAAGGTGTGAGCCTACAGTCTGCAAGGTGATATCATGGAATCCAGCCCTCAAATCTGTTGAACGTGGAATCGAAAAGCAAACACGGTCTGGTGTCTCCGCCGCCACCTCGTCCACCATAACAGGCGTTAATCGTTTCCCATACTGAGCGTTAGTATTGGCATCCATGTCCATAACTGTGCCCCAGTAAGGCGACGACGGCGACATAACGAAGGCAACTAAAAAAAAAGGAAGCGAGTGACGGTAAATATATGCTGTAGCGACGAAAGTGACCAAGGAACGGCTGGAACAAGATGAATATTACGACGCAAACCTCCGATCCAGCTTTATGCGAAAGCTGAAGGAGTGGCAGCCATGTCTCACGGGTCGCGATGACGGCGAGGCACGCTATGGGAACGTTGTGGCTGTGCGAGGTTTGGGGCCCGCCCATAGTTCAGTCCGCGTCGGTGCTTTCGTCTTCATGTCGTGAGTCCAACACGCCGTACGGAGACTAGACGGCCGTCATGTTGTGGCGGGTGCTGCCACGATGGATTGTGTGTCGGCCGAATGGGATGCGCCGTGAGAAAGACGAGGCCTGAATGGTCCGTAGGAGCGTGCTAGTTCGCGTTACTTACTGTGAAGAGGAACGACGTGCGACCGCTCCTCCTCGAGCCCACTTGGACAACCTTGGAACGCAACCGCTTCTTCGTTCAATCGAAGCTCGTTCGTTTGTCACGTCCTTGCGCTTACGCTCCTACACTCGTGGATGCCGACTTGCTGTATCTATGCCTCCCGGCAGCACCGCGCTCGTACTCTTCTTAGCGCAGGGCCGCCACGAGTCCTAAAGATGACAATGTCGACTACGCGCGGTTTCAGTCGCAGTGACCTGCTCTACGTCTGAGAATCTACGACCAGAACGTGTTCTTTGTTCAAAGCTGCACGAGCGTCTTTATTTGGCCTCCGCAAATATTGGCAATGGCTAATCAATAAACCCACGAAACGACTCCAGCTGAGCCGCATCGTCAGATCCTTGTCCGATCTATTAGTGTACGTGTACGGAGCCTCATGCGCCATGCTTGACAAGGCATGAATACACGAGACGCCAGCTGTACGCCGGCTTGCTTGGTATTCGCCAGTTGCTACCAGCTCAACGCCATACACTACAGCACGACTTCCGTACGAACGTGTGCGAAGACGCATCAAACACGCTACTGTGCTCCTACGCATGGACCTCCTGCTTCCTGACGTACACGTACATTGCTGGCATCATCCAGTTCCCATGGCCTTTTCCCCTACTCGCCAACATGACGCACCGCCATGTAGCGCCTGCACTCCCCATCGGGAAACAGTTAAGCACCCTATCCATGTTTCAGGACCTGATAGAGCAGTTGCAACATGGCAAGCGGCGCGGCTACCCACTGTCCCTCACACTAGCCAGCTCCGACTTGGCCCCCAACCGCGAAATCGTGCACACCAAACGCAATACGCGCCTCAGGTGCCGCCAGCTCGGCGCCAGCACAAGGACGATTCTGTCTTTACCCCGTAGATTTCGCCCCCAACGCGCGATGCGGTCAAGACCGATACAAGGCCGCAGCGCCGTCGCCCACAACCGATAAACGGACACTGCGACCCTGAATCCCTCGCATAAACGCGACACCAAATCCCTCGCGCGCATATGTCTCTTGGTGTTTCGCCGATACCGAAATTCGTCAACTATCCCGTGCACTCGCACCATGTGTCTCGCCGACAATACTACCTCCCAATAGGGCAATTCCAGGCGTGACAATATTCATCCCACGCCCTAGGTCCCAGCGCCAGTACCTTCGTGGGCCCCACGCGCCGGACACGAGGCTTCGAGCAGCACCACAGATGCGGTAGTCATCCAGTAAAGCGCACGGACAGAGCCTGAAACCGGCGCCACAATGGGTAATCCACGTGCGTCTCGCGTGGCCTCGCAGCTGAGGCAGCCTCACCTCAGCCTCGCTGTTGGGTCCTGATGACGGAGTGGGCGAGGATGACGGCATCGGCCGTGTGCGCGATGGTACACTGCGTTGTGCTTTGGCGGCAAGGGTAAGCGGGCGTGCGGTAGCGGAGTGGGGTTTGGTGTCGTAGGATTTGCGCTGGATTTGGCGGATGGCATGTTATCTTCCGGGAGTAGGTGCGAAGTATATATGATTACTGTAACGAGACTATGTTCTGCACTGCAGACGATATCCTTACATGTGACTAGCTTCGCAAAGTACTGCGTGCAACATGTACACTTAGCTCACAACGTACTAAGTTCTCATTATGCGTAGACGTACTTCGACATCCTTTTCGCATACCCAGAGCAAGTGGTTCACGCGCTACGTCGCTGAACTGGATTTATTTGCGGTTTCTTGACCGGACTCATCATGTATGTCAACCTCCTTCGCGAGGCTTTGATGCTCTGGTGTCAGAAATGCTATCACAAGCGCCGAAGATATTACGCCGTTGTCGCACCAGTGGACGATTGTTTTCAGGTTCGAATGTTCGCTCACGTTATCCAGACTATATAACGCCCGGTGATTGAGAGCACGAGTAGAATTAATTTTTCTGATGCTCACAACCGCCAAGAGAAGGTGCACTGGGCCGAGTGCAGGGAAGACTTCGCCACTGATCTTGCACTGTTGGGACAGGACTTCTTGGGGAACTACCCGGCGATACAGGTATGATAATTTGTCCAGTGAGTGTCCTGGGGCTGCGTTTTATAAAGCATCGCCGACACCGTATAATTTGAGAGTAAACATAGTCGCCCAATGGCGGTTCACGACCAAGCCCAAGTACACGATGTTCTTGGAAGCATCGCGGCAGGGAAAACCGGGAAACACTGGCAAGCTCAAGTTCCAAAGCTTCTCTGACGCCAGCGGATGACGATATAGAGGGATTGTTGTAGGTCCCATGGGATAACTCTTTCGTTGCACACGTTGCACCTTGCCGCTCGGCAACTTTCTTTACCACCAGCCCCATGTTCTGGATGCAAGGGATCTTACGACTGGCAGTTCGAGGGTACGCATCGCTGTGGGGATACATCGTTGCGAACATGTGGAAGATGTGAGCGATGGAAGCAGGCCTAGAGAAACGAGGATGAAGTGCAGCAGCCAATCGCAGCTCAATGCGGGGGAATTTGCTCCACCCGCAGAACATCCCCTGCTCTCCCCACATGCATCTGAACGACAAGCTGTAGCACCGCGGACTGGACCACCCCGACCATCTATAAGCCGTTCATAGGTCCAAAATGGATGGGCTCATCTTGCTTCAGCTTACTATAGGCCAGGTCCGCCTTTGTCGGAGGAATCCGCCATTATCCAACCATCGCGATGAAGAACCAAGCTCCGCCTCCCAACCTTGAGGCGAGATATAGCGGTATCTCTCCACGCCTCGCGAAGATTGCCCAGAACGCCAAAAATAAGCTCTTTTCGAATAAGACAGCCCCCGAAAGCGTGCCCCGCCGCCACGGTGTGCGCCTGCCTCCAGATACGACTCGCGAAGCCTTCGACGAAGCCATTGACGCCTTAAGGCAAGCTCTAGGGCCGGAAAACGTGATCTTAAACGACAAGCCACTGGTTGATGGTTGGTATCTCGAACATCCGAACACGCACGACGCGTTCCATCTTGTCGACCAAGAGGATCTCGTGTCCAGCGCTACCGCCTACCCTGCATCGACCGCCGAGGTACAAGCCGTTGTGAGATGGGCAAACGAATTTGGAATTCCATTATATCCTATTTCCATGGGAAGGAATGTTGGCTACGGTGGAACAGCTCCACGAGTGCCTGGCTCGGTCGTGGTAGACCTGGGCAAGCGGATGAACAAGATCCTGAACATCGATGCTGGGAATGCATCATGTGTGGTAGAGCCAGGCGTCTCATACTTCGCACTATATGATGAGATCCAGAAAAGAAATTTGCCCTTCTGGATCGATTGTCCGGACCTCGGTGGTGGCAGTGTGCTGGGAAACGCTATCGACCGTGGCGTGGGATACACACCTATGGGCGACCATTTCGGCGCACATTGCGGTATGGAGGTTGTTCTTCCGAGCGGCGATTTACTCCGAACAGGCATGGGCGCACTGCCTGGCAAAGACGGCGCAGACAATCCCACGTGGCAGTCCTTTCCAGCCGCATACGGACCGTACTCGGACGGCATCTTCTCCCAGAGCAACTTTGGTATCGTGTGCCAGATGGGATTCCACCTCATGCACGCAACCGGCCACCAATCGTACATGCTCACCTTCCCACGCGACGAAGACTTCCCCGACATTGTCGAGATCATTCGGCCTCTGGCGCAGAAAAGCATATTGGGTAACATACCGCAGCTACGCCACGTCGTACAGGAGCTGAACGTAACTGGACAGCCCAAAACCCACTGGTACTCTGGCTCAGGGCCTTTACCGCGCGAGGTGATTCGCCAGCACGCCTCGCGAATGCCTTGTGGCGACTGCGCCTGGGTCTTCTATGGAACACAGTACGGCGATGAAGCAGCCATCAAGGCCCAGCTCGACATCATCGATTCCGCCTTCTCTGCAATCAAGGGCTACAATTTCTTCCTCCCATCGGACGTCCCGCCAGACCGTACGCAATGCCGGGGTACAAAGTGGGTGTTCAGGCTGGGTGGTTGTCTAAGACTATAGGCCTTACACCTCCAGGTCTGCAATCTTCAGACATTCGTAATAGGCTAGAACACCTACTTCACCCACTTCCCTAATTTATGGTCACTACACTGACTTTGTACCCCCACCTTTAGACTACCTCCACGACCGCGTCCTCGTCTGCTCCGGCGTTCCCGTCCTCCGGGAACTCGACTGGCTGAACTGGAAACCGAACGCCGCGCATATATTCTTCTCCCCCATTACCCCTACCCGTGGAAAGGACGCCAAAATAGTGCACGAGATCAACGTCCGCCTGCACGCGAAGCACGGCATCGACCTCTTCCCTACGCTCTGCATCGCCGGACGCGAAATGCACTACATCACTAACATTATCTATGACCGCTCTTCCAACGACGAGAAACGTCGCGTCAACACCCTGATGACTGAGCTGATCGCCGAGACCGCGAGGGAGGGGTATGGCGAGTATAGAACGCATCTGTTGTATGCGGATCAGGTTGCGAGGACGTACAACTGGAATGACAATGCGTTGATGCGGTTCAATGAGACGATCAAGGATGCACTGGATCCTAACGGGATCATGGCTCCGGGGAGGAACGGTATTTGGCCTAAGAAATACAGAGGGAAAGGCTGGGAGTTGCTTGCGGGAGACGATCGGATTCATAAAGCTATCGGGGGAGGTACAATTGCACCATCCGCTGCATCAAAGGCCAAGCTATAGTCACTTATATCAGATAAGTCATAATCTCCTGCCTGTCGGCCATCTTCTCCTCCAAAAGCTATATTAAGCGCAAGCTTTTTCCATTGCCGTGGGGTCTAGACTACCGACTCGCTCCTTCCTACCCCGCCATCCGACCCCACATTGTACCACTGCATGCCCCACGACGTCTGGAAACTGATATCCATGACCAAGTATGCGTTCCGCTATGCCGGACTTATAGGCACGGCGCTGCTCACCCAGCTAACCTACTTCGTCTCGATAGCGTACTAACTGACTGAGGCTTCGACGTCCAAAGGGAAGAAAGTAGAGAAAGGGTATCATAAACGAAGCAATCGCAAAACAAAACACGAAAGAGGATAGGCAAGAGTGACGAGATGGGCTCAACGGCATACCAACCACTGCCAACGCCGCACAACCCGCCGTTGACAGGTACGCGCAAAACAAAGCGTATAGAATCAAGGAAGATCGCTGACATGCACAGCAATCGTCATCGGTGCTGGCTTGGGAGGATGCGCTGCCGCGATAGCGCTGCATCATCATGGCCACGATGTCCTTTGCGTCCTCGACAAAGTGCGCGCCTTCGGTCGCCTGGGCGACTCCCTAGGTCTCGGGCAAAATGCTTTCGACCTCCTCTCGAAATGGGGCTGTGACGTCGACGAAATCAAGCGCATAGGAAACCAAGCACCCGACATGACGATCCGCCGCTGGCATGACGGGAAAGAACTCGCAACCCAGCCTCTCATGGATATGGCGGGGTATATCGGACATCGCGGGGATTACCACGACGTTTTTCTTGAGTGGGTAGGGAGGAAAGGTATCGAAATCAGAATGGGGAGTGAGGTCGTCGATTTTGAGGATAAGGACCCGCAACCCGTAATAACGCTCAAATCGGGTGAGCAGCTGAAAGCAGATATTGTTGTTGCTGCAGACGGAATCAAGAGTCTTGCACGCCCGCTCGTGCTGGGTAGTAGAGATGATCCGGTGTCGTCGGGGTATGCATGTTTCCGGGCGTTCTTTAAGCCGACCGAGGAGCAACGGAGGGATGATAGGCTGAACAAGTACTTGCGAGATGGTGATTGCGTAAACTTCTGGATCGGACCGGATTTACACTTGGTGCAGAATACGCTGAGGGGAGGGAAAGAGTTCAACTGGATTCTGACGCACAAAGACGATGGCGATGTGCCTGAGAGCTGGTTCCAGGAGGGCGATATGGATGAAGTACGGCGGCTTGTGGGGACGCTGGATCCAGACATCAGGGGCATCGTCGAGGTGACGGAGAGGTGTCTCGATTGGAAGATATGCTATCGTGAGCCATTGGGGAGCTGGGTGAGTCCGAAAAGCCATAGGATCGTGCTACTGGGGGATAGTTGCCACGCGCATTTGCCTACGAGTGCGCAGGGTGCAAGTCAGGCGGTGGAGAGTGCGGGGTGTTTAGCGGTTTGTCTGAACAAAGTCGATAGAGAAGACGTGAAGATCGCAACGAGGGCGTATGAGAAGCTGAGATTCCCGAGAACGAGGGCCAGTCAGACGAATGGCGAAGATTTGAGGGATCGGTGGCATGGGGCGCTGAAGGGTGTCGAAGAGGATAAAGTCATTGATCCGGAGAGTGTGAAGATCAGGAATCGGTGGTTGTACGCTTTTGATGCTGAGGAGGATGCCGAGAAGAGGTGGGACGAGGTAAGACGGACGGTGGGAGGCGAGTTCGCGAACGGTGGCGTAAAGCCGCTGTGTTGAAGATGCCGTGAAGCTTAGGTGGTCTTCACTTTCTTGCCCTTCTTCTTGGGCTGGTCATCGTCATCGTCATCGTCATCGTCATCGCCATTCCGGGTGCGCTTCGTGCCCTTCTTCTTGGGGGCCGGACGCACATAGACGGCTGGAGGAGCAATAGGCATGTTCGGCACCACCGGAGCCAAAGTCTTGCTCTCATTACGTGACGTGTAGTTCTTTGCGTCGCGAGTAGGCAGACGGTCATCGAGAGCGATATCGTCTCGAATCAGGTGGTTTCGAACAGCCTGATCCCCCCCACCAGACTTGATGTTGCGATCCCTACATAGTGCAACAAGCTCGTAATATTCGTACTCTGCGTAAGAAGGTCGACCAGGACGATGAGCGATAGGGAGCTCATCAGGTTTCTTCACGCTCTTCGAAGCGGCTTTCTTGGGTGCGGCTTTCGCCGGCTTTGTGGCAGTCTCCACATCCGCCTTCTTCGTTGGCTTCGCGGCCGGAGATGATGCAGGCGACGAACCTTTAGTAGTGGTGGGCAAATCGGTAGTCTTCTTTGGCCCAATCTTCTTCGTAACCCTACCCTCCTTCACCTTCTTCAGCGGATCCTGTTTCTCCGCTTCCTTCTTTGCGTCTTCCCTCCTCGCATCGCGCTCTCGCGACTTCGACTTCATGACAGGCATTTCAGCCCGTGACCCGGTTAGATTTCCGGTTTCATCGATGATGCCGAGATTGTACGCCATGCACCACTCCTCCAAATCTTGATCCTTCTTCTTCTTGATGGCCTCCGCCTCCTTGAAGCTCATCAAACTCTCACTCATAACGCCATTCTCGGCATTGTACTTCGCAACTTTTTGCTCAGACCAGTTGAGCTTGATGTGGCCCTTGGTGCGCCACGAAGTGCTCCAGTTCTTCGCCGTCTCGTCGTCGATGAGACCCTTGGCTTGTGCAATGGTCGACATTGCATTGCCCATCCGGTCCTCCCGAGCGGCGCGTGCATCACCGTAGCCGGTGCGCTGGAGCTTGTGAGTGCCTTCGAAGGCGAGGGGTGCGGTGGAGTCATTGAGTTTATCTTGGTGAGGCTTTGCCGGGACGGACTTGCTGTCGGATGGTCGCTCATGCACAGTGAGGCCAACGGAAGAGGAGAGGGCTTGTAGCTTGGAAAGCGTCTTGACAGTGCGCTGGACACGCTCGGGAGATGCTGTAACGGCAGAATGAGCCTGAACCGAGCTGGCACGAGACTTTGAGTGCGTCATGCGGATGGATGAAGGGGCGGTTGGGATGGATGATTCGGCGGAGGTGGCACGGCGGGCACGCGCATTCGAGGCGAAGGTGGGAGCCATGAAGCGCGGTTCGGCGGAGTGGGCGCGGGTGGAGCGGGATGACATCTTGGTCGATGTGGTGGAGGTTATGTTGTGTAGTGTATGGCTGTTATGGCGGTAGACAAGGTTGGGCACGAGCAAGAGTGTGCAATTGCGCGAGATTCGAGGGTGCTGCTGAGCACGAGACCTTGGATCTTGTCAAGCAATGGAAGGATCGTATGCTGTGGAGCAACTGAAAGACTGTCTGGTGCGCAGATGTGGTCGAGATCGCAGGTGGATGCTTTGGTGTGAAGAGCGGGCGAGAGGCAAATATATCAACCTCGACGCTGTCGCTGCGCAAGCTTTTCGCACAGACAGTTTTCTTTGAAAAAGGAAAGAGCGTGATCTATGACGCAATGTTCGTCGGAGTCAAAGGGTTGATGAAAGTGAATAGGTGAAGGTACGGCGTTGCTGGGCCGAACAGAGACTTTTCAACCGCGATGCCAACATCGAGCTCCCATAGCAACAGGAAGCGAGCATAAGCTTCCGGAACAAGTACTACGACATGGTCGAATGTCTCATTGCCCCTGTTTTGATTCATGGCGTAGTTTGCCAGTGTTTGTCTTACTGGCAGACAAGGGATGAGACCCATCAAGCCTTTTTCAATGCTTCTAGTGTTCCAAATAGACTTTACTATCTCTTAAATCTGGGAGTGTTCAACTTGTAACCGTTGGCTCAGGGGATCCGCCCAAAGCAGGATTGGAAGCTGGCTAAACAGGCACGATTTGTGTAAGTATATAGGGGCGCCTTGACTCTATACAGAAGATCTGATCCTATGTCAATAACTGAAGAGAAGTTTATAGGACACAATGTAGAAGCGCGAGGAGCTTTATATGCTGTACTGATAGCGAATCATCGATCATCCAAGCGATGAGGCGTCCACGAAACAAACGCGCCTATCTCAGCAGACTTCGACAACAAACGGCCACTCTACGAAATCGGAACGTCGGCGCATATTCATTGCCACGCATCTCGCACTTCCTGGAAATAGATAAGATCATCTACTGTATGGCACTATTAGATTGCGTAGTTACATGATGTATGGCATTTTGCCACAAGTGCAGTCGACTATCGCTTCGAACCGTTGGGAACGTCTGGCCAGAATCTTGACCTTCCGTCCATGTATTCATGGGAGCCCTATTCTAGGACATGTCAAGGGAGTGTAGGAAGTTGCTCTCCTAGGCTAGTGCGAATTGCAACAAGTCTCTATGGAATGAAGCGAGTGCCGCTGCTTACCGGGCGGTAGAGGTAGCGTGAAAGATGCGTCCAATTTTCCTACTTCATTCATCATTTACTCAGGATACATTTCTTGCAAAAGTCATTTCACGCCCGTGGATGTGAGGCGGTCATTCTACTAACGGGGGAGCTGGCCACCGCACGCAGCGCCCTCGGTGTTGAAAGAAGAGCTGGGAGTGTATAATGTAGATACTGTTGATACTCCGTGCCTAAGATAAGTGATCACACAATCTTCGTCCATCAATAAAACTCGCTCCAGTCAGCTACAGTCGTAAAAGCGCAGTCTCCCGCGCAGATTTCTTTGCCGGCCCTGCAATCGCGACGCTACCGTCTTCGACAAGTTGAGCCATCTTGAACTCAAGATGTTTCTGAAACAGCGCCATACCTTTGTTCCAGTCTACCCCCGGTGCTCGTCTGCCTTGTGGCGGCCTCAGGTGATGTCTAATCCTGCCCTCACTGGCCATGAAAGCTATGATAGAATAGCCATGGAAGATGCGCGGCATCGTCACCTGCGTTCAACTTTTGAGGCCTCGAGTATAGATTTTCGTATTTCTGGACTTCGTCAACCAGGATTCCCTCCTTGTGAACATCTTTATCGCTTAAACTTCAAGACTTGGTTCGGTGGCTTTCGTGATCCACGTTGCGTTGATGCCGAAAATCTCGTTCTTATCTACCATCGCAATTGCTGGCACACGAGTGAAGGAAAAGTGGGAATTATGTCGTTCTCTTGAACGATCAGCGGCCAAGCAGCGTGCACTGCGCGCCCAACTTTGCGTGAAACGGAGTCAAACAGGAAACCAACGCGGTGCGTCATGGTGCACCGCAGTGTGGTCGCGTGTGGCCTCTGGATCCGAATCCCGTAAGGTGGCAAAATCGAAGCCAATAGCATGGGGCACCGTCGCTTGCCAAGCATCGCCCGAAGCTTGTTCGCGGGAACTAAAAGCTTACCCGACATTGGAAGTTCATGGACCTGCCCGGCGTGCTGTTCTCTTCGCTGAATCCGTTGTCTGTCAACTTAATTGCCTTCTTCTGGTCATATGGAAACGAAGTTGGCACGATGTCTGAAGAAATCACGTTTCGGCAGCTAGGCGTAGGAGCCCAGGAAACCAGAGACGAAGGGCGTGATCATGTCGTCTTTCAGGAACCAAACTTCGATGGCGAACAACAACAAGAGCGTCCCCGTCCCAAGCACGCACTAAATGGAGCCACCGAAGTCGCTCCAAAAACCACAGCTAGCCATGGCTTGAGAGCTAATGGAGGAATTGAGGATGCGAACGCACCGGACGATCACAGTGACAACAGCGCCGGCGGAGGCGACGAGAAATTGGACTCACAAGCCAAAGATAACGCGCTTGGGCACACACCGTCACTCGCGTTGGCTCCTACGCAATCCATCAAAGAAGGAGAAGCTCACAGAGTTGTAAAGAAGAAAACGTACCTTCACCAATCGAGCAAGATGTACTCAGAGCGAATTCGCACGCATACGTTCCTTGCTAAATGTCTTGCGGTTGCGCAGAATATCTGGACTATGGTGTCGACGTTTCCGTACTGGGATATGGCATTTTGGTCTGGGTGGGTTTCAAAGAATAGTCGCCGTCAGGTTACATGCTCACCTGTGTAGCTTCGCATACGCTGTCGGTTCCGCAATGTTCATCGTCGACGGCGCCTTCGCTTTCGGTCCGCTCGCTTCCCCGAACCGATACTGGCCTGAGGGAGAAGACAAGTATGCCGGTCCGATACTGTTCTTCCTCGGGGCGGTCGTCTGCTACCAGACAGGTGCTGTCATGGCTTATCTTGAAGCTATAAACGACGGCTGTTTCGCGGGTGTGGCTATGAAGCGTTTCTGGATAGAAGGTAGTGACGAAGACAAGAAGAAACTTCTCGACGCGAAGCTCCATACCTTCTTCGGCCATATCATCCCCCATCACCACCATCACGACTCCGACGACCCGCATACAAACGATGATGTTGGTAAGAAGACTCGAGCAGATGTTTGCGGCGGCGATGGTACGAATGTAGAAGCCATGTGGCGAACAGCTACCAATCGTGACGCTGAGGCGCAGCCTGATCCTGTGCAGCCCACCCCATCTCGTCGTCAAGCAGTCGACCATGGGCCCGGCGACCATGAAGCCTTCAACGAGTATATGACATGGCGCTGGTGGCCAACCTGGCACGCGTTGAGGACATATCATGTCCGCGAACTGGGCTACGTCGCTTGCAGCATTCAGCTCCTAGGCGCTACGTTGTACGGCGTCACTGGCATCGTGGTTTTACCGGGCGTGCTTTCTAGTCTCGCATGGTGGCAGAAGATCGCTGCCTTCTGGGTTCCCCAAGTGGTGGCTTCGGTCTGCTTCTTGATTGCCGCGATCATGTTCACGATCGAGTCGCAAGATGTGTGGTATAAACCCATACCATGGACTGTTCGATGGTGGATCGGAGGATGGGCCGCGATTGGATCTGTGGGCTTCTTGTACGTAATCTACGCCGTCTCTATGGTCAACGCTGATGCCTGTTCTAGGTTGTGTGCATGCTTCGGCCTGGGGTCGCACAAGTATACTTGGTGCGAGTATCAAAGCGATCTTTCCAGTACGTGGGGCTCGGCAAGCTACTTATTCAGTAAGTGGCCAGCTAGGTACGAGGTCGATATGTCCCAGCTGACTCTCACGATCAGGCTCGTTGCTACAGTGGTACGAAGCCGTTGGTGCGGGTCCTGTGCTCGCCTTCCCAAACAACCGCACGCCGGTCTTGATGAGGAAGGCGAAAGTCACCACGTGAATCTGTGTTGAACCTGACAATGATTGATGAACTGCTATTGTACGTGGGATGGGATGAATTTGCCACGCGATGTTGCGTTTTCGAGACGCATGGGCGCGCGTTCACGCGCTCGTGTCGCGCTACCTGTCACCCTGTTCAAGCGAGCCAATGGCTGCCTGCGATCCGAGCTCGTGGTTCTCTCCTCTTCACCCGTCCTCCACCTCAACAACATGTAAATTGCAGACAGCATCCATCGATCCAGATGCGGCAGCTCCTATCAATCGATATCTTAGCGGCAGCTGCTTGGTGCCCCTGAACCATGTCGCAGGTATTTCTTGAGCTTACGCCCTCGTCGGGGCCTCTACGTCTTTCCAGGTGAGCCGTTCGTCTCAACTTCGTTGACATGATCATGTTGGTTTCAATATCTGCTGGCCTTCTTGTGGCTACACTATCACCCGTCAAAGCATGGCCGGCCGCTAAGAGATACACAAACAGCTCGACCGCGGCTGCTCCACTTCACTTCAGCGCCGACGGTACGTTCCAGCTCAGTATCTTCGAGGACTTGCATACGGGGGAGAATGCCTGGGACTCGTGGGGACCACAACAAGATATCAATACCATTAAGGTCATCAATAAGATTCTCGACAAGGAAAGTCCGGAATTGGTGGTCCTCAATGGTGACCTTATTACCGGCGATAACGCGTTCCTTGAAAATGCTACCGTCTATATTGAGCAGATTGTCGGCCCATTGTTAGAGAGAAACCTGACTTGGGCTTCCGCCTATGGCAATCATGACCACCAATACAACCTCTCCTCAGATGCGCTCTTGGCTCATGAACAGCGTTGGCCAAACTCGCGTACACAGAAGATGGTGGCTGGTTCGGAACTCGATGTCGGAACTTCGAACTACTATCTTCCCGTTTACAGCAACAACTGCACCGTAGCAGATGACTGCGCGCCCGATCTAATACTATGGTTTTTCGACAGCCGAGGCGGTGCCCGCTATCAGGAGCGAAACGCTGCCGGTGGCCAAATCGGCCTCAAGAACTGGGTCGACACTAAAGTTGTGGAATGGTTCCAACAGACAAACGCCGAACTAGTGAACAAGTATCAGAAAACTCTCCCTTCTTTCGTCTTTGTTCACATTCCCACCTACGCTTCTTTCGCCTTCCAACAAACCGGTGTGCACCCACACAACGAACCAGGCATCAATGATGATGTGCCTTTAGCACCACAGGCACAGGGATGGTGCCCGGACAGCGAGACGAATGATGGATCGTGCGATTACGGCGGTCAGGATGTACCTTTCATGCAAGCTCTTTCAACTATATCTGGTATCATCGGTGTCTTCTCCGGACATGACCATGGCGACACCTGGTGTTACAAATGGGATACACAACTGCCTAACATGACCGTCGCTGGCAACGGTGTCAATCTTTGCTTCGGACAGCATTCGGGATATGGCGGATACGGGAATTGGGAGCGCGGTGCACGACAGGTCCTTATTTCGAAATCTCAGCTCGGCGGTCTTGAAGCCGACACGTGGATCCGGTTAGAAAGCGGTAACGTGGTCGGCGCCGTGACGTTGAATGCAACCTATGGCACAGATTGGTATCCGGAGACCAATAACACAAAGACGAGCTGTCCTACTTGTAACTATACCATTATCACTCCGCGCCCCGATAACTAAGAAACTTCGACAGGTTGATATTTTAGGCCCGCATAGTTAAGGTGGCCTTGTTGTTAGCAGCAGTACTTGGATAGACAGAATTACAAATTCGCAATCTCAGCAGTCGCCACTGTTATACCCGGAATGGCAACGTCACCAGAACGACACTATGCAATGATCTGGATACAGTGGACTATGTACGACAAGCAAACTGCAATAGCTCCTAGCGCCTGCTTGTTAACCTTAAGATTACGACCGGAAATCTTTGCTTGCAACAGGACCTGCCTGTTTGATGCTGCGTATATGCAGGCAAGGGTCACTTTATCATGATCCCGGTCGCAACAACTGGTCTGGCGTGCAAGTGACGGTAAGTAACGTACCGGCTAACCGCATTTATCCATTATCGGCAGATATCGTCTGCACACATGTTTATCTAACTACAGCTGGTAGCTGTGCACGTAATTGCACGTTATTCCAGGATCCTATGTTCAGCTATATTGCAAGGCTGTGCATGACGTTTCCATAATGTCGCTCCATCTCTTTCCCCGTTCTACACACTTTACTTCTTACTCCTGTGTCAGCGACAGATTCATACTGAACAATTAGCGATGGCGACAGGTCATGCGTCCGGAGCGCTCGTGGGCGGGGTGGCTGACCCGCGTCATCTCAAGGAGGCCGATACGATTGGGAAGGGCATCCGCGGTTCTGCAGATGGTGTGCAAGCCACAGTGCCTCAAACGCGCCCCAACTTCTACAACGATGCAAAGATCTCGTTCGAGGAGTACCATTACTGGGCGAAGCGCTCCCGAGTGGCAGAGAAGAGCATCGAAACAAAAAGGGGCTGGGCTTATTGGCCTCTTCAAGCGGAAAGGTCTGAGCAAGCGCAGTGAAGAACCGACTTCTAATGCGACCGAAGGTGTCAACGAGAAGGGATCTGAGACACCACATGATCCTGCTGTCATTGACAGTGCGTCTGCCGTCACAGACTCAGAGTTGAATCATGCTCGCGGCGCAATGCGCACGGCGACATGGGGTGAGCAGACCAAAGGAAGGGGCATACCTAATCAGATGGATACATGCTGACGTCGGTCCAGGTTCGATCTTCTACCTCATTACCACTGATATCCTAGGTCCCTACAACGTTCCATGGGCCGTTAGCCGAATGGGCTATGGGCCCGGCTTCGCGCTCTACACTGTCTTCGGTGGGCTTGCCTTTTATTCAAGCCTTCAGATCTGGCAGATGTTCGTGGGTTTAGACTCCACTCGCTACCCGCTTCGTAACTACGGCGATCTTGCGTTTCGTATTTACGGCAACTGGGCTCGGTATCTGTTCAACATCCTACAGATGTTCCAATTCTTTCTCATGGTTGCGCTGATCACGGAGAGTAATGGGCAGGCGTTGGCGCAGATGGCAGCTGGGAAGAGTGGGACGGGATTTCTCTGTTGTAAGTAGTTTCTGAAATCCTCGGCTCGATGGTAATGCTTACCGCTATGTAGTCGTAGCGGCAGAGGCCATAACTGCTACCCTTGGACTTATCCTGGGCCAGATTCGCACACTCCAGAAGCTGGGATGGCTCGCCAACGTTGCTGTCTGGCTGAACATCATTGTCATTGTTATGACTATGATCGTGGTGCACAAGTACCCCCCAAATTACGAGGCTGCTGAGATTGCGAACAATGTCGAGGAAGGCCCAGTAGTTACATCGGCCAATTGGCCCGTGGGCCTTGGCCTTAGCGACTGTACGAAATGTCGGGTGTACAAAGTGGGTGTTCATGCTAGGCGATCGTCTAAGACTCTAGGCCTTACACCTCTTAAGCCTGGAATCTTCAGATATTAGTAGCTGGCTAGAACACCTACTTCACCCACTTCCCTCATTGTAGACTTACACTGACTTTGTACCCCCCACCTTTAGACATGGGCGGCGTGATGAACTGCGTCTACGCATATGGCGGTGCGGTGCTCTTCAATGAGCTAATGGCGGAGATGCGACGACCGATGGACTTTTGGAAGAGCTTGATCTGTGCAGAGGCCTTTATCTATGCCGTCTATATCATCATGGGCATGGTTGTTTACAGCGCGCAAGGCCAATTCACGTACCCGCTCGCTTACCAAGGTATTCCGTCGAGTGCGTATTCTTGGCAGACGTTTGGCAACGCGGTTTCGTATACCTCCGGACTAATTGCGATGGCACTCTATGGGAACATTGGCATAAAAGTCATCTACGCCTCTGTTCTGCAAGACATATTCAACTTCCCACCACTGGACAAGAAAACTGGTAAGATTCTTTGGGTGGTCATCGGTACGTCCTTCTTATCGTCTTTGCAAGGCTTTGCTCATGCTAATCTACTTTGTCAGTTCCGATTTATTGGGGTCTTGCATTTGTGGTTGCTGCGGCAGTTCCACAGATTGCGAATCTACTCGCTCTGGTTGGTGCCCTGTGCATCATGCAATTCCAATATGTAAGCTCTTTCCCATCACCAATTGCACCTTTCGGCCTCGCTGACGTCTTCAGACTTTCCCACCCCTCCTTAAAGTCGGTTTCAACGTTCAAAAAGACGCCATGCTGCCGGAGGAAACATTCGACGCCCCGACAGGTGAACTTCGTCGCGTGGACTCTGGCATGAAGCGCTGGGTGCGCGGTTATATGAAGAAGCCGATCTGGAACACGTTCGATGTTCTCTTCGGTTTGGCAGCTTTATCTACGGCAGGCCTGGGTGTCTGGGCGGCGGCTATTAACATGAAAGCGCAGTTTGAATCTTCTGGCATCACACCATTCACCTGTACAAACCCGGCTGGGTAGAAGAGACGTGTATGAGATTATGGTGCGACTAGAGTAGGTTAGGTCAGAGTATCAATGGTGGGCTACTTGGCTCTCTCATTGTGTTGATAATTCCAAGCTCATCGAGACGGAGGAAACCATCCGAGAGAATTACTAAAACATGCTTTTGATCTGGTACTTCACACCTATATACATGTAATTCCTTAATAAAGCTTTACTTCATGGAGTCTATACTCGGCGGATCATCCAACATACATGGTAATGATTATGGTTCACCTTATCATTCAGAATTTTCTTACATTTGCTTTATTGCCACTCAAAGACGTCCTAGCGATATTGAATCTGTGTACTTCGAAATCAATTCCACGAATTCCACGGAAACATCAACGCCCAGAAGTGTGCCTACCATGTTCGGAGCATACATTGCCATGTCGGAACATCTGAGAAGCCACCCCACACCACAGCATGCGAGGCGAAACCCAGAGCTTTGCCACCATTACGGCCCGCCTAAACCTTACAGCTACTTCTCCTTGACACCAACGATGTTCTCCAACAGGATCCGACGCGCATGCACATCGTGACCGGCGTGACCTAGGGAGTGGAGAATGCGCTGAACCTCCAAGTCTGCATATCATTGTTAGTTTACCCACTATGTGTGGACGTGAGTGTATCATACCGCTCAGATTGAAGCATTCCTGGTCGTCCTGCGGGAACCCAGGAATCGCCGTATTTGTGAGATGATGCGACAGAGGTGCTAGACGCGTATTGTTATTGGGCCGCCCAAGGTTGATACGTCGAACTCGCTGGTTCCAGTCACTATGGCAGTTAGCCAAATTTACACGGATCATGATGTGCGTATGACAAAGTAACAATGCGAGTGTGTGACGATCCAGACTGTTCAACTTGTTGCCCATCGTGGCTTCGACTTGTATTTGAAGGGTACCTACGAGGCTTCCAGACGGCTCAAACGTGTATTGATGTCGTTGCGGATCATTTCAACCTGATGTGCAAGATCGCTGATCCTGTCGTGAACCTGAGCTATAGCTGCAGCAGGGACCGCACCGGTGGTGCGACCAGGACGGCGACCGCCACCGGGGCCCCCAAACTGTCGACGAAGCTGGTCGGCCACGCCTTCGAGGTGAGCGCTGACGTGGGAGAGGTCAGGCATGGGAGGCATATGTGGCATATTGGGAGGTAGGTTGGGAGGCTTGTTGGGGTGCGCCATGTTGAGAAAAGGGTGGATAAGTGTGGGTGCGCGGTCGTAATGGTGTTGGTCATCAGAGACTGGCGGGCGGCTTATGAAGGTCAAAATGGCGAACTATGTGACTGCGTTTCGTGATAGGTGAAAGCTATGGTCATTTCGCTGGCAGGATCGACTGCCGCTGAGCCACAGCCACCATAATTGCTGTTACCAAACCAGCAATCTGATGTCAAATGTTTGTGCCACGGCACAAGCAATGAACTCGATCTGACCCAAACCATTTCAACCACTCTCTCAGAATGTCCATTTTCTCAGCCGTAGTGCCCAATCTAGATAAAACCAAACGTCGTGTCTCCATGACTGTACGCAACGCAACCTCTAGTCTGAGTCGCATGTTCATTTATGATGACATCCAGAATAAGGCCTAGATACATGTCGAGTTCAGCAGTCTCAGAAGGCCCTTTGCAGAACTATATGACTGCATGCAAAACGCTGAGTAAGCAGAGGATCTCGTTCAAGTCAAATTCCTGCTCGCACAAATTGAAGAGGTGGCTTGTGATGCGGTTCAGCTGGTTCAAGACTTGAGTTGGAGGCATTTCTGTCTCGAACAGAGGGTCTAACAATGAACAGGGAGGAGATGGCAAAGACAAGAGGGACTGGGGTAATCGAACAACTGCATAGGATGAAGCAGATTGGTGTGCTTCGGCTGGTCCTGGTATGGCTTTGAAGTAAATTTGGCGGTGTCAATGTAATGTAATTGGTCGCCAGTGGGCTTGTGGAAGTTGTTCATGGTTGCGGAAGGGGCCCATAGTCCTCGTAATGTCATCCTGCTTTTGATCGTTAGCTCAGTTGTATTGCTTTCTATCAGAGGCTTATCATGTTGAATGCATTGAATGAGACATTAGGGTATACCGATCCAACTTATAACTCGACAAGTCTTCATTTCTCATCATCCTCTGAATCAAACGTTGTCACCGGCACTTGAACGATCCAATATCCGATATCCACTCCTTCTGCAACAGCGGCACGACCCCATTACTGGCGAACTCCGCATCTTCATGTTGCATGTCCCAGTTGACCACAAATTCTTTGACATGCTGAAATGAGCCCTCTTCTTCCACCGAGCAGTTCTGCACACCGCGTCTTCTTCTAGCATTAGCATCTACCTCTAGGTCCCGAGTCAGAGGCCTTGAATGAGTATACTTACCGATACACAGTGCAAGCGCTGTACATTCCCTCAAACATGTCTGGTTCCGCTATACTCAAAACTCTTAGTTCCTTGATCTTTGTGCAGCCCTGATTATACGCATACGCCGTGCAGTCACGTAAATCCTCCCCAGCGCAAAATCGTATCTGCATGTGCTGAATCAGTGGTGACGCAGAAGCCTCAGCCATAAGCTTGCCAATGTTTTCTAGCATCGACTGCTTTGCCCGCGTAGTCGCGTGTGGATGTCGGTAATTCGACTGGTATTGCGTAAACGAGGGTGTGGTTGGTGCGAAGTGGTTGCAGTGCGACATAACGTATACGAAGCCAAGCGGAAGTGCAAGGAAAGTGGCGAGAGTAAGAAGTGCGCGGTGGGAGCTCATGGTCGATGGTATGTTGTTGTCATGTTGGACGCAGTTGCTTGCGAGCGGGACGGTCTCCTCGGTCATGGTTGCAGCTGGGGAGTGATCTCTGCGATTGTGATATATAGACTTATCCAAGACGGCGCGACGAGCGAGGAACAACGGTTGGAGTGTGGTTGGTCAGGTAGGTCAGGTACTCAGACGTGCAATGAAAGCAAAGAAAGATCGACAAAGAGGAAGAAAGCGCGCATTTCATGTGTCCACCCAGCGTCGCTTCTCCTATCGTATCATTCATCGCATCCCCCAACTCAGTCTGCATACATTTGCGCTGAATTGCCCCTCTTAAGGTCTGGGTGCGGATAGGGTAGCGAATCTGAACGCGGTGTTGATGTTTCGGAGCCAGAAGGTGGTCCAATCGCTGGATGGCTGGATTAGGCAATAAACGCTAAGTCGTGGTAGGTTAGATACTAGCAATGCAACTGGCTAGGAAGAAGCCACTGGCGCAAACGAGGGCTGAGTTGCAAATTATAGATCGATAGGCCTGATACAATTGTTGACGACGAGATTGGGCGACTCAATCATGACTCGGGCCAGCATACAAGAGAAATGGGGTTGCAATGCTCCAGGCAAGCTCACTGTGCGAAAGCTTTTGTGAGTCGCTGTTCAGACTCTGTCCTCCACTATGAACTTACCCAATCAAGGCTTGCCACATAAACATCCAGCTGCAGCGCCACCAAACGTATCACTGAACTCGGCCATAGATTAGATAGCGACAAACCGCTACGCCAGCGTGTTTTTGTTTACCGTAGGATTTTGCAGATAGCGATTTGATTAGTTACAAGCGATTCAATCAGACAGTGATTCGGAGCGTAAAAGCCGGTCTGGAACGCGATCTACATCTCGTGATTGACGTGCACCCTGGTCCCTTTAAATCGCTATCTACAAAACTCTACGGTAGTATCATCGACAACGGCCATCAGGAATGCACGACATCAGATAAGTGATCTGAAATGTGGAGCGACAGATGTAGATATCCAAAGATCTGCTATTGCAAAATTCTTCGTCCCGCCAGTTCTTATCCCCTACAACTGTTGGTGCAATCAAGCTTATTCCTGCCCGCTTCTATGCAATTTTTGTATGTATACCAATAAGCTCCTCTGGCAGGCTACTGTACCAACTACCACAGAAACGCGCCCACAACGGCTTAGACGATCACCCAATGGCCTAAGACAATGCCAATAGCAAAGCTACAGAAGACTCACCCTGGCCGTGAATATCAAGTTGAACACTCTGAGCGCGGCAGTCTCAATCTTAGTGTAAGACCACGAACCGTTGGGGTGGGATTTTGGAAAAATGAGTTCACAACACTCATATTCTAATGCCGTATCGAAGGCGTTGATAAACTTGCACTGACTTGTATCTCATTCGCCAAGGTACAATTGTGTTCCCACATTTATCAAAGGAACCAATAGTGCAGAGGTAAACGATGATCGAGTCCACTTGAGGGCCTATCTTGGTACTTGCAGGATCGGCTTTTGCCAACTCCAACCTTCTGAACACAAGGCGGTGAACATCACTTTGATACCCACGGTGCCACTGTACGAGTCTATGCAGGCACTACAGAGTTACTACCTTGCTTCTAGTCCTACACTAAATAGCTGCAAGGGGTCAACTAGATTATTGATATATTACAAAACTTTAGGGTCGGATTGAAGTTGTGGTTGCAAGTCAAATGTGAGGGACAATCCCTCGACTTGGTATGTACACATCCCGCTTGTTTCCAGGTTGGACATCTTTTACAGAGCAACCCCTCATTATCGATGGTAGGACAACTGAAATTTTGTCTGTTTGGTCAAACAACTTGCGTATCCCATGCGCTCAACAGATTGCTTACGATGTTTCAACGTAAGTCCCTTTCCAAGCGTTATAAGATGGGCAATGTCGTAGGACGATATGCGCGGTAACAATCCACGTCGCTGCTTTACGTGTCTGTAGCGCAATGTTAGAATTTTCATTGAGCGCCGGCGCAACTCTATGAGCAAGCATATCACATTCGCTCTTCTTTCAGCTGAAAAGTTCCCTCCTCCTCGCGAGGCTGCAGCCTGTCCCGTCTCCTGCTACCGGAATTTGAGTGGCGGCCGAACACTGCAATCAGATAAAAAGTCATACGCGGCAAGATAGACCGTTCAATTTACTCTTATATGACCATCAAGAGTTGCGCTAAGAAGAGTAGTTATGGTGGTGGTGTCCACGAAGGCTCTCTCAACTTTCAGGGGCAAGTGAACGGGGGTGAGCAATGGCTACCTATGGTAGTATACCTGCGAATGGGAAGGCTATACCAACTGCTAAGAAGTGAACGCAGCCACAGAGTTACTTCGGTCCAGCGTGTGTACACAGTAAAGGGACGCAATGCAGGAGCCAGGCAGCTCAGGCAAGCGACGAAAGTGATGGCTGAAAACCTATACCTGGGCTGGGTAGCACAATTGAAGAAGCCCGCTCGTCTTCTTACGTAGTAGAACAGATAATAGGAGTGATGCTTGAGATCGGATTCAGCTATGCGAAGCGAGTGCGACCCACGTCTTCGGCGAAGTCGCTCGTCCTGTGAGCTACTGGCTGCGTAGCTGTGTGAACGTGTTCGGGCCGATTAAGCTGAGCACGTCCTTGGTCAGCCAACGATCACCTATCCGCGTTTTCGTTCACTATTGGCACTTTGTCACGTGCTCTTAGGCAACGTCCATAGGAAAAGCTATACTTTAACGTAAAGTTGTTGTCAAGTGTTACAACCTAGGATAGAACCGTAGAACGCGTGAAAGGGGCTCGATAGCACGGAGAGCATAGCTGTACTCTTTACCTAGGTATCGCCTATCCCATTTCTATCCCTATACTCTACACCCGTCTCCACATACACGCCACCTTCGCCGATCATACCGGTAGTTACGCTGCTGCTCGGTCGCGCTAGGGAGAGCTTCCGCCTTCACGACGCTTTTTTCCTGGTCCTTTCACGACAGAGTTCACGAGATTCTTCTTTCTGCTATGCGTCCTAAGCACAATGCTTGTCCAGGCTCTGCTACTGCCATTCGGAGGTTGATTGTTCCGTTAATTCATCTAAAGGCTTCTGTACATACAGCTGTCTTCGCCTCGACGATGTCGCGATGCCGCACCACCTGCATTGTTCAATCTCTTGGCACTAGCGAGTCGCAATTAAATGGTCCCAACAGCTTTCGCTGATTGGTTCGGAACCATCGGAGCCAGCTTAGAGTTCAGCGATGTCGTGGGGCCGTAAATCGAAGGACCCGGATGATCAACCACGTGGAGATGCACGCTTACAATCCTTTAGGACTTGAAAGGCACACTCTCGCCACAATAGGACGCGCTCCTTCATGTTAAGGGCGACGGCGAATGCGATGAGCGGCCTATTTGACCTTGCTGTCAACGTAGCGAGGTTACGGAATCTTGCCAGCTGATGGACATGCCCTATCTCAGTGATGTTGGCGTCGGCGGTCATCGGCGTGATGTACCTGCGCAAGCGCAGATCGCTTTGACGGCCGGGGTAGAAGACAGACCCTCCTATAGGATCGTCGATTCAAGCGGTGGCCTACGCCCCAAGCCGATTTAAATCTTCCGCGGGGTCAATTACCCCTCGTACGACGTGTGCAGTCACTACCTGTGGTATTTGGCGTTGGTAGAGAGCACAGCATCGATATGCGACACACCAGTCTCACTTGTTTTCATGTAAGCCCACAATGGTGGCACTGTAACAACGTGTAACCTCTGGCCTAGATCCGTTTCATTCACAGCAATGGTCGACGCCGCCATTACCTTGGACACCACAGTCGGTAGCACACGACCGAACAATCTCTGACTGACGTACGTTTAGTCCCAAATCTCAGCTCTTGCCAGGCACCCCTTTCCTTGGGTCCACAATGGTCGAGGATCTACCTGTCCGCCTTGCCCATTTGTCCAAGCGTCCCTGTCAGCCATTTGTATTTGACCTAGCGTCCCTGTCAACCTTTTGCATTCCATCTAGCGCCTCGTTTTGTGCCGATCCAACGGGGAAAACTAGTTCTCACGGATGGGTTCACTGTCGCATCATTACCTTATGCAGTGGCCCTTTCAGCCCTGACCCTGCTCGCTCAATGAGATGCGCAACTGACAGTCGGCATATAGGGCTTCTTCTCCCTTTTGGAAGGGTTGGAAGACACCTACACTTCGTTCATGTGGGCAGCGCATATTGACATGCAACATGTTTCTTCATCGAAATCCTCGTGGTAGCCAGGCTGTTGCAATTTCGAGCGCTTTCACTGCCCTCGCTGCTGTTACAGTACTTCTCCGCCTGTACACGCGCTTCTCACTAGTAAGATGTGCCGGCTTAGAGGATTATTTCGTTACAACAGCAATGGTACGACGTTCTCTACAACCGGTATATTGAATCCGAGCTGAATTCTCGTGTAGCTGTGCTCGATTGGATTGACAATTTGCATAGGCGTCCGTGGGTTCCGTCCTGCTCACAAACTCTTCACACGACTGACGTGACACAGAAGCAGATAGTGGTATGGGGCAACACATTGCAACCCTTGGGGTCGACGAGATGCGTCAGTCTTTGAAGGTCAGTTACATCAATTACGCGACAACAATGGGTCGTAGCTAAGAAAATAAGGCATTTTGGGCGAGTCTCATCGTCTATTACCTATCACTCGGCCTCACAAAGACGTCAATACTCCTTCAATATCGTCGCGTATTTGCCACCAGTGCCAGGACTTTCCACATCGCATTCTGGGTTGTTTTGGCGACCGTCGTCACCTACACTATTTGGACAGAGCTTGGTAGCATATTTGCGTGCGTTCCTGTCCGCGCCTTCTGGACTAAAGAAGCAAATGCCAAATGCATCAACCAATACGCCATGTGGTTCACCAACGCCGCTATTAACATCTTGACTGATTTCGCCATCATTATACTCCCGATTCCCGTCATTCGCAACCTAAACCTGGCACGAAGACAAAAGCTAGCATTGATCGGCATCTTTGCAGTCGGTGGCATGTAAGTATTCTCCACGTTACTCCAAGTTCCTGAACGTTGATTCAGTCAAGACGGCAGTCTCGAGCCTGTATCAACAGTATGTGACTGTACTACTCTGTGCGTTTTGTTGGAAGAAATGACTGTCGCTCCAGTCACAATTTCGACTCACTATACTCTTCAAACTCAAGCTGTTGCATATCATGATACCGTATTGACTACATTACTTCAGTACGCCATCTTTACTAACACATGCCTTTTAGTGTTTGCATCGTCTCGATCATGCGGCTCCATTCGCTTGTCACGATATCGAACTCTTCGGACCCTACCTACGACAACCCTTCTGCTGCAACATGGTCCTCAGTCGAGGCCAACATCGGGATCATTTGCTCTTGCCTCCCATGCCTACGACCGCTCGTTGTTCGCTTAATGCCTGGCATCTTTTCATCAATGAACTATAGACGAAGCGCGAGTCACACGGCTGCATTCTCGCGCAGCGCAACTAGGCGACGATCGGCTTTGCCTCTCAGTTCAGCCATCCCCTTGGAGTCCAAGATTTCGCGTCAGTCATCAAATGTAGACGAGACAAGTGCAGATGAGGAGGAGAAAGATGTTGGAATCCGTGTACTTACCGAAGTGCACATCAGCTTTGACGATGAAGATAATGTTAAGGATATGGAGCTAGGCATGAAGAGAGAAGATAGCCGCGAGAGTCTAATGATGCAAGACGCTGGAAAGGCTGTATAAGAATACCCAGGGCTGTAATGAAAGAGGTGCTACCGGTTCCTTCTAAACTTACAATTTAATCACCTTTTTTTTCTTCTCAGGAACGTTCACACTACTCGGGGTTCCGAGTCGATTTATCGTGAAGTGATTCTCTCCAGGCTAGACTGGCTCGTTCCGCTGTTTACGTGATGGCCGCGAACTCTGCAACATGCGACGGCAAAGCTCCGGAGTTGAGCGCAGATAGGACTGCAGTTGGAAGCTTCCCTTGACTCAAGTGAGAGAACCGCCGCGATATTCCACAAATGTCGGTGTCTACTAGTGACGAGCTTTGACCGATGTACCACATGCAGCACACTATGAACGTGTTCTCATGTCCATGAAACATTCCGGCTTGAAGTCTCCGACACGACTCAAGCCCCTGTGAGCATTGTGATTAATGAGGCCTCGGTCTTGGTGTAAAATAGAGACAGCTTAGACGTAAGCACCTGGGGGATATGAGCAGCGGGAAGTCGCCTGATATATTGCGTTCCTGGATGCATACCTGTTCTGTTGCCTTGTCCAGAACAGAGCCACGTGATAAGAGTGCCCACAGCGGCACTAACCAGCAACGGACTGCTTTTCCTCTCTTTGCAAAGCAGTGAAAGACAGCTGCTGATACTCGCGTGAGGACCCGAAGGGAGTTTTCCGTCTGAGCGTGTTGCCATACAAAAGTACTTGTCGTGATAGGTCAATACACCTGATAGATCGAATTCACAAACAGCCTGCATGTGCCCAGAGACAGATGCTCTTGGCGGTGCCCTCATATGCCGTTCCATGGTCTTGGGCATTGGCTACTGGGCAGCTCCTCCGACTGGGAAACTTCTAGAAGTTTCTTCAGCTACCTCTTCGGGTACACGAGTATTGCCACGACCTCGCCATGGTGTTGTCGCTCTCGGCACGTTTCTCGGCGGATCGGTACGGTGGCACCCTCCGCTCCGAGCCCAGCACGTCGTTTTGTACAACACAGTCCCTCGAGTCACGAAACATCAGTTCTGATGACTCCTCGCGGCGCAGGAGGCCTACTCGGACATGTTATACCTCCGCCGCCGGGCACACATGGCTGTTAGGAAGCCCATGCCCAAGGGAGCTAAACGCCGCTCCGAAGACGAAAGTCCAGACCTTGGACGCAGCCAAGCAGGAGCGCCAAGGGTCGGGCCCGAGTCGAGTCGCGGGTCGCGGGGGTGTTCAAGGCGCCATCGTTATCGCCGCGCCAACGTCCGCACCAACGGTGGGCCTCGGACGGGCAGGCCGGGACAAATCTGACGGACTTTGGAACCTGATTCGCAACGTTGAGAGTGCTGAGTTATCGGCTTGCAGGGTGCGGACGAAGCTTCAGTGGTGGGTGGGGGCATCTGATAGGGCGACGCAGGGGGTTAGGGTTTTAGGGCTTAGGAGTTTGGCTGCTGGTTGCACATCCCCGACCCCATCCCCGCACCCTGGTGGGCCAGACAGTTTGAGGTGAAGGTATATGTATCGCTAACATTCCCGCCATGGCTGATAGCACCGCCGACCAGCTTCACAGCACGTCAACATCATCCTGTAATCGAAGATTAATCAAAGCATTACCTCAGTCTTCAAGTGTCACTACTCCGCCCTCAGATCTGATACACCGCACAAAACCTGCACGACCACCACGATTATCTACACGTCGCCAACTGATCACAATGTCCACTCAAACCGAATACGTCTACATCCCCAACCTGATTGGCGGCCAAATGCTACGCATTCCGGTCTTTTCGGTCGAGGATGACTACGAGGAGGAACCACTTGCCATCCCCTCGCCTTCACATCTCACAATCGACACTTCCGCCCTCGCCATCCCCACTCGTGACGCGTCACGAGCACCGAGCGTTGACTCTGCTGTGGAGAGCATCGAGGAGGCTGAGTGAAGCTACCGTCACACCAATCTGAGTACCGAGACTAGTCTGAGGGATGATCTGTGGATCGTTGCCTACCAAGTGCATGTCTAAGGACGAGGACGAAACAAGCGACGCGGCAGACATCATCACATACAACGCAAGCACACCATCGATTCGCGGTCGCGACATTTGCTGCGTATAAAGAAATTGTGGGCATATAGGCCAAGTCACAACGCGATGATCGCAGGATGAGAGCCCGAGAGCCTTGGGTTGGGGCGGGGCAGGAGACGGGATCGCTGCTTTTTATTGAAGGCTTTACTTTGATTTAGAGATACCACATACTCATTTTAATACTATTTTTTCATCTTGAAAGACGCTATGAATCGTTTCACAATAGTTACACGTTATGTTCCGTATTCTACACTTGACATTCACGATACGTAGCTCCCTATTCGGCAGGACGGCAGTTATGGACAGTCATTGCGGAGTCTCGCAGAGCCGTCTTGCTTAAATCCAATGTCTTAGACGTGTGGAGAGAACGGTCCAGCGCGAACGATACACCATCCTGGTTAGACTCGGAGCCTGTTGCCATACTGAGTGTCTAACTTCAAGCGCAATCCACAGTGGACACAAAAGTAGGACGTCCTTCAAGTTATCGTGGCGTTGAGACTCCTCGATACGGCAGCATAGAAGGCCCATAACCTTTCCTGTGCTCCCAAGCCCTCTCCTCCACTCTTCTGCGCCTCTCGACATCCGAGGCTATGGTTCTTCATGTTGTCAAGCTCGTGGTCTCTGTTGAGTATCGCGGAGAAGGGTGGTATATTACAATACGACTCGAGCTGAGTAGTGGTCTGCCTCTGAAGGAGCACCGTACACGGAAGTTCGAATTGTAAAAAGGGACAATCAGATGGAGCTTACACGGTTGGGGGTTCTTGACTACGAGTGAAACATTGCATCGTGAACATATTGCAAAGCATACAGCATGCGCATCGTCGGTCGCAGACCGTCTCTTTGACCGACAGGTCGCAAGCCACAGGAATGTCACTGTCGCCATTGAAACCGCTCACTTACGGACATGACGACTCGCATTCAGACACACGTTTCATAACTTTCCCTTCAGTGCTTGCGCATTTCCGGATGTCGTGCAATGTTTGCACACGGGCTGTGGTGATTTGTTGGTAAAGCCCACGTGGTGATGGAATGCAGGTCGGAGAGCCGGCGCTTAGGAACTCAGCTTGTAGGACCGGACTTTCTATCAAGGGCGACACCGAGCTCGATGATTGTTGTAATCCACCATAGAATTCGACCTCTAGGTATATCAGGGTACGATTTGGCGTTGCTAATCAGCGCTGGTAAATCGTCACAAGTGCACTTCGCAAAGATTTCGAACGCGTCTGCCTGGTCTCAATTGTACGAGCATTTCTTCGAAGAAACGTCGCTTTCGAAAACTTGATACATGTTGCAGAGACGCAGACGGCAAGAAGACATTGCAGTGCAGGGCTAACCAGGTGTATGCTGCAGCGCGCCAAGGACCAGCTCTGTCCAGCCTCAGGGTTTCTGCCCCAACCACAGATTGCTCTGGCGGCGGGTGCGGGCTGCTCGGATGTGGTTGGTCGTGGTGACAGGTTGAATCCCAGTGTTGAAACCCCGTGTAGACATTCCCTGCCCTCCGTTGCGCCGACTTGTGATGTCTTGAGTGCATGAAGACGTTGCTTGGCTGGACTCGCCGTATGACCAGCCTCAGGCTCGCTCGATGGCAGAGGGGCAGCCTTGAAAGGCCTTTATTTCAAGTTTGTCGCTCTCTTCAGACGGTGTCACGCTGCATCTAGGAGTGGGCATGGAGGTCGTCACCGAAAGGTCACGGCCACCGGATGGCATCTTGGCAAGCTGGCTGCTACACCCAAGCCGGCCTGGGAAGAAAGCCACGAGCAGACAGACTATTGACAGTCGACACAATGCTCGGATGGCTGCAGGGTTTCGCGAGCGGATTGTCACGACTGCTGGCATAGAATCCGACGTCAGCTGGAGGTGGGAAGCCGCAGAGTTCCACCTCCTGGAGCTTGCAGACGGGTTCGTGCTAGCCACGGCCGATAGCCGCACGCAGTCAAATAACTTTATATTTGCGAGACTGAGGTCTAGAAGGCGCCTACCCCACAGAGTATCCGGGCCAGATGTACCGTGGGAGGCATCGTTTTGGCAGCGCACAATGGCCAGCACGGTGCGACGTCATCTGGGATGCCGATGCAGCCGGCGATGCAGCACAGAAAAGGAAGAAACGGAGGGTGACGGTTTTCGCGGTGCAGGGTTTAGCGGCTTTGTTTGGCTGAGGCGCTCGCGCTGCAGCGGTACGCGGTGCCGTGAAACGTGCGGCTCTGTCGCGGCGCATCCGGGCTGCACTCGCGGCACTGCACCACGGCACGGCAGCGTATCGTCGTGGAGGCTGCTCGCGGTGCTGAGGGCCCTCGTCCGTCTCCGTCGGCGTGGACGCGCTTCGGATCGTGCGTCGTGCATCGTGGCAGCTCCTGCTCCCGATCGGCGCGTGGTCTCTACTGTGTAGGCGCGAGGTAGCGGCCTTCACGTGCGTCACCGGCCTCCACAGGCGCGGCGAAAGAGCTGACGCGGTGTGCCAGGCCCACCCGCCATGGCGCCCACGCGCCCACCAGCTTCCGCCAGCTTCCCACCGCCCGTCTCAGAGCCCGCCAGACCCTTATGCGCGCTGCTCCAAGCCGCCAAACGGCCAGCGTGACATCATGCGCCCCGTCGAGCAGCCTCAGCGCTGCCCGAATGGTGACGTCCGGGCGACGGCGGCGGCCCCTTGGCGATCCCGCTGCTTTTCCTAGCCACACCGCGCCCGAGCGTCCGCAGATTTGGCCCAAACAGTAAATGGCAATAATGCTTGATTAGCGACCAAAGCGCCTGCTGCATTGCATCTTTGTTGCTCTTCCTCCCTGCCCTCCCCTGCCCACCCTCACCGACGACGACGACGACTCCGCTGCAATCCGGGGTGCTGCGCGGAGAACACTCCAGACATGTTACGCTCGTCATGTCCAGCGTTTGTTTGCTTGACTGTCCTTCTTCCTTTGTCCAGAGCACAGTCGCTGTCGCTCTCGCCCTCTCCTGATCGCTCCGGCGCCGCCGTCTCGGACAATCTCGACCCTTCGTTTGCTGGCTTCGGCATCGAGCCCTCGAATCTCTTCTCCTTTACCGGCTGGAACGAGCCCAATGAATTTTCTATACAGCTGCTGCAGAACCTGGCCGACTACTCCGGCTCGCCTCCGCACATACGTATAGGCGGGAACACCCAGGACTACATGATCTACGATGCCGACTATGAAGATTTTGGCTGGAAGAAGAACTCAAACTCAACCGCTCAGGGCGTCATCGCTGCAGACTCGATGATCATCGGGCCCAACTACCTTGCCGCGCTCGACCGATTTCCCAAAGACACCTTCATCACGTACGGGCTCAATCTCGCCTACGAGGGCGACGACTACCTGGACCACATCGTGACGCATTCAAACGCCGTTGTGAAAAATCTGCAAAACACCCGCCTCTACTCGTTCGAAATCGGCAATGAGCCCGACCTCTATCTTGAGAATGGCATGCGTGCCGCGCCCTGGGACGGCAAGACGTTTACGACCCAATTCATGGAGCGCGCCGATACCGTCTACCAGAAAGTTCTGAAGCCTGCAGGCATGGCTCCTACTTTCTTCGAGCCTCCGGCGACTGCGTCGACTATCGGGACGACGTTTGAGATCGCGATGCTTAATTCCGACGGTATCTTGGATCGGATGAACGGAGAATATTACGTTGGTTGGTGGAACCAGCATGACTATTTTTACTGTACGTTGTTGCACAAACCCAGGGTTCCGTCAAGTACTTACCTATTCTAGTCATTGGTGTAACGCCTACCCCCATCACTCTAGACGACCTCATGGATATGGACCAAACCAATACGCAGTTCGCATACTGGGAGAAGCAGGTCAAGATCGCGCTTGACACTGGTGTTCCCTACGTCCTACGTGAAATGAGCTCCATTGGACCCATCGGCATGCACCAAGTCAGCGACACCTTTGGAGCAGCGCTTTGGACCCTTAACTTTTTTCTCTACACCGCCACCCTCAACATATCCGCGGTGCACATGCACATGACTGACAATTCCAACGCCAGTGCCTGGCAGCCCATCAACGTGTACGGAAAGGAACCCTTTGTGCGACCGCAGTACTACGCACACGCCGCTGTGGCACAAATCATCGGAAATGGCAATGGGACAACCCAGATCGGCGCTCTCGACGTTGGTGGTGCAGGCGGAGATTACACGGGACGCATTCGCGCGTACTCTGCCTACGCCAACAGCGCTTTGCAAGCCGTCATTCTCATCAACTCGAAACAAGCCAATGCTTCCGAATCCAACAAAGCTAGCTTCACTTTCAATGTCAACATGGGTTCTGCCAACGCAAACAAGAAAATCTACATCTCATACCTCACTGCGGATGGCGCCGATTCACTGACTGGTACATCCTGGAATGGCATGAGCTTCTCGGATGAGGACGGCAAGGCAAGTGTCGTTGACGAAAGTATCTATCAATACTCATTGGATGGTAATGGGGCTTTCTCCATTGCCGTGCGCGATTCCGAAGCTGTAGTCGCCAATATCGACTGGCAGCTCGGCTCTAACAAAGTCATCAAGGTCGACGGCACCACAACCTCTGGAAGCAGAAGAAAGAACTCCGGATCACCCTCAGTCACCGGAGCTAAAGCTGCTGTCTGGACAGCCGTTCTCGTATCGGCGCTCACTCTTGCAACCTCGCTCGGCGCGTGGTAATAGATTATTCGGACGACCATGATTTTCCTATCTGTTGCTATTATACCAGCTTTCCTTTCCTTTGTCTTGCATGAGGGCTGGTATCATCCCCCTCCAACATTGCACTGCATTAGAATGGCGTTATGTTTGGCCCCACACTTGCGTACAGCTTCTCTCCTTGTTTTTCCAGCGACCTACCTACCTACAACTCCGACTTTGGATATGATCTGGCCATGGCATTTAGTATTCTCGGGTATCAGACCGAGCTTGCATGCTTTGTTTTCGGTGTTTATACGTGGAGGATGGAGGGGCGCACTGCGGGTTTGTATACATAACTCCCGCTTTTTCTATTGTTGCAAGCTGGCGATGCATAAGACAGCCAAAAGGCTCTGTACATGTTAGGTGCATGGATATCTGCATATACTTAATACAGTGCGTATGAACCTCGTGAAAACTCTTGTTGTGGGTGCGTATGACGTGACTCGTTGGGCAAGGGACGAGAGGAGATCATGTGGGCGGCGCTATCCTTGTTGGCCTTGATCAACACACTTGAGACATCACACAATCCCACATGCCTGCATCGCGGTCAGTCACACCAACGTTGGAGGTCATGCAACAGGGACAGGCATTCCAAGTTGGTGATTCTGGTTCAAATTAACATACCTAAAGATCTTATTCATTTGTGCTTACTATATCACGTTCTCGGGTTAGTAGTGCAAGAGTGCCGAGAAGCCACGGTACTCTTTTGTGCTCGAACTCTACTTTGGTGAGGGTGAGGTTGTAGATGATTCGAAAGACACATTCAGTTGGCTTGCGGTAGCACTTGGTGTGGAAATTAAGTGTCTCCTACGATGTTGCTGCTCAGCGTAGGGCCACACAAGCCTTTAAACTCTTGGTAAGGCAGTCTGGACCCAGCACGAGGATCGTCATGCGAAGAGATATAAAAGGATCACAACATGCACGAGCACTACTCTTGGACAGCCTGAACTTCATTATCAGCTTTGCTTCTTCTAGACATTGCGTTTGCAAGACACGACATTAGCATTTCGTCTAGCCAACACGTGCATGATGGACTTGAAAAAGAGCGTATACAATAGTAGGGTATATCATATGCATACAACACCCGGACCTCGCAACCCACACCAAATGCAACTCCTCGTCAACGATTCCTCATCTACCGCTTTACCGGCCATGTCCCTGTCCGTCACTTCTTTCTGGTTGATAAAATTCCCCCACCCGCCTCTCAGGCGCATAGAACCCCCATCAGGCGCCCTCCACCTGCCCCCCTTCCTCGCTTTCATCTCCTGCACAAACAAGTCGTACTTGGTCCCATGTGTTCGTTCGCTCGTTTCTTGGTACACGCTTCCCCCCGCTCTTCCTTCGTCCCTTGCATCGCTACTCGACTCGACATTCTGATTGCGCGCTTGGCCCGTGATCGGATCTCGCCCAGAGGCTTCTCTGGCCTCGGCGAGGTAGTCGTATGATTCGCGCGGCGACGCTGGGCGTGGAGGCTGAGGGCGTACTGCTTGTCGTGGTGGTGATGTTGAGAAAGTCTGCCTTGCGGTCGTCGATGTCGGTGCTGGCTGAAAAGTGCTTGGGGCATGGGGGTGTTGCAGATTAGTGTAGGGGTTGTGCTTCTTAGCTGAGCTTGTGGAAGGGTGCAAGAGTTTGTTCAGGAGTGATGGCATTGTTGCCAGGGAATGTCGCGTGCAAGACCGAGAGTCGAGGCGATGGAAGCGATGATATCGATTATGAAGTTGGCTGGTTTCGGGGACGGTCGCGGCGTTGAATACGGGGCCCGCCAATTGGAATGATTTTCAAATCGTTAGGCACTGTTTAAGTGATTCTCCCTAGGTCACGCGGTGTCTCTTCTAGGTTCGCATTTCTGTGCCGTACGGGAGAAAAGGTTGCCGCAATCGTGTTCCTCCGTAACCTGGTTGCAATGATATCCAAGCTTTTGCGAGTAAAGGCCTTTGAGTCGCCTACTCCTGGTCACAAACTCACGATTGTCAAACAACGGGAACTGGCCTACACAAGGTGCCGGGGCACGACTTTATTTGGAGGGAGGCTTGGACAGGGGCAAATTCGCGAAGGAATATGCTAGCCGAAATTGTTTAGTACATTAGGCTGCCATTGTCAGCCTTTTATCACGGCGGCCCAGGCCATATTAAACACAACGAGCACAAAGATATGTATCGATGAATGGGCATTGAAGGGTTTCGATATTATTTGCAGTACAAGAAAAAGCACTTCTCCGGAGCATCCATCATCGACCATGAGTAGACACTCTGGTCTCTGCTGCGTGACTTGCACCAGATAGAGTTGCACTGAGTGACCTGTATACACTCTCGTGTCATTTTCAGGACACCGGAAAGAAGCCCGGTATAGAAAAAGCACTGCACTTTGCAGAATTCTTTGATGAAGAGATCTGACCGGTTGCAACGCAGCAAGCAGTAATGGTACAGTGTCGAACAAGGTATGCTGATGTGCAAGGAAGAAGAAAAACATAGTGACAGAAATACAAGCGTACCACAAATCAACGTACGCCGAATCCGTCGGGAGCCTCCTTTGTATGGAGGCGAACCAAAGTGCAAAGGACCATGATAAACGCCTTCTATGCAGATAAGCGAGCGTCACCCAGGATCAAATGCCACGTGATCTAAGCTGCGTCTGCACTCGGGCTACCGATGGACGAGTAAGGCAAAGAGCCAGGTGTACCCTTTCTCGAATCAATGAGCTTTAGTGGACCGGGGCCGAGGGCGTTTGCCGCTTGGTTGTCCAAGGGTTGGTGTGAGCTGGGGCAGATCGATTATTCGACCATGCGTTGCCTGCAGGGCTGCGAGTAGAGCTATTCGAGCTCGTTCCTTGACCCTGGTAATTTGCAGGCTTGCGTGTACGCGTGTTCTGCCCGGTAGAAGGCGTATTGCCCGTACCGTTTGTGGGACTGCGTCGTGGCTTCTGTTGACCATAACCTCGGCCTCCTTTGCGCTTGATTGGCATTGACTTCGTTATTATTTCCTCAATATTGCCCATACGAATGATAACATCAATTGTGTTGTCATGTTTCTCTGGCTTGTCCTCCTGCAAAGTAGGTTTACTTGTAGGGTAAAATTTGCTTCCATACTTTGAATACTGACGGCCATTCGGCGGGAAACCAACAGGCGGCTCATTGGCGGCCAGATGGGGGGTTTTAGGAACCTTCACTGTCGGCAAAGAGCCAAATTCTCTATCCTCCAGGAGATCTTCAGCGCCGCTGCGAGTCGTGATATCACTACTGCCATCGTTGACGAAGCTTCTTCGATTGACAGATACTGGAAGGGAAACGGTGGCAGAGGCAGAAGATTCGCGGACTTCAAGAGGGGCTTTCGACGACGGTGCTATCGCGAGAGACCCGGGCTTGGAGTTGAGCGATGTTTGGACCGAGGGCGAGGACCTAGTAATTGGGGCCGGGGCCGCTCCTGGGGCAGGCGTCTTATCCAAAAGGCTATTGAACCTCGCTTGCCATTCCTGTGTGAGGGCGAGAGGTCGCGCTCCGAGACCAAGGCGACTGCGGGACGGCATACTCACAGGCGCCTCAGCCTGCGCCGTGGGTCCCCCAGCAGTAGGCGGTAGGCGTACGCGCGGTGAGGGTTTTGGCATCTTCACAACGGGGTGCGATGTGTCCCCACTGAATGCTGGATGGGATTCTGTCTCAGGAGGTGGAGGTGACTCTTGTTTGGCAGCTGGCTGGGGTTTAGGGAAAAAGCGCGATGAGCGGCCGCCTTGCGTAGCCGATTGATGCGGAGCGCCTTGACTGGCCGGGGCAGACCCCTCATGTGTTTTGGAAACCTCGTGCTTTGGTTTTATGTCGGGCGCAGCAGTTGTATTTGAACTGGTAGGATCGATGCCACCCACCCTAGGGTGTAGTGTTGATTCCGTCTTGCCCTTCTGGTCTGTGTATGTTTCCCGGAGTTCTGGGCGGAAGTCTGCACCCACGCGTTCGCGTTCTCGTTCAGCTTTCGCACGTACATCGAGGTCATCCTGGCGGATATGTGCCTGGAAATTACCCCAACCTTTGTCAGTGGGAGGGGGGGCGATGGGCCCAGGTTTGGGGACCGCGCTACCTTGAGCTAGGCTTGGTACAGCTTGAGGGTACATGTTCTGTTGCGCGAACTGCTGGATGGGAGCGGCCTGCGGCTGCGGAGGTAGGTTCTTCACAGAGGAATTGAGTCCAATCGGTGCCACACTCGCCTGCGGTGGGGCCGTCACCTGTTGACCAAAAGTGCCGTTCCCAAGAGCCCTGTCTCTAGTTTGAGGAGGTCCCCAAACGCTCGAGCCGCTCGAGCCCCAGCCAGCTGGACGCTGTGGAGGAAGTGTCGATGACCAAGGTCCTTGTGGAGGCTGACTCGCTTTATCATCTGCCGCGACAACCGGTCGCAGTTGCTGCGCCTGCGCTTGTACGTGATCGTTTCGAGGTTTAGAATTATTACTCTCGCGAGATAAGTCGTTCACGGGCGTAATAGACTGAGCAAGTGAAGGCAGCGGCTGGACTTCAGTCTGCGCCTTCTTTGGTGAGGGACTCGGCTTAGAAGCAGCAGGCTTGGACGCTGGTTCAACAGAGGCTGGTTTCCTGACTGGTTGAGCCTGATGGACCTTCATCATCCCATATTGAGCTACCTCGCCTTCGGACGTGGGCACAGGTGGCTTCGGTGGGGACTGTACCGTGGCTGGCACTGCCTTATCTTTCTGCGGCGACTTTTGAGGAGCTCGCGATGGGGACGTCTCCTTCGTTTTCGATTTAGCATCGTCTGAGAATCCCATCGCTTCTAAACGCTTGCGAAGTCGCTCTTTTCGTTCTGCTTCTTCCTTCGCCTCCTGTTCCTTCTCCCTCTGCTTTCGCAGCTTTATCGCATCAATGTTCGAATGTAGGAGTCGCTCTTGTACTTCGACAAGATTATGAATCTGTGAGGGAGCACCAGGCGTGCCGGTATCATTTGAGCCTGCAGATCCAAACGGCGATGCAGGTTGTACATGCACTGCATTTGGAGATGCAGTCTGTGCCAAGTTTGCAGGTTGTACATGCACCGCATTTGGAGATGTAGCCTGCGCCAGGTCTTCAGCTTCTGTCGATGTCGGTTGATCCGTAGATCCTGGCTTGGTAGGCAACGCGTGCCGTGGCGCACCTAGATTGCCAGCATCGAAACCATTTACCGATTGCGAATCTCGTCGTTGCGTGTTCATGGGCAAAGGAGGTAGGTCGGGACCCCGTCTATCGAAGGACATGCGGCGACCGCTGCCTCCACTAACATTTGAGGAGTTCCTTCGTCGGCCCCAGCCCGGCCCATCGGCGCTTGTCCTTGAGGTTTGGAAGGCTGCGGAAGGCTCCGCAGGACCATCTTGTGATGGTCGCTGGAGGACGGACGGTTGTTGACGGTAGGCATTGTCTCGCACCGAGCCGCGTCTCATTTCGCCGACTGGCTCATAGCGACCACTATGTGAATTGAATAGCTCTCGATGGCCACGATCATCCCGCCAAGCACGATTGAAATCGTCCGGTGCTATTTCCTTCGCCAGAGCATGCGGGGGCGGCATTTCATCATAACCATATGAATCTCTGGTGTAACGAGGCAGGGGCTGTTGTGCTGGCGCATTTATCTGTATGGGAGACACCTTTTCGACTGGAGGTAGTTGGGCCCAAGGCGACTTCACTGGAGCAGCAGAAGATGGTTTGGACACCAGTGTAGGCTTTTCAGGCTGGCCTTTCGGTTTAGTAGCACTTGCTTGCGCGCTTGCTCCTGGCTTCAAGATTGTTTTCGTCCCACTAGTCATACCGGACCTCTGTGTGCTCGAAGCCGGTGTCGGTGTTGGTGCGGGTTTCGCAGCTGCCACAGGCGCTTCTGTCTTCGGTATGGATTTAGGCTCCTCAGGGGGTGGTGGTTGATTTTCCGCCGCAACAGTCGATTTAGTACCGTCCATCCACTGTACTGTTTCCGGGGCCCAGTCATCCTCGTCATCATCAATGTCTGCCCATTTCGCCTCTTTTCCAGCCTCGTCCGCTTGCAGTCTGGTTGCCAAATGAATACCGTACTGCTGTTTGAGCTCTTCATCGGTGAATTGTTTCGGTGGCGCAGGCGGAATTGGTTGATTCTTATTCCACACTTTGCTGGCGTCCGGTCCTGAACCTGCCCCATTAAGCTTCCCCAATGATCGTGGTGTATTGCTACCGCCAGACTTGGCAACGAGGCGGGGCCTAGCAGTCTGCACAGCTGATGCGGCTACAGAGCTAGATGGTGGGACCTTGTCGCCTGGGCGTGCAACGGGTGCAGACACAGCCGACTTTGCCAGAAAGTTCTTCGTCACAGAAACAGACTTGAACGCTGCAGGTTTTTTGACCGTGGAGTTAGTTCGCAAGTGTCCACCTGGCTGCTTCGTTGGGTCTACACTCCCAGGACGACTGATATCCGTGTCTGATCCAACGCTGCCCTCCCCAAGTGCATTTTGAGATTCCGTTGCGGAGCTCTCGCCTGTGTCGCCGTTCACTAACGGTTCCCTCTTCTCGTTTGAAGGCGTATCGGGTGTCACCTGGCGATCCAAAGTCGCGGCGGGGGCCTGGATATGTTAGGGTACACGTGCGAATGCTGGTCATTCCCACTTACGTTACCAATCCCTCCATCGGCAGTCTCGAATGGTCGCGCCGCGTTGGCAGCACTTGCTGGGGCTGTCGCGCTCGTGCTAGTAGGGTCGTCGGAAGGGTTCAAGTCGTGTGTGTTTAGGCCCGAGGGCGCCTCGCCGTTGCCGGCGGAGTTGTTGGTAGTTGATGCAGTGTCGTCGATGGGCGCGGGGCCACCCACCGACTGTGCTTCCTTTACCACATCGTGGGTGATCTGCTCTGCCATAACAATCTGTAGGTCTGTCGTGGCAACGGAGGGCTCTTTGTCAGAAGGTCGTTCTTTAGAAGAGGGAGACATGGGCAGGAATCAGCGCGGACGCGTGCGACCGGCTGTCCATGTAGAAGGGCGAAGGTCGAAAAGTATTCACCTAGTGTCAGATGTGAAGCGTCGCCACGGGGTGTAAGTTGGCGCTTCCGCACAAACGACGACTGATGTGCTCCGGGAGCTGCGCGGCGGCGGGTCGGCGTGGGTGACGAAGCGTGATCGAGTTACGGCTGCGGCGAATGGCGGCGGGCTCGCAGTGTCGCGGCTATCTCGTGCCAAAGATGTACAGAGGAGAGGGGCCTCGGGAGGCTCTGGCCGGGTCGTGGTGTAGATGGGGTGTTGGGTGAGGTGTAGGCCAGCGCACGACTTAGTTGATGATAGGCTCTACGTCCTCGGGCCAGGGCCTTGGCACTCTTTGAAGCTGAAGCCTTACCACACTACGTCCGCTCCAGCTCGACTACTATCATGGTACTAATCTGCGTATGTGTACCAGTTGTTTACATCACAAGCGGGAATAGCTGGGCGATCACGCACGGAATGCACACATAACTGAGTCTCAAGTGCAGCACGTGCGCCAACGTGAATGAACTCCACGAGTGCTGAAGCTTATGGTGGACCTTCCGCCGGATCGGGTAATGCAACTTTGAACGTTGCGCTGCTTCGCATGGTGCCTTCGTGTCGATAAGACATAATCCTACCACTGTACTTTTGTCCCCGATAGGAAACCCCCGATAGGGTCTGATTGCACTCCGGCCGAAGCAAAACGGATCCGCAATGGAGCCCAAAGTCAGGAAATGCACATGCTTGCCACAATTGAGATTGAATCTGCTACACTCTATATTTACACATGCCGTCTGTCCCGCTCATGACTTGGTTCAATTCAGCAGAGTGTCCGACCCGCTTAGTGGTGCACATTGTTCTTGTGATGGCCTAAAGCATGTGAGTCAGATTATACGAAAAGCAAGCACGCGAGACGTACGCAAGTGGAAGTAGTAGTTCTGAGCGTAGCCGAGAGCAATAAGAGCGCCGATTACGTGAACCAGAGCTATACCGTCTTGTTAGCATTCCATTCGGCCCATACCTGTGCGCAAACACGACGGTCCGCATCGGGGGCACATACGCATAGCAGAGGCATTCTTGCCAAAGTACCTCTTCTGGTAGCGACCCAAAAGACCCTTGGCCTGCACCTCGGGGGCAGCGCCTCGCGGGAGCTTCTCGTAGAAGCTTACGACCTTCTGCATGCGGAGAGCATTCGGCGATGATCCGATAGCCTGTATAGCACATCAGCGTGGTGCTCCTGGTGTGTTCTGCCAACGAAACAGTTCACTGCACACGGTCCCTGTCGATGCCGAAACAGATTTACGGTAGTCGGACAGGCAGCGAAATGCGATAGGGGAGTCGCCGGGCGCGGCTAGCATGGTTTTCGAAGGTTCTTACATTGGGAGAAGCCACCTGAAGCAAATTGTTAGTGGCTCGTCGGTACAAGCGGTGGGTTTATGGTTCCTACCTTGGGCGGGATAAGGGTGGACAGCGCGCGCTTCGTGATGTAGCTCATCTTGTCGGCTGGGCCTTAGTTAGCATCAATTGACTCCTGTCGGCGATTTCGGGTCGATTCGGGCGACGTACCTGGACTGGCAAGATGGGAGAGTGGGGATGAAGGTCGTGCTGAGGCGATGGAGGTTGTCGGTAAGAGAACCGCAAAGCACCTTGAAGCTAAGTGCTTGGCACATCCGCGTTCCGGCCTCACTTCGACATCACGGCAAGCTCCCACCCTCAAACTCGACACCCCGCCCAACATGTCTGCCTTGCCCCGGTCAATCGGCTCGCGACTTCTGCCGGCCGCCATTCGCCCCTCTGCGACGAGGGCCATCGCTCCCCAATACCGCACATTTGCCTCCAGCGACGCCTCCAACGAACCCGCGCCAAAGAGCAGCTCCAGCGAAGCACCCAATGCGCCCCTCACTGAGTCAGCCCAGGACAGACGAGAGGGCGCCGCCGAGGCCATGCGACACAAGCCGGATTACAACGTAGCTGTCGACTACCGCACCTCGTATGTGCACGGTCAATGCGAATCGAAATGGCATAGCTAACTCACCAAACAGTAACTTCTCCCCCATTCCGAAACGAGTAATGGACGGCAGTGAGCCTGGAGACAGCGTGGCTGCGGCAGTACTTTCCGGTGCCCCCATCGATCTGCAGGCCAGGACTGTGCGGTATGCGGATATTCGTCAGTATGCTTGCACAGAGTGAGACTGACCAAAACGCAGCATCTACCGACCGGCCAAGACCGCCACCCAGTCTGGGGACTGGCATTCGCACCACTGGCTGATGGACTGGGACGTCCTGCCCAAGGGACATCGATGGGAGAACCCGTTGATGGGATGGCAGTCGTCCGCTGATTTCATGAATGGCCACCGGATACAATTCAAGTCGAAGGAGGACGCCATCAACTTCGCGAACAAGCAGGGATACGAGTACTTTGTACAGGAACCTAATGAGCGGAAATTCGTCCCCAAGGCCTACGCCAACAACTTCACGCACAGCCCAAAGAAGCTCAAGATCATCCGATCAAAGTAAGGTACTCAAGAGTTTGTGGGTGCGGCTTTGTACATACAGACCAATTTTGTTTTTTTCCTTTCGCGCACACGTTCGAGCCTTATGGTATGTGCTCCTCGATGTATTGACGTGTGATTTGAGTCACAACCTTGTTCGTGTCCCAGCAAACGCCAATGCTTTGCGTCAACGAGATCATTTTAATTTCTTGCTCGCCTTGACTGCTGTGGTTGGTAACAACCAGTCGCGAAGAGGTGGTCGGCGTGCGTCGGCGCGCTTCGCAAAAGCCTGAATGGACTCAAGGTCTTTTGCTATGGTGTGTACGAACGTTCTACGTCATTCAAGAAGGCTCCAGCTTCAGGGTAATGACGACTGATGTAGCAGCTGCTGCAGGAATCCGACTGCAATCACAGTGCCAAAGACAGCTCGCTCCTGCCTCTGTTAACTTCCCATGGCCTGCTACCGATCATGTGAGCGCGCGTTCCCCCGGGCCGTCCCGGTGGCTCCTTCTATAATGGATTGTTGTCCTTCACGCGCAGCACAGCTGTGCGAGCCAATCTTCACTCTCCGTTGCGTTCACCCCTCCATACCACCATTTCACCGCACCCCCTCGCGCAGCTTCGCCTTTGCACTTCTACTGACGCTGCACGCTTAACGCCATGCCACCCGCTCTGAGCGACTATGACTTTTCCTTCGAGTCAGATACAGACACGAACGAGGCTCCTGCTTCGAAGACCCAGGTAGGACGAGTTTCACCACCATCAGTCTCGCTGAAGAGCCACAGGAGCAGTCCTATGGTCAACGTGGATGCTCGCCCGACCGCGCCTCCTACTTGTCATCGTCACCGGAGAGGTCTCAACGACTTTCAACTGCGGTATGTTGTGAAAGCTGATATGCTGACGTGTCAAGGTCTTGGAAATAATTGCTTCGGGCAAGAAGAAGCTCCTAGATCCAGAGCATGCCTGGGGCGAGCGTGTAGACCTCAACACTGTCTGTCACCAAAAAACGTGATCAAGCATGCTGACGTATCTATAGGTAATCTCCAGAAAACGCAAGCGCGGCGGTTTGCTCAGCGGCCTTGACGTGGGCAACATTGTGGTTCCATCCGACGATATAATCATTTCCACAGCTGAAGACAGTGTACCAGCTTCATCTGTGCCCCCTTCATCCCACATGAAATCTTCCCACATGACACGGGGATCCACGAGAGGCACCCGCTCCAACAATCTTGCCTACAACCAGAAATACCATCCGATGGACGAATACCTGCGGCCTTCACAGGCTGCTAAGCGCCGAGCAGAACATGGTCTTGATGATGAAGACAACGATTCAGCAAACTTCGAAGAACAAGATAATGGCGACTCCGATAGTGAGGTTGAGGATCTGCCGCAGATGAAGAAGCGTAAGAAGCTTGATAAGTTCGCTCTACATCAAGGTACCCAAGGTACCCGGCGATCTTCCCGCAGCGTTAACCGCGACGTGCTGTATGACATGAACATCCATCCCCAAGATTCACAGCTTGAGCATATGACCACCGATAGCACAGTCGACAAGGCTAACGACGAGAATGACGATATTGTTTCTATTGGAAGCAGCGCAGCTACAGAGGAAGTGGACAAGCCAGAGGTTCGCGAAAGGCTCGGTAAGTCACGACTGTCCACATCTAATGTGCCAAACCTATCGTAATAGATGTGACTGCTGCTTGTTTACCAATCGGTAGTTGCTTTTAGTTATCTAACGTACACGTAGATGACGCCTCGCATTGGACTGCCTCCTCGCCGCCGCGTTCTACGCCACTTTCGACAATCTCGATCGACAATCTAGAACAACCGTCCAATCCAATCCACACCCCGCAAATCGATGAAAGAGAACGATCATCGCTCAGTCCTCGCTTGCAGCAGACACCCTTTGCCATACATGAGGAGCCACTCCAGGTGCAGCTTGCAAAGGAAGCCACAGCCACGGTACCCATAGACCATGAGCATGACGACAAGGAAAATCCGGTCGAGGAGAGAGATTCCTACATGGAACAAGATGATCAATATCTGGATCCGTCAATGTTTGACGGTGCAAACGATCTGCGCGGTGTCTCCAGCCACCACAAGTGCCGTCCTAGGACGCCTGTCCAAGTCAATGATTTTGATTCCGATTCGGTCCTCGGTAGTGACACAGACTCGATCATCGGTGACTAGTCGGGCTATACCATCAAGTAATGACCTCAAAGCAATCCTGTGTGCATTCAAGATGGTGACCATCTACAGGTGCATCCAGAGATACGCGACTCCATCTTCTCTAGTTTCCTACAACGCCAAGCAATTACCAATTGATGCAGGTATCCGTAACTGCGTAAGTGAATATACGTTATCGGTACGTCTTCGGGCGTCCTTTTTTGGCCGCCTTTAGCTGTCAACGTCTCTGTTCTTTTCATTCTGTGATATCGCGGGCTCGATTCCACGTGCAGTGGTTTGGATTAATGACCAATAACGGCATGCGTTTCCCGACATTTCCTAAGCTGGAGACCCATGTTCCAGGAGGAGGATTCGAGGCATGTACGACAAAAAAAAGGGCCTCGGCAAGGGCAAGGAGACGACGGCTTGCTCATCTATATCAATTCGAACAAGGCAATCCAATTCGAGGGAGTTATGAGTTATCGTCGTTGATCTGTAATGCCATGGTATCTTCCGCGGTAAACAATCCAGTGGTTGTTAGGCGCCTTAATGGGTTTTGTTGATTGATGGAATCGTTTCAGGTCTTCTAAATGTATCTCAGAGCCAAAACTTTCGCATGTTTTATGGTCCGCAATATGTTCTGGCCATATGTGTTTTATTTGCGAAGCACGTGTTAGGTAACAGCTTCGCTTCGCACGATGCGCGGTCTGAAACCCACGACAGACGGACTCAGAACATCAACCGCCGCCGCCTCCGCTGCGGTCGTTCGCTTGTCGTGAATTCGAGTCGTCGATGGGCAGTGGTCTAGTCTGTAGTCCCGGACCTCGCCAGAACGACCTCGCAGTAGTCTTATGGGAGACAACTACGATGACTGATCTCGGGAAGGATCGTATGCTGGGGCTCAATGAACTACCGCTCGAAACAGGCACGATCTACCCTCCGAAAACCAACTTCGAAAGCTTGGTGTGACTGCAAGTACAGTGCCCTACCACTTCCTGCATGAATCAAAACCTCCACATGAATAGAATCGAGAATTAATGATGCGTTGGGGCGATGTTAGTAATGGGTTAGCTAGTCGATGGTACATCACTACACATATTGATGTAGCTAGTGATGGTATCAGCTGCTGCCCATAGGCTTGCGGATGGGCAGGCCAGAGGAGGGTTAGCGATGCGGAGGGGGCATCATTGAAGGTGGAAATACACTCCTGGTGTTGTTATGAGTCAGGGGTGGCAAGGCTGTGGGTGCTGACGAAGGTGTAAACCTTCGTGATCATCCACCACGGTGCAGTTTGGAAGAGACGCGCAGGGCTGGGCCTTCGTACCAAAATCAGATCAGCGTACCACCGCGGAGACTTTCAAGAGCATCACCAGAATATCTGAGCCTATGCCGGACCATCAGCGGCGCCCGAGCATAGCGCACCTGTGCAATGCGCGTGCATCTGGTGCTGCCACCTTCCGCTTCGTTGCGCTGCATGTGTGCAAACCTTGATGTGCGCTCGTTAGACTCCTCGGAGCAAAAGGTGGAAAGAGGCAAGTCGGTGTTGTTTCTCCATGAATTGAAGTCGCTACTCGTATAGTCACACTATGTGATTGACTTCCGCCGGCAATTCTTGCACGCGACTCCATGCCCCCGCACGATTGATGTTTCTCGCTAAAGCCATGCCCTGCGCAACAATTTGTCTTCCAGTCTAGAATCTGTGCGCGTGCAGGTATGCATTGGACCGAGAACCTTGATTCTATCGGCGTGCGCTGGATCGCAACGAGCTAAAAGGTGTGTTGTGATGTGGAGATCAAGTCAGATGTGAAGCCCACACTCCACTCGGACAACCTGATCCGCGCTTTTGACAGAGGTCTGCTATACTCTTCACAGCTACCTTCGGCGCAAAAAGGTATGGTAGTGCTGCTAAATGGCGCGATGGGCGAGATGGGGTTCTCGGCTAGCACAGCCCTTGTCTGGCCTCGACGACACACGTCGAGTGTTTCGACGTTACCATCTTCCCTCATCAAGTTCCACTGGTTTCCCACGATGACAGTTGCAACAAGTCCCGTTTGTGACTGCCCCTCAGCTACTATACTGTTTCTCACAATGTTACGGCGCGTTCCTGAAAATCACTCTAAGGCTAGTTGGCACCTTAATAGTACCAGGATGAGGTTATATACAATAAGTGTGCATTGTCTGGGTATAAGGATGCGAACCAGGGTGCAGATCTCACAGCAACTTCGAATCATTTGCAGCATTTGAACCCCTGCTCTTCTCGTGGTCTTTTTTTGTTGATCGATACCCACGTCCCGTCTAGCTGGAGTCCTTTCGGTCACGAAGGCGGCATCACTGGCGACTCTATTCCGCAGCCCTTCTGTATAAAGCTTGACTTGCCCGACTCACATCAACACACTTCAACCAAAACCGCCACTTGGATCCATTTCCCAGGTTTTCCAACTGTTCCTTCCTACGCGATAGAGGGCTTACTCTCGATATCTTTCTCTTCAGCTTGCCTAAAGCACCTCGACAGCCAGAATCATGGTTCGCTCTACGATAGTCACATCTGCACTTGGACTTCTAAGCCTTGCATCAATAGGGGCTGCTGCTCCACTAGACACCCGCGCGGATGCTGCCACTACAGTAAAGCTCATGCCCTTCGGTGCGTCTATCGTCGAAATTGTAAGTCTACTCCTTTTAGTTCGAATACAATCATTCAATACGATTATCGTTTTCATTGAAGGGGTAGTCTATGCGGGGAATAGGGCCCAAGTAGATATGGTTCCGGTCTCGCAAAGAATTATGCCTGTCGCTCGTCTCCATCCTCCCGAGGTCCTTTTCCCGACCCAGACCCGTGACTGGCATCCTCCTGCATGATGTACGGGTGACATGTCATCATTTTCCCAGGCCGTCTCGCACGCCCAGTTAACGATATTCTCAGACATGCTGGCGCGCCTACCTCTGGAAAAAGCTCCAAGACGCTGGCATGACCAACATCGACTTCGTCGGCTCCCACGCTACACCTGCAGCAGGCTGCACACTCAACGGTCAGAGCATCGACTTTGACAAAGACAACGAAGGTCACTCGGGAGCCAAGGTAACCGACTATGCAAACAACAACTCGTTGCCTCCATGGCTCTCCGCCGCCAATCCAGACGTGATCATCATGCATGTCGGCACCAACGACGCCACAGCCAACATCTCAACGGCAAAGGTCATCTCCGCATACGACAAGCTCCTCGGCCAGATGCGCGCCGCCAACCCGAAGACCACTTTGATCGCCAGTAAGCTCATTCCTATTGATCCCAATCTGTTTGGCCAATTCGTGGCCGACAAGGTCAATGACTATAATTCTGCGATGGACGGCTGGGTCAAGAAGACCACTACGGCGCAGAGCCCGGTCGTGCTTGTAGATTTGAACACCGGGTTTGATTACAAGACGATGACGAGGGAAGGCGAGCATCCCAATGAGAAAGGAGATGTGTTCATGGCGGAGAAGCTATTCCCGGTGGTGAAGGATCAGCTGGTGAAGAAGAGCGTGGCGAAGTTGATGGGGGAGTAAGCGCACGAGTAGCTGTGAGGCATGTCCACTCTTTTCGGAATTATGAGTTACGTCTTGCATTGGTTCTGAGCTGGCGTTGGTGGGTTCTGTATAAATCTGCGCACTGCGAGTTCGTTATCTCCTTTACCTCTTCCTGAGTCGCCCATCTCTTATCTTGCTACTTACGAACACTATCCTGGTATGTGTAGTAGAGACATGAAGGTGAGGATGGTAGTTTCGGCCACGTATAAATATGCATGCAAGATGAGTGTCCATAGCTGGAATACCTAGGTATATCTTCGGTGGCTGTACATATGGACGGATGTAGATATCTGTAATCACAGACTAAATGTATGTACATACATTAAAGTTCTTATTTGTTTCACATAATCGACGTTGCAGGTCATAGTTTCACCCTTGATGAAGTTTGGATGCAGTTCAATGGTCTTGGGACTGAGATGTCCGGCAACTCATTTGTATGCCTCGCAATACTTGGCTCGCTACTTTTACACTTAAATGATTTAACATCTCACAATGGAGCATCCGACTTTATCTATTCTAACATACTGCCATCTTCTAAGACGTAACCGGGCACTCACCTTTCATCAGGTCTTGAGCGGCGCGCAACTCGGCACAAACAAGGAGAAACGACACACCGCTAGATCAGAGGTCCATCGGAACTCTTGGAAAGCCGATCAAAAAAGCATCATCGCTTTGAGCACCGCCCAGCCTTAATATTCTACATCTGTTCCTATCGAATTGCATATGCCCTGCAGTGTTGCGGCCAGGTAGCTACGTTCCACTTTATGTGGGTTACTGATACGATGACAATATTACCGGTTGAGCAAAACTAGATTAATGAAAAACGGTTAGTCATAAGCCCAGGTCCTTGAAGAACATTGACCTTGTAACACTTTACCCGGACAGGCAATGCGGTGCACAGACTCGTCAAGCCACGGCTTGACACGACGTCCAATTACAACTCTTCAGGCAGGGACGGATCTGGCAATTGGAGTTCATTGGCACTAGAGCGAGCCATATCAGAGGTGTTAGGATCAGAACAAGTAATTACAATTCTTTTAGATGGTGTCCACAAGAAGCACGACGATGACATGGCCTTGTGCCCGCCGTAGGAACATGACAATCATATAGCCATATGATGAGGATTGGAATGCACAAGTGAGTGAAATAGCATGCAATGGTCCGACAGTGACCCTGATTTAAGTTGGAATCCAACAACAGATCACAAGAAGATATGGTATGTGTGAGAATTTTCAAAGGCATGCCAGCAATGAAAGGTGCAGCGCCTGATATGGTGCCCAAGATGCAAAGCGTCGGTGTCGTGTCCTGCGTAAAGTTCGTGGTTGTTCCTTTCCCAATGCTCCTTCCGTAACGCCGGCCTTTAGAGGCGAGTGAGTAATCGCTTGAACGCAAAAAGTGATAATGACAAAATAGTGGACGCGGGAGCGGGAGGGCTACACGCGAGAAGTCAATCGTATTGGGGGCATGATAAAGTTGCCGTCATCGGTGTCCTCTTCGTCGTCAATCTCGATGTCGATGACCTTGGAGCTGTTGTAGGTAGGAATGGTGGGTCTGGTGACGGTAGGTATCAAGTCCTTTTCGATGTCGGGCAGGGCTATCGTTGACTGCTTCTCTGATTTCGGTCCGTGACGCAAGGCTTCCTCCTGCTGTTTTTCGTTCGCAGCCAGCTTCTGCACGTTGTACCGTGCCACTTCGGTCTTGGCGAGCTCTACAACCTCATTGAAGTGCCTGCGGACACCATCGAGCTCTTTCCGACAGTCACCCTCCCGAAGAGATTGATGCGCTGCCCTTTCACACAGCGCTTGTGCTTCTTCCAAAGCCTTGTCAGCAGTGTCAAAGCGTTCTACGGGCGTGCTCGAGGTGCCCTCGGTCATGCGCATCATGCCGCGTGCCCGCATCGAGGACAGGCCACGATGCCGGTATCCGATTTTGGCCATAATGGCGCTGCTGCTGTCGTCGTCGTCGTCGTCGTCGTCCGAAGAGCCGGCCATTGCGGCCATGGCGTCCATCTTGGCAGCCATCTTGGCTTTACGGAGCATGTTCCGTCCGGTGCCGATGGCACGCACAAGGTGCTCAAAGGAAGTCTGTATTTGGCCATCGTAGTTGACGACAATCATAGTCCGCGAGCGCAGTTTCGAGGGACCCGATTGTTGACCGGAGAGCAAGGATGGCTCCTTCCGCTTCCGAGCGGTCGGCTCGCTCTGGTGTGCTCCGGCGGCAAGCGCATCCGGCTCTTCACGTATAGCATCGAGGTCTCGTATCGATTCGACGGAGCCAGTCCTCCTCTTGAAGGGTAGGGAGCGCGAGACGGGGATCTTGGAGAGCTCGCTCTGCATGGCGATGATCTTCTTCTCGATTTCGGCGACATTGGTGAACCACTGTGGGATGTTCTCGTGCAGGAAGGCGAAGGACTTTTCGATGTCACCCATGGTGAGGGAGGTCGCGGTGCGGAGAGGTGCTGCGGGCGCGGGCAGTAGGACGGGAAGGGTGGGCCGGGGTGGAGTCGCAACGGTTACAGCGCCCTCGAGGGCGGCTATGGTGTCGCAAGCCGGAGGTAGATGCGAAGAGGAGGGAGAGAGGGCGGGCGGACGGGTAGGTGCGGGTGGGTTGCACTGTTGGTATGTGGAGGAGTGGAGTGAGGCGGGCGAGGATATTGTAGGCAGCCGAACAAGAGAGCGAGGGGATCAACGCAGGAGCTTGTGCGCAGGCGGCATGCGGGATTATCAGCATCAAGGAGCGGGCAGCTGCAGGTTATAGGCGAATGCAACGACGCCGTGGTCAGCGCTGTTAGGAACAATGGGCCCCGGACAGTGGTTCGTTTGCTTCTCGGTCGGCGGCCCCTGGCATTGGCCTTGGCCAGCTCAGACGCTTTATTGACCGGCGGCATCAAAGGCCTCAGCACCAGCATGGACGCGCGGGCCCTGTGCGGGCCGCCCAGCAGTGGCGAGGGCCGTTTCAACGAGCGATGCACCTCCTCGCCCCACGTGGAATGCGCCGGGCGCGATGGAACAGGCTGCGCGTGCGGCCGTGGCTCTGCTATCTGCTGCCCCTTCAGAGCGCGCAGGACGGCTCTCGCGGCGCTCCTCACGGCTCTCTCCGTCCAAGGGACGCGGGCAGGGACAAGGAAGCGCATCCGCCGGATTTGCACCCCCCGCCGAGCGCCTCGTCCGAGCGCGCGGGAGCGGCGTCTGGCGTCTGGCGGCCCAATAACGCCCACGCCTCACCGACGACCGCCTGCTCCCGATCCCTCCAGCCTCCCTTGTCGCTCCTGCAGCACTGCGTCTTGCGGTCAAGCCTGCCGCCCGCTAGGCCCTCGACCTGCGCGAGTAATCTACCGTCGACACCGCACTTCGACCTGCAGATCGACATTCGCGAACCATGCCCTACGTGGATACTGTCTCGCAGCAGCTGACGGTTCGCCATGCAGATCGTCACCTGACGAACGCGTCGACAACGGCCCTCGACCGAGACCTGTCATGTCCGCATTCGCTTTCACGCTCCCACGAATCAGATCCGAGGCATGAACACTGTGTCGCTTTGATGCGAAGCCTGCAACGGCCATCCCTGCTGTCGCACTGCAACGGGTGACGGGACTCCCATCTCTCCCAAAGAGGCATTAACAGCTGGCTTCTATGACCGTGTGCACTTGTTTTGCAAGGTTCAATAAGCTTCGGAGAGCAGCTCCGCATCCCTCTCTGCGCAATCACGCGACCAAGGAAAGGAGGACAGTGCGTGTCAGAGCTTCATGTCTTTGCGCGTCAGATTGTCATGTTTGATTTGGTCGGCGACGTTTTGCATTTCTGTGCGGATAAACCTCGATCCATGGCTACCTGTCAAATCGAGTTAGGCGTAGTAGCCATTGCCAAGATTGCGCATGGTACCTGAGGTGGATTGTCACGTCTTAGGAACTCATCATTGTACAAGCCTGGTGTCTCCATAACATTGAATGCTGCGCTTTCAGTAGGGTTGTCGACTGCAGTCTCGAAAGCGCTTGGCAGCTTGCTAGAAGCTCTCAGCCCTCTGCTGGATCGGCCTCGATAGATGACGACATCATTGACGTGAAAACATCAAGCTCCATCACCGCAGCGTTGTCCCACTAATACACACAAGACTGACCAGCAGCCACCTTCAGCTACCTCAAACAGACATCATAGCGTCCAGAATCGCCCATCGTCGCCTCGCGCGCGTCCTACACACCATGTCATCCACAGCTCCCGACGCCTCGGTGCTTCCCAAAGCGCCGTGGAAGTCGCTATTCAATCAGCACATCTCAAAGATGGAGTCACCAGAGTTCGTGCTAGGCACAGTTGCCGCTGCTCCCCAGGGTTCAACTGTGCCGTACGTGCCCCGCGTTCGATACTGCATATTCCGTGGCTTTTGGACCGAGCTACCAGAAAACAAGCACAACGATGCCGAGCGTAACCCCAAAGTATACGAGAGCGATTGCCCTACCTTCACAACCGACGTAAGAATGGAGAAAGTGGGTCAGCTGTTTGGCACTGGCGCCGGACACGCCGAAAGCAACGAGCAGACGCAAGGGAGCGGCGGCGGTGGTCCCATCGAGGCTGTCTACTGGGTAAAGGAGGCGGGCACACAGTGGCGTATCAAAGGAAAAGCATACGTAGTTGGCAACGATATCGAAGAGAATGAAGATAGTAGTGGGGTTAGGACCGTAAAGAGCGAGGTCTGCAAGAGGATGAGGGTCCTTGACCAGGAGAAGGAAAAGGACTGGAGTTGGTCCAGGGAGCTGACAGCCAGTTTTGGAAACCAGTCTCCTGGTATCAAAGGTCCGTCCGGTATTGTCAAGGCATCATCCAACGTTCTGACATGACCAGGTTCATTCAAAGCGCCACCTCCAGGCCGTCCGACAACCGAGGCACACGACGACAAGAACCTTGAGCTAGGAGCTAAAGTAGACGACCTTCACGACGAGGTTGCACGTAAGAACTTTCGTCTCGTCATCATCGTTCCCGAGTCGGTTGAGCAGACTGATCTCAGCGATCCGTCGAAGGCCCGACGTTACCTATACACGTTTGACGAGAGTGCCCGGGCGAACGCAGGCTGGAGAACGCAAGAATTGTGGCCGTGATAATCCACGAAGCAGGTAGCATCAATCACCGTTTAGCTTATTGATCATAGAGTCATTGCAGCGGCACAGCAGCGTGATTGCAGGTTCAAGCCCCACCAATACATCATCTAAAAGTCTTGTCGTCAAAAATTACGCGGTTCTTGACTGTGCCGCAATGCGACTGCAACCGCGTGGACTGTCGATGTATGCAGCATGCGCGCTTGCGAAATCTCTCTCTCTCCACGGCAATCCATGCGTGCTTCGGAGTGGCCGCATCGACGTGGCTCAATCGCAGTCTCACACGAAAACATGTCGTCTCAACAGGCCTGAGCGAGCACTCACGCACTAGAAACCGTTGAACCTGCACACAGGCCACGCGGTTGGCTTGCGCCTCTCCCGGCGCCTAACATACTCCTTCCCCATGCAGGCACTGTTGACAATTCTCGTAAATATACTTCAAACTCTGGCGAACCAAGGTTCTTTCAAGGCTTCAAGCTGTCGTGCCACCGCGCGATAATTTGGCCTTGCAGCAACTGTTCCGACCACATCCGGGGTAGTGGCTCAGGTCGGCGACCTTCTCAAGGTACCACCATCATGCGCTTTGGCACCCGGTGCAGCCGGTGCAGCGCATATTGTACGAAGTTGGGGCTTTCGTCCGATGCGTGCAACTTTGTGTCGCTACTGCTTACGACTTCTTGCTCAAGCTACTACACACGTTTGTGTGTAATGTTCCGCAAAGTTGAGAGGGCACGCAGTGCAGCCTTCCGATGCCCAGCTTCGTGCCTCGGTCTCGAAACGTACGCGTGCCTTTACAACATCCCCTTCGACGTCTACGCACGTAGCCTCATGTGTGCCTCGCGTACACTAAACGCTTTGGGGGCATTATTGGCGAGTATGCATGTGCGCCATGGCAAACGGCGCGATGTGGCGGAAAGAACCGCCCCTAGCCTGTTCATCAATCGTCTTAAGCTCGATGCTCCTATTGATTCTCCGCTTCCGATGTACTATGTAATTATCCATGGTTCCTCACCTGCACGGATATTGCGTCAGAGGAGACGACGATTGTTGTCCAATAGCTGGCGGTGGGTGCGTGTATTGGGGTTTGCAAATTCGATTCGGCTAAAAGGATCGCTCTCGGAGGGGAGCCCCTTGCAGGTCGGAGGGTTGCTATTTTGGGACTGGGCCCTGGAGAGCAAGTGAATACCAGGACGTAAGCGCACGGTTGCAGCGAGGTACACATGATTTATGACCACGCACATGTAAAGTTAGGACACTTTGTGGATTGCTGACTTCAAGCATAAACTAACTCGACTATCCTGAGACCACCCCTACTTCTCAAATTCTTGCACAATACTAACCATTGCCTTCCGTACCTCCTCTCTTCGCACAGTACTGGGTATCAGTCCATCCAATTCTCATCTAGCCCTTCCACACAGCAGGACCGGGAGGCTTGTGCTCCGTCAGCCTGATTGCTCCGTCGGCACAACCCTCTTCTCAACCCTGGTTGCGTGGCACGAGAAATCCTACAATCTCGGTCAACATCAACGTTGTCTCCCTATCTGATATACTGCAGTACTTACTAACATCTTTCGAATTATAGACACCTGAAGGCTTCTTATTGATGGATATACTGGTGTCGCAGCGAAGCCGAGTACCTAACTTGATCTGCTTCTGCAATAATTACCAGCTTTGTGCTGTTTCTGTTATTGATCGATATATGAGTGGCTAGTAGCTTCCCAGTACTACCATTTTACGTTCATGTGTCCGAACCTGCAAGGTCCGTACTATGTCACATCACTGATAACAGGGTGGCTTGACACTCACACAGGTAGCGTGATTCAACAAAGATTAGCATACGTAGAGGCAGGGATGAAGCTGGCCTATCCAAGAGTCCAGTTCATTCAACTACTAACTAGAGCGCGCAAGCGATAACTTGTATGAGTAAACCCTCTAGCTTGCTTGCTGTGGAAGGAGTAACAGTATACTTCACCCAGATTCGCTCCACTGTATATCAGCTGATCTGAGCTCAACACCAGAGAATCTCAGAATCCATACCCTGCAATGATGTCGTGATGTACCCCCCGATTCCATCTACAATCGGCCTGCCACAGATTTTTCTTGCTATATGTGACTTGTGTCTACTGAATACAAGAATGGCGGAGATAGTGACGCACGTATATTGGACTTTTTGATGATTCAAATTCATGCCTCGTTCGCCCATTAAAAGTCTTTCGTTGGATCATACTTTGGATTTTAATTAATGGTTCGTACCAATCATTAGGGAGCTTTGCGATTATAGAGCATCGTTGAAGATCGATTTGGAATGCATCGGATTGGCGGTGTGATTGCAGCCTTCACGTTCGACTTCGATCATAGCGCTAATTCAACTGAATATCAAGACTATAATTTGGAATAAGTCCTGGTATTTGGAGGCCAATGAATCCACAGCCAGATTTCTGCGAACAGGCAACTGATACCAGGTACAAGGTGAGCCTACTACCAACACCACTCAGTTCATTCAACAGCTCCTGCGTGACTTTGGCTTTGAGACTAGATACTCATTGGGTTTCAATAAACCTTTACTGATCGTGACGCACTAGAGCAACACTCGAGCCATTCAAGGCACATCTTGACCTGCGTTGGACACGAAAAATTCAACATCACCCCAACCTTTGTACCCACGGCTACCGAGTCATGCTATCTGCGTTTGAAGCTGAACACTGATACGACATGAGCAGAAAGCCGTAGAGTGACATATTCTCATCCTGCACACAAGGGGTACTCAAATGGAGGCCAAAAATGTCTCATGTACAGTGACACTTCTTGAGCAGCATAGCTCACATACATGCAGGGTTGCTTTGACTATGTCAAGGAGAGGGGGAAGGGGGAAGAAGTCGTTCTCTATGATTACAAATAGCCTACCGGTATCGACACTCGTCTGAAGATGATCGACCAAAAGGTCTGTGCAATCTTCAACTCTCGCACGAAAAGGGCCGACGACACAACCCCGGTAGAGCGCTGAATCAAGATGAAGCACACCTTTGTGCTGTTCTGATTCAGGCGAGTTGAAATCTCGCACTCTCGGAGCTACTTCCGGCAGGATTCAGACCCGTGTATGCTTTCTCACAGGCCCCGCAAGCTTGAGGACCCCGCAAGATCACGTCTTCGCAGCCTACTGCTAAACATAGCCCACTCAATCTGCCGAATACGCGTTGTCTTGCTTGTGGGCGAATAGGTTCTGCTCTTTTGCTTCTTCGCAATGGCGGCCCAAATAATTCGCCATGCCCAGCGCATGAAACAGACTTGACCAACCCAACAGCACATCATGTCAAAAAAGCATGCATCGTAAGATCGCGACGCGTACTGTACCCATCTCCCTACCATTTTCCAATCCCGACCCAAAACCTCCCAACCCCTCTCCAGAAAGCCCACCAATCACTAGCTGCCCGCTCCCTATCTTTGCGCGTCTAAGCGGAATATGCCACTATCCCTGCTAGCGCTCTAGCGAGGGTAGAGAATATCCCTGTTCCTAGCCTTGCGCGAGCGCAGCGCCGCAAAAAGTCAAGATCTATGTAGCACGTTACGCGGAGCGGAGCATGCGGTACTCGCTGGTCTCACACGTCGGCGAATAGAGCGACGTCGCGCAAAGTCGCCTTTTTCTGTTCTGGGCATTATACGGGTTGCAGTCTCTGAATGGATCGTAGCGAGGGGATACAGGGCGGCTTTGTGCTATAGAGGGGAGATGAGAGGCGGTGTGAGGCGTGCAGAAGGATGGTGAGGACGAAGTTGGGTGGATGGCTTGGGGAAGAGCGTTGATTACGGGCGGGAGGGGCGTTGTCACGCAGCTGCGGCTCAAATGTGGATATGCTTGCTTTGCAGAAGCATGCAAGCTTCTTGCTCTGCGATGGGTAGAGGAGGCGCATTGGAATGGAGCGGTAATGGTGAGCGACCCGAAAGGTATGGTTTGGCTATGTGTGCTGCTGTGAGTGGCTGGAGCCCGGCGGTATGGAGCACGTTTACGCGCCAGCAGCTGCATAGAGACCAGGCATGGTATTGGCTTTGTGCAATAGCTTCGAGGGGTACCCCCTCCAGTTGATCTACAAACGTTGGGGGTCAAGCGGCAGATCAAAATACGTCGTCTGCTAGCGAACCAAGTAGAGAACCTGAAGCAGACGTGAGTCTCTTCGATGGTGGGCGGTGGAGCTCGTTCAAGCCTTTTTGAAAAAGCTCGCGATGCTCCCCTGACTTTTGCCGCCAGTCTTCTTGCCCTTTGTTGCCGTAGTCTTGGGCGTAGGTTTCACTTTCTTGGGCTCTGGTTCGTCTTCCGAAAATGATTCCCATACGGCTTCCTCCTTCGTAACTTCAAGTGGTCAGATAAATTGCAAAGAAGGATTGGGGTTCAGCATACCGAGATAGCCGTCCTCATCCTTGACTTTCTTCTTCTTCATAACACGTCGCCTCCCGCGTCTCCGTCCGCCTTGAACAGTGACAGCCGCTTCACTCTCAGCCGGCTTGCTGGGGGGTTCTTTGTCTATCGGAGCATCTTGAGAGTCTTTCTCCTCATCTGCCGGTGCGTCGGGCATGTCAACTGGTACCAGTTAGTAGGATGTTATGATTGTTGCGTCTTGCAGATGTACCATCGGCCTCCATCATCTCTTTGAGCTTCTGCTCCCGTTCTTCGCGAGCCTTCCGTGCTGCTGTCGCCTTCTCCTCGTCAAATTTGATGGTAGGCTCGTCATCTGCGTCCCCTTCGTCTTCAGACATGCCTTGCATAGCTTCTGTAGTAGCGGTTAGTGATAGTATGACATTACTGATCGGAAAATGCACCATCTTCATCTTTTGATTCCTCCGCCTCCTTTGCTTTGGGTTTAGTCTTTGCGAACGACTTGAACAAATCTCCAGCAGAAGTGTCCTTCTTTGCTTTGGTCTTCGAGTCTGACCTCTTCAATGACGCCTTAGGGCCAGGTTGGGGTGTTGATGGACCCGATTTGCTATCCTCTGAGGTGCTTTCTGTACGGGCTGCAGCGGATGGTGCTTCTTTCTTTTCCTCTTTCGCTACGTGTGCAGCAGCTGTGGGCTTGGCGGTAACTTTGGGTGCGGATTTAGCTATAGCAGGGTTATACTTTGTAGTTCTCCGCTTCATGGGCGTTAGTGTGTGGCTGTAGAGGTTGCTGGACGTTGCCTACCTTGATGTATGGGTTTTGGATAGACCCGTAGACCCTCCAGTGTTCGAGAGGGTCTCCGCTTGCGTAATTAGTAGCTACCTCCTGATTGCAGACAGCGAGTAGGTTCAGGTTCTGCCATCCTTAGCTTCCTCTTCTCAATCTCGTGTTCAGTTCCGCCATTCATACCTCTATAGGCCCCGGCTCCAGACTGTAAATGTGAATCGAGGTAATCTCCTCAAACTCGGCCTTGGTCTCTGAAGTGATACATCAGCCCGAGTCTCGATCCGTGTTCCAGCGGTACCACGTACTCTGCAGTTCCTCCTCCCTCACCAAGACGATTGAAGTCTTGGTCACCAGCCTCTCGGGTGTGTTTTTTGGCTCAGGCAGCGAGCTCATGAAGGGCGAGCTGCGCATAACAGTATCATCTCCATCATGCGGACCGACGCCATTGCTATGCTCAGACGATCGCTTCTTCCCGGTAAGAAGGTAGGTTGCGTGAACGGATCTAGGTGTCTTCAATGTCTGTTTGGTGTGAAACTCATAAAGCATCCTCAGTGATGTTAGTAATATATCGCAAAAGGGCTTTATACAATTCTTACTGCTTTGCGAGATTGACCTTCACCTGGAGCGCTCGACAGAGCAGCCGGTAAGTGATCTGCGAAGCGTGAGCTGGAGCGATCAAAGCGGACGGTCAAGGCCTACCGGCTGGCCCTCTGTGAGCACACGATTCGCGAGATATTCTTTGTAACTTTCCTCCGTCATGACAAACGTTATGGTGTCCCAACGCTGAATGCGACTTTTTGGATGCGGAAGTGCGGCGCGAGTGAGGGCAGAACGCCAAAGTCGCGTCCACGGGTGTCATCTAGTCATGTGTACGCGTCAAATTGGGAAGCCATGACTCGCGCCGAGGCACAAGCTCACCTACCAACCCAGGCTACACCACCCACCACACTCAGCACATCCCAAAATGGACACAGGAGGTGACGATGATCTGAAATTACTCCGGGCTTCTGCCTCCAATCTCGGCGACCTCGAAAAGCGTATCTTGCGGCTTACACGAAAAGGCAAAAATGCCTCCAACGAGGTCCCGTCGCAAGTGCGACTGATGGATGTGGAGCGCATTCAAGCATTAGTACGACTTCATTGTATCGTGCTCAGCTCTTTCAGTTAATCGGTTACAGATCGAACCATTCCAGGAAGACCCTCAGCTGCTGGACACGCATTTGAAAACTTTCATCCCACCGCTGGTTGCTGCCTATTTGGACTCCCTTCACACAGGACCCAGACCGGAACCCATGAAGGGCTTCGTACCCTTAAACCATGCGATATGTCGGATACTGAACCTCTTCTGCAAAGTTCGGGGGGAGAAAGTTATCAAAGGGTTCTTGAACAACGAGCCGCGCTTTCTCGAGCCTGTTATCAATGAGTTCGAAGCGGGATCTAACTCTACACCAAGCGAGGACGAGCCTCCAGCTCAAGGCATTGTACCTTGGACCGAACGCTATGTTCTCCTCCTCTGGTTATCTCACTTGATGCTGGCTCCATTTCCCTTGGCCTCTATGTCCGCTATGCAGTCATCGCAGGAAGTGGCAACTACTCTCGGGATCAGACTTCCCACCGAGGCACCTGGTATTACCCTTCGCGTTCTTTCTATTTGCGTCACAGCTTTTGCATCAGCATCCAAGGAACGCAGTACTGCTGCACATCTGCTCGTCAGGCTCTGTGTCAGACCTGACATGCAGAAGCTCGGTTTGCTAGAGACGCTTGTTCAATGGTCCCTCAATTTCTTCGATAATGTCACAGAAGATTCAGCAGATATCCATCGATGCCTAGGAGTACTTTCTTTTCTCTCCGGACTCGTCACATCTGCTACGAATGAGGAGATCGGCCCATTCCTTCCCGCCATATACAAGGTTGGCCAGAACATCATTGCTCAATCAAACCTAGCTTTCGTGAAAGCTTCCGCTGTAGCGAGGAAGCTCGTCATCAAGACGTTGCGCAACATCGTGATCCATAGCCTCCAAGCAGGCGAAGTGATGAACGAGCTTGACACCACTACTGTTCTCGAAGAAGTTGTCGAATTTCTCCTAGAATCCTTAGCTGACGGCGACACTCCTGTGAGGTACGCAGCAAGCAAAGCACTTAGTATCATCACTATGAAGCTTGACCCAGAAATGGCCGAAGATGTAGTCGAGGCCATTCTAGGGTCACTCAATGAAAATGTTTACTGGCAAGGTCCGACCCGGAATCTCAGTGCGGTCGATCCACTGCGGTGGCATGGGCTGACGCTTACACTCTCACACCTGCTATATCGACGGGCTTTATCACCTGCTCAGCTACCTGAGATCCTGAACGCCCTCTTATTGGCGTTGGCTTTCGAGCAACGATCAACGACTGGTGGCTCGATAGGGACTAATGTCCGCGATGCTGCCTGCTTTGGAATTTGGGGTTTGTCTCGACGATATTCAACGGCTGAACTTTCTGCTGTAGAGACATCCTCGGTTCGAGCCTCAGAGCACCGGCAAGATCTCTCGATCTTGCAGGTGCTAGCAATAGAGTTGCTTGTTGTAGCATGCATCGACCCAGCTGGCAACATTCGAAGAGGATCATCTGCTGCATTGCAAGAGCTTATTGGCCGCCATCCGAACACAGTCTATGAAGGCATCTCACTAGTTCAAGTTGTTGACTTCCATGCAGTTGGCCTTCGTGAACGCGCCATGTGTAAGGTTTCCGTCGAAGCCGGCAAGCTGCATCAAACTTATTGGGAGACTTTGTTCGAGAATCTGTTAGGTTGGAGAGGTATCGGCTCCCTGGACTCTGCTTCTCGACTTTTCGCCGCACGCACCGTGGGACTGCTGACCCTCGGACAAACCCATACTGTTATTCACTCCATGGCCGACCGAATTCGCAATGAGCTTGCGGCACTCAAACCAAGACAGGTTGAGGAACGCCAAGGCCTGGTGGCCGCGTTGGCAGCTCTGATAGATGAAAGCATTGCGCGAGAACATCTGGATGAACCAACTGAAATGATTAAAGCGACCAATCTTACCCATCTCTGGGGTCTACTCGAACGAGAGTTGAAGCTTGATGACAATGATTTCACGTCTCCAGCTATGAGGCCAGACTTTACAGCTTCGTCCATTTGCACCTTGTTGGGGGCGTTGTCATATATGAGATACTCGCCTGAGGACCAAGAAACATCACAAGTGCCAATAGAGGAACTGCTTCGTCTATTCAATCTTTCCCTTGGTCGCCACGCAGACTCCGTGATGGAGGCGATACCACGAACAACGTCCGGTGTCTTGAGGCTTTTGCAGCGGATCTCTCCGAATGATGCGGGCTCTATGGTTGCTGGTTGGCTTACTAAAATGGAGAACGAGGCATCGTATAATGGCCTGCGGTGGTCTGGATTCGCCATCGCGCTAGGAGCAGCATACCCATGGCTCAATACTGAAGGAACTGGCCCGACCGCCATGCAGAGACAGATTGAAGAAATCTTACCCTTTAGATGTACATCCGCTGTTTCAATCGAGGCCAGAACAGTGGCCCTGTCAGCTATCAGTATCTTGCTCAAAAGCTGTGCAAGTTCTACCCCCACGTCCGAATTGCCCTCAGCTATCAGAGATCGAGTCGCAAATGCTTTGCACGTGGCTTTGAATGACTATACTGTCACGGAACGCGGAGATGTCGGTGCTCTTGTACGGCTCGAAGCTCTGAGTACGACAGGAACCGCCTGGCAAACAGGCTTGCTACACGGTTCCACCCACGAAGAAGAGTTGCATGCGGATGTCCTGCGGTTATCTCTTGAAAAGCTTGACAAAGTGCGATTACGAGCTGCACAGGTTTTGGAGAAGGGTGCATATGAACTGTTCGAAGCGGTCGCCGCTGGTGTGGCAGAGGGCGTTTCTTCTTACGCCTACTTCGCGAATGCTCTCACCGTGCTGAAGCCATCGAGCTCTCCTGCTATTATTGAAGCCGTTTGTCTCGGCTACGTGACATCCGCAAGCATGGGCTCTGAGTCAGTTGTTCAAAATTCGCGCGCTGCACTCTTAGACACCATCGATACTTGGCCTACTACTAGCGCCAGTGGAAACAGCACGTTCAACTTAATAGATACCGTCGATTGTCTCTTGAATCTTCTGAAGCGCAACTTAGAGACAGAGCGAATCCTCCTACCACTGCTAGAGATCTTCGCCTTCTTGTTTGACATGCAAGTCATGCACCGACTTCTGGAAACATCTTTCAAGTAAGTCCTGTCTAAGGAAAAGAACCACCGCGACTAATGAAGATAGCTTTCGCGCCATTCTCTCCTGCACGCAAAAAGCCCACTTTAAATCCACCCACATGCAGAAGCTGCATCTTGCGCTGGATGTGTACCGTGGCCTGGGCAATATCAAGACAACACGTGCAGATACAATTACAAAACTGAGCAGCATGTTACTGCATCCCTTTCCTAAAGTGAGGACTGTCCAGACTGTGATTCAGATACGCGTGTTAATGAGAGAGCAGATTCGCATTGCGGCCGCAGAAACTTTGTGGCTGGTGGCCAATGAGGAGAGCCTCAAGAGGCAAGACTGGAGCGTGCCATCGAAGAGCTTGAAACCAATTGTTGCTAGCATCAAGTCTGCTTTGGCTACGAATAGCTAAAGTGCGAACATCCAGTACAATGTCTATGACTCCCGCCACGTACCTTAGAGAGAGTTACCCTCGAGTACAGTTCTGGTGAATGTCAGAGGCTCTTGTTAGTTCCATTGATCACAAAGATGCGCCAACTGAGCATACGAAGCGAGGGCAAAGGGCAACGGCCATTCACGCCTCCCCCAGCAAACCCAAGTAGGCAAATCTGCACGTATATTTCGTGCTCTGTCGCACTTTCGCTTTCTTCAGCTTACCGTAGTGGGAAGTATTGTGCGATACTGTCGATTGCAGACGCCCTTCTGCCTTGATTGCAGGCCTGGCTTTCCCTCTTTTGTACACGTAAGAAACATAGCCTCTCTATCCGATATCGCCTACGACCGATTCCTTCGCGGATTGTGTTCTCACACTTGGATGCGGCGTGCCGTTAGATCCATCATCGTATCATTTGTTTCGTTCGAAGGGCGACGCCCTGGAGCCGCCCTTCGCCCTTCGCCCCTCGCCCAAATCAGCAACCTCGCGTGAGCTGGTCGAGAACAGTTGCCCTTGTCCCTCAAGGCTTTGCCATTTAGACACCGCATTAGGTAGATAATCACAACTGTCGAACACTGTCGCCCTCTTTGCCCTCTGCCTCTCACTCGTCTTACCCAAACAGTCACTTCGGCGAGGAAGTATCGAACACTGTTGCCTTCATGTCTCCCGCAGCATCATAATCTCTATGCGTCGATATACTCAAATGAGTAACTTGATGTAAGTGTAGATCACAGGCGCCCTTCGCTCTCGATCGAAATACCCAAGATGGGATCTTACCACGTGCCTGCACCACTTCCACAGTTGCTTTGAGGGAGGGTGTATAGCCAGCGCTCTCCCATGAGACATGTTTGCCAATTGGCAAACATGTCTCAAGGGACAATTGAGTTCATGCACTACCTGTGATGAAACTTTGGTCCATCATGTCGAGATCGCACTTTTCTTTTAAGATACACTCATCGAATGACATCCTCCCATCGGACTTTAAAGGGGGGTCCGGCCATCCTAAAGCACTTATCGTAACCGCACCAAGTATCGTCATCCACCCTCCCAAGTTTGTCTGCTTCGTCACAACCCTAACACAACCACTCCTTACTACAACCTCCACCGCAGCCCGGTGTCCCGTAGAATCCACCCACGATCCAAAATGCCACATCGATGGTAGCCCATATCATAAGACCGCCGCCAGTCAAAAGTTTGAAAATAGCCAGAACCCAGTGTCTTGCCGTAGTCAGCAGTCAGTATAGACCTTGATAGCGAACGATTTCGGACTAGAAAGGACATATCTCCTTCCTAAAAGAACAATACTTACTGTGCATACCAATGATCCGCACCAACCAAGCCTAAAAACACAGCGAACAGCGTAGCGACGCGCTCCTGCTTGTAGCACTTCTCGGTCATGGGGCGCTCGTCGAAGCCACCAAAAGTCCCGGAGCTGCGCTTTACCACTTCATGCTTCAAGCCGAAGGCATGGATGTAGAGCGACAACGTCAGGAAGAGAGCTATAAGGACGACCTGGACGAGGAAGACGGTTCGGTAACGTGGCCGGTTACGCCAAAGGGTAGATATAGCTTGAGTTGTGCGATTCATGGTCGTTTTGGTAAAGTTTTGTATTCAGTTGAGTGTAGTTTGTCGAGTGCTATCTGCCGACCATGAGAAAGGGTCATAGAGAGATCTGATGGCCACTTGGGCCACGCTGGCCTAAACTATGGCTGATGCGCCACGGTTGACGTGTAGTGAATTGATGGATGGGTGAGCAAACGGCAGCACTTCATGTTCACAGAGTCATTTTTGCAAACCAAGACTGTTGCTCTTCGGCGTCAGTAGCTGTGACGCGTCAGTAGCTTTCCACAGTAACCGGCTTATTGGCGATAGCAGTGGGAGGGAAGACGGAAAGGTGTGCAAACATCAGATAATGTAATATTACCCATTGACTGGGCCCATTCACATTCCGCAATCCTTGTGTGCGAGGAACATAATATGGTCTAACATATCATGAATGCATCTGTACGAACTACGTAGCCTCTATGTTCGTACATGCCCAGAACACTGTTCTCGGCTGAGGTAAGGGTATATTCCTCCAATTCGTACTTCAAAACCTTGCAGCTAGGGAAACAAAACCTCCACTACTGTCGGTCACAGTCTGGCCTCCCGGGGGTAACGCAGATTCAAATCCAGATTCCAGTACCGTTCTCACGACGCGCCCCAACTGCTTTGTTGACTCAAAACCTACTCGTGTAAATGCCATTATGATAGTCATCACACCACGTAGGGCCAGCTCTCCAGCTCTCCATACCGGTATCTTCGGGTATGCTACGAGGCCTGGCTGTGTCGTTCGATGACGCGCAACTTTCGCAACGAGAGGGGATGAGGGGATAGCCTGCGCTCAGTCCACGCAGCCACTTTGGCACGTGGTAAAGACTCTATGCTTCGCCGGGACGCTTCGTGTTGCAGCTCACAATCTTGACACGGTCGGCGTGGACCTGGCTGTTGTTGTCCAGCTTGAAGTTGATATCTTTGATGATGAAGGTCCAGACGTCGTCGCAGAAGCGGTAGGTATCGAGGTGTCCCTAGGTAGGTCGGTGAGTCTATGCCAAGTGAATGCACTGCTAATTACCAACCTTGAATGTCAAGCGCGCCTTGACCTTATCGGCGAGTACGTCGGCAACAGCCTTGTCGAAGTTTGCGAGGATTCTCATGGCGAGCTGCGGCTCTATGCGGCGCTCGGTGATCAGTGTGTCCAGCGTGTCTGTGAGGGCGCCGCCGACACTGCGTTTGTTAGCCAGGCACTCATCTGAGGGCGCTGAGGAGAGCACACCTGCTTCGGCGGTACAGCTCGTAGTATTTGGACGCCTCGGTGGCCATGACGTGGGTAGCAGGCGGTTTGGAGTACGGCGGGGAGTGTTTCGACGTGCGGCGGGCGTATAGTGGTATGCGACTGTTGTAGTGTTGAAGGGCAAGTAACGCAACTGCGGTCGGCTTTGATGAAGGTGGGAGTAAGGCAACCGCGGGCAGCGGCTTAGTCACCACCCACGCTAGCGGCTAGCTCCGCAGCAGCCATCATCGCCAACTCCAACACTGTGAAGCGCTTCCATCACCAGCAAGAGAAGCTCCTAACGGCTGCGTATACCCCATCTATCGCGCTTCTCCACCTTACACTTCAATGTCTCTTACCTATGGCGCAAGCGGTGCTACCGCTGCCCTAGGCGTAGTCGGCTTGTGTAGGTGCATCTTTGTACAGTAGCGCAAGCAGTCACTAATAGCAAACAGACATGCTCTTCCAGGGCGAGGGAGAAGCCTTCAACGTACGCACCGCCGTGTCCGGTTCGCGACCATAGCTGAAAATTATCCTAGGTCGGACAGTTCATCGAAAGCATATCTCCGTACACATGGGCGAGTTTGGGCATCGGTCTTTGCATAGGTCTCTCCGTTGTAGGGTCGGCTTGGTACGTTTCTCTGGGCATGGAGAGGGAAAATGTCTAACAATCATAAGGGGTATCTTTACGACCGGAGTGTCGATCGTCGGAGGAGGTGTCAAGGCCCCGCGGATACGAACCAAGAACCTGATCTCCATCATTTTCTGCGAAGTCGTGGCCATTTACGGTGTCATCATGGCCATCATCTTCTCCTCGAAACTCCAAGGCGTCAACGACTATGAAGGGTTGATGAGCCCCCGGAATTACTACACCGGATTCGCACTGTTCTGGGCCGGCTTAACTGTGGGCATGTGCAATCTGATCTGCGGTGTATCAGTTGGAATCAACGGAAGCAGCGCTGCGTTGGCGGATGCCGCAGATCCCTCTCTGTATGTTGTATGCACCTATCAAGCGCTTTACATGCTAATACGAAATAGGTTCGTCAAGATCTTGGTCATTGAGATCTTTAGCTCTATCCTCGGCCTTTTCGGCTTGATCATCGGCCTTCTGGTACAGGCAAACGCGCCCGAATTCGAATGAACGACCAAGTGAAGGAATGAACAGGACCAAGCTGTGGACTAGGATTTGGGCTGAGATTGGCTGGCTGGCAAGCAAAGGTCGAGACGAGATGAGTGTGGTCGCGTATCACGAAGCGCAAGCGCGGCGTCCGAAGCCTATTGTCAATTTTTTTTAATTGCACCATGTACATATGGAAAAGGAAGGGATTTGTATAATGCATGTATCATGAGCGATTTCAGCAAATAAAGTTATCAGTCATTGCATCATCTCCCCCAGTACGATTCGAGGTGGTCCAAGCTCCTGCTTTGCGGGACATCTCTCCGCATGCACGCCAGCGCTAACATTCGACCACCACTTTTGACAACATGACTGACGAGAAGTTGAAAGCTGCGATCCTTGTTGTTTCCGAGACCGCTTCCCAGGATCCCTCAACAGACAAGTGCATACCAGTCCTCCAAGATGTATTCGCCAAGCTCGGAAACGATCAATGGGAGGTCGCATCGACCGACATCATTCCAGATAGCGTGCTCGATATCCAAAAGAGCATACGGACATGGACCGATAGTGAAAATCCTATCAACTTGATCGTTACTAGTGGTGGTACTGGTTTTGCTACGAAGGATGTTACGCCTGAGGTATGTTGAAGGAAGCCTGCGCATGGGCATGAATGCACTGACATATTTGTAGGCAGTGACGCCACTCATAGATCGACATGCACCTGGTTTAGTGTAAGAAAACTGTTGTTGGTATTATCAAAGATAATGAATTCATAGGACTTAGACATGGAATGCTTTCTTCATCATTCGCTGTCACGCCTTGTAGGGCTGAGCCTATATCATATGAGGCAAGAGCTGATGACCGTTAGTTGCACTCATGGCTCGACCGGTTGCGGGCGTAAGGAAAGGTACACTCATTCTGACGCTACCTGGATCACCGAAGGGCGCAAAAGAGAACCTGGAGGCTGTACTCAAGCTCTTGCCGCATGCTTGCGTTCAAGCGGCCGGTGCGGCATCAAGACCACTGCACGTCGGTGGTGTCGAAAAGCTTGAAAACGATGCAGGGGTCTCCTCTGGTAGTACTGCTGCAGGTATTTATCTCATGCAGCGAGAATACCAATTCCTTTAAACTGATTACGTGGCATCAGGAGCAGCAAGTGGACACCGCCACTCCCATCACCACAATCACTCCCACAGTCATGGAGGCCATACCGGCCCGAAGGCACACACCAAAACCGAAGATCGACCACAGTCCAACGACCCTAGCGCAGGACCAACCCGTCGATACCGCTCATCCCCCTATCCCATGCTCGCAGTAGACGAAGCGCTCAAGCTTATAGAAGAGCATACCCCACCCCCAATCATTGACAAAGCCCCTGTAGACATGGCTCTCGGCGGTTCGGTGCTAGCAGAGGATGTCAAAGCCGCGGAATCCGTTCCCGCATTCCGTGCTAGTATCGTAGATGGTTACGCTGTTAGGATACCATCGTCAGGAAAGTTTGAAAAGGGCGTGTATCCCGTGGCTCTTGTCTCACACGCCCAAGCCGGTGATGTGCAAGAGCTGGAAGAGGGACAAATCGCTCGTATTACAACTGGCGCTCCGCTTCCACCCGGTGCTGACGCCGTGGTAATGGTGGAAGATACCGTTCTCAATTCTCAAACCGCGGACGGAAAGGAGGAGAAAGAAGTCGAGATCCTTACGGATGAGATCAAAAGTGGAGAGAATGTGCGAGAGGTCGGTAGCGATGTTAGAGAGGGGGCTACCATCATGAAGAGGGGCGAAGGCATCACAGTTGTCGGCGGCGAATTCGGACTTCTCGCCTCGGTAGGCACAACAGAGGTGTCGATCTACAGGCGCCCGGTCGTTGGTGTCTTGAGCACAGGTGACGAGATCATTCCTCACGATAGACCAGGTCCACTCAGCCTAGGCGAGGTGCGCGATACAAATCGACCTACATTGCTCACCGCAGTGCGTAGCAACAACTTTGAAGCTGTGGACCTGGGTATTGTGTCTGACAAGTACGTGTCAATCCCTTCATCCCACTAATTTTCTGGAAGATCAAGGGAATAGAAAGCTGACAGAATTATAGGCCTGGTGCCCTCGAAGACACACTTCGCTCCGCTTTTGCCAAGGTCGACGTAATCATAACCAGTGGTGGCGTCTCCATGGGCGAACTCGATCTCCTCAAGCCCACCATCGAGCGCTCCCTCGGTGGCACAATCCACTTCGGCCGCGTCAACATGAAGCCTGGCAAGCCTACCACCTTCGCGACAGTTCCCACAAAGCACTCTTCTTCCACCGCTTCCCGCGTAGCCAAGACCATCTTTTCACTACCTGGAAATCCCGCCTCCGCAGTCGTAACCTTCCACCTCTTCGTTCTGCCCTCGCTGCATAAGCAAGCCGGCATTGTACCTGCGGGCTTGCCGAGGGTGAAGGTGGCGTTGGATGCAGATGTTCGGATGGACAAGGGCAGGCCTGAGTACCACCGTGCAATCGTGGCTGTGGCAAGAGATGGTGGACTAGTTGCGAGCAGCACGGGTGGACAACGGAGCAGTAGGATTGGGAGCTTCAAGGGGGCGACCGCGTTGCTATGCATGCCGGCTGGGGAGGGTTGGGTGAAAAAGGGAGAACAAGTGGATGCGTTGCTCATGGGAAAGGTTGGGGCGGTTTGAGTGATAACAGTATAGGGCGTATATGATTTGAGACAACGCACATTGAATGCAGATGTGATATGTAACAAATTATACTATAGACGGTCATTGTGTCCTCTCTCAGCAAACCTTTTGCAACCTGCGATGCTCTCTCACCGTTCATACAATCGCGAATATCATTCAATATAGGAATCCGAAGTCTCTAAACTGTCTTTCCAGGTGCAATTGCGCTACAGTACTTATGGCTAGTCTGCGAACTACTGGCCATAGCGATTTGTTTGCAACATCGCAGAATTCCGAGAGCTAAACGCCTTTGGAAGAGCTGCAAATGATACCATCTGTTGAGAGGCTCCCAATCCGAAATACAGGGCAAATGGAAGCAAACGAGGTCGATGTTTCTTAAGGTTGCGGTGACTAAGCTGGACCCTTGCAATTCTCTCGGAACTGAGCCCACGACATGACATTCCTGGTACAGACAACACACGACAAATCAGACGTAGTTCGACACAATGCCGAGCAGCAAAACCAAATCGTCTTCATGGCTTATACTAGCCGTCGCGAGTGGCGCATGCGCAGCCTTCAATGGCGTGTTCGCGAAGCTGTATGCAACAACCTCCGTCCTCCCCGCGATAGCTGCTAATGCGGACCAGCACAACAACGGAGCTCACGGCCTCGTGGTCAAGCTCCGTAGCGCATATCTTTGGTCTTAGTAGCTCAAATAAAGTCGTAGAATACGGGATACGCGGGGTGAGTTCCCAGCACAGCCTTCGCCTGGCGATCTGAAGCTCACACATACGTCGCGTAGCTCTTCTTCGGCCTTAATCTCGTCTTCAACGCGGTCATGTGGGGTTTATTCACGCGCGCCCTCACTCTCGCATCTTCCACCGTTCGCGTCAGCGTCATAAACACGTCTGCCAACTTCATGATCACCGCCATCCTGGGCTTGGCCATATTTTCTGAATCGCTACCGGCCCTGTGGTGGTTAGGCGCGGCGTTGTTGGTAGCTGGAAGCGTGATAATTGGCAGAAGAGAAGAGGGAGAGAAGAAGGAGACGGAGGGCATTGCAGGCTTGGACCCCCTGCTAAACGCTGAAGGGGAGACATTTCGAGACGAGGAGCAGGAAAGGGAGGATGTCGAACTTGATAGTGTTAAGGACGGAGACAAGAGTAGCGATGATGATGATGGAGTCTTGAAGTAGTATCTGCACCGAATTGCTATCCTTAAGAGATATTTACGGATATGTTAAGGCAGGGACATGAGCTGCTTTCGCTTCCGTGCTGTATGTCGACCCAACTTCATGCGCCGCGAGCACCAGGACGGTCATCCCCATAGCCAAAAAAATCATGACATCGGGAAGAACGCATCTCCTGTTGGAGCCAGACAAGGTCTCCGCGCGTTACGGGAAGCCGCATGAAGACGCCCATACTCCGCGATGACAGCTCACCGCCAGTTAATAAACTCAACCTCATTTCGCTCGCGAGAGGTACAAACACACGCCTCGCGCGCCAGTGCTATAACATACTCCTGGTTTTCGGCCCTATTTAATTTCACACTTTCGCACACTCCCGGTTCCGACCCACGAAGTGAGCAGTTTCGCCGTTGCCCGGGTCACCCAGTGGTGGTAACGCCTTATCTAGACAATCAGCTTCACCACGCACGTCAGCCGACTTCGCACAAGTTGTGCCTGTGAGCTCGAAACTGAGCTCGAAACTACCGATTTGAGTCTCTACCTCGACAACACCAACCTCCACGACCGTCTACCGCTTGCACACGCCTCACCTCCCTTCGTACCTCTCGACACTCTCAAATCACAGCATCACAAAAATGTCTCAAGTCTATACAAACAAAGGTAATACTTCCCACTTCGCCTCCTCCATGGGCGGCCCAGTCCTTCCTGTCCCCACTCTCTCTGAGTTCCCCCCGTCCTCCTGGTACCACACCGAGGCTCAATCTGCGCGCTGCGCCATTCATCCCCGGAGCTGCTTCACACCCACCCAACCCCGTGTCGCCCTCCAAGTCGGACTTCAGCTCTGCATCGACCGTCCTCCAGGCTACCCCGCCCTCCCATTGGCACCACTTCGCTCCCCGCGTCCCCGTCGCAGGCCCGCATGGTGCTGGCATCCTCGGACACCCTGGCCAACAGGGCCAACCATATTACGAGCCCACCCAGGCTGGCCCTTCCCTGGGTGATGCGGAACGTGCTGCTGCTTTCGCGCAGTACTGCGCAACCTACTTTCTGGACCCGTGAGTATGTCAAGCCTATACTTTCAGGTTACCACTTACAGTGATGGACTAGCTACATGCAAGGTAGGGGACAGCCGGTGTACGCAACGGCCACAGACCACCTTGCACATCATGGTAGCTGGAACAACGGCTTCTTCGGTAAGTGTTAACCCAGCCTAGGTTAACTTGAGTTGACCTTTGTAGGCGCCGCCAAGGGCAAGAAAAAGAAGGGCAAGAAGGGCAAGGGCAGAGAAGCTGCATGGTGAAGAACACAGCGGTGGCATTCTGGCGGTCTGAGGTTGGGTGAGGATGACTATGATAGGTGGAAAAGGTGGATGTTTTTTTTTATTGGTTTGGGCAACGGTTGACGGTAATGGCTGGACTTGATTAAGACAATATTTCGCAAGTCATCGCCGTACAGGGCATGGCAAGAGAGCATTGGATGCTGTATTGACATGGGAGTCATCAAGCGCATTAAGCACTCAGTAGGCACAGTGTGACGTAAACAACAGCAACAACTCGAGTCATCCTTATACTCATATCATGAGCATCAAGCCCAACGCACCAGCAACAACGACCGCCGCCCTTCCCACCACCAGCCCCACCGCCTGACTCTCCCAAGGTGCCTTGCCCTCCGGCACAGCACGACTCCCCTGCACTGTCTTGTTTGGCGTCACACAAACGAACCTAGTTATCAACGCCACGGAATTTGAATCGGGGTCTTCGAATCCGCCATACAAAACGTACGGTATCGTCTGACGAACCAACAGATCATACGCCTCGGTCATGTTAGGCCGATAATTGAAGTCTTCAAAAGCGTCAGACATAGATCCGGTGCCGTATGAGTGATATTCGTCCGGAACGTCGACGCTGGGAATCTCGTACGTGGCGCAAGTGGTATTCGACATGTCTGTGCGATAGCCTTTGCCGTGAAGTCAGCAACCTATGAACAGTAATGTAATGGAGTCAAAGATAGAAAGGAAGGGCCTCAGCCAACTTACTGCCAGGTCCATCCCTCAAATTCGGACAAGCCTTTTTGAACGCATCGTTCCCTTCGGTGCCGGCCTTGCGATACAGTGGACATCCGTTCCCAACGGACTCATGCAAGAAACTATCCTTAATGAAGTCTTTACACTCGTCGCTCACTAGGCCTCCACAGGAGTCCATCCCATCATCGGCGTTATCGTCCAGCGTCACGTTTGCGCTGCCGAACTGGTACACGCACAGACTCGTGTTCCTCACGTTGTCGGGCACGCTTACGTATCCCCGTAGCTCAATGCCGCCGTTCGACACGGAAGTATCGTCGCCTCTGCGCACTGTGTCGTTGATTGAGACAGAGAGGTACCACGAATCTGAATTCGGGTGCTCGGAGTCGCTGCTGTTGGTCCATTTGAATTGGCGCTGGCCGGTCGAATTTGTGGAGCTATTTCCTGCGTTGCGCCATGCTATCTCGGTCCCGCAGTCTTTTGGTGTTGATGTTGTGTTGGTTATGTTCTGTCCTTGCGCGGAAAGTATCGTTGATCCTGCGAGGAACAGTGCTTTTGAGAAGTTAGATGTTCGCATTGTCATAACTCCAGACCACGGCTCTTGCAGAGACTATCGTATCTTCTTGATATTTTAAAGCAAGTATCTAAGAACTGAGCCACTTCAGGCCTCCTCACGTGGAGGAGTCTTAGTTTGAAGTTGACTCCAAGCCTGCCTTGGCTCCCGTCATTCCGGCTTCCTGAAAAGGCCCTATTCACAACTGAGAAAGAGTCAGCTTCTAATTGAGTGGCTAGCTTTCGTATGTCAGACTGTTTCCAGTGCTCAAGGGAAGGTTGTCTGTGGATCGTCAAGGCTGTATGCCGGTTTTGCCGTGACGGGGGCGGAAATGACGCACTAGTTGGGTTGTTAGGATTCTTGGTATAATGCGCAGCTCCCGGATCGGCGAAGCTTGGACCGAAGGGCATCGGAAACACGCGAGGGTAATAGTCTCCGAGTAGCCAATTTGTTAACCAGATCGGATAGTCTAAGCCACCTGGGAATTGTTAAGGACCGAAGTTGGGCTAACCAGCACGAGGCTCTGTATCTGGAGGAGCGCAATACGCGCGAAAGCATGATGAGGAGCAGAGTGAGAATGGTTTCTGGCGTATGCTACGCATATACATTTATACTAGTGACATTATCCTCGTTAGCTGCAAGATTCTAGCATACCTTCCCACGGCGCCTTCTCCTTTCTAGCTCTCTCTTTCTCTCCAGTCCACCAACTCGCCGCATTCACGTCGAGCCCTTTTCCATAGAATGCACGTTCCAGATACATCACAGATTCCTTCAACTGACCTCTCAGTGCTTCCAGGTTCTCTGGGTTGTTATCGTATTTCGAGCAATCGACCCAGGCGGTAGCGACGGAGAGGTACATGTCCTGCATGCGTTTGGTATCTGGAACGTAATTACAGTCAGATATCGTTCAACTGTAAAGATAAGGAAAGGTGTAGAGAAACACTTACCCATACGAGGCCATCCCTTTGCGATGCATGCTTGAAGACACTTCACCGCTGCGAGTGGAAGATTTGGATGCGCGGGGCTGAACGTGTCGCGGAGGATATCGTGAAGTAAAGGAAGGACGTCGTTCGCGTGCTTGACCCACTCGATCTCAAGTGCGATAATGAGGCGACTGAGGTTCTGTAAGACGAGGGTTGTAAGTTCGGGGTACGTTGTTGGAGTTGGCGCATGATGAAGGACCGCTATGACGCCTTGTCGGACGATTTTGTCGAGAAACTGGAAATTCTTGTCGCTAAGTGCTGCACTATTAGTATGCCGCTCCTCCGCTGGATCCCTAGCGTGCTTGTCGAATACTGCAGTCCTCTGCTCTGCTACAGGAACAAAAGAAATCAAAGCCGGATACACATGCTCCAGCAACTGCGCAGATTCTTGCGCAGGAGTCAAAGTGGGGAGATAGTTGAAGCACCCAAACAGATCTTCAGCGAATAAATCCCGACACTCTTCTTTCATGTTCTCTGGTGCCTTTCTCACCAGTTGGGCAATGACCTGGCACGCTTTTGCTTTCCATTGGAGGTCGCTATCTTCCAGCATCCGGAAAATGGGAGGCCTCATTAATCTAAACCACTCCCGCAAATCTTTCTCATCCGCCGCCTTTATGCACCATTGCAACAAATCCAGAAAGGACCTATGTTCGCGCGTCTTCCAGGGTGTCGGAGTGTCTCCAATGCCGTCTGTCTTAGCCTGCGAGAAAAGAGGGCGTATCGTAAGCGTTAGGAAATGGGAGATAAGTCGAGAGGGTAGCTCACTTTTGCTGGTCTTCTTGACTTCCTTGATTGCATCGGATGGATCGGTGACAGAGGGGTTACGCAATTGCCAGGCCAAGACCACATCGAGAGCGTCCTTCATCCATGGGCCAGGCTTAGTTCCGAGGGCCGTTGCGAGCTCCGTGCCCTTCAAGAGGGGTTTTAGGTTGATGACATCCAGGAGATCGAGATCAGTGGTGAGGGTGAGGAAATTGGCGTATTGGCGAAGTATATCTGAGATGGTCAGTTAGTATTTGAGATGCAGTATGACAGTATGAACGAGATGTACCTTCAGTGGATTGATCTCCATACACAATCTCATGCAGCAGCGCAAAGAAAACTTGTGACCTCCACGTGCGACCCCAGCTTCGTAGCGCCATTCCTATTTTTTCCCTTTGAGCAGGTGATGCGGGGTCCTCTTTTCCAAGTCGTCTCTGACACTCTCCAACCAACTGAGAAATCACCGTGTAATTGTTCAAGGAAGCCGCAATGACATCGCACACTCGATTAGGAGCTTTCAGACCTTCTTGAGCTACGAGGTAAGCCGCGTGAAGAGGCTGCTTGTTCTTCTTTAGAGGCGGAACCTGTGGTGCATCAGCCCACGGTAAGACGGCCGCGCAGACCCATGCTAGATACTCCTCGTCAGACTCTGCGTCGCGAGTGCTCAGCAATGTTTGAGGAATGATCGGGTATTTTGAGCTTCCCCTTTCCTTGATCCATGAGGTCATGAATTGATATCCCTTTCGGTAATGTTCGATATCAGGTTGGAAATATATTGTTCGAGTCGGATCGGTGAAGATGGTGTCATGCAGACTAGCCTCGTCGATTAGTCGGAGAGCCATGCCAGGGTCAGGCCCCTTTAGCATCTTCTCCATCTCGATACCTACCCTCTCGCGTTTAATCTTGATCTTGAGAGCTTCTTGAATGTCTTTGTTTGCCATGGCCTTTGCGGTCTCCGGGTCAAGGGTATAGTTCAGCCGACTTGCGAAGCGAATCAACCTGAGTACTCGGAGTGGATCATCTTTGAAGGTTTGATAGGGCTCTAGAGGTGTCCGTATGATCTTTGCGGCCATATCATCGAAGCCGCGATCCGTGAAGTCCTCGATTTGTTGTGTGTTCAGGTTGTAGAACATGGCGTTCACGGTAGCATCTCGTCGCATCGCATCTTCTTCTGCGGTCCCGAACTCCATTTGCGGATTTCGACTAACCTCGTCGTACGTCTCTTTTCGGAGGTTGACAAGGTCGAGGTCAATTCCCATGACCTTGATAGTCGCTGTTTCTAGGTTCTTCGATGCTTCTGGGTTTGCCTTGATGGTGTGTAGTCCAGACATGATCTTGCCGCTCTCGGCTGCGCCGAAATCGTGTTTTTCGAGATTACCGGGAATCTTGAGGTACTCTAGCATCTTCAAGCCAAAGTTCTCGCCCGTCGTCTTATTGATGGCAACGTCGACATCGTGGCTGCCCACTCCGAGCAGCTTGTCACGGACCCAGCCGCCTGTCCATCGCAGCACAACTTTCTCCTGCGCGACCTCTTCAGCGACGGAGACTCCAGTACCATCGGAGGGCGGAGCTTGATCGATGTAACTTGCGACAGCGAGGAGCAGGTTTCGTAGCTTGGTCTCCTCCTCGGTCAGCTCCAGCGTGGTTGGGTTTGCATATGAACGAGACGCCATGCCGCTGTAGGCTTTTACGAAATGAGGCTCAGAAGGTCCAGTCTTTCGCCGTTTAGGCGCGGGCTGTTCTTGGGGAACTGGAGATGGCAGCCGCTCAGCAGGCATGCGAGAGAATGAACTGAGTGAACACGGTAGAAGAAGACTAGTCCGAGCGGATGGTCGTGCAAAGTCAAGTCGTGTCAAAGGTGACGGCCGATGGGGCCTGGTATAGCGAGAAATTCCTCGTGATGAACAAACACGGAAGGCACGACTCATCAATGGCATGCAGGTGAGTCAAAAGGGCGAACCAGGGCGATAGTACGGATCGAGTCTCTTCGACAGTTGCTGCGGTGCCAGAATCGGAGGATTGGTCCGGGAGGTACAATTAGGCCAAAGGAGTGTGGTGCTCAGGTTTGAGGTCTGTGATGGAGGTGTGTTCGTCTCGTCCACTCAGGAAGCGTAGCGGCCGCATCGGTCATCGTCACCTTTCGCCAGCGCAAGCCGAGCCTCACACGTAGAACCGCGCCCTGTAGCCCGCCGTCGCCCGCCGGATCCGTTTGTGCATCGCCAGAATACATGCCGGCAACCCCAGTACCTGTGCGCGCAACCTCAACCTCGTGGGCGCCCCGCCCGAGCCCCCCATGACGCCCATCCAAGATGCCACGCCGAAGCCCCCAAAGTATCCAGCCGACCTGGACACGTCTATAGTACTCCCCAAGCAACGAGCATCGCCCGCCTCCTCTCTGGCATCCCTGCCTTACCGGACATCGAACCCATCGCTGCACAAGCTGTTTGAATCCACGGCCTCGATATCGACATCGCGACCTAGCTCGGGCAGCGCAACGCCGACTGCCTCTGTAATACCTGGTTCTGTCTTCTCTCCAGGCTCAAGACAGAATGGCACAGGCACGCCAAGCAGCCTACCGCCGGGGGTGTCCGACGAGCATAGGACCCTCATACAGCAGGCATATGCGCCGCACGTCGTGGTCGTGGCGGACAATGAGACAGAGGAATTGATACGTGGCAAGGGATTAGATGGCGGATTGCTACAACTCCTGCGGCCGTTCGGAGAATCAATATCTGGCAAGGTCACAATACGAGACAGCGTTGGGGCCAGCAAGAGCTACGAGGATTTTGGTGTACGGTTCGTGAGCATGGACGAAGTCTTGGGTCGTCCTCCGGTGTCTGAACGGCCACTGCCACAGCAAAACCCAGCCAACGGACAAGGAGACCAAGGAAGAGCGTCCACCACAGCAATAAGACCACGACCCGTGGGCGGCGATGTTGCAGAGGTGGAGGAGCTGGTGGACCGCCATTTGCAATATACCGAGTTCAACGCCCAGGGCTCGGTGCCCGACTACCTGAACCGGGGCGAACCAGCTGCCCAGGAGAGCGGCAGATCTCCCTTCTATACATTGTACTTGCGACGGCTGCTGTCAGGCCTACCGATGGTTCCTCACGAAACATTCGCGCATCCAGTTGTAGGCGTCATTGCAACGAGTTCACGAAGCGCAGCCCCGGTGGAAGAGCTTCGAGATTTGTATAACAGACAGCATCAGGGCGATCTCCGCGTTCCGCAATGGGTGGACGGTCTGTTCTTGCGGTACTATGTATTCATCCACGAGGAGGAGTCCGGAGACATTGCGAAATCCAACACAACCTTCGATTCTATGAAACGACACTTCGGGCTCAATTGCCATCTGCTACGACTGAAGGGCCAGCAGTGTATATCCTCTGATGACGATGCTGTACGATTACCAAGTTGCGAATGGTTGTCCGCCTCGGAAGAACTGGCGGAGATACAAAAGCAAGGTATGCCTACCAACCCCACCTCTAGCTACGATACTTACAATGCGTTGCAGAAAGTGCCGACGAATTTACTGACCCCACTCCCCATATACCCGATTCAGACGTCACTGCCATACGAACCTTCGTTCGCGAGCTTGTCGCCCAATCTATGGTCCCGCACATGGAGCGCAACATTCACCAATGGAATGAGCAAATCCTCGCCCGCCGTCGTGGTCTATCCGGTCGCTTCATGTCTCTCTCAAAACGTTGGACAACCTTCGGCTCCTCACGCTCAAGCTCCGCATCTACTATCACCCCCTCAAACACCAACTACGACTCTGCCGGAGGCTTTTACCGCCCAGACGCCCCTGAAGCCTTGATGCGGAGGCTTGCCGACTACTGCTTCATGTTGCGCGATACCAAGTTGGCACTCAGCACATACGAGATCCTGTGTACGGATTTCAACAACGACAAAGCATGGCAACACTACGCTGGCGCCGCTGAGATGGCTGCGCTCTCCGCGCTCCTCTCACCCGCCGCACTCACCGCCAAGATCCGCACCGAGAAGATCGATGAATGGATCAGATCAGCAACGTACAGCTACACCGACCGCCAACGCTCCGCAACCCCCTTCTACGCATTACGGACACTCGCCTTGTCTCTAGAGTTGTTACGGCTACGCGGCACTTCTGCCACTGACGACGCCGCCCGATGGGGTTCCCGCATTCTGGAGTTGAACCTTGTGGGCCCCATCGGCGCCGCCTTATTTACAGAGCGCATATCAGCATGCTTCTCCATCCGGCCCGGCCTCGGCGTCCTCAAGCTGGGCTCAAGACGCCGCAAAGCAGCCTTCTGGTCTGTACTCGCTGCCCAAGAGTGGTGGCGCCAGAACAAAGCCCTGCAGGCGGAGAAGTGCCTTGACGCCGCGCTGCACCTGTATGGTGCGCGTACTGAGAGCACAGAAGGAGGACCAGTGCGCTTGCCATTCGACGACATGCAACACTTTGTTGATGAGTTAAGACAGCAGATTCTTGGGCTGCGACTTGCAAATCGCGGACTTGGCGAAGATGAAGAGATTGGGGAAGCACAGCAAAGTATGCTAGTTGAGGAGGCGACGGAGACGCTGGATGCAAGCCCGCGAGCCCACCGCAAGAGTCTAGTAGGTGCCGTGGCGCCGAATATTGACGCAGGCCCTTTGAGTCCAACGCTGGAGAGGACGCCTGAGAAAGACGATCTATTTGAGGGAGCGGTGTAATCGTAATCATGTGCGAGACCAGAGCATGCATCATTCCGAGCTTGTATTTATCATGGCATTGCAGTGGCGTTCAGGTCATCAAGACTGGGTCTGATATACACGGGAAAGGTAGCGGATGGACGGCAGGCAGGCATTGGGTACGTGTGAGGCTAGGTGTAGCTTGCTATGAATGCTACGAAATGTGCGTGCAAGTCACTATAAAGTACATCACATGGGTCAAGCCAATTCAAAATCAGGTCAAGTGTAGTAGCGAGAATAGAAGAGTAGATTGACTATATCTCTTCGTCTTGTACGTCATTGCGAAGAGAAGAATCAATCAATAAGCCACCAACGCCAAGCCAGATTCAAGAACGCAAGACCCAAGCACTTTGGTGCCCTGCTCGTCCTGATCGGTCATGCAGTGTGATCAGTCGTCGAATCTGAGATGTCATGCCATGCAAAACCCGTGTGCCATGCTCGTATGCTATGCAACTGAAAGAAGGATCCCTGGCGAAAGCACAGAGTAAGGGAGAAACAAAATGCGCCTAAGCTATGCAAGGTATGGTAATGGGGTATCGTCGTGAGTATACGTGTGCGTGCTTTTCTGTCACGCATCTGGGTCTAGATCATCGTCTCAAGTGGCCGTTGCGGTGGTGGTTGAGGAAGTATGGGAGGCGGGAGATCTGAGTCGGCCGCAGTGACAACAGGTGGCGGTGCTGGTGAGGGCGGCAGTGGTGAAGGTGGAGTAACCGTGGGCGGTGGAATGGCTGTGAGAGGCTCAACAGAATCATTAGGTTCGACAGAATCAGTGGTCCGAAGACAACGTAGCTTGATGGTAAGCTTCTGAGGCTTCGCTCCTTGAACTGATTCAGGAAGCTCAAGATGTGTCTGCGATAGCACCGGTCCGTTGGATTCGTCAGATGAGCTCTCTGTACACTCAGGTGTTGAGTCCGAGTCGAACAGCGGAAGGGGCGATCGACGCTTCCGGGCTCGCGGGATCTCGTCCTCATCGTCACCTGAGACACTAGGGCTCGGTCGTTTCCGCAAGGATGTCTGTAGCGGAACCACTGTGACGTCCGGCACGCCGGTGTGGGGTCCAACGTTGTTGCGGACTGATGAGTAGTGTTCCCAGCTCTGTAGCAGGTCAGCTTTGTTTTGCAGATTGGATACAACAAGATACTTACGTGATAAGCAATGTGGAGCGTCTGTCTGTCATCTACAGCTCCAGGCTCCTCGTATTGATAGTCGAAGCTTGGAGAGATGAGGAGGGTGAAGTCAGCCTGCCAGAGGCGAACATGAACATGAAAGGCCGATGCAAAAGCCGACACTTCCATGTTGTCAGCCCACTCGCCAGGTTGTCCCATCTTCTCAACATGAAGTTCGAACTGCCTCTGCAGCTCCTCTTCGGTATAAGCGGAAGGTTCAATGGTAGCAGACAGTGCAGCCGTCGTCTTGCGTTTAGGATTTCGGCGAACGTTGTTCACAGCCATGTACTGGCGGTAGAAGCCTGAATGTTGCTTCATGTGCTCGATGGTATAGGTCCGAAGCACCTCGTGCATGTCTTGGGTGCCGTAGAGCTGATCGGAAAGGGCATTGAACAGGCAGTTGCCTTGGGCCGTCAGCCTGAAATCGCGTCAAAATTAGCATTTTGCACTCACCGTCACCCTTGATCTCCCCCGCATACAAGGCATTGGCCTCCAGAATGGGGAACTCGGGGGAGTTGGCTCGCGATCTGCGGGGCGCCATGATGACAGTTGGTTCAGGCGAAGTCGTGAACAAGGGGGAAAGAACAACTGGCAAGCTTGCGGATCATGGGGAGTTGAAGGGTGCAAGGGCGGCAGTAACAATAAAGTGGAGAAGCCGCCTCAAGTGAGGAGGTGAATAGTGCTCCTCGCGGTGAGTGAAGCACAATTATCGTACTTTTGAGTGACGCGAGCTGGAGCTCTCTGAGCAGGACACCCGGAAACGGTATAGCGTGCCAAGGTCCCGACAGGAGAACAAGTCAAAACACACGTCTATTGCGCAGGGCGGGAGACGGCTGGCTGTTTCAGCAAATAGCACACAAGCAAATGAACAGAGCTGCAAACGAGCTGCTGTGGACAGAGCTCCCGGTACAGGGGGAAAGTAAACATGGCATCAGGAAAAATCTGTGCCGGGCAAGCGTACCTCGGAGCAGCGACGTCACAGACCAGTCTACGGCTCGCTCTGCCGCGAAAGCGCCGACGATGGGGACTGTGCAGACGGCGAAATAAGCGTGCGGAATTCGCCAAAGGCACGGATAGGCAGGCAGATGGAGGCCTTTATCGAGAATGTATGAGGAGTCGACTACTGACGGGCGCCTGGCAGCTGAGCAAGCTCAAGGTCAGGCACCTGCGTGTAAATAAACACGCGTTGTCTCGTGCCTGGTCAGACAGTAGCTCAACCGCCCAATGACAGCCGCCGGAATCGGATGACCCCGCCAACACCAACGACTCAACACCTGGGCACCATCCTCCGCACGTGCCGTGTTCTTCGAGATCGAGTAGGAGGCTCTCCTGAGCGTAATACTGCAACGCACGCACTCGGTCTACGATTATCTCATGCAAACAGATCCTCACCGTAGATCTGGTAGACTACGCAAGGCAGTACTAATTGTGAAGAGGGCGCTGCTTACCACGAAGGTACTTCGACTGGTCACACTTACTGCCTGGTATATTCCAGCGTCACCATGTCTCACCCTGCACCGGCGGGAACAGTTGGGTTAAGACCAAACGTCTTGTTCCTGGAGCATCCTTACTCGTTTTCGCAAGACAGACAGCGAGCTTCGAGACTATTGCAAAAGCTAAATATGCTAGGACCATACTAGGACGGCCTTCAAGAGCAGACACTGAAAGAAGCTGGAATCATGGCTCTACTGGTATAGATGTGCCCAATTGCTGGTAGCCTGTAAGAGGCCAAACTCATAGTCAAGCTGTGCACGCAAAGTGTATCAGACCTAATGTGGGATGTTGTGCTTGTACGACGATGCACTTGGCAAAAGGCAAGAATGGAAAAAGGAGGCATAACATAAAGATTCGAACGAGAGCATGTGTATGCACTTGGAATACAGGCCAACGCTGCCCGCGCACTCCGTGAGCTGATCTTGTCAGCGCCGGAAGGATCGGTTCCAACCAATCATTACGTCGGCTCCACCAAACACGCTGCCTCACTCGGACGACCATCACCGACTACCATCATCTTTATCAAGTCACTTTCCATTTGCTGTCGTACTCTCAAGTCACTCTTTACCGTCTCTTCTCTTTCCTTTCGGTCCCTCTCGTTCCGCGGTCGCAGCCATGCGCATCCTCACCTTCCTCGGCGCCATCGTGGCCGTGATCTCCTCCCTCATGTACATGCTCGACACTCATCTCGAAAAATTCTACATCTTCAACCCGAACCAGCTCCATGCCCTCTCTCAATCTGCCATCGCAGCCCACGGTAACGACACCCGTGCCGTAGTCGATTACATCGTCGCGGAACTGTCCAAAACCCACCCCAACCACGTGAACGTGGAAGAAGAATGGGTCTTCAACAACGCGGGCGGCTGCATGGGTGCCATGACTATCATTCACGCGTCCATCACCGAGTACCTCATCGTTTTTGGGTCGGCCATCGGGACTGAGGGTCATACCGGCCGGCATACGGCGGATGACTACTTCATGATTCTAAAAGGGGAGGAATTAGCGTGGAAGGCAGGGACGTTCGAGGCAGAGAGATATCCGCAGGGTGCGATGCATCTGATGAAGAGGGGTGAGGTCAAACAGTATGCGATGAAGGAGGCGTGCTTTGCACTGGAGTATGCGAGGGGTTGGATTCCGCCCATGTTGTTCTTTGGGTTCGCAGACAGTAAGCCCTGGTATAGTGTGGGGAGGACGAAAAAACCTTTCCATGGGACGCGTGACAGAGCGGCGCTAACTTTGCATAGCGTTCTCAAGTACACTGGACTTCTACACGTTATGGAGGACAACGCTCGTCACGGGTCGGGAGATGTTGACCAACTTAGCGAAAATGAAGCTGTAATCAGCATCTCAATGGGGGCCGAAGCGTGACTACACTGTGTTAGTAGTATCGAACATCTTGCGAGACATGCGCTGCTAGAAAACAAGTCTCCGTGGTTGCTAACTATTGTGGCCGGGTACATCGAAAACCCCTGACCCTCCCGCCGACCGACAGTAGCAGGAGAAAAGCAACTTGGGCAGCAAGAGGTGTGCGATGGAAATCAATAGCTTGAATATGCAGGTGGAGGTTCGCTTTAACTATTCATTAAACTTCATCCACGTCCGGATACGATATAGCGTTTCGAGGGTACCTCGGCCCCTACGTATGATCGACGTCTCTGACAGGCTTCAAAGTGTATCGAACCCCAACCCGAGACACGCAGAAACCGCCGCCACAGCCGACTTCACTGTTCACGAACATCTCCAGAACTACCCTCCCCGGTCTAATGCGAAGGTCTAGCGTGCTGATTCTGAAGCAACAACTCGGAACGAGCGGCCGTCTTCCACACACGCCTCCAACAGGACGGAGGCTCCTTACAGATTGAGGTTCTTGAGAGTGACTTTGAGTGCCAGCCAAGGCTGCAAGGCTTCGTTGTGACACCCCTCAGGCCTTTAGCGCGCATTGGAAACGCTCCCTTCGGCTGCATCGTGGAAATAGTTCACGCCCACATTTCGGCGCCACAGGACCAGCGCTTAATGCTATGCATATAAGATGCAGCGCCTCTCTCTGTAGTAAACGCATAAACAAGTCAATCGTTCCTTCTTCTGTTCTTTTTGATATCCGCTCATTCGGTAGCGTTGCTTATTATCTTCCCATATACATACCCTCTTTGTGCTGGTCGCGTTACTGTCTATATCTATTCGATCCTTTCTTGCTAATAGTGAAAATGTATAACCTCCTTGCTGTTGTTGCTGCGTTGGCTATCGGAACCACTGCCGGTAATTTGGCATCTTTCTCTCCTGCCATCGTTAGCTGATTGCATGTCATAGCTCCAGCCACCTTCAACCGTCGTCAGGACGCCTGCTTTATTGTCGGATCGACCACGCTACCACAAGAGACTGCGGACATCGCCAACGCCGTCGCCAGCACGGTAACCTGCGGTACCGGCACCACGATCGGCAACGTGCCTGATGTAACAACCAACGGCGTCTCTTTCTCGGATATCGACTTTTCGAAGTCCTCCTCCACCCCACTACAATTCGCCCTGGACAATTTCGCGACTGCAGATCCGCTTGCGTCAACCGACCTCGCCACCTTTCAGACCAATTTGGATTTGTACCAGGCGACCGAAGCTGGTATTCGAAGTGAAGGGGGTGACCTGGCGATCAAGGAACCTAAGTTCTTTCTGGCCTTCCAGGTGGCAAGGATTAAGACTGCGCAAGGTGTTGCCATCAGCGACCCTGGACAGACTGTCGAACACTTGCTTGGAAAGGTGCAGAAGAACGCTGGAAGCGCGGATAAAGGATTGGTATCTCAAGTGGACGCCTTGGCGACACAGTTGTCGTAGAGTGAGTCATGCTCAACTTGGAATCGTCCGCGTCAAGAGCTTTGCGACCACCGCAAGCGATTGTTCGCGTCAAGGTCATGGTTCGAGAGGCATTTCATAACTGGTGCTGTAGTTGTAGATGTAAGGTTTGCTGAAGACACAGTGGAGGTAAAACTCTGCTGTAGTTAGCATTCCATTAGAGCTCAGCTTGACCGTGTAGTAGCGGCGACCCATGTTGAAAAATTAGTTCACAACGCAAAGCGTGCAGCAATATGATGGTCTCAAAAGTGAACATTGGCAAAGAGGTTGACTTCTGAGTGCAGAAGATGTCGGTCTGTGGCGAAATCCGGTCGGTGCCTTAAGCAAGCAGATTCTTTCTATTTCAGCGAGTCCTACCTGGGGCAGCGCATCGTCCGCTGTTTAGCAGGTGGGCTGGTGCCTGTCGCGCCCCAACGGCGTGGGTGACCTGACGAACCTGAGTACTATGTCAATCGTGGTAAACATCATTTCGTGTGTTAGCATCAAGTGAAGGAAATGACGTGTAGTTGTTCCTAGCTTCCAAGTTTTGGGGCTGGTTCCAGGATGCAGCCCTCCTAGTTTGCGAGGTGTGTTTTAGGTGGGGTCGAACATGCTCTTGGTGCTGCGGTATGCAGGGCGCATGCTCTTGGTATGACTATGTATGCTGCATGCCTGTCGATGCTTACGCGCGCCGTTGATTGTGAGTACCGGACAGTGCAGGTAGCAGTTGCCTGGCGGGCGGTGCAGTCTTATTTTAAGACCTGTTCCTGGAGTAAGACGCTTAAGTCAGCCATGCAGGCGTGTAGACCTGAGACAATCCCGTCATGCGGCCCGGGGCCACTGTGGGACTCGAGACACGGAGACGTCACCGCGAATTTGAGCAGGTCGCGCGTTATGCGGTCCGATGGTTGATCGTGAAGATCGAATTGGCAGAGGCTGCGAGCGGCGCCCCGCGGCGCTTCAACGGTGCTTTGCGAGTGCGGAGCGGACTTGGTGTATTGTGGCAGACGCAGTTTCGGCGGATTCGAAGAGGCTGCTACGGGAAGATGGAATTCAGACCGGTGAGAACCTTGGAACAGCGGCGATGGCGTGCGCCGGGCTCGTAATGCACGTGTGTCTGCGGCTGGTGTTTGGAAACGTTGCGGTCCAGTCCAGCCAGTCGCTGGCCAAGGCACCTTTCGCGAGCGGGTCGTGCCTGCCTCTTCCGGGAGCGCATCCTCGAGGAAGGCACGTCCGCGTGCAGAGGCAGGAGCGATGCGCAGGCAGACTGCAGCGCGGCTTCAACGCGTAGCACCCGCACCCATCCTCGGCGTGCACTTGTAGACGTTCAATCAGGCTCGTCGCGCACAAGAGCAGACGCCACCTGGACCGCCGTCGCGATCGCCCAGCCCAAGCCTCGCACTTCTGTACTGGGGCGCACGGAGCACAGCCATCAGTCGCCAAACCCAACCTCGTTTGGTCTTAAGCTTGCGTCCCCCTTGCGCGCTGCGATGAGCCTTTGTCTCCATCTCCGCCGCGCCATCTACACCACTCTTCGCTGAAACAACACATCGCCCCAGCGACGCCGCGCACGCTGCCGATTCGTGCGGCTCTCCTCAAAACGGCGCGGGGACAGCAGCGACGGTACGACGAACGTGTCGCCCGTCGAGCTAGTGGAGCCCTAGTTCTGGTAGGGGATGAGCGTCCTATGGCCCATCCTCACGTTGCGATCGCGAGACGAAGAACCCTCACCTCTTCCGACGACCGCCTGCCGCTCTCCTCGGTGCCCACCTACTCCGACCAGCTTCTATCAAGCCCGATAGGGCCGCAATTGCACTCATTGCACTCAGTGCCCGAAGACATTGCACGCTGCAAGACACCCTCAAAGCCGCCGCCGCTCGCCGCACGCTTCACCGCGCGCATGCCAATGCCTTTCGAGCTCTCCAGCTGGCATGCGCAATGGCTCGGTCGACTGCGCTCCGCCCTTCGCCTGCTGGTCATCGTGCTCAGCGGCGCCGTCATTGTCTTCCTTGTCCACACCCTCGAGATTTTCCGCGGCAACCGCTACATCGACCTCCGCAAAAATGAGCTGCCCATGACCTGGCCTGCCCGCACCAATCTTGCACCCACTCTCATCCTCTTCGCCGTCGCCGTCGGCAGCTTCATCGCCTCGGTCACCGTCGTCGCCTTATCATTCAAGCGATCCTTCCGCCGACCGACTCGATCCGCCGGCATATACCGCGTCCTTGGCGGATGCTGCGGAGTCCTTTTCTGGGTCATCGCGATAGCTGAATTTTCCATACTCGACAGAGCCAGCAAAGCCAGCCTGGGCAGGTATTCCTGCGGTAACAGCCATATCCTGAGCAATGGACGTTACCAGTACCGCGCCGTCTGCGAAGAGCAGGTGAGTCTAGCCAGTCGCAACTACAAGCACCCGACTAACATCAGCCAGGGAGTCGCATTCTACCTCGCCATAGGCGCCGCAGCCGCAGAGCTCGCTACTCTCCTCACCCTTGCCGTCACCACGCCAATTTCCCCGGACCAATATGTCCCGGGTCCGAAAGACGACCACGAAAAGAAGCGATCGATGAGCATCAGCGGCAGCACCAAACGCTACCCATGACCCTCTCTCCTTCCTCGACACGACCCACCCCACCACACTCCCGCTTCTCTGTACAGATACTTGTTTCCACGTCAATGCATGATACCCCGGGGTTTGCACATTTTGGTCTTTATGGGCGGAAAAAAACACATCGGCGTTTCTCTAGCAGTATTTTTTTGGCTGTCTCCGCATGCATTTGCATTTCTCGGAGTTGCATAGTCACTTTTTGTTACGGCTTGACGATACCTTAGAGGAAAAGCATCAGGGCTGCTCGACTGGAGCGAAGAGATGCCCCAGACATGGCCGCGGCCGACGCACTGGCAATGGTCGCAATGCGATTTTACTGATAGTCACTGTTGCCCACATACTCTTTGTAATTCACCACCTAAATACGCTTCCAATACAAAGACAGTACATATCGATATCTGCCTTGCAGGCAGGCACTCTGTCCGCGCTACTCGCTGTGTGCCCATCTGCGCCGTCTTCGGGCCAGGCCGCCATCGCACACCTTGGCAACCCGTGTATCAAGGCGCGCGTTTCCGGACACCCGTAATAGCTGTCCCATATTCCTTGATTTGGAGCTCACGATACCGCAATTGGTGGGGTGATGTGTTGCCGTCTGGTTACAGTCATTGCGGGGGCTGGCGGGACTGCATTGGGTCAGGTCAAGACGGCTTCGGGTGCCGGTGTCTGCCGGAGGTGTGCCGTTGATGTCCTTTTGTCCAAAGCTTGATCTAGGTGACGTTACGACGCGCGGTGGGCTCGTGCACGAGGCGCTGATTGGCTGCAGCGTGTGCCGGATTTGTGGGCTACATGGTCGAGACGAGTCAAGCGCCCGTGTGCTTGACTCTGCCATGTTGCAATCGTTACTGTTTCTTGTTGTTCTTGTGATGCGGGAAAGAGCGGCTGCAAGTGAGCTACGTCATCGGAACGAGCATGCTGCAGGGTTGGTGCAGAACTTGTAACGCCGCCGCATGCGCATCTTGTGACGGGACGATCGCACTTGAGGCTCTTCGGGAAGTAGTAGGCACCATGGTTGGTTGGGAGTACTGTAGTAACGACACTGGCATAGCAAGGGAATAATGCCTAGTGGGATAGGGCAATGGCCGTCTCTCCGAGTGCGTTGACGAGCCCTTGAGAACAACTCTCGTTCTCTCCTTTGAGGTACCTCTGGGCCTATTCTAGCATCCCGCCAGTCGCGCTATCATTGTTCCGGCGGGTGCTATGGAGCAAAACTCGACTGCAAGCGTCGACTGTTACCTTGCATGCTTTGATAGTAAATTGCATATGTCCCAGAAAGCCTTCCTATGATTACCTAGTCACGGGATTACCTATAACGGAATGGTTTGCACATGTGCGCGTCGCGGGTAACAGTAAGAAGGCTTAAAGAGAAAGGTGAAATGGAATAGTTGCGAGAACAATCTGCGTGCCCACGAGGAAGAAACGTAGTTGGAGCTGAAGTTTGATCTCACAATTAGGTACCGTGTGCGACTTGAACGCCACCATGCTGCGCCGATTGGCCCCATTCTGCTGCACCTCCCGCCTGCTGCGCCTTGGCCTGCACCACCAGCCACAGTCCCAATCTTGACATTTTTACGCTGAGAAGCCCGTAGGGCTGAGCAAAGTGTGGGGCAAGCATTGCGATGCTCCTCCAGTCTGCAACAACCAGCGGACAGCGAAGCTTTCACAGGAACGAGGACCAACCGCAGCGAGGTCAATGCACAGTGGCAATGGCTTTCCCACAGCAATTGGATCAAGAATCACAGAACTGACCGCAAGCTGAGGTTTGCGACTCCGTGAGGCCACCACCGATCACGCAGAATGCGATGCCGGAAGATCCCATTGTGTAAGCGATGGATTGGCCCCCGGAAACCGAAGCCCTATCAGGCTACGGAGACCCCAGGAGTTTATAGGATCAGTACTTGCGGCTCATGAGCGGTGGCCGCCTTAGGAACTGTCCGTTTTATGATGTTGACTTCGCCAGTCAAATCGCTGGGCGTTATCTTCGGACCTGCAACATTTCGACGTTCGCACCGAAGTGATTATTCAAAAACCCGAAAGACGTGAGGGCGTAGATCGAAGTGATGACGACGTGGAGCTCATATGCTTGCTCAATACAACACACGCCCACTACTCCCCGCTCAGTATATACAACACAAAATCGATACCACCATTCAGAACAGACTTTCGAAGGGCCAGAGGTCGATCGCGATGCCGAAGGATTGCAGGTCGATCCCAACGGCCCGTACCCATACCCAACCACAAGAGCGATAGACAGCACCTCAAAACATTGGCTTCCCTGGGTCACATCGACTGCAAGTTCGGAGAAAGAGTTGAAGAGAGGCGAAGATGGTTTGATCCCATACGTGGACGAGAAGAGAAGAGGATCCGATAGAATTTGGCGTTTCAAGCGGAGACCGTTCATTGTTGTTGCTTCGGTATGTGTGCTCTTGGCCATCTGCGCTGCTGTAGGTGGAGCAGTGGGAGGCTACTATGCGACCAAATCGTCTTCTTCGTCGACACCGACACCAACACCAACCTCAAGTCTAGATGATCCAGGCGATCCAGAGACTCAGACTGGAGCAGTAGAGACGGGCACGACCGGCATGGCCCACCTTCCATGTGCTCCAGCGGTCGTTTCGCCAGCGTCAGCGCCACAAGCCACGCCCCGTGACTTCACTAGTCCCTACGAATCGTCCACCGGCAGCCACTCCTCCTACGACATCACCTGCCGACGCGGCGTACCTTCAGGTGGCGATGAACACCACAATGACATTGTTAATATGCGCACATTCATCACGTACAACTTCACCGCGTGCATGGACCATTGTTCGAAACGGAAGGCCTGTATGGGCGTCGTCTACGGTGCGAATTTGACTGCGATGGTGACAGATGGGGATCCTGGTGGAAATTGTCTGTTAAAGAATGCTACGTGGTCACCCACAGCGAGGAGAGAGAATTGGATAGCAAGTGCAGTGAAGAGGGTGTAAGCATTAGCCAACTGACTTGAGATACACAGCAAAGCGGTTGCCAATGTATGCTGGCACGGGGGTGGGAGGAGAATATAAGACACGGAAACATTAGGATGACATCGCTCGACATACCGAAGATCTGCTTGCGCTGTGAGAATAGAGAATCATTGTCCAAGCTGATTGTGCAGCCTGGACATGGGAGTGGATAGGATGCATGCTCAGCTTCAGCTCAAAGTGTCCTGAACTAGTGCAAGAGATGGTACGTAAATGTGACTTCAGTCGAAGTGGAAGTGATCTGGATACCGATCCGCTGCATGAACTCGTCCACTGTTGGGGAGTAGACTCCCTAGCGGGGAACATTGCTTTCGGCGAACGACGGTTAAGGATCGGGCTGTGGGTTGAAATATCGCTACAAGGAGCATTAGCGATCCGGCTCGCCCACACCCATGCTTGTTTCGTAAGCTGACCGTGTGTTGCTCGGGTACATCTCTCTGAATATTTTCAGTGGCTCGTGCCCAGAAGTTGGCTTCGGAGGATGATGTGCTGGGATGAGGTAGTGTGGCCACGGACACGATACAAATCGGCAAACTGACAAAAACTCTGGATCGTTTGGAAGCACTGATCGGCACGAGAATCGTATTACTTCTCATTTGGCAAAATGCCTTCATTTCTGCCGTCTCTTCTTCTGATTCTGGCTGACCACTTCCGCATTGTTCTTGATCTTTCCTGTAACATGATCCACCACCAACGGATCACTATAGTCTGTTTTGGGATGTTCTTGCAGCTCCGTCAAATTCTCTTGACTATCCCCGCCGCTACTTTTGATAGAGTACTTCCTCCCCATATCGTATTCCGCATTATTGTTGTCGGGGAGGCGCCGGTGATGCGTTACCCTCACCTCCTGTGTCACAAAAATTTGTGGTAGCGCGGTGGCGATGAGAGGCCAGAAGATCGGTATCGAGGCGCAAATAATGGCGAAATCAATCTCGAGAGAGGCCAGGATCATTGTGAGAGGGTACCACCACGTGAAATCTAACGAGCTTGCGTCGTATTTGTTGTGACGTATAGTTGTCCACAGCCGAAGAATAGACATGAGAAGGACTCTGCAGTTGCATCAATAGTGGAGACAGAGATCGGATAGAATTTGCACCTACGTTGAGCCGAGAGTGAAGAGACTGATGATCGCAAGAACTTGTCTTGAGCCCAGTCCAGGCCCAAAGTAAAGCATCATTGGTATGATGAATATGATTGTATCCAGCATCATGTTGGTAGCGGCGAAAGCCACGAATGCGGTGAGGGAGTTTTCCACGTTGCCGAAACCTGTGCCCCAACATTTGGCCGGTGGAATCTGTGCTCGATTCCAGAAGCCAGAGACAGGGAAGCATGGAAACCAGCCTTGAAAGAACCAGAAGAATGCCCAAAGGCCGGTCAACACAATGAGTACAATGCATATTTGACGAATGATTCCTTTTCGGAAAAGACGCAAGTATTGGCAAAGCAATGAAAGCTTGACGACGCCGGCGCACGTGTAGTACGCCGCATTCTGAACGTAGAGGAACTTGAAAAGCGTGACGAAATCGTTCGGGTCAACGTAGTAGAGGTGTTTGCCGAGGCCAAAGTGAAAACCTATAAGTCTTGTTAGCAAGGCATCGGATACAGTATTCGAAGAGAGAAACATGCAGCCATAGAAGGCAATTAGCGACGCTAAGTTGAATGCGCCACTGATTGTGATGAAATAGTCATCCCAACCCGGTGCTCGGACGACCCGATATCTTGTGTACAGACGGAAGGAAACAGCAGCCCAGGTCAAGATCTACTTGATGTCAGCATTACTGCCAGACTGGACGAGACGCAGTCGTTGTTACTGACGTGGAAAGGCAACGTTGCTCCATAGATGGTTGCCGTTTTGTTGTATACCGGAACTTCATCGTTTGGATCTGGAGGATTTGCGTAGATCACGGCAAATGAATCCATCGTGGGCGAAAACTGCCCGGCGGCAAGCAGTCCTGTACTCGAGTGGACAACGTTTCGCGACGAAGACGGACTTTCACTCCTGACAGCGCGAGGGGCCCAACATAACGCACTTTAGGACGGCGCCCGTTTAAGAAACCGCGAACAAACCTTCCAGAATCCCGCGTCCCACCCCGTCGCAATCACATGGATTCCAGGTTCGGCATCAACGTGTGGCTTGTTGCGAAACACTCGGACGGCGGCGCACGAACGATTCAGCGTTAGCGGATAGGCATTTGACAGTTCGCGCTTACTTGATCTAGGCAATGCTCCATGAAGTTATCGTGGGGAGTCCGGCTGTCAGATCTGGGCGATGCCGTCGTGCCATCTTGAATCAAAGGTTGGCTGGGAATTGAACCCAATTGAAGAAGCTGCCCTCGTGCGCCATGTCAATCACTAACATGGGTAGGATCCCCTACCAAGGGTGTCTGTAATAGCGGCCGAAGACCTATCAACTTCGACGAGTTCGTTTACGGCTACGCACAACCGCAACAAGCGTGGAACGGGTTCTGCATTGCACACGCAATAACCTTTGAGTTGGTCTTTGAGCCATTAAGCTCGAATTGCATACCTGGAATGTTTATCTTGAGGCGTACAACGCGGGATGACTTCAAATGTTGCGAAAGCGAGGAACCCGGCGACAAAGGAACGAAGATACATGGTGTAGACGACGCAGATTCGATCTCATGGTTGAGTGTCATGGAACCACTGCGACTTCCGAATACGGAGGATGTGTACCACCGTACATCATCTCCTGGTGTTGGTGGTGGTGGTGGCGAGCTGGGATCTCCGCCTCAGGGCCTCGATCTTGTAATAGCGCCTTACACAAGCGATCCCATCAAGTTGTCCGTGCTGTAAATTGCGTACCGTCAACCACGATCCTTGTGCGCTCCAGAGCTGTACGAGGATCAACCGTTTGCAAGTAGTCGTGCAAATGATCTGAGTGATAAGAGCATGGTATTATTATTCTTGATGTGTCTGAGAAGCTTATTCATGTACACGGTCGTTTTCGCTGACTACGTGCAGTTTCTTTTATTTGATTCATCATGGATATCTTAAAGCCTTTGCGGTTGAACAGTCCCGACCAAAGTGGTTCGCAGCGAGTCTTTGAAAACCCTGGCTGGCTCATAACGATATGCCATACCCATCAATACTTCTGCCAATAGCGGGCTTCTACGCTCCATTAACCAGCAAAAACCCAGACAATAGAAAAGAGTGCACAAATAGCGCCGACGATGACTAGAACCTCAGGGCCGGCTTTGATACCAACGGGCAGACCCTCGGTGCTGAACTGGGCGACGATGTTGTTCGAGAAGTTGTTGGCAGCTTCCGTAACTGCGAGCTGGGTAAGGTTTCCACATTGCTGGTTGAGTGCTACGTCTGCTGTGAGTGCTGGGAGCTTGGCTTGGGCGGCATTGAGCATTCGCGCTGTGATGATTGTTCCGACAGGTGCTTTCTGCATGAAGGCAGCACGGTATGATGAATTTGCGCTGATGGTCGACATGTTGGCGGTAACGGAGTAGTCCAAGCATGGGTCACCGACTTGAGTAGTGGGCAGCGGGTTTGTCTGGCGTTGGACGAGCACAGCAGCTGGGAACTTGTCTGAGGCACCCATAGCCACCTGAAAAACGGAGAGAGCGACGAGAAGGCTGGCGAAGAGCTGCATGGTGACGAGCGGCGAGAGTAGTAAGCTTCGAGCTTGTAGGGAAAAGATATTATAAAATAAAAGTGTGCCAGCACCAAGAAGAAAAAGTTGTGTTAGGATGAAAAGGGATAGACGCCTAAGGAACTGAAGAGCAGCAGCGAACGGGTGGGTAGAATAAAATCAGGCCACGCGCCAGGAACACAGATTATATGGCAATGCCTACTTGCCGAAGGCTTAAGGCTTCTAACAGGCCTGAGACACTGTGTTGACGGATGCCTGAGTTCCGAACGTGGAACGTCTCACGCCTCTTCAGTGGGCAGGTAAGCGCTCGCGCCATTTTAGTGCGATGCTTGACTCCGAAGCCATCAATCAAGAGTCAAAGGTGTGAACAGGGCAGCTTGAATGTGCGGTAACGTTATCGATGGGGTTGAATGACTGCAAAAGCCGCAAGTCGATGCTTGAAAGTCGTGGGTAACGGGCGTCGTGAATGCGGGGTGCAGAATTCCGCCCCTGAAGTTTCAGCCTTGAATTAGCCAGCCGCAGGCACGAAGATCTACACGTGATGACGCCGGCACTGGAGCGAAGTCATATTAGACGCTGACTGCTGCATTGAGATCTCGCTTCAAGAGACATCACGAAGTGGTGCGCTGATGTTCACACGAATTACAAACCTGTCATGCAACAGCGATCAATAGACCTTTCCGCATTGGGCCACTCCACGCCAACGGCTCAACTTCACAGCTACTCCGCACCAAAACCACTGCGTCGAGCCAATCTTCGGCCCTGTCAAGACTACATGCCGCCTTCGCACACGCTTCTGATAGCTTCGAGCACCCAGCCTCCGGCCAGCGACTCTCGTTGCGTGCACATCGGACAAGCACGCAGGATTCCAAAGTTACCTGCTAGAAAGAGTACTGAAAAGAGCTCAAAGCTCACTATAGTTGCTCAGATATGGTGAGGGCAATGAGCTACGGCTTTCGCATCGATTAAAGATGCGGGCGTTACTTCCTTACCGCTCAGAGATGCCTTTCTAGCCACCAACCCCTCACACCGAATCGTCTGTGAGTCAACCTTGGCATTCCGCTTGAATTGTGTGACTTGTGACAACAAATGTTCTCGAGCTTCTGTAAGCCCCTGCACGCCATATGTGAGCCGAAGATAATGTGATTGTCCTGGGGCTACGACTATGTGGCTAAACAACATGTTTCTCGCGCAAGATCACAATTCCAGGGTGTAGCTATGAATTGCTAGAGCCCATGTAGTATACTCCGGCGCATTAAGACCATCGCTCTAGCCATTCTACAACAATACTTTGTGCTTGACAGGAGCAAGTGCGAACTAGGGGCACGTGTACCTGAAGATATCCGGACCACCTTGAATGATCCCCTTCGTATTACAATTCAAGAGTATGGCTGTGAGCCCGCGGTCGGTCACATAGAGGGCCTTCACAGGCGCTGCGTGCTGACCTTAGAGACTTGTATACGGCCTTCTACATCTCTCTTAGCCTCCATATCTTCATCCCCATCTTCCAATGCACGACGCTACGCAGTAGCTACCTACCCTCGCTCTCACAACTACGCACCCGCTTCAACAAGCAGAGTCCTGTAGCTTCTTTATACCCTCGCACAAATGAGCACGGCGCAAATGGCTAACGAGCAGATCCTCCGCGCTCAACATAATAGCAACCGAGTTGCAAGGGAGGGTATGGCTTACAACCTACACCTCGAATAGCCTTTGACAGAGAGACAGGTAACGAACAGTATCGTTTGCATTCCGTTCCTCTAGGGGCACCCCTAAGCCTTTACACGCCCTCGCAGATACCCACTATGGAACAGGCCGCGACTGTCCAGCCTGTATGCACAAGTACATTCGCACAGCAAATCCCACCATTGACGACAAAGGTGACATCGACCGATTATAATTGGATGTCTCCCGATCATTATTCTAGACCAGTATTACCCAAACCGGTAACTTTTGCTCACCCTCCTCCATATACTCCGTCGATGCAGAGTGTTGCTTGCCAACGCTCTTCTAACTCAAGATTGCGGACATCAACGACTCTACCCGCGTATTCGAGCTTGAGAGAGGTAGTCACGGATCATGGAGTCGATTTCGACCCCCCGGAAAGACCGCGAGGTGTTCGCTCAAGCGCAAGACCTTACATTCTCTCCACAAAAATGTCGGCCCGCAACCTCGAAAGCCTGGGATAGTATTTCTGTCCAGCCGTCACCAAGTCGTTGGCGACAAGCTCGCGACTATCGACGCAAAGTGTACGAACCACCACACCTTGACCCTAGCACAGATGGCAGCATTACGTATGTGGAAGGGAACGCAGAATTTTGGGTCGATCGGCTCGTATCTTCTATTGTAAACACTAAAGACGTCAAAGACACTGCAACCTCACACCACCGCCGCCTCTTCTCTTCTGAAAGCGTTGACCCCCCTTCTCATCGAAGCCTGCAGCCGCGAGGTCTTTACTGCACTTATCGACCGTTGTAAGAACGGGTTCCGCGGACCGCCAGCTTTCAACAAAGCACTACAAGCGATCCACCAGCTCGAGCCCGATCGAACAGCAACGTGCGAGGAGCGCATGCACAATGTGATTAAAGTATTATCATGGAACAAACGCGCTTGTAAAGATGTGCTGTATGAGGACTGGAAAATTAGGTTACTTGTGAATCATCCGCTGTCATACGATAAGGAGAAAGATTCGCAGAAGGGATCGAATGATCAGAGAAGAAGACGGCAGCTTGCTGAGCGAGAGAAGCTGGAGAGGACGGAAGCAGAGCTCAGAGCGTATAGGGAGGCTCATGGAAAAGGTATTACGACCGGCAGGAGTGTTATGCGGTAGAACGGTGTTGCGCCGGAAGAGAAAATTCCACCCGAGTGGCGTCTCCGCAGGACTGACGGCAGCCTTTCTGATAGACTTGCCCTATTGGGTAAACGTCCGGTTCTACGAAAACACTGGAGGGAGCATTGCGAAGCGGCAGCGCGTATGAACTCTGTTCGTTTGCTTAAACCTTCTGTTAATCTTCATGTACTTTAGCGGATGGAGCTATGTGCACGGGAACTTAGATTATGACTAGATCCGTACTCTGTTGGAATAATCTGCGAACGAGATAATTTCAATAACCCCTTCTGCCCCAGTAAAGGCCTGTACGCTCTGGCTCGACATGGCTATACTTTCTCTTACTTCATATTGGTAGCCTTCGCTGTGCCCTCGCTGTCGTTTACAAATTGCTGGTCACCGCTGATCTGGTTGGCCTTTGCTCGCTAGTGTTGTTTGACTTATTGCTTGTATCTGCGTCGTGTTGTTGTCTCTTCAATCAAGCTGGCATCTTATCATGACCAATGTGTGAGACGGTGAGGACGACTTACTTGGATTGCGTTGATCGCCCTGTGCTTGCTTGTGCCATTGCTGGCTCGTGTCACTTTGGTCTGGCGACGAAAGTCGCCCAGTCTCCATGTTATCCCGCTGTGAGCTACTCGGATTGAGGTCGAGTATATCTAGATTACGAAGATGAGTTATAGCTTCAACCCCTTCATGGGAGTTCTATATGGGTGCAGATCACGATACTAGAGGACTGGACACAATGCTGACGACTGTGCAGCATTCGACCCTTCTACATCGTAGGTACATTGGCGACCGACTATATCCTTGTTGCGGGGAACGACGTATTGAAGGTATCAAGTACAGAAATACTGGTGGCTGCTCTTCTTTTAGGTGTCTCCGTGGTCTTTCAGTAAGAGATCAGGAACTCGTTGTCACGTGTACCTAGCAGAACACTGTGGTCGAAGAAAGCCTTGTGAACAGATCAATGATAGATATGAAGAGGTGGCTAGTCCAGACAGAAAGCTAGTGCATGCACTTGTCTTTTACCTTCTGTTAATTGAAGATAGCCTTGCTGCATCATTCATCCGTACATTGAATTGATTTGGCTGGGAGTATCTTGGGTTAGGCATTGATTGGGGACTTCGCACAATTGAGCCTTCGAGCTGCGTGAAGGCATGAGCAAGCCCTGCGAGTTTTCACTGCGTATCCGTTTCGGCAATAGCTAACGCTATGCCTGCAAGCTCCCATTCATCTACGAAGTACCCTACTTCGGGGTCCGATACCCTAGTGTGGTAAAATTAATGGAAGGTCTCGGTTGCGCTCAGCCACATGCATGTTTCGACTCCGTACTGCATCGGGTCAAAGGCAGACCATGCCTCTCTGCCAATTATGCGAGCGCATTCAAGGTTGCACCACATCTCAATACCGGCTGAACACATATACAGTGTAGTAATTAAGACAAGGGGTATGCAACATGCAGCTCAACGATATAAACCTAACCCCAATTACATGCAGGGGCCGAAATAGATGCACAAGCCACATGGCATTCCGTATGCCACTGGCCGAGGGCTGGGAAAAAGGGCTTGGCTTGACTCACATCGTGATAGTTTCAACTCGTCAAAGGTTAACCTACTGACTTTTTGTACATCTGATGGCCGCGTCCTATAGCGTGCTTCCCAAGCCATAGTCCATCGTGTCAATGTGTCCAGGCAGGTTGAGGATTATATTCCATTCGAACAATATCGAAGAACGATTTTGGGGCCAGTGAATGCGATGCTCACATGGGCTGAAGATATGTTTGTTACATAAGAAGGCAGACTAACAGAGTAAGAGATCAGCGTGGTCAAGGACGTTAACCAGTGGATGAAGAGAGAAGGACTGGAATGTTCATTGCATGGACATCCACATTTGATTTTCCACACTCAATAAAATCCAGTCTTCCATCGTGATAGATCGGTGGTAGAACCACCCATGCGGTAAAATATTTTGCCCAGTCCGTATGATTGCAGAGTGTGCATGTTCAGGACTCTGTCCATCTTTCATGTATCATAATTGCTTCACAGCCCTTGCAGAAGGGTAGGTCCAACGAGTGAATTGTACATGCGTAATCTTCCATGCAATAATATCATCGAAGCTAATGGGGTACGTCCAGCCTCCATCTCAAAAGCGACCGTCAGCATACGAGTCACAGGATATCTCTTCACGAAATCCAGAACATAGGCCGCTTACTTCGCCTCCTTCAACAGTGCCTCGGCTGCAGCATCTTTCTGCCCAACACTGCCACTCCGCCCAGCAGGTGTCAGCTCAGCCGATGTGGACTGCTCGACCTTCTTGGCCTCGGCTGCCTTCTTTAATCGCTCTGTATCCTCAGCCTTAATATCCTTAGTCTTCGCCTCTTCATCGTCGCTGTCGCCGAGGCTGAACGGGTCGTGCTCGTCCGACTCTGGGTGCGGCGCTACTGAGGTCAGAGGCTGCCACTTCTTGCCTCCTGACTTGTTACCCGTAACGCCGGTCTGTTGGCCGTTCGGTGAAGGGTTACGATATAGGGCATCGACTTCGTCAACGGGTCCGCTCTGAGGCGGTGAGACGGGCGTAGGCTTGAAGAGGTCGGGGTTGGCGAGTGGGCGATTTGACCGCTGGTGGGCTTGACCTGTTGGTAGAAGTCAGCATAAATTTCATGCGACTAGATGTAGCATTGCACGTACCTTCGTCGTCCCTTAGCTCAAGAGCTTCGAAGTCGTCCCCTAACATGCGATTGTCGTTGTCGTAGCGGTTGTGATCGGCAGATCGGCGCGCTTCAGCAGACCTGCGAATACCGCGGAGTTGATCCGACTGCGAGGGACCGAAATTCTGTCGTTGGTCATGACGATACACCTCGTTGCCATACTCGTCGTATTTGTCGGGCTCGCCGTCCAACTTCTTCTTGAAATTGTTGAACCATCCAGTGAGCGTTTTCTTCGTCTCGTCGAAACCCTGTTCCAGATTACGGCGGATCTCGTCAACATCTTCTGTGCATGCATGAGCAAATAACAACCCTAGTTTTGATCGATGAAAAGCTATTACCCTTGTTGAAGAAGCTCTGGTCATCCTCTTCATGAGCCTCCCTCTGCTGTTGCTGACGGGGTTGTCGAGCATCGCCCCTGGAACGGGAATCATATGCCTGACTCTGGTAATGCTCAGCGAGTTGCCGAGCGTATATTTCGTCTTGCTCAACCTGGCTTCGTGGTTGTTGTGTCGGCCGCGGAGGCTTAGGCGGAGAGGAGCTTCCTCGTCTTTGAAGTTGGGATCCGACATGCCTGATACTGTTAGCTACAGCCTATACTTGCGCACCCCTCGCAGTTTTGTACATACTGAGCAATGAAGTGAAGGCCTTCTCAACGTTCCAGTCGCTGGCAATGAGAATTGCTTTCACAACCTTGGGATCGGTGCCAGGAAATGCTTCGATGAGCGTGTTTGTAGCCTGCTGCTGCGGGCTCATTGGGCGCGGCGGCTTCGCAGGAGGGATCTCGGTCGCATCGTCTGAAAAGCGGACGCCGGGCTTGGGCGACTTAGAGGGAGAGGGGGTGGGGACGTGATTTGCTCGCCGGAAGCTGTAGGAGCCTCATCATCATCGTCGAAGTCCAGCTCGCGAGCAGTGGTGGGCGATTCGTGGCCGGAGCCTGAGCCCAACTTGGTGGGCTAGGGAACATCGTTAGCACATGACCACAGCTTGAGTGTTGAGTGTCGCGGGGTATACGGTCATGCTTACCTTCTCGTCGACTGCTTTTTCGGACATCTTCAGTGCAAGAGCACGACACAGGTGATACTATGGAGTGATCAAGTAGTAGAGAAGGGGAGTGTTCAACGGGTTATCACAGCGTAGAGGCGGCAGCGTTGCGCATGAGCTGTGGCTTGGTGTCGCGCCTTATGACGACGCTTCGCCAAGAACGGTAAGGGTGGCGGCGAAGCACGTGCCTGCCTCTTCACATGGGCTCCTCCATGGCATCTGCCTGGGTTGTTACCGCCACTGACACCATCGCTTCGGAGCAGCTGCTGTGTGCCATCTATAGGTAACTTCTCTTGGTTCTCTGGAAACGTGCTACTTTTGCAGCTTCATTTAGTCTCGTCGCCAAGGATCACATCAGATGCAAGTGAACATTCGCAGCGGGCAGCTTCCTCCGTCCACCTGATTAAGAACTTCGTCGTCCATAACGCCATGCTCATAAGCTTCACCTGTGAAAGTGTGTTCGTGTTGGCTGCTAGTAAACGCCGCAGAACGTACAGAAACAATCCTCCGGCCAACATGACATACTCATCGCCACGCTGGATTCCAACAGGCGCATTTGTAACATTGCAAGATTGATCCAAATACAGCATCTACAGACACGAGCTTTTTGTTTCTGTCCTCGTTGCCGTTGTACAAGTCGTTATCATCGTAATCGCCCTTCCGCTCAACGCTTCGTTTCTGAGTGTATATCGGCGAAGCACAAGCGCTAGGCCTTAGTCGGTTCTTGTACCTATCCTGCTTTTAGAGCCATTTAATTGAGGCTATGAAGCAGGAATCCATATGACTAAGCGAGTGTTATCCTATATTTGCACACTGCTGGAAAGGTGAGATATGGACACAATCTGTGGAAATGATAGCCGCGCGTGATGAGACCTGCGTGTATTGGCTCTACTACCATAGGTAGCTAAAACAAAACACATACTGCTATGAAGACCCACGATATTTATAGAGTACCCTTGGGCGCTTACCTAGGGAAGCCTTGAAATGCATCCAGGCTGTTGAGCCTCCATAATATCCACAAGCTCACTCCATATCTGCTTCTGCAACTGTTTGCCTGCCGAGTCGGACATCCACTTTGGAACCCAATACCTGCAATGCCGTTAGCATGTAATACGAAGCACACTTTACTCTATTGTGGCTTACTCCTTGATCTTGCACCCAGATAACATCTTTCCGTGACTGTCTCTCTCGGCGACAACACCATGCAAGATGGTGCGACTCCCCTGCTCCGCCGTCCGAGCAAAAGCAGCCCGCAGTACGCCGACCATTGCTCGCGTCTTTGTGGATGTATCGTGGCCAAGGCCCGTCGAGCATAGCCCTGGTGCGATTACGTTGATAGTAACGCCAGTGCGTTCCACGGGACATAGTGCAGCGAGTTCACGTATAGCGTAGTGTTGGACCAGCTTGGTGAGAGCATATCTACGCAGACGTTAGCTGTGACTTCTGGAACGGAATTACCATACCTCTGATCCAGATTCGCGCCTTTTGGGTTGTTCAATGCTGCAAAGACATCGACATTTCCACATTTTGCCAGATCCTCTTTGGCCATGAAGCCAAGTGCGCTCCCAACGAACACGAGCTTGGGTTCACCCCCAACTTTCTTCGCATTCTCTACGAGCTTCGGCATTATCAAGGCACTAAGTAGCATCGTGCTGATCACGTTGACTTGCATGGACAATTCCATGCCTTCTGCTGTCTCCCACCTGTCCATTTGTATGCCCGCATTCGAGATGAAGGCATCTATCCTTTCGACCTGGGAGGACATCCTGTTTGCGAAGGCCTTGATCGAGTCATATGATGCAAGATCGAGGTGCCATACCTCAATTGTACCTTTTCGTCCAGTCGAGCGCTCGATGTCGGCTTTGGCAGCCTCGCCTGCCTTCATGTTTCGAACGGTGAGAATGACGCGAGCCGCAGAGCTACGCACGAGGTGTCTGGCTGTTTCCAGACCAAGACCGTGGTTTCCCCCGGTGATGATATACGTCTTGTCGGAGCAGATGTCTGCGTTGACGAGGACAGGAAGTTTCGCAAAGACCCCTTCGGCGAGGATCTGTGGTAGCGACATGCTGATTTGTGGAGACGTAGATCTGGGAGAGAAGGATCCAGAGATGAAGATGATGAAGTTGAAGTTATATGCTCAATGAATGGGTTCACACGAAAGTAAGTAGTCGGCCCTTGTGTGTGTTGGCTGTGAATCTTGCGATTTCTGGGCCATCGTCACCTTTTATGCGGCTTGTGGGAGGTCCAATCTCTTCGCCCTCCTATTATCTCCGACCGGGAAACATATTTCTAACGGACGAGCTGGAGCATTTACTCCGTGTTTGCCCTTGAATTCGACGTCCGAGTCTTCTATTTCAGTACCCGTCTGCCATTGGTTGTGTGAGGGTCGCGGCCAATCAGATATTGCCACCCTATCTGGGCTTAGCGCAGCCTGGAAATCGCCCCCACTAATTCACGCTGCCACGGAGGCTTCCGCATACGATGGTAAGGCCCAGTCGCTGCTCCTTCAAGCCCCTTTAGGTCTCTCTTCAAGGGCTCTCTCCCAGATCTTCATGGCTACAGCATCGTGTAACGTATGTATCCAACAGTATCCGCTAAGAATCTGTCGAATTTGCAGCCAGTTCTGGATCTGAACCTGTTGACTGATTTGCAAAAGTACAGGCGTGATCCAACCATCCTGGTCGCTATGTAAAATTGAAACTCGGCCAACGAAGACCGTCCACAGTAGAAGCTCCATGTTCTTGTCGGTCTTGGCAACACAGCGCAGAATAGCTCTTTTAAGTTGTTTTGCTAAGAGCTCGTAGCGGAGGTCGTCGGTTGTGTAATTTGGCAGCGAAGTCGTCATAATCGCGAGAAGGCTCAGCTGCAGTAGCTCATCCAGTGGTTGGCAGTTTCTTGTCCCTTGTAAAGGCGCGAAATCAATCAATCGATGGATGAGTTGAAAAGCCTGTTCAGAGAAGTCAAGCGGATCCAGTCTACTCATCTCGTTGATCGCATTAAGCATGTTGATGAAAACTGTAACGTCGGACAGCATACAGACCAGTTCTACGTCTACGCCGTATTCATACAGCTTCGTGTAAGTCGAGCAAATGACTTTCGGGCTCATCGTCTTGGCAGGCACAGGTGCTTCGGTACCACCAAATCGCATGGCCAAGCCGCTTTGGAGTGCAAACTCTAGATCAATTCTACGAAGCGGTTAAAGGGAGATTTCGAAGCGTAGCGGGTTCTGACCTCCACGGCTTTTGAGCCAATGCACGGTTATGCTTCATAAGTTTCGCCAGGCCACCTCGCAATCGTATCATGTGGCAAAGTCCATCAAAATGCACCAAGCCAACACCTACGTTCCCATGTACGAGTTGATAAATGGCAAGAATGGTGACGCCTGCTATCGCCTTATCTGATATAGCTTCGGGACCTGTTAGTCTTCGTTGAGTCAATTTGTAGGCTTTCGATAGGTGCTCCAACGCGTCTGGCGAAGCTTTGGCCTGCCTCTCCAAGGAATCACGAAGTGATGCTTTTATTGCGAGCACACCATGCATATCTAACGAGGTCAGCTGTCAGGATCGTCAACGGGACGGTGCATACGTACATCCTTCGTCGTAAAAAACATATTGGAGCCAAACATAGTCCATGAAGTCGAGCCTCGAGCAGAATTCTGGTGGATATAGCCTCCTGTCAAGTAGTGAAAGCCCTATGGCAATATGGTTAGTGGTCTGCGCGGGAGACAGCCTGCATACTACTGTCTTACATTGGCGCAGAAGCTCTATTGATTTGGCACTTTGACGAGGAATATCGGCGAAAGCCAAATCGCTATAAATTAAGCGATCGTATATTACCGGTCGATCAGAACCTTGCACTTGATCCTTTGCTGCGATCAAATCGTATTGCGAGATCTTCTTTGTGGCAGCATCGTGCTTCTGCCGGCGAGATGGACGGGATCGCCCTGCGTTCTTACCCATCATAACATGAGAGCGGATGAGGCGCCTCTCCTTCGCACCTATGTCACTAGTAATGAATTGAAAAGTCATAATGTGTTCGGCATGGTGCACTCAGAATGATGACACGTTCAGACGAAAAGCACCAGTGCTCCTCGCCGATTATAACGCTAATCCTATACTGGTTAGATAATAATCTTCCCTCACGCACGTTCTCAGATCACCTTCAAGCAGGACTGTCTCATCCGTGTATTCTGTGCGTTGCCTCATCTTTTATGTAGACTAACGGGAACATGTATATCGTAATCCAACGACTCACCGCTCCTTCCTCCAGGATATAGTCCCAAAGATAACTTCCCAACTGCCTCCCCGCACCATTCCGGGGGCTCCACCATCTCATCTCCAATCTCATTCCACACCCTGAATTTCTCAATCTCGTGGTCCGCCATAATTCCCTTGTACTTGCCCGAAATCACATCCTTGGGCATTTTTGTACGCGTCAGCTTCGGATACACCCCTTGCACTGCAAGGAGAGGCTCTTCGTGCGCAAGCATCTCAACGAAGCGGGTGAGTGCTGCTTTGGTGGTACAATATGGCATCCAACCTTGGTAGGAGATCTCTTTGTCGCAACCAGAAGAGAGGATAATGGCCTTTCCATAGGCGGCGTTTGTGTAATTTGTGGTGCGCGAGTAGCGGAGGTGGGGAAGGCAGAGCTGACTCTGCATCTTGTGAGTTATCTCTTTGAGCAGGCCGACATGTTGCATCTCTTACCATTGCCATGCATCCAAAGACGTTAACGTCGAAAGTCCTCTTCACCTCCTCCATGTTAAGCTTCTCGATTCGCTCAATCGGAGTGATAACACCCGCTGTGAAGACCAGCGTGTCAATACCACCCATTTTCTCCAAACATTCTTTGACGACCGATTTCCGGTCATTCTCAGAGGTTACGTCTCCCTGAGAAACGATCGCCACCTGGCCATTGGTCTTGTCAGGTAGTTTCCGTACTTCCTCTTCCAAGTGGAATCCGAAAACGGCGATGCGTGCTTGAGATGATAATCTCAGGATGGCTTTAGTCACCTCCCATCCGATTCCTTGGCCGCCGCCGACGATGAGAATTCTCTGTGCCTCACTCATCGTTGAAGATCCTAAGAGCTTCTTAATAGAGCTTGTTGTCAGGTGTTGTTGTTGAGGAGGAGCTGTTATGATGGAGAATGCCCCGCCATGTACACGAGTCAGGTCTGTCGCAGAGAATCTAATTGGCTCTCAATTGATATGATCAAGGTATGTGTGTTTTGCCACGACATTGCAAAATGCAATTAGATCTCTAGCTTCTAGCAGATATATTGTCTCGAGGGAGCATAACGCTGCATCACAGAGAAAGCGTGACGAGGTACCTATCCACCTATCTTCGCTGATCTCCGATGGAGCCCCGCTGAGGGGTAGCTCTAAATAGGTAGACCAACACCAATCTTCCGAACATTCGGCCTCTTAAGAGATAGGAAAAGTTCAGAGAGACAACCGCCGCGGAAATTGACTATCTCATGATCTACGTACACTCTTACATGTCGCTACTTCCCAGTCCCACTTATCCTCCCTGATCGGAATTCTTCTGCCATTTGTGCTGCTGTACACCACTCCACGCCTTCATGCGTGTTCACCCACTTGATAAACCGTTCATGCAACATCAGGATGTGTGGCCGACCTGACACCTGCGGATGGATGCTAACAGGGAAGATGAACGTGTCGTAGTGCTCATAGCACCAAGTGAACATGTCTTTCCATGTGCGCTCCACAGAGTAAGGGTCAACGTAGCCGTGCTATCACCGGAGCCTGTCAGTTGATGCACAACCCAGCATCTCAATCGAGATACGCACAGCGTTCGGCCTCGCACCATCCCACTGAAACGGTGGCCAGTCATCCAACGTCCAATTCGCCGGAATCTCTACGATATCGCTTTCCTCCGCATGCTTCATCGGTACCATCCACTCATCCGGGTGCTTGGAGTAATCCGTAGTCACCATTTCCTCCTTCCCGGTGCTGACATAGTACGGTTGAAAGTCATCATGCATGAATGAATGGTCGTACTTGAGCCCAAGCTTGCCCATCAGCTCAATTTGGTCAGGGTGGTTCTTCCAGGAAGGCGACGTGAAACCCAGAGGCGGCTTGCCGCAAAAATCTGTTGCGATCATGATGGTCTTTATGAAGATGGCCTCCAATTGCTCACGTGTAAGGTCGGAGCAAAATTCGTGCGTGTAACCGTGGAGCGCACTATCATCGTGTCAGTCTTCATCTACGGGTTGTATTTTGAGGAACAGGTTCACATCTCGTGTCCAGCATCTCGAATCTTTGCAATATCATCCGGAAAGGTTTCGATTGTGTGACCTGGTGTGTACCACGTCGCTTTGATGTTGTATTTCTCATAGAGCTCCAGGAGCCGCTCTACGCCTCGAGTCGCCCCAAAGACGCCTGCATGCGATCAGATCATCAGATCAATCGTAGACAGACGATGGCCGTACCGCGCGATACATTGGTAAGATTTGGTGGACCTCCTTTCGTAGTGTTGATATGGTTGGCCACGGCATCAACATCAACACCATAGCCTACAAGTACTCGTTTCTTGCCCATGATGCGAGAAGTTGGAAGAGGTGTGAGACTCACTGTCAAGGTCAGATAACAGTTGACCTGCCGTGTAAGGCAACGGCTCAGAGTAGCCGTCATCAGTGAGGGGTATCCCGGCACGAGCGAGCTGTAGTGGGGCTGCGGACCCTTTCGGACGCGGAGAACGGCGAGCGATAGGAGGCTGATCGTAGTTTGGGCACACTATAGCAGAGATTTGTAACAGATTTCGTTTATATGTCAAATTCAAATTCTTTTTGTTGAATGGGTTGCGCTCGACTAGAGTCTCGCATGCTCGTTTTGACACTCATTCTTCAGTAATCCTTCCTCAATCGCCTTAATCTGCAGCGCTAGAAGCCTGGAATAGTATCTGGTAATCGCGAGATTGCCTCCCATGAACCTATTTAAAGTATTAGTATGCGCTGCTGTACATGTATGACAGTGTGAATGGAGGTTTACCAAAAGCCTGGGTGTCCCGACTGTTGCCACATCGTCCTGAACTCGCCCTCGGCGTTCAAGCCCCAAACGTCTCCTACACGGTCGGCGACCTCGTCTCCAAAGATAGTCCTTGCTTCAGTCCGCATGTTTTGGTAGCCAGTCGCGAAGATGATCTCATCAGCCTCCAACTTTGAGCCGTCTGCAAACTCTATGCCGTCTGGCAAAACTTGCGCCAGTTCTTGGCCCTGCTTGACCTTGATCTTGCCGTCGATGATAAGTTTTGAAGCTCCAACGTCGATATAGTATCCACCTCCGCGCTGGTAATACTTAATTAAGAGTCCGGACTCCATGTCGCCCATATCGATGCCGAAGCCCGCGGCGCGCAGTCCACCTAGAAGTTCCTTGTCATTCTCGTTCTGCAGCTTCGTTACCTTTACCTGCAGTGTTTTCATGATTTCGCTTGGCATGGACCATAGAGCTAGATCTGCATCTTCAGTTGGCGGACCATCTTCGTCATACAGACCCTTCAGCCCGATGTCTGTGATAGATTCGGATGAGATCACGCAAGTAGTGCTGCGCTGGACGATGGTGACATCGTACCCCTTTTCGTAGAAATCCTGCGCAATGTCGTGACCAGAATTGCAGCAGCCGACTACGACAGCCTTTCGGCCCTGCGCGTTCGGGCGGGCGCCGGAAAATTCGGACGAGTGGCATAGACGTGAACCCTTGAAGGTTTCCATGCCCTTCAGGTTCGGGAAGTTCTTTTTTCCTGAGTGACCCGTCGCTTGAATGATGTGATTGGGGTGAAAAGTCCGCGTTTCTGTTGAGCCATCGGGAAGCTTGCGCTCTACGGTCACTGTCCACTGTTTCTTGCTTTCATCCCATGATGACGATGTGAGCTTAGTGGATGTCCAGACGTTGAGCTCCAGGTGCTTCACGTACGACTCGAACCAGTCGGCGAGTTTGTCCTTGGGAGTAAAAACCGGCCAATGAGGTGGGAAAGGGATGTAAGGCAAGTGGTCGTACCAAACAGGGTCATGAAGTACGAGTTGATGATACCGCTTCCTCCAATTATCCCCCACCCGTTCGTTCATGTCCACCATCAGCGACGGAATATTCAACATCTTCAATCTAGCCGCAGCAGCAAGGCCACCTTGACCGGCCCCAATGATCAAGACCTTGGGTTCAATGCCTTCCAGATTGCTTTCAGCCTCCCGCCTTTCGCGCCAGTTCTTGCGAGCTGGATCTCCCCCATGTTGGACGCCCTTTGCTCTCCTCTTCCCTGTAGGCTCCTCATTCCCTTTCAGCTCTGTCAGAACAGTGCAGATGGTAAAGACCTTCCATGTTCCATTCTCTTCGGCCAAGTTTAACACGCCTCGGCCACGTCCAATCTGCGTCTCGAAATCGAAGTATGTCACAATGCCATTGACCTCTCCAACGCCATCTATCGGTCCAAACCTCGGCTGTCTGTGGCGTTCGCTAGTGTCGATACTGATGTTCGTGAGGGGTGTCCTGCTCGAAGCCGCGAAACTAGAGATTCTATCGCTTCCTTTCAGAGTCCTAAGCTCCCATGTGAGAGCGAGGTGGTCTCGCCAGTAGCTTTTGTCGTCCAAAAATAGCTTTGCGATTGCAGCGGAGTTCCCCCCTGCAATGGCATTTGCCAGACTCGAGATGACATCCTGCGCTACCTTTGCTGCATCGACGTCTGACGATGTTGAGGTTGCGGGGTAAGAGCCCAATGCGACGTTGACGGAGCCCGGCTCGACGCGCTGGGCCGATGGTCGGCTTCCCTCATGAGCACCCATGGTTGGTTGCGTGCCTAAGCTACTGAGGATGTGGCTTGAGTGCTATGGTTGGAGCACTGTCGAGGTTGGGGAAAACGCTGGGTTGTGTTCGTAGCAACGAGTGGAGGCGATGTGAGATGGATCTGTATCCTTCCATGATGTTATAGGCAGGCTCGCTACGCTGAGCCTCGTGTAACTTCCCCCGAGTCATGCGTTCCTTCCCAGAATGGCCCTGTTAGCTTTCGGGTAACCTTTCAAGTGCGGGGGCTGACGAGAATACCCCAAGCCACTAAAACCCCGCTGCATCACCCCAAACCAATGTCGTTCTCCACATATACCCCGCGAGTTACGCAAGACCTTCGGCGTGATGGACCGGAGACAGCGTTCAGGTCCCCGCGGGTGTGCCCAGTCGACTCCGGATCTTGAGTCCCTTAACAAATGGCGTGGTGACGCTCGCAAACCTCATAGCTTTCCTTTCATCCTTTCCCAAACCCTCTACGGATACGCCCCAACATGGCCACGTTCCCCACGTTCCCGGACCTCGATGGCAAAGTGGGCCTCGTCATGGGAATCGGCCAGACTCGCGTCGAAGGCTCCTCCCTCTGGGGCAATGGGGCTGCCATGGCGCGTGCCCTCTCCCAGAACGGCGTGAAGCTCTTCGGCTGCGATCTCAGCCTCGAAGCCGCCCAATTCACTGCTTCGCGCCTCCGAGCAGCAGGCGGCACGTGCCATGTCATGGCCGCCGACGTTACATGTTCCGCCCATGTCCGCAGCGTCGTTGGAGCCGCTATGCAGAAATTTGGTCGCATAGACATCTTGGTCAACAACGTGGGCATGACTCGGCCTGGAGATCCCGCATCTCTCTCTGAAGAGCTATGGGAGTCGCAACTGGCGTTGAACTTGACCAGTGTCTACCTCTCATGCCACCACGTCCTGCCTATAATGGAAAAGCAAGGCTCTGGCGTTATCGTGAGCAACGCGAGCGTGGCTGGGGTTGCCTATCTCGGTAAGCCGCAAGTAGCGTACTCAACCGCGAAGGCCGCGCTCCTGCACTTTACGCGTGTGACTGCCGTCATTTACGCCCCAAAGAAGGTCCGATTGAACTGCGTTGTACCCGGCATGATACTCACGCCCATGATTGAAAACCTTGGAAAGAGTGGAAAAGAGGAAGATAGAGAAGTGTACAGGAAGATCACACAGCACAACGTTCCTATCGGACGAATGGGTGAGCCTGAGGATGTCGCAAACGCTGCGCTCTGGTTGGCAAGCGACGCCAGCAAGTACGTTACGGGGCAAAGCTTAATCGTCGATGGAGGCTTGACAAGCCAAACGGGAACTGGGCAATGACAAGCGATTCTTCCGTACACCCCGTTCGAAACTCAGTGGGGCTGACTACAAGCGCATGACCTTCCCGGTAAAGGAATATCCCGTATTCTTGCCGCCTGGATATCTAATACGAGGATTGGCCATTTAACGTCATCATTATTAAGAGCATGTTAGAGACTTGAGGAAAAGCCCGTCACCCGAAGATGGTATAGAACACATACCATTCCACTGCCCGAAGAAAAAATCGATACTCCCAGGTTGTAGTATTGAACACGGCGTGTATAGGAGCCGTTTGACACCTAGCATAATCTGCTTGCCCTCCTCTGCCAGTCAAGTTCATACGTCTGAAAGGCATCGAAAAGCAGGTAGTCGCGACCGAGCATAGAATTTGCAATGCGATGGTGGCCACATTGAACAGGAACGATGGTAGTGCAGGACACCGGTGTAGAAAAGAGAAAAGTATAGGGCGGGGGCGCAGCAGACGGTGGCACCAATGGTACATACGATAAAGGAGAATTCTTCTAGAAAGCAGTGGTGATATATGCATGATGATTGAGTATTATATCCAGTCGAAAGGACCGGTTGTGACTGGATAAGAACAGGGTATAACGCGCGACTGACCAAAACTTATTACGCCTCCGGGTCATCGTTGATCTTCACCACCATTGAGCCGATCCCAGGCAAGGTGTTTCTCTCCCGATGAGCTTCGGGTATTTGCTCCAGAGTCCACACTTTCTTGATGGGCACCTGGATCTTGCCTGAAATCAACAGTTCAAAGCACTTTTGCAGCTCCGGCCCGTACGTTTTCTGATCCCGGTCGATGTAGTAGAAACTTGTCGACTTGGGGCAGAATGGGACCGCACCCCTTGCTAGGAGCTTTGCAACGGAAGGAATCTGGCTCCTATTACTGGACTCGCCGTTAAGAGTATTTTGGTTTCCACCGTATCCAATAAGTCTTCCACCCTTGGGGTTGATGATCTGCCAGCTCTCGTCCCATGACTCATAACTGCAACTGCGTTAGCAGATAAGAACACACTTGAACAGGGTCAATCTTCCTTACCCGAGCGCATCAAAGGCTGCTTCCACCCCTCCCCTATCTTTCATGTTTTGGATCCAATCTTTATTCTTGTAGCTGAATGGAGTGACGCCATCCTTGCGCAGATCCTCATGCTTCGACGGCGACGCCGTTCCGTAGACCTCGGCGCCCTCCAGCTTGCAGAGCGTGAGAAGTGCATAGCCCACCGAGCCGCTCAGCCCGTGAATGAAGACTTTCTGGCCTTTGCTGACTTGCGCGGTCCGGTAGACCATACCGTAGGCTGTGGCCCAATCGAGGACCAAAGAGACTGCTTGTTTGAGATCGATACCCTTGGGAACCGGGACGAGGTACTTCTCGGGGCAGTTGCAGAGCTCGGCATCGGCGTCGTACTTGGTGAGACAGGCAACCATATCGCCAATCTGGAATTTGGAGCTTCCAGGACCGTTTTTATGGACTCGCCCGATGATGGTGTATCCGGGCGTTAGCGGAGCGCTCTTTTGCTGAGGGTAGGTGCCTTCTCGCATCAGGAAGTCGGCGCCTCCCATTCCCGCGTATATCGTCTTGACCTGGACCTGGTTGGCTGCTGGAGGCTCGATTTGAGCATCGACGATCTCGATATGCGTTGCATCACCGAAAGATGGGATGAGAGCTTTGCGGATAGTGATTGCCATGTCGTAATAAATCTTGCTCGAAGACAGAAGTTGCTCAGGTAACTGCAGAATGTATATTGGTGGGAACAGACGTTGGGATGGTAGTTGCTGGTGAGTTTGGTGAGAAGTTGGGATGGAATGCTATTGCTTTTATACACATCTCTACAATGACTTCCATACGCCGCAGTTGTTTACGCCCCCACTCCACAGCTCTGGTAGCTCTGGTCGCAAAGACATTCCCCACTACGACTTCATGCTATTACGGGTTAGCCAACAGTCGATCTGGAGCCAGCGGAACGACAATGACGGATTGGCGCGACTGCGCACGCCTCAGCACGAATGTCAAACTCTCCGGCGGCGACATGACGAGTAAACCTGATGGGATGGACGGTGGAAGCCACGGGCGAAGGATCTTGCCGAGTCGGAGGAATTGGGTGGACTGCCGCGACGCGCATCTCTATTTGGTATAGCGCTCGCACGTAATGTGAGCGCTTCAAACGCGTTACGGCCGTACCGACCCAGAGCACACACTGGATATAGATGCGTCTACAAGCTCTCGGGTGTGTTCACAGCTATGCTTATCGGACAGGAATCCATTGCTTACGGCCGGTCCGACACGGCGGCGCGAGGGTGCGTCAGGCGCTTCAACTCTCTTCATTCGCGAAATCGGCACGATGTTCGTTCCCAGTCGCCCATTGAAAGTTGCTGAACAAAGGACCAATTCCAACCGCTATCCATGTCGCGTACCTGCTTTTACTCTGCATGGGAATATAAATATCTACCTTTGGGTTTGACTACTACATCGCCTGTCTTCGTTGTCTCAACGCGAGGCGGAAGACAGGCCAGATACCATCTGCTGACCCTCCAAAATGATGCAACGATACTTACCAGCGTCGCTCGACTCAGATACTGTGGACACTGTCGTACAGGGCCACGCTCGGCCAACTTCATCGGTCCAATTCATGATGATAGCTGTTCATAGAAAACGAGCATTGAGGGGTTGCTGCTGCTGGAATCTTGGCTTCGTCCGCGCCTGACCTACCTGGGACAGGAGTGCGCTGACCTATCGCAACTCAGCTTCCGCACAGCCACCCCTCTTGTTCCCGCCTCGTCTCTCCGCCCTGTCAGCACCTTCTTTGGCTACCGTGGGACGGCCTCATCGCTTCACCTATCAAAACTTGCCGGGAACGCAAGGCGTGGTCCGCACGAAGCCATCGAAGCTTTTAGCCCCACTATGGCGGTGCTTGTTTCGCTTTCCTCCGTAAGTGGGCTAGATACGCGTATCGAACTCAGTTCATGGTGATGCACCGCGAAGCGGGTATAATTAGGGCACTCCCCAGGTGTTGGAATTGGCTCAGCAGATACCCAGTCTCTTACAGATATTCACTTTTGTTTCCTTTGAGACAATCACTCGAGTTCACGACATCTTTTCCTTACAGCGAACCCCCTGCCCATGTCTAAGCTCATCGGAAAGGCCGTCCAAGGCATATCCGCAGGCATAGGCCTCGCTGGTGAGAAGTACTACGATCGTAAAGAGCGCAAGGCAGCACTGGCGCAACAAGGGGAACCAAGCCGCAGCACAGAAAACCACGACCAAGGGGGAGTCCAAGACATAGACGACGAGACAAACGAGAAGTCTATCACAGACGAGGAGACGGCCGACGATGAACGAATCTGGGCGCTAGACGAAGCCGCTGGTCCTCCTCCGGCTTACGAGGCTATCAATTCGAGCCCCGACCAGGTCATCGCAGAGCTCGCACACACCGTCGCCGAAGCGAACAACCACCAAGTACAGATACATAGTGGAGAAGTATCGCGACTCCCTAACCCTGTCATTATTCCACAGAGGCGACCAGGGTCAAAAGCGCGAGGGTGGACGCGTGCATATGCTCCGGATCTTGAGCCACTTGGTATTGACCAAGATACCTTCATGAAGTTTCTGGAAAGCTGGGATAAGTCCGCACAAGGGTCGCCTTGGTTCAAGGCAGTGGCTTTGACAGCTGGCATAGTCGGTATGGCCATGCCAGGTCCAATAGTTATGGGTGTCACGACTGCGGTGTCGATTGCTGCTCAGTACGTGCCAAAAGTATGCTCGGCCATTGCGAATATTGAACTAACAGAGACATAGGGCTGGCTACGAACTTCAAGGTAGAGCTAAAGCGAACAATTTCCTCGACCAGATGAATAAAGATGTCTTCATGCCCGCAGGGCTCTACGCGATGGTCATAATCTGTAAACAAGATGCCAGCGTCACCGGCGGCATCCAACTTAGCATGGAGACAGTGAACCTTGAGAACGCGAAAAATGTTTCGAAATGGGGAATGCCAGGTGATGGCCAAAAACCCACATCAAAATCCGCCAAGTTCACGCATCCCATCCGCCTAGCATCCGGCAAAGCGAACGTCGACGAGATGCCGCTGGAGATCGCACCTCTTATCTATCCCGGCCTTGACGACATGATCCAACGACCGGAGCTCAAGCGCGACGAGAGTTTCAAGGAAAGGATGATGCGGAACAAGGGCTTCGTTGCTGACTATTTCGATCGGAGGGCACAGGCAGATTTCTCGGGCAACAATCCGGATGCCGCGCTTACAAAAGCTCATGGAGATGCACCAGAATTCAAGACCCGCTTTGCAGATCCGAACAACGCCTGCAACAACGGACACTTGGTTTCACTCGTGACAGGTGGGAAGGTCGTCGTGCAAGGCCGTGGGCTGCTTGGCATCCGTGTTGGAGGTGGTGGTAGTAGTGGGCGTCAGCGCGGCGGACTCCTCAGCAGTGCACTTTCAGCAGCTAGAGGTCCTCAAGAAAGTGGCATTGTCGGTGGTAGAAGTAGAAGCGAAGACAGCCGCGGTGGTCTCCTCGGCGCAGGAGAAAGCTTAGTCGCTAACGGACAACACGGAAGTTCCCCAGGCTACGACTATGACGGTGCCTACGAATATAGTAGAAGAGGCCCCAGGCTTCAAGACCGTCTCGGACAGCGTAGACAAGCCCGTGGACCTCAATACCGGGACGTTGGCGAAGACGGTAAGCTGCTGCCCAAAGTGAAACAACCGGCGCAGCGGCCTAGAGGGCCGATAGGATATGCTATCAAGGGTGTGAAGAAGGCTCTCAAGGCGGATGTATTGTACCTGACAATCGTCAACTTGCCGACGGAGGAGGAGATGGAGATGGCGAGAGAAGCACTGGGCATGGATAAGAAGAGTTGGCAAGAGATCATCCTGGGAATGAGGAGAAGATGAGAATGTCAACCAGGACGAGGCCACACCTTTGCATCACACACGGATAACAAGAACGTTTTTGTCTCTGCATCGCTATCTATTTTCGTTTGGACGACCACGGTATTGTATCTTCTATCTTATACCGTTGCTTTAGAAGACCAGCTATCGGTATATACAGAGAGAATGTGCCGAAAGTGTTACGTTCGTCCTGCGGAGGAAAGCTCCTTCTTCACGAAAGTTGATCATGCCCACGAGCGCTTGCTGCTTCAGAGGTTTGTTCATGTCGGAAAAGGGTGGATTCAGAGACTGCACCAGTCGCGTACGTTGCAGAAATCTCTGAAGAATCATCTGGGATTCCCTCTTCATCTTCCTCTGTCCTGTCCACGAGGTCTCCAAGCGTCTTAGAGGCATCGCTACTCCATTTGGTAGCCTTCTCTTTCCTTTGGCGGATTTTAAAGCAGCACGCGACAACTCTTGGATCTTGACGCAGCCTATGAGTTGCTGCTGCACCTTTTCCATCATAGTGATGGAGTAAGCTTGACCATCATCCGCTTGCTGTTTGGCGGCGTACCAAGCGCTGTATCGCATCCGATTCTTATAGGCGTACTTATAATTTTTCCACACTTCGGTCGACATGGTGAATCCACATTTGGTTCTTTCGGCAAGATCGGCCGTAAATCGCGCTTGCTTGAGGATCTCTTCGGTGCTGGTCTCGTATACAGGCCCACGGTCGTCTCCAGCGGCGCTTTTCTCATTCTTGACGGTGACACCGCCATTATTCTCCGCTGTATCGCAGATATACGTCACCCACTTTTGCGTAGCTATCTTAAGTAGATCATGAGAGTTCACTGAGCCAGGATTGTCAGCAAACCGCAGTATCAAGGGAGGAAAAACGCACCCATTATGAGTGGCGAACGTGAGGAGCTAGCGGCGGCGTCGAAGCTTCGAGGTCTCGAGGGTGTGCGCTCGAGGTTGAGTTACGCCGAGCACCACCCTCAATGGCGTAGGTACACCAGGTGAACACAGAAGACCGAATAGCGGTAGCCGTAGAATCGAGCCAGAAACTCCGCAACGTCGAGTTCAGGTAGACGCCCGAATTTGGGTTGTGTTGTGGCCGCGAACCGAAGCTCATCACTGCGGAAGCTGCTGGTAAGGGCATCGGAACGGCCCAAGTTTTCCGGTCGCGACGAGGCATAAGTTGAATTACAAAGAATTATGACGATAGCCGAGTGCTAATGCAGCTACTAGGCAGCTAGAAGCCTTAAACGACATCCAGTCACAGATTGATTGTCTTAAGGTGACCAACAACAACAACAACAACAACAACAACAACAACAACAACAACAACAACAACAAGCTTAGCATATGCTAGAATTTTAAAAAGGTGTAATTATTGAGTAGCCGGCTGTTTTGGCTAGCATGACATAGGCGGCTTGCTTGCCGGGCAGAGGCTGTCAACAGGACGTGCAACTGCTTGCTACTCGGTGCTTTGCAGATCGACAAGCGCTGGAGGCGAAAGGAAACACTCTTGACGGTAATGAAAATCTAAAGACAGCCGGTTACTACCTCGAGGAGGACTGGGGAATATGGTCGTTCGCTCAAGCATGAGCCAACAGTGACCTGCCACGACTCCACTCCGCCTGCCGTTCCTTCTCACTCCATCTCATAATGGACCATCCACCCCAGCCCACCCACATCATGACTGCAAAAACAGCAATCAGCAGGGACAAACAGACAGATACCAGTATCGGATACGTTGTTTTATCGAACAGCTCGAAATCCGGGATCGAATTCAGCGGGATTCTGGCCCTGCTAGCGAGCGTGTATACACCACTCCAACAATAGCAGCTGTTGAACCTACCGGACGTAGCGAGGAAGACCAAGACAACCGATGGAACGGCGAGGCATATGTCTTTGGCAATCACGCAGTTCCAGTGGAGTGCGCCGATAAAGCCGAGACGGGTAAGGGCCTGTGTAGCAATGGTACTGAGTAATATGAATATGACGATAGAGAAGACGAGAAGGTTGCGGCAATTGATGCCGATAGGAGGTACGTGCCATATTATCACAGAGGCGACGATCGAAGATATGAAAACGGGAGCCATAGCGAGGAGAAGGAGCAAATATGGGCTGCGACCGCCTTTTGACCCGGTGAAAGGAAGCCACTTGGAAGGTCGGTAGGTGTAGATTGCGCCAGAATGGGAGAGTGATTCGAAGAAGCTCTCCACTGTCTTGTGATGCCGGTACGCTGGAACCGATGTCTGGAGCTCTGTCCATAGGTCGGTGTCTGGCCGTACCCTGCGAGTAAAGTCGTCTAGGATGTCAAAACACGTCCGGCGTGAAGTAAAACATCCCACGGCGTTGCTTATCAGTATGGAGGGAATGATCCAAGTCATAAACATAGTGATCCCGATACGTCCACCCGGAGGCGAAGTATTACCTCCCCCTACCGTGGATATGAATGACGAGACGAGCTGATAGAAGTATAGCACTGTAGCAAGGATGGTTCGCAAGCGTTCGTCCGTACGACTGTCTGCCAGCTTCTGTGCCGCTCGACCTAAGTGCCTGCTGACTTCAAGACTAGTAAGGCTCGAACTGTTGACGATATTTTTGTAGACAATTGAGGGATCCACGTGGAAGCCACATAGTTCCTCAAAGCCACCAAGAACAGTTGCCAATATGCGAGTGTGCTGTTCGCCACGCCTAGACAGGCTTCCTGCAATGGAACGGCATCGCGACCAAGCCTCCATCTTGGTCAGGAGAGACCATAACGAGTCAATCGGATCTCCCAACAGGTGTGCGATCATCAGATAACGTCTCTTGTCCAAGGGAGAAACCTCCAAGTTCGTAATTAAAAGGAATATTGGGATGAGCCACGTGCTGAGCCGTGGTCCAACGTCTTTATACCAGCTGAAGCCCTTACCGCACACCTGTTCACATCCGCCGATGGTGAGAACCGGTTTCTCAGTCGAGGACATCAGGAAGCCGCCATCGTCACGAAAGAATATTGAAGAGTTGCTGGCGATCGTTCCGTTGTGCAGGCCCTCCCGTACGGTGATCAGACACTCAGCCCGAGTAAATCCACTTTGAGCCGACGTAACCCAGCAAAAGGTAAAGGTAGAAATAAACGCGAGGACAAGGGGGTATCTTGTGGATGCCATATCTATCAGAGACGAGCAGTGCGGGTACCAGTCTTTGTTTGAGCAAGACGAATGGCGAATGTATGCAGCGCGGATGCGAGAAAGTGCGATCATGAGGACGCGCATAGCGAACGAGGCTGAGGCGCAGGACAGCCACCACAATCAAAGCACCCTAGCATGCCAGTGTGTGGAGGCGTTCACGAGATGTCTGTCGGAGAGTGTGTCAGACTCGTATATTGGGCATCGATAGCCACCTGCAATCCCACGTGCAGACAATCGAGTTGTCCTTTTGGAAGTTAACCACACCATGGCCAACGAATACGAAGTGGGAGGCTGAGCCTGTCTTGCGTATTCGGCTTGGTTGAGCAGTGTACGTGACACGGCGCTGACCTCGGGAAGGGCAGGGACTGTTCTACCGTATGAGGTTGGACGAGGGTTCGCATGTAAGAAAGTCGTGGAGGTCAATACGTAAGGGATCGTTAGTCACTGGCGGACCGCAGCACGCAACCGGACCCCCTTGTCACACCCGCACAGTTACCTTGGTCCTTTTCTTTCCAATCTTTACCTTGGTCCTTTGCTTTCCAAAAGATTGGAAGTTCTAGAAGCGAGAGCCGTGGTTCAATGTAACACTTGGGCCGCATTCGTCGGAGTGGCTCAAGCGCCCCCGAGGCCAGGGATGTACAACATTTGAAAGCTTACGCCCCACTGTGGGGTCCTACATGGTAAGAGCAACAATGACTTTTCACACTGTACAAGCGCTCAAGTAAGGCATTGGGCATCTCTCCTGATTGAATTGAGGATTCGGTCCGGTGAGGTTGCCCGTGAGAAAGACGCGCAGGTACGCTACCTTGTCACCAAAATCACCGAGCAAGTTACCAAGTCGGTCCGTGCTTTGAATGAGACGCATTGATTTTTGGATAACAACGACTGATACAAAAGCTCAATTTGATCGCGATAAGATACAGCCGATAGATCTGAGTTGCTCGCCGCGGACTTCAGGGCTAGTGGTCGGTAACGTGAAGGACAAACGAACAGAGCGTGCCTCGGTGTCTTCCCTCAACGTTGCGCAGCACACATCACCGCGTCGATAACGGACCACCACGCGAAATCGACGATGGCGTCCGACACTTCAAATATGCCCACTATCCGCCCGGACGTGTCCATGCTCTTCCAGTCCATCGAGCAAGCCTTCACCACCACCAGCCTTGGCGATCATCGTTGGTACCTCCTAACGCTCGCTGCGCTCGTTGGCGGCACAGAGCCTCTACTCGCAGACCAGCTCTACCTTTACATCATCAACAAGTCCAACAATCGGGACAGCTACCAGCGACAGAAGGTGGTCCGCAGCCTCCGCGAAGCCCTGGTCAAGCTTGTTTCCATCATCGGTGTTTGCAAACCTCTTGAAGCCATCCTCGCCATAGCCAAAGTGGAACGTCCTGAAGACCGCGACTATAGCTTCTCACGCGAAGAATGGGCCAACGATAGTGAGAACCATGAACGTGGAATGAGTTGGTTGAGGCAAATCTACACGCACAACACGGACAGCACGCTCTCCTTGTTTGACGCGCACAAGGACTTTCGTTGGATCAGCACTGAGATCACATATGGGCTGTACCTGAGCGATCGGCAGAACCTAGACGACATTGATACTGAGGTGGTTGTATTGGTGGGGATCATGATTCAGAACTTGCCGCTCGAGACAGCATGGCATATTCGCGGGTCCAGGCGGATTGGTATTAGCCTAGAGGATGTGAAGACTATGATGGATTGTGTCAGAAAAGTTGGCGAGTTCATGGGAACGAAGTTGGACAGAATCCCGAGCGCGGACAACATCGAGAAGGAAGTGTGAGGGCAGCATGCACAGTGTCGAGGCCTGCGATCGAAGTACGGATTTGTTAAGATAGCTATGAAGTCAATCAATCGATCAATAACGATGCACGCGTAACCGCACTCGAAGAAATAATGAAAGAATGCAGCAGACGTGCGAAAGGCTGCAATAATCGGCGGCGCACAGACCAACCTTCGAGCACCTCTACCTCTTCGCAAAGCTTCACGCCTACACGCCCTGTGGACGCTTCGCCAGCGCTTCCGCCGAACAACTCGCGTCATTCGTCCCAATTGTTGCTGCACGACATCCAGACCATTCTACCAGAGCATCAATCCTCCGTCCAAAACCTCTACACATCCTCCACCCCACTACGATGGCGCTCAACGCCTACCTACACAGTACGCTTTCCTTCCTTTCCTGAACGCGCCAATGGGACCCTGTCCAGCCTAACATCCGTCTACAGAGAAAGTATCCGTCCTTACCCTCGACGGTCGCACCATGGTCGGGACCCTCCAATCTTGCGACGGCAGCATGAACCTTGTCCTCTCCGAATCCGTGGAGCGCATCATCCGGCCGCGCGAGGAAGACGTACCCTCGGAAGAAGTGCCGCTCGGCTTATACATCATACGAGGAGACAGCGTAGCGGTGGTTGGGCGCGTTGATGAAGAATTGGATGCTAGTATTGATTGGACACAAGTTAGAGGGGAGGTGTTAGGGACGACGAAGCATGTGTGAGGCACTGGGGTGGGAAGAAAGGGCTTTTGGGACAATCAACATGCGAAGGGGAGAATATGGGGAGTTGTAAGATTGGATGTAAGCTGCGACGGCTGCGAAGAACAGTCGCGTTGGAGAGGCCGCGGCGGGACGGGGCGTATTGCTGCCCGGGAGAAGACGAGTTGCTAGGCTGGAACTGAAGAATGATACCCAGAGTATGTCACCTCTGATTAAACCTCTAGACGTCGACTGACTCTGTAGATGACGAATGATCTGTTTAATCTACATAAAGCCTGCCTCATGCGCCGGGCACTCGATGAACCCTCGTATCGTGACACTGCTCAATTATTCTCTTCACCCTCCCTTGAGGCCTCTCTAGTCTGTGCTTTCTTCAGTGCTGTGCCAAAAGCTTGAGTGATATGTGGTCACTCAAAAGTGCTGTCGCTGTAATCCTCCTTGGAGGTCATCCCTCTGTCCCACTATCAAACGTAGGCTCCATGGCCCCTTCTACTGAATTGTCCTTCCTAGCCCTTCCTTTACCCCAGCAATAGTTTTATGATCACTCGGGTTCGCCGCCAGCTCCACCATAAAATTGACTGGCTCTTTGTTCAACTTCATGAAATCTCCTTTGAAGCCCAGATAGCTGATCCTAGTCTCGTCTTCTTCGCCATCACTCCAATTGTCCTCGAAGAACAGCGCGAGCGACCGCGTTGTGTTGAAGAGCGCCCGCTTAACGGGAATCTCTTGGATTTCGGCCGTCTGCGAGATCTCGAGTGTCTGTGTTGGCGGCTTGTCGGAAGCAGTGCTGAAGTCGAGGGCGTCGTCGTTGATGAAGACTTTAAGGGTTTTTGGGGAGGCGGGCGTGGTGGAGGTGCGGATTAGGATGCTGTGAAGGCGGACCTGGCCCGTGAATCTGGTCTTCAATCAGCAACGGTTCCTACCGTGTAGGATTCATCGCAAAGTGTACGCACGGCACTATCATGAGAATCTGCTCATCAGCGAAGCTTTTCAGCTCAGGCTCGGGATCCAACCGCTGCGCCCACGTCTTCTGGCAGATGCTGCGGCCCTGGTCCGATTCATCCTCGTTCAGCGTGCGCAGCCGGCTGAAGTCGATCTGCTGATAAAGTAGGTTCTGGAGCGCGGGAACGATGTCGTCGTCGTGTTCATGGACGTGGTCATGGGCCTCGGCGTGCTCTTCATCGTGGCCATGGTGGTGGTCGTGGTGATGCGACATGATTTTCGAATACTAGTGACGGTGTTGGTGATGGCGGGGTAGCGGGGTAGCTTCGAGCTTCGTGGGCTCTCCGTGCTTATGGAAGGTATGGAAGTGAAACAGGCAGATGATGGAAGGGTATAAGGCTGATACCTGAATCGATGTCTCGCTATGGTGAAAGAGCGTAAGTTTGCGATGACGCGCAGGTGAAACCGTCCGCCCTGTCGGCGCGCGCATCATATCCCAAGACGTGAGCACGTGTCCAACAAGAGCTTAAATGTTGGAATATGATCCAGGTCTTCAGAGACATTTCGAGCTTTCAAGGCTATTGGCTCATATTTCACCATCTGGGGGTACAAAGTGTGTTTAACAGGGTAACAGAAAGTGCCGCCAACGCCCAACACCTCGCTCTATGCTTCAAGCCGCTTGAACAAGAAATGCTATGACCCTATGCCAGCATGGGCTGCGGACTCTCCTCCGCTGCTTGCCGTTCCCGCTCTCGTGCTCTTCGCTCTCGCTGTGCCTTCGCTTTTTGCTTAGGAGTCTGTTGGAGCTCGCTTTCAGGAGCGTCGGGCAATGTTGAGACACCGTCTGCGATGCCATTGACCTCGCGCTCGAGTGCTTCCAGCTCGTCTTCCACTTCGTCTTCGTCTTGATTTGACATCTTATTCGCAAGAAGCTCGCTGATCTCCTATACCAAGAGCATTAGTACGCTGTCGTCAAATATGCGCTCGTGGTGGTGTATACGAACCTCTTGATATGCCCGTGCCTCTTCGCTCTCCCCAAGCAGCTTCTCCACGCTCTCGATGCCACCCATCTCCTTATGAATTTCTTTCAGCACCGCGGTGCCTTGTTGCAGTCCGTAAAGTACATCCTTCTGGATCAGCGCGAACTCGACATCACTCGTCAACTGCTCCAGCTGCGCTAGTTGCGCATCCGTCTTCGCAAGCAGCGATTCCTGGTACTTCTTGCGTCGCAGTGCAAGCTTCGCCCGATTTGTGTCCCCTTTGCTCAAGCACTCTTTTGCGATCTCCTTCTCACGGTCTGTGAGGACTGTGATGCGTTTTTGGTACTGGTGCAGCTTATCGCGCTGGTTCTTCATGTCTAGGATCGCCCTGATGCAGATTAGTGCTGTGCTGTCTCCAAGTGGGAGCAGTACAAGAAGCGAGATAGACGCACTTGTCTTGGGCGGATATCTTCCGCGAGCTGCTCGAATTGCCCATTTTGTTGACGTCGCCATGTGGAAAGTCGAAGGTGCCTTGGTCGAGCATGCGCGCATGATGCACGACTCGCTGCCGTGGTTGGCCCGTGCTATCGATAAGCTTCTTCTATGCGCCAAAATTTTGGAGCTTCATGCTTCGTGCATCACCGACTATTTTCGCAGCAACCCGTGGATGGCTTCGTGTGTTAATTTGACTATCGAGCAGCTGAGCCACCCCAAGTTACCCTATCAATAACCCGGACTTCGCACGAGATTGTCCCAAATCCGAGTATTTTCCTAGCCATGTCGCGCAATAGGCCGTCTCTCCAAGCTGGCCTGGACAGGGACGTCTACCAGGTTGTCCGCCGATATATTGACTCCAGCAATGAGTCACCTCTCAAAATCAAGCCTCATGCTATATATGACCACATCAAAAACTCCAACTCATCCCTGAAAAGGCGTCCCAAAAAGCAATTGGAGGACTCGATTGACCGTGTTCTCTTGGTTATTCAAGAAGACGAGAGCGGTGAAGATGAGATGGATGAGATCGAAGGGGATTTTGCGGATGGGAGTTCTGAACGAAAAGACGAGAGCAAGAGTTTGGACTTTATGAACAAGCAGATCGTCAGTGGATGGGGCAATTCTGGAACCGCTACCCCCAAGGAAAATGGAGAGAAGAGCAAGAAGAGGGAGGGACAGAAAGGCGGGGATAGGGAGAGCAAGCGCGTGAAGAGATCAGGGGCTGCAGAAGAGAAGAAGATCAATACAACACCCCCAAAAGGCATTAGCTTGAGCGATATTGGAGGCGTCGACAACGTGAAAACTCAACTCAAGGAACATCTGGTCATGCCACTTCTCAGGCCGGAAGCGTACAACAGCCGGAACATCCCCATACCTCGAGGCATTCTACTCCACGGACCCCCTGGTTGCGGCAAGACGGTCATTAGTAGAGCTTTCGCAGCTCAGCTTGGAGTGCCCTTCATTGAGATTCTTGGTCCTTCCGTCGTTTCTGGCATGTCAGGAGAATCGGAAAAGCAGATACGGGAGCATTTCGAGCGCGCCAAGGAGGTAGCCCCATGTCTCATCTTCATCGACGAGATTGACGTTATCGCGCCGAAGCGTGACAGTGCCCAAAGCCAGATGGAGAAGCGTATTGTGGCTCAGCTGTTAATATCTATGGACGGCCTCGCTATGGAATCTAATGATGGCAAGCCTGTCATTGTGCTAGCCGCATCGAACCGCCCAGACAGCCTTGATCCGGCTCTACGAAGAGGTGGACGATTTGACACCGAGATCAACATGGGCGTACCGAACGAGGCTACTAGAGAGCTCATTCTGAAGGCGCTGACTCGCCGGACAACATTGTCCGACGATGTCAGTTTCCCCTCTCTTGCAAAGAAGACGGCAGGATTTGTGGGCGCTGATTTGAAGGACCTTGTTAGCAAAGCCGGAACCTGGTCTATGGATCAATATCGAGAAGCACTTGAAAAGCAGGCCATGGAAGCGGAGACCGAGATGGACGTGGATGGCGGCGAGCCTAGCACAAACAAGCTATCAATCACAGACCGATCTATCGCACGTCTCATCCTTCGCGTACGGGACAAGGACATGTTAGAACCCCCAGGCTTTGAGAATACAACGATATCAATGGAGGCTTTTGATGCGGTCCTACCGAGTATCGTCCCTTCGTCGAAGCGAGAGGGCTTCGCTACGGTTCCAGACACTACCTGGCGAGATGTTGGAGCTCTTGCAGGTGTTCGGGACGAGCTTCAGATGGCCATTGTGGAACCAATCCAGAACCCTCAGCGATACAAAGCTGTAGGTATCTCTGCGCCAACAGGCGTGCTACTATGGGGACCACCAGGTTGTGGTAAGACTCTTCTGGCCAAGGCTGTGGCTGCAGAGTCCAAAGCAAATTTCATCAGTGTCAAGGGCCCGGAATTGCTAAATAAGGTGAGTTCAGTCAGGCTGTATGATGCATATTATTCTGGCAACGCCAAGGAATGCAAACATGCGATTCAGGCGAAACTAACTATTCGTTACAGTATGTGGGAGAGTCGGAAAGAGCCCTCCGCCAAGTCTTCATGCGAGCCCGATCGTCAATCCCTTGCGTCATCTTCTTCGATGAGCTCGATGCTCTTGTCCCGAAGCGCTCATCCGAACTCCATGAGGCCTCTGCCCGCGTTGTAAACACCCTCCTGACTGAACTTGATGGCCTTAGCACCCGCGAAGGCATCTACTTGATCGCCGCCACTAATCGTCCCGAGATGATCGACGAGGCTATGCTACGTCCTGGGCGTTTGGAAACCCTCCTGTATGTGGAGCTGCCTAAGCCTGAGGAGCGTGTCGATATTCTGAAAGCCTTGATCGCTCAACGCGGAGGAGTCATCAATCCTGGTTTGGCTGAACTCGCCAAACGAGAGGAGTGCCATTCGTTTAGTGGTGCCGATCTCGAGAGTCTGCTGAGGAAGGCCGGACAGGCCGCGCTGCGGAGAGGCGCGACTGCGGTGGAGGAACAAGACGTGGTAGCTGCTGCCCAAAATATCAAGCCTAGTGTCGGCAGCCTGGATCGGTATGAACAGCTCCGGAAACGCTTCGAGACCAAGTTGTGGTGAGGCGTGCATTATACCACGAGTAAGGATGCATAATCAAGTGAACAAGCCGTCTAACCGCATCTCAACACTCGACGGAGGAAGCTGCCGACACGGCTGCTGCCAGCAGTGCTCGAGCTGCCCTGTCGAAGCGGTGTGCTCATACTGCCCTGCCGGGGTGGTGCCCGTTCGTGCATGCATTCGAAACAGTTGTAGTTCTCTTGGTTGTCGCGGAACTTCAGCTGATAGTTGGGACACTGCTGGGCGAGGGAGTCGTCGTGTATGTCTCGGCAGTAGTCCCAGCGTAAGAAGCGCGTGTGGCCGCAGCGTCGAAAGCGAGTGTGTGTTTCAACGCACATCGAAGGGGGGAGTCTGCAATGTATCGAATCGGACTTGTTCTGCTTTGAACAGCCGCAGCGCTCTTCAGTGGATATATGGCTTCGCAGTCAGCGATGCTGGCTGGTGGATGGTTGAGGTGGTGTGGGTCTGTGCTGATATGTGGATGCGGGCGGTTGGACCGAGCCGTGGTTCCCGGCGGATGGGGTGCGTTTGCTTTGGGCGTTGAAGCAGTTGTTGCACAAGGTCCCGAGTGCTCAAGCTGCTTGTCAAGTATTATATGCACGCTATGGCGTCATGCTCGAGTGTGGCAGGTGCGCGTGCAGCTCTTACTTCTTCCTTTAGCCTCCACTGTCCAGAGATAAGACTATGCATCAGAGAGCAGTCGCCATATCAGACCCTCCGAAGGCCGCGAAGCCCCTGTGTTATTTGCTCCATGTCGTTGGCTTACGGCCGTCAACGTACACGTCTTCACGCTAATGTCCGCGCCCTTCCGATCTTACCTCACGTTCAAATGTACCCAAGAAACCCTCGCATGCTCTTCAATTTGAGTCCCTGATTCGTCGCGGCCTCATATCATACAGCCCACCACCGCTTAGAGCTCTCCTAGACGCTCCTTATACTCACGTCTTTCCTCAAGAAACTCCTTGAATGCCGCGGTACCACGTACTCCCCGCCCTTTGTTGTACCCTTCAATCATGTTCTGCATGTGCTCAATCCACTTCGCGCACTCCTTACACACCTGGCCCGGTTTATTACTTACACGAACCCTGGTCTCAAGATTTGGACACGTCTCCGCCGCGGGCAGCATCTCGTGATCAGGAAATTGACTACTAACTCCAGACATTGTTGAAGCGCGATTTGAACCTACAGATTCAGGTCCGGAAACCGTACGTCGTGAGCAAGTGCTTGCTGCGGTGTCTGATCGGCTTAGGCTGGGGAAGAGGCGCGAGATGGTGGTGTTTGCGCGCTTCGGTGCTTGTGGGAAGAAGTTGAAGTCCTGAGGTGGGCTGGGTCCACGCTTGGACAGTAGGGCGGTGTAGGCTAGGTCGCAGAGGGTGTAGCGCTCGTCGTGGACTTCGCCTTGGTGGCCGCAGCCCGAGTGTTGGGTGTAGTTGTGCTACGTGAAGTTAGATGATGTGATCACGGTCCCGGAACGATGTCCAGTACGAAGCAGCCAAAGCCTACGTGCACTATAGACGGGCAGACTCACCCAGCACATGTTGAGTATCGGTATTACTTTCGTGATGCTATTCGTCGTAGGTCTAGTGTCCGTGTACACTATGTCGTGCAGGTCGATTTGCAGGGTCTCAGGGCACGGCGCAGCAAGATTTATACATGTTGCGATACGTGAATAGACAGGCGCGTGAGTATTGCTAAGGTCGGAGGAAGTCATCCTAGGGAGAACGCTAAAGTGTGAATCTTTATCGTCGTAGTCACTCCTTTGACTACTCCACCCGTATAATGAGCGGTGAAGGATCCGCGCAAAGCTGAAGAGCCACACGTTTAGGGCTATGACCTTGGACGTCAATTGAATATTATGAGAAATGATCAATATCAGGCTTGCCACTACACCGAAGTGGAGCATTTTGTGAAGGACACATAATCTTTTTGAGTGAAACATCATGTCAGCGCATCCTCGGAGTCATTGACAGCAGATTTCAATGCAATCGTAGTCACGTTCATGGACACAAAAACAAAGCATACCGAAACAGGTGGCCGACAAGAGCATAACAAATTCTGGCCAATCAGCTTGCATATGTTCCGTGGTCCTCAGCACCAGCGCTTTGTTCAGGAGTGGTCCCCGGAGAACTCAACAACTTTCAAACTCTAGTGTTCCAATTCTATCTGCACGATACTCTTCTCGCTTCAAACTGTTAGTGATCCATTCCATCGTGGTCAATATTCGTGGTTCACTGTAAATCCCAGCGTTACTACGGACCGGACCACTCAGCAAGTCTCGCACGTAAAAGCAAGCTCGATACAGTGCCCGCAATACCTCTTCCGTGCAGTGATCATATAACTAGTGGAAAAAGACCTCCGTTCAGTACTATGGTATCATCGTGACTATATCACACCTCTCACCACAATCCAAGATCGACGCCAGGTCAAGAGCAACGCGTTCACCGCCGCCTAATATCGCTTTTCCGGTGGGGCAAACATGTAATGGCATCATTTGGTGGATCTGTGCTCGAAATGGCTCTCATCAACTCCTCCAGATCCCCGCTGTGCCACGAAGACGACCCGCTCGAAGAAAAACAGGCAATTCTTCGTTTAGGGTGGTGGCCGTTCGGATACAACCGCACTTTACGAGACCTATGCACCGCACTACTGACAAGGTACTAACACTCACTTCTCTTGGCTCATCTCGAGGATCCGTCGGGTCTTCTCTGCCTTCGAAAGATTCCATCGCATTTCTCCCTCAACGGCCACTGCCCGTGAAGACTATTCGAACGAATCCATCTCTGGGGTCTTAACCCTCAGATTTAGGCAATTACGGCTCTTCCTACGGATCGCGCATATCATCGAAATCATCATGGCGGAGAACGGCGGAGGTACAGATCTGGGCAGGTTCAATGTTAGGCAGCTCATACTTTCGCCAGATTGGAAGAGTTTATGGTTGGCACAATGCCAGTATGTTGAGGTGTTACCGGATAATGCATGTGAGTTTTCTTTACTAGCAGAACGTGAGGAACCGTAAAACAGTGAAGTCTCATGCTGCTGCTGGCGCAACGTCTGCAGATACAGAGGCGAGAAAACTTGCTTTTCAACGAGTCCATCCCTTCGTGGTCCAATGATGCCCACATAATCATTGGATAATCGCGTCGTCGTCGTCGTACGTATCGTGACGATGTAGAAATGCCATTCGTTCAAGTCATACTTTTTGAGTCCACCTAACTGAGTATTGATGGATAAGGGGCGATTGGCGTTCGCATCCGTATCCACTACTTCGAACTTCTTGAAGTCTGCTGGTAGGGCCAGACGCATCAGGGTTGTCGGGCGGTATTCCGCTTCGAGCGGCTTTATCCTTCTGAGTGCTTCCAGCATAGTTCTCCTCAAAGTCTATGGACTGAGACGTTGTTCAACTCCTAATGCGTGCAGGGAAATCGTTGACACCGCGCCCTATCAAACTCTATTGGATTCTCGCATAGACTTCCCGTAATGTCCCAAACCAAACCATTGACGATGTTACTCATGCTAGGACACAACCTCAAGCTCTTGAGACAACACACTAATACATGATTATTCCCTTAGGCATGATTAATGATATCCTTCGAGACGATATCCAAAGTCTCGTCGCCCTCGTCCCACCATTTGTCCAACTTCTTCAATCCACGACGCGCCATTCCGGCGTCGCGGTTCCGATACACCGAGTCGATTTTCCGCACGTCAGACTTGTCGTTAACAAGCCAGCGTTTGTAGTCAGCCAAGAACTCCTGATAGCTCACGCCGTAAATCCGCTCGACGTTGGCCTCGAGCGTAGCGTGCACGAGCTTCGAGAGCTTGGCGTGCTCCTGAACAGCGGCTACAGCGGTGGCAGTCCTCTCCTGTGGGTGGGTGGTAATAGCAAAGAAGTACTGGAGCGTGAGTGAGCCTTTGACTACAGCGAGGATCCTGTTGAGGCCGGCGTGGGTGAGGGCGCAACGCGAGAGGTTAAGATAGGTAAGGTTCGGTGACAACTTGATTAGGCTGTGGATAGCGTTCGCCGACTGGTCGGTAATGAAATTGTATCTTTTCAAAATCAGCACGTGCAATATCGTCATGGGTACAGTACTAGGGAAAGGTTGGATCTTGCTTCGCTCGTCCCAGGGTACAACAGTGTACCGAGACTTTCCACGAGCACCGTGTACCCATGATAGGACTGCACTTACCGAGAACCCAGGTCCGCAGTCGCGAAGCTTTGACCAATATCAAGTACTTTCAGGGATGGATGCTCACACAGAGCTTCGCACACAGCGATCGCGCCATCGTCACTCATACCAACAGAGTTGAGTGTCAGTCGTGTCAGTGACTGATTTTTCTTCAGACCTTTGGCTAGAGCAATGACACCATCGTTGCCTAGTGGGTTGTTGGCGGCGTAAATCGCATCGAGCTCGCAGTCGGGCAGTGCTAGATATTCTGCAATCGCTGCCGCTCCCTTTGCACCGATACCAACGGCATTCAGATAGATATGCCGAAGCGACAGGGGATCCACCGGTGTATAGTTGGCAAGCTTATTGAACAGCTTGGTGACACCAACGTCACCCAACTTAGTCTGGTCAAGATCCAGAGTGCGCAAATTCGCCGTCTCTGTTATTAACCGGAAGATATCGTCGGCAGATTCTGGCATCAGAGGATTGCGTTTGAGCCAAATATTAGTAACGACCGACGACTTGACCCATTCATCGACGAGCAGGGCGCAGCTGATTGTGTCGATGCAGTTACCCGCAAGGTACCAGGTGTCCATTCGGTTCGGGAACTCTTTGACAAAATCTGCAATGCACCGAGCACCATGCGGACCGATAATGTTATTGCCAAGCAGGAAATGCGCGACGAACCTGTTCGTCTTCAAGCTCTCCATCAGACTCTCGATGTGTGTTGGACCAAGGACCATTTTGCAAAGGTCCAAACGACGGTCGGAGTAGAGTACACCCCGCTCGAACTCTAGAGATTTTACATCATAGTATGGCTCCTCGATCTCAGTCGCATCTGCCGCGGCGCGAGCTGTCGAGGACTTGGCCTCGGTGCCGTCAAGAGCGAGATGCTCGAAGAAAGGCTCTAGGCTTTCTGCCTCTGCAACTCGCACAGGCATCGGAAGGGCTGGGGCACCGTCGAGTGACCATAGATCGGTGGCGGGATCCCAAGCACCCTGCTTCAGAATCCGTTTCGACCAGTCAAAGAGCTCGTTCCGCTTGGTGTTCTCGCTGATTACGCGTTTCCGCTGGTCCACGACAAGGTTTCGCAAAGTGACCAGGTCTTTCTCGTACTGTATGATCGCTCCGACCTGATTACTGTGATGCGGATAAAGCAGCTGCGCGATTTTGTTTGCCATCGCAGCAACTGCTGGGTTGGCGGCTCGACGACGCGGTGCCTGCATGACAATCTCATTAACTAGTGGAGATGAAGACCGGACATCAGTCTCGGATTTGTGGGAGGAGGCAACGATCGATAACTGAGAGCGAAGTATGTTGGCCCATTCAGCAGCCTCGCGTGGCTGAAGGCTCGGATCTTCCATCTGAACAGCGGTCGTCACTGGAGCATTGCGGTAGCTACCTGCGGAACTCTCCATGGGGGAGATAGCTGTCGCCATAGTCTCGGGACTATTGTTTGAGTGTGCTTCCACGTAGGAAGCGATTGTCGCTGTGCTCTTAGGGCTCCCCTCTGGCGGGGTTAGGTTTCCCATTTGGAGGGTAGAGTGCGCTGAATTCATTCTGGCTTTGGGTAGAGTGTTGAGGTCCATGGCGGAAGAGGTTTTATATGTTGCTTGAGTGGGGGGTGCGAACCATCGTTTGACTGTGAAGTTGGGATCAGGTGTATATGAGTCACGAGTAACTGCGCCGCCGGGATGTGTGAATCGATCAGCGTCGACGGAGATGGAAACATATCTGCAGGGCGAAGTAAGTCATGGCGCCCTAGTCAATGACGGAAAGGGCGGTCGTGCGTTGGTGGACGTCGTGGGGCGAGGTTGCCTGTTGGGGGGCCGAACGCTACCAGCTCAGTTCAGCTAGAGAACTTAGCCGAAACATAAAGCCGTTATGAAAAGCCATGACTACAGCTCAGTTGTAGCTATGATAGTGTATTGTATTGTATGAGGGTCAGGTCTGTAGAATAAATTCAGTGGTTGATACACTGTGGAACGGGTCAGCGTACTTCTCAAAGGCACTTCGCTAAAAGGCGCACCCGAGAACGACAGCAGCTTTCTTCCTTTTCTTGAGGGCAATTTGGTGTAGATTCATGTTTACTCTTTCCCGCCCAGATACCTATAGACGACCGAAAAATCCCGTCCTTTGCAGTTCTCCGACTTCTCAACTTCGTCGTACAATGTCTTCGCCATATCCCCAAGCACCAGCTTGATGTTTGCCTCCTTCGCCGCCTTCAAAGCCAGCTTCAAATCCTTGTTGGCTAACGCAACTCCAAAGCCGCCCTCATAACCTCTACTAGCCGGCGAACCCTCAATTACACCAGGAACGGGGTTGTTGACCTCGCTAGGCCAACACTTTCCTGTGCTGATGTTGATCATACCAGCTAAAGCCTTAGGGTCCAAACCCCACTGAATGCCCATGTTCATGGCTTCAGCGGTGGCAACGTTGTTGAGGGCGAGAAGGTAGTTGTTTGCAAGCTTGCCTTTGAGACCGGCGCCTTGTTCCCCAAGGTGCAGGACGCGTCGACCCATCAGAGAAAGGACAGCGGTTGCACGCTCAACCACGTCGGGAGCAGCGCCAATCATGAATGTCAAAGTGCCCGCTTGGGCACCGACAACACCGCCAGACATCGGAGCGTCAATGAACCTACCCTGGGCAGAGGAGTGCGCGGCGTCAGCTACCTGACCAGAGGTCATAGGGTCGATAGTTGAAGTGTCAATAAACAGGCGTTGCTTGCTGGTGAAGCCATCTGTGAGGAGTGTGGGTGGCTCGAGCATCTGTTTATAGACGCCTGCGACATGTTGCGGTTCCGGCAGACACGTTATGATTGTTTCCTTTGCCGAATTAGTATGCGCTTCCAACTTTGTACCATTGTTTGAAAGCTCTTATATATACGACTGCGTCAGAGGATTGGCTAGAATGGTATAATCAGGAGAAGGGGCCACCGAAATGACCCCCAACTTAGATCATAGTTATTAAAGGAAAATTTTGGGTTTCATCATGAGAAGCAGGGCGTGTAAAAGAGGAGTACGTACTGCTTTCTCGGCAACTTCTCGAACATTGTCCGCGACACGAACTCCTGTAGGGTTCTCCTCAAGGAACTTCTTAGACGCGGCTGTGTTGACATCTTGGACAAACAGTGTATCTTCAGCGGGAATCTTCGCTCTCAGGTTCTTAGCCATGGCAAAGCCTACGCATGTCAGCCCAAACTCCTAGTCATGTGAGCGGTAGTCGAAACTCACCCATACGCCCCAGACCAATGAAGCCCCAGTTTGCCTGGATATTGTGTGTCCTGGAGAAGCATCTTCGCGAAGGCTGCCGAACTGCAACTGGTGCACTCCGCCTCAAAGGTGAAGCTATCGCTGACACCGTCCTCATTGTATGTGTGCTGGTATAACGCTCTGCGATGTGGGGATGATTCGTGGGGTAGTGTTCCTGCGCGGTGCAGCTAGAACGAACTCCGCACTCAACCGAGGTCGTGGAATAGAGCCGCCTCAAGACGCTGCTTGCGGGAGACCGGCGCAACGCTGACCGGCTGTGCCATGCTTGGGACAGGCATGGTTTCGGATGAAGTGGATCGACCACAAGCCTCCAGTCGCGGCTCTGCGAGTGATGGTTGGGTTGAGGAGTGCAAAAGAAAGCCGACAGGGAAAGTTTTTCCGCTCGACGACCAAGATTTGGTGCATCACGTGCTTGTCGAGCCTTTCCCATTTGGGACGCTGGGATAGAATCAAGAACAACTGGCCCGCATCCACGAGAGATTGGAGTGAACCGTCAGCTCCTTAAGCATTTCTATTTGATTTAAGATTCTGCATAAAGTACCACTGCACCTATCATTGCAAGTTCTACACATTCGTTACTGCTCCTTCCATAGCTGCCGTAGCAATAGGGACAGCGAAAACCAATTCGACAGCTATGATTGCGATCGATAAAACGAGCAGTAGTGTGGACCATGAGTCTCGGTGGATAGCACCTGCTATTATTGCTTCCCAACGCAGACTCATAGAACGATGGCACATCGCGCTCTCAACAGTAGTCCACTGGTGCATCGACAGCCATGATTGCTAATTGAAAGGCACCGTTGGTTTTATAGGCCATGACTTGACAATATATTGACCTCTTTTACTCTCAGCATTGGCGGCGAAGGTTCTAGCGAAGCACTTCGAACTCGACTTCATATCTGGATAGTATGTCTCTTGCATAACACACGTAACGTATCCCTGCAGCTCAGGGATCCTAGAAATCGTTGGGGCGTTTCCTCATCCACACACTAGTGAAGCTACTGCTCCTTTGGTATTGAGATCCTCCAGTACATCGGAAGCATCCTCTATGAAGCGCGTCTATAGGAAAATCCTCCTGTACGTACCTCCTTCCTAAATCGTCCCTCGCAACTTCGGCCTCGGCTTCGGACTACGTACACCGTCCACTCGAGTTCAGACACAACGAACAGCTTCCATTGGGCCAAGTTCTTGGAGTTTCATATCCGTGGAGTGGAGCAGATTGACAATAACCTGTGGCCGCGGATTGGCTGCTGCTCTAGTTACGTCACGGCGACAACATCGCGTCACAACGCGACAAAGCGAATCGGAACTTGATTGCGACTGCGCCGCTTTGACGGACTTAAAACAAGCAAGCGCCTTTCCGCATCCTCCCTTCATTCGATCTCCAATCCTTTGCATCCAACTTCCATTGATCGTGCAGTCGCATTCTCATTCCCAATACAACCACTCCGCAATACCTATTCCAATACAACTCCATCAAACCGCAGCAATGGCCTCAGGCTTCAACTCCACGGGGCTCAACTACCCCCTCCTCGCCATCCCCGCCTACTACGTCTTCTCCGTCACGCCCCACATCTACGCGATGAACCTCCTCAAGTCCGCCGGCTACAAAGTCAACAACACGAACCCCAAAGCCTCGCTATCGCCCGCCAACGTGCAGGGCAAGGTTCCCGACGCCGTGTTCGGCAAGTACCAGCGCGCCGAGAACGCGCAAAACAACAACCTTGAGCAGCTGCCCCTCTTCGCTGCTGCTGTCCTTGCGTCGATCCTGGCGGAGCGCGTCGCTGGCCCGAGCGTGAAGATTGGTGGAACGAGCGAGCTGGATCCGACGGGTTTGACCATGTTCGTGGGCGCGTGGTTCGCGATCAGGGCTGCCTACAACGTCGCGTACATCTCCATTGACGAACACTCGAAGAGTTTCGCCAGGAGCGGGCTGTGGGCAACGGGCAGCGGGCTGGCGATATACCAGATCTTCAAGGCGGCGCAGATCTTGGGTTAAATGCTCCATGACGACGCGGTTGATGGGACGATGTATGTATGATATGGCAAGGAGCACATCTTGACATCGAGATATGTGGGTTCGGAAAAGTATGTTCGCTAATGGAGGAACGAATGCTAGAGGAGGGAGAGAAAGTCTATCGTCCGCTGCTATATTAGCTCCGTCAATTCAATGAATTCCATGGATCGGAACTTCCAATTCTTTTCGAAGTCGCTGTGAAGTCCTTGGCGTCTACAGTGTGAGTCCAGTGCTTACATGGCCTGGATAGCTGGGATCACATTAACAAGTGGCCTCGAATCGCAATTCAACCCTAAAACGACAATATTAACGAATAGGTGTGTCAGTCCTGGACTCTAGAGTCCCTGCAGTTTTCCTTTCATTCAAGCCACGGGGCAACGCGATGCAAGAGCTCGGTACAACAGTCTACATGACCTAAATTATCTCCAGCTAAGCCATGCTTAGAGCTTATACCGATATGACGACATGTGACATCTTACCCCAGCCACATTTCTCACTCCCATGCGATCATAATCTGCAAGGGAAACTGCGGCTGATCGACTAATGCCCCCCCCCGGCCCCGTCTCACAGCTACATATCCGGCGCAAGCAACATGGAGTCTGAACTCAAAGCGAAATGTGAGCATTGCCAGGAAACGCCCAACGCCACACAAACACAAATACCTCGCCGCAGTATGGTCAAATCTAGGACTACCAGACCCTTATTTCTGTCTGCTTCTCATCCATCAGAATGCCTTCCGGCGCGCAAAACGAAGCCCTCACCACCCACAACGATGCCCGCGCGCGAAAAGGTGTCCAGCCCCTACAATGGGATGATAATCTCGCTAACGACGCTCAAAACTACGCGCAAGTCCTAGCGGACACAAAGGACTTTAAGCACTCTGGAGTCGATGGTACGCAGATTCGAGTTACAACAAGACTGATATGCTAACCGGTGTCCCAGGCCAAGGCGAGAACCTCTTCATGTCCAGCGCCGACGCCTCTCTCGCCGACGCCGTGCGCGCGTGGCTCGGCGAAGAGGCAAACTATCACGGAGAAAAGATTGGGGAAGGAGATTTTGGGGCTTGGGGGCATTACAGTAAGCCGGACGACTTCGAAGCGATCGTGGAGACGATGAGCTAATGCAAACAGCGCAATGTATGTGGCATAGCACTACGAATGTTGCGCTTGCGAAGGCGAGAGGCAATGATGGGTCGACGTGGATCGTGAACTGGAGTGGAGAGACGTCGTATTAAGGGTATCTTAGGTGAGGGCGATAGCGCGGTGTGGATGAGATATGCGTATTGGCGACGGTAGCGTGCGGTTGGATTTTTGGGCATAGGTTCTGTAGAGGTACGCGGCTGTGTTGAAGAGGGTTACCTTAAAATCGCTGATGATCATAATCGTGTTATCATGACGACGATTAACTGCCTTTGTATTCGCTCTCTCACCTAATGTAGTCTCCTCAGCCCTTCCACAAGCCCCTTAACCTCCTCAACGTCCACACCCAACCCTTCTACAGCCTTCTTCTGCACCGCATCATCTGCATCCAGAAATCGCTCTATGAATTCGCCATCCACGAAGCGGAACGGTTCCTCGCTTTCCCTAACCTGATTCTTGAACGCGCGGTACTTGGCGAAGGGGACGTCGCCGAGAGCGTTTACGAGCTCCGCCAGGTTGGACTGCAGCGTCATGAGAAGATTGTGGTGCGTTGGCGCGATGAGGCCAAGCAGGTATATCGAGCCTTCGACCTGTGACCGTATTAGCTCATGTTGCTTCAAGTGGAAAGGGAACAAGGCTCACAGTTCCCATGAAGGCTTTCGGCACAACGACTGCGTCGGGTGCGGTAACTACGTCTATAGGCCGTATTCTATTGACCATTTCGCCAAGCTGCATCTCAGATGAGACATTCAACCTTCTCTTGTCATCGTCGGTCACACCGTTCGGGTCGCGGTACAGTATCGCGAGATTGCCTTCTGCATCGCTCTCGACGTAGGTGTTTTCATCGACTTCGGCCACTGCGGTTGCCCAAGTAGTCTGGAAGTGCCGTGCGATTTCGGTCAGCGTGTCTGGAAGCCCGGCCTCGCCGCGTTCGTATTGTACCACCACGAGTGACTTCATAAGATCCGCGATCGCAATCAGCGACCCGTTGACTGTTACATCGATGGGTGCGGTCGCACATCGGAATGAAGCCAACTTGACGAGATCAGGACTGCTTTCTGTGCGATATTCTACGTCGTAGACGACTATTGTCTTTATCAAGGCGGCTACGAGCTTGCCGTGGCAGATAGCAAGACATCTGCATCCACCCTTGACCGCCAGCTCAGTTATGAGTTTGAGTTGTCGATCGGGCGTAACTTCAAGAATGAGAATGCGTCCTCGTTCTGCAACAGCGCCTTGGTCATCCAAATATGCGGTGCCAACGACGAAGCGCGAGGTTGCCTGACCCATCTGGCAATTCACAGCGGATGACTGACTCGACTAGCTCTTCTTCCTTTAGGGGCCATGTGTCTAGCTCTTTAAATTGTATTTCATCGACAAGCTTGAAATGACTGAGGAGGATCTCTTCTCCGCCTTTTAGTATTCGCTTTATGGTGCCGAGACCGAATGCCTTCAGACTGGGGGGAGTAAGCTATCCGTCGGACTGTCTCGTCTACCTTTAATGTTTGGACGTGTGTTGTTCGTTCTGTGTCAACGAGTGCAATGCGCAGGTCGTCCAAGGTGGCTATGGCGACGGAGTTGGGGTATGCTTCCGAGTCGAACGGGCAGACTGTGGTTGCATTTTCTGCCGTGACAGCGGAGTAGACTAACCGCCCTTCTGAACTGTAGATCAAAGATGGATGTTCGCAGGTAGCGAAGACGTTGTACAGCCCATTGCCTCGCGGCAAAGCCCTAAACGTCGCTTCTCTTGTCCCAAGTATGATGCTATTCCGTCCCGACAATTGCTTCGTTGAGGTGTCAAATGAGTATGTGACGACCGTGCCATCTGCCATAGCTGCAAAAAGTGTTGGAGGCTGCTCGGGAAAGATCTGAGTGAGCAGTAATGAACGCGGTACCGAGTCTTCCGAAACTTGGACTGCGACGTCGGGCTCCAACGATGAGAGAGAGCATACTGAAAGCTGCGAGTTCTTCCAGAAGCCCAGAAAGCATACTGACCCTGAATCGGGTGTCAGAGCAACGCAAGCCACTTGGCTCTCGATATCAAAGGTTTTCTCCTTGATCACACTCAAACCATTGTTAGCGTCCAACACAGCTACGGAGACGCCTCCTAAAGACACTAGGACATGACTATCATTTGCCGAAGCAGCCGTGATAACTTGCCCATTCGGAGGCAACCATTCAGAGACGATGATGCCACCATCAAGGTCGGTAATTCGGACGCGCCCACTCGTGACTTGCACTACGCGGCCCTGTGATACATTTACTGCAACCAATGTTGATTCGTCTAGTGACAGACCGGCGAAATGGTCCACTTCTTCCACTTCACCCTGAGCATCGAACTTGAACACTCGCGACTCGCTGACAAATGTCGCAAGCAAGGTATCGACATACTCAGCAGCGCCGTTCGATTTCAAGCTGAAGAGGTTGGAGATGTGTTCCATCTCGCCCAATACACCGAGGTCTTCAAGGCCGACACCACTTCGGACGCTTCGCAAACTACCATCCTGATAGGCGCCGCTTCCGGTCACGATCCTAGCTTGTCCCGAAGAGTATTCGTTCGTTTGGCCTTCGCCTGATCGATTTCCCATATCCATTATAGTAAAGTCCAAGATGGGGGCAATGTTAGAGAAGCTCTGTAAAACCTCCATAGACTTTTCAGCGATACGTATGACTTGCGAGTCTCCCTGATGTGAGCCAACGAAGACGTGTCCTGCGTCCAGATATACAAGTGTTGAGGCTCGTGATGTCTGGCCAATTATGTCTAGCTTCCAGGATTGTACCTTGTTGTTCTCGTCCAGCTCGAGCATGAATAGATATAGGCGGCCATAGTCGTCGGCGAAGAGGAACCGTTGTGCATCGATCTGCGCCCATGCCACAAAGACTGTTGCCTCTTCCAGCGGTTGTCTATCTATCTCTCCAGTCTCGTCATCGTAGTATCCAATCGAAGTCTCGCCGATAATTATGAGGCCGTGGGTAGGAGCTTCGATTGGGATAAGATGGCTAGCGCCGAGCTCGAGATCCCCGGAGTAGGTCTCTCCGTCCTCAAGCTCCACAGAATCTCCTCCTTCGAACCGAAGTGCACGGATCCTGAGCTTGACAGTCGAATGTGTGTCTTCGTACAGCAAAGCCAGCTTTGCCTTTTCGTCTAAATTCCGCGGTCGCAGGAATGCGGATGAGCGGACAAACATCTCTGGCAACCTGCATGCCTGGGGCTCGCCCAGATGCGCTATATCCGACTCTTGCTTCCTCTTTTTCCCTCTTTGCACTAGCGGTATGACTGTGATTATACCCTCGTACACCTCGACCGTCATGAATCGGCCGGTGGGGTCGACATGGCACCGCTCCCCAGTCTGCGATTCTCTAGCTGCGTTATCTGCCACGCTTTCGAACGTCTTTTCGGTCTGGACCTGCTTTTTTTCCGCATTCCAGGATAACGTGAAGTACATGAACCGATCTGTTCCTACGAAGAGGTGATCTGTCGGCGATAGGGCGGGCCGGAGCTTTTGGAGCATGGTGACCTTGCCATAGATGGCTTTCGAAAGCTGAAGGGATAGTCCTTCGGCATTCTGTGTGTAGAACTCGAGGCGATTTGCTTTCCTGTAGTTCCTATCAGTTCGATAGATCGAGTGTCGTCATCAATCACCTACGCGACGACGAGTGTGTCCTCATCTGCAACTAGAAAGTTGAGCTTCAAGGCATGGCGGATGCTACTGGGACGGTGGATGGGTGCAAGGTAGGCCATAATGACGACAAGAATGTGGTGCAGCTCCGCGAAGCAGTTCCAGAGGAAAGACGGCCAGCAGCGAGGAGGAATTACGGGAGAGGTTCGGAGGTAGGTATTGCTCTAACGCCGTCATGGAGATGCACGGGCTAGCGTGGCGGCGCGTGGTGGACGCGGGGCAGCTATTTTACAAGACTCGCAACTTTTTGGCGCAGCTCGCGGTCACTCACCCAACGACGCAGCACACGTTTGCTCCGCCATGGCTCGTAAGACAGCCCGTTGATCTACTTTACTACCTTATTCACCCGACTAACAATCACTCATTCAGCCGCAGTAATGGACGGGGACGACCCAGTCATCGCCGAGTACGATGTCTTCATCACTCCCGAGATGGAGCAACAGCTCTACGTCCTACAGTATCTGAATCGCCGCCCGAATCAACCCTTCGTCAAGAGCGAGGGCGCCGTGCCCTCCGAAGTGCGTGTCAAAGAGCAATCCGGTTTCATAGAAGTCGACGTTGCGCTGCCAATGAAGACCAACTTCAATAGGCAAGCCGGTGTGCGGTGGGGAGAGGCCATGCGCAAGACGAAGCAATTCGGGCAGAAAGCATACGGCATTGCGTCGGGCTTCGAGCGCGCGATGCCCCGCGCTTCCCGCCCCGGTGCTCCTCCTGGCGAAGTAACCGCGCAACCGGCACTCGATGATAACGGCAACGAGGACGAATACATTGCCAATTTCGAGGATGCAAACGAGAAGGGACATGTGCTCAATACTCAAACGTATGGAGGACAATTGGTGAAAGAGGACGGCAAGGGCCCAACCTACATGTTGGGTACATTTAAGAAGAGTTCGTGAGCTCCTTCACATTGGGCCGAAGAGCGTGCTAACCTCTGCCAGACCAGCTCCACCTCACACGTCTGAATGGCCTTGTACAATTGCGAACACAGTTTCATCACCTCGATGCTATAAATCAACTCGAAGCCGCCCAACGCCGACGTGAGAAGGAGTCGCAAGACGGTGCAAAGCCTACCGAACCCAAGGCTTTCATGCCTACCGTGAAGAAAGCAGGTGGAGATACAGCGGCAGAGATCACCCAAGCATTTATGAAAGCTACCAATTCCGAAAAGTGGGATAAGCTGATGTATCATTACGAAGACGCCGATGCTTCCTACGCCGCTTTCGAAGAGCGACTATTCCTAGCAGATACAAAGGACGCTCCGAAGCTGCACTCCAGCATGTCTGACGACCAGTATCTGGACGCAATTAGCGCCCCCTCCAGTGGCAAGGGTTTGAAGAAGAAGTCGTCCCACAAGCGACCTGAAACGGTCGATATCTCTGATTCTGACGACGATGTCGAGAAGACGCCTGCCAAAGCGGAAGATGCAGAGCACGCCGCCCCTTGAAGAGTCATGATACCCAGGACATTCAAACAAAAAGTAGAAACTACATTAAATGATCGAGGTAGTACCGTGAAAGAGCAAACATGGAAGGACGTCAAAGCGGGCCATGCAGCTTCGAGTCTCCGATTGTACGTGGGAAGGGACTATGACCCACAGAAAGAGACATATAGTCATCGTCGCCGAGTCGAAGCTCGGATTATGGACAAAGTGCATGGGCCATCTTGGTGAGAGGGGTGGATGGCGTGGTAAACGGTCGCTAAAGAAGCGCATAGCCTACGCTTAAGCTGCTGCGGAAGGGCTGCAAGATTAGGGACGATGGAGGACAGGGTACTCTGCATCGATGAACCCCATGTGGTGAAGAGATGGACCTACCAGTTGAAAGCTTCACATCTCAACCGATTTCCCTCTCTGAGGCTTGACTGCAAATTGTTCAGGCGCATTGTGAAGTCAATCTATCTACTTCCGAGGGTGCATGGTCCATCGCCTTCTGAGATAGCAGAAGTCATAACAATTAGATGTGTCATAATCACATCTCACTTCCAGCTGCATGTTGCCAGCTATTCTCACAATCTTGACCACAGTAGGATACCGTGTATGGTTCCAAATGGATTCGACCCGAATACTATCGTACAGGCTAGCGCCTAACCTATAACCATATACAAGCGCCAATGCTTAATGATGACCAACCCAGAAAAAGAACGCAAAACCTTGTGCGATAATCACAAGTCACCATCTTGACCACCCTTTCCCCCTTGTTTCGGACCCTCCGTCCGTCTCTCTACGGCTTCTGCACCTTATGATCGCCCTTGATCACATCTGCATACGTCGGTGGCGGCCCATTAGGCTGCTCCGAGCTGCCCTCCCCTGCACCGGTCTCCTGTCCCGCAACGCCCTGCTGAGGTTGCACATTCTGGCCCTTTGCCTTGGGCTGCGGGAACGCATTTGTGGTGCCCGTCTGCTGTCCAGGAAACTGTCCCGCGTTCGGCTGGCTTCCCACAGTGCCGTAGTTCATCTGACCACCTTGAGGCGCCGGACCCCCGTGCGAGACATAGTAGTACGTTGTTGTTCGCGAGCCGTCCTGGCGTTCGTGGTCGGGAACGTGCTCGTAGGTGTGTTCGGGATTGTTGAGGATGATGTACCAGGCGTGAATCATGCCCGGGAGGAAGCCGAGGCAGCAGAGTGCTAGATTAATTAGGGAGTCGGCGCTGCATACGCCCTTCTTGACCCAGACTGTTTTCACGATTAGCAAAGTACGTTGAAGTGTACAGCTGCTGGTGCCTGGAACGTACCTCCGATAGGTGGGAAAAGGAAGGAAAGGAGCATGAGGAAGCAGTCAGTGCCGCACATGTTGAGTAATGGTATAGGCTTTCGAATTGAGCTTGTCAGGTCAGTGTCGGCGGCGGGTTGTGGTGCGTCGAGTGGAGTGACAAAGGCGATGTTGCAGGTGACTTGAGCAGGCAGAGGGAAGCTTCCGACGATGACGCATGCTGTGGCGGAGGCCGTAGTTAGCACAGCCACACTTGTTCACATGGGGGAAGGACCCACTCGTTCCTTCTAGTCCAAACACAGTAAACCACGTACGAGCGAAAGATCATCAAATAGGACGTTTTGGTATTGAACTATCTCAAGAAGTATCTACGGTAGGAACTAGATATTAGCGGAGTCTGTTCTAATAAATCATCGTGTGTTCGGTCTATAGGAAAGTGTTGAGTGCATTTGCTCGCGAGAATACTCGCAGATCATTGCACGGGGCGTACAGATCGTACGCAGAATTAGTTATTGTGTAAACCTTTTTTGCTTATTTGGAGGCTGCTAGATATACCCGCTGACAATCCAACACCAGCATTTTTTTTTTTAACTTCCTGGCATCAGCCGGCAAGCAGACTCCGCTCAAGAAGGCAAATCAATCGATAGCTTCCACAAGCTGTGTAATTCTCGATAAAGAAACATTCAATAATACAGACGAGCGGGCTGCTTGACACTGATACTATACAATACGAGACTCTAATAAGATTATGTAGGACGCTAGGAAACTTAAACCGCCGTCATCCATGCCCTGTTGATGGTTGTAGCAACGCCGGGCGCCGTGTAATGCCGCGCGTCGAGAAGAGTGGTTTAAGAAACTGTACAAGGCGGCAAAGAGAATTTGGGAATGAGAAGAATGAGGCTGGACGCTCAGCCAGGGTATCGATGAAAATTTGACGTGAGGCGAAGCTCTCATGATTGGAAGGACTTAGGTTCGTCGCCGTGCAATTTAGGATCACCGGCAAAAGGACCGACATTGAAATTTGGTGTTGTTTCTTGGTTTTGACTTGGAGGGCCGCGATACTCCGATGGATCAGGTGCGAGTATGGGATCGGTCGATTTGGTGTCTGGGTGGACTTCGATGCCCTCTTGTGCCTCGAGGTCTGACCTACTACGGTTGCGAGAGAATTTCAACGAGTCATTTTCACCGCCCGGACGATCAATGGGAGACCAGCCTGCAACACTGCCAGCGACGATACCCGCCATGACGGCAGCTGGCCCGAAAGCAGAGTTCGATCGAGATCTACCGCGGCGGCGGCTCTGAGGCGTTGGTGGTGCAGGCGAGCCCTCGTGTTCGACATTTGAGCCGTTGTTGGGTGTTCCTGGTAGTGACTGACTTGACCTGGACCGGGAAAAGATCTCACGAGGGTGCTCGATCTTGAACTTGAGGTTGCTAAGACGCCCACCACGGACCCTCTTGATGAAGGCGAGCTCGTCGCGAATCTCAAGCAGGCCTTGGTTCCATTGGTATTCGTCCGACACCACTACTTCAGGAGTTCGCTTGCGCTTGAGGAATGATGGAATGCAGCGTCCGACCAATTCATCCGGGATGAGTCGTACTATGACACCCACAACCAGCGAAAGAGCTCCCAAGACGATCGAGTAAGCCCATTGGGCACCGTTGATTCTAACGACGGAGAATGCACGACCACCAACAAAAATGATCATGGTCTGTCCGCCAATCATGATGGCCAAAATCGCAATGAAGAACCAGTTATGCGTGATGCCCTCAAAGATGTTGAAGCGATTGTCCAAGCGACGATTATTCAGCGAGTTGAAGATTTGCATCCAAACAAAAGTGTTGAAGACGAGTGTAGGCATGCGCTCCTTTTCTTCCGGAGAGTCATAAGAGAGGATCTTCTCTCCGGCGAAGTAAAGAATCAACGTGACCACCAATTGGTAGATTGCCTGACCAATGATCATCTTCCACATGTTGAGAGTAATGAGCGGCGCAGACTTCGGATCGGGCTTGCGGTTGAGAAGGCTACGTGTTGGAGGATCGGTTGCAAGGGCCAGAGCAGCGAACGTATCCATGATGAGATTCACCCAGAGTAGTTGCACAGCAGTAAGGACCGACTCCTGGTCCGAACTCGATACAGCTGAGATGAAGGTGAGCAGGACGGCGGTGATGTTGACGGTGATCTGGAACTGTAAAAATTTCTTAACGGCATCGTTGACAGCTCGACCCCATAGAAGGGCTTTGACGATCGATGCGAAGTTGTCATCCATAAGAATGATGGCAGAGGCTTCTTTGGCGACTTCGGTTCCAGCGATGCCCATGGAGAAACCAACATCAGCAGTCTTCAAGGCCGGTGCGTCATTTGTGCCGTCACCAGTGACTGCAACAGTCTCGCCCAGCTCCTTGAGTCGCTTTACAAGCTTACGTTTGTCTTCCGGACTGGAGCGAGCAAGGACACAGAGCTTGGGGATCGCGGCATCCATGTCCCGTTTCGAGAGTTTTCTGAACGTGGGGCCTTCCATGACCAATCCGCCAGGTACAAGAATTCCGCAGTCTTCAGCGATCGCCTTTGCAGTCAGAACGTTGTCACCAGTGACCATGCGCACGTATACACCAGCACCCTGGCAATCTTTGACAGCTTCGCGCACACCGTCTCGTAGGGGGTCTTGAATACCAACGATCGCCAGGAACGTCATGTTCTTGAAGATATCTTCGAACACCGCCTGGGAAGCATCGTCTTCAGACTTGCGTGCATCGCGAGGTGGCCAGCTCTCAAAGTCCCGGTAGATGAGGCCAATAGTTCGCAGCGAGCGCGAAGCATAGGTGTTGATGACTTGCTCAAGGGTTTCACGGTTGTCCTCGGAAAGTGGTCTTTCGATCAACTCCTTGGTAGCTTCAGAGACGATGGTGTCGCATTTACCGAGCAAAATTTCGGAAGCACCTTTGACGTAAAGCCTGTAACGCCCGTCTGCCAGCTTAGCGACCGCGCCAGAACATTTGATTGCAGAGTCGAAAGGAACGACCTGAACTATGTTCGCGTTGGCGCGTTCTGTCGAAACGGAACCCAGGCCAAGATGATCGCGGGCAAAGCCAAGGAGAGCAGTCTCAGTCTTCGACCCAATAAATGGATCGGGTCCACCCTCTGGTCCTTCAAAAGCCGTGGTGTTCTGTACGATGGATTGCTGCAGCAGCTCTTTAACTTCTTTGCCAAGGTTGGAAACGAATTCGGACGGTGTAACATCGTCCGGGCTTTCGAGGGGAGTCTCGAGACTGTGCTTGCCTTTGGCGCCGTCTTCAATGGGTTTTGTCGAATCCGGAGCCCTCAGCTTCTTATCTCCAAAGCGAAGGGCTGTTCCCAGGGTGCCAGACACTACTGTCATTTTGTTCTGGGTCAAGGTACCTGTTTTGTCGGAACAAATGGTTGTAGCATTACCCATGGTTTCGCAGGAGCGCAACAGTCGTACCAGGTTGTTGTCCTTCAACATGCGAGTGGTAGCAAAAGCGAGAGCAAGCGTCACGGCAAGTGGGAGACCTTCAGGGACCGCGACAACGACGACGGTGATGGCGACGATCAAGATATCCAAGAAGTTTTGACCCTTTTCAGCAGGCGTGTCGGTACTGGTACGGAGCTTGACGAGGAACTCGATGAAGAGAACAACAAACAGGAGCAGAGCGGACGCGCCACCGAGCTTTGCAATGTATGTAGCGAGCGTGTTGAGCTTCGATTGCAGTGGCGTCACCTCGCTCTCTTCGCGCAGAGACATCATCGTCTTGCCATAGCTCGAGTGAATTCCGGTAGCGGTGACTAAGAAAGTGCCAACGCCTTCGGAGACTTTGGCACCAGAGAGGATGAAAGGATCCATCTTCTTTGTCGATTCGTGGTTTTCGATGGCCCGGAAGACATCGTCAGCCGGAGTTTTCTTCAGCAAATCAGATTCACCGGTGGCGGACGACTCATCGCACTTGACGCCATGGCCTTGAACAAGAATACCGTCCACAGGTACCATGTCACCAGGCTCCAGATTGACGATATCACCGACAAGTATATCGTATACGGAAATCTCGCGTAACTGTCCGGACCGGATGGCCTTGACATAGCGATCTTCCTTCTTCTTGTTCAATTTCACGAACTGTCGCTCCTTTTGCCAGTCGTTGGCAGCACCAACGACGACGACGATGAGAATGGCAACGATGATGGCTACACCTTCGACCCACTCAACCTTGGGCACACCGGGCTCGTGCTTTACGCCGAATGTTTGGTAGAGGCCGAGGGCTAATGAGATGATGGCAGCAATTGTAAGAAGAATCAAGACTTTGTCGTTGTAAGCTATCCAGGCCAGCTGTAAGATGTTTTTGGGTTTCCGCTCGGGTAACCGGTTGTCGCTAAAAACCCGTTTTCGGTCGGCGAAAGCATCATCGCCCGCATCTTGCGCTGTATCAGCGGATTGGGCTCCGTTGGCTGGCGAAGATTTTGGTGCATGCGTAGAACTCGGGGTGGTTGCTTCTTCAAACGAGATGGTGCCGTCAACGTGCCGTTCGTCAACGCTTAGTCCTGCTTTCCGGTCTGACTTCAGACCCCTTTCGAGTCCGTCTAAACCACCCAATGCGTGGAAAGCACCCAAGCTTTTTGGATTGTAAAGTTTCCCTAATTGACCGGGCGAGAACGCAAAGGGATTGTTCTCGACTTCAAAGTCGGCTTCTGTCCCAGGATCTGGACGCAGCGCATCCTCATCGTTGATTATACCATTGGCGTTGTGGTCCCCACGCATGGTCTCGCCCTGTGAGGAAGGTATGTATGTACCGCTGGACGTCGACTCGCCGTTCTCCGTATCGAAAGAGTTTCCGCGCGAGCGTCCGGGCACATTGAGAAAGCCCTGGGATGTGGTACCCCAATTCGAAGGTGACGAGACGTTGTGAGGGGAAGTCGGTCTACTCTCGCCGCTCTTGCGGCTCTCGAAAGAGTTAGTAGCACGAAGCTCTGTTGTGGGCTGCTTGGACGTGCTTGGAGAGACATCTCCACCGTCGTTGTGTTGTGTTGAGGATGAGCGGTTGTCCTGCAGCTCGCCCAATGGCACAGAATCTCCCATGGTAGTGTCGTTGGGGTTGACAGCCGAAGTGTCTATGGTAATGGTAGGAGCTCTCTGTCGTCTACCAGGACCTGGCGAAGGCGTGTTCCGCGCCTCCACGTCTTTATCAGCCATGAGGGTTGCCTTGCTGTAGCAGGGGCCGCGTGTTGGGGCTGTACGAGGAACAAGTAGGCTATGCTGGGCAAGCGATGGGTGCGGCGGAAGGATATGCTAGGGCGTCTCGCCGGTGTGATGGTCGGTCAAGCATGCGGTTGGGCGCGCAAATTGATAAAGGCGCGGAAGGAGGTGTGATTAGGCGCAAGACGAGGCTGAGTCTCTCTTGGGAGTATCGCGGCTTCCTCGACGGTAGTAGCGGAGGAAGGAGGTTCTCTCGGCTGGGGAAGCGAGGATTGGGGTTAGCTGAGGGCGAATTGGTGGTGGGCGTTCAGCAGCGGACCTGGGGTGTCTACACAGCCCCGTTGTACTCACCTGGGCGGCTGTTGTTGCTGATGGAGAAGGCCCGCAAAGCTATAAAGCGACCCACGCCTGTTGTCTCGGCGCTTGCGTGGAGGATGGCAAAAGGCGAGTTTGAGGCACGTGAAGGTTCCAGGACAGCTGAAGCGGCTTGCTTCGGAGGGTGCTGCGGCGGAGGAGCTGGGTCTATGATGGTGAAGAAGAGTCTCGGCGTGGCAGTGTAGTGTGGTAGTAGGCCGGTGCACAAGCAAGAGGACGGCGACTACGAAGACATGGTCGCTGAGCGCGCGGGAGACAAGCAGTGGCGATCAAAAAGGCACTGGAGGACGTTCCGGATATCGAGTCCACGGAACAGGGTGAAGACGTGCACTCTGCGTCCGCCCAAGCGTCTGCTGTTCCCACCGCCCAGAGAGAGTTGCGATGCACTGCCCCAAACCTCCAACCGCAAGCAGCGTAGCGTGCCCGAGGGGCTGTCTTGGGCCTAGCTTGGCCGGCGTCTTTTCGCGCCTCGCTACACATGGAGACCCTGCTCCAGCCCTTTAGCCTCGAAACTGTGCGTTTCACTTGCCCTCTGCCGCTGCGTTCCCCACACGATCGCTGTTGCTGTGCTCCGGATGCTGCTGTGGTGCGTGGTGCGAGAAGCCGGCAGTCGAGACGCAGCGTCAGGCCGCCCGTGGCGTCTCGGGCTGCTCTGAGATGAGGCCAAGCTTCTTCACGCTTCGTGCGAGGCGGGACCGCACACGTATCGCGGCCAAGAGCCAGCGGCGTGCGCAATTCGCCGCCCAGCGAGCACTGCCCGCCATGAGCTAGCCAGTAGCTCCCGAGCCTCGTCAAATGCAAGCGTCAGACCTGGCCATGGCCACCAGTCCGCCGCTGCCAATTCCCGCCAAGCGCGCGCATCTTGGGAGAGCGCCATGGCGACACCACTCCGCCGCGCCTGTGCTGCCCTCGGCCACCAAATCGCGCCCCGTCATTTGCGTGCGCGGCGCCTGCCCCTTTGTTGCCCAAGCCTTCCACAGAGCACATCATGACTCCAACACGCTTGTCGCCTCAACAGTGAAAACCACGCATTTGCCATGCCTTGGTACAAATGCATAGCCCCGACGCTCGGCATGACAGCGCAGCGCAGCGCACTCAGTCCGTTGGAGCTCGCCGAGTGACCTTGCTGATGGTCAGCCCGCGCTCAGAGGACGGGACGCACCTACGCCATTCCAGCCTACCCCGCCGTGTGCATGTGGAAATCACTTCTACACGCTTGATATACCGGTATGCAAGGTCGCGTCACCAATCAATACCACGCCCTTGGCAGGGGAACTTTTGCCTGTCGCATCGCCATGTCTTGTGTGACAGCGGCTATACTACACCGATGTCTTGTTTACCGTGACGCATTGCTTTCATCCAACTGCTCCTTGCGAGTGCATCGGCAATGCACAGGGCCGTCGTCCCGCGTCTCTGCTTCCTGGAGAGCTTTGCAGCCGATACAGTTCTATTCGCCGTCTGCAATTGATGCTGACTGTCCTGGACAAGTCAAACTGCAGCTGCCCTGCCAACAAACGTCAACTGGTCGTTCCCCTTCGCTGACTGCAGTTCGACCAGTTGACAAACCACGCCGTCTCGCAGGCCTCCATCAGCAAACATCGCCCATCCGTCGTCCCTGCCGCCATCCTGAGTGATGGCCCAATCAACCACGAGCGCTAATCGGCCTGCAAGAGGGGCCGCGTCTTCACATCATGAATTTATACCACTGGCTAGATTCACGCTCGTTCTGTCTTATCTTTCCAAACGCTCCCGATGCAAGCAAATGCTCTCGTCATGCGGGCCAGAGCGCTTCCATCGCTACCGACTGGTGAATGCTGACAGCCCTTCAGGCCATGGTTCACGCTATCAAGCCCATATCGTTTCGACTTAAAATTCACGTTTCGACCGTCGCTCTTTCCCACTTTCTGCAAATGCTACTATTTCGACGTCGGCTACCAGCTCTGCGGTTGAGACATTCTGCACGACCGATTCGCCCCCAAAACTCTATTCTCGTCTCGCACACTTGTACCTGCATATTGGCCCCAAGACCCCGCGTTTATCGCGCTCCAAAAACAGCTCCCGCCATCCGCGAAACACAAGATCCTCAGGCATTCTATCTAAGGCACAAATACGTTTGATGCCTTCTGCACTCTACCATATCGGTAATCACGCCATTCTGTATGCCCAATATGGAACATCGAGCATGCAATACCGCTCCCGAAGGTTCGCTAGGTCTACGGAAACATCCTAAGCCGTTCTCTATATATCCACACGCCGCATGGCAATACGTACTCGGATGGGGCCAACTGAAATCGTCCGCAACAGACCTTCGTTAAGGTTCAATAATAGACGTTCATCCGCAACTTCACGTAGGTTTATAGGACCAGGTTTTCTGGTGTGCTAGTGATGCGGTCGAGCGGCACAATATGCATCGATGGCGCTGTTCTACCGATAAGGCACTCAATCCCAGCGCTTAGGGTCCATGTGGCACAGTTCGATCCGGACACCTTCCTCATAGTCACTACCGCACATGCGTGTGAACTGGGTTCACATGCGCCCGAGTGCGGGTGTGGCGCTTTATGGCCAGCATTCATGTATGACGGCCACATGGTGGGCCTATCGCAAGTCCAGTACGGTTCCATCTCACTGATCATACTCTATCGCGTACACAAGGCAACAAACATTATTGCGTTCCAGTCAGCCTTACGCTACTCTCGTCGACAAACGAGGTGATAGACATAGCAGAACTAGGCAGAAGTCGGCGAGCTACCATCAAATCAAAACACTGGGAAACCAAACTCCATACAACAGCGCCCATCTAATGCATATCTCTTTCTTCCATCATAATTGCTCTATCACTTCGAGCGACAGTCCACTCTCCAATCATCACTCACACTTCCCTTACTTTGCATCTCGTCATTGCGATCTTCTGGATTTCACGTCCGCCGCATGTTCACACTCCGCCGCCGCGAACAGAAGACTGCTTGACTTCACTCGATCTTCGCTTCACCATGCGCGCGCCACACAATAGCTCGCTCGCCGGAGGTTGCTAAAAGTTCAACGACGGACGTATCTTGTGCATCATCATGCGAGTCTATTTGTTCATAGCGTAAGGGTAACACGTATGTAGGGTTGTATCTTTTGGATTGCGCATCCTTCAAGCGTGCAGCGTCCGTTCGAATTGATGTTTTCACACATCGTTGTATCATTGTTCAGGTACAACTAGATCACTAGACGCAAGACTAAACTGTCTGCCTCAGACTTAAGGCATCAACCTATCGTGAAATTATAGGGCTGAGATCCTAGGACTTTACAGATTGGCTGATATAGCCGCGCTGGGCCGGTGAGTTTGTGCCTTATATCTCAGGCATTCTTTTTCGGCTGAGCATTTCCCATAGGGCTGAGTGGGATGACGGCTGAGACCGGTGAAGAAGGGGCGGAAAGTGCGTGCCTTATATCTCAGGCACCAACATGTCCTCCAGCTGCCGAGTGGGTGACAGATCTCAAGCACCGGTGAGACAGCATACGTGCACTCGAGGCTTAGGATGTTCAGCTGAAGTGGCTTGGTCGGCGAGTGTACGTGTTGACTTACTGTTTACTCTGGATCTTGCTCGGCTTTGCCTTTGCCTTTCCGTATAATTCCTTAAATTGATGAGACCCCAATCATTACTCAAAAGCGTATGGTAGTAGCCTATTGCGACAGCCTTTCAGTGGTAATAATAATATGCAAATTTACACGCGCGTTCCCTATGACATTTGCATTGGATCAAGCCTGTACGTTTTAAAACTAGCCGATACGGTCTTCTAGGTATTGGGAATCTCCAGATACGCGCTCAACCTGCCTTTCTCTATTTGAATGATGAGTTCATGGATGCCTAAGCAGCGGCAGCTCTTTTGTTTACAAGACTGGAGGAAGAGATGTGTGGACTATGACAAGTGCATGCTCTACCTTGAATTCCTAGATTTCTACAGATGAGTTTGCACAATAAAGTCATAGAGAGATTGATTATCGTGGAGATTGATCGTTCATGCAGGCTGAGGAAAGTCAGTCTTGCTCCTTTGCACGTAACACCGCGCCACGTTTCCTTCCCTATTCTGCAATTGATTTTTGATGGCCGCTATAGCACATTTGGACATATTTGACAAGTCGTAGCATGTTGTGATGTCTCCTCTGCTTTGACCTTATCGCAACTTCTTCGCAGATTGTATTCACTCGGATCTCATGGACCGATGAAACGTCACACGACCGACTTGTGTGTGTAGCACAATCTTCTACCCAGTCAATAATACCAAGTCAATAATGCCAAGTCCAGAATTCCACAGGCACGATGCTGCAACCCCCCGTTGCTTACCCACAGAATAGGCGTGCATCAAGGCCAAGTCAAGGGGCAAGGTAATTGATCCAAAGAATATACAATCGCACCATTCGGTATGCCCATACCAGCTTTGGGTCGTGGCGTGAACCGTCCAATACCGCAACCTCACAATCGTGACCAACAATGCTCTTCTGTTCACACACTGTCCTGACAGCAAAGTTACTCAGCCTCGCAATATGCAATAACGTTCCATTTCTCCTATCTACAATTTTTGCTCCGCCGCCTCAACCGCAGACAAGGCAGCGAAAGCCGAAATTTCTTCCAGCACTGCCCTCCCGCACGCATCCCGCCCGCCGCTCTGCCTTCCCAAGACATGCAATGCCACGATCTTGGTCATCACGGTCCAGCCTCATCGTCCTCTCCGCCGGCATCGCCCTTCTTGGGCTTCAAGTTCGGCAGTCTGATCGTTAGCACCAATATATTGACTACGACGAATACGGCAATCGCCGAGATGAAGGTGACGCGCAGACTGCGGCCATAAGCATCGATCACTATGGGTGCTATTAGCTTGGGGGGCTGTGTAGAGGGTGGGTCCGGAAGCGGGACGATCCGCAATCTGTAAATGGTGGGTGGTACAGAAACGGTCGCAAGGGAATGATGTATAGGGGTAAGGATTGCAGGGAACGTACCTTGGTGTTGGTGTTTGGAGTCGAGGTCGAGGATGGAACGCACGGATTTGCGGACGGTGAGAATGATCTGGGTGCGAAGGGTTAGTTTCCTATCGCAACGCAGAAAGCGACAGAAGAAAATGAAAGAGAAGCTTGAAGATGGCACATACCTCTTCCTTGTGCTTTCCAGTTACGAGAGCATCGAGGTACGCCGTAAGCGCATTCTGTAGTACCAAGCTGCTCAATGCGACACCCATGACCGTCCCAAGCTGCCTCCACAGAATCAGCGTACTAGTCATCACCGCCTGATCGTCCTGTGTACTCATCGCAAGTACGCCTACCATCGTAGCCGGATAGCTAAGACCTTGTCCTAAGCTCGCAGGCACGAGGAACAGCGTCGCAAGCCAGGTTGGTATGTTATCCCACATCACAGACAGCAGCACGCCGCCAAGGAGCATGCTGAGCGACCCAACGACAATGAGCCATGTCATGCGTCCTGTAGCAGTCATGATGAAGCCTGAAGATACGCCGCATATCATAAGAGCGAGCGAGGGTCCTGCGAGACGGAAACCGGACAACGACGCGGTTTCGAGCTTCACAGCTTGGAAGTATAGCGGTGCGTTGAAGATGATGGCGTTGATTCCGATATTGGCGAGGAAATTGTTGAAGACAAGAGAGCCTCTTGGACGGGAGAAGAGAAGGTACAATGGCATGACGGGTCTTGCAGCCTTGTGTTCGACGCGGAAAAGGATTGCACCGGAGACCAAGGCGACCACGAGGGAGACGATGACGAAGGGGTGCTCCCAAGGGAAGACGTTGCCTCCGAGATTGAGGCCTGCGATTAGAAAAGCAACTGATCCGGTTAGGAGGATAGAGCCTGCAATGTCAAAATCTCTCAGAGCGTCTCTAAAACCTTGACCGGATCGCTGAGCTAGGTTGGGACCAAGAGTGGAAGGAGTGGTGAAGTACCCGTTGATAAAGATGGCGACCAAAAATGGAATTTGAACGGCAAAGGTCGGTCTCCATCCCAATTTATCGCACAAGAAGCCTCCGAACGCTGCGCCCAAGGTCGAACCGCTTCCGTAGAAGAGGTTGATGTATGCTTGGTATGTACTCCGCACCTGGATGCTAACAAGGTCATTGATGATGATATTGCCCATGGAAAGAACTGCTGCTGCACCGATGCCACAGAAAGCTCTTGCAGCGATAAAGCTTCCGATACTTTGTGCGAGGGCACACCATCCCGTCGTGACTGCAAGAAACGCTACTCCGGAGAGGTACAATAGGCGTCTTCCAAATGTATCGGACAATCTGCCAAAGAGAGGCTGTAAAGATGTCGATGTTAGCAGAAATGAAGTCGATAGCCATGATGCTGAATTGGAAGCGTTAAAATATGATGTTATCACGGGATGACTTGATGCCATGAGCGTGGAATCGAACATTGCTATCTACTCCGAGGTTAGATTATTTCCGCATTAATAGGGTACAGAGGGCTATATAGTCGTTAGAAACTCACAAAGTATCCCGCAAATACGCCGCCGATTATGCATCGGAATTTCGCCCTTAATAGGCCTGCTAGAAGCCCGTCTTCGCCAAATACGCCTGGCTCATCCGGTTGTTCTGGCGGAACCTCTTGATCAGGAGCAAGCCAATGGCTACTCGAAAAGCTTCTCTGTTTGCCTAATACAGGAAATTGAGGTGCTGTGAGAGCACCCTGTGCTACCTCTGCATCTTGAATGTCGTTCTCGTACAAGGCTGACTCGCTTGGTCGGTCCGAAGGTTGCACTGGACGCAGCAGCGGTGTCCGCTCTGAGGCGTTGTGGTGGCCTTGCATTAACAATGATCAGGATAGGACAACAGCACGCCAGTCATCCACCAGAAGAAAAAGCTGTTGGCGCACGAAGGCAGGTGGAGAGTCGGCATCACTCCGAGTACACTCCGAGTTTGTGTGACAAAGCGGCTATCCGCGGACTAGCCCCTTCTACGTTAGAAGCCTAGCTTAACCCCGGATTCGCCTCTTATCGCATCTCCCCTCCTCTATACAGCAGTACAGCAATATTTTCTCCCAACCGTCTCTTGGATTTGGTGGATATGAAGCCTCCTCTACGAATAGCCGTCCTTGAGGCTGACACACCCCCTGATGATATTGTCGCAAGATACGGAAAATATGGCCAGCTCTTCCGCACGCTGCTCGAGACGGCAGCAGACGAGCTAGGCGAACCAGGTTTCTCAAAAGATAGCTTAGAGTTGAGCGGGTATGATGTAGTGACGGAGCAAAAGTATCCTGAAATTGATAGCGTGGATGCGGTCTTGATCAGTGGATCCAGTAGGTCTTCGAACGGACATAGATCAAACTTGACTCACAACTTGCAGAGCACAATTCATTCGACAACGACCCCTGGATCTTGAAACTTGTCGAGTTCACCGAGAAGCTGCTCAAACAGGATCGCATTCGCGTCATTGGCGTGTGTTTTGGCCATCAGATCATTGGACGGGCCGCAGGAGTCAAGGTCGGACGAATGGAGGGAAATATGGAGGTCTCGGTATTACCTGTCGAGTTGACTGAGAAGGGCAAGGAAATTTTCAAGCAAGACACTCTTGTACGTTAACATCCCTTTGTTATTAATCCTTGCTAATGTAACACAGAGCATCCATCAAATGCACCGGGATGTTGTCTTCGAATGCCCTGAAGGCACCGAGGTCCTTGGCGGGTCTCCTAGATGTCTCGTTCAAGGCATGTACAAGAAAGGGAGACTCATCTCTGTCCAAGGACACCCCGAGTTCAACGAGGCTATCGTAAGCTATCTGGTCATCATGCGCACCAAGCAAGGCATCTTCAATACGGAGGAGGCTAAGGATGCATTGGATAGGGTCGGGAATCACCACGATGGTGTTGCAGTTGCGAAGGCATTCCTCAGATTCTTGCTTGAAGACTAAGGTAGATGGGAATCATCATGTCGCATATGTACTGAGCCTCTGCATCTGTCCAAACGTGTTGGCGTGGCGAAGGAAGCGCACCCCCCACGCTGTCAAAACGGATGCATTGCCGCATTCGACAGGGGGTTAAATATAGCGCCATGAGGTCATCGCAGGCCTGATCCCGGTCACCATCAGATGCCACTGCAATGAAGACAGAGTGTCAGAAGGACCATTCCTTATGGCATCGAAAACGCCACGGAACGACACATGCGCAGGAAATACGACGTGGTCGTATGTCGCAATATTGGGTGGTGTGCTGAGCGCATGGTTGGTTTACGGCACCGTGGGAGGACCGCCGTAAATTATTAACTAAGCTGAAACCAGACGCCGTGGCCGCGTAAACCTCCAAGACCCTCGTACTGTGTTCTGTGCAACCTGCCCAACGATTCACACCTACTTCCACGTCGCTCGTTAGCCTTCACTGCCATTTCGGACTATCCTGCACTGGCCGCGCCATCGCGTACGCCTTCTGAGCCTTCGTCCCCCCTTTTCTATGCCCTCATAACTCGATGCCGCTTGATCGGTAGTTTTTGGCCTCGCCTTCTCCAATGGGCAAATGTAAGAACCTGTTACCCAGGCATGCTTTGTCGCTTCATGCGAATTTGGACTGACAACAGCTATGCAGGGAATTACGGAGTAGTCCTGGATGCGGGCTCTTCCGGCACACGCGTCCACATTTACAAATGGCTGAAGAGCGATAAGGCGCGCAAGAACCACGGCAGTCTGCACAAGCTACCGGAAGTTTCAACGGACAAGAAATGGACCAAGAAGACCCACCCGGGCATCTCGACCTTTGGCACGCATCCCCATGACGTCGGTCCCGATCACCTCGATGAACTGTTCAAGCATGCGCTCAAATACGTCCCGAAAGACGAAGTCGCGAATACGCCCCTCTTCCTGCTCGCGACAGCCGGCATGCGAATACTGCCTGATCTGCAGCGGAAATCAGTGCTCGAGGAGGTGTGTGCTTATGCAAGGAAGTCGACAAAGTTTCAGCTACCAGATTGTGATCTGCACGTTCAGGTTATTCCGGGAGAGACGGAGGGCTTGTACGGGTGGATAGCGGCAAATTACTTGCTAGGAGGGTTCGATGACCCGGAAGAACATGACCATGGGAAGAACCACCACACGTATGGATTCTTGGACATGGGAGGAGCGTCAGCCCAGATTGCCTTTGCGCCAAATGAAACCGAAGCCGAACGACACGCGAACGATCTTACCTTGTTGCGATTACGGACGTTGAATGGAACGCCGCTCGAATACAAGGTGTTTGTAACAACATGGCTTGGATTTGGCGTGAACCAGGCGAGGCAAAGATACGTCATGCAATTGTTGGAATCGAGTATCAACGCGAAAGAATACCCAGACCCGTGCTTGCCGACCAACGCCGCAATTATGGTCAGCGACGACGGCAAGGTTATTGAGTCTGGGTCGGGGAAGAAGGGCCACAAGCTGGTCGGCACGGGGGTGTTCACAGAATGCCTCACTAAGTCGTTTCCACTGCTCGAAAAGGAGAAAGAATGCCTAGACGCACCATGCCTTATCAACGGCCAACACACCCCAGCTATCGACTTTGATGTAAACCACTTCGTGGGCGTATCCGAGTATTACCACACCACGCACGAGATCTTCAAAATGGCGGCTAAGGACGATGAAGAATACGACTTCAAGACTTACCAAAAAGCCGTCGATGAATTCTGCAGCAAGAGCTGGAAAGACATCGAGAAGGGTATAAAGAACAAAACCTGGGGCAAGATCGACGAGCAAACAGCGCAGGAAGTATGCTTTAAATCTTCATGGCTTATCAATGTTCTCCACGACGGTATCGGTGTACCTCGCGTCGGTTTAGAGAACCTCAACAACAATGTCACCAAGGTTAAAGTCGGTGGCAAGCACGGTTCAAAGAAGGGCTTTATCAACCCCTTCCAGGCTGTCAACAAGATCAATGATGTGGAGGTTAGCTGGACGCTCGGCAAGATGGTACTCTATGCTGCTAGCGAAGTACCACCCAACACTACGGATGCTTTGGCTGTAGGCTTCGGTGCAAACGTACCCGGCATCCCTTCGAATTTCCAGGTCCCGGGGGGCTCGCATGTACCGTATATGAGTCAAGCAGATTCGGAATGGCATGACCGCCTGTTCTCGGAGAATTCGCGGCGCATACCGGGCTTCTTGATCTTCACCCTCATCGTAGTGATGATCTGTTACTTCACCTGCTGCGGACGGGAGCGCCGCCACGCCGCACGTCAAAAGATTGGCGACATGCTTGGACGAGGTGGATCTTCGGATCGGCAATCCGGTTCTCTCCTGCACCGACGTCGGCGTCCATTCCTGGACAAATTGTTCGGTCGCGGTGGCAACATACAATCCTACGAGCGCGTTCTGGAGGACGGTGACACGCCGAACGACTTCGAACTTGGGTCTTTCATCTCTGATGATGAAGAGCACTCTGATTCTAGCGAGGGATCGGCGCGTCTAGGAAGAACTTCAGGCTGGGCGACGCCGCAACTCAAGGAGACTGGAACGCCAACATTCGATCCCTCAAGAGGCGACGTCGTGGCACAGGGTTCTGGGCTGGGACTTGCGCCGCCGGGTGTGTTTGCTAATGCAATCGACCGAGATGGTCTGATGAGCCGAACGGATAGCAGAGAGCGGATGGCTAGGAGTAGAGCAGGGAGCCCGAAACGAGGCAAATTCGGGGTTCTCGATGCGTGAGTCCCAATGTTTCATCCGGCGTTCAGGGCTTCGAACTTTGGAGGGGATGTATTCAACGTTGTCTAGTTTAGCGTGCTTTGGAATGGTGGTTTACTTTTAGATGGGTAGGCGTTTTTGGCTGCGGGCGATGAGCACGCGTGTGTGATCCGCTTGTAAATAGGCATCACGATACGAGTACGATTTTAGCTTGTGTCTTTACAGTTGTATCTGCATTCAATCATTGAAGGCTGGAGCAGATTCTTTTGAAGCACATCATTTGGCGCGTGGTCATGCTCCAACAAGTGTCCTGTCGTGCAAATTGTTCATCCCATACGACAGCAAAGTAAATTTATTGCTTGTGAGACAATGATAGCAACTATATCTGTATGTAGCTCCGGTAGACGAACGTCGCTTAATCTTCCGGTTGTGGAAGACCGTGGACGATGCTAGTCCATGATTTTCGCCAGGTTTACATTTCCTAGGCACATCCATGAAGTATGCTCGCGAAATACCAAAGGCCAAACTCGATCAACGGGACCAACACCTCGAAAGTAGATGTGAAGTTTGCATTAGACTAGACTAAGGTACCCAAAGAACAGTAGATACTACTATCCGTGTAGCTGATGAGTGCACCTCTCCCAACCCCAATACACAGCGTTTAGATTTTGGCAAAGCCCTCGTGCGCCAACATAAGCCATCCACAATGGAACACCCAGAACCAGCCCCTCACACCGCCTACTTATGCTTGCGCTTCTCTCTTTCTCCCTCTACGCATACATCTTCTTCGTCTTCACCTCGTCAACCGATCCTCCATCTAATTCCTTTCGACTCTCGAAACAAGGCATTTCATGGATCTGTACTTCATTGTCTTTACGAGGTGTTGGCGGCGGCATCACGGGTCCCTCGTAAGAAGTTCCACCCTGCGAGTGATCCCAGTGTGCGTACACGGTGGCGTCCTTCTCTAGGGGCACTGAGTCGGAGGCTGGGTCAAACGTGTAGGCCGACTTGCGACGACCCCAGATGATGCCTAGGCCGATAAGGGCGAGGGCTGCGGCGGAGACGCCGACGCCGACGCCGGCTTTGGCGCCGGTAGAGAGGCCTGTGGAGGGTTCTGAAGAGGAAGTCGAGGATGGAGTGGAGGTTAAGGCGGGTGATGGTGATGCTGTAGAATGTGATGCTGATGTAGAAGCGGGCGCCACGGCAGACGAAGACGGTGTTTTCGTTGCGGAAGACGTAGGTTTCGAGGACGCTACCGAAAATGACGACGAAGCAAACGCGTCGGTGAAACTCTTAGGGTCGAATGTAATGGGGAGGTACTCGATGCCCAAGCCTGAGTCCTCGTTGCAGCAATCCTGGGACGTGCCGCAGCACCAGCGCTGCGACTCATTGCCTGCGGCGCGGTTGCACGGCGTTAGGAAGGGGTATTTGTCGGTCTAGTTTCGTATCAGCTTCATATATCTCCCTTTTGTTTTGAGCGTACAGAGTGGGACTTACACCACAAATATGCAAACACCCATCCTTACTCCAGTCCGAGTGCGTACAACTCGGTTTCGTCCACGCCGCAGCCGCAGGTGGACTCCCCTTCTTCGTGCCCACCTGACACAGTCCATTCGGCGCGCATATATCCGCGCCGTCTTTGCGATTCGTCGCACATCAGATCGTCGATAGAGGGTTCGACGAGTCCTGAGAGCAAGGCTGGTACTCTACGTTCTTGTCGATGGTGCCGTCCGGGAAGTAGCATCCAGCTCTAACATTGCCTGCCAATAAGATTAACGACGGGAGCAATATTGAGTGTCGCATTGTGTGCGTGTGTCGCAGCTGAGGAGGCAGTGCGAGTCCTTGGTTCGCCTGTAGAGGGTCTCACAATGAGCAAACGACCTTGGAGAGTGGTAATGACAGTAAAGACCGAGGTCCGTAAGCCTAGGAAGAGAGGTGAGGTGACAGTGCCGGGTCACGATGGGAAATGGCAAAGAAGTGCTTTCTCGCGCGGGTTTGAAGTGCGCCACCTGCGCAAGCGTTCTCGCGCGGTTTGAAAGTTGCTTGCAGTGTAAGCCTAGCCACTCTGGGTCTGAAAGTTATATTCCGGCAGCTTAGTGATGGAGCTTAGCACGGGGTCTTCAAATGTAGAAGGAATCCTGAAACTGGTGGGGCTATCAAGCGGGAAAACACGATCTAGAGTTATACAATGAGCCTTACGCTCCGTCCGCCTGGAATCGAACACCTGTGTCGAATTGCACTGAAGATCCAGTCACTGGACAGGGTGGCAAAGTTTGCAGTAATCTTAGTAGCTTTATAGACCAGAAATGTCGTTACTGTCGGGAATCAGGGGCTACACTGCATGGTGGTGCGGTTGTTCTCGCACGATACGCGGTGACGGACTTGCAGCTTTCGGCGCGAACTATCGTATACATTCCCGCGCATCTGGACTCCTTTGCCTCAACATCGCACTTCGAGAGACGTAATTTGCTGGTGTGCTGTTATACCTGATATCTGTGATGACAGCTAGGATCATTGATTGTGCTTCGTGTAAATGCTTTGATCGTGTAAGAAAGCTGTCTTTGGCACCCGAGACAAGACCGCATGCACGAGGAGGAAAGAAGTCGCGGTCGATGAGACTCGCCGTCCAACCATATCGCTTAAAGTTGAAAGCGGCTTCGCGCGTGGCTTCGGGGGTCGATGTGGTGTCACCACATGAATATGCTCGACTGGCACAGGGCCGGCGTGTTCGTTATATTGATATCTCGTGTCGGGTTTACGCTTTTCTCTTTCGGAGGGCGCATATTGGCTGCATCAGACCAAGTCCTCAACCTCCTCTTCCTCTTCCTCTCCACTCCAGTCGAGCTTCATCAGCAACCGATCCACTCCCCCAACTTTCAATGGTTCATACTCATCCCTACTGGCCACAGCTTCTTTGCCTACGATGCCAGTCCTACCGACCCCTACACGTTCGGAATCGATCTCTCGTAATCGTCCCACCAGAGTCTTCAGATCCGAATCTAGACGTCGTCGTGAACGATCCAGCTCCAGCTTTACGTCCCTTTCCTCCTGATGGTAATTGTGCTTGTAATCTTCAAAGCCTTCGTCTTCTTCTAGGTCAAGATTCTGCTGGATAGATTGCAGGCGCGTAACATATGCTGCTAACTCGTCAACGTGCGCAAAGCAAGTGCGAAGAGTCGAGGCGAAAGCATGGTCGGTCAAAAGAAGCGAATAAGTGATCGATGAGAGAAAGCGGCGGTGTGCGAGAGAAAGAGCCTCAGGATCGTGCTGTTCAGACTTTTGTGCTTGCGAATCATGAACTTGAGAGGGTGTAGACCCGCTTGACATCTTTGGCTCCAGTCCTGATTCGGTTCCGGGATTCTCAACCCAATGCAAGAAGTGTTGAAAAGACTCCCGCACGACCTCACCTTGGAGGTAGGCTTCGCCTTCTGACAAGAAGAAGATTGCTGCTGCACACGTTGCCCAGACTTTCCTTAAATCTCGGGTCCGAGTATTGTTCCTCTCTCGCCTTCGTTTAAGAATGGCTTTTCCCTCGGGGGAATTGCTGTATTGATACCCTGGTGGTGGCGGGTACTCCCTTCGTATGGAGCTGATCCGCCAGAGTTGAGAGAGGTGGAGGTGAGACCGGCGAAATGCTAATAGATATGCGTTGATGGCTGAGTAGACTTCGATATCTGTCTTGGTCATGAAGAGGTCTAGTGGCGATTTCACATCCATGGCCAGTGTCGTCGGAACAGATAGAAGAAGATCGTTGAACGCAACATTGGCTATGCGGGGCAGGATATTCGTGGGGTCTCTAGCTCGCCCTGGTGTTCCAGGGCGGTGGCTCGAGGAATCGCTGACAGTGAGGTGGACTACCTCAGCAGCAACATCCAGAATGTCATCCGTGTGATCGTCATCACCACCCAACGTTGAAAGCACGGTAAATGAACGCGCCAAAGTTTGAGTGATCTCGCCCTCCTTCAGTAAGATGCCTTGAACCCCCTGCGAGAGCTTTTGATGCACTGGCGCTTTGTGGCGAGACTGCGTTTTCTCGTCGGACTCTGCAATCAGAGTCATGGCGAACTCACCTCGACCAAGAAGGAAGAACTGATGTAGAACAGTCAAGATCTCGACAATCTTCTCCTGGGGCAGCAAATGCTGCAGCAAGTTCCGTGAAAGGGATAGACGAATGTTGGCCACGGCTTCAGACAGCTTCGCCGACAATATGGGGATTTTGACCTCGGAGAGATGTCCTACATGTGCAGGTAACAACTCCATTTCTGAGACACCGAACGATTTTCCACTCATTGACCTTGAGTTGACTGGTAGAGACCGTACCTGGTTCAGCGATCTGCCAATGAACAAGATCGAAGACGCCGTGTGCCGAGTCACAAACTTTGGTAATAGTTTGTGGTTCACAGAGAAATCAAGGTCTTCGTCAGACTCGTCCTCGATGAAGAAGTCAGACGCCCCAAATGCCGGCAGGCGACCATACAAGAGCCAAGTTGAGAGCTGTCGCAGCCAAGATGTCTCCGCAACGGCACCAAGATGGAGGGCTGCTTCTTCGATGTCAGGATACCCAGTTTGGGCTTCAGTACGTAACTTATCGATGAGCTCAGCACCCGATGCAACCTCCGAGCCTCTCTGTTCGCCTCTCTCCGAGACGTCAGACGCCAACGTGAAGTTGCTGATGCCCCATAGCCACTCCAATAGTCTTGTCCACTCCGAGAATTCGCCGACGATGCCGGCCAGAGGAACGATGTTGTAAGCGCCCACATTAGACGCATCTAGCTTGAGGATGCTAGCTTCGACGTCTAGGACCTTCCGTTGGAATCTGTCTAGATGATGCGAGGATATTGCCGTGGCCACGGCTCGGCACACGGTCGAAGGATGCAAAGATGCGATTCGGGCAGCATGGTCGCGAATTCGGCGATGAAGACGCGACAAATGGCCCAATGAAGCCAGGAGTTCCGCTTCGGGCGGCGAAAGTAAAGTTATCGGCTTCGAGGTCACGTGCGAATGTCCTTGGTGGGGATCGAACAGCGCGGAGGGGTGTCCCGAGAGCGAGAGGAGTATTTCGTGGAGCATGAGGGGCGCGGCGGCAGTGAGGACTCGCCCCTTTGGGTGTTTCTGCGGGGCGAGCCTTTCTGGAAGAGGTCGATGAGGACGCTGAGCAATTCGAAGCGGCACATCAGATAGACGGCGCGCTGGGCGCTGAAGGTTTGCGAAACGCGTAGCGAAGGCCCGCACGCCCCACAGCGACCCCGCGCTAAAATGAGAAGGTTCGAGGGCCGCCGCATTGGCCAATCAAGGGGCACCGAAAACAGTTGCGGATGACCGGCCTGCAGCCAGATCCAACAACATACCGCACCAACACTGCGGGTCCCCATAGCGAATGCTGAAGGGTTGAGTCCAACATGCGTCCTTTCACTCACTCCTCCACAGCATGGCACACCGGGTCCTCCTGAGGCATGCCCGGCTCGCGCCTTCCTCTGGCCTCGGCCGTACCTGCCACATTGCCAGGCCATTCAGCACAGTCATCGATGCCCCCATCTCCGCTTCTGCTCAACAAGCCCCACCGGCAGCACCCTCCAAGGCCGGCAGCGTCTTCAGAGATGCTGTCAATGCTACAGGCCCGAGAACGAACTGGACCAAGGAGCAGATTGCCGAGGTCTACAACACCTCGCTGATCGAGCTCACATATGGCGCCGTACGCATAACCGGTCCTTCGTTGTTTGTACCGTCTCTAACCGTCTCAGTCTACGCTCCACCGCCGCTTCCATGACCCCGCTGCGATCCAGATGTGCACCCTTATGAACATCAAGACGGGTGGCTGCAGTGAAGACTGCAGCTACTGCGCACAGTCGTCCCGCTACAACACTGGCCTCAAGGCTTCCAAAATGGTCAACGTTGAGTCGGTGCTCGAGGCTGCTCGCGTGGCCAAAGAGAATGGCAGTTCTCGATTCTGCATGGGCGCGGCTTGGAGAGACATGCGTGGAAGAAAGACAAACCTGAAGAACATCAAGGAGATGGTCAAGGGCGTCAGAGCGCTCGGGATGGAAGCCTGCGTGACCCTCGGCATGATTGACGCTGAGCAGGCGAAGGAGCTCAAGAATGCGGGCCTTGTAGCGTATAACCATAACGTTGACACTTCGCGAGAATATTACCCCAGTGTCATCACGACGCGGTCGTATGACGAGCGGCTCGCGACTATCAACAATGTCCGGAACGCAGGTATACACGTATGCACGGGAGGTATTCTGGGTCTGGGTGAGAAGGCCAAGGATCATGTTGGACTCATCTACACGGTTGCTACACTTCCGGCTCATCCTGAGTCGTTCCCAGTGAACGCGCTCGTCCCTATCAAGGGTACGCCATTAGGCGAGAGGATATCGAAAGGCGAGAGCAAGTCGATCGAATTTGATGCCATCCTGCGTACTATCGCTACGGCACGTCTTGTTCTCCCGACTACCATTATTCGTCTGGCGGCAGGTCGACACATGATGCGTGAGGAGAAGCAGATGATGTGCTTCATGGCTGGTGCCAACGCTGTCTTCACCGGTGAAAAGATGTTGACAACAGCCTGCAATGGCTGGGAAGAAGATAAAGCCATGTTTGAGAGGTGGGGTCTGAGGCCGATGGAGGCACAAGAGACTATGGTTGGCAAGGAAGAACTCGCCGAAAAGGTTGAGGTTGCCCCTGTTGTTGCGGGGTTGCAGAGCTCAAGCACACAAGCTGCCACAGCATGATACGTCAACGTAGCTACGAAGAAAATCAGATCAAGTCCGAACAGTCACTTGATATTGTACGTTACCGGCGTGACTACAGTCGAGCTAATATGTTATCATCTGGTTTCCGCACTTTCATTGCTTGTGCATCCTGCTCCTTTACCAGCCTTTGGCACCATTCCTCCATTGCAACCACTAAACTTTCAATATCGGCTTCGGTGTTCCCAGCATGCAAACACACTCTTACTCTGGACGTGCCTTCGGGAACCGTAGGCGGTACCACGGCTCTGACCATCATGCCCCTCTCCTGTAAGAACTTAGCTAGCACCTTTGGCTCGGCAAGCTGAACCGAAAATATCGGGGACTCTGGCTGAATTTGTGGTATGTTCAACAAAACATTGAATGCCGGCGACTTCACCGACTTCAATCTCGTGAACAGCATTTGAATAAGCGACTGCAGATTCGAAGCTAAATGAACGGTCCTGCCCTGGGAGAGGAAGGAATACGAGGTGCGGATAGCAGCAAGTGAAGTGTAGGACATAAAGGTCGTGTAGATGAGCGGGCGGGCGTAATTGATCAGATAGTGTCGCAGGAGATTGGACCCGAGTACAATAGCTACGTAATGTCAATATGCTACTGCCCCCTGATATACACAGGACCGTTGTCTCACCTCCATTGCACCCCAAAGCCTTTCCAAACGTGTGCAGCCTTGCAAACACTCTTTCCTCAAGAGCCAGCTCGCACACAAGGCCCCGACCTTTCTCTCCGATTACGCCCGTCGCATGTGCTTCGTCAATAACGATGTATCCAGCCTCCCTTCCGAGTACCTCCTCCACCGTGTCGACGATGGCTTTTAAAGGCGCTCTATCGCCATCCATACTATAGACCGCCTCTACCGCAACGAACACGTGACGGTCTCCTGCTAGCACGTCTTCCGTGTCACCATCTATTGTCAATTTCAGCAGCACCCGCCTCAAATCCTCAACGCAATTGTGCCTAAACGACACAGTCTTTTCCGCTCGACTTAACCGCATTCCATCATGCACACTTGCGTGGATTAGTTCATCGTAGACCACGACATCTCCCTTCTGTGGCACGCATGCAAAGAACCCTGCATTCGCATCGAACCCAGAATTGAACAATAGTCCTGCCTCGGCATTATGGAAAGCGCAGATCTCGCGTTCGAGGTTTTCCGCGTATGTGGAATTTCCATCCAGCAGGCGGCTACCGCCGGATCCCAGCGACCATTTCGAGGCCTCGAGCTCTTGAAGAAAAGCAGTTTTGAGTGTCAAGTTCGTGGTAAGAGAAAGGAAGTCGTTAGAGGAGAAATCAATGAGGTCTTGTGCGGTTGTCAAGTTACGCAGTGTCAAATTCCGACGACGTTTCTCAAGGAGGGATTGGAACCTGCGCTCGAGTGCTGAAGGCGCACGATTCTGCGGCATTGTCTTGACTTGTGGGATTTTGCTGGGAGGTTTCTTCATATGGCTCGGATTTTCTGGTGCTCGGTCTTAATGATCGTTTAACGTAAAGAGCTGCGGGGGAGGGAGCAGTGCAGGGTCCGTGTGGGTTGGATGTTGGTGTGCTAGTGCTAGTGCGTCTCCCAACCGTCCAGATGCGCGTCTCAGCTGGCCTCAGCGAGACGGTGCGTGGGTCCAGACCGATTTCATTATGCCATTGAATTGGTCTCCAAGATATCTCAATCAATTGCAACTCAACTGCGCGGAGGGGAGCGTCTGAAAGCAACACTCGCAAGAATTCGAACGTCCCGGTCGCCGAGGTTGTGGGTCAGGAACAGGAAAGTGCTAAGCCGCAACGCGTCTAGTGTAAGCTCAAGCACTGAAAACGCCGAATCAAGCCGACCTTATCAACCATCTCACCATCGCCGTCAATGTCGGGGGTTCCGTCTGGCCTGTGGCAGAACCTCATCGCGCTGCAGGTCTATGGTGCCAATACCAATGTCGGCAAAACAGTCTTCTCCACCCTCCTAGGCGCCCATTTTGTCCGAAGAGCAGGGAAGCGGAAATGGAGCCTGCACTATATCAAGCCTGTATCGACGGGGCCCATAGAAGATGCTGATGATTCGTATGTTGCGCATATTTGAGCATCAAAGGTCAAGCTGATGAAAGGCTAGATATGTCAAGAGACATGTAGAGGGCGCGTCCGTCACCACACTCTTCCAGTTCAAGGAACCTGTGAGCCCACATATTGCAGTGCGGGGCGCGAACTTCGTCGTAAGTTATTCATTGAATCATACTACTGACCTGGATTGACTTTCAGTAGCCTACAGATGACTATCTAGTCAGGCGAGTCCACGCCAAAATTAAGAAAGATGCGGGCAAATTATCCTGGGAGAGGCACATGGGCCTCACCATCGTAGAGACAGCCGGCGGTGTGCTCAGCCCTGGGCCATCTGGAGCACCCCAAGCGGACATCTTTAGGCCAATGCGACTACCTGTCATCCTGGTCGGCGACCATCGCCTTGGAGGTATTGCCTCTACGATATCTGCGGCGGAATCACTGACCCTTCGTGGTTATGATATCAGTGCTGTCATTTGCTTCGACGATAAGGGCAAGTACGAGAATTCCGACTATTTGCTGAAGTACTTCGGGAACATGGATATCCCAGCATTCACAATACCCTGGATACCTCAGCTAGAGGGCTACACACAGGAACAGGAACGCGCAACCATGCGCGAATACTACGAAAGGCAAAGTTTAACCGATGGAATGTACAAGCTCGCTGATTTCATTGTCCAACGTCATACCGAGCGCCTCACCACTATGAACAAGTTGGCCAGCCGCACGCGAAAAACTATTTGGCATCCTTTCACGCAGCACAAGACCATAGCGAACACCGACGACATCTTAGTCTGGGACTCTGCATACGGCGACTACTTCCAAGCGAGGCACACACCAACTTCCCTGAAAGGTATCAAAGAAGAGGATGCAGCTGGAAAATTGCTTCTCTATCCTGCTTTCGATGGTTCCGCATCGTGGTGGACACAGGGTCTCGGCCACGGAAACCCGCGGCTGTCTCTTGCCGCCGCATACGCAGCAGGACGATACGGCCACGTGATGTTCGCCGGTGCCACGCATGAACCTGCAGTGATCCTCGCCGAGACGCTACTGAAGGGTACGGATAATCCCCGTCTTGCGAAGTGCTTCTACACGGACGATGGCAGCACCGCTGCCGAGGTTGGTATCAAGATGGCACTCAGAGCGACGTGTAAGCGTTACGACTGGGACGGCTCAAAAGAAAATATCGAAATTCTTGGCCTTAAGGGAAGCTATCACGGAGACACCATCGGTGCCATGGACGCTTCCGAGCCGAACGTGTACAACGAGAAGGTGGACTGGTATCGCGGCCGAGGATATTGGTTCGACTTCCCGACCGTGAAGATGAAGTCTGGAGAGTGGATGGTCGAACCTCCGAAGGGCATGGCGAAGGAGCTTGGTGCCCCTGAGTTCTTCACCCATCTGGATGACGTATTCGACTTCGATGCCAGAGGCCCGGGCCAAGGGCGCCGTTGGTGGCTGTACGAGCAGTACATCAAGGAGAGGTTGGATATACTTGTCAAACGACAGGGCAGGAGATTCGGTGCTCTGGTCATGGAACCCATACTCCTCGGGGCCGGCGGCATGCTCTTCGTTGATCCTCTCTTTCAGCGTAAGCTCGTCGAAGTGGTCCGCGCCTACCAATTCAGCGCACAAGAGGTCATCCCACCTTCAGACCCCCTTCACTGGACCGGCGTGCCCGTCCTCTTCGATGAAGTCTTCACGGGCCTCAACCGCCTCGGCCACTTCACACCCTCGTCCCTCCTTGCCGTCCACCCTGACATCTCCATCCATGCGAAGCTCCTCACCGGTGGCCTTCTCCCCCTCTCGGTCACACTTGCCAGCAAAGCTATCTTCAACGCCTTCCTCTCGCCCTCAAAGTCTGATGCTCTTCTCCACGGACACAGCTACACCGCACACCCCATCGGCTGCCACGTTGCCAACACTTCGCTTAAAGAGATGGAAGTGCTGAAAAATGGTTTTGCGTGGAAGAGTTTTAGGCGGAAGTGGAGACGGGAGAGTGGGCACAGGGGGGGACACGTGGTCAAAAGGTGGAGTATGAGAGGAAGGCTGAACGTGGATGACGGAGCGAAGACATGGAGTATGTGGGGCAAGCCGTTGGTGGTGTGGCTGAGTTACCACACGGCCGTTGACCACGTTGTTGCTATAGGCTCTGTGCTCGCCGTTGCTCTGAAGGATGAGGAAGGTTCTGGTATGTAGTTGCATCGCAGGTGCGGTCTGACATGGATTCGTGGACGCTGACCAAAACAGGATATACTTCCAACGCAGCTGCCGGATTGCGCGATGCGCTGCTGAACGACAGGTCGTATACGGAAGTCAGCGTGCACTCGCGTGTGCTTGGAAACGTTCTATACCTTATGGCGAGCTTGACGACGTTGCCGAAGGACTTGGATGCTGTGGGTGATGCGTTGAAGCAGAAGTTGGATAGCGTGAGTGGCATCACAAGAGGTCAAAGGAACAATCGGAAGCATGTTCAAGACATCACCTGGATGAAATATGCAGAGTAAAAGAAGTGTTATATTCGTCGCTGATATGCTACTCCTCATACAGCCATTTCTGCTGTACAAGAACTGAGCTTTGTTGAGAAGAAGCTGTATTTGGCTGATTTGTGACCCTGAAGATCCGCTTACGAAACAGATCCATTCATTCCCGCATTCTCGAGAGGGTTCGGAGGATCCATCCAAGAATACGTCTTCCTGACCCACTGGATGTCTTTCTCACTCGGTCGAGGAATCAAAGGTAAGTACTCCTTCTCATGCCCTTGCACGTTGTTGACCAGCGTGCATCCATCCGTGCTATCATGGTGGCACCATAGATCTCCTGCCTTAAACGCAACACTCGGATAGTGCATGACGCTGGCAGGGTCGTATGGTTCACCGTAGTCTGCAACTTCCCATATCAGATAACGACCTTCACGGGATCGTGGATCTCCAGCGGAATCCTGCCTTAAACGCAACACTCGGATAGTGCATGACGCTGGCAGGGTCGTATGGTTCACCGTAGTCTGCAACTTCCCATATCAGATAACGACCTTCACGGGATCGTGGATCTCCAGCGGAATACTGGCGTATGAAATTCAACCCTCCGAATTCCATCCTAAGTGAATTGATGATACTGTCGCAGAGATCACTCCATGTTGCGTCGGGCTTCTCAGCTCTAAACTTCTCAAAGATTTGGTAAAAGTCCTTGACGTTATGGCAGCGGTATGCAACCCAGCCGTCACCTTGGAATGGGAATGTCAGTGGAACGGGATCAGCAATAGGAGCAGTCACATACGGTCCTTGCGTTGATGCTCATGTGCCATGCCCAGTATATGACCGAGTTCGTGGACCATTGCAGGATAATGATAGCGTTCCCCGAAGGTGATCATGTGGATTCCGGGTACCGGAGGGTCGCCTGAAATAAAACCAACGAAGCCGACAGTCGCAGCGGCAACGAAATGTTTAACGTACGACCACTGAACCACTACTGTGTTGTAGTCTATCTTCGGGTTCCCTGTGTTATGGTAAACCAGCAGTTCTACACCGCAGGATGCAAGTCAATCTAGCCGCTGTGATTGAAATGCAGCGTCGCCAAGCACTGCATCTGGGTAGAACTTACATCCATCGGAATCGGGGTCTATACAGAACAGCGGCTGACCGTTCGCATCCAAGGTCTCCTCGAAGACCAACCCGTGCTTGGTAGCGCTTGACGCTTCACCACCCAGTGCTCGCATCCATTCACCGATTCCATCTTCGCGGAACTGCCGGCCGATCTTGTTGCGGGCGTCCTCGGTATCGAAACAGTACTCAATAACGACCTTGTTCTGATTGTTGCGTGGCCATTCCCGCGGGCCACCATAGTTCTGCATGTTGAGGAGGTCGGCGGAGCCCTGTTCGGCGTTGATGGAGCCATTGATAAGGCCTTCGAAAACATCGAGGTTTTCGGACGTGAACGGGAAGGGATTGCCGCAGAAGGGAGGGCTACGGGAGTCGAAGACGGAAGCGGCTGCCAGGAAGGTCGGCAGTATGAAGGAAAGGAAAATCATGGTTGCGTGCGGCAGTCGTGGCTGGATCTCGTGTGCTGAAAGAGGTGCGTTGCTATTGCAGAGCGGCAGCGGGGTGTCAGAAGGAAGAAAAGTCTGTTGCTGTCGAGCAATTGTGCTGTAAGTTCCTTCCGCGTGCAAAATCAGCGAAGGAAGCGGCGTGCGAGACTGAAGGGAAGGAGGGCCTCAACACCGCAATTGCACCTCTCCCTAGTCACAATTGGCGACGGCATCAACGGATAGACTGGCATGTGCAATCTGTCGCTATTCGTCCAAGCTACATGGTGTAAGAGCACGTAAGTGTGCGATGCATCAACACCTGTTTCGCAGGTGCCCATGTTTACTGATTGAGCGACCACAGATATCAAGCTACTGACTCGCAATCAGTTTGTCTAAATTTGCATGCTGCGAATTGGGCGATTGGGTGAGATACTCGATCTGAAGCCATAGTTTCCGTATCTGAGTTAAATGAGGCTGAACTTGACCAAGCACCCCAGACGTGCTGTCGTACCAAGAGGCTCAGTAAGCCATGAAAGAGCAGGAACCCAGAGGGTCGGCATGATGATCGAAGTCGTAATTGCAATAATATCTGCGCCGACAGGTTTTGTTCCTGGGAAGTGGTAGGGCTGAGCCGCCCCACAGTAAGGCTGCTGTCAACGAATGAGATGTGTAGCCGGCGTCTGACGCCAGACAAGGCTGGCAAATCACCACCTAAAGTGGTTAGAAAATGCGAGGTTTCGCGCTCGGGCTTCATAGAATCATAGAAACCACACCGTTTTGCCATAGGCACGGCGCACGCAATACCCTTGCTTGCGGTTTTCATGCCTGCTAATAGGTCTCACCTCGGTGGGTTATTGCTGATAAGCACCCTCAGATTTCGTTCGGGAAGCCGCAGGGTGTTCAAGCTTTTCACTCCATTTGCGATTTAATAGCTTAGGTACTATGAATCTGGAATTTTGAGAAGACTCATAGTACTGGAACAGCCGAGTTTCAATCAGCACTGCTCAACGTGAAATCCGAAATAGCGAACAGAATGACCCAGCAAGACAAATGTGACGTCTGCCGACAACGCAAAGTGAAAGTGAGCATTCATTAGTGGATCAAATTACCTTCGCTAATGCCTGCAGTGCGATGAGAAACGTCCGACATGCAGCCAATGCCGGAAGAAGAATCGACCTTGTGCATACGAATATTCGAAAACTTCGCGGTTCTCAAAAGTGCGAACTGCCGAAACGGGTAGTGGCCGTACCGATCTCGCACTCCGGAACATGCAGGATGAACACTTAGTTCCTTCGAACAGAAGACACGAGTTTGTGGCAGATAGAGCCAAGACTTTGACGATCCGATCGGTCAAGGGAGCTAAGTTGGGAGAAGGCGTCTTCCACACTTTCAGTACGGTGTCAAAGTCAAGATGCCGCACAAGTGAGCGTAGTCCGAGTGGGAGAAGACTTTCCAATCTTCAAAACGCGGGTATACCTCGACCAATGCTCTCTCGTGAAGTGTGTCTCTGCGCGGGGTTCTCAAACATACTGGGTGAGAATGGCGCCAATTGGAATTCGACCTTCCTTTGGGGTTGTTGGATATCGTCGGTGCCAGCAAGGCTCGGCCGAAATCCAGCGCTGGACGACGCAGCAGATTGTTTCATAACCGCAAACGCGGCTTACTACAGCAATAGAGGGGTGATCGATGCGGTTACGAGCAGAACATATAGTGCTGCGCTAGTGAGTTTACAGAATGTCCTATATTCTGACGACGATACGAAGTTTGCGACCGAGACATTGGCAGCAGTGAATATCCTTTTATTATTCGAGGTGAGAAAGTCATCATCATCCCGGGTAGTACTCACTTGAAAGACCAGCGACTGACTGTGCACAGGAAGTCTTTGCTTTTCGGGAATTGAGGTGGCAGTCACATTACAAGGGACTCATTCAGTTACTATTAGCACGGGGACCGCAAGTAAAGGCAGATGACATGAGTCGATCGTTGTTCTATGCTGCGCTGAATCACGATGTAAGTACCACTCCGAAATACTTTAGTATACATAGGCTTATGACTCTAGTTCTCAGAAGCTATTTTGGGTGGCTGTCAATCCACCTTCGACTCAACTGGATGGCTGGACTCACCACCACCGGAGAATCCAGAAAGGGAACGTGAAGACTTCACTTGCATATCCACGGAGATTGCGCGGCATATGATCCAATTGCCTCGATTGGTAGCGTTGGTTCGACAGGTCCGCAGTGACCCTTTCCACGCTGACGCAAGCATAGAGGCGTTATCGTTAGCGGAGCATCTCTATTGCCGCTATTCTGACATAATAGCTTCCAGGATCGACGCGGTGTTGATCACAGGCGCAGCGTCGGTGGATACACTCGACGAAGAGCTGGCAAGATACTGTCCGAAGTCGCTCGAGTTTGAGTGGTTCAACATCTTCGAGGGCGTGGTTCGCTGCTATTATGTGCGAATCCTGGTCCTTCATTTGTGTGCGACATTGAGGACCACTTTCCCGTTCTCGCCGATCCTTAATGCTGCGGATTTAGAAGAGGAGGAAGCCCAATGTGCAGCATTGATAGCGGCGTCTGTTCAGTACGCAGAGAAGCAGGAGCCGTTCCTGTTAGGCGCACTCATCATGCGGTTACCTCTCCAAGTGGCATACGGTACTTGGTGGCGGAGAATGACACATGATAGCATGGAACAAGACCAGGTTTGGGAAGGAGAAAAAGCAACGTTCATGGAAGAATGGTGCGCGCAAAAGACGAACGCGTTTATAGAGGTATTGAATGGGGACCACGTCTCGAAGCACAAGCTTCGAGCCATGTACGTAGCAGCTGCGGAAGGCGGTCCATGGGAAATTTGCAAGCAGAAGGGGCCACTTGTATAGATTATAGCATCGCAAGTGCGCACTTATGAACATAATACCCGTCTTGGATCTCAACGACCGTCCATAGTATTGTGTTCGGAAGAGGAGCGCAGTACAAGTATGTAGGTAAAGGACTGAAATGGTATGTATTGCAGAAGTCGAGACATAAAGCCTCGGGGCAACCGCTGAAGGTCACGAGGAGATCGAGCAACACTTGCAGGCGAGGATTTTAGACGCAGCAGCATAGAGCGAGTGATAGCAGAATTTTACGGGTCGTTCAACATGGCAACACAACAAGGTGCACAAGATGTCGCATGAGTTTCACGGTCGCAGGGTCAACTCGCACCACGCTAGCGCCCAAGGAGGAAAGAGCGAAAAAATAACCGAGCCAAGAAGCCCACACAAGCGTCGCGGCTGCTAGAACTTCTCATTTTCAGCAGCTACCAGCGACAACAACACCAACCCACGACGCCGCCGTCAAGATGAAGTACATGTACGCTTCCCCGACCGTATTACACGCTTTCCCTACCGAATTGCACCATCTGTCCCACGAGCCCCAGCCGACGAATACAAGCCTGACGCTGGGCTCTACTCGCCCTTTCGCAACCCTTTCAACCACAGGAAACTGGACTGACAACTGCGTAACAGCCACTCCGAGGAACTTCTCGAGATCCCCGAGGGGGTCAAGGTCGCTATCAAAACCAGGAATGTCGTTGTTGAGGGTGAGTGATTTGCTTGGCTTTGAGAAGTAATATTTTTACTGACTATGCTCCGCAGGTCCCCGAGTAAGCACGTCGCAAAAATACACGGGATACCCGACTTACAATTCCAGGGCAAACTTTCCAAGTCGTTGGGTCACTTGGCTGTCTCCTTCACACACGTACGTGGACAATGACGCTGGGTTGGTACATGAGCTAAATGCTGGACAGCCCAAGAAGAACCTCATCAAGATCGAGCTCCACCACGGTTCGCGCAAGAGCGTCGCCACCCTCCGCACCGTCCGCACTATCATCGTACGTCGCGCCCGCCTCCTCGATTGAGCTAGAACATATGATAGTAGAGCTGACTGGAATAGAACAACTTGATCATCGGTGTCACCAAGGGCTTCAAGTACAAGATGCGATACGTCTACGCCCATTTCCCCATCAACGTCAACGTTGAGAAGAACAAGGAGACCGATTGCTTCGAGGTTGAGATCCGAAACTTCATTGGCGAGAAGATCGTCCGAAGGGTCAACATGAGGCCCGGTGTCAACGTCGAGGCCTCCAAGAACGTCAAGGACGAGCTCCAGCTCTCTGGAAACAGCCTCGAGGACGTCTCCCAGAGCGCCGCCGACATCCAGCAGATCTGCCGTGTTCGCAACAAGGATATCCGAAAGTTCTTGGACGGTCTGTACGTTTCGGAGCGGGGTAACATTGTTGAGGACGCATAAGCGGGTCATGAGGGTACGGGTTTCTTTACGGGCATATGAGCTTTCCTGCATTCGGGTGTGCAAACAGGCGCCATTGGGGACATAGCTCAAAATCATGTTCAACGAACAAAAACTTGATACCAGCTTGCTCGCCGCCTGGCGGTGAATGAATTATGCATGCGTCTGCGTTTACCACGTGAAGCCTGGTATCTTGGTAGTGTGAGAAATGCGGTATATGCACGGGGTTTTGGCTAACCCGGGCGACTATTCCTATCCGTCCCCTCAGGCGTTTATAAGATGCACACGCTGTACACCGTATACAGTGCCCAGTATGCTAACTATTTGTACGATCTAGAGCAGAATTTGAATATGCTTAGCGGAAATATGCGCTCACAATGCAGCTTCCCTTTAACACCCTGCGAATTCTGGAACTTGAAACTCCCGAGACTATGTCGAGTTGTTCTCGCACCAAATTTGCATTTTTGCCATCTTAGAACAAGCGGGGCATGGGATTCCCAAAGCGCGTTAGAATGGCATCAGCAGGCATGGATGTGTCGATGTTACGGGTGCCATCTATCACCGCAAAATCCGCCATCTGAGACGTATTCATCCGTCTCGCTTCCTAATCAGCCGTTCGTACGTCACGATGTTCGGATATAAAAAGCCATTGATGACCCCAGTGGGATGTTGTACCGCTATCTGCGCCTTCCTGCCGTCACAGAAATACCCCACTACGTGCCCACCCCACGGTTGAGCTCACAACCCCGCCATTACGGTCTACAGCAATTCTGTCGCCACGATGACGGATGCGTTGGTTCAAAAGCTCCTCAAGGAGTCTAAAGCGGAGTATAGAAGACTAGGAAAGAGTGGATTGAAGGTATCAGTTCCCATCTTGGGTGCCATGAGTTTTGGGTCCAAAAAATGGTAAGGCAGCGTACGCGGGCCGTCGTGCCGTGTCTCTCATGCTTAGTATGTTTACTAACATGCACAAGGCAACCCTGGGTCATTGAGGAGGAAGAAACGTTTCCCCTTCTCAAATCAGCCTACGACAAGGGTGTTACAACTTGGGACACCGGTATGCAAGCTGCCTGGTTGCTCAATCAGCTATTGCCACTGACGTGAACCAGCAAACGTGTACTCGAACGGTGTCTCTGAAGAAATCATCGGCAAGGCGATCAAAAAGTACAACCTTCCGCGCGAGAAGCTGGTCATCCTCACAAAATGTTACGGCTACGTCGGCGAACAGCCTGAGCTCCGAGCCATCCAGTACCCTAAAGAGCTACCTCAAATCAGGGACTACACCAACCAAGGTGGACTTTCGCGCGCTGCCATCTTCAACGCAGTGAACAACTCACTCCAGCGCTTAGACACTGACTACATCGACCTGTTGCAAATCCATCGCTTCGACCCAAACACGCCTATCGAGGAAACGATGGAGGCGTTGCATGACTTGATTAAGAATGGAAAGGTACGATATATCGGTGCCAGTTCGATGTGGGCTGTGCAATTTGCACAGATGCAGTTCGTCGCGGAGAAGAATGGATGGACCAAGTTCGTGAGCATGCAAAATCACTATAACTTGCTCTACAGGGAGGAGGAGCGTGAGATGAACAGGTTCTGCAACGACACTGGAGTGGGTCTGATACCCGTGAGCCTTCCAGCGCCTTGCGGTTGTCATATCGGCTAACAGCACACAGTGGGCACCCCTTTGCCGTGGTCATCTTGCCCGCCCTGCTGCTGCTTACGGCGAGACGATTCGTTCGGAAAGCGAGAAGAAGGCTGGCACCTCGACCACCGGCCCACAGAACGAAGCGGACAGAAAGACCATTGAGCGCGTGGAAGAACTGGCGAAGAAGCATGGTTGGAGCATGAGCTCTGTTGCACTGGCCTGGATTAACAAGCGGGTCACATCGCCCATCATCGGCTTCAGCTCGGAAAAGAGGATTGACGAGGCACTTGAGGCAAGAGGCAAGACGCTGACGGAGGAGGAGGAAAAGTATCTCGAGGAGCTATACACGCCTAGGCGAATCGTAGGACATTCATAAATCAAGGCTTGTATTGTATGAAGCTCTGATATGGCAGCTTCAACCACCGTAGACGAGATTAAGAAGTAGACAAATATCACTAAATGGAAGATGTGCTGCTGATGCATTCATGTTCACGTGAAGCGCTTTGCAAGTGAACCACATCCTGCCTCTATGGATATACGCCTGCTGAGAGAACGCACATTAAGTTCCTACGTGTAGCAAACGCAATGTTAACGTATCTTGTATAGCTGACAATGTAGCTTGACTAGGCTTACGGCGTAATCCATGGCGGATATCACAATCGACTGAGTGTTCAAGTACTGTGTATTGCAACACCTCTGTAAGGTGGGTCAGGAAGGCAGCGCTACCCACAGCGAGACGTCCCACTGACAATGGGACGATCTCCGCGTCCAATTGACTGGGTTGCGCCGCTCGGACCGAACGTGTATCGAATAAGCATCATGTGGACATACTGAGGATGCATCGGCGCGTCGGAGAGTTCTACAAGCAATGCGTATTTTGAACCAGGATGACGTAACCTGAACCTCCCGAGCTCGCGTGATGGTCGTTCCACGTTGAGCGCACCACTCCCAGAGCCTCAACACGGCGTCACGATGCAGCAGCGGCTCTGCAGGACAGAAACAAGACTGTTCCAGAGCCTCTTCATGTGTCTTTGTGCTTTTGCTGGCGCGCGGCAGGGCTTCGCCGGTGCCGTCAAAGGGAGCTGGCGGAGCTTACCCCGCATTCCCCTGCGATCCCCGTCCGTGCGCCGTGCTCACAACGGTGGGTGGGTCGCGATTGGACCATGGTGCCGTGATCAAGTGACTGTCTCCTGTCCTGGACGCCAGCTTGAATAACCCCTCATCGCCAGCGCCTGTCCCTCCTTCTCTTCTTCATTCCACTCTTACCTGTGCCTGACCGAACAACCTCTCTCACGCACTATTCTTTGAGCCCATTCGTTGAGCTCCATCTTATATCCAGCTCTCTCCACACCAGCTTCCTTTGCTGGGCCACCACCACAATGGCAGCTGACACCGCAGACTCCCTCAAGAAGGTCGACTCCCTTGTCGAGGAGCCCAAGAAAGAGCCTGCAAAGCGGAGAGCAAGCTCCCTGCGCGCCGATGTCTTCAACATGGCTGATCTCGGTGAGTTGCTCTACCCGCCGTGCCAATTGCATGCGCCAGGGTTCAAGTGAGGGGTTGTGGGGCTGACACGCCGACAGAGAAGGAAGGCAAGAAGATCGAGATTGCACCCGAGACTCAGAAGCTGAGCTGGTGAGTTGACGCCTCTGTTGCCCTTGGTTTGGATTCGTCCGCCGCAGTCGACTGATCAGCTGGCTGCTGCCCGGCTCCCCGCGGTAGACCCTCGCTCGATTCTACCAGGCTGACGATGATCGATAGGAAGCTAAACAAGTCTCCCACGACAGTGGACGACCCAGAGGTCCTCAAGAAGCCTCTAACCTCTCCGCTCGTCCGCAAAATCGACCTGCACTTCCCGCTCGGGCTTGAAGTCACCGCACGGAACCTGAAGGGTGTCACCATCAAGGATGCGCTGGACGCCATCTACAAACAATTCAAGAAGAAGGTACGTCTTGATCTCCTCGGGCTATTCCAGCCTCATTGCCAGCATTCTGCCCATCCTGATGCTTCGTTGTTTCCCCAATCGTGCTGCCGACTCTTCAATCAACCTGCTGACAATCGGTATCAGGCAGACGATGAGCTTGGCGAAAGCCCCTATCTCGCCGGCTTCGAGTGGGATCCTGAAGAGTGCTACACGCGCTTCGTCGTACACCAGAAGAAGGAAGGTGCACCCCCACCATCCAAGAAAAAGAAGAAGGGCGGTGACGAGTAGTGAATGACTCGCCCCCGTCTTCCCCAACATGACTTCTTACACGGCCTCGACCATATTCTGCACTCCGACATCGGTGGATCACGGACATGATTATGCACTCGAGCGCATGTGGATTCCAAAAGGGAAGAGCGAGGCTCGCTCTATCGCGGATAGCATGGTTTTGCGCGCTGCGTGCCTGGTATGGTGTGCGATGCGTATCGTCGTGCAATTCGGCGGTTGGTGGGCTCTTGCGGGATCTCTGTGGGTTGCTAGCCGGGTGAGGTGGCGGCATCCTTTATGTACTACTTTACTGAGCGTTCCCTCTCGTCGCTGGATAGCGACTGGTACTTAGAGGATCATTATTGCTCGAAGCCTTTCTTTTCCTGTTGACGTGACGTCGAGAAAGTTGTGCGCTGATGAGGTTGCTGCCCCGCTGTGGAGCCCTTCGGTTCCGTCCCCCCGAAGCGGGAAGCGTGCGCCGTGAAGTTTGGCGACTCATGTCACGATACTATCTATGCAACGTGCCTCGCTTGCCAACGCCAGTACCCGCGTCTCTCGAACACGATAGCTTTCATGACAGCTCGCATTCTCTTACAACCCGATGACTTAAAATTATGCACTTACGGTTTTGTCTGTCATGGGCACCATTCTGCCCGAGACACCTGCGACAACTCCACTGGGACAAGAGCCAGCGCCCCATGCAAACCGCGTGAAAAAAATCAGAACAGAAGAGAAAAGAACAGAGCACTTGCTACGCAATACCCACTTACGAGAAAGCAAATTGAAAAAGCCCTTGTTGTCCTGCTACGAGCTCACCGCACATCCGACACTGTTAGGATTTGATAATCTTGGACAAGTCTTCTCACAATAACAATGTGTTTGAACCAGATCTTAAGATATGCGATACTACGCGGGACGGTAATGCTCCATCCCCAGCTTCAACTCTACAAAGATGACCTTCGTCAACGGTGCACATATCCCGAAACCCACCCGATGCGTTGCCCATTGCTCAAACCGATGAATTGCAAGCTCAGTCGGCGGTGTCTAGAAACGTTGGTAATGACTACCCATAAACAAACAGACGTGATCTACCTGAGTGTCAAGACATCGACAGCCTCAAGCGAAAAAGTATAAACAAGAAGATAACCCTATATACGCTTTGGGGCCCGGGCATATCCTCACCGTATACTTGAGCGCGAACCAGCTACCATGATACACAAGAAATATGTGCCTCACAAGATCCGACTCTTGACCACCTACGATACCTCGACGAAGAATCCGATTGGGCACTTGCTCCAGTTCTCGAGATAATTGAGAGTCATGTCATCTGTGCGCCGATTAGCCTCAATGCACCAGCATCATAATAGATGAGATCTCACTTCTGCGCCCACGGCCAAATAGGTCTGAAATACTGTTGTTCAGCATATACTCGTTGCCCAGTACAATCGTTTGGTCCACGACTTCCCATGTCGTTTCGATCTTAGGCTGCGAGTTCTGCGTGATTCAATTGCGTTAGTGCCTTTGTTTTAGTACCATGAGAAAGAAAAATGGCCCTCGCCCTCGTGGGTGTACGGCATGAAGGCATCCTCAATCTGAGGGAGCATGAACTCAAGCGCGCATGCTTTTCCAGAGTACGACGCAGGAATCAGCAGACTGAAAATCGTGCTGCAATATGTTAGAAGTTCTTTTTAGGGATAAGCAGGGTTCATGAAGATGAGACAGCGTACTAGACAGTATGCAACGCCCTCAACTCGAGTAGTTTGGCGTTTTGCCGAATGTTGACTAAGTCGCACCGCAGTTTCCAGCCGGAGGATTGAACATGATCAAGGCAAACTGTTCCTCACGACGAATCGAGTAAACACTCGACCCAGCTTTCGAATCTCGCATCCATCTAAATACACTCCGCGTTCCCTGATGAATGGGAGCGACGGAAAATCTGGCGACTTCTCGTTGACAGACTCTGGTTTGAATATGAAGAAAAGTATGGGATCTTGAAGAATTTTCCGCGCAGAGGCTGAACGGACGGCGAATACGGAACATTACAACGAACTCTTCATAACTGGCGATATATCAGCAAAGGCGGCTCGATTCTGACCATAGATGGCAAGTCAGCAAGGCGGTTCAGGAGTTCGAAGATCACCTCTAGCCCTTAAATAAGACAGCGGCTGTCAAAAGGATAGCGAAGGCGTTCACTGACGCCATATCGAGTATCAATGAAAGCAAGGTTATCAAACGTTCTAGAAATACCCGATGTCTTGGAGGCGGAACACATTTATACACCAATAAATTTTGGAGAAATCGATACAGGCTTTCTTTGGTTCCATGTGTTGGCCAGCGAGGGCGTTTGGGTTCCGCCAAAATTCTGGCTGTTGCTCCCCGTACTCTAGCTTGAAAGATGCTTCGATTCAAGCCGACCACTCGCGAAGACTAAAGAAATGAGTAGAATCGTCATAACCATCGACGTGGCTAGGTTAAGAAGAATGCAGATATTGATAACGTTCTTGAAAAGGTCAGCTGCTCTGATGAGCACTGCACTGCTGGGTAAACGATGTCCTTGCTGGCATGAATTGAGGCTACTGTATCAAAGGTCACGCATTGACTGATAATCTTCAGAAATCTACATAGAATGAACGAGAATTTCTTGCGACTGTCTGAAGAAGTTATTCGCGATAATCCCGATTGGACGTGAATTCCATCTCGCATATGAACCACACCTGCATCATCGTATGTTGTGATTGGTCACAGTCAGCGCTAGCTCATCTGGGACTGGTCGGTCCATCAAAATCTTGAGCGCGGTGAAACGAAGCGCCGAGGCCTGGAAATTTTCGGAGCAATCCGCAAAAAGTTAAACAGCGTAAACAAAAGTGAAGTCCTACTTTCCCACCAGATATCAACGATGGCACCTCGTAGAAAACGCCAGCGACTGTCGGAGGACGGCGCCTCAGCCACGACGGCTCTCGCAGACGCCGACGAACCCTCTCATACCACCGCAAGCCCCTCCAAAGCTACCCAGTCGCGCAGGCAGCTCTTCGTTCGCTCCCTCGCTTCCTCTGTCACCACCGAAGACCTCACCGATTTCTTCTCTGAGAACTACCCTATCAAATACGCTCTCGTCGTTCTTGACAAGGAAACAAAGGCTTCGAAGGGCTATGGCTTCGTCACATTCGCCGACGCCGAGGATGCGCAGCGCGCAAAAGAGGAACTCGATGGAGCTGACTTACAAGGCAAGAAGATCAAGGTTGAGGTCGCCGAGGCGCGTCATCGTGATGCGGATACCGCTGCGCCTGCAGTTTCTGCGGGTGCGAGAGCGAGAGCCGAGCGCGAACAGGCGATAAAGGAAAACCAGGCGCCGAAGCTTATTGTACGGAATTTGCCTTGGAGTATCAAGACGCCGGAGCAGCTTCAGAAGCTGTTCTTGAGCTATGGAAAGGTACACTTCACGAAGCTGCCCAAGAAGCCGACCGGCGAGCTGAGAGGTTTCGGATTTGTGGCACTCAGAGGAAAGAAGAATGCAGAGAAGGCGATGGAGGAGTTGAACGGAAAGGAAATCGACGGTAGGCAAATTGCTGTGGATTGGGCGGTCGACAAGGACGCTTGGCAGGATTTGCAGAAGCAATTGGATGCTGAAGAAGTCAGGCAGAAAGACGAGTCCAAAGAGGGTGATGAAGATGAGGACGAGAACGATAGATCTTCAGCTGAGGGCTCGGAAGAGGACGACGACGCAGGAAGTGACGACGAGAACGAAGATGACAGCAATACCGACTACGAAGACGTCTCTGACAGCGACGAAGAAGGCGGCATAGCCCTCGAAGATGCCAAACCCAGAGCTCCCGATTACACCGTCTTCATCCGAAACCTTCCCTTCACAGCCGACGACGATAGCCTCTTCGAGCACTTCAAGCAATTTGGTCCGATCGCGTACGCTCGAGTTGTGATGGACCACGAAACCGACCGACCAAAAGGCACTGGCTTCGTTCGTTTCTACAAAGAAGAAGACATGATTGATTGTCTAAAGGGCGTACCATCAACAAAGTTGCAACGAGTCACCGCCGATCGAAGAGACGGTACACAGATCACCATCGCACACTCTGTCCTAGAAAACGAAGATGCCGACCCAACGGGCCGCTACACAATGGATGGCCGAGTCCTCCAGATTTCCCGCGCTGTCGACAAAACCGAAGCTGTACGCCTCACTGCTGAAGGGCAAGCTTCGCGTTTTAATCGTGACAAGGATAAGCGCCGTCTGTACCTCCTCTCTGAGGGTACTCTCGATACTAAATCACCTTTGTACCAGAAACTGTCTCCATCAGAGATCAAGATGCGACAAGAGAGTGCAGACCAACGCAAGAAGCAGATCGAGAAGAACCCCTCGCTGCATCTTTCTCTTACCCGTCTCGCAGTTCGCAACCTTCCCCGCACTGTCACGTCCAAAGATCTCAAGGCTCTCGCACGCCAGGCTATTGTCGGCTTCGCCGCCGACGTCAAGGAAGGCAAGCGACAGCGCCTGTCGGCCGAAGAACTGGCTCGTGGCGGTGACGCCATGCTCAATGCTGAGAAAGCGAGAAAGCGTATGGGCAAGGGTATTGTTAAACAAGCCAAGGTTGTCTTCGAGACGCCCGCTGGAAGCAAGATTACCGAGGAGAGCGGTGCTGGTAGGAGTCGTGGGTATGGCTTCATTGAGTTCTACACGCATCGTAGTGCGCTCATGGGATTGCGCTGGCTCAACGGACACGCCGTCGACTACAAAACACAAGCAACACAACCTAAGAGCAAGAAAGCGGCGAAGGAAGAGCATCAGGACAAGAAGAAGAGGCTCATCGTTGAGTTTGCCATTGAGAACGCGAACGTCGTCGCTCGGCGCTCGGACAGGGAGAGCAAGGCCAAGGATCCCAAGCCGGCCGACAAGGACGGGGAGGAGGCTGACTCAGGCCGCGAAAGGAAGGGCGACAAAAAGCGGAAACGCGAGTCGGGTACGGGAGGTGAGAAGGTGGGAAAGAGGAAGGATCAGGGATCGGGCGCCGCGGATGCGGGTGAAGATGCTGCGAAGAGCAAGCTCGATGCGAAGGCCAAGCAGCGTGCACAGATCATACAGAAGAAGCGGATGGCCAGGAGGACAAGAAAGCAGGGCAAAGCGTGATGTTGATAGCCGAAAATGTCACTGAGTATAATGTTGTGCACGGTTACCGTATGCTGCTGGCGATTCGTGCGTACGTCCGGTGTCCAGTGTCACTTCGATGTATTTTCCCAGGTTTCGAGCTCAGATCGCAGGTTTTGATTCCTTCCGGGCGCAATGGGCGCGTGAGCAGGCAAGGTCTAATCTCTGTGATGTGTGGGATCGTTGCTGCAAGCCGCTAATAACACGCGACGAATCTGCTATATTAGGAAGGTCTTGTCTTTCTCCACCGGTTTGTGAACATTGACAGTGTGAATTGTCATCTTTTCGTTATGTCCCATGCCCGCGGATCCTTTCCTGGTGGACCCTGCAACCCGCAGCGTCACGCATACTCAGGCCAATGATGCGTTGCTCGCGCTTGCTGCCGTGTTACCATATGCACCTCGCCAGACACGAAGCTGCACGCAGCGCGACTCAGAACCCGGAAGCCAGCACGAGGTAGGGCAAAGTGGGGGGTTTCCTATTCTTCGAGTCCAGTAAAGCACTAACTGGAGTTAATGGCGACCGGAAGAGTTCCCGGTGCCCCGTTGGGGCCGTCATGTATTTGTATGCGGATGTCGTGCAAGTACCTATCAAGTAGTGTCGATGCAACGAGCCTGCGCACTGATCTGGATATCGTAAAACAGGCAGATAGCCGTTGACATCGTCGAATGGAACCGCGAGGCTGATCCCTGAGTCGACCGGAACTGTTGGGTATCGGACACCCTGTCGTGTGTGAAGCTTCGCTGCGAAAGAGCGAGAACTCCTATCTTGCAGTTTCTCGCCTGCTCGTGTTGCGAGGTCCCTGGTCCCGGTCTGTTACTGGGTAGGCCTGGACCCCGTCCTACACAGGTTCCGTGCTGGGCTGTCATACCATCGATGAAGACGGCGACATGCATGTACAAATACGATCCTTACGGTTCCTTGAATACCCGCATCCCCGGGGCACTCTGAACTCGAGGTCAGTTGATGACAATGCGCCGAGTTACGACGACACTGATAGACAGGTGTTGATGTTTCTCACAAGGCTTCTTATAGACCCCGAACAAGGTCGTGGACTCTGGAGGGCCACAAATGATCGGAGCAGGTCCCAGTGAGTAAACAATCTGTAGAGAATGATCTGGTGAAAACTACCCCCACCGTCTTAGGTACTACCTAGGTACTATGCTTGATGTGCGACAATAGACGATGAGGCTCAAGTTACGGGGCATGGTCGAACACGGCAAGATTTCGTGGAACGGATATGTCTATTCTGCTGCAGTAGCGAGTCAGTGAGCCGTTGGTGGCAAAAGCGGTCTTTTGAGGAACGCACGACCCGCTCAATGCATTGTGTTGGCAAAATAGGAGACTGGCGCATTAATTGACGCATACATATCTCGAAGTGGAAGCATATGTTCATGTCATTGCATTTGGGCTGCACTAGGCCTGGGATGGTATGAGCAATGTGATCTCATAGACAAATGGTTAGCTCCTAGTATCTCACTTGGTAGCTGCAACGTTGCCTAGGGTCCCTGGGCTCAGCGGTTGCCGCCTGAGCTGCTGTCGTGCCACCGGATGTTGATAGACGGCGCGTGTGTCCGTGGAATCCCTCTCTCATTGGCATTCGTGACTTGTATGTAGGCTGTTTGCTATCACGGCAAAAGATCCCATCGGTCGTACTAAGCACCGGATAGGACCCGATAAGGCTATATAAACCATCTGAGCAGATGTATCAGGTTGACATCGTGGTCACAGCACAAGACTGGAGTAGTGCAATTAAACAGAGTTGATGTATCTCTTGGGCCAAGTGCTTCCGCAATGTCGTCGAGCGGCAGGCACATCTGGCGAAAAGTGAAAAAACTGTTCTACTCTATTCAAAGCTCCGCCCCGGTAGACGAACGTTACTCTACCGGGAAGATAGACCCTGGCAAGCTTGAACATGAATTTGGTGATTCAAACGACAAGGTCCTTTTGCAATATACTGTTGCAGTGCACCAAGCCTAATCCGGTGAGGTTGGATTTGCAAAGAATCCGCTTCCGCGACTTGGCTTTTGGCTTCAACGTTGCCGTCTTACTTGATTGACTACCCCGGATGCTCTGATATGATTTGAGGTAAACACCATGAATCGAAATGCTGAATTAATTAACCACCGGCGCAAGCGGAATAGGAGTTGGGAATGTTCAGATACCCACACATGATTGGTGCTGTAACTTGCTGAATCCGACATTGGATATGTGCCTAAGGAACTGATGAGCTTGTTGGTGAAGGTTTAATGACAGCTCTGTTCTTTTCTCATTACGTCCTGGCGCATCGAGTAAGCTTAGAAAGTAGCCGTAGAGATGCCTAAATCTAGACGGATAAAGCAGGGGTCGTCCCACCCAAGGAGCTTGCTGTGACCGAGACCACAGACGAACGCCCGGTACGTTGCACGTGGCTTTGCTAGTCCGCGTCCGTGCTCGAGCGCTGTGCGACATCTGTTTCACTGGGCTTTTGGGATGATGCAGCGTCCTTAGGCAATAATGTTAAAAACTATCTACGATCATGTGTGGGGGTCAACGATGGCACGACACGCGTTCTACCCACTAAAGCTGACTGTTGCATTCCACCAGTAAAGAGACAAGATTTAACGAAGAGAGCTTTCCCGAGTGCCCACGCGGTGCAGTATGATGAACTGATCTGTGTGTCAGATACTTAGTCTGCATAGAGTAGCGAGGCGAGGAAACGACTTGAGCTATAGCATGGTTTGATGGCCTGCAATACATCACGCTGTAGAACCTTTTAGAAAGCCATTCACTATCGCGTACGGAAATTACGAAGCATGCGAGATGGGTGTGGTCCAATTCTCGTGTAGTGGTGTTGCGTTGGTGTACATTGAAGGGCCGCTGGCTCGTGTTACACCTGTATACAAGACACACAATCGCAATTTCAACCGGTAGATGGTTTAGGGACATGGTTGGCGTCCCCTATGGATTGGGCTGCTACAGGACTGATAGCTCTTTGCTAAAGGGTGAGTAGTAACACGCATGAGTGTATGGGGGATTTGTACACGTAACGACTTCTCCATGACGCAATAAGCGGCCTTCAAGGAGAGCAAGTCAATGCAAACATCAACGGGGGAGGTGGATTGTCCGAATAAGATGTCGTTGTCTCAGTAACTCGAATCGAGCTTTCCGGCGCCGAGTATGCAGTCGAACTCGACAAAGCTAAGGCTGCGCGACTACCAGGGCCCGGGACTAAGGGCAATGAATCGTATTGATCGGTAATTGTGTCGCGTGTTTCCATAGATCGCAGGCACAATCCATCCACACACACCTGCGAATATCTCTGGTTCTATGCGCCCAAGCAACATAAACAGGCGTCCCCAGATCTGGAGGTAGACAAGGATGTTCTTGAAGTGGAGTACGTGCACATACCTCAGGCCGAGCCGTCTCCACACTCGGCACCGCAAGTATTAGAAATATCGGCACGATGACATCGGCCTTGACTTGGTTCCTCGGACCGTAGCTTGACAATCATGACACATGCTTCCCGAAGAACCACCAATAACTGGTCGTAATACGCACCGGGGCTCAAAAGGCTCGTGAATGGAACATTGTGTACGGCTATCGCGTCCAAACATGGTTGTACGGCAGGCTGACAGAAATATAAAAATAATGGTGGATGTGCATGGGAGTGCAATCCCCAGACCTCCCCAGATTTTCCAACTTCACAAGGCTCCACGTCCACAAACACAGCGGGTAACCTGTGCCTCGTGTCAAAACCCTATCAACAGTCACGCCAACTCGAAACCTCCAGTGTAAGTCTCCATGACAAAATTGAGATTTGGAAGTTGGTTTACCAGCGTGACAGGACAACGCTGAAGATGTGCTACTTTGAGAAGATTCACTTCGTCCCTTGCGGACACGATGACACCCGGCGTATCCAGTTTTGCCACTTCGCCCGCAACGACCCCAACCATCAATGCTTCGGCGCATGGAATATCAAGCGAGAATGGGAGCAACACGAGTCAGAATGCAATCAGTGTATCAAATCGAGACAAGCTGTTCAATACAGCAGCACAAAGCCGCAGTACGGGTTTGCTAGCAGTAGATGAGCATTGTTGGTGTGCTATTGTTCAGATCTTGGCTTCCTTATGCTTCGAATGGTTTCGCCAATGACTTCGGTGATCGATCGCGGGTGTCAATGTGTACAATGACCTTACACATGTACATTTAGTGTCTAGTGCGGACCTTTGGGGCAGTTTTACTTTTGGGCATGGCTTTGCCGTTAGTATGTTATCCTGTAACATGAGGAATAGAAGCCGCCTGGACGGTTTCAGGGATTAGACGCCCACTTTAATCAGCTCTCATTATCCGCAAGTTGTCCGAGCATGTGCATGCAATCGTCGACATACTCATTCGGTATCATCTTGCTCGCCTATATCCGCTGGCGAACACACATCATCGCTGTGCTGCACAGGCTTGCGTCAGTAGCACCGTGCTTGGGGAAATAGTGTTCCACTTGGTAGATATTGTGCAGTCTGCGAAAGTGTTGTCTTTGACGGTTTCACAATCTCTAAGCCACCAGAATTCGCGGTAGCTTTGTGCGCATCGCATACCCCTCAGTGGCACAGTCATACCGTTGGTTCGGCGCGACTACTAGAATCGAGATTATTGTGAGGCAGGAAGTGGATTCAGGTATCATGACACGTTTGGCCTCCTCCGCACTCATAGGCTCGCACTGTTCTCAGGTTGGAGCCGCCCAACGATGTTATACCTCTTCGAGAAGAACGTGTGCCAGTCGTTCAAGACTTTCAACTTGTCCTCGGTAAGGTCAGAGTAATCTGAAATGCAATCCTTCAATTCCAGAGAAGACAGTCCCAGCGCGCGATTCGGCTCCTTTCCGGTAAAGACTACGCGTGCATTACATTAGAAAACATATGTTGACCGTATAGAGGGCTGGCGAAGTTACTGACCATGGTAGTTCTTGCCAGGCGCGTACGTATCTTTGCCACTAACATCAAAGACATCACCCTGACTATCAGTAAGTGCTCGAATGACTTGCTGTTGGAAGGCTTAGACCTCACCTTGATGGCTACTAGTGTGGGGAACCCTTCATTTGTGCCTACCGATCATCTGTTAGCGCACTGCCGTTCAGTGAATTTCACACGAACCGTACCATCGCATTTCGTGAGGTAGTCGCGAGTGATGACATCATCTTTGGGAGTCGCGAGATTCACAGGCTGCTTAGGAGCAAATCTCTCCTTCTTCTGCGGGGCTGATGCGTCGGACATGATGAGAGATGGACGATTGAACCGGTGAGAGAGGTTCAGACGCTCGTGGAGTTCGCGAAGCAGCACGGCCTCGGTAGGCGGGGTTTCTGCGCTAAGACCTGATCCGGCAAGACGCATACTTTTTCGCCATCCCCACGATGCCGTGCGACGACTGCACATGCACCAGCGTGTTCCCTCATCAATACAAGGATTTTCACACACTCATAGCAAGCCCAAACAGGTAAGATGCAGTGCAAAAATGACTTATTACTTTGAAGCTTTCTATGCAGTCCACCCTTACAATGTCGAACCTCCGATGCAAGGCAAGTGCGATTTCATTTCTTTGCATACCTCAACGGACTTAACTACTTGTATGACAAGTGCTCATGTCAAGGTATAAATAAGGCCGACTCATAGATTAGTAGACGCCTGGCCAAATTAATCGATGCCCTGTTTTCCTCCATACAGCTGCTCAAGCTTTGACGGGCTGAGCAACCATCAAGCGAAGCAACGACTGCACTACCTCTGCGGCGGCAAGCACAGTAGTTTCTCCGGGATTGTCGTAGATTGGTGCAACTTCGACTGATGATGGTCAGCATGTACGCGGTACAGGTTGATCGTTGGGTTTCATGCCCACGTCGGCGCCAACGACTTCAAGTCCGGCCAGGCCGTCGAGGATCGATAGCAGCTCGCGAGTTGTCCAACCGCCCACTTCGGCAGTTCCCGTTGCTATCAGGTCTGTCAGATATGGTCTCGATTGGCGCGTGTTACCACCTTGTCACAAAGCGTGCTCAGACTGTGACTAACCTGGAGCGAACGTTGGATCCAGAACGTCAATATCGACCGATACGTATACCTTCGAACCGGTTACTCGTTGCTTAAGTTTTTCGATAACTCCTGACACACCGACACGGTCAATATCTCTGGCTTTGATCATTTCAAACCCACATCGAACGTCGTTCGCTACATCACCTTTGGGTCGAAGCACTGGAGCTCGAATGCCGGCATGAATCGATGTGTTACTTCCTCATGAGCTATATGCAAGAACGTGCCGTGATTCACCCCGCTGTGGAACAGATCAGCCAAGCTTTTCATGACTAGTCATATTAAACCCACGCGTAACGTGACACTCCGCCACCGAGAACTTTGGGATCCCAAGTGTCTTGACAGCACACATTAGCCAAAATTATGCCTTTCGGAGATTCTTCTCACCTATGTGGCTGTCAAAGTGAATAACGCTGACGGATCCAAAGTTGTGGTAGGTTGAACGCAAAGCGGAGAGCGTCGTGGTATGATCTCCTCCCAACGTGACGATCCTTGGAACTGGATATTCGCTTGAATTAGAAAACCGACCGGATATGATCTATCAAATACAATGTGTCAGGCTGTTTTACAAAGGCGTACTACACAATGATTCATAAACGCAACTTACCCGATGGCTAGTGTCAAGCTGCTTTAACGCTATTGTGTTGTCCTTGCTACCGTCTCAGTAAGCTGCTCAAATGAATTTCCGGTCTGAACGCTTACCAAAAACGTCAAGGGAGCATCGCCGCAGTCTACGATCTTTGCCCATTCATAGAATACGTTCTTCCCTAATGCAATCGACCACAGAGTCAGCTGACTCGGTTATGTTACAATTACCGTGCGAATTAGGACTCTGAAATTGTTGCTAGAGGCGGTGTACGTTTCGAGCGGTTGGGCAACTTGAGGAGTATTTGCTTGAAGCCTCTTCTATAGAGTAAGAAGTAGTCGCGTCCGCGAGAACTCAGCCTCGCACTGTTCTGTGGGTGGAGAATTGAGGCGCCGCAGATGCAACGCATGCTAATCGTGCGACACAGCGCCGCTTCGAGAATGGAATCTAATATAGCGAAACGATATGCTGGATCTTACCCGTGTAAATGTCCCACGCAGCGTCCGGATCTATTCTCCTTGAACCTCGACGGATGCCGCTCGGCCCGAACCGCGCCCCAGGTCTAGCTGTCACTCCCTGTTGCGCCTGTCAGCTCGGAAACGGAGAGACTCTCCTTCTAGTGACGGGATATGTTTGGAAGGGTGACATGCTCCAGCCAAATATTTGATCTATATGCGGCTAGCGAGAGTGGTGGCAGCCATCAAGACTGCAGAAGGTCATTATAGTCGGTACGTCCACCATATCCCTGATACAGAATCAATCAGATATTGCGAACCTGCGTAGTGTGCGTGGGTGGGTGGCTTCCTGATGACCACACGGTCTGTGCTGCATGCTGTAATGACGCTGTACAACGAAGTTGCGCGCCGTCCCGCTTGGTCCTTTCACGGGCACGAGAAGTTGCATTTTGCGATCCACCCGCATGTTATCCGGACAACTCGCGATGTGTACTGAAAGGCTGTACTCACGGTATCAAAAGGCGCACCCAGGATGGCAATATCGAACTTGTCGACTTGTGTACCTTCCCCGGCTAGACAATGAACGTACGGTAGATTGGCATACGTGGTTAAACCTGCAAAGACTGAACCTGCTGTCACATCAAAGTCTCCTCCGTGGCCCATTGCCCGTTGGTTCGCAACATCAGAGACAGGGTGGAAAGTGATCTCACGCGCAGTTGAAGACGATACCAGCCCAGCGGCTACAAATTGTGAAAATCTCATGGTAGACGAGGTTTGCGACGATCGGGAATTCACGTTGCAGACAGAATCGAGGGATTCGGCGTAGTTATCGGACATCTCGCCGCGGCAGCGATGACGTCTTTCACACTAGTGACAGAAAGGGAATATTTGTACCAGTTCCTTCACGATTCCGTACAGATACACCATCGCTATCATTGACGCGCCCTCTACTCTTCGGCGGAATTCTAATTGTGCTGTATTCTACCCGCAATAGCTCTTCTCGCGCATGCGTTCACTTTCTTTCCTGGGCTGCCATCGAAGGCTGTTCATTCAGGTGAAGTGCCGCGATGTTGACACCGCATGGAGCCAGCAAGTACGCGAAGGTAAAGCCGAGGCCGCGGCAATCGCCAGTGATGACAATGTTTCTGCCTTTGACGTCGAGCTTCAGGAGGACCCGATTACGGGAAACTTCGTCAGAGGCCACATGCAAGGAAGGATAGAATAAATTCGTATGCCAAAGGATTTTGCAGATTGCGTGGTAATCTTGACATTCACACAAGGTCGTAAGGTAGCCGGCTACACCGACCCCGCTCTTGGTGCATCAGCTGCTCGACGCCATCAAGGCCGCACTACTTCGGGCTCTCTTTAAACAGCACTGTACCTCTGTGCTATTAAGGGAACGTGAGCTTGCAATAGGAAGATGCTCCAGAGGGGTTGCTGTCTCAGGCTGACACACTTGGTACAAGATAGGTACAGGTAGGCCACTAGCGTAGAAACCCGAACAGCCTCGTGATGTCAGCACTTGTTGTCTCGCAGCCCAGCCTCCAGCATTCCCATCGGATAAACTTCGAGATGCCGCCTGTCTTCTTGGCGTCTGACTGTGTGACCAGATATTGGAAATTAGCATCATGCAGCCGCTTTGACAGCACACAACGAGGAGACGTTGCTCGCATCTCACATGCAAAGCGATATGGACAAGGCTGTTCTATGTGTCTTATGTGGTGCTCCTTTCGCTCTCGAGCCCGGAATATACCATCTTCATCCGGAACGCGCTGAATTCCAGGTAAGTTCTTGATACAGCTTAAGGTTTGGCGCCTGGGATGCATTGGCATTCAAGATATCGCTGGACATAACCTCAGAGGCAGCTTGTATGCAATTGTTGTCCACTGACGTGCGCGCAGTGGCTTTACGATGTGCAACTTGTCGGACCAGCGTCCGCTTTCCGTAATCACTGCATGACCAGCGGATGTCATGAGCATCATATCCCACAAAGAAAAGACATTTTGATCGTCTCCGAAGTCATATCCTGGTCCGTAACGGACGCAGACTGCTTCTGCCTCCACGCTTCCTATTACCGTGTACTGGAAGAAGACGAGTGCGAAGATATTCTGTTCCCCTTACACGAGAAATGCATACGACTCGCTGATCGAGCAGTCGAGTTCCACCGCAGTGACCAGGCGTCTCTTGAGACGAGGACCAAACCATCGTTCTTGTATGATGCGTTGAGAAGCCATTACTTACATGCCAAATCCATGGGTGTTAGCATGTACCCCAACGCTCTTGGATTGCTCACAACGTGTGACCTGTTCAGCTATCGTACTATAGACACGGTGGACAATATCGGTTGGTGGAGTGGTGCATACGAGGTGATCTGCCTCCCTCGACCTTGTGGAATTGTCACTGACTGGCCATGGCGTGCAGAAATATCTCAGCGATCCGATTGCCATCCGCAATTTTACAAGACATATATGTAACAATACGTTGCAACGGACTGAGCGAGAGCCACCTGCCTCGCCTTCATTCAAAACTGATATCCAGCCGCGACGCCTGCATGGATTGGAGGCACTTCCGAATGAGTTACTCGATCAAATCGTAGATCTTCTACCAGCCCGTTCCGCCATTGCGCTTCATCGCAGTGGCAAGTCGCTTGCGGATAGAGTCGTAATCAACAACAAGTTTTGGCAATCTCGTCTATGCGACGGTACTTTGCTTTCGCACATATGGGATCTAGGCGAGGACGAGATGACGCGATTTATCGACATTTCGGCCACCTGGGACTGGAAAAGCCTTGTCCGAGATCTGGCAGCGAAAATAAGCGAAGATCACATGCTATTGGATACTACTCCAGCAGGGTTTTGGAACCGTCGTAGGATATTTGAACGTATCGAAGGGACCCTCATGCAGCCACCTGACTACCGTGCCGTACCATCTTCATCTAGTCCGGATCTTCAAGAGAGCCTTGACCCCAGTCATCGCGTCAGTCTACGAATGCTAGTATTCTTTATAATCATAGCGGTAATCATAGCATGGGTCCTACAATTCTGACTTTGAAAGATTTCATTGAATAGAACAGATGTGGTAGCAGATATCTCTATACACTTAGCACTGTCCACAACATTCCAAGCGATAGGCCGTCGACAGTTTCCATACCATGCCTTACCGTCTCTCGGACAAAGGAGTCTTTCTTGGAACGTGTAATCTTGTTGTGGGGCCACTGCGCCCTTGGGTACCACTCTCTGCCTTGCCAAGACATCAGCTTCATTCAAGAATGCTGCACTGAGACACCGCCTTTTTGAGAACACCCAGGGGCGTCTGACAAGAAAGCTCTGGAATGCTATCTTCGGAAAGCTGTGGGCACCAACGAATTGAATCGCAGAACGAAATCCACATCGTCATGCCTTGCAGCCAAGCTTGCCGGTTTCTCAATGCTACCTGCGAAATTTCACCCATATAACAGTTTCTATCAGTATCAACAGTTAGTGCACGGAGACTTTACTTAGTGTTCCATATACCAGCCTATAAGCAAAGTTATACTCTTCCACATGATACCCAACTGTTTGAAAAGTTTCGAGAGGTTTACACGCGCGTTCGGGCAGAGTAATTCGCCTTGAACAGCGGCACACCGGAAGACGTGCTATCCTTGAGAATGCCAGTTCTTAGTTGCCTTGTGGTCCTCGTAGCACACAACATTGTAATTGTTCGATTATCTGCTCCATCAAGCTAGTCACATAGAAGGGGACGGAAGTACCGCGAAGGCGGATTCCCGACCGTGTTTCTAGCAGGATGTTTGTTGACATAATACTTGGGCTTCCAGTATAAAGCCTCAGGGGCTTTCGCTCTTCATCGTCAGACACTTCCAAAACTAGATAACATAAAAGCTTTCCACCACCTCAACAAGCATGTTCAACAGTCTCCCCCTTTTCCTGCTTGCCATAAGTACTGCACACGCAACACCCAAGACCAATCAAGAGAATCGTTGTGGCCCGTTATCTAATTGCGAAACCGTCTCGGAGAATGGCACTACATACCACAGATTCAAACGCGGCAATGGCCCCGGAACCCCCGATTATGTTTCTCGCTTCAAAGCCCATGAAATTCGAGGCGATCCCATCAAGACGTTCATCACTCTAGGCAAGTCGAAGATAGGATGGGGCTGTGACCAGCCACTAGACCCCATCTTCAGAGAAGGCATCAAGCAGGTCTGCAGCGCACATGGCTGTGCTGAGGACACCTCCTACACAAGAGATGTGGAATGGGTTGACAGCGACAACGCTCGATCTAAGCCGCGTAAGCGCACGCTGGAGTTGAAAGCTGCGGGAGATTACTATGGGCAATCTGACTTGGACAACTACATCGAGGCTTTCGTGGCAACAGCTACGAAAGAAACGGTTGGAACGGAGAATCGCAAATGGTGTGATGCGGCAGTTAGCCATTGGCTTAATGGATCTTGTAAGGAGACCGGAACGTGCCCTATGCGTATGTTTCCAAGCTTCATCAAGATTGCTAGGTTTCAGGATGAGAATCTGAAGGATCATATTGATGTCACGGTCAGCACGTCTGGAGGTGATGGTAAGTTTTCATACCTGACTGATGAAAATTACTAATGACGAACATGTAGACGATTGTTTAGCAGAAAACCTGTTGGCGGCTATTGGAGGAGCTATTAACCCGCTTGCTGGAGGCTTTTTCGGGGCAGCCGCAGCGTGCTGTCAGAGTGATAAGTGTTGAGAACCTGCAAGTATACTGAGGTTTGTTAGAACTAGGTGCGTTGGACGAAGTTTGGACTCACTGTTTTTTTATTTACGTGTTTTCCTTGGCCTTGCCATCGTGATATCTATCATATCTTGTAACATGGTCAACGTTACTGCTAACCTTGGCTTTATTGATTTCAGGAATATCAAGGCAAAGTTTATGACCCGTGCAGGTCGCTCTATGGATAACCAGCTCCTACCAAAGAGCCCTCATGCCCAATACCCGCTCCAAAACTTCTCGGTCTCTGCCAGGACCGTGGGAGCCTTGGCTTTTGGACGCTTGCTATCTGTCCGCTTCTTTCGCTCCTTGTTCAATGGCCTCCTAGAATCAGCGTTCTCGATCCTACTCTCATAAGACGCGCGCTCTATCTCTTTCATTTTCCACTCATACTCATCAATCTGAGCCTTCAAACCCGCGATCATCACGTCCCTCTCCTTAACACGCCTGCTCAGCCGGTTCATCTCAAAGCGATAATCCCTATCCTTTTTACCCTGCTTGAACTCGAGCCTGGAGACCTGCTCCAGTGCGTCGTCCATCTCTTCTGCGACGAGACGGAGCGTCACTCGAAGATTGTCACCGGAGCGGATGAGATGTTCGTGTTCTCCGGTTCTTGCCAGTACCTCGTTTCGTAGCTGTAGTTTAGCTTTTTGCAGCTCGTCGATTTGCTCATGGGCCATGGCAGCATCAGCCACTAATCTAAGATTGTCTTTCTCCAAATTATCGTGTTGGTTCCTAAGCTCATGGATGCGCATGTTAGCAAGGCTGAGATCGACTTCTGCTGAAACGGTTTCATGTGTCAACTCGACGTTGTTCTGCAAAGCGTTGTGTAAGTCACTCTGCGTGCGATGCAAGCCCGCTTCTACCTTGTCGAAGTGCCGATCCAAATGTGCTAGGTCATTTTGCATGGCTGCGTACTCTACCCGCAGGATCTCAAGTGCTTGAAGATTGGCCATAGGATCTAAGCATGAACTGGTTGAGGGGTGGTGGGGGAGTAACCGCCCGCGGGAGTTCTCTAGTATAAAGGCTGGGAAAGACATGGTGAATTCAGCGGCCTTGAGAGTGGGTTGGCAGGCAAAAGCGCTTTGGTGTCGCATCGGTCGCAGTGAAATTCTTGTATATGCTCTATATCTAGCATTGTGTGGCACTAGCGCATTGTGCGTGGCTACATGAATAGACTGATGAAAGAAAAGGCGGTCGTGGCAGTGCACAGACCTCAACTAGCAAGCCAACCCAGGGAAGGTCTTGTGCAACACAGAACCGCAACGCTGATGTCCCTACTCGTCTCATAAGCCGTAACACACAAGCATGTGCTTGAGACCCTCAAGGTGGGGCATCTCAGAACCCACTCATCCTGGTCTTGACCTTCTTCTTCTTCATCAGTCTTCCACCGTGCCTACCCGGCTCGACCTGGCTCTGCACAACAATCGGCTGGTACTGATTAGGTGCAGGTACCTGGCTACTAATCGTTGGAGATGCGGGACCAGGTGAACTTCTTAGTAGCTGGGGCTGGCTTTCTACTTTGCCACTCTCGACTCTGCCCGTGAACAGCTGGTCTTCCTTCTTCTGCCTCTTCGCTTGTCTCTCCTTCTTTCGACGAGCCCTCTCACGTCTTTTCTGCGTGCCTTCTTCTTGCATAAGCTCGAGCTCCTCCGCAAAGGCTCGCTCGCTCGCTTCCCAATCGTACGAGGAGGGGTCGGCACCAACTTGCCAGTGGGAAAGGACTTGGTTGATGCTTGGAGGTACTTCCGGCGGTGTAATGGTGGTCATATGCAGATGTTTGCTTAAGCGCGTTAACGGGTCGTCGAGACGAGTACTTGAGGGCGATGAAGCAGAGTGAACAGCCTGTGATGATTGGGATTGCCGATCTGATTGAGAGGAGTACTGCGGAGGGGACGACGAGCGTGCAACAGCAATGTCTTGACGTGGATCAGGCTGCGTAATTGTGCCGACTACGACGTCGCTGAGAGGGCGAACACGCGTGCTGGCTAGCGTTACGCCGATCGCAAGACGACGTGCCATGCGCTCCTTATTTTGCCGAATGCGGGCAGGAACTATTCCTGGTAAGGGCACGAGCCAGTTTTGGAGTACAAGATCGTAGATGGATGACAGTGAAGGAGCGTTCTGGGATTCCTCGGCACTAAAGCCGAGAACGAAGTCCGATGCAATTCTCCGAAGCTGCAACGAAGATGCACGTCCATCTGTGAGACATATTTCTTGCAGCTTAGCAGACGCATCGTCAATGTCATCCACAGTTACAATTGCCTCTGCGTATTCTTGCAGAGTTCCCAGCGCGAAGGGCTCTACGTTCTCTTCTCTATCAAGTCTCCACTTGATCTCTTCCACTAAAGTCGCCATGTCGATAATTTCCGGCGAATCGCTTGTATGATGCAGTGGAAACGGTTTATTCAAACTGATGGCCTCGTATAGACCGGTAAAGTTGAAAACATCTCGCTGAATGCGACCGATCACCTGCTGGTAGCATTTGGGCTGTTGAAAGGAGGGGTTCAACAGCGGCTCTTTCGAACCGGTTACGCCGTCCGGCTCAACAAAATCGTCATCGTCGCTGTCGACTACATCTTTCGAACGAAAGACCATAGGTTTAATAGTAGTCGCCCAGGATGTAGACATAACGTCATCAAGGACGCCGTCACTGAAATTATGGTCCAGGGAGCACAACATGGTCTGAGCCACACTGTGGTCGTTGAAGAAGATGGAAAGCTGGTAGAACTGGACGCCGCGATCCCTGTAGTCGTCGCCGACTCCACGAGAGGCTCCTGTGGAGTCCTTGAAGTCAAGGCGCGCTATGTTGAAGTTGAGGATGAATTTGGAGCCCTGCGCACCCTCGAACTTGTCGAGACGAAGAGTGGTCGGACCAAAACTACGATACGGCGCCGCTGTTGATGTCTGGTTCACCAAACGGTACACTGTTATAAGCGCGTTCACGCGAGAATAGATAAAAACCACCGTTTCTAGAGGTGTCAGTACGTATCCGAAAACTAACTGAGGGACCGATATACCTTCAGTTGACACCGATTGTGCATAAAGTTGCAGAGTCATATCTTCTGTCCCCCGAAAATGCGTCCATGAGAGAATGATGTCGGCATCGGTGTTGCCATGATTGGCGCGCGGTCCATCGCTCAAGCACGGCAGCGAGAACAAGAACAGCCGGGCAGAGGTGAGAACAAAAAAATGTTTCTCGTCCAACAAAGGATGTCTCTTGACATCCAGAATCCAAGAATTAGGAGTGCTCTTAGTCGAATGCCAGTCTATCACTTGCGGCATACGGAGGGAGCGAGTGTGTGGTTTGAGGTTGATGAGCTCAATACGTTTGCGACTGCATATCAGGACAGTGTTGGCATCGCCAACCCATATGATGCGTGCCCAACCGTCTTCCTTCCAATATCCCAAGGCCCCCGCCTGTTCCTCATTGCGGTTCTCTTCAATGGACATATTCCCGGAAGCCACATGCCTTACTAGATAGTTCCGCCGCGTGCCCTCAATGTCCCACACAGACCAGCTCGACTTCTGGTCGATGATCGCAAATTGGCGTTGGTAGTGAGGGTTGAATGACACATCAGCATGTGGAATGCTCCCAGTATCCTCTGTCCATACGGAATGGAAAGGACGAATCTCAATGACCGACGGCGGCAGGTCATACAGCCGAGATTTGGTGGCAGCAGTAGGACGATCGTGGTAAACAGGACGGAAGAGGGCGACCCTTCGAGGGAGCCGCACAGCTAGAAAAGAACCGGGCTTCTCCGACTGAGCGAAGCAGACTTGTTGTATGGCAGTTGCGTCCCGGTTCCAGAATCCACAATCCCCCTTCCACGAGAGACACTCCAGATAGCAAAGCGAATCGCTGTCTGGCCCCGTTCCCCATCCGCGTTTCTCCTTCGAGAGCAATTGTAACCGCAGTATGTTTCCGCCTTCGCCTGTGGCCAGTGCAACGACCTGTCTTGCGAGATGAGCACGACCCGCTGGTGGTGTGATAGTACCGAAGGACATCAGTTGCCCAATGGTGGCATAGTGGGCGCTAAACGCAGCCGTCGCTGCTGCAGAGACAGCCTCAAGTTCCGGGATATGTTCCGTCGCTGGGACGAGCTCTGGAAAGTCGCGGGCGATGCTTCTCGTCGCTTGCCTGGCAGTTCGCAAAGTACGCGGGATGCGTGGGTAGGGGAAATGCACCGCGGCCGGTATGGCAGTCCTCCACTGATCAAGTTGTCTGAAGCTTGCGCCATTGAAGGTTCGGAGAAAAGCCCACCGACTGTTTTCTAGATCATAGGTGGGGATCCCAAAGTGACCGGTATTCAGGTCGTTAGGCAAGTCGTCAGTCATTTGGGTTTAGGAGCGGTCGTGAGTGGTACGGAAGCGCGTAGATCTGAAGCATCATTAGACAGCGACTCTTGTTGCGTTTTCATGAAGTATTGTGGTCGCACAAGTGGAGGCGGAAACAGTGAGGGCGCGCAAAAGCCGACCCGGAAAAACGCGAGATCACGTGTAATACTTTATCGATAACGGGCCGGATGAACCCCAACGCCGTTGTTTACAGCACAACGGGAGCCAAACAATAGCCCACCTCATCGACAACCACGTCACACACCACTTCCGCGAAAGAGAGTCTCCCAGCTATTGACCTACTTTCACAATTAGTCACATCTTCTTTCAACCATGACAACCTTCGAGCCCTCGCTCAGCGCCAGCATGCGCGCTTCTTCGCATGATGCGCCATCTATGGCCGACCAACTACCTTCCATCAATTTCGGCTTCGAGGAACTACGCAGCCGCATGAACCAATTTACTGCGCGATTCGACGATTTCATTGAGAAGGGCCGCAGACGTGTCTTAGAAGAGCGCAACCAGTTCCGCGTAAATGTCGCAGAGATCCAAGGTACGCCTTCCGATTCGACTACACATTCGGCGGGCATGCTAACAAATTGACAGAGGACCAGCGCATGAAGAAACGCGACATCGAAATCCTCTCTCTTAAACAAACCCAGCATTCCCAGAACCTTGCCAAAGAGTCTGCAGAAACGTCCGAGATGCACGCCGCGATCACCACGCTCACCACGCAACGCGATGAGCGCATGACCCACCGTGACGCCCTGCGCGCCCAGATTGCAGAAATGCAAAAGTCTATCTCCACACGCCGCGAAGCACAGCTCAAGCACCGCCGCTACCTTGATGGCCAGAGCCGGTACAACGAGCCCGAGCTCGAATTTTGGGAGAGCTACCTCGGCTTGAGGATTGAGGGGTTGGGCAAGGAAGACAGCCTGAAATTTGTCTATACGAACGTTTGTGAGCGAGAATGGGAGCGGGAAGCGTGGTTCGAGTTAGACACCAGTGAGCGAGAGTACAGGATCGGGGAAGTGAGACCGAAGGTAGAGAGGGAAGAAACCGATCGTGTCCTGGAGCGCCTGAACGAGACAAGAGATCTTGCAGCTTTCCTGAAAGGTATGCGAGAGCTGTTTGTGGAGGCGTTGAAGTAAGATTTCTATGGTGGCTCAGAGGAATGGGAAATCCTTTGAGGCGTTGGATTGGGAAGGATTGGTATAACGAAGGCGTAATACCCCATGATGACTTCAGACCGTATACAGTACCTCTCCATAACAAGAGTACCCTGTGTTGCCCCCGGCTGCGCCATTCAGCACCCAAAAATTGTTGACCTAGTACTGCACCTCTACTTCTGCTTAACCTTGTAATATTCTGGCGCGTACTCCGTCAGCCAATCCGCCTCCACAGTCGTCAAATCCCGAATATACACCTTTCCCTTCGTTTCTTGTATCTCATGATAGATGACCCAATCCGCATTCCGATGGAAGAAGATCGAGCTAGGATGCGCCCACAACACGGTCTCTCCGCCAACAGTGACGAAGCTCCCATCGCTCTTCATGCGCGCCGCCTGCGCGAAGAAGCCTGTCGTCAAGCACCGCTGCACTCTCTCCGACACGTCAAGCCCCCCTCGTGTCATGGCATCCGATGAGGCAAGAGCGTTCTCTTGTATGCCCATGCGATCGAGGTAGTTTCGCAGCTGCTTACGCACACTGACAGCTTTGAGCATGGCCTTATAATTAAGACAGTTCTCGCGGCACCACTGACTCGACTGCTTCCCCACAGCCGGGTTCGTAAACGCTTGGTACACGTTGTACAGCGTGATATGGTCGCCTTCCTTCACAGCAAAGCGCCGCCGTGCCTTTTCGAGGAGCTTTTGGTTACCGTCGTGGGCGACAAAGGCGGTCCCTTGAAGTGTCATCATTGCGGAGATACTCAGCATCTCGGAGAAGCAGCCGAAGGAGGGCGCGTTGAGCAATGTGCGAGCGAGCATGGGCTCGAGCGGGAGCTCTGCCATGCGAGCTCCCAACGGCTTCGTCAAGCGTCCGTGGATATCGACGGCGCCGAGGGAGAAGAGGAGGTCTAGTGCGCGGACGACGAGCGCGGAGGGCGGATTTGAGAGATAGTCGAAGCGGATGACGTTCTGAATGCCAAGATTCATGAGCTGCAGTACCACTGGGGCCAGATTGCTCCTTTGGATCTCAGGGAAGGTGGCGGGCTCGAGAGCCTCAAAAGCGGCTTCGGTGTACATTCTGTAGCATTTGCCCGGCCGGGTGCGACCTGCTCTTCCGGCACGCTGTGTAGCGGACGCTTTGGATACGGGGACCACATTGAGGCGCTCGATGCCGACGGCAGGATCGTATGTGCGCAATTTGACGTACCCGGTGTCGATGACGTAGATTATGCCGTCGATAGTCACGGAGGCCTCGGCGATGTTGGTTGCCACGATGATTTTCCTCACGTTCTCGCCTGGCTTCTGGAAGACGTACATTTGCTGATCGGTTGGGAGACCAGCGTACAGAGGCAGCGGTTGCAATGTCTTGGACCCGGGGGGGAGGTCCGCGATGTGGTCTGCAATCATATCAATGGTGTCATCAATTTCTTCGCGGCCAGTGACGAAGAGAAGGATGTCGCCATCGGATTCATTGGTGTGGATAGACATGGCGGTATCCACGGCCTGTTCGATGTAGTTGTTAGTCGGAGAAGAAGTGTAGAAAATGTCTACGGGATGAGTGCGGCCTTCGATGCTAACGATAGTCCCATAATCTTCTTTCATATTTATAGTCCCGCCTTGATCGGATGCGAAGAAGTCGAGAAATTTCTCCGCGTCTAGGGTGGCGCTAGATACTACGACGCGTAGGTCTGGCCGTGCTCGTAAGACCTTCTTGAGAAGGCTGAGCAGAATGTCGGAACTGATTGACCGCTCGTGTGCTTCCTATGCTCACATACAAAATCAGTTTACCGCGATAGAACTGAGCAATCGGACGTGGCAAGGTAACGCCCAAGTCTTGGAAATTGTACGAAATCGAGCCACGACGCCAAATCGGGCTATAAGTTGTGATGTGGAGAATCCTCGTGAGTTCGAAGTTCTACGTACATCGACCATGACCACTGAGTACCTTTTCAGGAGTGGATCTACGAGCATCTCGCGCAGCAGAAGGCCATCCGTCAGAAATTTGATCTTCGTTTTCTCGGACGTCACATCCTCAAAACGGATGGAATATCTGAAGTTGATTAGCTGAGTCAACTTCACATTTGACAGCTGTCATGTATCTGCTATTGTTCGACATACCCGACTTCCTGTCCCAACTGGCATCCTAGCTCTTCTGCGACCCGTGCACCCACGCTCTTGTTATTCGGTCAGTCTGTGCACAATCTCGGAGATCCGAAGTCACATACCGTAGCAGCTATTCTCCGAGGTTGAGTAACAGCAATCTGAGAGCCATCATTCGTCCAGCCCGCCTTGTAGAGGAATTGCGGGATTTGTGTTGTCTTCCCGCTTCCAGTTTCCCCAACCTAGCAACAGTGTCAGCGTTTATCCTCTACGAAAACAAACACAGTATATCGTCACGATTTTGGGTCTCCTGTATTACCCCAACCTAACCAATGCGGTGACCGATTTCTGATCTAGTACTGTAATTCTATGCATTTAAAAGTATGCACCTACAATGATAGTGACTGGAAAAGTTTCGATGGCATAGAGAAGCGGATTTCTCAGCTGCGCAATCGGCAACAGTGCGGGAGGTTTGTAAAGCTCGGCTATCAATGACGCCCCGGCTTCTTCTTCCTCGGCCATGACGTGTGATGGATGAAGGCCCTCGCCTGGTGACTGCTGAGCCAAGGCCGCCAGTTTTGGTGGAGCTTGCGGAAAGCAATCTAGCCAAAAGGAGCATAGACAACTGCACCAATGTGGCTTGGCAGTTTCCCGCCTCCTCTCGTCACGCCAGCCACAACTCTGTTTCTTTGACATCACGACTTACCCTGGTGGATTGTTTACGCTTGCACTGTTGGAAGTACCTCTCCCAGGTATCCTGAGTACCTTATTTTGCCAAGAGTGAGCAGCACACGAGTCAAGCCTTCAACCTACAACTGTACATGCGGCATTCGAAGTCTTCAACAAGATCAGCCGAATGTTATGTGCAGGGCACCTGCGTCCCATGAAAAAATTGTTTTCGTTCGTCCCGTGGAAATGGTCTAGACATGGCGCACTTGATCAATGGGACGATTGCCAGCCCAGATATGCCGCCAACGAACACAGCAACAACCGCGCATGGACAACGGACGTTGCAACCCCAAACCTTCTTCCGGGTACGAAAGCCTAGCAGTTTCACGCTGGTCATCAATTCCGTGACAGTGACCCCCAGTTACCCGAATCATCTTCGCAACTACTGTCCCACCAAAGGCGGTAGTATTGTCAACCCCAGAGGTCTGAGTAGCCAGCTCTACAGCGTATTGCGCTACCGCACATACACGTACCATGCAGACGGAACGTTGCCATCTTCGAAATGCGGATAAGCCGGATGCGTCTTGGCCTCAGAGTATCTCGAAGGGGCTGGCTTGACCCTGCGTTCAAAAGGTACGCCATCTGGTGAATTCTGGTTGGACGTTTTGTCGTCCAATTCTTTGCCATGCCAGTTATATAGTCGATATTACGCCACGAGCGTCACCCGGATTGGATAGGCTAACAACGGAGTATTTGACGGGTCTCCGCATGCAGTGACCAGGTATAAGACAATGAGGTTGGTTTGTTCGAAGTAGGTCTGCAATCCTTCGTTTCGGTTTGTCCCCTCGTTCGCTTCTCGTGGTTCTATCACACTCACTGTTCTCATTCGATTGTCCCAACCTGGCCTTCTGCTTGCGCTTGCGATAACTTTGTTAATCTTCCCGCGGCCGAATCTTTCCAAGATGCACCGATTTATTACATACATTTTACTGGCATTTTCCGTCAAAAAATTTGCAGCCACACAATCGAGCTGCTCCGAAGAGTGGTATGACCTAGCATCGGACTTCGAGACTTTCTTCATTGAGGATGGAACATGCTCCAACGCAGCTCGAGCCGCCATACGCCTTGCATTCCACGACTGTTTCCCAGGAACGTGTGACGGGTCCATCATTAACGCGAAAGAGTGTACAGACCGCAAAGAGAACGCGCAGATGGTCGATATCTGCACAATGCTCAGCCAGAAAGCCGATGAGTACGGTGTTGGTACAGCCGACATAATTCAATTTGCTGCAGGTTCGACACTCTGTGATCTATTGTTCGAATAATAAGCTAATCGAGTTTTGACAGCTATTGGGCTTGCATCATGCACAGGTGGGCCCGTAACCTCTTTTTACTCCGGCCGTGAAGATTCTTTCTCTGCAAGTCACCGGGGATCCATGCCAGACGCGCAGACGGATGCCCGGACCATGGTAGACCTCTTTTCCAAGAGAAATTTCTCCAAAATCGAGCTGGTCGCACTGGCTGGTGCGCACACCATTGGCCGCCAACTCGACGGCACGGACATGGACAGCACCGCTGGCGTATGGGATAATAAATTCTATACCGAGACATCGGGGAACTCCGCACCAGGGTCGGTGGCTGCTGATACTTTCATGGCCCAAGCTAGAGAGACCGGTGAGGAGTGGAGGACTGTGGGAAAAACTCAAAAGAGCTTCATGCGTGCATTTCTTCCTGCAATGGAGAAGCTCAGTCAGTTGGGGAACAACAAGAGTGGACTGGTGGACTGTTCAGCCGTTGTGAAGTCATATGCTCACAAAGCCAAGGTGCAGAGGGTGCTCGTGAAGGGTAGGAGGTGTTAAAGTGATGATTGTAGGCGACGAAAGTCAGATATTTTTGCGGCTTTTCTGGGCGAAAGATCGCATTGATCTAGCGCTGTGTTGGACTTTTCCTTTCTTTACGTAACATCAATCTAGCATAGGCAATACTAAAACTATCGCAACCCAATTCTACCACCTAGTGATTTACGGCTGGCCGCTGGGTCAAAGAATCTGCTCCTAAATTGGCGATGGTTAACTTGATCCTTCTTTTCGGTGCTTGCCATCCAGTCGCTCCTGCACCTACAACCGGAGTTTCCCTTGGATTGTGTCAAGTAGGGTTACAACGCATCCAGCAACAATGATGTTGAACTTACTATATGCTATGTCCGCGACCTTCGTCGCCTCTCTATGCGCTTTTTCAACCAACCGTATTATCCTCAGCTGCGATCCGGGCCCGTCTTCATTGGTTTTGGTGTACGGCTCAAAGTTGTCTGCCACTAGGTCCAAAACCATGTCGAACACAATCGCATCCTCGAAAGGCACGCGACTGGATGGTCAAGAGGCGTTTGAAAAATACGATTTCATACAGTCACGTAAAACTACCTGGTGCACTATCACCTACTTCGTCCATGTCGGGATGCCAATAAAACTTCGCTCAGCCTGACACATCGCCATATGTATTTCGCAATTTGTATCCTGTAATGATAGTGCTGCCCCTTTCGAACTGTTTTATGCACCAGCAAGACTTTGATCCTCTCAGCCCGTACGCTGGGACTTTAGGCGGTATGCTTTCTGTCCTCTAGCTAGCTCGTGAGATTGATGGCCGTGTCAGAAGCTAAAAGGGAATTACGGCCGGATGAGGACACCGAAGAGGTATCTCCACATATAGTACAAAACGTCCATACTATCATAGTATATGCTTTAGTCTGTAGGGGTGCCTGTTGCGACAACGCGCTTGTCGAAGGCGCGGCGTCAATGTCGGAATCTCGAGAGGAACTCAGATTCACGGCCGGTTTGCTCCAAGGCCCAGATCAGGTAAAGGTATAATAGATATGTAGAAGGTGAGGACTGAAGGACATGTGATGTTGACGAATTGTCAAGGTACGATTGTTTCGACAGGGGTGCGCCCGCTAGCATGGCACAATCTCCTCACCCCGGACTCCGGACACTATCAGCGTGACTTGCTCATTAAATGTACAGCTTTCCTCCTCATAGTTCCCTTTTCCTTAAAGGTTATTATCGACGCTCGCAATCAACGCGTTTGCACCCGAAGCCAAGATGGATCCCGAAAACCGACCCTCGATAGGGACAGCCGGAACTTCCTTTGAGATGTTCACGGACTGGGCTTTGAGATCGTCAACAAGTTATGGCATCACTATCGTGCTACTTTTTACTCTGGGGCTCCTCGGACGATTCCTCGGTGTGGTGAAGTTTCAACTTGAGCGCTTATGGAAAACGACGGAACGAAAAACAATAGGTCATGAAGATTATGTCGGCCTTCATGACGTTGCAAATGGAGAAGCCCAACCACTCAGACCGGACGGTTCACTCGTAACAAACGAGAAGCGTAATTTTGTGGGACATTTTTGGGTAGCAGACGAAGGTCGTAATGTGAAAGAGGACGGGATTCGGGCACTATTGGAATTCGCAAGAGCGATCATCGCATATATACTGTAAGCACATTCAGCAGAGCGACCATAACGCCACTTATAGGTATACAGCATGCTTGCAATCATGTCCTACGACGTCGGGTTCTTCTTTTCGATCACCGGTAGTGTTCTGGCTGGCGAGTTCCTCCTCGGCAGGTATTCCCGGAGCTCCTATGCGTGATCGAGAGAAACGACCCCAAAAACCAATGATATAGAGCCTTCTGCGGCCGTGACATATCGGATCAGCCACATGCACAGCCGACTCGCAAGCTAGCGCAATCCGTGGAAGCAACAGCTGGATTCCGGTTTCTAGGGGCAGGAACCTTGGATATTCAACGACACAGGAGACACGAACAGGAACTTTTCAAAGGTGCATCGATGGAGAGGTCGCCATTGGCAGTATCTGTCTGAGGAAGGGAAGTTTTGGACCTCAAGCGAACTTGCAAATTGAAGGTTGTTGGGCACGGTCTACCAACGTTACCTCTTTCGACCCTTGCATCTCGTGCTTTTAGGCAATAATCGTGGGATCAGCTGTAATTTGACTTGGTTATTGAGTGTCAATGCCTATGGTATGACTGTAGTACGCGAAGGGACTGCTTGACAGCTGTGAGAGCGTAATTAACCTCCGTATCGCTGTTTCCATCCTCCTACGTCTTCTAAACCCCTGTTCACATACGTGCTGTCTAGACTCGCCGATTGTGGCTGCTCTGCTTGTGCCGCTGATCGGTGGCGCTAAAGATGACTTCTACTTTCACGACGCTAAGGTTGTCTATTCAGTCGAGGAGTTAAACGACTACAGAGATATTCGGAGCTCGCTGGCGATCATGCGGATAGACATGGCAAATTTCCTTGAACATATAAGTGAGGCACAGGAATCGAGCAACGTGGCTTCTAATCTATTGGCCAGCTATAGCAGGGATGCCGGCAGGTGCATAAAAACGCCCGCTATCCCACGTGCGTGCGCTGCGAAACTTCACTATGTACCCTCCAGCCCCAAAATCCGAAATTATTGTGCCATTGTATATCTATCCAAGTCCAGGGGCTTGGGATCCACTGTTCGAAGCGTAACTTTGTCGACCCTAAGTCATATAAGTACATTGCTCATTATATCTAGCGTTATATCCAACCCAGCGCTTAATTTTGTCGTGATCGTGAATCCAAACAGCGGGCCTGGATCGGAGCCTTGGTGGCCGAACGCAGACTATATTCGCGAAATTCCGAAGTTGAACGCCCAGCCCAACGTACGAACCGTAGGCTATGTGAGCACAGCGTACTGCAAGCGAACCATTGAGGAAGTCTTCACAGACATCGATCGATATGCAACTTGGGCTGTGGAAGATGGAGTCTTAGATTTGGGTATCAACGGGATTTTCTTTGATGAAACACCCAATATTTTCACAAATGAGGTGAAGGACTATCTTGGAGCTATCACAAGGAAAGTGAAGGAGTCCAAACAGCGGCTCGGTGATAGACTGGTTTGTTCTTCCGTACCGGTCAAAGTGGACGGCTAACTGTAGGATCCAGGTCATACACAACCCAGGCACATCGATTGACGGAAGACTCGCTAGTCCCGGAGTGGATATTACTACGGTAGCGGAAGTGCGATATTTCGATTTCCAGTCTAACGAGTCTCGGAATTGGCTTGCAAGTTCCACATTCGACCCGGAGAGTACGAGCTACATGATTCATGCTGTTCCGGAAGAGGCTGTTGAAGAGTTCGTTGTGCATACTTTGCAAGGTATGGCGAAGTATATTTTCGTAACGGATCGACACGTGGATGTGTATCATGAATTTGGTGCAAGCTGGAAAGTTTTTGTCGCGGCGATGGCAAACTTGGGAGCAAGTTGAGATGATTAGGATGCTTACGGTAGCCAGTCTCTTGTCGATGACCTAGCAATCATAGTATCTTTAAGCACGCGTCCGCATCGTAATTGGGTACTTCTACGTCAGTAATCTAATGGTTATGTCTCTTACCTTTCTCTCACCTCGTAGTCGCACAGGCACGGCTCAGAGTAAGCTGCGTATACTCACTACATAGATCCAAATCAGCCTTGTTGTCCTCTTACCTTCCAAATATCCAGTATAGGTGCCGCCGGCAGATTAGAGCAGAAGTAGGTGTCCTTGCTGCGCCTATACGCTCAATAACTCCATCCGTATCACCTGTAAGTACAACAGCGGCTCCATCGTTCATTGAAGCTAATCCAAAGCTGGCACAGACGCGGTCGCGGGCAAGGAAAAGGACCGGCAAGATCAATCATGCCTCGCCGTAAAACCAGATACACCCGTAGTGAGCTCGAAGAGCGCCTAGACACGGAAATTCCGGGGATCACCGAGAATTTTCCTTCCAACTCGAAGTTCAAATTCTGGATCGACAACACACCGCAACAAAATGAATACGTTGAGGTCGGCTCTAGCTTCGGTGGGGCTATGCGGGTGTGTTTCGGTGACAAAACGGGCAACAAAATGTTGTTCTTCAACATCGGAGCTCGGTATCCAGAGAAGATCATACACGAGAACAAAGAGCTTGCTCGAATCAAGACCAAGTACTCAGCTCCGTTCAACCGTGTATCTGCTCTCCGCTACGAGTATCCCGGCTCTAGCTTTGCCGAGTCTCTCCAATGGTTCACAGAGCTTAGGGCTCTCACAATGTTCGTCTTCGTCTGGTGCGGTCGTCGTGCAGAATTCTTCGATTTCAACAAAGGTGAAGGATTCGAAGTTCTTGTGGAGGTGCTGAAGCGCTCACCGGAGGTGGTCGTTAACAAAACCAAAGACGATTTCAGCGACAACAAGGAGGACGACCTCGCAGATGAAAGTCTTGCAGAAAATACGGACGCGGATCCCGGTACGCACGCGGATGCAGAGGGAGGCATCGATATGCCTGTGGCCGAACTGCCTACGGGTGAGCAGAACGGATCAGGTCCCACCATCACACCGATGTGCCCGATCTTGAAGAAGCGCACTCACCAAGAGTTTGCGGAAGGCCAGCAGGATTGATCATTGATGGTTCGGAAACTTATTCCGTTGCTCGAAGAACTTGCTAGTCCTATACAGGTCATCTCCTTTTCCACCAGTCTCTTAAGCACCATTGGTACCCGTCCCACCGGTAGTGATGACACACCTAGGCGGGTCAAGTTTGGAAAAGGATCCAGAAGCAGGAATGGTTGCGTTGAAGACAGCTTGGAATATGTTTCCAGAGCTTTGTTTCAGCTGATGATCAGCAAAATAGCAAATGCCCAATTTCCATAAATGGGGTTATATCGCATAGCTGCGGCATAATATATGGTTTCTGCGTACACAAAGCACAACCGTGATCTTTAGAGTATGCCAATCACTCAAGTGCTGTATCTGATTGATGTCGCACCTACTCAAGCTCTCCTATCAGGCCCTCCCAAGGTTTCATTGACACCGAGCCGCTCTTTGATTTCTCCTCCAGATCCGCTTCGCCGTAGTTTCCAGCAACCCATGTATTTACCTTCAATCCGTCAACTAGATCCCATTGCACCTCTTTCCCGCTGAAGTTCAATATGACCAGTACAGCCCGATCCTCGCTCCAACGTCGATATGCCATAATCTCGGCACTATTAGGTTCATTGTCTGGATTCACAAGGTCAAAATCGCCGTAGACATAAAGCTCCTTGTTTTGTTTACGGTACTCCAGGCTACGCTTCCAGAAGGCGTGGACTGAGGTGGAAGCACTTGATCCGGAGGTTTGCGCTTCCACGTTCACATATGTGTAGTCGTCGTTCACGCGCATCCATGGCTCTGAAGTCGCGGAAGTAAAACCAGCGTGGGTCGTGTCATCCCATTGCACCGGTGTGCGAGCGTTGTCGCGGGCTTTGCGCTGCATTATTCTGCGAGCGTACGCTTGCTTTTCGGAATCATTAGGATACATCTCAGCATATCTATTCCTAATCAGCTGAGGTATGTCATGCAGGGAGAGGAACCCACTTCTTGAAGAAGTTAATGCTTTCTATATCCTTATACTCCTCCGGGCCCCAGCTGGGCGGCACATTGCGCATACCAATCTCTTCGCCTTGGTAGACGTATATCGTACCAGCTAGGGTTGTCTGCATCATACACAACAACTTCGCACCAACTTCACGCCAATCATCGTTATCGTCAGTATAGCGGGATACGCTACGGGGCTGGTCGTGGTTCTCGACGAACAGTGAGTCTATAGCAAAAGTCAGTAACTGTGAATATGGGGTTATAAAAATCTAGTAATGGCAACTCACTCCAGCCATCCCGTTCTAGCATGAGCTTTTGTAACCTGGTGACGATGCGTTTTAGGTCACGGGCGTCCCAAGGGTGTAAAGTGAACTTGAAGTCACCGGGAACGTTATCGATATCAACAAGGTCGAACGCAAAAATCATGTTGAGCTCTTCGGACTCTGCGCCAACGACGCGAATAATTTCATCTTCATCGCGGACGAACGGCATCTCACCCACCGTGATAGTGTCATATTGCGAAAGCACCTGGCGATTGATCTCCTTGAGCCATTCGTGCAATCGAGGTCCATTGGCGAAGTACTTGTCACCAGGTTGGTACTCGTGCCCTGGTACGACAGCATCGGCATCCGGGAAACCTTGCACCTTCGAGATCAGGTTTATGACATCCATCCTGAAACCAGATGCGCCACGATCGAGCCAAAAGCGCAGAACATTGTGGACAGCTTCTCGAACATCAGGATTCTCCCAGTTTAGGTCCGGTTGTTCCGGTGTAAACAAGGAAAGATAGTATTCTTGCGTCTGCTCGTCCCAAGTCCACGCGGGATTTGCCTCACCAAGAATTTGTGCCCAGTTATTGGGAGGATGACGATTTCCATCAGTGTCATATCTAGCGGGCTTCCAGATGTACCAGTCTCGTTTCGATGAGGTTTTGGAAGAGCGCGAATCAAGAAACCATGCATGTTGATCCGATGTGTGGTTGACAACAAGGTCCATGACGAGTCTCATGTCGCGTCTTTTGACCTCTTTGATGAGATTGTCAACGTCAGCGAGCGTGCCATAGCTGGAATCGATGTCCTCGTAGCTAAAAGCGGGATGCCGAGTTAGCTGAGGTTCCCCTAAGCGGATGCCAGGGGTGGATATACTCTGCAATGTCATATCCCATATCTGCCTGAGGGCTTTTGTAAACTGTCTTGCTGTCAACCAACTGTTCCACTATCATAAGATTGCTTACTTGGAGAGACCCATATCACGTCGACACCCAAATCTTTGAGATAATCCAGCTTTTGAGTAATCCCGGGAACATCGCCTATGATTCATGTGATAAGCTGATGCGCCATCGTTGTCTCGTCTACGAGGGCACCTACCCCACCCATCGCCATTCGTGTCAAGGAAAGAAGCAGGGTATATCTGTGTGTGTCAGTATCGTTTGCTCTCACAGTATGTTCTCAGATCGCTACCTGGTAGACGACGGCTTCTTTCCACCAACGGTGTTTGTCTGTGCCCACGTACAGGCCTGGAGGTTGCGTTCGGGCTTTCCTCTGTACCGACATTCTGGTGTTGTCTCTGTCTTAATGTGTTCTGGAGGAAAGCGTACGGAGTTATTTGGAGGATATTAATAAGTGGATGGGGACTTCCACCGTGTTCAGGAATCGCACGTCATGGGTTATGTGGGTCGCTCGGTCCTACCGTAAAAACATGCAGGTGCATTCGATTCTAGGCAAGGATCGCCCTTGATTTATGACCTAGTTGCAAGATGTATCATTTGCAACAGTATAGGTCCTTGCATGTTCAATCGCTTGATGGCATCTGGCCAATGCAAGCTGTCTTCATCACCGACTTACATAGTATTTGAGCGCGCCGTGGGCCTTTTCCTTCCGCCATGGTAGTTACGTCATCGTTGCCCCGCGTGAAGCTCCACAACCACGTTCAGGCGCATCGGGACGTACACCTCTTCCATCATCTCCATTCGTGCTGCTTCGAACAATCTTGTGTCCTTACGGAACAGGAGTGGACTACATGGTAATGACCCTAGAGCCACCAGCCCTTGTGCATTCTTTCCGAAAATCTTTCCGTCAGCCCGAGCTGATGAACGAAGTACGAAACTGGAACAAATCACTCTTTAGATCAACGAAAGAGTCGGGTCAAGGTTGGCTTATGAGAAAGAGTGGATCAATAGGATTGGTTCTGGACGATGTCGGACCGACTTCTTGTAGCTCGCAACCCTTCTTCCCCCGCGCGTATGCGCAATCTGATACAATCTCACGCGAATAGTCAGGAACTGTCCACGTGTATTGCGCCATAATTACATTCAGTCCTGTCGCCGCTTGCACCAGCGCGATCCGGTGGCGTGCACCTCGTTTCTTGCCTTTCTATGGGCGACACGTTGATATATCGCCAGCAATATCCTCCGTTATTACTCTAATTCTGAAGTACAATGGCACATTCTTTCACGGAAGATATTGCAAATGAAGTGTGCATTACAACGTAGCTATAACCAGCATACACAGAGTAATTTCTGAATACGCGCCGTGTATTCGTCTAGATGAAGCTAGGCTAATGTAACTTGCAGATATGCCTTCCATCTAGCGCGTGTTAAGTACGTGCAGAGTTGCCTCGTGGCCGCCAGAATAAGGCAAATAGGTCCCCTTAGTATTGACGTTGTGAACTATTTCTGTACGCCACTTTCAAAACGCACCAAATCATGGAATTCCATGCCTCCCAAGAGAGAAATTCGAACTGGCGTAGAACAGACGCCGAATATCGTTAAAGCCCTTGTACGCTGAAGTCCAACCAATGCATTACCTAGCGCCGTCGCTAAACATCTGAAGTTTCTTAAGTTTTCGCACATTCCGCCTTCAAGCAAGATCAGTTCGTCTGCTTTCCAACACGCCAAAAAATAACACGAAAACGAATGACTCCCCCGCGTGGGCTCGAACCACGAACCTCCTGATCGCTTCGTCGGTGAGGACTTAACAGTCAGACGCGCTAGCCAATTGCGCCACGGAGGATTTCGATGCTGCCGTAAACTTCAGAAGTGTATATAATGTGGATATGCTGTCAGCGCTGTGTGTACTAGAACGAATGACTATATGAAAGGGGCCCGAGGTTTGCAGGAAGAGGTTGGCGATGATGCCTGTACCGAAGGAGGCCCACTTGCGCATAAGCCATGTGGGGTCGAATTAATATTTGCGTCCTTTAGGTAGCACGACACGCTCATCACTAATAAGAATGTTTAGATACCGGTTCCATGAACATTACTACCTATGGTAGGTATCGTTGGTGAAGGCGATTGCTCCCGCCATGTCGCGCGGGAGTTCGAATCTTACTACATGGCACATAGGATCGTCTCCATCAATGTGAATACTCTCTACTCAAGACACGTTCTATTCAATACGAAAGACTATGTGCATTTGTAATCCGTAGCCGTGCTTCGACAAGTAATGGAAGAGCTTCCCGCCCATTAGAAGGCCGGATTGGCGTTGGTCAATAGCTGTGCGAAGTACGCCTGGAACCATGTACCGGCCTCCGGAGCTGGTTGGAGAGCATCAGAGTATCCGCAGTGCGCATCATACCTGACCGAGGTCGAATTCGACGTACCGTCACACTCTCCACCTGGCTTCACCCACACGTAGGCATCCAGAAGAGGGTCATCAGTGGATGTGCTAGGGCGGATACCGAAGCCAGTACCAATGACATTGCACCAGTCGCCCCAAGCTTGCTGTTTAGTAGGCTGCACTCCGTTTCGACCTATCTCATATCAGCGATCCGACGTCTGAATTATAGTTAAGACGTTAGGGGTTCAAAGATCTGAACGCACCAGTATCAGTAATGAAGTGCGCCGGGAAGCCGTTCGCCGTGAGTATGGGAGCGATGGCGTTGACGTATTTCTTCTCGTCACACACACTGTTTCCTTGAGTGTACGACGGACATGTCGAAATGCTCCAGGCGTTGTAATTGGCCACGTTGGTTGCCAGGCCTCGAACAGCAGCCGGGGAACCGGCGGCCTTGTAAATCGCCGCGAAAAGCTGTGCAGCAGGGGTGATGTTAGCGGTCCAGCCCAGCCAGCCAGCATGTCCAGCGTCGAGATACATGACAACGTTCGCCAGATTCAGAGTCTTTATGGCATACTCAGTCAGTGTCTTGTAGGCATCAGCTGCGTTTGCGCACTTCTGGACATTGAGGTTAGTAACTAGATTGGCCAAGCTGTCTGGTTCGATGACGAGGACGAACGTGACGCCCGGGAAAGCCTTGATCTGAGCAGCAATATCATCAATATAACCCTGGTAAAGAGCAGCTCCATTGTTGGCCAGTGAGAGTTCGCCATTGGAAGCCAAAGCTGAGCAGTCTCGCTCTGGTAGATCGTAAACGACAAGAGGAAGGACCAAGTTTGCACCGGCGGCATTCTTCGTTTGAACATCCTTCGCGAAAGTAGCGATAGTAGGTACTTTAGCGCGAACATCTCTGAAGGATGTCAGTTTGTGCTAACATACAAATGCATGTCAGCCTTACAGCCAGTAGAACGTGCCAACTTTAGCGACATCGGTAGCCTTAGCAGCAAGAGCCGCCGATCCAGCAGCAGACAGTGATGGAGCTGCTATGTTTACGATCTCGGACGAGTAGTAAGGGTTCGCATAGAACGTTTTGCCGGCGAGCGGGTTTGCGGAATTCGTCACCGCAGGCGCAGACGTGACTTGCGTCGCTCCGGCCGTAGTCTTGGTAGCGGTAGAGAGCGTAGTTGAAGTAGACTTTGCCGTGGTACCAGCATTGGAAGACCCTGCAGTTCCTGGAAGGCACTGCGAGTAGTCTGTGAAGGGTTCAGTATGCCATTATCAATCCGAGATGAGCAGAGGTAGATCATTAACTTACAATCGTTGATCTTGGAACAGTATGCTCCAGATACACAGGTAGTGACTCCTGTCCAGCCGACTCCACCGCCTGTGTAAAAATGAGTACAATCCCCAGCACTTGCGAAAGCATCTGTCTTACATTGACCATAGATTTGGGATTGTGCATGGGCTACGGAGGCCAAAGCGGCAGCAGCCAAGATCTTAGCGTTCCTCATGGTTTGCTTGATTCCTCGAGAGGGAAGGAGATTGACTAGAAACTGCTGGGCGATGCTAAGATCATCAGAGATGATCCCTCCTTATGTACTGGTGTGCCCAGCGACTGAAGCTTGACCCCAAGTTGCAGAAAGGTTCCAGACTGCCCCTGGGAGATGCGATTATAGGATCGAAATAGCTACGCTCCTCGTCGAAACGGTATCTGCACCTTCGAAAAGCGTGAAGCAAAGCGCATGACTATGTTAGAGATGCCGCTAACGGCTCGCTTTGAAAGTTTCCGAAAAAGAAAGCATCTTGCTGGCAGTGTGACGGACTTGATTTCTCCGTCTTCGCCGCATAGTCGGTCGTGCTGGCCTCTATTACGCGGCCGTCGAGTTGTACCTACAAACAGAAGCCAACCATGCCTTTCATTACATGGTATGTTCTGAAAGTACCTTCCAGATACGGCAGTATCAGTCCCAGCTCATGCAGAGTGTAGCCTGGCTGCACAGCAATTCCTGGGCCTGCATCCGTGGGGTGCATGCACGTCTACCCGGCTTTGCTTCACCATGACAATGGTTGCAGTCTTGCGACACGTGCGTAGTTCGTGTTTTCAGCAACGGCCGCACAGGAAAGACCTATTTGTGGCCAAGATACGCTTAACAAGATTGCAAGAGTAGCGATCAACTTTGCGATAGGTGGACGATTCGCACACCGCAATAAGGGTAAATGGCAAGTTAATAGAATGAATTGACGCTCGGCCCGGATTTATATGACGAGCTTGGGTGGACGGTGGTGCCAATCCAAGTCTGGACTAGCGATAAGCAACCGCTCGGGTCGATCCACGACTTCGTAGTGTAGCTGCTGCTTTGTCTTGCCTGTAGACTCGTCACAGACTTCGCAAATGCCCTTCAACGGCAAGAGCGGACTGGTCCCTTAGTGTAATATGTCTGCACCCGACACGAGCCCTTCATGCAAACCAGCCCAGCCCGGGCTCCAGGAACGACGATCCGCCCATCACTTCACACTATGAGGCTTCTGGAAGTTTTTCATGGTGTTGTACGGCGAGCCGAGATGGCTGCATGCATCACATCATCTCCCATATAGTTTGTCATCATCTTTGTTGATGGCGACTTGATGAGTATTAGTTGAGTATTACTCTACGCACTGACTTCTCGATGCCCCGATACGGATCCCAGGAATGCAGAACCTCATGCTGCTCAGTCATCTGCCTCGCTCGCGGGAATACAGTCCACTCCAATGTCTCCCTCAATGTTGTCGCAGACGATCTGCGCCGGGCTGCCAGCAGGACTTGTCAAGTTGATGTCTTCAAGGTGAATCCCGTTGCATGTCGCTCCAGGACTGCACGTAAGGTCCGCCACTACCCTACCGTTCTTCCCACTGCTAGTGCCGGAAACGTTCAGGAACTTAACATTTGTAATGTTGACCTGGGATGGATATGCAGCACACGTCGTCTCGTTGATGTTGAAATAGCATTGATCAAGGACGACAGGAGCATCGGTATTCTCGATATGAATGTCCTTGTAAGTGATGTTGTCGATGTAGCCGTAACCGACGTTCGGCCCCGCCCAAGCCTTGAGACGAGCGCCATTCTGACCATTAAGCAGAGTTACGTTCTCGATCCAAGCATTCGAGATGTAATCCTTGACGCCAGGATACTGCCCAATGGAGCCCATGGATACGCCATGAGTACCGTTGCACCAGAGGTTCCTAGACGAAGTCAGTAATGTCTAAGAAACGACCATGGATGATAATGAATATGCATCGTTCATACGTACTTCACAAAGATGTTCGTTGTGTTGGGCTTCGGCGAGAAGCAATCGTCGCCAACGTTGACACGGGTGTTGGTCACAGTCAGGCCATCAACGTTGAGCGAGTCAAACCCATCTGTGTTCTTGGGCAGGGTTGAGGCATTGGTCGAAACTGCGTCGATATAGACATCATCAAACACGACATTCTTGGTTCGCACGAAGAAAGTCGTCCAACAAGGTGAGTCTTTCAGATGGAGACCCGAGACCTCAATATTGGTGGCGTTATCAGTGAGGAAGAGGATGGGGCGATAGTATTTGTTGTTAGGGTCGAGGATCTCTGCGCCAGAAAAGCCATCCCACCAGGCTTGTCCGTTGCCATTGAGAACACCGGAGCCATAGATCTTGACGTCCCTGGGATACTATTAGCACGGACAAGTTGAATGTGGAAAGATAGTACTCACTTTCCACCCCATACCCAGAATGTAATGCTCTTCTGGAAATCGTAGTAGAAGTTATTGGCTTGCCAATACTCGATATCATTCGTGAACTAAACAGATTGTCAATCACACATACAAGCGGCCATGGAACAGTAGTTTACCAACCTTCAACTCGCCATCTAGCCTGACATACACATCTTTCAGAAACGTAAGGTCCAACTTCTTGCCAATCACGTACTTCTTCCCCTTCTGAAGATGCACAAGACCTCCATGGTTCGCTTTCCTCAAGGCCCAGAGAAAGTCTGCGCTGATATCATCGCGATCGTTCTTTGACGCGCGGATGGTAATCTTCTTGCGGTCCTTCTCCACCCGATTGCCCCAATTGTCCTTGCGGTGCTTCTCGTTTGACCAAGGAAGACGAGGGAGCAATGAGCTGGAGCGTGGTAGGGTTATGGAGGCCCCGACAGGGATGTCGTTCTCTAATGCGACAGCAGAAGCTGATGCCAATGAGGCTAGCGAGCACGCGAGGAAATGTGACAGCTTCATGGTGAAGATTGATGTACCTATGGTAGCTTGCGAACGGACTGAGCTTGCCTGTACAGATTTCTTGAGAAGCTGGCCGAAGTTTTTATTTATCTTGCTTCCAGGTACCTGGTTCTCATCCCTCGTACCTGTTATTCGTCGTGAACGAAATTCTTCCGTCTTGGAGCTTGTACCTCACTGGCCTGGACCCTGAGATGGCCGTGCCAAATCCCGTGTTGTGACGCATCATTTCCCATATAATGAGTCCGTGTGCATCTTAGTGTCGAAGCTTTCCCAAGCTTCCCCGCAAACCTTGGGGTTCTTAAGATTATCCGGGGGATCTCCCTTCGTCAGTGGAGCATTTGCTCTGTGCGCGACTTTCCACCAATGAGGTGTTGTAGCCAGAAGGGGTATAGCACGCCCTTCATCGTCTTCCCCGCGTCACCGTCGGCCTTTCCCATCTACTACATCGATTTGAACAATGATGCCAAAGTCGTGTGATGTCTCTGTGGACCGTTATTAGTAGAAGAGATATGCGACTCTAAAAGGTACATCGAGCGATAGGCGGGTCCGTTCTGTAGCTGTGGACGAACCCTCCACGAGGAACGAAAACTCGAACCGTCCACAGTGGCCGACATTGACGATTGGAATTAGCGCTACATCATACCTCTCCCCTAAGTATGGATATCGGCCATATAGTATCAGATTGAAATTATAGAGATGTATTACTGCTCAAGTCACCCTAGCATAGACCGTCGAAAATCTGAATCGTAAGCGCTTCATTTAACATACTTGTAGCCGACCTTTACGGTATCGAAACCAGTCCAGTATTGTAGAAGCGCGAGAGGCATGACTGTATCAGTTGGATGAGGTTGGCCAAGTCTACGTTGATTGGTGGATGGAAGAAGAAATGATTTGATAGGAGAGGAGGCGAAGCACGTCCATCCAGCTGCAATTGCTGGACGTCTTGAGGAGCGATCAAGGTGGTCATTTTGAGCGTCTACGCCTCATCGGGTTCATGCGACGGGGCAGGTGGCGGAGGAGTTCAACAAACTGGATGCGGAAAAGGAGCAGTCGTCGACCACAAGCTGGTAGACTAGACACATCGATGCAAGAAGAGCTGCATCAACTTATGTAAGATTCGCGATATTGATACAGGCCTTACGCAGCAGCAGTGCTCTATCGATCGACGTGCTCGATGCTGATAGTCCCTGTCCTTACTCCTCCCTATGCACATCTACAACCGGACCCTTAAACTCTTTCCTTCCCTTGACCAGATAATAGGTAGTCGAGATGACGAACACAGCCGCCAACATGACGCTACTCCAGTTCATGGTCTCTGCCGTCACAGGCGTCGTCAACGGCCAGGTCAAGAAGAAGATCAGCGGTGTCAAAATGATCAACGCCACCACATTGATCAGCAAGCCCCATCGTCCTAGTGACCACCTCCGATCAGGTAGCGGTGCGCCGAACAGACGGCGGTGTACGAGGCACCCGATAGTGAGGTAGTACGAGATCAGCGTTGCGACGGCGCCTAGAGAGGTAATCGCGTTCAGCGCGACAGAGGAACCGATGTTGATCAAGCTGAGGAGCGCACTGATGCTCAAACTGACAATGATGCCAGGGAGAGGAATGTTCCAATGCGGCGAGACCTTAGAAAGCCATGTATGGCCGGGGAGACCTTTATCACGGGCAAAACTCCAGATCTGGCGGGAGCAAGCCGCGGCTTCGGAGACTGCGCAGACGGAGAGCATGAAAATAATGATAAAGGTCATGACGGAGGCGCCGGCGAGCGAATTCGTGGCGTTGTAAAACATCTGGATGAAGGCGTAGCCGGTGGGCGAGGCTAGGACTTCTGCGGGGTCGCCGAGCGTGAAGCAAATGGTGATGATTGCGACGAATAGCATGGAGACGTTCAATATTACGCTTCCCATGATTGCACGGGGGAGAACGATGGAGGCGTCTTTGATTTCCTCGGACATGTGAACTGAGCAGTCGTAGCCAACGAGGACAGCAGTAGGGGCAAGAAGACCGACCATGGCACTGAGGCCGGTGCTGGACCAGCCGCCATCGTTGGTGAAGTTCAGGAGGGCATCGGCTGCGGTGCGACGAGGGGCGGTGGCCCACAGTGTGATGATGATGGCCAGGAAACCGGTGATGTGGACGACCAAAGCTACGGCCTCTGATGCAGGGTCAGTACCGTATGTCCAAAAGGAATGCTGCACACAACCTGAAAGGGGCACTTACCAACTTTGGGCAACTTTGATGCAAAAATGGTATTCCAGCTAATTGTGAAAACGACAACAGCGATAGCGAGCAGTGTTCCGTGCCATCGTTCGTAGGAGTAGCTCAGGTTGTTCAGAGTGATTAGTCCTTGAATAGTCGTGCCTACCAAAAAGCATACGCTTGCTAAATACACCTGCCAGCCGACAGCAGTCAACCATCCCGAGTAGTAGCTTAGCACCTTCTGGTATTTGCGAGGAGCAAATTCGGAAACCCAGTGATATTGACCGCCAGCAGTCGGGGACATGGACGACATCTCGGCCAGACTTGCGTACACCAGCGTCATGCACGTCGCACAAGCGAAGAAGCCCCAGAAGAGCAGCGGTGTGCCGCCGTCGGTCAATACGAAGTTCAGATACGTGAAGATGCCTTCCCATGAAGCGATACAGGTTGACGCGAAGCCCAGCATTGTTAGGAATGAAAAGTTGCGCTGCAATCAATGAGCATGGTCGATCGGATGGTAAAGGAGGAATGTGTGCAGACGCACTCGCAAGACCTGCTGCTTTCCCAGCATCTCCATCTCATGTCTGTCTGAGTCGGTGCCATAGTATTTCGGTTTCACGGTGCCAAAGTTCTTATCCAACACAGAACCCAACCTCTCATCCGCGATTGACGAAATCGCGTTCGCATCGACATCCTTCTGATCGGGATATGTAGACGCCATTCTGCAAAAGACACGCCCAAGCAATGCGACAGGGCCAAGAAACGAAGAAGACAATGAACGATACGCGATGCGCCGACTAACAATCCTGAGTAGACGAGTGCAGCATGAGAAGGTTTATAAACCCACGTACCCTGTGGAGAGATGGTCCCTCGACCCCACCAGCAAGAAACGCCACCCCTCGTAGCCTTGTCCGAGACGTGCATAGTGCTGCAGGTCAGCCGGGATGCCATTGAAGCTTGTACCCCACGTCCGGGGAAGCCCTCCTCCACGCCTCGCATTCGGAGACCGTCCAGCGCCGCCAACGTATACACAGTACCGCGCCTCTCCGAATAACTTGCACGACTGGAGGTGTATACGTGCGACAAGTTGAAGATGGAGTCATTGGTGTGTTAGAGACCAAGGGGCTGGCGTTATCTGCATGTTGATGAGGTGGACAGAGAGGGAGAGGCGGCCGAGACGGGAGGGGCTAGCGTCTTGCGCCAAAGAGGATCGGGTATGGTGCACCACCCCAAAAGGGCATTCGCATGCGGGCACGAGGGACATTTCCGCGTCAATCTGTCGTCTAAGGCGTGTATCTCGTTCCACGGTTAGTCGAGCATAGGCGGCTGATCACGATCGTTATCGACGTCTCGACAGCTTCACAGCTTGTTCTTGTAGCTTCCGCCAGAGAGCCATGATTCAGACTGCCGGACAGATAAGGACATGACGGGAGACATGGACAGCTCTTCCGCCACGCTTTCGAGTGAACGTTTCATCAACCTTCACATTGCCAGTCCGAACATCATACAGGGTGCTACCACTATGCAAGTCCTGCATGGCCAGATCTATTCGCACTATGAAAAGTACCAGCTATCCATGAGCAAACCACAGCACCCAAACCTAACCCAAATCCTTCTAACCCCAAGTACCACCTCCCCCCCTACCCTGCCTCTTCTGCGCACTCAATCTCCAATCGTCCTCTCCCGCAAACTTATTATGCAGCGGCTGAATCCTCTCCGCCCTCTTTCTCTGACTCAGCTTGTCCGTCGGCGCAACCTTGAAGAACGTCGGCGCCGCCTCAACCAGCCACTTCGGCTCGATGGCACTGACGCAATGCATGTACTCCTTCGTTGTCTCGACCAAGCTTTGATAAATGACGTGTTCCGAGGGCTTGCCGAAGAGCGCCGACGACGGATGCAAGAACACAGGTGTGCCCTCGACGAGCGTTTTGTAGCCTTCCGACGGGTCCTTGCGTGCGCTGTTACGGAAAAAGCCTGAGCAGAGGGCTTGTCGGACTTTCTGCGTGTTGCGGCCGCAAGAAGTGAGGTTGTGCTTGTGCCGCGCCATGAGCTGGAGAAGTTGCTGGCGGACGTCTTTGACCCTCTGCATATTCCTCGGCTGAATGAAATTCTCGAAACACCATGGTGTGCTGAAGCCTGAGGCTTTCCATCCGTTGTACACGTTGAGTAGCGTAATGTGGTCCTATCAAGAGTCAGTGCCAGTCAAGTCAGGGTGGACTGATACCTGGTGCATGTCTCATCCAACCGAGAAAGAAATCCTTCTTCTGCCAGAAAAACACGTCCACTTTGTATCCGGGCATCTGCTTACGCCAGAGGGGTCGTTGAACTTGGCCTTCTTCTGGTCCGCTTGCTGTTGCTTTTCCCGTGGGCGATGGAAGATGTTTTGTGTGGCGGATATCATGGAAACGATGGTGAGCACTTCGTCGGAACACTGCATCTGAACACTGGTGAGGAGAGCCTTCGAGAGCGAGGGATCCATAGGGAAGTCTGCCATTTGGCGGCCGAGACGCGTGAGGAGGCCTTCGTCATCTAGTGCACCAAGGCAGTAGAGCTCTTCTAAAGCACCAAGCATCGTATTGGTGGGCGGTGGGTCCATGAAATCGAAATGGAGGAGGTCGTTGATGCCCATGGCTTTCAGCATCAAAATCGTGTTGCTAAGATTCTGACGCTGAATCTCAGGTATGGTGGTCGGAAGCATCTCATTCTGGAAAGCTGCTTCGGTGTAGAGCCTGAAGCATTTACCAGGACCCGTTCGACCAGCACGTCCACTCCGCTGTCGCGCTTGCGCCTGTGAAATGGGTGTGATCTGGAGTCGATCCATGCCTAACAAGATTAGTGATACAACTTCCGATCTGGAAACGGTACATACCAAGCTTGCTGTCGTAGCTCGACTGCTTTACGAAGCCGGGATCAATGACATAGTAGATTCCATCGATAGTCAAACTCGTCTCGGCAATGTTGGTAGCAATGACCACTTTTCGAGTTCCTGGCGGCGCAGGCTCGAAAATGCGACTCGCAGTCTCTCCTGGCAGCGCCGAGTAGATTGGTAAAATCATCTGGGCTAAGTAAGTATGAGAGTTTTGCGGCCCAAGTCTTTTCTATAAACCTACCAGTTCAGGGACGTTCGGACCCAAGGCTTTCATTCGCTCGCTGAGAATCTCGCAACTGCTGTCAATCTCCTCCTTACCCGTAAGGAAAAGTAGAATATCACCGGCGGGCTCCGTCAAGTGGATTTGCATTGTCGTAACCAACGCGGCGTCCAAGTAATCGGACTCGGGCTCGCGGGAATACATGATCTCGACCGGAAAGGTTCTACCGGGAATACTGAAGATTGGTGCCTCCATGAAATAACTGCTGAACTACTATAACGTTAGCCAAGCTTCTTCAATCATAAGGCATGTACGTACTTTATCTGCGTCGAGCGTGGCAGAGGTCACGATGATCTTCATATCCGGTCTCCGCTTCAACGTTTTCTTCAATAGTCCGAAAAGCACATCCGTAGCAATTGTCCTCTCGTGAGCCTGTTTACGTTAGTTTGAACGGACACATTTATAACCAAAAGACCTCGAGAAGGGAACTATGAGATAACATACCTCGTCAAGCATGATGCAGGAATACTTGTTCAACATAGGATCCAGAAGGATCTCTCTTTGGAGGATACCATCAGTCATGTACTTGATGCGTGTATCCGGGCCGGTCTTGTCTTCGAACCGAATCGTGTAGCCCACTTCGTTGCCCAGTTGGCAGCCGACTTCTTCGGCGACACGCTTTGCTACGCTCATGGCTGCCACACGACGTGGCTGAGTGCAGCCTATCATGAGCTCATTCGCGTAGCCAGCTTCAGCTAGGTACTGTGTCATTTGCGTCGTTTTTCCACTGCCAGTATCGCCCACGACAATAAGGATTTGGTTATTCTTGACGGCCTCAAGTAGTTGTGTCCGGAACTTGTAGACTGGAAGAGATTCACGCTGATCCTTGATGCTCATGTCCGTACGTTTACCAAAGGACGCCTTTCCCTGTGCAACCTTCTTCCACTCCGGTACAGCCTCGGGCGCTTGATTTGTTCGAGTATTGCGTAGATCGCTCGCAAATTGTCGTTGTTGTGCCATTGGGTCATTCCACTGACTGCTAAGATCAACCTTTTCAGCCTCCTTTGCAGCCTTCTCTTGAGCTTCTTGTTGTCGTAGATCACGACGTTCGCGTGCAAGAGTGTCACCCTGCATTGCAGCCCTGTTTAAAGATCCGTCGGGGGCTTTGACGACACGGATTGGCGACAGTTCTAACGCCCTTGCAGTCTGACCCTCTAAAAACTTGGGCTCCTCGTTCGTAAGTTCAATGTCCACGTCCTCTTCCTCTTCAAAACCGCCCTCGCCGTTGACATGTGCGTTATAGTCTTCGTCAATATCTGGATAGTCCGACCTAGGGATGATACCGGAGGCTATCAGCTGTTTTATTTCCCACCTTTCAGGCGATGTCATTCGCTTGCGCATGCCGTTTTTTCGACTGTTAAAGCTATCCTCAATGACAGCAACAGGGTCGCCAGCTCCTCCCCCGAGTGCAGACATATTGGCACCAGTTCCTATACGTTGAGCCGGAGCGAGGTCTCGGCCTGTCCGCTGATCACATTCTTTCATTGAAAGGCTTAAGCGTCCGCCTTCCATCTTAATCACCTTGACCTTGACCTCTTGCCCTCGCGACAAGAGATCGGCTGGGTCATTCACACGCGCACCATCCTGGATCTGTGAAACGTGCACCAACCCGTCAACCTTGCCTCGCACTCCTTGCAGGTTGACGAAGGCACCAAACGGTTTGAGTCCTGTCACCTTGCCAGTATATACCTTGTGCAGGACAGGCTCGTCGTCAAGCTCCGGCGTGGGCGGTCGGCGGAACTCGTCTATATCTTCGTCGCGATATTTTCTCCGCGAGCGTGCCTTGTCTTGTCGTCTTACGGTGCGGTCGCGTCCAAACTCGTCTTGGAAAATCAGTTCATCATGACGATCATCGTGACGTCGCCTAGGGCTCCTTGAAGTCGATCGTGGCCGTGACCGTGACCGCCTGTACCGCTTGTTCCTCCCTCTGTCGCGGTCCTCGTCATCGCGTGGGCTCATGCTCCTCTTGCGCGCGGACCTGTCCCTTCGCCCTCCACCAGCTGTAGGTCCGGCCAGACCTTCTAGCATGGCGAAGGTATCGTCGAGTGCATCTAGTTGCGCCTTCCCATTCTCCTCCCCGCCGCTTTCTGCCCCGAATTCCACCTCCTTGTCCGGAATTGCCAGGCCCTTGAACACGCGCGTCTTGCGGTCTGTCTCGTCTCCGCCATCTTGGGTAGCTTCCTTGCCATTTGCGCCACCCTTGTTCTTGTATTTCGGGTGTAATGTGAGGATCAAACGATCGATGCTCTTGATGAGCGAGGTGGGAAACTCTGCGCCAATCTCCTTGAGCTGCGTCTCGAAGTCGTCGAGGCCTTTCGCGTTTGCATGTTGATCGATTATGAATTCGGCGAGCGTCTTGTCATCCACGCCGACATGGTTCCGTATCTCGTCCGTCACTTTGGCGACCAGGGCCAGGTATTCGAGGTTGGCGAGATCGTCCATGGTGCGCGGTGCAGTCGGTCAAGTGCTCAAGGAACGAGCGTTTGGAGACAGTGCTGGCTTGACCCTGCCTGTGTCTAGGCTAGCGGAGCCAGGGAGATATTGTAGGTGGTGAAGGAGCGTGTCGCAAACGTGGGAAACCGCAGGCGCAGGACGTTCAGCGCCGTTGTATGGGTCGAGAGATGCCAGCCTACTAGGTGCAGTCACAATCGCGGATTCGCAGCAGCCATGAAACGTAATGCGCACAACCAAAGTTGTGCGATTCGGGACCCAAAAAGTCAAGAGACAGCGGCAAATCGTCCTGTAGCGCCAAGATCAATTCTCCGAGCCCGCCAACCACTCACCTCTCACCTCCGCCGCCGCACCCCCATCACCACTCCCAACGTCACGCCACGAGCCCCCTCCCACGACCATTCGCACGCACAAAAGCACAATGCGCGCCACTAAGATAGCGCCCCCTAAATTCCAAAATCTCGCGCTCGCCCTCGAAATCGGCACCGCCGCCTACCTCAGCTACGAGCTCTTCCGCGTCTACAAGGGTACGCACCCAGCAATGTCGCGCAAACTCGCTGAAGCCGGAGTGTGGCCGCCGCCACGGTTTCCAGCAGTGAAGGAAGGGGCGAGACGAGCAAGCGAAGAGAAGAAGGAGGTGGACGTGCGGTGGATGAGTATCAATGGCGTGCCGGTGCCGGCGAGCTTTGATGCTTTGACCGGATTTTGGAGGCGAGGATGAGGGCAGACATATTGAACTTGAGGGCTGGACTGCCCGAACAATTCACAAGAGATGGTTTCATTTGCTTTTGTTCACCAGTGTATTAGGCTATGGGACATACTTGGATTACGACGAATTGGATTTGCAGCGTTCTGCACAGGAGCATATTTGGCGTCGGCGCTTTAGCGTTATCATTGGCTTTAGCTACGGTCATCGACTTTTTTCACTATTCATTAATGGTACGATTCGCGACATGCGAAACGGCATCGAGGACATGAGAAGCTGTACGACTGGAAATTGCGAGGTTGCAGCATCGGATCGAGACTTACAGAAAAGGGATGAGATGGCGTTCTGCGGAAAGAACAAATATTGGACCATGCATACATTTGCTCAGGGTGGAAACGGTGGAAGTCACTCTGTAGAGTTACGTTCTGGGTGCACCTGCTCGTCAATACACGGCTTTGATCCTGCAATCACAAAATCAACTTCTTGCAACTGTTACGTTGACACACTCTAACGAAATTCAAGTATCTACACGGGTTCTCATTGTTGCATGGTTGGCGAAGCCTCACCAGTGGAGCATCATGCTACCATCTCTCACCACTCAAGCTCACAGATTACAATTATAGAGAGGCGTCGACTACATATCTTCATTTTCATCATTGCTTATATGCCATACAGTTTGCTGCTCATATGGTGTAGTAGTATGGATACACATGTCATTAAGCAGGCATGAACATATCATGCACCCGCATTCTGCCGTTGAAAACCAGATACCCATCGCTAAGCTGCAGCAAATTTATCTAGACCGGAAAGCCACAAACGCGTCCTCTCAATAGAGAGAGGAGCCAAGCAACGAACAGGAGAAACCAGCTCAGTCGTTGTAGTTCACGATGCCCGAGCCATCCTTGTTCGCCTTCGGGATGCCATACCTGGCCGAGAGATCATCCTCCTGGCTTTTGCTTTCCGGATCGAGATAAGGGCGCTCAGCACGGCAGCATACGCGCACGGCGTGTCTGCGGTGTGGCGCAAAGCCGTAGCTCGCGGAGTGGTTCTTTCACCCATCAGCACCTGTTCTTGTTTCTCGCACAAGAGGGTCGACTTACGCAAACGCGGTTATCCCAGAAAGCAACATCGCCTTCATTCCACTGGAAACGAACCTGCACCTCAGGACTTGTCGCCACAATCTCATTCAGTAGCCTGATAATCGCATCGCTCTCGGTCTTGGGCACGCCGATGATCTTGGTCACGAAGCCAGGGTTGAAGAACAGCGACTTCCAGCCTGTGACAGGATTGGTGCGGATAAGAGGGTGGGCAGTGGTCACGGGCTCGCGGCGAACAGTGCGACCTAGCTCCCGTGTGCCCTGTGCTTGGAGTTCAGCGGAGTGGATAGCGGTCAGAGAATCGAGGTACTTCTGCATATAGGGCGAGAGCATGTCGTAGGCTGCATATTGGGAGGACCAGAGGGTGTCGCCGCCGGCGCCGCGGGGTGGGCCGGTGAGAACCTTGAGGGAAGTGTAGGAAGGGGGCTGCTCTTCGTATGTGACCTTCGGCGTGCGTTAGCAACAGCGATACAGGAGTCGGTTCGAATCAAACTTACATCCGAGTGCCACAGGAAGGTCGGTGTAAACAGAGCCCTCAGATCTGGCGAGTTTTCCCCCGTAAACACAACGTGCACATCCTCGAGCCCCTCCCGCCTCGGCATCGCAGTCGTAGCATGGCTATGCAGCTCTCCGAAGTACATTCCCAGCGCCCGCTGCTCGTCAACGCCGAAGTTTTTCTGATCCCTAAAAAACACCACACCCCGCGTAGCAATCAAGCGCGCAAGGTCATTCTTCTGCAAGTCCGTGAGGTTGGCGAGGTCGACGCCGTGGATCTCAGTGCCAACTTTAGGGTTGTAGTCGAAGACATCTGTGGCGGAGGCGAGGAGGTTCTTGAAGTTGGCGTCGCCTAGCAGGCCTTTGTCGTGGTATTCGACAGGAGTGAGAGCGGGCCAGGTGATGTCGGGAAATCGGGGTCGGAGGTCCTCGTATTTGTATGTCTCATGTTGCTTTTTGATGGTGGTGCGGCCGGGAACGTAGTTGAGGGTGTTACCGGTGGGCTTAAAAGTGGCCTTCACGTCTTTGGTGGCCACTTGAGTGACCCCAACTGTGGTCTCAACTAGGCCAGGTGCCATGGTGGGATATGGCTGCGAAGGCTTTTGTAGACTTTAAGTAGATGCACTACGGCTCTCAGGAACTGGTTGATGATGTGTGCAGTGATCACCCGAACAGCAGTGGCGGTCCTCTGGGAACCAAGTAACCCTGTGTTCGAACCTTTTATCTGCGTCAAGTACACTATGGCTAATGGCGTGCTGGGTGGTGCGGTAAGCCTGTGTAGTCCTTTCCTTTCATAAACGTGTCAAAGATCCGATGAACACTCTCTAAAGTGGGAAAGTAGTGAAAAGTAAGCACAATGACCATTCAGCTACTTAAGTGATACAGGTACTTACCGTGGAATATCCTGGATATCTCATGATTAACTCACCTTCGCGGTCCTAGATCGATGGCGCAATAGCACACAATGCCGTCTCGCACGGACATGACACGGAGAAAGTCATGCTGCTTCCCCACAATTGCAGTACGCCTCCGGGGAAACCTGGAAGTGACCAAGACTTTTAGGCTACGTCAATATCGATAGCTGCGTGTTGCGTACTGTTTGACGATGGCTATAGCCCTGCCCGTCTGCAAATATTATGGGCCACGGTTGTTAAGTCCAATTTCGGGACTCAACCTTAGGGTCTTCATTGTCTGGATTCGTCAGTGGGACATACGGTCCATTGCATCGTGTTTTCCTTGATTTCCTCCAGCAGATGAGCCGGTTCGCAATCCACAGAGTAACCTGAAAATTACTCACGACATTGCTAAGCGCCGACAAGACCAACTCTTCCCACGATAACCTACCCCCGGATTTGTGTTAGTAGAAAACGAGGTCGTGGTGGCTGATCAATTGAGCCGCGCTAGACCTTCTTCAGGCAAGGCGATGCTGATTGCACCATCTCCCTAGACCATGACGCCTTTAGGAACTCAAACGCTACCGCCGAAGAAAGATCTGGAAGCGTATTCAAACACCATAAAGGCACGGTGGAGAAGTCACCACATTCTTTTATGTCCGTGATCGCGTGGTGAGCTCGGATATCAGGCTGATCCCCAGGTCTTGAATTCCACGAACCTCTCGTGGAGGTTCTGCATCTACTTCTTCCTACATCCACTGCATCAGCCTGTATTTATGCCCAGTTGTACGGACACATTTGCCGATACCGGATGTTATTGCCGATGTAAAGTGAATGCAGCAGACCGCAGCGGGGAGAAATTTGAACAAATCTGTAAACGCATACTGCCGCGCGGAACCCTGCATTCTGTATTTCATGCAGATAACAGCAGTGATACAGCTATTGCGTGCAGGCGATGATTCTGGACCATGCTGTGGAGTGACACGCAGCCCTATACGCCAGTCTGAGATTGTCGTAGCATTCCCGCCGCATGTTTTTGATAGAGAAGGATTGAAATGCTGGGTGAGAAAGTCCTGGAGAATTTTCATTGCAAGCTAGCAATCCCACAGCCCATCTCTTTCAATATACACTTTCCGAAGAAACTCCAGATCCTGAAGGTGGCATGATCCAAGATAGATCGCATTCGATGCATCGACCTGCTCTCTGGACTACCTTGCTTATTCCCGCGCGAAACGATTCCGTGGGGCTGAGCTACGTCTCTCATCGTTAGACTCCATAATAATCGTTTTGCTGCAATGATAGCATACAAGTCTTGTCGTCGATAACGTCAGGGTATATCGTTGAACGCCAGAAGATACAGAAACGGAAAGGTCGACTTAAACCCATCTACTTCTTGTTCTGTTTTCAGCACATCTCGCACGTCCTCGTAGACGGTTGCTGATATCCTTTTGATGCCGCCACGCCGCGCAAGTCGCCTATATGGAGGTCAGCACGCAGGATCTAGAAAGTACCGGGCACCCAACAGTATTGCTGCCACAACACGATGACCTGAGAAAGCTTGCCCTTACCGAATATCTCCTTTGGTGATGCCCTGGATCGTGTCCCGCTGCACTTTTCTAATCCAGCTTGTTAGCTTGTTGCTGCTACGCTCGTGACCTTACTCAAGACTTACTTGTGCCGCTTGAGCAGCCCTTTGGTCCCCAAACCAGCCGCTCCCTTACCTTTCCCAAGGCCAAGGCCCATCTGTGTCGCTCGCGACGGAGTTGAGGTAGGTAGTGAGCTTAGTGGGCGACCCACACCAGGCCGTGGATTAGAGCTTCCAGGAACAAAGCGAGGTGTACCACCGCCGAAGCCGGGCGGTACAACTCGCGGTTTCGCCATTGTTCAAAGTAGGAGTTGTTGTGGAGTTGGTGTCGTCCGCAAGAGTAATTCAGGTGCAGCGATAGTAAGTGCCAAGCGCGCTCGCGCAACGAGATGTCACGCGTAATCAGCTGATCCCGTGCGGGGTAGCTATTTGAGGAAGGAACGATTGTGTTGGATTGAATGCGCAAACGGGCACGTCGGCGAGTAATTGCACATCTATGATTTGGGTAAACAGACGTGATTCGAGCATTGTCTCGACCTGTTTGTAGACTGCATGTCCCGTTGCATGAAGCGCTTCATGATACTTGATACATAGTACTCGTCTTACAAGATACCAGACAATAAGTGGCAAGGCGACACTTGAAGAGTGCACCATCACATTCGCAAAGGTAGTATCTCAATTGCCAGGGTAATTATCGTTTATTAGGTCCTCAAGCGCCTGTCCTGAGTGTCATGCAATCATTAAAGCTAGGTGTCGTAGGTCTATCCAAAACGCAACAAGGATTCTACGAGATGAAAGTGGCCTCGGCGAACAATGTGCCTTCCTCCTCCTTTACCTCATCACCCACCTTGACCTTGAGAGTCAGTTTCGATTTGTATTGGTAGATATATGGCTTCGTGCCTGCCGCAGTGGCTACGATGGCCTTGACGAAACCTGGGACTTCGGCCATAACATCTATACGGTCCAAACGATCCCCGAGGCTGCCCTCGAGGTGGGCAGACACCTCCTTTCCATCGTCTGTCTTGCCCTCCCAGGTATAGCTTGCTGAAGTGGGCTCGGGCCAGTCATTATCACTATCCTGCTTGGTCGCCGTGTGCTTCACATCGCCAGCATTAGTGTTGGCAAAAAGGAGCTTGCCGTCGGTAGCAAGGCCACTAACACGGACAAGGGTGTTGGCGTAAGAGGCAGGCGTAGTGAACTCCATCAGAATTGCGGAGTAGTTGGGCGACTGGAAGTTGACAAAGTTCCATCGAGCAGCTGTCCTCATTAGCATCGGTTGAGAAGCTTGTCAAAGCTACGAACCTGCGTGATGAGGCTTCATGCCCTGCAGCGCCATACAGTACATGCCCCGGCCCTTGAAGTCAATCTGCTCGCCGTTGGTGATGATCCTACCTCCAACGTTTGCACTCGGCCAGAACGCATGTCGCATAGAACCCCAGGGCGCCTTGGGATCGGTTCCGTAGTTGGTTGTGCCATCCGTTCCTCCCAAGAAACCTGGAGCTACCCGCTCAAACTTGATGTCGACCATGCTCCTGTCATTGCGCGCAGACTTGATATTGTAAGAAGAACCATCCTCGGATAGCTCAATCGAAATACCGTCGGCGAAGAAACAGAATTGGTCATCATCGAAGCCGTAGTTCTCGAGGGGGTCGCTAGTCCAAACGACTGGCTTCTCGTTGTTCGGGTACCAAATCTTGACGTTGAACTGGGTAGTGATGCGCAGACCGCTAGTTAAAGATCAGATGCTGGTCGAGGTGGTGTGATGGGCAAGACGTACGCAATGTTGTTGTAGATTACCTGCATAAAGCAATAGTGACCACTGTCGGCCTGGAGATAAAACGTCTGCGTCTCGACGCAGGTCTGCTCGACGAGTTTCCACTTCAAGTGTTCCTTCTTGAGCTCCGTATAGGCGGGGTCACCAGCGTTCCTGCCCACAGGGTGAATGGCCTCCGGGCCGTACTCGGGTTCCTGGGTACCGGCGACATTGGCCAACCTGCGCAAGTGTGAGCCCGCAGCGGTAGCAGAGGGAGTGCGGAACGCGGCACGTGCCGAGAGGTCCGGCGGGTGCACTGGGGAGGTACTGACTGCTGCTGGGCCCAACGAAACATTTTGCGGGCTTTTGCGGGAGCTCTGGGCACTAATATCCAAATAACAGCGGTAAGCAACAGCCAACAAGAAAAGTTCTGAGCGGGAGGAGAATGCTACTGGCTCAGAGATTTCTCTGGTGTTGACGAAGAGGGCCAAGGCTCAGGAACGACAAGGCGGATGATGTGCAGTGGCGGGTCCGGAAATAGCGGCGCGCTGTGCATGTGCAACAGCAGCGTGGGATGACGCGCGAGCAGCAGACAACGGTCGCGCGGTATGAGAAAGAAAAGGCCTGGATCCTAGGTGTGCGGCCGCGATCCGAGTACTGAGTAAGATTCGACGCGATGCTTCACGTTATGCTATGGCATGTGGTCTTGGGCTGACTGTGTACTTGGGTAGGCGTATAGGCGTGCGACGGTCGGGATGAAAGAGCTAGCACCGACATCCCATGCCCAAAAATTCCACTCCGCGATTGCCCCTCGGCCGGCCGCGCCTTCCCTCCACTGCGACATAAAACTTCTGCTCCGGCTGCTGTGGACCGCGCAAGAGTCTCGCTGCGCCGCCCCGCCTTCCCTTTGAGCGAATTGCTGCCCGCCTCGGATGCTGCGAACGCCGTTCCTGGACATCCGCTATCTCTATTCCGAGCAGCACGCTAATAAACATCATCGCGGGGCTTTCTGGCTATGACGCTCTAGAGCACCTACAGCCATATCCTTCACGATCCGTCCTGGCACACGCTCGTTCGCCTCGAACCTACACTCTCCACCGCACCCGACGCCATCCGCGGGCGCCGACACCCCATCAGGACGAACAACGCTCGTCGGCGTTCAGCTCCGAGAGCTTAGCTCCAGCCTCGTTACGCTACGCTACGACCCATACCGAGGACTGTTTCGTCATAAGCATCGAGCATACGACACCCCACCGGCTTTCCACCGGTTTCGCGCGTAATCCATCCTACACAATGGCAGGGAATCAAGAGCAGCCGCAGTCGGTGCGCTTCAGCGATGTCCACGAGGAGATCGAGCCAGAGAAGGCCTTGCAGCATGTCACGACTCTGTCAGGCGCCGGCGAGGAGCGCGATGAGGAGCTGTCTCCCGAGGCCGAGCAGGAGCTTCGCAACCTCTCAAAGACACTACAACAATCACGATGCCAGGCCCGCCGCATGGCCAATTTTGCCTACGAGCCCGTCTCTCTCCCGCCGTCTAGAGTAAGTCATCTACTGACTGACTGTTTGCCCGGTGGTGGACTTGCTAATGACTGGCAGGCGCCATCACCCTCACCAGCAACATCACGCACGCCTTCGGCCACTTCCGCTCACCGGCACTCATCTGGTCCTCGCCCGTCTCCTCCTGTGTCTGCAATGCATTCACCACCGCTAACCCCAGCAGGCACCTCGTCTCAAGACGGAAAGCCTGTCGTTCCGGTTGAGCGTAGGAAGGACCCCGCCATGATGACACCCCAAATCTCGCCGCCCCAGCATGAACCTCCACCAACTTCGATGGATTCTGTGCACGGTGGACAGAAAAGACCTCAATCGCTCGTGGTCCCTCGTTCGCCAAGAGAACCGTCTGCCCGACCTACATCAGTAGTAGAGTTGCCGAGTATCCCTGGTCCTCGGAAATCTTCTGCATCTGCAATAGGTCCCACGGGTGACTCGTTGCCTGCATCAAGAGATGTAAGCCCATCTGGATCAGCCGGAGGTCCCGGATCAGGACATCATTCGCCCGGGACTTCTACACCGAGCAGTAGGCCGTTCACACCGCAGGGGGACAAGGATGATCCGTATTCACGCTCGAAACGGCTTCCGCCGGCTCACGATGCTCGTTTTGTGTTTGCACCCAGTGGCCGCAGGACACCGAAAGAATCGTCACCCTCATCGTCAACCACCGCGCTCCCGAGGTCCAAAGGAGGTGGCTCTGACAGAGACGAAAGCAAACGCACAAGTTTCTTCGGCGCGCCTAAGCATCATGAGCGCCAGGGTTCGGGCACAGAGGATAGCGATGGTCGATCGGTCCTGGGCAAGCAACACCACGAGGGCTCAATGTCGAATTTGAAACGCTTTTTCAAGCTAGGTGGCCATAAGCATAAAGAGAAGGACAAGGAGAAGAAGCAGAAGCGTGCACAGTCTCCTGCGCCGTCATTTCGGGAAAAGGCCATGAAGTCTAAGAAGACCGGAATGATGACACCACCAATTACGAACGGATCGGTGTCAGTGCCATTCGCGGATGATCACGGGCTCGAAAACAAGTACGGCAAATTCGGCAAAGTGCTTGGCTCTGGTGCCGGTGGATCTGTACGTTTGATGAAGCGTAGTAGCGACGGTGTAACTTTCGCCGTGAAACAATTTAGAGCAAGACACTCGTATGAGTCGGAAAGAGATTACAACAAGAAGGTCACTGCAGAGTTCTGCATAGGATCGACTCTGCATCATGGCAACATCATCGAGACTATGGATCTCGTGAACGAGAAAGGAAATTATTACGTTGTCATGGAATACGCACCGTTCGATCTCTTCGCCATCGTCATGACTGGAAAGATGAGCCGCGAAGAGGTCAGCTGCTGTACTTTGCAGATCCTGAACGGAGTGACCTACCTTCATAGCATGGGTCTGGCACATCGAGATCTAAAGCTGGACAACGTGGTTGTCAACGAGCACGGCATCATGAAGATTATCGATTTTGGCAGTGCCGCAGTATTCCGGTATCCTTTCGAAAATGACATTGTACTCGCAAGCGGTAGGTGACTTTACTTGAAATTCAAGACAGAAAATGTCCACTGACAGTTTTCAGGTATCGTTGGCTCAGATCCTTACTTGGCACCTGAAGTCTATGATCTGTCCAAGTATGATCCTCAGCCGACCGATGTCTGGTCGCTTGCAATCATATTTTGCTGCATGACATTGCGCCGCTTCCCGTGGAAAGCACCTCGCGTATCGGACAATTCATACAAGCTTTTTATATCGCCTCCCAACGATGGGCCAAGGTCAATCACCAATCCTTCCCAATCAGCCTCAGATCTAAATTCTGGAACCAACGATGAGCGCCGTAAGTCGGGCGTCCAGTCAGAACCTGCGTCTCGTGCACCCTCAGGCCAATCGAGCGGTCATCACCATCACCATCAGCACCGGAAGGACGGTGGTCATTCTGATCCTGTGACAAATGAGAATCGCCCCGGCTCGGCAAGTGGCCAAGGCGCTCAGCAGCAACCGCAGGTTATCAAGGGCCCGTGGCGACTATTGCGCCTGCTTCCGCGAGAGAGCAGGCACATTGTTGGCAGGATGCTAGAAGTCGACCCCAAGAAGCGCGCCACTCTGGAAGAGATTCTGGAGGATAAATGGGTGAAGAACAGCCAAGTGTGTGCGCAGGAGGAGGGTGGAAGGGTGCTCCGTGCGGAAAACCATCAACATACGCTTGAGCCTGGTTCGGGGTCTGCCTCTGCCCCCGCAACTCAGCAAAAGAAATAAGTCGGCGATGGCTTGCTTTAACTACCACTAAAAGTTAACAAGATGTCCAATATTGACGGTGAAGGTGGAGTGTGGTGGCTTGGAAACATAACCACCGGCTCTCCGACTCCGCACAGATCATCTCTGTGCCGGATGAGGCGGGGACGACGAGGGCGTTGTTGATATGGTGCACTATCGAACAATGTGATTGTGGCGTGGAAGAAAAGAGCATGGGTCAATGTGGGATTAGAGCATCGCGTGTTGGCTGTTTGATTCGAGCATGCGGCTTTTGCATGACTCTGTCGTTGATTGTATTGTGGTGCTCGCGGGTGGCTATCTCCTCTTCTGATCTTGTCGTTGCAGCTCGATTTGTGCGCCGGCTGAGGTGCACGTGCTGCACTTTGGATGTTTCGAGGATTTCTTGTGCATAGTAGGGCTGTAGGACGGCCAGATAGCACGTTGTAATGCCGTCACGTAGACTGTTAGATGTAGATGGGATCGTCTTCACCAGTGTCCAGTGAACGAAAGGCAGTGTCCATACGAAGGAATTATGTTTCAGGTCAACGTACGCTTACCCTGGATCTTAGCATCGACTCCTACTCCTGCCTCCGCATACCACAGCTCACTATGGCTATGGATGTCGGGCGGGGAACGAACCACGCGAAGAGCTGACAGCCCGAGCATATCTATCTGCATCTCACGATAATGCCGAGGTCGACGCGTACACTCGCCTCTTGTGCGGCGTCGCCGGGGGGTCAAACAAAGGCCCCGAAAGATGCAGACGACAGACGTAGCGCCGATGCCATCCATGTGTCTCCTCTGGCCTGGCAGCGGTGGAGACGGTGGTACGTAACGAGGCTTCTGGACCTCCACCGTGCTTGCGCAGCTCAGCAGCACACGGGGCTGGTCCGCTGGCGATGCGCACCGCTAAGGCATATGTCAAACCCTAGGCCTCGCCATGGGCAGGTTCGTTGGTGGTTCGCTGGCTCTCAGCATCAGGATTGCATGGGCGGCGTGGGAGCGTCTGGCCTGTGAGGGTGCTGGTGTGGGGTTGGCATGGCGTCAGCGTGCTGGGAGCAGGGGTGGTGAGACACAGGGCTTGGACGGGGTGTTTGAGCGGTGCGTTCGTTTCAAGGCGCAGGCGAGTCGCAGGTTGAGGGCGCGGGCTCGCTTGTTGTTGCCTTTGCCCGAACGAGCACGATGTGCCCATCGGACCCCGGTCTGTCACTGGGCATCCCAGACGGGGTGCAGCAACGCGAGCAAATGGCCTCGTCGTCGGCCTCAGGCCAGCTCCCTGTCTGCATCGTGTTGCGAGTGCTGCCTCGCGATAGCAGAGCGCAGAGATAGCAGACGCACGATACGGCAAGAACAGGCGGCGTGCCGCATGACAGCAGCATGGCGTATCCTGCTCGCTGGCCAGAATCGACGGCCCTCCCCCAACTCGCGCGTTATCACCTCGTAGGATGCCGCACAGCCAATGGGGGCCGGATGCCCCAGCTGCTAGCAAAGAAAAGATCGCTGTGTCCTCCGACGAAAGCGCAGCCTTGGCTTCCCAGCCTGTAGATATAGCACGTTGCATGCCCGTCCCATCCAAACTTGCTCCCGTTTGCAACAAAACAATACTCTTCTTCGGCGCTACTTTGAAATACTTGTCTCCTCATTTGATCGCTTTCGTCCCCGGTGGCTTTATTTATGTAATTGGTTTGCGTTTTGCAATTTTTTTCGCTTGCGTATAGATTAAAGACGTCGCCATGAGGAGACAACTGCAGACTCCTTCGCATCTCAAGGTCGCGTCTGGTCCTGTCGCCCTGCCGCAGCGGTATTTGGGTCCCGAGACCGTCGTCGTTAACCACTACGCTGGGACTGAAAAGCTGATACCGGCCATTCCTGGTTTTAGAACGAGCGCGGGTACGTTTTTTTTCCTTTGTCCGACCTGGTCTCGACTTCGAGCGTGGTCGCGTGCGCTGCTCTGCGGCGGAGGCGGCACCACTACACTGCCTGAAAATTTCCTGGTGTATGCTATTGGATTTACAGATGCTAATGTCAATATTGCAGCGTTCCTCACAAGTCTGAGTGCAAATCTGCGCATCGATCCCGACCTGCCCTCTCCGCTGGGTACACCCATCAGCTTCCGCGCAAGCAGCCAACACCCCTTCCTCCCGCCGCCCTCGCCCCTGGCCTTCTCCACAGTCTCGCAGCCTCAGTATCCTACGCCTTCGCCAGATACCGCCATCATGTCCACCGAGCCCGTCTCCGTCCCCGCCGTCGCGCCTACAGACCGCCTGCCCCAGCTGCGCACCTACACAGCTACCACCGAAGATGACCGCGTCGACGGCCTCCGCCTAATCGCCGATTCAGTCGCCCAGCAGCGCCAGATCGCGAGCAAGATGCTCATCTTCCACCCGCTGCATCTCGCTGGCCTCGCACTGTTTGTTGGGATCCTCTTGCAGCGCTTCTGGAAGACGACGGACGACTTGTACATGCTTGGCCCGACCATCGGTGGCATCGTCATGGCATGTCTCGTTGCCGTGCGGTGGGCGACAGGACGCTATCTCGCGCATGCTGAAGAAGTCGATTGGGACTGGCTGGGCGACGACCGCATGATTGTTGTCAAGTGGGGCGAGGAAGTCATTGGGGCTCTGGTTTTGGGCTGGGCCGACGACGAAGCCGCAAAGAAGAAGCAGGGACGTAGGAAGCGCGGGAAAGCGATCGTGCGCGCGTGGACTGTGCGGTTGAAGTACAGAGGCAAGGGCGTTGGGGAGGGACTTCTAGAGGAAGCGGTCAAGGTTGCGGGGGAGAGGGGCGCTGATGGGATTGTTTTTGAAAGGGACCATGCGAGTGAGTTTTTGTGGTTCCGAGGGAGACATTGAGCACGCGCTAACGTGAAGCAGATTCCAAGCGCATTCTTCCCAGCTTCTACAACAGCTTCATGGACCAAAAGGAGGCCAAAGCTGAGAAGGCCCTCAAAAAGGTTGCTGATGAGAAGGGCAACTTTAGACAGCGACGTTCATCTCCTACCTGGGGTAGCAGATGATTCCACTCGCTCTTCTCCACTTTCTGTACAGCGGCTATTTCATTTCGTGTCGGGCTCGTTTTGCTATTGAAGATACCCTCGCTACATGGCATTTGCAGCTATACTAGAGATACTACATACTAATCTGACCTACTTCACAACCAATGTTGTTCTCGTACTGCCAGATGGAAGGCATGTATGGTACCCAGCCACCAGGTGCGCGCCCGACCTGTCGGCCTGTTTCCTAGCACACCTTATCGCGTCATTTCGAGGACCTGATAACAATGTGAAGCGTGTGTGGACTGGCATTCACGCTTGGCGGTTGGCGCTTTGTGCCCCGCATTTCTAGTGTGCATGTGCCCTCACTTCTGGGGTAAGCACGCTTCCGATAAGAGAGGATGTGCTCGCATGCTCGCCAATTGTGGACAAGGTTGTGCGCCCGGAGTTCCAAATAGATGTCTACCGGGCTGTGGCTCCGGGCCTGCTGCATGTCGAGCGGTATCGAGATCGAGACCTGGTGACTGGTTGATGATATCGCGGTTGTAGGCCAGCTCAGTGTGCGCCAGATTCTGCTCCGTCGACCGAGTCTGTGCCGTATTCTTCGCGCAGCTCGCGGATGACGTTCTGCGGTGTTATCAGTATGCTTGTAGGTACCACATGTTTGGGTCTTAGATAGGATGGGCCGGGTAATGCGGCGTGCTGATGGACGTACAGCTAGAGCTTCGGGATTTGCACCATTTTCGATGAGAGAAACACAGTAGGAAAGCTGTTGGCGGTCCAACTTCGTGTTCTATGATGCGTTAGAGGGATATCGTGTGATCTTGGCAGTGGAAGACGCGTACAAGCAGTGTCGCGATCTCATGGAGGATGTCGATGACTTCGCGCGCAGCTTTACGCTTGACGTCCTGTGAGGGTGCGGTGTCTGCAGGCATCTCTGTTCGTGAGAGCTCAAGTACGAAAGCAGCGATTGGTGTTTGTTCTGAATGTTGCAACCGTCAGCGCGTTCGAATCGCTCGACAACAAGAACCGATTCGCGACTTCCCGCAGCGGGCTGCCCCGCGCCACGTGAGTACGGCGGCCCAAGCTTTACGGATCATCAATCCACCGCCATCCTCGATCTCTTCTGGACATTGAGGTACTATTTCTCATTGCAACGACATCATGACGCAGTACAGACATGAAAGGTCGGGTCAAGACTGGCGCAAGTACAGAATGAAGCTACTAGATCTCCTTCAGAGCCACTTTCCACTGCTCGAACAATCTACTTGACCGCAACTTTCAGTGATACTCGATTGCTTTTAGAAGATACCTATCTTTGAGTCTAGTCCAAGACGACAACATGGCACAAGACCCTCACCAAGGCGGCCGTCTCGAAGACATGGCTGCAGCAGGAACCTCTGTTCCTAACGACGCTGGCCTCCACCGCACCATCCCATCTGTACCTCGCCCCGACCAAATCGATCCTCCTGCAGACACTCACTCGCACCCGAATCCGGCCCATGCAGCGGACAATACATTCGACATTCCGCGCGGGACTAGAGATCAAGGTGTGACCGGAGAGATCTTGACGGGCACTGGGGACCAGATGTCCTCAAACGTCGAGAAGAAGTCTTTCGGTAAGTTGCAGCACTGTTGGAGGCAACGTAGATGTCTGCTGATTGCATAACAGACGACGCGCCGTTTGATTCAAGAGCGAAGGGCTCCGATCAGTACTACAAGCATGCGAGACAGGGTAACGACTTCGATAAATTCGCGAAGGCGGGTCATGGTGTGCAGGCTGCGTCGGGAGAGGAAGAAGACACGCAGGATGCTTTGTTGGACAGAAGGGGCGCCAAATAGATGTTAGGAGGTCAGACTTTAACACTACCTACCCTGTGCGGAGCTGCATGACTTTATGACTCAATGAGAACAATACTTGATCGTAGATTATGTTTTAGCAACCGTTCATTTCTACATCTTTCCGGGCTCAAGGTTATAAAGGTCATCTATGAACGTTTGTTTGCATTTCTTATGCAAGAGCACGCTTGACGGATGTGCCATTTCGGCGCCACAGTGGCTGACCCCGCTAACCCCACCATAATTCTCCAATCTACCAACTTCCTCACCACAACCTTGCAAGCGCAGCACTATCCACTGGATTTCGAACAGTCTGTCTCGAGCAACTGTGCTTGGGAACCCCGCAATATGGTCTACTACTTCAGCTCCAACACCGTGTCTCCTGCGGCCTTCATATACGTCGGCAAAGACAAAGTCGAGAGTGCGTAGGATTGATCATACATCAAATCCAGTACTATTGTTTATACTGACGAGTCGTATAGATGAAGAGCTGATCAAATACGGCTGGGATGAAGACGTCTGGTTCCACGTGGACAATCTTTCCTCGGCACACATCTACGTGCGGTTGCCCGAGGGGCAAGACTGGGAAAGTATTGATCAAGGGTTGTTGGTCGACTGTGCGCAATTAACGAAGGCGAATAGTATCGAAGGTACGATGTGTTCAGTCTGAGTTCTACCCGAATTTTCACAGAGAGGAGAAGAGAGGACTAATGTGGATGTAACTATAGGCAATAAGAAAGACAATATCATCATCGTGTACACACCATGGTCCAATCTCAAGAAGGATGGAAGCATGGCTGTCGGTCAAGTGGGATTCAAGGACCAGCGCAAGGTTGGCATTGTATTCGGTAATTAGTGAAGAAACATTCGCTAACAAGGTCATAGGTCAAGCGAATACATGTGGAAAAGCGAGAAAATCCCATCGTCAATCGCCTCAACAAGACAAAGACCGAGAAGTACCCCGACTTAGCTATGGAGAAAGAGGCTCGCCAAAAAGAGTTGAGGAAAAAGGACAGGGTCGCGCAGCAGGCACGGGTATGCTTCGATTCCAATATCCTAGACATGCATACTATATGCATACCACTTTGTCGTCGTCTTTTCTCACCATGTACCTCTGTTTCCTGCCATTCAGCACTAACTTCCGTTTGCAGAAGAAAGAAGAAGCCCTAATCATGAAAGAGAGGAAAGAGCAAAAGTACCAGAAGGATCATGCCTACGATGATCTCTTCACCGAAGAGAACATGGCGTCGGCTAGCAACCAAGATCGGTCTGAGGATTTCCTGGACGACTTCTTCTAGAATCGAATAGCGATTCTGCGTGCAGTCCAAGACCTAATCAACCGACGCTAGAATCCTTCTCATGCGCTGCTTGCTGAATAAAGCAGGCCATACCCAACGTGTTCCCCAAAGGCTTGTACCTATGTATGGCGTCTTCGAGCGGGCGTTCGGATGCAGGGCGTCGAAAGGCTCAAATCGGATCGCGGACGGTCATGACCGGAATGCAGATGCCCATGGACTCGTTCAGCATATCAATGTTGTAATTGAAGGCGTCAAAGGCAGTAGTCTTCATACGCATCAATTCGTGGGTCCTAGTCGACTGTGAGCGCTCTCCTATGCAAGACACCAAGGACCTACGGGCTCTTCTGGGTTGATTTGCTCTTGCCGCCATTTTCTTGACTCCACCAAACAAATAGAAGGTTCTTAACGATCTTGTGCTCCAAGCCGTTCTCCTTTGTCGCATACTGCAGGAATTCTAGTGTGTTTTGTATCTTCTGCGCGTCGAAGTCGGCCGCAGACCCTTTGCGAAAGGCCAGGCGAATCCTATCGCGTAGCGTGAAGCGTGCAGGCTTAGAATATTGTATGGCGCGCAATCCTTGACGGAAGAGATGCCTGTATGCGCAAACGATTTGCTGCTGAGACATCGTTCAAGATGATGGAAGACGGGAATGCGCAGCTCGCTGATTGGTTTGCTGCGGCGTGGAGGGAACATAGTTGGGCCGCACCCGACGCAGCGCCTCGAACGAAGCGAAAGCGTCGCCTCACTTCTCTCCTCTTCTTTTCCCCGCCACTTTCAACCCTACAGCGTCCGCAACGTTTGCATTCGCACTCGCAAGCGCGGCCTGTTCTCCTAGGCCCATTGTAGATATCCTCCGCTCGCTCGGGGTCTCCGCCAGCAGTGCGCGACGAGTCTGACTAACTACTCACTTTCACAGCACATCGTCAGCAAAAGGGCCTTTACGCCGCAGGGCAGCGGATTCGCCAAGTGCAAAACCATACGGCCAAGTCTCGCACGCTTAGGCCTTCTCCACCGCGTATATTCGCGACCCTTCCAAGGTCTATATATGTACTGCCTGTTCTCCAGTCTGCCTTGCTCACTCTGGTCAACTGGTCTGGATCCATTACATAAGCTTTGACATCTGTACCTGGAATGACCCGTGTATCACGCGCAACCTCCCATCGTGGAGTGTTGGCTGCGGCGCCGCCTGATCGGTCTCGTGCCACTGCACGAAAGAAGAAACCATACAAAATCGTTCTTGAGGCGGTCACCCAAGAGAAGCGAAAACTCAAGTCTTCCGTTCGTCTTGCTCTAGCACCTCGACCCTCGACCCAACTAACATTTGTGCAGCTTACATACCATGATCAAGCACCAGCTGGATTCGGCTACATCCCTGTGGGCCATCCAGACATGACGGAATGGTGCAAAGAACAATGTCGACAACGAAATCTTGACGTGCACATTGTGTCGGTAAGGGCGAATGTTCTGGTCATTCTATCCTCGAGCAAACCTAATTTGTGTAGGCAAAACCGCGCAGCAAAGCCTTCTTTGACCCTGAAAAGATTTCATCTCATGTTCATCGCATTGGTCATCATTTTCCTCTTGAGATTATCGAACTCGCTTGCAGGAAATTCGGGTACCGATATGATGAAGGAAGCGGTCTCCGTCGTCTGAGGGGTAGTCCCGTGTATGGCCCAGCATATGTCGAGAGGGGAATCGCGAATTACGAACAGAGACAGGCGCTCCATGGTAGACCTGTAACTGACACAGAGCATAAGGAGCATATTCGAGGCGCCATACGCGAGATCTTTCCCAAGATACCCGAAGCTGACTTGACTTCCATCGTGAATCATGCTTTCGAAGAAGTACATACATCTTGACGTGTCGGTATGCGGGTAGCTAATACATTACAGGGAACTAACAGAGTGGGTAATGCGAAGGAACTCTCTTTAGCTCGCCGCGTGCAGCTCGCAGTCGTTGCACATATTCGCCACACATATACCGAGTACGACAACATTCTGAAGCACAAGACAGGGACGTGGACCGAAGCTCGACAGCAAGTTGAGCACGTCTCTCTAGCGAAGCTGAAGGAATGGAGAGACGAGACAGACGAAGCCAGTAACGAGCTGGAGGAGACCTTCCGCGAAGTCATTGTGCTCGACGATGACGAGGAATCGAGTGACGATGAGAGCTCGTCGGCTCCCGATACACGTGAACCGAGCATGGAGATTGTCTTCAACCGGGCCACTGCGCGGGATCTACAGCCGGAGCTCGGTGACCGCATGCGTGCATTTGATCCCTACGTGAGTAGAGCATCGCGCAGGACGATCGTTCTTCGACCGATGCCTACATATTCACACCGTCAATCGCTCGTCTCTAGTCCATCACGTGCTCACACGACTCCACAGGCAAGCCGAGCAGACGCCCGAGCCTTGCTCCCTAGTCCAGTTGTGACTCGTGATCCTTCTAGAGCGCAAGCTGAGATGTACCGTCCAGCGAAAGGTGAGTTATCCCGATATGTTCAAGGACCGTTAGAGCGCACGCTCATTATAGACGACGACTTAGGTCGACCAGTTGAGCCGTAAGTGGGCCCTCCATTCCTTGCTATGCTTATGTTTACCGATACAGGATACCTAGAGAACATGCAGGTGGAGTCGCTCAGCATGTCATGCGTGACTCTACAGGTCGATTGTATACCGTGAGTAGATTTAGCGTGGTGTTCAACGCTGACAAAACGAACTCTCCTTCCCCGGTTTGCCATAGACTAACATGCGCAGCTTCAACCGATCGATACGGCTCGCGACTCTTCTAGGACGGCCTATAGCTACCATGGGAACAGTCCGTTTGGAACCACGAGTAGTCCTTACAGCAACCCAGTCCCTTACAGCCATGGACACAGTCGTTCACTAGGCCGGCAAGCCGTGGACCCTATTCAGTACCAAGAAGTGCCACCGCCATGTAGCAGACCAAGATTAACACCTAGCTCCAGAAGGGCGTCTGACCAAGACGTGGTACTGCCATCAGTTGAGCGCGAGCCTGAAGCCCCTGCTCAAAAGCGGAAGAGCCTCCCGTACCATGCATACGAGGACTATCCGGCCACCGCACATGCGGACCATCCAGGACATACTTCCAAGCGGCTAAGATATGCACAAGATGTGCGGTCTCGTCATGAAATTTCCACTCTGAAATCTAACCAACCGCAACCAGTGTACAGCAGTGGAAGAGATGTGTATGAAATGGTTCGTCCACATGCAGCACCAGCTGATTATGTATACAATCCCGTGCCTCCTCGTCATTCGCCCATGCGCGACACGAGAGGTGCGTATCGCGAAGTTGTTGTTTCGCGATCACCCCGTGCTTATGGTCCTGGGTATGATAGGACTCCTCTACATGATAGGCGAGCTCTTCCAGCGATAGACCGCATTGCATTGAGTGGGCCAGCGACACGCTATGAGACCCGAGACAGTTCGTATATAAGGGATGGTGCCAGTAATGGCTACTATACAACACGTTGAGGTTTCGATATGAGTTTTTGGGAGGCATTTGGCGTTTGCATGGACGATACCCTTTTCCTTTTCTCAGTCGCATCTTAGCGTCGATTTTCGATTTCATGTTCCTCATGACTGCACGGCATCTCGTTTCATTTCGAGGCATTCCGGCGTCGGTTCCAATTGCTTCGCTCGTACCTTTCGTACGACCTCAAAGCATCGAAAAGGTTGCAGGAGGGTCCAGTCAGGCTGGATTTCACCGTGGAAAGGGAAGACTCGTTGTGCAGCCTGTCAGCTTGGAGGTCTACCCTTGCGAAGAAGGTGGAAGACTTGCGCTTGAATAATTGAGATCGTTCCTGAGGTTCTTCGATGAATTGGCGGACGAGCAATGCATATTGTGTTGCTATCGCTGAGGGTCGATAGTGCTCACAGAGGTCGATTAATCACTTCATGTACAATGTTCGAACACAGTTATTGTAATTACCAAATCAAGGTTCGCCTCATAGCTGATGCCTTACTTCCTTCGACAAGTTGAAGAAACCCATAATTTACTGAGCACTGCCGTCAGCCCCATAAGCCCATTTGCCTGATAGAGGTGTAATTTTTGTATTGCATTCGCCCGATAGTACAAGACGGGCGAGATGCGAAATGGGACGCATGGCGAGACGAAGAGATCCTTTCTCTTCAAACTGTCGCCACGAGTTACCAGTGAAGCCGTTGGAGCCAATGGCAGAGCTCCGGTTTAGCACAAGAGATTTCTGTGGGTCCCTTGTGCAGACGCACTGCCACAGATCTTGGTCATCTGTTCATGGCGCCACAGGGGCCAAGCTGAAGCCTGGGCTTGGCGTAGCGCGCGAATCCTGGGTAAAGCTTGTAACATGGACTGAATTCTGTCTGTTTTCAGGATCAATGTAAACAATCGTGCACAATACCCACAAGGAACCTCTGATGGACATAATAGCTCTCGAGATCGATGGTGCAGTCAACAAATCAAGGTTGGAACATGTCAATCATGTCATCGCGCCCGGATAACGTGCCGCAGGGTCTTGGCTATCCATAGAACTGGGAACCATTCGGGGCTAGTTGCAACCCTCATAAGCCCATCGTATCAAAACACAGGCTCTCTCCTCTTGACGCATTCCTTTCGCGCTGATCGCAGGCTCTGAGATTCAGCTGTGATCTACAGACGATAGCGCCCTCCACTTTCATCTTTCATCTTTCATTCTCTTTCCCCTCTCGCGCACAATCCTAGCTTCCAGACCGCAAGAGCTGCAATTGCGCTCAGCTTATAGACCCTCTAAGATTTAATGTGGGTATTCTTTGCGCGTGGTATCATGCGCGTTATTGCTATAGACTCGATGCGCATGCTGACTCTTGCACGCAGTAGATTTCCCACGTCACAAGCGAAGCTTTCCTCCCTCCACGAGTACTCCTTCAAACCACAATTGCAATCGCCGCAATGACCGAACACGTACACCCACACACGGATCCCAGCGGTGCGGAGGGTATCGGGCCCGGTCCGCAGCTCGTTAGCACCGCGCCTGGTCTGGAGGTCTTGGTCGGCCCGCTGCTCAACTATAGGCGCATGAGCAACGAAGCCGGAGCATCCACATGGCATGGCAGTGTCCTCGTCGTAACGAGGCCAGGACAAGATACCCCCGAGCTGACGCTGGCTCCCGGGGGCGCCGTCGATCCATCGCTAGAGAAAGCCTCCTTCACGGCGGGCGCCAACAGGTTTACCGCCGACAAGCTCTACGAAGACGTTGAAAAGGCATTCTGGCGCTTTCTGATCCATGTGCCGTTCCAACAATTCGAATCGCGCTGGCAGTACGACATCGAGGGACTCCACTACGAAGATGAATCCAAGCCAAGGAAGCCGCAGGCCTTCGTTGTGCCTTCTATTTCGCAGTCGATGCGCATTCTCTTCCACTCGTGCAATGGCTTCAGTGTTGGTACCGACGTGGAAGCATGGTCCGGACCTGCACTCTGGAACGATGTGCTGCGCATGCATGCCCAGAAGCCATTCCACGTTATGTTGGGTGGAGGAGATCAAATCTACAACGATGGGGTGCGCGTAGACGGTCCTTTGAAGCCTTGGACTGCCATTGCGAACCCGCACAAGAGACGCGAATTTCCCTTTGATGAAAAGATGCGCGCCGATTGCGATGAATACTACTTCAAAAACTATGTACGATGGTATGGGCAGGCACCGTTCTCCACTGCCAATGGCCAGATTGCGCAGGTCAACATATGGGATGACCATGACATTATCGATGGCTTCGGCTCGTACACAGATCGATTCATGCGCTGCGCCGTTTTCAGAGGAATTGGTGGTATAGCGCATAAGTACTATCTGCTATTCCAGCACCACATGGCACCGCCGAAGAGCACTTTCACCACGGATGCGCCGCAGACGACTACTGTCGGACGAGAAGGCACTGATATCGACCCTGAACAGCTCAAGAAGACGTTCGTGATGACGAACGACATCCAAGACCCGTCCTTCATTGTAGGCCAGAAGCCAGGTCCGTATGTCGAGGAACGCAGCCGCAGCATCTACGCACAGCTTGGAGCTCGCATAGCGTTTTGTGGTATTGATGCGCGTACCGAACGTACTCGGCATCAAATCAACTACCCAGAAACTTATAGCATGATCTTCGACCGACTGAACAAAGAGTTTGCGGCGAATAAAGAATTGAAGCATCTGGTCCTGCTACTGGGAGTACCGATCGCGTACCCGCGTCTTCAGTGGCTCGAAAACATCCTCGCATCCCCTATCATTGGTCCAATCAAGTTTTTGAACAAGCGATTCGGCTTTGCAGGTGGACTTTTCAACCAGTTTGACGGCAGTGTCGATCTGCTGGACGATTTGGATGACCACTACACTGCTCACCAACACAAACATGAGCGCCGCGACCTCATGCACATGCTCCAAAAGTTCTCCAAGCAACACGCTGCCCGCGTTACCATTCTGGGTGGTGACGTCCACCTCGCAGCCGTCGGCCGCTTCTACTCCAACCCCAAGCTCGGGATTCCCGCGGAGCAGGACTTCCGCTACATGCCCAATGTCGTCTCCTCGGCCATCACCAACAAGCCTCCGCCCCAGGCCGTTGCGAACTTGCTCGCCAAGCGCAACAAGATCCACCACCTGGATCACGACACTGACGAGACGCTCCTGGAGATCTTCGACCGCGACCCGCGGCCCGCCGACCAGGCCAACGGCCTGTCAAATGGGCAAGCGAACGGGGCCACAGACAGCGACATCGAGGTTAAGAAGAAGACGGCGGACACCAACCATGCGACCATGCCGTCGCGGAACTATGCAATCATCTGCGAATCCAATCCCTCCGTCACGGCTACTTCTTCGGCCGCTGCGCCGCAGCCTGAGGCCGTGCCTACGCCTGCCTCTAATGGCAACGCGCCGCAGCAGACGTCTGCGCCGGTTGATCGCAAGGCTAACACCCGGAAGCCAATGCACGTCGGCGAGCAGGGAGCTGGTACGGAGCATCCTGCTGCGAACGGCCTTGCAGCCACGGGGCTGTGCGGGAGATACGGACTGGACGTCTCGCTGAGAGTGGAGATTAGTCCAAGCGATCCCGAGGGACGTACCGATGGCTATGGGTTCAGTATTCCCGCATTAGAGGTGGCCGTGTAGTAAATCATTGATGTCGACTGCTGGCTGACAGATCTGTCGGGAGTGTATTGGAGGAGAGGGCAAAGGGGGTGGAGGTAATGTTAAGAAGCGGAATCGTGCGTTTTGGTTATACCCTATATGTCTAGTTTGTCTGTGCGTACTGTGCGGTTGGTTTTTTATGTAGTGTAATTACAGGAAGACAAAAGTGTCTTTGAACTGTGTTTCATCGCATGTGAATGGGGTTGAATGTGTTGAGTGCATCGAAATGAATTGATGTCATTGAGGTTCTGGGGGTGTGTTATTGAATGGCAATGCACCGTGACGAATTCGAAACTTTATCGACGATTACCACGACTCTTGAAACCACTGAAATCCAAGCACAGGATAGACACAAAAACAGAGATCCTGGCCATGTCAAAGTCCAAAATGTTTGAAGGCACATATGGCGCCTGTGGCGGTTGTGTGTACCGGAAGAGCACTATACCATCAACGCGTCGCGGATCACGATGCCTCACGGTCCCAGATACAGTACATGTACTTCATAGTGAGAGATTAGAAATGATTTACAAAACCATTGATTGATCATTATCATGCCATCAAGAAACATCTCGGATAAGAGTCTTTCGCCAGGGTTAGCCATCCCATGCAAATGCAATATAATACAAGTGTAAATCACCCATCAATCGCTTTTCCTCTCAATCCTCATCAATCTATTTCTTCGAGTCCTCCTTCGCCTTCTTGGCCAGATCCTCCGCCTCGTTGCTCTTCTTTTTGAGGATATCCGAGATCTCGCTCACAGCATCCTTGATTATTTTCTGCGCCTCGTCGCCGTGCTTCTCAGCAACCTCCTGCAGCTGGCTCAACTTGGGAATGATTTGGTCACCCCCAGGAATCTTATTAAGGTACTGATCCAGACCACCGAAGCCTGACTCCTTGGCCTTGCTCGCCGCGCTCTTGACGTACGACTCAAGGTCGCCAGTATCACCAGACTCGACAGCCGACTTGATCTTGTTGTATAATTCCTGGACATTGCCCGACTTCAACGCATCGGCATTCTGCTCAACAAGCTCCTTGACCTTGGGGTTCTTATCCAGGTACGGCTTCGCCTGCTCCATGCCCTTGTTGTATGCCTCGTCACCGAGCTGCTTGAGCTTGTCGACCTTCTCCTGCACAATCTTCTGAATCTTAGACACATTTTCCGCGCTCAGTCCAGTCTTCACAACGTCGCTAATCTGCTGCCACGTCCTGTCGACCTCCTTCTTAGCCTCAGGCCCATACTGGTCACCATACTCCTTCAGCTTGTCGATGTTGCCGCCAACCTTATCCTTGAGCTGAGGGTGGTTGTCTAGGATCTGCTGCGCCGAGTCGCCTGCGAGGTCGCCGATACGCCCGAGATGCTTGACGATGATGTCCCAGGCGCGCTTAGCCGTCAGGATCGAGATATCGCCGTTCTTGGCGACGCTTTGAAGCTCGGAATAGGCCTCGCGCACGATGTTGTCGACCTCGTCACCGTGCTTAGATCGGATGTCGTCGAGGTCCTTGAATGCAGCATCGATGTAGCCGCTTGCGCCGGGGATCAGGACGGCGTAGCTTTTAGCGGCATCGCGAAGCCAATTGAGTGCCTCGTTGGGCTCGGGGGTTGACTCTTTCAGCTTCTTGGTGCCGGCGGAAACGTAGTCTTTGGTTGTCTTTGTTGCGGCAAGCAGCTCCTTCGCCCCCGACTGGCGATACCAGACGTAGCCGATAGTAAGAGTAGCGAGGGATCCCGTGACGGCGCCAATTAATGCAGGCGAGGTACCTTGCGGGGCGCTCTGGCCTGCTGATGTGGACTGGAAGCGGGCATTCTGTACTCGGATGCGAGCAACGGGTGTGCGAGGGATGGGTCGGCGAGCTGCACGGCTCAAAGCACCGGCTTCTGAAGCTACGCGTTTTGAGATCATCGTAGAGGTAGTCGCAATACAAGACGTAGAGTAATTAAAGGTGATGAAATCGGGAAGTTGAGAGATAATGGAGTTGATCAATTGATGGGATTGGAGGTGTAGAGCAGAGGAAGCTGCCAGCCGAATGCTTTAATGGACTGTTCCGGCCTCGTCTTTTCCAAGCTCTCTTCGCGAACAATGACGTACCTATTACGGACAGCTTCGTGTGGGGAAGCAAAAGCCTCAGGCTAAACCGCGTTCGGCGATCGGTATGCAAGGTACCATATTGACAGCAGGCGATTGGACAGAATTTAAGCTGAACTGTTGATGGCCCGGATCTATGGAAATCATTGCAAGCTTCAAGCCCCATGACGTAGTTCGCACGTTGCAATGAAGCCATATGCATGCCAGGTTGCGAAGCTACGGATAGCCACGGCGAACTTACGTTGTCGCTGACACGCTTGTGACCTGCGCTCACACTGCGATGCGCCTGTTCACTACATTCCTCCTCACATAATATAATGCCAACCCAATAGCCCAAATGCCGAGTAGGATGCTAGCTTGTACCGGCGCAAACACAGCTCCGCGCACTACCACAAAGCCGCTAATGACTGCGAAGAGAATCGGTATCAAGATGAACGGCTTCACTGGGCGCTCCAACTCGGGCTCCTTGAAGCGCAATATGATCGCGCCCAGCACCGTGAGGAAGAAGAAAGCGTATTCGGCCAGTCCATTTAAGGTTAGGAGGATACGCATGTTGCCCAGAAGGATGTAGATAGCCGAGAGTCCGGTGTTGAGAATCAGCGAATTGATGGGGGACTCGCCTTTGTCCATGGCTTCACCAGTATGATCGCCTTCCGTACTGGATTTGGAGACTCTGAATGTTCCGATATGACCCACGGTGCCCAGAAGTTGAGGAATCCAGCCCTTGTTGGATGCTGCGACCGTCATGCGGCCGGCTACAAAGGAGTTGCCCAGTGCTGACCCGGCAATGACGAGGCAGATGAGGGCCGTTGCAAAATAGGCCACGCCTTTACCGAGGAAATGCGTCACGGCGGTCTTTAGGTGATTAGCACGATGAGCCTAGAAGACAGGACATTTCGACTCACCACAGCAGCAGCATCCGTCGTAGAGACCACTCTCCAGGGTAGCAGAACGTAGTAAACTGCATTCGCGGCGACATAGCAGACGATGATAGTTGGAATAGCAGTATTGATAGACAGTGGAAGCTGCTTTCGCGGGTTTCGAAGCTCAGCGGCGACATAGTTTGCCTGGGAAGCCACATTAGCGAGATACCCGGCAGCATCAAATGTGAACCTACTTTATCCCATCCCGAGTACGCCCATAGAGCACCATACAGCGCTGTGCTGTAGAATCCAAGACTCTGCCATGCACTCACACCCTTCCAGTCCAACGGACTTCCGTCAGGATTGACCGTGCCTAGACGCGCAGATACGAAGTCAGCTAAGTCATAAAAGTGGAGATGGTACGAAGTGTTCATGTCTAAGACAGACCGACTTCGTACCCGGGCATTGCGTACTCCTCGACTCGAACCAACTCTTCTCATGCCAGTCCCCACCCCCAAGGTCGTTGTGGCCAACTACGAACATGAAGACAGCCGTCAAACCCGCAACGATAAGTAAGAAAATCGTGAGAAGCTTGATAGCCACGAAGAAGCTACTCAACCGCGTGCTTGTCTTAGTACTAATCGAATTCGCCGTACTGACCACCACCAGAACCAACAACGACAATAGCTTATGCGTAATCGGCGGTTGGGGTTCATTGACGCCAAAGCTGGAGTAAATGCTCTCCACGAAGACGATGCTAAGGATGGCAAGCGTAGCAGGCATCGTTGCGACAATCCAACTCCAAGCTGCCATGTAGCCGAAGACCTCACCATAAATGTATGAGAGGTATGGCTGGATGCCGCCTTCGCCAGGAAACGCCGTGCCAAGCTCGGCCATGGTGAGTGCACCGGTCCATGCTAAGACGCCGCCTAGAAGCCAGATCAAAAGGGCAGCGCCTGGAGAAGGTACATTCGCATCAACAGGGCCGGGAGAAGAGAAAACGCCTGAGCCGATCACGATGCTGATAAGGAGCGCGAAGCCGTCAAGGGCGCCTAAACGGCGGGCGAAGGTACCTCTTGGTTGTGGGGCTTCACCCTCGGGAGGAATAATTGATGAATCTTCTTCCTGTAGAAGAGGCGTCTGTTCTGTTGACGCCATTTGGAGCTGTGATGGTGGTAATGGGGTTGGAAGAGTCACTTGATTGCGTGCTTAGACGAGGTTAAATGCGATCGGAGATGGTTCGGATCTCGGTGGGCCCGCCATTTCTACCCACCTTCGAGCGAAGTACCCGCCAATATCCTCTACCTTACTGAACACATTCCATAATATATTTCTAAGGCTTCCAGTAAGTGGATGATATATTCGCGGCCATTGTGCTTATTGGTTTAGTTTACCTAGTTCGCATGAAGATGTGATCGCGCCAACCGTCTTAGAGGCAATGGCTTAGCAAGAAAGATTCTGACAGCCGTTGGGGCGTAGTATAAGTCGGAGAGCATGATCTGATCTCAGCCCTCTTCGGCGTCGCTGTCACCTTGGCAGCTGGTAGAAGTAGCCCAGGACAAAACTTCGTCAAGCGTGGAGCGTTACAATGCGGCTGAGGCTCGCATCCCCGACCTGCACCGCCATGACTCGGACCGGAATCAAGCCGTTGAAGGAATGCATGGCCGAACATAGCAGAACAAATTGCTACAGGTGGATTGACACGCACGCAGGTCCCGGTGCGATGCAGTCGACGACGTTCAGCTTCATGAACACTCAGCCAGCCTCACGTGCATAACGCCTCAATTCAGCTGAGCTGTTCGGCGAGTTTGATACTCAGCGACCGACTTCTTGGACGCTGAGATGTATAAAGCGATCAAGCGACCCCAGATTTATCATATCCGTCCACTAAGCAATCCCAAAATCTAGTGCAACATCTATTCCTCATACGACTCTAATTATCCACCATAGCATCGTCATTACTCCATCAGCATCATGCACTTCCTCAAACTCAGTCAAGTCCTTCTTGCCTTTTCTTCTCTCCCACTTGGCCTCTGCCTCACTAAACGCACTGCGCAAGTCAAGATTCGCAATGATACACCCGACCCCATCACCGCCGCCGCCATCTCGCACAAGTATAGCGACGTCTACAAAAACCAGCTAGACTTTGACACTATCGCATCAGGCAAGACATCCGCCGACGCTCTGACCGTTGAATACAACACTGGCGCATTCACCACCGGCCGCGACTGGTGGCTGATCACCTACCACCGCGAGCGCGCTGACGCTGAGCGCAAAAACGAACTCAAAATGTGGTACTCGGACCCCTCGAACTTCCGCAGCATTATCGACACGCTAGAAAAAGCTGCACCGGCGATCATCAAGACTGCGATCAATGTGGCCAAGGGATCGAATCCGGCGTACCTTCCTGCGGCAAAAGCGGCGCAAATTGTGGCGAAGCAGATGAACAAGCTCTTGTTCAATAGTGAGTCTACGGCGGGCTTCAAGCAGCATATTCTGCGGAGCGAGGATGAAAGAAAGGTGACGATAATCACGATTCATGGAGATAACACGATTTCGTTTCAGTCGGAGTCGGGGAATTCAAAAACAGTCACTTCGACTAAGTGGATTGCTGCTGAGCATGCTTGAGTGTAGCAGATGAGTGGAGGTCAGCCCCTACGTGTGCGCTAGACGTAGATTGGAAACGAGAATTAAGACACTGTAGACATTTGTGAACATGTTCAATGGTCGATGGTGTTTCGAATGATAGACGAACAAGATGGCTCAGGACTTGACAGAGCAACAGATTGACGAATTTATTCCGATAGAATGTATAGGCCGTTGTAATACTTGTGTGGGTTGTAGCACCCTGTGTTTGTAGAAGACCAGACGATAAAAGCCCCAGATGACGATAAATTACGATCGATGTATCAACCAGTTGCCGATATGGTAAGTTGACCCCGAGGCCTCTGTCGGAATACTAGTCAATCCATAAAGACTAGCGTATGCTCCTGATCAGTACCCTGGCTCTCCTTGCTTCTTTACTCTTTATTCTCCTCAACTACTCCCATAAACGAATTTTCATCAACCTCTTCCACCAACTGCTCGCCTACCACACTTCAAGTGTCTCGCGAGATTCAACCACCTTGTCCTTGCCGGCATCGGCTGCTTGTGGTCTCTCAAGCCTGTGGATATCCTGTATGCAGACTCGAATAAGACGTGGCGGATATAAGGTTTTGAAGCAAAACACCAAGCCGTGATGAGGCTGTTCTGAATCATCCGTATGATATGGAACATGGGCGTTGATATAAGCGGTGCAATAGAGCCGTTAGAAGAGATGTAAGAGTGTGAACTTAATAATTCATTTTCTTGGGTGGGGACGGTAGATTCCAAAAAAAAGGTTACTAGTGAGAGCTTGTCAGCACATCTTGCAGGTAAGAACTGCTCAGAAAACACAGTTCCGACAACCAATTGTGTAGAGTGTCGCAAGCACGCAAAGCCCATCTGTTTTTCTATGATCAGCTGATACGGATGAGCAAACGAAGGCATCCTCGTCACGCCTTCTGGCAGTTAGTTCAAAAGAGAGCGCGGACTGTAAATAATAAGTGATTGCATGCGCGAACTACTACCGGTCTTAGACCTGTACCCTAGCCTCCATTCCCCAACTTCTCTTGCTCCACTGGTGCTCGCTCTTCAAGTTGCCCACCCTCTTCTTCTCCTCAAATACCTTCTTGCTCAGCTGTCTGTACAAGAACTTCCCATTGTTATGATAGTTGATGCTGTGGTCGCTATCCGTGAACCACGTGTTTTGCATCTTTTCAGGTGTGACTTGGTCACCCATCAAGAGATCCGTCAGTGCTGCAGAGTTCTGGAAGTGCACGTTATCATCACCGGTACCATGCTGGATGAGGAAACCACCAGCGATTTTCTTGAAGCCAGTAGAGTCGTGTACGCGTGACTTATTGTAGCCCTCGGCATTGAGGGCTGGTGTTTTCATGTAGCGCTCTGTGTAGATGGACTAGTGGTGACGATTAGCAAAGAAACTTATCGTATGCTTTCAAAACACTCACATCATAGAAGCGCCAGTCTGAGACTGGTGCTGTGATCATGGCAAACGAAATGATAGGATCGCCGACTTCGACGACCTTGGAAGAAAGGTATCCACCATACGACCATCCCCAGATACCAATGTGGTCGCTGTCGACAAAGTCGTAGTTCTCTGACAACCACTTCGCAGCCCATACCTGGTCCTGCGCTTCCAGATCACCTAGGTTGGAGGTCACGGAAGCGCGAAATTCACGTCCCTTGTACCCAGTTCCGCGGTTGTCGACTGTGAATGTGATGTACTCCAGCTCGGGGTCAGAGGCCACATACGCTTTCCAGTTGAGCGCGATAAAATCCTTGTGAACTTCCTGCGCATTTGGGCCACCATAGGGAATGAGAAGCGCAGGGTACTTCTTGCTAGGGTCGAAGTTGGGGGGCAAACGTAGCATCGCGTTCAGCGTGACTCCAGAGGGGTGCGGAAGCTCCAGATAAGTGATATTGGGCAGCGCATACGACTGTAGAGTGGCGTAAAGCTCCTTATTGTCGACAATAGTGCGAAGAGGTTTAGTTGAGTTCAACGAATACAGCTCCTGGTAGGGCACGTCTGGACCAGAGTATCGGAGTACATAATATGAGCCGCCGGAAGAGAAAGAGGCTGTCCAGAATGCGACTTCCGTGTCATCAACCAGCGCTGTCTTCTTCCCCGTTACGTAATTGACCGAGTAGAGATGACTTTCGGTGCTGTGGTGCTCAGTCGACGTAAAGTAGATCACATTGCGCTTCGAATCGATTTTGAGAATGCTGCGTACTTCCCAATCTCCGGAAGTGAGCGCAATCTTCTCACCACCGCCGATAGGGAACAGATACAGATGGTTCCAATTCGTCTCATCGGACAAGTCGATATAGTACTCCGCTGAGGTGTTCCCGTACGTTGCGTTGGAGCTAGAGAGCGGACCAACGTAGGAAATTGCTAGGTAGTTCTCCAGCCAACCGTCGGATCCATCGCGTTCACGAACCAGTTTTGACGAGTACGAAGGCACATCAACGACCACTAGCTTTTCCTGGTCTTGCACTCGGTTATAGGCACGGTATAGCACCTTGCCGTGATCTTCCGTTAACCAAGCTACTTCTCCGAGCACTAGATCGTCTTCCGGCCATACGTCGATAGCCACGTTCGTTACTTTGAGTGCCGCTACATCGAGAACATTGAAGCCTACAGTCGGGTTTTTGGCACCAACTTTGGGATATCGCAGCTCCAATTCGCGAGGATACGACGGCGCAACTGCTTCACTATCCATGTAATATGGGACGCGGAACGTTTCCACACCTGTTTCATTGAACGTCAAGAAAGCGATGTACTTCCCATCTGGTGACCACCAAAGAGAGTAGCGATCGCCAAAGACTTCCTCCTCGTATACCCAGTCAGGCACAGCATTGAACCAATCCGGGCCGCCATCCTCAGTAATACGGGAAATTGTACCGTTTTCCCAGATATAGAGGTCGTTTCCTTGAACAAACGCGATTTGGGAAGAAGACGCGGGATTGAACTCCGCATATTGAATGTCTCCACTGGAGCCAGGAACAAGCGACTGCACCTCTCCGGATTCCACATCTTGGACCAAGTAGTCGGCAAAGTAGGAATGACGATATTGCTTAGTATAGTTGACAGACCAAAGCACATGACTTGCATCGGGCGAAATTGAGTAGTCCCAGTAGTCGGCGGGGACTTTATCTGCGGAGAGGAAGGTCGTCGATTCTCCAGTAGCAATGTTCTCGAAGATAAAGGAGCCATCATCGCCGGTATAGATATAGTCGCCATCTTCGCCGGTGCTGATCCATGCGAGAGATCTGGTCTGAGCTGTCAGAGGTCCGGGGTTTAGCGTCGTGATGTTGAAAGACAAGCGATTCGTGCCATTACCGAGAGGCTGATGTGGCACACGCGGAGGCTCGATTGCCTGAATGAGCGGGAACACCGCTGCTAAAAGGATGGTTGACCTCATGGCGATTAAGAATTACGCGTTACGTCGAAGAACTCCTCACACAGTAGTCGCCTTTTCCGGGATGCTACAATAACGCCACCGCCGTGTAGCCGACAAGCTTGTCACCCTGCAAACGAATGCCTGGCGAGGAGAGGAGAGAACGCGATGAAAGAGCGATCCGACAGATGGTGGATGGCTGGCATCATACGATGAGAACATCACCGTTTTAAATGTCCCTCACGATGCTGTTTGATTGCGATTCGCACCTGCATATGAACTGCCCAATCGGGCAGGAGGTTAAGGTTGTCCAAGAGAGCGGCATCCTCGCCAAGAGGCCCTTGAGAGTCCATTAACCCGGTCAGGTTGCGCAATTGAGGAAGGCGAAGGCGCTGGTGGCAGGAATACGTGATGCAGGAACATTGTCCATCTCGGGACGGGATAGATTGCGATAACGTTGGCCAGTGTCGCGTCAACAGGCGGGAGGAGATGGTTACAAGAAATTGTGGGCCGACAGCAGCTTACTTCAGCTCCAGCACCCACATACACGTGATTTTCGATGGTCCGCGGACCGAGACTTTCCCATTCTTCGAGATTCTCAACATGTATGTTCCAGTTTCTGGATGTGCGATGGATACAAATGGGTTGACCAGGAGACGCTGACTAAATGTGAAAGTACCATAACGTCATACATTAAGACAGTTCTCAACTGCCTGCTAGTTGCCCTTCAAATGTACACCCATGACGGACGCCTACTACTCGCTCACATACGATGCCGCCAGAGGCTGTTGAACTCGGATCAAGATCATACGATAACCAGCCAGCCCATGGGCTAGCGCATGTCGATTTCGAGGCCGATTCCTGACATTTTGGACTATAGCGCGTAATATGTGGCAACTGCGTCTGAAAGAACAAGAGAATCAGAGCAAGCAGTATCAGATTGGACTGCCGCACACTTACTCTAATACAATATTTTCAGGCATAAGTATTACCCACTGAGGGTCACTGGTTGCATCTGGACGTCAAAAACGCGTTGGCACCCAGTTTCCGTTTGCGTCTTTGCACTATGCAGCGTTGAATGTACAGGGCTTGGGGACGCAGCTTTCTATAGACAAAAAAAGAGAAGTCTCCATAGCATACATAGCGTAAGGTCATATTCCCAGGCTACAGGGGAAGGTACTCCCTTGCTGCTCGGAATTGTAAGGCTTTGCACACCTATACAAGGTTTCGTACGGAACCTCCGCCAAGGTTTGTGTTCAATTCAGCTATGTAATGGCACATACAACGTCAATTCGAGGTAATATAGACTCGGCGCACTTGAGGCCTCAGATGGAAAAGACCATGGGCTAGCTTTATAGGATAGTCAACATAGTTTCTGATTAGTCCCGAAGTGATAGTAGAACGTAATCTGTCTTGCATAAGTAAGTGTCGTTATATCCATGCCCTATGCGACTTTGCTCTTCATCCCCACAACAAGAGTCAGTCCGTCTCTGAAGCATCTTCCTACTTTCCAGCCTAAAGCTCACGTAGAGTGATGCTGCATTTTCAGTTGCAGAACTCGCACCCGCCCCTGCTGTAAGAACTCTTTGCATGCGCCCTGTGCGTTTGTGGAGAAATCGAGGTCTACGGTGGCCTGCAAGAAGCCCTCGATTGACGATGAAAATGGAGTCTTTAGGTGTGTACCGTCTTTGGTAGTTGGCTGTAAGGCTGAGATGGGCCAGCGAGACAGCATCTGAACTATCGAATAGGATGTTCACGGGCGTAAGAACAAAGATCGAGGGAATCAGAAGGGCCTATGAGGACGTCCTGATTATATACATCTCGTAGCTGCGCGTGGTCTCCGAGAACATTCCAGTGAGTCTTTGCACGCTGTGGGTATAGACCGAGAGGAACAATGATTGCGAAACGAAGCGCAATGCCAGCCAGCGCCATCCATCCGTTATTGACCAGGTCCTCGACTCGTGAGCCAGCGCAACAACAACACCGGACTTCGATGCCAACGCACAGTAGCGACAGGGAATATGGACGGTGATGATGGAAGAACCCGACCAGCGACGCCAAGTCTCGTCGAAGCGGGTTAGCGGCCTGCCGTTGGCGGCGTCTCTCATGGCAACGGCGCTTGTTTATCGATGGCCCAACGCATCATGACGGCCCAATTCCAGAAGGCTCGCGCGGCCCACACATGAGGTCCAAAGTGCAGCTCTCCCCGCATATTCCAGTTAGCTGCATATACCTCGACCTCGCCTTGCCTCTTCCGCATTTCTACGCGTCTACGCGCCCGCTCTGCCCTTACCCGATCTCGCTGCCGTTCACCGCCTCCTCAATCGCAACCCACTCCTCACCTGCGCGCAGCCGCTGCACATTCCCCACCGTCGTCCCGTCTCAGCAGGCCTAAGATGGAGGCGTTGCTGTCCCTCGCCTTCGACAACATTGCGTCCAAGGAAGCGCAGAAGATACGGAAGGGGCTGCGGCAGATTGAGGGCATGCTGGCTCAGATCTGCCTGTCGAGCGGGAAGTCCACATCATCCAAACCAGGCCATCGACGGAACCAATCTGCGATAAACCTTGGCGAGCAACCGCAGCCAACACCAAAAAAGTTGGGACAATTGTCAGAAGACCCGGCATTTAGGGAGTTCTTCCGGTTACAGGAGGGCTTTGAGTGGAATGGTGAGCGTCACAAGCGCTTCGTATATACAGTAGCTGATACAGAAGCGTAGTTGCATTGCGCGTCGCAGACTGCCTCGAGCGACTGTTGGGCATGACAAGCAGTAAGGGTACTCCACTCCACCACATACAGTGTGACGACGCTGACAACTTGCGCTCAGACGGTCAAAATGATCTCTTGATCCTCTCTTCGCTCTCCAACCTGCAAGGGCTGCTCCTTCTGCATCCTCCGTCGCGCACCATCTTCGGTCGCGAAAACAAGATGAACCTGCTGCTGGACCTCCTGGACCCGTTCAATTGCCCGGCGATCCAATCCGCGGCCCTCCTTGTTCTCGTCACAGCATTGCTAGCTACGCCCCAGAACACACGAATCTTCGAGCAGATGGACGGTCTGCTTACAGTGACGACCCTGTTCAAGGATGAGGATACCACGCAGCAAGTCAAAGTCAAGCTGCTAGAGTTTCTCTACTTCTACCTCATGCCAGAAACTCCCGTTGAGCCCGCTAGCGCACCAAACACGCGAAGCCCAAGCAAGCTAGTCGGCGTTTTCGAGAGGCGGAGTAGTACAGTACAGGGCGACGAAGGCGGAGGCAACACGAAGAAGAGTATCCGTACGCAACAGGAAAAGCAGTACGAGCTGAGCAGGTACCTGAACAACGTCGAAGGACTCGTACAAGATCTGCAAGAGAGCGCGCCCTTCACAAGCGTGGCGGCCCGTTAAACGCCTACGAGACGAGAGCACACCCACATCTGTCATCACCATGACCATTCACTGCTAACCAACAAGGATCGTCAGCATTTCTTTTGTGTTTGATTATCTGTCTGTCCATACTGCATTTTCCGTATGTATTCGCCCGGGTTCGTCTCCACCTCTTCTTCTGTATCTGGCAGCACGGCGTTTGCGGATGGGTCCTGGAAAAGACGGGACAAGGGGAAATGTTGCAACCTCATGGCCGGGCCTTTTCTTCGATCTCGTTATCTTAGCATGTTCGCTCTCGAGCAGCTTCCTTCATGGCATAATGCATAGCGTGGGAGGTCGCGCGCTGTAATGGTAGTCTCCTTTTGGCGTTCTCATGTGAAGACAGGGATACCACACCACGGTTCTCAGGGACCTCTCTTGTATAATCACTTCTCGAATCACATAAACTTTTTTCTCTGGACAAGACTCTAGTGCACTGTGACGAAAGGCATGCGGAGCTCAGTTGGTGACATGTTCGTGCGGATGTGAGTAGATGATGTATCGCATCGGCTTTGCAGACGGCGAGATGTTTACAAGAGGCGGGCGCGTGTTGCGTCGGGTGGTTATATAATCCAATGAACGGATCCCGAGCATCATCGGCGTCCCCGTGCGACTGCTCTGTGACTTCGGAACCGAAGAGCTGCGAGCCCATTTGCGCCGTCACATTTTCACAAGCTGCAGCTTTTTACGGGCTCGGATCGCCGGCGCTGTGGCTTGCCGATGAGGCGACGCCCATGTTCGGCAGAGGCGGGACCTAGACCGCTCGTGGCAAGGTGTCGCAAGACCTCTCAGACGTCGTCCGCGTGCTCGTGCGACCGGGCCATTCACCATCCCAGTGTTCAAAACTCCTAGTCCGCCGACGCCCCGACTGTATTCGCCGCTGGCCGGGTGCCTCTGTCTGTCGTCGCTTGTACGTGGTTGTAAGCATCGTCTGCAGGCGATAGCCTAGGGCATGCCTTGGTACGCCCCTTTGGAATGGCTATGATGCGGTGAGAAGCTCCAGTTAAGGTTCATGAGTTGGCTATGACGCAGTGGGTGAAAGCGGACTGACCAATCTTTGCGTGTCCGGCCCAAGGCGCCGCTGCCCCAACCGTCGTTGCCCTAGTGCTCGCCTTTCCGTGTGTTCCGACATCGAGCTCCAAGATGCGAAGACCCGTTGTCAGCCATATATGCTAATTGCCTGCGTCTCCACCTCGTGCTCTTTTAGTCTTGTCTTTTTGCCGCATTCTTTTTCCTCTTACCATAACAACCTCCTGCGTGGCGGTCCCCAAGAGACGGCCCTAGAGACAACACCACTGCCTTGACACCGGCCAGGGTATAGCTACCCTTGTTTACCCCACACATCACACCCCTTGCAGCACCTGCCACCGCATACCCTGAGAACTTCTCAAGCTCGCGTGCCCTCTCTTTCCGACCGCTCACCGGCTTTTCACTTTCGCACATCTTCATCATGGGTGTCGGGGCCTTTATGGAGCCGCTGGTCGTCGTGACCTTGCTATTCGGCGGCACATGGGTCAACCGAAACACAAAGTACCGCATATTCGACCGTCGTAGAGACCACTCGAGCTCGCGATCAACGTCGCCCGACAGCTCTGTCGAATCTGGCCGCTCCAGTCCACGTTCCAGCGCATCGCTGCTTGATGGCTACCGAGCATCTTCGCCGTCGTTGCTCACCGGTCAAGTACCACACTGGAGGAAACGCGAGATACGGCTGCTCGGTTTCCGGGCCGAAGTGGTGTCGCCAAATTCGCGGAGGTTTGAGGGGTACTTCTTGAGTCGGTTGCTCCAGAAGTTCCCATTCCTCGTCGAGGCGTGGTATTGGGCGTTGATCTACTGGGTAAGCCTGCCTTCCACGCCACCAACATCTGCATGCTTACTCTGTGCAGGTATACCAGCTTGGGCGTGCTTTTACCGCTCTTACTCTCGTAGAAGAGACTGTCGACGTAGCCCGCCAACATGCCCTTACCCTCATCCATGTTGAGCAGCGCCTCCATATTTTCCATGAACTCGATATCCAGCATTGGTTCCTGCAGCATCCCTTCCTCATGCACTGGACGAACCGCATCTACTCCTTCATCCACATCCCAGGCACCATCTTGTTCCTCGTCTGGCTCTTCTATTATACCACCACCCGCAATCGCCTCGACCTCCCACTCCCCAACAAGCCTCTTGGCGAAGCAGACGGCTCACCCGCCGGCCCTCGCCTCTACGCCGCCCGTCGCCGCACCATGGCCGTCTGCAACCTCCTCGCTTTCATCGTCTTCACCCTCTGGCCATGTATGCCGCCGCGCCTCCTCTCCGATCCCACCGTTTCCGGCTCTGTCGGCGAAGAAGCCCGCAGCTTCGGCTTCGTAGACACAGTACACGGTGCTGAGGGCGAAAGCAGCGTCTGGACGCAGAACAAATTTTGCAATCAGTATGCTGCTATGCCCTCGCTGCACTTTGGGTACTCCCTCCTCATCGGCCTGACCATCTGCTCTATCCCGCTTGCGCCGCAACACCGCCGCTCCCGCTCTTTTGCCATCCCACTACTTCGTTTGCGCCTTCGTATGCTGTCGCCGCGCCGCTTCGCGTGCCTTGTCATTGGTATCGCGTACCCGACTATCATCCTCATTGCCATCATCGCGACGGCGAACCACTTCATTCTGGACGCTGTGGCGGGCGCATGCGTCTGCGGTATAGCGTGGACTGGAAATCACGTACTCTTGAATCTGCTCCCCGTGGAGGACTACTTCCTGTGGTGTGTGCGGATCCATAAGCCCGAGCGGCGGACCGTGTTGCTTGATGGCGAGGAGGAGGAGGAGGAGACTTGGGGCCGCGAGACGGTAAGGGGAAAGGGAGCGCTGTTCAACTGATCCTTCTTATCCCTAAGGCTGACTCATTTCTTCTTCTTTTTGTGTAGATCTCCGTTTTCGTGCGAGAAGCGGGTGAAAGGATGTAATTGTTAAGAGGGTGCGGGAGGCTTTTTGTATATGAGCGGAACTGAAAAGCATCGCATCGTTGATGGTGGTGCATACGAGCTGGGCCGTTGATATGGGAAGCGCGCATACGATACGACTCGCACCTAATGCCTTTCTTCTTCTACGAGAGCTGGATACCCATTCCGGATGGTTGCGGTTTTAAACTGGCAGTCGAGTCAGTTCTCATTGTACATATGCATTCTTAGGGTTTCTACTTGGTATTAATGACGGATGGACTCTCTTACCTGCACTCATCCTCATGTGTACGTTCGTATGGTTTGCCGTGCACAGGTGGTGTACAAGATGGGAGAATGACAAAAGTGTGGAGGTGGAGATACGAAAAGCAGTCATGAAGGAATGAACGAGCGCGAGAGACGTCAACGACATCATTGGACGCTGCGCTACACAACTCGCAAAGAGGTGCCATGGTTGCAACCTGCTAGCCCGATCCAGGATGGTCGACGCGCGATATGCTACCTTGGGTACGCGGGTCTCGCAAGCGGGACCGTTTGGGGTAAACGTCGCTTAGTCTCGATGTACCGAATTTGCCGGCTGATTTCGTGAGAAGAGATGATGGTGATGGAAAAGCTTGGAGAACGGATGCGGATATAATAAGTCTGGGGAGAGTGGGCCCTTTACTAAGATCAACATTGATCAACACAGGAAGGATTGGGAGGATGGTGTCGCGCGAGAGGCTATGGACGGGCAGACTCCGCATTTTTGACTGTGCGTTTCTGAACTGTACAAAAAAGACAAGGCCTGCTCATACATGCACCACAAACACTACAACGCTGTAAGGAAACAGGGTCCTGGGGTGGTCGCATGAGCACATGGTTGCGAGATGCCACCTGCTCAGTAGCATGTGGATGACGTTTGCACTTTCGCACTTCTGAAGCCACACCTCGTCAAGCCCGCGACAATAGCATACTCAATCCAAAGTCTATGCACTATGTTTTCAGAGCCTTACAACGCGTGGTCAACCGTGGAAGGAACACGTGTTCCCCTTATGAAGGGCAAAACAACTACCACTCTCTTATCATCACTCTCCATACGAAGCTACCTGACAGCGCTTTACTTATCTAGCTGGGTGGCTCAGCTGGATGACCGCCCGGAAGCTCAGTCAACCCTGAATTTCTATTAGTGCTTGAGACTCTCCGGCAGGACATTAATACTCACAACTATCGTCACCGATATTCTCATCAACGGTCTTCTTCAGGCCGGCGCATTTGTTCATGTCGGCCATGGATTGCTGTTTCCCTCCGCAGCTTGTTGCATAGCAGCTAGTGTCCTACAATGTAGTCAGCCAACCAAGATCAGATGTTTCTGCCTCTCAGAGATATCGTACTAAGATATTCTGTAGTGATTCATCCTTCCAGCCGAAGACATCTGCTTAGTGTGAGCTTACATTCACACGAAGTGAATGATCACTAACAGTCGGCATGATTCGCGTAGCCGGTTGGATCTCCGAAAGACCACACGAATGGCTGTGAGCCGTCTTCAGGCCAATCGGCGGGATCGTTGAACTTTGACGTGTCCCAAATGACTTCGAACCTGTTCTTTTTGTAAGCTATTGGACCGCAAGAAACATAAGGATACAGTTTCGTACATCACTTGCGAGACACGGACGGGGTGTGTGGCAGGGCATGGGCCGGCCGACTCGAACGTCCCGCTCTCGGGGTAGCTGAGATCGTTTAGCAACCTGACTTGCTTAGATGGGAGATACCTGCCTCATGTGTGCCATGTGATCGGGAGAGTCCAAGTTTGCACCATCCCAACATGTTGGAAATCTGACCGAAGTCATGATGCCGTAGCTGCAGGCCTTCTGTGGGAAGTGTACAACTTCGTGCTCACGAGAGCCGGCATCTGTCATGCAGGTGTATGTGAGTTGTCGGAAGCGAGCAGCATCTTCCTTGGTCCTTGCGTTGATGTCGCCGACGAACATTCGGAAGCCCTATTGAGAAGGTCAGCAAACCACTATCCTCTCCGTCCACGCTTCCGTTTGCATATACTGCTCACTGTTTGAATGGACTTACTGGTTTGAAGGCTGTGACCTTCGACTTTGGCTGAGAGTTATAAAGCGGATCGGTCATGTAGTAGACTGTCATCCCACCCCCTGTTGCGCCCTCGAAACCCGCATTGCTGTGTTGAGGTACCCGCTTGTAGGTGCCATTGCGGGCTCGGAAATACAGTATAGCGGTCCAGTAGTTGCTAAAGCCTGTCAGTGGGCCTCGACAACGGTCTTCAAAGTAGTGACGGGTACCTGAAGTCTTCAGAGAACTGGCAGGTCGTACATGTGCTTTCTCCAGGCATGTCCTTGGAGGGCGCCATGGTCGCGTTGAAAGAGTTGCCTCCAACAATTTGATGCACGTGAGGTGATGGGACTTGTCCTGGTGTCACCAGAGGATCAAGGCGCTCGACGACAAGCTGGGAGCATTGGAACCGAATCAAGGCGGAGATCGGGCTCGCCAACGCCAGAACAGCAACAGGAGATGTGGTCCAACGCATCGCAAAGGCGCTTGAAGCTCTTCAGGGGCGTCGAAAAGCTTTGACGGTGATATCTTCGTGTGAAGTAGCTATGTAAAGATAGTTGAGCGATCAAAGATCATGGATGTTCGAGCCCTGAAGAGCTGAGCAAAGTGTCTTCGGCAGTACTTTTGGCGGTACAAGTGCAGAACGTCCGAACTGTGATAAGACCAAGCAACTGCATATTGGGCTTCCTTCACAGTGGATGACGGAAGAAAGGAACTCGCAGCTCGATATGGCGAATTAAAGTATCTCACCAAGCGTTGTACCGGGCGCATCGCCACCTACCCTTGACGATTCCTTGATTATTTGCAGGACCAATGTCGAATTAGCGCTCTCTGACTCAATATACCTCCATCTAGTTGTATTGCTGAGCACTCCGTAGGCTGCGCTGGGGCTTCGAGCACAGCTGTCTGGGTGCTCCCCACCTTGGCGCTCCACATGAAATGTGGCGGCTCAATAGTCCCGGTAATGAGCTTCCCGCCACACGTGCTGGGTGTGTGGGATAATGAGACGACACACGGCTATTTTCATATCGAAGATGGATGTGCAGGTGGTAGACTGAGCACAGTGCAAGCAAACCTGGGAAGGTGCCTGCAGCCGTGCGCTCCTTACGCCTGTGGACCAAATATTAACATCCATCCACAGCCTCTGCGTCCGAACAAGAAATCATTTGAATCACTCACGATGCACCAACGCAAAATCATCTTCGCAATATACGCGTCCGTCGCGGGCGTCTACGCTCTTCCCGCCTCTTCACAAGCCACGAACCCTTGCCCTACGGATACCGAATACGCGTGCTTCGACGTCATTAACTCATCGCTCTGTTTGTCGCAAAATGCATCGCGCAACGGGACGGCCGCGGAGATGGCAGCATGTGTCGACTATCCAGGAGGCATGAGCAATCTGCCGGGTGCTTCGAAGGTTCGTAGATTGGAAGACACCACAGGGTTGGACGAGCTGACCATCACAACAGTTGTGTCGTTGCCCTGGCTGCCACTCGGAATACATAAACGAAGCCATTTCAAGATTGTTCCCTCCGCCTTGTTTATAGATGTATCATGAGGTGACGGAGACGAAGATGGGGAATGAGAGACGCTCGTCATTAGTGGGAGCCGAGGTTTCTTATTCAGCGGATGCTTCAGCATCTCCGTCCAGGGATTCGTGCTCATCAGAGGTAATATTATCGCAATTGTTATCATTATCAGGCAACGTTATTACCACTGGAGTCGTACTCTAAATATAACTCAGGCGAATCATATTCAACTAGCTTATTATATGTCCGCTTCCACACAGTGGGTCTGGGGCTTGGGCGTTTAGGACTGTCTTAAGATAGAAGGCAGGGAGGCTTACCGTACGTATGTGAGGCGGAAGAAGGGCGGCTTAGGGACGGCACGCACTGGGTGCAGAGACGCGCCTTCCGACAGAAGGACACGCCTACCCCTAGGCTTCCACACTGACCTAATAACGCCCCAGCAAGCCCATCCTAAGCCTGTGGTGTAGTAGACAGAGCCCACATGGCCATATAGTGGAGCAGTACATCGTTTGAATTGCTTGAGACGACAAAGCGATACGAAGTGCTGTATAATTAGGTCAAAGGAGGACATAAGCTTTGAATTACGAATAGCTATAATACGTAATGCACTTGGTAGCTTCAAAGTGCATACGCATGGTGCCATGAAATCCTTTATCCAATGAATGTCCAGGGTCTGTTATCTGGCCGTTTGTGGTGACGCTATCCGTAGTCCATATCGGGTCAGCGTGCAACCACACTGCTATTACCATGACGGTAGCAGGTGCCGTGAGATCCTGACTTACGTGAGTGAAAGTACTGGCCTTAAGCGGAACTCAAGCTGGTAAGTTCCATAAACAGGTGTTTGAACTCTTTGCACCGTAGAGATACAAACACTGGCGAGGACTTATGGGAATCACGTATTGATCAAGTAACCTTGGAGCAGTATCAACAATTCATTGGATACAACGATATCCAACCACCGCATCCATCAACCACCCCAGCCAGCACGCCATGCCCCGCAACCCATCTCTCTCATCAACCATCAACACCCAGCAGAGGCGCTAAGGTTAAGATATGAAGGTTAAAATATAAAGGTTGAGACATAAAGGTTAAGATAGTAAGGCCCCACTCATCGAGTTGGCGATCTTCAACAGCACAGTATTCAGCGCAACAGCTTCCAGCAAGACAGCAATCCGGCGTCTTCCGCTGCCCCAGACTATAACAGTACTACGTCTTTGCGAGATCTCAAGTCGAATAGCGGAGGTAGTTCCCCTTAAGAAGAGACGATAGATATAGAGACTTTATTCTATCAAGCTAAACCTAGAGAGCTAGGTCTAGTCTTAGTAAGGCTAGTTGACTAGGATAGGGTACACGTGCGTAGGAAGATATAGTTTCTAGTATCCTTATAGCTAAAAGTGTAGCTGCAATTAGGAAAAAGTTACGTTAAGTTAGGAAGATGCTAGTAAAGACTAAAACTCCAGCGAAACTGCCCCAAACCATGAATGATGGAGGGAAACGTGCGTCGAAGAAGACACGCTATAACGTGGAGCTGCATTTTGCAGGCGCACTAACAGCAATGAGGGCCAGCGCGTCCTGGACTGGATCAAGGGGCTACCAGTGATCGGGGCGTGCTTCGCTACGCTTAGACGGACGATTCGGCGTTGCTGGATTTCTGCGTTTGGGGCTCTCGCACCATGCTCATATTTGAGGAATTGAGCCTTTGGTCTCTTCATCCGGAAGTGCGGTTCTACGACATGACCCTGCATCAAGCATGATTGGCTCAATCAAAAGCCAGTCAAAAACGTCACGGGTTCTCCTTGTTCGATGGAGCTTTGTCAAATTCACACAAAGTCTGGGCATGCGTCAGCGCGGTCGCAAGAAAGACAGAATAGGAATAATTACCATTCGTGGGAAAAAGACCAACCTGCCCGGTGAGGCAGGCTGGTGAGCTCAAATCATCTTTTAGATGCCATAACTCGTTATGCAGCCAATCGCCCAATTCCCGTGACTTCCTCGCCCTGCGCACATCCTTACTGATCATGCTTCGGCGCTGTTCCGTTCGTCACATTTGCAGCCTTTCATGTCCTTCTCACATACTGTGCTCAGTCCTCCATATCGTCGCCGTCCTTACCCGGACTTCTGCTCCTTCCTTTCCCGCGGGCGCTGCCTCTCCTATCGTCACGCCCTTGATCGCGTCCACGGCCCTTATTCGGAGGCGGTGGCCTAACGAAGGCGTAATCCACAACGACCTTCTGCTCGAGGAGCTCCAGACCATTGCCGTCTCTCACAGCGGCCTTCGCTTCGTCGAGGGTAGGGTATTCGATAAGAACGTATCCCTAGAGCTTTGTTACTATCTGGCCATTACCAAATTAACGCGCTTTGCGCACCTTGACGTAGCCCGTCCGCCTGTCCAGATTCAAGTGCAGATTCTTAATAGTGCCGTACTCGCCAAACATGTCTTGCAGGTCCTCCTCAGTGGCTTCCTCGTGCACATTGGTGACGATGATTATCCAGCCTTCGATGGAGCGGACGGCGGTTGCGCCTGCTGCAGTGCTGGCGTCGCTGGCTTTGGGGTCGGCGGAAGTGCGCTCGGGCTGGTCAATGTCCATCTCGGTGTCGGCCATGGTTGCGGTGTCGGCCATGGTTGCGGGGAGGGGCGGGAGTTGTGGTGCGCTGCGGCGTGGTGTAGAACGCTGGGGGTCGTCGTAGTCGCGCTCTGCTGGAGAAGCTCTCGCCTATTTCTCAATACGGCTAGCGTGGGTTAATCCCAGCAACGTGACCATGCCTCCATAGCTTAGCCGTAGCCTTTCCGTTGTAGATGTCCGGTGAATTCGTATCGATCTATTCGCTGTACTATGATTCATTGAACTTTCGAGTGATGTAGCCCCGAGAGTTCTGGAAGCGTATGAACATACTCCTTCCCCCTTACGGACCGTGGATGTGAACGAAGAATGACGCAGAATGACCTCGAGGATTATCAAATCCGAATCGTACACATGGATTTGTCCATGTTCCTCAAATAAACAAGACCTGAATACCATGTTCCTGACAGTTCCCGCTCTCGCGCAGCAAAGCTTCTCTAGCTCCGCTTAGCCCCGCCGACGTCACTTTGTTGGGACTTGACTGGACCACATCCCCCTTCGTCACTTCGCAATCATCGTCAATTTAACGGCACCACAAATGGTTCACGTTTTAAGCTTGACTCCCAAGCTTTCTCCATGTTTCTTTCTTTCCTTGACGGCATAGTCCACTACCAGGATCCCAGCTTGCCGCAACTTTCCAACCTTGCTTACTTGTACATTGCTTGTTTGCTGAGCACCTGCTTGATTGCGTATGACTTCGGAATCCGCAGAGATCACAGGGACCGCGAAGATGCCGGAATTTAAATCTGTAGGTTTTCCGATGTGGTTCGAGAATTTGACCTGACTTGGGGCAGATCGCGATGATTGGTTGTGGGAGTATGGGAGGCGGAATGGCGTTGTTATTTGCCGAGAATGGAGTAAATGTCTCTTTATCGGATCCTGCGGAAGTGATGATGGATTCGGTGATAGACAAGGCTGAGAAAGCGGGATATCACGAAAAGGTGAACAAGTACAAAGGTAGATCTTTTGTTCTTCAGTCCTTGATCCACGCTAACAAAATAGCAGACTACAAATCTCTGTGCAACTCACTTTCGCAGCCACGGCTGTTGGTCTTCTCCTTGCCTCATGGAAACGTTGGAGATAAGGTACTTGAAGGTCTGATGCCCAATTTGTCCAAGAACGACATCATCTTAGACTGCGGAAATGAGCATTTCGAGAACACCGAACGTCGACAAGATAAGTGCAAAGAGCCGGGAATCAGATATATCGGATGCGGGGTCAGTGGAGGCTACCAAGCCGCACGCGCGGGGCCGTCTATGTGCCCTGGTGGTGACAAATCCGCACTGAAGGAAGTGCTACCTCTGTTACAAAGAGTCGCCGCGAAAGACAAGAATGGAAAGCCGTGCGTTGGTATAGTTGGGTCTGGAGGCTGTGGTCACTATGTGAAGATGATCCACAACGGCATCGAACATGGTATGATGAGTGCTATTTCAGAAGCTTGGGGCATCATGCGCAAGATGGGCCTAGGCTATGAAGAGATTGGTGACATATTCGCGAAATGGAACGATTCGGGAGAACTTGTGAGTGACATCACAGTATCTATATCTAATTCTCAGATTAATCTATATATAGAAGGGAACATTTCTGGTTTCGATCGGTGCCGACCTGTCACACAAGCGGGAACCAGGCTCCAAAACGGACCAAAATCCAGACAACCACCCTCTTGTCATCTCCGAAGTACTCGACAAGGTAGTTCAAGACATCACCGGCGAGGAAGGCACTGGAATCTGGTCCAACACCGAAGCAATCGAGCAACACATCCCGGCCTTCACCCTCAATATCGCCCACGGCTTCCGCCTCGCATCCGCATACCGCGGAAGCCGCGAACAAGCGAACCAAAATTTCTCTGGAGGCTTCCCACCACAAAAGCTAGACATCAAAGACAGAGAGGCCGTCATCGAAGACCTAAGAAAAGCAACATATGCCGCATGTGTAGCGTCCTTCATCCAAGGCCTCAACACTATCGCGGCAGCTGACAAGGCTCACGAATGGGGCATCAACTACGCTGAAGTGTGGCAAATCTGGCGCGCAGGTTGCATTATTCAGGCGGACTACATATCCGACGAAATTCTGGCACCCGTCCTGAAAGCACCGAATGCAAACTTCTTGACTATCAATCTGCTCACTACCGACCGTGTCGCAAAGGATATCCGCAACTGTTACGATTCGCTCCGCCGCGTTGTTGCTAAGGTTGTGGAGACAGATCAAGTAGCTCCAGCACTCAGTGCTACGCTTGAGTATTTCAAGGTTGTCACTGGGACAGATCTGCCGACGTCGTTTTACGAAGCGGAGCTGGATTACTTTGGCTCGCACATGTTTGACAGAAAGGGCGATCAGGACGAGCAGGTCAAGAAGCCGATGGAAGGGAAGCACCACTTTGAGTGGAAGCCTGCGGTCAGCCAGAAGGAAGCGTACGGATACACCGGAACGAAGCCATAACGCATCGAAAGTCGGTAGCCGGGTACGTTTCCAGGCTGTGCTTTGCCACAGGCATATTCCATATGAGGATCCGGAGCCTACTCATGCACATCTAACGTAAATAGGATATGTAAGAATACATGAAAGGTTCAGTACAAGTCAGGTTGGATTTTTAGGTCTAGTATGTATGAAGCGATGTTACGATAGTGTACGACTCAGCAGTGTAGCGCACGGTTTCACGTCCAAGTGGAAGACCAGATTCTCATCAGAGTATGAAGCGAAATTCTCCGATGAATCATATTTCAACGTCGTACATACCCGTATGATCGTCCCGCTAAGCCAAAAATAGCGTCACTCCGGTCTATTGCTTTGCCTCTCTTTAGTCAATACCCTACAGGAGACAGGATCAGGTGGTCAGGCATGCCAATGCAGACAAGCACTGCCACGTGTGGCGTGTATTAGCTAGGCGACCGTCATGCTTCCGATTAAACGAGATGGTGGAGTATCGGATACCTGGTACGGGAACCAGTTTTGCGAAAATCGATGGGAACATCAGAGACCATCTGAGGGCACGCTAACACTGATGAGGAACAGGCCAGGCATGCACAGGTCCAATGAACTGCTTATTTGATACTGCGCACATGCCAACCCTGTTCTCTCGCTATTATTGCGACCGTTGGCGCTACCAGTGACGTAGCCTCGGGTGAGGCGGGCGGCGGCAGCGGAACATTTTCCACGGCTTCTCCACATCAACCCTGCATCGATCAGCATGCTTCAATACTGTAACCGGTGCCACGGCGGTCTGTGTGCTAGTGACATCTTCAGCCCCCTTTGTACTCATCAGCAGCTTCTTAGTATAACCCATACACTTACAACATAGGTTCTATAAAAGCAGATCATCGCCTACCTCCGTAATCACATTGCGGCCAAAGTAAAATCAAACCATATCAACTTCAATACCAATTTTCCAAACTCTCAAGTCTCACGAGATAATATCAAAATGCTTACCTTCACACTCGCCTCCGTCGTCGCCTCCGCCTCTTTGGCATCAGCCCGCCTCACCGGCCTCGCAGCCCCCGCTACCCTTGCGCCTTCCCAACCCTTTGCCCTCACCCTCCTCACGGAGAACTACATCCAAGCCGTCGCCGATGTCTCCATCGCATGGGGCTACTCTCTTGCACCAGGCTACCCTTTGACCCTGGGAAACCCCAACGACTCCGCCTACCTTGGCCCCAGCAAGTCAAACCAGGTCGAGAACGTAACGATCGAGACGACTGCGCCGAAGGAATTGGAGAATTGGAAGGGAGAGGAGGTTGTGCTGGCCGGGAGTCTGTTTAGCTTGTATGGCGCGAGCGGGACGCCCAGTGTGACGAACTTTAATGTCACTGTTACTGTTGGGGACGAAACCAGTGATGAGTTGGTGAGGAGCAATGGGTTCACGAGCGGCACTGCTTAGATGTCAATATGAATTGGAAGGGGGTGACACCAGAGTTGCGGCAGATATTAATGATGAAATATGATGTTCTATTCAAAAGATGGTGCTACGCTATGGTAGTGTGCAAGAAATCCACGGAGCGTGCTCTACAGTTCGGATTGGTAGCCGGGCTTCTCCCAGTCGTTCAGCCATTCAATGACGAACTGTCTCGCATTAGTATTGGGTGTCATATGGTGTAGTCAAGGAGGTCACTTACGTTCTTAAGATACTGCTGAGCATAGATGACTGGGTAAGGCGGTAGAATCGGAGTGGTCTCGTTGGGGAAGATGCCGTTCTCCTCCCAGTGGTGCACCCCGTGGGAAATGAGTAGCCACGGTTCCTCGATGGAATCCTTTCTGGCATCTGGGAACCACAGAGGAGTTGCAGGCCTCCACGGATCAGCGTTACCTCCGATGTGAGCCAAGCGAGGGTAGCTGATGTTGTAACCGCCGTACTTGTTTACCTTCTCAACATCCGGAGGTTCGGTGCGGTTGTAACCTGAGCGACAGAAGTAGGTCAGATATTCGAGATCCAAAGTCCGTGAGATCAGGGGTTGGATTTCTGAAGGGGTGTTTCCGGTTTGGATGTATCCCCATTCTGTGCAAACCTGGTACGACCAGCTCCTGTAAGCATTCGCCGCGTCGAGGTCCGTTGCCTGCCACTGAGTGTCGTTGAGGGTGGTGAAGTATTCATCCTGGGTCAAACCAGATGATTTTTGGCTGGTGAGCTTCCTGCCATACCAACCAATGGCGTTCAGTACTGTATCCACAGTCGCCGTGTCGTTTCCGTGGCCAGAAGCAGCGACTATGCTTGCAGCGGTGGATCTATTCGCTTCGAGATCAGGAAAGTTGAGCGATCCGGTGATGTTAGTACAGTAGTTGTAGAAACTCGGGCTATTGACCTCAGGGTCCCAGTTGGTGCTCTGCCAGCCATAGATATCCGTGAAAATATTGGCGAAGTCCTGGTCATTTGTGACACCTCCAAAACCAAATGCATCCTTGAGCTGCTTGGTCGCGGCGGTGTCGTTTTTCAGGAGGATACTATCCAATACGCTGATGAACGTCTGGGTTGCGTGAATACAATCAGGAGGAGCATATAGTCGAATCGGCTCAAAGTACTCCCAGTAATCATAGATGGCCTTGGTGACTCCAGACGAGGAAATAGTTCCCCAGAACGTTTCAGGGTACACGACGCGCAGGAAAGCGCTCTGGGCACCGGCGTAAGAGCCACCATAGACGATCCAGGGAGTGTTTGGTGCAGTCAGGTCCGCGTCGATGCCCTCAAATTCAACATTGCGAGCAAAATAGTCAACTTCGGCCAACGCTTGTTCAGTAGATAAGAAACGAAGGTTTTCGAGCGACACGTTCGGATACGGAAAGCTTTCTCCGTAGTAGCGATGTTCCAGAATCACACCAAGACCATTGGTGGCTTCGATGACCTGATGAACGATACCCTTCTGGAGGAATGGTAGGCGATCGTCTCCGTAGGTTTCTCCACCGAGTAGGACGAACACAGGACCACCTGGCTTGTAGTAGCTAGCATCGAACCAGTACCGCAGATTGAAGGTATCTGCGAATTCTGTTAGCGGACGAACAAAGAGCCTCGGATTACTTGGAGATGTTCCAATATTTCGTGCTAGCGGACAGGTCGGACTATGTGCTACTCACCATTCGTGTGCGGCTCGTACCGTGTGTCGTTGTGGAAGAAATCAATCGGTATACTCAGATTGTGCGGCGGATACAGAGCGGAGGGATCCACATCGCGCTTGGCCACGGAAGAATGACGCGATTTGCTTGCCTGAACCTTCAGAAGCTGTCAGCAATGGATGGTTGAGATAAGGCCATTTCCAAGGATACCTTCTGTTGAAGCTCGCCCGCGGTGGGAAGTCCGAGCTGCAGTGCAACAGCTTCCAGACCCAGCAGGGTACCCACGAGCAAAGAGTAGCGCATTGTTGCTGTAAACGACAGACACAGCGCACGAAGCCTCGCGAGGTAGGAGCACGCCACAATATATACTAGCAGCGCAGCTCCATGCCGGGATGAGTGATGCAAGCACACGGGCAGTTCTGTGGAAGATGGCTGATTGTGGCAGGTGGGTAAACAGGTACGCACAAGCACTGGGGCCTATCCTCGAAACAGCAGGAGCAGGGGTGATCGTCAAGCCGGTGGGCGCGGCGTCATAAAGGCCAAGCATCACTGATAGCATTGTAGAGAAAGTCTGCCTGTTACCGAGGCGTCATCGCTGCGCTGTTCCGGTCGTACTGCATCGATAGCAGCCATCTCTAGTCTCGAGAAACGGTGACGCAGGTCCCCATCCGATGATGAATGCCTCTCCGGCCTATCAGCGTTGAGACCTTCTTGGCGGATCCTGCCATTGCGCCTCCGGTCTGCACGCCCAACAACCGGGTCATCCTGCAAGACCACAGTCCTTGACATAGTCCACGTTACGATCATCTGTGTTCACCAGTGCTGTCGTGGTCTTTCAAGGTTCCCTATCTTCCACGTGGAGTTTAGGAAGCCACGGAAGGAAGCAGGCATCACTGCCTAGCGTGAAGGTAGAGGATCAGCCCAGGCGAGACGGTGGTAGAAGAAATAATTCCGGTCTTGGAAGACCCAAAAGATCTCGTGGTTCTCTAGACACCTGTAAGAGCAGAAGGAGGCGCATGCTGAGCTGAATGCCGAATGTTTCAAGGATGCCACCAGCACAGCAAACATAACCAATGAAGTTACATCCGCTGCCAACAGCGAATACTGGCGAGATCTGTACCATCAGCGTCTCCGCGCTATCGTTGAATAGGGTATCAAGGTCCCTTTGACCATGAAGATAGATTGGTCGACCTCGTCCCACCGCTATAAAAGCCGAAAAGCTCTTCGAAGCCGTTGCTTTCGGCACCGTTGCACCACACAGTGTGGAGCGTAACAAGGATGACATGTTGGATTCTTCTAAAGAATCCACCATGACATCCCAGGGTAGGCTGGCTGGACTCACTCCGTAATACGACGGCAGGATCTTGACACTTCGCGGGGTTATGGGGGCATCAGTCAATGTATCACTTATCTTGTGCAGCGGCGGAATTCCGGGAGTTCTATATTCTAAGAGTTCGTCGCATGCTTGCCACCGTTCGGAGAACATGGAGGTGATGATTGATGAGGAGGTCGGTGGTAGTACCTGCCAATGCAAACTTGCTCTTACCCTGTACCGCACCTGCTTCCTCATCGTGGATGCTGCTCCACTTTGCACCGCTGCGGATCTCCGTTCCTCATTCAAGGCCTCTCCCCTTGCATCGTCCGGCAAGTATAGCATATACCTACCCAACATAGTCAACAGCTTGCAGGTCTTTCACAATATCAACCTTGTGCATCGCGGCAACGGAGCCTTGCAAACGCAGTTAGACGCCATGAGCCTCGAGAAGATCAATACACTTCCTATACTAGATCCAGACAACCCAAAACCTCCTACTTTGGCAGAATTTTTCTCTGTTCGTAAACGGCTACGTCGGTCGCATTCTGTGAGTTCGGACGCCCCACGTCAGGAAGCGCGGTTCGAATAGGCGGAACAACATTGCACGAGCCCTTACTGAACTGTTGACGATTCCCGATCTCCGCTTTGCCTGTATTGAGACGCCATGTGGTACTCAGGAAATTGGCTTTACTGAGTACTAACTGAAGTGTTTGCTGCAGACCCCCACACCAAGACAGGTATTATGGCCAGAAATTCCAACGTCCTACGTTCCACTCGATGCGAGCGCTACCCTTTGGACCCAGGTCATCCGAAAGCTTGGGGTGCCCGAAGAAGTGACAAAGCAAGGCCTTCGATTCGAGGAGATTTACAGTATCAACGACAACCGGCGCGAACTTCGACAGGAATATGAGAACATACATGCCCTCGTACTAGCGCTACCGATGAAGGGGAGAAAACAGAAGAGCAAGCTTGACGATGCGACAGACGCGGACAGCACAGGCACTGCTAAGGACCAGAAGATCGCTGCAGACGTGTCAAAGGTACACCAACAGCGTACACAAATCCCAACCGGCGGTGTTGGAACTGGCCATCAGGCTCTTCGCAATGGCTCTACAGTTGGCGAAACCTCCGACGTACATTCAGCCGATTTTATACCAGACATATGTGACCGGTAAGTGAGCCTTAGTCTATGGGACAAGGTTACATATCGTTGCGCTAGGAATGTCTTTCATCCATGACATGAAGATCTTACCAATCTCGGCGTTTGATATAGCCAGCTTACAATGGGGCCTTGTTCGAGACAATGATTAGTTTATCGACTAACATCAAGGGCAGGCCAGGAGAGAATAGTGTTATATTTCTCGAGCAAACGATTGCAGGCGCATGCGGCTTGTACGCAATCTTCCATGCGCTCTTCAACGGACCTCCACGCTCTTTGCTTGGTCTGTAATGATTTAGCGAAAGCGCGATGCTCAATGAACGTTTTGATTGACGTGATATCGTAGGGTCCACCAGCTTTCTCACAGAGATACTGATACATGACATACTACGCAATGCCGGCAATCGAGCACTCGCGCTGGAACTCAACAAAATACTCGAGAACCTTTATACTGATGTTGCGATCCAAGGTGATTCAGCTCTCGCCCTCGATGAACCGGATACGCGTTACATATGCCTAGTTAAGTCACGCACCAACGGTAATCTGTACCACTTGAATGCGAAGCAAACTCGTCCTTGCAACCTGGGTCTGTCAACCGGAAACGTTCTCTCGGACAAATGCCTAGAACACGCCAATGATGTGATGGCATCGGCCTATACGAAGAACATCACAATCCTGGCGCTCATATCTGGCCAGGCGAGCTCTTCAAGACATGTGGTTCTGTGTTAAGGACAGCAAACTGATTGCAAATACTTACCAGCCTCGAATAAGCACGCCGTCCATGCCGAACGCTAGACTGCCGACGGAGGTGTCTATTACTCTGCAAAGATAATCGTTTTTCTATAAGATACTGTCGCCAGCAACACCGCGCAGGGTAGTTCAGATAGCAGACAGAATCCTCGAAAGGAAAATGCGCAGGTAACACGACCCTGGTACGGCAATACATGGACCGGAGGCCTATGCCATTGCTGCAGGAAGTTCAATTGCCGTTGGCTGACAAGCGCTGCAGCGAAATACGGATGTGCCGGCACGGTTGTACCTACTCATAAGTACCGCACAGGGTATGCAGGCGCGTTCTGCCAGTCTGCAAGAGTGGCGGGAGAGCCCACCAAGTGACAGCATCTACGCTGAGCAGGTTTCGGAAAGCTGCGCGAAAAGTGTGCGCACGCCATATTGCCTCAAGAGAAGCAAGTTAAGTACCAGACTAATTCAACGCTCACACTCTTGTTCACGATTGGTGATGGAGATATGAAAATGTAGGTGCACAAGGAGTCACACTCTTCGTGGAGAGTCTCGTGAAGAGCGAGGAAGTGTGAACTATGAAGGACCTCTGGTAGGGTTGCTCTTGCAACGACCTCTGATGAATCGGAGGGCACGGAGCTTGTGCAGCCGCAAACCTGCATCGAACGCAAGACGCGCTGCTACAGGATGCTCCCCGAAGGGACTTGTGGGAGGTGTCGTGAGACCAAGTGGCTGGTGTGCTTGTTGCGCGTATTACCATGTTACTGTAGCGTGACGAACGACAGCGTATCTCGGACCATTCCAGGACAAACAATACCAATGCCGATCGGAGACAAACTTTTCGATCTCGCGGGAGAGGCATGAAGTACGGTTGCGTCTCCACAGAGTAGTATCTTTCCCATACCTCTAGAAGACGATGTGGTCAGCGCGAAGGAGGATGGTACATGCTCAGGATGCAGCCCAATTGTCGCAGATTGCATGTGTGCATGATGATCTGAAAGGGGCAGAATCGCTGGTGAGTGAGGACGGACAAGTGTGAGAGCTGCGGAGTTTTCCAAAGCTCACGAGCGGCGCGCCAAGGCGCTAGGCCCCGAGCTCATTCCGCCTCCAAACGTTCGTCGACAAGCTCGAAGCCGACGTCGACCTTACAACGCGCGCAAGTACCCAAGTTACCTGTCTTACGCCGCTTCCACGAGCGCAAGTCAGACAATATGACAAAAAAGAGGAAGAGGTACCCAGATCTCAACCAAAAGCTCGAGCGACCATGGTGCTTCTACTGCGAGCGCGACTTCGACGATCTGAAGATTCTCATATCGCATCAGAAAGCGAAGCATTTCAAATGCGAGAAATGCGGTCGCCGTCTGAACACAGCTGGAGGTCAGCAAGCATTGCACTACGCTTCCTACCGCCATAATACAGACTGACGTGCGATAGGTCTTAATGTGCACATGACACAAGTCCACAAGGAGCAGCTGAACCAGGTTGAGAATGCGATTGCTGGCCGCGGCGGCCTCGATATCGAGATCTTTGGCATGGAGGGTGTCCCGCCTGAGATCATCGACCAGCACAACCAGCAGGTCACGCAGCAGCATTTCGCAGACGAGCGTGCGCGACAGCAGGCTACGGGTAATCCGACGCGGGGCTCTGGCATGAACGGCACGGCGAACAAGCGCGCGAAGAAGAATGAAACGCTCGAGGAGATTCAAGAACGCGCGGAGAAGTTTAGGATAGACAGGGCGAACGGCGTGCTGCCGCCGCCTGCTGCGGAGGTCAAACTCGAGCCGGTGAGTGTTCTTGCAGTGCCCTGTTCGTAACGTGACTAATGTCTTGCGAAAGACTCCTCCAGCCGCTCAACCCTTTGCATCACCGCCTGGTTCGTTCCCGCCCGGCCAATTCCCACCTGGCGCAGCTCCTCCCGCACAACCAGGCAGCATCCCTGGCGGTTCAGGACTTCCACAACGGCCCGGCTTTGGCGCACCACCTCCAGGCGCCTTCCCGCCGAATGGTGCACCGGCCGGTGCAGACTTCAATGCCTCGCTTGACGATCTTATAGCGGATGCGCAGAAGCCTCCTACGGCCGAGACTCCGGCGGAAAAGAAGAGCAAGAAGGATAAAAATATCAAATTGGTTTTCTTCGATGATATTGTTAGTCCAGAGGAAAAGATGGCGCTCCTGCCGAGGTACGCGGAGTTTGCGCGTGTGTGAAAGTGTTGCGGATAGTTCAATGGCACTGCTCGTTTTAAAAGCGGCACATACTTGCGCGAGGTGGCGCACATAATGAGCCCTAGTAAGTCTGTGCAGCGTTTCTCGATCAGTGCGGATCTGTCAGGGGAGGTTTCATGGTTTGGAAGGACTGCAGAGGGTTCAAGGAGAACATGAGCATGCCCGTATTGGGTGCGCGGAGGGACAATATCAGATCTGGCAGCATGCATCATCTGGAAGACATATGGCTAACTCCATTGTAACACATCAGCGTGCAAGGAGCGGCATGACGACCGCATACTTTAACAACCAAGTCACTGATCGGAAGTGGTTTCACATGGCACCTGCAGGTCTACATTATTATATGCTTTCGGCCAATCTTTCTATTCATTGGTCAAAGTCTAGTTCCTCGCCCTCTTCTTGTTCATCTTCGTCATACTCTTCGCTCTGATTATCTTGGTCTGTACTCCGATCATCACTTGCCCGCGCCCACTCAGCGCTTTCATCAAGAGCCTGTCCCCAATCCAAGCTCCGTGATCTACTCTCTTCAACGAACGACTCTTCATCAACCTCCTGATCTTCCTCTGGCATAGGATCCACCTCCCTCAGTCCCGCCTTCTCGTCCCTAGTGCTCTCCGCGCCTTCCACAGCTGCAAACCCAACACTCTTTCCGTTACCTCCACTAGATTGCGACTGAGACCGACGAGGATTTTCTAGCACATCTCCATCCCATGGCCTGCACTCTTTTATGTTTTCACCGCAACGAAGACATGTCCACCCTTCGCCCTCCTCGTTCGCAATGCGCTGCGCTAGGCATGCGAAACAATACACACACCCGCACGGCACTGCTTCATACGGATTCGTAATATCAGTCGCCGCGGATCCTACAACGCCGCCGCCGCCCGCAGATTGCGATATGATATCCTGCTCTGTAGCTGTCGTGGGATTCTGATCGCGGTAGCATATGGCGCATGTACGTCCAGGCAGGAATCCCAACTCCCCGGCGGGTTTTGACTCGTCGTCTTCGTCGATGGGGGCTGGCGAGCGACCGAGCAGTGCGAGGATAGAGACTTTGGCTTTCCGCCAAGTGCGCGCGAGGATGCGGCGCCATCGGGAGATGCCGACTAGAGGGAGCAGGAAGAGCAGAAATTCGGTGAAGGCGTGCCACACCAATTGCCTGTTTAGGTACTCAAAGGAGACTTCTCTACTCGTGGAGTGACTCGTGGGCGTTAATCTCAGCCTAAGCAAGCGGTCTGTGAGAGTTCTGTACCGTCCGTTTACGAGGAAGACGAGGAAGGAGGTCAGGGATGCGATGTCGTGCGCTGAGTCTAGGTACTCCGTTATCCGGCTTGCGAAGCTCAGGGTGTCGCCTTGTGGTCTGGTATAATCTTCTTGTGCGGCGAGGAGGTATTCTTCCCACTTTGTCCATGCATAGCGTCCTCCTACTGTGACTACCCCGTAAGCTATCTTCTGCCATTTCACGGGTGTTGGTCGGTCGGGCGCGCTGCTTCGCGCATCTGTGTAGCGGAGGCCTTGTAAATGCGCGCCGTAGCTTGCATTGTTGTTCCATATGCTCAGCTTAAAGAGGATTAGTCGTAGTGCGAGGAGGATCTCGGGCGCCCAGGCGTCTGTGATATTTTGTCCGAAGTATTTGAGTCCTTCGCCGACTTGCCCCTTTAGCAGGCCTAGCAGCTCTTCATCTAACAGTTCTGCGTCTACCTGCCCGACGCGGAAGGCGGGATGTGTGCCTTCCCGGCCTTTTATCGAGTCCCATATTGAGAGGACGGATGTGCTGAGTGGGAGACGTGTGGAGGCGGGTGCGCGGGAGGAGGGAAGTTTGCGGGCGCGTTGTGCGCGGCGGGCAGCTATGCGTTCTTGGGCGGCGGCGAAGTCGGCGGAAGGCATTGGGGCATTGGGAAGGGCATTCGAGGGTATGAAAGTCTACGACGAGGAAGGTGGTGATATGCGCGGAGGTGGGCAACGTGATAGCGTGATCTACAGATGGCTGGGCCGAGGTTCAGGGCCGAGCTGTCGGCCATTGAGCTGGTGGTTCGACAGCTTCAGCACTGGGGATCTAGCCAAGTCGAGAACAAGACAAGCACAAAGCAGTTGACAGTAGTTGGGTCGACCGACAGTTTAGTCTGAGGAGAAAGTTGCAGTTTTGTGTCTTAGAGACTCTTCGGTGAACGTCACGAGCATGCTGAACGCGATTCCGACGCGCCTAGGGCGTTCGGAGCAGGCATGACGAAAGGTGTTGATACGGAGCATTGCGGGGGACTTTTTCGAACCCTTATTGCTCGCGAGTAAACAATCTCGTACAGTTGCTGCCTCATGCCCCCCTTCCATTTTCTGGGTGAGCGGGACACCTTCCTCCTTCACAAAAGCAGCTGCCAGCGCACTCTCGGCCCGCTCCACCCCGCTGAATTGCTCCCACCTGAAAGCTCGTTTGACCCCGCCACGACCTCGAGCTTATACGATTTGTCCTTGGGAGACTTCAGTCATGGATGTTGAGTTTAACGCCATTGAGGTGCCTGCAGAGGCGAATCCTCTGACTGAGGGCATTCTCTTCCATGTCTTGCGCTCTGCATCTTCGACGGATCCGAATCAGATACAGACGGGCACGAAGCAGCTGCAGGAGTGGGAGAAGGCGCGAGGATACTATCCGTTGCTACAGGTGAGGAGCTCCCTGGCAATCTTTGAGCGGCGATTTACTAGCCATAGGCTGTATTTCTAGACAAATCCCTCCCGTACGAAGTTCGGTACCTCGCCATCATCCAGCTCAAGAACGGCATCGACAAGTACTGGCGTAAAACAGCTCAGAATGCTGTCAGCAAAGAAGACAAGAATATAATCCGCGCTCACTTGCTCGAAAGTGCAGTCAATGAGGCGGATAGTCGGCTTGCATTGCAGAACGCTCTTATGGTCGCTAAGATCGTCCGCTTCGAGTATCCCAACGACTGGCCAAACATTTTCCAGCAACTTATTGAAATCCTCCGCGCTTCTTCCGAGCCGAACACCTTCCGCCTCCAGTTGCCTCGTGCACTCCTCCTACTACTATACATCGTCAAAGAACTGTCTACGGGACGACTGCTTAGGACAAGGCAAAACCTCCAGAATGTTGCGCCTGAGATATTGAACGTGCTGGGGAACACATACGTGAACAAGGTGCACAGCTGGCAAAAGTTCTTCCGCGAGGGAGGAGATGACGAAGGAGGCGCCCTCGAGGACATCGAGAACAGTTTAATTGCTATTAAGATCATTCGCCGGCTAGTCGTCAGTAGTTATGACTTCCCAGGGCGAGAGAAAGACGTACAAGAGCTCTGGACGCTTTCGCGCAACTTCTTTGGCGATTTCATAACGTACGTTCAGGAGGACAGCACCCTTGCGCCGCCAGTTCGCAAGCTTGTGGAGAAGCATCTGATGCAACTCTCCAAATTCCATTACTTCATGGCCACTACGCACCCAGCAGACTTCGTCCATATGCCCGATTCAATAGGTTTGGTTCGCGCGTACTGGGGTCTGGTCTCTCGTCTGGGCGAGACCTGGGGTTCCAAGTCAGTACAAGATGCCAAGATTGGCACTGACGGGGACGAAGAAGACGACGCGCCCATCCTTGAGCGCCTTGGCTTGAAGGGGTTGCTCATTGTCCGCGCTTGTGTGAAGATGGTCTTCTACCCAGTTCAAACTTTTCGTTACCGTCAACAACAGGAGAAAGACGAGCGTACCAAAGCTGTACAGATGGTCAAGCAAGAGCTTCTGACCGATGATCTCGTCCGTGAGATGGTCTCTGCGCTTGTTACGAAGTTCTTCGTGTTCAGGCCGAGTGACCTCCGCATGTGGGAAGAAGAGCCTGACGAATGGGAAAAAATGGAAGAAGGCGGCGAAGACTGGGAGTTTGCCATCCGTCCTTGCGCAGAGAAACTGTTCCTAGACCTTGCGAAGAATTTTAAAGATTTGATCATCCAGCCTCTTCTCCAAGTCTTCCGTACAGTTGCGAGTGAGTACTCACTCAAACATCGAGAAATGCATTAGCTGACCACAGACAGCACCTGACAACGAGGACGTCTTGTTCAAAGACTCAGTATACACTGCCATTGGTCTAGCGGCCGATGTACTCCACGATCACGTAGATTTCGACTCCTTCATCACAGATACCTTGGTACAAGAAGCCCAGAAACAGAAACCGGGTTACAACATCATCCGACGCCGCATTGCTATCATTCTTTCTCGGTGGATTGCTATTAAGATCGCAATGGATCAAAAGCCCATCGTATATCAGATATTTGAACATCTGATGAATAAGGATGACCCGCTCAACGACCTAGTCGTTCGAGTTACCGCTGGCAGGAAGTTTCATCAAATCGCGGACGAGTGGGAGTTCAAAGCCGAAAACTTTGTGCCATACGCGCCGGGTATCTTGGATAGACTAATGGCATTGGTGCAAGAGGTCGAGCTGCAAGAGACGAAGATGGCGCTGTTGAACACGATTAGCATCATTGTGGAGAGGCTAGAACATAACGTAGGTTACCATTAGACGAATGGGTCGCGTCTCGCTGACATTGTACAGATCACGCCGTATGCAAACAGCATCATCAGCCTTCTTCCTCCACTGTGGGAGCAATCAGGCGACGAGCATCTCATGAAACAAGCCATTCTCACAATTCTCGCTCGCCTAACGAATGCGATGAAAGCCGACTCTCGCTCTTTCCACGTCTCCTTTCTCCCTATCATACAAAGCGCCATCGAACCCAACTCTGATACGCAAGTCTACCTCCTCGAAGACGCGCTCGATCTCTGGTCGTCCATTATCGCACAAACGCCTTCTGCTCCTGAACTCACGCCCCCTGAGCTCCTAAATCTCCTCCAATATCTAATCCCACTGTTCGCAATGGACAACGACACGCTTCGCAAAGCGATCGAGATCACAGAAGCGTACCTCCTCCTCGCCCCTGCTGCTGTCCTAGCAGACAACTTCCGTCCCGAATTGATCCGCTGCCTGTCTGAGCTCTTGGGTAACCTGAAGCCGGAAGCCAGCGGTGCCGTCTCGCATCTCATGATGTGCATTATCCGCGGTGCAGACGGTATTGGCGGCGAAGAAGCCACCAACGTGCTCGTTAGCGACCTTATCTCCTCGAACTTCCTCGCCAAAATGATGGAGGGTCTCCACGGCGCCTGGACGCACCACCAGTCCCACGGTCCACTGCGCGAAATGCCGTCTCGTGCCGTTGACGGCGTCGTAGAGACGGATTACTTCTCTGTTCTCGCTAGAATTGGGCTAGCATCTCCTGCGACTCTACTCGAGGCAATTTCCTCAATCGGAGGCGCCGAGCTGGAGAAGACGTTGAACTGGCTACTGGAAGAGTGGTTCGGACATATCGAGAACATTGGAGACCCACCGAATAAGAAACTCATGACCCTTGTTCTCACGCGTCTTCTGGAGACCGATCAGCCCTGGATTCTCGGTCGGTTGCAAAGTCTTGTGGCTATGTGGACGGATGTCTTGGGCGAATTGCTGGATGGTATGGATGACAAGACCGCGGAGTTAGTACACATTGATCCACCTGGTGATTTCTTTGCAAAGAAACGGGACACCTAGCTAACGAGAGGAATAGTTCGCTCTACTGGCCGGACGAGCCCGAGCCCTTCCACCCCATCGAGCCCGAAGCCCCAGAGGATGTCCGTAAACGCATCTTACTCTACTCGGATCCCGTCCATCGTATCAATCTTGTCGTCTTTGTGCGCGAGCACCTGCAGGCTTCCATTCAATCGTCGGGTGGTGAAACGCGGTTCCAGGAAGAGTGGTTGAGCCGTGTGGATAAGGATGTGTTGAAAGGATTTGGCGATTTGGGAATCATGTAGTATACTGATCCAATCGCGTCTGCAAATAGTGGTTTGTTGGGGTGGCAATGTTAACGTAAGAGTGAGAACGCAAGTAGCGGGATGAGCAGGCCGAGAGGCGCGGACAAGAACATGGACGAGGATGTTGAGTTCCATGGCGTGTAGCTTGCAATTGGTCAACCTGGAAGTGTTAACGAGGCTTAGATCGTATATACCCATGCAGAATTTGAGTGCCCTGTCCTAAAAAGGGACTTGGTGCGCCATAGATTTGTGATATTACGCCGCTTAATCGTGCGTTGCCTCTCAACAAACCAGAAACGCCACAGGCTTCCACAATGGGTCGTTGAACGAGGCTCAAAGATTCATTCGCAGTTGTTTTGAAATCCCGCAATAGAGATGCCGAGTGTCTAGCACCGTTGTTTTGTGGACGACTTGGGTAGGCACTTAAATTCTATGCCCGGCTACTGTAGCTCATCATCGTACCCACCACTCTGTCGCAAAAACTCCCACATCGCCCTAACAACTGCTACGCCTCCGCCCTGGGTCTCGACCGTCCGGCCTCGGCCCCTTTCGTTGGGATCTCCACCATCAATCCAGCTTCGCTTCTCTACCAACTCTTGAATTCCCTCATCCAGCATGGAGCTGAAGTTCCCTGTTAGAAGTAACTCCGGATCATTCCTATAATCTAGAGCATCCCTAGGCAGCACCTCATCCACCTCATCCTGTCGTTCTCTATTTCCGGCGCCCCACCATGCCCCGAACTTCCCATTCTCGTCGCGCGTCCCCAGCGCAGATTGCGCATTACGAATTACCCACGGCGCATACGCGTCACAGGATTTCCGATGCAGATCATATGTATCGTGGCTAGCATAGTGAGTTTTGCCCCGTCGAGCGGGAAATGTGGGAAGCGGCGCGCAGAAAGCGGTTAGATGATGAAAGAATATGCCTTTGAAGGTTTGGCTGTCTTGGCTGCATGTGCCCATCGGATCGCAGAGCTCGGTGAGGACGCCGTTGGCGCCGAGAGTTCCTCTATCTGTAGTTTGCGAAGCCTCATTCGGGTGTGTTGGGGAAGGGGATGGATCTTGGTGATCTGTGAAAGTTACGGATGAAAAGTCGACATCTGTCCAACCTGTAGAGCGTATCACATTGCCCACAAGCTCGTATCCGTCGTTGAGGTAAGAGATCCTGCCGGTTGCTTCCCAGAGGCCGCGCAGGCCAGAGAGGATGACGCCTTGGTTGTATGTGTAGACCATTTCATTGCGCTCGTCACACTCAGTCTTGCTGTGGTTCTGTGCATACCCGCTGATGTGGAAGCCGTCTGTGTAGAGGCCTTGGGCGTTGAGCATGCCACTGTTTGCGAGCCAGTTGTAGCCATTTATCGCGTTGGTCAAATACATTGGGTCGTACTTGGGTTTCCGATCTGACTCTGAACATGCGAACGTGGAGCCTTGTTCTTCTGCGCGGAAGAGGTTCCAACCCGGTTGATGTCTTTCCGCGGCGCCCATAAATGGCGAGCAGTTGTCGTCCCCTGGGAAATGGAGATACATGCTGATGCTTGCGGAAATGTAGAGCTGGTTCGTGATAGCGTTTTTGTAAGGTAAAAGTAGCGGATTCCAAATCATTCCTCCACCACAAAGTACCCAATCCCATCCTTCCTCAGCCAGCTCATAGAACACGCGCGCGCGGTGTGCAAAAGCGGGTATAAATTGCTGCGCATGCCAGGCTCCTCTCTCGTTCCCATTATCTGGATAATGTCTCTCAGAGTGCGTCTTGATAAGTTGAATCGCCTCCAGCCATCCCAGCACCACCCACAACATGTCATCGTAGGCCTGCATCCGAATCGAGAAGTAGTCTTGTCCGAAATAGTATGTTATAAGATGCCCGAAGTACTTGTTGATCTCGCTTTCGACCATCTGAGCTTTGACGTCGAGCTTCTGCGTCTTATCGAAAGTGCCTAGCACGGTGTAGGAAAGCGAGCGCGACAATGAGGATAATGTTGCGGCGAGATCGGTGCCTACAACCGCGGCGGTCCAATCTATTGCTGTTGTCCATTTCCCGAGCCAGAGGGAGAAGTATTGGTCTTGCATTACTGATAAAGCATTATAGAGATATTGAAGCATGTGAGAATCTGATTGGAGTGCGTCCTGATTATCTATAATTCGTCAGAACGAGAAAATAAACCACAGTGTATGTGTGTCGGTACTCATGTGTATCGAATCTTACTGATATGCAGACACACGACTTCCTGGCAGCGGAGGACTTACGAGTTCCACCAGCTGCTGAGGCCCCCCTGCAGCCATAGAAGCACGAACAGTACCGCCACCCACCGCCATCGATTGGCGCCCTGCAAGAACATCGTAGAATGCGAAGCGAGAGTCAAAGGCTGTGATGCGATCTGCAGAGACGCGGGGAAGCGTAGCTCATTAGGCCAAGCCACACGGCGCCCCCCGCGCCTGCATCTCAATGTCAGCCAGAGAGAACGACTTAGTGGACAAGTGGTTTTTTTTCAGTGATTGAGTATCGGCAGAACAACTCAAGTTCGCACTCTCAGCTTGTTTGATACTCAAAATGAAGTAGCACCAAGGATTAGTACCTGTCGGACAACCGAGGCTTCTTCAGCAACGGATCCCTGCAGCGCGACAGCGGCCCCACGACCTCCCACGTTAGCGTCCTCCGCGGCCTCTTCTACACTGTAGCAAGTCTGGAAACCTAGCTGTTAACTACAGGCCCATCAGCCTGTATCTCACGTTTCCCCAAACCGCTCTCGTAGCGGTCACTTATCGCTGCCCGTTGGTACACCTGGGAATCATCGAGCTTAGCATCATAATGGTCATATCTTGTGTTCCTTTCACCATCGGTCTCTGGCGCGGAGTCCGTCGCAATGTTCGATCTTGACACCAAATCAAATGGTCTAAATTCCTGATATATGTGGCGCTTTCCACCGTACGAGCTTCCTGACTCGGCTTCTACGAGCCGTCCAAGGTCCCCGGGATCTGCTTCTAGTGAAGTGTTCTCTACTCAGTCACGTATACTACAGTTTCGAAATGCGCAGAAACAGTCACTTTGTGAAAAAGTAATCACTACAAACCTGAATCAAGCATGAATACTGAAAAGAAATCTATTGTGCAAGTCTCACATACACCACCAAGCTACATGTTTCCTAGTCGCTATCACTGTCATACCTTTCTCCGCCAAGCTGATCGTCATAACTCCCGGTCGCACTATCTGAGGACTCATATTGTCCGTCATGATCACCTTCGGATCCATTATCTGAGACATCATCCTTTCCAACGTCGGAATGACTGTCTTCGCCGTCCTCAATTTCGTCAGTCTTCCCATGACCTCCGTCGTCGTCGTCATTTGAGCTGTCACTGCTCTCATATTGTTGTCCATGGCCATAGTCTGGGCTGTAAATCTCGTCTGTTTCCGAGTCGCTTCCTTTACCAGCGCTTGTCATGTCGATTCCAGCATATTGTGTGTATGAGAAGTCGCGATCTTCGTCACTGCTCTCATCACCTGAGCTAGAACTGCTAGAGCTGGATGTAGAGCCATGGGAACTGGGAGAGTTTGCTTGGCTGCCCCTAGTGCTTGTAATGCTTGGGTACACAGACACAGGGCTGATGGGACTGAATGCACCTTCTGGCTGATGATGATGATTCATATGCCGAGTTCCTATTTCCTCGTGACTCTCGGGAGTAAACGCTGGCCAGAAGGATGTATCGTGATGGTTGCGGATCGAATGATGATCATGTTGATTGATAGCCGCATCGCCCATTGGAGTATTTGGTGCTTGCATATCACCACGTACAGATTGACCGTCCGCATGTAAATCGTCCAACGGAGGCCAAACGGGCTTCTCGTGATCTTGGAACGGGCTGGGAGATTGTGAGTTTACAACAATCTGGGGGTGTGGAGTTGAAATCAAAAGGTCATCCTCATCGATTGATTGAGAGTCTTCGGACGAGGTGGAATCAGAAGATGTATCTGACGAGCTTGAACTGTCTGAGGAGCTTACTTCATCCGAGCCACAGTCCTCAGAGGCCGAATCACCGGTATGCTGGTTCGTAGCGTTTATATCATTGATCGGTGGGCCCTTTGGGGGAGCGTGTGCACCACAGACTCTCAGGTCATGAAGCTTTTGGTGTTCGGTAGATTTTGAATTTGATGTTTGAATCTCAGTTGTCTCGGTGACGAAGAGCGTTCGGGTGTTGCTATGAGACTTGTCGCTATATCTCTTGTCGATATGACGCTTGTCGCTGTGATCTTTGTTCGGCTTCGAAAGCTCATGCCTTCCAGCTTTTGTAGGAGCCCCTAGGTTCGGTCCGTGTGCGTCTTGTGCCTTGACGTTTCGTTGTTTGTTTTTGTGGGTCGCGTTCGTGTGCCCACGCTGACCATCTGACTTTGTATGCGGCTTTACATGATGCTTCTTGGACTTTGAGGACAGAACCTTCTTCGAAATCTCCTCATCTGAGCTGTCATAAACTGCAGCAGACCTCTTCTTGTCAGTCCTTCGTTTTCGGATGGTTGAAGCTTTTCGGTGTTTTTCGCTCTTCGACTTTGCTTTCTTACTGTCCAACACTGCATCGCCTTTCTTTAAGGGATGCTCGACGGATCTCTCCGCGGATTTGCCAGCTGTAAGGCGAAACCTATCCATTTCAAGGGCGCCAAGAGCCTTTGATGTTATTTCACCAGGTTCCACATGTGCATCTGTTTGATGCGAGTTATATCCATCCGGGTGGGTCTCGAATGATTCATAGTACTCCTGTGCCGCACCACGTGGTAGGACCTGTGAAGCCGATTGACTCATCGATCCATCCGCCATGCCTCTACTGGTGATCTGTGAGGTCTTTGGTAGGCCAGGATACTCGAGAAGTAGTGGTCTCTTGACCTGAGCTACCGCCTTGGTCGTCTCAAAGGCTTGACTATCCATATCTACACGACCAGCTAGCATCAAGAACAGGTGAAGGATCTCATTGCCTGGACGCTTCATGAACGCAATCACAGCTGTCATATCTGACAATTTACTGCTCTCTGGAGACAATATGTGTTTCATGGTTCCAGTTTGGTGAGCTTCTTGCAGTATTCCGAAATACTGAGCGCAGAGCTTCGCATGCTCATCAGGAGGGGCCCAAGAATTTGAATAGGGATGCATGGGTTTTGTACGACCTCTTTCAAGGTTGAGGAACGCAAATAGGGTCTCTTTGTTCATCTTCGCAAGTGCTACAAAGAGTGGAGTGCCTAACATGCCTGAGTTCGGTAGCAAATACGATTGGAGACTTGCTGGATGGGCGAGAATGAGATGCGGCATATTCATATCGGCGAGTACGTAAATCAAACTAGTATTCGCGGCGAAGTTTTCATGTCCAGAGATGATGTTAGTGAGTTGAATCCATTCAGTCACTGGGAAGCTCGTGACGAAGTCGGCTTGCGAAACCCCTAATCGTTGAGCTTCATCAGCGTTGGGAATGACGTTCTCGACCGCGTATGTTGCCGTCTCCAAGTCGATCATATCGTCATTTAGTCGCCTCAGTAATTCGATACAGTCGTTCTTGATGCGATCGTGAGCCACTCCGGGGGATGTTGCCAAGCTCCTCTCACGAGCACCTCCTACAATTTCAAGGCTTTCCAGAAGTTGTGGTATGCAACTGTGAACAAACCGCACATGACTCCCTTTTTTCCCTGTAATTTCCAACAGCCCTCTCGATAGATCGAGAATGGAATGTACAGCACCATCTTTCGTTTGACGCCGGAAAACCTCAGCAGTCGATCTTGTCAGCTTATACATCTCTTCAGCTTTGGGTGGTTTCGGTGATTGATTGACAGACTTGAGTAACAATAGGAATTGGTCGTCTTGCTGGCGGTCAGCTTCGTTCAGTATGTAGTTGAAAAGCTGTGGAAGCCCGCGAGGCAGGTCCTGCATTCTTTCCACGACGGCAGCTCTTCCCATTTGGAAATTACCAGCTTGAGAAAAGTCCTTCTGGAGAAGGCCTATAGCCAGTTTGCCCCACAAGAAGTTCGCTTCGGCTTTCTGCGCAAGCTGGTCTAATTGCTCGAAAGAGTTGTGATGACTACTTTCTAGATGCTGTCCCATGAAGCGAAGAATGTCTCGACGGTGCCCTTCTTGTGTTTCTAAAGAGATGGTGGCCATTTGTGTGACAACCTCAGGAATGTCTTTGTCATGTGGATATGTGAAACAAACTCTGAGACTGGTTTTGTGTTCGCAAGTCTTGGCGATTCGATCGAAAAGGTGGATGATGTCTGGCAGATCCATGGGCTGGCACCCACTCGCATCAATGAAACAGAATAGTGGCTTGTCCAGAAGAGGTATGATGTATTCCAGTAGCTCTCTCAGGGCGTATGTCTCCCAAACAGCATTCAGCGACAAGTTTTCGGTGGAGACAGCTTCTGAGGGGATTCGAGGCATGTTTTCCAGCACTTGTACCAAGAGACTTTGATACATGTAACTGACATTACGTTGGGAGTAAGGACCATAAGCATTGAAGAAGAAAGACACCACGTAATGGTCCCCACGCTGTGCTTTGTGGCGTTCGAGGGCATGCTGAATCAAGGTAGATTTTCCACTTCCTGGATGTCCCTTGATGCAGAAGAACATAGCTTTGGCGTCAGTGTGCTCGGGTCCAGATCTCCATTTATGGTATTCTGTGTGGCCGAGAATCCATTCGCTTGACCCTGCGACGGCTGATCGATTCTCTAGTCCCTTGTTCCCTATGTCAGACGCACGAAGCGAATTCATAAGTATCTTCCGTTGCTCCGAAGTGAGGCACGGTAGATTTATTTGGCTTTATGTGGTTAGAATGTGCTCGTCAAATCTCGTACATTGACAAAAACCTACCGACAGAGGTACAAGGTACTCTGCAATTCGTCACGGATGAGCTCGTAGTGTCGCTCCTGCTCGTGGCTGAACTTGATCATATCCCGATGATCAGCGGCGATTAATATAACTCTTTCGAAACGCGCATGCAACCGCGCTGAGTTAGACTCAACTGCTTGGTAGCTCTGGCCAGTGAAGTTACCATCTGCGTCCTGGAGGATGTGAGTGAGTTAAAGGCGAAGTTCTCAATTATGTGCTTACCTGGGCCAGTGTAAGCTTTTGCTCTAGGCAGGTGATGAATCTAATATCGTGAAGATCGGCCAGCGTAGCTCGAAGTGTTCTCAGGAGCTCTGAGTTCGGGCGCAGGTCCTGTAGAGTTCTCTTCATAGACTCATGTTCTCGTTTCCGTGTGAGGGGCTCCAAGTACTCTATACTCATTCCCATATGGGGGGCCCCGAAAAATGTGACACCACGAATAGCGCGCAGTGTATTCTCATACCCCGGGACTTGTTTTCGTCTCACAAGCTCATTGAGAGCCTAGTGCAAGGTAAGCATAGACGCAACAGACAGCCTTGAATATTCCTACCCATGCAATGACCGTACCCCCAAAACTATGTCCAATGAACAATAGTGGTCGTCTTTGGTGCTGTCCACGATGTTAACGGACCTCACAGCCTATGGAATGGGCGACATGTACCTCCGGTTTCTTCCTTGCTTTGCCAAGCTCATTCAACAATGTCACACCAAAGTCAGAGAGGACTGATGTTAATGTGTCTTCCTTGAGCTTTGCTTCGTAACCGAACGTCAAGATTCGGACGGTACATAAATGGTTTCCCAAAGCACCTCGGGGCCAACAATAGCCTTCAGGGTCCGTCCACGACCCGACAGAGTGCCCACTTAAACCGTGGACAAAAACAATGCTTGAAAGTAATCAGGGTTGAAATTCTTTGCTTTAGACTTCTTGTAAGGCACAAGTAAATACTCAGCTGTGATCGGAACTCCATCCGGAGGCTCAAACAAAGATGTCAAGCCATCGCATGATTCAATGATGATCCTGTGGCCATCTAAGGGGATTCCTACGTTCACCCTAAGATCTTCTGGGAATGGTGGCTCAATTGTGAGGACCGCGGTCTTTTTGTCACCACTGAAGGCCCTGCACATAGAGCTAAAGGTGAGTGAGGCACCCGGAAACCGACTGGCAAATTTTTTGTTGATGTCATCGAGCGTCCACTCATAGAGAATCCCATGGGCGCGAAAACAACGTGGCTTGGGTCGCTTTTGGGCAGGCCCGGCAGCCGTGGTGACTGGAGTACTCATACTCATGAAGATGAGTGGACCAAACACAGGAAAGTAAAATACACTAAAAGAGAAGGTGAAGCAATTTGCAAGACTGTACTGGCGATATTGCAGCCCAGGTGTTGGTATCAAGAATAATATAAGCATCAGACACAGCTACCCCGGATCGGTTCCCTGAGTTTTAGAGCGTTTCCCCCGTTGTATTCGTTACATAGTCGCGGTTGTCTGTCCTCTCTCTCCAGTGTAATCTTGAAATAACCTAAGGCTGTGTCTCAGCCTGATCAAGGGGCACCGGTGAGTACCCTAGTCGTCGTCAGCAACGGGCAACCCTTACTTTATTAGTTTGTGCTAAGCCTTGTACGCCAGCATGTCCGTCTGATGGTGGGCTGAAGGCTGTCGGTGGTGGTTGGCTCTATCACTAAGCATCGCATATGCAGCCTCGCCAAACCATGTATTTAGCCTAACGAGCGGCAATGGAAAACGCCAACTATAGCAGCTGCGTAGCATTAGCACGCCTACATTCTGCCCTGCAGGGGCTGCCTAGCGCATTTCATCAAAGGTTCGTTTCGGTTGACCTATCGAAACCTATCGGCGTTGGCAACGTGGTCAAGCAGGCGAGTGCTGCACACCACTGCGGATGATAAATTGCTTGGATGTGTTGGCCCCTAAATACCACTTTTTTGAACCTCTTGTCTAAAGACATCCTTTTCGCTTACCTGACATGGTAATGTCGCCCCTATCTCGCAATGAGTCTCATAAATTCATTGAATTGTTGCCTTCTGTGTCCGATCCCGACCAAAATTTGAGTCATGGTACACCATCCACGTCTCTACCCGGTTATTCGGACATAGTGATCGAAGATTCGCATGCTCTCTCCGAGTTCCTACTGGAAGATTTACATTGTCGGGATCTGGACGAGTTGTCGGATCGTCTCTGGATGATGACCGAACAGCGGAGTGGAAACATCTCCCCACTTCATCGCCAAAAGGTGAAGGGGAGGGAGATAACTGTTACAGAAGAACCGAAATTACATCTCGTATGGTTCTACGATCGGATCCATCTCAAGCCTCTTCCCAGATATCTTTTGTCTCAAGAGTTCTGGCGATATATTCTCGCAAGCAGCGACCGTTCCGAAGGAAATAAGGCGCTCTTGCGTTCTAGTGCCTTGGGTTTCATTCGATCGTACGCTTATTTGATCAAATACGAATCGGATCTCCGAATCGCAAAGTCAAACTCTTTCTCGCTCATCCCAGACCTCATCAGTTGGGACCAGTGGCGCCTGCTGCGCTCGAAGCTACTCGCCATTCGCGACGAAGAAGTATCGCCAAGGTGCAGGTTCGGAGAGATTCGCCTCACAAGGCTCAATCTCTACAGCAAATTGCTATTGCACAAATCATACTATCATCGCACATATCGACAATACGGCGACTATTTCGCGAGCTTCTATCCTCCCTTACTCTTTTTATTTGGCATTGTCTCAGTGATATTGGGGGCTATGCAGCTGTCGGCCACTATTGAAGGACACGATGCTCACTGGCGTGGTCTAGTGGGCATTTACCGTTTCTCCAGCGCTTTTATAATGGTAGTCACATCGTTACTGCTCATCGCCCTCATCACAATCTTCTTGTATAGGGTTGGGAAAGAGTGGATGTATGCTTGGAAATGCCGTTACGCGAGGCCCAAGGAGTATGCGAGGACTGTGTCTAAGCCTTGATGAAGATGTATATTGCTATTGATTGGGCCGAAAATCATTCTAAAGACCCCAATTATATATAGAGTGACATAGGAAACGTTTAGCCTTACTCCTCATCCAGCCATTATTCTATAGAGCCATCCCTGCCCCTCTCTCTGCCTCGTCAACCTGCTGCTAGACCATGCTCCACCTGTTCGATTATCTAGACTGTTCCTTTACGCTTCGGTCTGAGGCCCCCAATAAACATGAGACCCATGGAGATAGCGAAACAGATTACCATGACCCCTTGCGCCACTTGAACGTAGTAAAGTCGGTCGGCAAAATGGACCGAATCATCTTTTTCGTTGATGAACCAGCCAGGAAGTTGAGAGCCTTGCTCATTTACCAGCCCATGTAGAGCTTGAAGGGATCCGAACGCGGTTGCAAACATGAGGCCCATTGCAAACGCAATGAGAAGGAATGACAGAACCAGCAAATATCGATAGGACTTCTTGGCCGCAATGTTGGTGCTCGCTGTGAAAAGCATCGCACCTCCGAGGGTAAATAGAACCAGTTGCGCCAATGGTTTTGCGAAGTAGAACACGTCCTTCTGCAGATGACGAGCTTGGGGTATTGTGTCATTTAAGAACCTTCCGATGTATTCACTCGCCGAATTCTCTAATCCTTCGGATAGTTCTTCGAGGAGATCGTCCTCATCGTGCGCATACATGTTCATAATGCATCGTGTTTCAGCATTAACTTCAGATCGATTGGAAGCTTGGCCAAGTGAAAGAGCTTTGTCAATTAGAGTGACGCAACCTCCTGAACGACATCAGTTTTGTCAAGCAGTGGTGCGATAACAACGTACCAAAATATCCCACGCTTAGATGCAGTTCCGGAGTGCCTTGAGTTGAATTTCTTCGGATCTCTGCCACGTATAGCGACTTTGAGAAACGGCTAGAGTAGGAGCAACTCGACAAGGTTATAGCTAATATTGACGGTGAGAACGAAGAGCTAGTTCGCGAAGTATGGCTCATCTTACCAGCGAGTGCCAGAGAGAGAAGGTAGAACAGAGCCGCAAGACTCCCGGAAATACGTCTGTGATTCGGTCGTTTGGTAGACCTTCTGTTTTTCGTATTATGGCTCTTGGACACGGGTGGTCTGCTGTATCCGCCTCTACTTTTAGCGAAGCAGGCCATGGGTTCGTATTATAATGAATTAAAAAGTACAATTTGGGCAAAATGAACAACGCAGGACGACGATATTTGTGAAATAGTACTGCTAGGTTGTAACTTCAAGACAGCTCAAGCGTGCCTCCAGTTGACAGATGGTTTTATATTGAACTAGTCACATACTAGCACAGCTTGCGCTTTGGCTCTGTGTTAGATACCCGACGCGTTCGATAGAAAGACCCCCAGGTCGCATGGGGGCGAAGCTCGAAGGCTTGGGCGGATAAGCCTCGCTGTTTGAACCGAGCATATGTGGAAGGTCACACGAACATCAAGGCCATGCCTGCTGGCCAAGGGGTTCTATTTTGATAAGCTCGCGTGGTTGTCAGCGATGCGGCTCTGTGATAGTCAGCCATGCATGTGCGGCTCGTGCAAACCGGTCAAACGCTGTCTGAAAATCTCCTCTTAAGTTTTGGACTAATCAAGCCTCGGAGAGATCCAATTTGGATACCCTTGAGCAAAGATGAAAAGGTACGAACGTACATAAGTGTGCATCAGGCTGCAGCCACGTTCCCTTGGCAATACACGTTTGCATAGAACCTGGTGAAAAGTAGGCAGGGATTGCTGCCCAATAATATTCACCTACATGTTTTACATTTCAAAACACAACACTATCATGAGTTCGGTCAAAATTTTTATCTCAGATGGAAATAACGTCATGTAACTGAGGTATGTAGTCGCTGGATCTCGAAGATACACGCAGATGCATCTAAAATGTCACACATTAAAGCATAGTTTGCTCCGACAGATCAACCACAATGTATATAACCTTCAATTATTAATGTGCTCGGGTTCCAGTTCTTGTTTCAGTCACCGAGGTGTAAGCCCTCTTAGGCTCAGCCAACAGCCTGGATTCACTCGACCGAGGCTGGGACGATCTTGCCGATGTGTGGTCCATCTTCGCCTAAGGCTGCAGCAAACCTTGTGAAGATGTTTCCAATTTAACCTCATCGTATGTGCCCTTTGTGTCAGCTGAACTATCGTTGTAGCCGATCGGGCAAGATGTACGTAGTCTGGGACAGAGATCAATTGTCCGCGGCGTTTTGCAGTACTGCATCCTTCCGGTGAGAAAATGGCGGCCAAATTGTGCTTGCATCTGCTTATTTCCTTTTGTTGCCGCCTTATCCAATGCATGCATTGGCGGCGTACTCAGCCTTGAATGTGACCCCTTGCTGTAACCAAGCACAAGCTTGAGCCTCATCGGAGATGGCGTTAGAGTGGTTTGACTCTGACACCCGCTTCGATGCACTCCTGAAATGTTTTGGTGTAAAGTCTTCGAACTCCCTTCACCTTGGGTTGAGTCAATCTTTTGCATTTTCATTCAAGATTTTAGTATCATAATCACAATGACTGATAACGTATCATCTCGGAAGTTACACCAAAAACAAGACCGTTCAATCCCGCAAGGCCTTTTGCCTCAAATTAATTCTATGTCTCCACCAGGTTCTTTGAACCAGACTCAGTATTCGAACCAACAGCTTCCGCCTGGTGGTAGACATCGCCTAGGCCGAGGCCTATCAATGTCGCCACCTCCGTCTGCTATGAACCTGCCTTCCTCATCGAGTTCATATGAGGCGACCTTTACTGCTCCCTCAAACCCGACGCCGCCATTTTCGAGAGGATCTACGAGCGCAACCCAACCAATCAAACTTCCAAATGTAGTACAAAATCTTCAACAATTGAAAAATCAAAGCACGACCAACCTGGCAATAGCTGCGCCCGCCGAACAGCGAGTCACGGCCAGAGATACTGAGGAGGGTTTTGGGGCATACTCACGCCCTTTGCAACAGAGTGCAAGCTCGCCAGTGCTATCACCACCCTTATCAGCACCTCCTACTGTGCCTAGGCTAGAGCCTGTCACCGCGACTCAGATCAGCAATGAAGTTTTAGGATACACGCAAGATGCCTCCCACACAACTCTGAGCCAACACAGCACTCACGACCCTCTGGGGACTCAGACAAGAAGAGGAGTGGCCAGTGATGCCGGTGTTCCACCAAGTAACGCCAGTGGTGGGCAACACAGCCAATCCATCATCACTACTATAGCGACCGTCAAAGAAGGGAAGGAAAAGAAGAAGAGGACCCCAGAAGAGAAAGCGGAGAGGCAGGCGAAGAAAGAAGCAAAAGCGGCAAAGAAAGAAGCTAAAGTGAAGAGACAAGCCGAGAAAACGAAGCTGTTCCAGAATGCACAGGCGAGGTCGCTCCATAACGCGGCTACTCTCGCTAAATCTCTCGATAATCAGGATTATTCAAAATCGCAAGACGCACCGCACACGGCAAATCGTGCTTCCCTTCCTAGTTCCCGGTCGGTCGTGCCATCAAACCACCAGATGGTCCCTAAGGGTCTTACCGATTCAGTTCGAACATCACCAATTCCGCTGCCGCTGGAAGTCAATTGCTTGGGTATGGCCGAGACAAGCGCTTCGCAGGGTGCTCCACAGCGCAAAATGCGTAAACGCGATCATTGTACTTCAGTCGAACCCATTGATCGCGCCCAAGAGCAAAAGACCAAAGAGCACACGTCCAAGACCTCTATCGAAGGTTCAGAACGTTACCAGGAGCGTAACATCAAGGAGCACAAGTCGAAAACCTCTCGTCGACCAGTGCCCACTATGGTTACCCCAACACATGCGACCCAACCGGACCCTGGGCCAGTAAGTCCTCCACAGGAACTCCAATCGAAGCGGTCTCAATTCAATACAACTCAGCCCCAGGTCATAATAATACAACAACCATCGCCGCCTTCACACCACGTCCCCTTTGTATCACCTCCTTCCCACCAAACACCATATGCGTCGAACGAGTACTCTTACTCGCGCGTGGATATGAGATATGAGCCGCAACACCATCAGTCCGGCGATCCGGAATTCACCTTGAACACTTTGGTTAAGCCTACCTCCACTCGAGGGTCGTACACGTACCTTCCGCTTGCGCAGAATGATGTCGTTGCGACAGCGTACAGTCACGACTACGGTCAACAGGTAACGAGTGCTTCGCACCCCGCGATGATGATTGGCCATGAGGCAGAAGACGACAGGGATGATTCTTATGGTTGCTGCTCGTGGTTGTACGGGGGCAGAGAGAGTGAGTATCAGATGGAAGAGGCGAAGGGCAAGCAAGCCAAGAGGCCCAAGAAACAGAAGGCAAAAGACGAGGATGACGATGATGTGTGTGTGGTAATGTGATTTCCGCATGGACGGTATGGAGTTTGTTTGTATTACTATTATGGGATGCTGGTAGTGTAAACATGTATTCATACTAGTTCATATTCGAGTTGGTCTCCGTCAAACAGTGGACAAAAGTTTCTTGTGATGGTTAGTTAACTCACCCCATGTCAACCGTTGAATGTGAAGCAGCTGACAGAGGCTCGAGAGTTCCAAATTCACCACAAGCTCAGCTTTCGTATGGAGTCATTACGTCTCTCAAGGCAGTGCTCACACATGCTTGTTCCGGCGTCACGATCAAGGCTACTCTTCGGCTAATCCGTTTGTGAATTCTCCTGCAGCATGCGATCCCAACTTCTGGAGTACGCATGCTTCAATATTAGGGTTAGGTTGGAGTACGCTGTGCCATGCAATTGAGAGCGGCGCGGCGCATGCATACAGTGCAACGACCGGTAGCCGTGCGTTTACCTGCATACTGGACAAGGATCTTCCGATAGCGTAAGCATACATACATTAGCCTGCACTGAGTTGCAGCCTTGCGTAAGCCACGTGTGCAAGCTGAGAGAGTTTACCGCACTTCCCGCCCCAATTCTTAGCGAAGGACCGGAAATGGCAGTAACATTGCGACCGATTTGGACGAGCATGCCTGATTTCGTACTGATGGTGGTATGAGTATCTGAGCCCTGCCCTGAGCTGCAGCCTCGTAGATGGCAACCTGAAAATCTCACCGCACCAAGTGCTCTTGAAGTCCTGGGAAGAGATGTGATTGGTAGGATACCGGAGCCCAACTCGGTCAAAGCACAGCGATGGCACACCGACGATGAAGATAGCCTGTGAGCAGCCCTCGTCGCAAGTGCATGAGGTGAGCAGTCGGAGAGTCGGCGCCTTGAGCTACCGTCCTGTATGCATTGCCCTCAAGATGCATGTCAAGAAGCTGGAACTGGAAGTATGATAGGGGCCGATCTGCACCCTTGCGCTGCAGTGCAGCCTCGCATAACGACGGTGAAACAACTTAACATATTCATTGCCCCATCACGCAAGCTAGAGAATAGAGGAGTAACATGGTTGCCAGCGCTCTGGCCAAATCAGTGGCGATAGTGCTGATCCGGTGAGACTAGCCTTTATACTGTCCTGACTGTGACTGGTTAGGCGTGACGTAGACAAGAAGTGCCGCTCCAGGTTTCTATGATGCCTATGTGAGGATGCGAGCTAGGTCTGATCATTGCTGCAAGGATAGAGGTGAAGGTGAATGAATCGTAGAAGGCGCAGTTTTGCACACATGCACCTCCCTAGGACCCGTTGCAGAAACGGCAAAGGGGGCTGAAAGTGCCGGAGACGCCGAGACATGACAAGCCCGATGGAACAGGATGGCTGTTATACAGTGGTAATGATACAAGAAGGCTGGTTGTGAGTTCGTTCACTCAAAGTGGCTCTTGGTATCCGGAGCGCAGTACCCTCTCCTGAGCAGGAACGTCGCCAACCTGTCTTCAACCCTCGCGAACTACACGAAGTTAGCTCTTTGCGTACCATATCCTTCGTACCTTTCAGCAAACTTACAAAGCTCTTCCGTTCAATGACCCCATCTCTTACCCAGAACCCATAGCCCCCCATCAAATTTGCCATCATGACGTCTGTGAACAAGCGATCACCCACAATGGCGATTTGAGCAGGTGATGTCACTTCGGAGTCCGGATGCTGCTTGAAATACGACAAGACTTCATCTTTGCAGCCGGGCTTCTTGGTTGAATGCCGGAGTACCTTGACACCGGTGTTCTTCTCTAGGATGACTGCTTCGGCTTGATTCTTGTCTGAATCGGTGCCGGCTGTGTTGGAAACTATGAGCAATTTCGAACCGGGGTAGGCGCGGCGAAGCTCTTGGAATTTGTCCTGTATGGGTCAACACTAGGCAACTAGAGGGAAAGCAGGAAATGAGCGGAGCATTGAGCTGAAATATTCAAAGAAAGGCCTAGTTGATGATGTTCTTTGGTGGTTTGTCTGCGACTTTTGAATTCGTCCTCGACATTGTTGCCTTTCCCGCTGAACCATGTTTTCGATCGAAGGAAGGTATTAAGTGAGGGGAAAGAGATAAAACAAAGACTTACGTGATAAGGTTTATGTATTTCATTGGTATGTGGGATTGCGAAACAATTGTCCTTGTCAAGGACCACCGCCTTTATCTCTACCTCTTTCTCGCCATCTCTCTTGGGGAAGGCTTTCGATAGGGGGACGGGAAGGTGATTGAATGTAGAGACAGTATGTTGTGGGAGGCACAGAGTTGGCTCCCTTAATAATCTGAAGACGTTGAGCGTGCCGGAGATATTCATCGGGGAGATGGGACAAACGCTTGATAAGATATGATAGGCTGCGCATGATCATAGAGAGTGAGGTGGTGATGACTAAGCCAGAGGTCCAAGCTTCACGCGCCCCAGAAGGCCTCCAAATTCATATCGACGACTTGCGACAACGACGCGAAGCGCGCAATACGGACCGACCGCCTACCCCGCAATCCGACCTAATTCTACTTCGACACGATGACGAGTACGATTGGCATACCGATCAAGCTCCTCAATGAGGCGGCTGTACGTTCTTCGTACCCCCACAATCTCTGGCGCATCACAAGCTCACCATGCTAGGGTCATATCGTTACCCTCGAGATCACGTCTGGCGAGGTTTACCGTGGCAAATTGATAGAAGGTATATACGCTTCAGCTCCCAGTCTAAGAATCTGGCTAACGTGCTGTAGCGGAGGATAACATGAATGTCCAGCTCAAGGACATCACCGTCACCGCACGGGACGGTCGCGTGTCGCATCTCGAACAAGTCTACATCCGCGGCTCTCACGTTCGCTACTTCATCGTTCCCGATATGTTGAGGTTCGCATCTCTTGCCACCACCAAAGAGACGACGTACTGATATCTGTAGGAATGCGCCCATGTTCCGGTCCCGAGGTACCCGAGGAAGAGGTGTAGGCCTTGCACGTGGTCGTGCTACAGTCAACAGGGCCAGGGGAGCAAGGGGCGGTCGATGAGCGGATGAAGAAGAGAGAGGATATACCACAAACAGAAAATGACCCATGAGCATGGTCACGTCCGGGGGCAGCCAGTGCACGGTTGCGAGGGACGAGCGGGCCCAGGAGAAATATTAAAGGAATTTGGATTGGTTCGGCGCGAAAAGGTACGAGATACCAGGATAGTAGCCCTCAGATTTATGAGCTTTCAGACTGAGATCAAAATTCAGAAATTTTCAGCCACAACGCAACGCAGTGCACCGAATTCGTGACTGAGATCAGAGTGGGTTTCTTCTCGACGTGGGGTTTCTTATTCAAACAGCGTACTCGTGTTAGTCCGTCTTCATTTCCATTCTCGCGAGTACAGCACTTGCTAAAAGCCTGACTAACGTAGGCTTCTACGTCAGTGTGAACGTCACGCATACTCATCACCAGGTCACACTTTTGGAGAAGTGTCATAGATCAAAGCGTCCTGGGTTATAAGATCGAGTAATCTTCCCCGGAAGCTTTCATGTGTTGGAAGCCTCTAGCCAACTTTCATCTTCACGCGCGAACGTGGGGTGCTCGCGGTTATCTAGCCCCACGCGAACACCTCCGAAACTCCGCAACCATCATTTGTCAACCAGCACCCCGCCATGGAAATCAACAACCCCCGGCGCATCCTCGCTGTCGGTGGCCCAGATTCAGGCGTGCTCTCGTTAATCAAAGGTGAGATTCTTGTCTGATGCAAAGAAATCTAGAAGCTAATATGCTGCCCTCTTAGATCTCACAGGGTCTGCCCCAGAGCTCATCACCAACACCACCGCCGGCCTCTCCCACGAGTGGAACGTCGAGACGAAATACTACACTGCAAAGCTGCCAATATGGATCGACGAAATCCCAGAAGTCTCTGAATGGCGCACCGAGTTCACAAAGCCTGAAGCAAAAGAAGTCGTCACTGCGATCGGTGCTTGGATCTACTGCTTCAAGAAGCCGATAACAGGAATGGACGTGGACACGATAAAGGATACCATGCAAGCGATCGCCAAAGTCATCGAGACGGCGTGCGGCTACAGCGACGACCATGTGCGCCTAGCGGTCGCCATGCCCCAGAGCATAACACCCTATCTGGACAAAAGTGCTGAAGATTGGGACGACTTGTGCATGGAGCACGGCTTCGAGTTTGTGGATAGCGAGGCCAAGGGCAAGAACCAATTTGGCGAAGAGAAGGGCATCAGGAGGGTGGAGGATGCGCTCAAGGCTCAAGAGTGGGATGGTGTTGATGCTGACGGCGACTTCGGTTTCGACGAGGATGCATTCGGCGAGGGACTTGATGCGGAAGAAAGAGAGATGGGCATGGAGTTCTTTGGCTTGAAGAACGCTGTGCACGGTATTGACGAGGATGAGGAGGCTCAAGTAGAAGAGCTTGAAGGTTTGATGCGCAAGATGGTCGCTATCAAGGGTATGTACATTTTCGAACTCGTATATATGCCGACGGCTAACTTTTGTCAGATCAAAGTGAGGGTATGTCCGAAGCAGAGCGGAAACGATTCGCCGCAAAAGCCGTCGACGACCTCATGAAAGACCTTTAAATCTACCCCTCTCACTTCTTCCCCAAGCATATCAGAAATGGGAAATCCATCTCCCGCTTCGACCCACCGTCCTTGGCCTCCACCTCCTTCCTCAGCTCAAACGCTCGCTCAACAACAACCTCATTAAAACCAACCCCATCAATGATATCCTCAATCTCACTCTTCTTTATCCCATGCCTCTCTACACCAGGCCTCTTACTCTCAGCATGAAATTCAATTGCCTCGGGGCCAGAATCCTCGTAATCTGTCAACGCAAGCATACCACCAGGTCTTAGGCAATCCTTCAGGGTAGCCAGCAGCTCCCCGAGCGAAGGAATATGGTGCAGTGTTAGGTGCGAAACGACTAGGTCAAAGCGATACGGCACATCTTTTCCGGACTCGCCCCGGCGTTGTGCTAGTGCGGCGGCTGCGGCTTGCAGATGGACATCATCCGCACTCTGCACGAGGACGTTCACGGCGGCGAGATTCGCGTTGGCGGGGTCCGGTAGCGAGGCGGTCTTCGCGTTGAAGGCGTCGATCATGCCGTCGGAAGTATCTACACCAACTATAGAACGGACGTAGGAAGAGAGCTGGAAAGAGAGGAGGCCGGTGCCGCAGCCGATTTCCAAGACGTCGAGATCTATGTAGAGGGTCAATTCATGTCGAATCAAAAAGGGGTGGATGAGGTGAAAGACTTTTTGAGGTTCCGTCGGAGAAGGCGGGCACATAGCGCTTGATAGCATCAAATGCCTTGTTGACGCCTTCGGCATGCTTCTTGTTCGAGTCCCACTGGGCGGCCTCTTGGTCAAATCTTGCATTGTTCACTTCTTGATTTGAAGCCATTAGTGTTGACGTGACCGTGCAGCCAATGTGTATTGGGAAGATGGAAGATGGAAGATGGCGGAGCGTGACAAGGCGTGGCAACTGATAGTGAGTTGAGGGTAAGTTCTAAATGGAAAAGAGCTTGGGATGTACGGGATTCGCGGGGGTGCGGGGTCAAGGTCGTAGCGTGGTGGATACGAAGGTACATACGAACAGCTACATGCGGCGTGCAAATCGAACGTTGTGTTCAGAGATGTTCTAGGTCAGGAGACTGTGGGCGTTTCGAACCGCTATGCAAAGGTTTAGAAGCCGAAGCAATCTGCTCCAGGTCTCAGCTTATGCACGTGAGGAGCATCGGCCAGTTCCTCGCATGTCTAGTTTTCTCCTCAGCCCCGATGACTTAGCATGTGCTGTTCATACTGTTATACACGATGAATTGGCCATTGCATGCCCACTACGAATAGACAAAGCTAGCCTCCTGCGAACCAGTGTTCGTGCGCCGCCGACGTGACGTCGCACAGACCTCGACAAAGTGGCTCATGACCATCGCGACGAATCACACAGCGCACGAGACGGTCACATGGCCTCGATGGCCTCTGGGTACAGTGCTCAGCGAAGGCCAGACGGAGGCTCACGTCGGCGTAGTCGGTGTAGATAGCAGATAGGCCTCGGAACTAGCGCGCCTTAGGTACCAGCCGTGTCCCCGCAGTTCTCGTGATCTCCCTCGGCCTGCGCAACGACTCCAGCAAAAAGATAGCAAGACTCGACAGCGGCTCGCTCAGGAGGCATTCCAGCAGTCCTCTCCCCCGGTTCGAGGCCACGCTCTGTCCATGCGACGCCCCCACTGAACGAGTCAGCGCGCACGCTCGACCTTTGTTGTACCGGAGACGTCTTGCAAGGCCGCACTACAGCGCTTGGGAGCCGTCGCAAGCCGACACATACCATACCATACCCACTCACCACCCAAGCATGTCCGGGGACGTTACCAACGCCTCGCCGCCGGGCCGAACTTCGCAACCGCCCTCGCACACCCGTACCTACCAGGCCTGCATCCCTTGCCGCCGCCGCAAGGTGCGGTGCGACCTGGGGCCCGTCGACAATCCCCACGACCCACCCTGTGTGCGTTGCCGCCGCGAGAGCAAGGAATGCTTCTTCTCCGCCACCCGCCGCAAGAGGAAGACGGACGGCGGCGAGCTGGAAGACGACGACGACTACGAGCTCCGCAACGGCAGGAAGCGCGCCCGCACAGAGGACGATGTCCAGATCCCCGCACCTCTCACCGCTCCAACTGGCAGCAGCAGCAGCGCCTCACAGTACGTCTCCCAGCCGCTGACGCCCGGCGGCTCCGTGGGACGGTACGAGCCTCTGCGCCGACCGACCACGTCGCATGCGCCGCACAATGACGACGAGGACCAGAAGCTCAACGACAAGTCCATGGCTGTCATGCAAACGGGCGAGATATACAGCGGCCACGATGCCCTCAATCTGCTGTTCGAAGCCGCCGGTCGCAACGGTGATATAGAACATCACCGCACCGGCAGTGCGTCGAGCCTCCAGCGACCCTCGATGCTAGGTCCTGCCAGCACGCCCGGCTCACAGGCCAACTTCGCCAGCCCGCAAGCGCAGTCTCACGCGCGGAATCACTCACGGGCCACTGCAGCAGAGCCCGCCGTCGACCCCGCCATCTCGCAGCAATACACGTCCCTGCCCGAGCCGCCCAACGAGGCGGCTTTCGCTGAGGCCATCAAGGCGTGGACAAAATTTCGCTTTGTGCGTGCCGGCTGGATGACTGCGAAAGAGGCGGTGAGGTACATTGACTACTTCTACACATATCTCTCACCCTTGACGCCCATTGTTGTGCCAGACTATCGCGATCACGCATTGCATGCGAAGCTGCTCAAGGAGGAGCCCATGCTTGTAATAACCTTGTTGACCATTGCGACCCGTTTCCGTACGACAGACTTTCCGCAGGGTCCAGGCGCGATATCGCGCGCGTATCTGATCCATGAGAAACTATGGAAGTACCTGCAGGGCATGATCGACCGCATGATCTTTGGCCAAGAGCAGTTCGGCGGCGGATTTTGTGGCGCAGGTCAACAACCAGGCTCGGACGTGAATCCTTTGTCGCGCAAGGGACTGCGGACGCTAGGCACAGTAGAAAGCCTCATGCTTCTCACCGAGTGGCACCCACGTGCCCTTCATTTCCCACCAGGTGACGACGATGATGAGTTGGTCCTTCCCGATGACTCTTTCGAAGCGGATATTCCCGCAAACGCAACGGCAGCGGAGCATCTCAAAGGAGAGAGCGGTCAGCGCATCGACAGCTGGCTGGAGCCCTGCTGGCGAAGTGACCGGATGTGCTGGATGCTGTTAGGCAACGCCGTGTCACTAGCTTTCGAGATAGGTGTCTTCGACGAGACAAGCGAGATCGAGTTCGAAGAGGCTAATCAGCACCTCTCCCACGCGACAGTAAAAGCCTACTTCAGGCGCAAGAACCATCTCAAGGACCTACTCATCATCTACGTGACACAGACTAGCGGTAGACTGGGACTAACATCGATGCTCCCTCAGGTCAAGCGCGACAGCGACTCCGTGATGCAGAAAACACCGCTCGAGCTGTATCAAGAGCGTGTGGCTCGAATAAAGGCGCCTCCGCCGCATCACGGCATGAGGCCAGATGGTCAGCGACTCCCCCTCGAATCGGTTGCTACCCAGGAGCGCCATGCCGTACAGGATCTCGTCCTTGACTTCTGGGACCGTATTGCCAAGATCATGGAGATAGGCAACCTCAAACTCTTTCCGAACCGACGCAGGACACGGGATCTGCTGAAATCCGGCAAATACGAGGAACTGCTTCAGAATTTCCAAACCCCGCTCATAGACTGGAAGCGCGGGTTCGAGGCTGCACCACAAGGTTCGTTTTCCATCGTAGGTTTTTGATGCCTTTTCTGACTTATGAAAGTGCCACCGCAACTTCGCCATGTCCTGGCGATCGAGTACGAATATACACGTGTTTATGTGAATTCATTAGCCCTCCAGGCCGTCGTAGAGCGCTGCACACACAATACGCCGCAGCAGACGCATGCCCAACCCAACGGAATGGGTTCATCTACGAACGATGAAGGCAGCGCCATCCCCTTCAGCACCTTGACTCGGTGGTACGGAAACGATAGGCACCACATTGATGAAGTCGTCAGTGCAAGTCGCAATGTTTTGAGTATAGTAGTCAACGGATTGTACCCAGAGGGCTATCTCCGCCATGCGCCCGTCCGCACCTTCTTCCGCATTGTCTCAGTAGCAATAATATTGCTCAAAACCTTCGCCCTCGGTGCAACGGAGAAGGACGTAGCCAAGACCCTCGGTCTCCTCGACCAGGCCGTCTACGCCCTACGCACCTCAATTGTAGACGACGTGCACGTCGGGAACCGCTTCGCCGACCTTGTCGACACGCTCACCCATAGGATTCGTGGGCGCTTCGTCCGCCTCGCGGCGAACGGTTCGACAGGCAACTCCCGCGGTGTCACACCACCACCCCGCAGCCGCGGTGAGACGCCCATGGGCCCACCACCTGCAACATACCTCCCGCAGAACCTTAACGGTGCAGCCAACGCCAACCCAAACTTCACCTTCGGCAACTTCACCGGCTTCTCGCGGCCCGGATCTCCAGGCAATCGAGGCATCACTGCCTCCGGTCGCGCCACGCCGATCCCGGAGTACAACTCGCTTGCCGGCATCTCACTGGAGTCGTACGACCCGACGTCCAACCAGATCTCTATTATGCCGCCGCCCGGATTCCCCGCGAACGGCTTCATCGGCAAAGTCGACGGCAATAGTAATGGGAATCCTGGCTGGCAGGCGCAGAACTGGAGCGGTGCTAATGGCAACGCGAACGGGGGTTTCCAAAATGAGGATTGGCTCGCGTTGCCGCTGGATCCACTCCTGGATCAGTGGGGCGCGGATATCAGCCAGACAGCTATGGGGCCGGACGTTGGCGGCATGGATATGCTGGACATTTTGCTGAATATGGGGGGGCCGCCTGGTAGTGCGTAGAGCAGACGCTCGACGAATACCCAGAGGAGCTCTCCGTTGCTTGGATGTGGCCGGCGGCGAAAGAGCCAGACGCAAGCGGTCCTGAATGATTCTTGGCAGAGACCTCGGTCTTCTGCAGTGGCGGCAGATGTGATAACAGTACGAAGGTGATATGATACCCGGACTTCGGTCTGCTTTCCGCGAGCGATTGCGGATTGCTTTCTTTCTTCTTCAAAGCACCGACGAATGGCAATTCGTCCCTGTAGGATTATTGGGCATACTTTCAGATGTCGAAAAGTTTGATATGATCTTCCTTGCGATATGATTTTCTAGAGGTAGTGGAGGTCGATGGAAGTGGTGAGGAAGGTGGGAACGAAGTGTCCTTTTGCCTTCCCGGTCAGCTAATGATCACCAGGTGAGGGAGCGATGGGGTAAGATGCTAGGCTCAGGTATGAGTAGTGAGAAGATGATATGAGAATCGAATGTATAATGACTCAACACATCTTGTGAGCATCTGCGGAACAGTCGCTTCACCAATGTTGTATGTGAATGACGAGTAGTGTTAATGCTGACCAAATGGATTTCACGTTACTTGTCCACTACTTAGCTGCCGATATTCAAATGTGCTCTCAAAGAGGGGAGGGCTTCTTCCTGAATAATCACTCGACGGCGGAAGCAGCGACTCTGCCCAGCAGCACTTCAATCGCCGTGGCGTGCAGTGAGCTTGGAAACACTGCGCTTGTGATCTTGTTGTTGAGTGAGATGGAGGACAGTAGCTAAGCATATGGAGAGAAGCGAGGATGGGCTTTTGTAGAGGAGAGGGAGGAGACTAAAGCTTCCCTCTGGTTTTGGACGCTGGAGGTTGAGGCGGATGGGCTTTGAGTGGGACGGACGTGTCCTGCAAAGAAGAAGAACAGGACGTGGAAGTGTCTAAGGTGATTGGCGGTATGATGAACATGAAGATGAGGATGATGGTAAATTGACGGCAAGTGTTGGGTGATGTGCAGTTGTTCAGAGTTGTGAACATAAATGATATGGCTCAGTACGGTAGACGTGCAGACGTATCGGTTGAACCATGAGTAAAAGCTTCTGTCGCGCCTCTCGTGAATCGATTGTTTCGTGCGATTCATGACCTCTCTGCAGGAAATCTCACGACCTTGGCATTTAGGAAGACAGATGATGATGCGGACGAGGGATGAGCTGAATGACAAAACGATACAACAGTACCGAAGACGTGGAAAGAACTTCAAATCCCTCGCGTAATCCCACACATCAACTCCTCCTCTCTCAACTTTTGCTCAATATCTCCCCTCATAATTGTCTCAATCTCCAATTGCGTCAACGTTTCCGGGTCTGCCATCGTCATATCTGCGACATGTGGATCTGCCTGTTGTGGTTCTTGATGCTGCTGTTGGTTTTGCTGCCCAACTAGACTTCTCATCAATGTCCTATCCCGCGGGGTCTCCATGCCGCCATAGGATTTCCCCGATGCTCGAACTGCGACCTTGACAAGGTTACCGGCGGGACATTCAGGTTGGTCGGAGAGCTCCTTGGCGATTGCTAGTCTGTAATTGCCGAGCAGTGTACGTTTAAGAGAAATTTCTGGGGTTAGGAAGTATGGGTCACCTGAGGAAACTTGCTCACTGTCGACGCGTTTGTAAGTTTGGGCATTTGGCTCGACTTTGACCCGATCTCTAAGCTCTTCACCCCGACGGAGCCCGAACTGGGTTTGTAGAATGGTGTATCGGGTTTCATCGTTGCAAATGCAAGTCGTGTGGTCTGGACGTCGGTATTCTAGGCAGACATTGTTGATGACCGCATATGTTGCAGTCAGGTAGGAGTCTTTGAGCAAATGTGACCACTCGTTGCCCCTGCTAGCGATATCCACACCAATTTCGCTGTTCTGATGGAGGAATGCCGCACGTAGACCCGACTCAGTCTTGCCCGTGCTATCAAGCACATCTAATACACTTCGCACCAATTGCCCAGCTTGGGCTCTGTGCGCAGCGTGAGTGTTCCAGAAAGTGTAGACCGCTTCATTTGACTGCGTTTGCAGCGCTTTTGAGAAGTCCCCACCCCAACGCGAGTTTTTCCACCCGGGAATTTGTCGCTCTAAGAGATCTTGAACTGAGTCCATTAGAAGGATGGCTTTTAGCGGCACACGCCTTGCGTTACCAGTGCAATGGCTAACCTCTACACCAAAGAAACTGTTCAATATCCCTGGGTTGGCTCTTTCGGGTTGAAACCTCCATTTGTCTAGCGCAAATTGCTTCACCGTCGTTTCTGGGATTTTCTTGACATTTCCTTGGATCTGGAAGGCGACGACTTTGGGTGCTGTGAATTGCACCGCCACAGTAGCGCCATCCAGCATCCACGAAGATGGGCCTGGTCCCAGAGTCCTCATTACATCTCCAAAGTTCATCTCGAACTCTGAGAGTGTGTATGTGCAGCTTGGATTTTCGCGCAGATCCGTCCCTATGAGTAGCTTGTCGGTGAAGTTCATTCTGAGAGGTTCGCTCCTGGATATTAGTGAAGAGAACCGTCGCATATAATCCTGAGGCCAGCTGTACCAATGGCATTGAACAGCTCCTGGGATGTCGCTCGATGTGCCACTACGGACGCGTCGTATGCATCCTTTCGAAACGTGATACTTGGTGACTATCTCCTTCTCGTTCGCGATGCCCTCGGCCCATATTGGGCCCCAGACGTCCGCAAGCGTGCCAATTTGTGTGAGGATGGATAACTTCGCTTTCGTATCGCTTGGTGCTACATTGAAAAATTCCCCCGCAAGCCCCGCAAGCCTGATCACCCAGACGGACTTTGAATCCAGGAAGCCTCCAAGGCAAGCTAAAGACCGTCTGCTACACGTGAAAGAAAGTCCGCTATCCTGAGCAACACTTATGAAATCCGTGTCTTGTTCAAGGTGAATGACATCAAACCTCGACGCATGTGATCCGGCGTAGCAGACCAAGCCAAGATCGAGCATGTATACCATCATCCGGCACAGGTCCAGAAGCTGGTTATTGTCACTGATGACATGTATCAATTGGGAGCAATCAAAGATCGCAATAATGCTCTCAATAGCAGGATGCAAGCATTGTGAAACCCCTTCGGCAGCCTCGACAGGGTCAACGGGTTCCAGGGCGTATGCAATGTCGATCGCAACTTCCATGGCTTCTTTGAACCTGTTTAAAGGCTCTATATTGACTTGGACCAGCTCTGCCACTGTTCCATCCGCACGTTCAAACAAGATGCTGAAGAATTCCGAGCAGAATTGCCTGGCATTTAGGTCCTCGAAGCTTTGTATGACACCCAACAGAGTCCCATATATATCGCAAAGTGCCGGGACACATGGACGGGCCATGAAATCATTCTCTGCAATAATCTCCGAGTATATCTGATAGACCCGTGACGAGGTCTCGGCCTTGTATGCCACATGTTGCAGTTCTTCGACGCTCCGAGGATTCCACGTTCGATAAGTCCCACCAGAGCGATAGTATTCCGAATTGAGTACCGTTTTACGCTCAAGAGAATCAACTAGTGTATGATGCGCTTGGGGATCTACAATATGCGTATCCGCGTCGTAATGCCCTCGCGCGGCCATTTCGCGCCATTTCTTAACCCTCTCTTCAGCTTCTTCATCAGAAGGGAACAGGCTTTCCGAATTCACTACATTTGATGCATCGCGATATACGCTTCTTAGGCGGAGGACGAGCGAGAGTGTGGCGCCTTCCTCAATGTTGTAGTCGGAGAGGGTTCGGCCATCTTCTACCTCTTTTCCGACGTAGATGAGTCTCTGCTGATCAGGCGAAATGCCGAGTTCATCTTGGACCTTGCCTTTTACATTTCCAATTGTGTCAGATGATTCGGTATCAATGCCTACAGATCGGCCAGTGACTACGATCAATAGTTGTTAGTGCAAGTGGTACCATATTTCTCGTATATGAGGACAACTCACGCGTTTTTATGGTGATCCTCATTCTTCCAGCTCTTGATGGACGTCTTCACACGTTCGTTATCTTGATACTCTCACAAGGGTGTGGGCGAAAGAAGCGAAGATGTCGGGCTACCTCCTAGGCTACGGTGTGACGGTTATAAGACGCGACAGGTCCAAACGCAGTGTGGGGGCTGTGTGCCGCTCAGCTGAACAGCGTGGCGTCCATTTGGACATGGGTCCATATGCAGCCTCGTGAACGATATGATAGGTGCGAAAGAAATCATTTGCATCACAGCGACCATTACCTTATGGCTGGAGGCGAGTCTAGGGGAAGTCGCATCGTCTGTGAATTGTAGGCCTCATTAACAACACAAGAGATTTCACAGCACTCTGTTGTTATGCATCTTTACATGTAGGGAACATATGGTTTCAGCCTCGCCTGCCCTGGTATCGCTAACGTTCAAGGCTGTGCAGGGCGACAATCCAATTGGCACCCAGCGCTTAGGCCGTAGTAGCGAGATAGAACAACCTCTTCCGAGGCCTAATCTACAATGAGACTTAACTCGTCCCCGCCGTATCGTGCATCTTGTCATCTTTGAGGCTCTCGAGTAAATGAAGGGTCTAAGAAGCCGGGACCGCCTGAACCGACCCCACTCCAGCCATGGTCGCAGCCAAAGAAGTCGTCGTATCGGCCACGACCACGATCAACGAAGTCTGCAGGGCTGCCGCAGAGACAATGTGGGTCAGACCAAGATCGTGAGTAGACACAAATACTCCAGGTCGATGCAGATCGATGTGTAATTGTCGCAGCTCGACCTCGGTGCCGAAGAAGCTTTCCTCACTATGCTGTATAGGGTATTATTGGTTCCATGTACACATTCGCCGCATGTATCTCTGCAGTTCGGTGGCGTGCGAGGCGGCCTGTTGCTCAGGAATAAGCTCATCACTGAAGCCAAACTAGGTTGCAGATGCGTTTCTTAGCTCATCAATTGAGGTTCACCCAGCTCTCGCATTCAAAGTCCATCGCATCGAGCCATCTCATGAAATCACCGTCATTGCCTGTTTGGAGAAACGGGCTCGTAAGGCTCGGATCACCCAGATCCTGAGCACTTGAGTCGTCTCTCGACGGCCGCACGGGTTCCGGATCCAAAATCGTGTCGAGAATCTTCTTCAGGAACTTGCGCCCTCTACTGCAACTCTGGCTGCCGTTCGTAAAAGGCTTGACAGTGCCCAAGCACGCGACGAAGACCGAAAGATCCTGGATGGTGTTTGACCGTGGAAGGGGATTGGCCAACGCCGAGGCTGATGTTGGGTTTTGTTCCTGGTGGAGGAGCTCCATTGCGATGATGGACGCCGACGGAATGCCGTCCATAGTCAGTAGCTGGATAATGTCGAGTTGGAAGTCGCGGAGGATATGCATATTGTTCACGAGGAGCACAACGAAACTGAACATTTCCTGAGCGATAGCCAACAACTTGGAATTATCGGCACCTATCTTCTTGATGAGTGTCCGTTGCAAGAGAAAGTGATGATTCAGACTGTCCAAACGGATATAGGCCATGTAGAGCAGCTCAATCGGTTGTCGTTTCAGCTCAAGGAAAGGCTGGTCATCGATGCGAAGGAACTCTGGTAAACTTGCCTGAAGTTCGATTGCTCGTCGTTCGATGTCAGCAGCCCGCCGAATAACCTCCTCGTGCGGTAGTGGACCTAACGAAACCTCCAGTATCTCTTCGGCAAGAAGTGAGTTTGGCATGAACAAACGCGCAAAGGTACTTCGCTGAATTCGTGCACCTGAGTTCCAGCCTTCGTCATCCAGGCTTTGCAACGCAATCTCGAGGTGAGGACCCTCTGACATGAGTTGCTCGTCAGTCAGGTCAAGCGGAGATTGCAACATGCAATAGCTTCTAGTGAGTCGCGGGGGCCGTCCATTATATATTGCCGAGTATTTATCATTTTCATAAGCACAAATGAAGAGTCGTTTCCGTAATTCCGAGATGAAGAAGGGAGTATTATCATCGACCTTGATCTCCTGGTGGAGGTTGAAGAATATCATAGCAGTTGCGAGGATGCCAGATCTCTTCCAGTTTTCGAAAGACCCCCTGCTGCGTAGTGAGCAATAGAGTGCGGTATTCTCGTATAAGAACCACAAGTAGAGGTCGTTCACAATCGCGAAGTCTTCACAGAAACCAATGCAGATCTCCGACGCATTGTGCGTTCTCAGTATAAGGGCAGCTCGATCCTCGAGAGGTGCGTTGTGCGAACAGAAGATTGGGTCAGCATCAGACAGACTCTGGCAGAGCAATGCGACCAACGTCATTAACATACCGACGATCTCCCATCGAAGGTTCTCGCCCGTAACTGCAGCACAAAACTCACGGGGACTTGTATGCCTATTGAGCAACCGTGATACTGGTTTTAAGGTGTTGTGCCAGATTCGCTCTGACATTCGTCTAAGTTCTTTTGGGTTTTGCTCCTTCAGGGTTTTCCCCCATGCTGTCCATACGCCGGAGGTGAATATCTTGATCATTGGTTCGACTAGGACGATACCTCTGCCGAAGGAAAACCATTTGTCAAGGTAACGCTGAAAGATTGTTGGATCTTTCAGAAGTGTGAGCACGGCTGCACCTCTCTCAATATAGAGCGGAGATACGACTGTTGAGGTAGTGGGATCATCCGCATTCGGTTGCTGGATCCCGATGCTCAATTCGTATTCGTCCAGAATGGCGGTGTGGTGCACAAAGCCCGCTGCTGGCAGTTTGTTCAGCGAGTCACCTCTCACGTGGGCCTCGGGAAGGGGCCGGCGGAGCTCCTCGATGCTCTGTTGCTCATAGGTGAGTGTTGCCCGAGGTTGAGCTGGAAGACTAGTTGCTCGGGTTGTCCTTGGCAACACAGCCTGTGAGTTGACCACGTACGAAGGTTGCGAGGTTACTACGTAATCTACCTGAGGTGTCGTAGTCAAGGGAGTGACAACGGGCGCAGGTGCAGACCACTCGACTGACTGGACAAGGTTGGGAGGGCTTCTGGGATTACTCTCGGTTGATGGTGTAGGAAGGCCGGTCCGCTTCGTAAGGGGCGCTGGATGATAAACACATTGCTGTGCTTTGTTTCGTCGAGCACAGCGTCCACATGTCGGCGTCATATGATCGCAGCGTAACTTGCCTCTCCGACACGGCTCACAAGACTGCAATTTGCCATTGCGTCGGTAATTTGTGTTGAGAGTCCGATCTCGGTGGCCGGCATGCAACCGTGCTGGGAATATATTTCCCGTCTGTGTGCAATGAGTGAGAGGCATGAAACTTGCACGTAGGACAACGGACCATCTCGAGTTGGGCTAAGCTCTTTTAAGCTGGGATTATTCGGTGCTCGGCGGCTCTGAGACACTGTTGATTGCGCCGCAGTTAACGTGCGATGTTTTAGCGTATCCTCTGCAGAGAAGAGATCATCACCATCTGCGTGGACCGTAGGCGCCTGCTGAGGCAGCAACGATGGCTCACCGACTCGTAAGCCAATTCCGATGCCGATACAGGCTCTACCAATGGTTGTAGGAAGTGGGAAGAGCAATTCGATGCATTGCGCCAATGCCGTCAGATGAGCGCGTGGCCTGCGTATGCAAGTCGATGGTGCGGAGTTTGAACGCCGCTGAAGCGATGCGGAGCTGGAGATGGGACGTTTCTGACTCAGGCAGCCGCGGAATTCGATTTCGCTACAGCGTCCTATCGGAGGTCTGCATTGCATCGACTACCCCTGTCATTCCGCATCACCATCCTTTGACTCCGTCGTGAATGCGGAATTCGCTTCTTTTCGCATCTTTTCCTACTTCGGTTAAAGCGTCTCCCGGTCACGACAACCACGCATGGTCCTGTGGCCTTGCATCCTCACTCGTCAGATATCCTCTCTCGGCGAGTCTAAACAGCTAGTGGGATGGCTCCCATACCAGGAACGCGAAGTACGGCACTGCCAATGCAAGCCTGCATCGGTGAGGGATCCAGGCAGCAACATTCGTCCCCTGCAGACGTGGACATTCGTAGCCTTGTTTAGTCTGTTTCTAATTCCGCCTTTCAGACATCGTTTGATTATAAAGATTGATGTCTCTATGCCACGGTCATCAGGCATCCATCCACTTCAACACAGCACTCCTTGTTGCTGCTCCAACATTGATCAAGCTCTCGACAACTCGCGAAAATTTCACACCAACATCTCCAGATTGACCTTGCCTTTGTGCTTATCAATTCTTTCGCAGCCTCCCTGAGCTTTCACGATGCCATCCAACAGCAACGGCAAGAACAACAACAATGCCAACTATGGCACCGTTCAATCCGAAAAGGACAAGCTTCCAATCTACACATCACGAACCTCGACCGACTCAACTGCTTCAACGGACGCTCTGCTACAGAAAGAGTCCAAGACGACATCGGCCGAAAAGAAGAAGTTAGCCGAAAAAGCATTCTTGAGCAGTGAGTACATGGATAGGTTCACGAAGGACGTCACTAATGCGATGAAGCTGCATACAGAAACTCATTCCAGATGATTTGAAGTAACACGTATCCGCGAGCACTTACAATTAGGTAAAGATACCTTTTGCAACTATTACCCTTCCGATACTGGATCCTTTGACACCACCTCCTCGCGAGCCGTCTCTTTGCGTACCGGACACACACTCGATGCGGCATACGTGAGGAGGAAGCAGGCATGGCGTGCATGGGGATGCTAGATACAGCTGGACATACCCAGGTTGCTCAAACAGGGTTCAACTGATGCAATGGTCGTATTTCGGCTATAAGAACAAAGCTGTAGATAGTTTTGATTCACAAAACCAACGGCGCATTTTATTGTCAATGACAGAGTAGAGTTATGTTCGCATGCACTCTCGGGACACCCTTTAGATGGCTGCTTGACGTGTCAAGCTTCCTCTCTACTCCAAAGGCTGACTACCTCCAATGTTTACTTCTGCCACAGGCATCATTAGCATGCGAATCAAAACCTGAGATCTGTAAATACTGCGCCTGGATCGTTCTTATGACCTGAATATGCCGTTGCCCATTTCTCACTTGCAGTGGTCATTGTCGTTGTGCATGCATCAACAGCTTCCGGGAACGTTGTTCGTGGCTTCTCTATCTAACACGTATGCCAAATCTCTCGCTAGCATGGAGGTGCTACGCCAACCGGGGTGATGCTGTGGACTGTTTGAACTTTGTCTCTTTCGCCGCAACTCATGGGCTCACTGTTCAACCTGTGATTTGCCCTTTTTTCATGAAGACGATTGATTACTTCCTTGAGATTGGTCGCGAAGTGCTGGAGACTGTAACCAACTACAAGCCGTGGACTGCAACCGTCGTTGTCGCATCTTAACCAACAGCATTTCAAAACCGGAACGGATAATGCTGGTCGGCCAAGTGTCACCTGAACATTACCAATTAATCGAGAATTGGTTCACGCAAGGAATCAGTCCAATGAGGCGCTGAATGGATTGCAGCAGAACGCCACCAATACCTTCATCTTCCGCAGAGCGGCTGAAGAATTTTTCATGTCCACTACATGGAATCAAGCCAGAGCTTACGCCGATTTGTCTTATCTCTGGAAACCTCCAGGATTGCTCACCAACATTTACGCCCGAACGCTCAGCCATCCGTGTCATCTTTCTTAATGGAACATCGATCAAATCCTCACGGTTGAAACACCTCAGCGCAATATGATCAAGTCACAACCTTAACACCACTATGGAATATGAAGTAGATGTTTTGCAATATACGTATAATGTTCCTATATTATACTGTTTAGCCTTATCAATGCAGCCATTTGCTGATTCGGCTATGCCTTCCGACCCAAAACTCCTTCTTCGGCCAAGTCATCATCGCCATCAAAGTGTTTATTCCTTGCAGATGGCTCGCGCTGGAACTCGCCTCTCGAGTGATTACAACTGGCCTACAGTGCAGCCTTTCCTGCGATAATGTCTTCTGTGAATAGCTTGTGTTCCTCGGTCGGATCCGCATGGATCGTCAAAATTCTCGTCGTGCAGCCAGAGTACGAGTCCCTGGGTACGTAGCGCCATACGCGGGAAGTCGGTGCTAAGCGATTCTGTTCAGCGAGGCAGAAGTGCATCTATTTACATTCATTAGCAGCATACCACCTTCATAGACTATTCTCTCACTCACCTCGCGACCAGAAGAACTACCATCCACTCCCCAGCCGTCCCACTTCATCAACCCAGCATTCGAACGGTATGCGCTCAGAAGAAAGTTCAGATTGAGCACGATGAGCAAGACTAGCAGCGTGTACCCGATGAAGCTGAGTATGTCAGACCATTCCCACTCCTTCTCGTTCTCGTTCTGCTCGCCGTTCTCGCAGTGGTCAAAGTGTTCGCAGTTACCCAACCGCGACTCTTCGTCTGCGTTCTCCTCCGTTATAGCATCTTCGGGTATACGTGGCAGAAGCGGTGCTCGCGAGCAGTGCGTTCTACATGGTGTGCGTCCTCGCTGACAGTATTCGCTTGTGCGTCGCTCTGGTTGGCTTGAAGTACGGAAGTATGTGAGGAATGAGGCGCGCGGAAGAGCGTCCACGGCGTTTGAGCGTCCTGTTGACATGGCAGACTATTTCTGTTGTATTCGTAATGTTGATGGTAGTCAATGCTCGACTGATAAAAGTACTTCGATGTGATGCTCAAGGATGAAGCGTGCCTTTTAACTGTGTGCGAGGTGCTTGCGCGCGATGACGGTGACGCGCGTGATGTGGGTAGTACATGATGTACAGCCTATTTCCTATATCTTAAATGCGCCTGCTTGAAAGCTGTCGAAAACGGAGGTGCGGGCGATGGATGCGGGAGTTGGTGGTTTGCGGAAAGCGAGAGGTTAAAGGAATGCGTGATGCGACGTAAGGAATGCGCACCCGCGCACAGTAGGAAGGCGCAACGACAGTGGACGAACACCTAATAACAATGGACTTCTAGCCTTTTTCTATTTATTCTTGCTCTGTCCATGTTCGCGGCGTGGCAAGCGTAGAGTGCTGCATCGAGAAGCCACTCGAAACAACAGAGCCCACGAGACTGGAGATGCAAAGGCCATTAGATCGATCCATAAGCTAGGTGAGAATAATAGAGATGGTAGCCTTAAACGTGTCCCAGCCCAGCGCTGACACTTCACCTCTGCCCTTGTTACTCTCTTGTACTGCCGCCGCATTTAAATTTCATACTCTTTAATGACGCTCGGCACTTTCCTAGAGATTTACAACATGTGATGGTGATGAGAATCAGTATATATGACTATGACTGCGAAAGCAGGCATGCAGACCGACGACGCACACTGCCATAGTTTTCCGCGGAGTCACGCCGTAGGCTGAAACACGAATCATACCCATATAGCCGGTGTCCATTTTCATATATGTAGGGGATTAGATTGTAGATTATATCATCCCACTAAAGGAAGAGTAAGTCGAAAGTAAACTGTGGAGAGGCTGAAAGTTTGGCATGACCTTGCTGATATACCGCGCTTGAGCGTTCGCATGGGTTACGCGAAGCTCAATAGGCCCTCCACAGCGCTCGAATAAAACAGCCCGAACTTCTTTAATTGTCACTCCTTGAGTAGTAGTCGACTTGCATGCCTATGTTCATCGGCTATGTCCACATTCCCAAGTTATTCGTGAAGGTGTTCACTTCCCCAGCATCTCGTTTCCCTAATCTTTTTGCATCTTCCAAATTACTCCTCCTTGATTCTACCAGCAAGTCGTGTCACTATCTTGATGATATAATTTTGAATACGGTTCTGTGGTACCGGCCCCACACGCAGCATCCATCATCCAATGCATCCACACAGCCACCTGTAAACATCCCCTTCACCTCCTCTTCCACTCTATGCCTTCGGCTCCTTTCCTCCAAGATCTCCACTGTCCCTCGCCAGACCGCCCTCAGTTTTCCCATCACTTGGCCACGTCACTCCGAAATCATTATCCTGCCCGGCGGCCCACCTCCTCAATTCATTGATGTCCACACTCTCCAGCGCACTCTCATGCGTAGCCTCCAATTTCACCCTCGCATCCTTTATCCCACCGTCCACCGCTTTCTTCCAAGATGCGGTGTCAATGCAGTAGCGGGAGCCGTCTTTTACACCTGCGCCGCGCAGATCGAGACCGTTCTTGGAGGAGAAGTCGATGAAGGAGGCGGTGAGGATGGCGGCGAGGGGGAGGCAGAGTCACAGAAGCCGGCGGTGACACTTGAGGGCAAGGTTTTAGACGCGGTGGAAGGGTGAGAATGTTGGGTTAGGGGTTTGTGGAAGACTGGAGGTGGTTAGAAGAGGTAAAGGCGATGTCGGAGGAGGCAGGGACACACCATTCTTCTGCTTCACGTCTACCGCATTCTGCTCGTGTTTGTTTGACATCGAAATTTTTAATGCTTTGCGATGGAGGAGGGTCTGGCTTTGGTTCGGAAATTTGGGATGGTGTCAGAATGTGCGTGATGGTGCTACCGCGATATTTGACTGAGTGATTGTAGTAGGAGTAGTCATAGGATTGCATACTCCATGAGGCGAAAAGAGACGCCGTATTGAGAAAGTGGACTATGACTACGCTTAACCCCAATCATCAATGTAGTCAACATGACAGCTTCTCGTCGCGGTCCTGACGTCAAGGAAAGACGCACTTCAGTCGTTGCTTTCGTGATGCTCCGATATTGGAATCCCTTAGAGGAGTCAAAATGTAGCTTAATCAACATAGAATCATAAGAGATCTACAATTCTGCATAAGCCGTGAGCATAAAGGTAGGAGCATTGCTCGTCACATTTCGCGCTATACCGTAAACAGTGAAAGCGCGATCGAATACCACATCTTCAACACGGCTTGCGAATATTTACAGAGCTAAATTCGGCGTGACTTCATTGAGGAATATGACACAAGGGGTTTGACAGTCTCAGAGGTATCCAGAAGAAGTATTGTAGGCAATTGAGAAATCATGATGTCGTTGGTACTTACGGTGACGTCATTCATCTCTTGTTTGCGCGTTCGAGCCGTCCTCACCTCAGTGTACGTACACCATCCAGCCAATACTGCATCCTTCCAAATAAGAACTGCGCTCTTGCTCAATCGATCGTTCGCGAACGTTGGCTCGCTTCAATGTCGGCTTCATACGCAGACATGGCTCCCAGGTGTTTGATTGGGTCACTGGAAAAGTGCCGCAGCGGATGCCGTACCTCGTCCCTTTCCCGGAGACCTAATGCTGGACCCCAACAATTTGGTGCAGCCCTTTCAACGTCTACTGACACATATTCTCCGCTAGAATTAATTCGCGATGGAGCCTCAATCAGCGATGGACCGGTTATCCTGATTTTGACAGTCAACATCTCCGTTTGCCGATGCTTTTGCAACCCATCCAACGGAAGCTCAGTGAGCTGCAATACGTGCAGTTGATTGTGTTCAGATTCGATGACATCGCATCATATAAGTTTTTACAATGGCAAATACACCTCGCTAATTGGCCGGTCTCAAGTAAGTCAACATTCGATGCTTGACAAATTTAACGTGATCAACAACGTCATTTGGTCGATAGTACATGTCTCGAGCGATTCCATCGAGAGTTCACCAATTATTATGCAAAGCTTATGGGGTTTCTATGGAACTGTGCACTGGGCTGTGGTAATAATGGTGCACCACACAATTTCAAGCTTACCACGAAACGGTACTGACGGCATCCTATCGGCACTAGCGGCCCTTTCGGTGTACTGCTTCTCCTAGACGTGAGAGTGATGGAGGTCTCTCAGGTTGAGGTAAGTTCTCAGAGAAACTTCGTCCCGAATAGCGATGAGATTGTCCCTTTGCGAATTATGGTCATTCTCGCAGATACAGGATTAACAGCTTTTCCCAATCCACGCCCATCCGAATACACGAAAAACATTACACAACAAAAGCGACCTACATGCACCGGCCTCACTGCGAGCTCATCCAGCAAGTCACGGTGATTCGAGATAGCAGCGCTTTGCACGGTCGTGAAGATCTCTGGTTGCATGGTATTTGGTATCCGTGACATCTATGACCGGGCCGTATAAGACGCGTGAAAATCTAGCAAGGAAGTTCTTTCAATATACGATAGAATCTTTACTCATCAGTCGAGGCATCCATGGGGAAGATGTTCCTCTCATCGCTTGTTCTGCTGCTCAGCGCTGCGGCTGCGCCCCCAAACAAGTCTACGCCAGACTACAAGAACCTGACAGTAGCTATCGTCCGTGCAGAGCGAGCGAACTAGCCCATACCACTAATAAACAATAGACCTAACCGCCACCGTAGCAAAGGGCGTGAAGCTCATGGAGAACGCAGCAGCAACGGCGCCAATCTGAATGTCTTTCCGGGGCTTTGGTTTCCCGGGTACCATTCCCAATCTTCCAGAACGCATCGACCACGTTGACGTTCCGGCCTCTAGATACCCCAAAGGCATTGCCGACCCAACCTTTCTCGCTCTTCTCTATCAGAACTAGGGGCGCGCCTCATCGACGCCGCAGTATATAACTAGATCTACATCGCACAAGCCTTCTCACACAGATATAATGGTGTCTGTATATGGGCCAAGCACTCATCAGTCGCAACGGTACTGCCTTCGTGCGTAACAAACTGCAGCCCTCGGGTGGCGAGCAACAGATCTTCGTCAGATGGAACGATGGACGAATCGAGGGTGTTGAAGACGCCGTATGGACAGTGGGATATCTTGGGGTGCTGGGAGCACTTTCAGACGAGTATGACGTTCAAAATGCAGGCGCAGGCTGAGACTCTGCACATCGCTGCGTGGCCTTGTAAGTCTATTCCTGATCTCGTAATATGAGCTTGGGGGCGATTGTGGATAAGATGAATTACAGACACACCCGACGAGAACGATGCCACGGCGACGAACTGGAAATCCATCGAAGTCAACCTCCGGCGGCACGCGTCTATGCTGTGAATGCGAACACGAACACGTCGCTGGTCTTCTCCTTGGTCGGCAACGCGCGGTTCCTCGACACTCAGGGTCTAGACCTGACAGCCAACATGCCGCCACGGAAACGGAATAGGTGCCGCTAGCGTATCAGTCTTTCGACACGACCGGCCTCGCTAAGAGGGTCTCGTATACGACAGATGGAAAGCAATCGTGGGGCATCTTGCAAGAAACGTTCGATGGGTTCCCAGGCTATACTCCGAAGATTGGAGGAGAATCTGTGTAGAGACAGATACATCTGATTAGGGACCTCCTTGCGGCCGTTGGGAGAAAGTGAACGTTGCTTGTTCGAAAAGGCTAAGTAATATGTAGTGAGGAACCGCAAAGAGTCGACACTGGCACTTTGATCGAACCAAGCAAGAATGGCCAGGATGTCATAAAGAATCTCTTCAGTTCAAGACAGTGAACAGGAGTGTTCGCTATTTTTAAAAATCGTCAACGGGGACGAAACCATTGTACTGCGTCTACAAGGATTCGAACGACACCCAACGCTAACCACATTCAGTGAGGCGCAATTTCTCGCAGGGCCAGCTGGAAGTGTTCCCCACGCCCCGTCAATACCTAGATTCCTGCAACGCCCAACATCATAAACGACCGATAAGCTTTCACATGACAGTTGCGCAAGAAGGATTTGACCCCGGAATTCAATGGTGTGTCGCTAAAACTTACCTCCTTTCCTTGCGCAAGCCTCCTTGAGCCGAGACGAAAGGAGATGCCACGCGCTTTTTGGAAACACTGCCGAGGTGGTTCGAGGACAACGAAGATGCCAAACACCAATTGATGGAAGCCTAACGACGCGTCACTACTGAATGACGAATACGGAAATGGCTAACAATCTGCCACCTACTTTTCAGGGTCAACCAGTCGACTGTTTTTAACTTCACTAAATGCTTCTGGTCATGCTGCTAATAAGCTTCTGAAAGCATTGCGATGCACTTCCATCACACCGGACACACCTACTTCCACCAATGTATGTGTGGATGAGCGCAATCGTTAAGATCGGTTGCCGGCGATACATCGGACGCGGGAGCGGAAACGGCGCCCTGTAGCTATATCACTGTGTGTACCTCCTTCGGCTGGATGGCGAAGTAAAGTTGCGGAGGCTTGCTCCTGGGATGATCGGGACCATCTATGCGAGGCAAACTACGGATGTACCTGGCGTATCGAGTGTATTTAAGATTTAAGATCAAGCGCTATATGGGACGCTAGCCCCACCCCCGCAACTTTGTTGAGGCTCGTTCGACGCGGAGAACAGCCATCATTCGATTTGAACTTTGGCTTTTCAGCGATTCAGCTCCAGTATACAGTCCAAGTTCCATCTAAGGCGATATGTGACTTGGAAGCATGAGAGTATCATGACGGTCTCAGAATTGCTGCGATCTCCCTCCACGCCACCTGAACGCGTCAATGACTAGCCGCATACTTAGCGACTGCAGCGGCTCGAGTCAGAGCCGTGATCGAACTACCATATCCATGCACCTGGGCTTCGTAGGCCCTGGATCTGCGGTCAGCCATGCGATCGTTCACACAGGGGCGCATGTGGCAGATTCGGGCTAGTGATACGCCTCGATTTCGGTCGTCGAACCGGCTTGGCAACTGAGGCTAGCAGTCATATATCACGCCTTACTCCACTGTGCTGATGAAGTGTTGGAAGACCGAGTTTGTTCCTAAACAATCGACAACAACGTTTGCCTTCGTCCGTATACGCGGCATTCACCATGTCCTCCGACAACCCCCGTGGGAGGCGGGCTATTGATGTCGCGGCTGCATTCACGGGCATCGCGGGTGTCATTGTTGCCCTTCGTCTTTACACACGATTCTTTCTGATAAGATGTCCTGGTGTCGAAGATTACATGATCACTGTAGCAATGGTGAGTAGCTCACAGTCAAACGTAGCAGGTTGAGGACTGACGTGTTCAGGTGTCTTCGATCGGTCTGACCATCTGCATTGCTTTCCGTTTGTACTACTTTTCCTGTTATGTCAATGCTATCTAACTAAAAGCAGAGGCACATTGGGGAATGGGCCAGCATGTCAGTGATATCGATCCAAACAACACTGTGAAATCTCTCCAGGTATAATATCAAATTTTGAGAAGCACGCATACTTGTACTAATACGTTAAAGGCATTTTGGGCTTCACTTCTCACGTACAATCTGGCTCTCATCTTGACCAAGGCTTCCATACTGCTACAATATCGACGAGTCTTCACCACAAAGTGGGTTCAAATCGCTTGTTGGGTCATCATCGGCTTTGTGATAGGTTTCGGTATCTGGACGATGCTCGGCAGCATATTTGCCTGCGTTCCCGTGCAAGCATTTTGGACGGAGCAACCAGGAGCGCGATGTATAAATCAGTTTGCAATGTGGTTGTACGTGACATCGCGTCCTATGGGCTTGCTCAAATACTGACTATGACCCACAGCACGAATGCGGGGGTGAACATCTTGCAGGATTTCTTGATCATCCTCCTGCCTATTCCAGTCATACGAGGTTTAAATCTGGGCAAGCGTCAGAAGGGAGCATTGATCGGCATATTTGCAGTCGGTGGCTTGTAAGCCTTGCCAAGTGAGCGATTCGACAATCCAGACCGCTGACTGGGTTGACACAGCGTATGCATTGTGTCGATACTGCGACTTCAATCTCTTGTTGCAATCTCTGGATCTAAGGACCAGACTTACGACAACGCACCTGCTGCAACATGGAGCGCGGTGGAATCAAACGTGGGTATCATCTGCTCCTGCCTACCAATCATGCGACCTCTCGCAACAAGGTGGCTTCCAGGCGTCTTCTCATCACACAAGCGCAGCATTCCCACAGGCGTACGTCCATATGCTACCATCGGAACTTCTCACGCAAGGCGGGGCAACACTTCGCGCAATGAGTATGCGCTCAGGTCCACGCGCCACTCACATCACTCCGATGAGAACATTCGCGAGATTGTAGTCAGAACCGAAGTCCGAGTGCAGGTTGGAGATGACGAGGGCAAAGTCAATGGGTGGAGAACAGATGTCTCAGCCAAAGAGTGGACGGAAATTACAAGCAACAAAGATACCGAACGTGCAAATAGTAGCACAGACACGCTGGTCAAAGAATCTGGTATTGCGGTTTGAGATCCTAATCCTAATAATAATCGAAACTCATGTAGCACATTCAGCTCGTCAGCCTTGTTATCCATGTCGATTAACATCTTGTCTCCAGGGTCTATCTATTTATCTTCCCCGTCGCGCCACAGTGCGCTTCAATGACAGCACAGCGCAGTCTACTCCGTACACTTCTTATTGGTTCTCGATGAGGCTAGAAGTCCTCTGCAGAAATGACAGGTCTCGCTTCTAAAGTTTAAGCCTTTCGCATCCACAGAGAATTATGGGCCAGTTTCAGACCCTATGTTCTGCGGCACGTCATGATGGGACACTATAAGCTTAGCGTGCAGCCAGGCGCGTGGAGGCGGGATGTGGGGGAGTGATCCGAGTACCCTTGCCCACATGGTAACATTAAGCGTATCAGCGAAATCGTACGCGACATATTTTGTTGTATTGTCGCAAGAGGTCAGGACGAAGATACGTCGATACGGGAACCGGTGGAAAATATAGTTCACCTGCGTCTCAACCACCAAGGTATGATGATTTTCGATTACAAGTACCTTTAGTGGGGTTTAAAGACAGTCGTTCAAGGAGGCAGGAGTGTTACTGGACGCCGCCATACTACGGAAAGACTTCATAGGGTGCAAGGTCTGTATACGTCTTCTGCAACAACTGCATCACTCTTGTGAGCTTGCAAGTCTTTGATCTCCCTCATCGGTAACAAACGCTACGATATCGATGAATTCTATATTTCCATGCTCAATTCGAGATACTGATAGCGACGATAGGCCTTTGCATATACAGACATCACGATTCGGCACCCATTCTTCCAGTGACCCGGATACGCCACTATCGACCTCAATAGTATATCGCAGCTAGGTACAACTGTAGAATTGCAATAAATGAAATAGTCGAATACATTAATCACCAATTGAACAAAGCCTTCAGTTGATCAGTACGACGTCATGAAAGGTGGACGTAGGGTAAGCTTAGATGTTCACTACAGCGGTGGTGCACGCGGAACGTCACGTATGTGTGAGTACAGTTCTATAAACTTACATCCACTCTCTTGGAAGGATGCTGTGCTCGAGAGACAGTGATATCCTGGGAGGCCATGCTTTAAGCTAGACACGAGTAGAAGACCAACTGGGCACACAAGGTCGTCATGCTTTTAATGCCTCGCATCACTGGGGAACCTGGGAAAGTATGGCGCAGCATTAAATCATGAATGCCGATGTTCAGGTCGCTCATAAGACTTGCCTAAGGCAGAGATACCAGTACGAAGCTATGCCATGCTCGCTACCTTCTATTTTGAAAGGCGACTCCTCTGTATATGTTACAGCCCTATGCACTCATTCCTTGCCGTCTCAGTCGAATCAAGCTACAATGTCCATTTTTTTCAATCCTGTAGCTGCTCCCGAATCTCAGCTACTACATTCTTAACACGTGGCTCCTTCGCTTGCTTCTCCGCAGCAGAGATGGCGGAAGGAAGTTGCAAGATGTCTCGTCCAGCCTCGCAGAAGTCGCTGTCCAAGCTAAGTAGTGTGCCAGTGGCCACAAGAGCTCGGTAGATGGCCTCGGAATCTTTTGCGCTATGGAGGATCTTATTTAAATCGTCCAATAGCGACAATACTCGATCGGCGTTATTATCGCCAGTGAGAAGAACCGAGTAATTGATATAGAGGGTGGTAATGGCGATGATAAGGTTCCTGTTGGGTGTTGTTAAGAAGGCGGACACAGATTCGTGGATTTGGTTGAACTCATCGCCAGCAATGGCTCTGCCTATGTCGGTTTTGAAAAGGTTGCTCAACGACCGAACGGCCATCATGGTGTTGTTCAGTGGCGAAGTTGGCGCGAAAGCACCTGAGCTGGCGAGCCGTTGCAGTATGTTCTGCTCTGTAGTGAGGTAAGCGACCGGCTCTTCGGCGGAGAACAAGAGCCGTAGCAGGTCGAGCCCAGGCAATCGTTTGTCCTCAGGCCATTCTGTTGCTGCCTTGACGATAAGGTCTATTGCGGAGGGATCGATGTCTTTGGCGCTTCCCTTCTCCAGCAGAGAGACGGCAGCACTCAGTTGTTCGATATCAGAAGGATTCATCGATAGCCCTTTACTGCCATCATTGACCAAGGCTTGGTTGAATTCTTGTAGTTTCTTAAAGATCGGCTTGTGATTGGCCGTCAAAATGTCGAGGTACTCTTTCTGAGGTAATATCTTGGCCTTTGGTGCAGGAGGTTGAGGTGGCGCCTGTGACGGTGCTGCATCTCCAGGCCGATATCGCGCATCTGTTCCCCACGGATCCGCTCCTTGTGACGTTGATTGTCCTAGCGTAGCGCCCTGTGTGTTCTGCACGATGAAGTTCGTGACCTGATCGAGATACGTAAGTGGCAACTTGTGGTCCTCGCAGAATTTCCGAGCCACCTCATATGGATTCTGGGATACGTTGTAAGGCAGCTTTAGCGGAGGTTTGCCTTCTTCGATATCAACGTCGAAGACATAATCGTATTCTTTGCCATTGTGCGAAATCTTGCGTCCATCGCTACCGGCCTGGTCCACGACAGTGCCCACGCTAACCCATTGATTGGCAGCCATAGACCATTGATACGCGGTGATGTTGCCGTTGCCTTCGAGGATCATCTGCACTTGCCCTTCCTTGGTGCCAGACTTTTGCGTGAGAAACTCCGGACCAGGCAACTTCTCCTTGTTGATGTTGCCCATCGACTGCTGGGGTATGGCGGAGGACTTCACGTCTTCGCTGAATTGCTCGATAGCGGCAGGATCCGCATATCGCTGTGGTTCGCGAGTAAAGACCCGAACGAGGCGGTCACTCGCACCGGTGACGATATCGCCATTCTCCGAGCAAACAGCGACTGTCCACACCGAGATAGCAGGATGGGTAATGGTCTGTATGCATTCGTTCTTCTCCCATAGCCGCACTGTACGATCTTCACCAGCGCTGACTAATCGTCCATCTGGCAGTACGGCGAGGGAGTAAATAAAGTTCTCGTGACCGCGCAACTCACTTACTTGGTGCCCGTCCAAGGTCCACAGTCGGACAACAGCATCGTTGCCTGCCGAAGCAAAATGCGCACCTGACGGATGGTTGGGAGGTAGTCTGCATAGAGCACGGACAACATCTCCTGTCTTTATTGACCGTACGAGCTTACCCGTGGGTTGGAATATGCGAATCTGCTGGTCGGCGCAACCTGAAACACGCGATCAGCTAAGCCAAAGCTGAACGGACAAAGAAGTGAAAATACCCGTTATGATAGTGGCGGAATCGTAGGCAAGCACGGCCCACACCGAAGCTTCGTGGCCCTTCAGAACCGTAGAGTCTTCCCACTTTCCCACCTGCCACACTCGTGCCTCGGTGTCCCAGCTTCCGCTTATGATCAATCTCCCATCCTGGCTAACGTCGAGGGCGCATACGTTGGAAGCGTGGCCAATCAGCAGGGCTTCGGCGTTGTCGTCGAGGGCTTTGCTGGGTGGCCGCACGTCGATGATCTGGTCCTTTCCGCTCGAAACGATGAGGCCTTCGGGGAATTCAGCAGTCGGGGGCACAATTGCTAGTGAGTTTATGAATTCTTTGCCTTGGATCTTGATGGTGCTATCGAAGCTCGGCGGCTTCTCTGACTGCAGCTTCCATAACCGCACGCTGAAGTCTCGCGATGCAGACACGACGGTGGTGGGGTGGGGGAAGGCGACACTGCGAACCTGGGCACTGTTAGTACCATGGTGTCTGCAGAAAGGGGCTCCTACTCGGAGGGGAACGTACGTCGCTTTCGTGACCACGCAGGACGGCCGACAGCTTGTAGTCTCCCATGGTTGCGCGGGGCTAAATGGCGGTTGGGGCGGGGTGGCGGCAGGTGAGAAACAGCACGCAGGGGTGGTGCTAGTAGGGCGAGGGCCGAGGGAGCGAGGGCATGGATTCGGGCCCGTGGGTGAGTGAACAGCCTCGTGCACGCGCGCTTGACGTTGGTTGCTGTTGATGTGTGTTTGCTGCTCTTCGGTGCGTCACCGCCGCGGGACCGAGCTGCTCGGCACCGAAGCGCCCCTGGTCGCTCTTTCTCGCTTCCCTCGCCTCGCCTCTTTCCTAGGCATGCATCCCGCGCCCGCAGACCCATCGAGACCTCAACCACCACCTCAGCCCTGCAGCCCTCGAGGAAAACACTTGTATGGCCAGGCTCGTCTGTTTCTCGCTCTTGCATCTCAAGTTCATGTTCATAGTTACTATCGACAAAGACGGCCGCCTCGACCGTTTGGCTGAGCCTTGGCCCTCGCTGTCAACTATTTTACAGCCTCACGCCCTGACAAGTGGAGACACCCCATTCCAGGGCTGCAGCTGAGGCGTTAGCTCGCTCTTTCGTCTGAGCTGAGCTTCGTGCTGCGTTTTCTTTTTTCACACCTCACCAAGCTGGGTTTCCGGATTGCTATCAGCATCGCAGGCAGCGAACAAGCATGGCATCTTTGGAGAAACCGCCAAGTCGACCCAGCAGCGTCCACGCGACCTTCGCCTATCGTTGGCCTGCAAGTCGCTTTATGCATATTTGCTAGCGGAACACTGTAGACTCGGCGAAACTGACAGAGTTGCCGCAATGAGCATACGGCCAACAATACACTTCCTGGGCATGGCTTGCAGTCTGCTGCTGTGCTACTTGCAGCTCTTCATTTCGGCCACTGGTACGAGATGCGAGGCGCTCTTCTAGGCCTTGCGACCGTTGCGACGTGGTGCCAGTACGTGTTCTTTTGAAGTGCGTATGCATGAAAATTACAACGGCGTTATTTGGAGACAACAGAGTCTACCTCTGGACGCTCGGGGGTGGTTAATGGCATGTCAAGAAACGCCTGGAGCACACTACGCTTGCCAGACTGATGGGGCTGTTTCCACGTTGCACATGGGTGTATTGGCTGGGTATTCGCCGTTCCGCGACAGCTGCCCGCTACAACTGCGCCCACTCCACGGTGCCTACTGTCCAAGCGGCCCATGACATCGCAGCTCGCACGCGAGTTGCGCGTCAGCTTGGCGTGTGGGCGCGTGGCGGCATTGACCCTGTGCTGGTAATGCGGTCTAGATTTGAGAACATGCAGCAGCTGGGCCTTTGAGATTGCCCCTGGCCACCAAGTACAAATGAAGGTGCACCCCCGTATGGTCCTACCAAGCCCCGCTCAGGATTGCCCTGAGAATCGGAGTACTGTACAACCCCTTAGAGGCATTGCCTAGACATTCCACGGAGACTGCCTTATCTGGCATACCCCCGCTTAAAATCCAAGGTTCGGTCACCGTTGGTCGGTCACTACGAACGCCGTCCGATACACGCCCACCGTCTCAGCCTCTGAGCCTTTGCATCCACTGATCAGCCGACAATCGTTCTTCTTGCGGTGTCACGTCACAAAGCACTTTGTTTTAAACACTGCACCGCGCACCCATTCGCCTTGAATCCAGGGTCTCCCACCAGAACTTCCATACAAGAGGCATCAACTCACCTCTTCGTTTCCTACATCACAAACTATTACACAACAATAGTCCTCGTTCATTTTAGAGGAGCGTACAATGGACACGCCCACCCATGAGCTCATGTCCGCATTGGCATCGTATGCCCAAGCTTTGCCCTCCTCATACTTGGCCTTGCTAAGTGTCCTAGATTGTTCGATTCCGGCAAATACTCAGATCTGACCATTGTCACTGCAAACAAAGGATATCCCGTACATCGCGCCCTCCTCGCTTCGCGGTCAAGTTTTTTCGAGGGCATCTGCAATAACCCCTTTCGAGAATCAGAGACTGGAATTATCGACCTCACCGAAGATGACCCAGAGGCGGTAGAACACATGGTGCATTGTAAGCACTAAAACTCTCCCTGCCTAAGAGCAACCCGCTAACAGGCCCTGTTTCAGATTTTTACCACCTTGATTACCTTAGCAAGCCATTGTCACGTCGCTCCTCACAGCGGTCGGCTCGATCTACGTCGCCGCGTATGTTGCGCTTTCCAATTCGTCGACCATCCAAGAAGGTGAATCTGACGTTGGCCGAGGACCCGCTTCTCGCCATGCTTTCTGCCGCAACACCAGCGCCACCGGCGGTGCGTCAGGTGGAGCAGCCAGACGATCAGGACGCTCTAGATTCGTCGGCAAAGCTTCCAGATACCCCCATGCAGGATCAATTCACGGACGACCCTTTCGACTATGTTTACACGGAGCCAAACGCTGACGCCGAGCAACCACATCTCGTTACGCATGTCAAAGTCTACGCCATCGCTGAGAAGTAAGTTGAATCCTTCTTGTGTTTTGTTATTCCTTTGTCACAATACACGCGCGTTCCATTCTGGCAGCGTCGAGTTTTTCGCAACAGTAGGCTGCACTTGCGCACCCACGTTGCGCTAGACGGCGATGGCAGATCGCCGACCCCGCGATTTGCGCAGGGATGACGATCGGATCGACAAGCGCCAAGCCACTTACCCTTGTTCCCCATTTCTGACAGTTCAACTTTTGGTTGTGGCTGTTGACGTCCAATCGATTTTCTACCCCTTCTCTCTTCCCTTTGTCCCGCGGCGACCTGAAACACTCGCTGCTGTCATTTGAAGCTGCCGATCTCCTACGCCAACCATGCGTTGAGCCGCGTTTGAGAGAAAACCACTACTAAAATCAAGTAGGTATGGTATCGTTGGGCTAAAGTCTCTTGCCCGCAAGAAATTCGCAGACCAGATCCAGGCCCATCTTAGTAGCGAAGAGTTACCAGAAGCGTGCCAGGAAGCGTACGAATCGACGGTTGACACAGATCGAGGGCTTCGGGACATCATCATCCAGACTTTCCGTTCGAACCCAGATCTTTCATCTCGAAAGGATGTGGAAGCGGTGCTCCGTGACACACCTGGTCTGGCATTCGAGCTTTTCAGGGTAGCAAGCGGGCTGCCTATCACTTCGTGAGCGTTGACTGCCTTTGCTTTTCATTGCTTCTTTCCCTAGGCGCTGATTCTGTTGGCGCCAATGTTCGTTCAAGCGAAAACTCTGCCGTGCGTCGTTGGACGGATTGCTGTTGGCATACGAAGTTACGACCCGCGCTCGTTGAGACTGACTTGGCGGTAATTGTCAGCTTCTCTGATTATGCGATTAGGCGGCTCGCATTGTTCTCTTCACATGGTACACTTCATTGGGCACGACCGGCTCGTTAACCCGCTCGCTACGCGTTGCATTCCTAGCCTTCTGCATTATAGACGCATGCGTTTGGGCGCCTACTTTGCAACCTTCGTTGTACATATCCATGAAACTTCTGCTGTACGTATACATACCATCATCAGGGGATGGACAATTTGACTGAACGAATTTCATTCCAACTCGCGAATGACGGTCTGCTGTACGGTTCACTTTTCAACTTTCTCGCGTCTACCGCAGTGGCGGCTGGAAATGTCGTCAGTCCAGTAACATGCAGCTGCCTAATCGGGTCTGTAGTTCAACTTTGCATATGCTTACAACCATTCATGCCTGGCCTGACACTACTTCGCCGGTAACGTCTTGTTCTGATGAGGAACATAGAGCCAAGAATCTGGGCCGCGCGTACGTGTACACGCCTCCCCCACGAGTCCACAATGTGGACATGTGGGGCTATTACCGGACCGAACCGTTATGCGACGTCACACTGTGGTTCGCCTGGTAGCTGGTAGCGCGGAGAGTGGCGAATGGCGAATCCCTGATAAGCGTAGTGGCGGCGATTGCCATTGCACGAAACCGTAGACGGCGGCGTTGTGTCATTGTGTTCCCCTGACTGATAGCACTCGCACGGCAGGTTTCAGATGCACTGTCACCCAGCCTACAGGACGAGGCGTCTTAGATCAGGCGGTATCTCCATAGTCTCCGTGTGTGGCATTCCAGCTACATGCACGACAGACTCTCGACCCTCTTTTGTCTTTGAACATGAACCATTCATGTTGCCACATCAACTCTGACCTGCTCCACCCGTGACAAGCAACAACTTAGGTTCTATCTACATGTACTTCTGAAGACCCATTTTCACATCATCGAAATATAGCAAGCATTACTTCTACTATTGCCCTCTGCGTAATTCAGCGGCGTACCAGACACTCCCCTCCCAACAACCTCAACTGGTCCTCGATCCCCCTCCGAGTGCTCTCCAAATTGCACCTGCACCCTTCCCCGCAGCCCCCCTCACGAATCCTGTCTCCTTAGCCTCGCTGCTCTGCTCCATCTTCCTTTCCACCACCTTCGTAGACGGCTCCTGCACAACATTCTTCCCCGGCTCAGCCGGCTCCTTCACAGCAACCCTCTCCTGCACCACCCTCGTCGGCCTCACCTCCTCTCTCACCTCCTCTCTTAAAACCCTAGGCCGCGGCGGCCGTGCATAGTAAACCGGTTGTCGGTAGCGTTCGGAAGGCTCAGAGTCGTAGCTATTGAGGTGAATCGTTCCACTAGGGTCCCCCTTTTCGGAAAGCCGAGCGAAGTATGTGGATGAAGGGGTGTCGGCGTAAGTTGTGGAGGAGACAGAGTGGTGGGGGTAGGAAGGCTGGTGGGATTGGGGGCGGCGGCGGTCGTAGTAGGACATCTTGGGCGAGCGCGTTGTTGTTTCTCTTGAGTTGACTCTAAACAAGATGCCGTGAGATGAGGGTCACCTCACGTAGTTTAGTGCGTGACTCTGCTATACTGTGCGATGTAGAAGTGTTGTATTATCCGAGGAGATGGAGGGGAGCGGCGCGGTCGGCGATTTATTTATATATGTAACGTGGTGGGGTAGTGCGGTGTTGCTTCATGATGATCGCGGTTGTTGGAGGGGTCAATAGCATCGCGGGGGCTTTTGCAAGTTTTGGTGCGCAAGCTTGTGAGTGTTTGGGATGGTGGGATGACGTTGTGGGCTTGGATGCGGGGATGTCCTTGTTATGATTGGGCTGATATTCGATAATTCGCGCTTTAGTCAAAAAGCTTGAGAAACATTCCTTACGAAAAGAGCATACTGAAGGTTCCAGAACAAGTACCTACGGCATAGAGATGACTTTATCAGTACAGATCATTCCGGTTTAGAAACATTGGAATTCCATCGCTCGCGAGATGCATAACAACTACAGTACAACAAGCAAACGAAACGATCGCGGCGCATTACAACCCCGTCATCTTTCCCATCATGTTCATCAATTCGTAGTCTGCCGTCCCCACCCTCTCATCCCTGCATCCTTCCTATCTCGCTCTGCCATGCGCACTCTCTCCGACAACATCCTCATAACTCGGCGGCGGGGGCTCATCCCTTTCCAGACTCTCACTCCTGCGCCTCTCCCCATCCATAGCCTCCTCACTCTTCATCCTTGAAGCCCTATCAGTCCTCAACTTCGCCTCCCGCTGCTCATTCGCAAACGCTTCCAACGCCCTCTTCTCTTTCTTCTTCTCGCGCTTCTCCTGAATCTTGTGCGCACCGAGACCAAGCCCTAGGATAAGTGCTGCGGCCATGTTGAAAGGCCCCCGAACGCGTGGGAAGTCCGACCCAGATTGTACTTTTGGATAGGGAGCGCAGACAGCTGTGGATGTGTATCCTTGGTTTTGAGGCTCAATGGGGATATCGCCGCCGAGTGGGCTGTAGTATGGAGTGATTTGTTGTGTGTATTGGCGCTGGCGGCGGGAAGAGCAGCAGCCGCGTTGGCGTTGTTGGCGCTGTTGAGAGCAGGCGTTGTATTGCTGTTGTCTGGATCTGCAGCACATGATGCTCAATATATATTCTTTGTGTTTTGAGGCGCAGTAATGGATTTGTGGGTAAGATTGGAGAGATCGAGATGATTTGGAACGTTGATGGTATTGCATTCCGAATGTTTGTGCTCACCTTTATACACAGCCTCGCGAGTGATGGATTTGGTTGACGGCGTCGACAGGAGCCCGATTAGGAAAGCTCAGCCCGGGTAAGCACGTAAGGTCGCATTCGCTTAACGGTTGCGAATCCAGATCAGGTTTTCGGAGGAAAGTGTAGATGTGATATGGCTGCGATGCAGAAGCAATGCGAATGTAGTGTGAGACGGCCTGGATCGATATGCAATTGTAGCTGTAGAGTTGTCCCGCTAGGGGCAATGTTGCGGCCGTAAAAGTCGTGACGTACGCCAGGAGGCTTGGATTGGTTGGATTGTTCGATGTGGCGCAGGGCTGTGCTCACAACATTTGGAGGTAGAGATGATTGGTTGCGTCGCACACTACGGAAAAGGTTAGACATGCGCCCAAGCGAATGCGAGTCCCATCATCCGTGAGAGGGTTTAAAGAGAGAAATCCTGTCGAAGATGAAAAACGGCCGTCTTCTTGACACATGGAGGTTGAAAAGGTAGAGCTTTACGGGCCATATTCGCTCTGCTGTACCGGATTGTACGGGACACCACGGCAACTTCAAGAAGCCGTCACCTCCGTGAAGACTAAAAGGCAAGTTTCGCACCCTTTATGCAAACTCAAAAAGAAGCTTGCAGTTATCCGAGGGTTGGTCCTTTTCGCCTGAGTTCAAAAGCCTCCAGGTCTTAATAACATCGGTGGTATTTGCTTTTCAAAGAAGCTAGACAGTCAAACGTAGTGACGGTGCTGTCCGTCGCCGATCTAGCGACGGGTACAAAGAAGCGGTTTCGCACATTACGTTGAGACAAGCAGTATGAACACAAGCCTTTAGATTAGCACAAAGCGAGGAAAACGTGAAACCAAGATGCTCGTTAGAGCACACCCATGTGTCGGAACGAGCAGTATCTTGGTATACCACGAGAGCATGTGGAGTTGCGCGTGAAGAGAAGCAATAAATCGAAGCTGTGACCCTGGCCCACGAGCTTTGAATCTCCCAGCCACGTGTAGAGCACGTGGTGTTGAGCTGCGATGGTGGTTCGTCCTGCGAACCACACCGACCTCTCCCACCGAGAACCGCGTACCGGTCCCGCCGCAGGCCACACACTAAAGTAACATTCGATCTTCGTGCGCATGTGAAGAACATATCAATATTGTATTTAAAACAACAACTGTCTCAGCAATAGGCCGTTAGACATCAATGTAAAGCGTGAGTCCATGCTCACAGGTGTAATCCAAACCCAAGGAAACCAACTGAAGGTTTCATTCTCACTTGTATGCAACGCCAAACGCGTCGCTCAATTCCCAAATGAATAGCAGTAATATCCTACAGTGCCAGAAGAGAAATAGAGAGTGTTGGCATTAGCCCGAGGAGTGGCCACCTCGTTACAAGGTAGGCGCCTTCTTCAGACCAGGGAAATAGCGAACGTGTAGCTCGTCAATGAAATGGTTGTGCCTGATACCTGGAGGCCGAGCTTGCTGGAAGGTATCGATGGCATCTTGGACCTTGAAGCCTAACTTCTCTATAAGGTAGCTGACCAAGAAGAAGCCGGTACGGTTGAAGCCATAGTGGCAGTGCACGCCGATCAGAGCTTCGTCGCCATCTTTCTTCTCGCTGCGTATCTTGTCGATCAACTCGATGAAGGTGCGCACCTCGTCTTTAGTCGGTGGCTGTTTCGAAACAGTAGGAAACTTGTAGTACGTGATTCCACCTGCTTCAAGGCCCTTAGGATCGTAGACAGGGGAGTCGTGGCTGATGTCGATGACAGCGCGAAGCTTGCCTGCCCATTGTCTAACAAAGATCTTTGGCGAGTGCTGCTCGTCGACTTCGCGGAGAGTCTTCATGGCGCGAAATATACCAGCAATCGGTTGGGAAACTGGTTGCACTGCCTGCCATTTCTTGAAGTTCTTGACATCCCATTTGCCCTCCGTTGACAGATATTGCAGCTGCCAAGCGAGCGAGAGTCGAGGATCAATGTGATCGGCAAGAAAGCTACCGATGAGGCCGGATATGATACGCGAACTCGTCGGCGCGAACAGAAGAGAATGCGCGGCAGGGTTTGGCATGATCGCAGTCTTCACGACCAACCGGCGCGGGCAGGGCACGGGCAGGTTGGTGGATCCAGAATCTGTTGCATCCGTGCCGGTAGGGGTAATGACAGAGCTCTCACCAGCTGACGACAAAGCCATGGTGTGGACGGATGTTTGATCTTGAGAATAGTGCGAGGACGAAGCACGGCCAGTAGTGTTATCGTCCACGTGCGGTAGATCGCCTGCATCAATACCTGAATCCTGGTGTTTTGGTTCCGCCATCTCTGGATCGACTCTGACTGGGTCTATAGGCGCGGCAGCAATTGGGAGACTAGCCTTCTCGCTCGGAGGTTCGATGGCATCCACATCCCTACCCAGAAATTCGACGATGCGCCTAACATTTTCCACTGGGGTTGTTTGATCAGCCGCACCAGCTGCGAGAAAAACCGGCAGCTCTAAACCTGCCCAGACTTCCTGCCCCGGAAGACCTCCCTTCGGAACGCCAGTCGAGTAGTCAGGACACATCCCATACGCCATTCGCTGCCAGACTTTGGTTCGACTTTGCCTATTATAACGAAGTTGAAGCCTCTTCGTCTCCTCGTCAGCTTCAGGTCCTGCCATGCGAACCACACTAGCACTGTTCAAGCCTCCTTTTCGATCCCATCTCCTAAGAAGGTCAAACAGAAACCCAGGCACAGCTGCAGCCTTTGACAGCTGTCGAGCCTGCCTTTCGGTCGGCGGGTCACTCTTAGGGCAGATGGCAATCAACCCGGCGACATGAGTACTGATGAGATGCGCATACGGAGAGGAAGACGAAGCGAGCAGAGCGGACAGAGAGCAGCCCATGCTGTGTCCGATCACGACGACCTGCTGCCCACCATCGCAATCTCGATGAGCTTCAATCACGACAGCAAGGAGCTGGACAAGTGCCTCGGTAGTGTATGCTTCCCATGCTGTAGGTGCGAAGGACGAACGACCGCAACCGGGGAGATCGATGGCCAGACACGAGGCGAGGTTGGAAAGACTGATCAGGATGGGGTTGAACTGAGCGACAGAGCCCCCTAAGCCATGGATAAAAACCAAAAGGGGTACAGGGCGAGGCTTCTGGGGGAGCTTCTGCTCTTGCGGATGCGGCCGGAAAAAGGTACGTATACGTGGATAGGTAAAGCCGTTAGGGACTTTGAATTCGCGAATGGTAGAGTGTTTCTTGAGCAGTCCCGGATCTGTAGCAATAATATCTGAGAAATATTAGCGAACAAGAGATGATCACAAATGACGATGCAGAGAACGTGTGTCGGTAGGTCTATAGAACCAGCTAAGTACCGACCGGCATCACGTGACCCCACCGAGGCGCATCGCAACGTGCGAGATGACTTACCAACATCAGAAGCTTCGGTTGCATGGGTAGAATCATCCAGAGAGGCAGCCCTCTTTCCCTTTTCATTGCGTTTGCTCCATAGCCAGAGCGCAGAACCGATACCACACAGCGCTGTCAACTTGACCATGCCCACCAAAGACAAAATGGGGGTATCCCAGCGACGATCAAAGGGATTTGGCAGCCAGAGGAAGTTGACGACGGAGCGTCTTATAGAGGGCCAGACGGAAAGGTCGGTGTGAGCTACTGGTTCCGGATGGTTGCTCGGATCAGCCAGGCACGTCCTCAGCAGCAGGACGAGGGTCTGTGGAAGGCGAGGCGAACCATTCTGAGACAGGAGAGGGTGCGAATGAGGCTCCATCCCGGCTTGCGTGCCAGATCGCTGAATGTATATTCAACGGGCAAGAGGCGTGGACGTGCGGAATGCGCAACGACGAGGCAATAGCAGCCGACCAATGGCGGCGTGTGCGGGCGCGGCGTGACGGTGGTGTTGGTGCAGAGCGCCCGGTGCCTGACGGCTGTTACGGCTCCCTGGGCGCACGTTGGACTGCGTGAGCCCTGACAAGCTGTCGTGGGAAGAAGAACCGTAGACGCGCCCAGCCGATGGTGCCAGCGGTTTGCATCTTGCAAGCCACGTCAGTGAGCCGTGTATGGATGGGGGAGGGAGGGTGCAAACACAGCGAAGCACGGCGTATTGATGGCGTGAACGAATGGCGCGCTTTTCGGTGGGCGCTGTGTCTCGCAGTGAGTGAGTGCACCCAGCAACCGCGTTCGAGTGTGTGAGTTGATTTTGCTCGGCGCGAGAGCAGCAAGCGGAGGGATGATGTCAGTTGCAAGCTAAAGTCGCGCCTTCCCGGCGAGCAAGCGATGCGCTACGCCAGCCCTATCTATCGTGCATCGCGACTTCCCTCGCGATTCTCCACTGCGCTCCACCATCCGACACTTCCATCGACCCGCTGACCGGTGAACATACCATCGTCCTTCGATTCCGCGACCCAGCGGCGTCGCTTGGTTGCCTGCCGTTCCATGGTGGCCACTCACCCGCGCAGGTGCGACCTGGAAAATGCTATCCCAGCGTTTTCTCGAGCCCGCGGGCCGCACCGTCCCACGTGATGCACTACTCTGGCTCTGAGGCCTCGTAGTTCAACTGCCCGAGCGTTTCTACGCCCAAGACAGGGGCCTCGTCTCACGGCGTACCATGTAAGATTCACGCAGAAATCTCCGGCGTTCCGTTTCAAGCCAAGAGGACGATCAGCCGCCGAGCCAAGGATGCCCTTTCTATCTGGGCGACATGCCACAGTCTACCGCGGAACGGATAGACTCCCGACGTGGCCAGCGATAGTCGCTTGTCTGGGGAGTCTGCACTGCTAGGCCGGGGGCGCCGATGGAACAAGCTGTCCATCATCATCTCTCTGGAATCCGACGTGCAATTCATCGCGCATTCGCCTAGGATACAACTTACATTGGATGTAACACTATACCTCAACGTCTTGTGCCTTGCGTACGCGTGTGCTGATTGATCGAACGCCTAGGCACAGCATCACCATCCCATTTTCGCGCATTCAGAAGACCGTACATGGAACTTCATGCCCGGCTTACCCCGCAAACTCGGCAAGGTCCCCACAGCTTATCTTGTGGTGATGATTCCTGCATTCGAATGGTCGTGACGATCATTCGCAGCCTTCGAATCTGTACTAGGCAGGTAAACATTGCCAGGCGAAACCATATCGTTCACCTGATTTATATTCGTCGACCTTTATCAAACGACAGACGTGCTATGCAAAGGCACCTACCTTGATCGATACTTCGTTTCTAGTAGTGTTGTGCCTGCTGACATGCATAGCGCCACGCTACGGCAACTTCTACCCAAAAATGTAAGGTGCTTTGGTTCGGGACCTTCAAAACGACGCACATGATTCGTATGTACCTAGAACAGACTTCTGCGTTGAGTACGCCGTGTTTTCTCGCTAGCGCATTGCGAAAAGCGCAGCATGAGGCTTCCAGGATGGATTTCGCCCCATACAACAAGGCTTAGACTCTGAACTCCATGTTTTAACCATTAGCAGTCTCTGATCTTGTTGCGCGTCGTCCTTGAATCACACGCTCGCCGTCACCATTTTGCAATCACAGCGTGCATCGAGTCCAGTCTTGCTACCTCGTCCATCCCCGGAACTGTTATTCGATCAACACGGATTTATTGTTAATTCAAAGCATATTCCATTCCATCAACTTCACTCCGGTCACCGCACAAATCGCCTCTGAGACATTTTCGTATCCAATTTCCGGAAACCCAAAACCCCGACGCAACAACTGGTAACCCACGATTGATAAGTAGTGGTGCGAGCAGTACCGAGATATCACTACCACAACCAAATAGCCCAGCAATCACGTCGTTCCGTTGCATTCTGCGACGATGCCAAGTCTCTCCTCGAAGCTCAAAGTATCTCTCGAGGTTGCGCTAGCCCTCTTCGCAATTGCAACGGCATCAGCGAATACTACTGACACTACGGACGATGCTCCTCAACAACCAACGATAGTCGACTACACCACCTCGGAAGCCGGCAACCCTTTTGTAGATGGCTGGTATGCGGATCCGGACACAGCTATCTGTAAGTCTAAGATCCAGTAACTTTGGCTAAGCAGTTAATCTTTCGAAGACCAGGGCCTTTATTGGGTTTTTCCAACTTCGTCCTACCCATATGAGGAACAAACATACCTCGACGCCTTCTCCAGCCCCGACCTAGTTCACTGGACCAAGTATCCTAATATTCTGACCACACAGGATGTCACGTGGGCGAAGAAAGCCGTATGGGCTCCTGCCCCAGCCTTTAGAAACGGAAAGTACTACATCTACTTTGGCGCCAACGACATCCAAGAAGGCGAGCCGGAGCAGGGCGTGATCGGAGGTATTGGCGTCGCCGTCGCGGACAGCCCTCAGGGGCCGTACGTTGATGCCATCGGCAAACCACTGATCGGCACCTACAACAACAGCGCTCAGCCGATTGACCAAGATGTATTCATTGACGATGATGGCCAAGCATACATCTACTACGGAGGGCACGGTCACGCGAACGTAGCGAAGTTGAAAGAAGACATGATTTCCTTCGACACGTTCGAAGACGGCACGACGTTCAAGGAGATCACGCCCAACAATTACGTTGAAGGACCACAGATGTTGAAGCGAAACGGCAAGTACTACCTCATGTGGTCAGAAGGCGGCTGGACCGGCCCAGACTACGCGGTATCCTATGCCATGGCAGATTCTCCGTTGGGGCCATTCTACCAGGTGGATGGAACGAGAATCTTGCAGCAAGATGCGGCTGTCGCCAAGGGCAGCGGCCACAACGGAGTCATCCACGTTCCAGGAACGGACATTTACTACATCGTCTACCATCGCCGGCCCTTGAGCGAAGACGCTGGCGAGCATCGCGTCTTGTGCTACGACCGTATGTACTTCAGCGAAGACGGTTCCATCCAGCCCGTCAAGATGCTAGTCAAAGACAACTTCGACGATGGCGATATGGTCGGGTGGAAGACCTACGGTGGAGAGTTAGACCCGCATGTAGTCGACAACAAGCTTGAAGTGAAGAGCGACACAGAAGATGGCATCATTGTCGCCTTGGACGCTAATTTCACAGTCCAGACATACGATGCGACAATAATTCTCTCGGACAGTAGCAACGATGTTACGACTAGCGCTGGGTTGGTTTTCAGAGTCACTGATGTTACTTCTGGACCTTCTGGTGCGAAGGGCTACTATGCGGGGCTATCGACCGCTGGCAGGGTGCTTATCACGATACTCGGCGGCGACGGTACGACTGTCTTTGTCGAAGGCGTAGATATCAAAGCAGGGATCGAGTATCATGTCAGGGTTTCGGCAACCGAGGACGGCGTCAATGTCTTCGTGGATGACTTTGAGTCGCCCGTGTTGGTGCTAAGCGACACGACATACACCCAAGGAACGAATGGCGTGGCTGTATTTAACACCGAGGCGAAGTTTGATAACGTTACGATTGCGGAGGCTACTTGACTAAATCGGATTGCGAGATCGTACGTCTTCGCTAAAATTTGGCGGCTTCTTTTGTTGTTTATTAGCGCTTCTTGATAGTATTTACTCGCTTCCTTACGCATTCATAATACAAATTGACATCACACAGTTGATTATGCCCTGATTTCCACGCTGAACTTAGTGCTAAGGTGAATCGTCAAAGGCAAGTGCCATCGTTGCGTCTCCTTCGTCTCCCTAGCCTTAGCATGTTAGCGCTGAGCCAACCGCCCATAATTGTACTTCGCAACTCGCATGATAAATTTCAGGGGATAAATGCTTTACGTATGTTCTCGATGTAGTCATAATTTCGACTGAGGATACGCAACGCAGCACTTGCTTCGGGCATCGCTTGTGGTCGACGTGCCAGACCGAGTATACTGACCCCTCTCTGTGCTGGAGAATCTCCTGGAGGTGGAATCGAATAAGCACCTGTAAATACACACGTTCCAGGCTAGCGCTGAGTATGGGCAAAGGTTGTACCATAGCAATATCGTAGGCGAGCTTGGCAAAGGAGTGCAAACCAGCGAGGTAGGCTTGTGTGCTATCCGTCGAGCATTAAAGCCGCATCGGTGAGCTCTATTATTAAGTGCGGTGATCCATGCCACTTTGAACCTATAGCGTTGAAATAGCGTAACACCATCGAGCTTGTACATCAAGGCGCGATGATGCTCAACAGGCAAAGTAGCAGTGAGTAACAGAGCAACGTTGGAAGGGCTACAGTAGGTGCTTCACATCGAGTATGTTGCACGAAGAAGCGGAGATATAGGCTAAATTCTATCCTGAGATCAGAATGCTGTTCTACCTGTCTTGACAGCACTAAGGACACCCCGGTCGGCCAATTTCTCAATCATATTGAGCAACATGAAATCGCAACCTCTCTTCACCACCATGTTAATTGTGACAGGTACCATTTCCTCATGAAAGGTCACATTGCTATAATATGGCACTTGACCAATGGGAATCGTGAAGTCTGCACAGCCGTAGATGGGACAGATATTGGCCCCTGTTATCTCTGCACCCGGGGGCTTCACTGCCAGAAAGGAGGTGTTGGGATAGCCGTTGAGAGCCAATTCACGATAGGAAGGGAAACCACCCGTGCCGATGTCGTAGAGGAACACGTTTTCAGAACACGAGTCGGACGTCGTGGGTTGGAAGGAGCTTTCCCACCATTCGACTGCGGCATTTTTCTCGACTAGCGCATTTGCGTAGGTCGAAGGATTATATCTAGTGGTATTGAAGGATTTCCAACCTGGGCGCCGAGCGGGGTCGATAGGTGGAAATCTGCCATCGAATAGAGCTGACCAGGTACTGGTAAGGACAGATCCAATGATATCCCAGGCGGTCCAAGCATTGATGACACCGAGAGGGACCGAAGAAAGGTAAGTAAGATTGTTGATGAAGGATACATTGTCCGGTGGCTGTATGGACTGGACGGTTTCTGTGAAGTTGATTTTCTTAACGGTCATATTGAAGATGGTAGTCAGGTTCGTGATGAAATTCTGAAGAACGACTTCGGCGGCGGAATTATTCAGAGGCAAATAGTCTGTCGGATAGATGATATTTTTAGGAAATGCGAGCGTATCAGGCACCTCAAGCGGTGAAAGACCTGTAATGTTTGGTGGCTGATATAATGTTGGCTGGTACCAGGCTTTCGAGAATGCAATCCATTTATATGGATCCCTCGAAAAGACACCAGCCGTGTCGGTTGCGCCACCTAGGGGGAGCACCCTCTCCAAACTCATAAGGCCTTGCGAGGGACGTTGACCGAAGGTGCCACTTACTGCAGCCGGACGTCGCATAGAAGAACCAGTGTCTGAGCCTATCGCAAAATCCAACCAGTCATAGGCGGCAACACTGCAGCCCCCACCAGACGAGGATGCGGAACAGGTGAGCCAGCCATCACCACGAGGATTGAACGGATAGTGCTCGTCTTGCCACTCCCAAGGATTGGCACCAGAGGCGAATTGCGCTAGCTTATACTTGCCCACCAATACACCACCAAGGTCAAGGATACGTTGGATTGATGGTGCGGTTTCGTTAGCAGTTGGCGTAATGTGTGCCCAAGCTTGACTCCCGCCGGATGTTTGGAGACCTTTGATGTCGAATAGATCCTTGATTGCAACGCGATATCCCGCCATGGGCCTCGGATCGTTCCAGCTATAGATACGTGAAGGGACGGGGACGTACGGATCCCACACCTTGGGTAGAAACACACCCACTGAGCTGTGCGTAGCATTACCATCATTTGAATCATAAGCCCCGAATAGGAAATCCCTGTAAGTATCTGGATACAGTAGAAAGACCGATGCAAGCGAAACTGTGCCGGCATTGATTAATGCCAAATACGGCCCTGATGGGAGATTCTCGATCCCCGGACTTGCAACGGTGGTGGTCGATAATGTGTTACCGGAAGCCACGGAGATGCTGGCATCCATGAAGACATGTGAGATTTCTAACGATCGAAGATAGGAGATAGCTGACGAGTCAAGTGTTGCACCCGATGAAGATGACGAAATATAGATGGCTTCAAGAAAGTCTGTAGTGAAGACGTCGTCTCCATCTAGGTAGCTTTGTATTGTCGTGGTCAATACGCCCCGGGTGACGGTGGAAGCATTGGTGTTTATCACCGTTATCGGCAGTGTGGAGCGTGACGAGCCAGCAGTGACCGAAGAGGTGAGGTCGCAAGAGAAGGTTGCCTTGGGGTATCTGGCATTGGCGAGGTAGGTGTTGTTGCCAAGCTCGAAGACAGTGTCGCCTTGGTTTACAGGCTGTAGAAAATTATACGGATTGCGCTTGATAGGAGCCGCAGAAGAAAGAGCAATGAGGAACAAGAACCGAGCGAGCAACATGTCTGCTACGAATACACGAAGACAGGTGGGCTCCGGAGCTTACTTGCCTGGTGTTTGGAAGTAGCTGAATGCACTCACCCTGCAGTACGTGCAATCAGACGGAGTACATATAAGTATCGCAGCGTCCACATTGACTTTGCTCGTCGGGCGGCGATGCGGTTTCTTGCATTGTAAGCGTACACTGTGAAGTCTTGGCATCCGAGAATCGGCCGCTGGAAGCACTTGCGTCCTGCCTATTGCGGCTCCGAGCGTGCATCTCGTTGATGTTTTATCCAATCCTGAGAAAGGATGGCACGATGCGTTGAACGCCAAAGCGGGGAAAAGCTAGGAGGCTAAGTTTGTCCTTATCTCTTGGTGCAGATAACGCTATACCGCACGGAATAAGGCGGTGCTGTCTATACGGACTTCCGCGCAAAGATTGTCTGCGAGTATTAGTTTACATTACTCGAAGCTCTCAGTCGTTGAAAGAGATTAAAAGACGCCGGTACTAAGGCAAGTCGTTGCTAATACAGAGCTGGGAAGTCAGCGTGCCAAGATGTTTCCAAGTGCAGCTCGACAAAATCGTCGTGAACTTCATCACCTGTAAGCATTGACCCAAGAAAAACAGCGGGTAAAATTAGAGAACGGACCTTTAGCCCGATTGTGCGCCATTCATCGTGATTAACGACATACATAGATCGAAGGTAAAGCTCGAACTCTCTCTCGTTGAAATCAAGGTCAACTTGTCAATGAAGAAAGGCCAGTAAGTGCCATATAAGATTATGCACCTCAGGGTAATAACTCATTCTAAAACAAGCCTCTGAGGTTCTGGCGTGATATGTATCTTCGAAATCCAGTGCTACCTCTAAAAAGTCCTCATGCCATCGGCCACTGTGGTTGTGCAACGGCAAGCAGGTTGTAAGCTGTATCTCAAGGATGGGGTTTACCACCCTGACAGACATAGGTTCCCAGTACGCTGTGATTTATAGCATGGTTGATTGCTCAGCGCCGGAGTAGACCATAGGTGGACCTATGTTGACCTCTCGTATCTATACTTCATGTGACGAATCTTTGTCAATTCTGTTCACCACCACCTTCCGAGCACTCACACCCGCCTTCTGCTTGTCCAAGCCGTGCTGCACTGACCGCAACCCGTTGCCAACGATCAGGGGGTCAGGCTTCGGCACCAGTACGCCCTGAGCCAGTGCCTTTGGCAGGTATTTACGCCAGACACTAGGTCCGACCGGGTTGCCCTCCTGGAAGATTGCACTAGAAGAAATCGCTTTGACACGGACACTGCTCGGAATGCCATTATCTGGCACGCCACGGACAGTAACAACAATGGCTTTACCCTTGCTGCGATGTGCGATTCGGGCACAAGTTTGGACGGCACCATCTACCCCTACAGCATGGTAGACTCCAGCAAGAGTTTTGCCTTCCAGCGCATCAACGATCTGATCTTCAACGCCAGCGTCGTGATAATCGAAGACTGTACTCGCGCCGAGCTTCTTCACGTAGTCGAAGTTGCCTTCGCTGGCTGTGGTGAAAACTTCAGCACCGGATGCTGCGGCCAGCTGAATGGCGCAGGATCCAACACTACTACTACCACCCCAGATCAGGATGGTACGATTGAGACTCCACTCCGCCTCAGGACTGGGGAAAGGTAAGGCAAGATAGCTCTTCTGGTAGAGTCCAGCAGCTGCCGTTGAAATGCCTAGCGGGAGGACGACGCCTCTTTCAAGGGCAATCTCGTCGGGCAGCTCTGCGACTGCGTTTTGTGAGACAATAGCGTATTTCTGGAACGCTCCGCGGGACGTATCGTTGGATGAAAGGCCTCCAGCGTGTCTGGTAGGCCATAGTCAGCGTGATGAATTGTGCTTCCCCATCCTCGAAGGCCCTGCTCACGCGATAACTCGCTGTCCTACTCTCAGCGAGTGTACGCTTGCACCGACCTCTGCAATCGTGCCAGCAAGGTCAGATCCGAAGATCGTAGGATACTTGGCCCGGAAGACATCCTGATCTTGCATGATCCAATCGATCGGGTTTACTGCAACGCTGTGGACTTTGATCGTGACGAAGTCTGCTGGCGGTGATTTGTAGGGTGCGGAAGATACCACTAAGGGTCTTGTTTTGGGTTTGAGCGCCCACGCTGCCGCATTGTGAGGGACACTGCTCTCCATTGTGTGAATGTTGAGATTACGGACGGTGTAGACGAGTGTGTGCCCAGGTGGTGTTAATGCCCGCAGCTCTGGACTTCGTTCGCAGTATTGTCGCTCCGCGCAATGCAAGGCGAATCACATATGAATATGAGACGCATCATTCAACGGGTGCAGCAGCTTCGATGACGAGATACGAGCTAGCCCAAGTTGTGTTGGTCGTTCTAAGCCTCCGCGAGATCCCAGTGGTCGGGGACCGATCCTCCGCACGTGCTTCGGTCAAGCCATTCTACCGAAGACAACCCGGTAAGCGAGTCGCGAAAATCAAGCGCACACCAGCCCGAACGACCATCTGCAGCCTTTCCACTCGACAACTCGACAACCGACCACCTCGCCCTTTTTCCCCAACACACATCGCCAACAATCACAATGGGTGGAGTCTCAGTCAAGGACGTCGACGCGCAGAAGTTCATCAACGCCTATGCTGCGTTCTTGAAGCGCCAGGGAAAGCTCCCAATGTACGTTGTGCACAATCCGCACTTTGGTGGTGCGCAAATTTGGTGATATCGCATGCTGACTCTTCAACAGTCCAGGTTCGTTCCAACCCACTGGGTGAAGGAAAAGCCTGAATCCCGTAACTGGGGGATCATTCGCTAACGCCAAGGTCTACAGGCTGGGTCGACACAGTTAAGACTGGACGTACGTATCCTCTCACAAACGAGAGAATGCAGAATTAACATAGGATAGACTCCAAGGAGCTCCCTCCCCAGGACATCGACTGGTACTACGTTCGCGCTGCTGCCGTCGCCCGCCATGTCTACATGCGCAAGACCGTCGGTGTGGGCCGCTTGAGGAAGGTTCACGGGTATGCGAACAATTGTATACTTGCACAGGGAGTAGGTCGCTGACGAGCGTATAGCTCCACCAAGAACCGTGGTTCCCGTCCCTCGCACCACGTTGATGCCTCCGGCTCCGTTGACCGCAAGGTCCTCCAGTCGCTAGAGAAGATCGGTGTCGTTGAGCAGGATGAGGACAAGGGTGGACGCCGCATCACCCAGGCCGGCCAGCGTGATTTGGACCGTATCGCCCAGACCACCCTCGAGGCCGAGGAGGAGGACGAGGATGACGAGTAGATGTTTGCATAACGGACGGCTAGACAACTGAGGAACGCCGCGCCGACAGCAGTTTGCTGCGCGCGGTCGTGGGTCATCTACGGGTTACGGCTTATGGCGTTCATGAATGCGCTAGGCTTGAAAGCCTCGGGCCTCGAAAAATGAAAGTGGGCTTTGCCTATTGCATTATCAATGATACCAACTCTTCGATTCTTTGTGAAATCTATCTTGTGCATGTGCATCTACCTCGTCTAGGACTACAACCAACCTCGCTAACGCCAACTCGAACGTAACAACCCACTGCGTAATTTCTCCCAACTGACTCTAGAATAGGTCCGTCATCGCTCCCGTACTCGCATCACCCACCAGCCTAGCATACTTCGCAAGTACACCCCTCGTCACTGCCGCCTTCGGCTTCTTCCACTCTTTCAGTCTCCTCTGGATCTCCTCGTCAGATACATCCATGTCGATCCGGTTTTTCTCCGCATCAATCGTAATCACATCTCCATTCCTGACCACGGCCACCGGTCCACCCACCGCGGCCTCAGGGCATATGTGTCCAACAATAAAGCCATGCGATGCACCTGAGTACCGCCCATCCGTAATCAATGCAATGTTCGTCAACTTCGCACCCATGATGGCTGCACTCGCCTTGAGCTGCTCTGGCATTCCTGGACCACCCTTTGGTCCCTCGTAGCGCACGACCACAACCACATTTTCGCCGCGTGGGATAGTGCCCGCGTTCAGAGCGGCATCGAGCTCATGCTCCTTATCAAACACCAATGCCTTGCCCTTGAAAAGCAGCCCTTCTTTGCCAGTGATCTTCGCTACTGCACCCAATGGCGCAAGATTACCTCTCAAAATTTCAATATGGCCAGTCTTCTTTATGGGGTTGTTCAAAGGCCGGATAATGGCCTGATCCTGAGGCAGCGATGGGTACGGCTCGATGTTCTCTTTCAACGTCTTGCCTGTGACGGTCGGAATATCGCCGTTTAGCAAGCCTGCCGCGACCATCAACTTCATGACCGCGGGCATGCCACCGATTTCAAAGAGGTCGGCTGCGAAGTATTTCCCAGAAGGAGCAAGGTCCGCAAGGAAAGGAATCTTATCTGAAACGCGTTGGAAGTCATCCAGACTCAGTGGTACACCCGCCGTACCAGCCATCGCGAGGAGATGCAAAACGGCGTTTGTAGAGCCACCGAGAGCCATCATCATGACGAGGGCGTTCTCGAAAGATGCCTTGGTCATGAGTTTACGAGGCGTGATGTTCTGCTCCATGCAGACGCGGATTGCGGCAGCGGCTTTGGCACATTCGCGCATCTTCGCTGGGCTTTCTGCTGGCGTGGTCGAAGAGTTGGGAAGAGAGAGGCCCATTGCTGTCTCACGTTAGCTTCGCCGTCCCATTCTCCCATCAGGAAAAGGTGACATGTACCCTCAATACTCGTGCTCATAGTATTCGCCGTGTACATCCCGCCACACGCCCCCGCCCCAGGACACGCATTTTTCTCGATATCCTCCATAATCTCATCAGGACTAAACTTCCCCTCCTCAGCACTCTTTAGCGTCTTGTACACGTACGCGCCAAAGCCCTCATAAGCCGTACTGATATTGATGGGCTTCTTTAGAGTCTCAGAGTAGCCTGGCTTGATGCTGCCACCGTAAATCATGAGGGAGGGCCGGTTGTGCCGCGCAAAGGCCATGATGACGCCTGGCATGTTCTTGTCGCAGCCCGGGATCGCGATGCAGGCGTCGTGGTGTTGCGCGCAGGTTACGGTCTCGATGGAGTCGGCTATGATCTCGCGGGTTTGGAGGGAGAAACGCATTCCTTTGATTCTGGTCAGATGAATTGATTTGAGTTGGATGTTGACGTACCTTCTCCTCCCATTGTGATTCCATCCGACACTCCAACGGTGTTGTATTGCCACGCGAGCATATCATCTTCAACACAGTTCTTTTTGACTTCTTTTCCTAGGTCGAGCACTATACGGGTGAGCGTCAGTTCTGGGTCTTCTCTACCCAAGCTAATGCTTATCGGACCCCTTGTTCTTTTCGACTAGCTTTCCAGAATTGATGTACAAGTGCCAAATAGGAAACTTACAATGCATGCTGCGTGTTTGTTAATATATACAGATAGCGTCGGCACGTGGGAGACTTACTTGCAAGGATTACCTTCCCACCAAACGCTCGCGATACCGACGTGGGGTTGCGTTTTCATCGCTTGTTTGTTGGGAACACCGGCTGCGTATAGCATAGCCTTTCTCGTATGTGATATTAGAAATATGGCTTCGAAGATCCACGTAAATGAGGAATTACCTGCGCTCCTGGGAAGTCATGGCCATTCGTGAGCGTAGTAGACCATCGGTTTAATACAGGCTTTCCGTCTCGTTGTGTGCCTTCGGGTTGGTGTTTGAAGTTCAGGAATCGAGGCTCCTCTGGCTGGGTCTCTTGTTCTGCGTTGCGAGGATCCATTGTAAATGTCTGGAATCAATTATTCAAAGATGTTCCAGATTATGAATGAAGAACAGTTGCAAGAGCTTCAGATACAACAAGTGGGCTGGAAGCCGTACACGTCAGTACTGGGCCACACGTGCAATGGACACTAGGGTATCCTAATTGGAGGCCAATGAGTTTCAGGGAAACTCCACGAAGAAATACGCTTATTCGTGTCACACGCGATAAGTGAATAATCCTCTTTCGTGGGGGCACCAAGCTTCTAAAAGCCGCCGCAGGTTCTTTGATGACCTCGGAGCTGCCATTCAAGGAGGGGCTCGTGGAGCTTCCCACGAGTTACCGCAAGGTTAACCCACTAGCTGATGGTCAGCAGCCAATACAAAGAGACGTATTTTGTTGACCGGAGGAAGCAATTGGTGCGGTGGAATAGGCGCGGGTAGTGCAAGTTTTTGGCGTGCGGGAATGACTCCGACGGCGAGAATACCGGCAGTTAAGCGAGGCGCCAACGGTGCGGCTGCATCTGTATCAGGTATACCCGATCACGGACGACATAAGGCTCAAGTCAAGATGAAGACCGGCTCCAAGCTTGGAAAGTGAACAAACAATGATTGTGACATGTGAGATAACGCACTCTAGGGTAACTCACGTTATGATGCAAGTCCAGGTGTGTGACCTGATACAGTACGGCCGACATACACGTCCATGCACGACTGTACCCAATCCCCGACACTATGCGAAGGGCTGCACCCAGGTAATGTTGAAGATTATTCTGTGAAGTTCTGGCTGGTACATGGGAACATGAAGAGCTCGACACACCCAGATGTAAGCCCAACGAAGTCCCCTTCATATCAACAAAACTCGCCTCTACACTTCTGTGTCACAACTTCGTGTACCGCATTGTTCCCCTGGATCCACATGACCTGGGAGGTAGCCAAAGTTTGACGAGACACTGTATCATGCAGTGCTCACCGATCCTCCTCCTCCCCCTCCTCCCCTTCTCCTTGCTGTGGTAATAGAAGACCTCCGTGTCCCCTGCGCACAACTCCCAACGCCTGTAGCATTCCTTCAGATCGTTCAGGCCTTGGGCCGAGTCTTCAGGCTGCCGCAATGCGAACGAGCTATTTGAAGGAGTTCTACACCATGATGCAGCAGTGTGTCTAAAGATGCTGTTGTCCCTGCGAGAACAGTGCAATATCATCGCAAAAAGGGATTACACTCAGATGGTAGGCTTCCTGGGAAAGCGTGTGAAGTATATGCGTCAAAAGCCGATTTCCATTGTGTATTTAGATCGGTACAGCGCCCCATTAATGACTTGATTAGAATGTTTCACCCCAGGGTCAGCAATGCGGTATCTGAACCTTTGGCCTGGTACTGCAGCCTGAGACTGTCTCATCTTTAGTTCCTCTAGCTTTATGTTTGGAGGCGTAACTCGAGATCCTGGAAAGACATGCCTCGATCATTCGCAGGAATCCAACGGTACTGAGCCTAATCCTACCTTCATCGATGGGTTTTACGCAATGTGCAGTTGTGATGTGCAATGCATGGGTTGCGCCGCTGTAGGACATTGAACATGCCATCCCTGCAGCCGCGCTAACCCCTCCCCACACTAGCCTCCCCCGCGGAATCTGTCGCGAACTTTTTGGCCGCAACAATAGATCCTCTACCATAACTCAACTTTGCGCCAATTTCCAAAACATTCACCACGTCCCAGCACGAGCCCATACATCTCTTTTCGCCACTCTAGCACTCCACCAGCGTTCTACTAGATAATAAAAATGGCCCAGGGCGCCGTCAAACCCCGCAAGTCTTCCGCTCCTAAAAAGTATTTCTTCTCGTCCCCTCCCAACACCACTTACTAACTCTTCATTCAGGCCCACCGGCCCTCAACATGGCAACCGCGTAATCAAGCCGAAAAAGCAAAATCTCGTATCGCAACAGAAGTTGAAGAAGAAAGCCACGAGTCAACTGACAGTGAAAACGGAGAAGCTGCTCGCGGAGAAAGCGGGGCATTTGGAGTTGCTGAAGGGCGGGAAGAAGGAGGGCCGAATTGGAGGACAGAAAATCAACAAGGAAGGGAGTGGGAAGAAATGAAAGATGAGGGCGACCTGAGATAATTCCACATTGGGTGTATAGGGAAAGACACCGGAACAGGCACAGTCATGAGAGGAAGGAAGAGCGGCATGCTCTTTGAGGAGATTCTAAAGACCTTGAATGGTTGCAGAAGGGACATGGCGCGCCAAAACGTCACAGAGGTACTAAGTAAAAACATGGTCGTAGGTTCCGAGATCTGCCTGCGTGGGGCAGATTGTGGTATCGATGTAATGCCTCACGCATGCGCCAGGGAAGAGCGGGGGGCTGGGAACTAGGAACGAGTTTGTACGCAAGACACGGGTTGACTAGCGTGCGTCAATGAAAGTTGCATTGCCTGAATCGCTACAAATCCAATTGAAATAGATAATGCGCCATTCGCAACAGATCCAGAACGCCGGGAGAGGTATTGATGCTAATGAAGGACCAAGACGCATGCTTATCAGATGATACCAGCGCGGGCAGCTTCACCACCTCCGGCTTCAACGACTGCTTCACGCGCCTTCCCACGGCCAATACCGCCCTCACCCACACCCATTCTGCGCGCGACGTAGCGTTGGGCAACAACACCGACACTGAGGCTAATAACCTCGGACATCCATTCGGCAGCCCACTCACGAGGATCAACACCTCCATCTTGGATGATCTGCTGGATCTCTGCGGGCAGTTGTGGCTCCTCTCCAGCTTCTTCAGTCGGCGCTGGCGCATCAAGCCACTCAACCCACTTCGCAGGGAATGCCTGACTGAGTGCTTTATAGCTGATGCCGTGGATAGGGTCGTGCAAATAGACAGCAAAAACAACCAGCTCCTCTGTCTCCTTGGGTTCCTCGACATTGTTCACCTTCTCCTCCGACGACGGCGAAGTCTTGAAGAGCTCTTCCGGCGTAGTGTAGCTGATCGCCTGTACAGCTAAGAAGATGTCACTACTTCGGACGGGATTTGACTCGCTCAGAACCTCGGTCGCCTGCTTCGCTGCTTCTTCCAAGCCTCCTCTTGCGTTGAAGAATTCAGTCGCGTAGCTCTCAGCACTTACTCTGACGAGCTTCGTGCCCTCCGGAAGTCCTTTGACGACGCTCAAGTCCCGCTTGTCGGTATCGCGCCACCATGGGCCGTCATTCCAGCCTGCACTGCTGCCGCGATGACCATCTGTCGAACTTCGCTGTGTCGACTCTGAGCCTCGCTGGATGACAAGCAGGTCACCTCCCTCAACTTGTGACATCACTGAAGAGAAGGTCTGGTAGATAATGGGATCGAGCGAAGGGTATCCGATAAGGTCGTGGGTAATGTGGATCTGGAGGCGCTCGTGTTGGGAGATGGGCGGGGCGAGGGTGTGGACAAGGTTTGTGAAGGTCGGGATGGCGCGTTTCTGCAGTTCCTCTCCTATGTGGTGTCAATTGTGTTCAAATGGGAGGTAGTAAACGAGGAGCATACCGAGTCCACGCAATGCTCCCAGATTGACATTTCCTCGCACTCCTCGTACTTGCTCTGCCCACCGCTGTGCTTCCTCGTTCTTCTGCAGTTCTTGATATGCTGCTTCAGCCCGCTTTCTCGCTGCATCGGCGGTCGCTGTCGCTGTCGATAACAGACCCCCGACACTGAAGCCTCCCCATCCCCATCCGCCCGATTGTTGCTGGGGTGCTTCTGCTGGCTTTACAGGCTCCTCTTCAGTAGGAGCAAAACTCTGGTGGAATGAGCGTGCGCTCTCTCCCGATTTTCTCGTTGGCTGCGCTTTCTCCTCGCTGGTACGCCCGGAACCGCTGGACGACGGCGTTGCAACGCCTGCCTTTTTACTAGAGGCGGTCGACGACGACGATAGCTTCGGTGTATTTGAGCGACTGGAAGGCCGTGGCGCTTCGGGCGCCTGGAACTTCTCAAGCGCCTCGAGCTCCTCGAGCTCCTTGAGTGCGTCGATGTCCTGCTGGGCTGTCTTGCGCGGAGCTTTGGCGGTCTTGGAGGTCTTGGGCGGGGGTGCAGCGGGTGCCTCCGCCTCCATTTCGAGCTCGGCCAGTTGCTCCTCGACCGTCTTAGGCGGCATAGTGGAGGTAGTCACTGTGCTGTGCAGCTTGTTGTGTCGGAACCGTGTCTGGAGAATGTCAGGATAGACAATAGGGAAGCTGCATACAGAGCGGAGCTATAGTGGAGTGCAGCGGCCATTGTTGGTGCTGCATATGCCAGAGCAATAGGCGGCCAATCAGAGCGTAGTGCCAAGATCGGGTTTTGCACGAGCAGCCACGAGCGCCTCAAGACAAAGATCACGCCTGCCAGCATCAACCATCTCCATTTGGATTGAGGAATCGCTGAAAGTGCGGAGAATTGCTTTGCTTTCAAGAATTCTCGATTTACCAATCTTCCAGCGCTGCGCGCCGACTTCGTTGTCTTCTTTTGGCGCATTGCGACTGTCACCCTGACTGCGATCGCGCTACGCCTCCCTCGGGACGGTACCTACCATTCCATGAATTGAATCCACTCTTCCCTTCCCGTTGACCGCAACCATATCGTTGAGCTGTCACTCCGCAGCAATGGCTGGTCCTAGGAATCTTGCCGGGCGCTCGTCGCAGCGCCGAAACGCAAATCAGCAGGATGATGAGCCGCCTTCGCGAACCCGTTCTGGTCGCGGTCCAAAGTCAGCTGCAAAACCAGACAGCAAGCCGGATATTGTGTCACCAAAAGCCAATTCACATCGATCCAGCACCACTCCACAGACGAGGAAGACTACTCGTCAAGCTTCAAGTATTGCCAATTACGCGGACCTCGAAGCCGGTAATGTTGTCTACGGCATTTATGAGGCGCCCATTTTCCACGTGTTTGGCCTTCCACGCGATTTCTTGGACGGCCTCAAAGAGCAGAAAATTTTCAGGAAACGGAGATTCAGCGAACGATCGGAGCCACCTGCGCTGAACACCCTCTTCCCTCATTCTGATACCATGAGTGATGACGAGAGCGACGAGATTCCTTCGCCCCAGCCTGCCGCTACCCGGGGCAGGGGCCGTGGCCGCGGTGGTCGCGGTAGCAGGGGCGGTCGCGGCAGAGGAGGAAGGGGCAGAGGAAGTCGTGGAGGCAGAGGTGGAACAGCATCTGCTGCACCACGCACGACATCTCCTCTGCGCACTCGACCATCTCGCAATGCTGCACCCGCCTTTCCGTTAGTGGAAGAAGACGATGAGGAGCCGTCCAATCAGGAGTCGCCTGTCGAGGACGCTAAGCGATCGCCCGAACTGGAAGAGGAAACCATGAACGAGTTTACAGATGCCGAGGAAACCATGAACGACCTGACCGACGATGATCTTGGCGATGTTCAAAAGAAACATCAGAAAGAAGAAAATGTGGACGATGAGGAAATGGCGGACGTCGACTGGCCATCCCAGACACCGCCGGGCTCGCCACCCCCAGCACTCGTGCAGGCCTACAAAGATCCAGACGCCAGGATTCCTGTTCCAGTCGCCGTACCCAAGATATCGCTGCCAGTCAAGTCGGCCTCGCGAACAAGAACCCCGAAAGAAGGTACCTCAACGCCCATACCCCCGCCAAAACTGCCTCCTCTAGATCCAGAGGATGATGCGCTCTCCGATTCTGATCTTCCTGGACCTTGGATTGAAGGTTTACCCAGTCCCATCGAGGCCGAATGCGAGGATAGAGCCGACTACCTTTTGCAGAAGAGGTTCGAACCTATGGTCGACGTTCAAGATGTCATCGCTTCATTGACGAAATTCCCTCTCGCACAACGGAGCACTGAGAGCTTGTATGCGCTGGCGGAGAACACGCAAAGGATTTTGAAGGCGTGGCAAGATGAGTATCTTCGGTTAGACGCTCGGGTAGGTGGTTCCAGGTTTCTATTCGCAATAATATGCTGATCCGATAGACTGCTCCTCATGCGCACCCGCCCAAGAAGCCTTGCAACGGTGGTCGAGTCGCTATCAATCCGCTCGTATATGAAGACATAAAAGAGGCAGACATTTATGGTTACACCTACAATCCAAAAATAACAGAACCAGGCTTCCAAGATCCGTTCATTCAACGCCCGGGCCATGAGCAATCCGGCGGTAGGGAACTGCGACAGCGCCGCGCGAATGCTATGCTAGACTCTGCTGCTCCTAGTGAGGAAGAGGAGGAGGACGAAGAAGGTCGGCCTACCAAGCGACAACGCCGGGCAACACGCCGATTCGAGGGAAGTGACGCAGGGACGGGTACTACCACGCCGAAGAAACATAACGGTTGGGGTGGCGCGCGAAAAAAGGGCGTCAGCAAGTATGCTAAGCCGGCTGAGCCTGCCGCATCTGCGACCCCCGAGCCAGATGGGCGCATCAAGCGTGGGAAAGGCCTGCTTCACCCACGAGTTCAAGAGATGCGAGAAGAGTCTGCGGTGACTAGCTCCGGAGATGACGGTGCCTCGAACGCTGACTCGGTGGACGACGAAGAACATTCTGTTCGACCAGCTACAAGAGGAGGCAGAGGCAGAGGTGGAGGTAGAGGAGGCAGAGGACGTGGCGGATACAGCCAAAAAGGGCCTAGGAAGAGATTATTCGAAGAAGACGAGCCCATCCCATCAGCACATGCGCCGAATGGACATCCACCTGCTCTTCAGTCGATGAGCGAAGGCCAGAACCAGTTCACGTTGAATACGCCTGTGGGCGCGGCTGTCGCACCTCCCGTTATCGGTCCAAATTCTACAGAGACCGTCTTTCAAGCTACGCCTCAGCCTTATGCCTACCAGGAATCAGGCGCAGGACCACATCCGAGCGCACATACTCCTGACACTTACATGAACACCACTCCACTGAGCCAGTATAGCAACCCCTATGATGACTCTGCAAATAACTCGGCCTCCGGTTCACGGAAGAAGCCACGCGTTAAGAGCGAGAAGCGCAGTCAATCCATGACCATTTGGTGGGCCGAACGTAAGGCCCGCCAAAAAGAAGCCGACGAGAAGAGTGGCACGCCACCCAAACCACCCACCTCGCGCTCCAACTCGGGTACCGGCCGGCGAGGCGGCAGGACATCAGGTGCCGGATCACCGGCCGCGAAACCAAATCCAGAGCCGCAACACCGCCAAATTCTATTCTATCCCGACCCGCACGTACCGCCTCCACCACCGCCAGCTCCTCAAGAGGTTCAGGCTTTCCACTCACACCCGCCTCCACCGGCGCCCTTTACCGCACCATCACCTTCAACCGCGCATGCGCCGCCTGTCTCGTACCCACCGCCACCTTCCCTTGTCATGCAATCCACTCCGCTCGCCGCGCTTCCCTCCGCCATACCACCGCCGCCCCCGGGGCCAGGTCGCACGCTCGCGCCTGCGCCTTTGCCACCGCAGGTTCCAATGTCCGCATATCCGACCCCGTATGGCCCGAGGACAGCACCACGGCCTAAGAGCAATGGCCCCCCTCCGCTGGCACCCGCTCCAAGTCATGTTAGTCCGTATCCACCAATGGGGATAGGGATGGGGATTGGAGCGAGTCAACCGGGAAGGGATATGCCGTTCAAGGTTCTGGTGCCTGGCATTCCTCCAGACAGCCGGAGGGAAAGTCGTTAGGAACGACCGAGGAGACAGAGTGGAAGTAAAAGGAAATCCCAGATCTAGAGGAGGCAACGGGAAAAAGTGGCGAAATAGGTGATGAAGTGAGATTCCTCTTTTATGCATTGGTCTTGGCGTTCCCTTGTACATCAGCGTCATTGCACTTGTTTGGGCGCACATTTGGAGACTTCGGTCTTTCCCATGGCATTGTTTGTGAACATCATTTCTCACACATATATTATCTTTTAGTCTAGTGCCTGCGGCAGAGCGGTGGGTTAAGCAAGTTATACTCATCTCGGTCTAATGACCACAACGTTTCTCATGGATTATGCTAGGTCTGAGATCTTAAACGTGAACGAGCGACCCCCATCAACTGCCCCCCTCCCAACCCATGGGTTGTTTATACATTCTCACCACTGCTAATACCACTCCAAATCCTCGAACGTGAGCCCTCTAACCTGTCCAAACCTTTGGCCCTGGCGGAACGTACTTATTCAGCCCCGCATCGAATTCTACGCCTGGAGTCGTCATCCCAATCCCCTCATCGTAGCTGCTATAATCATCCGGAATTCTGATCGTCGGACCGGGTGTGCCTCCGCCTACGCCCACAATCTCGACGTGTGCGCAGTTGACGTACCATTGGCTGTGGCCGGGCCAGTCTTTGATCGGGAAGGGGACTTCGAGCCGGAGGAGATCTTGAGAAAATAAATTTGTTAGCGATAAAGAAGAAGCTATAGGGAGGGGAGGAAGGGTCGACGTACAAGTACCTGGTGGGGTGGTGAGCGGAATGGTGAAGTTGATCTGATGCGCACCATCCGTAGCCCAGTGAGTATCGCTATCAGGCCCGAGGTAGTAGATTTTGAACCAGTCGCCGCCCCCCTCATCTGCAGTCAGGTCCTCAGACTTGCTCATGTATGCCTGTGCCGGGCCCGGATGAAAAATCCCATTATTGAATTGCGTGTCCTTGAACTCCTATATACCCTCGATTATCAACTACCATCTCATACGCGTGCAAGAACAAGAGTAAATAAGGAAAAGGCGTACCTTGATATGAAACCCAACCTCGCTTCCCGCTTCGATGATTGCTGTTTCGGTCTTGGATGCCCCTGTGGCAAAGGCATCTCGGCCGCAACGCACGTCCGTCATGTATTTGTCCTCGAACTCGCCGTAGACGGGAGATTCTTTGCCATTGTAGCCGTCTGGGCTGCCGGAGTAGTCCCCTTCTGCAGGGGCGACCTCGCGAACGTATTTGAATTCGGGGGTCATTGTACCGTTGACGATGAGGTGGGGGAAGTAATCTGGTGGGTTTGTCAAGAGGCGAAGAGTGCGTTTGAATGGGAAAAGGGCGTACAATGTGCGGCAGCGGACTGCAGGAGCGTGAAGAGCGCTACTGCTGCGAGTTTTGTTTTCGCCATGGTATAGGATGGTTGCAACGGTTGTTGAGGCACTCTTGTCCGGCGAGGAAACTAGGCTCTTTTATACTACATTCAGCAGGTTGCGCTACGGACGAAGTCCGGGTTGCAGATTGCAATATGCATAGAGATTCGTACGCTCTGGAGGCTGTGTACGCTTGTGAATGCTGAGAGATGAGTTTTATGAGTTTGTTGCGTAAGGGTTTATCCAGCAGTCCCACGTTCCACTCACTGCTGACAAGGCCATTAAGGTTTGTCTGTCAGTGCGTAAATGCAGATCTTACCCTGTGGAGAGGCTTACATTAGATAAACTGCACCTCATACTGAGCATTTCTGTGATTAGGGATTTCTGGGGCTCAGGAGATCCACTACAACTCCCTTAGCCACTGGATTATTGATGATGTTGTTCACTGCTTCCGAGACAGCGCTATTGTTGCTCAACCTAGCTTCACTTTTCATATCATCTACGAAGTGAGAAGCTTTCATTCAATTCGCGCCGTGTTTGCTCGATACATCAACCAAGCGGACGCACAATTTGGAGTGCAAGTGCAATCGGCACTTCGGCAGGTCAGCGTCAGCCTCGAGATCAAGTGTAAGGCGTTTTCCGAAGATTTTCCTCTTCGGTGGAAGCACTCTCCTAGCTATCCATACTAGTGAAAAGGTATCCGTATGTCCATTACTATGCACACCCTCCGGGGACCGAATACTCAGCGTGAGTAGGAATGTGCCTTGACCATATCCTTACGCAGTAATACGGCCAGTATTTACAGGATCAAAATTCTAATGCGGTATTGCTAAGCCTAGGTACATATTACTAATAGGGTGCCTCGCTTATACAAGAAGGATAATATATAAAAGGGCCATATATAGCCTAGTCTAGCTATAAGTTAGATGATAAATATCTCATACAAGACTACCCCGTATATGCGGTATAATACGTGTTACGGGATATACACGGATTCTTGAGATAATCCTGTATCGTCAAATCCCCAAGCGTGAGTGAACGCGTCGCCGTCTGCGCCTCTTTCGAGACGGTGGTCCTTCTGATAATTGAGCAATGAATAGCGAGCACCGAGTAACAGTCAACCATTGAGATGTACTCGGCTAATGTTTGATCCCTGCTAGACAGATCCTACGGTCGAAGCCAAGCATCTGTGGAGTCCCACCTTGAGCAGCGTAACTCTATGTCACTTTCCTTTTCTGAGTAGGTCGTAGGGGACGAAAGCGGTCTGCAATGTGACATGGTCATGACAGAGCATGCGTTCCCGAGGGCCGGCCGACTGAGCGAGAACGGTCGAAAGCCTGGTCCAAGGACATTCAGATACATTTGTGAATCAGACTATTACATGCAGTTATACACCTTTTTACCTCACAATTCCACACCGTTCCCAAATGCTATCGACATGCCACGATCCCAAAAATTGACTATGCGTCAACGCCGGTTACCCCCCAACGCCGAACTGATATACACTCTTACACCCCAAAACTTCCAATTACTCAAAAGTGTTCTCCCGATCAACCCAGACATCCTCGAGCTCTGCAAAATTATGGAAATGCAGCGGCCGATGCACGCCATCATAGAATCTCGCCGGCGTGTCTAATTTGACGTTGACAGGCCTTTTCTCCACCGTTCCAAAAGCGCTGCCCAGGAAGCTGTAATTCCAAATACCGTTGTCGGGGACTAGGAAGTAGCCGCGAATCTTGTCGGATAATAAAAGCTGGCACTTCTCACCGAAACTGGTGGAGAAGCCAGACGGGCTGTCGGACATAGTGTCCTTGTTGTCCGCACCCCATTTGTAACCTGCTGGCGTGAGGGCCCAGGCGGCGAGCGAAACTGAACCGGGCGTGAATGACACGGTCATGGATACAGTCTTCTTATCCCAGCTCGAGTGAGTGTTCATCAAGCGAGCGTGCTGGGTTACATCGCTGGCTTGCATGTAAGGAGGCTCGTTGCCGCTGACAGTGTGAATGATACCGAGAGGCTCAAGGTCGTTCAGATATTCGTGATGCGGCAAGGTCTTGGGTAGCTGGACATCGCGCGTGTTGCCAACCTGCGGTATCATGACAATGGTAACAATTTCCTTGACCTGTTCGTTGTCTGGCGGTGATCGTCCGTACAGGTAGCCTGCAACCTGCACCCGCAAATCTGCGATGGTGATGAATCGCTTCAAGACGTTCTTTGGCATGACATAGGTGAAATGGCCTTCTTCTTTGACATCTTCCGAGTTGATGTAGATATTGTTCGCACGTGTACGCAAGTTCGAAGTTGCGACTGCTCTGGTGCGCCACTCCGTCTTAGAAGCGAATGATGCTTGCTCGTATTGAGATGTGGTAGTAACAACCATCTCTTCGCCGTGAATGTTCTGAGTCTTCGTAGTCACAGCGGTCAGCTGTTGCTGCTCCTGTTGTTGCGCATCGATCTCGGCAGCTTGTTGACGCTGCATGGAAGGCGCCGAAATCTCCATTCCCAAGATTATGTCGCGCACTTCACTACTAGTCAGTGAGGAAGTGTTGACGTTGTTCTTCTTGCCGTAGTCGTTGAGAATAAGATCACGGAGCTGCACCTCGACCTTGATCCACTCATCGTCACCTAGCGTGGGCCAGATGTGATGCTCTTGTGTAATGACTGTCTTGTCAGGGCGCAAAAGCAACTTTGTCTTATCTTGATTCACGTGCAAAGCGCGCAATATAAGGATTAAACGCGAGAAAGCGGTATACGATGAGATCGTCTTCAGCCATTCGTCGTAGAGGTTGAAAAGCACCATCTGAGGTCCAGTCGCGCGGAGAATCATGTCACCGAGCTTCTCAACCTTCATCGCAGCTTGGAAAGGAAGCTGAAGCTCTGATGCGCGAATAGAGATGTTCGGGAAATCGAGCAAATGGACCTCAAGGGGATCGAGTAGACCCTTGCGAGTGACGATCAGCTGTTTCGGTTGTTCTTCCACGGGCAGCGATCGAATGAGAGCCGCGACTTCTTCTGCAGTCTTCCATTTAGCCAACTGACCAAGACGCTTCTGTCCAGCCCAGACACTGGTGTGAATGATCTTCAGGAAAAGTTGTCCAGTTCGAGGGTTGAAGATGAAGATGGCACCATTGATGGGCTTGGTGGTCAAGTTACCCTCAAAGGTCTTGTGAATAGTGACGCGGTAGACGTTGGTGTCGTCAATGAACAGCTGAACTTGGTTGCTGAACAACTCGGAGTAGTTCTGAGAGTTCAAGAATTCTTGGTTGCTTTCCGAAGCGTACAACTGTAAACCCTTTCGAATGCGCTCACGAAGAACGTATAGAGCGGGATTAGCCTTCATGACCTTGGCCATAGCCTGTTGCACAAGCTGCTTAAGACCGGGGAAGTATTGGCCATATGCCGAGTACAAGTTGTAGGCCAGGTCGATGGCAATCATCAAACCGGTAGCCGATGGATAAATGCTCATACTATCTTGAGTGTAGTCAAGATACTTTGCGCGGACGTAACGCTCAATGTCATGGGAATCATAATCACCATAGCGCAGTTGAACATCGATCCAGAACTTGTTCGTCGTGGTAGCGCCCATTTGATCCTTGTTGTCTTGAAGAGGAGACGGGTTTGAGACGCTCCACTTGTGGCTGGCGAACAGCAAGATGTCAGCACAGGAGCTGTTCATCTTGTACGACTTTCGAGGATGAATAGTCTCCTTCTGCACCGTCTCAATGCCTAAAGCTTCTAATTCCTGGTCAAAGACTTGGCACAGATCCATTACAACGGACTCGTGGATCTTCTGCCACAAATGGGCACGGAAAATCTGGATCAAAGAGATCTTCAGCGTCGGAATCTTGCCGTGTAGGAAAATGCCAGTCAAGTCCAGTTGGACCTGGAAACCGACATAGACGTTGGCACGGTTGATTGTGGGGGACCACCAAAGAGTGAATCGACGGTTAGGAATTTGGTTCAAACCGGATCGTTGGGCGTTCGTCAGTTTCTTGAACTTCATCGATTCTTCAAACCCAGATGCCTATCACCAATTAGCTTAATTCGCATCAATGTGGCTGTTATTCGTCAAAGCTTGGTTACTTGCGCACCCTGAGATGACACATAATGCCAGAATATGACGGAAAATTGTAAATCACGTACCTTTTCCCAGAACAGGCCCTCCCAGGACGGGAACGCAGTCGCCTTGAAGAGAGTGTGCTCGAGAATGGTTTCCACACCACCCAAAGCCTGAATGACATCCGTCCTGTACGCGTTGAGGTTCCACAGTTTACCGTCGTGTCGCTGGCTCGTCCACCAGAATGGATTGCTCTTCATGTGCTGGTAGATCTTGAACTCGGTCCTTGCCCGGAAACCTTTGTCGAAACTGAGAGTGCTACGGTCCTTCTGGAACAAAGTGTTGATACGAGGTAGACCCCTGTCCCAGCTGTCTTCCAGGTCCTCTAGTGTTAGTCGTCGATTCTGTTGGTGCGCTTCTTGTCGCTTTTGTGAATATTCCATCCACACACGCTGCGAGTCGATGAACTCAGACTCCCATGGAATGATGTACCGAAAGATGTTCGGTATCAGTGTCTCTTCATCGTGAGACATACCAGCACGGAAGTGTGTGATACCAGTATCGGTTTGCTTGAACCATCGCTTGTCGCTGGCGGGAATCAGGATGTGTGACCCCGATATCATGCCCAGACCACCCAGTTCTTTCGGAGTATAAAAGACGGCTGGCGGGAAACGGGAGGGCATTTTAGAGTTTAGACCTATCTTTACACGCGTCTGAATCTTTGTCTCGCACTTGACAATGGTGTCAAGCAGGTTGACTGTAGAGACTGCTGCTTCACGGTAGTACGTAAACAGCGCAATAAGCGTAGTGTTCCACTTATTTGCGATCTTAGTGAATGTCGTCGATCCGGAAGACATCAGGATTTGCCGAATGCGGTTATTAAACTTTTGAATGTCCTCCTCAGTAACCTGAAGGAAGGCATGTGCAGTGCGCTCTTTCGTAGCATTGTCAACGAGAGACCACACGCTATCCTTCGTAGGGAATTCCTCGTTGAGGTTGCGAATCTTAGGCAGGATGCGCACTTCAAATCCGTTCATGGAGAAGAGGAGGTTGGGGTTGTCGCGGCTGTACACACTCGCGAAGGTGTCGTCCCACTCAATCGTGGTGATCGATCTAGGCAGACGGTTCTTCAGGTCCCAGAATACAGCACGTCCGAGATTGACGTCGTGACGCATCAGACGCATCCTGGAATCACGTGGCCAGCACTTTTTGTTGCGGTAGCCGATAACATTTTCGAAGTTAGGATCAGGATTCTCGGTCAAGAATCTCTGAATCAAGTCCCTAGATTCCTCGGCAGAGAATCGGAAAAAGACCCAGATACGGTCAATATATCTGGTGTAGAGACGAATGGGGTGGCGAACTTCAGTTTCCTTGTCCTTAAATTGAAGGAAGTCGTTGGGGCTCTCCGGAGCACCTGCGATCTCGTTCGCTCGCGTCAAACCAAGCAACAAGATATCCAAGACAAGCCCGTAGAACTGGAAAACAAAGCCGGAGAACTGTAGACCTCGAATCATGCCGTAAGCATTGACGTGGTTCATGTCCTTGTAGTTGAGCTGGACGTTGTTCTTGGCGGTGATGTAGTCCGCCAGATTGTGGTCCATGATCAAACGGAGCAGACGGTTGAGCAGCGTTAGATCCATCTTCTCATACACCTTGGATAATTGCGTCTCGATCAGGACATTGCATTCTCCATCTTGATGCTCCCAGACCTTATCCAGGTTATTGATACCCTGGGCCCACTTGTAAGTGAGTAATGGAGGAACTTCGGAATCGGAAGGCTTGATCCAGCCTGGGAACAAATGGCGCTGATCGGCTTGGTACCACAGGTACTGATCAAGATAGGCATCCGTGATCTTCTCCATGGGCTCGATATCGTATACAGGGTTGATTGTGCTGTAATTGTCATTCATGTCGATGCCAACTTCTTTGAACGCGCGCTGCGTGAGCAAAAATCGTTTGATCCTCGCCAAGGTCGTTCCGGGTGAATCATAGGCCTGTTCAATCAGTGCGAGCTCCTCGCGCTGACTCTGGTTCAGGCGACCCTTGACTGAGTACGCTTCACGTAGGCGCTCAAGTGCAAGAATTAGAATCTTCGTGTCGTGCTTGTAAGACACACTAGGGAAAGGAATGGGCTGAAACTTCCTCGCCTCCAGCCAATGGACCATCGTTGTGTAGATGGCAACAGCCTCTTCTGACGAGACGTAAGGACCGTCCTTCATGTAGTTGTGCTGACGTTCCTGCTCAGCCTTTAACCACAGACGCGTCAGTCTTCCCAGATTCTTTTTGGCAACTGTCTTGTCGACAGTCGCGCCGCGCCGAATGCGTTCTCGGTTGTAATGAGCAACAGAGATCCACCAATCGGCCTTGCTCTTGACATAACGGAGAATGATGTTCTCAATCGGCGCTGGGAGGCCTGGCACCTTCCACGGGATGTTGCTCTTCCAACATCTCCAGGCTTCCGAAAGATGCTGCAGAACCGTATTGACCTTGTTCTGCTTGATGCCCTCGGGCATCATGTCCATGAGATCACTCATCACCGCAGCGCGAAGCTCGAGATCGAAGTGAGACTCCACACGCTGCTTGGTGACTGTCTTCGCAACACCCTTGCTATGTCGACCTTCAAATTGTCGAGAAAGAAGGTTACCAAGCCACCGCTCCAACAGTGGAATGATACCGCGCATGAAGAACAGCCACACTCTCCATGCTGGGGCCCAGAAACCGCACCCAGGGCCTTTTCCAACGGGACCGGAGTTGAACCGATAGTAGATGAGATGCTTCAAATCTTTGCACGACCGGATCTGGTGCATCAACTTGTACTTGTAGCGGTACATTCCCGTAAGCTGACCGACATGGTTGAAAGCGTATAGAATACCATCGGCAAGTTGGAAAGCATCAATGTTGCCAAGCCGGTACTGCACCTGGGCATCGACAATAAGCTTGGTCAAACGTAAGATCTCGCGCATCAGGTGGAAAGCGTTTCCGAAACGCGACTTCTTTCGTTCTTTAGTGGTAAGCGTCTTGACCGGCTTCAGGTTGAAGTTGTAATCGAGGTGCAGGTAAGTAAGGTTCTTTCGATGAATGAGCAAGTTCAACATGTTGAAACCTTGCCGACACACCTGCAGACCGGCCTCCACCCAATCAATTTTGGTTTGTTGGAAAAATTTGGTGCCTTTCAGTGTGGTCATCAAATTCTGCTTATTCTGTGCCTTTGAAGGTCGGTTGTGGAGCTCGTTCAACACGTAGGTCTTCAGAAGCTTCTGATACGACACTCGTACCTTGACGGGCTGTCCCGCAGGGACGTGTTCGAGATACCACTGCTTCACGAGGGGAACATCCTGCGCTCGCACCATCCTGCCTGAGCGCTTGTCGAACGGATGCGGCGCCCACCACAAGGCAATAGCTGAAGCTGTCTCATCGGTGTAAAGTTCTTCTTCGGCCATAAAAGGTTCAACGTCATCAGGAAGTTGGAAGTCGTCTTCGTCGTCCTCCTCGTTTCCGTAACCGAAAACTTCATCCTCATGGCTAACCGTGATGTTCTTCGGCGCTACCGCGCGCAATGAGATTGGATTAATGATGGGGTCGAAGTAAAATGCCGGAAGATCAGGATTATCGCTGCGAACGTACACAACTTGGGGGTGAGAGTACCACGCAAGCTTGACGGATCGTGGAAGGGAATTGTAAAGGAACGGGAACGATACACGATATTCGGTTCGTATGGGGGACCGGAAAATAATGCGGTCGATCGCATTGAATTCGCCAAAGTCCTCGTCATTTGGGTCGATATCCTTGTACAGAGGTTCGAAGCGGGGTCCTCCCGGGATTGCTACGTTAAGGGCTTTCGCAGTCAAGAAACTATCCAAATCAAACATGTGAAAGTAGTTCTTGTCCACCAGGTCGCTCAGCAACTTGTCACTGAGACGATAGAGCGTCGCCATTTGAGGCAAATCCAGGTTCCATTTCTCGTAGCTCGGTCCGTTGACGTGTGGCGTATCGAGCAGAGGTCGGTGCTCGTAAAACCAGTCGTATACCGGGTTATCCTCCTCCTCATCTAATTCCAATTGGATTGGCTCCAATGGCTCCACATCCTCAATATTCTCCGAGTATGACATAGGAGGTTCTTCGTCATCGAATGGCGGAAATCGCATGCGCTTGAAATGCCGTCGGTCACTCTTCTCTTTGCGCATCGCAATCCACATGGCGGCCCATTGTGCATGAAACACGGGCTCGATCACACGAGGAACCTCGTTGACTAGAGTCAAACATCCATTTGTGTGGTAAAGAACCTTGACATCGCGTCTGCTCTCCCATGGCATAGGCATGTTCTCCAGGAGCTTCAAGACCGCATGGGGCATAAATTTGAGCGCACCCAGGTAGCTTCGCTTGTCGCTGGTAAACTTCTTTTGCGACACATCTCCAATGTCCCTGAAAACTTTGCGCAAGTGCTCCGGAGGAAGGTCCGCCTTCTGGGTCTCGACGAACCCTGCCTTTCGCCTCTCACCAAATCTCTGCCGTTGTCGTCGTAGCCAGTCCTTCTTCTTCTGCGCGAACTTTGCGACCTGTGGGTCAACGGGCGGTCGTAGGCCTGGTGGACCTACAGTGCCAGGAGGTCCCGGAGGTGGTGGTGGCGGGGGAAGAGCTCCAAATGCAGAGCCAGGTGCCCCTGGGGAGGAGGCGGCGGTGGCGGTGGGAAAGCCATCGTGGTCTACGGTCTGGCTGAAAGTGTCTTGGTGGAGTCAGTGGGAATGAACTGAATGTTTACCGGCAAGGTATATCGAGGCCGTAGTCGCGATATTGCTGGTGATGGCGGCCAAAGAAAGCTTGTAAATCGCGACAGAGTTTGCAATCTGGTGAATAAAGTGGCCGAGATGGGATCGGTTACCTTTGGCCCAGCTACAGCATGCGCTGCAGCGGAAGACTGATTGATGCGCTGGTCGCGACTCAAGCTTAGGAGACGGAACCTAAAGCTCTCGAAATGGGCGTCGGACGGCGCGCAGCGGTCGAGAAGATAGATCCTGCGACCGAACAAGGGGGGTATCAAGAGGAAATAGACGCGTCGTGAAGGAATTGATACCCCACGCGATGGAGGGACTCGCGATGCACAGCAAGTGGCGGGTGATGATATTTCTCCTGCGCGCAAGGCCGCGACGGGCTCACGTGAGGCTTGGCACATGACTAGCGCCTCCCCGAAAAATTAAGCGAGCGCGCTTCCCACACAGTCCGAGCCATCGCGAAAGTCCAACGACCGTCGACAACAGCAACACCCGCGGTAAGTCTGCCACAACGCGCATCCACTTCTACTTGCGATACTAATTACCTTTGACAGATCAGGTACGAACACTTTTCATCGCTCGCATACGCATATTCGTTCGAACGTCGCTTACAACCATTACAGTAACTCCTCCGTCTGAATCTTCGGGAACACCATCAAAATGCCGTCCACTAGACTTACTTACGTACGTTTGCCCGCATCAGAGGGCTTTCCGAAGCCGCAATATTGGAACTGTTGGAAAGATTGAAACTCGAGACTGACTGTAGGCAGCGCCGACGGGCCCCGTACAACACCTCCAGCAACAATGTCCGCGTGATCAAGACTCCTGGCGGCCAGCTCCGATACCTGCACATCAAGAAGAAGGGCACCGCCCCCAAGTGCGGTGTATGTGACAAGATCCCAACCGCGATGAACAAGTGTTGACAATTTTAGGACTGCGGTACCAAGCTCCCTGGTATTCCTGCCCTCCGCCCCCGCGAGTACGCCACCGTCTCCCGCCCCAAGAAGACCGTCCAGCGCGCCTACGGCGGTTCGCGATGCGCCAGCTGCGTCCAGGACCGCATCGTCCGCGCTTTCCTCATCGAGGAGCAGAAGGTCGTCAAGAAGGTGCTCAAGGAATCGCAGCAGAAGAAGCGTTAAGGGGTTATGATTGTCAGGAGTGGTTGAAAACAGGGCATCGGTGTTCATGTGCATTACGGCAGTTCCTGGATCAGGCGGGCTTTAGGAATTACGATATCAAGGCGATTTCTGCATTACGCTCGGGCGTCCCAGAACATTTCGCTTAGTAGAACAAAAAACTACTGACAAGCCAAAATCTTCGCTCCGGACGTCCTGCCAATGGTGACTGCGACGGTGTTTCACTGTTGCAAATACACTTCTTACCAGCAACCGTAGTAGTATTCACATGATCGATTAGTACCCACCTTCCTCTGCCGGACTATTCGTTTTCACTGTCTAGAGCACGCCCTTGCTGGTGGTGGAGCAAATCCAAGAGGCAATGCGATGTCTGCCTGCCAACAAACTCAACGTGATGTCGTGTCTAACAGGGACAGTCAGACAGGATGGTTCTCTAGCAAGTCAGGTATCCGGCCTGTCGCAGTGATCTCGGCCCTGAAAAGTTTAGACAATACTCGATGATCCAAAGTATGTAGCCTGCTTTCGCTCGTGAGAAGCTTGCCGGAAGTGGGCCAGCGGCCATGGTGCCATTGGCTGTTGCGGAGATCTCCTTCACTGTCCCACTGCTTCAACCGTCACAATTCTTGTCGACAGATGAGTCAGGCTGGGCGGCTATCGACGCGACGTCAATCTCCGGGCTCCTGCATGAACAGCCGCCAACATCACATCAAATGAATGACAGCTCCGCACGTTCGCAGCAATTGGCAGCCGAGCGTGTTGGCAGTTCACAGTGACGCCTCCGACATTTCGGCCATTCGAGTCTAGCTCAGCCTGCCCCGCCATTGAATTCTTCCGCTCGTTCGAGCCGAACCCTCACTGCATGCGATATCGGGCACAACGATGGAAATGTTGTCCATGTCGCCCCAGACGCCAAATGGTGCGCAAGGGAACCCGCCAATATCCTATGTCGCCAGCCCGACGAGCGCGCGCTCCCAGACCTTCAAGCGACCGGCCTCCAGCGACGAGGAGGATAATGGCGACGCAGCGAATGCGCGCCCCGGCAGCAGACGCAGCACCGTGGTGAAACGTGCTTGCAATGAATGTCGTCAACAAAAGGTGCGTGCATGCAATCGCGTCGAGTCAGTTACATCGCGGAGAGCGACATGTCAAAACCCGCTGTTACAGGACCCCGCTGACCCTCTGCAGCTCAGATGCAACGTCCAACAAGACCCCTTCGTGAGCTGCGCGCGATGCCAAAAACAAGGCCTGAAATGCGTCATCGAGCCCAACTTCAAGCGCATAGGGAAGCGCACGCGCAATGCCGAAATGGAGCGCGAAATGGAGCAGCTGCGCAACCGCCTGGCCATGTATGAGGGCAGGGCGAACCACATGCCCATGGTCAACACGCCGCAGCATCAGCAGCAGCAGATGACGGATAACACGTCCTTCGCGCCTGGCACTGTCAAGGTCGACGAGGACGACGCGTTCCTACAGACGCAGCACCAGCAGGTCGCTGCGACCTCGCTGCTGGACTTGCGGAGCGGATCGCCCATGATGCATTCGCTCGACAGCCTGCGCCTGCCGCCAGCTCAGGTCACGGAGCTGTTCACCGAGTATTTTGACAAATACCACCGGTTCCTGCCGTTCCTCGATCCGTTGCGCCAGCCCGAGGAAGTCCTCGCGAAAGACAACAAGCTTCTCTTCTGGGCCATCATCAGTGTCGGGGCGCGCCACTACAAGCGCGACCCAGGGCTACTGAGTCGCCTGAAAGACCCGTTGACGGATTTGATATGGAAGACAATCAAGGGTCAGACGAACCATCACGTAGTGAAGGCGCTGTGTCTGCTATGTTATTGGCCGCTGCCCCAGCACAGGACGGTTATGGATCCTACCTTCGTGCTCTGCGGGGTTATGATGCAGGTTGCTATCCAAATCGGTCTGCACCAACCAACTCATCCGCAAGACTTTTCGAGGACCAAGGTGCGACTGCAGAAGGAGGACATCCAAGACAGGCTGCGGACATGGGCCGTCTGCAACATCGTTGCCCAAACGCAAGTCTTTCCAATTTTACTGCATTGAGTTGCAGCTGATGCATTGTAGTGTTTCTACCGGCCATGGTCAGCCATCGGTTACTCTATATGATAGTACACTAGACTTCAAGATGGACGATGAGGAACATGCTGGAACGCTACCTCCCGATATATTCGTCCGACTGCGTCAGGAGATGGCCGCGAGCCGCATCAACAAGCTCTTGTATTCCATGAACAACAATAGATTCTCCGAAGGTGCTGCAACCACATATATGGGTTTGGAAGCAGATCGTCTCCGAGAAGAACGTGGAGCTTTCGATGGCGTAAACAAAGGTATGCTCGCCTTACAAGCTCTAGCAACTACGTTACCTCCCTGTTGAGCAGAATAATTAATACAGGAACAGAACTCGAGGAACTACATCATTGCGCGGTCAGCTTGCACCTGCATTTGTACTCCTTCTTCAACAGAGAGGCCCGCCTCGAACGCCGCGATGATCTCGTACAATTGTACTGGTCTGCGACTGCATATCTCGACCGCGTCATCAAATTGCAACGCGATGGGCAGCTAATCCACACGCCATATCATATTATGCAGTTGGCACTTGCAGCTGGCTTCGCCTTGCTCAAGCTTCTTAATTCGGATTTCGCAGGAAGGTTGCCGTCCGAGGGTAGACAATACGTTTTGCAGACTGTAGAGGCCTTGCGGAAATCCAAGGTGGAGACCAACGATTTGCTCGATCGCTTTGCGGAGGTCCTGGCTCAACTTTGGAAAGAAAGTTCTCGGGGCCGCAGTTTGCATAGCATGTCTCAGTCGCCTGTCGTCAGTAATCCAGGTGTTGCGAACATGTTTAACAGCAATATTCAGGCCCCTTCGCAGCAACAACAAAAACAACAACAACCGGGCCACCGCAGAGACAGTTCTGGTAAGTCTCGTCCTTAATTATCCCACCAGTTGCGTTTCCGCCCAGCCGTGCGCACGAGATTTTGTGAGATAAACGCTGACAATTGCTAGGTCTACTCGAAGATCCCCTTGGCCTCATCATCCGCAGCAGGATGAGCATGAGCGTGGTCTTTGATTGCGTATGGCGTTGGCGCGAATCGCAAGTAAATGGTGCTGCAGAGCAACTTGACACGACAGTGCGAGAAAACCCGACGAATCCAGACAGTTCATCCAACTCCACACCTCCGCCGGGCATGATTGTGGAGAATCCAGCGCACAGTCTTCCGAGCTTCAATCCACATCTTAACACGCTCAGCATGCCAGCGCCATTACCGAATGGCCTGGCCAGCGCTAACAGCTATGAGTTCTTCGATTCCGTCAGCTGGATGCTCGAGGCACAGGATTGGAACAATCAATACGGGGGTGTCTTTTCGAACGACTTTGGGTCTTAGACGGATCCTTCGTTGCCGGACGCGATTTCTGTATAAACAATGCTTCCGAATCTTGTACCGCGCGAACCTATTTTGACTGAGAATGAGGAGCTCTGCAGCTGAAACATGTCGATCCTTGTCGTTGATGCTGGTTGCGATAGGCTGGCTGTACTCATATTATTCTCCTTATCTTATATTTCTGGCACCGGTACCTCTTTTATACCCATGGTGCCGGTCGTTTCCTACTTTCTACTCTTTGTTGCTTTTTGGTACGCTTTGGATCTTTTTAGCGAGGCGTACAGGCGCCTAGGCGACGTGTTGATCCTCGTATTGTGGTTTTGAGTTGTATTTTATACAGACAATTGGGAATGCTTTATGAGAGAGGTTAGTGTCAATTTGGGTCGATGCGAAATGTTCATACGGTCCGCGACGGGGAAGTCCGATTGAGAAGAGTTGGAAAGAAAGGCCTCTTGTCCGACGCGGTTGGAAACGGCGGGTGAGAGATGTCCATCAAGATCGTATGTACGAATAGTCAAGAAGATGGCAGCGCCGGATGATGGGATTCAAATTTATAAATACTGATATCGGTAATACGCGGGTCGTTGTTGCCTTCCTAAGCTTTTGCGCCTGCATCAACAGCAAGAAGCGTGCCTGCCTCAAAAGCGTCACGACCTCCCCAGTCGTCCCTTAGCATCAGCTCACCCATGTTCTGACACTCACTCGAATCTCAAAGCCTATCCTTCTTCAGCACCCATCATGCTTGCTCCGCTCCAAGAGCGATATCCACTTACAGACCGCCTTGAAATACACCTCACGTCTTACATGGTCCACCTTATAGTGGCATTGATCATTCTTCCCTCTCTCATTTGGCACATCTTCAGCGCAAATGTTCACGACGACTACGGCATGCCGGACGATTGGGAGGAAACGTTTCGCAAGACGCAATTTACAGGCGGGAGAGGGTGGCTGTGGGGTTTCCTGTTTGCTCTGGTATGTTTCGATGATGCGAAAAGACGGTCAATTCTAAGACAGTAATACTGACGGAGGACTCAGATACCACTCGACTGCATACATGCGCTTCTTGCATTGGACTACTACCACGGACGTCGCTTCGAAAGGGGCCACGAAGACTATACCACAAACACATCTAAGCCGCAAGTACGACGGCATCGCGCATCCAGATCCGCGTGCGTTCACCTCTCCCCTAGTACCACCCCTCCGAACCGCCTTCTGCACCCATCGTCCCCTCCCCACACGGACCCCACGAACCCACCATCCCCTCCTGAGGCCCGTCTTCCCGCCCCCTCTCCGCCTTTCCCTTATAACTATATACGATATCACCATCTCCATCTTCCTGGTCATCCATATCACTGCCTTCTTCATGCTGCTCGGCACAAATTGGGACGACTGCTCCACCTACACCTCACCTTATCCTGAGAACTTTATGGACCCAATGAACACGAGGATGAGCGTGTTGGAAAGATGCCAGAGAATCTGCACGGATATGTATGTCTCAGGTGGGTTCGATATAGCGCTCTGCTTTGTATTGCTTGCTGTGCATCTGTGGCATATGGGTGTCCGGGCATTGGAGGTGGTCTCCATTGGGAGCGGACAGGATGACGAGGTGGTCCGAGAAAAAGTGACATCTATCGATGGGAGCGAGGAGAGTCAGAGGTTTGTGGTTGGGGAAGGGCAGCGAAAAGCGCAGAGTACAGCGATCCGGTATCGTGATAGGAGTGCAGAAGGGAGAAGGAAGAGGGTAAGAAGTAGTGTGAGGGAGGAAAGCCATGCGAGGAGGGACAGATCGAGTTCGGTGGAGAGCGCGAGGTGGAGCGAGGTGTTGCTGGAGTGTTTGGTACCCTGATGACGGGTTGCGCGAGGGTTAATGATGGGCTTTCTTTATTTACCGCCTGCAATAGGTAATACGCATGCAGTATTCGCCATAGATGTCGAGGTCTTCTATACCGATGAGTTGAAGAAACCTATTGATTCCCGAGGATATTGGATGACACTAGGTTAGATGGTATGACAGGCAAAGCGGTGGATCCTGGCTGTGTTGAGCCCGTGTGGCAATGAAACTAGATAAGGTTTTGAACCAGGAACGCGTAGTGCAAGTCACCTCAGGACACATGGTTGTTCTGTTACGTAGAAGCTGTTCATATTATGTGTTGACTGCCTCGGAGGATGTGAGTCCTTTTCTAAATAATTAGCACATAATCAGACAGGCCCGCAGGAGCCATATTCAGGATGATGGAGACTGCTTTGATGAGATACTGATCTGGTGACACGCAGTGCGCTAAGTTACCTCAGGATGTGCCAAGGCTGGCTGCTAGGTGGTCATGATGGCACATGCTAGAGGACTATCAGTACGCAGCAGTATTAAGGTATGCTTAAAGAAGTAGACGCTCTATACACCGTTAAAACCCAGACCGTGTTCATCTGAGGTCAGATGAAAGCTTGCGGTCATGCCTCGCATGCAGCTGACGGATTCACAAGTGTTCGCCCAGGCGCAGGGCTGCCAAGCATGGTCGGTTTAACCTGTTTCAGAACGGTGGATGGCTGACGTCGCAAGCCACGGGGCCTCTAACAGGATATACAGACACTCCTTTCTCCTGTTCCGACCCTCCTTTGAGTATCGTAGCGTTCAGAGAGCACATTCATCTTTTTGGTCTTCACCATGGCCGGCGACCGGCCCCTCCTCGCCAGCCGCAACTCCTCCGAGGCCACGAACGACCGCGACATCGCCGAAGAAGATGCCCTACTTACCGGTCGTCCTACAAAGCGCAGCAGCGATGGAAGGAGACCTTGGGCATTCTGGCGAGAAGTCGGCCTCTTTGTCTGGGCCGTCGTCGCAACAGCATTCGTTATCGTCCTCGCAGTCGTTTACCAGAAATCGCAAGATTCGAAGCAAAACTACAAGAGCCCAAGCGGCAAGCGCAACCTGATTTTCATGGTGTCGGATGGTATGGGCCCGACGAGCCTGAGTCTGACGAGAAGCTACATGCAATTTCAGAACGGCGCGCCGTGGAGTGAACAATTGGTCATTGATCAGCACTTGATCGGGCAGTCGCGCACGCGATCGAGTTCGTCGCTGATTACCGACTCGGCGGCTGGTGCGACGGCCTTTTCCTGTGCCAGGAAGAGCTATAACGGTGCTATCTCCGTGACTCCAGATCATGAGCCGTGCGGTACCGTGCTTGAGGCGGCGAAGAAGGCGGGATATATGACGGGCTTGGTGGTCACCACTAGGATTACCGACGCCACGCCGGCATGTTTTGCGGCCCACGTGCATCAGCGTGGAGAAGAAGACCGTATTGCAGAACAGATGGTTGGAGATTACCCGCTAGGTCGCGTTGTCGACTTGATGTTTGGCGGTGGACGCTGCCATTTCTTGCCCAATTCGGCCGACCACTCATGCAGAGGGGATGACAAGGACATAGTCAAATTGGCAAAGGAGAATGGCTTCAGTTACATCGACAACCGCAAAGCGTTCGACAACCTGAAGGGTGGTAGTGGCCTCGACTTCCCCATGCTCGGACTCTTCGCAGAGACAGACATCCCATACGAGATCGATCGTCGAAACGAAACTGATGTCTACCCCTCACTTCACGAGATGGCAGAAGTTGCCCTCAAAGCACTTAGCGAGGCGACCAGAGACAGTGACAAGGGCTTCTTTTTAATGGTTGAAGGATCCCGCATCGATCACGCTGGTCACCACAATGACCCCGCCGCTCAGGTCCACGAGGTGCTCGCCTATGACAAGGCAATGACCAGTGTGCTTGACTTCCTCAAACATGATGGCACTGAAGGTGTCATGGTTTCCACCTCCGATCACGAGACTGGCGGTCTTGCTACTGCTCGCCGTAAGTCATCCATCCCTCCTTACCATTCCCAATAATCATACTAACCTTATCACAGAACTTCACGTAACCTACCCCGAATACGCCTGGTTCCCTGGTGCTCTCGCCAATGCAACCCACTCCGCCGAGCGCCTCGCCGCCGAATACATGGGCTACTTCAATAATCACCCCGACGATCACGCACGCAAGACCTTCGTGTCCAACTCCATCGAGCAAGGCCTCGGCATCAAAGACTACAGCGATGATGAAGTTTCGAACATCGCGAACGACCCTGCCTCAGCACTCTACCGCTACGCAGACATGATTTCTCGCCGCTCGCAGTCTGGTTGGTCGACTCATGGCCACTCTGCCGCAGATGTGAACATCTACGCTTCTGACCCCAAGGCTGCGTTGCCGCTTGTCGGCAACCACGAGAACACCGAGGTGGGTGAGTTCCTGAGGAGTTATCTTGGCGTCGATGTGGAGGCTGTGACGAAGGAGCTCAAGAAGAAGGACAAGGAGCTCAAGATGCTTGGCGAGGGCGGCGACTGGATGGGCAAGGTACCTGAGGAGGGCGAGAGGTTAGATGGGCAGACGCACTTGGCGAGTTACAGCGGGGACTTCAAGAAGCGGGGCGTCGTGCATGGGGAAGAGTGCGGGTGTGAGCATTAGCTCAATGTTGATTAGACTGTGAAAGCATTTCCGGCGTTTGAGGATGAAACTAGAGCATGATACCGGGTTTGTAAACCCTCGGTTATGAGGATTTGATTTATTGTTCATCTACCAATCTTCTTGTACACTGTTTTTCCAACTTGAGCACAGGAAGTGATGTGTTCTCGCAGTGAGGTGCAGAGGGAATGGATCGAGGCAGATTAGGTGCAAGAATGGCTAAACCGTATGGCGTTACGCGGGATGTAGAGGTTATACCCCAGTTGTTGGATAGCGTGTCTCTTTGGCCTGCGAGACACTCGGGAGGGTGACAGTGGAGGTAGCCCATTATTCAGAGTGTGTTCGTTGGCGTGCCGGCGAAGTGCGCTGTGATCAGTGGTCTTGACTTCGGCGGTGATACAGGTGGTGTTTCTGGCGGGCGTAGTAATGGGAGCAGATATGTTGTTGTAGGCGGTGGCGTAGGCGCAGCGGAGAAGTACCGATGCTGAACATTATGGGTGCAGTGCATTGAGTGGCCCAGAGCTGGAGAGGCGAAGAAATTGGCTGCTACCAAGGTAGGTGCTTGTCTGTCATTGAGAACAATCCGTGCAGCATCATCGTGTGACCCTAGAAGTGATGTTGAACCGTCTATTAGCAGTACATAATCGCATCTGCGGCGAAGACGCTCGGTGGATGCGATTGTTATTGAATTGTCTTTGACGTGCAAATGACGGGACAACGGCACTGGCTGTGAAACACGCAACTACCTGTGAATGCCACATGTCAACCAACAAGTTTGCAGCTGTCATCTCATTCAGTCAACTCAGTTCAGTCTTACCACGGCACTCCCAAATCCAACTACCTTCAATGCGCTCTCCTAACCTCCACAACGGGCCCATCCCTAACAGCCCCCAGCGCATCCCACAGCTGGTACTCGTCCTCTCTTTCCCTCCCAATACCTAATCCCTTTCTCCCCGCTCCGAGGCCCTTCTCCCCCTCACACTCCCTAATATTAAATCTCCATAAGAAATGCGCCAGGCTCAACCTCAACTGTAAATACCCCAAATTCTTGCCTATACACCCTCTCACACCTAATCCGAACGGCTCGAACGCCTTCTTCATCTCGTCAATGGCAGACTGCGGGTTTTCAGGCGAGGCGATCCAGCGCTCGGGTGAGAAAGTGAAGGGGGATGAGTAGTAGGCGGGGTTATGGTGGATTGCATATTGCGAGACGCCAACGACGGTGCCAGCGGGGAGGTAGGGAGTCGATTGTCATGCCGCCCGAGAGGACGACGCGGGGACGTGAGAGGGGACGGGGGCGAGGCGGCGGAGGGATTCTTCAATGGTGGCAGAGAGGTAAGTGCAGGAGTTTAATTGAGGGCCGCCGATGATTTCTGAGGGGGATGTGAATGTTGAGCTATGACAGGTTAAAGATGTGGTAGGAGTTTGTGGAGGTTTGACATACCGGACTTCCTCGGTAGCTTTCTTCAGACATTCCGAGTTGTGGACTAAGTAGAATATAGCACCCGTGAACACCTGACTATACGGGTCTGCACCAGCAATGATCATGTTGAGGGACTCTGTATCCAAGTCTAGGTCTGTTGGGCGCCACCCTGATTTCTTATCGTCATTATAAGCAAGCCTGGATAGGAAGTCTCTGCCGTCGCTGAAGCCTTTCTCGTTTCCTTCATTACTTCGACGAGCCTGAACTTGAGCTTTCCCGTAGTCGATCAAACGGTTGTTGTCTTGGACTGGCTTCCCTCCAACTATTTCGAAGAAATGCGATCGGAGGAATGGGCGCACGAGGAAGGCCACAGGAAGGTAGGAAAGCTACGAAACTCTGATCAGTGTGACCGCAACATGCAAGAGAAGCGAACACCTACCCAGTAAAGCAACTTTTGGGCCGGTAGTACGCAATCCGCAAAGTCCCTAGTCCCTTCCTCTTGCACGCTCTTGAAGTCACTCCCGAACACCAATGCACCCATCATATCGAAGCCAAGATAGACGGACATCTGATGAGCATTCCACTTCTCTCCCCAACCATCTCCATCTGGTTTCAAAGACTCACAAAAGCGCTCAATGATGTCGATGAGGAGTGGTTCATTCGCCTTGATGGACTCAGTTGAGAAAGCCGGGGCCATCCATCGTCGCTTAATGGAATGCTTCTCTCGATCTGTCTCGGTGAAGCTACTGTATGTACCGGCTGCGATATCAAAAGTTTTGTACCACTCGCCCTTCTTCACGTTTGCTGTCCGCGTGCCGTAAATAGCATTGAGCGCGGATCTGGTGTTGAACGAGAGTGTGTTGGGCGCTATGCGCACGATTGGGCCTGCGAAGTAATCAATGAGTGAGGAACAGAACCAGGGCGCTTGCGGCGATATCTTCTAAGAAGACCACACGTACCATATTTTTCATGATCGAGAAGGTGCCATATATGTCGATCACCCTTATATGCTTGCCATACAAGCGGCCAGCCGCTGAGCTTGTAGCTGAGCGGGCCAGGATATTTCGCGAGCGGATGGAAGAAAACGCGGTATGCACATAGAGTGACTATCTATCGCCACACATTCTGAGTCGTCTGCCAGTCGACCAAGAACATTAAGGGAGATCTTACATAGACCACGAGAGCAACAGCAGCATAAACAAATACCGTAGGTAGCTGTGAGAGCGAAAAGGACGAAATGGAGGACGCCGACAACATGGCGTCGAAGCGCAAGGTAAAATCGACGAAGGGAAAAGTCCGTGACACCTGCTGGCGAATGTGACCTTTAAAAAGGTGGCATGTACTATGCTATACAAAACCCCCGGGGCCTCGTCGGAGGTGACTCCTCAATCAGCTCACCCTCCATGTTTGCAGGAAAGCGATTGGTAATGGTCGTCCCCATGTGCGGCAGAACATGCATGGCTTGACAATCCCAGCTCAATAGCTCGTCTTCGCGAGCGAGATGCAGAGGCGTGGGATTCCTGCGTAGTCGAAATCCAGCTAGCGAGGTGGGGTACAGATACGGCCCGATGCCGTCCACCATGTACCACTTCTTTGCCTCTTGTAAACCAAGACAGTACCTTCAAGTAAACTCAACCTCGGAATCGGAGCAGCTGCGGACGAGAGAATACCATAATGCTCGCCAAGGGGCCTCTGAAACCCGCATCAAAACCAATAACGTCATCCTCAACGATGGAGAGCAGGGCACCGCTAGGTGATTTATCGTTCAGTGTGAAATCGAATCGTCGTAAAGGTCGTATATCAGATGCATGTCTATCTCATTCAGCGTACTGATCCAGATGCAGTGACCCAGTTCAACCCTTTACTGACTCCCTCACCGTTGCTCGATCCGATAGATCTTGAGCGCAAGCGAAAAGCCACATCCAGATGATGCCGTCGTACAATTGCCGGGAAACGGAGTCATATCAAATGCTCGACTCTGGGAAGGAGCTCTCAAGGTGGACTAGAAGCTTGCTACCTAGGTACAATAGCCTTATAAAGTCGGCCATTGGATAGGCCATCCTAGGGTAACTCGAGCCATGATGAGCGTCCGAATTGACGAGACAATACTGCAGGTCCGATGTTCACATGTATGCGAGAGATATTGGAATTTTCGAAACTGCCTGGCACCACTTGCATCCATATCGGCATACACACGTTCGAAAGCTATTATAAAAAGAAGATTTGCTCGAGGAGCCTTTGTGTCTGCCACGTCGCCCGTATCGACACCAACTTGCACCAGCTTAGTCGCGTGTGCTGCACAATCTTCGACCAATCGATTTTAAGACGGGGCCCATATCCGCTCATTACGCGGAGGAAAAGTTGGACGCTTCTCCTCTGTCACGTTGTGCCGGGAAGTTCTGTGTATACGTTGGTGCTGGTGTTGAAGGGTATCTAGTGCCTGGTGATGGATTACATGGTAAGTGAGAAGACGGGGCTGAAGTATGATGGGAAGGGTGTGTTGGTACGGTAGCTTGTTATATAGATCCAATCAGCAAAGTTCGCTGTTTTCGCAACTTCTGCCTGATCCGGTACTCATCTGGTCTTCTTTGAGGCTACCTTTCCCCTTTTGGGAAGTTGTGCTCGACTAAGCCCGCGAGTAATAGAGTCTAATAAGCCGTTGTACATCTACAATGCGATATAGGTCAACTTATGCCTGAGTGTAATCAGCCACACTTCGTACAATATATTTCTTCATTAGAGAGCGTAATACACGGTGAAGAGGCTACATGGTTTATCGCTGTCGTATTGAGCGACTGGACAGGCTGCCGTATGACGTACAACACCCCCGGGGCCGTTTTGCTATACAGTACGCTTAAATGAAGTAGCAGGAATCACCCTGACACCAGAAATTTAATCCTATGCAAACTCCAGCCCGTATATATGTAAAGGCACTCAGCGAAGAATTTGACGTCGATCTCAATGCAAAAAAATGATGGTCGACGCATCGCTTGTAGTCGTCCGATGTGGCGCTAGATAAACACGGAAAGGCTCCGCGCCCGAGGTCGCCGCGGGGTTTAGGATGCCTTCACATCTCCACAAGCCGACCCGATTTTCAACTGCCGTCTTCACGATGCGGTTGTAGCTGCCCGAGGCAGTGGCGTATTTGGCGACAAAAACGCGGCCTCCCTTGCAATGCTCATCCTCCCGGGTAGCACAACGATCGAGACGCGACGCATTCGAAACCCCGCATACGCGCCCCGCATATACATGTACATAGCCCAAGTCTGATTTCAGCGCAATTAAATCCACGACTCCCACCTCTGAGAGCGCTCTAGAAGAACAACATGGGTTCCGACGCGTCGTACACGGTTCCGCTGCTCATCAACGGCAAAGAGATCACCACCAAGACCACCTTCCCTGTGACTTCGCCCGGATCGCACAAGCAGATATGGTCAGCCTCATCAGCTTCTCTCGAGGACGTCAAGGGCGCCATTGACGCCGCCCAAGCCACATTCCCGGCCTGGGCGAAAATGAAGCCAGCCGCCCGCCGCGACATCTTCCTCAAGGCCTCCGAGATCTTCAAGTCACGAGCAGAGGAGCTTGGACGATACATGGAGGAGGAGACAGGGTCGGCAGCAGCGTTCAGCTCCGGTTTCAATGTGCCACTTGGTGCTGAGATGCTCAAGGACGTCGCTGGCAGGTGTAGCCGGATCAATGGAGTCATTCCTACTTGCTCTGACGACAACACGGCCGCCCTGGTGATGAAGGAACCGTACGGCGTGATATTAGCCATAGCACCTTGGTAAACAATTCCTCCAAGCTACTGGCACTATGCAATACCTTACACCAGACAGGAACGCCCCCTACATCCTCGGTATCCGCTCCGTCCTCTACGCACTCGCCGCCGGCAACACGACCATCCTCAAGGGCTCCGAATTCTCCCCCCGCTGCTTCTGGGCCATCGGCAATGTCCTCACCGAAGCCGGTCTGCCCGCAGGAGCTCTCAATGTCCTCTACCACCGCCCTGAAGACGCCGCACAAATCACGACCGCACTGATTGAACACCAGGCAGTGAAGAAGGTCAACTTCACCGGGTCCACAGCCGTCGGTCGCATCATCGCAGCAACAGCAGGCAAGAACCTCAAGCCCGTTCTCATGGAACTTGGAGGCAAGGCGTCAGCCATTATCCTAGATGACGCGGATTTGAACAAGGCTGCGACCCAGTGCGCTCTCGGCTCGTTCTTGCACTCGGGCCAGATTTGCATGGCTACGGAGCGCATCCTCGTGCACAAGGATATCAAGGCGAAGTTCATTGAGGCCTTCAAGGGAGCGGCAGAAGGCATCTTCGGTGGCGACAAGCCCGCGCCTATCTTGGTGCAGGCGGCCAACGTGGACAAGAACAAACGACTCATCACCGAAGCCGTCAAGGCCGGAGCGAGGGTCGTGCATGGCGACCACGAGAAGGAGGAGGCGCATCCTGAGACCAAAGAGGCGTCGAAGACACGCATGCGACCGGTCATCGTCGACGGCGTGAATAAGGATATGGAGCTCTACCATACGGAGTCGTTCGGACCTTCCGTGTCCATCGTTGAGATCTCGAGCGAGGAAGAGGCTGTTGAGATTGCGAATGATACTGAGTACGGTCTGACTAGCGCTGTATTCACAGAGAATCTTGGGCGTGGGCTACGCATCGCGAAGCAAATTGAAAGCGGGTAAGTGCTATGTCACAGATCTGAGGCAATGGTGAAGCTAACAGACACAGCGCTGTTCACATCAACGCCATGACCGTCCACGATGAGACCAACCTGCCGCACGGTGGCGCGAAGATGAGTGGATGGGGACGCTTCAACGGTAGTTGGGGCTTCGATGAGTTTCTGCGGTTGAAGACCATCACCTACCAGATGTAGCTTGGCTGAGGGGCGTGAAGGCTATGCGACGCGGCAAAGTAGATATACCCTCTGGATGAACGCTATTCAAAATTACCCCTACGATTCAAGATTCAGCCTAGACTTTGTGATCGTTCTGCCCAGGTGGACTTTGCATCGAATCCGTTTCGTATTATCAAAGCAGTGATACAACGTTGATCTTCATCATCGCCCGCACCTCTTCTACGTATCTGCTGAGTCATATCGCCCCTAGACCTTTCTAATAGAGTCTCACCACCCACATCATCTTCCACCCTTCAGGCCACAGCTTTTGGGTCAGCCGGTCGCTCTATAACCCGCATGTGAGGCATTACATGTCCTGGCTGTCTGCTTTCCCACACAAAAATCAATGAATCCACTAAACCAATGTGGTCTGCGTGTCTGCTGGTCCAAAATCCCAGACACTTGAGGCCGATGTGTCTCCACAAAAAAATCAAAGGAGATGCAAGCCATGTTGCGGCGGGGAGCATCTCCTGGAGTTACAGGATTTTGACTGAAAAGGAAGTAATGCTGAGAACCATGTCTCTGCGAAGCGGGTCCAAAACCTACAGGACTACTTGCGATGTCTTGCTGGACGCGGAAGACATAAATAGACAGTGAAAAGTGAACATGCCCCTGGGGAGTGCGAGTGCAGAAAGCTGGTATGGACTGCATATGACAGGGTTCGTGGGTTCCTGAACCGGAGAATTTTCGTCTTGTTCCGAATGACTGGACCTGCGGAGCCTCCCAAAAACATGACTATACCGAGAAAAGTTCTCTTTCGGATCGCTGTTCTAAGTATGCCTTGGTAACGACTTGTGTCCTGCTCGTGGGAAGCATGGTCAAAAAATGACACGCTCGCGGTGTATGTCCGGACCTGTGCTGCCTTACAGTCCTGAACTGTGCCACATCTCTGATGGCGAGGGTGATCAAAAGCCCACCTAAATTTAAGTGACTCTTCTCCCTTCACATTACAACGCTGCATAGTGGTGGACTGAAAGGTATTCATCTTACCGTATTGGGGCGAGGAGTCCGCTCAAGTGGCAAATTCAAGAGCATCTGTGCGAAGGCTTGTGCTGTTGATAAAAGTGCTTTGATCTTGGTGTGGCATGATGATGAAGCTCATTAATCAGTCTTTGCCATCCACGTGCGCGCACACATCAGACGGGGAGCGAGGCATAGAAGCTTTTGTTTCTTTGCAGGTATTATCTTCTTTCTTCACACCACAGTCATGTATCAAGAGTAGACCAAAACACCCGGGATCACCGCGATATGAGGTGGAAGGTTTGCTGTCTAAAAAGAAGCGAGTGTGATCCTGTGATGTTTTGTGGTCGTGGTTGAAATATTCTGATTGGCAAGAAGTGCTACTCTTGCCCTATGTGTTTATATCGTAGCGATGGTGGTGCGCAGCAGTAGCTCTTCCCTTTACTACGGGCACATAAATTCGGTGGTCGACTAAAATTAGCGACATCGACGGCTCATGGGTGGGGCGTCTGCTGTTCTAAAAGCTTCTAAGGACTGATATGACCATCGTAAATGGAGCGGTATGTTTGCTGTCACTCCAGAAAAAACCTCAGGAGAATCCATGTTGTGCTCCTCGTGTTTCTAGAAAAGAGCAGAGAGCTTATGCATGGTTCGCATGTGCAAGCTTTGAGATCATAATATGGGCGGTGTTGTGGGCGCTGCTTGTTGTCTTGCTCAGAAGCCCAGCATGGGTTTTGAATATTCGATGATGTTCTCTATCATCACCTTGCGCGCTTAGATCAGATGCCTGGAAGCTATTGGAAGCTATTTAAGCGACTCCTTTCCCACCAATCTGTCTTCTTCACACTACATCATTGATGGTGAATGCACTCGAGAAATCGATGTCGACATTCTACGGGACAGAGGATCCCCTATAGGAAAATATCGCTGGAACAATGTACTCCCGTGCTTTGTTGTGCTCGTTGTGCACACGCAGGTTCAGAATTCGTTGAGGATGTCCACGGATGGGCTTGCGCTGCCCGGCTTCGGTACCATAATCAAAAGATGCACTAGGAGGGTTAATGTCGTGCTTTACTGTTTCCATGCTTCTGAAAAACCGAACCAGGTCCCCTGATGTCCTAGCATACGTGTATAAAGCGATCCGGCTCGAGAACATGTTCCTTCTCCGCCTTTCTCTTAGCTGTAAAATATCGGCTTGGAGGGATTGACCAGAAAGAGCTGTGATCTTCTCAACCGGTCGCTTGACCTGTTATTCCAGGGAGTCGGATCGGTGCACGATTTTGTGGTTTCAATAGTCATCGAGTCAATACTCGATAGGTCAAGAGGGTGCATGGCTCTTTGACTAGCGAATAGCTTTTGCATGCTTGAATGACAGATGGCAACGCCTAATTACTTTGAGGGGTGGTGACTAGACTTTTAACTTGATCGATGCCGTTCATGCAGGGTTTTTACATTACGGTCGATGAGCGTGACGCTCTGGAGAGACGGGGTGCTCATGCTACTTGTGAGGCTGTGTCCCTCCGCGGGGCGGTCTTATAGCAGCAGTGTTATGTCCACATTCATGGGACTGCACAGCACTGCCAATTGGTCAACCTGAGCAAGTATATCACACTAACCATCACCATGTCTATTACTCGTACAACAGATGCTACATGACAAATTGTGGACGGTGTCTTTGTGTCCGCCTTCATAGTCTAGCCGTTGGTCGTTGGGCTCGGGAGCTTCGTATCCGGTCGTACTAACTGTCGTTACCAAGAATTACAATGCTCAGTCCCTGCTCCTCAACAACGTGTGGGGGGTATTTTTGATCTACGTATACGATACGGCCCGGACCACGTGTGCCTGACGATCACCATAGTCTAGACCTGCAAGCAGCCTGTCGATAGAGACACCCGTTCGTGCGTGATGGGCTGTATTCGCGTCTCAGGTTTCTTGTGACGCGCATGGTGTAAGATTCCGTTTGCGTCGACCACGCTCAAAGAACCTCGCTTAACCAACTGTGAACCAACACCACGGACACGCCTCGCTGATTGCATGACGAATGGTCCCAAATTAACATCTCGCTCGGGCTGCGCTCCAGAAGCGCGTTTGTGTTCTTTGTTGCTGCATGTCTTTATAGGACAACCACCGGTCGAACTTCCAGATGCGAGTTCTTGGGACAGTTCTTGCGGTCACACCGTCGGCCAATGCTCCTGCCGGGCAGTCTCAAGCCCGCCAGACTGGGAGATGAAGGTCGCTAGAGGGCTCTCCGCATGCCATCTCGCGATGGCGGATGCGCTTCCAGAGTGGGACATGCAGCGCAGGCGTTCAAGAGGCGTTGAGATCGCCGTCTCGAAGAGTAGTCGGCGATTATTTCCATCCCTTTACTTTAATTCAATCTAGTCAGTCGTTAGTCATGGAAAGCCCACAGTGGAAGTCGCGGAATTCATCGTTCAGCAAAGAGCAACCGCCTGCGCCCGCGACGGTGTACCAGCAGGATCTCAGTACTTGGAAGACAACGACCATCACCGTCCAGAGTATCGATAGCGGATTGCTCAATGGCAAACGAGCTTGGCTTGTTTGTCTGACGTTGCAATTCTCTTGTCCACACAACGATCGCTTCAAGAAGGCCAATATCATGCTTCGATTTGAGCCAACCGAGCCAGGCCTTGCAAGTATTGCTGTAGTGAAGCGATGGGTACGCAATGCCCGGGTACGAAGTCGATTTGTCTTGGACATAAACACTTCGTACCATCTCCACTTTCATGACTTAGCTGACTTCGTACCTGCGCGTCTAGGCACCGCAGTTTCTTACCGGGAGACGAACAACATCGTCGGTCGAGTGGACCTTTGAAGGGTCGCTCACAGCAGGTGTCGACATGCCAGGCAGCACCGTGAACGCCAGTGCATTTCTGAGCCGCACGGAGTCGACAGTCAAGGAACATTCCTGCAGTATCCTGAGCGATACATGGAAGTCACCGCAGCTTGTCGAGCCCAACGCTGTACGCTTCTACATTCACGAGAACGAACAATCCAGAGGGGGTATCCCGAATCGACTCAATGCTGTGCTTGTCATCCAGTCGGATGTGGCATGTCGGGGAAGAGCAACTGTCGAGACGAACGGCATCAAAGCCATGTACGCGCGAGGTCATCATAATCCGATCGAATTGCAGGTTGATGCCTCCTATGAGCCCAGATTTCCGGAGGTGGTGAAAGATTTTGCGTCGTTGAATACGGCTGAGTGGCAGATGTTGGCGACGCCGACACTACAGATGAGGTACGTAGTAGGGCTCCAATTGATATGATTATGTCGGATATTAACTGTTCGCAGTGACAATATAGTCGGGTGTGATCGTTGACAAGATCCCGTAGTTGGGCACGAAGAGGAAGAGCGTTTGGGGTTGTGGTATCAAACTGGTCATATCGGTGCTTGGGTCTTGTCGAGCGTATGGCGGAGTCTCACTGTATGTTATTGGACGACCAGATGAAGATCTGTAGAAATTGAGAGTTGGCGCATTTGGTCTGGACTCTACGGAATTACGCTCCTCGGAAGATGATATAGATGGTGTTTAAGCGAGAGCTCCTGATACAGTTGGCCTTGTGTCATCGATGCCCATACGTTGTGTTGTAGTCCGTAGGCTCGCGTATCCACGGATAAGTTTGAGTCACGTGATCTTGGAGACGTCTGAGATAGCTCTTGTGCAGGCTTCTAGATGGGTGAACCTTCGTTCTACAAAGCGCGTACAAAACGCAGCTGGCCGCGGACGTACCTGGGATGCTATACCACACCTAGCAGCGGTAGCGAATCCGCCTCGGTACGTCCGAGTGAACGATTGCTAGCCCGTCGCGCTACCGAAAGCCAGTGGCGGTTAGATTGAACTTACACCGTGATCGTCCAACCACTCGGCGTCCGATCTCAGCTGTCTACGAGGATCATTGCCAAAATCTTTTGCACCGAACACAAGGGCTGATGCTGCCGTTCCGAAAAAGGCAACCTCGATTCTATCGGCCAGTTGGGCCAAACCTTGGAGCGAGTTGATGCGGCATCTACGACGCTCTAGGGCTGGAAGTATTGGTGACCCAGAAAACAACGTTCTTGTTCCCTTCGCTTATTTCTGCGGGTCGTATGGAAAACCGGGTAGCCTAGACCCCAGCTTCCAGAACAGCGTCGGCGATGTCACTGGATATTATTTGCGTACGAGGCTTGCAGGCGTGGCTACGTCGAACTCCTGGGGATGCACTCCTGTCGGTGCGGCCTGCTACGCCTCGCACATTAATGACCCTGCGAAGGGGCACAGCGCAATTAGTAGCTATGATAGACGGGACTTGGCTGGTACGTGTTGACAATTTCGCATGCAAGAGGAGCGGGACATGGGGATTGGCGTGCTTTGGAATAATGGCACACAGGCATCTCGTGGTCAGCTCCTCTGTTGATGTCCAGCCAGCTATGCCATGCTCTCCCTGACTCGAAACAGGGCAATCTTGTTGTCCATGTGCCGTAACACGCTATGACCTCGTTCATGTGCGTGCGGCGGTTCGACGACGAGCAGACGCTCGTGTGCCTGAACCTCGAGGATCTGTCATGTCTGCATCAACGCCTAAATCGACGCGATAATGCAGTGCGGCGCTGGGAATGCGTGCGCATATATTGCAAAGGTAGGCGGACGTGGCTGCGTAGTGTGGGTGAAAGCCCAGGGTTCCATCATGCGGTCGGATGCGTCAGAGCCGCGGGCCTTGGGCACATGGATGGAACAATCCTGAAGATGGGGTAGGGCACGGTCGCTGCGTGAGATGCTCGTATGTTCCGGTATAGGCGCGAGTCAGAAGGATGGTCCTCTGCCATGTCGGGTGGGGAAGTGGCTTCCTGAGCCAGCATCAACACCCCGTTCCGTGGTTGGCTAGGCTCATGCACGCTCACGCCGTGTGCTACCAGCATGCGAAAGCCCCGACCATTCAGTGTGACGGGAAATTCATGCTGGCGGCGTCTGCACGAAACAGCTGGGGCCAGCGCTGTTTCCCATCCCATCCCAACGCGCGCCTTCCCTGTACGTGGAGCCCACGAGGCAGGCACGCGCGAGTGTTCCGTCTTACGGACTCCGACTCCACTTAATCCTACACCACACTACACCTCGCCTCTCTTCTTGTCACTCACCTCGAAAAGGCACGCATGAGAGGGAGCCGCCACCGCAATGGACCCAAGCACGCCTGCGCCGCCCTCCACCCGCGCTGTTCACATTGCCTGGGAGTTCAGCATCATCTCGACTATACTACTTGCCACAGCGACTCTCCTCTTCATTGGAAGGCTATGGACTCGCTGCTTCCCAGTCTATCGAATGTTGGCTGACGATTACGTCTGTGCAGTCGGCTATGTAGGACTTCTCCCACATCAGCGCTGCGTATGTACTCACTCTCGACGTAGATCCTAGTCGTCATCAACACATCTCTCTTCTTTAAGAGCGTTGAGTGGATCTTTCCTTCCTGGGGAGGCGATCGGTCCAAGTACACAATCGGGGATATGGAGAAATCCGCCTTCTACGGGACCATCGCGCAGCCCTTCTGGGCTTGGGGCATGGCATCAGTCAAGATATCCATTGGCTTGATGCTGCTACGCTTGGAGTCCGACAAGCCGTGGCGGCGCTTTCTATGGGCCATGATTGCATTCCAAGTTGTACTTAGTGCGTACAACATGCTCACGCAACTGCTCGGCTGCATGCCTCTCCGTGAGATGTGGGACATGTCCGATAATGTGCCTGGAAAATGCTGGCCATATCGTGTCGAATCAGCAAGCCAGGTCACGGTCCAAGCCTTCGTCATCCTGACCGACTGGATCTACGCACTGCTTCCTATCAATTTCCTCCGCAAAGTTCAGCGCCCGCTGCGTGAACGTGTCGTCATTGGCTTGCTCATGGGCTTAGGCGTCTTCGCTGGCGTCGCTTCCATCATCAAGATCAAACAGATTCTGGTGATGAGAATTAGCAAAGACGCCTACGCTGACATTATCGTCATCGAGATGTGGTGTTCGATTGAGGTGCTCACAGGTTTCATCGTATCGTGCGTGCCTTGTTTGCGCGGTCCTTTCCAGCGGTTCCTTGAGTACTACGGCATCGTCACGCTACGCCAGAATACCACGTATGCCTACGGACATTATCCTGGAACACAATATGCGACCCACGTCACAAGTGGGAAGCCCGTCAGCGGGCTCGATCATCCTATTCGCATGAAGAGGGTTAGCAGTTCCGGTGGAGAATCAGTGGAGCACATCATTCCGGGCAACGAGACAACCGCCAAGAACGGTGAGATATGGTGTACGACTGAGGTCCTCATGGAAGAAGAGCAGAGGCAGAGGTCGCCACGAGTTGCCCATGGCAAAGCACCTTCGGTGTCCTGGGGCGGCCTGGGAGCTTCACAACGGTCGAGCCCAGGATGAAATCAAGCACTAGCGACAGCTCACCACCTCCACACAATGACGTGAATTTTGGTGCTTTTCAGATGCCCACGACGGAAGCGACGTGTTCGAGAGAAGGCTTTGTTTTCCATGCAGTTCATGAGCGCCTTCCCGGTCACACCCTCACACATAGCATGTTGACGTTAACGTCACAACCACGGCTTGACAAGTCAATACTTGGTCCGGCCATCTACCGACGAAACATCCACATACATGCCCATAACGTCCTATCGCAGCATCTTTACCAATAGCATCTATCCTGAAATTGGCATCGCAGTGGAGAACGACTCCACAATGACTGCTAGCATTGGTTTGTCTGGAGCGCTAACAGTACGAGGAATGGGGCGATTCGGGCAAGAACAGGATGTAGGAGACCATGCGGATTATGATTTTGATCTATCTAAAGCGGACACTGTGAAAGCGATCCGGGTGTTGGATCTCCACGTTAGGTACAAAGCACCAATCGCGACGTCGATAACGTCATTTCGTCATCCACAATCCACAGGAAGCGCTCAACGGACAGTGTTCTGACCATTCGCATTGTATCGATCTCTGCATTTGACCACTCTATATGCGTGCTGACTGTGATAGACAAGGTGTGGTAATATACAACACGCAGGCCAGCCCTGCTGCATCCACGTCGTCGGTGCGCCCGATTAGGAAGCTCGACAAGGATATAGATGAACGCCACTGTCACTGGGACTCCGTTAACAGATTGCATGCGTGCGCCGGTTACTGTGCGACATGCGAACCTTCTCGAAGGCGGCAGTACCGGAAAGTATCTTGTCGCTCAACCTGCCTGTTTGCGCCATATACCTGGATGTGATGCATAGCACCGGCCCTTGCTCTGGGCAATATCTATCTGGGAAACACACCAACCTCGAAATTCTATACCCAGCAAAAGGCGGAATTATATAGAGATGACTCTGTGTCGTCGCCGAAGTACAGTTCGGCCTCAGTGTTGTCCTCGTCATGAAGCTCGCCATCCTGTCCGCCTCGCACGCCGCGCACCGCGCAACAGCGCAACCCGCTCTGCGCACTATTGAGCTCTCGCCCGGTGAGACCAAACAAGTCACAGAAGAGCAGAAGTTCGAACTCCTTGCCGTAAGCCTCTCGCCTCAGCGCCACAACACTGCGGTAATCAATCCCCACAATAAGGAACCCATCGACATAACTGAAGACCTCGATGCATCCCCACTCAAACAAACATCGCATCCACTACCTTCTCCATCTCCGTCTCCCAACCGATCGCCATCACGCCGCTCCTCATCCTCCTACCCACTGCTTCCATGCGCGCCAACCTCGAGCGCTTTACAAGTGCTCTACCCGCTAGTCTTACACCGAGGGAACCGGAGAACAAGCACAGAAAATGATATACGCGTTGCGTTGAACAACCGGGCGGATATCAGCAAGACTGAAGGCGAGAGCGATTGGATAGTTAGAGGGAAGGGACTCCCTTTGAACAAGAACGGTCCAGCGCACAGAGTAGTACGGTCTGTGAAGCTTGTGAACAAAAATAGTCAAGGTAATAAGCGAAGAGCAACCGCTGTCTACTGACGGGAGACTTGGATCTTCTGGTCACATTTGTGGCACTAGGAAGGCAGTTCCTGAAGTAGAGGTGTGGTTTACTAACTAGCCTGTCAAGACACGCCGATTATTTTGTAGAAGAGGGACGCCTAGTACTTCGATGAGAGATTGCCATCTCTCCATACCTATGCGGCTAAGCAGTTGGTGTCGATGAAAAGACTCAGCTTGCGGGCGGCGAAAATATTCCGGAAATCCGAGTAAGTATTCTCTGCATGGTTATGTAGAGGCAGTGAACCCTCATTTAAGGCACGTCCGGGAACTACTTTGTTTTGAGTACTATTCATTCGCCATTGAGCTGAGGATCCCTCAAGTATCTTCTATTATCGATAACCTAATTGACTCTCCAAGGCTTTTGCATCTCTCAGAGCTGCGGACAGTAACGGTTTCATCGAACCGAAAAGACCGCGCGATTCAACCAAACCGGCTCCACCACCACTGCCAACTCAACCAGATGGTATCACAGCTGCGCGTTTACTCGCCTCTGACGATCGTCTCATGGATACTGTAACGGCCGGCAGGAACGTTCTTGAGCGAGAGCTTCACAGGGTCATCATTAACCCCCTCCACAGAGTACCTTGGCATTATCAGAATGCGATCGTACTATTAAGAGGTAGTTACTTACGTGAAGCCCAAAAAGGTCATACCATGCGAGAAGATGCTGGCTGCGGGAGAGTCTTCAACAGCTTTCAGACACGCTCTGTAGAGGTACATCTTGTCGTGATGCTCGTGGATCTCCAGCTTATCACCGTCAACACGGAGAATATGTGATAGTGAAGGCACTTACGAAGTAGACTTTATTTGACGTATTGGCTTTGCCGTTGGATGGCATCGTGGCGTGGATTGGGCGTTGGCAATGTCCAATTTGCGGCATGCAATCTGGTCGTAGATTCGAAGACAGTCAGATGTTATGTTGAGAAAGGGAGGCACCTTACCTAGTGATGAGGTAAGTGACAGTTCCTCAGGTAACATGTGCGTTTGAGGCAGGCGCCCACCCTCACTGGCAAACGGCCAACGACCCAGTCGCATTAACCTGGTCATTTCCCCGCGACTTAGTTACGGTCACCATTGCCACGCCATACGAAGAATAGTCAGACTATGAATGCAGTCGGACGAATGATAGTGAACTCGCATTTTTATCGTCTATCGTTTAGAACGAGCAGTAGCACGACAACGATATCAATTCCATGGGAAGCATCCGAACTCGATCCTCCGGTAGTCCGCCGAGCGCAGTTCGGGTTCCTGCCCATTTAGAGTGGAGGTGCGTAAAAAATCTGTCCATCCGAGCGATATCGTTACCATAAGTAAACTAAGACAGTGATGCAAGCCAAAGTTTGGGATCCAAGCTCCTCTTAGACGCCCTCTTCGTACCAACTCCCCGCTTCCCTCATCCAAAAGTCGATCGTTGCTGGAGCCATATCCTTCATCCAAACCCGGAAATGTCCTCTCTCCGTCTCCCAGGTGTCTGCGATCGGTGCCACGCACTTGATATTCGGCAGGTTCCACTGTGCCATCGTCGAAGGCTGCTCTAGCGCGGGCCGAGCAGGGTTGAACATCCAGCTTGTGCGCACCGGCGCATGTCTACAGCGCAACCTGACAGCGACCCAGTAGCCGGCAAAAATCTTCTTTTGCACAGGCTGACTATTGCTGAGTTCCGGGAGCACGATGTGCAAGGTGGTTTGTTGATTGATAAAGTGGAAGGTGTCGACCGTGTTGGGCAGCCTTTGAGTGAAGACGCGAGGTGCCACCTCGAAGACTTCGTCGTTAGGATATTTCTCTGTGCGTTCTTTCATCAATTTGAGAAGGAACTCGCACTAGGTGGTTACCACACGGACCTTCCCGAAGGCGTACCCAAAACACTTGCTGAGCAAGGTCGCAAAGTGCTGTATTGCGAATCGGGAGTCATGCAAGACGTTGCTTACAAAAATCAAAATGTCCAGGTTGAGGCGCATGTCTTCCGTCTCCGAATGTGTCTGGCGGCACACCAAACAAAGGGGCATCGCATCGCGGTGTGTACTGAAGATATCCGATAAGTAGGCTTTTTCTAGAGCGACACTGAAGAGTCTGCATTTTGTAGACTTGTTGTTGGGAATATTGTGGCGGAATATGAGTGCGCGCGACGAGGGTGCATAGGCAAACTCCCAGATCGTGAGGCGCAATTCGGCAGGCAAGGCAAGAAGAAAGCATACTTGCCATGTGCGGGCGGGGTGTTCGGATCGATGGAGAGGGTGGCCTTGCTGAACAATTCCATCAAGGCGGGGTAGAAGCATGAATATGCCTTATGAATAATGTGGGGGGTTCTAGAATGATGCTGTCGTCTGTCTCAGGATCTCCCGCCGTGGAACTGTGCATCTGCTGCTTCATACGCTCGCACGTGGCAGTCACGACCTGTATATCTTTCCACAGTGACTTTGAGCGAAACTTGATGAGAAACCGGTCGAGATGCTCTGTCGCGAAACTTCTGTCCTTTTAGGAATTGCTCGACACGGTGAAGGTGTGCAAGCTTAGATGCATGCTTCTCGACTCCATGTAGATCTGTTTGCACAGATACTTGACTTGGAACGGGTTCGTGTACGTTGTCGTTCGACATGTTTCGTCGCCTTACATGCTGCAGAGCTCCGAGGTTGGACGACCCATAGAGATGTATTCGCAGAACGTAAGGGCGAGCCTCCATATCTCGAAGCGCGCGGTTCGACAGGTAAGTTGAGGAGCAAGCACCTTCCCTTCGGAGGCGGCACGTTTGGGTCTGCAGAAGGTGACGTGATGAAGCTGTTCGTAGGGCTTGGGGTTGAGATCACCAGGTCGTTAACGATGGGTTGCAGGGTCGCTTCGACGTCTCCACGTTTCAGTGTCGATATATCAAGCGACACCAAGTCGAAAGAAGCAAACGCAGCACCGAGCTGCGCGGGCCACACTTCCGATGCGGGTTTCGCAAACAAGCGCGCCTTGACCTCGTCTTCAGTCTTCCACTTCCACCTCTGTGCTCCCGTCTTAGGCACGATCCTCAAATCCACTCTTCGAGTGCCTTTCACCGTTATTGGCCTGTGATGACAGCTTCCTTTCTCTTGAGAATTGGTTTGCGAGGGGATTCCATAAAGAGGGAAAGCTAGGGTAGGAACTGGCTTGAACCTCACCCAGGACCCACAAGATTCTGAGAGCCTGCTCTGTTCCTCCTCACTGAATTCTCTCCGGCCTTCTCCCCAGAGCTACTAGTGCTTCGTACGGCCCGTGGTCTCGCGTGCTCGAAGATATACTCCCGCACCATCGCCCTTTATAACCTCGCCTTCTCCTCCACTTCAGCTCGCTTCTCCCATTCCCACGCACTTCCCTTGAACCGGTTCTTCTCGAATGCTTGATAGATATCCTGCCTCTTGACCCCATCCTGCTCTTTCAGCATCTTCTCCCAAACCCTGAGTTGCTCTTTGAACCCCGGATTCGGCTCACAAACCGGCCTTCCCTCCTCAACCCACCTTAACCCCTCTTCCACCCCTACCCCAAACTCCCACATCAAGAACGCCACCACGACCGCCGCACTCCTACTCTTGCCCATAGCGCAATGCACAAACACCCCACCATTACCCTGCAACCCCTCCCTCACAAACTTTGTCGTCTTCTCAAACCACTTCAGCAAATCCTCATTCGGATCGTCTTCAGCCCAGACGTGCATTTTCTCCAACCCTGACAGATGTTCATTTGGCGATAAGTTAGGCTCATAGTCTACGACAGAGAGCACATGGGTGATGTTAGCAGCTTTGATGAGGTCGGTTTGATAGAGGGCATAGAGGCCGCCGATGTAGAGGTTTCCGCCGGCGCGGGGGATGCGGTCGACCCAGCCCATGCCTGTGTGTGAGGTGCTGCCGTGAAGGAGGTAGGACATGCGGAATGAAAAAAAAAAATGGAGTATATGGGGTGAATTTGGGTAGTGGTGGTGGTTGGTGTAGTTGATGGTGGACGAGATGCCGAGGTTCAGCGCTGGTGGCGGGCTTACCGAAAGGGGCCGAGAGAGGTCCAGATCACAGAGCATCACACAGAAACAAATAAAAGTATGAACTTGGATGGTTGATATTCCTGTTGCGGTCTAAGGCCATAGACTGCAACCCTAAGGATTTTGTCGAAATCTGTGTGCTACATGCAAGCCAACAAACTCTCCACGCCTTCATAGAACACAATGATCAAATAGGTATCGCATCAGACACCCAACCCTAAAACGCCCCGCTGTCATGAATGAAGCTCATTGAGCCGTAGGTTTTCGTCTTGTAGTCTTTCACGGTTCCTCTTTGGCAACCTCTGCGCGCACCTCGCCCTTGACGTTCTCCGTGTCTCTCTCCGACTGCCCTTCTTCTTTCGCTTGGGCCTTATCGTCAGCGTCTGCCTGCTCTTCCGCCGCCTCTGCCATCTCCACATCTGCAGCCGGAGCAGCCGCCGTCGCAGGCTGTGCATCAGGCGAGTCAGGAGGAGTTGGAACCGCCGGTGGTGATTGTGTCCTCGATTCTGTGGCCGGAACAGGCTCAGCAGCTGATAGTTCACGTCAGCATATGGTATCAAGACGATAAGACACAAGCTTACTCACCGGTTGTAGCTGGGACCGCGGCTCCCTCTGCCTCCTCCATCTCGATATCGGCATCTTCCTCAGCAGCCGTAGGGAGGGGCGTTCGGTTTCGTGACGCAGTGCCATTGGGAGGCTGTGCAGATGAAGTGCCAGACACTGATCTTCGCCGCCGTGCTGGCTCTCCATTGAGCCCACGGGAGGCATCTGGAGTTTCTGCGCCATCATCTGCATTGGGGTTCTGGAAGTCCATGATGTTGCGCTTCCTCCTAGCGCCTGGCTGTCGGCGCACACCTAGACCATTCTTATAGTCTTCATCGTCGCTCGGATCGTAGAGCTCGCCCTCAGCCTCAATCTGTTGATCGCGTTGTCGCTGCGTAGAGCGTACATCGGGGTTGTCGTCAGCGTCGAGGTCGTTCATCTCCTCTTCGGCATCGGAGTCATAGCCTGCAAGCTGAGGAGGATTATCAGGAATATTAGTGAACGCCTCAACCGACGGCTTGCCGGTTCGCCTGATACTGTCGATCACTGAGGACTTGATCTTGTGGAGGTAGTCGGCGGAGTTCGCATTTTCCATGTTCGATGGCCGGACATCCAGTTCATAATCCGGAGCAAAGTACTCGTAATAGTCGTTGAAAGGTAGCTGCTTCTCCATGTGCTGATTCACAAGCTGACCAGTCTCGTAAGCCCATGTTCGCGCGACGTTCCTCATGGTGTAGCCACCACCACCCAACACAATGACTGGAATACCAAAGCTCTTGACAAAGCGCACGCAGTTGGCGTGGCCATCCATACTGAGATTGAAGCAACCAAGCCTGTCACCGGACAGACTATCGCCACCGCACTGGAGGACGATTGCTTCAGGGCAGTAGTAGGTCATGACAGCCTCGATGACAGGCTCGAAGATGTTGCGGTACGTCTCATCGGTTATACCGTCACGCAGTGGAAAATTGACCGCGTAGTGCTTGCCACCACCGACACCGATATCTCTGAGTTCGCCGGTACCGGGGAAATACTCGCCATACTTGTGGAAGGAAACGGTCATGACGCGATCGGTCGTGTAGAAAGCCTCCTCGACACCATCTCCGTGGTGCACATCGATATCGATGTAAAGGACGCGCTGCTTGTATCGTAGGAGTTCGATGATGCCGAGGACAATGTCATTGACATAGCAGAAACCACTAGCCTCGCTTTTCTTTGCGTGATGTAGACCACCAGCCCAATTGACGGCCACGTCGCATTTGCCTCTGTTCAAACGGGCTGCACCCTCCATGGTCCCGCCAGCACTTATACCGCAGAACTCGAAGAGACCGTCAAATACGGGGCAATCATCTCCTACATTGTATTTGCTCTGCTCTTTCGAAAAGTTGTCCATGTTGTCAGGCGTGACTTTGTGGAGAAAGTCAATGTACTCGTCGGTGTGGAACTGCGTCATTTCGTACTTGGAAGCTGGCTTCGCGCGCTGGAAACAATCAGTATCTTGCCCAAAGTTGCTGAGGAAAGTGACGCACGTAGATCTCCATCTTGGTGTACAAGCCGTAGTTCATGATCAAGCTGTGGGCCATCCGTATTCGGTGCGGCTTCATAGGATGACCGGAAACATATGCATAGTTGCCAACATCGGAATCATAGAAGTAAGCGACCTTCTTTGGTTGTGAACTCGTCCCATTGAGGGAATTAGAGGCGGTCGGTCCCGCGGCATCGGCGTTGTCCATGGCGGGCGCACAAGTGGGCGGCGCCGCACAGTTGCACTCTGAGGGAGGATTTTGAGTTGCGAGATTTGAGTGATTGGGAGGATGTAACGATGTTTATAGCGATCGGCGGCGCGAAGGGAGAACGCGTGCCGGTGTCAAGACAGTGGGAAGAATGACGCTGCAGATCGCGGTGGGAAAGATGGTGGATGGGCGAGCTATGGGCGCGAGCTCCAGTCCCCGCTAGAGATCCCTGTCCGGCGTCGGTCAAACTAAAGGCCGGTCGAGCTTGCCGTTTACACCTCCGCGTCAAGTCGCCGCTGCCTCATCATCGCATTATATATCGCCCCTCACCAAAGCTCAACCACTTCTCTCGCCCTCTTGCGCCCGACAGACGCAATATTGAGTAGCAAATTCCGATCGAAAACCTCGCGCCATGGATCGGTTAAGCAGGATGCTCGCCGCTGCCCAAAGCATGGGCGGCATGGGTGGTCAACAAGGTGTATGTCTACCCTCACCATCGCACTCGTGCAGTTGACGTATAGTCAATCTGCGGTGATGCTGCTTCGAAGTTCCTATTTACAGCTTTCATACATTGTAAAAGCCGATGCTGACAATTACAGGACACCAACCTGATCGATAACTCGGAAACCGTCTATATCTCGTCACTCGCTCTCCTCAAGATGCTGCGGCACGGCCGCGCCGGTGTGCCTATGGAGGTCATGGGTCTGATGTTGGGTGAATTCGTGGACGACTACACAGTACGGGTGGTGGATGTGTTTGCGATGCCGCAGTCCGGAACCGGTGTTTCCGTTGAAGCTGTGGACCCGGTATTTCAAACCAAGATGATGGACATGTTGCGGCAGACGGGACGGTACGGACACATTTCGAGATTGTGATCCGGCGGCAGACTGACATGTGTTAGACAAGAAACGGTCGTTGGTTGGTATCACTCGCATCCTGGTTTTGGTTGCTGGCTCTCCTCGGTCGATATCAACACGCAGCAGTCTTTCGAGCAGCTTACTCCCCGCGCCGTCGCCGTAGTCGTAGATCCGATACAGTCTGTCAAGGGCAAGGTCGTCATTGACGCCTTCCGCTTGATCAACCCACAGACCCTGATGATGGGCCACGAGCCCCGCCAAACCACATCGAACGTCGGCCACTTGAACAAGCCCTCCATTCAGGCGCTTATTCACGGTCTAAACCGCCACTACTACTCTATCGGCATTAACTACCGAAAGTCTGCGCTTGAGGAGAACATGCTCATGAATCTGCACAAGCACGTATGGACCGAGGCGCTCATGATGAACGACTTCCGGGACGAGGGCGAGCGGAACAAGGACAGTCTGCAGAAGCTGGTGTCACTGGCTGAGGGCTACGAGAAGCGTGTGAAGGAGGAGACGGAGTTGACCAAGGACCAGCTCAAGACGCGCTACGTTGGCAAGGTCGACCCAAAGAAGCGTACGTTTTTCTACCATGGTATCCAGGTTGACCGGCTAATATCCTCCAGATCTCGAAGATGTAGGTCAACGTCTCATAGAGGACAATATCGTGTCCGTCTCACGGCAAATGATCGACAAAGAGGCGTCAGTACCAAAATCGAACGGAAAGTCAAACGGACAAGTGCCATCAGATGACATGGATATGGAAGACTAGGATTCCGAGTGCTCGTCTGTCGACGGCGACATGAGCTCAAATCATGACCGCTCTTGGACCCATAAGGAACCTCCGCCTCCATTACCACAGTTTGACGACTCTTGGCATCCCTACGGACCCTGATCCTTGGGTTTCGACTGAGCTTTACTGCTTGCGGATCGACAGTCTGTAAGAGTACATGTCGTGGTGCATGTCTACCAACCACGATCAGGCATAATACAAGCGGGAGGCACCCCTGGTGTACGCTTTATGTAGCATTTCGAGAGCTTAGTAGAATAATGAAAGAATACGAAGCATCATGAAAACATTACAATGCCTGCTCAATAGTTCGATACCCTGTATTATCCCAGGATTGACCGTAAGACAATCAGAAATCTTGAAAAGAATTGTACCATTGTGGAGAAGATATCTCAATCCAGCGAGGAGCATCTCTACTGTTGGTTTTGAAGCAGAATACCGCCAGCAGTGCATGCCTCGCCAGGGAACAAAGCCCAGGCCAAAGAACCGCCAGCGCCCAGAAATGCAATCCACTGAGTGGCCACTACGTGTTGGAATATACGGGTGACCAGATCAGATGATGGAACGTCAAACATTCATTCAAACATTCATTTATCATGTATTTATATTCTTGTATGTAGTCTATTCTCGTGTAATTAATACGAAGCCTTTCATTTCAACATGGTAGCTGAGCGCTAAAGTCCTTCGCGCCACTTATCATCTCATCTCATTCTAGTAGTCTTTCCTACTAGGATCCCATCTTACCAACTTACCACAACTGGAGCAGTCACCCAGCAAGTTTGTTCTTTCGGAGCTTCTACCCGAACAAGATTCTACTCAGTCTCACGTCATATCAGACGAGAACATCTACTCCGTTAGAACAAATCACTGCTCAAGTTGATTGTTCAATATCGAAATCACAATCGATTGCAGTATCATCTGATCGATACCAAATCAAAACAAGATCACGCACTTTGCTACAAAGATTGCTCAAAGCGATCAGACGACCACAGATTCACAATCAGCAACAATCTCATCTTATTATTTAAGAAAGAACCTGTTCCATCACTTCTTTACTATCTACCAGTATCTTTGCATTCTTCCACCAGTCACAACACTTTCTCTTGTTACAAAAGGTAAATTCCACCCCTTCTCAATACTAACAAGACAGTTTCCTTGCACGACATGTCGGAAGACATAAAGATATCAGATACAGGCGGGTTAGACCTGGTCCGTCTTTCCGGTCAAGACGACTACCTCCGATGGAGCCGTGACTTTGAAGTCATAGCTCAAACGAAAAACGTATGGAACATCATCATTGGGATGGAACCACACGTCGAAAAACCAATCAGAGAAAACTACTTCCAACCCATCATCACCAAAAACAGCAAAAGACCATCTGAGCTCGAGCAACTTCTCAAATCCCAAGGAAAGACTGATGAAGAGGTTCAAGAATACATCAAGGAGAATTCCTGGCAATCCCAAGGCTCTTCCTCCAGTCAGTCTATCATCAATGATCCATCACTCACCGATCCCGAAACATTACGTACTCGCTTACACGAATATGAGCTTGATCTCAAAGATTGGGAGAAGTACTCAAAACGAGTTAGAGATGCCTTTGCGCTACTTGCTTACTGGGTATCACCTACCATACGAGGACAAGTTGTTGCCCATAAGTCACCTTTTGAAGCATGGATGTACATCAAAGGTCAATACCAGATGCAACCTATTCGAGCACTTGAACTTGCAACTAGCAAAATGACCAGACTCAGGTCATGGCATTGCAAATCAATCGTCGACTACATCAATCGACTCGAAGAATTCCGACTTGATATCAGAGGATCCGGTGGACAATGCTCAGATTTAGATCTCATGAACACCATCATCCTCGGTCTTGGACGAGAATACAACGACTTCATCGACCAATACCATATGTTGTACGACCTCCAAGGAGTTTCAAATCTCGATCTCAAAGCATTGACCAGCAGATTGATCACCCATGAATCTAAATTGAACGAGAGGAAGAAGCGCCAACCTCCACGAGAAACTGCTAAGACAACTGACGTCAACAACGTATCAACCCCAATATCAACGTCAGTTACTCAACGAACAAGGCCTAAGTGTTCTTTCTGCAAACGTCTAGGACATGAAGAAGCCAGATGTTTCCAGAAATTCCCTCATCTGAAAGGGGAATGGGAAGAAAAGAAACGAAACCAAACTAACTCATTCCCACAACATGAGACAAGTACTGATCAAAAGACTTCACCAAACATCGTACTATCCATGGCAACTGTCAATCCCGTCGACTATGAAAACATGTGTCAACAACTGAGTGTCCAGACAAACAACCATGAACAAGACGGCACATCACAAAGCATCCTACCATCTCCTGTCAGATTTGGACAGAGCGCGATTCAACGAGCTCTCACTGTCGACGTTTACACAACAACAGAATCTTCCAAAGCACCACTCATCGATTCAGGAGCTAATTGCAGTGTATGCAAATTTCGAGAATGGTTCGAAGATGACTTCATCGATACAAACTATGAAGTAAATGTCGCAGAACAATCATCCAAACTCAAAATTCAGGGCGTAGGCACAATGCGACTACCTGTCGTTGGGGATAATGGTCAAATCACTCTCCTACGCATAGCTAGAACCGCATATGCTCCAAATGTCAGACAGACGCTTGTCTCCTTGTCAATGCTTGCCAACAGAGGAAAGATTTACGGCGAATGGGGCTCTTTCGGAATCTCCCTCCGAAATCCCATTACTGGAGACGTCATGACCACAGCAAAATTGATTGAATCAAATTTGTTCGAACTCTCCCTTCAACCTGAGTTCCTCGAAAATACTCACAACATTGCTAAGGTCGCCCAAAAGATTGTTGAGCCGGAATCAGCCCTCGATGAGGAAATTGAAGCAGAATCTAGCGACAACGAGAGTATCGACGACGTCATCTACATGCCTGAAGAAACGCTACCTCCACACGTGGTATCTATTGTCAACTATACGGATCCAGTCATGCTCGCTCATCGTCGCACCGGACATAGAAGTCTGGGAAACATGAAAAAGTTACTCAAAATGAGCAGTGGATTGAATGTCGAGGAAAAGGACCTCAACAAGATCATTGATTTGGAATGTGCTACTTGTCGACTGTCTAAGGCATTGGTCAAACGCAGTAGAACTCCAGCCACACGTAGGTTTGAAAATATGGGAGATCTCATGCACATCGACATCTTCTTTCTAGGAAAGAACACTGTAGAATGCTGGGACAAGACCAAATATCTCCTGCTTTTCACTGATGATGCACATCGTTTCACCTGGTCTATTCGAATCAAATCAAAGAAGATAGGACAATCCTTCAAAGACTTGTTCAGACGAATTCAAACAACACACAGTATCACAATCCGACGCTGTCGTTTTGATCCAGAATTCCATACAAACGACGATATCGACGACTTCCTTGTAGAACATGGGGTGACCGTCGAACCTACTGTGTCAAGAGCACATCATCAAAACGGTGTCCTCGAGAGAGCAAATCGATCCATTCGAGACATATCTGCATCGCTAGTTCAAGAACTGAATCTTCCGCGAAGTGTACTACGCCTCCTCAAAGGAGTCAATCAACTATCAGACATCGACATGTCTCTCTACCTCGCAGAAGCCTGTGAGCATGGTATATGGCTCAAGAATAGAACTCCCACTAAAGCACTGAACGACAAGACACCATGGGAACTGGTTCATAAGACCGTACCTAATTTCTCGAACGAACGCGTTTTTGGATCCATATGTTGGGTAACTCGCGAATGGGAGGTCCGTAGAAATCCGGCTGAAGTATCACCTAAGATCAAAGAAAACCGAGCCTGGATGGGGATTTTCATGGGAAGTGATACCGAATCATCCTACAGGGTTCTAAAAATCACATCCGGAAAAGTGATACGCACCACCCCTGAACTCTGTAAGGTCGATGACATGAACTTGCTGGACGACGGAGTTCAAGAAGATGAAAATCCACCTCTACGAGAAAACGAGGATCCACCTCAAAATGAGAATCCACCTCAAGAGGGAGACAAGAATGTATTACAACTTTTTGATGATTCCTCCTCGGAACTCTCTGACGTCCCCAGTGACTTCGCAATGGTCATCTACGATGACACTAAGTCAGAAAATCGTTTGGACGACAACAATCTCACAGTTAACATGTTACCCGGGAGTAGACACAAACGTGCTATCTTGCACACCACTCCGGAAGAGGACCAACAAGATTTTCTTCTCAATCCTGACAAATATCGATGTTACCAATGTTCAAGAGCCGAAAAACATTGCGACGGAATGCATCCCTTTACAGAGAAATGTACACCATGTGTAAAGAATGATGCTGCATGCAGGGCACTTGACATTAACGATTGGATCGAGAAACGAAAAGAAAGCAAATGTCATCAATGCACGATACGTAACCAGGATTGCATCAAGACAGGAGATAACGTCAAATGTGACTATTGCACCCGAAGACAGACACGATGCAAGGACTCCTCTTTTCTCTACTTCCGAAAAGATAAAGGAAATCTTCCTCCTGAAACCGCCTGCTATCGCTGCCGAACGAACGGATGGGCATGCGATGTCCCTAGGATATTTCCCTGTACCAAATGTCGAAACAAGTCGGATGCCCATGCAGCCCGCTGTGGAGTTGAGCGAAAAAGCCAAGACGATACAAAACGATGTGTGGAATGCATACGCTCGAAAGTATGGTGCGATCATAAACGACCCTGCTCCCGATGCCTGATAGTGCCAAGGGTTGGGTTTTGTCGATTCAAAGAAGATGATACGTTGACAGAAGATGGTTACACGATTGAAGCATATCATTATGCTCACGATGAACTACCTGAAGAATGGGAAGAGTGGGCGAGCAGAGGACAATGCGGACAATGCCATTACAGAAACGAACGCATTCGTCTAAACTACGAACTTGTCTGCACTGGAATGCCATGTCAACCTTGCAAGAACAGCTTACCCGGATCCAAAGAACGAGGCAACACCAATGGCCACGGTTCATGTGTTAGATACGATCCTGAGAAGAGGGTCAAATATCGATGCCTTTTTAATCCAGACGCAAATAACGCCAGGAAAAAATACGACACAGATAGATATCATGAAGACAAGGAAAAGAAGAAAGAGGAACGACAAAAGTCGAGAGACAGTGAAGACCCTCCAGAAGAGGTTACTGTTGGTGGGATCGAATACGACTCAGACGGATACGAAATTGTGAACATGACAAATGACCCCGCACTCACAACACCAAATAAAAGACATGACGAAGTAACAGTCCCAGGCAACCCAATCAGTCTTGCTTCCTTAGCATCACCTAGGTCTCAACGGAACACTCCCGATGGAATAGCTAAAACTCGACACATCGAACAAGCCATCACCTTGAATATGACTATCTCAACCAAGGGCAGAACAGAGACCATTCCTCTACCAATTTCGGACATTGAGAAATGTGAGGATGTCATCAAACATGCCTTTCACTACGTCAGTGTCATGGAAAAGAACGATAAAATGACATCATCATTTCAGGACTATCTCATATTCGTCAAAGAACCCCGCGATACTCTGTTGCAATCGAACAGAATCAATTCTATCCTTGCCAAGTACGAAGATTCCGGATGTAATATCATGTCAGTCATGGACAAAGTCAACATACCATCACAGAGGTTATGGGGGGTAAGAAAGACAAAGTGTACCCTCTGTAATGTCTTAGATGAACTTCCACGCATACCTAGAGGTCTATGGGACATCGGAAATACACCTGAACCCAAAGAATGGCAGAAGGCCTTTGATGAAGAATGGAACAGTCTCATTAAGAACAAAACATGGACAACCATTTCAAGACATGAAGTACCCTCTGGACATCGAATTCTATCATCTCGGGTAATCTTCAAACACAAGCTCGGACCAGATGGTAAGATAGCTCGACACAAAGCACGATTCGTGGCCCGCGGTTTCGAACAGGTCTACGGAATAGATTTTGACGAAACTTTCGCCTCCGTTGTAAAGTCTCCAAGCTACAAAACGCTATTTGCGGTTGCCGCTCAACTCGGATGGAGGTGTTTCCAGTTTGATGTTAAGACTGCTTTTCTCTATGGAGATCTTGACGAGAAAGTATTCGTGGAACCCCCTTCTGGAATACTTTCCCCAAACACTGTCTTATTTCTTAAGAAGGCACTGTATGGACTGAAACAGAGCCCCAGACAATGGGCCAAGAAATTGAAAGGAGTGCTGGATAGCATAGGATGGAGACAATCACAGTATGACGACTCAGTATTCATACATAAAGACCAAGGATACCTGATGACTGTCTACGTAGACGACATCAACATCTATGCACCTACTGAAAATGACGTCATTCCTATCAAAGAACAACTACAGCGACATTTTGACATCACTTACCTAGGAGAATGTTCTTTCTACCTTGGAATGCATGTCCAGAGGCTATCTGATGGGTCATTCCACCTGCACCAAGGATCATTCGTTCAACAGATTCTCGAGCGTTTTCAGATAAACGATATGACAACAGTCAACATTCCTATGTCTCCAGATGCCAAGCTGACGAAATCACTGGATGAACCAGATCACAATTTCCGAAAGGGTTATCAGGCCAAAGTTGGTTCCTTAAACTTCTCTGCCGTAGTAACTCGACCAGACATCTCTTTTCCAGTATCTGTCGTCTCCAGACATAGTGCCAATCCCTCAATCAAACATGACGATGCTTCAAAGAAGATCCTTCGATACCTCAAAAAGACAAGGACTCATGGATTGCATTTTGTCCGAAAAAATAAACCAGAAGCAAAGATACATGTTGATTCTGACTGGGGCCAATGCTACGACACACGAAAATCACAGACTGGAGTTATTGCCTTATTCAATGGAACTCCCATCAGCTGGACCTCCAAACGACAACTATCTGTGGCTCTATCATCATGCGAAGCTGAATACGTCGCTGCAGCAGAAGGAGCAAAAGAAGCAATCTGGATTAAGAACTTCATTAACGATCTGAACATTCCGTCAATTCAGTTCAACTACATTCCCATGTATGTCGATAATGCTTCAGCCATCAAACTAGCAAAGAATCCCGAGATGCACAACAGAACGAAACACATTGATATTCGTCACCATTTTCTACGCGAACAAGTCAAGAATGGAAACATCAAGATCTTCAAGATAGACACTAAGGACAACCTGGCCGATATGCTGACAAAGCCTCTTCCACGTCCTACTTTTGAAAACTTCAGAGATCAGATCCAAGTTAAACCCATCGAAGAACTTGAGACGAAAACAGACGAATGATTTCTAGTAATCGTCACCAACACTGTCTTTACCTACCTTCTTACAAAATTTTGCTTACTACTGTCTTTACTAATTCCGGTTGATAACGATTATGGGGGAGTGTTGGAATATACGGGTGACCAGATCAGATGATGGAACGTCAAACATTCATTCAAACATTCATTTATCATGTATTTATATTCTTGTATGTAGTCTATTCTCGTGTAATTAATACGAAGCCTTTCATTTCAACACTACGTGATCAACTCTGACCCAGGCATGCTCCGTCTCAAGTATAGGCCACGCAGTTTTGCCTGATACCTTTTTCCGCCTGCGGGACACGATGTCCACCTCGCGCCCACCACCGCCACAGACGCCCCTGGGTCCCACCAGCTGCCCCATCTCAGCTTCCCATCTCCCCCGCCTCCGCCCTCTCGTTCACCACCTCTCCCTCTCTCGGCTTGCGCCCAACCACAATCCTAACGTCCTGGTAATAATGATTCTTCCGATCCTTAATGACCTTCCTAAACTCGCCCACAAAATCCATGACCTGCTGATAGCTCCAGCCTAATATCCGCGTATACAGCGCCATGATCCATCCTTCCAGTCCATCCTGCCAATTCCTTTCTCCCCACCTTCCTAATTCTTTGAGTTTGGGGTCCTTAGGCCACGGCCCGATCGGCCAGATGAAGTGATGCTCGGCGACGTCAGTGAAGCCGGCGGCTTCCATCCACGTCTTCATGTGTAATAGGGTGTCGAAGCGTTGCCCAGTCTTTTCGGCGCCGATAGTTAATATTGTTTGAGAGAAGTTGTGGTACGTTTTATCCGCCTTACTTTCGCCCTCAGGATCGGCGTTTGTTGTCACGGAGAACTCGGCGTGCTCGAACCAGCCGCCTGGCTCGAGATGTTCATACGCCTGAGTGTATAGGAATGGCCAGTCGCGGATGCAGCCCGTGAGACCGCGCACGTGGATGTAGTCGAAGGATTCCGGGGCATATGTCCATTCGCTTGCCGCGTCATCGATTTCGAAGCGGATATTTGGGGGTGCGGTCGTGCTTTGGGTAGGAGACAAATCAGTTGCTAAGATACTGGCATTGGGGTGGGCATCCGCCATGTCGACGGCCCAGAGGCCGGTGCCGGTGCCTACATCGAGGATGCGGTGAGGTTCTGCGATAGGAGCTAAGAAGAGTTTATCGTCTAAAGTGAGCAGCCAGAGGTGGTGCACAATGGTTTCGTAGTTGGAGTAGGTATCGTCATTCGGGGCGTAGTAGGAGCCTTCGCGGTAGGCGTGGTAGCGGCGGCCGTTTTCGTAACGGTAGCGAGTTACGCTTGAGGCGAGGGATTGACCGGAGACGTAGGAAAGGGAGTCGTCGTCATCGGATTCGTGGTAACGGGAGTAGGTGGAGTCCTTGGGGTGTGTTAGGCTGCTTCATAGGACACTTAAGAGAGGACATTATGAACGATCTTTTCTGTTGGCACTGTTTTGAAGGAATGTGTGCGAAAGTGGTGACGAAGAGAGAGGGTACCTACGACGACAATATTGGCATCCTCGGGTCTCATCTTTTCCATGCTGTGGCTACTTCACCCCTCTTGCGCATACCGCGCAACACTGACACCGACGCCTCAAGCTCTTTTTCAGCTACCGGCTTTCCAGAATTACTCTTTCGTGTCCGGCTACTCCTGTATGTTTCTGTGAGGTCTTTATATCTTTCTGACCTGCTCTTGCTCAGCTCAGCTCTTCGTGTACGCGTGATTCCTTTGTCCGAATGTCCAAGCTTCACATGCAGGGCCCTCACGCCAACGGAAACAGCGTATGCAGTTGAGACGTCGAAAGGAAGCACAATGTAAAGCAAAGCCTGGCTTAAGTCGATGCGCAAAAGCACGCTGAATATTGTGTTTGTGTACCGCGACCTCGCACTGACCTCCACGGTGCTGTTCGACTAGCTGCCGGCCCAGACGCAGACCAGATCACAGCAACTTGCGATAGTCCCGTTGCGCTCCAGAAGACTACACTGCAGTCGGGACAGATAGCGTACGTGTCTAGTAAGCGTAGACGGCAATCTGGCGAGGATGGCGACGTTTCGTACGAATGATGTGTGAATGACAGATAGGCGGGCGGTACCCGACCGATCGTTTGATGGTTCACAAGCTTCCTCCGATCGCCGAGAGCGCGCATGCTGTGCATTGTTGGGCGCGGTAAGCGCGCGCCAGACCACACCACGGGGAGGCGAAACGTACGTACAGACTGCTGCACGCTTCGTATACTGACTGTGCAGCGCCGTTTCATCGGAGAATACATAAGCTATGTCAGCTCGTAACTGTCGCTACCGGAGGTTCGGAAGCCCAGAGGCACGTGTTCCGATTGACTGGGTCGAGCGTTGAGTGGAGGGGCCGAAAGACGACGGGGTGCTGTGCCGCAGATCGTCTCCTGGACTGCACAGCGGCACAAAGATCAAAGTACATGTAGGCCAAAACTTATCCGATACCAATCTATTTTCAGCGAAGCATGTCGCCGTTGTTTCGAAGCTATTCACGACCGACTGGGTATGCCTATTCACTTTTGTCCACCTGGCTTGCGCCTCACAGCATGGCAACATTCAAACATGCCGTTCTCGTCCGCCCCTCCTCTAAGCCTCTAAGTAAGCTTGCGCCGAGTTCAAAATGACCAATCCGCCCTTCCAAAACAGACAAACGCTGAGCCTCCTGCTCCAAATCATTAAGCCGCCCATGACGTTGACCCGTCAATCCGTAACATTACCATCCTCGTCGTAAACATGCGAAGGTGACGGATGTGCGAAACATGCCGAGATGTACAGTTAAATCAATCCCACCACCTGACGCCATGCCGAAACTGCCGCCCGGCCGTAACCTGAAAACGGTGAAAGAATGAGGAAAAGACGTAATGGAAAGCGAAACTCAAAAACGTATACAAACATACAGGTAGGTGTTTGAACATAACATCTTATAAACAGGAAGGTGGAAGCCCTACCATAGTTTAGGAATCGCGGACTGGATACCGCAGCCCAGCAAGCGATTGCCAATACGAGAAACTTCAACATCTCTGTGAAGGACTCCGGTATCTGCTTCTTCGGTGGCAGGATGTTCGACGTACCATACACTTTATGGCAGTGGTTCATCAAGGATGCCCAGGAGGTTTGCCCGTGTCATGGCTATCGCGATCGTCTTTCGCCCGTTGAGCTGCTTTTGACTTCTTCATCCGCTCATCGTCGGAAGAGGAAGCAGAATGGCTGCTGCTGTCATCGCCCAGACCAATGTTACCGTCTTTCGACTCTCGTCTTAGTCTATCTGCCTTATCTTTGAGCGCCTTCGCCTGTTCTGCGGCTCTTTGTGCGCGGATCTGCTTCTTCCACATGGCTGCGTAGTGTCCATTCTTCTCCAGGAGCTCTTCGTGTGTACCACGCTCAGCTACCTTGCCTTTGTGAAGAACGAGAATCTGATCAGCATGTGTAATAGTACTGAGTCGATGGGCAATGATCAGCATGGTACGGCCCTGTGCTAGGGTGGTGAAGGCTTCCTGGATATGCTGTTCGGTCTCGGTGTCAAGGGCAGCGGTCGCTTCATCAAGCATAATGATGCGTGGGTTCTTCAGGATCGTGCGGGCAATGGCTACACGCTGCTTCTCACCTCCTGAAAGACGCAGACCGCGCTCGCCAACTTTGGTATCGTACTGGTCTGGGAAGGACATGATCTTGTCATGAATACTCGCGGCGCGGCAAGCAGCATATACCTCCTCATTCGTAGCGTCTTGATTCGCGTACTTGAGGTTATACATGAGCGATTCGTTGAACAGAACCGTATCCTGCGGTACAACGCCAATGTGGCTTCGAACGGAGTCGATGGTAAGATCTTCAACATCGCGGCCGTCAATCTGAATGCTACCAGATTGCGTATTATAGAAACGATACATCAGACGGAAGACGGTAGATTTTCCACCACCAGACTCTCCGACGAATGCAGTCGTTGTACCGGGTGGGCATTGGAAATCTAACCCAGTAAGAGCGGGCTTGCGTTCGTCGTACGAAAAGTGGACGTCATTGAATCGAAGCTCACCCTCGCACGATGGGAGCGTCTTCGCATCTGGCTTGTCCACAACGGTCGGCTGTTCTTTGAAAAGCTCGAGCATACGCTCCGAATTGATCAATGCCGATTGGATCATCCGGTAGAATGTCCCGAAGAAATTGAGCGGGCTCTGTAGCTGACCCATGTATGTTACGAGCGTAACAAAGTCACCAGTCCCTTGCTCGCCTTTGACAACCTGATGAGCTGCGATGAAGCAAACAACAAGGAGTCCTAGCATAAAAACCATGTTTTGGGAGACGTTCATAAGGTTAAGCGAAAAGAGAACCGTATACTCTGCTTCTTGAAACTTGCGCACCGCGTTGCGGTATCGGTTGAATTCGTACGCCTCGGCGTTGAAATACTTGACCGTTTCGTACGATACCATGGAGTCGTTCCTGGGCACGTTAGCAATAAATTAGAAATAGTAGGATCCCAGACTGACTTGACGGCATCTTCTTCACGGTCCGCGTTGACCATTTCTCGGCGTATTTCAGCCCGCCATTGCGCCATGCGGATGGTCAGATAGATGTACCAGAACGTGACTATGCAAAGAACTAGCGCGTAAGTAGCGTCGAATTTGTAAAGAAAGTAGCCAACAGCGACAGCGAGGTCGACAAGCATTGGGACGACCTGGAAGGTCACCTGCTCCAAGAATGTGTTGATAGAGCTGCCTTTGCCGAGGGCGGAAAGAACCTCGCCTGTCTTCTTGCCAAGGTGGAAATCAAGGCTCAGACTGTGCACGTGTTCGAAGGCCGCAACAGACAACTCTCGGTAGGAATACTGCCCGACTGGGATCCAGAGAGTCGATCGAATTGCGCCAAGCAGACCATTGTTACCCTGGATGAACCGAAAAGCGATGAAGAGCATGATGGCCTGCCATGGATTTCCTCTGGACCCGTCTTCGAGCCTGTCCGTGATACGACCAATCTGATCGGGAACGAGCACGTTGACGATGCGCTGAAGGAGAACGATGACGAAGCAGATTACTACCATGATCTGCAAGCGACGGTCCTTCGACGGCCACAGATACGGGAAGAAGACCTTGTAGCCCTTGAGGTATTCCCACCAGCTGCGCGCAGGAGCGCCCGTCGGCCTACTCCAAGCGGGTGGGGCTCCTTCGGTATGTTGGTGTTTGCCACCGACAGGGTGGACCGAGCCATATGAGCCGTTCGCGTGACCATTTTCCGCGCTACCTTCCCGCTCAGCACCCCCAAGCAGCGATGTTGTCTCACTCGTACTGGCGGACTCGCGGATGGACTTTCGCTGACGGAGTGACACGAAAATAAGGTAGAAGCCAATCAATGCCAGGAGTATGATGACGCGCAGAAAGTCGAAAGCCACCTCGCCGGCTTCCCATCGGGTTACACCCCAGCTGACATAGTCTTTCTCCGGATCCAGGGTGGGTTGCTTGTGCGCATGGGTGTAGAGTGACAGAGACAGGCCGACCAGTACAATCTCAAGCACAGCGGCCATTATCCATGTCGCGAGGTGGGCAGCGGTGGGCGAGGGTTTCGAGTCGATGAGCGAGATGAGGAACAGGCAGTAGACGAAGAATGATCCAATTAGATAGACCTGGAGAGTCAGTATAGCGCATCACAGCTGGAACCGTGTGTACGTACCACGACGTCGTTGCCGGCCCACCAGGTGTCGGTCTTCTCGACGACGGCATGGGACACGCTCACGGCAGCATTGCCCACGAAGGTAGCGGCGGCAAACAGAGACAACCAGGTAAAGAGCAGCTTCTGCGAGTGGGTGACATCGTCCTGAGAGGTCCTCTTGACGAAGTTGCGGGTAGGATCGGTGGCGGGCAGCGGTTTCCCCCCCGGGCCCGTGGTGGTGGGTTTGGCGACATTAGAATTAGAATTAGAGGCGGCAATGCTGCGGACGGTAAAGGCGATGAGAAAGAAGACGAGCAAGAATACGGGATACGAGTATTGCAAGATAACAAGAAGGTAGCGAGTGACGGCGGCATAGTCCCACGGCTCGTCGTCGTCGAGGGCGGCCAGCGAGGGCGGGCGGTGCGCCATGCTGGGTGGCTCCGAGTGCGAAGAAGGTCCGGATGCGCGGGCTGGCCGGTGGAGAGGGCGAGGAGGGGCGGAGGGCGCGTGGGTAGGACAGATTAGAGAGAGCAGCAGAGACGCGGCATGGTGTTGAAAAGACCGTCAGGCGTTTGACGGGCACAGGGTGCAGCTACCAAGCTACTGACTACTGACGGCGAAGCGCCACCAGCATTAGCGGGGCCCTGGGCCAGAACCAGAACGATAACCCCTGCCCTTGTTGCGTCGATGCAGTGTCGATGCGCCCTGCAACGCTTGCATATAATTCACAGGCACCTCGCCCGTCCCGACGCGCCGTCTCTGGAACTCGAAGCCGCAGCGCGTCGCAGACAAAGCCGGCCACTCGCCGCGCTCGTTTCAATTGCCCTCACCGCAACTCGCCCGACGCAGAGCCCGCCGCGCCATGCCTCTGCGACGCGCGTAGACGACACCTGACAAGGACTCGGTGCCATGGAGCCTCGCCGGGTCTCTTCCGCCGCGCCCATTCCGCCGCCGCCTCCGCTGCCGCCCTCCAAGGCCTCGTACTTCTCGCGCCTCGTCAACCAGGTGCAGACGAGCGCCAGCGCCTACGGCAGCCGTCCACCAAGCGCGCAGACGAATCGCCCCGATGGCGGCCGTCCCAACCCGCTTGTCCCAAAACTCCCAGGGTAAGTTGCCTCTGCAGCTGCACCCTCTACTCATATCTCGCCTTGGGCATTGATGCGTCAGCCCCGACCCATTCCGCCTCTCCCCGTTGCGTGAAGCCTGCTGAGTCGCCCAGCCTCCGAACCGGCTCCTCTCAAGATGCAAGCCACAAGACAGGCCTGCCCATCGAGGCCCTCGACATCAACCGGGACCGCACCCATGCCATCCTGGCCGGCAAGGAGATCCTCAAGACCGTCCGCGTCCAGCAGCAGGATGCCAGGATCGTCGAGGAGACCAACCTGCGCGCTGCCGTCATCAACTACTCCGACCACGCCCATGCCAGACAACGCAACGGTCTTGGCATTCAAGACGTCAAGTGGTCCCATGGCCAGTTTAACACGCACATAGCCACCGCCGCTGCCAACGGCAAGGTCATTCTCTATGACCTCAATCGGGCAGGTGTTGAGCTGGCTCGCCTACATGAGCATACTCGTCAGGTCCACAAGCTAGCCTTTAACCCTCATCAAGGCCACTTGCTGTTGTCTGCAAGCCATGACGGCACAGTTCGCTTGTGGGACCTCCGTGACACGAGAAAAGAAATCATGACCTGCCGCAGCAGAGACCAGTATGCTGGCCTCAACGGTGCCATCTATGACATCCAATGGTCGCCCACTGATGCCGTCGAATTCGCTTTTGGCACCGACAACGGGACCATCATGCGCTGGGATTACAGCAACAATAGAGTTGCCAAACAGAAGATCACAGCCCATGAACAGAAACCCTGCACCGCCATCGATTGGCATCCTGACGGAAAGCATCTGCTCAGCGCGGGTCTCGACCGGACCGTCAAAGTGTGGGATTTCTCCATCGGTGTCAGGCGACAGAAGCCAACACTTACGCTACACACTCCATATCCCGTACACAACGCGCGTTGGCGACCGCCCAACTGGTCTGAGGAAGGTGCATATCAATGCACTCAGCTTGCGACCGCTTATGACCGTGACCACTCAACCATCCATTTGTGGGATTTTCGACGTCCGCACTTACCCTTCCGTGAAATCAACAAATTCTCGAGTGCTCCATCTGACATGCTCTGGCACTCGCGTGACACGCTTTGGACCGTGGGTCGAGAAGGCGTCTTCCAGCAGAACGACGTACATCACGCGCCTAGAACCCTAGATCGTCGGAATCTACAGGCGATAGCCGTATCATCAAGCGGGGAGATCGGCGGGATCGCTCAGAGAAGGCCACGTCGCCGGCGCTCGACAGGTCTAGCATATTCAGAAGACACCTATGCTGCTGGATCTCGAGAAAAGCGTAGTAGTCCGGAGAAGTCCAGCCTGCGTAGTTCGGGAGAAAACAGTTTTGACGAGAACTTCTTGCTGACCAGGAGGCACCATGGTCGCACAGCAAGCAACAGATCTGCTAAATCGTTTGGTAGCACCCCTCCCTCCGATGCTGCACCCAAAGTCATGTTCCTCACCGATTCCATGGTCGTACAAAATGAGACATCACGGCCAAATCAGCTCGCATTGCGTGGTACACTCCCTGGAACAACGAACATTCAAATATTCGCATATCTTGCGCAAAAGTACAGAGCAATACCGTTGACAGATCCGCCTACAGTGCAATCTTTTGAGGATGTACAGCACATCTTCGAAAAGAACGCGGAATACGCTCAGAGAGCTGCATGTTACCGACTTGCTACAACATGGAGGTTTGTTGGCTTTACTGTCGCTAGTAACCTGCAACGTCGAGCGCAGTTGCACAGGAACCGACGTCGAGTGAGAACCAAGCCTACAACACTAGCGTCATTAGGTTTCCAACCAGAACCTCTTTCGGAAAAACTGAAGGCACATGACAAGCAGAAAAGTCACTCAGACCTTGCCACCGCTGCTCCCGTAAATCTAGTGCAGACCACTTCTCCCAGCCACAGCACAGACCAAAACATTGCCACTACCGAAAGCACTTCGAATATTGCCACTCCGCTTGCACGGCCGCTTACAGGAATACCCGTAACAGCCAATGAAAAGCAACGATCTCCACTTCCAGATATAGATCGCGATGAGAAGATTGAGCTGCCTCCGGCGATTGCTGGACCTCATTCCAACAATGGTCTTCTAGCTCCAGACAGTGCAAGCCGTCAAGCTGATCGTGCTGCTAATCGTCCTAGGTTTAACGGACCGCAATGGTACCATTCGACGAATGACCTTGATGAACGAAGGGCGATGGTCGGTAGTTGGCGGGCGCCTCCCCGAGTACCTCTCAGTTTTGAGCCACCGGAAAGCCGGGGGCTGAACATACAGGTACCGCCCCGACTAGATCGGCATGACTCTGACGAGAGCTTTGCTATGTTTTCTGCTTCAACCGACTCGCAGCATGGAAGCTCTATGCCTGGTTCCTTGAACAGTGGCACATCTCATCCACAGAACGTCGATGCGGGATCTCATGAGCCTTTACGTCCATTTGATGAGTCAAGCTTTGGGAAGCTGATGCCCTCTGCAATTGGTGCAGATCATCGTGAACAGTTGCACCAAAGTATTCAAATATCTCCCACGACTATTCCCAAGATTGATGGTTCGACGACAGCCTCGCATGACCGCGACAAGCTAGGAACGGCTTGCGATGATGCAAGTCCACCGCCAGACAATGTCAGTCAGGAACAAGCGATGCATGATTTCGAAAACTTGCATCGAAACAATCAGTTGCTTCGTCATGACAGTTCTGAGTCGGAGGCATTCACAAGTAGTGGCAGTGGGGTTTCTGTATCTTCGCTGATGGGATACAGTCTCGACATGGAAGCCAGTGGAACAATCGTTCCAGACGGGCATGATCCCACAAGGTCCCCACAAGGCCTAAACCCCCCTGTTATTCTTCCGCATGCAACCGAGAGCGCTGCTCCGGCACTCGATCCCGCATCCGAAGATCGCTTGCTCCTAGAAGATTTCCAGGCTATGCACGTTGATGCAGAGGAGGAACAACCTTTCGCTATGATTGGTTTGCTCGAAAATCTTCTCAAATTCTTCACCGACTCTCAAGCCGACGCACAAACCTCCTCGCTTATCCTGCTCCTTCTAACGCCTCTACTACCGCAAGCGCGCGGCGACCCGGGCCAGTCAGATATCGACCTCAAGTCCACACTGGCAGCCTATACGGAGACCTTCACCGCCCTAGGTCTCTCCCCTACCCAGTCGGAAACGATACTTTCTACTGAAATGAGAAAGATCATTGCGACAGGCATAAACCCCTACCAGGCAGAAGCAATCCTCCACACTTACCATTCACAACTTCATAGTCTTTCGTTGTACAACGCTGCCGCTACTGTGCGTCGACTTGCATATCCAACGTACCCGGCCGTGTATGAACAAGCACTCAAAGGTACCCAGATCGGACTGTTATGTCTCAGTTGCAAGTCTCCGATCAATAATCCAAAGGACAAGATGCGCTGCGAAACATGCAAACGGGCTCAAGCGCCTTGCCCTATCTGCTGGGGTAGATATCCAGCATTTGAGGCCGTTACCACAAAGAACAAAGCAAAGGCGAAACTCCGTATGAGCAGCTTGAGGGATACAGACCACAAACGAAAGCGTTCGTCTTTGCTCTCAAGCGTGGCAGCTGATGTGGACGAGGATTATGACCATCCGTCAGCCAGTGTGCCCGAGCCTGTGGCTCTACCGAACACAATGTTGTGGACGTGGTGTCCGATCTGTGGTCACGGCGGACATACCCATTGTCTCTCCACTTGGTTTTCCGATGCAAGGATCTCCGACGGGGCATGTGCAACCGAAGGATGTCTGTGTGATTGTGTGCAAGGCAAGAGCCGTGAAGAAAAAGTACACCAGATCCTGCGCTTGAAAGCGGAGAAAGAACGATCAAGAGTTGTGAGGAAAGGTGACGACTGGAAAGTCGGGGAAAGCAAGGCTGTCTCCGCCGTCCGAGGAGCCCTCGACGATACTGCTCTTGGCACGGTACAGAATACCGACTCCAGTACAGGCGCGCAATTTCCTCGCACGAAGGAAGACGGTCGGAGGGTGCGTGTCGTGGAACCGCATATCGACCATGACTAGCAGCCCTCGATGCAGTAGTAGGGTTCAAATTTTGTCAAAATGCCGAAGCTAGAAGCGGCAGATTAGACGTCTTCTCTTGCACATGGCTTCTACACACTGTGCGACAAGAGATCCTGACCTCATCCGAGGCGACTCGGAAGACTTACCCTGCATATACTCCAACACACGGATGCAAAAGCGCAAGAAGTCCGCAGTTGCATAGTCACACCGCCTCGCGCATAGTGTTCTGCCAAGAAACAATTGATGAGACCTTTCAGAGAGCACCGGTACCGGTAACTGAAGGCCCGAGATGCAGAAGGCTCGAACTAGTTGGTATGAAGTGGGTCTCTGCCACGTTTTTGCGGCACTCGGCCGTTATCATGGAACTCGGGTATGAGATTGGATGTGGGGCGAGCGGAGGGAAGACAGGCTTTCGGGAATTTACCGCGAAGAAGTAGCGGTGGCGAATATCACGATGCCCATGCGTGTTTAGGCCGAGGCCTTGTACGGTATGATAAGTACATTAGCCGACGGGACGCACAAGGCCCTGCCGATGATTTTTATTCAGAGATTAATGCGAATTAGAAGCCAACAGGGCTCGTATCGGCACATTTCTCCGCAGAATGAGAGTTGGATTAACCTCCATAGGGCTGAGTGCATGACCCCACGTTCTGACAGGAGCTTTGCAGACCCGGACATGCCGACGACTGCTTTCGGTAACCCGACTCCTGCCATTGCCATTTTCGATCTTATCTAGTCGGCTTCGTTTTCGGATCAAACACACCGAAGTTTATCTGCAAGAGCTCCCACGCTGCAGGAAGATAAAAGCAAAACTTGGCTCACTCCTGCCGGCATGCTCGCGGCTCCTGAGTCCTACCTCGTACATACTAATGATGACAGCGCACGACCAACGGCTAATATACTTGTACCCTAGTGTACGAAGGAATACCTGTGCGTCTGTCCACACACGGTCAACGCAGCACGCTCCGTTCGTACGATGCTCGAATTGTTCCTCGCCTAAATGGCTACCCCGGTAGCTGGTGGCACCAGAACTGCACCGCGTGTTACGTACCTGCGCCGCCGACAGCCCACAACCGCATGTACATATATGCATCTCCGAGACGAGCTTCCGCATCCGCAGCCTCGAGTCCGCCAATTATCCCCTTGACATGTCTCCTGTCTGCAGAATCGTGCTAGTAGACCGGTCTTACCGAATTCTCCCGCATAATACTCTGATTTCGCATATACCCCGAGCCGCTTTCACGCACAGCGGCCCGAGATGCTTTTAACGCCCTACCCCGCACGTGCGTGTGCCCCCGTCCCGTCTCAGCCATCTCATCTCGGAGACGGAGGACAAGGGCTTCGCTACCCTGTATCGGGCTTGGCTCCGGCTCCTGCGCCTCATCGGTGTGCGTCCTGTGCAGTGCGGTCCGAATCACGGTATCCGCCTCTCCTCCACTCCACCAATGTACGCCGCTGAACGCATACGACGCAAGGTAAATCTATGATGTGAGCTAGTGTGGCAGCTTTGCAGGCGTGCCAACTTTCATCGGTCAGGACGCGGTCCTCGCAATCCCAGTGCTGCCCAGCTCCGTGAGTCCTCCACTGAACTCTGTACAATCATCGGTGACTTGCACTCCAGCACTCAGGCATCCACCTGGACTCCAGATGTGCCCAACGAATATTATCGGTGAGGCTTCCAGCATGACAGTGACGTGTACCATCTCCCACAATCGACATGTTGGCACGCAGCCTCTCATCGGTCACCGGGGAAGCCATCCCGCCGCGCCCATCGTGCGAGAACACATGTCATGTGCTGCAACGTGCGACACCTATCATGACAGAGCGCTCAAATGTGCATTTGCGTTCGGAAAGAAGAAAGTACAGGGAGGACGAAAACGGGGAAGCCGTGCCGCGCGCCCATCACGGAAGATACACATGTCATGTGCTTCTACGTGCGACTCTCCTTGCCTATGCTTTTGCGTCGGAAGAAGCAAAAACGGTGCGTCGGAAAGGGGAAGCTAGGATGGAGTAGGTAGGTCGAGGCGTGTGCTTTTCGTCAGGAGTTACACGGGGTTGTGCGTGTGGCAGGTGCGTGGGAGGAGCGCGTGGGAGCCATTGGGGCGAGAACGTGGGGCAGAAGGTTGCTGTTGTACGGGCGGTAAGGATAGCTTGGAAGGCCAACCGTTGAAGGATGGGTGGGATTATGTTTCAGGAGAAAAAGCAAAAGTTAACGTGAGAAGTTACTCTCGTTGGGTTATCGAGCAATGTGGGAGTTGCAGCAGGGATCAGTGATAGGCCGGGAAGGTAGCGCGAGCAGGGATCTACTAACATGCGAGGATCATCACAACGGCGAAGGTGGTGGTGTGTTGTCCACCCTCCCAGTACTCCTAGAATAGCTTCACCGTTCGAACCTCTCGCAGAAGACCGCACACTACGTCACTGAGCATAGGGAATATAACTGTCGACTGTGAAGCGTCCAGTGTGCAGACTCCCGATATTTTGGCGGGCAGTAAACGGTGTGACGAGTGCCGGTCGTGTGCGCTGCAGACTGAAATGCAGGGTTCCAGCGAAGAAAAGTCTAGGCTTTGCTGTTAGGACACAAAAGGTGACCCAGTAGAGTGGTTCGATAGCGGATGACGGAGCAAGTGGTGAAAAAGGCATCTGTGGAGATTAGTGCGGTGATCTGAGAAGCCTTTCATCTGATTACAGTATCGGAACGCCTATCTGTCAGATTCGAAAAGTTCATGGGGAAGCGGGAGAGCAGCTGCACAGTTAGCGCGCGTTTTCGTGTGTTTGTTCCGACCAATCGCTCATATGCGAGCTGATTCGTTCCATAGTGTGCACTTCCGATAGAGTCGATACTCGCTGACAGACACCAAGACAGTGAGCCATGCAAGACGAGAAGGTATTGTGAGTGAACCAAGAAATTGAGACCGAATATTGTTGATTTGATCGTCTAATGGCAGAAACCGACGTCCGTCAATCGTGACTCCATAATAGCCCTCTTGAAGAAGTAGAAAGCCTCAAGTAGCCATAGGATGCATTCCACGACCGCATTTGCGCATACTAGATACGGTATTCCTGCTGCCAGTCAACTTTCCCAGTCCTGAAGATGCTGTATTCGAGCAAGACGCACCCTCCTCCCACGATTTATCGCTGCGCGCTCCAGACACCCTTGAGGAAGCCGTCCTTCTGGGTGAGCCTGTTGATGGAGTCGTCGCTCTCGCCCATGGCGCGGACGAAGCCGGAGAGGGCGTATGTCTGGTTCTCGCCGGTGTAGCGGCCGTTCTCGTCGACCTTGCCGATGCTGATCTGAACAGAGCCGTGGTCCTTGGCCTTGATGATGCGGCCGGTGGCGCTGCACTTGCGGGGGACGTAGACTGCGCATGCTGGTTAGCACCCTGCGATTCCAATATTGTATGCGAGACATCGTTTGGAGGGGTCGAAATTCGGCGTGTGAAGGGAGCCGCTACGGCGGGCTAAGTAGGGGCTATCTTACGGTCGACGAGCTCGCCGCGTTCGTTCTCCATGGTGACGGTTGTATATAGGACGTCGGGTGGTGATTCGAGGGCGTAGGCGTTCGTGAAATCGTTGTCTGTCGCGGCACGAGAGCTTCAGTGTGGGCCATTTCACAAGTGGTGGAGTTAGTGCGGCCTTGGCGCGCTAGTGCGAGAACACGTTAGCGCGACTTGCCCGCTGCATGCATCTTCAGACACCACAATGCGCTGATCAGTCAATGTCTGCCATCATTATAGAAATTGTGTCCCGTAGGATTGCTCCGAGGTTCAAGGAGTGAAATAATGGCAAAGTTGAAGTGAGCAATGACGTCACCACCTACACTTCCACAGTACCACAGCGTCTGAAAGACAATAGAATCCATCCATAGTCTGACCGGGTAACAACATGAGTCGCGAGATCAGTCCTCCACCTTTCAAAAGGCGGAAGATATCACCCACCGACGCAACGTCTGTTAACCTTGCGACACCATCGCCACTCGCTGCACCTGACGCCGATACAATGCGCATCTTCTCCTGGAACGTGAACGGCATCGCGCCCTTTCTTCAGAAGTCTATTACCAACTTCTTCAGCTCAAAGAACTCGGATGTCAAGTTTCCGCCAGCATCCCTTCGCGTATTTCTCAACAGGCATCAGTGGCCAGCCATACTCTTTCTGCAGGAAGTCAAGATTGCCACACAGGATGCTAAAACGCAGGATGCTGTACGAAGTGCGATTAATGCAAGACTATCATCTGAAACACCTGAATCAGGAAGAGGACCAAGCTATGAGGCAGATTTCACGTTGCCTATGGACAAACATAATGCGAGAGGCTTAGGCGGAGGTGGAAAAGTGTATGGCGTGTGTAGTATCGTACGGGAAGACCTTACTACCAAATACCAAACCAAAGTCCGCACGGTTGAATGGGACAAAGAAGGTCGTATCTCCGTAGTAGAACTCAGGAACGACTCGACAAAGATTGCACTTTTCAACATCTACGCCGTCAACGGCACTGACAACCCGTACCGCAATCCAGCAACAGGCGCGATAAGTGGTACAAGGCACGACCGAAAACTCGCGTTTCATCGCCATCTCATGGAAGAATGTCTAAGCCTAGAAGAGGAAGGCTGGCAAGTTCTACTTGCTGGCGACATGAATGTTGCACCTGCCAGAATCGACGGACACCCCCGCCTGCGCACATTTCCTCAACAACATGTTTTCAATCGTGCGGACTTTAACGCCAGGTTCCTCGGCGGAAAGAAGCAAAGGGAAGAAAAAATGTTCGATGGGGTCGATGTTTGGAGAAAAATGAATGAGAAGGAGAAGCGATACACGTGGTTCTCTAGAAATCAACCATGGGGAACTAGCTGTGATAGGGTAGATTATGTTATCGTGGGAAAGGGAATGTGGGATAAGGGACTGGTACTTGGAGCTGGGATCTTGGACAGTGAGGCAGAGCGAGGACCTAGTGATCATGTCCCAGTGTGGGTTGATATCAATTTGGCACAAACTGATGAACGAGAAGAGAAACATGAGTCCAGCTAAAGAGCGAGGATACGAACAAGGACAATGATGTTCAGAGAAAGACCCAAACCTCTCCATGCGGACGCCGCAGACAGTTCCCGATTAACCCACCTGCCGCATGCTTCAATTAGGCCTGATGAACGTCTTTCTTACAACGATGACCTTACTGTGTCGGTCACAGTTCGCAATAACGACTTAGAGCGCAGCTGTTCCGCAATCTTGGTGCCAGCAAGCCGGCCGAATGTAAGCGATCGGAGAACTGAGGTCGCTGGTGGATATTCTGGGAAGAATTAGTAGCAGCACCGTCTCATGCAAGTTCTAGAGCACTGACCATTGTAGAATATACCTGTGAGTTCACCAGCCGCCCATAGCCCAGGTATGGGGACATCGTTCGTGCTAAGCACTTGCGCCTCATTATTCGTCTTGATGCCGCCATAGGTGAAGGTCAAGTGCGACGTGACCGGGTACCCGTAGTATGGAGGGGTGTTGATTGGGTTGGCCCAATTCGTCTTATCAGGGTTCAGGCCGGTTGTGGCCTTGCCATCCAGTTTCATAAGGTCAAATGGCTTGTCGTTACAGGCTTCGTTGAACTCCTTTATAGTCTTCTCTAAAGCATCAGGGTCGACCTTTAACATTATGGCTAGATCGTGGATCGTGTCAGCCTTCTCCGGCTCCTGGTCCGTTGTGTCGTAGACCCAACCAGGACGGAACCGTTTCATGATCAGCTCGTCGGTGATGAAATAGCCCTTTTGGTTTTGATCGCGCCACAGCTCCAGCGCGATCTTTTCGAACGTGGCAAAGAGGTGTCGCTTCCCTTCGTCATAGAACCGCTTGGACTGCTCGTTGACGACGATGCCGTAGTTGTGGCCCCATATTACCGCGTCAGGCTTCGTCGCGCGCGTGTCCACTAGCTCGCAGTGCATACCGTCGAACGAACCAGCCGTGCCGGCTCCAACTTCAAGCGCCATACTCAGGCCAGCCCCACGGTTATACTTCAAACCAGGTGCGATCAGTGGCAATTCATGCGTCCGCCTCCCAATGTACTTGGCCAACATCTCCCTATTCCCCTCGAAACCACCGCAAGCCAGCACCACATTCGGTGCATTCAGCTCATACAGCAACCCATCCTTCTTCCTAACCTGCAGTCCCCTTATAGCCCCCCTCTTATCCGTCAAAAGATGTCTCGCCTCCGTCTCCCAATACACCTGCGTATTCTTATACTCCCTTATATGCCCCATCAAGCAATCAATAATCGCCTTGCCACCCCCATCTGGAAACACAAAATGCTGCCCCGTCTTGAATTCAAGCAGGACATTTTCCTCGTCATGGTGGTTGAACTTCACCCCATGGTCTTGGACATACTTGGCTGTGGTCTGGGCCTCGCGCTCGAGCGTCTCGCAGTAGGATTGGTCTGCGAGACCGTTGGATACGAGCGCCATTTCGTGCTTCCAGTCTGAGTCGAAGGCGAGATCTTTGTCGAGGCGTAGGTAGGCCATCGTCCAGCGCGAGGCGCCGCAGCGCTCATCTGCCTTCCCAACCTCGACCAGAGCTACCCGGCCGGCCTTGCTGAGCTTCTTGGTGGTCTCGAGGAAGTTGAGGGTCGTCATGCAGCCGGCGAAGCCGGAGCCTACGACGATGATGTCGAAGTTATCCATGTATGCTGTTCGCTACAGGATGTGCGAATTAAAAGTGGTACTACTTCCGCAGACACGGATGATGATACTCCTGAAAAGTTCGCATATATGAATTGCTGGTGTGGGACCGTGGGTGGGCCATCCCGTCATCTTCCCCGCATTGTACAACGCGCGGATCTGTTGTTTGCGGGGAAGAAGCGTGATGCTGCAGGTCCAAGAACGAGACTGGATTTGGTAAGGAGGTCGTACACGGATCTTTGCCCGCCGCGGCTATCAAGTGCAAAGATCGCCTTTGCTAGAATATAATGTATATCCTACACGATATTAACGATTAGCTGAATGATACTCATAATTTCGAGATCGATGATGTTCATGATGATCAAACGAATAGAACGTGCACAGCGATATGACCTCCAGGGATGTAGAGATATTTGGTAAGCGTGTGAATCTAACCTTCAATACCTATGGTAGTGTCTGTCGTATACAAGCATGCATGTTGTTGTGGATATGATTTGGCAACAGCGTTGGACTTATCCGACGACTTTGCGTTTCTAGTATAGAACATCATCGGAATCTGTAGATGCTTGTTCATCGTTTGATTGCATGTGCTGCCACGGAAAGGATTTTTGATTGAGTGGACAGGAAAAACCAAAGTGAAGCATTGTACAGGTCTTCTCAGCGGCGATGTTATGCGTATTACTGAGGAGGTTTGAGTTACGAGTACTCCATTGGAAATACGCGAGGGTCATATCGGGCTAGCCTCCGACGTCTCTGGCTTCGAGCCGAAGTCGCAACGCCGCCCCGCACTGTCGAATTTTAAGACGTCAAGTGCTTTAGTGCCCAACATAATCTGACATATGTATGTAAACGGTGTGCAGATTTCCATCAACTCAGTCGCTTTAGCTCACTTGGGAGAGCGCCAGACTGAAGCAATCCGTTTCGGCGGCAAACTTCGGTTCGCAACGAAGACATCTGGAGGTGTAAGTTAAATCCACAAAAACCTTCCTTACATCGAACCCGATTGCTGACAGAATAATAATAGACTGTGTTCGATCCACAGAAGCGACATCTTCTTTTTTGTTTTGTCGATGGTGGAGGGAAGACGGCTTTTTTGGTGGGGTGGTCCAGAACGCGGCTCATTGGCCGCGGAGGGTTGGCGCAACCGTCAGCACGCGCATCATGAGGGGTCGCACGTCGGATCGAGGGTGCGGAGTCGGCAGCATCATGACATCGGATTGGGTTGGCCTGCTTGCGGCTATGCCTTGGATAGGTTCAGAGTTGAGGGTTGGTGCTGGCCAGCTGAACGCCTGACACCATTGCCTTATTTCTCACCGTGGCTCTTCTTATATCGTGGTCATCTTTCTACCTATCAGATTCGGTGTCGGCTTTTTTTTAGAGCCCAGCGCCAGTGACCATCATAAGACCGAGTTCTCTCTGTACCATTGAAGCATTGCACAATGTCAAACATCACATACAAGCCCGAGTTCACCGGCGACCCAAAACAACACGATACGGCCGAGTTTAGCGAGTCAATGACAGGCGCATGTCTATGCGGCAGCATCAGCGTGACTATCCATGACAGCGAGCTCTTTGGCGCCAAACCACGCGGACACTTGTGGCATGCCTTCTCAAGCTCAGTCACGGTCGTTTTGCTAACTCGGCTCAGCCACTGCGCCAACTGTCGCAAAGTTTCGGGATCTTTTGTGTCATCGAACATGGCAATCGAGAAAGAGAAAGTGACGTATGAGGACAAGAATCGGACGCTCAAGGTCTTTGATGACTGGGCGACTGGAAGCGGAAAGCGGGTGAAGAGGCTGTTCTGCGGGGACTGCGGATCGTAAGTCTACATCTCGCGTTTGTCATCAGCATATACTACGTTACCCGCGTGCCTAGGTATTAAGTGAGTAGTACTGACCCAATATGTGAAGGCCCATTATGAGCCAGCCCGACATCTTCCCTCACATGTACATGCTGAAGATGGGAATGTTTCCAAGAATCCCAAAGCCCGAGTGCGAAAGTTTCGCAGCGCATCGACACGAGTGGCAAGGTAAGCATGACGGACTTGAGCAATACGCGCTCATCAGAGGTCAGAAGAAGCTAGGAGAAGAGTAGTCTATGGTGGCTATGTTCATGACATGATGTGAATTTGAGTAGCAATGTGATCGCTATGTTCTTGAGATATGCCAAAGCGCTCCAAACATCGACTGTAAACAAGGCTAGCTCTAGAGTACCAACGGTATACTCTCCAGATCAATATCGAGTCCGGAGCTCAGCTGGGGGATCTGAGTGTAGTTGCTCTGATCGAGCAGCTGTCTCGTCATCTGGAGTGTCTACGCTGAGGTCAGCCTTCCTCTTCTTGTCGAAGAATCACATGGACATATACTTACCTGAGCATACGTCGGTGTTTCGCCGCTTCTCATGATCTGTAGGAATGCCCATGTCTGCTATCGGTTAACAATGAGGCCTGGCTGAAAGGCTGAAACAAGCCATAGAAACTCACCATCGCGCCAGTACTGCGTCCGGCTATGTTCGCGTCTGCACTTGTCTGGTCATCCCGGCACCCGCTGAACATGGTCACCATCTTATTCTCTGATCCATACTGGCCCACAAATTCACCTGCTCATAGTTTTGATTAGTTCTTTCCAAGCTAATTGCTCATCAGGAAAATACACACCGTTTTGCAGTCCTTCCTCTTCCTGCTCACCCATGTGCTTCAATCCGTGGAAAAAGCTCGTCGCTCCGGCGAAAAGCTCTCTCGCTTCGCCCATTTTATTGAAGTTGAAACCACCTTGTATAAGGCCCTGCGCCTCGCCAACAAGCTGTGCGCCCTTCCTCAAATTGTCCATCATCGAGATCTGCCCATCTGCGTCACTGCGATACACATACGGAAGCTCGATCGCGGAACCAGAGTGACAGCAGTCCTGGACAGTGTATTGTATAAGCAAAGACACACTCATTATGATTGCAAACAGAAACATACCATGAGGACAAATAGGGTGCATCCGGGCGCCATACGAGTAACAAGATGCTGATGCAGCAGAGTACTACTCAGCTGACCTTTGTACTCGAAGTCCACGGGGACGAGCGAGTCATCCAGGCCGGTACTGCGATTGCTATCGACATCTTCGACCTGCCCACCATGTCCAGAGTAGTGGAAGAAAAGAGTACATCCGGGTTCAGAGACCAGCCAGTCCATTGCTGCGAGGATGTTGTGCCCAGATGGATAATACGGGCTGTCGGGCGCCACCATAGGATTATCTGATAAGATGACTCTATCACGGTGGTTGTTGCTGTAGCCTCTATAGCTAAGGAACTCCGCAATATTGTCTATGTCTGCGTGACCTGCATTTCTGTCAACGAAGAGCTCATGAAACGCCTATCTACTGTAATGTATCGCTCTGAGCGCTTCGATTTCGAAGCTTCGAAGCGAATAATGCATCTGATCGCGTCGTGGTAGGTAGTAGTCTTCAAAGATATGACTTACGTACATCCTTTCAGCTCGTGCTTCGAGCCAACGTAGTTGATTCCAATCAGGAGCGACTTCTTTCGCTGTGCCATTTCGTTCTGTAACCCTCTAACTCGAGCAGGCGCTGCGAAGCTTTCGGTAGGATTGGATGGGAATATATTCGAAGCTTGGTAGGGGAAGGCGGATGTAACGCGTGGCGTTGGAGGGGAGGCTGAGTTAGTGTCGCCGTGTTCCGAAGGTCGGTTGGTGAAGGTGGGACTTGCACCTTTCCTGTTTTGGTTAAGAGCATCTGGATAACCCACGTGCGATAACATTCACAGTTTTGCGTTCAAGGCAGGCGTTTCTACATGGTAAGTTTGCAATGGGTGGGTGGACGTTCTGCAAAGATCATGAATCTGGTGACAAGAGGATTATCCTTCAAACAAGAATAACCACGTTACGGATATGACAGCATGATACTTTACAAACAGATGTGAAATCTAATAGTGGTCGTCTTATCTCGTCGCCTACGTTGCTAGACAATTACACCTAGATCCTTCAGCTACGACTCCCCTCATATGTTCGATATGCAGGTGTTCAGGGGAACTCCTTGGTCCTTTCCCTTCCAGGACGATGCACCCCGAAGTCCTGCCGCTACTTGTAGTAGGTTAGGTTTAGAATATTGGCCCAAGAGGTACAACTGGGGTTTTGCGGAACTTTGAGTCCGTCTAAGCCCATTGTCCCGCGAAGGACTTGGTGGGAGCGGGGACGAAACGTGGGGCAGTGTTTACTCAGCTGGCTTTAGCGCGAAATGGCTTCACACTACGCCTCGTCATTCGCTGATTGTAGGCTTTTACAACGCGTCTTCTCGGTCTCGACATCGAGGCCTTGCTTCGGATCCAAGGTTTTCAGCATGCTCAGCAACAAAGAATTCCCACCGTTGCCGTCGCAGGTGCAGCGGAAGCCCAGGCCAACAAGGAAGCGGTATTCGCGAAGAGAAATTTCACCTATAGCGACCAAAAGTGCACGCCCGACTTCTCTGAACGATTTACCGGACGAACTCATTGTAGAAATTCTGGATTACTTGCCTGGAATCGATCTACAGCATTTCCATCTCCTCACACTCGCCAATCTCTCCCTTACAAATCGACGGCTTCATCGTGTTGTCACGGATAGACTGTATGCCGCGTACGACAGTTTTTTCTGCACACCTTATCCATTTCTTCGCACAGTCATGTCTAATCCAGACCTTGCGTCCCTTGTGAAGTCCATTTCGTTCAAGTACGGGCCAAATGTTCATGCGGAACGCCCCAGCTATGTACCGTCTATACCCGACAAGCAATTGATCAAAGATTCCTTGAAGAAGTTGGGTATAACAGATTTTGATTGGAAACAATGGGCATCTGACTGTAACGACCGCAACGTCGAGCAGGAACAACTCTACGCAACCATTCTCTTGTATACACCCAACGTCGCAAAGTTGGAAATCGATGATGGAGCGTTGTCCGCGGTAGAAGGGAAATCAAACAAACTTCCATGGTGGCTCGTTCACTTTCGACAGTTTGTGAATGGCAGGAACTTTGGCCGTGTGCAGCGATTTCAGCATCTCAGGTCCATCCGCGTTGATGTTCAATACTTGAAACTCCGCCATCTAGCTCCGTTGTTTAGACTGCGCTCTATGCGCAAAGTCACGTTGATTGGTCTTGTTGAGTGGGCGCACACTGAAGGAGATAGCAAGGAAGCATTGCAGCGTCTATTCCGAGCCTCGGTCATTGACGAATTACATGTGGAGAAGAGTTTTGTCCATGACAGTGTCCTTGATGTGGTCATCTCCTGCATCACTCATCTCAGGGTTTTCCAGTACTGGAGCTCTAGAGACCAGTTCATGGTGAACCACCGGAACAGCGACGATTACTGGGGGCTTTCAGATCAAGCAGGTTATCGACCCTACAACGACACTGATCCGTCGAACAGTTGGTTCAGGTAGGTGAACTCTCCCCTGCCATCTTTTCTACAGCACTAGCCTGATCGCTCGAATCTCGTACTGTGTATCAATGGGTACAGTACAATGACCATTTCTTCGATATGGAACTGTCTGCGCCAACTGTGTCGATCGCTAATGGCCATCATCAACCTCTAGCATGGCGAAATCGCTCGAACCCCACAGCTCATGGCTGGAGACTTTCTCCTGGCGTGACGATTTACATACCGAGGATCGGCTTTATCTGGGCGCGCTGGGTTTCCTTTCCGGCTTTTCCAAGCTTGCTCACCTCGAGCTTCCGATGGCTGTGCTCGCGCAGCAAACACAGGCTACCAGCATTGCAGTCGAAAGCATAGCTGCGAACCTGCCACAGTCGGTACAATCCTTGACGATTCATATCATCCAGGATGCATACATATTCTATCAGAAATGTCTCGATTACATGGCCGTTCGTTTCTACGATTACACACCTTCACTACAACATATCAAAGTGATCCAATGCAACAATGGAGCATCACTTTCGTACGACTGGCAAGGTTTTGGGAGGAAATTGCTTGATCAAGGCGTTGCATTTGAGCTCATACGGTCGGAAGCAGACAGCGACGGCGACTGGACGCCTTATATCAACAACAACTCGTCCGATGAATCCGACTCATCAGGCTATGAAGAAAGCCTATACTCTGATTGAGTTGAAAGGCTTAGGAAGGGTGAGGCGTGGAAAGGGACGGATGGAGAGGTGAAGGCGAAGTTTTGGGAGGCGGACACGGTGAAGGTGGGAAGTTGGAAATGGTCAATGGAGATACAAGGGTTCAAATCAAGAAGAAAAGCTTTCTCAGCGTCGTAGCGAAGGACAGAAGCCACATCGCCCTGGGTCTACGTACGACCTGCGTACAATTGTTGTAGCTCTCGATGACACAGACACTGGTAGAAATTGCTCAGAAGACGTAGCGGCTAGCGCAGAAGCAGAGAGTTTGGTCCCGTATAGCCTCGTCGTTGTCTGGGATGTGTGGCTGTGTGACGCGAAATATCTTCCAACCTGCGCGAGATGAGTTGCTGGGGCTTGCAAGAGCTCCAATCTGAAGCGTCCCACTGGTTCAGGCTGCCCCTCGGCCCGTTTACATGACGCAGGCCGCAAACACAAAATTGGGGATCCACTCGGTCGAAGCTAAATGTGGCGGTGCGCATCTTGAATGAGGATCTCCATTGGTAAACAACGGATGCGAGGTAAGCTGAGGCCGCGTCATAATCATCAGGTCAGCGCCCGTAGGCTCGCCGGCAACGCGGAACGGAAGTTGCGGCAGCAGAGGCTCAGCGCGAGAAGAGCGTTTGAGGGAGGGTCGATGTTGGGGAAGCTGCAGCCACAGTGTGGAGACACTGACACTTGTTTGGCTGTGGCGGCGCGGCCGTGGCGTGCGGCCGTCGACGATTGGCTGGCGCGTATGCCTGTCCGATCTGCTCCAGGGCACCGCCATCGCGAACAGGCGCCCGGCAGCAGAAGCGCTGCGGCGGAGGCCCTGGGCGGAAGGAGAGCGAACAGTCTGATGGAGAGAATCCCTGACGAAGCCGGGCGTGATTGGCATCGTCTGCCGAGCGCCATCAGCCTCGCTGGCTCCGTTGCTGGGCGGGCGACATTTCTCTTGTGTGCAGGGATACCGCCCAGCGCTCAGGCACCCGGATCGTAGGAACAGGCCAGCAGACGTCACTGCCTGTGCTTGTGCTTGCTTGCTGCTGCTCCTGGCCGCCGTCCACGTCGCCTTATATTATCCTGCACCGCGTTGCCCTCGCCCACCACTCTCCTTGCCTTTCTTTTGTGCTGTCTCTGTACCCTCGGCCGGAGCTGCAGTCGCGCTAAGCAGCTAACAGCGGGGGTTGGTCTTGGTGAGTGCCGTCAATTGAGCTACAGCCCGAGGGAGCCCTGGGTGGAGAGACAGGGTCGCGCTACGCTGATAGCCTACGCAAGAAGCGGGCGGGTGCAGCTCAGCTAACAGCTGCTAACAACAAGCAGGTTCAAGCACTCCGATAGCTCCTCTCTCCCTTTGTTCATTCTTATTCCCACAAAGACGCCCTTCTCCCATTGTCGCCCAGCTCGATCGCGAGCCGTCCAATTGAACCGTCCGGCGCCGTGGTCCCGATAGTTATATAATCGAGGGCCGGCCCTCCGCCCGCGACTCCGAACATGGCGACCATGCAGCGCGCATCTGAGCTTAAGCAGCAGGGCGCGATTGAGGCTGCCCAGGACCCCAACTCTACCGTTACCGCTGATCAGGCCGGGGACAAAGTGCTCCAAGAAGCCCGAAAGGGTGGGAGCGCTGCCTTTAAGTTTGACCCAAATGCTAGCCCAGAGGAGAAGGCCGCACAGGCGAAAGCGGTATGCTTGGACACACCACCAATCTGAGACATGACTGCAAAGCTGACTTGTACGCGAACAGCAAATCCCAAACAACTTCCACCACGAGCGAAAACCAAATGCCGTTGCCCTAGCCTCGGATGCCGTGAGTACCAGCCAATGCGCGGCGAGTGATGAGAGCTGATAGCAGGCATAGAACGTAACCGGTCCGAAACACGCCCTCCCTCCACCCTCCAAAGAAGGCGCTATCGAGGCACCTCTCTCGCCAACCTCAGACGCGCCAAACGGCCAGCTCCCGAAGCTCGACCAAGACGATGAGTGGGGGCGCGTCGGCTGGGCCCCACGGTTTGGCATGCCAGGTTCGGAAAACCAGGAGGAAGAGGGGTCGCTCCTGGACCACCAGACTTTTCTCGAGAGCAAGCTCGAGGATAAATTCTACGGAGACTGGTACCACAATACCGGTGTCATCATCTTTGCCTGCCTGAGCTCCTGGGTCGTGGCAGTGCTTGGAGGCGGGCTAGGATGGGTCTTTTGCATCATGGCCATCTGCGGCACCTACTACCGAACCTCGATCCGTCGCGTACGCCGTAATGCGCGCGATGACCTGAACCGTGAAATGGCCAAGAATAGGCTAGAGACGGACACGGAGAGTCTGGAGTGGATGAACAGCTTCTTGGTCAAGTTTTGGCCCATCTACGCTCCGGTTCTGTGTAAGACCATTGTGGGCTCGGTAGACCAGGTTTTGTCTACTTCCACGCCCGCTTTTCTCGAGGGTCTGCGGATGAAAGAATTCGTACTTGGGACCAAGCCTCCGCGATTGGAGCACGTCAAGACATATCCAAAGGCCCAGGACGACATTGTGCTCATGGACTGGAAGTTCAGCTTCAATCCGAACGACACTGCAGATCTCACTTCCCGACAGCTCAAACAGAAGATCAACCCCAAGGTCGTGCTCGAAGTCCGTGTGGGTAAGGGAGTCATCAGCAAAGGTCTCGATGTGATTGTTGAGGACATGGCCTTCTCCGGTCTCATGCGCCTCAAATTCAAGCTCCAGATTCCTTTTCCACATATCGAACGAGTGGAGATGTCCTTCTTGGAGCGCCCCACCATCGACTATGTCTGCAAGCCGCTTGGTGGCGAGACCTTCGGTTTCGACATCAACTTCATCCCTGGTCTAGAGAGCTTTATCATGGAAATGATCCATGCCAGCCTTGCGCCCATGATGTACGCTCCGAACATCTTCCCCATAGAAATTGCGAAAATGCTTGCGGGCGACCCAATCGACCAGGCCATTGGTGTTCTCCAGATCACTTTCCATGGCGCTCAGGGTCTCAAGAATCCTGACAAGTTTTCTGGCACCCCGGATCCGTACGCAACAGTCTCTATCAACAACAGAACGGAACTTGCTCGCACTGCGGTGGTAAAGGAGAATGCGAACCCGCGCTGGAATCAGACTGTGAACATCATCATCACTTCGCTCAAGGACGCACTGACGATCAACCTTTTCGACTTCAACGACTTCCGAAAGGATAAAGAGCTCGGAACCGCAACTTTTGCGCTTGAACAACTAGAAACGGAGGATGAGCATGAGAACCTGCATCTAGAAGTCACGGCTGGTGGTCGATCCCGCGGTATCATCCTAGCAGATGTCCGCTTCTTCCCTGTGCTTGAAGGAGAGGTCTTGGACGACGGCACAAAGGAGCCTCCGCCAGAATCACGCACCGGTATTGCCAAATTCACGGTCGAACAGGCCAAAGAACTAGATCACGAGAAGAGCTTGATCGGACAACTTAGCCCTTATGCCATGCTCTTGCTTAATGGGCGAGAGGTGCACCGGTCGACAGTCATGAAGCGAACAAATCAGCCAGTCTTCTCAGACGCAAGCAAAGAGCTTTTAATTACGGACCGTAAGAAGGCCAAGCTCGGGTTGCTCATCAAAGATGACCGCGATCTTGCGGCTGACCCCATCGTTGGCTCGTATCAAATCACCATTGACGACATGTTGGAGCTGATGGCAAAGGGCCAGGAGTGGTACCATCTGCACGGTGCGAAGACTGGACGCGCCAAGATGAAGCTCGAATGGAAGCCAGTCGCTTTGAAAGGTGCCGTGGCCGGAGGTGGCTACCTTACTCCTATCGGCGTTATGCGTTTACACTTCAAGAATGCACGGGATCTTCGCAATGTCGAGACGATGGGCAAATCCGATCCATATGTGCGAGTCCTGCTCTCCGGCGTCGAGAAGGGACGGACAGTGACGTTCAAGAATAATCTGAATCCGGACTGGGATGAGGTCATCTACGTGCCTATTCACACGCAGCGCGAGAAGCTCACCGTTGAGGTGATGGACGAGGAACACCTGGGCAAAGACCGCTCTCTCGGACACATCGAGCTGACCGCAGGCGATTTCGTTCACCAAGACGACGACGGACAATGGCTCGTCCACGAACAAAAGGAGACGCAACAAGGCCAACTGCACCTGGGAGCTCGCACGCAAGCGAAGGGCATTTTAAATTACACATGCTCATTCTATCCTACCTATCCTGTCTATGATCCTGATGAGGAGGACTCAGACAGTGAAGATGGCTTGTCACGTAAGGATTCTATCAGAAAATCTATCGATTCCGCTCCCAGGGGACACAAGAAGAACACCTCGAGTGTATCCGGAATCGCACGATCGGAGACCGCAGGAACTATTTCGTCACTCCGATCGTCACACACCGCCGGAAGCGAGCTTGACGTTGCGAAACAATTGGAAAAGAGCGTTGCGCAGGTGCAGCAGGAAGAAGATGCGGTTCCTCAGAAGAAGGAGATTGAGAAACTGCACCTTACTGCTGACGACCTGCAGCAGTATGGTGAGCTACGAGGATCTCCTAATTTTCCGGAGGCATATAATGAGCTGAGTTGGTTCAACCACCCCGCAACATTATGCCCTCTACTCTTATCTACAATTGGTACACTGGCTAATTTGCGGTGCAGAATCTGGTCTCATTGTTTTCAAGCTAGTCGAGGGCGAGTTTGCGGATACCGGAGCTTACGTTGATATCATCATGGATGACATGGCTTTCCCAAGTTACTCTAGTGCCAAGATCAAGAACAGGCATATGACGTTCAACGAGGGTGAGTTCAAGTTCATGCCGCTTGTAGTGCGCTGCTAACAGACATAGTCGGCGACACGATGGTCCGCGAACTCGACTTCTCGAAGATCACCCTTCGTATTATCGAGCATATTGACAAGAAGGGCGAAAACGACGAGGACCACGTCATTGCAAAACTCACAGGCAGTACACTGGATACTCTTCGACGGTGCTTAGTAGGTGCCATCAACCTCACGGCCTGTTGGACCGTGCTAACAAATGGCAGTACACCCCTACACAACTTATTCTGAAGGATAACCACGGCCGCGAGAATAAGATCACGGTCAGCCTGAAATACTTACCTGTTAAGATGCGGCTAGACCCCAGCGAATCGTTCAACAACCAGGGCACTCTCCGAGTGGAAGTATTGGACGCAGCAGATCTTCCAGCTGCTGACCGCAACGGCTTCTCAGATCCGTACTGCAAGTTCATCCTCAACGACAAAGAAGTCTACAAGACCAAGACGCAGAAGAAGACGCTACATCCCGCGTGGAACGAGTACTTCGAAGTGCCTGTCCGCAGTCGAACGGCAGCCGACTTCGAAGTGAAGGTCTTCGACTGGGACTTTGGAGACAAAGCGGACTTCCTAGGCAGAGCTGCCATCAACCTAGAGATCCTAGAGCCGTTCCAGCAGCAAGAAGTCACTCTCGGCCTAGACGGCAAATCAGGCGCTGTCCGTCTGAAGATGTTATTCAAACCAGACTATGTTATGCGCTCACGACAAGGCTCAAGCACTTTCTCCGGCACCTTCGCTGTCCCCGGAAAAGTCATTGGCGCGCCCGTCAAGGGCGTTGGTAAAGGCGCCGTCCTCGTTGGCGGCGGTGTCGTTCGCGCAGGTACCTTCCTCGGCCGTGGCTTCAAGCGCAGGAAGTCCCGCGGCGCGGCGCCAGAAGACTTCGACGCGTCGACACTCAACGGTAGCACCCTGCCCGACGAACCCGTCCCCGCTATCTCTATCGAGAGTGAACGCCCCAGCACTTCCTCCAATGCCAAAGAGGACAAGCACCACAACCGTCACCGCTCCTGGGGCGCGCAATCCTTCGCCTCTGCGCACGGTGGCGCCGCCTCAGGAGCTGAACAAGGCACCGCACACATTTCCATCCTCTCCGCCTCGGGCTTCCCCGAAGGCACAAACGTTCGTGTATTCGTGCGCCTCGACGGGCCGAAAGGCAGCAAGGAAGTCCACAAAACCGACCACATCAAAGCGCCCTCGGGCTCCGTTACTTTCGAAGACGAATCGTTCAAGGTCCCGTGTTCGGCGGATAGCTTCTTCAAGCTCGTTGTCAAGGACCACGCTACCTTTGGTCGCGATGAAGAACTTGGAGAAACACCCTTCACTGTGGACGACCAAGGGAGTGGGGGCGAGAAGAGCGTTAGTGTAGGACAGGGAACTGTGGTTGTGAGGAGTAGTTTCACCCCCGCTGACGCGGCGAGTGGAAGCGGTCCGAACAGTCCGAAGTTGACCAAGGGGAGGGGGCTGTTGAGTCGCGGGAGGGAGAGCAGAAGTGTAACGCCTGCTTAGAAAGCTGTAGAACGCGCAAGCAGCGTGCGCAGCTCGATCTCGGTGCGCAAGCTGCGAAGGCGGTCGGACGCGACAGTACGGGAGTATACTAAGGATTTGGATAAGGAAGGCGAGGGATTTGGTGTTGGTTTGAACTCTGGGGCGGGCAGCGGGTATTCTTTTGGGTGAGTTCGGCTTGGGTTCTTGTCTCTTCTTGGAGGATGGAAAAGCTTTACTTTCCTCTTCTTGTCGTACTTCCTTTCTTTGTTTATCCTGTTAGGTAGCGGTTGTTCTATACCAAGGTAGTGTAGAGAAGGGTAGGATCTTGCCCTCTTGCACATACGTACTCATGGTGGTGGATGCGTCAACATCAATTTTCTGAATTTTCCAAGCTCCACGTGAAATTCTAATCCTAACACTTCGTTCCAGGCATGCACTTTACGACGAGCAGACAAATCTTTCGCGATCATAAACAACTCATTCAAGACGCTGAAGCGCTCGGTAGACTACCCAAAGAAAGCATGAATCGTAAAACATGCGCTCAAACGAAGAATACAAGAAGAGAATGTGACTGATGACACGGGTAACGTTCAGAAGCCCACTACACTTCTGCCGCCAATAATGTCGTCGTCAGAAGATGAATGGTGAGAAAAAGAAGCTCCATCGCGCTCCAAAGCAGCCTTTATAACAAAGGCAGAGAAAGTGGAAGAGACAGAGAAGCCCATTTCATGCACTTCAACCCAAAGAGTCAATGGTCCGGCTCGCAAGTATTGCAGACTTTGCCCACCCATTCGGCGGCACGGTCGATGTCTACAACCCCGCAACCATCCCGAGTGCGCTCGATGGCATATCCAACATATTTCTTACGACCGGAAGGAGGAATTGGGTCAGGGAAAGGAGCAGTAGCCTCGATAGGCATCCCGACGGGGCGGAAGCGGCCGCGGCCGAAAGTATCGTAAAGTCCGTTGCCAACATCGCGAAGAGGGCGACCACTGCGAGGAGGCAATGTCATGAATCTCCTACGCATCGGGCTCGTTGTATCCCTGCTCTGGTGTCCTGCGGTATTGCGAGCGATCTCATCCATTTGCGATGCGAATGGCGATACGGCATCATTCGCCGGCTCCTGCTCGGTTCCTTTCTGTCCTTCTTGTGGAAGAGGTTCGTTAATCAAAGCAGGGCGGGAAAGCTTCTTCGGGGACAAGGAATCATCTCCCCGCTTGCGCCCACGAGGCATGGTCTTGTATTTCTTCGGCGATTTGTAAAAATGCTTAATTTGGACTGGATACATATGGAAGAACCAAGGCATTCCGTAGGCGTCCAGGGCGAACGGATCGAAGGCAAGATTGTGGACGTAGGGCTGCATCCACTGTGTGGTCATCGCATCCTGAGCCGAGGCTCGCAGTTCTGTATCATCAATAAATCACAAGTCGACAGTGCTATGAGAAAACATACCATCTTTCAGCCGGGGAAAGAATTCAGGAGCAGTTGCCCGTAATTCCGAAGAGGCTTTCGAGCGTAGCGAATGAGCACTGACAGATGTAGGTCGGTCTTGCAGCATTTCCTGGTGACTTCGGCGTCTGGGGTGAAGAAACTGCTGTCGAGACTCGCTCGAAGGACCTGCGACTTCAAGACTCGGTTCAGGAGCTTCGACATTGGATTTTTCTATCATTGAAATACCTAGAATTTAGTGGTAAGATGTGGTCTCATTGGAACAGTGCTCACATGACATGTGGGAAGTGTGCTTGAAGGGGAAGTGCAAAAATGAGACAGAGTTAGCCTTACCCTTTTTGACCACACTTTCCTTCTCTCGTGCTTCAAGCTCATCAACATGATCCATGTGCGCAAACACCTGCTTAGCAGCAGTAGTGACAGCTTTCACAGTTGATATGCTCGTCTTCCTCGAGGACGGTTCACTCAAAGGTCCGTTGTCGTCGATGAACATGTCTTCCTCCATGAAAGGCGTGTGTTCCGGATGGATGCTTGGATCGACACTATCGAGAAAAGACGCAAGCCTTGAATTGACGTGAGAATGTCCCCTGGTCCGGGGTGGCGCATCTTGAGCTAAGATTGGAGTTCTGCCGGCGCTGTTCAAAGTCCTTACATGGCGCAACGAAGGCACTGCAATTGGAGTCAATGGCAAAGGTATATCGCGTGGATCGTGATTGCTAAGTCTTGTCAGCTCGCGAACCCAGGATAATCAAAGACCTCGTATTTATCTAGGACAGGGATTGGACCACAAATGCTCGAAACTTACCTCTCTTGAAGACTATCGTTAACGAAGTTGTTGATTATGCTAGAGCCCTTTGCCTCTTTCAACGATTTGGTAGACTGAGATAGCTTTAGGTTCGACGCCTTTGTACCCGCATCGAAGGTGTGAGCGACGCGTGGGATTCGCGATGAAGGTTTTGTAGGCGACACTGATGAGCCAGAATTGGGGCTGGATGCTGACCCTGCTTTGAACGGTGGCTTGTGGTTCGTTGATTGCTTATTGTGCGGAATACACAAGGTGAGATTCGGTACAGCAGGCCTGATGACCTTCTGTCCCGTGACATGCGACTCAGTCTTGCTACGTGAGTGCGAGTTAAGCTGAGAAGTTGATTTCCCCCGGATGCTCGTTTGTCCATGCTGGTCCTGCTCAAAGTCATCAGCGCTTACCAAACTTAGAAAAGGTGGCTCTAGGTCATGGTCTTCGGCTGTGTGCCAGGTGTCGCGCGAACTCACCGGCGAATGTGCAGAATGGTACTCGGTGCCCTGATTCGATGTCACACTGGGTGTAACACTAGGTGCCCTTCCCAGATCCTGCACATTCGACGCTGTTCCGTGACCCTGTACGTTTGACCAGTTGCTTCGAGCGGGTGAGACCTGTATCTTGAGCATAGCCGCCTCACGTGGGCTGCTCCGTGCCGGTGAACTCGATGGGCTCTGCAGACTGGCTTTCGATTGATGGCGCGGAAGCTTCGTAGGTGAAGGTAGCCCGGGCGCTGAAGTGATGTCGCTGGTGACTGGTTCGATCGCGTCCTTTGTCAAGTACGTGCTTCGCAAAGACTTTGTAGGCGATAGGCTTCCTTGGACCGACTTCCGTTTCTCACGTTCCTCTTTGCGACGGTCGGTCTGGAAGACTGGTGCGCGCGGTTGAGTTGTCTTCCATGGGGATGGTATCGGTTTGCGCGGGCTGTGCGTGGACTCGATTGACTGGGGCGAGACGATCTTCTTCGCGGCTTCAATCCGGTTTGGGGAAGCTGGGACGGTATCTGTGTCGGAATCGTACGGTCGAAGACTGTTTTGTCCATCTTGAGCATATTTGGCCACGGCAGAACGGCCGCGTGGGCGAGGACGATCGCAAGGGTCAGCTTGTTCTCCGTCAGTCTTCGTGCCCGGTACACGATTCAGAACGTGCGACAAGTTCCATAACCTCACCTTCATGTGTGAGCTCCATTGACAGAGAGGTCTGAGAATCCAATGGAATATCGATATTGACGTTACTAAAGCCGTGGGCAGTCCGCGGGATCTGGTCCGCAAGTGGCAGCGACTTAATCGGCTCACTGTCCGCCCATGCGACATCAAAGCCAGCTTCTGACGGTGCTATAGTTGACATATCTTGATGATGGGTAGCTGAACTGGGATGGTTAGGGCTGTGGTACGACGGGTGTTGCGAGGGATAGTCGGGCGGCCGTTCAGGCGGATTGTCTGCACCGGTGTTGCGCCGATAACGATCGTCTCTGCTGTTGTCAGTGGAAATATCGTGGAAGTGTGTGGCGGTTATGCACCTACCGCTGCGGGTGCCCAAGTGCCTTTGCCCTATCGCAGTAGGTTACGCGGATGAATTCCGAGTGTCGGCAGCGCGAGTAGTAAACATAACGATACAGGCACATAGCGGACTAAGTAGCAATGGCCAATAAGCAAAGGGAAGTTATCGTCGACGAGCAGCCAGCCGGGGAAGGTTGAGCACGCAATGCGGTAACCGCTCTCGTTTGCGCGGAAGGTGGTGATGTGGTCAAGCTGTGCGTTTGTTTACGGCCGGCGCAGACGTCACTGCTCGATTGAGTAGGAGCGGAAGGCGCGATCGAAGCGAATGAATTCCGTGCGGGTACGCTCTTTCTAGACGACGGCAGTTGCCCTGTGATACGATTGAGAAGTGTTAAATACCAATGAGCGTGCAAAACGCAAATGGTTGGTCTGGTTAGACCGAGAAGCGTGAAGGTCATGGTAAGTGGAGAAAAGCGCGCCATGAAGGTGTCAACTCAAAAGTCAACTTAACGCTAGTGGGTATGAACTGATAACATGAGGAACCAAAGAGGCCTGCCTCTCGTCGTCGAGGTGACGGACGCCTATGTGACAAAAGATGTGTACAACACAAAATCATATGGGATGCTGGGATGCTGTACCTTCGCAGAACACCCTGCCTCACAACCTAGAATCTTTTTTTCTTCTTGCTTTGAGCTTGCTTCTTTGCAAGCTCCTCGTTCTTTCGCTTCAGCTCTCGCCTCTTCCTCTCCACCTTCTCTTCCTCAGTCTCTTCCCGCTCTTCCTCAACAGGCAAGGTCTGCTTCTCCACTTTTGTCGTCGTTGAGGCCGAAGGTCCAATTGATGAGCTTGGCGTAGTTGTGGAGGTATCTCGTTGCGGTCTCGATGCCTCTGATGATGTCATTTCTTCTGTCGCCGCCGCCGTCTGCATTTTCGATTTACCGCCAATTTTGAACCCCTTCTTCATGGGTTTGGAACCCACTACAATCTCGTCAACCTTAGACCGGGTTGGGATCCTCTCATTCTGCGGGGTGGACTTCGACGTTTCTTCGGGTGATGCTACCGGCTGTAACTCTGTCTTCTTGGCTCCGCCTCCTATCTTGAAGCCTCTGGCTTTAGGCTTCGCTGGTGGCGAATCTGCACGAATCGGTGAAACTGTTTTGGGAGGTGATGGTCCTGGTGTTGGTGCTTTTCTTCTGGGAGGTGAATGCTGACCCCGACTCTGAACCTTTGATGGGACATCCAGATCTTCACCATCGTCCTCGTCTTTATCCACGTCCATGTTTCCTTCAGCTGTGGTGTCATCTATATCGACATCCTGGTGTGTATTTTTCGATGCTGGTTCACGGGTAGCAGGAGGCTCGGACCCATTAGTCAAATCCCGTGACTTGCGAGCGTTAGTGACCATGTAGGTTCGCAAATAGAAGGACCCGTACCTTGAAATTCTCATGTGTTTCAAACTCGTCTTCGGTCTCCTCGTCCTCCGTTTCGGAGTCAGGTCCGGCGGGCCGTGCAGGAGCTGGCGCCTTCTTCGGCTGAGTTTTCGTCTTCGTGGTTGCAGCTCGCTTAAATACGCTGGCGGAGGTCTCAAGGTCCTTCCACCAGTGGTTGTCTTCATCATCATCTGATTTCAATTTTGGCGGTATTTTAGGGGTGCATTCGAATAGTGCTTCTTGGAACAAGCCAAACGTGGATACATCGGGGCCCACCATCTCTGCTGTGTCCTTTTTCCACGTATCTGGATCGAAACTTTGAAGACCGGGAATATATCTCGCTGCTTGCTCACGTTTGACAAGCCTTCTACCAGACTTGGTATTGCCAATACTCGGGAAAGCCGCAGCGAGATCTAGATTACTGGATTCGTATTGATCGACAAGTCGTGTAATCGCTCGATCCTTATCGGATATGACAGCCAGTAGACGAGAAATTCGTACATGTTGAACGTGGGCAGAAACCAGCAGTGGAAGGATAAGCTCATTCTTCAGCGTAGCCGCGGGCCTCTTGATCAGACAAAATTTCCAGGTCAACAAGTCCAAAGGCTCTGGGAGACTGATCGTGGTGTGTAGCATTACATTGTCTGATTTGTCCCGTGAAATTGTACGGCTAGTGTCGTCGCTGTCAGTGAGCGAATTCTGTACATTTTCGAAAAGTATAGCAAGCTGGGAAGTATCCCGCTCGCTTACTTCGATTGGCGACTCCACGTCAGAAGCTCGACGCACGATACAAGACAAGTCCAATTCTTCGCTCCATATATTGCTCAGATCTGTGAGAAAGACGGTATATGAGGATGACCCGAACTGCGTTTTGATGAGAAGTTGTGGCACGGTCTCGCCTTGAACCTCGTCGGAGAGCTGTAAAACGCGCCAGCATGACATGCTGACTGTTTGGGTACGGTTCCTGGTATCCCCAGATGGAAAGCTTTAAGGTGAACCCAATATCTAGATTTGCTTGAGCCGCGTGGTGTTTGCTTGTGGTGAAGGCAGCAGCACCTGACGCGCCACGCTAAGATTTGATTGGGCCTGGTGCTACGTCACAACGCCAAGGAAAGTATTGCAGACACGCGCGGAAACATCTCCATGTTGATACACGTTTGAGTGTAATTATTCTGGACGAAACCTTACAGTCAGACGAAACAACAATGTCTTCACAAAATCCTCCCCCATGGCGCCGCGACGACCGGCATCCTCAGCGAGCAGCGCCTGCACCCACAATTCCCGCAAAACGCTCAGCGAACTCGCGGTCGCAAGACCACCCATCCAAGCGATCTACAAACGCGCAAGAGGAGGCATGGGTCGCTGATGAAGATCGCTTCGTCCTGCAGCAAGCGAAGAAGAGGGCAGCGTTGCGGGTCAAAGGTGGCCGGGCCAAACCGATCGACTGGCTCGCGGTCACACTTCGCTTCGTCGATACTACCAAGGCATTTCTGGACGAGGAAGTTGAGGATCACGAGCTTGATGTGGTAGATCCAGAGGGTGTTTTCGAAGGACTTCACGACGACGATCTGGCTGAGCTGGAGAAGGAGATCGAGAACTATCTCACACTAGAAACAAGCCGCAGCAACCGAGACTACTGGACTGTGAGTTTGCCAGTATTCATGGAAGACATCCTACTAACTAATCCAGGCTTTGAAGACGATATGTAAAGATCGACGACGAAAATCCCGCGCCGAAGCTCGAGGAACCAGTTCCGTTTCTGTAGATATCGACCGCCTGCTAGCTCCGAAGACATACGAACAATTGGAGACACTGGAAGTGCAGGTGAAGAAGAAGCTGGAATCAGATGAGCCTATTGACTATGACTATTGGGAACAACTACTGCGTAATCTGCGAGTATGGAAAGCTAAGGCAAAGCTACGTCGCGTCTCGCAGGAGATACTGAAGGAGCGCTTGGAGAGTCTCCGCAAACAGCAACAGGATACTGCGCTTTCTGTACAGAACAAAGTTCAGGCTATGCTTGACGCGGCTCGCCAATCAGACAAGAGCGAGGCAACTTCGCTCGCTTACGACCCGGCGCTGGATCCGGAGCCGTTGCTCAAGCTTCATGCGGAGGAAAAATTATTAGAGCAAATTGATGAGCGGAGGTTCCTAGACAATATAGTCAGGGAACGACAAAAAATTCTCAAGCTGGGCTATGTTCCGATTCAGACCCGGATTCAAGATGTCTCGATCAACTTACCGACATCGAAACCCGGGCAGGCAAATGCTTCAGCAGTATCTCGATTTGCGCCTGTTGAGAAGGAGGACTACTCTAAGGCCACCATGGCGCTCTACGAGAGAGAAGTCGCCCGCGGAGTTGAGGAAGGCGAGGAGATCTTTGCGGGCGAGGAGGAGATCACGCTGCCCCAACCGCAATGGGCAAGCAGATACAAGCCTCGCAAGCCGCGGTACTTCAACCGCGTGCAAATGGGCTACGAGTGGAACAAGTACAATCAAACGCATTATGACCACGACAATCCTCCGCCCAAAATTGTTCAGGGCTACAAGTTCAACATCTTCTACCCAGACTTGATCGACAAATCTCGCGCACCTACCTACAAGATTGAGCGCGAGAACGGCCGCAAGCGCGGGCAGTCTTTCGCCCCAGCTGGTGAAGATGATACCTGCCTGATCCGCTTCATTGCAGGGCCACCATACGAGGACATCGCCTTTCGCATAGTCGATAAGGAGTGGGATTATAGCGCCAAACGAGAAAGAGGATTCAAGAGCAGCTTTGACAAGGTAAGTCCATACGAAGTGCCATTACTCTCTGCAGGGTTGCACCCGTCACAGCAGCAGTAAGGCTGAACAAGGCTGACGCCACCAGGGAATCCTGCAACTCCACTTTCAGTTCAAAAAGGTGCGTGTCAAAGCTCTGTGTATCCCTACAACGCACTAAATTCCTGCAGATATACTATCGAAAATAAATCTCCCGGGGCCAGCTGCGCGTCACTGGCACACCCCACCGATGGATCCTCACCCCACCATTCACCGCTAGAAGAGCGGAGACTCCCGCAACGCATCTCGGGCAGCCTGCGTCCTGCTCGTGGCTTTAGGTTGGGCAGTTTCTACCGACTGATTCAACACTATCCTCATTGTGGTATAACCGAGTAAATTGTCTAACCTACAGCCAGTGGGATCATCCCCTTCTGGAGCTCTTCGCTAAAGGGCAATCGTTCACGCTGTGGGCCGTGTCTTTGCTGGCCGATCGCGCCACTGATTGTGTCTAATTGGCTGATAGAATATAATCGTGCAAATAATTGTTGGCTGGCCAATTAGGTGCAAACATCGAGTGGACACCTGGGACGGCTACCGAATGTGAACTCACCGGACAAAAGGGCTACGACAAGGTCGTAGCCACTATGCTGGGGCGCCAAACGGCTTCTGGCAGTCGCCTTCATACGGGCTGCATTCGGTTGCAATTCCACATCCGACACCGCCTTCGACGTCCGAGGAGGCAAGTCTGGATGTGGGTTAGGCTCTTTATGGTCATACAATCATTCGAAGATAGCGATGAACATGTATCGCGGCCTTTGCTGCCTGCTTTCATGCACATGTACCTGACAAGTGTCCGCTTTTGACACCGTTGTCTCTGAGCGAGCCTTCTGTCTTCCAGAAAGTTGGGAATGGAACACGGGCGAAGGCCTCCCAAGACCTTGCCCGGAAGCGGTTACCGCCATTTTGTGCATGTTACCTGCCATGCAGGCTGCCGCCTCTTGACCTGACATTGACTTCGTACCATGAAACCGTTGGCTGAAGCCGTGGGACGAGCAGTCATCCCATTGTATCTCTCGGTAGTGCAATGAGGCTGGGTAGGACTAGACCGGGAGGTGTTCTTACCAGTAACGAGTATTGAATTTTCCGACCCGTGATCATCCCTGTATCTACCGGCGGGCGGTGCCCGTTGACGTTTCCAAAGGTTGTTTGCCATCTACATGCCCCAATCCACGCGCGCACGGTTGTTGCATGCAAGTTGGCAGTCGGGCTCTTGCATCAAGGGGACAATGACAGGCCCTTCCGTCCAATCCAGAGTCGACTGGCGCTGCAAAATCCACTCAAATGTCTTAAGATCTCGCTTCATTCCATTCGGAGAACCGTTGATGACTCTGCCCGATCAGATCCTACTACTACCGCTGTTTCACGAGAGGTGTTGGCAGCAGCTGCCGTCCCCACTTTCTAGACACATCGATACGTTCGATAACTTTGCTATCTGAGCCCATCAATGGAAGACAACAAAGCCATGCCACAGTCTGGGTCACCCCATACCCCTCCCCATGCGGATCCTTCCGAAAGCCTTGGTGCTCTTTCACCTCCCAAGAGCGAATTTGGTACTTCCGTTCCGCTCTACATTCCAGAACCTCTGCAGTCATCACCTCGGCCATCTGTGTTAGTCTCGACTACGACGACTGCGTTGCAAGACATCACGGTTCCTACCTTCCAGGACCAACATCATATGAAGGTTGAAAACCTAGACGACCCTGCCATCATGCAATGGGGAACATACAACAACCCTCTTTCAACCCCCATGCCCCAGGGCAACTTTGGTTTCAACTACCCTATGCAATACAATCCAGGAACAGCGTCCGCATACAATTATGACCGAACTGCGTACAATGACCAGTACACTCTTGCGTACCAACCTGGTCTCTCAGCAAACTGCCCTCGTTCGCTCAACAACAACAGCTTCGACATGACCGGGCTGTCACACTCTGGGGTGACTGTATCGAGTCATCCGCCGCCGATGTACCAGAGGGGACCCCAGCAGCCATACGAAGGCATGGATCTCACACATCAAAGCCCGAACAACAATCTCATGCAGCTTGACCATGAGTATGAGGACTACCCTCGCCCAATACCGGAGGACCTCACAGCGTACAGCACTCCTTACGACTCGGATATATCGCGAGCAGCAACTCCAAGCGATGGATCTCCTCTACCGCTTCGTAATGACGCGCTCATCGAGAAAGACCAGCCATACGCACAACTCATTTTTAGGGCGCTCAAGGATGCGCCTAACCATACAATGATTTTGCGGGATATCTATGACTGGTTCCGACAGAATACCGACAAGGCCGCCGCCTCGGATAGCAAGGGCTGGCAGAACAGCATCCGGCACAATCTCTCAATGAATGGTGTAAGCCGCTCACGTCAGTTCCTCCCAAGTTGTCACTAATGACGTGTCCAGGCATTCGAGAAAGTCGACCAGCCTGGCGAAGAGGCTCGAAAGGGCTTCATGTGGCGTCTCACACAAGATGCTCTCGCAAACGGCGTCAAGTCCACAACTCGCTACCGCAGCAAGCAGCCCAACAAACGCGGTCACCGTACTGGCCTCTACCCTCAAAGGCAGCTGGCCGGCGCCATGGGAGGTCGAAGCGCGAAGAAGCAGCTACGCCACAAAGCCCGCATGCATGATGCCTACCGAAGCGACCCCTACCAATCCCCATCACGCTCCATGCCCACCCCTGCGACCTTCGACTCAGCCTTCAACTCAGAGATGTCGATGTACTCTGGTTCTCCTTCTTACTACAGCCCCTCAGGCTCCGAGGTCGACGCAATGGAGTACCAACCCGACGCCTACGGGCCCGCCACCGACTCGTGCGTCCCGCAGCAAATCTTCCATGGATTGCCCAATGGCTCCATGTCATCGTCTCCACTTGCAGCGTACAACGATGGTTATATTCAGCTACCTTCCGACCCTGCAGTGCCGCTCTTCACCAGCTCGCCTGCCGACACGCCCTCGCCGTCGGCAAGCGAACCACTCACGCCTGACTCGCAAGCCTCCGGCTGGGACGACAACTTTTACGGTAACATTGGCGGCATCGGCTTCGAGTACTATGGCGGCAGTGATATTGGGATCAGTGCCATTAATCAGGACGGCTTTGCACACGAGCCGCTTGGCGAAGGCGAGTAGGTGACTCGATCGATGCATCTATAACCGCGGTCCCTGACCCCCACCGCATCTCGGTACGGTCTGCATTTAGGCGCGGTACATCTGCTGTCCTCTGCATATCGGTATGGTTTCTGCTTCCCTTGATCTCGGTTTAGAACGACTTGCACGAAACGACATCCAACGGCCGCTATACTTTCACACACAATTTTCACTATTAGGCTATCACTTCTTGTCATTCATACACTCATCGCTGCTTTCGACTTTTTGTCACCCTACAGACGCCGCTCATAGACATGATGATTGTCGATTTTCCAACACAAAAACTACTCAACGTATTACTACTGTCACGATACTGTATTCAGCACTTCATGTATGTTATGGCCTAGCATCACAGGGGAAAGGGCACTTGCGTAAATGTACTATATATTACCATACCATAACATATACAAAAAAATCTCAAAGAGAGTGCGCCGTGTGATGTCGATGGCACATGAACATGTGCAGTATTGATTTTGCACCGAGTCTTGTGGTTATCGCCCTGGGCGACCAGTAGTTTTGATTCACTAAGCGCCTCCCTGATCTTCTAAAGACTGAGAGCTGGTTTGACCGGTTGGCATACGTATGCATTGCATTTATCGGTGAACGGGAGACAAGCCGTTCCTTCACTGCCATGCCTCCCTCTCCCGGTACCTGGCTGATCATTGAATGGGATCCACCCGCTCCCCGCGGCGGCTACTGTATTGCGCCGCAACGTTGCATAGAAGCGATGTGGTTACAGCCGACCAGACTAGCGTCACACGTGCGATACAAGGATGGGCGGGTGCGGGCCGACCCGGTGAGGGAGACTGGCAGGAGGTTATCCCGCGATAGCTCAACGGTATTCCTACGGTAGTGTAAGAGTGCGTTAGTAGCTTGCATAGGGCGTTTAGTTGGAACAGATACTCGGGATATGGATGGGATTGGCGAAGGTGGGAGTGAGCCGATTTCGGCGATGTCAGAGATCATGCAGGTGTACGTTCTGACAACTGAGAGACCAACTCCAGAGCGTAAATGTTGGGACTCTGGACTGCGGGTAAATGGACAAGAAACGCTTCACTCCATGCCAGATCTTCGCGGTCCGAGACCTTACAAGGGCGCACTGACTTGCGGACTAGGACCAATGGAAGACGCTGTCACGACACTGACCAGCACGTCTACTCGGGGCCGAAACAAACCATGGCGACGTTCGTGGTATGGGCACTGCCAGGGTCTCCTTGCAGCCCTCGTCAAAAGTAACACAACATGATATGCAAGCCATGTGGGCTCCTTCGTATTGGTGGCCGAGTGAGACCGCACTTCACAAATTGGAATGCGATAAGCGTCTACTTGTTTGACTTACTATGCATATGTCGAGCTGGAGTATGTCATTTCGAAGAGAGTAATGTAAGCTTGGGTCTTTGAAAACACAAATATGTCTTCATCGTATCAGTGACGTTGAATGCTCAATCGCCTACGGTGCTCGGAATCAACGGTAATCTTATCTTCGTGACCAGTCAGGCGTGCGCGCTAGTATGCATGTTGCCAAAAGCGTCGATTGAGCTGCAAGCCCACGCCAAATTAAGAAGCTCATTGCTGAAGCTCGGTAATTCTGCCGCTTTCAGCCAATGTATGTAGGATCTGAAGACCATGAGAGACCTCGGAAGTCCGCAGGTACAGATCTATCATCGCACAAGTGTCGGCGTACCGTGTGTCATAATTCTGGAAGAACATATACGCAAGGTATGCACTGCTGGTGGCAGGCTATTCTGACCACGTCTTCTACATTGCACCTTCAGCCATCTCTGGTTTTACACTGAGCGTGGCCCCTCCATCCCCACTGCCACTGTCACACGGGACCCAAGAAACGCTTTGCAGACGGACCCGCGTCTTCACCCAATGATGCTGCATGTGCACCCCGCCATTTGACACAGCCCGCCATTTGACACAGCCCGCCATTTGACACAGCCCGCCATTTGACACAGCCCGCCATTTGACACAGCCCGCCATGCGCCCGCTCGTATGCATACGATACTCCACACAGGACTTGCCACAGCATAGGTAGTCGCTTTTAAACCAGACTCATCGAGATGTCATCTCGATAGTATCTGCGAGATTCACTAGCTTTGGCAAATAACAGATTTCTGGCCAGAAGCCTGGCCTGCGGTTTCGCAGCTCTTACTTTGAAACATCATGCTCCAAAAACGGTGTAGAGGCCATATAGCATTCTCTTTCGGCACTTTGTTAACGTGCTTTTAGGCAGTGACTTGTTGGTGTTCTATTGAGTGGTGATGCCTAGGATGGAACCATGGTATGCGATGTAGCTCCGTGATAGCACTGAGAGCGCAGTCAAACTTAGCCATCTAGCGTGCTTCAACGCTCCATTTGCTCCCGCGTGGGATATTTCTACGTTCTATAAGCGGGTACACAGAGAATATCCTTCTCTCTTTCTGAAAGACACAGCACGCGGAATACGCTCCACATCCGCAGCGCATCTGTCAGTTTCGACAGCCGTGATAGCTACGCTACCCAGGTACTTGCCAAGCTGCACGACCAACGTCCCACAGACCCACACGGAAGCTTACCGTCTTGGCGGGTATCGGAACGGCTCTATATCCACAGCTGCGGTCGGCAGAAGAGGTTGTATCGGTCGGCATTCGAGTAGTGAGCGCCATTGTTGGAGGTCTGCAATGTCACGCTATGACAAATGAGCTGAAGATCTGGCCTTTAGGTGACTCTCGCTCAGACATCTCGCATGGTGAAACGGAGAAACGGCTCAGTGTACTCGGCAAGAAGAAGCGTTCTCTCAAGTGCGTTAATACATGCCAACATTAAAGTGATATATGTCTTTCCGCCTGGAACAAGCTGCAGACCTAGCAAGACGAATGGACATCATCCAAATCCAATGTGCACATGTTAGAATTGACGCTGTGAGAATGTAACGGCCACTTTCAACCTGTTCGCAGGAAGAACCCGGATCCAATCTGACCATATCCACAGCGTTGGCAGCTTGAGAACTCACATCAGATGCGCGAGAACGGAGAACGGCGATACAAACCGTACCCACGTATCGCAAATCCGTGCAAACTCTTGATGGATAACCTTTTTGGAGCGGGTACAAGTGCTCCTCCTTGCCGTAGCCCGTCAAGGGAGATGCTGTTGTATACGAGGTGCGCCGATGGAAGATTGACTCGTGCGATGGGGACCATGTCCACGAACGTTCCCTACTTCCATCGGTGTTCCCTGTCGCTGCCTCGTGGCCTTCCCGGTGTGCACAACATGCGCTTTCGAGGCTAAGAAAATTATCTAGGAAGCATCGTTTATTAGCACAGACGCAGGGACCGTCCCCAGCGCTTTGTGGGGTTTCAGATATAGCTTCGCAAATTTGGTCCCCGCAAGTAAGTCTTCGTAAAATTGAAGGCGAGGGAAAGGGCCGCGCAAGTACACGGAAAGTGGTCTATCGTGCCCTATCCAGAAGCAGCTTCGGTCTGCCGAGGAAGGCTTATATTCCCCACGTTATGGGAGGGTCATCAACAATTCTGGGGTAAACATTCCTCCACCAATCCTTCGCCGTTTTCCTCCCATCAGCGACGTAGCGTGCGGCCGCTATGCTCTTTTAAGTTTAGCGATTCTCTCGCCACGTGTGGCGCATGGGGTATCTCCACCGCGGACGGAAGAACCAGACTATCATCTCCGCACCAAATACTCTGGGGTGTGCGAACTCGCCCCTGGCATGGGGGCAATATACAGTATATTAAGAGCCATGACCTGCATGATGAGGCTCCACAGCTTTCAGCGTTCGAAAGACTGTCCACTCCAATCGTCGACGCTTAAGGACCAGAACCATGCTTATTTCGACAATAATCGCCGCAGCTTTGCTGCAAGCTTCCGCAGTATGGTCTTCTCCCGTTGAAGCCGACGCCCTCGTTGCTCGAGGAGCATCGAAGAGGCCAAACCATCCAATCAAGCCGTACCACCCCGGCAAGCCTTTCTCACAGTCGCCTGCGCGGACAAAGACTTGCACGGTCAAGACCAACGGCAATGGCCAGGATGACTCTCAATACGTGCTGAGCGCCATCAAGTCTTGCAACAATGGCGGTCATGTTATTTTCACCAAGGGAAAGACTTACACCGTCGGCACTGCGCTTGATCTCACTTTCCTCAAGCACATCGATTTGGGTACGTCAAATCAACATCGGACAATTGCCTATGCTAAAATTATGTAAAGATGTGCAAGGAACCATAAAATTCACCAATGACACGGACTACTGGCAAGCCAATGCCTTCAAACAAGTGTTCCAGAACGCCACTACCTTCTTTCAACTTGGAGGCGAAGACGTCAACGTCTACGGAGGTGGTACTTTCGATGTGAGTACATGTATATTCTACAAGTTATGTGGCTAATCACTTTCATGACCAAAGGGAAACGGTCAAGTCTGGTACGATTTGTATGCCAAGAACAACCTGATTCTCCGTCCGATCCTCTTCGGAACTATCGGGTTGAAGACCGGCCGCATTGAGGATTTGAACCTGAGGTACTCTCCTCAGTGGTACAACCTCGTGGCGAACTCAACCGATGTGGTGTTCTCTGATATTAGCATTTCTGGATATAGTAGTAGCTCGAATGTCGCTAAGAACACTGACGGGTGAGTCTCTACTTGAAGTAGAAAACGAATCAAGACATTAACACTACGTAGATGGGACACTTACCGCTCAGACAACATCGTCATCCAGAACTCGCATATCGATAACGGCGACGACTGTGTGTCATTCAAGCCGAACAGCACGAACATCGTCGTGCAGAACCTGATCTGCAATGGCAGCCATGGTATCAGTGTTGGTAGCTTGGGACAATATAAGGGCGAGGTCGATATCGTGAAGAACATCTACGTAAGGCTTCCGTTCCCGCTCCAGTCTATAACAATGGGAACAGCCCTATTTGTACCTGGAGATCTCGTTTTGTAGAGCCTAGCTGACGAAGCCAGACATACAACATTAGCATGTCAGACGCCTCTGATGGCGCCCGCATCAAGGTCTGGCCTGGCGTTAGCTCCGCCCTATCCGACGATTTGCAAGGCGGTGGTGGTCTTGGAGCCGTATCCAACATTACCTACGACGGCATGATTCTCTCGAACGTGGACTACGCCATCGAGATCACCCAGTGCTACGGCCAAAAGAACCTGACGCTCTGCAACGAGTTCCCAAGCAATCTCACCATCTCGGATGTTACCATCAAGAACTTCCAGGGTACCACGAGCAAGAAGTATGATCCACTTGTTGGATATTTGGTCTGCTCAAGTCCAAGCGTGTGCAGCGACATCAACATCCAGAACGTGACGGTAAAGAGCCCAAGTGGCACAAACCAGTACGCGTGCGCGAACATTGATGGCATAGAGAGCCAGGTCAACTGCCAGCAAGCGGTGTAATATACTGTTGAATGAGATAATGCAATGTGAATATTGTTCTGCATCTGTGACACGGTCGAGGATGCGAAGCAGAACCGATTATAGCTCGGTAGCTTGGTGCACTATGACATCGTTATTGCGTCTCTTCCTATTGCTCTTGGGTCTAATATGTCCAAGTTTGGACCTAATAGACCACTACCAAAAGACGTTCCGGATACCAACACGAGCAAGACAGGATGTGCAGACATCATCAGTCTTACGGGAAAAGACGGACCAACAGTGCGTCCGCTCGCAGGGCAATACAACAGTTACCCAGGGGTTTCATTCGTAGGCACTCCTAAGACTATAGCAGATAAGCTTGAGCGAGACGAAGCCGATGAATTTACGGTCACCTCTCTATGTTCACCTAAAGGACCAGAGAGCGTAATAAAGAAGTTGGTGCCAGAGCTGCAACGTCGTGGTATATTTAGGAAGGACTATGAAGCCACGACATTACGGGGGCATCTCGGGTTACCACGACTGTCAAACCGCTTCTTCGAACCTGCTGCAATAGCTTAGGCCTAGTAAGCCAGCTAAGAGTCAAGTATACCGATATTTGACAGACAGTGAGTCGTAATAAATCTCAAAGCGCCGTCCATAGCCTCGTACGAGAGCCTTGATCGTAGCTTGTACTTTCATAAAGCATTCCAAACTGCTCGTAGATGCCGGCGTTGAACGTCATTGGTAAGCTGGTTCATCTCACTTACTGCAGCCCTCAATCCTCAACGTGCGGCCCAACCCTCGGCATGTAAACCGGCGCAATCCCAAGCTCTCCCCCTCTCAACGCCGAATTCCTAATAGTGACCTTCTGCTTATCGCCCAACGCCGCATACCACCCACCATCCCACCCATTCATCATCTCCTCTTCGGCCATTTTACTTATGCCCGTCCTCTCTAACTCTATCTTCGTCCTTAATGCGCTAGCAAATACCCTCGCTTGATTGATTCCAAACTCAGTCGCGACTCTTTCGAGCGAGCGCAGCACAAAGGCGTGCGCTTCGGGCGAGGCGATGGGGGTCGAGCCCGCAATGTAGAGGGCCCAGAGAGAGGAGTAACCGCCACTAACGCGTATGACGGGTAGTTGCTCGTTTGCTGTTGCGGGAGTGCGAAACTCAGGAACTGTGCTGGAGGTCTTGTTTTCGCGGAAATTCGAGATGAAGGTCTTTGGACTTCCTGATGGACTCGTGGGTCTTGCGGGAATGCCCCATCTAGTGGCTCCCATTGCAGTTTTGGTGGGCGAAGGGGAGAGTGTGTATGCAGAAGGTGTAGTACCGGTACTGGGGGGTGTAAGGCCTTCACGTGTGGATTGGGGCGCCCATGTGTGTGTGTAGTCGCACCAGGTTGGTGGGACTTTGGGCGTGTCGTGTAGATACTGAGGCATGCTGGCAAATATGTCTGATTGCATCTTATACAGTGTTTCGGTGGACTCGGTGAGAAGCGCCATGTACTTCTTCCCGACGAAGACCGGTGGTGTAGAGCTGAAGCCCGCGATGAGAGCATTGCGGAGGATGTCGTGGATGTATATCCGAATGTAGCGTAGCCAATTCCACGTTTGCGCCGAGGCAAGATGTGGATATATATGGTACTCTGTGCCAAACACACCAGGTGTGCCTTCATCGCAAGTCTCGACCAGATAATCCCAATCTGCACCCGCGACCTCGAATACTTTCTTCGCTTCTTCGTCAATTTCTATAGCGCGGTCGACTATGGTTCGTAGATCCGTGACTTGATGATTCAATATGTATGCTCGGAAGTCTATCGCTTTGATGTGAACACGGAAGAATCGATTCCCGGGGTCGCGACTGTCTTCCCATTTTTCTACCTCTTTGTTCATGCCATGGACAAATTGCGGAAGCGCGATGCCCATGCCCATACATTTCATTGCGAGCAAGCCGATCGTCTGCATATACATCCTGCGACCGGCTGGCGTCTGAAACTGAGCGAGGCCGCGCATTCGTACAAGGGACGAGGATCCTTGGACGTGTTGCAGCCAGCCATGGAATGAGTACTCATTATGAGTGGATTCGAAAACACTCAGCAGCATAGTTGCTAATAGAGTGTTGTCTGATTTCGCCTCGGAAGGCTTGGTAAGCGCCTTGTTCGTCATCTTGAGTGCATCGAGATACCACGCGGTAGCCTCTCTCTTCAATCCACTATCCATAAAGAGGTTGGCCGCACCCGCGAGTCCAAGTGCCGTCATGGTCGTAGCCACCACGGGGTGGAAGCCATACGTATTAAGATGCTGGTTGTACGCCGCGGATGAAATCGGTGGCTGATCTATTCCGGCTGCATAGTTCATCATGAAGAAAGAGATACCTCTGTCGATGAGGGGACAGAGCAAGGGTATACCGATCGCATCCTGCATTCGAACAACGGCGCGTCGAGCTTTCTCGGCCTTTTCCCGTTCGTCGCGAGCAACAAGGGCTTTGGCTTTGGCTTTGTGAGCTTTGCGTTCAACGGCGGCGGATTCATCTTGGAAGAGGCGGTCGATTGTTTGCTCATACCCGGGGCACTGGTAACCCTTGTCCGCGCATTTGACACACCCTTCTGGTCTCTCGTCACACTACAAGCAACGCGTCAGTAGTGCAATACTTCGCCAAGGAAAGCGACTGGAACCAGTGGGTCTGGGGTATGAAGCTTGGCTACCTATGGTCCTCGGAGCTCGCACTGCTGACCGGATCAGGCAATCTACACGCCCTGTGCGGACTGCTCGTAGGGCTGTATGTTCCAGAGTCTCGGGACTAAATAGAAAGAGTATATAAAGCGACCTTCGTAGGGGATATAAAGCTGCGCCACTCACTTTGATCTTCCGCTGCCGACAAGTTTTACATCCTGTGCTCGGCCGTCCTCGATACACCATACTGTGTCTGTGCGCACCTACTGTCTACTGTGGTACTGCTCGACCAGAATGAGAGAACAAAGAACAACTTCCAGATGGTGAGGGCTGGTATCGCTGCCGAGCGTGACTGGAGGTGCCTGCTCCCTATCGTACCCCTGCGAAGCGACGGTATTGTACGTCTCAACACGGCTGCGATGTGCAAAACGAAGGCGGTTTCTAGGAAGATGAGGTTTCTATGGGCATCGTACTGTGGCTTTTGGGCGAGCTCATATGTAAGCACTGAGGAAGAAGTGGCTTAGCACGCTGACGTCCCTCTGTGACTCGCAAGGATCCGGTTCCTGGTGGAGCTGAGAAACGGCCACGCTTTCCCTTTCTGGGCATGCTGTGCGTGATAGGCCGAAAGTCCCTGCACCCACTTGCCAACAAAAGTCAATATTCAAAGGGTACCAATGACCTCGGATGTAACGCTTTATCATATCTAGTATCTACATGTTCGATATCTAGTAGATGTATAAATGAATACATGTTAACGAATCTGGCAACCGGCCTTCATGTATCATGGCTCAAAATCATCAAACAAGTCAATAGCCAGGCTGATGTCCTCGTAGCTGTGAACACGAAGAACGCGAGATGACGTGCAATGGAACGTGTCGCTGTTCACACTAGTTACAGAGATACCTACGAAGCTGAACGATGGGATAGCGCAGGCATGAAATTCCGTGCATAGCTGCGGCTGGATAAAGTGCGGTGGAGAAGTCCAATGCAAACGACCTGTCATGCTTCAGCGTATTTCGATGTTCTCTCTATCCCATCCATCCCCTACACCTCTTCACACCTCTCACACCCACACTCAAACCCCCAATTGCCTTTCAACGTCTTCATCCGCTTTCCCCTATTCAACTTCCTCTCCTCCCCACTCAAATACGTAATACACAGCTCCTCGCCCACCCTGATCTGCCTCCCCGCGCGAAAATGCCACTCTCTCCCAATCCTCTCCTTCTCGATGTTCGGTCCGCACGAGTGATTGAAGTACGAAGCGCTCGGCCAGCACCCGTAGCCGAAGAACTCTGAGCCATCATCCTCGAGGGAGCGGATACCGAAGGAGTTATGGCTATCGCGGGACGAAAGGAGGAATATCGTTTCGGACGTGATGTGTGGGAGGAGAGGGAGCGGACACACGGCGAGCATGTGGAGGTAAGAGCGGACGAAGGCGCGGAGATCGTCGTAGTTGTGGTAGGGTGTGTTGCTATCAGCAAGGGCAAGGACGTGATCCCACTTGTCGGGATTGTTATATTTCCAGAGAATGCCGCTGATGCAGAAGGTAAGCACGTCCGGGGAGATGGGCTGCAAGAGGGCCTTCTGGACTGCTTTGCGGTGCTGCTTGGTGGGCTTGACAGCCTCGCCTGTGCCGTTGGTGTCGCGAGCGACTTCGCCCTCCCGAGCAATGCGTATCAAGGCTGCCTGGCCAGCTGATCCTTCCCACGCGATCTGTATCTCCTTCGCCTTCGGCCGCGGCAGTCCCACATCCACCATATCCGCATCCTCTTTGCTCCGGCCCTTGACCAGCTTCTCCGTGGCTTTCCACGTCTCAACACCGAGCTCGCCGACGCGTTCCCTCCACCTGTTCCTGCATTCCTCAGAGCAATAAGCAAACCCCACGGTATTGTCCCGCACTCCGAGTTCACGCCCGCGATCATAGCCGAAACATTCTCCGCACACTTCACGGCGGTACTCGCGAAGCACAACATCGAGGGTAAGGTCTTCGCCGAGGAAGACAGTCGTGTCGGCGGCTATATCTTTCGTGGCGAAGACTGCGCGGCCGGAATGCGGCGTGTGACGCACTTCGAAAAGGGAAGAGGTGGGCGCCCCAGGAGGGAGTGGGGTCTCCCCCTCGCTGTCCATGGCCAAAACCTGTTCCTTGAGGAGTGCGGTAGGAATATCGAGTACAGCGGAAGCAGTATCGCAAAGTCTATAGCCCTCGGAGCACGGTCTATGACGTGACGAAGGAAAGAACGTTTGTAGACTCGGTCAAACAAATTTCACAACAACGCTGGGTCAGTTTCGTATGTCTCTGATACTGATACCAACAGAGTAAGAACATATAAAAAGTGCCATGGTGAATTTCGGTAAGTTTTGAATGAGGAATTTTGGATAGAGGATGATGTGAGGGATGGTCAACGGCGCGGTGTGGGAATTTTGGATCTGGACCCTCGATCGACGCTTCCCTATGGAGATAAGGTAGTGAGACGGAGATAACGAAGAGCCACTCAGATGCGCTGCTTCATCCTTCGACGTCCTAAGGTAGGATAATGTCGCCTTGGATCACATCTCAGGAAAGCTGGTATCTTTGAAGAAGCCAACCACACGCTACGACGGTTATTCTCACGCCAAGTCGCTCTTCTTGAAACAATTGCTGCCATTTGACATGAAGATTGTCAATGCCCGATATCTGTAAATCCATGCTGTGTACCAGTGATGCCGCTCCGGAACAGGCAATAGGTTTTTTTCCCAAGGCTTACTCTTTTCTTTGGTGCATACCGGAATTTCATGTTTTCACAACATCCGCTGTGGCTCCTTGCTCGAAAGCCTTCGCTCTTCCAAGGGATTTTGAAGTGATTCCTCTTTTGCAGCAAACGGCTCGTACTTATGCAAACCAGAAACAGCACCGGGCTGGGAGGAGAGATAAGCGCACTCAGGCTTGTTCTGGAGACAGATACTAGAACAATAGCCATTGGAAGAACGAGACGCCTGACGAAAAGTACACTGCTGTACTGATTACCTTGACTGGCCCTACTCTGGCGGATGCCCTGCGAGACGCCTGCATACATTGTATGGGACATATAAAGAGAATCAGAAGTATTGGATGAGGTCACCCAGAGTGCATAGTACAAGGGATAACGCACGTTGGGAAAGACCTACCGAAGCACAGTCACAACACCGATGCCGAGCCCGTAATGATAGGTCGTCGGACCGCATTATCTTACCATACTCAGAATCGCGATCACAAAGATGCAGCTTTAGCCAAAAGATCTCGAAGCACTGGCCTTGACGTGCGTGTCGAAACGGGAGCCGAAACGCGGTGGAGTCACTGTCGCGAACTCCACCCCACTGTTCGTTTGGCAAACAGGATCCACTGAAAAGTCATTGCTTTTGACTTTGTTTTCTCCGAACAAGTCTCCGTAGACGATTGGATGTGCGCTGTCGAGAGCACAGCATGGCTTTAGTCTTGAGCATCGGCGGAGCGGCTTCGATGGTCACTGTTGGCGCCCTTGTCCAGATGGCGACAACGTGCGACCATGCCCGCATTGGCAATATTGGCCTGCGCTTCGCACGCACTTCTTGCGTCGGATTCTGATCGAGATAGATGGCCCCAACACGAAGTATGACTCTGCGGAGGATACCCTCTGTGACCAGAAAAGAGTGGGGACATGGTAGAAGAAGTAGAAATCTTTGTATGCAAATACCTAACAGTTGTGCTGGACATACTCATGCCAGTCTGCGAAAGTCAAAAATGTTGTACAGAAGAGGTCTTCACGATGCGCTCCGCTCCAATCGTCTCTGTTGGGCTGGGCGAGGCTGGAGGCGGCCGTCGCCAGTAAGATGCCTGCTCGCGCTTGGACCTGAAACACGACCGCGAAAGCGGGGCTCTCCTCCACTTCATCTCTTCTACGCGACCTTCGAGGCGCTCTTTCGGCGCATCGTCGCCTGTCGTCGCGTTGTTCGAGACAAGCTCCCGAACGTCGTTGCGCCGACGATATTCTTCTTGCCGTTCGCCGCGCGCGTTGACGCGTACAGCACTCAACATTCACTCCACCCGATCTATCGATGTGCCGAATCATCCCAGAACCCCGGCCTGACGGGAGGTCAGTGTCGCATGTTCGCCAGAACCTGGTCGGCACACCCATTGCGCAATCTAACGACGCACGGCAGCCGCATTCTTGCCTGAGAATGTAGCCTAAGGCCGATGGTGATGCTCGAGATTCATATCCCGCGTTTGAAGCGCAACCAACCCACTGTGATCTCGGTCCTTCTATGGCTTTCTCACCATCACTATCGCAGCAGAATCTCCTTTCAATGGAAATGCTACGCGCGACGCAGGTACACGGCATAGGCGCCCCGAGGCCGGGGCGACGTGCGGGCGGCTACATGGTAGGTCCCGCTCACCCACTTTTCCCTGTTGAAACACCGGTACAACACCACACTCAGGCACATGGGAAAGCTTGAGATGCGGGCAGCGCGTGGTGGCGTTTCCCAGTTTCGAGCGCTCTGGCCTTCTGCGCGCGATTGGCTGTTGTATGCTCTCCCGCTTCTGGCTATGCGATTGCGTCTCACCACCCATTCACCCGCCTGATATAAGGCGTTACACCCCGCTGTGGTGTGGTAGCACGCTCGCGTTCACGTCGTTGCTCGTCGCCTCCTTCCTCTTTTGCGCTTCTCAGTCCTTTTCGCGCTTTCCATTCTCCGCCACAGGTGGCTTAGTATTCCGGTCAACAAACGATTTCATTGTGCAGGATCACTTTCTATTGTTCTTCTTGTTGCACGCTTTCTGGATAATGCCCTTGTCGCATGCCGAGGTGAAGGGCTAAAACTTCTACATTCAACATTGTGCTTCAACTAGCCGTTCTGCTATGCCTTTCTTCACGCTATAAGAGCCTTCCTTACGTATCCCCACATTGGGTACAACCTAGCTTTCACGACCTTTTACAACTACGAAAACACCGAATACGTCAACTTCGCGATACATTCTTCCCGAACCAGTAAACGATCTTGGCTGGCCATATCATCAAGTTACAACCCGCAAATACCTCCAAAACAACATGCGCTACACTACGATCGCCGCTGCTGCGGCATTGGCGTGCGCGCCTTTTACTGCAGCGCACTCCTGGGTTCAGCAATTACGAAATGTCAACAACAACGGATCATATGTCGGTAACTGGGGTTATCCGCGGGGCTATTGTGCTAAGGGCGATAGCTGCGACCCGGGGATTATCAACAATTTTCTAATACCTGCAACTGGCCTGTTTATCGACGATAGTAACGTGCTTTGCAAGGACAGCCAACAAAAGGCGGTACAGGAAGACGCAGTAAAGTATCCGCGCCTTCAGGCGGTGCCGGGGATGCATATTGCTCTGCGCTACTCGGAGAATGGGCACGTTTCTTTAAATGGTACCCCGCAAGAAGACACAAACAAGTTTAAGCCATCTAAGGGAGGCACCGTCTTTATCTACGGCACCACTGAACCTAAAGAGGACGAAAAACTTGTCAACGTTTTGAAGTGGAACAAAGAGGGGGGCGGCGGAGACGGCCGGGGCGTGCTCCTGGGGACGAACGACTTTGACGATGGTCGATGCTATGAAAACAACAACTCCCCCATCGCCAAGGCGCGTGCAGCGTTAGACCCATCCTATGCCTTGGGCCAAACCGGCGAGGGCAATGGGGAATTTGGTCTCCCATGCGAATCGAACATCGAGTTCCCCAAGAATGCAACTGCCGGCAAGCCCTACACCCTCTACTGGGTCTGGCAGTGGAACACGCCCCCCGGCCTGGACCCCAATAGGCCGCTTGGCAAGGACGAATATTACACCTCGTGCATGGACGTTGATGTCGTGGACACTTTCTCCGCCGAAGCTAACGCCAAACCCAAGTATACCACTCCGCAACAAGATGACGCATCCGCCGCTGTGAAGGACTTTGCCGACCGCACTGCGATCTACACGAATGCTATTAAGGGTGAGATCGGGCCCTACTTCTCGAAGAACCAGACTACGCCGGGCGGACTTCCTGCCTCTGGTACCCCCTCCATCCCCATGACTCCTGGGCCCACAGACATTCCCCCTATGTCTTCTCGACCGGGTCTTCCTCAACCCAGTCAGGGCGCATCTGATGGCAGTGGAAACATCGGCAACGGTAATGGAGGTGTTGTGACCGTTACCGACGTCGTCTACGTTACCGTCACAGCTCCGAACAACGGCCCAACCACGCTCGCGACTGTCGCGATACCTACCTCTGAGGCTGCACCTCAAAACTCCTCGGGGGTGCAGTCGGTCGGCAATGCGCCGAATCCGACAGGCATTCCGCAGCTGAGCCAACGTCCCGGTCGTCAACCGCAAGCGACTGTGAACGCTGCCCCATTTCGAGGCCGACTCCGTCGGGCGTAGCCATCGTCTCACCTCGGCTTGTTTGGCATACCCTAACAACTTTCCATTTTGATACCCCTGCATTGGCATTTACTTCTCTTTCTCAGCATCAGCATAGCATTGTTCAATCAGATAGCATTTGCATCGTTTCTCAAAGGCAGGCCGTTGAGACATCTTTTGGTAAGAGCAAGGCACAAAAGTGAGGGATTATGAGATATGTACATACGACAAATCTGGGCGACTTGGACGGGACTGGTTTTGGCTTTTCTTTGGGCTTAGGAAATACCCCTGCATACTTATGGCGTTCTTGGGCATCGATTCTGGTCATTGCATTGGTTGTTTTGTCGGATCATCCCGCAGTGCGGGCTTTTGCATTATTGTTACTCGAGCTGGACTTATTTGCTTGTTGGCACACATACGCTTTTACTACAATTGAACTGGAATATCTAACAAATTGGTCATTTGAAAATGAGGTGAAATTGATCAGTCAAAGTCCCTGACATTGGCCACTCACGTCGGACCCGTCGTAACCTAATGTCCATCCACTCGACTGGAGAAAGGAAACTCCGTCAGGAAGTCACTCGAAGGTTCTTGGCAGCTGACTAACACCCATATGCGCTAGTCCAGCCCAGCGTGCAACACCAGAAGAACTTCATCGTGAACCCCCAGCATCTTGCGCGCCACCGTTTCTCTCCCCACAACACACCCTCTTATACCTCGGCGAACACCTTCACGATGGCCAACTACCTCGCCTCCATCTTCGGCACAGAGCAGGATAAAGTAAACTGCAGTTTCTACTACAAGATCGGCGCGTGCCGCCACGGTGACCGGTGCTCGCGCAAGCACGTCAAGCCCAGCTACAGCCAGACCATCTTGCTGCCCAACCTGTACCAGAACCCGCAGTACGACCCCAAGAACAAGATGAATCCCCAGCAGATGCAGATGCACTTTGATGCGTTCTACGAGGACATCTGGTGTGAGCTGTGTCAGTACGGGCTGGTGGAGGAGGTGGTCGTTTGTGATAACAACAACGATCGTAAGTCGTCTCCATCCCCTTACGTTTTCATGACTTCGCATGTAGGATGTAGGCTAACCATGGTGTGTAGACTTGATCGGCAACGTCTACGTGCGCTTCAAGTACGAAGAAGACGCGCAAAAGGCGTGCGACGCGCTCAACAGCCGCTGGTACGCGGGCCGCCCCATCTACTGCGAGCTGTCCCCCGTCACCGACTTCCGTGAGGCCTGCTGCCGCCTCAATTCTGGTGAGGGCTGCGTCCGCGGCGGCTTCTGCAACTTCATTCACCGCAAGGAACCCTCCCCCGAGCTCGACCGCGATCTGGATATGAGCACAAGGAAGTGGCTCAAGGAGCGTGGCAGGGATGAGAGGAGCATGAGCAGGAGTCCCACACCGCCAATCAAGCGGTAGGTGGTGAGCGATACGGTGGGAAAGGGAAAGATTGGGTGGGCACATCATGCAGGGATCTGATGCGAAGAGCTGAAGATGCGATAACGTAGCAACGCGCACGGCCGTGTGGTAGCGCGTGTAGCAGTCCGTTCCCTCGACACATGGAAGCCCAAGGGACGTGGTGCGATCCGCAAAAGCAAGAAAGGCGTTTGGGAGTTTGATACCTCGTTGGTTCTCAAGGCGATACCGGGTGCGCTTGTACACTACTTGCAACTTTCAGTCTGCTGACTGCTCTTAGGTAGATAATACGATTGTAGATACCCAAATCGGCAAATTGCACGCTGCTTCACTACTATGACCCGATCTCACGAATGCGTATGATACCCGTGTTTGCAATGTTTATCGCTTGTTGGTTCCTATGAAAATCGCGTGCGATGTATGTGGTATCATGCGTAGAATGTACAAGAAAATGTCGGGTCTTGCCGACGACGTAGCCCGCCACTTGGGCAATTGCTGAACATGGACATGCTCATCCGACGAGCCAAAATATGTTCGCGCTACACGCCAAAACTCCAGGAGCCGTCAGCAGCACAGCGCCAGCGAGGCCTCGTGCTCCTCCACTACAAGGACGAATGTGTCCCGTGTACGAATGTCCCAGGACAATTGCGCGCTCGATGTAAAGCCGACTTTTGTCAAAGAAAGGAATGCAAGCCGCCACCGCTCATATCTTTATGATGCCTTTCGATTTCAACACCAGTACAGTCGCGACGACCCCTCCGACGAGCAAAAGAAGACATATCCAGAAGGTCCAACAGACCCACGCCCGGTGTCTTCGCTTTCGGCGCTGGCCTTCGAGCCACGAATCTCTGTTAGTAGGGTCAGCGGTGACAGAAGTCCAGAACTTAAACCGACTCTGCGGACGGCCTGAAAGCCCCAGCGTCATCTGCGAACCATTGCCATGCCGCGTGAAAGGAATGCTACCTCGGCGAAGGGGTGTGTATGCTTTTTTGAAAGGCTTGTGATCGGGTGATGGAGGTGATGTAGGGGAAAAAGGTTCCTGTGAGGTGGCAGTCGGTGACTGCGGGGACAAAACAACAGGGGAGAGTGGTCGCGGTTGCGACTGTGAAAGCATGTGCGTTTGCGAGGTGGGCGTTGCTACTGTTGCTTGCGGAGGCATTTCCGCGAGGGATATCACGTACGCATGCTTCAACTCGGGATGTTGGGCCATCTGTTGTTTTTGTGCGTCGTCTTGGTGGCTGTTACTTGTCAGCAGGTAAGGTGGACTGGAGACATAAAACATACACTGCGATGCTGAAGCGTTTCCAGAAGGTTGGGTCTCGGACCGCCATTGTGGTGGTTGCGCCGCTGTGAATGCGAGCGCTGGATTGCCGTGTTGCCTTGTAAGAGGCGTGGAATGGACCGTGGGAGTCCAGGTACAGGTAGAGGTTGAAGTCGGCTCGAATTACAGGAAGGCGCCAAATGCGGAGGCTGCGTGGTGGGACCGGGGTGGTGGTACCAATAGATTATATCATCTGTGTAGCACGAAACCAGTGCGGTGCTCCGCGTGAAGGTGAAGGTGATGGTGTGAACTGAAATGGTCGTGTGTGATGTGTCACTCGATTGGGCTGAGCCTGACGCAACCCAGAGTTGTTGCAGTGCGTCTTGTGATGGCTGAACGCTGTGGAATGTACGCAGAGGAAGATAACGTGTCAAGTGTTTCGAAACGGTGAATTGCGGGTGTCGCGTGGAGCAAACGGGACGCAGCTCTTCAAGGCGCGTTTCGCATAGAATAGCAAAGTGAAGGAGTGTGGGGAAGGAATGGCCAGCCTCGAAAATGAGGAAATCGCTATATTTGACCGATGGCCATGTGGATGACTTGGGAATGCGCTCCTTCTTGTTCGCGACTCACATCCGCATGGGCCACGGCTCCAACAATTCACTTGCGGCACCATCTAATCAGGCGACTCGTTACAGTTGACGAAGAGCCAGAACGCTGGGAGCGCGTTCAGTTCGCCCAGGTGGAGGTCACGTACAATGGCCAGAGCCATCCTGCACATCGCTTGACGCGCCAATGACAGAAGGGCGGCCTTGCAGAAGCCGTTGGGAAGGCCTGGTAACCAGCTCGGCGTGCAGATGAACGTGGGACAATTCGCCGAGATTGCGGGAGGGATCTAGCCGGCAGGCGGTGCCTGAAACAAGGCACGACGATTTCGCTGCCATACAGCCGTGAGTCCTGCTAGGATCCTGGATGTGTGTTTGTTGATCTGTGGCGGCCGGATGCTGACCTGGCCTGGCGAGGGCGGCCAGAAGCGTCATGTGACGAGAACAGAGGTCGGAACATGGGAAGGATGGAGCTGCTCGTTGGGGAAGCGGCGGTCTGCAGCCATCAAGTGGCGGCCAGCGAGCGAGCACGTCGCGAATGCTGCCAACCGTGCGGCTCCGTTGCCTTCTGGTACCTAGCGCATGCTCCCGCTGCTCGACGCTTTCGCCCTACGCCGCTCCGCCAGATGCTAACAATGCAAGTCAGAACGATCCTACCGCGTGCTCAGTTGTGATACCTAGAACCTCATCTTAATCTCTTCCACGTTGTGCTGTCGGGCACTAAACATCCCTGCCTCGCTTTCGCATCGGCAACACGCTGCAGAAACCGGTACTTGAGCCTGCACACCCGCCATGCCGCACGAGGAACCGCTGCCTTTCTGGCTCGTCAACGTTCCGCGCGATCAATGGCCGACGGAATGTCCAGACTTCCTCAAAGAGCTCGGAGAGAAGGACCGCCGCATCATTGGGACGCCTGACTCTGAGTACAAGAAGCTGACATGGGATGAGGTCAAGCATTTCATCAGTACGCGCTGAAATCCGTTCGGAGCGGGTAATCTGACTTGGGCAGGCATCAACCGGGTGGACAAATTTCACCGGGTGCCATCTGAGCTCAGGCGGTATCGGCAGTTCACCCACCGATTAGTGAAAGAGTACGGCAGCATTATGAATTTCATCGTGGGCGAGCGTCTGCAGTGGAAGACCATGAGCCCAAAAGGGCGGCCGTTCGAATGCGATGGTACGACGCTTGCACACCAGTACTGCATAGCTGCTGACAGCGTAAAGACGACATCAAGATTTTGTACAATGACTGGCCTTATGGTATAGATGACAGGATCGTCCACCTCGTCGTTTGGACCAAGTTCGAGCTCGAAGATGACCCAGAGACGGGTCTGTCGACGCCTGCGTCCAACCAGGAGATCGATTCGTATGTTCTCAGAACTTTCGGCAGCAGACTCAAACCTGAGAACTTCGCATGGTTCAAGAACTGGAAGAGCTTGAAGAGTGTACATGCAGTCGAACACTTCCATATAATGCTGTACGATCCTGATCCGGACTTCATGAAGGAAATCACCAACAACGATGTGCCGATGACGGCAAAGTTCCCGTGAGTTCGGTAAATGCGATGTATGAAGCGAGCATTATAGACAAGGCTACGATAAACGAAGTACAGGCATTAGACAGCACAAGATGGGGTTCGGGCGTTGCATGCAGCCAGTGCAAGTTAGTGGGCGCATCTAATTCCAACATTTTCTCTGTTGATCAACATAAACATGGCCTCGCGTGTGGCAACAAGGGAGCATCGTCGATGGACTCCTGAAGATGGCGCCAGCGCAACGTGTGCTCACTGCTCAATGCAATTGCAGCTGAAAAGTACACCAACATGGCATGATGGACGGATTTGCCCACAAGCAGTGAGTGCAGCAGGCAAATGCGGCTCCAGCTCGAAAGGGGAATTACCGAGTGCGCGGGCATGTCAAGTTGTCACTGAGGCGCGGCGCTGTGGCGCAGGAAGGTCGCTGGAACTTGGTACATGACGAATTTGCGCCGAGGCTAGGAGGGAGTTCATTTCCTTCAACTGTTCAGCGTCCAGCTCAGGTGCCGCATCCTGTTGCTGGTATTTCAGTCGCGTGCAGGCAGAACAATAGTAGGCGTGGGCGCGCAGTTGCTTTGTTGTCGCATGCTGCAGGACGAGAGTGACTTGTACGGGCGTGGCACAAAGCGGTGAGAGCGGCGACCCTGCTTCGCGACATCCTAGCCTCGAAAAGTTCAACGCACGCCCCACGGCGGCAGGACCAGGGGCTTCGGCCCGCACAGTGGCAGCTCTCTCGTCCCTCTTCTTAATTCCTCGAGGAACGCGTGCTCAACCTCTTCCCCGCCTTCGAGAAGCCCCAAAGGCGTGCGCCGCAGCTTTCAACAGACCTACGGCGCCCGCAAGTCCGTGCTTGCACCCTCCCCCCGGACTTTTCCAGCTTGGATCTCTGGCCGTGCCCCAGGTGGGTAGCTACCGCGTGAGATAAGAAAGTAGAGGAACCCGACAACTGACATGCACAAGGAGGACGTCAACCCCGCCACCATTCGTACACATCGTGTCCTGAGGTTGTAGAGGGCGCAGCCACCCCCCGAACCGCGTCATCACCGCATGCCCAAAACCTTCTGAGCACCGCACCACCGCCTACCGAACAACATCATGTTTGGCTTCCTTGCAAACCGTTTTCAGAACAACCCTCGTGCGGGAGAGCAGGCCCGCCCGGGATGGTTCGACCGTCATTGCACGCCCATCCTGCTGTCTATCGCAAAGAAGGCATGCACGCACCCCGTACACACAATCGTCACAATCGCCTTCTTGGCCAGTTACTCATATTTGGGCGTGCTGGACAAGGGCTTCCTCGAGCAGAATGACGCGACTCTCGGACAACTGGATTTCAACACCCTGTTGGCAGGCAGCAAGAGACTCAGGGTCGGCCAAGAGACGGCATGGAAGTGGGAGGTTGAAGAACACCAGGGTGCGAAAGTGGAACAGGTACGTCAAGCATACGAATAATAGAGGCGCCGTTGACAGAAGCCAAAGGCGCAGGAGCTTGCTCTAGTAACCCTCGTGTTCCCCGACTCGAGCGCCATCAACTCCGCACCATCGCAGAATGCAGTACCCGCGAACGTCTCGGCGCAGCTGCTCCCGAGCTCCTCTAACTCCTTCTCTACTATTTCTCACGATACCTCGCTGGCCTATGCGATTCCCTACACTGGGGCAGCCGACTTTCTTATGGCGATGCAGGAGATCTCCGCACCAAAGGATGCTTCCGAGTCGCACGGTTCCAAGGCCGAGGGCACGCACGAGGAAAAGAAATGGATCATGAAGGCTGCTAAGAGCGGAAACGCTCCAGGCGGCATTCGTAACTGGGCCCGCGATTCGTGGACTTCGTTTGTGGACCTTCTCAAGGTGCGTCCCCCCATGTCAGACGAAACCAAGGAACCACCTTTGTTAACAAAGCGTAGAATGCGGATACCGGTGATATCATTATCATGGCCATGGGATACCTGGCTATGCACTTGACCTTCGTTTCGCTGTTCCTCGCTATGCGACGTTTGGGATCCAACTTTTGGCTCGCGACTGCGGTGCTACTCCAGTCGGCATTTGCTTTTTTGTTCGCGCTCACCGTGACTACCTACTTCGGCATTCCCATTAATATGGTCCTTCTCTCCGAGGGCCTTCCCTTTTTGGTCGTAATCATCGGATTTGAAAAGCCCATTGTCCTGACCAAGGCCGTCTTGTCCGCATCATTGGACGCACGGAGAGCTGCCGAGGAACACCGTAGTGAACCATTTACTATTCAATCCGCTGTGCAGACTGCGATCAAGAAAACCGGCTTCGACATCGTCCGGGATTACTTTTTCGAAATCCTTGTCCTCGTTGCTGGAGCCCTATCTGGCATACAGGGAGGATTGCGCCAATTCTGCTTCCTTGGCGCGTGGATTCTGTTCTTCGATGCGATCATGCTCCTGACGTTTTACACCGCTATACTGACCATCAAACTTGAGGTCAACCGGATCAAGCGCCATGTCGCTCTTCGTCGGGCCTTGGAAGATGATGGCGTTGACCGCAGAGTGGCAGAGAATGTTGCCCTCAACAACGACTGGCCTAGCGCAAGCGACGTGCAGTCCCGATCTTCGTCCACCACGATCCTCGGCAAGAAAATCACTGTCCCGAAATTTAAAATTTTCATGGTCGCTGGATTCTTCCTGGTCAACATTCTGAACCTGGCAACGCTACGATTTGGCCTGACCCACAAGTCTTCCCATATCTCCGGTGTCGGCGCTACACCTCCACTCGACCCCTTCAAGGTAGCTGGAAGCGGTCTGGATGCTATTTTTGACCAAGCGAAGAAGGCTGCGACTTCCACCATCGTCACCGTGCTCATGCCGATTAAGTATGAGTTGGAGTACCCTTCGATCCACTACGCTGAGCCCAGCCTTAACGACGATGAGATGACCTTTGGTAACAACATCAGCACTCATTTTGTTGATGGCGTCTTGAAAAGTATGGAGGATCCATTTCTTAGCAAGTGGATCATTGTGGCTCTTTTCCTGAGCGTTGTCATGAACGGCTATCTCTTCAACGCTGCTCGATGGACCATTAAGGAACCCCACAAGCCGCTTGAGCCACCAACCGCAGCCGAGATCCAGGACGGTACTCCTCCAACGCCTGCACCTGGTATTCCCAATCTGCATATGCCGACACCACCGATTACTCCCGGCCCCGAACAACAAGCCGCCCGCGAGAGAATCCAACCCTTGACCCCACAGCATGCTCCCGTTCAGCCACAGCTACTTCAGGCTGAAGCCGTCAAAGCGCCGACTGAAGAAGAACAGAAACAGCCAAATCGACCCATGGAGTTCCTGGAACAGGCTCTCAAAGAGAAGCGCGCGCCCAGTCTCACTGACGAGGAGCTTGTCGAGCTTGCTGTCAAGGGTAAACTTCCTGGCTATGCACTGGAGAAGACCCTTGGCGATAAGACGCGTGCTGTGAAGATTCGACGTGGTCTTGTGTCCAGAACTCACGCAACCCGCGAGACATCTACCCTGCTCGAACGATCGCTTCTTCCGTACAGGGACTACAACTACGATCTGGTACATGGTGCTTGCTGCGAGAACGTCATTGGCTACCTTCCCCTGCCACTTGGTGTCGCTGGACCCATCATGATTGATGGCCAAAACTATTTCCTGCCCATGGCTACGACCGAGGGTGTTTTGGTAGCGTCTACTTCTCGTGGCTCTAAAGCCATCAATGCTGGCGGAGGTGTTACTACCGTTGTTACCGCCGACGGTATGACTCGTGGACCTTGCATCGGTTTCGACAACCTTACCCGTGCTGGTGCAGCCAAGATTTGGCTCGATTCGGAAGAGGGGCAGAGGACAATGAAGAATGCCTTCAACTCAACCTCTCGGTTCGCCAGGTTGCAGACCATGAAGACTGCTATCGCGGGTACGAACTTATATGTCCGCTTCAAGACAACTACTGGCGACGCCATGGGCATGAACATGATCTCCAAGGGCGTAGAACACGCTCTCACAGTTATGGCGACCGACTGCGGCTTCGACGATATGCGCGTTGTCACTGTGTCTGGTAACTACTGCACTGACAAGAAAGCGGCTGCCATCAATTGGATTGATGGCCGTGGCAAGGGTGTCGTTGCTGAAGCAGTCATTCCTGGTCACATCGTCAAATCTGTGCTGAAGTGCGAGGTTGAAGATCTTGTGCAGATGAACATCTCGAAAAACTACATTGGTTCGGCCATGGCTGGTGCGTTGGGTGGTTTCAATGCCCACGCTGCCAACATTGTTGCCGCCATCTATCTTGCTACCGGACAGGATCCCGCGCAGGTCGTTGAGTCCTCCAACTGCATCACGATCATGAACAAGTAAGTCAGCTCACGTCCAACTAATAGGATAATTACTAACCACATATAGCGTCAATGGCAACCTACAAATTTCCGTCTCCATGCCTTCAATAGAAGTGGGCACCATTGGAGGAGGAACGATCCTCGAGCCGCAATCCGCTATGCTCGACCTTCTGGGTGTCCGCGGAGCTCATCCAACCTCTCCCGGCGACAACGCACGACAACTAGCTCGCGTCATTGCTGCTGGTGTGCTAGCCGGTGAACTTTCCCTCAACGCCGCTTTGTGCGCTGGTCACCTGGTCAAAGCACATATGGCACACAACCGAAGCAACGTTCCTAGCCGTGCCCCTACGCCTGCACCATCTACGCCTGCGAATGGCACACAGACGCCTGTTACGAGTGCATTGACGGCGAGCTCAAGCGGGCCACTACCCAAGCGGTAGTCATCAGTCCAAGTAAGACCTATATATACCCCTAATTCGTCGGTTTCTTTGGGAGCCCGTTTGATGCCATGGTGAGGCATTCTCGAGCGCGGTGTTAGTAGGCGCAATCGCAAAATGGTCGTTTTCAACGCGTCTTTGAAAGGATAGAACAGGCAGAGGTGGTATAAGCATTGTGGAAGGTTGGTCGAATGTCTAGAATATGTAGACGAGTGGGTTAGGACCCTACGGAAAGCGTACATATTGCACAGCTAAGCATCCTGTGGCGTTTGTAGAAGCGATTACATGTTTAGAGGAAACCAGGTTGCACACGAGCTATGCTTGAGGCTCCAATGCACAACTTTATGCAAAGACCCCCGAGACGAGGCGCCAGGGACCCATCACACGGCATCCCCAGTGGTCGCTCGTACCATGCCGTTCACGGCAATGCGCGATGCGAATCGGGAGTGGTACCTGGCGACGGCGCCACTTTTGTACCCCGCTCCCCGCCATCTCCGAATCTCATTTTCGCAAACGGCCCGGAAGATCTGGCGTCTCTATAGGCCAATTGGGCTACTGAGCGACTGTCAAGTGCCGACGAATCTTTTCCAGCAGGGTTCCGGGTAGAACGCGTCGTGAGGGGTTATGACGACTTGTACCTGGCCCCGGCCGAATACTCAGATACAAAGAGCATGGAAGGTGCCGTCCTGGGCAACATCCACGCAGGTGCTAATCTGTCATTGAGAACATTGCCAGTCATATGGAAAGTCGTCATTACGACTGCAACCACAATGTCGAGTATTGTCCCAGTGGACCTGTTGGCGGCTGCTACCAACCCATTGTACTTTTCCAACCTCGTGACGACGAATGCATCGGATCCTTCGACGATTGCGCTGCTGTCCTACAATGATACCTTCCGGAACGATGTGCTTGGAGAGAATGCCACGGCGAGGCGGTTGTACAATTTGGATCACGAAGCATTCCACGAGGTGAACATCTCCGACTCAATCAACAAATCTCTCGCTGATTCGATTAGATGGGCACCTACAACCGCAAAACGAATAGCATCTACGTAACCAGTAATTATCAGAGTTTGGATAACCCTATCAATGTTACTATCATCGACCTCGGCAACAATTACTCCATCTCTTCCACGCGATACGCCGACCTGAACGAAGCTAATGGCGGCACAAACTGGTATCCCCCGAATTCCACTCAAGGAAACGGCACCACCCCACCCTTCCTCCTCTTTTGCGATGAAGGTGACTTCGAGCACTACTCGGGCCTCGTGTCCGTTGACCCGTCTACAAACAACTCCCAGGTCATCCTCAACTCCTTCCTCGGACGTAACTTTTCTTCTGTGAATGATGTGAGGCAGCACCCCGAGACGGGCGATATCTGGTTCACCGACGCGCCGTACGGCTTTTGGCAGGAATTCCGGCCCAACACGTCGATTCCCTCGCAAGTATACCGCTTCGTCCCCAGCACGGGGGATATCAGCGTCGTCGCCGATGGCTTCATCGCGTCCAATGGGCTAGAATTCTCTCCGGATTTGAAGACGCTGTATGTGACGGATACGGGCGCGCAGCAGAGTATTAACGGACTTAATGGCACGCGGCCGGCTACTATCTATGCATTTGATGTCGTGGATCAGCGCCGATTAGATAATCGCCGCACGTTCGCGTGGGTGGAGAATGGGTTCCCTGACGGTATCCACACCGATATGCAGGGCAATGTGTGGGCTGGTTGCGGAGATGGATTGCACGTGTGGAGTCCGGATGGCGTGCTGCTGGGGAAGGTGTGGAACGGCGTGGAATCGAACAACTTTGCTTTCATACCTGGTGGTGTGCTCGTTTTCAGCAATGCGCAGTTGTGGATTGTGGAGGGAATCAATGCGGTTGGGAGGGAGATTTGTAGGGATTTTGGAGTGTGTGGATCGTCTTAGGAAAGATAAAAACTTGAAGGAAAAGGAAAGAGGTTCGAAGGCGCGATATAGGGGCAAATGCTTCTTACTGAGTATATGATGCTAGCTTGAGTATGAAAGATCGTCACACAGCCGACGAAGTCCTCGTAGAAACCTGTACTGGCTGATGCCGTCCCTGTATCATCTTTTTCTGGTGCATGAGATTATGGCAAGACCACTTTTCGCGGGTTCTCAGATTGTCAAATAGTGATTCTCTAGTCATTGCTTACATGGGAACAGTCTTTAATCGCCTGGTGGTGCGCCCAAAATCTAGCAATAGGATGATATGTGCAAGAGGATCAACGATTAGGTTGTTTGTCAACTATTCTTATTAGGTATTTCTGCATTTTTGCAACCGGAAGGGACAACACCCCAAAACTAGAAACCTACACTCCGGACTTTTCCCTCTAGTGAAATCTATGTCGGCAATTTACCAGACAGTAATGAAACACCAAGTCAATAAACGTATCTTTACATTGCTGGAGGTGTTACTGGTCCATCTAAGATTCAGGTGAGTGTTCATGTTTACATTATCAATTGAGAATAGTCTTCATGGCTGACCGTGCGTAAAGACTACCATAGGTGAGTGATTGGTACGTAAGCGCATGTCATTAACGCCTTCCTCGACCAGACAGCATCCCTCGGCCCAGCAAGTGCTGACCACCAAAAGCGCTGCGTATCCGTACTCACCAAGTGACCGTCGCAGCCCCGCATAAGTCCTGGTCGCAGTGTGGTTAATGGTTACAGGCGACCCACACAACAGTATGCCAGACCAACGGTTTAACAAGAAAAGGACTCTTGCGTTTATTACACCAGAACCCTCATGGTGTCGACGAACATGGCTGTCCGTGATTGATCAAGGTGGCGTTACGCACGAAGAGATGTGGAGACAGGGTAGAGGTGGCGAGCTTGAGCTATGGGAGCAGAACGATTGGATCTTTGGCTCGTGAGATAATCCACAGGAACCACCATCTGAATTCATGTTCAGCCGCAATCTGTCGCTTTGAGATCGACGTTCAGCACGTTTATATGAGCCGCTCCAACCTCTGTTGCCTAAGCTAAGTTGTTTAATCCGAGGGAACACACATTACGGACGTGTTCATGCGTTTACATCTGTTCCTTGGGATGCATAAAGGACGCGTCCAATATAGCACCTGTCAAACCAGTTGACGTGTATCAAGGTCCCTCCTTATCTCGGCTAATTTCATTTCAAACACGCCCACCCCCTAGACTCTCGACCAACCACATCATACGGTTTCAAGAAATGCAACTGACATTCTTCTACCTGGCCAATCGGGTTTTTTTTGATGTTTCAGAATGCGCAGGGTTGCGGTAGCGAGTCTAATCTCAACGCCAAAAGAGTTCGAGACCCAGTACCTAATCCACTTCCCGGTCATCGATTTGCTCGAGGGAAATGAGACGCCATCCGGGAACTATACTTTTCCAGATCGAGAGTGGAGACGCACTGCTTATGCAGAGCGAAGTATAGCACAGGGCGAGGAGTTCAGGCTGGGGCGCAGGTTTGATGGCCCATGAGGGCTGGACTTGTAGGTCTCGATAAGTATCCCTCTGCTTCTCATGTTTCTGAGGCTTCACGTTCAGTCGCTCCTTTCGACTTGTCGTTACCATTAATATCAGTCGTTCCTTTATGAACTCATAGAGTTCTCCCACTTCATTCGTCCACTACAGTCCTGTGCGACACTACATTCATTAACATTATCGCGGCACGATATCCATTCATTGTTACTACAGCCAACACTACATTCATTTTACAGCGCTTCAATTATTCCTACGGAGGAGATATCCACACAAGATGCGTCCCTCAACATGCCTCACCTTACTCACAACCACTTCCTCTCTCGTCCACGCCCAGTCCATCGAATCCCTCGTCACGACCGCCGCCCAAATCGCCCAAGCCATGAAAAGCACCCTCCCCAACCAGTCCCTCGTTCTCGTCGCACAACCCTACTACTGGTGGCAATCCGGCATCGTCAACAACGCCTTCTTCACCTACGGCTTCGTCACCGGCGACAAACAATTCGAGGACCTCTCCAAAAACACACTGTATAACCAAGCCACCGCCGCTAACGACTTCATGATGCCGGACGCTACGGGGAATGATGATCAGGCTTGGTGGGCGCTGTCTGCGCTCACGGCGGCCGAAAATGGAGTTGCAGTGCCTGCAGGCAGTCCAACGTTCTTGAGTATGGCGCAGAACGTGTTCAACGAGCAGAAGGGGAGGTGGGACGAGAGTACGTGTGGCGGTGGCATGAAGTTTAAGATCAACGCCGCAGACGCGGGGTACGACTACAAGTCCAGCATCGCAAACGGGCTGTTTTTCCAGCTTGCTGCTCGGCTTGCGAAGATCACTGGGGACGCAGACACCTTGTCCTGGGCGGAGAAAAGCTATGATTGGATGACTTCGACGGGCTTGATTGACGGCGACTTTAATGTGTACGATGGGACGGACGATGCGACTGAGTGCGTGGATCTAAACCATAACCAGTGGAGTTATAATGCGGGGGCTTTCCTTTACGGCGCTGCGGTTATGGCGAGCCACACGGCGGATGCGAAGTGGGTTGAGAGGACGAGGGGGTTCCTTGATGCTGCGCAGAGGAATTTTGTGAAGGATGGTGCGCTGTACGAGCCCATCTGCGAGGGCAACGGAAGCTGCAACAACGATCAGGTCAGCTTCAAGGGGATACTTGCAAGATGGCTCGGCGCTACGGCTGTGGTTTTGCCGGAGTTGAAGGATACGATTGCATCTCTGTTGAACGGTGTATCAGCAAATGTGCAGAGTACTTGGACTCCGTCGTTGGGTCCGATGCGGCATTTTGTTGCGTTGGAGAGCGTGGATGCGGCTGTTAGGGCGAATGGCGGTGTGGCGGCTGTGTATGGAATGATTGGGGGAAGCAAGAATGTGGTGAAGAGGGCGGCGGTGAGGAGAAGTATTGCTGGAAGAATTTCGTGGTAACCTTAATGCTCTTAATGATAATGATAGGTTTTGGCTTCAGCTATGAAAGTACGATGACTGGTCTGGTGCCTCGTTGAGACAACGTTTGGTGCCGATTGCATATTATGTCATTAGACGTTTGCTGTCTGTATCAAAGCCATTTCATCGCGACTCATGAGAACCGCTCGATGGCCCCATAACTTGAACATGCCCGTCACCATGTGTTTTTCATCTCTACTTGGTTCCCACCGAACGAGTCCGGGGTATCTCCAGCGACACAGGCGAATCAGGTTCGGCGACTGCTCCCATCGATTTTCCTAGTGATACTACCATGCCAAAGCTTTACCTATCATTTAGCGCAAATGTCGAAGCCAACACGTAAATGGAGTGCATGGCAAGGCAACTTTCTCTCCACATTGAACAGTTACAGTAGAAAGATGAAATTGTGTTGATGCTCGCTAGCTCCTATAGCGTTCAGCACGGTGCAGAGCACGGTGGATGTCGCAGTAAGCACAGTCAGAGTACTTGTACACCCTCTGATACGTGCTTGACCCAAGCTCATGGCGGCCCCCACACATTGCATCAGAGTAACACTTGTTTGATTATGTCTTAGCAAGTGTGTCGGTCAAGAATGGCCTTATGACTGTCTCTTAAGTCGCAGTAAGACTGGCTTTGTTGGTATATGTTGCGGCAGCAGAGCAGACTAGTGTATCTCGCTCGCGTTAGTCGCTGCGTTCCATGGACAGCAGCAATCTGGAAAGAACGTTTCAATGCTGGCTGAATGTGAGTCATATCGAGACTCAGGGAAAGCAATGTGAAAGTGCAGTCTGCTCCTCATTGTGACTATGTGGATTGCGCGTAGATACAACATCAACAATTCTTCATTGAGGTTTAGCAGCAAACAAACCAGCTAATCTACTATTTCGAAAGTTTACTTGATTGTCGGGTGCCTCCACTGGGTCTGGTGTGGCCAAGGCCTCCACAGGAGGTGTTGTTGCATCCACCTCGGCGTAGTGTGCATACTTTTGAGGGTGCTGGCCATACCCCTCCACATCTGATCCCGGTGTGTAGTAGCCTGGATTATTCTGTGCTCTCGCGGCATACGCATCTTTGCGCCATGCCATTGCTTTGGATATCCATACGCCAAGCATAACGAGAACGACGGCACCTACCACTGCACCGATGGCTATTCCTGCCTTACTTCCCCTCGATAGCCCCGAGCTTTCGGCTGTTGCTGCTGCTGGTGTGGCGGTGCCACTGGCTGGAGCGACTGCGATGACTGATGTAGGAGTCTGTTCATTGGAGGTGGCGGGGGCAGTCTCGGAGGTTGGTATACTTTCGGCGGTGGTGGAAGTAGTTGAAGAGGCGGATGATGTCGAAGTCACAACAGCTATCGTGAATGTAGGGGATAGCGAGACGAGATCCGTGTGATCGGAGGATGTGCAGCAATCGTCGGAGTCTCCGCAGCACCACGTCAGTGAGCTGTTCTTGCCGGAGCAAGGAATCACCCGCTTGGAGCCGCCCCTCTAAATGTTGTGAGCTTCATGATTAGTAGAGAACGCGGATGTTAATTACATCTTTTGACGTGCTAGTGCACACATTGTCCAAACACTGCCCGGTACTCCAGTCACGATTGGTGCAGAAGTTTCTACCCCATTGCAGATACACCGAGCCGTCTTTGAGGAGCGATTCGTTTTCACAAAGCCCGTTCGGAAGGCACGTGTCGCGTACTTCGGATGCGTTTGTCGAGGTACCGGGGGCCTTCGGTCGATTCAGGTTGCAGCACACATGGCTTAAAGGATCGGATGTATCGCTCGAGCAGGGCGCGATATCGCTTGTTGTTATCTCAGTTCCATCTGGCGCATAGCATGTTGCAGTAACAAGCGTTGCGCAATTGACGAAAAAGACGACTGCCTGCAACAGGCGTGTAGCCCGAAACATTGAAGGTGATTATGCAGAAAATGACCGAGAAAGTAGTTGTAGAGACGGAAGACCAGGTCCTCTCGTACGAAGGAAGTTCGACATTTTAACATTCACGGCCGCCACTCCGCCCGTTGCACTCGGGTCTTCCCACGGTCAACGTTGCAGGGGCGGAAAGTGTGCATTGACATGTGCTCGGGCATCGAAATTTCGCCCTGCGGGTAAATCACTAGACCGTCCGGTATGCGCTACTCAACCGCATCCCAATGCGGTAAGGTACCAGATCTAGGTGCCTCCTTTTGATCCCTTCGACTTTGACTCGAACGTGCAACAGGCGCTTTGTGGCAATGAGGGGGCCGAATCGGAGGTTGCAAATGCCGTAGTGAGAGTCTTGCCGGCAGTGGGCGAATCTGACTGTTGGTTTCAAGATGTCTCACGCTTCGAAAGTAACGTAGAGAGGTCCGCAGGCGATGGATCAACGGTGGACGGGAGGTGCCGGCTCGCTTATTGACAAATCAGCCACTCGGCAGAGGAAATCTTAGGTACATACATAGTAGTATGAATGACTTGGCAGCCAGCCGCCAATGTAGGAGTGGATACCGGACAGGTTGCCGTTGTCGACGTGCCCTGGACTGTGTTAACCCGTGTTGATCTAGAGTATGCAGTAAAACGATCAAACCCGCTTACAGAGTTTGAGGCACTGGTAGGTTTGAATAGGTACGCGTTTAGTCTTGCAATGCGCAGCCTGCGATAAGTTAATGATACCTCGGTACGCCCAGTTCTCGAGACAAGATACAGTCGTTTCGATCGCACCTTGATACGCCTTACTTCTCTTGGCTCGTATGACTTGATCGCGACTGTAAAAGACACCATTGGGTAGGGGTCGTCTGCAGCTAAAATAGTCCGGCGCAGCCTGGCAGGCCACATTGTGGGTCCAGCCGGACGGACTCAATCACAAACCACCGTAGGCGCGGACCAATAGTTTACATTCGCCTTGTTATCAGGCACGATGCTTGGCATGGCTTCCCATACCTGGAGTTATCCTCACTTAGTTTGTTCCCACGTGAACGCCTGTTCACCTCTAGCTGTCCTCCATCGATTTATGCTGAAGCAGTAGTGAGCGATGTGCTTACGGGAAAGACCGGGAAAGTATGGCATGGCAGTGATACGTAGAAGGTGAAAGTCGGGCAAATCTTGCCGATGAGTGTGCAGGTATGTAGTAACGCTTCTTATTGTTATCTGTCGGTTCAATAACGATAATACTGTAGGGTCACATCTTGCGCGAAGGCGCAGGGTCTTCAGAGGTTGGGATGATCCAGATGTGTATGGCAATGCGCAACTGATCAATTTAGTGGAAACGATAGTAGTTTGACACGTCTAATGGTTGTGAGCATACGTTTCCATGTAATGGTAGCGTGTTCGGGTTCATCTCCCTTAGTCCAGCCATATTTGTTTTCTCCCATGTTTGGTTATAGCCTCCCAAATTTCCTCCGGTAGGTCACGGAATTCGACAGCGCCAACTCTCCTGAAGAGCGAATCCTCGTGCCCACCCTTCCCTCTCACATAGCATAGCGTGGATTGTAAAGTGGCTACAAGCTTGCGCACATCTGTCGTCCGGTCTACTAAAGACTTCCCCTGGCCGTACGCTGGGTCGGGCCACGATTGATTTGGCGAGCGTACAACAACCTCTCGAAGAAGCGCTTTGAAAGACTCGTTTTGATCTGCTTTGTATGTTTTCGCACAGGTGAGGAGAAGCCCGATGCCTGAGTATGTAGTTGGAGCGGGGCCCATCGTTTCTTCCAGATTCATAGTCATGGACCGAGTGAAGCCGCTGGAGCCTCTATGCTGTGGCTGTGGACGGGATCGAATACTACGCGCGGATGAAGCGGCGAGTATCACGAAGCTGTAGGGTGTCGGCTCGTTGTTGTACATGTTGGAAAGGGGTTCATCGAGAAAGACCTCGAAGCTACTCGCCAATTCCAGCTGATTTCCTGCCCATGCTTCGAGGCTCAGAGAGATTGATGCTGATTCCCTAGAGATATTTGCTCCTGTAACGTAACCCAGTAGTGGTAGAGGATTCCTCTTCAATACCGGTTCCTCGTCGCTACTCTCGAAGTGGCTCTCAAAAGCTATAGCGTTCCCTTCATGGTCTGTTACGACGTATTGTCTAGGTTTGGGAAGACGACCGTGCGCAATGATGGGTCCCTTAACTGACGTCCAGGACCAGCTTGGGTGCCGGTACTGTAGCTCCGATATTCTACCAGAGTCTTGGGTGGGAAGGTCGCGTACATGCCAAGCCAATTGTTCTTCCAGCTTGTTCTCCCACAAGCCTCCGCCATACTTCTCGCGCAAGGAGTCACGCACCAGCTTCGCTATACTCCATATTGCGACCGACTTGTCACCCTGGTTGGTGAGGTTGCAAGAGGTGTAGCTGAGTAATGCGGAGCGCCAGAAGGCTTCTACGGAATCATCGTTCGAACCGACAAGGGGCTGTTGATATACAGGGGAAGCGTCGGATAACGTGAGTTGCATGCGACCGCGCCAATGTCGGTCTGTTGAGGCCTTTGCATCTAAAGCGTGAGGTAGACCAATAGGAAGGGCTTCACAAGCACTGAGTGTACTACAATCCCAGAAGATCTGGGAGGCCGCGAAATGGAGGATTCGTGGCGCAAGCATACGCTCTGCTCTCATTAGCAAATCATCGACTTGTTAGAGTGTACGAGACAGCGCTCAAGGACGCTAAGCCACTTGTTGTCTCTGAACAGATAAGAAAGCTACGAGTCGTCAAGATCCGACTTAGCGATATAGTGACGCACCTTGGAAGACCCATCCTCTGGAATAGATCTTGGTGGCAAGAAGTTCTTCCTCCCATAGGCCGTCTCTCAAGACTCTCCAGATGCCGCGTTCCAGTTTTCCAGCCCCATCAGCTTCGACAACTACAGGGACGATACTTGCTGGATTACGTTCTCGGAATAGGCCGCCTTTAGAATCTGATGAATCTGCGACAGCAACGTTGCAATAGGAGTGGCGATAGACTTTGTGCATGAGCTGTCCTTCAGTTTGGAAATCTCCACCCGGACCTTGCTGCACAGGGTTAGTGATTTTGATGATAGGGAAGACGCTCCGAAGCGTACCATGATGCATAGTGAATCGATCCATATATAGCGTATTCCAATGAACCGTGCCACGGAAATGGCTTGCTGGAAATTTGGGGTAAGCTCAGTGACGTTCACGCCCGCGCCCATCAGCGTGCTCTTGTTCTCTTTCTTGAGCTGGAGGAACGTTGGTGGACCCCAAGAATGGCTGAGCGTGAGATAAGGACCACTGATGTCTTCCTTCGATGTGCGCACGACGCGCACCATGTCATTGTCTCCAATCTCCACATCGACAAGGCGGGTTGGGACAAATGTAGACTTGACATGCTTGTTACAATTTGGATGCGTCTCAGCGCAAATCTTCAACCACTCTCTGATTTGCAAGCCACCACCAGGTTTGTTCGGGTCTGTGGACGATGCGAGCGCCTCTTCGGCGGCAATGTGGACATCGACCTCGGAAAGGATATGGTACTTTTTCGCTGGCAACATCAGACCCGATGCTTCTTCATTATCTGAGTAAGGCGTGAAAACGATTTGGAAAGAAGACTCAACGTTGTGCGATCGACCGGTGCTTCGAACCATCCACTGATAATAACAGTTTTGGGGAGCACCAGAAGGCATAGCGGAATCTCCAGAGTTTCGAAGCAAGTTCTGCTGATACAAATCGGTACAAATCATGCATTTGCTTTTCAAAGAATTCCGAATTGCTTCATTCGACCTGTGGTGATCACCGGAGGACCTGTTGCTCTCTAAGATCTGCTCTTGGCAAAAGGCACACAGTGTTATGGAGAAACCGATCTCGTCTGATGTAACAATCGGTTCTTGGGTCACACTATTTTGAGTTGGCAATGTCTCGGTGCGCTCGAAAAGTCCCTTCGTTTCAATCGCACAAGGTTGTGCAGGCTGGCTTCTTAGTGTTGTATCGATCGTTGGTTCACGAGAGTAGTATGCACTATCATGGCTGGAGCTTCTCATTTCCATGTAGTCTTTGTTGCTTTCGAAAGCATCTGATACCGTGGGTGGGGAGTTAGTCGAAGGTGCCATGTTCCATGATTTCATCTCCACGGGACGCACAGCCTCCTCTTCCAGGCATAACTTCGAACTTGCCAAATAAAGAGACTCATTGTAATCCTCTTTGACGTAAGCCTTGAACATCCGACTGAAGCACGTGACATATAAGTCGTCATCGTAGGGCTCCAGAACAAGCAGTCCGTTGGCCGCAGCTATGATATCCTCGAGGCTCCTAGTAGGATGGCGGGCAAGTTGAGGAGATAGGGTTCGTTCCCGTCGCATTGACCATGCAAGGTCAGCGGCTTTCAGGCCAAATCCCCGTAGATCTTCATGTCGGGCGACCGCGGCGATGGCCATTAAGCTTAGGTCGCGATCAACGTGGTTACGCTGCAGGAGCCGATCGATCTCGGCGTCGAAGAAAGCAACGACACTGCGAGGGAGTCTGTCGCTTAGCATTTGATTGTCAGCCAGGTTTTCAATGCCCAGTAAGTCGTCGATTCGAAGTTTAGCGAGATTTACGTTGCCACCGACTCTATCTGAGATGTCTCGCGCGAGCTGCTTAACAGATCTCGCATCAAGCTCAGGATGAAACTCTAACCCGCGCGCAACGAAGCCAATCATTGAAGATTGAGATCCGTCAGAATTAGGTCTGTTGATGTCCAGATCGATGCGATCATAGGGCTCCGCTAGTGCAAGTTTGTGCTCCTGATCAGTACAGGCAACGCTTGCTCCTTGACATTCGTCACAGTACTGTGGACCAGAGCGACCGCATATTTGACACTCCCAATACAGTGCCAGTCTAGTCCGGCCGCAGCTGTCGCAACCAACATTGAAATGCTTAGGTCGACGGTAGGGTGGGCTGCGTCGGGTGATGAGGAACGAAAGGTTAGACAAACCGGAGTGTTTGAGCTCGTGGTTTATCAACATAGTGGTAGCTATGTCTAGTGTATCATAACCATCGAAAATGAGAAAGCTGTGCTTGTTTCTCGTCAGCTGCTCATGTAGTGCCGCATGAAGTAAATTGATCCTCTCCGACGATGCCTGACCGGCTCGTCGTGCTCTCTCGTAACCATGTGCTGGTTGAGTGCAGATTTGGTGGTATAAGCAAAGAAGAAAATCCTCAACGAAAGCCGCATGATGATCCAACACATGTTCCTTGATGCGAATGTACGCCACGAAGATATCCTCATCTTCGTAACGCTGTCTCAGATCTCTGACAACGCAGGCTGCGAAAATTGACTATGAGATATTAGACGAGCCACCATGTCTTCTGGTATGCCTTTACCTTGCCACATCCTGGTCTACCGTAGCAGTGAAGCTGCCATGGCCTGAAGCCCGCGGACCATTTGATGTATCTTTCGTCTTGTATGAAGTCGCTCACTAACGGCTCGTAGAAGTCGACTGGAAGCTTGTGGTCAGTGCTCAGGGACCGGTGAAGCACGTGGGTACCTGAAGGCGAAGCGAAAGGATCGGCCATAGCTTTCATCCGGCGGTGGTCGAGAGTGGGTGCCTAGAGATCTAGCATGGCATGATCGAGCCTGATATATTTGTTACTGTAGTGCTCGACGTCTGCAGAAAGGAGACTTCGTAATGGAGTTCTCGACTTCGTGTTTCGGATAGACTGCGCAAGGCAAACACGTTGCTTTTCGCAGCAGTCAGAAAAGATCAAACCTCCACTGCGCGGTAATTAGATTATTCAGCCACAAGTGCCGCTTGGATGAGTGGATCTACAGACAAATAGGCCGACCAGGCCCGAAAAGGCGAATGCGACGACCATGTGCGCCCAAGTGGCCCCCGAACCCTTGCAGAATAAAGCACGATCACCTTAGCGACCCAGATCGCGGAGGGCTTATCTTGGTGGCTATTGGACGTTGTTTTTGGATCTCACAGTTCGGGCTTTGATTGGTGCAGCGCATAGCCCCCAACGGCCAGGACGGTGAGTTTTGGCCGGTTGCCTTCTTTGTGGTCAGTGTGACCGAGGTGACACACTGAAGCCAAGAGGGAGGCTGAAATGCCATCTATTTGGCCCCTTGAAGTATAACATCGGGGGCCCCCATCGATGCTAGAGGGTGTGGAAAATTTTCCCTAGCACTCGTTTGTCGCTGTCGCGTCGTCATGTCTGTCGTTCATCAATGTGTGTTGGTGTTTGGGGTGTTGAGCGGTCTGGTGTCGGCCGCGCCCGCTTCGGAGACGGATCGGCTAATCCTGCCGCCCACACCAACTGAGGCGCCCGAAGTTGCCAGTACAGCCTGTGGTGATCTAATCGTCTCCAAAGAACAAGGTGCGTCGTTCGAAACATCGTGCTCACTTATATCTGATGCGCAGCAGGACAGACCCTTTTCTGGGCTTCGGATGTATTTGATTGCCTGTCGAATGTGCCCTTCATCCCAGACGTGGCATCCCGCTTCATCAGCTATTACAACCAGACACTGCAGTTTCAGAGCACGTTGGCCTTCCTCAAGGACCCTCCACAGGGGTATCAACAGCCTCCGGTCGACGTCGTTGCTGAGTTGGGCCTTCTACAAGACAACATCTCAGAGGGGAAATACACGACACAGTACGCATTCGAAGCTGACCTGCAGCTTCTCATCAACCGCTTCCACGATTCTCATGTCTATCTGAGCGCGGGTCTGCTGGCGCCTTTCACCTTCATCTCGCCGTTCTCTCTGGTCTCGGCTTCCCGTGATGGGAAGGTGACACCCAGTGTGTACTTCCGAGACGAAGTCGTCAACAGTCAGCTCCAAGGTGGGGAACCATCGCCAATAACCAAGATCAACGATATAGATGTGGTAGAGTACTTGACTTCGTTTGCTGAGATCAACTCGGAGGGCTACCTTGAGCCACATGCCGATTGGAACGCCCTTTTCGAGTCTCCTGCGCTTGATATCCAGAGCTACCAGAGCGTCTTGCACTCAGCTCTATTCTACCCTGGCGATGCCATAAACTACACTCAAGCCAATGGTACCACCACGTACTCCTATTGGCTAGCTTCGTATAGTGAAGCCGGACACACTGGTCCCTTAACCACAGCTGGCGACTTCTACAACTACTTTGTGCTGGGAATTTTACCCGAGAGCTGGGATGCGTCAAACCCACAGTGGTGGCCAGACTGGAAAGGAGAGACCGATGACTCTGATGATAGTGGCACCGACGCGGCCCCCTCGCTTGTTGAGCGCCTTTGCACATCCGGCAACCCGAAAAACGTCAACTGGTGTGGAGAGTCTCAGGGCGGTTTCCCCAACGATCCGGACTATGTACAAAAGGATCTTGGCCGCTTGACAGGGGGGGTAGTCTCCGGTTACTTCCTGGATGACACGACCGGCGTGCTCAGCATACCCAGTTTCCTGCAGACAGGAAATGACACGCTCAACTTCTTCCGGGTAATTGACGACTTCCTTGGTGATGCACAAGACAAGGGCATCTCGAGGGTGATTATCGATCTCCAACAGAACTATGGCGGTTTAAATCTGCTTGCTGTGTCTGTATTCAAGCGCTTCTTCTACGAGCAGGAACCCTGGACAGGCAGTCGCATCCGCACAAGTGAGATGGCCAACACGCTGGGAGAGAGCTACTCATCTTGGTGGGATAGTCTTGAGACTGGACATGATGGCGCCCTTGACCCTAATTACCAGTACTTTTCTTCCAGCGAGTGGGTCATCGACAACAGAATCAATCCGGCGACGGGAGCGAACTATAGTAGTTGGGACGAATATAGGGGTCCTGTCTCCTACCAAGGCGACACCTTCTCGAACCTGCAGCTCTACAATCTTTCTGACCAGGTCTTTGATATTGCTGGGTTTCAAGGTTGGATCCCCTTCGGCTATAGCGATACTCCGCCCGATCCTCCGCCTCCATCGTGGTCACCAGACAGTATCGTCCTCCTCACCGACGGCCTCTGCACCTCAGCTTGTGCAACCTTTGTCGAGCTTATGGCGCACCAAGCAGGCGTGAAGACCCTCGTTGTGGGTGGTCGACCCGCCACCGGCCCTATGCAAGCTGCCTCCGGCAGCCGTGGCGCCCGTCTCTACTCCTCAGAAGCCCTTGACTACGATTTCAGCAACGTCAACGACACAGTTGAAGATTTTGATGCCTTTGCAAGACTCCCACAGCGCGGTAACAACGACTTGTTTATCAATTTTGCCGGCTTCAACATACGCGACCAGATTCGCAAGGGAGATGAGGACAATATCCCCGTGCAATTCAAGTATGATGCAGCCGATTGTAGACTCTACTACTCTCTTCAAAACATCTATAACCTTACCCAGCTTTGGACCGATGTTGCAACTGCAGCATGGGACGACCCATCCCTCTGTGTCGAAGACTCCACTGGGTACTCAGTCCGCAACAACTCCACACAACTCAAATCGCCACCCAAGCGCACCGCCCAGGCACCAGATCTCAACTTAGACCACATCACCTTCTCCGACCTTGCCTCCAACAGCACGAGCTCTCCATCGCTATACGATTTCATCACAAGAGACTCCATCTCAACCACAAACCTCAAGCAATGCTTCCACCAGAAGGGCGACTGCGCAGGAACCACCCTTCAGTGCAGAGATTTTGGCGTGGACTGCGACGGCCAAGGAACAACATGGCGCACAATGAGTGCCTGTCTTCCGGACACGACCAACTACGGAAGTGCCTGCGGCGACGGAATGTGGTTCAAAGAGACCAGGGACGCCGAGTCGAAGAAGAACGTGCCCAAGAAGACGATCAATGGTGTTCAGGTCAAGTACGAGCCGGTCACCGTTGTGGAGGGCTACTGTGTTCCCGAGTCGGTTGACATTTACAAGTTCAACTTGGGATGTCCGAATGCGCGGCGGTGATAGCTGCTCTTCATTGTTATAGACTCGTGCTCATAGATATAATCATAATCATCAATAGACTTACTGTTGCCTTCGAAGCCTTGTATTATCCTATGGATAGTCTGGGGGATCATGGGTCATGTGACGTGAAACCAGCTCTGGATGGAGTGGGCGAGCGGAGTGGACGATGGTGGGGCTTGGCAGCTGACGTATGATGATACTTTTGGCACGATGCATCTATAAAGAAGCCCTCACTCGTCCCTTCCTGCGCTCTTTCGCGACGAGTTGTCTGAGCGGTGTGAAGATGAGGGTTTCGGTGTCGGAAGTTGTGAATTGGAGGAAGAGGAATGGGAAGCTCGTCCAGTTTCGGCTGAGACGGGCACATCCTAGTGCGAAGAGTGCGAAGTCTCCATCGCCCGTCGCCGGGGAAGAAGGTGGCAAGGCTGAGGGCAGAGAGTCCGCGGAGGGTGGTGAGTGGGTTTTCGGCGTCGCGCTGTTCCATTTTGGAGTAACGCGAGCAAGCTGATGTGTTTGAAAAATCAGGTCGAGTTTCATGCACTAAGTGTAGAAAGCGGTGGAATGGGGAGCATGGGTGGGACTGGCAGGGAGGCAGGCATTTGTGCGCAAGGTGCCGTGCGGATGGCGCGTGTTTTAGACACTCCGTAGAGAAGAGATAGAGTCTTTTTTAGTATTCAGAATATCTTACTCTCTATAATAGCTCCAAATGCGGATACTGTTACCGCCTATGCTGAGGTCAGCAGTCTTTAAAGTCAACTAACAAAGACTGTAAGCTAGGCTACCAGAACTCTAGGGCCGCGCCCCTTGTTTAGGAAGGTTGCTATTCGAGCCGATGCGCGACTAGATGCGGTTGGAAAGGGCTGTCGGCACGGCGCAAGGCAAGGAACTTGCAGGTGAGAATGACTAGCTTCTGGATGTTGAGTCCTGTCGATGCGATGACACACTTACCAAAGCAGTTGTATATCTGCACGCAGTCGTCATTTCATTGGATCTGTCAGACTGCCTTGTGTACGCTTGCAAGTGGCTGTGCGAACAGCCACACCGCGTGCACCAGCTGCAGGGTTCAACTGGGTCACCACCACCAGGCAGGCGAAACACCATAAAGATAGAACGGAAGCCACGCAAGAGCTGAAGGTTTCCAACGCATTTTGCTGTAGTCGTCGCCAATACTCGAAAAGATTTGAACTAGATTCTGACCGACAGCACTACCTCTAGCAGCTCGTACGAAGCCGGTATCATCTTCGTCTACACTTACCCCCAATACATGACCCTAGAGATACTCATAAGGTTTTGAAGATCTTCAAGGTACGATCGCAACAATGGCACAAAAAACCTACTTCGCCCTCCCCAACCTCGACCATCCCCCGTACCACTTCATCACCCTCGGCCAAATCATAACGCTTCCCTCTCAACCCTGGGCGCGTCTCGCTCCACCGCTCCCTATCTCGCAAACCTTAATCGCTACAACCGTAAAGACAGACTGGGGCACAGAACTACGCCGCAATCGCGAGCACCGTATCGGCATCTGGGCGCAGTTCGCGGCCATGATTTTGGGCGTGGGCGCCGACGCCGTGGTGGCGTTTTCGAAAAAGGAGTCCGAGGCATTTCAATTTGATGAGCTGGAAACGAGCTTCTTTGAGCCGGATGATGAGTATGTGGAGCGAAGTGTGGTGGGAAAAGAGGAGGTTGCGGAGTGGGTGAAGAGGAACCCGAGGCAGAGTGTGTTTATGGTTACTGGTATCAAGATCGCGAAGGGAGCAATGCATTTGCGTGCGCAGTCTAAGGACGTGGATGTAGAACTAAAGCCTGGTGTCGATGCGACACCGTTTAGTGGGGTGCCAGTGTCAGGCGGTGTGCTTGCGGGCGTGGGGAAGGGAAAAGGGGAGAAGATATGGTTCGGAGGGAGTGACGAATTTGTTTTTGCGTATCGATTAAGGAGGATCGTTGTTAAGAGGCAGACTGTGAGCAAGACCAGCGAGTATGTAAAGGGTGCGACAGTAGCACATGATGAGCGCGAGGCATCATCCAGCTCAGCGGCGCACGAGATGCCGACGGCTTCGAGTGCGGATACTGTGGGAGATGTGCAGATCGAGTCGGTCGAAAAGTCGCAGATGGATTATGGGTCTGGAGGGTATCCTGTTGATGGTTTCGATGCAACGATGGTAAGAGACGAGCAGGACGACGAGGAATGCTTGTTGCAAGTGCACGACAATTTCTTGGATGAGTAGTACTCAGCAGTGTGGTCACTGTGCTAGATGTTGCAGAAAAGGTCGCAAAGGGTTGCGTGAGTTTTTCTTATTCCGATAGTCGTGTTGTTGTTCCTTTAGTCTAATACATCCCTTAGCCTTTCCGTTGCCGTTGCAATGGACTCGTTTGGGTCCCGAAAGTCGTTGTTCTCTACGAACACCCCACTCATCCACGGGACAATATCGTAAAACCCATCTCGATTTTCAAGAGGCGCCATGCTTTCTAGTACTCGCTTGATTCCACGACGGGTTTCGAGATTTTTGTGGTTATCCGGTGCCCACTGACGTCCGAAATGGAGGATGATGGCTGCGACCGACGCTGCTATTGGTGTGGCGACTGACGTTCCACTTCGGACTGCCCACGAAGCTATCAACCTGCCACCTGTGCCTGTGTTGTTGTGCTGAAGACAAGTTGAACTTACGCCCTCACCCAAGATGCTGAAGTTCTCGTGGCGTTCTTGGTGCGGTGGGTTGAATTCAGAGGCTTTACCGTCGCCGTTAGAGGAGTTTACGCAGAACACCCTATCCTCACTCGCCGGGAAGAGGATCCTGTCTCTGTTTCCCTCATTGGATGCGGCGGCGAAGACGATCACTCCCGGGTGGGTGTCCATGACATATTTGAGAGCATTTCGGACAATAGCCTTTTCGTCGTCCCTTAAGAAGGCTTTGCGGAAGCCTATGGACAATGATATGATCTTGACCTTCCACACTTCGGCAGAGAATAATATGGCCTAAGCTGGATCAGCGCGGTCGCAACGAACAGAGCTTTTCATCTGCACCGTCAAGACTTACCAGTGCGAGCCTCCTAGCAGCTGCCCGCGTCGCTTCTTCCTCCCTAACAACGTTTTCCTCAATGACTCTGCCAATGAACAGATTAGCCTCTGGGTACAATTGCATGATGATGCCTGCCACATGAGTGCCATGGCCAGTATCATCCTGCGGCAAGTCTCTATGACGCTGTCGCAGCTGTCCGACGAGCTCATCCACCTTGGATTTTGTCCAGGGCTCTATCCCTAGCTGACCGGCAACGGAAGCATCGTTCAGGAAGTTGCGATATCTTCTGGTGGGTGGCGCTCGCTTCCCCCACATCTCCGTTATGTCGGGGTTGGTATTGTCGATACCGGTGTCCAAGACGGCGATGTTAACTCGCACCGCGTCATCGAGGCCATGCGGAAAGTAACGTTTTCTCAGACTGTGCAAGCCGGTGAACCATTGGCCAGCTTTAAACCTGCTTCAAAGTTAGCAGCGGACTTGTCGTTGCGTCAAGAGGAGAGTTCCTACGTTGCCTGGCCTTCTTCGCCTGACGTATTTCGTGGCTCCCGAAGAGGCGTGCGAGTGGAGATGTACGAGCCTGATACAGGCTTCAAGAAGTGCACGGTCTCCTCGAAACCGTGACTGACTTTCCAATGCGATTCCGGAACACGAGGTTCTGGAGCCCTCCCTGGATCGTGACAGACAGCTAGGAACTGTTCGACGTCTGCAACAGATTAGCATCAGAAGAGTGTAGAAAATATTTCATGCTCACCGATTTCACGCTCAAATTCCACCAAGAGAGATCTCCAATCCGAGAAGGCCTTGTGCGGCGTGACCATCCTATTCCCATCAGGAAGAGCTCGATGATTGGACGAGTTCGATGATGACCTTGAATGTATTGAGATACGACGATTCTCCGAAGGTCTACGCTGGAACATGTTCCTTATAATGCCTGCATTGTCGCTTGATCCCCGACGTTCATCTTTGCGCGTGTAGAACGTCATAATCAATCCCTTGTCTCCGCTCCGCTTTATGTCCTGCTTGAACCACTTCAGCTCGAGTTCATAGTGTTGTTTCGGTTCGACTTCGCCCTTGTGCACAAAGAAGGTGATCGAAATTGTCAATTCTCCTGGTTTTTGCCACACTTTCAGCTGTTGACCATGTGAGATTTCGTCATCGTGTGTTTTGATACGGTGAGTCTCAAATGTTTGCAATAACTGCTTTTGGCGGGCAGCACACTGAAACCGAACGCTCTGCTGCTCGTTTTCAAAGTAATAGTAGGGCGTAAATTGATGCACAAGATGCGGAGCGGTACCGAGGACAAAGTCATGAGGTATCGCTGAGCTCGCAGTCCTCATATCTCGATACGTTACCTCATGCCCAAGCCTGGTCTTTGTATAAGGAATCCTCCCCCTAGAGACTGTACCAGATTGTTAGTGTACATATGTGACACAGAGAGAATGCTCACTCAAATGCTCTGCTGTGAGCGTGCCTGTTTCATCGTACCAGCGAACAACGCGCTCGTGCTGTTGCTCATGAACCGCGAAAGCGTAGAGTCGGTAGCTTGAGCTCAGTCTGTCATGAACGATCAAATCGCTAGTCCTCAGCAGTCAGCAATGTGCAACGCACGGGACCCTTGTCTTAGTGGGTACTTGCAGGCCGGGTGGTACCAGGGATGTTACATGTCGATCGTTTGACGGTGGCATGATCTTGGAACTGTCGCGTGTGCATGCCCGGTTGCGCAACAAAGAATAAGTTCAAACTATCCGTAGTCTAGGAGGCCTGCATCTGCCTGGTTTTGGGTATTTCATTAATCGTAGCTGCGCGGCTACGTCGAGATCCAATGGCAACCGAACGCCAATCATGATGCTGGAAACCCCACGTGCTCCATCGACTTTGCCCATAACCCAAAGTTGAGGCATAAGCACGTCTCAGCCGAAGCTCGTATTGTGCAGCCTTCAGCCTCGTCGCAAATGTGTGCACTTCGAATCTGCCATTCCTGCTGTGCGCTCGAAATGACACTGCTTTGCGCGTCTCTGAATCGAACGGCCCCGTGCAGCTGCAACGATGAGTTTCTTTGGGCGACTCCAGAAAGTATGGGGTCGTATGGATAATTCCGAAGCCTATGCGCCGTGGAACACAGGAAGACGTGACTTCGATGAGATTCAGGATCTCGTCCTTGGGACGGTTGAAGGTGGAAAACTCAGCAAACGCATCCTCTTTGTTGCTGCCTCTGGATTCTTTACTGGAGGTAATTGGTCTACTCACCCCGTTGGACTTCTCTAACGAAGGCATCTTTCCAGCGTACACGATCTTTTCCACCAACGTTGTCGTGCCAGCGCTTGCTTATTTGTACTGGCCAGAGTGGACGGACGGCACCCGCAGCCTCGGAATCAATATCGCTACGCTCGTGGGCACATGCACAGGCATGGTGCTCTTCGGATACCTAGCAGACAATTTTGGGCGCAAACGTCTGTACGGGGTTGAGCTGGTCATTGTGATCTGTGCCACCTTGGGCCTAACCCAAGCGTCGGCGGGTTACGATAATAGTTCGATGAGTATTTTCCCCTGGATCATCTTCTGGCGTACACTCTTAGGAATCGGGGTAGGAGCAGAATACCCTTTGTCGGCTTTGATTGCATCAGAATGGTCTTCGACAAACCACCGTGGTCGTATGTTGGCAGCCGTGTTCTTGATGCAGCCCCTTGCGCAAATCACTGCGCAAGGCGTTGGACTTGGGGCATTAAGAGGTATAAGCGCTCGTCATAATCCTCCACTCGAACCTTCAGATACCGATCGTGATAAGGCTGCGCCGATTGTGGATGCAGTATGGCGATTGGTGATTGGAGTTGGAGCGGCACCAGCAATCCTCGCCATCCTAGGACGTTTGACTATTCCAGAAACCCCTCGATATCTCTTGCTCGAACGCGACGGACAGGGTGTTCTTGAAGGAACCGCAGAGGTATATCAAACTTCAATGAGGAATGTAGCTGCTCGCGGTTCATCGACAGCTATGCGGCAAACCGATGGCACAGCTGCTGCCCGAGGAGAGACCCGCCAGCGTATTGGTCCTTCGCATGATGTCAATGGGCCAACTCGCGCCAGCACTAGGCAGAGTATGCAGGGAAACGTTAGGGCGCAGACCACGGGTCAGCATTCCGGAAATTCAGGCGACAACGCTTCGCCCAGGGAAAGGGAAACATTTTTGGCCTGGTGCAAAAGGGTTTGGAAAGCCTTCGCACAATTCGCAAGAGGTCCGCAGGGATCCATACTGATGGTGCGTATGCCGAGGTACGAAGTGCGGGTACTATCAGATTTGTACAACGCGTACCAACTCCCAGTGTCTGAACTCAAGCTGATCCCGTACTTGTGACTGCAGGCAACATCGTCATGCTGGTTCTTGCTTGATGTCGCGTATTACGGTCTTGGGTTGGACCAACCACAGCTTATCAGTAAGATATGGCGCGCAGATGCAGCGGTAGACGAAGGTTCGAACGAAGCGAAACATCCGCTAGACTGGAACAGCAATTCCTTGCCTCACAATGAGACACAGCCAATTTTCATGGTTCTTGAGGGGAATTTCGTACGCGCACTTTGGACAACGGGACCTGCATCGGTGCTTGGTTGTATTGTTATCCTTTGCCTGGTCAATCGTGTCCCCCGAGTGCGCTTCATGGCACTCATGTTCGTAGTCCTAGCCATCGTCTTCGCTATCCTCGGGGGCAGCCTATTCGATGTCTACGAGACCAGCGATCACGATGTCACGGTGGTCTTTTACGCCATCTCGTTGTTTCTTGTAAGTCGAATCAGAGTAAAGACTCGTAATGTGCTTGCTGACCGTTCGTTGCTGTAGATGAATCTAGGACCCAACACGATAACTTTCATGCTTCCCGCTGAGCTATTCGAGACCAAGAATAGAGGGACCTGCTACGGGATCGCAGCCGCCAGCGGGAAGCTTGGTGCCATTCTCGTGCAGATCGCTATAAAGAGAATAAGAGCTGGTGGAACGGATAAGAAGCCACTGGCCGGTCTGCTACTTTTCCTCGTACCTGTCATGCTCATGGGAGCGCTGATAGCAGCGATATGGATACCAGAGGTGCAGTATCCATACGGAAGGGTCCGAGAGTATTCAAAATTCGACAACAGATCACTGGAGAGCATCGCTGAGGATCCGAGGAAGGACCAGAAGGTTGGGTTTCGTGCGAAGATGAGAAAGTGGCTGCACTTGCAAGACTGATGAAGCGGGGTATTGCAAGAACATCTCCAGCACATTGTGCCGCGGACGTATGACTTTCAGTGGTCGAAGTGGTGAAAAAAAAAGCAATTATCAATAATGGAAGATAGTCATACTGAAACTCTATTCGGGTGACGATTGCATGTGCGAGCAACATGTCCCGGGCCCAATGCAGTTCGGATGTGTGAGTGCTGATCGTCAGTCGAGTATGTAGTGGCTCGATTGGAATTTCCTAGCTGGGCGATTGACATGTAACTCAGCTCGGCGCACAGCGTGTGGAGCTGCATAATCCGAGATCACCCCGTTCTTGGTAGCTCGCGATTGGAAACACACGTAACGCATGGTGGCTTCCAATGGGTGACGTGGTCATTCTTCTTTGAGTAGGTATCCGAGCCTGGGGAACAGAGTCAGGCAGCGACCTCATACTCGGCATTGACACCACGGAATCGAAGGAGGAAAGTAGGTAGTGTGCATTTGCGTAGTGCGGTGGCAGCGGGAAGGATTGGCGCACTCTGTGGAGAAGTCCGTGCGCGGATCGGCTCCGGCGCTTCCCGACCTGGTTTAGATACGCGACGAGTCAATATCTCTTCCCACCTTCAGCTGAAGCCCCTAATCGAACATCAAGTGATGGTGCACTGCATCGCTGGCGCACGCCTCCTATTGACTGCACTCGTCAATCGTCACACACCCTACCGCCATGGCTGCCGTCCTTCGCTCCTGCGCGTGCTGTGCGATGGGAAGAAAGCCTTGATTGGACAAGCTCCCACACCTCCTCAACTCGCATTACGCCTGACAGCGCCCCTAGTATCACTGTGCTCTTTGTATGGCGCTCGCTTCATGATGTTTTGTCTGTTCGCCGACGAATCTGCAGACGGTACCACAATGACTTCCGATTCCAATCCCAGTGTTGCCTCACCGTGCTCGTTCCTACCTCGTTTCTGTGCTGCCTTCCACAACCCTCTTAGTTCCGCACCTCATCTTCAGTTCCGTCTCCTTCTCTTCACATTCTTGTTGAAGTCTCTATACATCCGGTTTCTATCCCCTTTCCCTACCCTATACCTCCCTTGAGTCCGACACCGCCTCAAGATGCCAAACCAGTTTAAGTCGCTTTTCGGCACCCTCAGGAAGAAACCAACTCGGCCGGCCGACGCACGCCCCACAGAAGCCGCCAACGGTCACGCCAACGGTAACATTAAGACTAGCATCGGACATGACCTTGCAAACTTGGGCCTTCAGAATGCCAAAACCATGGTCGAAGCCATCCCGCAGCTGGGCAGCGGAGACCCAATTGACGACAAGGAGCTTTTGCTGGAGCACGGCGTCTCCATGCTGCAGGGTATGCCATTGAACAGTAGCCTCAGCGAGAAGATTTCCGATGGCTTCATTACAATGCTCTGGCAGGACCTGCCTCATCCGCCGCCAACTGTCGCGGGACCCACCGCCCGATATCGTCGCCATGATGGAGGTGGAAATAGTCCCTGGGACCCAGAGTTGGGGAAAGCTGGGTCACCATACGCACGCAATGGTAAATCGTCATGTTTGGATTGGAAAGAGTTATGCCATTACTTACTCTGCCTTCAGTACCGCCGCTAAAGCCCAAAGGACCCAACTTGCCAAACGTCGAGGATGTGTATGAGGTAAGATCTAGATTCTCCGTTTCCGACGCCTAGACTGATCAACAGGCTCTACTCAAACGTGAAGGCCCTTTTCAGAAACACCCATCCGGCTTGAACCGTCTATTCTTCTCCTTCGCAACTGTCGTCATACACGAGTGCTTCCAAACTTCGAGGTCGGATCCATGGATCAATGAAACGTCAAGCTACGTGGACCTGGGCACCCTGTACGGAAACACCGAGAAAGAGCAAAAGTACGTGCGTACCTACGACAATGGACTTATATATCCTGATTCCATCGCCTCCGATCGCATCATGATGATGCCACCCGGCGTTGTCGCTGTGCTCCTGTTATTCTCCCGCAATCACAATCACATAGCCGAGAATCTCTTTACGATCAATGAATGCGGAAAGTACAAGCCGTGGGATAGGCTCGATGAAGAAGGGAAGAAATGGTAGGTAGCGCCAAAACAATAGCAGAGATGGGACTCTGATCTAGTGCTGCAGGCAAGACGAGGACATTTTCCAATTGACACGGAACATCAACGTCGGCTTTTTCGCCTCCGTTGTGCTCCGCGATTATGTCGCGTCCATCTTGAACACTCCGCGCGCAAATTCCGAGTGGTCTCTGGATCTGGGTAAAGAAATAAGAGAGCGTGGTAAACGAGTCGAACGTGGCACAGGCAATCTTGTGTCCGTTGAGTTTGCTGTTCTCTATCATTGGCACGCCGCTCTGAGTGCAGCGGACGACCAATGGATGGAAGACATTATCAGAGATGCCTTCCCTGACATCAACTCAATCCAGGAGGTCACTGTCGATATGTACAAGGAGATGATGAAAAAGTACGGGTCAAGGTTCAGACGGCAGGAACCGAGGGAATGGACGTTTGGAGGTCTCCAACGCGGACCTGATGGACGATTTGACGATCGGCAGCTTGCAGACCTCATCAAGCACTGCATCGAGGAACCCGCGCATGCGTTCGGCGCTCGTGGCACCCCTCAAAGCCTCAAAATTGTGGATATCATGGGTCAGCTGCAGGCGCGAGACGTCTTCAATGTGTGCACATTGAATGAATTCCGCCGCTATTTGAACCTGAAACCGTACGAGACCTTCGAGGACTGGAATCCCGACACAACGGTTGCTCGAGCAGCTGAGCTCCTGTATGGTGACATCGAAAATATGGAATTATACCCTGGACTCATGGCAGAATGTACCAAACCTTTCATGCCGGGCAGCGGCGTATGTCCTGGGCAGACGACAGGCCGGGGTATACTTGACGATGCTGTCTCCCTAGTTCGAGGTGACCGTTTCCTGAGTTACGATTTTAACAGCACTACGTTAACTCATTGGGGTGCCGCAAAGCTTCAAGAGCCCGCGGCAGGTTCGTATGGTGGGGTGCTTCCTAAGCTGATACTCAATGGTCTGCCAGGAGCATTCTCGGGCACGTCGTCATATGCGCTCCTACCATTCTATACGCCAGACGCTGCTCGGGAAATTCTCAAAGGAAACGATGTTCTTCACCTGTACGAACTGAGTCGGCCTCCGAGCGATCGTGTGATCTTCAGCCTGCAGACGAATGAAGGCTGCAAGAAGGCCTTCGAGGATCGTGCTACCTTCCGCACAATGTATCAGACAGCCATTCGCAATATCACCGGCGGAAATGAATTCATGATCGGGTGGGATGACCCCAAACGCCACGATTCGCGGTCAAAGAGCTTACACAAGTTGATCTTCGAGGAAGATTTCGAAAAGCATGTGACTGATTTCTTCGTTTCAAACGTGCAGAAGCTGATCCAAGAAAACTCGCTCGTGGCGGTCAAGGGTCGCAAATCCATCGACATTGTTCGAGATGTGACAAATATCGCACCTATTCTCTGGCTTGCGGAACGCTTCGCTCTTCCATTGAAGACCGCAGAGCAGCCACGAGGGGTTTTGTCCATCTACGATACATTCACCATCTATCTCACTCTCTTCATCTACCAAAGCTTCAACATCATTCCCGCAGAAGAGTGGAAACTGCGAGAAGCCGCCGTAAAAGCCGCCGAGCCCTTGCGGAAGATCTTTGAAACCCACCTCAAGACGCAGTCAGGGGCCGTAGAACATTTTGTCGACTGGCTTGCTAACGGTAGCGCCCTCGATGTCGGTGAGTCTTCGTAGGATGAGCTGTAGTGTGTCGGACTCGCAGGAAATCTGACAACAAACAGGTCCGGATGCGGATCGTCTCTATCACGGTCTGAGAGACACTAAACTACCGGTAAGTCATTAGTCACAGTCTGAGTACTGTGAGCTCCTCTATTGCTTGATTTGGCGTAGCACAGCGAACTGAAACTTCTACTAGATTGAAGAACTTGTCACCGACTGTATCGGTATCAGTACCCCTATTGTCGGCAATCTCACACAACAAGCATCGCTTCTCATTGATCTGTATCTCCGCCCCGAGTACGAGGAATACAAGAAACGCATCACCCAGTTGGCATACATGAACGACGCAGCTTCCGAGAAGGAGCTTCAGGGTTTTGTCTTCGAAGGCATGCGACACGCAAACTCCGTACCCGGTCTTCCACGTGTGACTACTCGCGACGTTACGATCGTTGACGGCGCTCGTGGACCCATCTCGATCCCAGCCGGTCGTACAGTCCTGATCGCAACTTCAATGGCTGCCATGGATCCGATTGCATTCCCGGATCCAGAGAAGATCAACCCGCATCGGCCTCTCAAAAACTACACGCTCTTCGGCCATGGTCTGCACTATTGCTTTGGGCAACAACTTGTGGGCGCATCGCTCGCTGCGACGCTAAGAGAAGTGTTTAAGTTGAAGAACGTGCGGCGCGCACCTGGCAAGCAGGGCGTTTTCACTACCGTTGAGCACAAAATCGCTGGACTCAAGATCAAAAAGTATCTGGACGCTAGCTCGAGGGAAGCGGCGGTCCCGACGAGCCTGACGCTACACTACGATGAGTAGGAAGAATCGTACCTTCCCGAGTACCTTGGGCCTTCAAGGGTAGACACGGCGGTCGCACCAATTGCAGAACCCTTGGTTGCTGATGAAGCTACAGAGATGGACCCAACGGCCGATGAAGACAATAGTGGGGCAGCGGAGGTACAAGAGCTGGCGAGGTCTGTTTGCTGGGTGTCATAAAAGCGCAGAGGTAGAAGAGAGTGACGGAGAGTGATGGCAGGGGTGAAGAGAGCGCATATTGTTCCTTTCGTAACGCATCCTGAAAATGAAACAGTATTACCCCAGGTTGGAACAAACTGGCATCATGGCTACTACGTACTATGGATGCTTGCATGACCCATGGGTTGATTCCTTCGACCTTGTTCATGCGGCTCTACCGCTCTGGAGAGCCCAACTAAACGTCGGCGGCCTTTGATTGTAACCTCACGACCGCCCCGCCGACGTCATCACCCATGTGTATATTGAGTCATGTGCCAGCTGGTAAGCCTCTATGTACGAGTTTCAGCTGAGGCTGACAAGAAGGACGACCTAGTGATGTTACTAACGCAAATGTGCCAAGCTTCCCAATGCAGCGAGAGCTAGAGCAAGATGAACATCGCAGGCAATAACGAATCGAGGCTGAGGGTCAACCCCCAGTTTGATTTCCTGGACAGGCCTGTATTTATTGATCGAGTTGTCGTTGCTGCAAGGCGAAAGCGGGGTTGACCAGAGTAGATGCGTGCAGCCAATGAGCTGCGGTGCGCGGTGGCTGGGGCTGTGCCGTCAGGCAGCAGCTTCTCTTTTTGCAGCTCCGCTTGCGTTGTCCGTCCCGCCTCGATGCACGGCCGGTTGTCTGCATAGGGTGCTCGCAAGAACCTTGCATTACGGAGTCTGTCTCGTGCGGGCCCGTGTTTGTGGCTTCCTATACGTTCAGCCACGACATGGCACGTCAGCTAATAAGGAAAACAAACCCAAAGCGAGGAGAGAACGTTACCCTATACCAAGATGGCGTCCTGTACGGACGAGAAAATAGAGGAGGATCAAACGAAGCGCGAAGTTGCTTCTGAGACACTGCCCGACGCCATCCCTTCGCAAGGTCTCGAAGATGAATTACGAAATCTGCAGGAGGAGGTAAGCACACAAACGGGAGTCGTTGAACGTTAGCCACCCAATAACTACGTCATTGAGGAGCTGAAGAGCTCATGAACTGCAGAGATAAAAGTCGCTTTACGAAGAGGATATGAAAGTTCAAGTTTGGATGTAGTGGAAAAGAACAGACTCAGGAGACTGGCTGATGAACGCAAAGAAGAGTTTGTGAAGCTTCTAGGACTCCACCAGCGAAGCGAAGAACTGTCCACGGGTACTTGAAACGCCGTTTTCTACATGTTAGGCATGCAATTAACCCATTACAGCTGTTCGACGGATGCGTCTACTGGAACAACACAACACTGCCCAATTGCAAGCTTCAAGCACGCCGACCCAACTGAACGAGCCAATTTACCCACGCAAAACAGCTGGACTCTCCTTTGGTCCTTCAAAAAGTAACGCAGCTATTTCATCTGACCTTGAAGCCTTGCAGGACGGAATAACGCGTCCGGCAAAGTCGGAAACACGTCGAAGAACCGGGCGGACCAAGTCTCGTCGAGGATGTCACGACTGCAAGCGACGTCGTATCAAGTGTGGTGAAGAAACACCCCAATGTAAGTTTCCAATCATAGAACAACTCTCATCTCATGCTCATGAACAAAGGCAAAAATTGCATCAAGTCTGGGCTGCGTTGCGAATGCCCTTCCAATTTCATCATCACCATACCAGCCAGCGTATCTGCAATGTTTGACTTCAGAAAACTCCGGAAATGGCGCGCAGAATGCCAAGCTACTCATGGCGATTGCTGCAATGATGGCCATTTTCAAGCACTAGCGCAGCAGCTCGGAAGTCTTCTCCTAGTCGATGTCGTCTCAGGAAACTTGGTGACGCTACCGATTGCGACAAAGTTTGTTGCTCTCTCGTACGTATGGGGCAACGTTGCGACGCTAAAGTCTGGAAAAGATAACATTGATGAGCTTGAGCAGCAAGGGGCGCTCTTTAATGAACCCTACAAGTCGGCACTTCCGCACACCATCCGCGATGCCATGCATGTTGTGCAAGCATCTGGTGAGCAGTATCTCTGGGTGGACTGCCTGAGTATTGTCCAAGACTCCGGGAAGGAAGAGATGGACAAGATGTTGAAAGCCATGGCTCGTATCTACGCTAGCGCTGAGTTCACTATCGTTGCTTCCCAGGGCGATGATGCAGACTATGGCATCCGTGGGGTAGGAGGGCCTTCAAAGCAGCGCGAATGCAATGTGTCTGAGCGCGACTTCGAACACGAGGGAGGGAACGGGTTTCCGTGGCTCTCTCGGTGGGCTTCCAGAGGTTGGACGTTCCAAGAGACACTTTTCTCGCGCAGGTTGTTGGTCTTCAACAAAGAGGTTTCATGGATCTGCGGTCGACACATGCGGATGGAACATGAAGCCGACTCGGCATCTGGACTCGGAAGCGCACCTACCGTTTGGCCGAGTGAACGTCCTCACCTTGGCGTGCCCATGGGAATGATGTCGCTCATACCCCACAATCCCTCACTTGGGCGTTGGGGAATGATCGTCGAGAACTTCGCATCCCGCAACCTGACTTACGAGGAAGACATATCTCGCGCCCTGGCTGGTGCCACCGAAGTAATGTCATCAACTTTCCCGGGTGGCCTCCACAAGGGGCTTCCGTTGTTTTTCTTCGATATTGCTTTACTATGGCAGCCAAGAGGGTCATTGGAGCGACGAAATGGCGAGCCAAGCTGGTCTTGGACGGGTTGGAAGGGACAACTTGAGTGTCTGTCATCGTGGTATCCCTTCTTCCCTGGCGTGTATCGCAGGTCCGGTCTATCCACGGAATGGACAATAATCGCACCTTTAAGACCGTTAGCAGTATGGGGCCTGTCTTCGCAAGGCATTGGCAACAAGCATTTGAATGGTTTCTATGAATACCAGAAGATGCGATATGACCCAGACCGAAGCATACCATGCGGATGGGAGAGGCGTACTCATCCAGAAGGTGACTACTTCGTTAATGACCGATACGCCGAAACGGGGTTCCAGTACGCCATGCCACTGCCTTCTATCGACTCGACGTGGGAAGTCGTAGACCCGGGCTTGGATTCCATCTTGCTGTGTACTGCACCCACTGCAACCGCATCTCTTGGAGCTATGCTGTTTCCTGGAAGCTCAGTCTTCGCAATCATGCACGACGAACTATACATCGGATCGGTGACGCTTCACAGTGTAAGCCATGAAACAAAGCTTTCAGGTCAACACTGTGACTTAGTTGCGATATCTGCGAGCGAACTGGCGAATAAGCAAGATACTCGCAATCAAGAATATTTCGGCCACTTCTCTGCTCTTGCTTTAAATTTGGAGCAGGACGATGGCTCTGGCGCATCGATTGACATTAAGGATTGCGAATTCTATAACGTTCTATGTATTACAACCAATAACGGTATCGCATACAGAAGAGGGCTCGGGACCGTGTCGAAACGCTACTGGGATCGGATGGGCGCGAAGGTAGAGACTATCAAGCTTGGTTAAGAGTCAATGTTCGGGTATACATATCATCTAAATCTCATCATCAATCAATATATCAACGTGTTCCGTCGTGTGCGAGAACCTTAAACCCCCGCCCGTCAACCCGCTCTCACTGCCTTGCGCACACTTACACGCCCACAACATACACCGCCCTCTTGCAACTCACTCACATCACTCGTTTCACACACATAACGATCAGCATGAAATGCAAGCACACCACTCATCTTCGATAACTTTTGGATCAAATTTTAGATCTCTCCACTCTATCCTACCTATTGATCAATCACCCCCTCTGTAATCAATGCCTCGTCCAAGCCAACCCAATACCTGATCCAGTTGAAAATATGCGTATGCCACACCAAACTGTTATCCCTACCGGTGACCCAGTGCCCCTCATCTGGGAAGTGCAAGAACCTGGACGGGACACCTTGGGATTGGAGGATGTTGAACAGGGCCACGCCGTCGGATTGTACGACGCGATAGTCGAGGTCATCTGCACACAACGTCAGCACTTGCAAAGCGATGAAACGAAAGGGAGAGGGAAAGGTAAAAGGGTCGGAGCAGAGAAAATGGCATGACCTACTATGCACAATAAATTGCGGCGTGCTAAAGTTCTTCGCATGCGTCAACGGATCCCACTTCGCGTAGTTCTCGCGGTCATCCCACAGCGTGCCATTCTGATCGTGCTGGATGAACCACAGCTCATCGGTGGCATATGCGCCGAACTGGTTGCTCTTGCCATCATGGCTCACTAGCGCTTTGAACTTTCGTCCCAGCTCATGCCCCTGGATCCAATTGATGCTGAAAGCACCGAAGGAAGCGCCCGCAGCGATAGCGCGGTCAGTGTCGATGTAGTCAATGTTTTCCTCGATGTGCGCGAAAAGAGCTTCGAAGTCGCGGTAGGGTGTTCCAGCCCAGTTGTTTGTGATGGCGTCGGTGAAGTTCTGGCCGTAGGAGGGTGTGCCAGTGAATTGCGGGACGACGACGACGAAACCTTGTTCCGCCCAGAGGCGCAGGTTCCAGCGCGTGGACCAGGTATCGCCTTGGCTGGACTGGGGGCCGCCGTGGATCATGAAGACCAGAGGCCACTTTGAGTCGGTGGTGAAGTTGCTGGGGTAGTACACGAAGGTCTGTATCTGTTCGCCGTCACCACCCGTGTACCAGAAGTTGGTGGTTGAATCGGGGAGGAGCCCCGTGAGCTCGGGATCGACTTCGTGGGCGCTGAAGAGCACGTTGGGCTCGCTGTCTGGGCCTTGAGTGTACCAGATCTTGGAGGACCAAGTCGAGGATGCGGAGATGAGTGCTTCACCCGAAGGAAGGAGCGCAAAGTCTGCGAGGTTAGGCGAAGGACCAGTGATGTTCTTGGGCGTGAAGGAAGCGTCTGAATCTGCAGGTACAATGTACAAACGGTTTGCAGCATAGAGCTCAGAGACTACCCAGAGGTCTTTGCCATCATGACTCCAGGATAAGCCTGAGGGACTGGAATCCCAGTCCTCGGCCACGGCTGTAACTTCCGCGTTCAGTCCATCGATGGTAGCAACATAAAGCTTGAAGCGGTCAGACTCGTACGCGATGCCATCTTGCTGGGAATATGCGAGCTTCTTGCCATCTGGAGACCAGCGGGGACCCTGGGATGCACCTTGAGCTGTTGCGGGCGCAGAGCTTCCGGGGCCGTTGATGGCGACTGGGACTTCGGATCCGTCATGTGGAACGACGTAGATGTAGCTTGCAGTGTAGTTGGCCTTGGGAAGTTCAGGTGCCTTAGTCAGGAACGCAACTGTGCTGCCGTCCGGCGAGATATCGTAATCACTTGCATCGCCGAAGGGCTGAACTGGGGTTTCCGGGCGAGTGATTGAAGCGTTGATGCCCACGAGGAGGTTCTTCAAGTCGCCCTCAAGCGAAAGTGCACCGTATCCGGAAGAAAGCACGCCGGAGAAGACAGCATATCGCTCTGCAGTGATGTAGGTATCCCAGTGGCGGATAAAGTTAGCATTGTAGACCTGGCCAGTGCTCTTCGGCGCAGTAACAAGCTCCTCGTTGTATGCCGAGCCGTTGCTGTATGCCAGGGCGTTGACTGCAAAGTTGATATCGCCAGACTCGGTCTGAACGGCCTTGAGGCCCTGGAAAGGCGCATTTAGGGACGCGACAAGTTTCCTGCGGAGCGTGAGCCTGCAAACGAGAATTTATAGGTCCAACTCACGGTGCAAACTCATCCTCTCCAAGATCGGCCGTGTAAAGCGTCACGCCACCAGCAATCTCATCATTCGTCCCATTGATGTACAAAACACTGGTATTTGTAGCACCAACCCAGACGACCTCCGAGACATCAGCGTCAATAGGTGCGTCGGTGATGTTTCCGCTGGCAACGTCCAGGAAATGCCATGTAGTCGACGACTTTCCGGCGGTCCAGTTGTAGCTTGTCGAGGAGAAGAGAGCTAATTCCTATTTGACGGTTCAGTCTTCTGCAAACAAAAGATATAAAGGGTGGTCTTTCTTACTCCGCTAGGGTTGACAATCGCATTGCCTCTTCGCGGCGCAGCGAGCATGCCCCTACACAATTAACCATTGTTCACTCAACAACAAGAACCAAGGCACATACTTCACATCGAACGCATGCGCCTGCCGGACAAGTAGACCCACGCCCAAAGCAGCCTTCCACAAAGCCATTGTAACTTGATTGACGGTCGATACAACTCTTGCAAACCTCAGGGCAGCTGCAGCTCAGAAGGAAGCTCAAGCTACCCATGACGTGGTTTTGTGTGTTCCTGGCTATCGGGTAATCCAGATGCAGGAGGTTCAGGATTCGTGATGCCAATACCATGCCAAGGCGTGCTTGATGGTATCACCTGCCCGATTCGGGTGCGCTGCCCAGACATAATTCTGGGCTTTGTTGACAAGTGCTCTACCGGCACGTTAGATTGCGGATAGAGCTCGTGATATGCTTCCTACGAACAGCGGTTACTTAGTCGTGTAGGAAGGTAAGGAACGCGCGATCGGTTAGGCGAGTTTTCACCTTCCGGGATAAGTTTGACTTGAACGATTGGCGTGCTGGCGATAGATATGGGAGGCTTGGCGGAAACAGTGTGGTGGACGTTATGCATCCTTGCTATTCAGGGTAGCTTAAATTGCTCGATCGTATTGCTCATCTCATTTTTTCCCCCGCTGGATTGGGTATCTAGCACGACGTCAATCGTCATATAGTGAAACCACAAATCTACCTATGTGCTCATGCCTCAAGTCCCACCCCAACTTGCGCCTCCAGCGCCAATGCCTGTACTTCCGATATTTGAACTCAGCCTTCTGAATCCGATGCCCATACCCACAGGTATCGAGCTCCTTCTTCTCACACTCCTGCGTGATGCAACTCTGTCCATTCCTATACTGCTTGCCGTACCTCGTCGTCCACGATGCCTGTCTCCAGGTGTCTCATCTCCAGAATACCCTTCGTCGTCCGTAGTGATTGCTTCACTGTCCCTTGTGCTGGCGTGCGAAAGTAAAGTCGTCGGCTCGCCATACTCCGATTCAGAAAGCGCGTCCACGTCGTGGACCTGATCAATGTAATCGGAGGGCGCAGTGGCCGAAACCACACTGTCAGCGTCCGAATCCGGGTCATCACCAAAGCCCTTTCCTTCTATCAGCCAGAGTGTAGGTATGAAAGACAGGAGCGAGATGAACGATAGAGTCCAAAAGGGTATAATGATATAGCCCTTCTTCAAGCTCCACGTAAAGAGTGTTCCCGTAAACAACGGGCCCATCGCGCGGCCAAAAGCCGACAAGCTTGTTGCAAAGCCATTCAGGGTGCCCAGAACGCGGAGACTCGTGGCACTGTTTGTTAGCATAATGGTCGTCGTCGGGAACGCAAAAGTGCCCCCCGAAACCTCGAACGATGAGTATGATGACCATAACGACTTCCTTTGTTGTTTGATCGGGAATCAGGGTTACGAATGGCGTAACGAAGTACATGACTGGGAAAATCAAGAACGAGATTCGGAGGCAATTGAGTACGCCCCAGCGGCGCGCTAGCACAGGAAACAGGAGAAATTGGGTAAGCATGGAGGTTATGGCAAATATGGTGAACATCACTCCAATTCGCCTGGAGTCGATGCCGAAGCCGCCGGAAAATTTGAAAGGAAGCGAGACCTTAGGATCGTCTATGGACATTGTTGGGTGGTGCAATAAAACGGGGATGATCTGTTGTTTGGTCAGTGAACAAACGGGGTCTGGACTAGGTCAGTGCGTGTTACCTGATCATAAGCAAGAGTGTAGAAAGCTAGCAAAGTATATACGACCAGGTTCAGGATGGTCTGATACGTTAGTACGTCGCGGATTCTTGGAGGCCCTTCGTCCACTGCTGCGTTGGTCCCCTTGGGAGTAGCTTCTTCGTCATTGGCCACCTTCGCTTGTCCCAGCAGTGGTTCCCGTTCAGTGTGGATCTTCTTTTGCTTCTTAGATATGTGTAATCCTTTGCGAACGAAAGCGGTGATCTTGCTACCAACGATCAAGCCAAGATCACGGTCGTGCTTCCGCTTTTCGAGAGATTCCTTTCCAAGTTAGACGTATAAGCAAACGTACTAGAGTCATCGGTACCTTCAAGAATAGCCACCCCGTGATGATACCGAGGGTGAACAAAGCCGCTGCGACTAGATTCGGGGGGCTGTACGGGAATCTCTCGAAGATTGAGCCGCCGTGAGGCTGACGTGGGTCGACTCTTAGAGGGTTCGATAAAGCCCCGCCCAACGTTGGGCCGAAGATGGCGCCTATGGTGTAGACCAGAGGCATGATACTGAACGCCCTGGGTTGTAGCTCCTTCCATGGACACAGCTCTGCCACTGTCGTCCTCAATATGCCCACGTTCCCGTTTCCCAGTCCTTGTAGCGCGCGAGCGGTGATGGCCATTGGAAGCGACGTCGAGAAGCCGAACAGAAGCATGCAGACCATGGTATTGAACAACCCGATGAGAATGATGGGCTTTCTACCGAATCGGTCGGAGGCGGCGCCCCATGGTATGCCCGTGACCGCTTGCGCGATGGAGAAGACGGCCGAGGTGAAGCCAGCCCATCGCGCGATGTCATTCTCTGGTACACCGAAGCTCTCCATCATCTCGGGGATGTAGGGGAAGACGGAAGTCAGGGCAATGGGCTCGGCGAAGCGACATATTGCTGTCAAGGTTAATTTCTCTACAAAGACAATTGGTGAGGTTGCTCACACAGAATGACCAGTTGCTTGACTGGTAGGCGGCGTTCTGTCATGTCGGCGCGCGGTGTAGCAGCAGAAGACGCATGCTAGGAGGCGGTGAGGAGAAGGGGAGGAGAAGAGAAAGAGGGCATGTAACGGAGTGAGAGCCTGAGTCAAACAGTGCTGCTGCTCCTGCACGCGCTGCACACCGGAATTACCAGCGCCCCGCTCTTTTCTGTCATCACGCGCCGTCTGGTCGCTCCGCTAGATCGAGGTGAACGGTGTGCGCCTCTCCGCCGCCGACCATTGTGGGGGTGCCGTACACCATCGTAGTGCCGTCTTTGCCGGTTTGAAGCTTGTACGCGCTTGCTGCGGAACGATGAGAGGTGAGGTGGTGAGAGGATGATGGTGTTTCCTTTGCGAGGATGGGAAAACCCCAGCTTCCAGCGGCAGGCAAGGCCCACATCCGTCAAAACTCATGCAGGAACGTCAATCTCCCGTAAGCGCAGTTGCAGTACCCGCCATAGCGCTGGTTTAACGTCATCTATTATTCCCAGGGTCCTGTCTTGCTATGTACAGTACTGACAATGTCTTTTGGCACATTTGTGTGGGACCGCCATGAGGCTGTCTCGCTTCCCCGCATGTTCCCTGACAGGCGCCACACGCGCCGGGCTGGCCTTGGCTACTCCGACCACGGACGCTTATTCCGCGTCATTTCACTCCGAGTGTACATTGCTTAAGTATACTTCGTTCCACAAGCCTTTCAAGACGAGCCCGAAAGTCGAGTCGTTTGCTTGCGACTACATCCTCACCTTAAGACGCTGTTTGATCGTGCACCTTGGGTAATTGGCACACGCCTCGCGACTTGAGTGTGGTCATTGATCGCGCTCCGCTCACTTGCGTGGATGGTTTTACGAATATGGGTTTTCTATGAATGCTTTCTATGAATGTTTTCCTTTGACAACCCGAGTTCGGCTCGCTTTGGAATTATGGAAGCGCGGTGCACTTGAGATCCAATCATACGACAGAGCGTTCAAAGGCCCAGAGCGTATCTGAGATCGCTGCAGCTCGCTAATGTGCCGGACGATATCCAGATTGTCGATTGGATTTCGCTTGTGGGTGTGGACGAGCGAAGGCGAACGGCGCAACATATCCAAGCAAGATAACCAAGAGGCTTATCGACCCGGGCAAAGCTTATCGCGATATGGCGAGGGCATATTGCATGTGCGTCTGGATTTGGCACTGAGGTGCCGTTGATCCTAGTCTGCCGGCAAAATAGCTTCCTTTTCAGGCATCGCGAATGTACGACTGGTGTCACTAAGTCGAGACACCAACATTACAAGACCTGAACAACAACTCGAGGCTGAACCTGTGCTAGTTCGTAGCAGTGCGTGCGAATGTCTTGTGTTGACAATCTCGAAGATCGGTTCGTTTGCATTGCATCTTTGCAGATGCATACGCAGATTTTGAATACCGCTGCAAGCCGTTGGCACCCTGGTCGTTACCGCGAGCGTCGTCGGAGCACGACTTTATAACCTCCAATGAGCATGATCCCCGCGAACTGGGTACTTTGTATGCACGGTTGAGCAACACCCTGCACCCTCCTCCCGACGCGACATCGAAGTGCTCTGATTGCACTTGCCCCACTATCTCTCGCGCACCGGTTCTAGCAGCTGATATAAAGCGTGTCCCCATGCCTGAGATAGGTTGCTATCTGTTCCACGACCTTTCCTGCCGCTACTTGCGGTATGCCCATTGATTGGCAAGCTCAAGCTATCGCACGTGTGACATAAAGAGCTTCAAGCTTGCTAACGCAGGGTGAGTTGCATCTTCGCCGTCCGGAACACTCTGGCCCGCATGACCCCACCTCTGTGGCACAGCATCACTACTTTGGGCTTTTTGCACCTTCAGATACTCTAGCTTGCCCCAGGGGAAGTGACACAAGGTTAGAAAGTGCCTAAGGACTCGACTATCGCCGGATATAACCTACACACGAGGTCAGGTTAGCGCGATGGCTGATCACGGCAATGAGAAAGCTCCGGTGATAGAAGAAGCAGGGGCACAGCTCAAGGCGAAGGAGGCTTTGCCAAAGCTACCGGAGTATGCCGCCGACGAAGTTATACAGAAAGTTGAACATGACCTCATCATTACCGGTGACGATCTTGCGAATGTTCAAGAAGCCGCAAAAGAGCTGAGTCTGGAGGAAACCCGGAATATTCTGCGCGATGTTATCCAGAATCATGAGAACGATCAAAATTTCCCGATCCAGGTTCTACAGTCTATGAAGGAATTTGTTGCGAACGACGACGTCTTCGATCACCCGGAGAATTATAGGACACTCATTGCTGAGATGGCAAGTCTCCCGGGTGCAAAGCGGATACGTTCTTACAGCCAAGCGAAGGAAAGACCATTTTATCTGTTCACTTCACAAGAGAAGAATCTTTCCATCGCTTAGCTAAGACACGAGGCTATGTACTATCCCTACTGCCCAAGACATACACTAATTTGGTACCTTCGGGTTTGGCAGAGGGTGGAGGCTGCCCTCATCCAAGATGATAGCCCATATCCAGAAGTTCGAGCGGTAAGTAGACGCCGTACCTTTCAAGATTCTCAACTTGAGCCTGGCATATACCCTTCAATGGCCAGAATCGTCGGACTCGCGGACGATTACTGACCAACAGTGAAGGTCGTTGATAACACGGACGACCCTACGCTGCCTTGCTCTACCATACGCGCTTGGACGATTGGCATCATCTACGTATCAGCAGGTGTCCTCATCAATCAACTTTTCTATATTCGCCAACCCTCCATAACCCTTGAAGCGAACGTCGCTCAACTACTCGCCTATCCAGCAGGCAAGGCATGGGAGGCCTGTGTGCCATCCTGGGAATTCAAGCTCTTTGGAAAGACGCACAACCTGAATCCTGGGAAGTTTAATAAAAAGGAGCACATGTTGATTACGATCATGGCCAATGTCGGCTTCACCACGCCATACACGACCGATATCATCCTATCCCAATTCCTACCGCAATATTTCAACCAGAAATACGCCTCACACTTCTCTTACCAGATATTAATCACTCTGGGCACCAATTTTATCGGGTACGGAATCGCGGGTTTGACGCGTCACTTTCTAGTGTACCCTGTGCACTGCGTATGGCCTGCGAGTCTAGTCACGATCGCGTTGAACCAATCGTTCCATACAGAAACGGATCTCGCCGTCCCAGGCCCTTTCAAGAGAATCTACAATACCACAAGGCTCCGATTGTTTACGGTAGCTTTCTTCGGCATGTTCGTTTATTTCTGGTTCCCAGGTTATATCTTCCAGGCTCTAAGCCTTTTCAGTTGGCTATCTTGGATCGCGCCAGACAACCTCAACTTGGCTACTATCACCGGAATGAACAACGGACTAGGTGAGTTCAAGGCAACTATCATGAGCAAAGACAGATACACTTGGTAATGATCCTACCGACAGAGTGTACGCTGCAGTGACCTACAACACCCTATCCGATAATCAACATATCAACTGCTAACCCCCTGACCTAGGTGTCAACCCTCTTTCTACATTTGATTGGAATGTGCTCATCTTTGACGCGGGTCGATCGCCTCTTGTACTGCCCTTTTTCTTCTGGTGGAACGCATTCATTGGGATTGTAACTGGGGCTTTCCTCATCCTGGGCCTCTGGTACACGAACACGTACAACACTGGCTACTTGCCTATTAACACACCGCGCGTGTTCGATCACTTCACGGACTACTACAACGTCAGTCGCGCGATCGATAACCGAGGCATCTTTGATGCGGCGAAGTACGAGGCATACTCACCTCCTTTCTTGAGTGCTGGGTATCTGAGTGTGTACCTGTACTTCTTCGCCATCTACACATGTGTGCTTACCTGGACAATTCTCTACCACCGTCACGAGATCTGGAGTGGTTTGAAGAACCTCTTTCGAAGCGGACAAGGCAACGTCTTACACCCGGACGTGCACAATCGCCTCATGACCAAATACCCAGAGTGTCCAGAATGGTACGTATTATCCTCCCACGATTTCGCGTTATCCTGGCTGATTCGGGTTAGGTGGTACCTGCTTGTCCTTCTAGCCTCCATCGGCGTCTCCCTCAGTGCTATCTTAGGCTGGCCGACCTACACCTCCGCCGGCGTCGTCTTCTACGGCATTGCCCTCTGCCTCGTATTCGTCGTCCCCGTCGGCATCGTCAACGCCATCACCGGCTTCGAGATTACGCTCAACGTTCTCGCCGAGTTCATTGGTGGCGCCTGGAATCAAGGCAATGCCCTCGGCATGAACTACTTCAAAGCCTTTGGCTACGTCACATGCTCGCATACCCTGCGCTTCAGCAAAGATCTCAAGCTCGCACATTACTCCAAGATACCGCCGCGACACACGTTCGCGGGCCAGATGATTGCGACCTTCGTGGCAAGCTTTGTGGCCGTGAGCATTTTGAATTTTCAGATGACACAGATTCCGGGTGTTTGTACGGCTACGCAGAAGGATCATTATACATGCCCTGCTATCAATCAGTTTTTCACAGCGGCAGTGCTATGGGGGACCGTGGGACCGAAGAAAGTGTTTGGGAGCGGAGGTATGTATACGGCACTGTTGGTGGGGTTCCCAATTGGTGTTGTTGTACCGCTCGCTGTGTACTTTGCACGGAAATATTTCCCCACCCAGAGGTGGCTGCGTGATGTCCACCCACCTGCTGTCTTCTACGGCGGCATCTACTACGCCCCTGTAAGTTATGTTTCCTAGCACCCCACGCATGCTGTCAAAGTCTCATCTCTGACATTCCTAGTACAACATGTCCTATCTCTGGCCCGGCGTCGTCGTATCTTACTTCTCGCACATCTGGCTGAAAACACGACACACGGCCTTTTGGGCCAAGTACAACTACGTCCTCTCGGCCGCCTTCTCTTCCGGCGTTGCTATCGCAGCAATCGTCATATTCTTTGCTTTGCAGATGCAGCACGTGAGTATCGATTGGTGGGGTAATAATGTTATTGCGCAGGGTTGCGAGGATACGCCGTGCGTGAGGCATACATTGGCTGATGGGCAGTACTTTGGGCCGAGGATGGGGGAGTTTCATTGAAGGTGTGACGGTGCAGACGAGAGTGGAGCGCGGTGGGCTTGAGGCGGCATTGGTTCTGGAACAGTGCAACGTTGGATGATGATGATGCAAGATATGTTTATCCCTGTGCACCGTCTGTCAATCTTCGAGTCAGCAATTTCAAGACTTCAAACGTGTACAGACACTTGACAATGACGTTGAATGATCCCGTGTACCATCGAAGGCAACATCATCGAACTTTCCGGCCTTACAGATCAAGCTTGGGGCGGAGCTGCACCCAGTGCGTGTTCTTGTAGAATACAGCAATAGAGTGTATAAATGGACTCTCTTGGAGCATGGGGACACCTCGGCCTACTGATCTTGCGGTGTGGTTATTGCTTGTGGGTGGGGTAGCCGTGGCTTAACTGTGTGGTTCACTCCGAATTCGGCTCGTGTGCCACCGTTGCGTTTGTTGACACTCCCGTGTACCGCACAACCAGTTCTACTCCGCACTTCTCCCACACTGCGATCCTCACCTATCGTCGCGACATCGCGTTGGAGTTTCGACTTATAGCATCGTACATACGACCTACCGAGGTCTCGTTCAAACGTTACCTGGAAATGACGAACCTCATACCCAACCACACAGAGTATGAAGCCGAACAAGAGAGCAACGACACGCAGCCCACAAACTCGGACATGGTGAATAGCGACAACGAAAACCACTACGACTCGGACAAACTATACGATCCGCGAGACTACTATGACATTTCGAGTGGTCTTAGCGAGGCTGAGTGGTGTGCGTCGCAATACTTCCCTGGACAGGTCAAGTCCTGTGCCATAGGGCCGCACATGCAACATCTGAAGGAAATTGCATGGGCAATGGAGCGAGATCACAAGCCAGGAACGAGGAGAGAACAAGAGCTACCATACTCAGCTACCCAGGAGGGTGTGTTCGAGTGGAAGAGTCGCGTCGTGGACACAATGACAGAGCGCATTCGCAAATTCCACCAGTTTCCATTCCCAGGCCCGAATCCGCAAGCCCCACCAAGCGTCTTTGAATCTGAAGGTCCGATACGCAAAATGCCTCTTGAGCTACTCATAACAACGATCGAATACCTCTCGCCAGCAGATCAGCTTGCCGCTTCCCTCGTAAACAAGACATGGTACGGCGTGGTGGATCAGACCCTTTGGGATGTATTCAGACATTTGCCTACTCTTGCACCTGTGGACTATGGTGAAATCATCGATTGGAGTATCGCCGACCAAATGCCATACCTTCACCCTACGGAACATGAGCTCGGCCATGCAGGTTATGAGATGCAAGCAGCGGAGCTCTTCGATGGAAAGACAGAGACCTCTGAGGGCTTTCGCAATTACATTCCTGCCCGCCTCACTCAAGCAAAGCATCGTTCCCTGCAGGCCCACAAAGATTTCTTCTTGAGCTCCCACCCTTTTGTAGCCAGGAATAACGTCATGAATGGGCCATTCCTTTGGCTTGATTTCAGCCAGGTCGAGATCAATCCGTATTTTGCAGCGCTCTTTGGAGATCGATTCCAGCGGCACAATGCAACGATCAGCATTCGTCTCCAACCCGAAGTGCCGTATTGCCAATCATTGTTTGCTGCCAAAGATGTCGTCGCCGCTCCAATTCTCGACAAGCTGTGTATGACACACATCACCCAACCGCCTAGCAAATGCATAGGTATCTATGTCTGTCTTCCCAACCTAAACACTCTATCGTGTGTTCAGCGCATCATCTGCGAATCTGGCGTCCAGTTAGGCACTGTTCTCGGTGTATTACTCACGCTTACACCTCAACTACTCAGATTTTGGAGAGAGGAGTTGAAGCAAGCGAAAATCGACGTGGAATCCCAGCCCTGGGATCATTTCATGGCACATAAGAAGCTAAGCTGCTGGGAAGTGGAGCCTTCACCAACTTTCTACCTACTCTTTGACAATAGTTTCATCCCAATCCATAGCCGAAACACCCCCCTTCAAAGTCTCATTCCAGCAATCGACCACTCTCGACATTTTGGCTTCTTTCATCAGTGGAGAAGGGAGCTTGGAGGGGAGTTGGATGCGTTGCTTGGGCCGGTCATGTACCCCTTTGATAGAGAGTGCCCTTTGCCCCCCCGTTGAAGGGTATTTTAGAAAGCGTCTTCAACCCCCAGTCATGTAGAACTAGCTCTGTACTGTAATTTGGAAAGAATGAAAAATGGAAAATCATCAAAGCTTTTCCGTGCCACTTCGTGAACTCACAACGTCAAATCAAAAGTTTCACTTCACGTGCACTAATTCAGGTTATTATGGTACAATTTTACGATCCACTGCTCACTCATAAGCTCAGCACTATAACTTCCCGAAGTCAAACCCATCAGCAAGACCCCGCGCAACAGCCCGGATCAACTTGATTCAGCATACAACCCTTGGCTGTGGGAAGATCGAAGTCGCGTGTCACGACACAGGTCCAAGAATCATGGACGTCGATCAACCGCAGCTCCCGACCGCTGATGAGTTTCTCGAGCGGGTATCAAATTCTCCAGTGGCTGCTAAAGACGGAGACCATTGTGTATTCTGCCATGGTGATGGGGATGACGCAGAGAAGGCCTTTCCCGGCTGGGACTGGGGTACGCTTAGTATTCCTCGTGCCTGGTTTGATCAGTTCCCATGCTGCCATCAGCCTGTTCACCATGAGTGCCTAGTCAAGCAGGTCAAGGGCATCTCACAAACTCGCGACAAGTGTCCGCACTGTCGGGCTATGCTCTGTATAGCAGATCCGCTGACCCCACGGCAGCAATGGGAGGCGGATGCGGAGGACGAGCTGGCGGACCTTGCGATGGAACAGCCAAATTCAGGCTTGAAATTCAACCTGTGGATGTGGACCACCATGAAAGTCTACGATAAAGCCGAAGAGATGTGCCGTCTTGGTCCTCATCCGCACGGCCAAAGCTACTTCGACGCAATCGACTGGATCGTGGATGGGAATGGTGGTTTTCATGATCAACACGGCGACGACGCAATCGTATGCAATGGCCATCGGACTACAGGCAAAGATTGGCTTAAACGCTTTGTATCAGACCATCTACGGAAGGCTCTACTCAAGCATGGAGCGTTCACGGAAGACCTCGAAAACTTCCTACTATATGCCCGGCAAAGTCGCGAGATGTTAGCTTACGACTTACCGGCGAACGACTATGACGCCATCAGCAACGACAGCCTGCCAGGCACACCATTTCAATTGCCAGATGTGCCCAATCACGATCCTGGCCAGCCGGAGCCCGCAGGCCCGGTCTCTCCTTCCCACACACAGGCACCCTCCTCCCAAGGCAGTGATCGCCAATATCCAGTTAACGACAGCTACCGACCCTCTCCACACGATAGGCGACGCTCCCGGTCACCACAAGCCAACGAAGTCCGCCGATCCGATCGATTCCACGCCTACGACAACCGTTCTCACCACGAAAACACAAGGGAGATCACCACTTATGGAGGTACTCATTACCACAACTGCAGCATCAATGTAGATAACATTTCGCACGATGGCGGTTTCTTCACGACAGGCCGCGCCCGAAACTTCTACCGAAATCCCTCTCGGGGTCGTGGTAGGCCGGCATCTCGAGACGAGGGTCGGGATACTTCGCACCGCGATGCCACTGCTAGGTCGCCTCCTTGGGATATCTACGGCGATAGGGATAGGGAAGGTGCTGGACAGTGGGGCGGTAGCTAGGCGCGAAGTTTTGTACGGCCATTTCGGAGACAAGGCTGGCATTTCTTTTTCTTTTCCCTGTAGCTTTGCATCAGTTGAGTGTGCTTTGTTCAAGGTAAATTCCTTGTTCATCGATACGATAATGGTGGTGGCATATGTAGCTCCAATGAGCATTTCAATAACATGACATGAAGAAAAAGCAACAAGATGTGAAAATGAACGTGATAGATCTGATCAGTGAAGTCTTCTTGAGATGTACACAATGTCTTTGGATTTTCTTCTGAATGTTTCTATCAGAACGGCTACCAGAGTCTGCATGGCATGCTCAGAGACTGTTTTGTAATTCAAGTAACCTTCCTGTGCATCCTTGAAACGTAACGCTAATCCACAGGAGCTATTTGTGCGTTCACTTGATTTCATACGTGCTAAGGTGAAGTCATTGCTATCAATGCGTGTCGCCATTGAGAATTAACAATAATCGAATGGACTCATACGACTTCGGAAGGCACGAAAGGATAACAGTATCGACGTAAATTAATTCTTTCCCTGCCACGTCCTCACATGATGCACCAGGAATGTCCGTTGGGCGTTGATACTACGAGTTATTCGAGTAAGTAGGAGTAAATACAAAGATAAATAACCAATTTCTTTCCAGTCGTCTCATCAATGGTATTATCTAGGATTGTTCCGAGGTTCGATTAGCCTAAAACCGTGTACAAACAGGGAGCGATATTTGGTATATCTAGGCCTTCTTAGTGGCGTACGGGTAGGAACGAGGTGCTAGTATTTGTGAAGATACACTCTTTGATTCGTTGGAAGAGGATGTAAGCGGAAGAGTCAGCTATCACTGCCGTATCTACAGAAGCTCGACTCTGAGTTGGTTGAGTTCGTTAGCGCAGCATATTTGAATAAAGAAAATGAAGCCAACAAAGTGCCCTGCCGGAGGACTTCTATATCTGTCTCTGAAAGTTCAATGATCCAGATAAAAGGGCCTTCTTGCGCCGGCGTTCGTCTCCGTTGAGGAAGGTTGTGCACGCGCGTCCCGGTGTCCGTTTCCCCGCCCCAGCCAATCAAACCGCGTGGACTGCGGAGAGGCGATCTGCAGGGTCTGGCGCAGGAGTGGTGGCAGGTAATCTGACCAAGGGCGTGCCAAGAGGTGGCATGGCCTAACTAGTAATAGTAATTATAGTAAGGATTCGAGAAGTTTTCATGCCACCCTAAGCAACTAGCGTATAATATTAGGAAAATCTAAAAATTAAGTCAGAATCGATTCAGAATTAATTAAAAAAGAACTTAATTATTTCTAGCTTACTATAAGATATTTTTTAAAAGTAAAATTATAGACTTATTAATAATAGTTATACCTTTAAATCTATAATTTTACTTTTTATTAATATTCTATTATAAGCTAGAAATAATCAAGTTCTCCCTAATTAATTCTAAATCGATTCCAACTTAATTAAAAAGAACTTAATTACTTCTAGCTTACTATAAGATATTTTTAAAAAGTAAAATTATAGATTTAAAGGTATAACTATTATTAATAAGTCTATAATTTTACTTTTAAAAAATATCTTATAGTAAGCTAGAAATAATTAAGTTCTTTTAAATTAATTCTAAACCGATTAAGAATGAATTAAGCTTACTTATCTAGCGCCTCGCACCGACATCTTGGCATGCCACCTCTTGGCGGGCCCATGGTCACATGGCCTGCCGCCTGGGCGCAGGAACAGCCTCCGCCGCATACGTCATCTTCATTCTTTCACCCAGGTCATAAAATGAACTCTCCTTTATCTTTCATACATCAGAGAGCGAATCGCAAGCAAAAATTCCTCCAACACTAAGTCGAAACTTCCACAGGATTTGCCCTAAGTAGCGATACTCCCAAGGATCCGCGAATCGGCAAAGAAGCTTTCCAATCTTCCACCGTAAGCTGTCCTTTCCCCTGTCATGCGCACGCGAGCACTCACCATCAACAGTCCTCCTGCTACCTCCTCCCTATCCGCAGGCTCCTCTTCCGCCTCCTTTCGTTGATCTCTAAACCGCACATGCGCCATGGGCTCTAAATCCAGTAAACTCTCCCCCGGCTCGCACAACAAACTTCAACGCTCGGTTGAAGCCCAAGACAAAGCACAGATGAAGGAGCCAGAAAACTACTATACGCATCGCAGCAAGAGCATGCGAAGGAAGGCTGGAAGGACGCCGGGGGGCAGTGGACCCGCAGGCGAACCGGGGCAGAGTGGGGTTACCGGAGGCGGGCTTGCGTAGATTGGGGAATGAAGCGGGATAGATTCTGGCATAGCGTGGGCATGGCGTTTGGAATTTACGATAGATGATATTGCACTTGAGGCTTGCATACCGCCATCGAGATATAATTACGAAGAGGACGCAGCATTTGTCGCATCTCGTGCTTTATCACGCCGATTCCCTTCCAATTCCCGCCTTGTACCTTTTCAAACACCTATCCCTCGCAAATTTGTGTTCCACAATTACCCTTGGATACCCCTCCCTCTTCGCAATCTTCTCAGCCTCTCCTCCCTTATCGTAAGGATTATGAATCCCTTCTCCCTTAATCTCACTCAGTTCTGGTACCCACTTCCGGATAAACTCCCCCTCCGCATCAAACTTCTCACTCTGGAGCCACGGGTTGAAAACGCGGAAATACGGTTGCGGATCGACTCCTGTAGAGGATGAAAACCCCCAACCGCCGTTGTTGGACGCAAAGTCGCCGTCGATGAGGTGCGTAATGAAGTACTGCTCGCCGAGGCGCCAGTCAAGGAGGAGGTGTTTGGCGAGGAAGGAGGCGGTGATCATGCGCAGGCGGTTGTGCATGTAGGCTGTGGAGTTAAGGGAGCGCATTGCGGCATCGACTATTGGGTAGCCTGATGGTTGAGAGTTAGATGTGGGAAAAAGGGGTATGGGGATGAGGGAGAATTACCGGTGCGGCCTTCTGTCCAGGCACGGAAGTGCTCGTCGTTGTACTCCCACTCGATGTTCGTGTACTCGAACTTGAAGGGCTTGTTCATGCTGGGAAGACTTAGTAGAAATAAAGAGAAGAGAAGTAGTTCAGCATGACGTACCAAACATATGGCCAGTTGACCAGCACATGTCTGTAGAAGTCCCTCCACGCAATTTCCCCGATCCATCCTTTTATTCCTTCAATACCGCCATCTAGCTTCTTCGTACTGTTCACATCTCTCGCCAGCCTCACACTTGTCCTTGCGGCCAGCGTCCCGGCTGCATGATGCACGCTCACGCTTGCAGTGGACTGTTTCGCTGGGAAGTTACGGGTGGCGGTGTAGCGCCCAATCTTCTCTGTCAGGAAAAGACTGATACGGTCTATGGCAGCCGCTTCGCCTGCGGGCCAGAGATGATAGAAGCGCTCTTTCTGCTCCGGACCAAGCGCTTTGGTCTCTGGAGCTGGTGGAATTTCGCGATCAAAGAGGGTCTTGAAATTATCTCTGAAGCCAGACGGATTCTGCTCTGGCATTGGCCGTTCGTTCAGCAAATGGGGATGTGCGTGCAAATGTGCCACCCAGGCTCTATACCACGGCGAATACACAGCGAACTGTCTACCAGCGCCGGTTTTGAGGCTTCCTGGCGGCACGACGCAGTCATCGTGACATGGCTCGAAGTTGATGCCGTCCTCTGTTCCCAATCGCACCAATCTTTCTTCTCTCCTCAACTCATCTGGCTCATATTCCAGGTTGCAGAATATGTTCTTCACTCCCCACTTTTTGGCAAGGTTCAGTAAGCGTTTTGGTACGTCCTTGCGCGGCGTAATCGTCTCAGTGTACAGTGGAATATTCAGTTCAGCCAACTCCTCCTGCAATAGCTTCACGGAACGAAGCTCGAAATCGCACTTCGCAGGGGATACCAGATGGGCCTCCCAATCTTGCGGAGACATGATCCACACACCTATCACACCGACACCCTTCTTTTTCGCCAGCTCACTTGCTTTGCTCAGCCCAGTGTTATCCCTAATACGCAAGTCCCTCTTGAACCAATGTATGACCGCCTGGCCGCCCTCGCCGTTCTGGATCTCCTCTCTCGCATCTTTTGTTCTCTCCAGCGTCGCGTTCAGGATTCCCATCGGCCGCGGAATTTCGTTGGCATTGTACATGGCGCATCGCTCGTTGCTCATTTCCGCCGGGTAGAATCTTCTGTCTACGATACCGGTCTTCTCTTCCGGGCGCGAATGGTCGAAATTCGCAGCATCTTCATCTTGTTGTTCGACCCCGCCTCTACCTTGAGTGACAATTGCATCGCCCTCGTCTCCATCTTTGGTGGGATGTTCGGGTTTTGTGAAGGCTTTCGCTGCGGGTTTTGAGAGCTTGGATCGCTTGTTTGGGGCATCGCCGGCCCTGTCTGTGTAGGCGACTGCAGAGGCAGCGTTGGCTGGGATGCGTGAGCTGAGTTTCCTTTTGGGAGGCATCATCGCTTGGATCGGAGGAGGTTGGTTGATAGGGAGTACTTACCAGGCTCACAACATCAAACGCGCACCTTCACGCTGCGCGTCGCTGCTCTGATCTGGACCCGATCTATGACGCACCACGCGTTCCTGGATCGCCAAGTCGATCTCTGAGATTGCCGAGCATCTAGCCCCTTCTCGGTCTCCACATCTCCAGGGTTCCAAGGTTGCGGACCATCCCACGTGAATAATACCATGCAGGTGTCCAGGCGTGTTCTGTCGCGCCCCAGACGTGTCCCTTGCAGACCGGCAACCGTGTTCGAAATCAGAGGCCTTTTTTAACATTGCTGCAGGCTTTTCGTGCTGTAGCAACAGCAGAACGCCCCCTACAACATCAATTTACCTGCCAGCAACCCACCTTTCTTCGGAAATTCAGACCTCGACTTCCAGTCTTCAGGCTTATCGTTCGCACTCGACATCAAATCATCATGTCAGTCCTCACATGGTTATATTTCGGCTCACTTGCAAAGCCGTTGGGGTGACCTTTGAACTACTACAGAAACAGATTAGGCCAATGTGGGGATCTTCGAGTTTAGCCATTCTTCCACCTCCACTTTCGGTCTCCATCAACCCGGTGTTGCCAAAGTCTCCAACGCGTGACTATTCATGACTAACCGTGCCTCCCGTGGCAATCCCGTTCTGTGGCGTAGCAGCAATCGCTGTCGAGTCTCGCACCACCGGAAGAATTCGCCCAGCATCCGAAGGAACCCCTCCATACATCTGCATCCGCAAGCGACATGCATGACTTCTTAAAAAAGGCATTGCAGAGCCTCACCATTGGCTCAAATAGATTGAACCCCCGGTTCCTGCTTCCGCGGCCAAGGTACTCGTAAGGTCGTCGACGACTTCCATGCATACAAACAGTACCAAGCGTGCCGCGCATCAATTTATCCATACAATACCCGGGATCGTCATATCATACCGCTGCAAGTGTGCTTCTTGGCACCCGTGTCTACCTCCACGCGGTATGGCCGCACCATATTCAACCTGGGTAGCGGGATAGCTTCCCTTGCGATGTACAGCTAGGATATTAAGGGGATAGGCCCAGTTTCTTGGACATCCGTATATAACATGAGCTGACCAGCATGTCGATAGGTTGGTGAGGCGTTTCCGACGAACCAATTCGCATCCAAGAAAAAGTTGTATGGTATCATGGGGATGGTTTCGGGCACTCTGCTGAGCGTCCTGTCGCTTTCGGCCTGTTTCGTCAACGCGGCCAAGCTTTCTCAAGATCGACAACCGACGGTCGATTTCAAGTCTGGCAATGGCAGCCTACCGCTTGCTTCGCAAAACTCGCCGGTCCACCTGATTCTTGATGCGGGAGACTGGCCTGGCGTTCTGCGAGCGGCGCATGATGTAGCGGTTGACTTCGGACGCGTTACCGGAACGAATGGAACACTGAAGACTGTCGGTATTGGTGCTGGTAATAAGACTGTCGGAGGAAGCGCATCGGTCATCTTCAACGTCACGGGCATCGGCAAAGATTGGAGCGTTGGAAAGAGCTCGGCACAAGGAAAGGGTGTTATACTTGCCGGCACGATTGGAAACTCCAGCTTGATCGATGGATTGATTAAGAGCGGGAAACTGGATGTCAGCAAGATTGAAGGTGAGTGGGAGGCCTATGTCAGTGCTGTAATCAAGAACCCCATGAATGGATCCGCTGAGGCATTGGTCATTGCCGGTAAGCTCTTTGATCTTTTTTTTACAAACCCGAAGTACCTAATAATGAAAAGGAAGCGACAAGCGTGGCACAATCTTTGGCCTCTACGACATCTCCGAGCAAATCGGTGTCTCACCTTGGCACTGGTTTGCCGACGTCCCACCGAAGTCCCACTCAAGCATCTTCGCCCTCCGCTCCACCAAAGTCCAGAAGACTCCTTCAGTAAAATACCGCGGCTTTTTCATCAATGACGAGGCACCTGCTTTGACGGGGTGGGCCAATGGAAAGTATCCCAAGTCCGCATATGGCTCTCCATTCGGCGCGGAATTTTACTCCCATGTGTTTGAGCTACTGCTGAGAAGCAGAGCAAACTATCTCTGGCCCGCAATGTGGAGCTCCATGTTCAACGTCGACGATCCGCGCAACCAGCCGCTTGCCGACGCCTACGGAATCGTAATGGGCTCCTCTCACACGGAGCCCATGGTCCGCGCAACACAGGAATGGACCAAGATAGCTAAAGGTACAGACTCTAGTTGGTCTTGGGCTACCAATAATGCTACTCTATATGAGTATTTTACGGAAGGCGCAGAGCGTGCGAAACCTTACGAGAACGTTGTTACCGTTGGAATGCGAGGGTACCACGATACCGCCATGTCCGCTGATACACAAACGGCGGTTTTGGAGGCTGTTGTCGAGGCGCAAGAAGAGATCATGGATAAGGTGTGGGGCGATGCAAGCAAGGTGCCACAGATGTGGTGCTTGTACAAAGAAGTGCAAGATTATTTCGAGGCGGGGATGAAAGTGCCGGACTGGGTGACTTTACTGTGGACGGAGGACAATTGGCAGAACATTAGGAGGTTACCAGTCGGTGACGAGAAGAAACGGTCTGGTGGAGCTGGTGTTTACTACGTAAGTGATGAGTTCCACACATTTGGGTCGGATTCCGTTAACAAAGATTGCAGCACTTCGACTATGTCGGTGACAGCCGCAACTACAAGTGGATCAATACTATCCAATTGCAGAAGACCTACGAGCAAATGTCCCTTGCTCACGCTCGCGATGCGGACAGACTTTGGATTGTGAACGTCGGAGATATCAAACCTTACGAGATTCCCATCAGCCACTGGTTCGACATCGCCTACGATATCGAAGCGTACGATGAGACATCTGTACCGAGTTGGATCGAAGGTTGGGCCAAACGGACTTTTGACGAGCAGCATGCCAAGACAATTTCAAACATTGTCGACAAGTACGGCTATCTTGCAAATATGCGCAAGTACGAATGGGTGGAGCCGGGTAGCTACAGCATCATCAGCTATGAAGAGGCCGATAAAATCCAAGCTCAGTGGGAAGACCTAGCCGAACAAGCGCAAGAAGTGTACGATGATCTCGCGGAGAACGAGCAAGGCGCTTTCTACGAGTTGATCCTGCACCCTGTGCTTGCGGGTGGAAACTTTATCAATGTTCAGGTTGCCGGTGCAAGGAATCAGATATACTCCGGCCAGGGACGCAACAGCGCGAATGACTGGTTACAAAAGACGATCGACCTGATGGGAACTGATCATGAGCTTACTCAGGAGTATCACCGTCTGTTCAATGGAAAGTGGAATCACATGATGGATCAGACGCACTTGGGGTACCAAGGATACTGGTAAGTCATTCTGATCACGATTCCTTGCCTACTATGTCGAGCCTAATATTATGCGAAGGCAACAACCCATGCGCCAGTCTACACCCTTCCTCCGTTGGGTCCAGACTTCTGAGCGGTCACTCTCTGGCGACATGGGTGTATCTGTGGAAGGAAGCAACGCAACCATCCCAGGAGACGACATGTGGCACTCCAATGGTGGCGGTTCGCTCGACCTACCTGCGATCACACCCTTTACACCCAAACGCTGGATAGACATCTTCTCCATGGGCACACAGACCTTCAATTGGAACATCACCACCGAGCCATTCATCAAGCTGTCGAAGTCCGCCGGCACCATCTCTCCAGACACCGACGACATCCGCGTCTACGTCGACGTAGACTGGAGCCAGGTCCCCGACGGGTACGGCAACAAAGTCGCTCTCAACATAAGCAGCTCCCAGAACTACGGCACACAATTTACTCGCCCAACTGTCAACGTTATGGTAAACAAGACCTCAGTCTCTGCTGGCTTCAACGGCTTCGTTGAGTCCGCAGGCCTAGTTTCCATCGAAGCAGAGCACTACTCGCGCCTCCAACCCTCTGGTAACCTCAGCTTCACCGTACTCCCACACTACGGCCGCACGCTGTCCGCTATCAAACTGTCCAATCCACTCGCGGAAGGTCTTTCCACGTCCAGCGCGCCAGCCCTCGAATACGACTTCTACACGTTCACGCCCACTACTTCCTCAAAAGGTCTGAACCTCACTCTGATCTTGTCTCCGACCTTGAACGTGAACCCAAAGAAACCGCTTGCATACGTCGCGCAGATAGATGACAAGCCGCAGCAGCGGAGGCAGTATGTTATCGATCAGAAACAGCCTGACTTTCCCGTTGGATGGGGCACCGCGGTGGCGCAGAACGCATGGTTAAACACAACGAATTGGGGTGAGGTTTCGGCAGGAAAACACACGCTGAGGGTGTGGTTGGTTGAAGCCAACGTTGTGCTTCAAAAGCTTGTGCTTGACCTTGGAGGCGTGCAATACTCGCATAATGGGCCGCCTGAGAGCTATCGTGTTGGCGTAAATAGCACACAAGCGTAGAATAGAACCACGTGAATGTACGTCTGCCTAGGTAGCCTTAATCGAAGAGTAATTAGCGTCATGAGCGCGCCTTGCCCGTCCGTGCGTCAGTGATAGAGAGCAAAACAATCTACCCTCCCCTCTTCGTCTACCAAGTCACACACTGCACACGCACCACCGAGACAAATCTTCCTCCACAAGAGCAGCAGCAGAAACCGCAAGAGCAACCGCAACCGCAGCAACAACAGTAACAATGCCCGCCAACTCGTCTGTTTCCCCGGCCCCGGACCAATTTGAGGTCCTCCAGTGTCGCGTATGTGACTCTCCCCTCACTATGGAGTTATCTAGTGCCCCAATAGCTTTGTACTCCTTTGTGGCACAGGCTGGCATTCAGGAGTGCTGGCGATTACCAGTTCCGCAACACATGTGACTAAGTTTACGGAACAGCTCATCCTATACCTCCTCATGCTGCGCGAGCGGCGGCGTCGTGGCGAGCCCGACGATGAGATCGGCAGCTTGCGGTTCCGCTTGCGTATCATCGCGACCAGGGGGGCGCTGCAGAGGCTCGAAGAGGTGAGTTGTTGCCTCTAAAGGCAACTCGCCGATTGAACACCGTTTACTAATACGTGGTTGTAGCAACGCCGCAACGCCGCCGCATGAACGCTCTCCGCAAGCAGCTCGACGCCTTTGGACGGTAGTTTGGGTGGGACCGAGGTCGAAGGGCCCTTGCACACTGCCGTCTACTACGCCCACTTGAGGGGAGGGAATGGGGGATGAAGACGGGTTGGGAGCCCTTGTGGCTAACCACACTATCTGCGGTCCCGCTCGAATATGAATCTAGGGAGATTCTGCTTTGTTTTGTATAAGATACCCAGGTTGCCTTCAGGGCGCTTCTCATGAAATCTTCTCCCAATCAAGCCTTTGTGTACTTGCTGTGAATTTGTGACTGTGATACATTTACTAAACTACAGAGTACTGATAAAATTCGAACATATTCTACATCCACCTTACAAACCTCCTCCAAATTGTGGTTGCCCAAATGGTATCCACATCATCAAGACCCAAAACCAGAAGACATACGGCGTAAACCCTTCTTCCGAAAACCAAGTCCTAAGAACCCAGATCGTCCCCGCGACCAAAACCAGAAAGACCGCGACCAGCGGATCATTCACAAGAAACTCCACTGGGTCCCTGATAAACCTGCCCCAGTACGCGAGCAACCTTCCGCACCGGTCCAGAAGCGATATCAAAGCCATATTGATCATGCCCAGCGTACTCCACAACACTCTAAAATTATCAGCATTGTGAGACTCCACATCCAACAAGCTACCCGCATTCTCAGTATAACGCTTCTCGAGCGGCCAGCTTCCCACGCCAATCAGACTCACCCTGATCAGCACAGCCGCCGCCAAGCCCTGTGCAAGCAACAAGAACACATTTTTTGCGGAGCGTTTCGTGCGGTCGAAGAACATGTCTACCGTGCCGAAGATGTCGACGAGGCACTCTCTCCAGGCGCGGCGCGGGATGGTGTCACCGGGGTAGCGGTCGTCGGCCTCGTAAACATCTGTTGAGAAGGAAACGTCGGAGTCTACATCATCGTCGGGGTTGCGGGCGAGGGAGTCTTCGATGATGGAGACATATTTGGGGGCCGCGGGGTCCGGATCTATGAGGGTCAGTATAGATAAGATACAGTAATAGGAGATGGGTCAGGCTTTGGATTGCAGAGGGTGTTGATCCAGTCCATGTGGTTAGATGTCTAACGTTGAGCACAGGATGGAAGATGGGAGTTTTGACTTACTATCATTGTACGGCACCGTGAGCGCAACGCTGTTATCTGGCCGGCGGACTTTCTTGAAGCGTTGGTAAGCGATCCTATCCTGAATAACGTGGGCGTGAGGCTCCCCAAGCCTCTCCCTGCGTTTGGCCTCTTTCTCAGGCTCGAGACCTTGGACCTGCCTTTCAATGAACTTCCTGGCGAGAGCGGGGTTTCTGGGAAACGCTTCTCTGAGCTTGAGTGCGTGTTGCTCTCGAGCGGATTTCCTTTCGGCCGCTATGGTCAATTAGCACGTTGCTCTGTGACAGAGAAAGAGGATAGACAGAGGGTAGTGTACCTGTCTTAGCTGGTGGTCGGTTCGGACGCGAAGCAGCAGGGTCACGATAAGGACGAAATCCAATGGGTGCTACAGGAGCAGGAAGGGGATGTCCTGGAATGCTGCCTCCGACCGCAACGGCAGGCGGTGCACCAGCAAGAGGTGGATCTAGGGCTGGGGCCGGCACTGTCACAAGGTTTAGCAGTCTAGGCGTCGAGCAGGAGCACGAAGAAGTACTCACCATCGTTTCCTCCCCCGTCGGCTGCGCCTATATCCTCTTCACCGGACTCTGAGCCTCGATACAACGCCTCAGGCTCAGGGGACTCCTCTTCATACAGGTCTTCATGCTGCCAGTCCTCCGGCCGGAATGCTTGGGCTCGATTGCGTTCTTTGATACCGTATCCACTCGACCGTCCCTCCCGGCGTCGACGCTGTCTCTTCTCATGCTCCTTCTGCGCAAGCATCTCCCAGATCACAATCTCTTGTTCTGTTGTAGAATCATTCCAGTACTCCTCATACGGCTCGTAAATTAGGTCGGATCGGAGCCCTCTTATTCCTTTCCATGTGTTGATGACCTTGATGACAAGCACGCATGTCAAAGCCAAGGCTGGGCCCTGTTCAATCGCCACCAGCTGCGAAGGATGAGCCTGTTCCAATTCCACCTCGGCGTACATATACGCTTGTGCGGTGATCCAGACGAGCCAGGTGGAAGCTCCAACGATGACCTGCCAGCGTAGGCGATACATCATGCCGTTGGAGGCGTGAAGCGCACTTCGCTTTCGAGTACCAATTTTCGGCTCCGAGAACCAGTACTCGGGTCGCGAAACGAGCAGCACCGCCACAAGCACGAGGAATGTAACGTCCTCGGGGAAGAACATTGCGACAAATGTATACCAGAGCGCCAGATACAACGGAATAGTGTAGAAGCAATTGGTGTATCCGTCGCGAGCTGGACCGCTGATCATTTTGCCGTATTGTGCGCTCCATTTTGGGTATGGGTATGTGTGACCTTGGAAAGGGAGTATGTAGTAGAAAGGGATGCCTAAGATCGTGGGGTAATGATCCCAGTAGCTCCAGGTGTATGGGAGAAATAAGGTCGGAAATGCCGTCGCGACTGCAAGGTCGTAGTTGCCATTGTAGAGTGTACGAAGCGCGTAGCTCTGAAGGAGGAATAAGAGGATGACCTGCCGATTGTTAGTGGGATAGTGGGACTTAGATCTGTGAGGCGACGTACCAGATGCTTTGAGTTGCTGTCTTTTCGCAGCCCATCATTAAGACGTTTCAGGAAGAGCGCTGATTGGGAGGATTCTCTAGGCTTGATGTAGCGATCTTCCGAGGATCCTCGATATGGAGACATTGTAATGCTGCGGAAAGTGGGAAAGGAAGATTGCGCAACAGCGAGAAGGTGCGAGAGCTGTTGCACTTTGTCGAAGAGGTGTTGTGCTAGACTGATTGCTTGAACAAAGAATAACGCCGCATTTAAAAATTATCCATCACGCGAGGGCCGTGAAGGAAGCTGTCAAAGAATTTAGACATGACAAAGAGTGCCAATCCGTGGAAGTAGGTGCAGGGATCTCGATCACATTGCGCAGTGGAGCGGTCGCTTGCTTGAGCAAACGGCAAACAGAGGTTGACCCGGCTCCCTGCTGTACTGTCCGTATACGTTAGCTAGCTGCTAGATTCGAAACATCCTGAATCCCCTGCACTGTCTGTCGTCGCAGCTCTTCGAGATGCCATCAGCGACACAGTCAGATCATGTGATGTTACTCGTCGAAGGCGGCGGGTTCCGAAGGACAGTGCAAACAATGGCGCTAGGATGAGAGCTTCGCAGTCACCGAACTTGGACGTCAACTACCAGGAACCTCGGGGCATCCATCTGAGGGTTTAGGCTTTACAGTGGATGGGTCGTTCAGTGTGCAATGTCGTTAGGCCGGTCTGACTAGGCCCGAATTCTGCTTGGGGAAAGCCGATCCGGCCCTGCGTCCTTCAGCCAGGCTGCAGGTTAGCCCATACGTTGTGGTGGTATTGTCATCTGCAGATGCAGGGTAGGTAGGGCACGAGTCGTGCACGCGCGAGAAAGATAGATGATAAATTTACGTCATGGCCAACGGGAGGGGGCTACGCCACTGCAATCCCCCGTAGAATCCCCCACACGCCTCAAGCTTTGCAGCCCAGCCGCCAGTTCTACCCCGGATCCACCACCAACACCACGGTCCGATCACCTGGCATCTTCGCTACCGCATCAGCTCGCAATTGCAACATTTGTCAAGTCCTCCATCGCTGCCCTTTTATCGCGCACGCTACCTGGGCACAAAGCGGCCGATAAAGAGCGGCTAGACATGAAACGGGATGGCTGCACCACAAGAACATGCACCTCGCACACCCCGGGCCTATCACACGCGAGTCCCGCACCGAGTCCCTGCGGCGTTGTGACCCACTGGCGCGGGACGGCATCCTGATCCCCAACTCCATCGACGCACATTGGTAGTGCAGAAGGCCCTAAAGATAACAGGTTCCAGATCTCCAAAGCGCAGAAACGCCCCCAGAGATAACAGGTTCGAGACCTTGCGTGCCTATAAGAGCCCACGCCGCGCGCGTCTCGATGCGTCCCAGTACCACGCCTTTGCACTTGGACGGCGTCGACGGGTATTGCGGGTAACGCGACTACTGCGACCACAAAATGGCGAAGGGCGAAACTTTCAACGAGAAGACTGCGCCGGCGTATCCGAATGACGACCCCCTCACCGATTATGCTCAGACTACCGATGTCGTCGCAGGACTTCATCGCCGCCTGTCCAATCGCCAAATTCAATGGATCGCCATTGGAGGCTCCATCGGCACTGCGCTCTTCGTATCCATCGCTTGGGGTCTTGTAGAAGGCGGCCCCGGCAGCTTGTTTATTGCCTTTGCGATATACTGCTCGATCCTCGCCCTCGCAAATAATTGCATGGCGGAGATGGCCATCTTCATGCCTGTGGTGGGCGGTTGGGTCAGGATGGGTAGCAAATGGGTGGACGAGGCCTACGGCTTCATGGCTGGCTGGAACTTTTTCGTATGAACCCAGCTTCGTTGGAGAACTTCAATTAACATGCATAGCTTTATGAAGCCGTCTTGATACCTTTTGAAATATCTGCGCTCAACCTGGTTTTGACCTTCTGGAGAGACGACATCCCGGTCGCTGCTGTCGTCGCCGGTTGTATCGTTCTATACGCAATCATCAATTTGTTCGCGGTTCGCGCCTACGGAGAGAGCGAATTTTGGCTGTAAGCTCTTCGCTTTGTACAGCTATGGTGCTAGCTAACCATTCCAAGCGCATCCGGCAAAGTACTGCTCATCTTCATGCTGTTTTGCTTCACATTTGTGACAATGGTACGCAAGATTTTTACTCCGACTGCAATGCAGCATAATTGACAGTCTAGGTCGGCGGCAACCCCAAACACGATGCATACGGATTCCGCTACTGGAAGAATCCTGGATCTTTCGCCGAATATATCCATGAAGGCACCCTTGGCCGCTTTGAAGGCTTCCTCGGCGCATACTTCCAAGCCAGCTTCACGTGCGTTGGCCCTGAGTACGTCGCTATGGTCGCAGGAGAAGCCATCTACCCTCGCAAAACGATCAAGACCGCTTTCAAAACCATGTACTTCCGGTTCGGCCTCTTCTTCATCATGGGAGCCCTTTGCGTTGGCATCATTTTGCCTTACAACGATCCTACACTGGCCGGATTGCTCGACGCTGGGGAAACCGGAACTGGCGCAGCTAGTCCGTACGTCATTGCGATGAAGAATATGGGCATCTCTGTACTGCCGGATTTGACTAATGCGTTGATGGTGACGTCCATCTTCTCAGCAGGTAAGTCTTCGAGTCTCTATAATTTCAGCTGAGTTTAAACGCCATGGGACACCCAAGCTGGGCAATACAGAGGCCGGGCGCGCTGAAATCTCCACCTTCTAAAAACTCACGACTGACTTGATACAGGAAATTCATACGTCTACTGCGCCACCCGAACTCTGTACTCCCTCTCACTCGACGGTCATGCGCCCCGCTTCCTGCGGAAAACCACCCGTGCCGGCGTTCCCATCTATTGCTTCTTCGTCACGATGATATTTCCGTTCCTCGGTTTCCTCTCCGTCGGTCGCGCCGCCTCCGAGGGCGTAAAATGGCTCGCCAATATTACCCAAGCCGCACAGCTCATGAACTACATCATCATCTGCACCATCTACCTGTGCTTCTACCGCGCCCTTAAAGTCCAGGGCTACGATCGTAATTCGCTTCCATACAAGGGCTGGGGCCAGCCATATGTTGCCATCGCGGGTGTGATCCTGTTCTCGGTAACGCTGGCAATCTACGGGTATGCGACGTTCTACACGTTCGATGTCGGAACGTTCATGACGTATTATGCCATGTGCTTTATTGATATCGTGCTCTGGTGCGGGTTTAAGCTCTGGAAGAGGACGCCCTTTGTGAAGCCGGAGGAGGCGGACTTGGTGTGGGAACGGCCTCAAATCGACGCTTACGAGGCGTCGATTGATCCGCCGCTGGGGCTGTGGAAGGACATCTGGCTCACGATTACCCTCCAGAAGAAAAAGGAGAAGCGTGAAGACGATGCATGAAGTTGCCTTCAGCGAGTTGAGATAGGGGTTTGAGAGTGGGATGAATACAGCATGCATCAAATAGACTTCTTGTGCCGCACCCGGAATAAACAATACAAGACTCCGTTCATTTGGCTTTCTTGGGTATCAGGTCTCCAGGACACACATGCATGACCTCCCAGCATTGATTCTGCTTGCATGACCTAGAGTAGCAATGCCGAGTGCTTTAAGGACACCATGCCCTGATGCCCTTTGATGCCGCCTGTCGTTCCCTCTTGCTCCACCTGTGCCTCCGTGCCGCTACGTCGGCGACATAAACCAAGGCCTGAATGAATCCCATCCCAGCAGCCCAAAGTACGCCACATCTTCTAGTAGATTCCAGTTCGCAGATCCATCGCCATCGCCACTTCTGTATGATATCCATATTCAATATTCCCCCTGGCTCATTGTCTCAAGGCTCTCTCTTTTGTCCTTTGTCCTAAGAACCACCTTCTCAAGTAGAAAGAACAGAAGGTACGCCATGGTGGCTGTTCAGGAGTTGAACTACTGTCACCTCGGGCGTGAGAGTTTGAACTTATGTGCAGACGGTCGGGTATGTGTAGAAGCGTCCTTGACACGAAGGCGCGATGATTCTCGTTTTGCTTGTGCTTCGACCGGTTCGAAAGAGGAGAAGAGATATCCTTTCATGGGTAGTTCCAAGCCGCGCGCGGTTGGTCCGGGCGGACTCGACGGGTCGGGAATTGGCGTATGGCTAGCTGTGCGATCGATCTTGCTCGTCGAGGATAGTGGAGGCAGCGAGACGGAGTGATGTGTGTCGGTGCTGTATACGAGGAAGGTGTGCCGTAAGCTTCTGTGGTATGAAGAGGAGGCGAGATTGAGCTTGCTGGACACGTTAGCTTTGGTTCTTTGGGCCCTGAGTAGCACATGAAGCTCCGAGAAATAATGAGGTACGGAGGCTCACAGTAGTATCTTGAGAGGGTCGGTGCGAAGCAAGGTGGCAGCGATGCCCAGGTGTAGTGGGTTGTAGGATGACCTGTCCAGCAATATGGGGGCATGTTGCGCGTGGCGTAGTGTGTACAGACGTGCCTTGTCGTCGAATCGTAGCAAGGCGTCGAGAGCATGGGGTTTTGTCAAAAAACAGATGTCCGCGAGTTGCGAAGTGGGGAATCGGGTAGTCAGTGCGTTAGCGTTATATCAAAACAAGCCCACGGTGAGTTAGTCCGTGATTTTGACGAGCATGGGTGAGGCAGAACAGACTATCCAAGATCTCATGGTATCAGGTTTATATAGTGTACAATTCTTGTGGCAGAGGGCACCAGATCGCTCGCGGCGCCTTGTCTTCCAAAGCCCCGGCCTGTTCCCATCTCCTCCCGCAAGACAATATCGATCTCGTCGATCTGTGTGTACGGACCGGTTCCATTCTGCTCACCACAGTGCGAACACTTGAGGCCCCATTGCGGCAGTGGATTGCGCTTCACACCCCCGTTGGTGCTTTCTTTGCCGCCTGGGGAGGAAAGTCAGCTAGCTGCTATATTGCGAAGTTCGTGGTGTATAATTCTACAAGTGACGTTCATGAACTTGATGGTGACCGTGTCGGCGAGGACGGAGACGGTGCGTGCCGTCATGCTTGTTGAAGACGAAGCCATCAGGTTGAGTGGAGGTTCGGTTGCGCGTGCTTTCGGTCGTGGAAGGGGAGTCATCTACGGGGTTATCAGACGCTGAATTAAATATACAAACGGTGCCTCGAGAGCAAAAATGCTGGTGGTTTATACGAAGGTGACGTCGTTGAGTGCGGTGAGATCGTGGGGCAGGGCACTTGACACGCTGGCAAGACGGTGATTTAGAGCAAAACAACAAGACGCCCGCGTGGCAACCACAGCGCACACACAGTGATCAAGTTGAAACAGCTTCACGCACAATAGAGTATGCCTGAAGTATCACACATTAGCCTTATGATAAAGAAACACAACAACAACAACACAAGCCATCACAGTGAACAACATCTTCAGTAAAGTCTTCCTTGAAGCACAGCTAGCAGCCATGGCAATCAATGAAGAGAAGAAGAAGGGCCGGAGCACGAATGCTGATTGACAAAGGCGGGTTGTACTCATTACCATACCGAAGTAGGCAGTCATTGTACCGTGTCACCTAAGCCACACGGCCAGTTCCAAAGATTACCTGAAGAATCAGGTCGGCCACCGAGGGTGGCCGGGCTTGAGCCCAGTACCTGTGGTAGTTCAAAAAATTAGCGAAGAATAACAAGAGAAATTCAACGCAGCGTGAGGAAACAGAAGGGGAGAGGGCAAAAGCAGGCTTATATAGAAGAAATCTGCCAAGGAGCTAAATCGATCATGTGACTGCTTCGGAGGAGGGTTTGGGCGGGTTCCGGGGTGAAGCAGAAGGCAGGAACGTAGACGGGGAGGCACTGTGGTTGGCTGGAGGCCAGGGCGACGCTAAGGCCATGGATGGGCATGGGGGGTCGGCGATGGACCACGGAAGAGCGAGAAAGAGATCAGAACTCATAGAAATGGTCAACGCTGGGGACAGATCTGTGAGACTGCATAGAAGCTCAGAGCATGCAGTCAAGTTATGGATATCATCGAATGAGACGACCTTATTACACTACAGGAAGCCACTCCACCTGTTAGCTTGTGCAGTAGGAAGACCACTGTATGCCATGTGTTGCAAAACAAACAGCTCTCCATCATATCTATCAGCTCTGCTGTCTTACATGCTGAATTCCCGCTCCCACAGCTCGCATTTCCCATCTGTACCATGACCAGTGTCCGTGACGACTCCCACAATGTCCCCAGCGAACGTCATAGTGCCCACGAAAAGGCGCGGATGAGTCTGCTCGTTTGGGGTGGCGCCGCGATCTTACACCTGCACTTGAAGGTCCCATAGTGTAGTTTTGTGTTTGTGAGCGCCCCCGAGAATGACTACCTCGAATCAGTTGCCGTCGTAGGTTCAGAGGGGCAGCGCCTCGAAGTACAAAGTGGGCATCTGTTCGCCGGGCGATCTCGTAGCATACGCAGGAGCGCTTTTTGTATGGCCTGTGGCCAAATATGCGCGTTGCTGAGGCAGCAGCTTCGATACGTGGAAGAAGCAATACTTCAAGGGCCAATAAAAAGAAACAGTGACTGCGAGACTGCAAAGGAGAGGTACCTTTGCATGTCCGTCCAAATCTTCATCGTTGGGGCGGCTTTGCTTGCGGCAAAGCTTGCCCAAACAACCGGCGGAGCAGCACTGTTTGCAGCGACAGAACACAGATAATCTGAGCTTGGAACTCACAGTCGCATTGGATCCGACGCACACACTCTATCAATACACCGCAGCGGCCATGGAACCCACCATGGCGTTTCCACTGGTCTGCGCAGCGAGTAAAGCTCCAGGTCCCTGGGTAATCCCTCATCGACACCCGTCTCCGCCCTCACTGACGCACTGCAGTACGGCGACCTCATTGACACGAAACGGGCTCATCAGCCTCGCCCCGGCCTCGCAGCTCGACACAGCATCTTACACTGCAACTCGAACAGTGAAGAACTACGCCGATGATACCAACCTCATCACGTTTTCGGAATCCTTGTTTGTTGTCTCAGAACACCTAAACCACGACCAAAATCCGTACATAGAGCACTGTGAGAAGAAGAATCTTCAGACCCTGTCTACCGAGCACGCGAAGGGCAGGATTAGGTACCTCTTCCGCCACGCGGGCCTAAGGCGATGGCACCTTGGTAACAAGCTACAGTGCTGTTCTGCTCTGCGTGGCCGCCACCAAGCCTGACGACGCTCACTCATAAGCTTGACACTATCGAAAGCACTTCATACCCCAACCGCGGGTCACAACGCTTCTTGATGGCGCTGTAGACTCTTCAAAGAGCTGCGCAGTGAGACCTTCTGACGTGGATACAAGCGTAAGCATGGAAAAGCACATCCAATGAATTATGCAGTCAACAGCACAGGTAGCTAACGCCGATTCTGAGAAAAGGAAACGACGACACAAGAAACTGCTTCGAGCACCGACTACCGAGACGAATCCGGCCCCTCCCCATACCACGACCGTCCATTACCTCCACGACCTGCGTCACGGTTCGCGCACACCTTGAGTCGAACACCGGCAGTCGAACAACCACGTGGTTCCGCCGCAGAAGTGCGCAAGAAGACTGGGTGCAATGACGGTTCCGGCGGTTGGATAGACACACGGCATCGCGCGAGTCGAGCGACAAGTGGCTGAGGAAGCTACATGGTGCTGGACAAGAAGAGCGACCGCGCTAGGCTGTTAGCTGGTAGATGATCCCCTGTGGATAAGACAGACATGTCCCTTGGCCTCGGAACTAAGGACATATTATTGCGTAGTTCCGATGTGGCGGGGTCCACAGGTTAGGATTGGTGCCTGTCTGTCAAGTGGGTGGTCTGGAGAGTCTACGCTATTTTACCGTCCAGAAATATCCCAGGCTGAGAGCGAAGACGATTTTCAGGAGAGAAGCCCCCAGCATAATGGCGACACGAAAGTGACGGGTTCAGCACGACTTGAGGAAGATTGGACAACGAGATCCTAGGAACGATAAGGATAGGAAAGGCGGCATACGTATGGCGAATCTAGAGAAAGGTGCGTAGTCCATTCAAATCTCCTTTCTACTTGTTGATGATAGGCCAGAACCGCATTACAGCTAGCATTGCCGCGAAGCGTACCTCAGTACCTGTATCTCCGCATCTCCTCTCGATCTTTCGCCTAGAACAATCCTGAAATCGCATGCTTAGCAAAGCCCAGAGGTCCCTTCTTCTTCTCCTGATGCGACTCTGCGATACTGCTCCTCCTCACCTCTTCCGATACGCCCTCGCCAGATATAGCCAGCTGCTCCTCGCGCATACCTTCCAGAACATTGATCTCCGCGATGGGCACCCAAAGCTTGCGGTGCGAAGGGTACCTAGTCCACGACCAGCCCTTCCACATGACGTAGAGCAGGATGATGAGCGGGGCGGCTATGTAGCCTTCGAAGAAAACCTCTGCGTCGGGTTCGCCACCGAGGGGCTGTCTACGCGTTAGTCAATGTCACAAGGGAATGGTGAGAAGGAACCAACGTACAAAGAGACTGGAGTAGAACGAGGCCATCAGGCAAATGAAATTCAGCGCCACACAGACGTAGCTTCCGACAACACCGAAGGATGCCTTGTACGGAAGCTCGTCGACGGAATGGCCTTGCAGCTTCCAAGCCATTCTGAAACGGATGTGCGCAAGGCAAATACTGCCGTAAATGAAGAAGTTGGCGATACCAGAAAGGGCGAGGAGCCAGGTGAAAACCTTGTCTCCGGTGGCCGAGGCTTCGTTGATGAAGGCTAGAAGACCGAAGAGCAACTGTAGGATGATAGTGGGCACAGGTCGGCCTTTCCCGTCGACCTTGGCCAGGAATTGCGGGGCCATTTTCTGCGAGGCCATGGCTTGAATAGTACGGGTCGATGCGTATGTCGCCGAGTTTGCGACGGAAATGACGGAGATAGTGATTACAGCATTGAAGACGGAAGGCAGACCTTTGACACCTGCCATTGTGATCGCGAGCACAAATGGCGAAGCCTTGGTGTTGGCGCCAGAGGACGAGAGGAGCACATCGGAGCTCGCCGGGATAATGAGGCCGAGGATAAACAAGTTCACGACGTAAAAGAAGAATATGCGCCAGAAGACTTGTCTTGTTGCCCTTGGGATATCGCGCCTAGGGTTGGCGGCCTCGGCGGCAGCAAGGCCGGTCATTTCAGTACCTCCGTAGGCAAACGAAGCGGTGACAAAGACGGAACAGAATCCTTTGAACCCGTTGCGGAAAGCCGAATCGGGAGCATGCCAGTATCGAGCGCCGATGTAGCCGCGATCGTCGGTCGGAACGCCTCCGCAGTTGACAATGATGCCGAAGATGATGAAGCCGATACATGCGGTGATCTTGATGATACTCAACACAAACTCAACTTCTCCATATCCGCGAACTCCGAAGAACTGCACAATCGTGAGAACAGTCAGGAAGACAGCGATCCATATCGCGATATTGTAGTGTCCCCAGAACTCGATCGTGATAGCGGCCGCGGTGATTTCGAAAGGTAACATTGTGAGCCATTGGATAGCGTACTCCCACGCCATGGCAAATCCCCTGAGTGGAGTAAGCCTGAACTTTCCATGCATGGCACTTGCGGGGCGGGGCGTAACGTGGCTTACCATGAGGGATCGACAAAACGCACAATGTATTGGTAAAACGCCCCGTTCACTGGATACATGACGGCCATTTCAGCAAGCGCTTGCATCATGAGCATAATCATGAATCCAATGAGCATGAAACAGATCAACTATACCGGGCAGTCAATGTCTGTCTCCAACTGTTGCAATCAACGCTGTAGGAATGCTTACAACACTGGCTGGGCCACCCTTGGAGAGCGCACTACCAGATCCAACGAAGAGACCTGCACCGATGACACCACCAATGGCAATCATCTGCATATGGCGCCCGTGGAGACCACGTTTGAGAGTGCCATTCTGTCCTACGATCACTCCTTCATCGGAGCTCGTGGATACGCGAGGCGGTCCATGACCCTTCTCAGCGTCGTAAACAGGTGCTGTTTCGTCGATACCCATTGTTGCAACCAGCAGAAAAGGCGGCAGAAGAGGGCCACAGAAAGAAGGAGGGATCGCCTTTCTTTATACCAATTGCCTAAAACCGAGCACCTGTCGGCGAGTTTTAGTGATACAGCACGCGCACGGCCTGGGCGTGCATCTAACCTGCACCCCTGCTATCAGGGCCCCAGCCGTCTCGCAACCCGATAACCATCCCATTGGCTTTGGTTGCGCCAATCAAGATTTCGTGACGGCGGTTTCTCGAAGACGTACTTATTAACCGGAAACATGTGATCGGATGCAGACAGCTGCTAAGCCGCGCCTAGAGTGCTTCAGCTGCTACATGTTCGCACAAAACTAGCCGCATCCGGAGTGACGGGCCCTCAACCATCCGGTGGGATACCTGTAGGATACCTATGATACTCAAGATGGCGGTTCGGCACCGCCGAAGAGTAGAGATAGAGAGATTGCGTAGCGAACAGGATCGTAAGCAAGCGTGACGCCTATCTGGCAGTATCGGATGGTGTGTGTCTGTGCATGAGGGATTGAGCGACCAATGGGGCAATTGTCGGTCGCACCGGAGCGGCGTGTACGCGTGCCATCTGTGTAAGCCATTAGTCTACGTGATCTGATGAATTCAACGACCTTATATCGCTTGTCTGGCCAGGTGCTAAGTGCACCGCAGCACCAGGTCCTCAACCCTCGTATACGTGCCCAAGGGGACGCCGCGCAGCTGCTTCGCTCACGAAAGGTACATGCAGCGGTTACGAAGTGGCACCAGTGGTTTGATAGACGATCATTCCCAGCATCCCTATCAAGGCGAAGATAAAGGACGCGGAGCTAGCGCCAAAAGAGGCAGCCATGCGGAGCGACCAGGCAGACTAGCGTGGTTGGCGTTCTGGCTTCCGGGGTGTGGGAGTGCCGGCACGCGATTGAAAACGATTGGACGAGACGCTGACGAGAGCCTGTGCGTAAATAGATAGCTTGAGAGCGTTTTGTCTCTAATGCTGCGATATGTGTGAGCTCTGGACGTCAGGTTTCAAATGTACTTTCGCACCGAGGGCCAGGATGGGGAGGAGCCACAGTGGCGCCTGCTGCGCGGTCGCATGCAGCTGGAGCTTCAACCGAGGTATCTGAACATCAAAAAGAACGAGAACAAGCATGGAGTCGTGGTACTAATAATTGCTGTAGATGCCATACTTGACCGTCAGATCGAGGAGTAGTAACGAAAGGAGCCGTTGAGGTTGAGATAAGGATTGGAAAGTGCGGGTCTGCCAAGGAGAAGCCGCTGTGCGGTACGGGTCAAGCTTTCTACAAGACATGGCCGAACCGATGCGGCTGATCAAAAGTTGCTTGTTATTGCACGTTCAACTACCGACGGTCAACTCCAATAACTCTCCGCGCAAACGCCCCGCTCCCAGATCCTCCTTCAGTGAGAACGATCCGGCACCCGATGCGCAAATAGATCCAGCCCTCTCCATGACCAATAGTAGGAGCACTTGCGGTAGCAGCGGGTGCAGTCCATATGGCGATGACCGTATGAAGGTGTACGAAGATAGAATGCCGAAACCTTTTCGCCACAGCCCGGGTTCCTACAGGTCCTGTCAAATGCCCACATGCTGCTGACCCTGAGTACACGCACATATACTCTATCAGTGCTGTATACGAAGAAGCTCACATTGTTGTGAACTGTGATTTTGGAAGCCGGAACGGAGCGATCGAAGCGTAGCAAAGGTCGAATGTGTGCACTGTATCCTGGAGTGACTTGAGTCCACTCCACGGATTTGGCGATGATGATGGTGGTGATGATCTGATAAAACAATCAGCAAATGCTCACCAACGAAGCAATGTTTGACAATCCGCTTTCAAAATACATACGTGGAGAAGTGCGAAGGACAGGAGCCAGGGATGACCTAGCTGCATGCTGGCGACCTGCCACAGAAGAAGCGTCCAGAGGAAAATATCAAGAGGGTTCATCTTGGAGTTATTGAGATCGATTTAGGTGTGCGTGAAGAGTAATTACGATCGTCGTAAAGTATGAGGTTGACGAAGGGTATGATGGACAGCACTTGAAAAGCCTTATGGGTGAGACCTGCTCATGAGGTACTAAATGGCTATTGTGACTTCCTATGTTGCCTTCACCACCAATACTTGCCTTCGAGCACATTCACTGGGGTCACTGGCATGGCTTTATTGAGCTGTTTGCTTGACGGAATGAGCGAACTGCAAACCCAGTCCGACGGTTCTCAGAAACTCAAGATCCGTCTGTAAGCCCTACATTGATGGATCAACGTAGGCGTGGACATCCTTTGGAAAGGTCCTGGAGTTGACACAAGGGTCACGTGTATATAGATGACTCTTACGGTTAGCGCTGATCTGAGGCGACATCCTCGGGGGCCAAGCGATGCGACGAGGCAACCACACCCCACAAATCATCACAGCCAACCCTCGCTTCGAGCTGCGCATAACCTCCTAAACTCTGCTAATGACCTATGCATGCTGCAACAAGGCCTTGCACACAGTATCTCGCGTAATGTGGAGCATCGATGCGGGTCTTCTGACGTGAAGGTCTGATTGGCTGCTGTTACACGCGATCGGATGATCATCAACATACGTTGTACACTCTTTTGTCCATGTTGAAAGCGCAGCATGACAAAAACCGGGAAATGCGATGTTTGCAGATCGCGGAAGGTCAAGGTTGGTCTTCCTGTACAGGTGTTATCGCATCTCTCGTGCACCGCGGAACTGACGCGACGAAGTGCGACGAGCAGAGACCAAAGTGTGGCGCATGTCGCAAACGTGATCGGGACTGCACTTACTCGTTCGGAAAGGCCTCTGCATTCGTGCTCGAGGATCCCACACAACTCTCAAAACACGGCAAGCCGAAGGTTGCTCCAATCATCTACCCTCTAGGAGCCGAACATGAAGCGAGCATCCCCTCCACAGCCAATCCCACTCCATCGCCGTCACCAGTCTCGCTGCCGTCCACCTCGCTAGCCTTTCGCCAGACTGCGGGTAGAGATGCCGATACAGGGCAGGGCGCCTTCTTGACGTTGTCAATCCCACCACGTGAGAGAACAAAAGTTACGAAGAAAACGACGGCGCAGCAAAAAAGAAGGCTGCAACTGCATCTGAGTCAACTAGAAGATATGACAGCGTCGCTCATGCCTCGCCACTTCGTGCCCTCGCAGACAGCACTCGCCGCCCGCTACCTCAACCTGTTAGGCTCGCGGCCGCCAGAAGAACAACCTTTCGCGACAATGGGTTCTTGGGTCGAATCTATACCTTCCCGCATTGGCAAAAATCCAACTCTCGATCTAGCTATCGAATACCTCATCACCAGTTTTGATGTATACCGTGATCCGACATTTTCAAGCCATCGGACCGCGTTAGCCACCAAAGCAAAAGCACTCAGGGAACTACAACTGGCTATTGGAAACGAGAAGACGAGAAGATCTTATGATACTGCGGTGGCCACGAAGATACATTTCATGGCAGAAGTACTATCTCCGACACAAATTGAAAACGCACGAGACTGATATATAATAGGTGTTCATGGGGATCAAGAGTCTGTTTCATGCCATCCATGCTGCAGGACTCTCAGATATCTTACAAGCTGGGCCGGTTACCGATCCAGACAAAGATCACTTTTGGAGCTTTCTCGAGAATACATACTTTGATGACGTGAGTGGCTGCACAACATGGTCCTAAAACTCGTTGACATATAGGTCATAGGTTTCTGAGGCAATGGTTGCCAGCCGGACATCAGTTTACGATCAGGAGGTCTACCTTGAAATGACAAGTCCTGCAGCGATACCCATGGATGCACCGGCCGTCTTTCGCGCGTCTGTTGCACTCATGCATGTGTACATACAAGTGCCTCGCCTGATTTGCCTCGTTCGCCATGCATCCAACTATCCCGAAGACTCTCGCACGCTTGCCGCAGCTGTTGCTCTGGCTGAGTCTTTGTGGTCACTCCTTCCAAGCGATGTGATGGAAGAGGTCATTCAGGCTGCCGTGACCATCATCGACATCCCACCGTCTCCCGAGATTGCCGAGATTGTCCCTAATTCGTATCACTTCAACTCGGTAGAGAACTCTACATTGATCAGTCGGTTTTGGAAACTCCAAGTCAGTCTCAGCGGCATTATACAGACCTTATACCAGAATTATCCAGCAGAATGTGCCAGCTCCTTTCTTCCAGCTTTACCATTCGTTGAGAGGACCGACGCTGAAGCTGCGACGGAACTAGCGCGGTGCATCCATTACGCACTCACCATCTGCCCACATCTTCCTCTCGTTCCCCTACGCATATACACAACCTTCCAGATATCGCTTGGCACATGGTACCGCATTATCCGGCGAATTACTGCCAGCAACCGTGCCCTGCCTCCCGACCCAGATCCAGCAGTCACGGCCTACTTTGACGAGCAGCTGTCCCACGCAAGAAGAATGGAACAGTTCGTTTCGGACCAATCAAATAACGTCCACCGCATATGGAACATTCCGCGCGTGAACAAACGTTTCTTGCGGGCTGCCGCTATCGATATGGCCGGTGGGCCTATACCCGATTGGATGCCAATACGCATCAATTTTGAAAGTGAAGACGGTGCGATGATCATGAAGATGGAGTATGATGTTGCCGGATGCTTATACGAAGAGATCACGGGCTTTGACAACGGCACAGGAGGATGGGTGCGGAAGACTAGAACGACGTCCCCATTCCGCCCCGAAACATCCGATCAGAAGCCGGGTAAGGGGTTCCCGACTGGGTTAGTACATTCGTTCTTGTCTGGTGACGTTTGCTGACTCTTTGGAGTGGTACCGGAAAGCTACCGAATTACTTGTTCGATAGATTTGGAAATGGCCCTGCTAAGTATTGGGGCTATGCGCCCGAGGAAACGTTTGCTGAGGATATGTCGAATGTGTCAACGGGTAGTATACCGCAAACGTTTGCGGATTTGTCGAGCGACAGTGAAGACGAGACGTCCACCTAGGCCCGCGCACGAGGAATCCTTATCCGTCTTCGTGGTGATCGAGTGTACGGGGGGAACACTCCCCTTACATGTAAACTCTTTCCCACTACCAAATATACAGTGTAACCGAACGACAAGAGGCTCGCCGAGTACTGTAGTACTATGACAACAAAATTGAGAAGTGGTATGATGAGCAATTTTTTCAGATCTCCGAATCTTGCATTTGTCCTCCACGCGCCGCTGAGCTGTCTGTGAACTACTTGCTAGCAGAGCGCTTGCCGTCGAGGATATGGGGTCGGGTTCATTGCGAAGATGACTTGGGCATTGTCCGCACATAGGGATGTTTTGGCTCTGTGGTTGAATGACAGCCTGTCTGCCTCGGTTGGGCGGAGCGTCTTCCGAGATCACCGTCATCGCGGCCTTCGTCTGCACACCATCAACGCGCGATAATTTTGGGGCGTTCAACTACCATAGTCTATCGAGACTTTCCCTGCTGCTCACAAAGACAGATGAAAACGGCGGATTTCGACCAGTTGACGATTTGTGCCGAGGTTGAGCACTCTGCCAACTCCGCTTGGGATCGTCGAGTTGCGGCTCATAGCTACGCGAGCATGGGGCGATGCGCGCACCGGTTCCAGACTTCGCGATGATACCATAGGTATCCTAGATACCTTGTCTCCTTCTCGTGCTGTTCTCCGCACCGAATCCTCTCGCACTGGAAGCAGTGAAAGCCTGACACTCACCATTCTTTTTGAGCGCAATCTGATAGCCGTACGTTGAGATTGTTGCGAAGGTTCTTAAGAACGTCACCTTCCTCTTCCGTTGATTCGGCATCTGGCGCGCCGCGGAGCGGATGCTTCACGACGCCACACCGGGGTGCTTGACGAAGCTTGATCTGGGCGGGCCGCGGCCCAACAAAGGCTTCAACCAACCATCGTGTCGCAAATCCAGCAGCATGGCCCGCATTCCCCTAACTACTCCACGCTTAGACAAACCATAGGTGGAGCAAACATGCGGGGAGCCTGGGGGACTGGGGAAACCCATAGGGGCTCGACTCTTTGTTGCCTCGGCTGCGTGGGAGATGACGACGACATAATTCTGGGGTTACCATCCCTGACCATGGGCAGCTCTTCCTGGACACAGCAATAAGACCTACAGGTCCCGCCTCCTTGGATACGGCTCCTTGATCGTGCCAAATCCCCGGATTGAAATTTTGCACTGTCATCCATTTCTCCTCATCAGGACCTGCACCATGTCTGACGTTCATAAGATCGACACCGAGCTCAAGGAGCACAACAGCCACAACTTTGTCGGCAATGGTGCTGAGCTCAGTCGTCAAGTCACCGTTCAATTGAGCCCTGAGCAGTACGAACGTCTGTTCTTCCAGCCGTCGGCACCTCGTCGTGGTGATTTTGCCAAACGATTCGGTAAGTTTCGTACAGGTATGTAGCATCGGAAACGACACTAATCGATGCTCAGGTAACCCAACATTGCTCGGTCTGGTCGGGTTCTTAATCCCATACACATCGACCATTCTCCTCCTCTGCGGCTTCCAGGGTGGCGTCGCGCCTCAGAGTCTGATTGGGCTGAGCGGTGATTACTACTTCTTTGGTTGCATTGCAATGAACCTTGCCGGTATCGCTGAATTTATTCTCGGAAACAGTGAGTGCAGCACGACATGTTGAGTAGCTATGCCACGATTCTGATACCTGGCTCCAGCCTTCCCAATGGCGGTCTTTATCATCTACGGCAGTCACTGGGGCAGTCTTGCATACCAGCAAGATCCCATTCATCAGACGACAGCTCCCTTTGCCGAGCTGGGTGGCGCCAACGGCGCAGCCTACAATTCCTCCCAAGGCTTTCATAATGTCACAATGTGCGTTTCCGAATCCCTCATAGCCTAATGCGATATACTAGGATCCTGACGTTAATCTAGGGCGATCGCAAGCTTCGTTTTCTTCATGGGCACCTTCCGTGTCAACGTGTTCTTCACGCTGACATTCTTCGGCCTCATCATGCTCTTCTCTTTCATCGCCGCAGCAGACTTCCGCGTGGCCCACGCCACGAGCGAAGCTGATGTAGAGCACATCAACAAGCTACTGCACATTGCCGGAGGGTTCGGTTTCATCGGTCTGGTGTGCGGTTGGTATCTGGCTATTCTGACCGCTTGCGAAGCTGTCGGCATTCCGTGCCCACTACCTGTTCTTGACTTGAGCAGCAAGGTGTTCCCGAAGAAAGACACGAGTGCGAATGCGAATGGCGAATGATGCAGGGAAAGTGCTTTTCAAAATGCAAAGAGATACGTGGGTGTGAGAATTTTCGATCGAGCGGGCGGCGATTGACGCATCAGCTTGACAACGAAAGTAAGGACACGTGAGATGAATCCAGCTGGACCTGGAGGACTCTGATGCTTCTTCCGTCGCTAGATGCTTGCGTCGGTGAATTGGCTTGCTCATACTAGGCACAGAGAAGTGAAAATCTGCTTCACCCATGGATTTAATTGCCTAGAGGATTTTATTCAGTATGTGACATCAAAGGAAACAATATTGCGATTGACATGAAAGCGTACTGAAAGCGGATTATGGTGTTGTGGCTTTGGTGTATAGCTGCCGAGACCCACTGTACATCAGAAGGGTCTAGCTCACAATATTTATATCCCCAATAGTGCACTTAAATCTCCGCATAACCTTGTTATTGTGCGCCTTCACCGCCGCCATTGAGAAGGTGAATTAGAGGGACCAGGCAAATGCACGTGCATGCGCGTTGATATCGCGATGACGTAACCCTCCCTTTCCCCGAGCGCTCCTTCCAAATCCAACCGCCAAAGATTTTCCACAGCACAAACGGTGAGCACGGCCCGAAGAACCGGCGCAAAACGTTGATACCGAAGCGCCGAGACTGATGATTATACAATCGCATTCGTGGTATCTAGCTTTGATGGAACGCCATAGCATGTGCACGCAGCCCAAAACAGGATTAAATCACAGGGAACGCTCACATGGGTATCGTCCCGTTCATCAGTACAGCCCCTTCCTCGCCCCACCATTTTTCCTCTCCTTAGACACACAACACACACTCATCTCCTCACTCCACTTCTGCACCATCCACGATTCTACCTCCTTCTCCACTGCCAAAACCATCCCATCGCCCTCCGCCACCTTCATCTCCTCCTCGCCCTTGGCCTTCAAGTCCTTGTTCCAGGCCTTGCTTTGCTTCTGTGTTGCGCGCTTGTATGTTCGTATCTGGCTATGGGTATTCAGGAAGGAAGCCAAGTCTTCTGCAACGATGGCATCGTACATCAAGATTTTCTCGTGCCAGGAGGGTTTGGTGGGGTCGGAGGTGGGAGGGAGAGAGCGAATTAGGGACGTTATGCGTGGGAAGAGGGTGGGGCGAATGCCGTCGAATGTTAACTTCGCCTCCGGGATGCAATAGATCGGCACAAGCCCGTCTGCGACGTCTGCGACGGTCCCTTTAGAAGTAGGAACAGGATCGAAGACGAGTGGTAGCGGTGGTGGGACTTCAAGGCGTCGTGTCCGAGGTGGCGTAGGCGACAAGGCCTCGTCGTCCTCTGAGTCAAGAATGGCTTCGATGCTGTGGAAGCGGCTCTTGTTCTTGCGCGGTGTGCTCGGGGACGTGCCTGTTGTGGTTTGCGCCTGCACGGGTGCTTTCTTAGGTGCGCGGACGGGTGCAGATGCGGGGAGTCTCGGAGGAACTGCGGATTGATTTTTTGGAGGTCGACCTCTGGGTTTCTTTGGAGAGCCTGTAGATGCTACTTGAGATAGGAAACTTCTGGTAGAGGCTTGAGCAGACGGAGCGAAGTCATCGATATCGAGAAAGCTAGAGTCGACATTCCGATTCGAAGGTGGTAGGTCTTGCGAGAAATCGTCAGTGTCTCGCAAGGAAAAGCTTTTCGTCGCGTTGTCGTCGGTAGGGACGCCGCTGCCATTCGCAACCGTAGGCTGGCCCCCCAGGAAATCGTTAATATCTTTAAACGGAGAGCTGGGTATCGTACTGACGACATCGGCCCTACCGGTGTCTTGCGCCACTGTAGATGGTGGGGTTGGCAAGTCGGAGGATATTGCGATCGGTACGTGTGGTGGCGGTGCAAAATCGTTGATATTCAAGAAGGAATCATCAGATTTGTCGTGCGGCCCAGGCGGGAGAAGCGGAAAGTCCAGCGTCCTGTCCGGTTCGGGCAGACAGACGCTCTGCTTCTCCAGCATCTGTCCATTATCATCTCTAGAGCTCGCTCTCCAGAGTGCATGTCTACCCTCTATGCGCTGGAGACGTGACCATGGCACAATGTGTGGGACGTCATCTGATGCCAGGCTGTGGCGCAAATCGGCATCTTGCTCCGATTGACGAATTGCCTTCTGGGTCTCCCGCACCATAGTGGGCGACTCTTCACGCGCTAGCTGACTGGATGTTCCAAATAGTATTTCTTGCCTGTTCAACCTGACCAATGCAGACGATGGGCTGAGCAGCTTCTCTGCGACCAGTTTGGGTTTGGCGGTGGTTTTGGCGGAAGCTTTCTTCGACTTCCCCTTTGTTTCGCCTTTCTCCGATGCCGACTTGGAGATTGAGCGCTTGCGCACCGGTTTTTGCGAAGTTTTGGTTGAGTCTGCATCACCGGTGTCGTTCAATTGTACTTTGGTTGTTTTGGTCACCATGGTAGCGCGGCGTGTGAAGAAGTCACTCGTGACTTCTGGTGAGTCTAGCTGTGGCTGTGGGGGTGCGTATTGGCCTGTGACTAGATCCGTAATGGTTCGTGGCTTCTTTTTGGGGGCTTTGCCCTTCTCAGGAGATGCTTGACGTGATGCACCATGATTGACAGGTAGATCTACTAGCTGTCTCGATCGTTAGGTTCCTCCAATGGCCAACTAATGCATGCGCGACTTACCTCCACTCTTCGCCGTTTTATAGCGCCGATCACCTCATTAGAGGTTGGCTTGGTAGTCGAGGCCTCGGAATGATCGTCCAAGCGCGCGTACGAATAACCGGACAGCATGCTCGTGAAACTTTCTTTCTCCCGAATAGGCCTGTTCTCCTTTCCAGTTGAGCTGGTGAAGAGTTCTTGGCGTACGGAGTCTGGAGGAGGAGTCCAGTTTCGCCGTCTAATCACGGCTTCTTCCAAGTCCAGTGGCAGACCTGGGTCGGGTGGCCGCTGTTTGGGCGGACCTTTACTTCGTGAAGGGCTCAATGGCACACCCCACATTGAAGCCTCATCAATTCGAGAGTCCAGGTTTCCACCATTTGTAGCGTTTTCCTGGTCTATCCCCGTCGCGTCGTCTCCCGTACCACGTGAGCGGAAATGTGCAGAGACGACCTCCGCTGCCTTCTGCGCTTTTTTCTTAGCTTGAGTCGCCCTTGGTTTGGTGACTTTGGCTCTTTTAATCGTGGTTTGTATCTCGCTATCGTCGGTCGTAGCTTTCTTCGCACGCGGCTTCCGGGCCTTTGCTGGCTTAGGCTCCAGGGCTGCTGCTGCATGCTCGCGGGTAGATGCAGCAGCATCGGTCGCTGGCAGGATCATGAAACGAGAGGAGATAGTTGTAGCGGTACCGGCAGTCGATACATCGCCAGTCGGTTGCTCAGCGCCTGTGGCTTTGGGCTTCCGTCCGCGTGGGTTCGCTTTCGGCTTGGGCTTCACGACGTTCTCGCGAGCATCCACAGTCTTGGCCTTGGTAGCCTCCCTCCTAGGTTTAGAAGCTTTGGTAGTGTTTTCCGGCCCAGTAGGTGCCCGTCTGCTCTCGAGCGCTTCTTCAATTGCGTTTAGACCCCTGTCGTTGATATCGATGTCGGCCAGCAAGCTCCGTGCGGTGGCGAACCCTCTGCCCACCCCCACAGGCACCGGCGCAGTTCGTGAGCCCATTCGCGACGCGCCGGAGGTCGTCCTTGGGGGGCTAAGAAGCGGAGAGAGCGATCGGAGGGGGCTTGAGGGCATGGTGACGCGACGTTCGAAGGGAGACGCAGGGCTAAGCGCTCGCGGGGCAACATCGTGGCTATAGGGAGGAGAGGAAGAAAGAACGACGATGTCGTACGGCACGCCTGCCATTCTGCATGTCTGCAGAACTATGCGGGCATAGCAAAGGGCAGCGCGAGTCGAATGCGTTTTTGTGGTTGATCTCGCTATACAGAGCAATGGGAAATCGTGGGGTAGGGTCGATCTGCAGCCTCGAGTAGTTTGGAAAGGCACGGACCATCCTCGAGGTAGGTGAAACCGTGAAAGTATTCGCTCCATTCCCCTGCTACACAACCGCCACTCGTCTACAGATCTTAAACTTTTGCAAGCTGCTTGTGCTTGATGCTATCGTACAGCTCCGCGAGTCCCGTTCTTCATAAGCGTCGTTGTCTTGAATGACACCAGCCGCTCCATCCCCCTCCGCGGGACCCTCGCAATCCTTCTGAGCCCGCTGCAGATCTTTGTCGTGGCAACAGTGTTGATGCTATTAATACCAGCATCTTCAGCAATGCCCTTCCTTACTGTCTGGGCCGTTGGGCTTGGGTGGGGGCATAGCGGCGTCCTAAGCGTTGGTTTCCGCTCCTCCCCGTGCCTCCGGCCCCAACCACCACCACACCCGCGCTTTCGACGACAAGGGTCAGCGCCCCATGTCGATGCTCTGTAAGTCTTCCTCGTCATCTTTAACATGGTGTTGAGCTTGCGATTGCTGCTAAACAACACAGCCAGCGGCCAGTTACACCCCCCGCCTCTCAACGACGTAATAGGAGCTCCAGGGTGGATAGGACAACAATGAGGGTTCGCTAACATCGCTGCGCTCTCTCAGATCATGTCCAGGATCCAGAATTCCAAGTTGCGCGAAGTCAGCTTGCCCATACGTTCGCTGGCCGAGAACCAGACTCACGGTCGTGACAGGAGTTTTCGGGCAACAACAAGGCTTCATTGACTTCGCTGCACTTCTTTGGGACGTGCTCTAGATTCAGGAGCTTCTTCTTGCCCGATGCCAGCTTGCTCTTACAGCTGCTGGTTGGCGGACTGCCGACCCGCTCAGTTGACCACAACAGAGGTAAGCGCCCCACGACAGGCACCCTCCCTCCCGCCTTGCCCCCTCACCCTCCTCACCAGCACTCATAGTAAACTCGAGGCAAACTTCTTCGTTCTGGAGCTCACCCACTTCACGTGCAGGTACCAGCATCGAAGATCACCCTTGCTACCTAGAAAACGGCGGCAGCAGCATATCCGTACACGGCCGTCGACAGTAACTGCTCTCGAGCGAGCAAATACTCCGAACCGAATTCGTAGCTTGAAGAAGATCCACTCCTTTCATCAACGGCAGGGCAAGCATCTGGCCACGCAGTCCGTGATTCTGGTCTTCTGGTCTTCTGGAGTCAGACTGTCGAAGATGATAGCAGTTGCCGATCTGACTTCGTCGCCACGGGCGCTGACTGTGGCCTGGGTCTATGTATACTGGGAAAGAACTTGAAGAGATTATATGTCGCTTCAGCATGACCTTCTCAATGGCCGTGCTCAAGGTCTCAAACCTGCTGGGAATTCCTACATAATCAAGACCGAGCCACGGTAACCCACGTTAGCGCTGCTTCGCATCAATCTGTTGGTCCACTTACCGACACACCAAATTCACGCCTTCATCCTGCCAGTCAACATCACATCTGGTCAAGCAATACATATCAGCATGTCGCAACTAAGAGCAGAGACATCGTCGATACTTGTCTAGGAACTCTACACGGCTTTGTCAGCAAGGTATCATGATATCATCAATTGGGAAGTCGGATGTACATATACATCCCGGAACGCCACCTCATCCACCATTGGAAAGCATCCTTCTCCATGGTGCCCCGCGATACCAACACACCACTGCTCCTCAAACAGAGCGTTCTCAAAGCGATCTTCACCTGTGCCCTTTCGAAGAGATGACTAGCTCGTGCAGACGATACCACCGGAAGTGCGAAGGAAGCGGCCTGGGTCGCGTTGCATTGTAGCCACCGAGTGTTCTGCCTGATCAACCGCTTTGATTGCAGTCTTCATTGGGGTACGATCACGTCCACCGAAGCTGATTCCGCAGTACGTTTGTCAGATCACGGGAACAAAGGTCGATCAGCTCGCGTGCGATGTTGATGACCTCGCCATGTAGGCCTGGGAGCGTCCGGATTTCTTGATCCTCCCAAGGTTCCGTTGTGGAGCTAGCTTGATCTCAGTTCACAGGAGTGGTTGTCTTGCGCTTTTGCTACGCTATGAGCATAATTGCTTCTGGGAGCGGGAGATTGCCGTTGATCGTGAGCAATTCGAGCACGTTGGCTAATGCACAGAGTCCGAACCTCCATACAATGCGGTACAGGAGGTCAACTTCATCACGAAACATCTCCAACTTCATGACGCCTTCTCGAAAGCGCATCCAGTCCTTCTCACCGCGCAGGGTGTCAATCTTATCAAAGATAGGTGTAGAAGACTGGAAGCAACGAAGGAATGCCTGCGATGCTTGCAATCGTGAAGGTGATTCCATTTGCCGGCGTCGCAGCAACCTACACGGTCACAGCATGCCTGCGGATTCATAGACCGTTGCGCGGTCGTATGCCTGACTTCCTCTCGGTGTACCCTGCATCGTACTGCGGCCGCGTAAACTTGTTTGTGATACTGTAGTTCACTCACATGCCGCAGTGCACGTGTGGCTATGCCTACATGCATAGTTGGAAGTAAAAAGAGGAGAGCCTCGGAGAAGGAGACACGCGCAGCTTATCTGGACCTCTCGGACGAACGCCTCCGTACCGCTCGGGGAACTCCATCGATGCGACATTTACTCGAGCCGCATCTGAGGCTTGTCGGTTAATCTTCGCGGTGTCTTCTTGATACCTAGACGGTTTGTTAATTCTGTGATAGAAAAGCCCTGCTTGCCACGGTTGCCCTCAGGCGCTTCCGCCCGCGGAAGCGCCAAAGGTGACGAGGCATTGGATCGCAAGTCCTCATACGTTGGTGCACAGCGGGTGGTACCTGGTGAAGCCCTTCGTCAGCTATTCGCCCACGAACGTCCAAAGAGCGAACACTTACATCCTCTTGCGTTCCCAGAAATCCTTCATAAAATCCTCGCCTATATTTTGAGGCGCGCCGCCTGTATTTCGACCCTAAGAACCGCCGTCTTGGAAAGAATACGGCCTATTTGGCCGCGAAGCAAGCAACAAAACACGTCGGATTCGCAGCACACAGCTCGAGTGCGATGCCATCCTGCCTGGATCGCAAGCAGTCATGAGAGATCCGGCCTTCACCCTCCACTTGTCACTCTTGTACTCCCCAGCCACGATGATGCCAAATACGAGGGGTTGCTGCAGTCGCAGTACTCGCCAACACTGCAGACGAAAACCTGGCAACCCATGAGTGTGTATAGACAAGCGATGACCCCGGATTCCGGTTCTTCACTTGGGTCGAAGCCCTTCAGAATCCGCAAGGACAAGGGTGAGGCGTCATCAGCCCCCTGGGATTCAACGACCGACCACATGAAAAAAGAGAAGATGCCGTCGGTACTGACGTGCCGAAGAATCTGAAGAGATCAGGATGTTTGTCACGCTCATGGGAGGTGTGGGTTGCTACCTCCTGTCCGTGGTCGGTGCCCGTGGTCTTTCCTCAGAAGCAGGTGCAAGTGCAGGTGTAGACTCGAATTTCTCGCATGCCGTTCCCAGCTGACAGCCATCAGAAAGGAAGTCAAATGCTCGTCGGATCTCCAGGTGGATAACATGCCAGGCGAGTTCATTTGTCGAATTGCTTCGATTTCGATCGGTTTTGAAGGGGAGCCATGACGACCGCAAGGGTGCAATAGGGTTGTCTTTGGTGACCATCACGGGTGATCCCAGCATACACGCTATACTTTGGCCTTCTTGGACCCAGCGGCACCATCATCCTCATTCTTCCGAATGAGCTCCTTGTGTCTATCATTCGCTTTCTTTTGGATGACGTCGAGTGCGCGAATGGCCGAGGCCTCTTCCATCCACGGTTTGAAGGCGGGGATCCAGGCGAGGTTTGCGTCTTTCACCATCTTCTTGAAAACGACTAGTTGAGGTTGCAGTCTCGTCCTGCACCTGGACGATATCAAACATGGGACACCGTTATTGCGAATCGTATCGACAGCCGTCCGGACCCTGGCCTTGGTCTTGTATTCGCCAAGGTAATTGAGCTTCTCGATCTGACGGAGTACTTTCAACGAAGTCTCGAAGAGTTCGCGGTTATTGACGTTCCATTCCATCTAGCCACCGCCACCTGTTCGTGGACTGCGATGGACATGCCACGGGCATATAAAGCACACGAAGGACGCCATGAACAGTTGCACTGGTGGCGAAGCATACCATGAGAGTCTGCTGAGGCTTCCTGTGCTTCCACGAACATGGCAGCGGGCATGCACCACGACGACCGGGGATCAGGAGCCGGCGCTCGAGATGGTGCCTTGTACCCTTTGGTGCTCCAGAAAGAAACATGAAGATCGCAGTTCCTGTCATCTCTACATGAGACTTTAAGCTGACAGATTTGCGAGTCGACAAAAGGTGGTGTGATAACCTCGGGAAGAAATCTCCTAGCAGCCAAAGTTCGATGTATGCAGCGCTGGCATCTTTGCCAAGATCAAGAAGATGATCTTCTACGGGTGATGCCCCGGACCGGTCCACAGAGACAGATGTCGTTCAGCTGAATATACCGAAGCCTGCTCAAATCAGCGTTGAGAAGGTCGTTGAGCTTCCTGCTGTTGGTCTTTGGGTTCATGATCCGAAGGCTTGCAAGCCGGCCATACCTTTGAAGGTGGATTTAGGCTGGGAGCGTTCATTCGGCTAGATGGGTAATACGGAAGTTGCGAAGCCGAGGACGAAGAGCTTTGTCCAGGCTCACTCTGTACCCGACGAAGTCTTCACCTTCGCACTAATCAGGGCAGGAAGCAGAACAACGAAAGAGGAAGAGGGAGCTGGGTCGGCCAAACAAAGATGCCGTTGTTGGACCTAGCTCCTTCGTCCAGAGATGTACTGCTGTGCATGTATCCCTAGGATCAATGAGCGACGTTGAAGAAGACGATCGGATGTCCTTACCCTGTGCTCTCCGCGCAGCCAACGCTATACGTTTCTCAAAGAGTCTACTCGACCCCACCATTCCAGCAAATATGTTGATTCACAATTTCGCTCCTTCAATCCGCTTCATCGAGCCTCATGCCTCCTCTTGCGAACAGTGAAGACGGCAGTCCTCTATAGTCCATCGTACAGCGCTAAAGTCTCCTCATCGACCCAGTCTATGTTGATCCAGACATCGTGTGACTTGGGTCGACCGTATCCGTTGCACAATAGCGCCATGCCGCGGGAGACCTGCAACTTGTCCTGACACGCGACCTGCTGGAAGCCGCGAGAGTCGATGTCTCCCATGAGTATTCGAGCGGAACCGCAGAAACCGTCGCGAGCCACAGGTACTGCAGCGCTGGCATCTTTGCTGAGATCAAGAAGACAATCCCGGACTAAGTCCTCCCTCGGTGCTTACGCTGACGGCCTCCACATGCGTCCGCGGGTGGCGACCACCGTTGGGTATATGAACAGGGCGTGATGGACAGTAGCCGTGGGTCTGCTGGCCTCTAACGTGGCTCAGGTTTCGCAATCTGGACCCAGACCTCTTCAGAATCCGCAAGAGGTGGGGCAATGATATGACAGACAGCTGGTCCATTGACAGAAGCTTCGCGGCGGCGGTTCTTTGCTATCAGTAAACAACGATCCTTAAAGGAGACATCCGTACTCACCATCCGCTGGGCCAATCATGGCCAGTAATGGTTGCAGATACCGAGTGCCCAGGTCCGAGTCCGTATTGTATAGCGACCGAACTTGCTCTCACCACTGCTGACGTTGGTGTCCTTTCCGTTCCTCGTTCTCATGATATTCGAGGATGGTGTCCGCTAAGCAGCTGGTCATCAGGTGCGGCCAGTCGAAGAGCCTGCGGTCAGCGCCTCTCCGAATCCGTAGACATCGCCGCGAACTAGCGTCTCAGTATCATTCCGACGTAGATTCACGTCTATCATGGTCGCAATATCTGTCGCCAGGTTTCGTACTACCGCGGTGGGTCAGGTGAAGCAGTCGTGGGCAAGTGTGTATACCAGAGCCTCGTCTTGCCGGATGAGACAGGGCTGTCGCCAACACGGCATCGATGCTGAATATCCCGGGATTCCCAAGGTGCATTGTCCTGTCATGCAAGTTGCTGTCACGTAGACGGTCTCCGTGACGACGACGACTCATACTGATCCGCTTCGTTGTTCGGCATCGTGTGCAACGCCGCGGGGCAGCGCGAAGGCGGCGCAGCATAGCTGTCTAGGCCGAAGCCTTTCAGAATCCGCAAGGGCAAGTTCGGGCTACGGCTTCGCTTCTGTCCAAATAGTCAGCGGCTGTATTGCTAGTCGACGACTACAAGAAGGCGTCGCGTTCCAGCCATTGAGTCTGCCATTGCCGCGGCGTGAGGCCAGAGGCGAATGCTAGTCCGCTTACCTGCACATCGGCAGTCGAAGTCGAGAGCAAACGCAAATGGCAGGTAACCCGACTGTCGATGTTTCGGGGGTATCTTACCTGATGTCGCTGCTGGGCAGCTGGCAAGAAACAGCGAGATGCCATCGAAGCCGAGGCTGAACGGGAAGAACCAAAGGAGGGCGCTGAGACAGGGCGTGCCCACGGAGGCGGAGACTCAAGACTTCCTCAGAGATCAAGATGCCGAGGATTTTATCCATTAGTGGCTGCCCTATGGTGCATCAATGATTGAAAGATTGAGGGTTCCGACCCGCGACAGGCCGTGGTACAAAGTGTGTTCCAATAGGTGGAAAACTGTAGAATCAAACTCCGCATCAGGATCTTCGACAACCCACGACGCCTTCTGACCCTTCGCGTGGTGTTCGTTCCGAGGCCCGGAGGCATGTTTCTGCCGGCCTGTCAGTAGAGTCACTCGCCTTCGAAGATAATGGGAGAGTGTATAGGAGCTGGCTTCTTGGTCGACTTAAAAAGGCCCTTCAGCAGCTAGCAGCTACGCCATCGCTTCAAGGCCGAAATCCGGACCTGGATCGATGCAACACCCCGCTCTGCACGACGCAAGATGTTTTCAGGGTTGCAAGGGGTAGCATAACGTACCTTAAGACCTGAAGTCCCCTGCTTCGCGTTAGCCACGGTCGTGTCCTCCTCGGCGGGTCGGCTATGATGAAGAAAAAGGGAGGGGAGGAGCAGAAACGGCAGCAGATCGAATCGCTCACCGTCTAGGCCGCCGCAACCGGCAAGCACAAAGAGAGTGCGAAGGAGCGTCAAGCTTGAACCATGGTCATAATCACTCGAGTATGAGCGACCTTGACGTTTTGACTCGAGGAAGGTGTTCTGGTGTGGTGGTGTTGCCTGCCGAAGGACGGCGAGGGGCAAGTCAATCACCCACGTCGAGGGCCCGTGCGCGTCACATTTCGAAGGACAGCAATCTCCCAGAGCGCCTTAAAAGAGGATGCAGAGAGTCAGAGCAGTGAGCGGATGCCACGAGGCTGTGGAAAAGCGCTCATAGTGGGAGGTCTCCGGCACCCACCTCTCCGTTGCCCATCAGCTCTTCGCCGCCATATGATGGCGTTGTAGACACGGGCGAGCATGACAGAAGCGAGAAGTAGAGACGCCAAACGTGAAGCGAAATGGGCGACGTGGAGTGAGTGTCCAAAGATCATGTGTCTATATGTCAGCTCGATTCTCGGCTATATGCAGCGGAGCAAACTTAAGTGCAGCAAACACGACCGCGTAATTGCATCGGGATGGTGTCATGCAAAGAACACTGCTTTCATACCATAACAAGGGACCATTTTTGCAGTAGCCAACATGAGATGACAGAGATGCGGCCACTGGCAGCGTCGAGCTTGTGGAATCCAGATTTTTCAAGCAAGTGCATATGCTCGAGGCGCAAATTGCCAACTGCATGCGCAGCATCGTTATGAGCAGACTGCCGCGTGGGAGCAATATCTGGGACATGCACGCCTCCCTGTCCTACGTATTTGCAACATGGTCCGAAAAGCAACCATCAACCACATATCTGACCATGTCGCCGCCTTTGATGGGAGGCTTGAAGTCTCCATTGCAGTAAAACTGCGCATATTGACGTTTTAACACTGAAGGCTACATCATGACTGCGATGCTAAGACTGATTCGCCTGATTGCTATGCTCAGCAGCTCGCGTGTCCTCAAGAATAAGAACAAACGCGGAGAGAAGCTCAGCGGAGTGATCCTGACATGCTTCGATATCTTGCCTTAAAAAACTCAGGGATTCGCATGTGCAATTCGATAAGACCTGCAGATGTCTTGAAGTACAGGACGATGCCTGAAAGGATGAAAAGAGTATCCTGCACTCAGGAGAGGTTAGAAGTGCGAATGCTTCACCAGGGGGAGGACCTGCTGTCCCACTTGCCAATCCGCCATCACGCAGACTCACGCATCGTCATTCAGTTATACATGAAGTATTACGTCCAAAACGTCATGTTGGAATCTTCGTTGCATTGGATGCCTAACAAAGAATCCAGTGTGGAAGTGTCAGCCATGCAGATCGGCTAGAGTCGACTTATTACATCGATCGGACATGCGGTTGTTTCTTCACTCTATCGCCATTGAGCCATGAAGCGCATTTTTCGTCCTCCGACCTTTCGAACAATTCATCCCGATGCCCAAGTGGTGGATGCCCGTGCTTGTTTGCGAACCCGCATCGCATCGCTCTTACCTTTCCGGAATTGAGCGATCGGAAGCGCCGACGCATGATCGGCTGATTCCACAGCTCAAAATCATATGATCAACATGTACTTCAAATGAATCAACGAAAGTATCAACGGATCAGAAGATACCTCAAAGATGAATTCCGACATCAGCTGGAAACCCGGTGACTTGATTCAATGCATCATGCTAGGACCCAATATGCATGCTTCGCAACCTCTCAGATTACCTTGTCAGCATTTAAGTACGGAGCATAGCTCTCTTCTGGGAGTAATCAGTCCTCGATAGCCCATTGTTCGCTGGTCTATCATGCACGTCGCAAGCATGCAATATGTGGCCAAGGCTCCACCAGACCTGTGCCTGTGTTTGTGACAGACAAATCTTCCACAACGGAGGTCACTAACGTAACATAGATTCGATCTACACTTATCATTTGGTGACACCGCAACCGTAATATGCTCAGTCGGTAGTTGGATCCTAAAGATACATTTCCAGTACCCATTGACCAACGTAGGCATATAAATTCGAGTTGGGCTTTCCCGCTCTCGGATCATCAGACGGGGTCGCCAAGTTGTAGGAGACTTGACGTGGTGGCCTCTATGCGAGAGCATAGTGTGCTGTTGGTT